CTGCTAGGGCGCGCTCGCGTTTTAATAAACTTCACGAAACTACTAAGTACGCTACACTACTAGAGCTTCTTAGGATATAGGGACTAGTAGATTCGTAGGAGTTATAGGATATAGGGAATAGTTAGGAAGATCAGCGGCTTACTAAGTACTTATAGCTCGACTATAGCGACGAGGGCGTCCTAGAGGGCGGTCCGGATCGGCGACAGCTGCTAGAGGAAGGTAACCCTCTAAAGAGGAAGCTATTTTAGAGAGGAATTCGGAGACTACTCTATTAATAGAGGGTCTATCGATAAGCTAGTCCGGAGGGAAATATCCGGCAGAAAGCCGAGGCGGTAAAGAATTCCGGGCGGTAAGCTAGGTAATCCGCGCACGTATATTAGTGTCAAAGTTAGCTGACTAAGCGGGGAGTAGGTAATTACGCGAATCTAGAAAAAACTAAAACTAGTAAGCGAGCTCGATCGCACGCGCTAATCCTGCTATCTAGCGGGGGCGGGAAGCTTCTTAGGACTAGCTAATAAAGCTAGTAGGCTAGGATCGATAGAATTCGATAAAAAATAGGGGAGGAGATAGAAGGGGGATAATAGGGGGATAATTAGTAGGGGAAGGGTAGGGGGCGGGGCTTAGTGGAGCCGGGCGCAGCTTTTTCAACCGAATAAGATAAAAGGAAAGGCACCTCGGATAAAATAGCGTGGGTAATTAATGCAGTATAGAAAGGGATTTAAAAACGACTCCCAGAGATGATCTCTCTAGACGAAAAAACTTGGGTTTGCTACCAATTAGTAACAAGAAGCTAGGTTTATCGGAGATATAAAGATGATGTTTTATTCTTATAAGGGAATTAATGATAAGCTAACCGGTGACGATGCCGTCACGTGGTAACAGTCCCACGTTGGAAGAGGTCAGTGCGGTGATCGCGCGACAGAGGTTGAGAATCACCCGGTGTCACCCTGGTTCTCACCCCATTTATTGCGCAGCTGCCTTCTTACCCCGGTCGCGCATCATGAAGCGGCGCGCCTCATATTGACATCGAGCGGTATCTACCAACAATCTACTTGATTCTACCTTTGGATCTATCAAGCACATACGACCATAGGGTGTGGAGAACAGAGCTTCCCGTCCGCTCAGCCATACTTAAGCCACATACTAAACGCGGCCAATTCTCAATGAGCCCTCGCTACCTTTGTCACTTTAAAACGGCAGTCCAAACTCTTTTAGGGCGAGTGTGGGTGATATCGGTGAGAAGTCACGAGAACGGGGGTGAGAGAGGTGAGAACGGGGTGAGAATGCGATTAGAGTTTCTTCGTATAATTAGTAATATTCGAACCCGCGCGTTTAACTAGCGAATTATTCGTAAAGAGTTCAAAGATCGTAGGATCTTTCTAGTCGATAGTAGCAAGGTTATCAATGACCTTCCTATCTAAGATTATTAAGATATTACCACCAAAATACCATATTTTTGATTCAATATATCTAGTATTATATTGATTAATCTGATGCCCTATATTACCACATCCAGCTCACGGTACTGTTGTGCAAAACCAGGTGCTCAGACCCCAAAAAGTCACCAAGGGCCTTCAAGCACGGGTTTCGATCAGTCATTCGGTTGACATACTTCCTGTACGAGGATGCCATTGTTGTGCTCGATTTGTTCCCTGGCTTGGCTCCCGAATCTGGAAGGGACCTCGAGATCTTTTTGCCAAACTTGATCCCCCAGCGGGAAGGTGGTGAGGGAGAGAACTGTTTTCTAGGAGACTGTGTGTTACAGTTCAGAGATGGGCCTGTCTAAATACGCGACAGGACTGATCACTAATAGGGGCTCGCTGTGTCTTTCTGTTTGCCAGCTCACTTCAAACAGAATGAGCGGTCACCTGTGAGGCCAATTGGTCTGTAAGAATTGAGTTATGCACTATATTGACTTCAAAACTATGACCCGACAAACCTCAGGTACATTTTGGAGCCACATATCGATAGTCAACGTCTAATCACAAGCGTCAAATCTGTCTCAACGACTGTTTTAATTGATCAGATTTTTTCTAGTGACGGCCCTTCTGTCTCAGATCAAAACACCAAGTTCGGTATAGTTCAATATCATCTCATCCTGTCTGCATTCGCAGGCTTGCCGTAGAGCGCCCTGGTTCACCAGTTAGCAGCGCGTAACAGCTAATTTAAAAGAGATAAAGGGGGGATAATCAAACTTATAGGAACTCTTAAGAGGAAAAGGGGTTGAAAAGCGCAAATACGCCTTCTGCTATGTAGGCTGAATATTCAGGTAAAGAGTATTCAGGTGAGTGAATATCCGCCCGGACTATCCTAAAAAGACCCGAATAGAACAGCGAGCCGCCTATACTAAAATTGCGGGAGCTAGGTGACAATCACCTTAACCTGCTGTTGTATATTTTTGTTGTATTACTGACCCCGGTCTTCTGATAGTCTTCCTTCGAACTCTCTTAGGTATTGAACCAGGGCGCTCTACGGCAAGCCTGAGAATGCAGGCAGGATGAGATAGGTCGGCGAACAGGCCAATAAACCACCATACACTACGATGTAGGAAGCCTTCCAAAAGGGATAGAAGAAGCAAATGAAGCGAAGAGAGTGTGAAAGTTGATTTTCTCCCTATCGGAGATGCGACGCTATATCCTGTAAAGACTGTGTACTAGGAAAGATATCCTCCAGTCAGAGATCACCCTTCGTCGGCCATTTCCCCACTGCAGTATGTATAACACGTATTCTGTCCTAAGTCTTCGAGGACTAGATAGCGACAACTTAATGTGTTCCTAGTGGCCTAAAAGACGGTTACGATAGAGATATTAAGCTATGCCAATGAAAAAGTTTTACTCCAAGATGGTCATTACTAACTCTTTGAAAGGGCAAGGTTTACTTTCTGCTCTCCAAGTGTGACCCGCAGCCCGAGGTATTTCTGTGTCTCCATCGTGTCCCCATGTTCCCCACACAATTTGGTTGCCCTCATCCCGGCTGAGGTGTATCCCGGCACGAAGAACCGAGCTGACATTAACTGAAATTGGATCAACACATTTGTCACATAAATAGAAAGATGGCCAATTATTTCTTTACCAATTTCCATCCAAAATATAGATAGCTCCATAATGTCATTCACTCTCACCACTTCCGGCGACGACGACTTCACCCTCATCGAAGATAATAATCCAGACAAAATTTACGAGCAATTTAATGAGTTACGCAGTAAATGCCCAGTTGCACACACCTCCCAAAACGGGGGCTTCTGGCTTCTGACACGCTATGATGACGTGAAGCATGCTGCTTCCGACACAGATACTTTTATCTCGTCTGTGAAAGCAGTCATCCCAAGCGACCCGCGAGGCATTCGCCGTCCACCGCTTAATACAGATCCACCAGCACACACACCTTACCGTACTGCGCTTGATCGTACGCTCAAGCCGGCGCGGTTGAAGCGACTTGCTCCGGTACTTGAGAGACATGCACGGCGAGAGTTTGACGCACTACTGGAGGCCAATCGTGCGTACGGTCGAGAAGACGACAATAAGTTTCAGGCTTTTCAAATCGACATCTCTGCCCAATTTGGTGCGTCTTTTGCTGCATGGGTCGAAGTGGCGTGGTTAAATCTCGAGGATGAGATTGCCCCCGTTCTGGCCAGCACGGCAGCCAAATGGGTGAATGCGTGGCGTCAGCAGAATGCCGCCGAGACAAGCGCGCAGTCTGCGCGGCTGTATGATCTTGCAAGGGAATTGTTTGCAGATCGAAAGAAGTCAAAACGGGATCCAGAGTTGGATCCAGCGTCATCACTATTACTCGAAGTTGGACCGGATGGCCGACCGTTGGATGACGAGCTTCTTGTGTGAGTACTAATAATAGCATAAGAAATATTCTACGATGAAGAAAAATGCCCTTGAGAATATGTGCTGATAATATGACGGTCGCATGCAGTGGTGCTCTGCGCCAGTCACTTGTGGTCGGCATGGTTGCTCCTCCGATTCTGATTGGCGATATTTGCGCTCATCTTTCTCGCGACCGAAGTCTACAAGCTCAGCTTCGAGCCGATCCAGCACTGATACCTGCCGCTGTAGAGGAATTCATACGCCTTTACGTGCCGTATCGCGGATTTTCTCGCACTCCAAAGCACGATATTGACCTCCACGGCCGTACGATACCAGCAGGACAGCCAGTGACCATGACATATGCAGCCGCAAATCGTGACCCGGAAGTGTTTGAGAGCCCTAACTCCTTTATCCTCCATCGGGAGAATATCAACTTACATCTTGGGTTTGGGAGGGGAAGACATCGTTGTGCGGGGATGCCCCTTGCAAGAATGTGAGTTTTCTAGATTATTTTCACTGGATAGAGTGGGAGGCATACCCGTACTGATGCCAACCAGGGCTCTGCAGATCGCGCTTAGGGTGATATTACAACGGACGGAAGAGTTTGAAGTCTATGGAACACTTCAATATGCGGCTATGCCGGAGATGGGAATCACAAGTTGTCCGTTGCGTCTCGTGCCAGCCCGCTCTGATTGATAAAGGGAAACATTTCCCATCCATATTGCACTCATTTTCCTCGATAGGCCTAACGCCATACATGCAAATAGTTGCTTTTTCCTCTTTTAAATTTTCCTTTTAAACGGATTAAGGATCGTCTCCCTCGATATCTCTGTAATATGTCTTGTGCTGTCTTTCAAAAAATGATCAAACCTGAATTTTTGTCTGAGAATACTGCAGAATGGACAATATCCTAGTTAGGGCTGATTTGCGGGGTGAACCGGCTTATTTTTTCTGTCAATCATAAGATCCTCGATGTATACCAAGCTACAATATTTTAGCTCGTTCTAACCTATGTATTAATTTCCATGCGCCGGTCCTACGTTGAGCTATTAGGGGCTGATGGGGATTACTTTGCGGCAGTAAGAAAGTTAATTAAACTAGTTTACTCTGAATGTAGCCGCACAGTAGACGTACTTCACTCAATACCCCAAGATTGTAGAGTTAGCACATCAGTACTTCTTTCTTTCATTGCATGCGCTCGATCCAATCCCCAACGACCTGCTCCATCTCCTGAGCAACAGTCCACTGTAATGAGAGAGACCTCAACAAGCTTCGAATAGATGTCAACTCATATGAAAGATCGCGCAACAGACCTTTGACAAAAGTTCCATCATTCACGAACGATAGGGTCTCGTGGGAGGTGCTATGCGACCCTGGATCTCCTGCTTTATCATCCATTGTAGCAGCCTGAACGGCGGCCACCCAGTCTATCACAGGAGGCAGAACCACCTTCCCAGCTCCTGCCAAAGCAAAGGCACTGTATGTAGTTGCTGCAGCAAATACAGCACCAGGAACATTGATATCAAAGGCCATACCGAGCGGGAGACTGGCAGTAAGCTCTTGGATTTGAGAGGCATGAAGCAAAGCAATACGCGCATTCTTGCTTTGCGCCCAGCGGCGGGGATCTATATCCTGCTCATCGCGACTGTCGCCTCCGAAGATTCGCTGTGGGATCCCATGCAACGAACACATTCGGCGGGTACCTCGTGCGGTACTTACAACCAAATCAAGACATATTGTGTGCCACTGCAGCATTGCGACTACTTGGTCTGATGAGGAGAGAAGTTGATTCTGAATGATCTGTTCTCGTAGCCTTATGAGAGCATTGCCAATTTCTTGCTTTGACGGCACGCCTACAGGTACTGGTTTTGTTCGATTTGCGTCTGCAACAAGAGACCGTATACCCTCGAGAATAATCTTATGATAGAACAAAAAAGTATCGTACTGGGGCCTGGCGCTCGTAGTAGTCGTATCATCTTTTGAAAAAAGTGCGTGGAACACGTCGCAAAATCGAAAATTGTCCGAATGTAATAAACGGCGTTTAAGACTCGCCTTTATCCACTCTTGGGCGTTAAGCGCGTTGAAAACCGACTCGTCGCTCGGTAGAGTGAGGGGGTTGGCCATGTGTCGAGCAAACGTCGGATTGCCGCTGAACTGAGACACCACGCCATCCACGATGTAAAGCCCTAGCAAGGTGCGGAGTCTGGTCTCCCGAGCAATCCAAATATGCCAAGCACGCTGCATTACTTCAGAATTTGCGTCTATAGGAGGCAATGAAGGTTGACCTAGCCCTTCGTACATGCCGCAGTGACTAGCCCAGAAGAGCGCCAACCCATGAAAGACTTGGCTAGTGGTTCGCAGAGTCCGATTGTTTGACAATGCAGCATATATTTGACTCAGAAGCATTGTCTGGATAAGGCATACTCCATTGCATGAATCATATGGTCTTTTTTGTTGAATCATTGTGTGCCATGAGGTTGCGACGGCAGTGTGAGCGAGCTGCCAGAGAGCATCCGCCTGTTCTTATGAGTTTCATCTTCATTCTATTTTCAACGATAGGATCAGCTCACCTTCGATTTCGCATCGGTAGTACCTAGAAACAAAGCACCTAGTGCAATGGCATTCAGCAAAAGAGGCGGAGGGCAATCTCGGAAGATAAATGTTGGTTGATGGATAACGGGAAACATCGGGACTATGAATCGGAAGAACATATGCAGACTACTATCCAGAAAGCGGGAAGTGAGTCCTGCCAAGGCTGATGGAGCTGTCACATTGCAAAACTAAACCGCAGTCAGCTAGCCATTACATCCTCTCACTTGATATTGTAGTGGAAATACCGTCTCGTTGATAAGCCCGCTTAAAGACTGAATCGCTCTCTCCCCATCTTCTGCGATACTACTACAATTTGATGGTGAGATGCTTTGCACAGCCGAAGTTGTCTGCAAAGGAGTTGGCGGAACACTGAGGGTCTGCGGCATCAGAGAAGTTGCCTGATTCCAGATACCAGGGTCGGTTGCCAATATGTTCTGTAATAGGCCCTCGGAGTCGGGCCAGAGTAGCGAGGAACAATCTTCAAGTGATATAAGATTATGGCTCTGATTGATGTAAGAAGGATCGCCTGGCTGTTGTTCCAAAGACAGTGGCGAGATTGAGATATCTTCTGGGATATCTCCAGACCCGAGCTGGGGGTGAATATCACCCCGATGAACGCGAGAGTGTCGATTCAGTACATCCTGCCGAGCAAAGCATCGACCACATACTGGGCATGTGAAGGGTTTATCACCGCTATCTGGAATTTCTGTTACTATGGAGTTCTCCACCTTTGGACTGTAGAACATACGGATTCGTCCATGTCTCTGTATTTTTTTCTTAGAGTAAATTTCAAATAAGAGACATTGGTAGCTTACCTGGAGATGTTCGCGTTTTGTGTATCGTTTCCCACAGACACTGCATTCTAAGTCAAGTTTCTTGCGTCGACGGGGAAGCGATGGAGGCATTTTGATATTAAGATTTACACCACTAGACAGTCCAGGGACTTGTCAGACATGTGTCCCCAATCTCCGTAGTGCAAATGACTAGATTGGAAGCAGGTGGTGGTTCCCCAGAAAGGGTTGGAGAAAATTCCGGCAATCTGGGGGTCTTTGCGGGGTAGTGTCTTGTGGGGAACCACACTGACAATTTTTCCCCACACTTCTGACTCGACGGCTTCATAGATTAGCATAAATAGCAGGAAGCGCTGTTATGCTCCTCTGTTCAGAGCCACGGCTACTCAAATATCTTTTCAGCTATGACGAATAGCTTGGAAGCAACTAACGACAAGGCTTCCATCGCCCAAATTGAGATTGCGAAGCATCAAGGGGCTCTTATCCGTTCTTCGCTAGCTCATTATGTACCGGCTACTGAGGAAGAGAAGGCTTTGGATAGAAGAGTCAACCTGAAATTTGATCTCTGCATTATTTTTTCCCTCTCTTTGGGATTCATTGTAAGTCATCATTACGCACAGCTGCCCTCGCTTACCTTGTACCCTTGTGGCTTACCGAGCGACCGTAGCTTTTGGGCATTGATAAGACAAATATTGGGTATGTTGCGACCAGCACATTTGTCAAAGACGCAAACCTGAAGCCTGATGACATTTCAAATTCTTTGTCCTTGGTATGATTCCAGATTGCATGGATCGTCTTCGGATAAAATTTGCTAACACTCAATTAGTTCTCTGCTACATATGTTCCTCTCCAGCCTATATCAAGCATAATAGGTCGCCGGGTAGGAGCTAAATGGTGGATTTCAGCTTTGATGATTACTTGGGGAAGCATCTGTATTGCACACATTGCTGTTAGGAGCTCCTCGACTTTCTACGCTCTACGTCTGCTCCTCGGTGTTGCAGAAGCAGGATTCACACCAACCGCTTACTATTACATGTCAACATTTTATCCCAAATTTTCTTTAGGATTCCGTATGGGCATGTTCTCAGGCATGTATGCAGTAGCGGGTGCATTTGCTGGCCTTCTCGCTTACGGCCTTCTTCGTCTGGAGACATCAGCCCTACGAGGATGGCAGATGCTGTTTCTTGTGGAGGGTGTCATAACAGTTGCTGTGGCTTTGGTTGCTCTGATAATACTACCAAAAGATATCTCCAAAGCTTGGTTCCTGACGGAAGTTGAGAAAGCACACGCGTTACGTCGAATGGAGAGAGATCTCCAGATGGGCTTTGGTTCTGGAACCGGGGATGACGTGGACAATGATGGCGACCTATATACCACAAAGGAAAATCAGACGATCGCCTTGCGAGATATTAAAGACGTGTTTATGGATTGGAAGAAGTTATTGATCATTTTGTTCAATATCCTCAGTGTCCTGGTAAGATTTGAGCTTTATTTTCTTGGTATGCTTTGCTTTGCTGATGATTCCCATAAGCCTGTCACGGCCTTTACTACATTTTTACCTCTTGTTGTCCAGGGTATGGGTTACCAAGGCATCGAAGCCACACTTATGTCCGTTCCACCATTCGTTGTGGGAACCGTTGGTTTGATGGCCATCGTCTATTCATCGGACCATTTCAAGGAGCGCAGCCTTCATACTTGCTTTGGCATGGCACTTGGTCTGATTGGATGTGTGGTAATGGCAACTTCGTCAAACTCACTACTAAGATATGGCTTTGCTCATGTTTGTCTGTCTGGAGTGTTTGCCGGGGGCCCTTTGATCGCCGTGTGGTTGGCAGGTAACACACCAGAGAAAGTACGTAGTGATCCAATCTGTTGGATTTAAACATCTGCTGACGCATTCATAGGGAGCGAGGGCAATTATCCTTGGTTTAAATGGCTGGTCGAACATTGCCGGTGTGATTGCTGGACAAATATTCAAGAGCTCCTACGCGCCTTCGTATCACTACTCGTTAATTGTAACAATGATTTTGATTGCTGTCGGCATGGTCGGATTCTGCGGTGTGCGAGGACTTTACATGTTGGAGAATCGACGTAGGCGCAAGATAACTGCGGATTGGGATGAAGCCAGATTCGCGATGGAAGAGTCAAGCACGGAAAGAAGGGGTGATCAACGTCATATGTGGATCTACAGCTATTAGCTTTTACCAAGGTTCGGCGAATTAAGAGATAATGTCGATAGTAATATTCTTCTGACCGGGGAAGCTATAGGCGGACGTAACAGACACGCCTGGCTCAATCGGGATATCACAAACATAGACACCAGATGTAGTAGCCAAAGTTACTTGAATAAATGAACTCCTGTGATCTAAATTCTGGCTTCTCTCATTACTTGGATCGTGGATCGATTGAAGGGCATGAACCATATGAGAGGAATCTGGAAAAGCTAGGTTCTTATTTGAGGGTATTACTAGATACGAGGAGAGTAATTAACACTGAGTCTATTACACTGACTTGGGTTACGGTAATCCCTTCTGGGAGTTCTCAGTCTCAAAGTGTACCTCGCTTGTGGCACTCGACTAATTTATTTTGGAATTAAGCTCCAATATATATCATGACAGCCAATATGAAACCAAACGAGGTAACAATATTTAGTTTCAAGTAGCCCAATTTTGGGAAAACTCCGGACAAAAAAGAACGAGATGATAAATTTTGAGCCCCCGTCTCGTTGTTCTTACTTCATTTTAAAGGTGTCTTTTAGAGGCCTATAAAAGATATCCGTCGTTATCAACCTCTTCTCCTTCATCCAATGACCGAAAATCTGCAAGCTGGTAGGGCATTGTCATACAAGGTTGAATTATGGTGTATGGCTATTGTAGGCTCGCCTAACTTTGGTATCTGTATACGTATTATCTTGACGGGAAATATGTAGTTAGCCAATAAATTACTTTTTAAATCAAAATACAGACTCTATATGTGAATTTGCCGTGCTCGGGGACACGGGATGGCGAGTTAGGAAGTGAACGAGAGAAAAAGCTGTGGGAATGCTTAAGAGAACAAGTTTTCACGAAGAATCCCATTAATTCCCTTGGATGAGTCCTATCTGTTCAACCACTCGTACGAAATTTGTCCTACATTACATGAAGCTTGTGCATTTTAAGATGGCTTAAAAGAAATTCTAAAGCGACTTCTGTTAGCTCCTGAATATAACTCGAGAATTTTCTAGTCGACGATATCATGCCCGGCATTTTGCACAATGTGCAACGCAGCAAATGGATACCTTAGAAGAGCCAATGGTGACCTCTCATGAGATAATGTACAAGAATCAGATGGTAAGTAACTCAGAGGAGTTAATATTGAAACGGCACTATACTATATTCTAAGTTAATAGTGCAAATTTTTATAGTGAAATATATGTTGTCTTATCAAAATTCATTTCACAAAATAAAACTGAATCATAGAGCATGGTGAAAAGAGTTAGCATCAAATAGGGTGTTCCAATTTACCCAAAACATGGTTGAAATTTTTATTATGCAATTTCAACATTACCCGATAAATTTGGTTGCTCTCTGATTCCGGTTCTTCCACATTTTCCTGAGAAACAGTCTGCTGAAACAAAATAGTTCTCGCAGTCAGATGTTGACGAGCAGCTCTCGCCAGGACAACTAATTTGAGATTTTGTTGAAGGATGCCCATTTGTATTGGCAACAGGCAGCGATTTGTCAATGACTTGACACCTAATACTTCTTACCAGTCCACCGACATATTTCTTTTCTCCTCTCTCATCAAATCCCTCGAATAGATATGTATGACTGTGATCAAACTGGACAATCTCATCTCGACAATAGTCTCCACTGTTTCTTAAACTTAGCACAGGTCATAAAGAAGTATGTCCGGGTTTATTCCGTACCTGTAGAGAATACACATATTTTTCTTGCCCGAGGGGGATTCACAGGGAATATATATTGACCCAACATTGCGGGAACTATATTATCAAGTCAGCTTTTTGAGTTTGAACCAAGTAACGTAAGCTTACTATATTCCCCTATTATCCAGAGTTTGACAGGAGCCATCTAAGGGAAGCTCCTGCCCCCAGCCACCCTGAAGGATATTACGAGTTGTGAAGATACGTGGCTTCTTTGGCAACACATCCTCATACTGCGCGAGGATTCCCTGGAAGAAAAAGGCGAGTAAGAAGACTGCAACATATACCACCATGATGTCGTATAGAGTAGATGATCGTATAAAAATCTCTACCAGAAGCTAAGGCGAGATTTGGTAAATAGAGGAATATAGAGAAGAAGTTGTCTTCAAGTAGGGTTAATGGCACAGTTTTCATTCTAGTCATGGAAATCTTTGCAGTCTTATATGCTTGCCTGGCTGGGTTAATGTTGTTAATCAAAATGCATTATTAACAGGATTTGGCAATATTGATAGGGAATTATCATATAGTTCCGAAAGCTTCCGGAACTTTGTTAACGATCCATGGTAATTTGAATGTAACCAATCGATCTCGAGATCAATGACCAGTAGTGATATAATGGTAGTGCTACTTTCCAGGATGTCCTGGGATCCTCCTTTTTCATATAATGAGAAGATGCACAAGAGACATGTCACAACATAAAAAGGCCAAGAGAGAAGGATTTTTCTCTCTGGATCACGCGGTACTCAAGAACACGCATGTAATATCTTCTAACATTGATAATCCTACAGATTGAGCTCTTGGAGAAGTATCCTCTAGGATCATGCATAAAGGAGTGGTGACTTCATTCTTCATCAATCATAGCGATGATAATCTACTCAGAAACCAGTCAATATGAATCGATCATTTGATTGAGCACATATCGGTTAACTGCAATTAGCTGAATTCCAAAGGGCTGACAAACCTTCGCAGTCAGCACGAGTGAATATGAAACAATGAAGACTCATAACAAACTTTTTTATCGGTCCGGTAGTCCGGTAATTCCGGTTCACTGTAATTGCTGGATTATTGTCCTCTTGCAAATCTACATGGCGTTTTACGAAGAAACTCGGGGGTAAATAGAGAAAGTTCAGTTTGAAGGTCTGACAGTCTGAAAGTTATGTAACCAATTCAGCAAAAGGACTCAAAACAGGCTTTTGTAAGACGCCAGTCCAGGTATGCCTTCCCCTTCGTTTTCGAATACTTCTGTCACCCTTTCCATTCAGAATTCTATCCTTTGATTGTATCCGCTAATACGATCAGCGAGCTGCGATGCACGCTCCTCCGAGGTCACCCAACGTGTCCCATCAGGAAGAAAGACTGGAAGTTCGGAAATCGAAATCACTTGTACGTCGATGGAAGGTGAATCGGTTGACGAGCTTGAAGATGATTCAGGTAAGCCTTGCCAGCGCACCATTATGGTCCCCTCATGGAGCCCAGTTGTATTGATCCAATTATAAACACCTGGATCCTGAACAGAAACAACAAATGTATATGTCCCATTGGGATTTGAGATAGCTTGCTCGTTATTGAGGCTGACCTGGAGACTTGGATCAACTGTTACCATCCAGGGGTCTGTTACCGGGAAGACAAAATAGTCTGCCTGGCCAGGGGAAAGAGTGGCGACGAGCGCTTCATCGTCACTGAGATTGAAGTGGCCGAACGAGCTTGCCTGGGTCGTCAATGTGCCAAGAGTGCTCGACTGGCTGGGTGTCGAGAGTGTATTGACCTTGTTGATGCTCGTCTTGATTCCCAAAGCCCCAACGCCATAGTCCACAATCGATTCTTGGAGATTCCACCTTGCCGTAGCGATTATATCTGAGATACTGACAGCAGCGTGGCTGGAGGTGTCTTCAACGATCTCAACAGAAATGTTATCGGGCTTCTCAGATAGCCAGTTTCCAAGATTATTTCGAACAAATAACTGTTTGGCGGATGAAGTTGACTGGATATGATTTGTCGCACCATCAGCAGATGAGCTGTTGATTGTAATTGTATAAGATCCATCGCTTTCCACCACCAAATCGCTGCCAGACAAATAGGCCACAGTATTCTGAGAATTAGGGTCGCTGATAAGAGAAAAGGTCACATCTGCTGGCCCTGGACTATGCCTGTAGCCTTTAACGATGTAACTAAGACTATCGTCGATCGGTATCGTGCGATAGATGCAGTCCGGGTTATCATAGGAATATCTTCCGCCCGGCACATCCAGATCGAACCAGTTCCGTGGCCCGGCGTCAACCCAATAGACCTTGGGATGGTATGCATCGTTGTTGACGGATTTTTGAATAGCGCTGAAGATCAGTTCGTCAATAGCCGCGTCAAGGCTTGCGGAAGCTTCGTCACTAATGGGCAGCCCATGGGCTGCCTGATATGCAGCCTTGGCTTCAGCTTTGAGAACTGGGAAGCTATAATTTTGATTCAATTCAATTGCTAGCGCATCTAGATCGCGTTGATCCGAGGTGGCTAGGGGATTGCCCTCTCCAACACCAACATTGGCACTTATTGCAGCGACTGCCGCAAGAGCGACACCAAATCCTCGATGGAGGAAGAATGACTTCATGATGCACGGCACCTTGATTATTGGCGATGAGGTGTATGATAATGTGAGGGTGGAAGCGAGCTAGGAATTACATAGCAATATTTATAAGTTTTGGCCTTCAGAAATCAATCTAAAATAATGCGTGCATAGTTGCAATTATGGCGCAAGTGCAATTAATCAAGAGGTTTATACTTGTGGCTGGAATATGCAATGGCTAATATCAAGGCATAACGGGGACCATCCTCGGCGACCGAGCTGATGTCTTCCGCTGTCATTATGGCGCAACAAACATTCAGGGGAGGAAGCACGGGCAAACGAGCCGAGCACCAGTTTGCCGATCGCCATTTCGCTTCCAGATCAAACATGCCTTAAGTTAACTAACTAGCGGGGAATATGACAGATAAAATCTACTCTTGGACAAAGTTGTTGTGCGTGGTGTTATATCACTACTGGATCATGAGCTCATACGGAGCCCGAGTGCTTGAATTCTGCCATTGCGCGAACCCAAATGATTTCATGGCTTTGTCTTTCACATGCACGGAAATCCAATAGTTCTAGTTCTCAACCGATCCTAAGTTGTATACTCTTCGAACCAGCGTTCCGCTCTGATAATTATTACTCAGTAAGCACTAGTTAGTGGACCTAATGATTCGTTTTAGAATATTGTCAAATGAGTAGGTAGGATAATTCCAACATGGAAAAGATACGTATATTATTTTCCGAAGGCAGTTTCGTCGCCAGGACCTGCGACGATGCAGAGAGCAAAGGGATTCCAGGAAGTTGGGAGATACTCCAAAGTCACTATGATCTCAGCGTCTTGACGACTAAAAGTTGACAAGTTTTCGACCTTGAACTCCTTCAGTTTAGCGCCGGCTGGAATATGGCCTTGAGTTCATCGTGTCCAGTTGCCCAGCTCCAAACTATGCCAATCATGTGAGCCCAAAAATCCATCTTCATGTCGGCCATGCGCTGGAAGAAAGATTCACACCACCAAACCTCCCCCACCATCTGGCATCAAGATAGGGTTTGCAAATTTGGCCTGCAGAGAACATCGTCATGTGACTGCCCCATCATCCTCATGGTATCTGGTCAATATTGTGGAATGGCGTAAACTAATCTTATCAGCGTAATAATACGACCCCGATGCTCCCTGCCATTGTTAGTGGAAGTAGAGCCTGGGATGTGTGACAGGACTAGAACTTGATCTCTAAAATTCATGTGTTTTAAAGTCGACTACCAAGGCCCAGTACCTATTTCGTAACCCGCGTGAGTTTCTTCACACAATTGAACGGTTTCACGGTTGGCCGTATGTTGTCAAACCCTGTTCAGGGATTGAAGTCAGAGAAAGATGTCTTCAGCATTATTCAGGGCCGTTTGCCCGGTTTTCTTTTTTGTCAACGTCGCTGGGTGGCCAAATCCCAGCAGCAATCCTAGTTATCAGTCTCCAGGAATGACAAGGCTGAGCCTCGTTCTTGGGATCGTTTTTTCTCCATTTTCCGTATCGAATATTTCTCCTTTATCTAGAAAATTCAGTCATAAGCCCAAGACCATACAGAACCAAACTTATACGAAATTCTTCCCTCGTGAGTTGTTTGAAGGAAATACATTAGATAAAATAGTGTACAGGTCTATGTATAATAACCTGGGAATAAAAATACAGAAGGGAGAGGGGTCTTTTCAATCCAGAGAATGTGAGAACGCGAGAAAAGATCAGAATACCACATTCACCAGTTTCCCACCTTTCACAATAATGACTCGCTTCCTCTTTCCCCAGTCATTCTTCTCCTGGAGCCAAACTTTGCCTTCAGCTGTTTCCAAAATCCGACTGATGATCCATTCTTGCTCCTCTTGCGTCTGCCCTTTGCCCTGGGGTGTTGTGGTCTTTTCAGGCATATGAGGAATAGTGACCGCACATCGTAGCTTTCCGTTTATTTGGACAGCTACCGTTTGACCACCGCGGGCAGAAATAGCATCGCATTGTTCATTAGTGAGAATAGAGGTAGGCCATGGTGATGCGTGTATGGACGGGGTAGGAGCCGAGGGAGTAGGGTCCTTGAGTGACTCGTGTAGCACTTCCCAGGATTCTGACGCTATCGCGGGTGCGATTGGGGCGAGCATACGGAGAAGAGATGAGATAGACAAGTAGAGAACCAAAGGTGAAGATGGAGGTGCCGATGACAGGGTATTCGTAAGTTTGATGAGGTCGGAAATTACTGTGTTCAAGCCATAAGGGTTGCTCTCGATACACGTAGTGACTGAAACGATTGTATTATGCGTAGCCAAAATAGCATCGGCGTCCGAATCGCTCAAACCTTGGACCGAAGATAATGAAACAGCATGGCCGGCCGAGTCTAGGTCGGCAGATTGGATGGTGAACGAGCAATCAGCCAAGTTACGCTGCGCATCAAAGACTAGCTTCCAGAGGCGACTGAGCCAGCGCTCAATACCAACAATCTTCGCCTCGTCCCATTCCAGCACCTCGCTTACTGGGGCGGAGAAGAGAACGTGCGCTCGAGTAGCGTCGGCACCATATTTAGCAGTACAGAGAGTGGGGTCAACACCATTGTGTTTGCTCTTGGACATTTTCTCGAACGAAACGTTGGGGGTGACCTGGGTGCCCTTAATCAATGGTTTATCGGGACTGGTAATATCCACTTCGGTTGGGAGGAGGAATCGACCCGTTGATGGCTCAGTGAAAGTCTTGCCATGTACCATACCCTGGGAAAGAAGAGTCTGAAATGGCTCTGCAGGTACTTTCAAATTCTCGGGGTTGGCAATGGCTGGGAAAAGATCCGACTGTGCAAGGAATTTGTAGATGAATCGAGCATAGAGAAGATGTAAGATAGCATGCTCCACGCCACCAATATAAACATTCACTGGCCGTGCAAGGTGGGATGAAAAGGGAGATTCTTTATTGGCAGGATCAAGGAAGCGTAGATAGTACCAGGAAGAGTCAACGAAAGTATCCATGGTGTCAGTATCGCGCTTTGCTGGGCCTCCGCAGCTGGGGCATTTAGTGTGAAGCCATTTCTCGGAAGACTCTAAAGGATTTCCCTTCTTTCCCTTCAGCCACTCTCCCTCAATCTTCGGCAGCTTCACTGGCAAGTCTTCTACAGGGACAGGAACAGGACCACAATCACCGCAATGAATGATGGGGATGGGAGCACCCCAATATCGTTGCCGGCTTATCAGCCAGTCTCGCAGCCGCCAGGTCTCGACGAATTCTGCTTTTTTGATTTCTTCGAGGTCTGCAACGATTTTTTGGGCGGCGTCTTTCGAGTGAAGGCCTTTGTACTTCCCACAGAGAGGGGTGAGGAATCCATCCTGTGTGAAGGCTTTTGCTTCACGAGCCGGAATAACAGTATCAGCGGCTTCAATTCCCCTTGCATTGACTGGCTCTGGTTGAATGACAAGAGAGATAGTTTCTGGATTGACATTCTCCTTGAAGAATGCCATGTCTCTAGAATCATGGCCAGGAACACCCATAACCGCCCCCTCCCCGTAGTCGCTTAAAACATAAGGCGCCACAAAGACAGGGAGCTTCCTTGTCAGGTGATGGCTTGTGCTGTCGATGCTTTGCAGAGGATGGGATGCTACAATGCCATTCAAGCAGTAGCCAGCCTTTGAGTCTGGCGGGAGGGAAGAAGCCTCGTCCAGGAATTTGCGGAGGGCCAAGTCATTTTGGGCAGCCTTCGTGACTATAGGGTGGTCCAGTGACAAAGCAAGATATTCAACCCCGTACAGCGTGTCCGGACGTGTCGTAAATACATTGACGTTGACACCTTTGTCATCCTGGCTGCCCGCGGCCACCGTGAATGTGACCCTAGCTCCATGAGACTTTCCGAGCCAATTGCGTTGCATAGACAAGACGCGTTCTGGCCAGCCTCCAGTTAGAGAATCAAGGTCTTTTAGCAGCATCTCTTTGAATGCAGTAATACGGAAGAACCACTGTTTCAGATTGAGTTTCTCAACTTTCGCACCCGATCTCCACGAGAATCCATTCGCATCAACTTGTTCATTTGCCAAGACTGTTTTATCAACAGGGTCATAGTTGACCAACGCCTCTGCCTGATACGCCAGACCCTTCTTGTATAGCATCAAGAATATCCATTGGGTGTGCTCATAGAAGTCCGGGTCACAAGTAGCCAATTCCTAAAAAGGTTCCAAGTGTTAGTCAAATATGCTTGAAATTTCAAGACAATCCCATATTACAAGATATAGAGACACGTACTCTATCCCAATCGAATTCGACCGAAACTTTTCGCAGCTGCTCCTTCATCTTCGCAATGTTCTGCTCCGTCCACACCGCTGGATCCACGCCGCGCTCAATCGCCGCATTCTCCGCCGGCAGCCCGAAGGCATCCCAGCCCATGGGGTGCAAGACATCATGCCCGCGCATTTTATAAAATCGTGATATGACATCAGAGATCGTATATACCCGCAGATGGCCCATGTGTAAGGTACCTGAAGGGTAGGGAAACATAGAGAGGATGTAGGATTTCGGTTTCGATTCGGGACCTAGTTCAGCTTTCGCTTGCGTCATAGCGGCATCTAACTGCCATTTAGCTTGCCATTTCTTGTCAAGATCTACCAGATCCAGCTTTCGGGCAGCTGGGAGGGTCGAGGAAAGGCGGATAAAAGCATTGGAAGGGAGAATCGGTAGTCGGAAAGCAGGGCGCGTGAAACGTCGCGCTTGCGGGAGAAGAGTGGTCAATCGGAGTTGTAAGATGGCCGGCATGATGTCAAATGTCTCATCGTGTCTGCATTTGAAAGCAAGATAGGCGGCGCTGGCAGCAACAGCGTTGTTAGCGGAGGACGGTGGTCTGGTCTGGAATCTTCAAAACTTCCCCGGGCTCCGGGCGGTTTCGGCCCGATTAGGACTAGCGCATTATCATTATATGTACGCTCTCCGTCAACAAGACCAGTAATACAATTAGAGGGAGATATTTTGACAAAAATGAATTTGAAATAAGTTCGGCCACCTGATGCACATTTAATGATGGTTTATCCCATATGTATCTGTTAAGCTAGGGCCCACGTCGGCCAGTCTGGCAAGTAAACAGGATGAGAAGGATCAACGAACAAACCAACAAACCACCACACACCTCGCTGGAAGACGGTATCCCAAAGAGGAAATAGACACTTTCTTGAGCGAAAGTGTTTCAAATTTATTACTCTCTATTGGAGATGTGAAGCTATATCTGAGAAGACAGTGTACTATGAAAAATATCCTCTAATTAGAAATGACCGACCGTGGGCTGCTTTCCCACTACATCAATTAATGTTTGACAATTCCGGACCGAAAATTTCTTCAACACAAGTATCTTTGCCGATGGACAGAAAGGTAGTTAATGTGACAGTGATTGTTATTGATTTGATATCTGTATCGAAAAGAATGCGTTCCGAACCGCGACATGACCAATGATGACTTTCCGTCCATATTAGTGACCTGGAAATAGAGACCATGACCATGGAGTGTAGATAAATCAATAATGCGGTTATGCCATCTTCTGCTCCGACGTCATGAGTAATAAATATGCTATTTATATACCATTCAATTTATAGTTCATCAATACTTCCAGGGTATTGGTAATTCTTTCAACCAATTGCTACAAAATTCCTACTTTGGGACCCAGGATACGGCAGATTTTCAAATTCATCAAAATAGAGCTATTACTGTAGACTGAAATGGCCATTGAGACTATAGCATGTAATATAGCGAGAAATTTTGAGAATGATCGAAACATGGACGGACGCCTCAATTCTGAATTAGAAAAAGAATCTATAAATCAACTCTATTCATCTAGCTCTAAAAGCTCGAAAAGCCCTGGCGTTTGCGCCTGTATTTTCATAGTAATCAGTGACACCAAAGCGGTAAAACGGTCTTAAACGACTGGAAACCAAGCAATGAGTCCTCCTTGTGTAGACCTGTCAAATATCGACTACTGAAAGGCAATGGGAGGATATTTTGACCCTTCCTTGCTAGCATCGACGCAAATTCAAGTGCTTTTCTACATCCGGCATTTCCGAATCTGCACTCTGATAATCCATGAAGCGAAGAACACGAGTACAAGATTGGAAATGCAAAAGCCCAAGAACACAGCCCAATCCCTCCAGCGATCATTGTAGAAGAAAGTGAGGGTCGCAGAGTAGTCATCTCCAACAGAATAGGGGCAGTATTGGCATATAGATGTGGCATTGGAGCTTTCCAAGTACCCGGGGTTGGTCAACATATAGTCCTGCATGTACTGACCACAAGTCTGACCAGGTGGTGGACTAAAGGTAGCCATATCTTCTGTCTTGCATACGGCCTTGACATTGTGTAGCACGGATGAAACAGTGGCTCCAAAGTAGTACCGCAAAGGATCAACCCAAGTGATCCAAGAGCGATAAAAACTATTCAGCACGCTATGTGGAGCGACAATTCCGTTGAACATTAACAAAACCACCCAGCATAGAGAGTTCGCGTACCCGGCCATCGTGGGGTTCGGAAATAAAGCCGCCATAAGGAAGCAAAATCCTGTTCCAAAGAGTGACAGAAGCAAGGACATGAAGTACACAAAACCGCCAATAGTGGCGGAGTTTGTATAGCCGACAGTCCAGTAGTTGCAGAAAAAGGTCAATGTGAAGCTCACGAGTTGCCATGGAGTTTCGACGGCAATTAGAGCAATCAGCAAGGCTTTGAAGTCATAGATCCCGTTTCGTTCCCGTGCCTCAAATATAGCCCATTTTTGGAACCATATATCCTGGACGTCACCCGCAATGGAAGGGATTACCCAGCAGCCAATCAGGAGGGCCAGTGCGTGATTCTGGAGACCATTGGCGTCAGGTCCTGCCTTGAAAAATGTAAATGAGACGAGCAAGAGAAAGAAAATGCTCTTGAAAAGCTTGCTAAAATTGTATGGCCCATTCCTCCAAATAGACATCCAATGTCGTTTGGTCAGATGGAGAACTTGTCCCAGGAGCGGCAATGCAAATTGCTTGGTATCATTCAAGGAACTATCCCGAGCTTGACGATCCGCAGGAGAAAGTGTGTTTTCAACCATACTCGAAACAATTGTGCACATCTCGTGGCACTCGGGCGAGGCTTGCCATTTCGTGGGCCAGTCTGGGCTGTTCGAGTCTTGGCCGGAGGTGGCGATGGTCGTTATGACGAACTCAGCTGGGTTGGCAGATGAACCCATCGGGGCGTCATATCGTGCAAAATATTCCTGGAGCGGTTCTCCAGTTTTGCCAAAGTAGACAGTGCGCCCACCGGGGGCTAGAATGAGAGCATGGTCAAACATTTCGAAAATGACACTAGATGGCTGATGGATAGTGCAGACAATCGGGGTGCCCTGGGCCGCAATCTTGCGAAGAAAAGAGACGATAGAATGAGCCGCCTGGCTATCCAGGCCGGAAGTGGGCTTTATACGAGCTCAGTCTTGATATAGTCACGATTATAGATAGCTCACTTACCTCGTCTAGGAAAAGAAGCGCCGACGGTCGAGCACACAGCTCGACTCCTATGGTCACGCGCTTTCTCTCTTCAACTCCAAGGGAACCAACAAGAGCGTCCGAGATTGAGTCGAGCTCAAGAAGTTCAAGAATCTCCTGCACATCCTGAAGCTTTGCTTCTTTGGAATTTTCTTTGTTTTGTCGCATAAAGGCCGAAAAATTCAGCGTCTCACGCACTGTGGCCAACGGTTCGTGAACATCTTGCTGCATGCAGAAACCACAGGATCGGGAGAAAGCTTCATTAAGATATTGATTGTCAAAGAGCAGCCTCCCTTCAGTTCGACCTTCTGTCTTGCGGCGTGAGATCGTTTCCAGTAGTGTGGTTTTTCCGGCACCGGAGGCGCCCATAAGCGCGGTCAATTGACCCGGTCTGACGTATCCAGTGACATTGTTCAAAAGTTGACGCTCCTGACCCTCAACGGTAACGAAGTAGTTGACATCCTGGAAGACAAAAACCCCTTCGCTTGACTCGGGTTTCACACCAGAGGTAACGATCTGTCCATCGATGCTGTTTTCAGTCACAGAACTGGAAGACGAGTGCGGTGAAGGCTTCGTGACTCCAGTAGTTTGGTCTTCAAGATCCCTTGCAGTCAATGAATGCCTGTCCCCATGCGTAGCACCTCGCTTAAACACCCGCGCATTCGACGAAGCAGTCTCACGAGTCATAAGACTAAGACCGACTGCGGTCAGGATAGAATAGAGAAACCACATTACAATAATAATCCCAAAGTCGCGCCAGATGTTTGCAGCGCTGAAGCCGTACTGGCTGCTCAGGTAAATCTTTCCAGATACCTCTGCCGATCCCATCTGGGCCCCAGGCATTGGACAGCCCTGATGCTGGATATCGCCGTATCCAGGTCCATGAGGAATCAACTGATCTGAGGAACAATGCAAGTCAATATGAGAGTACTCGTTGCCCATCAAAGCTTCCATGCCATAAGGACCCGGGGAGATTCGTCGTATCCACGACCCCCAACGATGCATTGTTGGTACTGGTGGGGCATATCCATCGTAGAGACATACCACAGGCAGAGCACATCCGCCCATCAGCATCCCAATATTCAAGTTAGGGGACCAGGCACCTAGCATGCGGAACAGACTAGATATGCTGGCAAAATGCACGAACACGATCAGAATATAGATCCAGAAGCTCCCAGCGGTCTTCTCCAAGCCAATCGTGAAGTAAAAGCAGCATGCAAAAATAATGGATTGTAAAGCCATAACAGGAATATCCGCTATAGCCAGCGCTATTACGAGTGCGACCGGATGCAGGTATCCCATTCGATGTTGTTTTAAGAGAATAGCTCGGCTTTCGATGGTTTTCGGGACCTCGGTCAGCGCATTGGGGGCGAAGTAGACTAGGGAAAAGAACAAAGCTCCACTTCTCTCAAACGAACCAGTTGCAGTTTTCGGAGCCATGTAGTACGCAGACGACACGATTACTGCGTTTATTGCAGTCAGAATGAAGATTGTCAGAAGGGTACGCCAGTCTCTCCTTGTCAACCGGTATTGACGGCGCAAAGCAGCGGCAGACTGGGTCCAGATAGAAGATATCTCGATGGCTGACTTGGTAGTAAGCTTAGCGCGTGTCTGCTGGGTCTCCTGTATGAATTGAGTGGTGATGGTTGGGTTCGAGACGACTTGCTGGTTGTACCGTGCCATGTCTGCCTGCAGCTGCAGATACTCTTTGCTGTTGCGAAAAACCTGAGCGAGTGCATCGGTTGTCTCATAACGTGGACCGGTGTAGTCAGGTTGGAAAGTGCGCTCTTGTGGTGAGGTGATCGCGGTAAGGAAATCAGCAGTTGTCTGTCGTTCAGGGCAGCGGAAGCCAAGCGCAACAAAATATGCCTTTGCTTGGGCAGCCGGGCCATCAAAAATCATCTTTCCCTCGCACAGAAGCATAACACGATCAAAAAACTTGTACATTGCCTCCGAGGCTTGGTATAGTGTCACTGCGTTTGCCATTCCGGTTTTCCGAGACATGCCTCGCAAAAGATCTAGAAAGCTCAGCGCCGAGTAGCTATCCAAGCCACGGATAGGATTATCCCAGGATGCGACCGCTGGGTTCACTGCAAGTACTTCTGCCAATGAGATTCGCTTTCTCTCACCACCTGAGATGCCTCGAATGAACGCATCTCCCACGATGGTTTCTTTGGTATGGGAAAGCCCCAACGACGACAACATTCGATCCGTCATGCGCTGAGAGAACTGAGATGCAGGCTCCGAACTATTGTTTGGTTGACGAACACGCATTGCGAAATCCATGGTATCTTTAACGGACAGGCTGGCAAAATGAGTGTCGTCTTCGGCGCAATAGAGAGCCTCCGAGCGATAATGCTGTTCCATTTCAGCGGAGGACAGTCCGCCATACTGCACAGTTCCATGAACGTCTTCAAAGCTCTCTCGTTGATTTGCGAGCAGGCGAAGAACGGTCGAACAGCCAGCTCCAGGACGCCCAAGTACTAGCATCATCTCGCCGGGGAAAAGGACGCCGCTAATGTCTTCAACGATTGTCGATGATGGTGGGGCATCGCCTTTGGTAAGCTGGTGAGCCACTTTAATGGGCCAGGCGACGATGCTACTGAGGATCTTCTGGAGGTCAGTCACATTCTGTGAACCTCCCTGTCTTCCAAGGGCAGTGACATTGGAGAAGATTATTCCAAGGCTACGTCCGTTTGGACGATAGACCGCGGGCTCTTCTTTCTCCGCGTGATCTCCGGTAGAAGCCTCCTATGCAAGTCAGCATAATTGAACACTTTGAATAAAATTTACCTCATTATACGAATCCCACGTACCGAAATGCTTGTCATTTTTCATTCGTTGGACAGACTGCAGATTCTAATGACAACAAGCTGGGTCTTCATTCGAACTTTCCTCGCAAGGCAGGTCTTCCTATGAAATTAACATTCAGGGACTACTTATTTAAGAATATTTCCAATGCCGACTGGTCCAGAGCCATTATGTGATAGTTCCAGTTGCCAAGTGAATCACTGAGGCCGATGATGAACGCTTCTTACTTTATCGGTCTTGGTATTCAAGCTTAGTGTGAATGGTTAGTGATTCGCTACGTATCCTATCACAGATCATATTAAGCTTGGATCAAGTGAGCCTTGGCGCCTTTTTTGATAGGGATAGTGGAAGATGACCAAGGAGGTGTTGACGGCACTATATGGCGAAGTTTTTCTCCATTCTCACCCTCCCCACCCCTTTGTTCAGTGAGTGGACGTCATAATTTTGGCTTAATAGTCTGGGGAACTCTGGGGTATTCAGCAATAGACATGACCACTTTCTAAGAGGGCGATTGTCCCTTGGCGATCTGAAACCTATGTGCTGCTAGCAAAGGCAAAGATGTCTGGATATTCAACCTCATAAATCGGATGACTGGCGCTACTTCTCTCTGGATTGGCCAAATTGATCGCTACTGTAGTTTATATTATTCAATTATTCCAGAGAGTAAATTTGAAATTCTAGAGGCTCGTTGCATCACCGGTGAGAACCACAAATATATCTACCTTCTGAAGAATATTATGCAAGAGTATCTCGACTGCGACTCAGTACTGATGTCTTTGATACCGCTTAATGAAGGACTTGAAAATGGGACATCATGACTTCGAACCCAACTCCTCAAATTCGACTAGGTCCCTCACTGGTGTTGCCCTCACCGAAAGCTTCATACTTTCCCTCCATTTTTGGACATTTTTAATCTTGACGAGACTCCTCGCCCGGGACGCTAAAGGTTTATATCCATTCACATTCACTGTTACCACATTTTCATTTTTCCGCATCACTGATGCATCAGGGTTCTCTTTAACGGCGCCACTATCTTCTGCTGTCGTAGAATCTCTAGTAGATACTTGGGCAATCAGATGTATAGATAATTTCGCGCGAGTTGAAGAAGAGGGATGGATGTAATGGTTGAAAAATTCGAGTATGTCTTTCTTCGTTAGAGATTCAATGTTTTCGACGTCGTGATAGACTAGTAGGATTTGGTCAATCGAATTAGACAATACACAGGGACATAAAGTAAGAGCATAGGTTACAAAGATTGGAAAGATTTGGAAAGTAGAGAACGTACCTTGCTCAAAGTCAAACATCTCACTCGTAATATGAGTCCAAAAGCGCGACGTTTCTTGACTTAAATTCTTGAATTTTTCCAAGCGTTTGTTGATTAATCCAACCTTAAGCTCCTCAAACGTCTCATCGGCCATCGCGAGCAAATACTGCTTAAGCTTCACTAAAAATGCTTCACAGCGCTCTTCTAGGTACTTGCAATTACTCTCACTCTGTAGAATGATACGCCATATGCCGGTTGTTACATAGAAACCTGCAGAAGATTTGACGATGTATCCGAGCTGCTCCTTTGTGCGCAGCGTGTTAAAGCAGGGCTCTTCGGCAATCTGAGAAAACAGTAGCAGCTTAGCTCGTTGCGAACGATCTGAGACGGAGCCAACTGAGATTATATACTCGAGACAATGATTGACGTTGTCTTCGTTCTTCAAAACGCGCTCATATATGTAGTTTGCTCCACTTGGTAGCGCAATCGTACGGCGTGGCGACCACTGACTCTCTGGGAATTGATTTGGGTGGAGTGTTGACTCCACAAGTTGTGCAATTTTTAGCGCGTCTTCTTTATACATGTTGCCATGGATAAGGATCTCGATGTGCATGCGTCGCAGCAGTTCAGGAAAGTACAAACGTATATCTTCGGCTCTCACTGATGGAAGTTCGTCGAGCAATTGAAAGGGGGCCCAAGATCTTTCGCTGATCAACATGCGCGAGAAGACATTAATTTGTCGGTACGGATCCACGTAGTCAAAGTTCTTATACGTTTTCCTCACTCTCTCTTTGGCCATGTCGAATAGCTCTTGCTTGATCTCCAAATCTCTGACTCTTAGTAATACCTTCTCTAAAAGGACCGACAAATTGTCGTTGAAACCGCTTAATTCTATGTTAAGTCCCTGTGCGCTTTCGGATAGACTGTAGCTCAAACCGGCTCTATCTGCATTGTAAGCGTATTCATTGAGACTGTCTTCCACCAATTCAACGTATAAACGGGTCATGACGGCATTCATAGGAGTGAGCGAGGCCACGGGGGTCCGAAGAAAGAGCTTGATATTGGCTTTGGGTACCCAGAATTGATCGTCCTTTTTGAACCACAGACGGACATTATCGTCATGGCGGATCAGTATAGGGTGCCGAGCTGGTTTTATGATATACTTCCGTTCAACCTCCAATCGTTGCGGAACAAACTCGTTCAAAGATGGTAACTGAAGTCTAGAGGGTCTCTCTGTGATTGGAACCTGTGCGGCGGCCCAGAGATCCTGCATGAACTCTTCGGGAATTTTTTCGAGCTTGTACTCGGTCCCGTACCATTTTTCTTTTGCGTTCCAATCTCCCGGAAATTGCTGATCAACAAGAAAGAATCGAAAATTATCAGGACGTAGATGAGATAGGCCTTGCTCGATGTTTTCCGGATCAAACTTGCGAATGAGGGAAGAGCTGAGTAAATGCTCGCGTGGTATACAAGCCGTCTGCATGAGCTGGGCCAGACCGCTCACAGTCCGCGATGGAGGACTTTTTTGCTTGAACTTGAATTCCACCTCAGCCAAGCGGCTCATTTCGTCTGAGATCCATGCAAGTGGGGGGGTCTCTTTCAGCATCGCAATATATTGGAAGATAATTTTCAAGACCTCCCGGTATTGCCGAATACCCTTTTCAGTGAGCCCTATGTCAATACAGAACAGTGCTGTGCCCGGGCCCTGAGCAGAAGCTCCAGTCGACAGAGAGTCCGCGAGACCCAATTCCTTCAGATAAGCAAGAGCACTGCCAGGGCCCTCGCGGCCAATCAGGTGTTCCAGATATTGACTGGGATGAGAGGCAAACAGCTCTTCTTCATCGGGATACGTGAAATCGATGTTTAACTGTCTTTGCTCTGTCACCGGTTTCACAAATATTTGAGTCATGAGTTCGGGCTCCTCTAAGACTGGTATACCGTCCCACCTCAAACGGTCCAGTTTCTTGTTCGGTACGTCAGAGAAGAATTCCTGGACCCAGCTCTCTAGTTCCTGCAGTGACTCTCTCCCTAGAACGACTAGCTTCATACGGTTCGCAGAATAATGAGCCTCGTGAAACTCCATGAAGCGCTTCCGAATATCGACGCCCCGTGACACCGGTTCCTCACGCAGACACTGATAATTGCCAGTGGCAAATTTGTGGATGGGATGTTTCTCATTCGAAGTACTGCGACCCAGTTGCTCCAGGCGCCACGTGTCGTTCTGAAGATTTTTCTTATTCTCTGAGTCCACCGCACGGAGTTCGCGATCTAAGGTATCGGCGAGAAAGAGTGGCTGGATGAAGAATTGCGAGAAGCGATCGAGAGCGCCATAGAGAGGAGCCTTGTCTTTGGAAATTGGAAAATTGGGTTGCTTCAAATTGGCATATGAGCCCGAATTATTTGACTTTGAACTCGCAGATAATTCAAAATAGTAATTGGTCGATGTCGAGGCTGTGTAGGCGTTGGAGTAACCCCCATACTTAGCTAAATAGGTGCTATAATCGGTCTCTTCTGGGAACTAAGCGAAGGACTTTCAGTATTCCTGTTGTCAATACGCTATTGGGTTTCCAATTGGTCTTGCTATCGGTCGCGTACCTTCTTCGTACCCATGAAACACAAATGTTCTACTGCGTGCGCGGTTCCCGGCAAATCATCCGGGTCGCTGAAGCTACCAACGTTGACATCCATAGCAGCGGCAGCTTTATCGGTGCCTGGATCGTGGATCAAAAGAACCTCCAATTGATTGAGCAGCTGAATCACTCGGTACGAACGGTCGTCCAACAGCGGCTTCTCCATCATGTCCGAGATAAACTTAACAGGGCCGGAACGGAGCATACTCTTCATGATCTCGCTCCGTCTTCGGAAGTGTATGTTCTCTGTGATACCTCTCTTGTGACCAAGTGCGATAGCGAGCCAAATGTGTTGTGACTGGAAATTGAAATTGTTTCAATGTGCTTATGCTAGCAGAAAAACGGACAACAATAATGAGAGCGATAATGTCCTTAGAAGATTCCAGTGAATGAAATTTGAGCGGTTCCGTCGACGACCAAACCTGAAGCGCACAGAGAGGCGGGAAAGCAACAGAGATTGGTGAAAACACGCACTGGATGTTACCTGTAGGGTCGGCACACTTTGGAAAAAAGTCCTATACAGCAGTGCGTATCAATAGTCTTGTGTACGGAAATACAAATCCACCAATACCCCGCTATGCATGGGACTTTGTGCGGGTTTCATGGAACATGGTATTTCCAATCACGATTGACTCATTGTGCTCTACCTCGCCTCCATTTTCACGTTCCTTCTCATCCAATACAGAACGGCACAGCCCGACAAATAGCACGGTATGGCACGGCACGATAAGGCCGCATGAGGTCAAGTTCTCCACTGTAAGCAAGCAATGCCGAATGGAATGCATCACCTGGTGCAGGGCTTCCGGGTCTAAGTGCTTCTTGGCGAGAGGGATTTCAAGAATGCATCATGCAGGTCCTTTGGCCATGTCGGGCCAAGTGTTAGCTCCGTGCCCGATCGCCGAGACAAGCATCTGACGCGAATCTATGATGAGAGTTGCTGGATCAAGGGAGTGGGGAAGGTGGATCTCCTCCAAATCAGTAAACATCGGGCCCCGAGCGACAGCTCCCGAGGCTTAAGTACGGGTGGGACGTTTCCAGGCGCTGTGACTAGTTGCCTGCCGGACAAATCCACGGCAGGGATCTATTATTCTCATCAGGTTCAATAACTTTTCTCACGACATGATTCCCGTGGTCGTCGGCTTTGCTCTTATCGTATCATGGATCATTGCCTTAGTCCATCGCAACTACAATTCCAGCTTAAACGACATCCCCAATGCTCATTTCTCCGTTCCATATACACGCCTATGGTTGCTGTCACTCCGATGGCGAAACATGGAGCATCGTACCCGAATTCATCTCCATCGTCGTCTCGGTCCAGTCATTCGAATTGGACCCCATGATGTGAGTGTAAACTGCATCGATGACGGAGTTCGCACAATTTATAGCAGCAAATTCGACAAAGATGTGACTTTCTACCATGAATTGTTCGATCAGTAAGTTTCAGACAGCATTCGCAAGTTCTGAATCTAATGACACAGGTCGATGTCTAACCAAGTACAGGACCGGTTTCATGGTCACCATGACAGGTAACGAGGAGCACAGGGAGCGTAAACGTATGCTTACCCGCCCTTATTCCAATTCGCATATTCTCATCTCTCGGACCCTCAACAGTGTCCTCGCTCGCGTATCGTGTCGCCTGAAAGAAGAGATAGCAGGATGGGCAAGCACGGGTACCTCTGTCGATGTCTATCAGCAGGCTAAATGCTGTACCCTTGACGTTGCTTCCGGCTGGCTCTTTGGTAGCGAGAATGCGACTGACACTTTACGAGACCCGAGCTTCGAGAACGACCTCACAAATTTGGCCTACGCTGCTTCCAAGATAGTTTCTGTGCGAACCAGCCTCGGCTGGCCGATGACCTATTTTGCTAGTTGGATTGGCAACAAGCTGCCCGATCCCAACATCACTGGTCGATGGCAAGCGTGGCTCACACAAGTAGTCACAAATTCCTACAGGAAGCACTCCACCAAGTCTTCTTCCACCGCGAGCCTGTACGACCATTTTTACGATTCGTTCAAAGCCGCCAATCCCAACATGCCGCGTAACGAAATGGCTTCTTTCATCGCTGTGGAGTGCGACGACCATCTTTCGGCAAGCCACCTTGGCCTGGGAACTTTATTATCATATACCATGTACGAGCTATCACGAGATCCGGACAGCCAGCGAGCACTCCGGAACGAGCTCCTCACTCTGGCCGAACCTAGCGATCGAAGCTTGGCCAATCGCCTTGCAGATTTACCGATGCTTGATGCCGTGGTTACCGAGACCATGCGAACTCGTGCACCCTGCCCTGGCCCCTTTCCTCGTGTCGTGCCGGACTCTGGCTGCCGGCTCGCGGGGAAGTTTGATATCCCCGGCGGCACTATCGTCAGCTCCTCCGCCTGGGCCCTGCACTTCAATCCCGTCCCCTTTCCATCTCCGGAAGAATGGCGACCGAGAAGGTGGCTTGAATCAGACGAGGCTGCGGTCGCGGAGATGCGAAGGTGGATTTGGACATTTGGAAGCGGCGCGCGTATGTGCATTGGCACTCATTATTCCATGCGTGGTAGGTCGCATCCCTTCACTATTCCGTGATGTCCTTTTCATCGAATAACGTTCTGATAATGCAACTCACAAGTCATCAAAGAGCTTCTTGCCACCATCTATACGGATTACTTGACTTTCCTGGATGATAAATTCACAGGGAATGTGGAACAGCAGGATGCGTTTTCGGCAGGGCCTCTTGCGGGTTGTTTGAAGCTGAGATTTCGACGGCTCAAATAGCCCGACTTCTATTCGAAAAACCCCAAACTAGCTGACAGGCTACAACAGTGGTACTTCCGTGCGTTTGTCAGCATACAGATCACAGGTTTGGGAAAGAGTATTCTGCTAATTCAATCAATGACGATTTACCCAATAAAAGCAGGCAGGATAGGTGGTTTCCTCTAGGAATATCTTCTTGGAAGGAATGCTGGTTTTTAGCATTGTAGGTTAGAACGAGTGTGTATTCGCTGTCTATCTCACTACTTTCTCTTCGAACCAATGGCGAGTCGAAGTAGAAGTCCCCCATTAGTCCATATGTAATTCATTCCCTCAAACAAGTTTTCAGAAGGTCCAACTTTGTTTTCAGAATGCAGACGCACCAATTTGTCAAGCGAGGCCTCGTTGGTCAGCCACATTGAGCCGGTTCTTCCGGAGAAGATATAGATTGTAGGATCACATACATAGATCTAAATATGGAGGAACTTCTTGTTCCAAGTGATGGATCTTAAAGAGATAAGAGCCCTGAGACATTGCGCCTTTCAGATCTGGAAGGCAAACTACTTGCATTGTGGGACCGATGGTTCCGGGAGGTTCGATTCCATCAACGAGCACACTGGTGTGCGTACTCACTCCTGTTTGCAGTCTTTCGACCACGGCCAGGAGTCCGACACTAAAAGCAAAGCAACCTCACACCCACGCTAACGAGTCAATGTACATACTTCCGGTATGAAGGGATTGATACTGTTGTGGGTCCTTGGTTGAGACACCTCCCGTCGGAGGGCCGCCGGACTCCCCTCCAGACCTGAGTAAATCTACGAATGAGGGACACTGGAGTGGAGTGTACGTACCACAAGTCAATGAAGGATCCCTGCATAGTCGACTTATCCTGGTTATCCTATGTATGAGGCTAAAAGAGATTCTAACTTGGCCGTTTCGAGTACGAGAGGGGGTGCCGCTTCTCAGCCATGCAATCATTGGCTTGTTATTCCGGGGTTAGATCGGAGATAGGAAGCCCGCCCGGTCCAGCTCTAACAGTTACGTCTATGTACATCTAGACTAGTATATTCTCGCCTGTATGTACAGTAAAATTAGAAGCCCGTTTCCAGACACCTCTTATAACGTAATATTCCTCACACACAAAAATAACAACCGCAAAGAAACCCAACACAAAGCTGATAAGGGCAACCTCCAAGTGGCTTCTGTAAAGATGATATATAGCTTTAATCAAAGTGCTTTTCTGTTGACTTTCGTGTAAATGAGGATGTACGACGCTGATACAGTCAACGACTACTCTAGAGAATAGCTTTTCTCCTCAACCACCCATTCTGGTCCTTGGTAAACACCATCAAAAATTTCAGTACTGCATTCAAATAGGCTATGTTCACTTAGACCCTTCACCAGGTATTTTCGAGAACAGAGCGACTTTTAATTCGCTGTATCTGGCTTCAAACGGGCTATTCAGTAGCTAAAGGCGGTTCAGGCTGTGTGCACACATAATTGATTTTCCTCTCTATCAAGAAAAAGCAAGGCTAGCCAGTATTCGTATTGAACTAGGGTAAGGCTACGCCTCTCCGCAAACCAGGTCTTGCCTCTAGGAATAGTCAAAGTGCTAGGGAGAAGACATAGGGATAGAAAGAAGAGAAGGTGTCTGATTATCTGCCCTAGGTATTCTCGTATACATGAATCCTTCCTGAGTCATTCTGCAGACCACGATTTTCCCATTTCAGTATATAGCAAAGGAATGACACATGGGTCAGTCATGCCTTAAGGTCAGGCCAACTCCTTCCTTCAACAGTCTCGAGTATGATAACACGGCTCTTAGTGTTGCTCCTCCACATTCGCAATGTTGGATCTTGCGGAATTGAATTGGGCTCTGAGCAAATTGAGCTTCAAGGGCTCGTCTTCAGTCTTGTCGGACTCGGTGTCGGCAGCAGGATCAGCGTTGGCATCACGAGCGGCAGGCATCTCCGGCTTGAACAGGTTTTGGACTTCCTGCATTGCCTGCCATGGCTGAGATCTCTTCTCAGTTGCGGTCGTGTTGACGGATTCAGGCTGGAACCCAGTTAGCTATATCCTGTATTGTTGAAAGATTCGAAGGTTCTCCTACCATGTTTGAAGAGTGAGGGCTTACAAAGTGTGAGTAGATAATGTGAGAATTTGTCTTGTCTGAGATTTATATCCGTTTTTGATGGAGATAGTCGGGAGTTTATATAGCACTTGGGGTGGCTATATTCCAATTGAATGCTTATCTAACTTTATATCCTCGGCCATACTGATTCGCCGTTGGCAGATAAAGCCCACTGAACACCAGATTATGCGTGAGGTGCTGTGGACGATAACTCCGAATGCAGGTGCAGTAGTATGTACTCATGCTGACAACCAGTAGGTGGTCAAGCTATGTTCCAGATTTCCCCTCTCGATTTCGACACCGTCCGAGCGTTTGGCCCCCAAGATTTGTCCCTCGAAGTAATTTGTTCGCTTCTTTGCATCCTGTGAGATGTTTTGCGTTTACTCGCATTCCCAGCCGTGTCTGTGAGTCCATTTCGCTTCCCCACATGGTGGAAATTGTGTAAACACCTCATCACATTACGGAGTTCATGCCCCAATATCCTGAAGGATCGAAATATTCAAACCCTTGGCAAGATGTGCATACGCTCTTTGATATCATGCATATTCAAGGTAACATCATGAGGTGACAATTGAAATGAGGGGCTTTTCTAAGCCCATGCATTCATGCCACGACACCTTAGTGCCGTTCGTATTGCCTCAGATTACTGGAGATCTTGATGCATGTGGAGGCCATTACAAATATATAGAGTGGTACTTATTAGACATACCGCGTGTCTCGCGAGATTAATGGCAGCCTGTACTGTCTTGTATCAATATACGTTGGAATCCATGAAGTATACCAGATTTTTCAATAATGCGAGTAGACACGGTAGATGAAACAAATCTATTACCATTTATACTCTTATATTACTTCTCCCAAATGACACAAGGCACTGTTTGTATACCCACGGAACCGCCCAGAACATTCAGCCTTTACGTTGTTTTAACTCAGGTAATTCGTTACCTACAATCTACAACATGAGGCTATCAGCACAAGCTCATCAAATTCTTAAGCTTGATTATTCAAACCTAATTGAATAGAGGTATAGTCGACGTCTTCGTCTGTAAGAATTAGATTGTGGCCCCTCGTATCCTTTGATGTAGTCTGCTTGCTGACGGTACAAGTATATTGGGCCTAACCGTAGAAGAGTCCTAGCCTACGGGCTATACCAGCTAAGTCCTAGCCATCCTCACGGTATTGTAATATAAAAAAGCGCTAGTCATGGCTAAGCTTTACCCTATGCTTCTTGGCATCCTTATTCTTCTTGGCATGCGTGGGTAAGAGGCAGGGAAAGATCAAAAGCCAAACGTTAGTGTCGTGGGCATAGTAGAGGTAGATTGACATGCCAAGTGGTTGAAATAGTGATATTGCAAGTGATCAGTATGGGTCGAAAGACAAGACCTTATTTTGAAAGCTGAGTATGTATCGTGCCCTTATGCTCTATGACAGATAATGATTTCAATGACAAAGCGGTGATCAAGGCGGTGGTCAGGTGGTAATTTGCGTACAGAAAACATGAGGTGGGGACTGTACGCTGATCAATGTCTGATGACAGGGTCAACGCGAAATCACAAAGGAGGGAAAATATTCTTTGCATTGTAGCTGGAACCATGGACCACGTTGCATTGCTTGTTATGCTATTTTCGTTAGCAAGTGAGAATTGCACAATCCATTGCCCCTACTCATACCGATCAAACAATTCGAAAAATGGAATCCCAGTCTTGCACGGCTCACACACGACGAAAGTAGAAATTAGTGCGAACATATGCATGTGCAATCTTCGGCGTTAGCATTTACGAAGCCTCCCGGCTCTGCCTAGCACCGACTTGAAAAATGTACGTGCAGGAAATCTCAATGATTAGACGATGAGGTCCCGGTCTAGCGCAATAGGTTTGGGTTACACTGTATTAGCGTGATCCGGGAGCCTATTAATATAGACCACTACCACTCAAATCACCTCTATCGGGGATCTAGTTGATGTCTGTCTAGCATTATGGTATTACCATGTGAGTAGATGGCACGCGGATTTCATTAGTCCGTCGCTGCAGTCAAGCTTTCGAGGCCCCCAAGTGTCTCGATCCTCATCCAATCCTCGTGGGCCATACCTTAATAGGCTTCGGGGCCGCTGCGGATTGTCCGGAAGCGAAGTGGATCTTCCCATGCGTACCCCGCTTCGCTCGGCTGCACAGGCCCGAACTTGAGGAGATAAGCACCCAGCCATGGGGTTATTGAGAGCTTCATTAGGCATAGTGCAGGACGATCGTATAACAAAGCGGAGTCAGAGATTGTAAAGGATGAGGATTCCATCTCCCTGACTTATCGCATTGTGTATGAGCGATTGTCCTCTCAGGGCAAGCGTAGACCGAGTGGGAACAAGTGGACCTTGTGGATCAAGCGCTCATCCGACTTGATGCCTCGTTTTAAGTGCTCAAGTGGATCATTCTGGCCCCCAAGTACAGCCTATAGGTTAGATTCTTGATAAGGAAGGTGACCGTGAGACACACTACGAGGTAGCGGATCAAGGAATTTACCCAACCCGCTGATTTGTCTTTTGCCAATTTGAGATTCATTTAGCTCGACATCATCTTTTCTCCGCCATCCGTTCGACTTTCAATACTAGGCCGTAAGCCTGGCCTCTGATTCGAAGAGCAAGAATCAGCTTTTGTCGCAAACTATAAAGATTGTAACCCGCTTATATTGTTGGAATTGCATTTCATTTCCTAGGCAAGATCTGAGCAAGAGCGTTGTCTTTGAAAGAATGCCGAAGTCTGGAGGGACCACTACAGTAGGAATGGCCGCCGTTAGCTCTGATGACTCGCTCAAAGCGAGAATCCAGTATCTTGCCAGAGACGACCAGCACCAGTTGGTGAAACCATATTATTTGTACTTCAAGTACGACTCCGATATCGCTCCAACAAACACATCCCCTGATGATCGGTTTGTCCAAATCTGTAATGCTCGGAATCTGGGCGTTCCGCCGAGAGAGATGTTCTTCGAGTGGGGGTTCGCTCAGCTGCGTCTTGATTGTCCTTTGACACCTGAGGAGTATTGCTATGACAAGAAAGTGGAAGAAGTCCTGTATCCCAAATACAAAACGATTGCCCAGTTTTTGTTCCCAAATGCTGCGCGAGTTGAAGTCCTAGAGCATGCAGTAAGCAAAAGACCCAAGGACAGAAGGCTTCAAAAGGCTGATTGACCGAAACCAGGTCCGCATACGTCACCCTCTTTGGCTATCTGAGGGCATCGAACGACACGATCTTAAGACAAACCAACCGAGTGATTATGTGCACATTGGTGCGCGCCCTTCATCGTGCATATAACCTTTCAGGCTTTGTATACTGATCTTTTTGATTGAATCCAGACATGACGGCCTCCTCGGCTGCAAAATGCAGTATGAAGCAATTCAACATCTCCCCAAAGAGTTATTCACGATTCGTCGTTGTAAAGTACATCTGTCCACATTACCAGATCCCCAGAAAACTACATCCAAGAGCTTACCCTTCATTTCACCAGCTTCTGGAAGCCAATAAAAGGGCCAGTATACGACTTTCCGCTCACGCTTTGCGACCGCCGTACAATAGACTACGAATCTCAGGCCACTGCAATGGATATTGTTACTAACGTTTACGTCAACGAGAATACTCGGCTATACTTTAACGAGAAGCACAAATGGTACTACTGGCACGGCTTGCAGGTCGACGAGGTAATCGCCTTCATACAGGCAGATTCCCAAGCAGAGAATCGAGCAGGTATGATGGACTTTACCCCTATCGAGTAGAGTTTTTGTCTCCTCGAATATTGACAGTGGAATTCAGGGGTTCCCCACACGGCTTTTCGAGATCCTCGGAATAATGACAACAAGCAGTTGCGGGAGAGTATTGAAGCTAGAGTGTTTGTTTATTTTGACTGAATGCACCCGGCTCTAAAGCATCCTGATCACACGCAAGTGATGAATAATGAATAACATTTACTGTGGATAACAATCACCCTATCGTCCAGACTTTCCAAATCGTTCTTTACTATGAAACCAGTCTCCGTATTTCATCAGCAAGGCCAATGGGGGAATGAAAGCGGCTGCGATCAAGGCTAGTACAGTGTTGCCCCAACCCTGTCCAATGCTTTCATAAAGAGGAGGGCCGATTAATGGCAGAAAGGCCCCAGCAATCGCTCGGAAGATCACACCAGCAGCTATAGCAGATGCCCCATGGATCTTATAAACATCCACCACATATGTTTCGGCTGGTATGGCGGAAAGCGTCATGCTGAACCCCGCAGCACACGCTCCGATAAGCGGCACGATGTATTGAATATGAAAATTTAATGTCCATCCGTAGATCAGGAAGCCCACAGGAAGAATGATTGCAGCAAGAAGCAGATGCACCAGCCGAGACTCTGGCTTGAATGCGTCACCCTTGGTTTCCCGCAGGTGGATCATGTAGCGGTCGGAAGTGAGACTGTAGAATATCAAAGAGATCGTGTTGCCGATGGCGAGACTTAAAAATGTCAAGCCGATGGAGCCGCTAGAAAAGACGGTGGGATAGGTCGACTCCATGGTTTCTGTGAGTGTGGCAAGAATCAATGAGACTAAGGCATATGTTATGGCCATGTAGCTCGTGGTCAGGATGAGGATGGGAGACTGGAACAGGATCTGCATTGGCTTTATGGCGCTTTCGAGCATGGTGGATGCATCGACGTGGGCCTGATGTTTGGAACGATACTTCTTGTTGTCCGCACGCTCCTCTTGTAACCGCTCGGCCTTCCGCCTCAGAATGACGACTGTGTATGTCTCCCGGAGCACAGTGAGTAACAGAAAGCTGAAGAATCCGAGTACGATGGCTGCCAGCCAGATCGACCATCGCCAACCGAGGTCCTGTGCAATATACGCTCCTGCGATAGGTGAGATGAAATCTGCTATCATCTGAGTTCCCATGACTATTGCCATGGACCGCCCTGTTTGTTCCATTGGGAACAAATCTCCGACGATGGCGGGCCCGAGGGTGAGAATCGACAGAAAGCAACCCGTTAAGAATCGGAACGCAATCAGCATGGGAATGTTTACGCTCAGGGCGCTGGCAATCAAGCAACAGAGCGCGAGGAAATTTCCAATATGGAAGACGGGAAGCCGGCCGAATCTTTCGGAGAGCGGCGCAATGAAGAACGGGCCAATCCCTTCTCCGAGCTCCCAAATCGTGACGAGCAAGGTCTGGTCGAGCGTATTGTGCGAATTGAACTCTTGCAAAATCTGCGGCGTCGTGGGCACGATCGTCATTGTCGAAAAGACACTAATTCGGTCAGTCGACGAAAGCAGATATATAGGGACCGTCGAGACAAGAAAAAGACGCCCACCTGACAAACCCCATCCACGAGACAACGAACACAATCAGCCATTTGTGCATTGACGACCAATTCAAAGGGTTTTCCGGGTCGTTCTCCTCGAAGTCCACGAGGACGACATCTGGATCACCGTCTCCGATGACATTTTCCATTGGCTGTTCAGCGGTCTTTTCATACTCGCTCCCCGCCGCAACCACGGGCTCGGTGTCCGGCACTTTCTGCAGCTCAATTGAAGATAAAATGGGGACTGGGTGAGTGACATCCCCGTCAACGCGATACATCGGTGTCAAGCGGGTGGCATAATCCAGCAGGGTCTATTCAACTGCTGAGAGAGCAGGCAGGAAGGGAGAAAATGCGAAACAAAGCGACAGTTAAAGGGCCGACATGGTCCATCACGTGGATAGCCTAACGCGCGATCCGTATCTGGGAAGAGGCGTAGGTACGCTAAGAAAGCTTGAGCAATTAAATAACTAACTAGTCCCCTGATTTTTACATAATATTAGGTTACATGTTCTTTTCAATTAGAACCGGCAGAATTCACCGATCAATTGGTGGCGTATCTGCATGTAGTTTCTTATCAAGAAGACGTGTGATTGGTTTGTTTTACCCCATCCTTCCGTCCACGCTTCATCCGTCCAAACGGCACGCTCCAGTCTGCGACCATGAGGCTATCAGGACCCATGCCTAGCAAAGCAAATGAGCCACAAGACACAGCAAGCCAGCACGCGAGTTCAGGAACGACCCAATTTATCGAACAACCCCGTCCCGGACCTCTGGAAAGGGCCGTTCGGGGAAGACGCTGCGTACTACAAATTAGAAGATGGCCTTGGTGCTGAGAAGCAAAGCCAATGACATCACAAGCATGTTGAACGACGTCAATTGCAGCAGGACAGGACACCGGGGAAACCTGGTCAATAGGTGGCATGCTCAGGTGGAAGATGGAGCAGGCGCGTGGGGGGGACTGTGTTCATTTATCCCCTGTCGTACTTCGTAGGTCTGGCCCCGGGTGGCATATTGTGGGCGGTGGCTTTTGATTTCTAATGCTTGCTTGATGATTGCTCACTTGTAAGGGGGCGGCCTTTCTTCATTCAGTAGTTGACTGGCGTCATTTTGTTTTTCATTCCGCTGGAGGAAAAGTCTGCAATACGAGACAACACTGGGTAGTGAACCAGGACGCTCGTCTCCAAGCCTGACATGCGGACAGGATGAGAAAGATCAACGGACAAGCCAACAAATTACCGCACACCACAATGGACAACGGCCTGCCTCAAGAAGAAACAGATGCTTTCTTAGCAGAAGAGTAAAGAAGTTGTATTTCTCTATATCGGAGATATGCAGCTATATCTATAAGGACAGTGAAATATCGAAAATATCATCCAATCAAATGCACTGTCTAATATCTAATCAATCAAACCGTATCATACAATGATCCTCATCTATAATCTTAGGATATCACCATTTCTATCGATTCCCCCGCGAAAATGGTCTGTGACCACCCTTCCGCCCAAGATAGTCTCATCAACAATACCCTGTACATGCTTGGGCTCGACACGTCCATACCAGATCCCCTTACCCGCCAGCGGGTGAGGTTCCGCAGAGCCTCCGATCGTCATCTGCGGTGGGAGATATACAATGATGTTGCCGGCATACTTATGCCCGCCAACATGGCTGATCAAGCCAAGATTGACATGTTTGGGATCGTCCACCGTGGTACCTTCACTTCCGGCAGAGTCAAAGCCCCGCGACAGTAGCACTCGTTGGAACTCGGCTTCAAGTACAGGCGCCATGAGACCGCAACGCAAGTCACGACCGCCATGTCCACAAATCAAAACAGTGGGTGAATAATTGATGTCGACGATTCCTGCGAAATCCGACGCCAATTCGGGTGCACGAGTCATGGCTGCCTGTTTTTCGGCCGGGAGAGAGGAATGCATGCCATGCAGACGCTCCGGGAGAAGAAATGCGCGCACAAACTTAGTCAAGTCTGTGCTGTCTGGTGTTGACATGATTTCGGCTGGTATTGAGGGGATATATTTGAATGCGGGAAATAGGAATGCAGAAGCTGAGGATGAACCGCTCGCAGCGGGGGCAACGGAGGAGTTGGTGACCAGGACGTTGTTGAATGGCTACAATTGGGAATCAGAGTTAGTGACGCTTAGAGGACAAACTCAACGGGAGTAGAGAGCCACCAACATCCAGGTATGGACCGCCTCGGCCCATTAAACGCTTGAGTCCTCTCACAAGATCCCCCCAAGCCTGTTTCTCCCCGTCATTTTCGATGCGGCTTGTCCAATCGCGTTGTCCAGTACAAATCAGAAGTTGCTGCGCATAAGCTGCCATGGTCCCATTCAATGCTTGGTCGTGATCGATCGGAAGCCCTTCGGGCATGTCTGGCGTCGCCGGGCAGGTGCATGTTGGCTCCGGGCACGTCTTCGTGACTGGAAATGGAGGAGGTATGTCAAGACGTGCACGGAGTCGGCTAGCATAGCATGGCGAGCTCGAGAATGAGCGAATCAAGCGAGCGCCTTGCTGGACTTGCCCGCTCCAGTCGCGACCGAGCGACCGCGCGACACCGGTTAGTCGCACTCTCATCGGCGGATTGTGTCAATATTGGGACTGGATTTGGTTGGCGCCGATGAGATTAAGAGGACTCAAAAGGAAAGAGACCAGGATGCAGGATGCGAAAAGAGAACCATGGTATTCGGTCGTGCGGCGGTACCTGGATGAAATGTTTAATAACTCCGAAGGCGCTCTCGGAGCGGAGATTAGCGGGATTATCAATCGCCGCCGTTGATTTGCCCGCTGTCGGCACACCTGCTTCGGAATACCCGCTCCCAGGCCTATACTTCCCTCCTAAGTACGCTCTGAAAATAGCGCGAAATGCTATTGAATTGGAATTAAGTCACAAAATTATATTTGAGAGTAGAAGTCCCGTCAATTAACCGTTTCCCTACAAATACATAAAGCTTCCGACTGGGGCACACAGTCCCGAACTACCAGGTTTCATATCCCGTAATGACCAGGGATCTCGGCCGGTCTTGTTACCATTGATATCGTGGGTATCTGTGGTGCAGCCTGAGTTGAGGCATGATAGTTTCTGGGTACCTCTGCGGGAAGCTCAGAAGGTTGTAAACGCGATCGCTGATATCCCGACATTGCAACCGTGGAGCTCTGGAGATTGTTCGCTTTCCTCCTTCGTCGAAGCCAGAAAAGTCCAAAGACAAGGACGAGAACAAAAATTCCACCAGCAGCGGCTCCAACTCCCACTCCTGCCTTTGTGCCTGTTGATAAACCCGAGCTTTCTTGTCTGGCAGCCATAGTAACTCTACCGACTGCAGTTTCTGAGGTCGTAGTTGCACCCGCAGATGCAATTTCAGATGTCGCCCTCGCACTCAGCACAAGCTCAGGATTCGTTATCTTTATGCCTGTCGTCGATTCTACTACTGCCTGATGAGTGGAAGATGCAAAGTTGGAGTCAAAGTCAGTAGACTGCCATCTGATCGACACTGCATAAGCCTCAATTTCGTAAAAGTTTGTTTCCAATGCTCCATTCTCTGTCTCAGTCTTCGGAAATGCTGATTTGCAGCGCTCGATGGATCGGTGGTTGGTCTTTCGTCCAACATCAAAATCATATCCACTATCATATGCGATCAGTAAGTGTCAGGAATCGGGAAAGTGGCTCATAATTTGGGCACCAGTCAATTACCTAGGACAGCAGTACGCCCGAGTCTCCGTCACAGTACCAGCCTCCGCAAGGGTATAGTTGGCAACTGAATAACTGCTTGGACACAAGCCTGGCGAAAAAAAGGTTGTCGGACTCCATCCAGAAGGAAAGCATGTCGATGTGCTACTTGGTCCCAAAAGAAAGTAGTTCTGACTTGCATCAACGGCCACCAATCTAGTTGCGGAAAGACACTCTGATGGAGGAATAAAGGTTGTCGTTAAAGGATGTACCGCAGTTGTTGTTGATGTGATTGTCGTTGATATCGTCGTGAGCATTTTCAAGGCGTAATGATCCGTGAAAACATTCTCGTAACAAGAAACGATGCGCTAAATTCACTGGCCCTTCGCATAGTATTTATTCAATCTCCTAAATTTTAAACACTCAGAGCGCTTACGCAAGGCAACAATCACATTTCAAATTGTCTCGAGGCTCAAATCTGGGGGCGGCCATCGGGAACCTCTGCCGGGGCCAATCACGCATACACGTATTGTGATATAACCTGGGGGCCAGCCCCTCTTAAGCGTTTATCCCAAGATGTTAATTGCCTACAATGATAGCTAAGATCAAGGCTGTGTTCATTCTTCACTATCTAGGTACGCCTTACATAGTGAATCTTCGGTGGGATATGTAGATTTTTAGATCCGGAGCAAGTGACGACATGTGCAAGGTACAGATTCCATCATTGTGGAGCCTGGTACTAGGTGAGATTAGTGGATGATCACAGAGGCGGTTCTTATGTGCATAGGTTGATATGTAAAGTGAAAAGGAAAGGATGCATTAGTTAGTTAATGGACTTTGCCTTGGCTGATCTAAGCTCTCATGATCGTCGATTCCCACGTCCCTTTTCATGACACTTTCCTTCATAGCAAAGCACCTAGGTGACTACCGATGTTTTTGGTTGTGAAAAAGAATGCACAGATGCCGCTTGTGACTCGATGAATTCCTTTCTTGGTCTACATGTCCATAAATGGTCCGAAGCGTCACCGGAGCAGTGGTTCTCTACCGATATTCGGGAATTCGTTACAGAGGCTGTTGGTCTGATTACAGGAATAGTGCAATCAACATGCAAAGATAGACAGCAATTCCTTTGGGTGTGTTGTGCCGTGAGACATTTGATTAGGAGTGCAAGTTGAGTAGTTTCCAACCATGCCAGGCTGCTCCGATTTACACGGTGAATTCTTCGATGAGAAACCGGGTTGGGGTTTGGTATTCGGCAATCGGGAAGGTAGAGAGGCTTCTCGACACTCTGCTCTCAAACTGCACTTAACCAAGTCGCGATGGTTCGTCGGGGCCTGAGGGGTAATTGCCGAGCGATTTCCGGCCTAATGCCGACTCGGCCATTTCTGGCCCAGCGCTTCTCCAACTCCGCTGTCGCGTGCGGCGTGCGGCGACCGGGTTCTCCGATGAGGAGGTTTTTGGAGAACGTGCCCTCATGGATCCACTGTGAGAAATTGATTCCGTTTGAATTATTTTTCAACCCCCAATACATTTCCCAGGATGATCGACAGTGACTGGTCATGGCAGGCTAGAGAACTCTCAATAGATGTGTCTGTCGAGAAGGAAGACTGCATAATACGGGCGAGACCCACATATCTCCATGCGCGTCAGGATATTACAGGGATACTCGATTTGCTACGTGTTTTGTATGGTATCCCGGGTATACTCGGAACCCAGCGCCGTAACACGCTAGACAGCAAGGTAGGGGATATTCAATATTCCCCCGCCTATACACTTAGATAGTTCAGTCACCCAATACATCACTATATTGAGCATCTCGTTCCATTGGATCCTAGCTTTCCTAGCCGATACCGTATCCTACTATATTGACAGTTATGAGCCCGATCCGCACGCGTCAGGATTGAATAGAGATAATCCCCACGCACCTGTATAGCGCTTATCAACACGGCAGAGCGGTTGGAACCCCTGAATCGTTGGTATCCGAGTATCGCTAGCGACGTTGTACACCTTCCGGCCACGCCTAGTGTTATAGTTCGAATCTCGACGGCGAGACTACATATTCCCGATTAGGAAACAGAGGCTGTTTGGAAAGGCTTCGGATATAGAAGATTTGAAGGTGATGGACTCAGTCTTACCGCTCGAAGAGAAGCTTCGGTCGGAAACGTAGTAGAGGGTCTAGATAGACTATATTCGGTCAGCAGCTGTTGCCGAAGATATCTAGGATTACCTGAATCCGGATATATTAGATGAGGATATCAAGACCTTACCGCCGGCGTTAGAGGAACCAGATCCTCTAGGAGAATTCTCGTCGCTATCCGACGTATAGATCCGCAAATAGAATGCAGAGATCTCGTATATAGAGCGATAAGAGACGCGAAGGCAACGCTTAAAGAAGGCACTAGCTAGAGTGGATACACTAATCTAGAAGTCAATAGCAATAGAAGCACGCTATTTGGTAGTAGGAATAGATAGACCTAGACTTAGGCTCTAGAAGCTCGCCGCTATCTTCCGTCCGGACACGTCTGATAGACGCTAGGAGCTCCGACGGGTATAGAGATTAATGCTCTACTAATCACCGAAAGATATAGTATAGGATTATATCCTTAGCAAGTAGGAAGCGCTATTTAGAGAGTGCAAAGCCGCTAAAGTGCCGGACTGTATTGATAATTAAGATACTATTCGAGACTTCTTAGATACGCTACCGTTATCGGACGATGCGTTTATCACATAGTACTTAAGGGACCTTAAAGAGAATAAAGAATTACTCACGTTCTATACGGTTATAGCTATATATCGTACTCGACGACGTACGATCGTATAAGCAAGCACTAGAAAGGGAGGTTTAAAGGTATTATTTGCAATATTAAACAATCAGGAAGAAGCCTTACCGACGACGACAACGTCTATGCAGAATCGGAATAAGAAGGGACCGGCTAAATACGTATACGGGAAGGTTCACTAGTATAGTGAATGCCTCTTTGTTAACCCGGCTATAAGAACCGTAGCTTTTCGGCCGAAAAAAGAGGAGGTTGATAAGGTCGAAGCGGAGATACTAAAGCTTAATAACCGTAAGCGAGTAAGGATAGAATAGCTAAGGTCGGAGGTATAAGAGACTCCTTAGCTATCTATGCTAGCTATATCCTTCTTCTCCAATACACCGTAAGCCGATTATCCTTTATCAAACTATTAGATACTAGACTCGGGAAGCACGTGTTATATATACAATAATCGTGAAGCGTTCGTAACGTTTAAGGCGACGAATGAATCCGTTAAAACTAGTAATAGTTATACGGACCTACTTGGAAGAGGCGACGTTATTATTATAATATAGAATAGACAAGGGAATCAGCTTGAACTACGTCTAAGAGATGTCTAATACTCGCCTAAATTCCACACGAATCTGATATCTTATTCGAAGATTAGGAAGCTTGGATTTCGATAGGATAATAGCAAGGGAGTGATATATTATAAGGGATCTATTCCGACGAGGGTGATACTCGAAGATCATAGCGGACTATTCGCTCTTGCGAAGCTATTACAATAGGATCTCACGATAGCAACGCGCTATAGCGAGAAGCTATTAGTATCAGAAGCGAAAGCTGATATTTAGTATCGACGTTTAGGGTATGCTTACCAAGGAAAAGTCGAGAAGCTACCGGAGCTTATCGAGGGTGTCAAGATAATACCGGACTCGAAATCTGAAGATAATCCTGAACGATACGAGGTCTGTTAGTAAGCAAAGGCAAAGCGTTAAATATCTAGACAACTAAACGGAAGAGTATATAGCAGATTCGGCCGAGTACACTTTGACCTTATCTAAATCACACCTGGTTATAATAGGGATCGCTGGATCACACACTTCTATCTTGATAGTATTCGATTGCACGTTGTATACACGTATTAGAAGAAGAATGAATACTAGGAAGCTGTCAGGAAGTTCTATGCACTCGCGAAGACACAATAGAACCTTCCGATAAAGGCCTTTCGATATGATTATGAACGCTCCGTAGGAAGAGTGGTTGAGGAACACCTCGAGGATATAGGATTCGTTATTGAACAGAGTGTTGTAGGCACACTAGAACAGAACTCTTTTAGTGAACGCTCTAGGGGGGTGATAACAACCGGTATGAGAGCACTCTTGCTTAATACTAAGCTGCCGAAGGATCTATAGCTAGAAACAGCTCGTTATATAGCTTATATATTGAACAGATCGCCTACCAAAATGCCAGACGGGAAGTGGATTATACCGTAGCAGGAAGCCTATACCCAGATCAACTCCGAATCATCGTAGACACGCCTAAACCTTACGAATTTGAGGTTATACGGATACCGTGCGTATGTCAAGAGACAGAGTATTCCGTATAGTGATAAGATAGCATCGAGAATAGAGACTGGTTATATAGTTAGCTGTACCGCATCGAATATCTAGCGTATTTGGATGCCGCAAAGAGGACTCGTAAGGGACGCGAGAGATATTGTATTTAATAAGAAGGTCTTCTATAACAAGAAGCAGGATACTGTTAAGCCTGTGGATATGTTAGAACGACTTCCTATTTTGGAAATTGATAAAGCTAAAGAGGATAAGGATGAAGTATCAAAGCTGATAGAGATATCTAATATCCAGGAGATGCAAACTAAGCAAACTAATTCTGGTTTAACCAATCAGGAGGCAGGATTTAGTTATAGTAAACGCTTACAGCAAACAGGCCGAGAGCGTACGCTAGAAGAGCAGCTTATATACGACCTTACGGCCTTACTCCTAACACCTCAATCTATTATCCACTATTCTTCTCTATCTCTAAATCCTTCAAATCTATTATAGTAAGCTACAGAAACATTATTAGTATCACTAGAACCACCGCAAACAATGCTAGGAGCATTTTCCCCGATCGAAAACGAGCTAGAATCGACTAAGAACGATACTAAGCGAGCTCCAAGAGACATCGTAGGAGATGTGACCTTAGAAAACGTCGTGCAAGGAAGTAGGAAGCGAAGAGCACGCTTCGATAATAATTTTGTTAGTTATCTAGCTGTCGACGATGATAGTAACGATAGAGATACACCTTAGACACTAGCTGTATTCGCTACAGCTCTGAATTATACTCGAATAGATCTACCAAGATACCACCGAGATAAGCTATTACTAGAGCCTCGAGGATAGAAAGAGATAATAAAACATCCGCTTAGAGACGGCTTCTTACAAGCTGCAAATAATGAAATTAAGGTGCTGGAAGATAAAGGGACGTACGAGGTCGTGCGGCGCCCTAGTGACACTAGGAAGCAGATTCTTCCTTTGAAATAGGTGTTCATATATAAATACAATAGCGATGGATATCTTAAGAAGCTGAAGGCTCGGATCTATGTCCGTGGAGACCTTCAAACTATAACTACTAAGGAGAAGTACTCAGCTATACTAGCTGTGCGGACCGTAAGGGCAGTACTCTCTCTTATTACAGCATTTAACCTTGATACTCGGCAATTTAATACCGTTAACGTATTCTTGAATAGTCTACTCGATAAGGAAGTCTATACTAAGTTACCGGAAGGCTTCGGCCGCGCAGGACTTAGTTAGAAGCTTAAGAAAGTACTCTACGGGCTACGCAAATCTCCTCGACTATAGTAGAAGGAAGCAAGTCGTGGAATAAGACAATATAGATTTGAAGTCGTACAGGATAACCTTTGTATACTCGTCGACAACGGTATTATTATTATCTTCTATGTTGACGATATAATCATCGTGAACCACCCTTCACAGCGAGAATAGGCAAAGAGAGTGTACTAGGCACTCCACTATTAATAGGAGCTCCGTGATATAGGAGAAGCTTCATAGTTCCTTAGGATTAGGATCATTCGAGATAGATTATAGAAGGCACTCTGGCTCTATCAAGATTCCTATATCTCCGCTATAGCTACCCGATATCATCTCACCGACGGTAGGAAGCCTACTATACTACTACCTATGCAAACGCTTACTAAATACATAGGAACAGCTAATTATCATAGAGTCAAAGAATACTAAGAGAAGGTAGGAAGCGCCTAATACGCGACAATAATATCTAGACTAGATACCGCTAAAGCGACGGCTACACTCGCTTAATTCCTTAAGAACCCCGGACTAGAACACCTCGCCGCTGTGAACTAAGTCATTGTATACCTCTATTATACTCGCTCTCTCGCTATCGTATACTAGCTACGTAACGACGCTAACTCGGAAGCTATAAGCTTCGCTAGCGATGCATTATTCGCCGACATATAGGATCGCAAGAGCTCGCAGGGGTATATCGGGACAATATTTGGAGGACCGGTTGACTAGAAGGCTAGCAAGCAAAAGACGGTAACAACTAGCACTACCGAAGCAGAGCTGCTTGCTATATCGGAAGCCGCTCGTTTAATTACGATGTAGAAGCGCCTATACAAAGCAATTAGATTCGATCCTCAATATCCACTCACTATCACTTGTGATAACTAGCAGACGCTCGGACTGTTAACGAAGGAGACGCCTCTCCTAAAGACCAAGCTCCGACATGTTGATATTCATTAGCACTGGTTAAGGCAGGAGGTTTAGGCACAACGTGTTGCCGTTAGATGGGTCGAGTCGAAAGACATGATTGCTGATAGCCTCACTAAGAGCCTTCCCCGGCAGCGACATGAAGCATTCGTCAACCAGCTTAGGATGGAAGACATTGAAACGCTGTTGAAGATTTCCTAAATAGGAAATAGAGGTTGATTCGTAGAGACGCCGGAAATCGAAGATTTGGAAGATTGTGAAATCGCCTATCCCTGGGGGGTGTGTCGAGAAGGAAGACTGCATAATACGGGCGAGACCTACATATCTCCATGCGCGTCAGGATATTACAGGGATACTCGATTTGCTACGTGTTTTGTATGGTATCCCGGGTATACTCGGAACCCAGCGCCGTAACACGCTAGACAGCAAGGTAGGGGATATTCAACATTCCCCCGCCTATACACTTAGATAGTTCAGTCACCCAATACATCACTATATTGAGCATCTCGTTCCATTGGATCCTAGCTTTCCTAGCCGATACCGTATCCTACTATATTGACAGTGTCCTTTACCCTTGCCACTCGAATATTCAGCCCAAATTCAACTTGCGACCGAGAGCTTTTTACCCGTTCATATTCAACGGATCAATGGCCTGATCTCGACTTGGACAATTTGTGTGTGCGACCGTTGCTCAGCCTGCTATGCTTTTGGCTTCCAGTTCTCGGCTTTGACCAGGCGGAAGAGGACTGCAAAGAATGGCCAAATCGCTCGATGGGTCTCACAATCGTGCTGCCCATTCGAGGTCCATTGTGTTTCATGATCGCCCTATCGATGAATGCTCATCAGGTTCTCTGGGAGAAGGTACACGGTATAAATTGCAAATCGACGACAGCAGGAGGCCTCCCCGTTCAGACTCATGGCCACCGAAAAAGGGAACACGGAGGTACTCGGCTCTGTAAAGATACTGACAAGCGTTAGGTAGATCAGATATGGAATTACGACGTAAATGTCGGTTTTGGGCAGGTACTTAATCCAATTGGAAGGACTGAGATGACGAGGATGTTTTCTGGTCGTGGATAATAGCCCTCGTTCTCTGTCACTTCAAGAAGCCATTGAGTGCTTTCGGGAGCAAAACCATAATATCAACCGTCGCGGATGTAATCTCGCAGTATATAGCTCAATTTATTCTGATATCATTCCATTCGCCGATCCTGACTCGAGTAAAACGTAGTAAGCTAGAAAAGAAAAAAGTATCGTCATTAGCATCCCGCACATTGTTTGGCGTCTCCAAGGCACTCATAGTTTCTCACCAGCATCTTGTCAGGCTTTGTTCTATCTCATCAGCCTTCATCGTCACTCTCAACTTTACTATCTTCTCGGAATTGACTCGGACAATACTCCTGTGCCTTCCTCAAACATCGGTCCTCTTCCCGCCATCCTAAGAATCGTTTGTTTGCGGGGGCAAATTACCCCTCATTATGTCAGCAACCCCGCTGCGGAGAGCTGTCCCAAAGTAGTAAGCCACGCTGGACGGAGATTCCTCCTCCTGCATTGATTGTCCTGGCGCGCTGACGGGCGGCCGATGGGCTGATGCGGCCACAGGCATCTAGATTCATGGACCTGAAGTAGATCAGGTCTCAGAGGTTTTCTTCTGGGTTGATCAGAGCACATCAAACCAGTTGCCCGCAGTGGTCCCAAAGTTGGAGTTCCCCGCACCGGCTACCGATCACCAGCTATGCCGAACGATCCAGCGCGACAACATGGGACGGAGGATGGAGGACGGAATGACTGCAGCAACCGGGAAGCCGCCCGAAAATACATTGCGACTTCGCGAGAACCTTGCGATGGCCCTGCGATGGCCAGGATGCGGGCACGGATCGTCGCATCCGGCCAATTCGGACCGCACGAACACGAACCACGGCGTCTCCTCCCCCTCCTGGGTCCCTCGTGCGGAGAGGCTGTCCACGACCATGAGTGGTGCGTTCCCCATCCGTCCTCCGACCGAAAGCCTGTGGACCCCCCTCCTTCCCGCGTCTCTGCATCTTAGGTCTAGGATCTGAGGGGTGTTACAAGGCATTTTGGGTTCTGTCGCTCTCCAATCCACTTGGTTGCTGTGGACAGAAAGAGGGGGCTTGGAGGAGGGGCTTCTCTATATATACGGGGCGCCTGGCCGGTCACTGACACTTTTTTTTCTCTTCATCTTCACTTCTCCAATCCCAGTCCAACCCTTTCCTCAAACATCCTTACCAACCAAGGTCGGTGAACCCAAAACTATAACCGCCCGTTCATTCTTTCCTCCCTCGGCGTCTGGAATCGCCTGCAGGGTTCCCCACTCTCCCCGCTTCCACGGTGCTTAGCCGCCGCTCCTCCCCCAAACACCGTTTGGGGGGTAGCATTGACTTCATCGATCCGAGGCCAATGCGACCGCCTTTGTGCGACTCGGTCTATATATAAAGAATGTCCCGCTGACAGTTTCTTATAGCTTCGCGCTTTCAATCAAACCCCTCTCTTGCATTTATTATTAATCATCCTTCACAATGGTATTTTTCCGTTCCCTTTCTCGTCAACTGCGACGGCCTACCACCCAATTCATTTCCGCTGGGCCCAAGTCGACTGTTGCCACCAGCTCCTTCGCGTGGGCCCCGGTGTCTGGTGCTATCTCCAATGCACGTATGCTAACCGCCTCTGCCAAACTTCAGGGCAAGGTTCTTCTCGTTCTCTACGACGTAAGTGGTTCTCCCAAATTGAGAGATGGCGAGTCGTGGTGATTAACGAACACCATACAGGGTGGTGAGCACTCCAAGCAGCAGCCCGGTCTCCTGGGTACCACCGAGAACGAGCTCGGCATCCGCAAGTGGCTCGAGGACCAGGGCCATACCCTCGTCACCACCTCCGACAAGGAGGGCGAGAACTCCACCTTCGACAAGGAGCTCGTCGACGCCGAGGTCATCATCACCACTCCGTTCGTATCCCCCTTCGCCGAACTGAAATGGTTCATTCATCTGCCTGGAAGTTCCGTAAACTAATTGATTTTCAATCAGTTTCCACCCTGGTTACCTGACCGCTGAGCGCCTCGCCAAGGCCAAGAACCTGAAGCTTGCTGTCACTGCCGGTATTGGCTCTGATCACGTTGATCTCAATGCCGCCAACAAGACCAACGGTGGTATCACCGTTGCTGAGGTCACCGGCAGCAACGTCGTTTCCGTCGCTGAGCACGTTGTCATGACCATCCTCACCCTGGTCCGCAACTTCGTCCCCGCCCACGACCAGATCCGCAACGGTGAGTGGGACGTCGCCGCCGTTGCCAAGAACGAATTCGACCTTGAGGGCAAGGTCGTCGGTACCGTTGCTGTCGGCCGTATCGGTGAGCGTGTCCTGCGCCGCCTGAAGCCCTTCGACTGCAAGGAGCTCCTGTACTATGACTACCAGCCCCTGTCCGCCGAGGCCGAGAAGGAGATCGGCTGTCGCCGTGTTGAGAACCTCGAGGAGATGCTGGCTCAGTGCGACGTCGTCACCATCAACTGCCCTCTGCACGAGAAGACCCGCGGTCTGTTCAACAAGGACCTGATTTCCAAGATGAAGCCCGGTGCCTGGCTCGTCAACACTGCCCGTGGCGCCATTGTCGTCAAAGAGGACGTCGCCGAGGCTCTCAAGTCTGGTCACCTCCGCGGCTACGGTGGTGATGTTTGGTTCCCCCAGCCCGCTCCCAAGGACCACCCCCTGCGCTACGCCGAGCACCCCTGGGGTGGTGGCAATGCCATGGTTCCCCACATGTCCGGCACCTCCATCGATGCTCAGGTCCGCTACGCCCAGGGCACCAAGAACATCCTGGAAAGCTACTTCTCCGGCCGTGAGGACTACCGCCCTGAGGACCTGATCGTCCACAAGGGTGACTATGCCACCAAGGCCTACGGCCAGCGCAAGTAAAAATTCCTTCTCGAAAATGGATTAGGAAATAATTTCCGGTGACTGAGTTTTTATGATTTTTTCCCCTTTTCTCATTGTTCATATTCATGATCCTAAATTTGCCTAAGAAGGCTTGGGTCATGCTTGAAAATGTAGCATCTACGATACCAATGAAATGACTATATCATCTTTGATTTCTGTTATATGCCTTTTTCTCCAGTGCTATCGGTTCAAAGTGGTTCCGACAAGCGCGCGGTGGGGCATTTGCCGTCGATCGTCACGCATCTGTAGATCATCGAGCCAAGAGCGGTATACTAGTCCCAGAATTCTCGGAAAGCTCTCGGCAAAACTGGTGAAAGTTTGAGACAGCATCTTTTTGATTGCTCCGTCTTGGGAGTTGAATGTATGGATATACAGGATTTTCCAGATCTGGCGTCTTGTGGCCTCTTTCTATTCTAGACTCCCGAGGAGGTGAAGCAGAGCACATGCATGTAGAGACCGTCCAGAATGACGGCAATCACACACAATGGAAACAATAGAATCTCCAGTCCAAGACACCCAATAGCTCGGACATATATCGAGTTGCTGAAGGGGATACACAAAACGCCGCCCATGACCATAAACCGTAGAGATGAACACACTGGAGCCATCAGAGCCGATGACGACCGCCTCTTTCTTCTGTATCGTCTTCATCACTGTCGTCCATAAACCCTTCTTCTAGTTCCCGACTTAGTCGGCTTACCGCCTCTGCGGGTGTACTGCGGTGCCGCTCGAGCGCCTCCCGCCGGGCCGCACTCATGTTCATACCGACCATCAGCTCTCCTTCCTCCTCATCAATGCTGATATTGTCATTGTCTGGTATGTGCGCATCTCGTCTCCAGGAGGATGGAAGAAAGAGGCGCATGATGGCATCGGCCATACGATCACGTAGGGAAAGCGTGTGAGCGGAAATGGTGTGCATCGGGAGATATTGCGAATACCGTTGATGGTAGCGCCGGAAGAATGGGATGATCAGGCATGAAAACAATATATAGACAGACAACGCAATGGAAGCGGGGATGAGAATAGTCTGCGAGCAGAAGAAGTCAGCCTTGGTGCTTTTGTTTCTAGTCGCCAGAGAATAACACAGCTATCGCCGTAGCCATTGTTCAGGGGTGCGCACGAACCTTGGCAAAGTTGAGAGAAGACCCCATTTCGATATATTAGGCCCCTGGAGGCGTTTATAAGGCCACAGGATCAAGTGGACTGCCGATTGCGATTCTGGGTCCTTGACCACGAGTGTGTTTATTCGCGATGGTTGTCCGGAGCCGCTCCGAGCGTCGGAGGCGGAAGAAGGTGAACTCTGTGAAGAACGAGGGGGACGATTGATCGGTACTAGAGCAGTAAGATAAATCGAAAACAAAGCCCTGCACACATTCCCCCACAAGCCAAACCGATCAATCGTCAACAGAAAGGTTCCAAGTTGGCCCTGTTCCCCACAGGCTGCCAGGCCGCGACAGCTGTCACGTGAGTAAATACCCACTCACGTGTCGCGGTCGGGGAGTTTCTCCGGGACGAGCAGCCCCTAATCAGGCACTTGGGAATTCGACGCCCGTGCTTTGATCGACCCTGGCGTCAGGACTCGCTGGGACTTGCATATTGCAACTATTTACCCCAGCACCTGTTCATTTCCCCCTGGGATTCCTATCGCGTGGTGAGTGTTGTATCAGATGTTTTCGGTCCTATTCAGCGCGTCTCCGCCGTGGCAACAATGCGGGTATACTAACCAGCCAGGGAGGGACAAAAACAGACTTCGGACCATCGTGAATGTCATCGCTTTCCTCCACCAGGTCCCTAGCGATCGACCCCGCTGCGGCCTGCGATTCGAAATAACCCCTTCCGGACGTCTCTAAAGTGCGCTAGGGGGAGCAGGCTCTTTATGCTGCACCCTGCCACTTCTTAGTGACTGCCCGCCAAAATGCCCACAGGGCCGCCCACCGACAAGTCCAGGCAAACGTCAGCTGGAAAGTCCTTCTTCGGGAGGAAACTTCACAAAGAGAGGCCGGTAGATGACCACTATGATGGGTACGGAGGATCCTACGACAGCTTGGCACCGCCTGGAAGTACAGCGGGCTCTCGCTCGTCCCGCTATTCGAAACGATCTTCCATTCAGTCCGTCGATATAAACCAGCATGACCTAGACCCCAACAGTTATGCCCCCACGGCTGGTGTAATTACCTCCATTCCCTTTGAGAGTCTACCGTCAGATACCAGAAACCCGATTCCGATCGACACCATGTCTCGCCCCGACTCATCCCGCCATGAGCCCTCACCCAACCACCTTGGCAAAAGTGGCAGCGATTATCATCAGTACCCTACTTTGGCTTCAACATCAGCGCCGAACGGATCCTCTCATCCCTCTGGCCCTCGTCCACCTCCTCATGCGTCGGGCGTAACGATGATCAGCAACGCTTCAGGTGACCGAGGCACCAGATATCAACAATGGGGTCGTCCCGGAAGTTCAGCAGCGAATCATTCGATCGACTCCTCATCAAACTCCCGCACATCACTTGATCAGGCCAGCCTGTACTCATCTCATTCTTCCAACACCCGCGGCTCGAGCTACTTTTCCTCCGATGGCTCCTCCCGTACCCTCACAACCTCGCACTCCGCCGATCGTGCTACTCTCCTCCCTAGCGGAAGTGCTGGGCGTCTGTCGAATGCCCAGGCGGCCTGGCAAGCTGCACACCCACAGCAGATCCCGGCCGCTATTCCTCGACCACCTGACAACTATTTAACTCGACCCAGGGATGACCGTATCGTGGACCAGTTGTTTTTGGAACTGATGCAGAAGCGAGGATGGCAAAACCTTCCAGAGCAAGCCAAGCGACAGATGCTTTCCTATCCGGCCTCTAAAAAATGGACTTTGGTTCACCAGGACCGGCTGACGGAGTTACAAGGCGAGCAGAAGAGACGGCAAAATGCTCGCCAGACGCATGGTCATGATGGGCTTTCAGGTTTACTGGAGCGTGCGGATGAGGAAGGCAGCCCGGAGTGGTATGTGAAAAAGGTGATGGATGACACTATTACATCCAAGCAACTCGCCAGTCTGAGCGTCAGTCTACGGACGCAACCCATCAGGTAAGCTTTCGGAACTCATCTCTGTTGCGATTTGCGATTTAGCATAGTGCTAACTGTATCTGTAGCTGGGTGAAGGCGTTCGTTGAGGCTCAAGGTCAAGTGGCCCTGACCAATGTTCTCCAGAAGATCAACCGGCGCAAGACATCAGGACCGGTCCCAGCTCCTCCGTCTGGCGATAAGGATCTGGATCGTGAATATGATATTGCCAAATGTTTGAAAGGCCTGATGAACAACAAATATGGTGCCGACGATGCCCTCGAACACCAAGGCGTTCTTGTTGCCCTTGTTAACTCACTATCTTCGCCACGTCTAAACACTCGTAAACTTGTCAGTGAGGTGATCACCTTCCTATGTCACTGGGGTGAGGGCCAAGGTCACCAAAAAGTTCTCCAAGCTATGGACAAAGTCAAACATGATCATAACGAAACTGGCCGCTTCGATGCATGGATGCGAATCACTGAGGTTACCATTGACGGCCGCGGGAAGATGGGAAGCTTGGTCGGTGCCAGTGAGGAGTATCGCAGTGGTGGTATCGGCATGGAGAATCTTCTTATGGAATATGCCGTTTCTACCATGATTCTCATTAATATGCTGGTTGATGGAGCGGAAAATGATTTGCAGTTACGATGCCATATTCGCGCCCAATTCATCTCATGTGGTGTGAAGCGTCTTCTGACGAAGATGGAAGGATTTCAATATGAGGTGATTGACAAGCAGATTGAGCGCTTCCGGGAGAATGAAGCTATTGATTACGAAGACCTTCTCCAACGGGAGGGGAGCAGTATAAAGGATAGCGTCGAGGGCGAGGTCAAGGATATGAGTGACCCTCTCCAGATTGCCGATGCAATTGCAACTAAAATCAATGGCACTCGCGCCCATGACTATTTCCTATCGGCGATGCAACATATGCTACTGATCCGTGAAAATGCCGGTGAGGAGGGCCTACGGATGTTCCAGCTCGTAGATGCCATGATGAGCTATGTGGCTATGGATAGGAGACTACCTGATCTTGATCTTCGCCAAGGGTTGAATTTTACTGTACAGAGCCTTCTGGACCGGCTTCACACAGATGCCGAAGCCAGACGGGTGTACGACGAGTCCCTGGAAGCACGACAAATCGCCGAGGCTGCCATCGCGGAACGCGATGAAATGAAAGCCCAGGTTGAGCTTGGCGCGGAAGGTTTGGTCAAAAAGCTTCAAAAACAGATCGATGAGCAGGCTGGCATCATCGAACTCCAAGGACGACAGAACGAGACCCTGAAGGCCGAGGTGGGCGAAGTTCAGCGGCTGCGTGCCCAGGAGCTTCAACGCAACGAATTGGAAACTCGCGAGCTCTATCTGATGCTCCGGGATGCCCAGGACATTGCTGCGTCCAATGCTCGGAAGCAGGCCAACCCGACGGACCCAGATCCTTCTCAAATGCCTGGAATTATGGATCGCGAGAGGCTTATGGAGCGTCTTGAACGCCAATTGGAGAGAACCAAGACCCAGTTCAAGCTTGAAGGCAAGGTTTGGGGCCAGCACGGCCCATCTGACCGTCTGCGTGAGTTGCGTGAGAAGATGGACGGAGACGGCGCCGATTTCGACGACGAGTTTGCCGAGCAAACCCGTCGTCACCTGGACCCAGGTTCCTTGGGGTCTGTTTACCGGAAGCGTAGCCATGTACCTGGCGTGGATCAAGGCTCAGAGATCGAAGGCATGTCCCCTGTGGATGAGAACGAAGAGTCGGTTTACGAAAAGCCTCGGTTGGTGGAGTTCCAGCGTCCGCGTATGAACCCAGCCCAAGCCACCGGCTTGCTGGGCGAGCTTGCTTCAAAAGTGCCCAAGTACGACGACGATTCCGAGGCTATTGCTGCAAATCTCTCTGAAGGGGCCGAAGATATCACTTCCGAGGCGAGAGATGAAGCGCCCAAGCCGGATACCAAAGACGCAGACCAAAAGGCCATGCCTCCACCGCCTCCGCCACCTCCTCCACCTGGAGGTGCCAAAGCTATCGTCCCCCCTCCGCCTCCTCCAGGGGGCAAATCAGTTGTTCCTCCTCCGCCTCCTCCGCCGGGCGGTGCCAAGACCATCCCGGGTCCCCCGCCCCCTCCGCCTCCCCCCAGTGGTGTCAAAGCCGGCATGCCTCCCCCTCCACCTCCTCCAGGAGCTTCTGGGGGCTTTGGCGCCCCCCCGCCGCCGCCACCTCCCGTTCCCGGAGCTGCTGGCGGCTTTGCACCTCCCCCTCCTCCTCCTCCAAGCGCTCCTTTGGGTGCTGGCTGGAGACCTACTTATATGGTTCAAGACGATGGCTCGCCTACTCTCACCGGCATGCCTTCCATTCGACCTAAGAAGAAACTCAAGGCCCTTCATTGGGACAAAGTTGATACTCCCCAAGTTACAGTCTGGGCGGCGCACGCCCCAACCCAGCAAGAGAAGGAGCAGAAGTACACTGATCTGGCCAAGAAGGGTGTCCTTGACGAAGTTGAGCGTTTGTTCATGGCGAAGGAGACTAAAATCTTTGGAGCCAGCACAGCTGCGAAGCAGCGTAAGGACAAGAAACAAGTCATTTCCAATGATTTGTCTAAGAACTTCCAGATTGCGCTTGCAAAGTTCTCCCAATTTCCTCCTGATGATGTTACACGCATGATCATTCACTGTGACCGTGAGATTTTGGATAACATGGTCGTCATGGACTTCTTGCAACGAGATGAAATGTGCGCCATCCCTGAGAACGTTGGCAAGTTGATGGCACCCTACAGTCGAGATTGGACTGTTCCTGGAGCTGCTAGCTCTGAACGTGAGCAGGATCCTACAGAACTTACTCGTGAAGATCAAATTTACCTTGCTACTGCCTTCGAGTTGAACCACTACTGGAAGGCCAGAATGCGGGCCCTTGCCTTGACGCGTTCTTATGAGCACGAGTACGAATACATCTCGACAAGGCTGCAAGAAGTCGTCCAAGTCAGCGAGTCTTTGCGTGATTCTGTCTCTTTGATGAACGTTCTCGGTCTGATTCTGGATATTGGAAACTTTATGAACGATGCCAACAAGCAGGCGCAAGGTTTCAAACTGAGCTCTCTCGCTCGTTTGGGTATGGTCAAAGATGATAAGAACGAGACCACCTTTGCCGACCTGGTTGAGCGTATCGTGCGTAACCAGTATCCTGAATGGGAGGGCTTCTCTGAGGAAATCGGTGGTGTCGTTGGCCTACAGAAGATCAATGTTGATCAACTGCGTACTGATTCACTGAAATATATCAGCAACATCAAGAACGTGCAGTCAAGCTTGGATGCGGGTAACTTGAGTGACCCCAAGAAATTCCATCCACAGGATCGCGTTAGTCAGGTCGTGCAGCGAAGCATGAAGGATGCACGACGCAAGGCGGAACAGCTTCAGCTGTATCTCGATGAGATGGTTAAATCTTATGATGATATTATGATCTTCTACGGCGAAGACAACACCGATGAGAACGCTCGACGAGACTTCTTCGCGAAATTGGCTTCATTCCTGATGGAATGGAAGGTTCGTTGTCAAAGCTTGCCCCTTGTCGCTCCATTTCAATGACTAATCATTTTGCAAATAGAAATCGCGTGAGAAGAACATCGGTCTCGAAGAAGCCAGAAAACGCACTGAAGCTTCTCTTGCACGCAAGCGGATCAATGTCAACCTCGCCAATGGCACCAATCCTGCTGAGGCACCAAACTCACCCGCAACTAGCGGTGCAATGGACTCGCTGTTAGAGAAGCTGCGTGCCGCCGCTCCTCAAGCCAAGGATCAACGAGATCGTCGCCGTCGCGCTCGTCTGAAGGAACGTCATCAAGTCCGCGTGGCCTCTGGTCAGAAGGTGCCTGATTTCGCTGCCTCCGAAGAAGGCGACGAGACAGACAAGCCAGCAGAGGGTGGTGCCAATGTTGATGAGAATGGCCTTCTAAGCCCACCACTTCCCGACGAAGGAGAGGATGGTGCCAAAGAACAAATTTCTGAAGGCGAAGACGTTGCCGATCGTGCGGCAAGTATGCTTCTCGGCCTGAGGAGCAACTCCGATGCTAATGGTGAACGACAACGTCGTCGGAGAGAAAGCGCCGATGAGGAGCGCCGTAATCGCCGCTTGAGGCGACGTAATGGAGCAACAACTGGCAGCAAAGACAGTGCTGATGGGTCTGTACTTCCAACCGTCCAAGAACCCAGGTCACCCTCTCGGACCGATTCAGTTGGCGCAGATGACCAAGCACCGCCGAGTCCACCCCTGGAAGAATCCAAGCCTGCGGCACCACCCTCCATCATTGTTTCAGAGCAACATGATGGTCGTCCATCACAAGAACCTACGGCTGATGGCTCATCAGCCAACCAACCGATTGAATTGTCGGATTAAGAGGCCGCGTCTCTTACCCCCGGCCAACCCTAATCTAATGTCTGATAGACTCGTATTGATGCCGTCTCGGAATCTTTCTTTTGTTTGATTTCCTTCTTCTGCATCGCCATACACCCTCTACACCCCCTCGACTGTATAATACCCTTCCTCTCCCTCTCACCCCTTTTCTCTCCTTCCCACTCTTTGACCAGTCATATTTTCCTTTTCACTTGTCCGTGATGAGCCATCTATGGTGTCATGATACCATCATCCTATGGATTTCTTTTCTTCTCGCCTTTTCCGTGTGCCATTTTTGTCGGTCGAGGATACATTCGCATACCCACCTGGCCATACGCCTCCGTGTGGTCTCTCTCCTTGTACATACTTCTTTTTTAACTCCTTCATGCCTTCTCGGTCGTGGCATCATTTTGTCGTGATCGTGAGGCCTTCCATCGAATTGCATCGGCTAGATGTTTATTTGAAAGCGTGCTCTCTCTATATCCAGATTTTTCCTGTCTCTTTTCATACAAATCCTTGTGGTTTGCTGACTAGGTATGAGTGAGCGTGAAATAGATAGGATGAGAAGCAGGGTGAAAATAGGCGAGAAACACTGTTGCCACCTTTGGCAAGAAACTCCATCTTCCTCCACTCGTTTCCATCAGTAGACTCTCAAATATGTATGGGAATAATTTTGTGAAGTTGCATAAGACATCGTATTGTTGTACCAGTGTGGGGCGGTACTAGGGTAGATTGCTTAATTTGCTGAGACTTGTGATAATTATATTAAGAGCAAAGAAAAATTCATGCCATCTGGGACCCAAATAATCGCCGCGCTTTTAGCGACCAGATGCTCAGTTCCCTGCTTTATACCAAAGCAGCAGATGTACTCGTCCGGAATTTGTCTCAAAGAATATAAATGCAGTGTAATGGCAGCCAGCAAACATGTGGAGGCTGGCTTGGTCCCTTCAGAGCCCACGGTGATCTACTCGAGTCCTAGCTCAAGCTCCCCTTCCATCTGCACTCTACCATCTTGCCGGCAAAAGTATTGCCGGAAATTGTGGAAACGATATCAAAGTGTTGGGTATATGCTTCCTTTACAGAACACCGCTACGAAGAGCCGCACTAGTCTTGACTGGGAAATAAAGGCTCCTAATGTGGAAAATATAGTGGGGTCAGATCGCAAGTGTTCCTGAAGATCTTTCACAACACAGCCTTTTTGGGTCGCGCAATTAAGCGGAACTTCAATCAGTCACGCAACGCAACACAAAATAGACGCCGAAACATAGCCACATGATCGTTGCGGGTTTGAAGACCAGGATGAATCATAATAGATAAATACCGTTGCTCGCCATACCTGGATTCTTATCGATTCGTTCCATCACCATTGCATCCTCTACCGCCACCTGTTCCATTCTCTAACCCTTCAAGACAACGGTCATTACAAATATCGTCTCTATCTGACAGAGAGGTATGATGACAACCTTTCCGCTGCGCAATTATTGCTACGGATACATTACTTCGCCGCATAAATAGTACAAGTGGGGGACTGGAGCCCTTCTGACTGGTTTCCTGAGAGTCTTCATCACATTATGTGATAGTATCTAAACTTATTACCAAATCAATATTTCAAAAACTTGAGATTGAAATTCCATAGCGGGTGATAAGAGTTACAAGAGAAAAATATTTCCGATAGGTCAAAATTCTATAATTAATGGGTTTCTCTTAGTCGCTGTTTGACATTAATTTGGCCATTGAGGGCAAGGAAATGGCAATCCTGAGAAACTCTGTATCAGCGATAACTTTATCAAGTTATCAGCTTGACCCCGCTACTTCGTAAGCGGGTCTCATGGCTTTGAAGCTACTCTCAATATTTCAAAAAGAATCTGTGATATCAAATACTAGAAGAGACTTGAATGAGGGACGATAAGTAGAAATATTAAACGAAGTAGACTCTCTAAGATCTTCACATTGAACGATAAGCAAATCAAGGATCCCATTGACTAGTAGAGTGTGGCCATACCTCAAAAAGGTGGCTCTTTTCGGAACAAAATTCGAATAACCAGGAAGTGTCTGCTTGCAATTCAAGCGGTGACATAATGCTCAAGCGGGAAGGTTGGCATCTCCGTATGAGTCAACAATCTCAAATGACGCCAAGGCCTAGGTTCCTCCGTGTGCGACTCATGCGAAGACTCAGCCACACTACGTGAAACGCCTAGACTCATTTTCAGGTTGCGACTGTGGAAGGAACCTTTCCGCTCAATGTGAAGTCAGCTAAAATTATTCATCGAACCGTTGAAGTTGGCCAATTCGAGTTTTTGGGTCGTTCCCCACATCCCAGCTCTATTCATAGGGTACTGGAAGTAGTAGTCCTGGGAGAAAACGTCATGGGTAAAATCTCCCCTTGCCTCCCCTCACGGCCAACTCATGAATCGTCAACTGGACTGGGACTTCCTTTGATACTTCTTGGTAAGACAGCACCATATATGCATTGGTTATTTCCTCGGCGGGGTGTTTAGGACTGGACGATCCATACCTCGTATTTGACGCAGAAGCTCCTGCTGAATCCGCAGCGATAATCCCCGAAACAAATCTCACAACCAACTAGATCTTGGAGCTATGCCTCAGTCTAGAGGAGCGCCTAGGCTCCTGCCGAGAAGAATGACCTTGGCATAAAGTCTCACCTTGAAAGTTTGATAAAGATCTTCTCACATCCGTGTCGATCATCTTGGTCGGGCCTTGGCTCCACTCGTACGGAGTACTCAAAGTGTTGGCACCCGATTATCTACCGAAGATCGCTCTCCATCCACGGTTGGACGAGGCGCTGCACTTGGCACGTCCCTCAATTGACGATTGGAGAAATCAATTCTCTTAAATCATACCAGAGAATGGATATCTTTAGCCTCTCAGCTGCTCCCGATAAGTCATGAAGACACAGTTCTTGAAAATTTGCCAAGAGTGCCAAGTTCAATAATCACAGAACACCGTTCATCGAGTCGAAATGGGATCATAAGCACATCTTTGGCCTCGAATGGGGACTTTGAAGTCATGAATAGAGTCACTGTTACCCGCGCCGGTCGAAAAGAAGGTACTCCAAGCAGCCGCTGGATATTTGTGAATCTCATTCTCTGTAGGCAAGTTCACCCGTTCCGAGTCACGAAAAAGCAAGAGCATATATACCAAGAAAAGTCGGTGGAATTTTAAAATACCGAGGAGATTACGACACCCGTTTATTCACAGATCCCTGCTACGTCTTGCCCAGATTTCCTGCTGGGCATTGCCCAGATTTTCCTCTTGTCATCTTGCCCGAAATTCAGGCTTATAACCCGACCTTTGCACCTTCTGATCGAGTAATCACTCGGGTTAAAATACGTCCATCACTTGCGCAATTCATTCAGCCTAGCACATACAATGCAAAGCGCTAGAAGGTCACTTTCTTCTGCAACGACAGAGCATAGTCCCGATAGGAATGACAGAGAGTCACGGAGTCAGGTCCATTGCACAGCCCACAGTGACGTGGCAGAACGAGCGGCTTCTTCTCTCGAGAGTGGCTTTGATTCAGTACCCACCGGTTCTTCAAGATCGGATAGAGAGAGGGAATCTGGTCCCTACAAGATATTGCAGTATTTTTGCGTGGAGCTAGATGCCAGACGTGCATATGTCGCTCTTGTTATTTGTGGGTTTGTTAGCGGCCTAGTAGATGGTCTGTCTTTCAATGCATGGGGCAGCTTCTCAAGTATGCAGACAGGTATGTGACTCGCATTAGAAACTTCACTTTTGAATTCTCTCACCAAAAAGTAGGAAACACCGTTTTCATCGCACTCGGTGTGTCTGGTCAACCAGAGTACCCCGCGTACCTATGGGCAAAGTCACTTATATCCCTGGCTGTCTTCCTCCTCAGCAACGTCTTCTTCATCCACCTCTGCCGGACTCTCAATCCACTCCGTCGATCGACCCTCATTCTATCGTTCGGGCTTCAGACTGCCGCCTTGATCGTCGCCGCTTCCTTGGTCCAAGTAGGAATCGTCAGTCCTAGACCAGAAGATCCAAGGGCGCCGATCCAGTGGATGCAAATCATCCCAATCACACTGCTCGCATTCCAAGCCGCAGGTCAGATCTGTGCCTCCCGCCTCCTCGCCTTCGATGAAATCCCGACTCTTGTAGTAACAACGCTCCTGTGTGATTTGCTTGTTGATGCAAATTTATACACTAGACCGTGGTCTGCCAATCCCAAGAGGAACAGGAGGATCGCCTCATTTCTTGCTTTATTCTTGGGTGCTATGACTGCCGGAGGTCTCTCGCGGACCACAGGCATGGCAAGTAGCTTATGGCTTGCAGTCGCTTTGAAAAGTATCATCACGCTATCGTGGTTTTTCTGGAAAGGCAGCTCTGGTGGAGTGCGGCAAAAACAGGATCAAAGCCCAGTTTAGTGTTGTCGCATAGGGAGATTGAGCATTCTGCTGCATGAGTGTTTCTTGCGTTCAATTTTCATTTTACAATGTGCCCTGATAGATTAACAGCATGACATGCTTAAGAGAGCAAATATTTCAAATACTCCCCTTCAAGAGCTAAACGCTCGGACTTTTACATAAATTTACGGGGTGAATCAAGTCTCAAGGAAGAAAATAATACGTATTACATTTGATAATAAATATATCTGCTTCTATATACAAGAATATCGGACACATAGCACTAGTATCGGATTCAAATGGGAATCTAGATATCAATGAGATTGGGAAACCGTTTGCCAGGCCAAATCTGCATCAAAAGATACAGGAACTCAAGAATGACTATTAGACAGTTGGAATCGAACAGCATCATGGAATTCTCAATCAGACAAGAGGAACCTTATATTGCATCATTCTCATAGCACCCAAACCACCACGGTGAATGAATCGCACATGTTTTGCACCGCTTTCAATTCTCATTTTGTCACTTTTCTCACCTTCTTCATTTCAAATATGCCTATCCTCCGGGGTTTTGTCTTGCCACGCTGCGAAGCTGCTCTATTTACCCGACGGCCGCAGCTCCAGATTATCCATTGCTTTTATTTCATGTAATGATCCTCCTAGCGCACAATATCAGCGCTCCGATATTTTGCACTGCACTTCCAATCATCACCGCCAGTTTTGAGGGAAAGAACGCTGACCGAATAGCCGTGATTGCGGTTGGCCAGATACCAGAATACAAGTCCAACTCCGAATCTATCTTGGATCTTAGCCCCTCCAGATTATGTGACGGAGCCGGTGTGAATTAATATGTCTCGTAGTCAAGGTGGAGAGCCCCTGTAAATATCTACCAAAAAAAAAAAAAAAAAAGGAACGTGCACAACGTGCCAGTCTTAGCACGCTATGAGCAAGTCAATGGCGAAGTGCTGGGAACTGGAAGATTAACGGACGGAGGGGCTCTGGACACACTTGAGCTCAAAAGGTTGCATAGGAAGCAAGTCACATTATGAAGTTGAGAGAAAATAGGGCTTTTGCGGGCTGTGACCATCTTCAACTCAACTCAGGTGCTAGACTTGATGTTAGGGGGAAGTCCATATGGCATTAATCAAGAGAACAAATACCTAGATAATGTTCAATGTTCCGGCCTGGACATTCAGAGGCACAGAAAGAATGCAAAAAAATAAAAGAAAAACATTTTTAGAAAACATAGTCACTGCAACAAAAGATAGATTTCTGTGCTCAGCCTTTGCAAAGCGAAGCAAAAATCAGCGAAGCAAAACACAACTAGCATTAACATGTGTAGCTGGGCCCTAAAATAGAAATGATAAATCTTTTATCAGATTTTCGGGAGTCGGCGGAGTTGACCCCATTCCTCTGTGGCCACATGGTAGGTCAATTTCACAGACGTAGCACTCGTAACGTTACAAGCATCCGACTATATTGAGTCGGAAGGAAGAAGAAACAGCGTGGTGAATTTGTTCCATGTAGGAGCTTTGGATGTCTGAGCACTTCCGAGGCCAGCAAATACCCACATGCTAGCTTCTCCAGATACTTTGTGTTGAGGGAAAAGAAAAAAATACTGATTATCAATCGGCTATGGCATCATTATTATAGTTGAATGCGAAACCGCCATCGTAACCAACGTGAGCACAGAAGCTTGTCTCATTTATCAGGGAGAACATCCGATGATAGAAAATTCTACAGCACTTGGAAATATAAATTAAGTTGGCAAGCTGAAACTAGGTGCTAGGTAGTTCCTTTAACTAGGCACTTGCGTTGAGCACATCACCCGATGATTCAAACTACGGGCCCGGTGAGGGAAGAAGTACAATAAGAAGTAAATGGGAAAAAGGAAAGAAAAATGCCGATTTGAAAAGAAGAAAAGAAAAGTCAAAAAAGAAATAGAACAATAATAATATCAGTCTCGACCTGAAGGATCAGTACAAGGTATGCACGATTAGTGAGCCCAGGGACCCAGACCGTTCGATGAGGTAAGCGTCGGAGCAGCCCGTGCCATCGCGAAGGTGGAGCGGGCCAGCCAAGCAGAGCTTTCCTGTTAATAATTACGGTCCCACCGCGACGGGTGTGGAGCCGAACATGCGGAATCCCCTTCACAAGCATAGTGCTGCAGAGCCGTGTAACGGCACGGATGGGCAATTGAAATGCAGTGAATACTCTCGGCCAGCGTCTGCGACGGGTGCCCGACTCCCGAGAGAGGCTCTACTGAGAAGCGTGAGAAGGGCCGTGGGCCAGTGTCGGGGGAACCATCACGATGAAATGCGGAGTGCAAGACCGAGGCAATCGTGAAATGTGGCCCGAATGATTGGCCGAGATTCCAGCAGCTTCCTCCAGTCGAGATACCGTTTCCCTGGGTTTCCAATCGTTCCAATCGGCGAAAGACGAGAGCATCGGGGGAGGGGGAAGGGAGAAGGGGGTACAAGTACCCAGCGTGTACCCTCCCCTTCCCCGGCTTCTTCCTTTTCCCGATTCTGCTTCTTTCTCCTTCACTCCTTACCCTCTCTCTCTCTCTCTCTCTTTTCACCCTTTGACCCTTTGACCCTCTCTCTCTCTTTGCTTTTTCGGCCCTCTCTCATCATGGCCTCGGCTGCTCGCTCCGCCTCCCGCTTCCTGCGCTCGACCCCCGCGACGGCCTTCCGCCCTGCCGCTCGCACCGCTCGCTTTGCTGTTCCTGCCCAGGGTCTCCGTGCCACTGCTCGCCGTGGCTATGCCTCTGAGGCTGGCTCGGGCAAGTCCTCTGGTAGCGGTGGTATCTGGGCTCTGGCATTCGCTGTTGCCGGTGGTGCTGGTGCGTACTTCTACCTGAACGGCGAGTCCACCCCCAAGGGCCCCTTCGTCCCCACCAAGGAGGACTATCAGAAGGTGTACGATGCCATTGCCAACCGGTTGGCCAATGAGACCGACTATGATGATGGCAGCTATGGTCCCGTAAGTTAGCCATTGAGATGCTCGTATCCGAAAACACGGCCATCAAGGCCAATGCAGAAGCTCACACTGACATCTTTCCGCCTGACCAGGTTCTTGTTCGTCTCGCCTGGCACGCCAGCGGTACCTATGATAAGGAGACCGGCACTGGTGGCAGTAACGGCGCCACCATGCGTTTCGCCCCGGAGTCCGGTCACGGTGCCAACGCCGGCCTGAAGCACGCCCGCGACTTCCTCGAGCCCATCAAGGCCCAGTTCCCCTGGATCACCTATGCCGATCTCTGGACTCTGGCTGGCTCTGCCGCCATTCAGGAGCTGGGTGGCCCTGTAATCCCCTGGAGACCCGGCCGTGAGGACCGTGACGTCTCCGCCTGTGCTCCCGACGGTCGTCTGCCCGACGCCTCCAAAGACCACCGCCACGTCCGTGATGTTTTCGGCCGCATGGGCTTCGATGACCGCGAGATGGTGGCCCTGATTGGCGCTCACGCCCTGGGTCGCGCTCACACCGACCGCTCCGGCTTTGACGGTCCCTGGGACTTCAGCCCTACCGTCTTCAGCAACGAGTTCTTCCGCCTTCTCGTCGAGGAGAAGTGGAACCAGCGCAAGTGGGATGGCCCTGCTCAGTTCACCGACAAGACCACCTCCACCCTGATGATGCTGCCCACTGACCTGGCCCTCGTCAAGGACAAGGCCTTCAAGAAGCACGTCGAGCGCTATGCCAAGGACAACGATGCCTTCTTCAAGGAGTTCGCCGACGTCTATGTCAAGCTCCTCGAGCTGGGCGTGCCTTTCCAGAGCAAGGCCGAGGACCGCTTCGTCTTCAAGACTTCCGAGTAAGCGGTTCATTCATAGAAGAAGCTGTCTTTTTTTTTTTTAGATCCAATGTCGAGTGTACGCTGTCTCTTCCCTCCCGCCAACGATATCGGCGTGAGAGAGTTTCTTTTGTCTGCATAGATCATGCTTTGTTTTCCTTTTTTTGTTGATATCCGAACCGTTTTCCGATCTTAGATTAGATCCTTTCAAATGTGACCTGATTAGATTTTCTTCTTATGAGCCCTGTTTTGTAATGTGTGGTGTGTCAGATGTCTTGTATCCATTTGGTCTGTATCCGGAAGCATGGGCATACCATGCCCTGCTCGCGGAAACAGTCCGATACAGTCGCCATATTCCTTTTAAGCCGTATCAGTCGGTAAACGATCAAGAGATCGGAAATCCCCATGTAGCACTCGTAATGGTTGACGATAAAAGTTGACTGCTCCGATGTTGATGTGAATGGTTGGCGCCGAATACACGAAAAGGAAGTCCGGCGCCGGGGATCCACCGCCCAAAAGTGGCGTGCAAACCCTCTTCAGTTCAATTGCGGGCGGCCGGTTTTAAATTCTCTCCCAAACACACTTTTCCCCTGAGACGCCTCTTTTCAACCCCGCATCTACCGCAAGTCCGGCGGGGGGACACAATCGTTGAATCTGCGGTCAGGCCTCTACGCTAACCTGCCGGACACCAGAAAAAAAACCTGGGGTTACGCCTGTGCCCAGTCCAGCCCTGCCTGTGCCACCCAGGACGGCCCAATTGAACCTCCCTCATCTCCTCGCGCTTGCAGAGCAAAAGAACGAAAAAGAAAAGCCCCACGAAACGGGCGCGCGGTGGAAAATGACTCGATCCACCGCCCTCCGCGCAGACTTCTACCAGATCCTCGGCCTGTCTTACCCATGCCCGAGTCTCTCCAAGCCGCAGCTCAAACTCGCCTACCACAAAGCCCTGCTCAAGCACCACCCCGATAAAGCAGGCCCCGTGGCTGGGGCGCCGTTCCCCGGGGCCGCTGCATCTCCTGCCGCGGCCGACGCATACACCGTCGACGAGATTACAGCTGCGTATAAGACGCTTAGCGACCCGGTGCAGCGGGCCGCATACGATCAGGCGCTGCGGCTGGACCGGGCCAAGGTCGCGGAGCGGGAGAAGATGGGCGACGTGTTCCACACAGGGCTGGAGGTTGTGGATCTGGAGGACCTCGAGGAGGACGAGGCGGGCGCGTGCTGGTTCCGTGGATGCCGGTGCGGCGATGAGCGGGGATTCTTGGTGACAGAGACGGAGCTGGAGAGAGAGATTGAGCAGGGCGAGATTGTGGTCGGGTGCCGCGGGTGCAGTCTATGGCTGAAGGTGCTGTTTGCGGTGGAGGACGGTTGAATGGCCTGGGCTTGGAGAATCTTTGATACGATGTCCTCCGGGCCTCGTGGATTCGCACTCGCCTGTGCTGTTATGCAGTGCATGAACTGGGCTATTGGGCCCGTGGCGACACACGGCCCCTAGGGCTGTTATCCATTCGCAGGCTTGTGCCCGTTTGCGTTACTCTCGCTGGTAGCTGCAGGCCACCCAGTGTGGGCCTTGCCGGATAGAACTATCGGAGGATCAGGATATTCTGCTCTGATTCCAGTTTCTGGCCCACATTCATTAGGTGTGAAGCCAGTGGAGCATTCGCCCTGCCTTTGACACTATATCGTCTTGCTTGCGTCGAGTGATCGAGTTGAAAGCAGCAGCATCCCGGCATATTGACGAATCAAATCATCAAACGAGCGGTTGTAAAGGTCTTAATACAACCTTTACGAGGATATTTCTGGTCATAAAATGGGCTGCATATTCCTCCCGGTACGAACATATCACTCAGTTGGCCATCAACTGGATACAACGCTCGATCGCATTGATCTAGTACTTTCTAGAACAGCAATTCAATGAATTGAATACGTAGCTTCGCTTTCTTGAATTCATATAACTCTATTTCAATAAATATTTTCAAAAGGCTTGATTTGCAAGCACGGCTTGAGGGTTTTGAAATGCAGGTAGGATACATATAAGAAATTCAAGCTGTTTAATTTCAATTTCTTGCACGATATTCATGACTTGGGCCGTGAACTACATACAAACAAGTCGTAGAATATATATTTCCAAGAATCGAAGAACGACGCTCATTTCTGACAGCTTCCTCTCAAATCAAATCTCCAAAGTATTATTTTACCTGCCTCCAAAGGTAAACGGAAACGTTTACAGGCTTCACCATGGTAGCTCTCATCCTCGTTGCTCCAGAGGCGAGAGCTGCTGACAGCTCGGGCTGGATGACATATTAGGCAAACCGGGCAAAACAACCTCATTCCGACTCCCCGCCAACCTCCCCTCTACATCTTACGCCTCTCACCCTCTCCCTCTCAACCCTCCGCCATGGCCGTCGTGAACATATCCTCAACCGAGCAGTTCAGCTCGCTCCTCCAATCTTCACGATTTGTCGTCGCAGACTGTAAGTGGCTCTGACTCACGGTCGACTCTGCCCGCAAAACCCTCCGAGATAGAAATGCCCCCGCTCTGCTCTACCCGCAAGGGCCAAGTCCACGAAAAGCCGCTGATTGATCCCCGATTACTTGGAATTTAGTCTACGCCGACTGGTGTGGTCCCTGCAAAGCCATCGCCCCTGTCTACGACTCCCTGGCAACGCAACTTTCCCGACCGAATCACATTACATTCACCAAGATCAATGGCGACGAACAGAAAGAGCTTGCCCAGCTCTACAGCGTGCGAGCGTACGTCTTCAAGAACCTTCCAACGCTTCCCTCTCCCCCTCCTACCTTTAAATCATCCTCATGCCACCGGCGTGTATGGAAAACCCGACGAATACGGACATACGCTACAGCTACTATACGAAATGAGAACCTCCTCCAAGGCTGACTCCCCTGCGCCCGGCGGGACGCTGCAGATACCCGACCTTCATAGTATTCGAAAACGGCCGCAAAACACAGACCGTCGCCGGCGCGAACCCGCAAAAGCTTAACGAAGTCATCCAGAAGCTAGCCTCCGAAGCGACCAAGTCCGACAGCGCGGGCGAAGGCAGCTCCGGCGCGACCTGGGTCGGCGCCGAGCTGGCCCGCGGCTACAGTGACGTGACAAGCCAGGTCGACACCCAGGGCCTGGAGCTGCTGAACCGGGACAGCCAGCTGGGCGGCCCGCGGGTGCTCTTCGACGGGGGCAAGCCGTCTGGGCTGAACAGCAAGGGCAAGGACGCGGGCGCGGCTGCAGCGGACTGGGTCGAGAGCGACACGGACGAGCAGCTGATGCTATTTATTCCGTTCCAGGCGAAACTGAAGGTGTTCGCGCTGCATGTGACGTCGCTGCCGTCGACGGGCGATGATGACGAGGCGCCGATGCGGCCGCGCACGCTGAAGCTGTACACCAACCGCTCGCATGTGCTTGGGTTCGACGAGGCGGAGGACATTGACCCGGTGCAGACGGTGGAGATCAAGCCAGAGGACTGGGATGCAAAGACCGGGACGGCAGTTGTGAATCTGCGGTTTGTTAAGTTCCAGAGTGTGACGTCGCTGGTGATTTTCTTCGAGGATGGCGATGGAGACAGCGAGACGCTGCGCCTCGATAGAATTCGCATTGTCGGCGATGCCGGCGAAAAGAGAGCCATGGGCAAGTTGGAGAAGATTGGCGATGAGCCGGGCGAGTAAGAAGGATAAGAGCTGGCGCCGGCCGACTACCATTTTTTCCCTTATGGTTTTTGTTTAAAAGAGATACGGCATGGGTAGAACAATTTTTTTCTCAGAGAGCGATCAATCATGATCAAATGCCAACCTTGGAATACGCAGATCCTCCATGCGCTGCCATCATGGAGCAGTACTTTCATGGAGCTCGAGACCGCACCATGTATTTACGACAGGAGAAAAACTACACAAGACAAGCAAAATGGAAGACCATGGGAATTGAGAAAGATTGATTAAATTCATGTTTCATTGCAGGATGCAGCTGGTCCCACTCTATCAACGTAGCTAGCTAATCAACAAACCACAAAAAGGGTCTGTCAAAGGGTATGTCCGATCCCAAACCAAATGGTCTCATCCTTAGAAGATCAGAAAGACCAATAAAGTAAGAACCGGTGTGCAATTCCGTTCGTCTGTGGCACAACTGACACCTGGTAACATCACTGAAAGCCCGACAAAAGGCCGTGGATGTCCAAGCAACACGGGTAAAATTCGTAGTTGCGCCGCCGCACGAAGAAAGAAAAGAAAAAGAAGGAAAAGCGACTTGCGCGCGCCGAAATTTATGGGCGGCGCTTGGTGGGGAGCACCGGATTTAGTGTTGTTCCGGGCCCGCCGAGCTCGCGTATTAGGTAAGCCAACCGGGAAGGGTTTTCTTGCAGGATCTCGCTTCTCTTCTCTTCTTCTTCATATATTATTATTAGGCTGATGATGAGGACTATGGATATTATGATAGGAAGAGACTGACTCCCACTGGGAGCGTGATCTCAATGTAACCATCCACTGAAGCCTATTTCCAGGTGCTTTCTTTTTCTTTGCTGTGGCCGGTTCTTGTGCTGGTTGTTTTTTGATGACAGCTTAGCCGAGAACTTCTAGGTTTCTATATTAGTTAGTTATCAAGTATTAGGAATGATCGGCGAAGAGCTTCATTGTTCGCGTTTTCTATCACAGAGAGATTCTCCCTGCTCTCCTCTCTTCTCGCTTGCGGTCGCTTCTTTGCTCGGCTTCAAGCTCCTAGCCATGCCCCCTGTTTATATATTTCTCTATTCACCTACCCAGCCAATCCAGCTTCCCCTAAAACTATGTACGCAAGCCTATAAGCGGCACTCCAACCAGAGGACCCTGTGCGCCGCCAAGTGCGTAGCACAGTGGATAAAAGAATTGTCACGAGAGTGCCATACCGATACGCACAAAAAGCATTAGCAAACCAAAACTCCACAAAGGGGAGAAAAAAGACGAGCACAATATTTTTAAATCACCATCTTCAACCCAGGGAACTCGGCCGAAGGCCTATCTCCAAACATGCGACTCCAAGCTCGGAACGGAGGCCCGTACTTCCACCCCACGGGCTCTGACGCAATGGCCTGATTGACCCAAGTAACCCGTCCATTCGACAGGACGCTGGGTCTCGTGGATCTGGCGATACCCATCGCGGGCCGGTCAAGTAAGTCCCGCTCCTCCAAGGCTCCTCTCCCCCAACACAACCGGCATCCGGCATGCGGCATACGGCATACGGCATACGGCATACGGCATACCGGATACACCCGGTCTCGCTTGTGCGAATTGGAACCAGAGAAGACGAAGGGAAGAAAAAAAACCTCCTAAAACGGAGACGAGAAGAGGGACCCCCACGCACGGGGACATGCCGACGTCCAACAGGCCCGCTTGGTCGTGCCATTCGCCTTATACAGTAAGAGGCTCTTGCTGTGTTGGTCGAGATCGCAGCCGCCAGACTCCACAGGAGGTTCGACGGGGAGGACAAGCGAGGTCGTTGGGGTGTCTTTTTCCTTTTCTTTTCTTTTCTGACCTTTGATTTTTTTTTTCAATTTCCATTTTGCTCATTGTTTTTTTTTTGCTCTCTGCCTGTTTTGTGCATCTGTGTTTTTTTTTTGTTCTGATAGAGCGTTTGGCCCACGGCTGTATGGTACGACCGGAGAGCCGGAATGGAGCAGTGGTTCTCCTAGCCTAGTTCGCGGCTCGTATGCAGTCTTCATTGCTGAAACGCCGCATCCGAAACACGCGAGGATCCCGGTCCAGTGATTCGACCGATCCAAGGTTGATATGCTGGCGCGCTTGAAAGGGGTCCTCGGTGCCTTGCGACTAAAAAATTAGACTTGTATTGCATGATCGCCGGGAACGGAGGACTCCATTCTCCGTCCCTCGGTACTGTGTGAAGAGAGGCTTCGGGTTTATGTTTCGATCCTTTGCATGCCTTCTTTTTTGGGGTGAAGCCGGTGCCTATGGGACCAGCTCAAGCGCAGACCCGCCAGCCCCGATTCCTCAACGCGAGGGGGCCAGTCTGTTGGCGCGGACTGCGCACGCTGACCTGTGTATCCACTGCGCTCACCACGTGTAGGAGAGTCAGCTTGTCTTTGGGATGAACACGAGAACGTGAGGGTGACGACCCTAGCAAAGGAAGTGGACACTTGTTTTTTTTTTTTGCTTCGACGCTTGAAGAAGCTTGGGGCCTGCTCGCAACTGTTTTTCTGCCAAGGCAAGAAATTTCTAGAAGAACCTTCTAAACAGTCCGGTGGTGTTTAGTGAGTGCCTGAGCACGCCTAAAGCGTGCTCTAATTGTATAAGCGCGAAAGCTTACGAAATTTCTTTCGGGGCCTACGAGACCGTAGCCGCGATCTCAGGCGAGGTTGCCTCCAGATGGGCCAGATTGGATCTAGCAGAGGATGATGGGCGGCTGGGCTCAGCTCTGCGAATTTTTCGCCATTGGTATCTCTAAGGCGAAAGCACCCAAATTCCAGAGTACCGGGACAGGGCTCTCATAGACTATGGGTTCACGATCTGCGACTGTAGCTGAAAAAAATTAACAACAGGGCAAATAAATGTACTTTTATCATTACGTACAACGGGAGGAAAAGATTTGACCACGGCACGGGGAAGTCAATCTGATGTTCCGACAGACCCAAGATGTGCATGGGCAAAGGGAGCCACTTCCTTGGTCATAAGCCGTGCCAGCGTGCACTATCTGATCAAGAATGGAGACGGCCCGTCGATCTTGATTGCACATGAATGGGCCAAGTCTACGAAGTAGCATTGGCTGCGATGTCGGAAAGGTCAACCCAGGGTTTGCTGCATGCGGGAGGTGGAGATCACGCCGATGATCGATATTTTGTAGAATGAAATAGCCTGAAACGAACAGCCTGGTACAGTACTACTCCATACTCTGTACTCTGTAGTCCAGATACACGCAGCAAGAGGCACGGAGCAGCTTCCACTGTACGGAATAGGACCGGGAGATTCACAGATTCACAAGATAAGAGTCGGAGATGGGCTGGGATCGAGTAATGATCGGCTCTGAGGGGAAAAAAGACAGTCATGGATCGGGGTAGGTGGAGCAGAACACGACCAAAAAAGCTGAACATGGTGTGGGATGAGGTTTCTGTTTTGGTCTTGGCTCTCTCCGCTCTCCTACGCAAGATCTCGGGAATCTTCCGCTGAAAATGGATGGAGTTTCAATGGCGTAGCACTATTGGAAGGCGTAATAGATAGCCGCAGGAGCCAGCTGGGGGCAAGATGGGGAGAGTGGGCGATGATTTCACACAAACCAGTAAGTGGTCTGGGTCAACGGGGCGATAGGGTTTCGGCTGGTATGCGGAAATCGTCGAATGTTTCAAATTGCGATCTGGTTGGGTCGTTCTGGTTAGACACAGCCAGGCGAGATCCAGTGGTCCCAGAGATTGAGGACGCAAGATACGGAGCTCCGTTTCAGCTACGGTGGATGGTTCCAGCTCTGGTTCAGGAACGGGGGAGCTCGGTGGTGTTGGGGGCTGCTGATTGGAGGCGCGGGTACCTGAAGTACCGCAAAGTGTTCGGAGTGCCTGAATGGCCCACGGACACGGTTCCCGGTTATGCGGTGAATGGTTCGCCGGGCCCCCCCGGGGACCGTGTTTGAGGAAGATATGTAACCTTTGCGACCAATGACGCCTTTCGCACACTTCTAATCACCCCAAAAATCCAAGCCCGCCAAGCACGGGAAGAATCTTGGTACCTGCGTGCTCCAGGAATATCATTTGGGGATTGACAACGCTCGTTGGCTCTCGGACCAGACGGGTGCGGTCGATGCTGGGTCCTGGGCCACCGGCCATAATGCATTCCAGCACTGCGGCACGACGGCACTAATGCATTGGGATGCCCAGGGGTTCAACAGGCCATGTGGGAGGCCATAGTGAGACGGATGAGAGATAAACCATCTCCGCATTTTTGGGGCTTTGAAGATCGGAGACAGCGAGAGAGAGAGAGAGAGAGAGAGAGAGAGAGAGAGAGCATCGCCATTGGCATCTATTATCACGCCGGAAGCCACCTTCTGCTTTGTGGTCTGGTGGTGTATTAGATGGTTCACCGAATGGCTCAAGTGGGGGAAGACGAAGACACCATGCCTGAAGAGGCCTGGCGAAGCTTTTATCACCTGTCGAATCGAGGATGGACCCGACCGGCGACCAAAATTCGGTCCCGTCTGAAGATTGCAGTGTCTTGGAATGTGGGTTTTTTTTGCTTTTGCGGAGAACACGGAGATATTCATTGTCCATGCGTGGTTTTCTCCAGTGCGCATCACAGCATCGTCCCAGCTCGTGGGTACGGTACTCGATACCAGACTTTTAGTGCGAGCATGGTTTCGATCGAGAAAGTTCCATTGGCTTCGCGGGGACATACGTAGGTATTACTCCACATTCGTCCATAAAGACATGGGCGTTGGTTCCCGAGGACCTAGGAAGGGACCGTCCAGGCGCTGGTCTCTATCGTGATTCCCCGAAGCTGCAGTGGGCCCACTGGGAGTTGACCCGGGAGGCTTCCCATAGCGTGCAATGGAAAGACGATAGATGATGATAGGCAGCAGATCTTGCCGAATGGACACGCATTATCTTGTCGCCATCCACGTTCCTTGCCCGCCACACTGGCTATAGCGGGAGACCTGGGGAGACGTGGCTAGGGGTCCAAGTGTAGGTTTGTAGGTCTTTGCCGTTGGTTGCACGTTGTCCATGGCGACTCAGGGACCAGACAAATTGCGCACAACCGAGCGAAGCATGTCGGGGTTGGCCTATCTTTTCAGGAACCAGGGACTGAATACCCGACTGGGACTAGCATGGGATTCGGTCGTGACGACTCCCAAGGTCCCCGTAGCGTGTCCCCGTAATGTGTCCCCGTCTCCACGGGTCCAGGACCGATCGACTTGGGACTCTTGCATCGTCGGGGAAAAACGATGCGCAGGACCGAGGGCCATGGTCGGCACGTGCTTGTCTGCATCCCCAAGGGATCACCGGGGACATCGTTCCTCTGGTACGAAGTACTCCGCACATCTGGGACACCCCTCTGTTCGGACTCGCGAGCTCCCTTCCCTCTACTTTGGGATATTCAACTCACTTATTCGGACGCTCACCTCGATGCGTCGACAGAATGGCTGGATTGCAACTATCCCGCAATTGCCGCGACCATGATTGGGGACCCCGGTCACCGAGAATAACAATTCTCCGATCGGGCAAATATCAATGGCCTCAATGAACGGCGTGGAATACGTTCCATCTTCCCTGCTCCATGCTTTCAGGATTCCCAAGCTCGTGCTTCAATGCCTCCCCCATGAACGCCTGTGAAATCGGGACCTGGGTTCATTGGCTCTCTAGCTAGCCGAGAGAGGATCCCTCCCCGCACTCTGGGGCTCGGCACCACTCGCCTTTCACGTTCATGTTGGCCTCTTGAAATCGCAATCCGTGCACGAGAGAGATTCCGGTCATCCGGCCATCCGGACGCTGGATACTGAACGGATGGCTGCTCCTACCTCATGCATATCGGGGACTTTGGCGAGCAAAGACACGGGGTCGCGTTGCCACATCTTTTGATGAAATTTTTGGCGTCGGCGCATTCGCCCGACTGAATTGAGTTCAGCGTGGCGTGGTACCACGGGGCAGGCAATTGGCCTCGTGGGTTTCAACCGTTGCAATCTAATCCTAGTCGCTAATGAGACCGCTAATCGTAGGTTTGTATCGGGCATTGGGAACGATCGGGTTAGAGTCGCATGGGTAATTTTATGTCCGTGAATAGGTCTGGCTTGTGGCGACGGCGAGATAGATGGGGGCCACAATTGGTCGTCTGCGTTCTTCCAATACTTTTTCGCATACTTCGATAACACCATCACTATACGGCGGACATACTCAATCGAATGGGCCGAAGCGAGACACCGTCTCAGCCTGACTTCAAGTCAGCAGACACTATCTGGCGTAAGCTGACCCGAATCCTCTCGCCGTCTCACAGGCACAATCATTAGATTCGTCCACCGACAGAGTCGAGCACTGATTGCCCGATTGAAAGACACATGCATCTCTCAGGCTGCTTGACGTTACCAAAGATGGCGTTAGTCATCGTGTTTCACTGTAGGCTTTCGTCGATCCGAAGTCAACTGTTGCTAGACCTCCTCTGTTCTCTATTTCCTGCTCTCTGTTCTCTGTTCTCCGTACTTCGTACTTCGTACTACTCCATCCCACGCTGCCCCATCCTCGCCCCGATGCTACTCGCTCTTTTTTTTCCGTTGTCAGGCCCGTCCAGTGCACGGGTCAAGGCAAGTCCGCCACGACCAAGGCCCAGCCATCCAATAATTCTCACTTCGCACACCGCTATCTGAGTGGAATATGTCTTGGGAGGGTCTCGAATTCTGGACGGCCCGTGGGGCGAGCCAAGGCCACGGCGTGAATCTAGCGGCCCCCAGCCGCCTCGAAAACGCGTGTTCCGTCGCAGCCACTAGCGACCAGACAGTGAACTCGCCCTTGTTTCAGATTTCAAGCTCTGTGGCTACTTGCCCCCCCAGCTGCGGAAAGGCCCGACCGATGAATGGACCCCAGGGTAAGAAAAGAAAAATGGCCCAAAAAAAAAGGAAAAAGAGACCAACAGACACGAGAAAAAGAATTAAACCAAATACCACTAACCACCTAAACCCGCATTCTAGTCTCATTTCGCCCAAGCGTACGGAGTACGGAATAGAGCCACTTTCTTCCCTCCCCCTTCTCCCCGGGGCTCTAGTCTGAAAAGAGAGCATGTGGCTGAATGTTTGGATGTCTGGAAATCGCTCGGTTCGCTCTCGTCTCGTGCTCCACACCCCAAGTACAGGAGCTCTGAGAGAGATTGAGTGGCATTCTTGGCCGAGTGAGGTACTATCCCACCGGAGGATCTGCGGCACTGTCCAAAAAAAGCCAATTGCCAGTAGTGCACATATTCGGGACTGGCTTCTTGTCTCGGTGTAGCCAGTAACTCTTAGCCAACTAAGGTTCTGATAGCCCAAAGGTTCTTTTTGCTGAACAGGAAGAAGAAAACATGGAGAAAGCTCTGGGACTAGCGTCCAGGCCGGCGGTGGTCCACCTGTTTCCTTTCCTTGCTCTTGCCTCCCTCTGCTTCCCCCGGCGGGACGACCAAAAAGCATGGATCATCCTCACCTGTATGATCGGGTGCAGGGAGCCGTCGCGCCATTTTACACGACGAGCACTGATCGGCCCGTCGAGGCTCGCGCTTGCACTGCCTGAAAAATCCCTCGTCCAAAACGGAGACATGCCAATCGGTCAGTAATGGTAATGCCGCCGATCATGTTCTTTTTGTAGATTGGAATGAATCATGAAATGGTAGAGCAGGTCAATCATCTCTCCCGGTCCGGTCGCCGCCAAGAAATAGTAGATACTTCAAGCTAACGACTCAGGATGGCATGATTCATACGAATCCTCCACTCAATCTATAGTTAGCGAACTAATTATCTGTTCGAGATTGAACTCAGAATCCCCCGGGTTCTGTTTTGCTGGATCTCCACGGCGTCGTCAACACGCCCACTCGTCCGCAGGACAATCCACTCTCGCAAGCACTGTATCTGAAGCCTCGATGGTGCCAGGTGAACGGCTGTGAACGCCATTCGTAATCAATACCCGGCGAACTACTGACCGTTAGAGCGCTGCCGCATCCGTTTAATGAGCAATTAAATGCAATACATAACATAAGCCACGCACAGCGATTATTTCTCATTGGACGGCGAGTCCATAGTATACGAGTATACGTCGATGCCTTCCTCAATCCCTCCCCACCACCCAAGCGGAACCCCGGTAGTATCGATCCACCCATTCCTTGTGTTCTATTTGCGATTATTTGCATTTTGCTTTTCCGTTTGCTTTGGTCTCTGCTTGGGTGGCGATGGCAGCCAGTTCTCGTTGGCCGAGAATAAGCCCTCGATCGACTATTCTGATCAGTCGAGACGACGAGTCCAGGTGGCGTTGGAGGGCCCTGCTCCGCTGGGCTCCTCCATCACCCTGCAGCAGGCAAGCATTCCCGTTGGACGAGAGTCCCTTCGCGGCCTCCCCAGGCCCGTTCAGACTGATGCGTCCGCTGGACCCTTGCAGGGCGTCCTACGCATTGTTCCGTGCCTCGAGGTCCTTCCTCGACCCGGGAAATGATGTGCAGCAACCCGTCAACCATGAACGACAAACTGTCGGAAACCGCGTCCTGGTCGATCAGTCCATTCGGTTGACCGGTCAATCCCCGATCAGGTAATGAAAGGCTCAGGGAAGTCCAAAAGGTCCAAAGTACCTCGTACGTCTAGATAGTTTCCAGTGAACGTCCTGTCGGAAACCAGCCTTAATGATCGTCAACGGTTTCTCGCAGGTCCAAACCCCGACGGCCTGGAAGCGAATCCTGATTCGTTGAGCCCTAAGAGCTCATGCTCTACTGTTCCCCCCATTCTGGTGTGCTGCTGGTCCATTCTGGTCCCATCCACTCCTCCACTTCCAAGCTCGCCGTCTCCAAATCCGCCCATCCACCTGCTGCCCCCCCGGAACTCTGCGACCCAGGACTATTGGCAGTCCATCTGGACGACGGATCCCCGAAAATGCACTAGCTTATCTGTACTCCGTACTGGAGGACCTTCCGCGCCCGCTCCGGACGAGGAGCCGCCCGGCCGCGGCGGGTGCGCTATCTCCAGCCAGCTCCACTCTCGTCCCGTTTGGGGCTGTCTTCGACTAAACTGGAGGTTTCCACTCTTGCTGGCTTCTCCCCATGGGAGCCGTGGGTATGGACTCTGACCCGAGTTTTCTCTTCTCCGTAGCTCTAGAGCTTTTCTTTTTCTTACCGTTCCATCTATGAGGTCATCGGAGCACATGGGTGGGTATCATTGCTTCTTTTTCCCGGTGAGCTCTCTGCGGTGCTGGATAGAGAGGTCTGACAGATGGTGGAGATAGAGTTGTAGGCTATCACGTTGTAATTCACAGACACAAAACGGAGGGAAGATTGGAGAAGCTAAAAACGAAGGCATTTGCCTGCGCTTAACCTTTGTTCGATTTATTTTGCCTTTGCCAGCTCTATTTTTTTTTTTTTTTACAGACAGCTTCATTTCTCGGCGATGCTTGGCTCGGATTCTACTGTGCACAGGACTTCCCCTTCTACCCCGTGGGCCACGACTGACACCGTCTGTGCGACACCACGACGCCGGGGCACGGCAAGGGCCACAGCACCCGCGTACAATGATTCCTAGAGTAACAATATTCCGTCATCACCAGATCAAATAGTCACCAGAGTAGAGTCGAATGGGTGGACTCGACACCATTTGGCGGCTCCACGGCTCTGGCGATAGAGATGAGCCCTGCATCTGGTAGTCGATATATATGCATGTCGTCTACTTGCATAAAGCATAAATACGGTGCGATAGAGCAATTCGACTGATTGCAGACCAACGGTGGAGAGTTCTGAATAATAGCCTTCCCTCTAGCACTAATTCACTCTGTAGGTATGACTCCCCCAATCTGCAATTATTTCTATTTCATCATAGCTTTCGCCAATCCCAGACACTGCGAAGCAAGGGCGAAGCGTGAAAAAAAATAAAGAATAAGTAAATAAATAAAGAGCATATGGAAAAAGACTCCTCGCAGGCCCACGACAAGTGGGCGCGGCCAACTGGATTCTCGAAGAAGACTTGACAGTCTTCCATGCATAGATCCTCTCATCTTCCCTCTATTCCGTATGTATGTTAGTCCGTACGCTTTTGCGTACACTTGCGCTAAGCCAAAGCGGGCAACAATTGAGAGCAAGAGCACGCCGCAGACCGGACTGGGGGGGATGGGGGAGACACTCTCCCGGCTGTTTTCTCGCTGGGACTCTTCCGGCCGTACCTGAGGAGATGTGGACACTTGCCGAGCGGCCAACCAGCGATTGCAACCGGCACAACCCCCATCCACCCAGGAGCAAATCCCAGGCGCTGCTCCGGGGTCCGTGGGTGCTCCATTGTCTGCTCCTCCGTTCCTCCAATACGGACGCGCTCCTGTTGGAGGATAGCGTAGTGACCGGAGGACCTTGTTAGGACCTCCGACATTTTTTGGGGTGGGGACACACCAGGATTCACTCCTCTGTATTCCGTGTAGAGGAGGTGGGTGGAGGGAGGGGGGGGGGGACGAGCGTACAGTAAGAGTGCGAATAATTTCCTTGGGCGCGACGATTCGTCTCTAATGTCCGGACGGCGCCCACCGGTGCGCGGACAACGCAGTGCCATTGGTGACGGAAACAAGGGAAGGATGTCCCGCCCGCGCCGACGCTTTGCCCGCGACGGGGATGGGCTGGACGGGGTGGGGGCCACTATGTTTAGTGGCCAATCGTGTGTTGTTGATGCACACTCTGGGTCCTCCCCAAAGAGAAGGATGGGCGATGATGAAATCCCGAACCAAAGAACGGAAGGACCAGAGAGTAGCAGAGGAAACTTGGGGACGGGGAATGGGGATGGCGGACCACCGGGGACTTCTGGATTCTGGAAGACTTTGACAGGATTGTAGATGATGCGAAGGAGCAGGATCAGTGGGATGGCTACTTTTTAGACTCGGAGGTTTGAGAAATCTGAGATTGTCAAATTTGCCTATATATTATTTTCTTTTCCTTTATCTTTATCTTTCCCTTTTGGTGTATTATCAAATATGAACATACAGTACGAAGGTATATTCTATATAGAGCCGAGAGAATATGTCTCTTAATGTCTTCTAGATACGAGTGTCTTGGGCGAGAGGAGGGGGAGGGTAAGCAATTTCCCTTCTATTTTCATCTTCCGAGACGCAAAAATCCCCCCCCCCCCTTCCCCAACCATAGGTCAGCCTAAGTTGGCGGACTCAGCTTGAAGAAACGAGAAGGGACACTGTCAGGTAGCGATGTGCCACAAACCTGACGTTACCCAAGTGTTGTCTGGATCCAGGCCTTGTGGTCGACGTGCAGGGTGGCTGTGTCTAACGATATGTGCACCCATCATGCAATGAATAGCCAAATCCTCAAGACACCTGCGCAAAGTATAGACGGGTGACTGTGAATTCAGATGTATCCAATCTTAGTGCGCATACTGCGTCTCACGCTGGATAGATCACGTCAAAAACAGAGAAAAAGAAAAGAGAAAAGAAAAAGAAACACGAAAGATACTCTCCAAAATACTCGTTTATTGCGTGGGTTCCATGCTTAGCGCCTTGCGATTGTATTGACATCACCCAGAGGGCCCTCTAATGCCGGCTTTGGCGCCCATTTCCCCCGGATCTACCAGACGTGAGACGACGCAGTGCCCATCACATCTGCCTATGCAATTGAAACACATCACTTTGCGACATGGCTGACGCTGCTGGACCAATAAGATGTATCACAAGCCCAAGTCACCGACACCGAGGAATAAAAAAAGTATCAACAGGACCAGCTTCCTGCAGGGTGTAATCGCAAAATGAAAACACTAAAAACAAAAATAAAAAAAAAGAATCAGCACGTCTCAACGCCTCTTATCACTGACTAGTTTGACTTCTCTCCGTCCCCTCTGTGACGCCTTCATATAGTCATGTAATCATGGGAGGGATGATTTTGGGTGAGGAGGGGGGGGGAAGACCTGGGAAGAACCTGGGTCGTTTCCCCTCCCATGCTTGACCCGCGGGCGCTTCCAATCAGGTGAGTTAGGGCAACCGGGACCAGGTCTCCGGAGAAGGGCCACTTCGACGCTTTCCAGAGGGGCCAAACGCCAGAGCCTTACCTCGCCGTGGACATGCAGTAGCCAATGGGGCCATGCAGATGCTCCCGGGGTGTTCTTGCGGCTGTGCCTCCACAACATTTTTGGTTCCTGCAGTAGGCCGCGCAACTGGACGGAATATCACAAGCCACCGAGCCAGTCTCGGTCTCTTGATGAGGAGAGAATGAAAAGGTCCATGACACAAGCGGTCTTGACGTGTCGCGCGGATGTGACGACCCTTACATGGGAGGGCCCCAGCTGGACGTGCTCATGTCCTCTTATCCAGTGAGGATGGTGTTAGGGACTGTGGGAGTGGGCATCGTACATACTACACACTACACACTACACACTACAAGAGGTGCACCGGAGAGACGCCAGGCAGAAAGAATCCCGAATTTTCCTCCAACCCCAATTTGCATGAACTACTCTCTCCTCCCCGCCCTCAAGTGGCGACATATTACCTATGGTCTAAAAATTTTAGGTGGGCAAGAAAAATCAAAAATCAAACTAAAAAAAAAAAAAATAAAAACACAGATTTTGGACCTGTAACTAATGGACTCTAATGGCACTCTAATGAAATCTAATCCAGCTAAGGTAAGGATGATAACCCCGAGGCATCGTTCGAAAGACCCAGAAGGAAGCAATGACCTAAAATTTGCCCCCATGGTCTGGGCTGATCTCAATGCTCGGAAGCGCCGAGGAAGCTTCTGGGGCGCGATAGAGACTTCCACTCACCGTTGTACTTTCGGCCAGGATGCAGATGAAACCGCCCAGCGGGACCTTGGGGCGTCACTCGGGAGGGGGGAAGGAGCGAATGTGAACGAGTCGCGGTGCTTCGTTACGCAGTGCCGGGACGAAAACAATATGGTGTAATCTGGGAATCTGGGCCATCTGTCCTAGCCTCCCGAGGCTGTCGTCAGTCCGCATGGGCAGTGGCCAATGCCGACCGTTTCACGATCGCAGGCTGGTTGCACGGTGGCCGCCACCGTTGATAGCCCTCTGATCGGCACTCCAGGGAAAGTCGTGAGCGACGGAATGGTTTGGTGATTCCTGCACCATGAGGTTGGCCGACCCAATAGGGAAGAGATAGGCCTAGTCCTTTTAAGTTTTCTACATGTTGATCGCGAGAAGGGTCAAAAAAAGGAAAATGAGAGTCAAGGGTGTGAACAGAGTATAGTGTGCTCCGTGGAGAGACAGACAGAGAGGAAGGGATCAGTGGAGGCAGAGATAGTCAGCCCACGGGAATGGTCGAATCCTGGGCTCCTGATAGTAGTGTAGGTTACCCGTGTCTGGATTCATGATATCCAGCCCACAGCAGCCCGAGAGAGTACTGATGGACAGTCAAGTACCGCCACGACTGAGAGTCTCGGGAGGTAGCGTGTGCCTGGGGGGCAAAAAAGGTGAACAGATCATGGGTGTCGATCGCCGGCAGTGGGACTGGCGATGCCCTGGCAGAGAAATGACGAGACGGGACGTGGGGCGGCGTCCGGGCGGGTGATTCGTGGTGTGCGCTGGGTGCTGGTGCAGCGGGTGGAGGGCCCCGCCGGGAATAGCAGCCCACTGGCGCCGTCTCATTTGTCCGTTCGGCCCAGCACTCGCACTGATAAGAGCAGGACGAAGTGGCCGTGGTGGCAGAGGTGTAAATGATTGCCGCTGTCACCATCGCCCTGGTCCAATCGCCATGCACCTCGTGGCCACACGGCCATTTCCCAAATTTTGGAAAAGGCCGTGCTGGTGGAAGAGGTCGAGGGCCCCATGCCCCCAATCTGCTGCCTTCTCTCTTGCCGCTTGCCTCTCTGTCTCTCTCTCTCTCTGTGTGTCATTTCGTGATGGTCCAGCTGAGGCTGCACAAATAGAAACCCAGAAGAGACTTCATGGATGGTGATAGGCCTATGTTAAGAGAGAGGGAGAAGAGGATGGGCCTCTTGCCTCTCTCTCTTTCGCTCTCTCTGTAGGCCACTTGAATCTTGCCGACACAGCCTCCATGGCGTTTCGCTTTCGTTTCTCTGGGTTTTCTGGTTCTCTCCGCATTTTCAGCGTAACACCAGCATCTCGTGCTGCTCCACTTCTCTCTTTGGGCGTGTCGACCGATGTGGGTTTCCCTGGCGCGATACAGGAGACGGGCCAGTGTCCGTACCCTTGGGAACTGGGTCCCTCTTGGCTGGGAGAGTAATAATAATTGTAGAGTATTCCGGTATGGAGCCGGCCCACAGTGGAGACTAGTGCCCAGGCGATCCAGTGCGATTGGAGCAAAGCTGGTCTGGAGAAGGAGGGAAGTGTCCAGTGGTGCTGTGGTGCAGTGCTGTGGTGCGGAGTACTATGTTTAGCCTAGGATAAGCTGGGTCGTGAGTTGGGTTTAGCTGGGTATCGCTGGGTATGGGCAGTCTCGGGCATGCCCATCCCGCCCCGGACTGGTCGGACTGGTCGGGGTGTGACGGGATACCGCCCTTACACTGCAGACGGGACACTCTTCCCCCCCCCCCCCTCCAAAATAAAATCATTTGTTTTGCCAATCCTTTTTTCCCTTTTTCTATTTTTTTTTCTTTTCTTTTATTTTTCTATTTCCTTTTTTTCACTTTCCATTTTGCCATTTTCATTTTCTCTTTTTTGGATTTTCTAGCATCGTTCCTGGCCCACTGGTCGCGCCCACGACTAGTGCATCCGGCACGTACAAACTCACAGCAGATCACTGCTCACTCTTTTTATCCACCGCCGTCCACCTTCACTCATTCTTCCTTACTCTTATCGGCTCTGTCTCTCATTTTTTTTTACTTCCTTTTTCCCTCTCTCTCTCTCTCTCTTTTTTTTATATATCATATATTTCTCCATTTCCATTTTCCCTCTAGTTTGTTCTGCCTGTTTGGGTTTGGGGGGTTTATCGATATTTCTCTCTCCTTCCCACGATCACTACCTCCGGTTCCTCTTTAGCAACACGCCCTCGAGGTTCCTGTCCTTCCTTTAACAAAGTGATTCCTCCTACACTGAGGTTGCCTCAACTCCATAGTACCCTAATCATCTGGTCCTTCCACTCCTTTGTGACTCCCTCAATTCCTCGCGGATTCTTCGACCAGCTTCTTTCACCCCGGCTTCTCTTGATACTCCGATACTCAAAACCCTAATAATCTTCGCATTGGCGACGACACTCACCACAGGTTGGTTCTTCCGCTTCTTCTTCTCATTCTCGTTGATTCAGTCATCGTGCGGTGGGTTGAGTGTGCAACATGTCAATGGGCCCATTCATGGCCCATCAGGCCACCCACGACCGCGTGGCCGTTTCACTGCCTCCCAAACCACATGCGAAGCAACATTCACTGACTTGGAGGCCGCAGCTTTTCCATAATGGACTCACCATACACAGTCGGACCGACTCCGGTTCAAAGCCAATCTCCATTCTACTATCCCGACACACAGCAAACCTCCCAGGGCCACTACACCAGCCAACCGTCCAATGTGCCCTACTACGGGCAGATGCAGTTCTCGCGCGGCGTGGAGCAGCCCATCTACTCCGCCCAACCGGTCATGAACATGCACCAGATGGCTACCACCAATGCCTTCCGGGGCGCGACCATGAACATGACCCCGATTGCTTCACCGCAACCCTCGCAGATGAAGCCCGCCATTATTGTGCAGCAAGGGTCCCCCGCCTTGATGCCGCTGGACACCCGTTTCATCAGCGCTGACCTGTACGCCTTCCCGTCCACTCCGCCATTGTCTTCATCGGGAAGCACCATCAGCAGCCCGCCATCCGCTCATGGAACCCTACACACCCCCATCAACGACAGCTTCTTTGCCTTTGAGAAGGTGGAAGGTGTCAAGGAAGGCTGCGAGACCGATGTACACACGGAAATTCTGGCCAATCCCGACTGGTCCCGATGCGATTCGCCCCCAATGACGCCTGGTAAGTGATCTATAAAAACGAGTGGGGACGTGGCTTTCGGAACGACGAAGCGGCGGATCCCTCATGCAAGGGAGGGAGAATTCGTTTGGTTGAGAGATAAAAAAAGAAATTGACGCAGAGATCAATTTGAGAGAGAGATGATGCAGCAAAGGCTAATTCTTGATGCTTTCCAGTGTTCATCCACCCGCCGTCGATCACCAGTCAGGCGTCGGATCTCCTCTCCGCCACCTCTTGTCCCTCACTTTCCCCTTCTCCTTCGCCCGTTCCGAACGATCTGCTTGCTCAATCCCAGGCTCTGACCGCCGAGTCCTCGGGCGCCGACTTCTGCGACCCCCGCCAGCTCACGGTGGAAGCGTCGGTCAATGTCCCAACTCCCCATGACCTGCCGCCTTTGCCCACCCTCACCTGTGACGATGAGGAGCCCCGTGCCGTGGTCGGTAGCGCGTCTGTGACTCTGCCGGTCAATGAGAACCCCGCTCCCTCCTTCACTGCTTCTACCCAGGACCCGTTGAGCTCTTTGCCAACCTTCGACAGCTTCTCAGACCTCGACTCCGACGATGAGCTAAACCGCCTGGTGGACTTCCACCCTGGCAGTAACGCCGTCTACCTTGGTGATAAGCGTCAGCGTGTGGCTCATTTTGTTCCTGAGGACGATGGATTCCTGAGCGAGCACAGCCTCGAAGACTCGGACGACTCTGAGGTCTTCCTTCACTCCGGCATGCCCTCTTTCGACTGGAATGAGTCGACTCAGCCCCATGTCGAAATGGAGGAGATGGCCGAGGAGGAGACCAAGATTAAGAAGCGCAGCAACCGCAAGTCTTCCCGCAAGACCGTCACCGTTGACGAGGAGGTCCACATTGCACAGGTCCCGTCATCGGCCTCCTCCGTGGGAAGCCCGTCGACTGACTCGGAGCCTGCTCCCGTGTCGGTCAACCGCCGCGGCCGCAAGCAGTCCTTGACCGATGACCCTTCCAAGACCTTCGTATGCACCCTGTGCTCGCGTCGGTTCCGCCGCCAGGAACATCTCAAGCGCCACTACCGCTCCCTTCACACCGAGGAGAAGCCCTTCGAGTGCAATGAGTGTGGCAAGAAGTTCTCCCGCAGTGACAACTTGGCTCAACATGCCCGTACCCATGCCGGTGGCTCCATCGTCATGGGCGTCCTGGACACCAGCGACGGCTCGATGTCGTTCGATGAACAACACGACGCCGGTGCTCTAGGGTCAGTCATGTACGAGGCTGCCCAGGCCGGCGCTGAGGACGACTCCCCTGCCGCCGAGCGCCGCCCGGCCAAGAAGCGCAAGCGTGACTAAGCCGCGTCTCTCGGCTTGCGATCTCGCTGCGCTTGATGATTTCTATGAGACCAGGAGAACTTCCTACTGCATATATAATACATATTTCATACATTCTCGGCGCGGTTTCTCCACTACTTCTCTTTTTGTGGAGGTCACCGCCATTGCGGTCTTGATTGGGTTTGGCGTCCGGGCATTTGCACTGGTGTCGGAATCAGGGGTCATCGGTGTACGGCAACTTGGTTCCTTCACAGCTTCGTTACATTGCAGAGAATCGGGGAGCAGCCATGAGGAGCGAATAAAGGAACATCGCGTTGTTTAATTCTTGACGCGCCTTTCTATCGCATCTTCTCAGATCTGCTTTCTCTTGCCTAGGACTTGGGCTTATTCGGGGGAGATGGGCATTTTCATGGGGCGCTTTTCGCACGGTCCATGATGGAAGAGGAATTTCCGAGCCAAAAGAAAAAAAAAACAGCAAAATAGAGCTAACGATGAATGGGCACCCTGTCTCTGCACATTATACAGGTACGGGGGTGGCTTGGATGGTGTTGGTTTTCCTTTGTCTTTTTTCCTCCGTTTTTCCTATGTTTTTCTCTTTCCTTTTCCAACCTCCTCTTCTGCTTCTCCACAAATCCCTCGGATCAGCACATTTGGCGTGGGCCATTCGACTCACACGGTTGGCAGATCTTGGGCCTTTATCCTACTGGTCCTTCGTTCTGGTTTCCCCGATCTTCTGTCATTTTTTTCTTCCTTTTTTTTTCTTCCTTTGATTTACCCTTGTTGTTTTGCCCCCATTTTTGATTCCCTTCTTGACTATTCGATTCTTGTCCGTTTCGCTTATATCTCGTTTTTCCTGCACTATTTTGATGTAATATTTCTTGTGATTTTTTTTAACCTTTTGTTTCTTGTGCTGGTCACATTCGTGTATAAGTTAATTTGACCATCCCTCCCCTTCTTGTCACTCATACCCCCTTCTTGTATTGCATTTCTTGCCTGCCATTTTGTGTTGGTCTCAGGTTTTTTTTTATCCACTATGGATCTCTAGCATCACAATTACAGCATAATTCTTTTTATGACTTTCTTCTCTTGTAAATCGTGGAAATCGTAGCTCTACTCCCCTGCTGTACTGTTATCAATTTTGAGTCCCGACTATATTGCATCTCGCCATTCGATATTAATTTATACTAATGGCTTCTTTTTGGATTGAATGAAAAAGGTACAGCATAGCTTCAGTATCACCCTCACTCTCTATTGTTTTACTAAGCACGCCGTTTTCTCAAATTTCTCTGGCTACTGGTTACACTTGGTTGAGGAATGATGCCGGTATCAAAGTTGGGCCGCGGCTTATCGCCCTTTATCACCCTATCGATAAGATGCGGGGACATAAAAAAAGCAACCACCCACATTGCCCATCCCCAGTTCGACCACTTCCGAACAAAGATTGCGGGGAAAGAGGGCATTGAGAGGAATCATCAAGACCTCGTATGCTTCAAGTCCAAAGATGTCCTCCTCGCCACCATCCCCATCCTCAGGGCTCAATGTGATCGCCCTCATCTCCGGCGGGAAGGACTCCCTCTACTCCATTCTCCATTGCATCCGCAACGGCCACAACGTCGTCGCCCTCGCCAACCTCCACCCGTCAGAACCCCCCAGCACAACATCCTCAGACACTACATCAGAAGCCGACGATGACATCGACAGCTTCATGTACCAAACAATCGGCCACGCCGTCATTCCACTCTACGAATCCGCCCTGAAGCTCCCGCTCTACCGCGCCCCCATCACCGGCGCCGCCGTCGACACTGCCCGTGTCTACCGCCACAATGCTGCTGACCAGGCCGCCCAGAGCACCGAAGAAGATGAGACCGAGTCTCTTGTCCCCCTGCTGCGCCGCGTCATGCACGACCACCCGCACGCCAATGCCGTTTCCGCCGGCGCCATCCTCTCCACGTACCAGCGCACTCGCATCGAGAATGTCGCAGCACGCCTCGGACTCGTTCCTTTAGCCTGGCTGTGGATGTACCCGTCACTTCCAGTGCCGGAGGACCGCCGCGCTGATCCCGGGGCTGTGTCAGACGCCGGACTACTGGAGGACATGGCGGCGTGCGGGTGCGACGCACGCATTATCAAAGTTGCGTCTGGAGGCCTGGACGATGGGTATCTATGGGAGAATGTATCTGAAGCAGGCAACAGCGGCCGGATGTGGCGGAGGCGTGTCGTGAAAGCAATGGGCCGGTTCGCGGCGCCGGAGGATACCCGGGGCGCGGTGCTGGGCGAGGGGGCGAGTACGAGACGCTAGCACTGGACGGACCGGGCTTTCTGTGGAAGCAGCGTATCCAAGTGGAGGGACGAGAGGTCCGGACTGGCGAGGGCGGCGTGGCGTACATGCGCTTGACGGGGGCAACGTGCGTGCCCAAGGACGGCGACGCACAGGAGTATACGCCGCAAGACGTGCCGCGGCCAGGCTTGGTAGATGAGATGTTTCAAGACGCATGGGAGGAATTAAGGTCGTCTGCAGTATTGCCGGGCTCGTCAGGCTCGATGGCGCCGCGGCTTATGACGCCGGAGTGGACATCCTGCATGCCGCACCACCGGCTCTCGTCGTCAACATGGATAATATCAAACCTGGTGGCGCCGGAGGCCGGCCCCAGCGCCGCAGACCAGATGCGCGCCATCGCCGACAAGATCCAGCATGCCCTGCGTTCGTCCAACGACACGCATCCCTCCCCTCGCTCCACCGACGACATCGTCTTCACTACTGTCCTGCTCCGCTCCATGTCCGATTTCGCCCCTATGAATACCGTCTACGTCTCCCTATTCAAGAAGCCGAACCCACCCGCCCGCGTCACTGTCGCTTGCGGCAATGCCCTCCCCGCCAACGTGACCGTCATGGTCTCGCTCACCATTGACCGCGGTGCTCGAGATCACCGCTCCGGCCTCCACGTCCAGTCCCGCTCGTACTGGGCCCCCGCCAACATCGGGCCCTACTCGCAGGCCATAACGGTACCCCAACGCGGGCCCAGCAGCATTGTCCACATTGCCGGTCAGATCCCACTCGACCCGGCGTCGATGGACGTCGCTGCGCCGCAGGGCTATCCACACGAGGATTTCATTTTCCGCGCCGTACTGGCCTTGCAGCATCTATGGCGCATTGGCGCTGCGACCCAGGTCGATTGGTGGCTAGGCGCGGTTGCGTTCCTGGCTGGCGGCGACGTGGGGGCTCGTGCTCGCGTGGCGTGGGCTCTGTGGAGCAAGGCACATGCCGCTCCTGTCAGTAACGATGACGACAACGACGACGAGCCGCAGCTTGATGCCTGGGATATCAAGTATGGGCGACGCGGTGCGGACCTGGTGCCGCGGTCGTCCGGGCACGGGGTACCGCGCTTCGAGGTGCTGGACCGGGCCAGTGCGTTTGTCTCGCCATTTCTGGCTGTAGAAGTAGATGCGCTTCCCCGTGGGTGTGAGATCGAGTGGCAGGGGCTGGGGAGTCGGTGTGCGCGGGCGATGGTGGAGAGCTCGGCGGATGCAGTAAGTGTTATTGTGGATGAGGGGATTCGATCTGTTTGCGTTGAAATTGGAGAAGGAAGCACAGCGCTTGCGGAACAGGTTTCTGCGGTCGTGGAGACGTACACGTCTGGAGGAACCTTGGCTCAGGCGGTGCTGTATACAGCGCAGGCTGTCGATGAGGGTGTATGGCCGGGTCAGATTGTGCCTTGTAGGTCTGTTTGGGGCCGAGAGGGGCGGAAACTGACTGCGGCTGTGGTTCTGCAGGTGGAAAACGAATAAAACAGATAACCCTGTCTTTAAAAAAGAAGTAGAAGGATGGTTTGTTTGGAATTGTTTTATTAGCTGTCAGGGCATTGTGTCCGAGCGTCGTTGAGACTTGAAATACCCAGTGGTCATGCTGCTCCAAAAGCCTGATTACTTGCGTTTGAGAATATCTGGAACGGCCAGGCAAGAATTGTATCGGTAAACTATTAGCTGGGTTCCCAGCCTGAGATATCATTGATGCTAGATGCCTCACAGCTCGGCATGGTGGTGGTTTCTAGGAATGCTCTCTAAGCCGGATAGGTCCATGTGTTGATTGAGAGCCAAGATTCGGAATTATGACTGTGCTTCGTTGGATCTCAAAGTTCATGAAGGTGGTGAAGTTTGCTTGTCTTGACAAATCCTAGGGTTATTCATGAGCTCAGAAGCATCAAGATGCTAAGTTATTCACTATTGGATCTAGTGACATCGAGTAAGCCAGTGAGTTCAATAGTGCTGTAATCGATAACAAAACAGTAAAACGCATAGAAACGCATGTACACCGTGGAGCTCCCAATGCCACATGTTGTTTCGCTGGCAGACCCTATATAGCCTTGCCCTAATTGCAGCAATGATTCTTTCTGTGGGAATTGGAGGTCTAATTCAACATCTGTTAGTCATGATTCCAACCAAGAGGCTTCCCTACAAGTACTGCCTTCATAGCTCAGTTGGTAGAGCGTTGCACTAGTAATGCAAAGGTCAGTCGTTCGAATCGGCTTGAAGGCATTTCTTTTTGTTTTGATGTACTTTTCATTCCATCCTGAGCCTGAATGTACACACGTACACCCTGGTCGGATGGATTGGGGGTGGATTATTTTTAAATGAGCAGGGATTTAAGGTGTTACGTTGAGAAAAAAAAGGCAAAGTGTATTTTTGGTGTTGGGGGCTGGATCAGCTGTCAGCTGTTGGCCCCAATCGCATGGAATGTTGAAAAAACCAATTAAACTCGCAGCAAATACGTGTCTTGGACCCTCTGGCACCTTTCATTAACGCTGAAAAATCCAAAAGAAACCCTACAGAAGTAGCAGCATATGATAAAAGCGACCTATTGTTGGAAGAGGATATATCTTCCCGAGTGCCTGGCACGCCGAACCATACGTAATTGGGTCCAAATCTCAGAAGGTGGATCGTTCGCTGGTCCGCCCCGGGCATGTGATAAGCAGAATCCCCTTCCGCGTTCAGGAAAGATAACAACATCCCAACTTCAACAGCATCTCCTGATCACTACGGCTCGACACTTGGAAGAACGTCTCGACCCTTTGCTTGATAGTTTCGGCTGTTTCCCCGAACCATTCCTTCCTTCTCTCGCTCACAACATATTTCGGCATGACGTACTCATCAACCTAGGAATGGCGCAATGAGTTCTCCGCGGGGCCACGAGGACCAGGCGGCGATTCCTCGCAGCAGTACGCCTGCTACGAACTCCGACGTAATCGCTGAAGATCTGCGACAATTCAACCGCTCTCCCCATCCCTACCATCGGAGCAAACGCCTTGGGTCGCGAACGCCCTCCGAGTACGGCGATCGCTTGCAACCACTCTCTTACTACTCGAAATCATCACGTACACCGAGCGACAGCGGCACAGAGGCGGATGACGAAAGTACGGGTATACTAAGAGGACTCCCAGCACCACCTCTCCGTCCTCGAAAGGGCCTGCGATCAGGTGGACTTGGCGGCCTAGATGGAGATGCGTGGCTGCCTACATTACAGCCATGGCCATCATTCGTGCGACAAACGGCACGAGGGCTTCGGCGCAGCTCAGAGGAGGACTTAGAAGGGAAGGTAGCTGCAGACCAATGCATGAGCCATCGGAGGCGAGTGGAGATCCTACGACGCCTGATGGAGACTGCGCTCCTACTCTCGGTAGGCGCGGTGGTTCTATTTCAAAAGGACTCTCGCTCGCTGGCCTGGACCTGGAGCAAAGGTAATCAGGGCGTTATATAAGGACCTTCTGGATGAACAATCAGCTGACAGCCTTGCAGAGCTTGCCGCTCATGGTCTCCTTCTTATCGGGCTGTATGCCACCTATCCACTCCTGCTTCGACTCTCAAGAAGCCGGTCGGGGCGCATATGGCCCTCCCGTCGACCTTTCTTCTCTATTCCCACGACTTTTGACCCGGCTCCTCTCCTATATCCGATTTTAATTCCGATCTTTGTTTCGCTATCTCTCACACACCACCGCCCGGCTTTGGTGATGCCAAACATCATTCTAAGCCTTTCCTCGCTGCCAGCCCCTGTGATACCCCTACAAAACTGGATAAACGGCATCAGTCTTTCACATTGGATGGTGACACTAGTCCCAATCCTCGTGTCCGAGCATCTGACTTTCGACTCTTCCGTTGCTAAACCATTGATCCTTCGCGGACATGATGCGGAATCATTACTTCTTCTTTTCCCTTTGTATCAAGCGTTGATACCCACTTTGGACTTCTTGTTAACGACAAGCATTCTTCCTGCGGAGCTACAGCTATTGGCAACTGCTCTGATTAATCTGTATTTGTTTGCGGCCTCCCCCCAGGCTGAGATTCTGAAAGCTCTGTTGTGGTTAGGCGGGATGTGTTTATTTGCTTCATGTCGGTACGTACTGCGCTGGGAAGTGGCTCTGGCTCGCATTCCTAGCTGGAAGTTCCGACGCTCAATCAGCGGCTCTCAGTCGCCCCGAAAATTTTTGAACATGGTGGACCACCGACTTTGTCAGAAGTTGAGCCGAGCCGGTGCCTCCGACGAGCCTACTTCTGACAGTGATGGACCTTGTAGTGTCCCAAGATCCCGCAAGTCGAGGACCATGCGAGAAGCCCGAGGCTCGGCGCCCTTTGATGAGCCTCTATCTGCAGGGGACAACATCACTGCTGAGCAGGCCTTTGAGCAACATGATAAAGTGTGGAAAAAGCGGCGACATACTATCTCGGCCTTTGACGAAGCCGTTCAAGAAGAACGCGTTCGGACTACACCAGGTGGTCGACGCAAGAAACTGATGGGCCCTGGTTTTGCATCATTTCTATCACTCACCGCAGCCCAAGCGCAGGTCCGCAAATGGCTCTATGCGGTATATGTGTATATTGTCTCCGGGCTGATTATCATAGGGCCTATCCGGAAGTACGTTGCTGAGCGTGCCCTGCAAGGACAAGACCCCTTTGGTTGGGCTATTGGATATCTGCTGGGTAATATATCTGGGGTTCGGTTCTGGGTGCTCATGCTCAATCTTGAATATTGGATCCAGCTACCATCCCGACCAGACACCGCTCCGGAAGAAGCCACCTGCTGGCTGGGCTGGGTTGAACATCTACGCCAGACCTCCTTTGGACCTGCCAATGCCCGCCTCCTCCTGAGCGCTTACTGCGTTTTAGTTTTGATTACAGGGCTCGCTATTGTTTTCCAGCTGAGCGCGATCGCCGAGGTCGACACTCGGCGTAAGGTTTTCCATGGCATGATGGTGCTCATGTTTCTACCGACTGTTTTCGTGGACCCGACCTTCTGTGCTCTCGCACTGGGGCTGGTTTTGTCGATCTTTCTGCTGTTAGACCTCTTCCGCGCGTCCCAGCTGCCTCCGATCTCGCGCCCTTTGACCTACTTCCTGGCGCCCTACGTGGACGGGCGGGATCACCGCGGCCCGGTCATTGTTTCGCACATCTTCTTGCTGATCGGCTGCTCCATCCCGCTCTGGCTGTCCCTGGCGGATTTGGACCACCAGGGCGAGGCCCCCTGGGCTGGCTGGGACGTGTCTGCGCGCGACGTCAGCATGGTCAGCGGCATCATCTGTGTGGGAATGGGCGATGCCGCGGCCTCCCTCATTGGTCGCCGCTTTGGCCGATTGAAATGGTTCTGGGGGGCGGCAAGTCGCTCGAGGGCAGTGTCGCTTTCGCGGTGGCAGTCTCTGGCGGGCTGCTCGTCGTTCGTGCCTGGCTGATGGTGGGAGGGTGGCCCGTGGCGGGCATCGAATCAGCAAGTGTGCCCGCCTCCACCGTTCGGTTCTGGGGGTGGACGGTCTGCAAGGCCGTACTCGCGGCTGGTGGCACTAGCGCCACGGAGGCCATCCTCACTGGGTGTAATGATAACGTCGTGGTGCCAGTCGTGTTGTGGCTGCTGGTGCGGGGTCTGGGCGTTTGAGGCCGCGGAAAAGCATGCAGGAGCCGGGGGTATACTTGTATGTAGTATGTATAGAGGAGGGGACCGAGCTCAATTGGCGAATTGGGGTCGTCGGTTTGTATTTATATAGAAGCCCTTCGGCTATGAAACGAGATGTTCCTCTCACTGTGTATATTGTACTCCGTGTGTATATGTCGATAGGCACTCCGTATAGAGTCCTGGCGCCCGTTACGTACATGAGTTGTTTACCATGATGTTCCCTAAACTGGTCGCTCCCAAGGTCCTTCGCTCCAACAGTCCCTAGTTCCCTCTGTGATGAGTCTGCGATGAGTCTGGGGGTTTGTACTACCAAGGTGGACAAGATGGACAAGGTGGACCAACTAGAACTCACTAACGACTGTCTGATTGTCTCCTGAAGCCGGGGCCTCGCGGGTTCTGCCTTGGGCCCCGATAAGCTTTGGGGTTATCGGGGGTCTGGGGGTCTGCCGATCTCGGATCCACGAGTCCGTGATCCAAGATGTTCAGGATATATATCCATGATAGTAATAACAGTCGTGACATCCATGGCAGTCTAACTTGGAAGTTCCTCCCTATGGACCTATGGATCATCTGGAGTTGATTCTTAGAGTATGACTGCATTTTGCCCAGTTTCATTCCTTGAAGTACGACACTTGGTACAATCGTAGGCCAGACTCGTGACTTGCGATAGGTCACGATCTCCTTCTTATCTAATCGATAATACCTGCATCATCGACGTCCCCCCTTTTCCATCTCTGCACCTTTCTCTTTCTCTTCCCTTCCCTCCTCTTGATCTTTGTGCAGCTTGGGCTTCTTTGAGATTCTTGGACTTTTTTTTGGATCCCTTCGTCTCCTTTCTCATCTGGTAACTGGTCCAACCCCCACCCTTGCCACCCCCAGACCCACCGCCCTTCTGACCGCCTTACCAGATCACCGCCGCCTGTCACTCGTTATCGGCGCAGGTCACCCCCCCACCTCCCCAATCATTGTCGACGCGGTCCTTTGGGTCCAGCTTTCCCGCCCTTTCAAACATCACATCATCTTGTGCCCCCATCAGATCAGCTACCCGGTTTCCACACCTCTTAAAGTTTGGTTCACATTCCACCCTCCCCATTTTGTACTTTGTGCAAAGCGCCCTTCTATTATAACATCATCACTTCCTTTCACCGCTTTCCAACATCCTTGTTGGACCATCGACGTGAATCGCCTTCGACCACCCAGATCGCGAGCTGGTCTCGTCATCCACCTGCAGCATCCTCGACAGAAACTCCCCCAGTTTGTCCACCAAGTTCCACGGCTCTCCACCCAGGTCGTTTCCAGATTTCTTAACCCGGTGGTCCGTCTTGCTTCCAGGCCTCCCGGCGCTGAACATCCCAACATCAGGACCCCCTCCTACCCTCGATCCACTACCCCCTGATGGGCCTCCGTGCGAGCCTGCTGTCGACAGATCTGCTGCGGTAGCTGTGGTTGACGGTGGTTGTGTGTTGGACCTTCGCAGAGCCATCTCTGCGGGACATCAGAGGCGTGGTGGCGGAGCCGCCCTGCGATAGTCATGTCATCTCAGCATTCACGGAGGTCAAGCGCCTCCTCGACTGAAATGACTATCGGCCCCTACACACGACATGGAAAGATCGGATCAGGGAGCTTTGCAACAGTCTATCGAGGCACCCACGCGGTGAGTCACGAATGCCCTACCCTTCTTGTACCCCGCAAGACTGACCAGTCTTACCCGATGGCCAGAAATCCAAGACCTTCGTTGCAATCAAGTCAGTGAACCTATCGAAGTTGAATAAGAAGTTGAAGGACAACCTTTCCTCCGAAATCGATATCCTCAAGTGTCTGCACCACCCGCACATCGTCGCACTGATCGACTGCCATGAGTCCACCTCACACATCCATCTCGTCATGGAGTTTTGTGCCCTGGGGGACTTGTCACAATTCATCAAGAAGCGACAGTATCTGGGTAATCACCCCGAGACCCAAGAAATGGTGGCCAAATACCCAAACCCAGATCACAAAATCGCGGGCCTGAATGAGGTGATTGTGCGACATTTCCTCAAACAACTTGCCAGTGCGCTGCATTTCCTACGCGAGCGTAATCTCATCCATCGAGATATCAAGCCTCAGAATCTTCTCCTGTGCCCAGCCCCTACAACCTATCGCGCTGGCCGCTCCCGGATCATTCCCTTGAAGGGCAGCGAGAACTCCTACGACCCGGCAACGGGACTGGAGTCTTTGCCTATGCTCAAGATTGCTGACTTCGGCTTCGCTCGTTCCCTGCCCTCTACTTCCTTGGCCGAAACCCTGTGCGGCTCACCCCTTTATATGGCTCCCGAGATTCTTCGATACGAGAAGTACGATGCCAAGGCTGACCTCTGGTCCGTTGGCACGGTGTTATTTGAAATGGTGGAGGGGAGACCTCCATTTCGGGCATCGAACCACGTTGAGTTACTACGGAGGATTGAGAAGGGAGAAGATCGAATTAACTTCGAACCGAAAAACCCGATTTCAGATGAAATCAAGAAACTCATCCGGGGTCTTTTAAAGCGGAATCCCGTCGAACGCATGAACTTCCCAGAATTCTTCAACGACCCTGTCATTGTAGGGCCAATCCCGGGTCTGGTCGGGGATGATCTGCCCCAAGAGGAGCGTCGTCCTTCTATCGACTTGCCTTTCCGCACTGGTGCCCAGCTTGACCAAATTCAGCTCAACCCAATTGTTCCGAATGCCAGTAGAGATAATCCATATGGCACTGAGCCGGAAGAGCCTCCCTTAACATACCCCCAACCCCATCGAACAAGATCATCACGACCGAGATCAGAAACTCCTCCCAGTGCTTCACCGATGCGCCGTGTAGGAAGTGCAGATCGACCATCGTCAAGTGCTTCGAAAGACCAGGCACGAAGCGGAGCAGATACTCCGCCTCATCGACCCTCTGCACATACCCATGCGACAGCGCCGGGGCGACAAGAGCTTGTGGATCGTCATTCCACCGCAACTGCGATGGAACGACAAAGAAGTCGAAACACCTATGCCGGTACGAGCAAGACTGGCCAGGAGGATCGATCTCGAGAGGAACGTGAACGGGCTGCGCAGGAGGTTGCTTTTGAACGGGACTATGTGCTGGTCGAGAAACGTGCAGTGGAGGTCAATGCGTTTGCCGATGAGTTGGCTCATAGCCCCCGGATCCAGGGTGGTTTCGGACGGGGACAACCTGGATCTGTGTCTCGTCGTGCAACCACCCAAGGCCTGCCGTCTGTAAACTCAACATCACCGCATTCCAAGGCCCTGCAAATGATCCCTGGTCGAGCTCGAGCGGATTCACTACACCAGCGTCAACACTCGTATGAGCGACGATATGGACAAAGTCCGACGTCGGCAACATCGGCTATTTCCAAAGCCCTAAATATGGCTAGTGGTCGGCTGTTCAGTATGGGGTTTTCACCACCCTTGGCTATCACTAAAGGCGGCCGGTCGCCTCCGCTGGCATACAACCCATTTCCCGCCTATCCTTCCGGGCAAGGGAGTCTGTTGCTTATGGGTGATGGTTCCAAGACTACTGATGAGGATTACAAGGCTGTACAGGTGATTGAAGAGTGTGCGACTCGGAGCGATGTTGTTTATGGGTTTGCCGAGGTTAAATATAAACAACTCATCCCCCTGGCTCCCTCAGCTCAGACGGATCAGTCAGCAAGACCCAACACTGGTGCTGACCCCGATTCCAACAATGGCGACGATGACGGGTTAACTGTGGATGCCATTGTCACGCTCTCCGAGGAAGCTCTCGTCTTATACGTGAAAGCCTTGTCTTTGCTCGCAAAGTCTATGGATATTGCAGGAGCTTGGTGGTCACGAAAGAATCGAGAAGACGTCTATGGCGATAATGGTCGAAATGATTCCACCGCGCTTGCCGGGACTCGGATCAATAACGTCGTGCAATGGGTCCGGAGTCGATTCAATGAAGTCCTGGAGAAAGCTGAGTTTGTCCGACTGAAACTTATGGAGGCGCAAAGACGGCTGCCTCTAGACCATCCTAATCACCTGGATAACACCTCGGTTGGCTCGGCTGCCACATCGACCGCATCTGCAGATGTCGTGGTTAGCTCCGGGGTATCTGCCGAGAAGCTGATGTACGACCGAGCATTGGAAATGAGCCGGGCTGCAGCTATCAATGAATTGACTGGTGAAGATCTCGGGGGCTGTGAGATCGCCTACGTTACCGCTATCCGTATGCTCGAGGCAGTCCTCGACGACGACGGATCGCGTACTTCTACAGGGACTGCCAGCGATAACCAGAGTGCCGGCGACAGGGGATCCCTCGATGACTTGCAAGGGGAGGACCGGCAGGTAGTCGTCAAGCGTGAGTATTTTGTCCCAAACTGCGAGAATATTCAATCATACTGACTCGGTTAACAGTGGTATCCAGCATGCGTGGCCGCTTGACAGCTCTTAGGAAGAAGCTTACCGTCCTTGCCAAACGTACATCAACTGGCAATAACGGTCGACTGCCATCGTCCAATTTGGTCCCCGTCTCTCAAGCGTCGGGCGCGACTCCTCCGCGGTGAATCTCTTCTCCGTGCATACCTTTATCACTCTCAAATCCATAATGGATCTCTATATCATCTCCGACCTCACCTCCGACCTCTTAACTCATCAGCTATCCCCCCCCCTTTTTTCATTTTTTCTGCTTCTCATGTTGGAACAGAGCTTTTTATTCATCTCGCCATTTCAGAGATGCTAATTTACTTCATGTTCATGCCGTTCATTCATGTTCAAATTCTAGTGCGCCGCAATATATCCCACTGCACGAGAGGGAGAGGAGTTTTTTTCTTTCTTTTTCTTGGTTTCCAGTTTTCAGTTCTTATTTCATCTTCCCTTTCCATTTCTGTTCTCATCCTGCTTGACTTTCGACCGGCGTCTGACCTGGGTTGTGATAGGCATACAGAATGGCACGTGATTTCTTTCTCTTTTTCTGCAACTTGGATTTACTAGGTCAGGGAGTTCCGGTTGCGGTTCTGGCCATGAAATGGAGATTTAGGAGAATTGGCTGGTTGCATGTGGAATGCAGGTTTAGATGAGAGGATTTGATATTATATGAAACTATCAGATTTCAGTTTCTGTATTCCTTTCGTATCTCGTCCGTGCCCAGTTCAGGTCATAAATACTGATTTAATAAGTCAACAATAGATCGATGCTGCTCAAGTCGTGCACACCGTAGTGCTGTCCAGTTGTAAGGAGCTGTCCAGGTAGGGTCAACTCTGCCGCTCTCAAGGAGTAATTGGACCACAGCCACATGCCCATTGCGAGAGGCATGCATCAGAGCTGTCCAACCTCTATGATCTTTTGAATCTGGATCGACCTTTTCGAGTAGTAATTGGACCACAGCCACGTGTCCTCTCCCAGCAGCATGCATGAAAGCTGTCGAGCCTCCATTGTCCGTTATTTTTGGGTCAGCATTCTGGAGTAGTAACTGGACTACAGCCTCGTGGCCCCCAATGGAAGCATATGCGAGAGGCGTAAGACCTTGAGAATCCCTTTTATCGAAATCGGCTTTCTCAAGCAGCAGCTCAGAAATGCTAAGATGGCCTTTCTCAGCTGCATAAGACAGTGGGGTCCGACCTTTGTCATCTTGTGCATTAGTATCTCGCACACAATTAAGAAGTTGCCTGACGATAGTCTCTAGTCCCTTCTCTGCAGCGTAAGACAGCAGATTTCGTGAATTTGTGTCTATTGCATTGAAGTCTTGAACACGCTGAAGCAAGACGCCTGCAGACTCTTCGTTCTCTTTATTGATCGCCCAGAACAATGGCGTTGAAGAATAGGTATCCATGTAATTCGCATCAACTCTTTCATCAGCAAGGAGGGTCTGAACCACTGATGTATGAGCCTTCGATGCTGCCCATGAGAGGGGCGTCCGACCATTTTTGTCGGTCGAGTCTGGGTCAACTCCTGGGCAGTCCAACAGTATCTGAACGATATTCGAATGTCCCTGACAAGCTGCCCACGACAAAGGTGTCCACTGCCTAATGTCTGGTAAGTCCGGATTGACCCCGTCTATCTTGAGCATGAATTTGATGATCGCTTCATGTCCATTCTTCGCAGCCCAAATGAGAGCTGTTTGCCCTTCTTCATCTTGAACATTTGGATCGACTTTTCCATTGTCGAGTATGCACTTCAAAATTGTCTCATATCCGTTTTTTGCAGCATCGAGAAGAATCTTTTTGGCTTTCGAAGGAAGTGACTCCCTTTCGTCGTTTGAAAATGTCGATCCGTGATGATCAAGTATGTATTTGCACACCTCTTCCTGGCCCTTCTCAAGTGCCCAGAATAAAGGTGGCTGTCCGTACCCTGTCACTGCCTCGAGTAACAGGGACATCACTTGTTTTTCTTGTATCAGAGATATCTTCACGATAAGGTCCAACATTCGACTTTTCCATGTTTTGAATTGATATCCCGTTATAGCCTTCATGTCTTGAAACAGATAAGATAGAGAGGGAGCGATGTTGATAGCGCTGACTAGGGAGGCTGAGACTATTCCATCCCTGTTAATCCATACCGAAGAGTCAAGATTTCGTGCTCTTCCCAGGAAGGCGCTGCACGCGGCCAGCCTCGCCACCGCTCTTTCAGCTGAGAGGGGACGATCATCCAAATCGTGTAGATATCTCTGGAAAAATGGCTCGACTTGATCTTTTGGTATTGTTGGAAGAAGCAGAGTGAAAATCCTTTGTGCCTCCCAGTATCTTTCTTGCTTATTTAGTTCCTCGCACCGTTCGATGAATCCATCATAATCCGTTGCGTAACTTTTGTCGTCTGGCAGCCCCGGTGGTTGGTAATACTTTGGGTCGATAGGTACTCTCTCGAGAAGTTCAGTATCGTCAAAGTCATCATCAATTTCTTCATTTAAAAAATAGTCGCCGCTGCTTCTCCAGCTGGGTCTTCTAAACGAAGCAGAAATGATGATTTCAAGGTAAATTTCCGTGATATGCGACTAGAGGAGTCAGCTTTTCTCTGTTTTTGGAGTACCCCAAAACTGAATGGCTTTTTTACATCGATCTCATCGAACTCATCAGAAGGCTTTTGATACTTATCGTGCCATGATCGCGCAGCATCAAGTGCCACTTGTATACTATACGCCGCAGATTCCTTCCGACGCATCGCAGAGTCCCTCCAACGAGACCCAAAGTCTCTCCAACGCGACGCAGATTCCTTCCGACGCAGCGTAGATTCTTCGGAGCGTGAGCGCATATAATATTCTGCCAAAAGTCTCATTAAGTGGCAGAGACAATCCTCGGATTTAGAGAGGGGCTCTTGTAAGGGCGGATTGTCAAGATGCGTTATCAGATCAAAGAATCTGCGTGATGCGAAAAGCATGTCTGCGTACTCCATAAAGACTGGGAAGGTGTCTCGGTACGGCTTCAAGTTCGTCTCAAACATTTCATTAGCGTCTTTAAAGAGACCCAGTCTTGATAGCAGTATAAAGTCCTCTAATTCTGCAGGAATGTCATTGACCACGTCGATTTCTGGGCAAAGGAAGACGGCATTTTCTTCGTAGGTGCCGGGCCCAGTGGTGGAAGCCGATTTCATAACACTGGCTTATTCGCTGGTCGAAGTGACAATGGTGCGACCTTCTGAGTTCAAAGAGAAGCAAGAAGTAGTCGAGCTAGGTACAAGAGCGATCTTGGATGAAGCGTTTGAAGTGTTTCAAAAGGTGGTCGTCAGCCGCATGATAATCCTGCCCCGCACCAAAAGCGAGGGGCTGCTCGGTTGCAAATGCCCAGCCTTTCTTACGATATTCTTCTAATCCACCTTCTCACCCCTTCATCGGAGCATGTCTCTTCCTCCTTGCCATGAAAAGCGTAATTTTCCGCTCGAATCAAAGCCCTCAAGGGAGGTATAGGAGCCAGTATAGTGCTCTGGACACCATCCCGCTTCAGGGAGGTTCCTGCGGCCGAGCCCAAGTAAACTGTTGTCTCCTGATGCAAGAAGCTCAATGGGGATTACTGGGAGACCGGAAGGCCGTGATATTGCATCTGCTTACTGATCTCGATCAGGACAAGCATTACAGATTCGAGCGCTGCGTTGTCCGACTTTCTTTTACTGGCGACGATTCAGCCATGAGGTCGAGTAACAATAGTGCGCCTAATCCTCCTGAAATACCGCGCTTGATACACCCCCCAGTCCCTGCACACTTGAAGGGTATGGATCATGTGAAGAACCGTTCGAAACGAGCCACTGGGCAGCTCAATATTGAGGCAGGTCCAGCCACTGTGGGAGGGAGCCTGACCAGAAGCTCGGAGTATGAGACCAAAACATCGTGGAACTATACCAGCCACTGGGATCGAGGGGAGTCGAGTGACTACATGGGTCACTACACAAGAGCGAGTTGGTGTTTGGAAAACCTCGGACGCGATCAAAATGACGATGTTAGCAAACTATACGCAGGTATGGTCTTGAACCATTTCTCCAGCCCAGTCTTTGTCTCTTGCTCCGTCGAGGCCAAGCTTTCTAGCCGTCTACGGATGTTTGAGCGGTTCAAAAGTAAAGATAGAACGCCCACTTTCATCGAGATACCCATGCCAAAGGCCCTGCCACCCACGGATCTTACGGCTGCTGTCAAGGGGTTGGAAGAGAACATCCAAGCCAAGATGTACCGGGGAATGGCGAGTAAGTCATTCACACGTTCTTTCTTGACATGCCGGGATTTACCGTCAATTGATACCAACCATCACAGCCGCAATGTCTTCGAAAAACTATAGAGTCGTGCCCACAAATAAACAGGAATCGGTTGAAGGTGTGAAAGAAGATTGGGACGGGGAAACTCTATTCCAGGGAAACTCAACGGAGAGTTTTCCTGAATGAAATGATCTAGTTAGGGACCAACGCGACGCTGTGCAATATCTTGATTCCACACTCCCTGTCTATGCTATAATACTGCTCCATTGTCAATTGGCTGTTGTATCTGAGCTTGGTCATGTCTACTACGTCAAAGTCAGGACATTCAATGCAAGACCTTATTTGTCGACAAGAATCAGACGGTGGATCTCGGTTCCCAGAAGGTTTCCGAGAAGCAAATCTATTGGAATGCAATCAAATTTGAGACCTCTCTGTCCCCGAAACACGCTCTTTGGTCGTTGTCACGTCTGAGAAGTTGAAAAAGAAGAGATATGTGCTAATAAGAGACCTCAAAGAGACAACCCCGGTGTTTAAGCTATATTCTACCAATTATTTATACCTTTTCTTTCTCTCCTTGAAATCAGCCTAGACACAAGATATTGGATAATAATCAAATGAAAAAACACAACAAAAAGCAACCAGGATCTTATTGCTTCATGCCCTTGGCTATATGACCAATCAGAGATTATTGCTCTGTAATAACCATGCATAATACTATAATCTGTGCAATGAAGTCGATCGTAGCATTGCCGCTCTGCGTAACTTCGATAGGTCCCTTCCGCACGTACATAATTGTCTTCCCTCTCCCTGCAGATCTCTTCTCAACTGTTAGCTCAACGTTATGTGGCGGGTAAACAGTCTACGATAGGCTAGACTACAGAGAACCACGGTATATATTGGTTTAACCAATATTCCGGTCGCGGCTAGGTGGGTTGCATTTTCCGGTCACATAAATGAGAAGAGAGGAAGGAGGTTGTGAAATCCCACCAGCAGCTAGCTTGCCTCAACACTGTACCGTGTGAATCAGGTTTTCAGTCAATTGTGGTAATTGCGCCAATTGTAACAGAATATTTATTAGTAGCGTAGCTTTATAGTTGGTCTTTGATTTTCACCCGTTTCTATGGATCTGGATAATAGCGTTTATATAGCCTTAGTCTTCATACGTGTACACGGAGCCTTTTGTAACAAATTGGAATCATAATACTTGGCCGTGAGCCCAGTGTGATCTGAGGTTCCCGAGTTGCTCCAACTGTGACGGTGCAGGCGCCCAGTGCCTGACTTATCACTCGAGGAAACACTACGAGGTAAGTGCATTGAATAATAGCTGTGACCTTACCACTCCTAATTAACATGCTCGGAGGTTCCTCGTAACTATGTATCCGAATTAGAGACGGAAATTGAAAAATTAACCCCGGAAAATCGAGAACTGAGAGCAAGAGCCCAGCCCGCTTCGGCCAGTGGGAAAATCACCACTTCTCGTGAACAATTTTCCCCAAGCAGTGTTGGTCCTGGGGACTATCTAACAGCAAGTCCAGCCAAGTCTGATACAAGTTTGAACCACGTGCAAGACTTGGTGAAGAGCGTCAAAGATATTGTTGTTGAGCCGTCAAGACAGCCACGATTCTTGGGACAGAGCGGCGGAATTACCCTCGCCAGATTGGTCATATCAGCAATCCGCGTCGATGCCTTGCCTTCTCCTCTGCTAACTGAGCCACGCCCATACAACCCTTCTTCATTTTCAATGGCAGCGGAGGCTTCTCTTCCACCGCGCCAGGCCGCGGATCATCTGGTAAATGTCTACTTTCAGTACCACACACCGCATCTACCCGTCGTGGAGCGTGCCAGGGTGGAAGAGGCCATTGAAAGCGCATATCAGGCCATGAGTGGCCAGCAACTCCCGAACCGTGCCGTAGAAGAGGATATCTTCATATGTTACATGATTCTCGCTATCGCCCTCTGCGATGTTTCAAACCCATCGGGAGGTCGACCAAGTCAGAGTGAGGGATGCTTCAGGTCAGCCATGAGTTGGTACGAAAAGGTTGTCGCGAGCTCAAAAAGCGATGTCGAGACCCTCCGTACTATTCTCCTTTTGGCTCAATTTATTGCATTATGTCCTTCTCAGGGAAGCCTGTGGAATTTGACTGATATCGCTTTACGTTTGTCCATCGACATAGGCTTGCACTGGGAAAGTGAAGACCATATTGCGAATCTTGATCCGGCTATTTTGTACGACCGCCGGCGTCTATGGTACTCGACATACCAATTTGACCGTATCTTGTGCATCACACTCGGTCGCCCTTTTGGTATTATCGACGAAAGTGTACGTGTGCCATTTCCAAATCCTTGGGCTGTCGATCGAAGGACCTCTGGCAGCGAATCTATCGAACTAGACATCCATAGCCAACGAGCTCATAATAATTTATTTACTTTATCCAAGCTTGAGTCTGAGATAAAACATGCGCAACATAGCCAGACTTGGGCTCCAAAACTAGCTTACCCTAAAGCAAACTATGCTGTCTGGGTTCAGGATATCAAACCTCGTCTTGAAGAATGGTACGCAACTATTCCACAGATAAATAGGGCTCACCCATTATCCATATTTGCGCATCAAGCGTATTGGGAATATATCTACAGAAATGCAATTCTCCTGCTGTATCGGCCCAACTCAGCAGGATTGCAAACATCTCAGGAACAACAGTTCTCTCTTTCCACGCCTCTTGTCGACTAATCGAAAGTATCAAAACTTTACAACAAGAAGGAAAGATTGGTATTCTCTGGAAATCCAGCCATGAACAGGTCATGGCTGGCTTAGGAGTTATATCGTCTTTGGCCGTCGAAAGAAGTACGAGAGCGGAATTCTATAGGAAGTAACATTTCCATATTACAATCCTGTGCCTCAACACTCTCTGCACTCGCTGAGAGCTTTCCAGGAGTTGCAGGTTGTCGTGATGCCTTCGAAATTCTTTCGTCGGCGACAGTCGACTGGCTAGTCGATGAGAGCGCCGTGGGAAAGCAATCTGGCCGGTAGAAGTTCGAGAGACAAGCGGAGGACGTCTTACAGCAGCTGCAACTATCTCGTGGAGTAAATGAGAATATTGGAATAGACATTTCAGGCGTTTTGTCTGCTGATAACTTTTTATTTAGCGAGATGCTCAGCAGTGCTGCTCAATGGCCTGATCCGGACAGCGGGCTCAGTGACATGAGCTCTGACCCAATGATAAGAAGGAGAGCCTTATGCATTTTTTTAAACTTTCTTACAAAGAAATCGCAGTAAAAGACTCTGAAGTTCATGAATATTCTATTCAAAGTATTCTACATCAGTTGGTAACTCAATGTCATTTCTTGTCCAACGATAATTTCACAACAGCTTGCATCACCTTTCTCATAGCCTTTCTAAACCGTTTATATACAACAAGAGATTTTGTACTATTTGTTGAATTGCGGTAGAATACATCATTAGGATTAAAGAAGTTGAAGATTCTAATCGAAATGTCGGATCTGTCAACCTTGCAACTAGACTATTCATCTCTTGCTTTCTGGTTATATTTGACTTCTTTTGCGGGGAGTCCAGTGAAAAGTCACCTTTATAGGTCATATCTAGTCACAGGTCAGATTTATTGGTGAGATATGGCTCATGCTTTGATATCTTAGTCAACGGGGATTATATCGAAGGGGTTGCAGAGCCTCTCAATTGTGCCGTGGCAGCATTGCTAGCTATTGAGAAGAAGCCATTGAATATCGCGAGGACGTACGTTCTACCGCGATGTTTCCTGTTATCTTGACCTATCTTGTGATGAAGGATTCTAATGAATATGTAGGAGAACTATCGAGACTCCTATGTTCCATCAAATCCTCAACAACGAAGGTCTATCTTCCTCCGCATCGGATATGCCGATGACGGGGCCTGATAAATCCCAGGAAGCTGTAAATGTCACGGCCTTCTTAGCGAGTGACCAGAGCAGCTAGATGACATGCGCAGTGTGGAACGTGGACGAGGGCGCAAATATTTTTATTTTTTATGATAATGTTATATGAACTCTTTGCTGAAAAGGATTCGATCGTAGTCTCTTTTTCGTCGAATGAACAGCATAGACTTCGGAAATTAAATCAAGTAGTAAACTTGTAGAAGATATGAGTTATTTTTTTAATATAATGGTGAACAAGTCTTTAGACTATCCCTCTCAAATATTTATTGAAGGGCATTCTCAAGGTTTATCTTTTTGACCATATTGCTCATCAGTTACAGCTTCATGCCACACAGTGCTCCCGATTCCAATAACGAAGTGAGTCATGATGCTCTCATCATCCGCTCCGTGCCAGTGAGTGGTTCCAGCCGGAGCCCAAACGACATCTCCAGTCTTCAGACGCTGTGGAACGCCCCCCTTATCGCAGATCCAGCCGCTTCCAGCGACAACTTTGATCATTTGTCCTCTTTCATGGGTGTGCCAGTAGGTTCGGGCACAAGGTGCAAATGTGACATTGGCAATTGCTGCTTCTTGATCATTATGTATAAGGTCTAGAAAAACCTCGCCGCTAAATGTTTCCGTGGGCTTCGAACACTTGACGTCCGATCTGAAGCCATTCGGGATGACGAGGGATTTCGGCATTATCGTAGCAGTGGTTCGGGAGAAGCTTCAAAGCAATAAGAGCTGAGTTTTCGTTAATCATCATAGATTTGATCAAGATAATGACATACCCCAAGTTCTTCCCGGTGATAGATGGCGAAAGATGGTAAACTATAGTTACTTCAAACCGGTAGAAACAGAGTTGTGGAAAAAGGGACTCTACATCACTATTTAAAGAACGAAAATTTACCTTGCAGTCATTAAGTGATGCAAAGCGTCGTCAGTTTTCTCCGGCAAAAGGTCGGCGGATTCGGCAGTCAGCAGATGACATACTGCACTAGGAAGGTCCACTGATCCCCGTCCTTAAGTCCGAGTTGCTTACATCCGCACTTCCTTCGAGACAGTTCGGCCGAGAAGAAGCCATTGAATATCGCGAGGACCCACATATTCCTCTGACAGTCTAGCAATCACAAGAATATGCGGGTCCTAGAATCAATGTTCTGTTTTTCGAAGCCGTGCAATGTCCTAACAACCAGCTTCACCAGACCTGCGCACCAATCTACGTTATTCTATCACTCCTAGAAAGCCAAATGATCGCCCCAGAGATCAAAATCTTGTCAACAGGAAAGCGGATTTGATTCCCAGAGTTATGCTTTCTAGATTACAGAAACTATGTCGAGCTTACTGGGGCTACATAGCTTCAAGAGGCTACTTATTTGCCCCCATAAATGTTTCAGGCATCCCTGGCAAAGGATGCGTTTCCAGCATCTATGGACTCGTTATCAGACGCGTGTCCGATTTTCGATAGTGATAATAAAGATATACATGTTTGAACCTAGACATCGCTACAACTCTTGCTAGTAGTAGAGTCTAAATTGCGCTCTGGGATACTAACGGTAGCAGGGTTAAGGGAATTGAGAAGTCCTCCAAAGACTAATACCGGGGGGATATCTTGGCTCAAACATTATACGTATCAGACAGCCCAGCTGTCAAGGTCGCCTTGATAGAGGCACAGCAGCACCCTGGCGTCATCAATGCGATTGCGAATTTTGTAGTGGCTGCCGGTCGGCAATTGGGAGTGGAATCGGTTTGAGAGATAAGCCTTCATTAAACCATCGTCAACCTTAATACCAAGAGGCTTGAACATATCGAGCGAAATTCACTCCTGGGTTCCTTGATGAACTGCAAAGCGTTGTGTATATTGCGAGCATGATCGCTACCCGAGGTTACAAGAACGGACTAGTTGTCGCTGAAATGTATGCTGCGATCGAGATGGTCAAAAGTGCAGCCCTTGAGTTTGGGATCAAAGGAAATCCGAGTGAAGTACGTTCTACCGCGAGGTTTCCTGTTATCTTGACCTATCTTGTAATAAAGGATTCTAACAAATAAGTAGTAGAGCTATTGAGACTCCTATCGATTAAATTAGCGTTATAGATTAAAAAATAGAGGATTAGGGAGATCGGTAAGCCTTAGGGGATACCTATTAGGGTTAGAATGCTACTACTAGACGAGCCTTCTAGTATACGAATAGTAGTAGTAGAGCGATTTTAAAGGAAGGCTGCTATTTATAGCACGAACTAGCTAAGCCGACCGCGTCGCTGAGACCCCCGTATCTGCTCAAATAATTAGCGATTGTGGCCTGTGGCCTGTGGGGTCGATTGCTTAATGGCGTTGGAGCGCGCCCCTCAACTTGTGCACTCGTTGACACATAGCCCTCGCATCGGAGACTAGGGTCTTTAAGACTTTGATTAGCAAAACTCGGGCCTATTAGCCAGCCCCCCAAAAAACTACGAAACAAAGAGGAAACACATTTATTTAATTCCATTCCTACTCTCAAATTCCAACCTTCAGACATTACACATCACCAGGCGCGACAGTAAATAGCGTCCGCTCCCCGTGTCCGAATTCTGTCCAAGGAGCCAGAGGCGCGTAAAGGGCGGGGAATGAAAGACAAGCTAACCAGGTCCGGGTCCCGTGAGGCAGGACGCCCGGCTCTTCTCTCGTTCGATAAGATACCGGAATGGTTTCAACACGACAACAACCAGTAGATTCTTCACGATTACCGGCCTATATCGGGCTCGGTTCGCGCCTCGTTCCGCAGTGGTAGTATCTCACCAACGAGACGGTCAACATCTATTCCTATCTCATTTCGGCCGTTATCTTCCTCCTCGGCGAGTAGTTTATCTTGCGGTACCTTGCTAGCAAATATTCCAGAGTTACTAGCACCGATTTTGTTGCTTTCTCATTCTTTATGCTTACGACGACCATTTGCTATGCATTTTCGGCTCTTTATCATACTTTGATAAACCACTCTTGTTCCGTGGACTATTTCTGCCACCGACTAGATATGCTTAGTATAGGGATCTTCATAGTCGGTGATATTATCTTAGGAGTACACATAATCTTTCGATGTGAGACTACGCTACGCAATATGTATTAGTCTATAGTTAGTTGATCTCATATACTCGGGTTTTTCGGTCCTAGGACTAGTAATCGGATCTAACACCGCCTTAATCGGTTACTAGATTGGGGTTTTCGGGGCATTGACCATCATCACGAACGTTTATCCCAAGCTCCAGAGCTACAAGTATCGCTCCATGCGAACACTAGCGTTCGTAGCGACTAGCATGTCCGTTGTGGCGCCCTTGATTCATTGGCTCGATATTTTCGGGTTAGACCTGATAAACAAAAAAACCTTTACCTATACTATGGTGGCAAAGATAGACTGTCTTCTATCTAGAACCGCGCTTTATGCAAAGAGTCTCTCATTTTGCCCATACAGGAGAAAATTGCTAATACACGTGATTCGAAAGATGAGGTTTCCCGAAAGTTGGTAGCCTGGGAAATTCGACATGTGCAGCTCCCACTCATTCATGCACATCCTGGTGGTCTGCACCGCTGTTATCCAGATGATAGGGTATCTGGAAGCCTTCGACTATGCTTACTCACATATTACCTGCTCAGCCTCTTGAGTTACTACCTTTTGTAGAGCCTCTAACCACCGGGACGAGCGGCGGCCTTCCAACCTAGTGTAGTGGGGAAATGGCCGACAATAGAAGATCTCTGATTAGAGGATATCTTTCCTAGTACACAGTCTTTACAGGATATAGCTTCGCATCTCCGATAGGGAGAGAATCAACTTTCACACTCTCTTCGCTTCATCTACTTCTGCTTTCCCTTTTAGGAGGCTTCCTCTATCGTGGGCTGTGGTGGTTTGTTAGTCTGTTCGCCGACCTATCTCATCCTGCCTGCATTCTCAGGCTTGCCGCAGAGTGCCCTGGTTCAATAGGAACTGTAGACTAATAAACCCCTCGATACTACTAATCACCTAGCTACAGTATTTTATTAGTTGCTTTAGCTAAGATATACCGAGGCAGGATAGAGGAAGCGGACAAGTGTCTATATATTCGTGTTAAAGAATATAAATCCTACTACTTAGTCTTACAGCATCGTGAGCGGTGACTATTATATCTTAGAGATTCCACGTGCTTAGCAAGGCTAGGATTAGTCAGATCTCTTTATCCACAATATCTATAACTAGCCGGATACTTAAAATAAGAATATTTATATTCAGCTTCTCCTGGACGAGATCTTAAAGCGTTATTTTGCTAAATATGTTGTTATAGGAGACTTTAATCTCTACTTAAGCTTTAGGGCGGCCCTAATATCAAGGTGCTACTTGCAGGGTAGCGGCCTGTTGGTCAGGCAAGGAAAAATAAATACGATATTAAGGTCGTTATTGGATCAAAGAAGAATAGTAAAGGTATATTATCCCAATAACTGAATCTTGAAGAGATTCAGCTCGAAAAGGGGGGAGGGGATTCTCTTTTTATAACCTAGATGTCGCCATTCCGCTACTTGCCGGAGGAATAACGGTAAAGCGATCCGATTCCAATGTATTCTCCTTTATAAAGAAATATCGTTATATGCACGATTCATACCCGAAATAAGCCGGTCGGCCGGAATAACATCAAATGTGTTTGTTTGATAACAGCTATAGCTAGTCAGCGAGGTAGGAGATATTCAACACTCTCTCCGCCAGGTAGTTCACACAATTAGACACCATTATATTAAGCATCGCATTTCATTCGACACCACCTTTACAAGTTCATACATTATTCGATTATTTTTACAATATCTTCTATTTCAATCTGATGCGTGCGACTCGGGCTTATGACTCTTAGTTGCGTTGTGCAGTATGCAGTAAAGCAAAATGCTCGATATATATTTGAACGAATTGCAATCCCGTTCCCACCAGCATATAGTTTCTCATCACAATCAATCTCACAGCTTTCTGGGTCGTAGCACAAGAGGAACATCACAATTCGGTCTGCTGCAGGGCTTCTACTGCCGTTGTCGTCACGAGGATTTGGTCACAGACTGCGCGGCGGCTGAGGGCGCGATGTCGATAAGATCCTCATAGACGATTGGCTCTGTAATGAGACGCGCATCGCGCAGTCCTAGCTGCCAGCGATCGTAGCCCTCGCGAGGTACAGAAGTGGTCGTCCACATCCCGCTCTTTCGGAAATCATTGGTAACGGTCACGACGACGTCAATTGGAAGATTTGGAAAAAGCTCAGCCAGTTCGTCCTGGAAGGTTTCCGCCTTGTGCTGGAGAACCCAGTCTATACCCTTCTGAAGGGCAATGCAGAATCGCCTCTGTGCTTCGAGAATTTCTGGAGTAATTGTTGCGGTTTCCCGGTAATAAACGCTCCAGGGGATGTCTCCTTGCGTGACCATCTGCATGGCAATAGTCACGTCAGGATTACGCGCGACCATGGCCTGAGCAGAAAGGTTGTCTGTGACAAAATAATCACCCATGCCACCTTGAAATAAATCACCCAGCATTACGCCGTCTAGATCCTGGATATAGTCAACAGATCTCGCATCGATGCCATTCTCACGAAGTAGCATTTTGAAGAAGAGGCCAACGCTGGCCCCGCCACCGGACTTCATCAGGATAGTACGCCCCGCCAAGTCGGGCAGCCTGAAGCTTTTATCGCTGGTACGTCGGATCAAGGCGAGAGGACACCGATTCGCAATCTGCGCGAATACGGTGTAGTTCTGCACCCTTCCACGATACATCGACGGCACCCAAATTCCTCCTAAGCACATCATTGCGGAACCATCGGCGAGCTCGTCGAGCACTCCATCCCAGGGTGTAGGAATCTTGACTGTCACATCAAGCCCCTGTTCCCGGAAGAAGCCATGTCGAAGGGCAATATATTCCGGGAGATAGTTGAGATTATACCCAGTGGCAGTTAGATGAAAGGGCTGCATTTTTAGCCACTTAAATGTTTGAGAATTGATCCAAATTGTAGCTTAAATCAGGGTACGGTTGTAGAAAAGTAGGTACACGCAGCTTTGGTGGGTTGCCACAAATAAATGTGAACCAAAAAAACGAAGTCTTGAAATCATAAAATTCTGTGCCGTACGACGACAAAATTATTTAGAGACAAGTTCTTTTAAATTTCTATTTCTTCATTTCAAAGTTAGCGTCAGTGAAGAATCTTTATCAGCGAAAACTCGCGATGCCAGCTTTCTATGATTTTCGGAGAATCCCGATGGTCCGTCGTGGAGAACCCCGATTATCCCAATAGCCCCCCATTGCTCGGGTTGTCAATCAAATCTTTCCATTTTAAGTTATGATGAACAAATTTTTTTTCAGTAAGCCCTTCTCCTGCAATATGCAAGGTCAATGCGTTGCTCAAACTTGTAGTATCATCGGTTTTAATAAATCTCGAATTGTCGATGCAAATTCCTAGTATTGGACACCAAGGTTGCGATACAAGCTCAAAACAATTCTAACGCTAATATAATAGAGCTCGGAGCGTTAATAAAATAATAAAATAAAAACAATATCATATATGAAACTTTCCATTCTTATGTGATCATTGAAATTGATGGGTTTTACCATTCTAAGAGCTGCAAATTTGAGCTTACATAACATACCACGTTGTTACTCCATTGGCAGTTGATGAACCATGGCTTCATTCTGGCTGAGCCTTGCGCTGAGTTCCTCACCCAAATTCACGGCGCTATTGACGGGGAAAAGACTCAAAAAGGACAGCAATGGAGTGAATCCAGAACAGATCTTGAGGGATCATGGTACATGTCTATCTCAAACGATGCCATCGTGTTAAATCTGCACGAGGGCTCAGTTTTGATCCAAGGTTTAATGACTTGCGAAATTTTGGAAATTACGTTATCAAGCTGAGAAGGCAGATTATAGCAAAGTTGAGCAGAAGCTATGTGTATTCAGCCTAATAAATGGCTCATTTAGAGAAGTTGATATTAAGAAGCTCTATAGTACCGATTCTGGCTGCTATTGATTTCTTGACACCATTGGAAATTTTACCAACAGGGATTTTGAATATGAGGCCTTGATGACCAATGATGGATAGTTTTCTGATGATGGAAACTCGGAGCTCACAGGATCAATTTGAGTGCCAAGCTTATGCCAAAGCACGAGCCTTCGCTCATCGATCACGCATCTCGGCCGCACAAACATCTTTGTTGTAGATGCTATTTACAGACGGATGCTTCATGGTGCTCTGAGCCCATGCGTAGAAATTTGGCGCATATTCTGCTAGACCAGCTATCATGGATTTCGGCAACGGTGGATCTTTGGTGAAAGGCAGCGTGAAAATGCGGATGATAAAGGAGGCTGTCAGGACCTGCAAGTCGTCTCAGTCACTCTGTATCTCGGGTGTCTTGGTAAAAGAAACCAAACCAGCATCGCAAATTAAATAAAGCGTAATTACCTCGGACATAGTCAGCATGCTGCTGCCATTAAAGAACGGCTTCTTGTCCCGTAAGAGAGGCTCAACCTCTGTGACGATGGCATCAAAGTAATGCTTGCCCAAGTCCTCGGCGTCTTCATTAGTCTTGGCTTCTATCGCCTGGTAGTAGTAGATATTGGCTTTCGAAAAATAAGTTTCGACAAAGAAAGCGATCTTCTCACGCATGAAGGCACCTTGAGCTCCTCCGGTCCGTGGAATCAAGTGCGTCGATGCCACTGAATCAGCCAGAAACTGCGCGATGATAGCGGACTCGACGACGATGTGGCCGTTGTATATGATTGTGGGTACCTTTCCACTCGGATTGATCTCGAGATACTCAGGCGTTCTTGGCTTACTATAGTCAGTAATCTCCTCCTCGAACGGAAGAGCTAATTCCGCCAGCGCAATATGAACACGGTGCGCCCCTGATTGGTCTTTTCAGCATTTTATAATATCAACGCGTCCATTTCATCTGGCTGGATCAGAGAACATACATGGACAGTTTTGATTGGTATAGAGCTTGGTAAACGTCATCGCAGCCATAGTTATTATTTGCAGTCTCGGCTAAAAATTATCAATAAAGAGTGCAAGGCTGACTTCAATGACGAGCCAGGGTAGCTGATTTAAAAAGTTAAGAGAAGCAGAGATTTGGAAGGTGAAGACCAGATTCTCGTGTACATGGAGCAATGTAATAGCCAAGTTTGCTGGGCCGCTTCCCTCGATGCTATCTAGAGTCATATCGGTTTTCTCCGAAAAGGCGAACGTCTGTGCCCAGTAACGCCCCAAGTACGGAAGCGATCAAAGCGAATTGATAAAGAAACCTATTTTGGAGTTTCCTCTGCAGGAAACGCCGAACTTGTAATACTTCGACACGAATTCGACCAAATTTAGAAAAAAAAATTGATATAGAGAAATCATCAATTTTGCTATTAACAAGTGATGGTTAGATGTCCGAGCTGGATATCTGTCATCCGTTCTTACGAAATTTACAAACTTCGGAATATTTTGCTCCCTATACTTCTTTACAGATTTTACCGTTCGCTTGCGTTCTTCCAAAAATAACAGATACAATATCAATCGCGTAACAGTAGTGTTCGAAGAAGCTGTGGTGACTTATTCATGGCATGTTCGGTCCATCCTTTTTGCTCCCCAATCTCGAAGCCTGGTCCTCTGTACAAGTGAGGCGACAGAGTCATTGCTACCTGGTGTGGAATTATCCCCCGACAAATTTTATTTGAGCTATACAGGATATTGAGGTATCAATATTTCCTACTTCTTAGAGATCAAGTTGAGTTTCGGAGGTTTCTACCAGCCCTTACTGCCTCCCTGAAACAATTTAGTTTAAGTCATCTGATCATCACTTAGTACCTGAATTTTGTTAATGCCCTTTGATCTCTATTCATTCCCCTAATATTGCTGTTTCTAGGAGATTGGCTTTCTGTTGGTTTCAATTAAAGATGGAATAATCGTCAAGATTCTGCTAGAGATATCTCCTACATGCGGTGGAAAGAGGGGAGGGAGACCCAAAATACTATGTTTTCATACTCCTTTGCAATGTATAGTGCTCTGCCTATTTTTGGTACTTAAAAGTACGATACGTTGTATTTTCCTCTATTCGCCCCCGTAGGCAATTTGTTTGTAAGATATCGGCTGCCGTAACAGGTTAAGCCTTCTATCCAATCTTGACTTAGCACTAATCTAGTCCTACGGCCCACTACGTCTGACACGGATTCGCATCAAATAGTTGGATCTTATCGTTTATATTCTGATTCCTGATTTCTCCTAGGTTCTATTTTTTTGTTGCTCCGTCTCTATCCCCGACTGGCCGTCAACAGTTGCATCCTGAACTTAAAAGTCGTTTCAAACTTAACACGAGTCCTTCCAGTGTGAAGCCAGCCATCATAGACTTGTTGCGACCTTTTCTTACAGATCACCGATTGAAGTCGAGGGGTTCTCAAAATATCCCACTGGAGCTACTGGAGTTAATACTCGAACTTCTTCCAACGAAGGACGGAATCTGCTTCTCACCGAGTTGTAAATATTACTTCGCATGGTTTCAATTATACGTTAAACAACATGGAACCACTGTGGCCCAGCTTCTATAAAATAAAAAGGCATGTACGCAGCAGGTAATAGTGCTATCCATCTCTGAATTTACTACTCCTGATCAAGAAAGATCACATTTACTCTGTTGGCTCCAAAATAATCCCTGGAAATATTGTTGTCGATGCCAGAGCCTTCATCCGCATTCTATGCGACGGACCCTGAATTCAACGTGGAGACATACCCAAAAGCCTTGCGGTTCTGATTGCCACCTTGGTGGGGCTCATGTCTTTGGAAAAGGTCTCATTTTCACTAATTCTTCAATGTCTAAAGTGAAGTGCTCTCTCGCATGTGCTGGCGAAGTCGACATATGCCCATATTATAGCATGAAGGCTATCAAAGATAACATTTTTACCAATTCTGCCAACTTCCGAATACCGCCATAAGATACAGGAATCGAAGCTATATGAGCAAGCGTTTTAATAGACGCAAACTAGACAGGATCTGTAACTACATGGAGTATCACACTTGTCATTCCTTCTATATGAAAGGTCTTTACCAAAACTAGAATATGGCTCATCAGAGAGACCAGAGATTTGCGCCTACATAACCGACTTCGATTTGAAATCTGTGATAGAAGTCAAGCTGTGACGCCTGTTGGGTGCTTTCAGTACTGCCTTCACAGGAATACATGGCGACGGCTTCAGGACTTCTTCTTCCAAACTGAACAGAAGTTTGATAATGGTGTTCAGGGCACTAAAACCAGTGTATGCACATGGAGAGGATGGAGTAAGACTCAAGGGGGGCAAACCGCTTTTGAAATTGATTTGGATAGAAGTCTGAGAGGTAACGAATGGCTCAACAGGAGCTGGAGACTTAACTCTTAGCTGAAATAAAATTCTGTAGTTAGTGTTATGTGTCTTCGGTATAGAGACTATTAGCGCGCTCTCCGATAATTTTACCAATATATCCTATGGGAGCCTATAATTTAGACATTCTATTAAGCACCGTGATATAAAAAACAAGTTTGGCCATATAGGAGCGAGCCTTGAGTTTCTTAATCTCGCCAAATAGAAATAGAGCCACTAATAAGGTATAACATATTGCTAAAATAGGACTCCGCTCAAAACTACTAGAGACTCATCTATATTTTCAAGCTACAAGATCTATTGCCCGTGCCGATTCCCGATTTTCCCACATGCGTCAGGTTATTACAGGAATGCCCATTTCCGATATGTTTTGTAGAACATCCTACTCAAAATACAGCGTCATAACACGTTATTCGGCGAGGTAGGGGATAGTCAACACTCCCTGCTAACCAGTTCAGATCGTTAGACATCATCAAGGTCAGTATTCCCTCCCATTGGTTTTTGCCGTTCTTAGCCGATCCAGTATCCTTCTGATTTGACATTAAGCCTGGAAATACCAAAGCGGTAATTCAAATCGTATCTAAGCATGGCTTGGACACAGGGTGGGCCGATCTGCGTTGTTGGCCAATCCGGTGTATTTTGTCATCATCTCACAGGGGCGCAAACGCCGGCTTCTTGGCCTACCATGGTCCGAGGATCTTGGAAATATGTCATACGTTGAGGTGCACTTATTATCACCAATCTAAATATCAGTTTCAACATAAGAGTCTTCTAAAATCATAATAAGCCCGAATTATAATTAATAAAATAAAACTATGGCATTTACCACGGTCTTTTGGAGTGCGCAGCTCGCTTGTGAACCTTACCGAGAGGGGTTCGCGTCATGCGGGTGGGTGACATATAAAGGCTTGGCGGCGAGAAGGCGCCCGTTCCACGGTTGGCAAAGCCTTGGGTGCTGGATGTAGGATTGGCTGCAGGATTAGCCATCAACTTAATAATCACAAGCGGAGCACTTTGACTTGCCTCGCTTTTCACCCTCTTGATTCTTTGTGTGTCCTAGCCAAACCCATAATCCATTGGCGCCCACTTCTCCTGTCATCAAGTTGCATACATCGCTGGATCGGAAGATTGCAAACATGAATCGATCAGCCGAGGGTCCGGCTCAAAGGCAGATCGCTATTAGATCATTCTCGCAGCGCCTTAGCGCATGGCCGGATGAGGATTGGTCAGGCATCACCGACCCAAAAATCCGTCGGAGGCTTCAAAATCGTCTGAATCAAAGGGCTCGACGTAAGTCTAGCATCCATCGCCTATCGTTAATTGGTGTTTTTTTGACCACAAAAAAATAATAGGATTACAAAATAAGACATCGCTCCGACCTACGGGGGCCAATGGCTTTCCTTCCAATGTACGGCATCAGTCGACCGAAAATACCGTTACTCTTCGGGGAAATGACTTAACACGAGCAACGTATACTGCCATTAACTTCACCTCTCTAGAAGATATCGAAGATGTGCACATACTAGAATCCCATTTTCCTGCCACAAAAACAAGAATGGCCCAATTGGAAAGAATGGCTCTCCTATACTACACAATGGGCTCCCCACGAACCGATCTGTTACTCAATCTGATCTCATTGAATTTTACCAGAGCACTAATGGAAAATACAAAAATTTTGGGCTTCAAATCCGATCAACTCCATGATGATGCAATTTCACCATTCAGCACTGCGGGTCCATGGCAGGATGACTCTCCAAATGTCCTTCCAGCAAGCCTTCAACCTACTATAATCCAGCGCTCTATTCCACATCACCCATGGTTGGATCTACTTCCTGTTCCCCAAATGAGGGATAATCTAATACTTGCTGGGGAATTCGAGGAGGAGACTCAGCTTTGTCTAGATATGAAGGGTAGCGGGAGCAACCGATCCGGCCGAAGTGGTATCATCGTTTGGAGTCATCCTTGGGACCCAGCAGGATGGGAAGTTACTGAGCCTTTTGTTCGATCTTGGGGCTGGGTTATTAGGAATTGCTATGATTTGGCTCTGTCTACCAATCGGTGGCGGTCGAAGCGGAACGAAAGACCACTGTTCCGTATGAATTGATTCGGAAATTGTTTGGCAATCATGAAACATCTGGGTAGGAAGGGACAAACAATCAAAGACACAATCTAGGGCGTTCCTTTCCATTTTTTTGTTTCTTTTTTCACTCTTCTTTTAGTAGTTCGCGAGAACACGCTTTCATCAGAACAATAAACCTGGAAAGATCAAGGCATCTGGCCATTTGGAGCGATATGGGGGGCAGTTCTGCTCCTAGAGACGTGCTTGAACAATAGATCGGAGAAAATCTTAAACTGCCTATATATGAAGCCCCATCATTGAGGCCAACATATTATCAGTGTTTCCACCAATTCTAGGATTGGGATTCAGGATCAAAGCATCACTGAACGAGAAAATTGATTGAAGAATGCCCTTGGAGACTATCGGATACAAAGTGCACCATATTCCAAATGGGCACATGTATCGCTATACCATGATTAGGAAAGTGACAACACCGTGTCCGCAGAGACAAATCTAGTTTTTGCTCGCCCCGTGTGAAGATAAACTCTAGGTCACGCCTCGGCTGTGGCTTAGGGAAGGCAACACAATTTCAAGACCGTTCGGAATGCAAATTGCTGACGCGCCAAGACCTCTGCAGTGGATATACTTACTGCGCCACCGAGCCAAAATGATCCTGTAACCAATACCGAGTCTATAAGTGCTGTCCTATGGTTATGCAGATAGGAGTCAAAATTCTCGATTAGAAATCATACAATAATGCTTTTATCCACGGGTCTTGTTTTGTTCCTATCCTAGACGCGCGTTCACCTCTAATCTCCTTGGGCTTCCTTCCTTGGCAACGGCCTTTGTTCTTATTCCCGGGAGGCTTAGACAGATTCATTATAGGCCAATAAATCGATTATGATTATTTGCAGTGAAATGTCTTACTGCTTACACCTTGGCTGTGACCGGGATACCGAATGAAGCCAGAGAGCAACAGTGAAGTGGAGTATGTAAAGATGCAGGTTCACGATCTATATAATGTTTTAAACGCATTAGTCGCATCTGGTCACACCTCAAAAGACAAACAAAGAATGGTATTTGTGATGAATATATTCAGACTGTGTTTGATACTTGAAGTCCTGATTGCTGTGGTTGTGCAGAAATCAGCCTCTACTAATTGTGAGTATAAGATAGATCTCAATGATTCATTGCATAAATAGCAGCCTGACTATTTCTTCTAGTTAATCAAGAGTCCTTTCAACTGATTAATTCACATCTCTCTTTTCCAAGTCATGGATCCCGAAACTTCAATATCACTGCTGCAATTGAAGCATCTAACAGGACGCTTCACTTCAATCTGGAAAACAATGATGACCTCGTATCCCAACACATGCATATCCAGTATCTTGCCAACCACGGAAGCACGGGAGGTTCTCTTGTTTCACTCAACCCTCACGTGCAATTCACGAGAGGTTCAGTCTGGATGCAAACAGCACCAGAGGAGACCAGTAAAAGGTTGGGGTGGGCAGGACTTGCCATAATCCACGAAAGAGAAAGTATTCTATTCGAGGGCATATTTACCATCATGGACACACAGTACGCAGTCGAGCTTAAGGCCCTCAATGACGGGTCTACCGGAATGATAGCTTCCAAAGTCGAATCGGAATTCCCACTTGGCAACAGATCGGTATTTCCTTCATATTGCGCAACTGCATCGGAGAGTCTCTTGAATAAACGACAGTTTTGGAATACGTTGGGTGACAATGACCTAGCAGCAAATATTGGCAATACTGCTGGCTGCCCAGGAACGAGACAAATTGCGCAAATTGGCATTATGGCCGATTGCACCTATACTGCGAGCTTCAGCTCCTCCGAGGCCGCCCATCAATACATCTTAAACATGGTTAACACTGCATCTGTGGTATTTGAGAACAGTTTCAATATCACTCTTGGCATCAGAAATTTGACTATTAGTGATGCCGAATGCCCAAGTAGTTTTTCAGACATGAATGCGTGGAATGCTCCATGTTCCCAAGGGAACCTTAACACACGACTTCAAAATTTCTCTCGATGGAGAGAAAGATTAACGAATGATAAAAATGCATACTGGACTTTATTGACTGGATGTTCGGTTTCTGCTGGGGAAATTGGAGTGTCATGGATTGGAGCTCTCTGCAACTTGGGATCTGGTTATAGCAATGGTGGTGCTAGTGCCAATGTTGTAGCTCGAACCCAAACAGAGTGGCAAGTTTTTGCGTGAGTCATCATCAATTATAAATGATAAGTTGCCGAAAATTTTTGCTTACCTAGATGTATGAAGTCACGAGTCAGCTCATATGTTCGGAGCAGTCCACGACTGCACCGCTGATACATGTGAAACGCAGTCATCACAGTGCTGTCCGCTCTCAGCAAACACCTGTGACGCTGGTGGGCAGTATATTATGAATCCTGTATCTGGGTCCGCCATGACACGCTTCTCGCCTTGTACAATTGGAACTGTTTGCTCTCGACTAGGTTCTGGCCAAGTCGACGGGAGTTGCTTGGTGAACTCTCAGACTGGCTACAATGGAGAGTGCGGGAACGGTATCGTCGAATCTGGAGAGGCTTGCGACTGTGGAAATGGTGCTTGTGATGAGCGAGAGGCTCAGTGCTGCGATTCGGCAACGTGCCAGTGGAGGGGAGGAGATGATTGTGATCAGTCAGATACTGGAGATACCGAGAACCATGAGACGGGAAATGATCAAGGGAGTGATTCCCCATACTGGGTGCAAACATATCTCCCACTAATCATTGGGCTTTCTGCGGGAGTTGGAGGCGGTTTTCTACTACTCTTGGTTGGATTCCTCGTATATTGGTGTAAGCGAGGTCGCAGAGCAAAGGTTGCCAATGTCAAACAAGGCACAGCTCCAACATAAATCTTTAATAGATGTTAAGATGATTCACTTTGTGCTCACAATTCTGCGGGATCGCTGTAAATCCGGTGTCGAGATATATGATATGTCAGATAGAGCCTTATCGTTTGAGGTTCACACCACAATGTCTTACTTGGCTCCTCAACCCCTAAATAAGTTGCTAAATACTTTTTATGATATTGCAGCCCTGGCCAATCCCGGTATTCCATTTCTTTTGTTAGCGGTCGTCCTATCCAATTCATGAGCCAAGACTAGGCTATAAAAAAGGGGCAGTTCTCCTTTCGATGAGCCAGGGTCTTCGGAATTGTGAAATAGAAAAAAAAAATCATAACTTCAATTTATAAGATTTTATAATTGGTTTATCCGTCCAACTTCTATCCTCTTAATGTCTGTGATGTCTGTAGCCGGAGCATGGTGATTTGATTGAACTTGACGTGGCTGCACAAGCAAGGGATGCGGCGGAACAACAATGTGAGTCGACACACGAGTTAGGAATACATCTGCAGCCGTCCTGTCGGAAGAATAATTGCCTCGGAAATTAAAGTTCGTAGGGAATCCGACATCAAAGGGCGCGGCATTGTCAATTTCCTCTAGTTCCTCAGTCGAAAGTGACACAGTCAACACCTCGACGTTGGCCTTGAGATGCTCAATTTTCTGGGGAAGATATGTGGTGTCTTGTGCATCACGTATGCTAGGGCCTGTAAACAAACAAACTCATCAGCAAACGTACCCTATATTGTGTTCCACCCTGGTTGTTTCGAGGCGGCGGGTTTGACGAGTACTTACGATTGCATGCAGGTTCGAGTTCTTCTTCCTTGCGACTCTCTCCAATGCGTCTGAAACCCTGATGTCATGCTCACTGAGATTGACGGCTCTGGAACTGCCATCATCATTGGCACCCTGAGATAATTCTGCTGATTTGAACTTTCCTTGACCAAGAGGTGCCCATGGAGCAAGAACTATTCCCTGATCCCGGCACATCGGGATGACCTCTCACTCGAGGTCTCGAAATCCGGCGTTCCACTTGCCTTGATAAACAGAGAATGGACGTAAGCCATTGGCATGGGCATAGTCATTGTCCTTCACAACTATCCATGCCGGGGTGTCTGATACACCAAGGTAGAGCACCTTTCCAACAGCTACCAGACTATTGAGTCCATGCATAACCTCGTCGACGGACGAGATGAAGTCACACCAGTGGACATACAGAAGATCTATGTAATCTGTCTCCAATTTTTGAAGGCTACGCTCGACCGAGATGCGCATAATCTTGACTGAATTGCCCACAAAGTTAGACTAAATCTGTGCAGTATCGCGATGTGAGGTGCGGAACCGGGTCGTCTAGTTGGTCGCGATCCTGTGAAGCTTAATAAATGTGGCTCTTGAAAGTCAGACAAAATAGGGACATACACTATCTTGTCGCGGTTACCGCGAGCCTTCATCCATTCCTCAATGCAAATATCCGATTCTTCCTGTTGGTAATTGTTGGCGCTGTGCGATATTCGGGTCAGCAGAGTACTTCGAGAGTGTCATTGGTCACATACGCCTCTTAGGTTAAAGAAGGCGTCGAGAAGCGCGAAAGACTGCGCCTTACTGCACTCGCCCATGGAATCCTTCCGAGATTGAGTGATAGGGATTGGTCTTCGGTCGCGCACAAATGAATTGCTGAAAACACCAGGTGGTACCAAACTTCATGGTTCCAAGACACAGTGGCAATGCCTTCTTCACACCTGCTGTCGGAGCGAGGACACGGTGAAAACCAAGCATGCTGGGAGGTTTCGATGCAAGGGCGAAAATAGACATCTTGGATGATATCACAACTGATTCAAGAAGAAAGTGCAGAGCAGACGAGATGAATGACGTGTCTCCCATAAAATGGAGTTGCCTACCTCAAGTACCCGAACATTCAGCCCCGTCCTCACAAGAATTGCGAGACTCCGACGAGTTAGCTGGGTCAGTTTGTAGAAGTGGGGACTGAGATCCGGTGCGGAAGGTGCATGATGACAAGATTCATATAGTTGGACAAGTTTTGCGACGATTCACCTAATTGCGATGGTGGTGTTGTTGTGGCCTCTTGATAACCCTTGGTAGATTGACCCTATATTGATGGCATTGGCGGCACCATTGGTGGATCAGCGGACCAATCGGAAAGGGGTTGTCATCTAGTCGCACACCACATCTTTCGTATCGTCAAATACTTGCCTCGGGGTAATTGAACAAGGGAGACACATTGGATCAGTATTTTCTTGGTCTGGAACAGAAGAGTTTGCAATGATTAGATCTTCTGGGCTTACCTTTGGAGCCAGTTGCCCCAGATTATCTCAAAGGCGACCCAGAAAGGAAGTGGTGGAGCTTTAGGTTCGTGGCCAGCAATTTGATGACACTTTTAATATCATTGGTCCGTGGTATGGAGAATGGGGAGAAAGATTGGATGCCACCTGTACTGGCAGAGTTCGAATTCCAACAGAGACCCAATAAAATAAGGATATTAACATAACAGCATCCCGGGGTTCAGACGCTACTATGCTTTCCGGTCGCGCGGAAAGGCCAGGGGAACGAAAACCCCAGGCTCGCCTGATAATGTGCATGCATATCTTCATACTCCAAAGGGCGTTTCCCACTTTAATTTTCGCAATTTAGGAAAGTTAAAGCAATTAAGCCTGTCAGTGTAATACCTTCAGAAACTGGAGCTTATGACAGTAGATCGAGCCACTGTGGTACGGTCGACGTTTACAAAACCGTTCCGCGGCTTCGCGTAGAATGCTGATTACGACCATGAGGGATCCCCGAAACGATCCGAGACCGAACTAGCTCCATGCCAAACATTGAAATTTTCTTGGGATCTACATGTCATACGTACGCATATTGACAAATTAAATTGTTCGATTTATGAACAATCATTCTGGGTTGTAGGTAAAGATGATCTCTATTCGGCCCCTCTGTTTCAAAGCAAGGAAACTCTTCCAGTTCACGAGTTATGGGAGTGAGATCGTCTTGTAAATCTGCTTGGCAGTTGAATAGTCACGCCTAGAGTCACAAAACTGGGGTGTGAACTCACTTGTATTTTCATGTTTGTTAATGTTTTCTTGGCGAAGGGAAACTTTGGGGTTGGGAAAGAAAGTAGTGGTATAAAAATGCCGATTCTTCAGAGCAGACACAAGATATCAAAAATTCATTCCTCGTCTTTCTCCTCCCTTGGCTACTTTACTACAGCAGCCTGACCATGACTCGAATCCTTGCTCCACTGGCGTGTCTTGTTGCTTCGGCATCTGCCGGCGCCAACAGCCGTTTTGTCCAGGGCAGCGATTCGTCAGCCCAGGATGTGTCTACAGGCTGTCGACGAGCAGTATATCCCATCGAGTACGACTGAGTTCTTACCATAGCTGACCTGTTTCTAGTGCTCTGAGCTTTCCTCGAATTTCGGGCCCGCTTTTCACTGGCCTCAAAATGACAACTTCACAATCTGGGACGCGAAGCAACAAGAGATTCACCCCGCTTGTCGAGTTGAGCCTTCCTCGGCCGCTGATGTTGCCAAAATACTCGAAGTTCTCGTGGCCCACTGGTGCTACTTTTCTGTAAAAGGAGGTGGCCACTCCAGAAACCCGGGAGACTCCAACTCGGTCGGCGGTGTGACCGTGGACCTGGATCGTCTGAAGAGTGTCGATATTCTTCAAGGGGGTACAATGGCGCGCGTGGGTGGCGGTGCGACTTCTCTTCAGGTATACGAAGCCTTGGGATCCCAGAACTTGTCTTTCGTCGGCGGTCGAGTTGGCAGTGTTGGTATAGGTGGCTTTACCCTGGGAGGAGGAACATCACCTTTTTCGAACAAGTATGGATGGTCGTTGGATAATATTTATGAATATGAGGTGCGTGGTATTTTTGGTCCCCCCTTAAATTTAACCGCTGACATTCCGGCCAGGTCGTTCTCGCGAACGGAACCATCACCATTGCCTCAGAAACGCATAATCCTGACCTCTATTTTGCACTTCGTGGGGGCGGAAACAACTTCGGTATTGTCACGGCCTTCACTATGCGAACCTTCTTGCAGGGCCCAGTATTTACTAGCATGACAACGTATGCTGCGAATCAGTCAAATCAAGTTCTTGACAAGGTCTATGACTTGTACACGGACGAACATCTCACCAGTGACAAGGAAATGGGATACGATCTATACTATACATATAGCGCGGCAGGTGATGAATTCACTCTGAGTGGCACTCAACGTTACGGGAAAGCAGTCCAGGATCCACCCGTTTTTCAGGCTATCAATCGCATTCCCACGCTGAGTAGAAGCACGGCCATTGGTCCCATGAGCCAGGTAGTGGACGGGACTGATTCAATGGGCACTACACGGTATGCTCTTTTTGTGGAAATCACAATCTGAATTGGAGTATGACTCATGGTAAATTTATAGACACCTTTTTGCTACGCTAAGTGTGGCGCCATCGCGCGCTTTATTGTCACACGGGCTCAAGATCTTTCAAGAGGAGGTGGAAGCCATCAAGAAGGTCCCTGGCTTGGTTCCCAACTTTATTTGCTATCCGCTGCAGAAGAACGCCATTGCGGCTATGAAAAGGCGAGGTGGAAATGCCCTGGGAATCGACCGAGATGAGCCTCTCTTTCGTAAGTGAATTTCTAAATTCTAGGCTTGAGTTTCATTCATATCTCTCCTAACATATATCGAAGTGATTCTTATCTCTACGGCATGGTCAAACAGCATTGACGATGCCGCTGTTAACCGGATGACGGCAAACACAATTGAGAGACTAAATGCTACAGCTAATGACTTGGGTGTTGCAAATCGGTATATATATATCAATTACGCATCAGGAACGCAGGCCAACTCGGTATTTTTTGGTTATGGAGATGAAAATCTGCAGAGACTGAAGAGGACTCAAAAGGCGGTGGATCCGTATGGAATATTCACATCAAAAGGTTTATGGCGTGGATTTGTCAAGCTGCTGTGATTCAAATATATGTAAGTCCCTATGTTGTGGATAGATTAGACGGTTATTGTGAGAAAGCGAGAGAAGTCATGGAATATAAAGCATAATTCAACCCCAAAAATCAAGTATGAAAGGCTCCAATCATGCTTCTAGAGTTAGAGTCGAGTCAAGCTTACAGGCACCGAAAATCAAAGTCAGTCAAAAAAAGGAGCTGCTCATTCTGTATTTCATTCCTTTTTCATTTTCTCGTGGCCCTACAGAGAGGCAACTCTTTCAACGTCATTTTTGAAAGGGAATTAGGATATTTTGAAATCTTGCGTTAGCTTATAGGCAGGTGCACTATTCTAGCTATTTCTACACGAAAATTTGCCACCATCAAATAGGCACAGGGATTTTTATAGGCTCTAATGGCCAACCATGGATTGGAAGAAGTCAGAGAATCTTTCTCCAACCGGCTTCGCAGCTTCCACAATCTTCCGCATCTCCCTCAGCTCATCTTCTGTCAATTCGATGTCATGAGACCCCCAGTTCTCTTCCAAGCGTGATGCTTTAGTCGTTCCTGGAATAGTAATCAACCCTTGTGCAGCAACCCAAGCTAGGGCGATCTGCGCAACTGAGCAACCTTTTTTGTTTGCTAGCTTCTTGACTTCGTCAACGATAGCCTTGTTCTTGTAGAAGTTTTCACCTTGAAATTTAGGAACTGAGTTTTGCTTAGGTCAGACTAACTGAAGGCAATTATTTTCGCAAGCGTAAAAAACAACGTACCAGTGCGCCGGAAATCGTTAGGGGCGAAATCATCGGGAGACTTGAACTGGAAGTCATCCACAAGCCAGCCGTGTCCTAGAGGACTGAAGGCCACAAAGGCCACCCCTAATTCCTTTGCTGTCTCAATTAGGCCAGTGGTCTCGTGCAATGTCTCAAAAGCAGAGTACTCGGCTTGAACAGCATCGATCTTAGCGACTAGTATATGTTAGTGTGCACTTTCACATGTGTAATTGCAGAGAGACGAACTCGCATTTGCCTTGCGCAAAGTTGCAGCAGAGCATTCGGATAAGCCAATGTACTTTGTTTTGCCATTGCGGCGAAGTTCATCCAGGGTGCCAATGGATTCTTCTAGGGGGGTGTCTTTGCTTATAGGATTAGGATACCACTTCAACAATTTTCAACTTCTGGAGGTTCTTCATACGTACTGGGGTCGATCCTGTGGAGATAATAGAGATCAGGAGTGAAACCAAGCCTATCGATAGTTCCCTCGATGTACTCCTTGATGTGTTCGGCCGAGTTGGTTACTTTGCGTTGCGGACTGAAGACGTCAAACCCACACTTCGAGGCCACTGCGTGCCGATACAACGTAAGGAAACGACATAATGTAGAGAAGGAAGATTATTATGCTCACCAAAAAGTTTATCACGGACATTATGCTTCCTAATAAAATCTCCCAGCAGCTTCTCATTTTCGCCATTCTTGTAGGCTACCTAGAGCGCTAAGGCATTAGAGACCAACGTTCTCAGCTAAATTCGGAGGTGTTATTTACTGCGGTATCCCAGAATGTACAGCCTAGTTCAATGGCTTTCAAAAGAACCGGCTCGGCTTGTTCAAGATTGAGATCTGCTCCCATGGCAGAATTGAGGCCCATTGCGCCAAACCCAGGAACAGGAACCTGCTGGTCGCCAATTGAAAGTGTCTTGATCATATTGGTAGATTCTGAAGGCCCAGACGATGGTTAGCGTGACTATGCCTCGCCTTCGGGCAGGTGATTCCAAGGCTCCTTGAAATGTGGATGGGCGCACGTGTATGGGCAGTAAGCGGTGCGGGATTTACAATGAAAAGGGTGCTTGAAAGTTGAAGATTCAGTTGCAAAGGTGCGAATGTGAAGACGAGTCAAAATTAGCCAGACAAGCGACTTCATGGTAATTTATATTACGTCCAACTAGAACCACCTCGCAAATGTGACATCATTACAATCGGCAAGTCGAAATCTACTTCCACGGTTTCAGTGAAATGGAAAAAGGACAACCCGGAGTTATGGGATACCGCCAGGCCCACTTTCACATTTTCCGGTCCGCCACCGACAACGCAGCCAATTGGTTGATGGACTTCCTTAGCCTGCACTTTGATGACATCTTCTATGGGATTGGCTACTGGTTTAATTATCCACCGAGATCTCGTCTCGTGTCCCAGATGGCATTTATGTGGATCGAATTAACACAAGAGAAAGCACTACAGGTGGCAAAGGAACTCCTTTAACAAACCCACGAAGATGAGAGAAATCTTGAGTGAGGTTCCTTTTTTTTGGATAACTGAACCGACACAATTTTGAAGTTCCGAGCACGAAAGAAATAGTTAAATGTACTCCCCAGGCCCATAGCGTCTTCAAAACACGGCCTCTTTATAATATATAGAGGCGAATCCTTAGGGAGTCTTCGTTATGAATAGAGCAGAGCGGAATCCAATAGCCTCCTTACTGAAAAGATTATGGGTTGGCTAAATACCTCTATCATCCTTCAGTACTCTTATTCATCGTGCACCCAATTGACTATGTAACAATCTCGTGAGTCAACTAGTTAACCAGCTAGTCATGCAGATTGATGACATGATAGCTATGCCTAGCCGGTGTGAAAATTAACGATCAAGTCTCAACCACACGGACGACTGTTTTTGTGCCTTTCATTTCAGGTTACGTCTTTCTCTCCAGTCACACCTACACCCCACTCATTTCCACGCTTTTTGGTCAGCAAGCTGCATACGTTTCTAAATTGAATCAATGGCTTGTGGATCAAACTGATCGTAAAATAAGCTTACAGATCGACGGATTCTCCGAATGACACAGCGTTATACGATCATTATCGCAACGCATGAGCGCATGACCTTGTGAAGATTTGTCGGGTATCACTGGCCCAAGAACTCACTGGAGGCTACAAAATCGCTTGAACTATGAACGCATTGGCCTTTCCTTAACCCTGGATGTCGGATGTAGGATGTAGGATTGGACAGATGCCATACTACGTATGGTTGGTTGACTGGATGACTTGGTGCCCCACCATAAGCGCCTTGCATGACACTTAAATCAGCTTTATACAGCATCTCATGCGCTTGCATTCTCAAAATCCGGATGATCTTATTGGTTTAAATGCCACACAACAGAGCGGCGCCCGTGTCTTTGACGATGACTGGTCCGGAATAACCAATCGTATGCAACGCAACAAGCTACAGAATCGGGAATAATCAGACAACATATGGTGGTTCATAGTCTCCGATGATCCCAAGATTGGTAATTTTATGTTATATACTGGCTCATACTCGAACTATCTTTTTAATCCAGGGCGACATAGATGGGACAAAAGCAACCCCCTTCACGACCTTAGTAGTCCGTCCCTGACTACTCGGAACTCAAGACAAAAACGCTTTATATATTTTCAATCTAGTTGGTCCTGCCCGTATTTGAAAGACAATTCCTTCGGCTTTGTATCAATATTATTTTGATGTGCTTTCCTTTTCTGCGCATCAGAGATGATCTCATTTCTGTAAGAGACGTTCTTAAAAACCAGGATCTACGTGAAGATCAGATGGCTAGCTGGGATACGCGGAATACCGGAGCCACCTGATCGGTATGGGGCTTACCCTGGGATATAATGAATTGAGAAGTCATGGAGTCTTTTCCGACGAAATGTGGATGGATACTGAAGGATGTCATGATGTTTTAGTTTCAATAAATCAATGGCGGGCGGAACGAGTGAAGAAGGCTACGGTTTAGAGAGGAGATTTCTGCTGGCTAATTATTTGTCGTTTAAATCAGATTTAGTCAACTAACGTACTTAGACCGTCTGTAGTGAATTTTTTATAAGTTGAACTACTCTTTATGCGGCTATATATGTAGTGGCTCTCAGAGGATGCTCAGCAAGCGAAAGCACCATAGCCTGCGATGTACTGTGAAATAGTAACAACGATTTCTTTCATGCATGACTTATAGACCTCTAAGAGCATGTTCGATTGAGATGATTATAGTCAAAGGCCTTCAATATTCCAATCAATTGTGTCACAGCAGCAAAGACCACCAATATGTGAAAGATTTGATGGGAGGAGCCATATATGTCGAATATCCCTGGATATCGACTCTCAGGGAACTTGGTCTGTAGATCCATATTAGTTAGAATCAATTTCCATCATGTGTGAAATATGGGGGCTTACCGCATATATCAACGCCCCCATCAGAAGAAAGACTCCTTCAACAAGATAATAGGGCATTCCAGACTGTTTCATCATTTGCGAGACGCCAAACATCTTGATTCCATGTATCAACGGTGCAAACCCAGACAAGCCAGTTGTCACGAATGTTAGGGTCCGAAAAGCGCGAAACTTTTGGCCCTGAAATTTAGGATTTATCATTATCAGTATAGTCAGCAGACCTAGAGTCCCAATCTGCCAATCCAAGTAAGTAGTGGTGGATATGAGGTTAAATTTTGAACATAAAGATATTGACTCACCATAGACCAGTAGATCTTACGCTGCAAGGGTTCGCACCAGAAGACCATATATATTCCCGATACAAAATCGCCTAATGTCAAGACTACGATGCCTATCAGGTCAAGTCGCAGCCATAACTGCTCAACTTCGTGGGAGTGATTCATCAAGGTGTGATATGTCGTTGATAGCCCTAGGCAGATCACGGCAGTCAAGAGGAAGAAGGCGAATATGAACAAATCAACCCCCGTCATGTTGGAGTATCTACTTGCCAGATACTTTTGAATATACCACTCCCCGAGCAGAAAGATGGCTGCGGGTATTAAGTGAGAATATATGTTGACCGACTCATTGTGAACATATGACCAACTGCGGAATGAAACCCGAGCCGAGCCTGAGATCGGGCGATAGCCATGAATAATGTACCTGTTATCTTGCTGCCATTCTGGCAGCTCGCCAAACGAGAGAAGAACATTGCGTGCTTTACTGGCCTTGGAAGGACTTCTCAGAAAACGTCGGCTGAGAGAATCATCTCCCCGCTTTGGTCTCACCACTGGCAGTTGCGGCGACGAAACTCGAGGACGAGGTGCAGGTGCCATTACTGTCGTGTCTGATAATAGCACGGGAGGCGGGGCTGGGAGATTGGGCATTGAAAGTGAAGAAGCGGTTTCCATTGCTCTGTTTCTTGCACTGCGCCCTTTTCTTCCTTCATACCTGAAAGAGGCTAGCTTTGCTTACCAACCTTTGAGATCCTTCCGGCCCAAGTCCGTCAGATTTCGTGGGCGAGTTTTGGTGAGTCCTAGCTGCTATTCACCTTGTCAACAAGCATAGGCAGATAGGGCCGTCAAGGAGAATTGAGGCAGTGAGCACTCTGAGCTGCGACTGGGGCCATTGGCAAGAGGATCACTTTCGTCCGCCGCACGAAACCTTCCACGCCGTCGATTGGATCTTTCACCCTTCATCCCCTTCTCGTCGTTTCTTTATTCCTACTTTGCGCTCAGCGCCTTCTCCTTTTCTTTCCCGCGTCGCTTACCGAAACTCTTAATAAGACCAGTGCCTGTCCAACTTGTTACGCATCCCTCGTAATATATTTTTCATCCGGCCAAGATGCCAGTGACTGGCATTATTCCCCATTTATCGGCCCAGCTTCACAATCAGATTCTGGGACTTGCGTGGACTGGTGCCGGACGAGATGTCGTTTCGCTCCGGTCCAAGGCCTGGTGGGAAGAGTCGTCCCCGATTCCATTCGATCTCGCATCTCGCCTAAAGCCGAACCTGATCAGGTTGCTACGGTCAGCAAGAGCCATGCTGTTCGACCCTATTTCAGATTTCCATCTTTCTTTTACCTAATAGCGCTCCATGGGAAACATGAGCTTTTTGGCCCAGACTCTTTTCTCAGATTGAAGGGTGACCGCTATGTGTGGTTGTATCCCTCGACACGAACGAAGAGTGATGAAAAAGTCGGCATAGTGTGAGTTCCTTTTATGGTTTATTAGAACATAGTAGAGGGAAACCCTCAGAGGCCAAATAGATTTGATCAAAACACCGAACTCGCTTCCTTTGTTCCAGACTGGGAAGATCTGGTCTGGTCTGAAAAGACACGATGGCCATGGCTCCCATTACAACATCCTCTGCAAGCCTTTCTAGACATCATTGACGAGGGCAAGATAACAACATACTCGAATCGCCGAAAAGAATCGACGGATGATGTGTTCGGAGTATTCCCTTGGGAGATCCACCAATATATCGTAATGGATGTTGAGAGAGCTATCATTCCCATACCCGTCTTCTTGATGCTATCGAGATTCGATTTCCAAGTTCGTTACGTTGAAGGACATTGGAGTGGGTATGTTATTCCATGGTGAGATAATTAGTGGAATGTAACTTCAAAAATGATTTAATCAAGTTGGTCCATGTATTTTAAGTGTTATTTCGTACACGGATTGTGTCATTTTCTCGTCGAAGTTACGGGTCAAGAGGAAGATCCTGGATCTTAATGTACTATTCAATGGTATCGAGACTGAAAAGAACAGGGAGAAGAAGAATAATAATAAGTAGAGTATCTATTTGGAGATCTTGTGAATATCACCTCCAACCTGGTATCTCCTATTTCGGTATATTCCTTCCCAGTATCTTTCTGAATCCTTAGGCTATCCAATCTACCAGAAGGCAACCCACCATCAATGTCGACTTATATTTTTCCCGAAGAAAGAAAGAAAGCCCAGAGTCGCGTACCTAGATATGGTCTAGTACGCAAATGAGCTTTGAACAGTTAATTAAATCATTTCAAAACGGAAGACTCAATCCAAGCATATCATGCCACGGTTCAGCGTTCAGCCTGTGGGCTAGTACGCGAATTTCTGTCGAAGGAGGGTGACTCTGACCCGCTTCTCCCTTGGTCTATTGCGTGCGCACTTACCCTATCTTTCATCTTTCATAGTTTTACTTCTTTGTACTCCTAATACATACGACCACAGGGTGTGGAGAACAGGGCTTCCCGTCCGCTCAGCCGTACTTAAGCCACACGCCGGCAGGTTAGTAGTTGGGTGGGTGACCACCAGCGAATCCCTGCTGTTGTATGTTTTTGTGTTTTGTATTTTTTGATTTGTTAGGAAATCGCCTCTTGCCGCCCTAATCTTCAGTCCGTTCCGGCCCCTAACCTGAAGACCCTGAAGCCCCTCCATTCCACACCCTGAATACCCTGAAGACTTGAAGCGATAACGTGGCCCCTCGGCTAAACTTCCCCTCCTACGCTCCCTATTCCGTCCTAGTTCTATCTTTCGTAGCCTAAGCTTTTTACTGATAGGAAACGGAAAATAGATTCGCCGTTGCTATTATAACGATCTAGTCTAGTATTAGTTGCCTCCTCTTGTTATATGAAATTATAAGATGAGGGTATTCCCGATTCGAGGCCTGAGGCCCTTAATCGATACCTTATCGGTCAGGCTCTAGGATCACGTGTTTTCTTACCTCCAAAATGCATACAGGACCCTGGGGATTCGGTGCCCTTCCATCTAGGGTTCGTGAACTCCTCTTTCTCGTATCTCCTGCTTACCCCTGTTACATGGAGGACGCGTCAGACCGCCTATTTTAATGTGATCCTTCACCTACACCTTAGTCATGCGGGGAAGCACCAAAGCCTGTATATAAATCATGGGATTATGGGGGATGATAGAAGGGCAAGAAACAGTTATTTACCTTCCTTACTTGACGTTTATCTTCCTACCTAGTCGACAGGCTTTCTACCCTGTATAGTAGATATTCTCTAACAGTCGATATAACCGATAGAAGACTCTTAAGAGTCAGCGTATAATTTATCTAGTATTAGGCTACTATAGTCCAGACGTTAGGTGGAAGTTGCATGATATTGGAAACTAGTAAGGTTATAGTAGATATAGTATATAAAAGGCGGTAATTACTAGCCGAAACGCCTATATGTGAACATCTGCATATACCGGATCACACTACTAGAGCTAACTTGGATCTTACAGGAGTCGATAAAATCTAGCTAGGATATATATCGCCTAAGTCGCTTAGAGAGCCTAGTCTCGGGGGGGTTATCATTTACTTCTTTATACCGCGTCTAAATTATCGATATATCTCGTATACGTCGATCTTGACTCCCTTTAAAGATAGCTAATACTACCCATACTTGAGCCAAAGAGACGTAGCCTACGGTTCGTACGAGATAGTGTTCGCTTTGAGCCATAAGAGGTGAATCAGGGCCCTATATAAAGTCTTTAATCTTATCGGATGAAGACTACTCGATGCCCCTTTTTCACTAAATTTGAAAAGGAATAATCTGTCGTGCAAAGAACAACTTGGCGTGCAATTAGCCATAGCCACATTTTATTTCGCGATAATTACTTATAGTTGGCCAGGTATGGATCTCGTTGATCTTGGTAATCCAATCAAAGTCACCAGCAAAAGCGAAAAATCCTTTCGCCAAGGATCGGATCGCGAACTCTCTTCGAGAAAATTGCTTCGCCCTCTTCATATACTCTGCGGATCAGGTTTTGGAATAATGGTGAATTTCTAAATCTCCCAGGTTCGCGCTCAAGTCCTACTTCCTTGAGACCTAGATATTGCTCCTAGGAATTTCTGCTGGGGTTCCAATGATCCGGCCCATCGCTTGATCGCCTGTACGCTCTTTGGATATTTTAAACCAAACAATATCATATGGCCTCGCAATAACTCTTGCTGGGCCAACTCTGCCAGCTCGTATTTACCCTGTACTTGAAGAACCTCCCCATACCAACATAGACAGTCAAGCGTATCTTGATCCGGGAACTCGGGCCGCTTTTTCATCCCATCAGACGCCCGGAAAAGAAAGGGCTCCGCTTCTGCATATCTGGCTTGGTGATGGTACGCCAAGCCTAGCCAGTAAGAGGAACTCAACGTATCCAGGTCATATTCTCCATATTTGGCTTTCCGTAGTAAGAATGCTTGGTTGAGCAATGATATAGCTTGTTCGTACTTTTCTTGACAATACATAGCTAAACCTAGCCAATGACGCGTTGCTATGCCCCTTGTGCCTTGTATTGGTGTTAAAGTCCCGTAGAAAACTTCTTCAGATTCGTGGTATTTCTTAAGGTCAAAAAGAGCACATCCAAGCCAGAAGGCACACTCAATTGTATCTTCACTTCTTGGCCCTAGCGAAAAGTCCCGTCTTTGCAAAGCGTCTTGGAGAATCGGTTCTGCTTCTTTGGAATTTCCTTGCTTAAATAAGGTGAATCCAATTTGAAAGAGGGCATGTACTAAACCCCCGTCATATTGATCGCTTATCTGTTCGAACCCTTGGAATGCTGTATGAAAGACAGATTCAGCCTCTTGATACTTTCCTTGCTCGGAAAGCGCTAGTCCCATTGCATGCAAAGAATTCAGCGTCTTCCTATCGCTCGCACCTAGGCTGTCGGTTAGCCGGCCTACCACTTTACTAAACGTAGCCTCCGCAGTTTGATAGTGGTATAGCTCATATTGATTGCGGCCAGCCCAGTAAAGAGCGTCGATTGAATCGGCATGTATTGATCCCAAAGTTGTCTCGAGCCCACTCGCTGCTAGTTCGAGGTGACTTTGGGCAGCATTGTAGTCTCCCTGTCCGTGCAGCCTTTGACCAAGTTCGGCCATGGTGCGGTAATAGTGTTCAAGTTTGGATGACCCTGAAATATCTGGCATGTGTTTTGGTAGATGCTGGGGAGAGCTTGGCGGTGGTCTCACTATAACCCTTTTACCTCGCCATATCACTACCTGCTTCTTAGGAGATTCTTGAGGGTGAAGAGAGCTTCGCCGGACTAGCGGTGTAAGGTTCCAAATAGTTTGCTGCATGAAACTTGTTGCTTTAGCTATCTCCAAAAGTCGTGGGGAGATAGATTTTTGCGAGGGAAATCCCGAGATTTGAGGGTTGTGCTGCTCTATTGTAGAAAGCGAAAGAAGGGTTTCAGGGTGATTTGGCCCAAGGACGTCTTCCTGGACTCCCACCACTTGCTGCAAGATAGATAGTCCTTCTTGGTTATTCCCTTCTTGAATTGTCAAGTGTCCGATCCAATAGCGGGATTTCAGCGTGGATATACCCTTCGGACCAAACACGCTTTCTTGATATCCTAGTACCCACTGAAACAATTCTTTTGCTCGTGAGTATCTGGTCATATGGTAGTAAAGAACCGCTAGACAATGGTACGAGTTACGAGTGTCCTCATGCTCTAATCCCTGCAACTTTTTGCGTCCAATCGCCGCCTGTCGAAGCATAAACTCGGCTTTCTCGAAGTCATTCTGACAGAAATACTGTAACCCTTGACAATGGAGAGACTGCAATTTTTTTAGTTGCAATTGTATCGGGTCTTCGCATGACGGAGAGCCAATTAGAGTCTCTGATGGGTCGAGCTTTATTGTAGTAGACTCTTTTCTGGCGGATGATTCCGGGTTATTAGGTAGTACATGTTTTCGTATGTTTCCGCCCGCAGATATATTGTCGTTATTGGAGCCATCGGAAGTGCATTTCTGCATAGGCTCCAGCACTTCTTGCAGTCTCTCTGTTGAGATACAGTCTGAAAGATTTTCTTTCTTTATCTTCACAGACGCCGTTTTGGCGGATGATTCCGGGTTATTAGGTAGTATATGTTTTCGTATGTTTCCGCCCGCAGATATATTGTCGTTATTGGAGCCATCGGAAGTGCATTTCTGCATAGGCTCCAGCACTTCTTGGAGTCTTTCTGTTGAGATACTGTCTGAAAGATTTTCTTTCTTTATCTTCACAGACGCCGTTTTCGCAAGTTGAAAGTCAGCGAGCATCAGCCACTCGTTTTCCGTGGCTTGCTTTGCAGATAATCTCTGAGAGGCGTCCGGAGCCATTGTGGCCTTGATAAAGCTCTTACACGCTTTACTAATCTCTGACGGTCGGGATTTCGGGAAAGGAAAAGCTTCTCCTTGCATATATTGATGGAGAGTGATAGACTTCCAGGGCGAGAATGGATAGTCGTGGAAAATCATATAGAACGTTATAGCCCCTAGCGCCCATATATCAACTTTCTCTGTATAATGGAGCACGTCGTTTTGATTGTTAATGCTAGGAGAGTAAAGCATCTGCACCTCTGGGGCGAGAAAAACCGGGGTTCCAACGCATGATCGAAGGCCATCTTTCTCATTGACGCGTTTGCTGAAACCAAAATCACCAATTTTGACCCACCAATCTGGGCCTTTGTGAAAGACAAAGATGTTCTGCTTTCGTTAGCAATAGACTTTTCTGTTATTAAACAAGGATAATATACCGCTGGTTTGAGGTCTCGGTGAGCAAATCCATTTTCGTGGAGGAGTTTCAAGCCTTCCGCTATCTGCAACGTGACCTCCCTAGCCTCGTTTTCAGGTAACGGCCCTTTGAGATGCAAATCCAGATCGCCATATTCCATATACTCCATAATAATAAATACAGATATATCATTCTCATACCACCCAATGAAGTCGACGAAGAGTCCTTCGTACTAAAACAAAAACGTAAGCTTTCATTGCTCGAATTAAGTTGATATATTATGTTCTCAGAACAAAAATATGCCATACCTTTTTCTGTGAGAATTTCGCGATCGCTTCTAGCTCTCTGTAATAATCAATGCCTTCTGAGACGATGGCCTTCTTGATCTCCTTCACGGCCTGCAATTCCGCTTTGCCCTCGCTTGTCAGGCATCTATGCAGAGAAACATTGCCATATGATCCGCTTCCAAGTAACTTTACCGTCTGCCATGTGTCCTTTCGCAGCTTGCGTCTGAAATACGGGGCAGAAGATACCCTGGACTGGAATGTGAATCGATAGGTGAAGTTGTCGCTGAATTCCACTTGAATTCGGCTATCGAGTACTAAGTCGGAAAGGAGAGAGTTCATTCTCGGCTTCCTTCTGGAAGACACGACCGGCTGGTGAGTCGAAAGAGTTGAGTTTCAGGTTGACTAGGATATTGGGGTCCAAAGCCCCTTTTGAGAGAGGGAAGTTGAGCCCCGCCCCAGCGTAATTGCGGTAGACCGAGCAACAGCTCTAGCCGCGCGCGATGTGGGTTTTCGACAGGGATCTATGCCACCAAAATCCCCCAGGATGATCGAAATGAATGACTCATGATGAAAGATAAAGAGTGAAACTAGATAAAAATAAAGCACTTTATCATTGCTCTAGTTTTTCTAGATGACAGCCCATAATATTATAACTGAGGAATCTGTTCGACGGTGACTTCGAGGGGAACAAGACATCTTGTTTCAAAATAGAACCCTGCGCTTGCATGACGCTAAGAATTCGCTTACGGATTACATCGACGTAGATAACTAGTACTGGTAGTGTTAAAACCAAGGCGGCGACCGTGCGGGGTTCAATGTTTCAATCCATTCGATTTTGAACGCCTTGAATGACCACTTGAGTACCAAAAGTGTGTTTGTACAGACTAGAACGACCAAATACTGCGCTAATGGCTTCCACTAAGCTGGATCGTCGGTTGAATTATGCCAGACAGCTGAATATCTGTTTCCTCGGCCCTGTACAATCCACCAGGTGGCCAGAGACTCACGCACTGCATTTTTCAAGCATACAGAATGCTGGCCGCCGCAATTATGATGCTTTTGTTGAGGAGATCATAAATGACATCACTAGCGAAAAGCCTTGGAGACATGCAACCCGAAGTCATGTTGATCGCTTGTGCCTTCTTGCCGAGACTTGCTATCGAGAACACAGGCAAGAGGCCGGATGGAGAATGGGTGTTGAGAATGAGATTTTGCATCGTTTCACGATTGAAGTTGCCTGGTAAGTCGTTTGAATAATCGCCAGCTATCTTCGGATTTTCTTTTTGTTCCATTTCAAATCTGGCACCTTGTAGACACATCGGCATTTTATATTCTTACATTGCACTACATCGAAAGTACAGATTGTCGGAATAGACTGTGGGCCTCTGAGATACCTGCCGCATTAGGTAGGGAGGGCTCGTTGGTCGACGAGCTTGAAGAGCGGCGCCGCAGGCGCAGGCCATGTCAATGCCCACGTGTAGGGGGACAAAGCCAGTATGTTCAAGTTCAAACCATCCATATATCTCTCTTACATTTGAACGCTTAGAGCGTAGATCCTCCAGATGCCTAACGTCTACCTTAGATATGATCGAGGTATCAATATGCTCTTTTCGGATCGAGCTGAAGCGGCAATAAAACATAGCCCAGGTCTGCCAGTGAAACCTCGGCCTGGGGAACTTCAGAACTCTGAATCTCCAGATCGAGTATACGGGTTGAAACAAACGGAAAACTTTCAGCTGCTTCTAGATGGAGCTGACAAACGCACCCCTTTGTCTACTTCCAGTCTGCGTGATACTATAGAGTTTAGTCCGTTCAATCCTGGTGGTGAGCCACTGTTGTACCCATTCCTTATACTGGAAGCCAAATCAAGTAAAGGGAACGATCACATGGAAGCACAAATGCAGACTGCGTTTGTCATTAGACGCCTTTTGAAACTTCAATCTGATCTCAAAAGAGCTGCTGGCGAAGAGAGCCAGTGGGAGACTGGTCCACTTGTTTGGTTTATATCTTGGAGAGCAGAGCAGTGGAGCGTTTCTGCGGCTTTCATTGAATCTGACTCAAAGGATACAGCTCACTATGTATGTACCTGTCGCCGTAGATCCCTACCACTTAATTTCACTTTGATTAACATACGAAAGATGGTCGTCGATTTGTGGGCTGGCAATATCCGCTACAAAGATGGTGCTCTACAGCTACTTCTCATCATTGACTACATTTTCGACTGGGCCCGTGACATATACCGGCACGCAATCTTGAAGGAACTGAATACCTTGTCCACTAACAACCTGCCCGGAACCGATCCACTCATTTATTCAATGGCAGGCCGCGAGATCATTAAGGCTACAGAATCTTCCATACGGCCAGTGAAAATTTCTGACAGACAGACCATGTCACTGTGGTTTGATAATCAACTGAGGTTTGATAATCAACTGAAACAATTGTTCTTCTCCAGTTTATCTCGAACTGAAAACTTCGAGTTCTTGAACATTGTCTTTCCAGAAGGGGTAATTAGGGATGCCTCTATTCTCGAATCGCGATTTCTAGCCCTTCAACTTAATAAGAATGATGTGGATACATTTTTAGCCTCATTCGATTCCGAAGACGAGGCCGCAGACTGGACTCAAAGAATGCTGGAGTATCTACCACGCGCGTGGAAAGTCGCTTCCGGGACCACCCAGGCATTAGAAAGGATTTGGAAAGGAGAGTGCCGGATTGTTGACGATGTTGATCGCCCAGATGAGATGTCCTTTCTCAATCTAGCCATTCATTTTCATATGTCACCAACATGGCAGCCAGTCCGACAATTCACTTGTTTTTCTATCTCTGAAGCAGCTTTGAGTTTGCTTCTGTCAAGGGTTGGAAGGAAGTGCGAATTTCTGCACCAGCCACAAGTGGCGTTAGGAACCATCATACGAATACTCCTTCCTATTCTTCAACAGTCTGTGATCGATTGCTTGACAGATGCAGTGTCAATGCTCTGTTTGTCAAGTTGTATCTCCATTACAGACGGGGAGGGAAATAATTCTATGATCTCGGCAAAGAGTCCTAAAGAGTATCTTGCTGGACTTGAACCCACAAACGCTCCTCACCTAATTACCTTGGTCACCTCGGTCTACGAAAATCACAAAATAGGCCGAAGAGAACCAAATGATCCATATATCTCAATTTCAAGCTGTCAGCTTAGTCATGATATGGAGCTCCCAACTTCTGACAAAAAGATGAACGGAACTCTGCAGCCTCTTATATTTGCCAAAGGCCAATGGGGAGTTTTGATCGATGGAGTTTCGCAAGAAGGAAGCCTCCCAAAGCGTTGTCTATATTTATTCGGAAAGTTTTCTGGATATGAGGACTTGCCTGGTTTGCTGAGAAGAATGTTGAAAGAGAGTAGGTACTCCATGACAAAACTAATCAGCATTGGCTCTTGGCACAAGGAAGACTTTCGAAATTTGAATCGAAGGATAATGCTCGATGAGTCCTGGAAGTCAAAAGCGGATCCAGAGTCCTTCGAGAAGTGGCTTGGAAAGTTGGAGGATGTTCGGAAGCAACATGACAGTGCACGAGGTCATAGTGCCTCTTCGCCTATAATAATCGACTAAGGCTATGCTCCAGATACCCATTGGAAATATCTAGCAGTGTCTCCACTCACCCACACCGCTTCGCGTTGTGGGTATGCCACACTCAGATTTGCAATTTCCCCTACCTCCCTATTTTTTGCTTCCCTATCCAACACCACTATCTAAATATGCCTAATTTCGACGAATCCCGTATGGCAGAGGACTGCCTGGTTGCATCACGAGAGGAGAAGCCGAATATATCGCGTCTAGCACGCGAATTTGGTGTGCCTAGGGCTACGCTTTCGAATCGTGTCAACAAGAAAACAAGGCCTAATATAGGCAGGAACACTAGTAAACGCGCTTTAGAACCCTATCAAGAAGAAGCCTTGACTCGCTGAATTCAATATATGAACGATTGCTACATGCCTATCACTCCTAGGATACTAGAATCGTGGGCGAATCGTGCATGCCAACGCGTCGGGAAGCCTGTTACGGAATATGCAGCCGCGACTTCGTAATATAAATCTTATTAATTATAGTTATCGTCGCCGCTAAAAACTCGAAGTTTCTTTCTCTTATTATAGTAATAGAAAACTACCTAAAGAATCCTAATAATATACTAATAGTTAGTCTCTCCTTGATCCTACTATATAATCCTTTTCTAATCTACTCTAAGAAAGCCCTATATATTTAAATATTAGGCGGAATAACCGACTTTAGATATAAAGCGATAAATCGAAAAAAAGAGAAGTTTTAGTAATATATTTTAATATTATTAAAGTCTTAGTTTTAGTAACTAACTTGTCCAATAGAAGCAACGTACGACTATAGCTAGTTTCGGTCCGTAGAAGAACTATCCGTTAGATTAGGTCGTTATTATGCTCTTCAAAGTTTATAGTATTTCTTACAAAACTTAACGTCGGATCGTGCTTAATACATATTTTAGGTTAGTAGCTAATCTAAAAAGATATAAAGGAGAAAGAATCGAACTTATAGGAAATCTAGGAGGAAAGGGTTTAAAAAGCGCAAATACGCCTTCTACTATATAGGCTGAATGTTCAGGTGAAGAATATTCAGGTACGTGAACGTCCCCCCGGGTAGTCCTAAAGAGGACTAAATAGGGCGGCGAGCCGCCCACGCCAAATTCGTGGGCGCTAGGTGACAACCACCTTACACCTGCTGTTGTATGTTTTTGTTTTTTGTGATCTTTTTGATCTGCTGGTTGTAAATGCACCTGCTGCCAATCTCCGATGCCAAAAATGGCCAGTGACTGTGTCCTATGCTTTCATTCTCGGAAAAGCCGCGATTGAATTGAGGATACTGTAATGGGATTCATCTTGTATTCCAAGATACTCATGATTCATGTTGAAGAGATTGAAGATATTTTCGATTAGTTGTTTCGATTTTGCTAGAGAGGAGAAATGTATGAGAGAAGGACGACGATCTACCTACCCGGACAGGAAAGAGACATGTGATCTAGGTGCTTGGATAGCTTAAGTACTGTCAGCCTCAGGCAAACCTTGGCAGTTTTTGGTCAGAGCTTCAATCCAAGCATGCTGACCCTCTGAACCAGCCCATAATTGGAAGCCAACCAGTAATATTTACGTATTCGGGATGAGCTGTATAGGGCTGAACGGAGCGGTGAACCGCTCACGCCTGATCCATGGGCGCTAGGTGAGAACCCTTTTAGACTTGCTGTTGTATGTTTGTTGACAGCTCTATTCCCTTTTGTTCGTTCTGGTTTAGTGATGCCTTTACCGTCCTACTCTTCAGCCTCCTTCAGCCCTTTACCTTAAAGCCCTGGACGGCCTGACCGGATGGACGTGGCCCCTCAATTAGACCTGCTGTGTTCCATGCCATCGCAATATCACCTCACCCTGCCATGTCAGGTGTCATGGGTATTCTCAAGCAATTTAGCTGACTGAAGCTGCACTGTACAAGCTGGCTACGTTACGGCCACTCTCTGAGTACGATGTGGTCTGGGTAGACGTTGGTTGATGGACAAAGTGGAAACCTCGGCGGGGGCGGCGTCATCGCGATGGACTTCAAAGTAGATGGCAACCCTCGAACAATTCATTTTCAATTTTTGCTGTCTGAACAGGCAGCTACAACGAAAGCTCGGTTAAAATGGAAAAGAAGTAGTCGAAGAGACAGAGAAACATCTTGATCGAGTGGATGCCGATGAAAAACAATACAGATAATTCAAATTTTCGGTTAACTCTTATATAGAGGAAATATACTTAGCATCTTCTAGAAAAGACACAACCTGAGACTGGAGATCGTAGAGCGGCATTGGGGATGGATATAGAGTATAGCTTTAGTCTAATTTGGCGGCGAAGGGTAATAGAATTTTATAATTGACAATCCACGTTAATTATTTGTTATCATACAAGCCTCACTAACAAATTGATTAGTCCGGCTCATGACACCCCCCTTTGAAAGCGGCAGTAGCTGCATGCCCAAGATGAGTGAGAAAAAGGCAGCACCGGAGGCCTGGTATAGTAGGTGAAGTTGCCCAGTTCTTAAAAAGAAATTCTTAAAAAGAAAGAAGAAGAAAGGAAAAATCAAAGAGAGCAATCTTAATTGATCGGACTTAATACTTCGCTTATTGTATTGCATCACTCTGAGAGAATTTTCGTACTTTGAGTGAAATCTGCCTTGGGAGCCCAGTAAACGCAATCGATGTCACCAAAGGTACTACCGCGGACCGAATTGCCTAGATCTTCAGTCCCAATCCTGACCAGTGATTGAGAGGAATCCAAGGGTTCGTCAGATGGCGTGACCGGTTTCCATGTGTCAAAGTTTGACTTGGGGCGTCTTGGCCGTTTTCAGGCGACCATGCCGAGATAGGCCGTAGTCCCTCCAAATTTTGATTATTTTGAAAAATAATTTTTTCGGCTGAAGAATAATATATATTTTCTATATCACAGTTTCTATCGCTAGCTTTGTGAGTTTTAGTTAACTGTAGTATAGAATTAACTTTTAATGTACCGAGCTGTTGCTTGTTCTTGGGGTTGGTCAGAGGATCCCGTCGAGTCACTGGCCCGAAACCGTCTGAGATCTCGGTCTCGGTATGGTCCGAAACACAAAGCACCGAGTGGCATTTTTTTTATTTTTTTTGGGATGAGGTACTAGCATTAATACAATACAGGACCCAAAATTAAATATATTAACAGACCAAATTATTCTGGTCTTTCTTATTACAAATCGAAATACGAATTGAATCTAACCAGCATGTGCTAAGCAGGTATCATCGCAAACTGGATCTAGATCTCGGCCCGACCGAAAATGTCAAATCGGCAAGATTTCGAGAATCTCCATGGCAAAGTGGATCAGAAGAGGCGTTGCAACCATTTAGAAGGTTAGGTTTATACCGTGCTTGCAGGATTCATTTCCCAGCTTCTGGGCTCGACGGTTTGGCAAAGGTAGTATTCTGCCCAGACGGAATCAAACATTGCATCACATTTAGCGCCAGCACACCATCCGTACAAGACGCCGTTGCTAGCCGTGCACCAAGCAATAATATAAGCGGACTGCTCTCGGACACACGAGTTCCTCCCTAATTTCATAGGGGTCTCATCGTTTTCTAAGTTCAGCGATGGCCGAATCAGCAAGATCAGCTTTGATCGAGACCGGCCCAGATAAACTGCGGGTGCTAGATGCAAAGCCCACCGACTCAGAGAATGGACCCAAGCGTGCTGATGGAATCTCCGGCTTATGTTTGTTTTGCATGTCAATGGGCTTTTCACAGCGGACAATCTAATGTGACCTTTTGTAGACGAAGGGAATGTTTTCGAAGCGTCCCCTGAGAACCGCCGCCAGATCGGCGTTTTCAGCGCCTCTTTGCTGATTTTCAACCGGGTAATTGGAACAGGCATCTTTGCCACCCCAGGAACTATTCTCTCTCTGTGTGGAAGTGTTGGTCTCTCACTCTTCATGTGGGTGATCGGCACTGCTATTGCTATGGCGGGCACTGCAGTTTACTTAGAATGGGGCACCGCAATCCCAAAGTACGTCGAAGCACCCAAGCTGCCCCCAAAGAAAAACGCGAGACTGATATACCCTCCCAGAAACGGCGGTGAGAAGAATTACCTCGAATACGTCTATAAGAAACCCAAGTTCCTAGCAACAGCCATGTTCGCCGCCTATGCCTTCTTGTTAGGATGGGCGGCGAGCAACAGTGTGGTCTTTGGCCAGTATATCCTGAACGCAGCAGATATCGAAGTCGGACGATGGAATCAGCGTGGTATTGGGCTTGCCTGTCTCACTGTGGCATTCCTTGTTCACGCTACGGTCCTGAAATGGGGTCTTCGTCTATCTAACCTGCTCGGTGTGGTCAAATTGATCATCATCGTATTTATTATCGTTGCCGGATGGGTTGCGCTCGCTGGACACACTAAGGCGGAGACGCCGCATAATTTTAGGAATGCATTTGAAGGTACCAGAGGCAGTGGATACAGTATCGTGATGGCATTATACAACGTTATTTGGTCCTTCATCGGCTACTCCAACGCCAATTATGTCAGTTGAAGTCCGGAAGAACTCCGAGATCCCGAATAAGGCGCTGATTTGATTTGCGGTTTAATATTAGGTCCTCAGCGAGACAAAAAACCCTGTACGGACATTGAAGATCGCCGCACCCGTGGCTATCGGATCGGTTGGAATTCTATATATGCTCGTCAACATCGCCTACTTCGCTGCCGTTTCAAAAGAGGAGATGCTTGAGTCCGGTACCGTTGTCGCTGCGGCATTCTTCGGCAACATGTTTGGGAAACAAGCAGAGAAGGTCATGTCTGTCTTTGTCGCACTATCAGCATTTGGAAATGTCTTGTCCGTCTTGTTCTCCCAGGGTCGAAGTGAGTGATTTTCTGTTGATTTATTGAACGATGTATTCCATACTAAATATACCCTCGGTGCAGTTGTCCAAGAGCTCGGTCGTGAGGGCGTACTCCCCTTTTCAAAGGTTTGGGCAAGCAACTGGCCATTCCATTCACCTGCTGCCGGTCTATTCGAGCATTATATCGTCTCGGTCATTATTTTATTAGCTCCGCCCCCGGGCGATGCTTACAACTTTCTCCTCAAGTATGGGCCTGATCTCATTTGACGAAGGTCTTTCATTGCTAATTGCCCTTCTTAGCCTGATTTCCTATCCGCTCTCAATCATCAATGTCTTTGTTTCCGGGGGGCTCATTTATGTCTATTTGAAAAAGGACGAGTTCCCCAGCTGGAGCCCTGGCATCCGAGCGACCCTTCCTGTGACCATCTTTTTCCTGTTATCGAATTTGTACTTGGTGATCGCACCATACATTCCGCCTGATGCCGGCCAAAATGTATATGAGCAGCTGCCGTACTATTTACACTGCGTGGTAGCGCTGGGACTGTTTGCCATGGGGGCTTTATATTACCTGGCCTGGGCGGTTTTGCTCCCACGCTTCGGAGGCTACGTGCTGGTCAAGGAGTCCGTGGTGGATGCGGATGGCTGGTCCCGCAGTGTTTACACAAAATTACCACAAGCACCGGCCCGGTTTTCTTAACAATAGAGAAAAAAATCGCGCTGAACTAGTCTTTTTCTTCTTCTTCGATGGTGTTGGAACGGGTTGGAGGTATTTTGCGGCTATATTTTGAGGGATTCCTCCTGTCTTTGTAAAACTTGCAATTCTCAACATTAGGCGAACTGGTGGTTCTAAATGTCTATCCTACGGGTGTATCGATTTGAACAGGGGAGAGAGTACTAAGATTTGAAGGATTGATTTTCAATTTACCGATCCAGGGATGAGAATGTCCCAGTTCTCTATGGAAGCCTATTCAGGAAATCAGCAAAGCTGTCATAGACCCCTCAAACTGACTGGAGCGTAGTCTTGCAAGGAGAAGCAGCTTAGAGGCTGCTCCACAGTCGTCTGCCGTGGAGTCGGGGCATGCACTGGTTGGACTTGCGTGAGGTGAAGAAAAGAAGAGAAAAAGTCGCGAAAAAAAGCGGAGATAAAAGTGGTCGGGAAACTAACTCACCGCCGACCCTTTCTGCCGCGATTCATTCTCTTCCTCCGATTTGATTGTTCTCCAGTGGTTCGATGCGGTCATTCTTTGTTGTTTACTTGTAATATTAATTGGGTCATCAAAACCCGCTTTTCTCTTTTCTTTTTCTCCCCTTCTTCTCCCCCCATTGGCCTGGGGGTTTGTGGACTGCCGATGCGCCGCTTCTCCACGCGTGCGCTGCTTCAAGCAAAGCCACCGCTTCTCTCCGCCAGATCTCCGCTCCCCCTCTTTCTCTCTGCCCCTCGTTCACTTGCAGCTCCAAGACCGATCTCTCGCCCCCGATCCCTTCGTTCTTCCCTTTCTCAACCCACCAAACGATACTGCTCCTACCGCAGAATGTGCAGCTCTCGGCGCGACGAGCCTGCCGGCTCGACCAACGTCCAGGGCCGTGAGGTCCTGCCTACCAATGTCAAGCCGGTGCATTACGATCTGACCCTCGAGCCGAACTTCGAAACATTCAAATATGATGGCACTGTGGTTATTGAGTATGAATCCCGTGGCATTGAGAGTTGGCACCTGTACTGATAGCTTTATCTAGCCTCCAGGTCAACGAAGACACCGATTTCATCTCCCTCAACTCCAACGAAATCGATATTCACAGTGCCGTGGTCCAGTCTAAGGGTGCGGTCGTGGACTCCCAGCCCACTATCTCCATGAACAAGGATAACCAAGTGGCAACGATCAAGTTCAACCAGGCCATCGCGGCTGGTTCCGATGCGCAGCTTACGCTTACTTTCACCGGTATTCTAAACGATAACATGGCCGGCTTCTATCGGTCATCATACAAGACCAAGGATGGCAAGACCGAATATATTGCCTCGACTCAGATGGAGCCTACCGATTGTCGCCGAGCTTTCCCTTGCTTCGACGAACCCGCCCTCAAAGCCAAGTTCACCGTCACTCTCATTGCGGATAAGGACATGACCTGTCTGAGCAACATGGATGTTGCGTCCGAGACTGATCTCAAGAACAGTGCGAAGAAGGCTGTCAAGTTTAATACTTCGCCCCTCATGTCCACATATCTGGTGGCTTTTATTGTTGGTCACCTTAACTACGTTGAAACTAAGAACTTCCGTGTTCCTATTCGAGTCTACGCCACACCCGACCAGGATATTGAACATGGCCGCTTCTCTTTGGAGCTTGCTGCCAAGACTCTGGCTTTCTATGAGAAGGCCTTTGACAGCGATTTCCCATTGCCGAAGATGGACATGGTTGCTGTGCCCGACTTCAGTGCCGGCGCCATGGAGAACTGGGGTCTAATCACCTATCGTATCGTGGACGTGTTGCTGGACGAGAAGACCAGCGGTGCTTCGCGCAAGGAGCGCATTGCCGAGACTGTCCAACACGAGTTGGCCCACCAGTGGTTTGGTAACCTGGTGACCATGGACTTTTGGGACGGCTTGTGGCTGAACGAAGGCTTTGCTACGTGGATGTCGTGGTACTCCTGTAATGTCTTCTACCCGGAGTGGAAGGTTTGGGAGACCTATGTCATCGATAACCTGCAGAGTGCTTTGTCACTCGACTCTCTGCGCAGCAGCCACCCGATCGAGGTTCCTGTCAAGCGTGCCGATGAGATCAACCAAATCTTCGACGCCATCTCTTACTCCAAGGGATCTTCCGTTCTGCGCATGATTTCGAAGTATCTTGGCGAGGAAGTTTTCTTGCAGGGTGTGAAGAATTACATCAAGAAGCATGCTTACGGAAACACCGAGACCGGTGATTTGTGGACGGCGCTGGCCGACGCCAGTGGCAAGCCCGTTCAGTCGGTCATGGATATCTGGACAAAGAATGTCGGCTTCCCCGTCATCAGCGTCACTGAGAACCCTGCTTCCTCATCTATCAGTTTGAAGCAGAATCGATTCCTGCGCACTGGCGATGTGCGCCCCGAGGAGGATCAGACTCTCTACCCCTGCATGCTCGGACTGCGTACCAAGGAAGGTGTGAACGAGGACACCATGCTGACCGATCGTGAGCATGAGTTTAAGGTCCCTGATATGAACTTTTTCAAGCTCAATGCCGACCACTCTGGTATTTACCGTACTTCTTACTCGCCCGAGCGTCTTCGCAAGCTGGGCAAGGCTGCCAAGGACGGTCTGCTTACCACTGAGGATCGTGCTGGTATGATTGCCGACTCTGGTGCCTTGGCCGCCTCGGGCTACCAAAAAACTTCTGGCATGCTGTCGCTACTCCAAAGCATGGATACCGAGTCCGAATTTGTTGTCTGGAATGAGATCCTCACCCGTATCGGTGTCCTTCGCGCCGCCTGGATCTTCGAGGATGCCGAGACCAAGGATGCACTCCTCTCATTCCAACGCTCGCTGGTCTCTGGCAAGGCCCACGAGCTGGGTTGGCAGTTCTCTGACAAGGATGGTCACATCCTTCAGCAGCTCAAGGCGCTCATGTTCAGTTGTGCTGCCATGGCTGGTGACGAAGCAGTTGTCAAGGCCGCACAGGATATGTTCGACCGCTTTGCTGCTGGTGACATGTCAGCGATCCACCCTAACATTCGTGGTAGCGTGTTTAGCATTGTCCTGAAGAACGGTGGCCCCAGGGAATACGACGTCGTCCTGGACCGTTTCCGCCACGCCCCTACCTCCGACGAGAAGACTACTGCTTTGCGCTGCCTCGGTACCGCCGAGGATCCTGCTCTGATCCAGCGTACTCTCGCCTTGGCTTTGGGTGATGAGGTCAAGAACCAAGATATTTATATGCCCCTCAGCGGCCTCCGCAACCACGCTGCTGGTATTGAGGCTCGTTGGACCTGGTTGAAGGAAAATTGGGATGTCATCTTCAAGCGCCTGCCCCCATCTCTCGGCATGCTTGGCACTGTTGTGCAGCTCAGCACTTCTAGCTTCTGCACTGAGGCACAGCTGAAGGAGGTGGAGGAGTTCTTCGGCGCCAAGGACACCAAGGTAAATTACTCTCATCTCTTTTTCTGTCTGCATCTGTCTCTAACATGGTTATCACAGGGCTATGATCGTGCTGTCGAGCAGAGTCTGGATGCCATCCGCGCCAAGATAAATTGGTTGAAGCGTGACAACGAAGATGTGAAGTCCTGGCTGCAGAACAACCAATACTTCCAGAGCAAGCTGTGATATAGTCGACATGGCGTTTTAGAGGCTTTTTTGCGTTCCACTGAACCAGGTGAGCCAGTTTCGGGTCAGATTTTCCTCCAATGTTTAAAATTTTAAGGCTGTGGCACACAGGCTGTGCCCTCTGCCCTCGCTGTTGGCACTTTCATTACCCTCATATATATACACTCAACTCTTTTTCTAAAACTGGAGCTCTGTATTTCATTCTCCCGGGAAGCGCTATAAGACACTGTTTCAACAGTATGCCCCTCACGTTGTACTCAGTAACAAACCAGACCTACAAAATTACATAGATAATATGAGCAGATCCGGAAGTCGGCTTAACCTCAGAAGATATATTGCAAGAACGCCCCTATCCGGGAAATGGTATAAATTGAAGATACAAAACAAGGAAAAGAACGCTCCCACTCTATGCCCACCCGCCTTTCCCTCCGAATCCAGAGCTGTCCTCGATCTTCTTGCCTTGACCGCGCGATGGCTTCGACTGGGCGGCTTCGTGTTTGCGTAGTTCTTCGGGGACCCGTGAGATGGGTGACTTGATGAGCATTTGCTTGAGATCATACCTGGATTTCGCGTTAGTATAATGCTCGCAACCAAGTGAGGTACAAAGACGGAATAGAAAGTTACGTACATAACATCAGAATCCTCGCCACCCAAGAACGTAATGGCAACACCACTCTTGCCTGCACGACCTGTACGACCGATACGGTGGGTATAGCTTTCAATAGAAGTGGCCATATTGAAGTTGACGACAAGGGAGACGTCTGGCACGTCAATACCTCGACCAGCAAGATCAGTGGCAACCAGGACATCTGTAGCACCGCTGCGAACGGAAGCGAGGGCAGCTTCACGCTGTTCTTGGGTCTTGGAACCGTGCAATGTAACAGAGGAAAAGCCCATGTGTTTGATTTCACGAGCAATGGCATCGCAGTTGCGCTTAATGTTGACAAAGACGATGATTGGAGGTCGGAAATCGCCTGAGGAGAGGATCTCAGCCAATCTCTTCTTCCGCTTATCTTCGCCAGGAATCATCTCGACACGTTGCTCCACAGTATCGACGGCTTCGCCAACACCACCAATGGTGATGATGGCAGGGCGGCGCAGGTACTTTCGTGCAATGCGCTCGACAGCAGCAGGCATCGTAGCCGTGTACATCATTGTTTGGCGATAACGGTCACGACCACCGAGATGTTGGCTCATAGCACGTGGGTTCTCGGCCTCCTCGGTATCCGGTTTCTCATTTGTGACAGGGAGAGCATCGAGAATCTTATTAACAGGCTCTTCGAAACCCAAGTCGATCATTCGGTCAGCTTCGTCCATAATAACGTAGCAGCATTGACTGAGAACCAGCATGCGGCGTTCGATACAGTCAACAAGACGACCAGGAGTGGCGATGATGATTTCCGCACCATCGCGCAGACTGTATGCTTGTTCCTCGAGCGAATGACCACCAACGATACTCACGACATTGAAACCGAGGGGCTGAGTGAACTTTTTGGCTTCAATCTCAATCTGTTGCGCCAATTCACGCGTGGGCGCGAGAACAATTGCATATGGGCCATCATTCTTGCGCCATTCAAACTCATCTAGACGAGGAAGCTCCGAGATATAGACTAAGAGAGGAAGTAAGAATGCCGCTGTTTTACCGGAACCTGTGACAGCAACACCGATAAGATCACGCGATTGTAGAGCAATCGGAATAGAAGCACGTTGAATAGGCGTCGGCTCTTTGTATCCAACACGGTCGATCAGCTCCAATAGGCGCTTCGGCAACTGGCTCTCATCCCATGATCGCATCGGGTTGGGAACGCTGCCACCCTTTGTACTGATATTGAAATCTTCCTTGAAGATACGCCAGTCTCGTTCGCGCATATGATCCAGGCGCTTCTCGCTCCAGTGCTTGTCGAGTTGGTTGCGCGTACTCTCCTCTCGGCGGCGGCGCTCCATATCCAAGATCTCCTGGGCACGTAGGCCACCCGATTCCTGATCACGAGTTTCCAAAGCTTGTGCATATTTGCGAGCCATGTTGTCTGCAACATCCTCCCCGAAACCTGCGAGCCGGCCACGACCAAAGAAATTCGCCTCATGTCTGTGCTGGTATAGCGGGTTGTAGTCTCCACTGGTGTCCTCTTCAGTATTCCATTCGAAGTTGAACTTTCTGTCCGTGGTACGCTTGCGCTTTTTCTTTGCGGAAAAGTTCGAAGTCTGATCCGCACCCATATATCGTTGCTTGACTAGTTGCGCCTGCGCAGCAACTTCTTCCTCTTCGGTAAGACGTTTCTCGCCCTTATTTTTTGGTTTCGGAGGAGGGTCCATATCATTGTTTCGAGATCGCATAGAGGCAGGTCCCGTTGGAACATCCCCACGCATTGCCCGTGGCCCCGTAGGGACTCTAGCCTTTGTGCCCCTGCGATCGTTGCTTGGTTCTTCAGGCCGTGAAACCGGAGGGTTTGATAAATCGAACTTGCGATCAGCAGCACCGTTGGCGAATGCCTTGGCTTGTCGTTCAGCCTCAACGTCTTTAGCTCGTTTTTCTAGGGCAAGTTTCTCACGCTGAGCTTTAGATAGAAATTTTGGCTGTATGATAAGAAAAAAAAGTCAGTCCGTCAATGCATCCCATATAAGTCCGGCACTAATGCCAATGAAAGGGAATCGTACCTTTGCGGCAGCTGCATCAGCTTCTTTCTTCTTTCGAATGAGGTCCTCTACACTCAATGGAGTTGCAGCTGGTTTCTTCACTCCCCATCCCGACTTCTTTTTCTTCGGCTCTTCGGGCGGTGCCGGTAGCGCATCTTCTGGAGGTGGTGGAGGTGCTCCAGCATCTGGCGGCGGCGGCGGAGCGGCGGCGGCGTCCTCTGGAGGTGGAGGGGGCGGAGTCGGTGGGCGCTCGATAGGATCCGGGGGAGGTCCCGGAGGCGCTTCATTCGAGCCGTTGGTCACTACGCCATCCATCGCGACTCAAAAGTGAGAGAAAAGGTTTGACTGGAGACAGGGAACAACCTGCGAGGTGACCGCATCTCGAATTTCTACGGCGGGCGGAAAGGAGCAGCCGCGCGATCACGTGATTTATTCTACGGATTCCAAGAGCGAGGTGTGAAGACATCAAAGTGCTAGAATCAGTTTCATTGGGAACGAAAACGTAAAATAGAGTACAGCGGATCTCGGCAAGATCCCCATCTTGTTCCAATAACAAACGGGTCCCGATATGGGAAGAGGAGCATGCCGAAGAACTGGGTTAGGGTAAATTTGACCCACTCGGCGAATCAAATCGCTAACAAACCTGCAGGGACGAAAAGAATGTCTGGCGAAGGCGAGAAAAAACAGACATGATGCTACACGGAAAGATAGTAACCCACCCTGAAAGATAAGGTATTAAGCACCCAGCAAAGGAAGGAGACAGCAGGGGGGTAAAACCTGCTGAAACGAACATGTTCATAAGCAGACGTGAAGGGGGAATTGTAGTCGCTGGGCAGTTGAGAGCCATGGTCTCAACGGCAGAGAATCTAAGAAGCCGGGCCACCATTGACAGGACTCTGTTGGTAGTAAGCGTACGCCTGCGCCTGCGCCGCAGCGCCAGGGTCAGGGATAGTTTGCAACACAGGGGCGACGACAGGCGTTGCATCGGCCGGGGTTGGGGGAACCGCAACAGTGCCTCCAGTGCGGGCAGCAGCGACGGAGGCAGGTCCATGAATCTCGCGGTCCAAAATCATGTACTCCTTGGCAGTGTCCTTAATCCCCCGTTCGAGAAGATAGGCCATGTAGATTTGAACTAGCTCCTTGACGATTTCAGAAACGAGGGTGCTCTTAGAGCGGATATCGGAGATAACTTGCTTGATGCGATCGTACTGGGTCGACTCAGTAGAGGAACTGGTGGGTTGTTCAATCTCAAACATGAGATAGCTGGCCCAGAAAGGCTGGCTGTCGAGATAATACTGCTGGTTCTCCTGGAAGACCTTGCGAGCATCATCCGGAGACCCTTTGATCTTCCATAGAAGTCGAGCCCACTCGGCGACGAGAGCAGCCTTCGTGCCCATTTCGCACTCAGGTGAGTCCAGTTGAGTCTTATAGACTTCAATGGCTGCCTCGAGACCGCCGTTCCGTCGGCATAGGTTCGCCAAAGAGATGATAGTCTGGACATGATTGGGGAGGTTGATGAGAATGGCGCTATGAATATCCTTGGCCACATCAGTACGACCCGACATCTCTTCAAAGTAGGCATAGTGTAGGCGGATTGTGGGATTCGCGATAGGAACGTAGAGATAGCTGGCCCGCTGGTAGATAATTCGAACCTCCTCCTCTTTGCCTGCTTGAGCAGCCATCCATCGGGCATAACGGAGCCAGAACTCATCATAGTGGGCGCAAGTTACGAGGCATCGCTCATAAAGGAACTGAATGCGATTAAATGAACCCTCTGTCTCTTCAAAGTCAAGATACTTGTTCCAATTTCCCAGCTGACTTTCATCGAGTTCAGTGACATGGAAGTAAGGCCGCTTGATTTCAGACTCATATGTCCAACGCTTTGTAGTCTCCGTTTGAGTCTGAGAGAAGACCTCCAAATGATAACTGTCAATACGCAATCGGAGATCACGCTCGATCTCAGCCTCGGCTTTCGCCCCTGGAGGAACATGTCCCGAAGCAGCTTCGAGCTCAGAGCGGAACTGAGACATGGTTTCCGCCGGAGCGAGCTCGGCTAGAGGGCGAGCCTGTGCCAGTTGGCGATAACGTTCAAAATACCGTGCATACTGGTGCATCGGAATGTGAATGATGCGACCAAGGAGAGCAAAAATTTTGTCCTGGGCCTCCACACGCTCCTCGAACTCAATGTATTTATCCCAGAAAGGGTGTGCAAGAAAGTCAAGGCCAACGCTGTTTGCGCCGCGTTCGAAAAGGCTACGTGGATGACAGGTCAGCAAATGCCTCAACAAGGAATGGTTGCAAGGATTGGAAAATTGAGGGAGAGGAAGAAACGATGTGGCAAACATAAGTGGTTCACTCTGTCACGGCATTCCGAACCCAAAAATCAACGAAACTGAGAGCAAGCTGTGGGGAAAGTAGCCAAGGCTTCGTGTGCAGGGTCATGAGGGGGGCTTTCGAGAACGAGACTGATCTTTTGTGCTGTCCGGGCAGATAGAAAGGTCTTTTGTCAAATGAAGAAGGAAAGCAGCCTGGATGAGCCATGGGTGAGAAGTAAACTCCATTTGAGTCCCAGTGGTAAGGCGACGGTCTCTCACCCATCATTAATGGAATTGCTAGACCGGCACATATCCATGTTTCAAACACAATCGGCACCATAATAGGCTGCACGAGCTGCATCGGTAACGGTTACGGGGAAGGGGAAGGAAAACCAGCTTCATCCAACTTACTCTCTAATGATATCCGCATCGTGGGAGGTCTCGGCCTTGAAGGAGCAGTAGTTGGTCCAAAGATCGACAGATGGTGAGATACTTGCAATACCTCTTTCGTAGACCTATATCACGAATGGTTAGAGGCTGCGAAGAAAAGGGTCATGTGCGTGGAAGGTGATGAAGGGAAGCTAGCTATGAGGAATGGGGCATGTCGTACCATTTCTGCGGCTTCGGTGCCGGTAATAGAGAATTCTAGATCGGCATATTTCTTCCAATATCCGAAAAGCAGAGGGAATTTGGCAAGGAAGCGATCATAAACGTTGCGAACGGTGGTGATGGCTTGGGGATTCGAGTTGCGATTGATGCCGCCCTCAAGAGCCTCGGCGCCGCGCACAAGCTTCTCCCAAGTCTCAAAGTTGTCTGGGTCCTCGACCTGTCCGAGAAGTCAGTAAAGACCAGCCATCCAGAAAGTGAAAAGGTGCGCGCTCGCTTGAGACATACCAGCTCGAGCTCAAGCTTCCTCAACTCCGCATTCTCCTCTTCTGAGCCTCCGAAGTGGTAGTCCGCCATAGTGGCAGGTGTTCTGGGGTAGCGCGCAATAAAGTGATGATATTCAGAGCGTATAACGAATGGTAGCGATTAGAAAATAAGATCACTGCGTTGGTAACAATAGGAGGTGTGAAGGGATTCCGGGGCTGAAACCAGCGAAAACTGGAGCCGCAGGAAAAGACGAGATCGGAAGTCTTATCGCCTGAGGCAACAAGGCGATCAGGCAAATATACCCATTCAGGTTTAGCGTGTTTGGCGGCTTCTGGCTTCAACTTTTATCGGCTGGCCGGTCCAAACATCGTGAACATCAAGCGCCCTCAATTCCCAACTAGAAGACACATACGATGTCTTCCTTAACGCCGAACGTAGGCGCGCTTCCGGCCCGCCTGCGTAATTTCTTTGCTCGCTATCCACCCCAAGTTTACTCTGCGCTTGTCTCTCCTCGCCCAACTCCCCAAGAAGGTGAAGCTGCCTCCGAAGAGCCTCTTCCTTCGCCCTACACCCCCGACCGTGATGCGAAGGGTAATGGCCGAGCAAATCCGGATGCATTCTCTCCCTCGCGTGCTCTTCTGCACAACGACCCCAAGAATCAGAACCCTTTCTTGCCACGGAAGATCTTCAGCACTGGAAAATGGATGGGCCCACGATACGGGCTCAGACAGCAGGCGGACCTGGTGAAGCTCGCTATCAAGTACAACGTGGAGCCGCTTCTACCTCCAGGACCCAAGTCCACTGAATATAAGGCTGCTAAGCTGGCTGAGCGTGGTCTACGGATCAAGGGAACCGGTATTGGCCAGAAGGTCAAGGGTCACAAGTGGGAGCGGACGATGGAGGCGAGACTCGAAGACCGTCGCAAGGCCATGGTGGAGATGCCGGAGATGATCCGGTTGTGGAAACAGGTGAGTGTCCTTGGAACCCAGCATGCTGCCGGTGATAATGCGAGTGGAACTAACTCTGCTGCAGAGAGGTCACGGTCGTGGCTGGAGGCAATGGCCGAAGCGGTAAACGAGACTGCGTCGTGGCACATGTCTTGTCTTTCTTTCGCTCGGGACCGGATGGCCCATTATTGCCGTTTCTTCAATGCCAACATTCAGGTTGGCTTCGTTACCACTGGGAGCCACCCCCTCGGCAAAAGCATCTGTATGAATCATTGCAGGGGGTTGGGATGGGCGTTATCTGATATTTGCGCTATTTTATCAACATTTTTGTACTATATAAACCGGGGATCTAAAGACCCAACAATATCTGAGAGCTGGAGACCATGCTGGCTCGTCTGTGTGCATAGAACCATCATTGAGGAAATCTAAACGTGATCGTATTCCAATATCACTCGTTCTTGTTAGCTCACATGGCTCGCGGACAGCAAGGGTTCTGGTGGGGGACAGGCAGACACAATCAAATTGTCTACCCGCCCCAGCATGACAATAGACCGATAGTGCTGAAATAGAAGCCCAGTGTCTGCAGGAGGCCGTGTCCAAGGGCATGGACCTGGTGCCCAAGGCTGCAGCAGATCCTTCTCATCTCTATTTTCTCAACGATCAAACCTTGATGGGATCTCCCTAGATCCTTGTAAAATTATTGGTCATGTTCCTTTTTGTGACAATCTCCGTGGGGATGAAGCCGGCTTAGAGAGAAGGGACCGCTCTAGAACCATCATCGACCTTTTTAGCTGCCTTCGTGCGCTGTCGTTGCTAAACGACTGTGGCTTCCAGCCTCTATCTCTAGTCTTGAGCATTGAAGTATTTTTAGGCGGTTCCATCCAACCTCTCACCCAGAAGCGTAAGCTGACATGGCTCAAGAACCACGCCAGCGCCGGGGCTGGTCCCTGAACTTAGTTAGTCAATAGTCGATCTGCAGTTCGCCAGCTGAGGTTGGCCAGCGCAGCGACCTACAAATCAATGAATGGGGTGTGATATAAGGTGATATTGGAGGCTAGGTTGCGGCCACTTGGTCATCGATGGAACAGTAGGCATGGTGGTTGGCGGGCTAAAGTCAGTCGTGCATTAGAAGGGACCCCCATCCAGTCTGCCGATGTATATTGCCCGGTCTTGGCTCTGCTAGCGATTACGCGAGCCATGATCAACTCCATGGGCCCGTCAGCCCCTTGAAAGTATGGAATCGTGGATGCATGGACATGCCTTGTCGAGAGACGTGCGTACAAGCAGCCCGCGTGGGCGAAGCCGCCACCATCCGCCGCGGTCAGATCCATATCACATGACTCCATACAAACGGATATTGCCACTGCGCGCGGGGGAGTTGGGGGTTTCGCCCGCCTCGTCCAGTGTTTCCCCTCTCGCCGACCGTGGATTCTATAAGAACGATGGAACATCCGGCTCAGAATCATCACCATATTTGTTACTAAGGCTTGTCCCTGCAACTTCGATCAGCGGGGCAAACGGGCGCATCTTCCACCCCGAGCCGTTGACATCCCTGTCGGTAACCTCCGATGGATTATAGTTATCCGCCTTATCTGCTGTACGTCCCCTCCCCTTTTAATGTCTGCTAGATCGTAACGAAGTTGCACAAGTATGCAACCTATTTCTGGACGCCTTTTTCTCCCAGTTCTTGTGCCCGATTTAGGGATCTTTACCTGGCTAATATACTGGTCGTTCCCAGACTCGAGTCTTCCTAGTGCTGAAACAATATACATACATATATATCAGTTGCTCGATATCTTGTCCGGTTTTTTGGTTGGCATTTACTCAAGGCCCATTTCATTTGACTTTGGTCACTGTGATCCTTCAAGGAATCGGCATTGTACATCTGTGTCTCCGTCTTTAACTTGTGGTATTGCCAAATTTGAATCATGACGTCCCCCGTTAACGGTGAACGCCCTTGGGCCGAATATGGGCGGGGCTACTCTGACGATGTGGATAAGATTCGAGAGCAAGAGTATCCTCTGTTAAACGGTACGGGTGAATCCCAAACCCATCACACCCAGGACTTTGCTAACTATAGCCTTGATGGCATCCCTAGAAACAACCTATGTTGATCATGCCGGCACAACGCCGTATGCCAAATCTATGATCGAGGCCTTTTCTCGCCATATGACCTCTAATTTATTTGGTAACCCCCATTCGATGTCTTTATCTTCGCAGTTGTCGACCCAGCGAACAGACGATATCCGACTCCGGGTCCTTCGATTCTTCAATGCGGATCCCACAGAATTTGATCTTGTGTTCGTGGCGAATGCCACCGCAGCTATTAAACTTGTGGCTGATTCGTTCCGAGACTCCGATTATCGAGGTTTCTGGTATGGCTATCACATCGATGCCCATACCAGTTTGGTGGGAGTGCGTGAGCTGGCCGATATGGGCCACCAGTGCTTCCAGAGCGATGCCGAGGTGGAGTCGTGGATCCCTGAATTGGCAAGCACTCCAACGAAAGCGCCGAGGTTGTTTGCTTTTCCGGCTCAATCTAATATGAATGGCCGCCGCTTACCTCTTCGGTGGTGCGAGAAAATTCGGTCAGCCGCGGAGACTTGCAGTGGGAATGTGTATACATTGCTCGATGCAGCTTCATTCGTATCGACGGCTCCTCTTGACTTGGGCCCATCCGGATGTGCCCCGGACTTCACAGCGCTGAGCTTTTACAAGATATTTGGATTTCCAGATTTAGGAGCCTTGATAGTTCGAAAAAGTGCAGCTCGTGTGTTTGAAAGACGCAAGTTCTTCGGCGGAGGCACGGTTGACATGGTCATTGCCGCCGGTGCACAATGGCATGCAAAGAAGGAGACTTCGATTCACGAGCGTCTCGAGGATGGCACTCTTCCATTCCACAGCATTATTGCATTGGATGCGGCTCTCGATACGCATGAACGCCTATATGGCTCAATGGCAAACATCTCTTCTCATACTGGGTTTCTAGCCAAGCGACTCTACGATAGGCTTTCTGTATTAACACATTGGAACCAAACAAATGTTTGCCAGATTTATCAAAACAACTCCGTATACGGATGTCCCCTCACTCAAGGTCCTATCATCGCCTTCAATCTTCGGAACAGCAAGGGGGAATGGATACCGAAAACCGAGGTCGAAAAATTGGCTACTGTTCAAAATCTTCAATTAAGAAGTGGATCAGTCTGTAACCCTGGAGGAACCGCGCACTCCCTTGGATGGACAGGGGCCGATCTACGCCGCCATTATTCGACAGGATTGCGCTGTGGTGATGCTCATGATATTCTGAGCGGGCGACCAACGGGTATTCTTCGTGTCAGTCTTGGAGCAATGACGAACATGAAAGACATCGACTCCGTTGTTGATTTTATTGAGGAATTCTACGTGGAGAAAATTCCTCCCATCGTTGCATTGAACCCCCCGCTTGAAGAACATGATATTGTTGGTCGCCACTTTTACATCGAAAGTCTTTCTGTATTTCCTATCAAGAGTTGCGGTGCCTTCAAAATTCCCGAGGGAAAACGATGGGAAGTCAAAAGAGAAGGCCTGGCGTGGGATAGGGAATGGTGCCTGATCCACCAAGGGACAGGCACAGCCCTAAATCAAAAAAGATATCCCCGAATGGCTTTAATTCGCCCTGCTATTGACCTCGATCGCGGCGTCCTGCGCATAACCTGCGGTGTCCTGACCGAGCAAGTGAGCCTTGAAATCTCGCTTGGCTGGGAAGATATGAGCCTGGTCTCAACCTCATTGTGCCCCAGCTCAAAAAGAACATCTACTGTATGTGGAGATCAAATTTCTCTTCACGCCTATGCTTCACCCGTGGTCTCAGCCTTCTTTTCCGACTTTCTTGGTGTTCCATGCACGCTAGCAAGGTTCCCAACCCAGACTACAAATCGGTACTCCAGACCTCCTCGTATCTCCAACAGATGGAAAAGCAAGTTCCGCAAGTTTATTATGCCGGGCTCTTTCCCACCCGACCTCCCACCTCCGGTCCGAGAATCGGGACAGAACCCCTTGCTCCTATCTAATGAAATGCCTATTTTGGTCGTCTCGCGTTCTTCCGTCAATCGATTGAACGAGACCATAAAAGCGAGCACCAAATATGGCGCGGGTAGCAAGGCCGTTGCGGCAGATGTCTTCCGTGGCAATATTGTCGTGGCAGAGCGTCTGGCTCAACTCGGAGATTCAGAGCAGCCCTATGCTGAAGATCATTGGGCGGAAATTCGGATCGGGCCGGATCAGCTTCGCATTGACATGCTGGATGCATGCCAACGCTGTCAAATGGTCTGTATTGATCAATTTACTGGCTTACGACGTGACGAGCCGTTCTCCACCCTCGCAAAAACGAGGAACATAAAAGGAAAGGTCTCATTTGGCAGGTATTCTGCCCTCTCCTCGGAAGAGACGGAAGGACTTGACTCAACACCAGACCGCCGGACGGTCATGGTGGGAGATGTGGTTATGCCTTCATATGATGATGCATGAGTGATGAAGATAACTAGTTACCATTCTGGGTGATTTCTGTCATTTCCGTGAGAAATTTAGGACTAGGGCTGATGGAAATTTTAAAACAAGATGAAGTGTATTCCGTTTTTATCATTCATTTAGATTGTATAATGCACGATACAGTGACAGCAAACTTTCTTACCAGAACTACAGGCCCAGACCCTCTATTATAAAGTATTGTGCTGGTCAAGAATTTCGCCAATTTCATTCAACAATACTACACTAATATTATCTGTGAACACTATTTTATATCTACTAGGGGTATACCACCCTTGGCTCTCTATAATTGCTGCCTGCCGATTTGGTATGGTCTCGGATAGATGCTTTAAACGCAGAACGCCCGATGCTTTACACGCTTGCTGTGGTGTTTCCACTAGAGTAGTTTTCATGTCGTCGGTAATCGATATATCTATTACATCAGGTCACATATCATGAATCTACTCTAGTAGTATCCAGAGAGTTTAATTTCACTTAGATCTTACCAGTAGGGAGGTCAGACCATCTGCATACACGCATGTCTATTAGCGTATTTTCTATTAGGCGTTTCTAGTAGGCATTAGGAGTCGTGAAGTGGGTCGGACCACGGGTTTACTAGAAACACATATGGTGCCATTGTATAACAATTCATCTAGGCCGCCCGAGGCATTTTGCTACTGAGTTCGGCATCTCAAATAGAGAACGTGTTTTTATAGTGAACTAATTTATTTATTTTAGATATTCTTCGAGAGATAAAGATTGTAAATGAGAAATAAGCGTATGACCTTGGGAATTATACTCATACGTATGCCTTGTGCCAAACTTGAGATTCCAAGCATACATACGTGCTAGTTCTCTAACCGAGCTTAGTGCCGGAGAATATGTTTCTTCAGGCACTAGGTACCTGGAAGCCAAGAGACTAAGACAGACTAATACCACCGGGAAGCCAGGGGCATACTTCGGTTTCAACACGTGCGAGATTCTTATCTTGAGATTTTTGAAGTAGTTTCAACTCAGTGCGGAGTCCATCGGGATAGAGTAAATTGATCATACATTTGCAAAATTTCTGTGAAGCTTTCTGTGACCACAACAATGAGCTTTCCAATCAAATTGTCTGGAATAGTGCACGTTCCGTAGTGTTCCCATCACCTAATGAAATGCATGGCTGGCAATAGTGGCCTAACGGTCTGCAAGCTAAGCTCTTTAGCCGGAAACGCGCGGTGTGACGAGTGCTTTGATTTCCCCACCAATGCAGATCGATATTTCTGGCACGCAGTGATAGACGAGAGTTGTATATAAGAACGCGATGAAATCCTGCTGTCCATTTCAAATTATGTCTAAAGTACTGGCATGAATTCATCTAAACTCCTCACCATGAAGACTGCTGTTGTTACAGGCCTTTTTTTCACTGCGGTCGCTTCCGCGACAACGACCAGTGGCAAATTTACAGCTTTGAGCTTTAATGTCGCAGGATTGCCTTCGATACTGCAGTCCAATGATGTGAGCGGCTCAAAAACCGAAAATGCTGAAGAAATTGGCACCTACTTTTCGGAATACGGCTACGATATCATCCATATGCAAGAAGTGAGTGGATATAGATCATATTTAAATTAATTCCGTAATTCAAAATTGACTCTCAACTAGGATTTCAACTATCATGCGTATATCTACAGCACTGATGACCACGCTTACCGAACTTCCACATCTGGGGGTGCCGGAATCGGAAGTGGGTTGAATACTGTTTCCAACTATGATTGGGTTGACTTCACTCGTGTCACTTGGGATGACTGCTCAGATGCCTCTGAATATGACTGTCTCACACCAAAGGGATTTACGTTCATGCGCTGGAACCCTTCTAGTGGAGTTTACATTGATTTTTATAACCTTCACGCCGATGCTGGGTAAGCTCTCAAATAGAATATTGAAGATTATCGTCTCTAATATGGCTTTCACAGCACTGAGGATGATGATGAGACCGCACGCAACGACAATTTACAACAAGTTGCTGACTATATCGATACCTGGTCAATTGGAAATGCTGTTGTGGTTATGGGTGATACCAACAGTCGGTATACTCGTAGTGCTGACACGGGAATCCGGGTTTTTAAGTCTCAGAATAGCCTCACTGATGCCTGGGTTGAGCTGGAGCAAGACGGCGTTTATCCGACCGCGGGAGCTAATGCCTCTGTGTGTGATAACCCGTCTTTGATCGAGACCTGCGAAACTGTCGATAAGGTCCTGTATCGAGGATCCGACATTGTGACATTGTCTGCATATAGCTTCTATTATGATGGCGAACAGTTCCTGAACACCGACTCTGATTACCTTGGGGATGTTCTCTCTGATCATAACCCGGTTCTAGTCAACTTCACCTGGGCTTTGTCGGACTCGTTTCGGCAGAGTGAGTTTTCTGGCGGCCCACATGGAGATTGGTTCAATGATCTTCCTGATATGCCTTCTTCTCCAGCAGCTTCAGTTTTGACATTCCGAGGCGGTAGCCGACTTGATGCTGTGGCGTTGGAGCTAACCGATGGTACGTCCTTCAGCCATGGTGGAACTGGAGGCACCGAAGTGAGCCTCACTCTCGGTTCCGATGAGTACTGGACAACCACAGAGCTCTGCACAGGAACGTATGATGACCATACACGAAACTTCTATATCAAAGCCACAACAAGCTCTGGAAACACCCTGGAAGCAGGAACTGCTACATCCAACTGCACGACATATACTGCCGACTCTGGATACGGTGTAGTTGGTTTCATGGGACAAGATGGAGATGAGATGGACCAGTTGGCTCTTATTTACGCACCATATGCGTGATTAATGAGGTAGAAAGAAGGCATCTAGTAAAAATCTACGAGGGATAACTCGAGTTGATATTTTCATATCCAAGTCCCAAGACCGCATCTGCTCGTATGGATGTTATTTCATATAAGACATTGTCCGCAATGTAAACACGATATGTAGAAATAATATCCACTATTTATGCGAACGTCGCTTTGCATGTAGATCTTCCATAGGTGCATCAACACCATAATTCATAACCTTGGATAAGTCTCCCAAGAACAGACTGGCGACACATGCCACGAGTCCAAATGGGATTGCTATGATCCATATAACTCTCAATCTATCGGCATATACCTTTTTGAGTGCATTCGCACTCTCTTGGATTATATATGGATTCATCCCCGCAATTATGTCGAGGGCAGCTGTGTTGCTCGACGAGAGGGCCTCAACAAAAGTCTCAACGGATGATTTTGGAAGCCCGGATTCAAGAGCCGCCTTGGCCGTATACCGAGGGATCTATTTAGCGATACGCTCATTCGATACTGCAGTGAAGATAGCAGTAAAGATGGCTGCAGCGATAGCACGCGAACAGGTGTTTCAAATAATTTGAAAGTTCTCGTGGGAAATAATTAGCCTAATTTCACGGAAGAGCCCAGAAATGAGACCTACAAGACGGGATAGAAGATCACGAAGGCGAACAAGAAAATTCCTTCGATGAAAATGAGGCCAATACAAATGGCAAAGGTATATACTCCATTTTCCCCATTTTGAGCTCCACGGAGAAGGTCATGATGTAGGATACCAGTCTGAGTGGATTTCCACTCATAGATTCCGAATGAAATCAAAGTGAGGATGCCTATTATCAAAGCCACCAACACCGGTGCACTAGTCCACTTATAAAGTCCTCCTCCAAGATTAAGACCTGTAATAAATATGGTCAATCCAGCAGTCAGCAGAAAAATCCATCAGATTGACCTGACCAAGCTTCTGCCAGAAAGATAGATGATCCAACCGAGTCTGTCTCTTTGGAGGTCTGTAGCCAAAAAAAGGCCAATTGCTGTCATTCCCCAAAGCGCCATTTGAATCCACACGAAATAGAACCACAGGATGACAAGCAATCAGATAATGACAAGAGAAATGAAATTGAATAATGTATTTAAGTGGTCATCAATTGAAATAATGGGCTCCCTTGAGTAATTGAACATTACAATAGAACTTTTGACAACGGTCGGAAGAGAGCTCGGATCAAAGTACCCGGGAGAATACTCACATCAGGGCCTTGAAAGACCCCGGAATTATAATCCCGCTCTAGCCTTTAGAATGAATTCCATCTGTGTCAGGACCTTAGATCCGGTATTTCCCCAGCATTTGGGAAGCCTCGTATTTACATTGAAGGCCTCGCCACGGATGGAATCAATTCAATTCCAAATAGTCGCGTACCATGATCAATTAACACAATGAAGTTTTCCACAAGCTTCCTCAAGGGCCAAAGGGAATACACAATACACCTCGTGCAACAGTACGGCCCATTCTCCTTACGTCAGGTTCATAAGCCCCACAATATATCAACCCTTTTCTTTGGTGACAGACCGAACTAGATCAACAACAGAACCACCCACCCACTACTCGTCACATATTCCGGGAAAAGATAACATCTCCGATAGATAACAGGAAATAATTGATAAGTCAGGTTTTACAGTGTGAGTTTCATTTGCATGAGTTTCGGTGCCAAATTACCGCATATTGGCAATACTAGACGGCATTGGAAAAAATGTGAGTATTCGAGGTGGGTTGGGGGGTGAGCAGACGCGTTCAACTACATAGTGAACCAGGGCGCTCTGCGGCAAGCCTGCAAATACAGGAAGGATGGATCAGCGAACCAACCCACAAACCACACCACACCACGATGGAAGGAAGCCTCTCAGAGAAGAAACAGATGCTGCTTCAGCGAAAGATGCGTAAAAGTTGTTTCTCTCCCTATCAGAGATGCAAAGCTATATCCTGTGAAGACTGCGTACTAGGGAAGATATCCTCCAATCAGAGATCACCTCTCGTCTGCCATTTTCCCACTATAATAGGAAGCAGTGTTGTATAAACTAACGTCCTCGCTTCTTTCTATTGACAATGTGTATTTCTACTATCTAGGCTATGATTGCGAGCCCTCCCACTCAAATATATCTGGCCCAATTTAGGAGGTATGCTCCCGATGATCGTGCTGTATAGAATATTTAAGATTCCTCTTCTACTCAAACTAACGGGATAAAACCATGCACGATATACTGACCAGAATTCTTATGAGATTATAATGCGGCCGTTATTTCCTTGCCAGATATGATGAGCATTTTGTATTGATAGCTCTGAATGCCCATCGATGCTCCTACGATAGTTATCTGGCTGACACTATATTCCATCCTCCTCGAGACGACGCACGGACCAGTGCCAAGTTTGACGAGTGGCCCGTTGGACTGCCGCGTTGCGGTGGAGAAGCCGCTCGCCGGCCACTCCCGCCGCCACGTGCGCCCGGCGCTGCTCCGTGGGCGGCGTACATCTTCGGAGCGAAGTCCTGCGGTGATTTCTGCCCTCCTGCGAACTCCTGACATTCTGCTCTGAGAGTCTAGACAATCTAGACAGCCTGGCCATCAGGAGGTCACGCTAATTGCCGTGCCTCTGGTTGGTTCCTGTTGTCCGATCAACGCACGCGCCAGTTGACACTGATTACGTCGTACCAGGTCTATACCAGGGCCACAGAGGTGGACGGGTGTATCGCTTCACCCACATGATGGATGTATCTCTTCCATCGCCGCCGGCTGTGAGTGCATTGCGTGAATCATTTGGCGACCGCAAGCCTCCCGACATTACTCGCAAGATCACCGCATGTGTAGCATGTCGAAAACAAAAGGTCCTTAATACCTCTATCGGACACCCGATATGTGATTGCTAATATGAAGTAGGTGAAATGCCATATGCGGGATGGTCAGGCCCCATGTTCCCGGTGTAAGAAACGAGGCCTGCCCTGTACCGTCAATCGAAGCCTGCAGACGCTGTTAGAAGAGGATGTGACGTGAGTTGATCGCATCATCCAGAATATAGGCACAGCACTGAATCGGTATTTAGGTGGAAAGGGGCAGTAGTAAGAAAAATAAAGTGCCTCGAAGAGGCTATCGCCAAGATCGCATCAAAAGTCGAGATGCCCGAATTGGAATTACAAGCACCACAGGAACATGAGTTACAACCAACAAGCCCACCGCCTATGGAAATGCCAGACGTAGAGTCATCAATTTTGAGCTCAGCATCACCCTCCAAGGATGTCCAAGACACATTGCAGACATGGGAAGTGGTGATGGACCCCAGAGGAGGGCCAGCATCGATTCCAGCTTCTTGCGTGTCTGAGAGCATACGAGCTGCTGCATTGCCAAATAGTCTTCCCAAATCTCGCCGGCCGGATCTGATCTCGACTGGACTTATTACGCTTCGTCAGGCATTGGCGTTGTTTGACACGTACCATTTGCGACTGGATCACTTCTTGTACCGCATACTCGGAGATCACATCAGCCTAGACTCTGTCCGAATAGCCTCCCCGTTGTTAGCAGCAGCTGTTTGTACGGTTGGAGCTTTGCATTCTCCATCGCTCGGCCATCTGTTTGAGATCTGCTATGCCGAATTCAAAAGCCTAGTGGGGTGGCAGATCTTTTCCAGAAATGCGAACGAAGACGACATCCGTGGGTTGTGCATAGGCGCTTTTTGGCTGCATGAACTTTCCTGGGCATTGATTGGAAATGGTGATTTTTTTCCCTAATCGACCCGCCGCATCAGAAGCTGTATGCTAACTTGGACAGCTGTTCGAGTGTCATCCGATATCAATCTTCATAGCGGGATCTACAAAGCCCTCAAGGGCGATCGTGAAGGATATGTTCAGGCTCGACTGTATTACCTTGTTTATGTATGCGACCACCACTTCTCGATCGCTTATGGTAAACCTCCAATGTCTCGAGAGGGGTTCATTATTGATTCTGCCAGTCAGTTGCTACAAACCAAACATGCGACAGAGGATGATGCCAGATTGATCAGCCAAGTCAAAGAGTGGTCACTTTTGGGGCGAGTTTTTGACACATTTGGTGTGGATGTGGATACAGCCATCGCTCCTGAGACCATACAACAGCTCCGGCGTTATTCAATCGGCTTAGATACATGGTTCGCTGATTGGAATGAAAGTTTTCAGGAGAGTCGCAACGTTGGAAACTACCCTAGAAAGGGCGTTGGGTTTCATTTTCATTTCGCGAAGCTGTACCTCTGCTCCCACGTGTTCCGTGGCATTCCCACGGCAGCGAAGGCAGCCCAGTGTTTTTCTCCAGAGCTGGAAGAAATCGCCAGTGCAGGAGTCTTATCAGCCATGTCCATTCTTCGGGTGATTGTTTCCGACACAGAGTTTCAGTCGTTCATGAACGGCCTTCCTCTATATTTTGACACCATGCTCGCATTTGCCGTGGTATTTCTGCTCAAAGTCGCGACCAAGTATGCAGCTGTGATCAGAATAGACAGTGCCAAGATCCTCTCTCTGGTCACTCAGACAGTGGCTACACTACGCGAAATTACTCAGTCCATGCACCGTCAACACTTGCTGGTTGTTATAGCAGAGGGACTTGAAAGGCTGCTATGCAGGTGTCAAGTCCCCGTACAACCATCCCAAGACTCTATGTACCATCCATCTCCCGCGATTGATCAAAATGGTCAATTTGAGATGACGTGGATGGAGAACATGGCAAGCTTTGATTTCCAAACTAATTTCCCAGATATAGACGAGTGGTGGCTTCATTATAGTACGTCAACAGGCCCAGCTCGCCCTATGGCACCAGGCTAGATGAATATTATCACGACAAATTCAAGACCAGATCGAATATGTCGTAGTTCCTCCATTGCCTGCCTCCCTTTAATTTCTTGAGAGGGGTCGAAGTAATCAGTGGAATATCTTGCTCGCTTAATCCTCCATGGGAGCGGAGTGGGTGATCCCTCACGCTGGACAGGTCATGATCCGATGCCTTGCTTCCGATCACTGCATGCGACTTTGAGATTACGACTATATCTCCTTCTCGGTCAGCAGGCATCTCATACTTGCTAGCGGCAACTTCTCCACTCAGAACTTCTTCGACTTCAGGAATTGAGCTGCAAAATGCCAACACAGGCTCGAGTTGACCGATATCTTTCAGGTATACACGCACAAAGGAACCTAAGGCCCCATGGTGACGAACAAAGGGATCAGTGATTGGGCAGATCACCCTGCAGGCATTGACACCAAGTTGAGCATTAATCATTTGCTCTAGAAATAGAACATTTGGTTCTCCTGCTGCGTTTGATTTTTTGCTCATACCGTGATCGCCTGTGACCCCGATCGCTGGTGCCAATGCAGAAAGCTTTTCTAGCCGATCGTCAATTGCCTTCATAAAATCACTAGCTTCTTTATCTCCGGGCGCATGCTTGTGTTGAATAAAGTCAGAAAGCGTCAAGTATAAGAAATCGGACTTCTTTTCTTGGAGTAGCTTAATCCCCGCATCCAGAACAAATAAAGACAGCTCGCCTGAGTACTGGCTTGGGGCGGGTTGCCCAAGCCACTTTTCCACGTCTTCGATACCATTCTCCTCGAGACTGCAATCTTCGGATCTCTCAGCAGAAAAACAAATAGCACCTTTCAGCCCATTGCCGATGATCTTGCGCAATTTGTCTTTGGCAGTAATAGCAGCGACCCTGACACCCCTTTGGAACATCTGCTCCAATAATGTGGACCCTCGGAGCAACGAATCATCAGTGATCATTTCCTTCTCGCCGGTTTCCCGGTCAAGAAAGAAGTTGCCCGCAATTCCATGAGCCGCCGGTGGAGCACCAGTAATAATGGACACATTGTTGGGGTTGGTGAACGAGGGCATACAGCTTTTAGCTGTAGTGTGGAAGCCACTCTCAGCGAACTTCTTCAAAGTTGGCAAAAAGCCTTCGTCGAAGCCCTCTTCCAGGTATTCTGGATCAAATCCGTCAATACACACCACGACAGTTGGCCGGGTTGGAACACGATATTCTCTAGAATGAAGGGTGAACTTGGTCCGCGAGTCTTAGGTCTCGGTTAGCCCTGACGCTTTCATCGTCCAACAAGACGATGACTTACCAAGTAAGCACTGATAAACCAGCTCTTCGTAGGCCTCGAGACCGGGAACTATATTCTTTGGGTCCTTTGCCAGGTCATCCCATCGCCGTACGGCTAGTTTTTCCTCAAGCCATGGGTCCTTTTGAGCTTCAAGGACTTGTTCAGGCGTGAACCCTCCACCCTAATTCGAAATTTTAGTTTTTCTTAATTAATTCGAAAGAATGTTGCGATTTGTACGTACCTGAATATGCAATGTACGCTTACTAGTTTCACTGAGGCCGTCATGGTAGGTCTTGTCCGTCGCAACCAAGTATCTTTTGGCCATGACATGACCGCCTACCAACTGACAGACTCGTTCGCTGAAACCAATCTGGCGCAGGTACGACTCACCGAGGACTTCATGGCTTTTACGCCCAATATACCGTCCATCTGGGGCGTACAACTTGCCCATTTTCTCCGCAACTGGAATAAAACGGCCAACGTCGTGCAATAGAGCACCGACGATAACTTCAAGGTCACTCCCATATTTCGGTGACTTGGTGGCGTGGTAGGCACACTGAAGTGAGTGTTGAAGTTGGGTCACTCGTTCGCCAAGATAGTCCGATTGGCCTTGGGCATGTAGGAATGCGAAGAGTGTTGCGATGGTGGCACGAGTGTGCCCTTTAACAGATGGAAGCATATCTGTAGAATCCACAGCGGTCATTTTGAGACTCGTAGTCATTCAATCTGTTCAATGGACTTTCCGACACTATCACTCCGCAGTAGATATCGTGGTGAGGACCCTTCGACTCGAATGACAAGAGATCCTTTTGCGTTGCTTGAAATGCGCTAATATTCTCATACAGAACTCGATTTATACGGAGAAGATGTGGACTTCAGAATTATCAAATTAGTCCCTCACATGTGGAGATCAACATGTCTGTGATTCATAACCCTCTCGTGAATGATAGGCCCGGACGGCATCATCCGCCTTATACGTCGGGACGAAGCCCGGTGGCCCGTGCGGGAACCCTTGAAGTCGGGATGAACACCAGTGGCAACTTGCCCGAGTAAGGTCACGTAAGGAATCATAGAGCTTGACAAGTGTTCTAAGGTTGGAATCTTGGGTGCGGATTGGTGGGTTGACAAGGTGGTTGCTTTCAAGTGGCCAGGAATCGTGGGTGTTGTGGGGTGCTTGTGTTCATAATCTTCTCACTATTTAATCCAGCATCGTGGTCGTTCTTTACACATCGGAACCACACTTTCTTTCAATTTTACTTTAACACGCCAAGATTATCATTTTCTTCATGGGATCTCTCACTCCAGAACAGGTGGCATTCTACCACCAAAACGGGTACCTTTTATTGCGGGTCACAGAGCATCAGCTGGTGGACCCGGTGGCCTTGAAAGAATGGACAGAAGAGATCAAGGCTTGGCCCCGGGTCAAGGGCAAGTGGATGCCTTATGACGAGATCAATATCAATGGGCAGCGTCAGCTTATGCGCACTGAGCGATTCATTGATTTCCATCCGAAATACAAGGAATTAGTCTGCGGAAAGAAACTAGGAGACATCCTGAAGGCTGTTTCTGGCGATGTAACTCATTCTAACTTGACATATCATGGTATTTTCTGATGATCTAATGATATCACAAATAGGATATGTTGCTTTTCAAAGATAAGATCAACTATAAGCAACCTGACGGTAACGGGTTCCAGGCACACCTCGATGCTCCAGCCTATGATCACATTGGTCGCATCGAACATGTGACAGCAACCTTAGCTATTGATGCTGCGACCATTTCAAATGGATGCCTTGAGGTTGTGCCCGGCTCACATAGGATGAAGGTGGACTTTGTGGAGGGGGGGCGCATCAAGCCTGAATGGGAACACGCCCATGAATGGGTTTCTATCCCGCTGGAGGCAGGCGATCTTCTAATCTTTGGTTCACACCTTGCGCATCGATCGGCTCAAAACAGGACTCAGGGTAGCCGATCAAGTCTCTATGCTACTTTCCATTCTAAAAGTGATGGTCTGGACTTGAGAGAGAAATATTACAAGCACCGGATGGAAATGTTTCCTCCTGAACATGGTAAGGCTAGCGAGTCATGTCTTTGGTAGTAGATATAGAATGCTGATGAGTTATAAACAGAACGTGAAGAGGGCAAAGATTATTCTCAAGGATATAAAATATATGGTTTTGCCGCGCCTTTCACTCCAATTGACCAGAATGTCACCCCGTGCGATATAGCTGGCCAGTCATGATTATTTGAAATGCAAGACAAACTGTTCTAAAATTGCTTGGTCGGATTACCTAGGATCATGAGAGCCCTGATCCGAGGGCCGGTGACCATTTGAAAAAATTCTAGTCAGAAACAAAAAAATTAGTGTCAGAGTAAATAAAAGGTGGAGATCTGAATTTCTGGCCTTGTCAAGATATTGAGACAGCATGACTGAGCTTGTCAATGATCAATCTCCTTTTAGCCTTTTTAGCCTCCAGTTGGTGATCCTCATTATGTTTCTCTCGAAGTATCAAATGTACACCATGTATCTTTATATAAATATTAGAAGTACAGGTATTCTACTGTTGGCTGTAAACTTTTCATACGTGAGTGAGGAGAATTCCATTGGCAAGAAAAACGTTTTCTCATAGCTAGCGAACTAAAGGCGCCATCGCTATACTAATACATAGAATGAATATTGTCATCATAGCCCAAAGTATTTGATGAGAAATGAAAATACCCTTTGGCAAGCTCTTCACCTTTGGTTCATGTTTAGCATAAATATCGAGGGCAGATGGCTCCTGTGCTTGAATCTGCAGATTATTTGAATCCGATCTTTTTCTTCCGGTGTAGTCGCTCATAGAGAGTTCAGGTGAGGGGGGCTCATTTAGATTAAGATCAGTAGGTGTATCGACTGGTTTCTGAACGGACCCTATCTGGAGGGAATCCATATGATTCTCCTCTGGCGTCGTCACAGAGTGGAGCTCCGTCTCTGGTATTTCTGATTCTTCGAATGGTGATGATGATTCGGACAGATTTCCTAGTTCCAATAGAAGCTTTGCGATTTCTTCATGGTTATAAACTCGCGCCAAAGTGAATGGTGTGTGGCCGAATGTGTCCTTTCTCAAAATCTCAGCACCAGCTGCGACTAGTCGCCGAACTGCTGCTTCATTCCCGAACACAACAGCCTGTTCCAACAAGACGTTCAACTCTCGTCGTGACTTGGGTAAATTTGCTCCGTGTGCCACCAACATGGTGCTGATCCTTTCTTCGTAGTACATTGCCGTTGTCAAGGGTGAATCGCCCCATTGGTCCTTCAATTCCATATCAGCCCCCGCATCCAGGAGCACTGGGGTAACATCTATGCTGTTGTAAAGCGACGTTAGATGTAAAGGCGTGCGACCGTATTTGTTCATTATGTCCAAATCTGCTCCATGATCAATGAGAAGACGTGTGATATCTGGATTATTGCGAGTAGCACTGTAGTGGAGTGCAGAATCTCCAACATCCGGGTCCTGTGCGTTGATTTCAAGCTTCGTCGAGTTAAGAAGTCTGGACTTCAACTCTTCGATAGATTCAGAACTTGCAAGTGCCCAAATCGGCAAGGGAGTGTTGACTGAAATCTCTGTATCTGTGCGTACCGGAAACTGGATAATTGTGCCAGTCTCTGTGCGTTTTGGTAGACCAGGTTCACTTTCGCAGGGCCTCTCTCTTTCCTTGTTTGCTCTTCGGGCTTCCCTGAGTAACTTCAAGACTTCCATATTATTTGTTTCTCGGGCAACGTAAACAGGGGTTCGGCCATAACTATCTTTCACTGTCACGTCGGCCCCGTACTCGAGTAGAACTCTGGCGGTCGCTTCCGATCCCGCGCGGGCTGCGTCGTGGAGAGTGGTCTTGCCATCCACGTCTTGCATATTCACATCAAGAGTATTGTCAAACTCAAGCAGAATCTGAATGATTTCGCTGCACCCATTGATGGCAGCGGAGTGAAGCATTCCTCGTCCTAACACATCCTTGTGATGAACATTCGCCCCCCGGTCAAGTAGTAATCTAACGACAGGGATTTGATTATAATCGATTGCTCGGTTGAGGACAGTTCCTTGTGATCCATCCTGAAGAACTTCAGTATCTGCACCATGATCCAAGAGGGCTTCCACAATTCGACGGTCTCCATCTTTCGCGGCCAATAACAGAGCCGTAGAGCCTCCGACATCCTGAAGATCAATATCAATATCAGGATGAGTCAGAAGAAGATCCACCGCTTCCTTCTCATTATAAAGCGCAGCTCTCATAAGAGCCGTGGTGCCTCGTGTTGATCTTTTGTTGATATCGAGGGATGGACACTTCAGAAAGAGCCTGATGATATCGAGATATCCTCCATAGGCTGCTATCATGAGAGGAGTTTCCCTTGTGGCGACAAGATTGACATCGATTTTTTCTTGCTGCAGTAATAATCTAACCATTTCCTTCTCACAATGAGTCACGGCACCGTGGAGTGGAGTTCCCCCAACATTGTCCACAGAGTTGATGTCGGCGCCGGCCTGAATTAGAGTAGCGCCAACTTCAGTAGCGCCCCGGGCAGCGGCAATAGCAAGAGGTGTCACGCCGTTAATATCTCGGGTGTTTGGGTCAATTCCATTTTGAAGAAGCTCGATCGCCAATCTATTCAGCCCGAAATGTGCTGCAAGGTGCAAAGGAGTGCTACCTTCCTTGCCAGTCCAGCTCGCAGAATCTTCTTCATCCACGTACCACAGAGCTTGAGATATAGAGGCAAATCGGGTGGGATCTGTTAGAAGGGTGCGAGCTTGATCAAAAAGTGCTTCTTGTGGAGATTGAAGAAGATGCACTCCCCAATATTCTGATGCGTATTTTAATAGTGGGTACTTTGCAAGCCTCTCATCAAAGTCAGCGGGCTCGGAGGGTCCCGAGCATGGACCAGACTGGAAGGGATCAAATAAAAGATAAGTAAGGCATGTTGATGCCAATTTGGTTGCGCCTTCGGGAAACCACTTTTCCTGATTCTCGACCTCAGAGAAGTAGTTCTTAGCAGAATAATGAACCAACCGGACACAGTCAGATTCGTCAAATTTGACAAGGCCGGCGCACATCGAAGCAAGAACTTGAACACGAATAATATTATCGGGATCAACATCATGATCTCCAGCAGAAACAGCAATTGCATGCTCAATTTCTCGACATTCCAAGGGGCGCTCAGCAAAAACGACCCAACCGAGGAAGTCCATGGCAAAGGCTTTGTGACTTGAAGGTAAGTCGCCAATGCGTGTCATTGCATCCGTATAAGTTCCGCTGAGCTCCTTTGGTAAAACCTTCAAGGCATCCACAACTTCCCCTGGGCGCATTTTGGAAGCAAGTGTATCCATGTTGAATTTCGCTAAAAGAAACATCCCATCATTTTCGTTGACAACTCTTTCCACAATGCTAGCCATTAGCCCTGTCTTCATCTCGACACAACGTTGAAGAAAATCCGAAGAACCAATTCGCCATTTAACATATACCAAGAGGTCTTGCTCCATAGCAGCAATCTCAATCCAGCTACTGTTGAAACGCTTGGTCATGATGTGCCCGTTGTTGCCGCATCGCTCTCCCTTATCGTAACATTCTTCGCAGACATCAAAGCCAACAATTCGAATAGTTTCGTCGCAGTCACCGCAGTGATACTGAAAATTCTGATTTGTCTTACCACAGATGTCACAATAAATATTCAAATCATTAGCAAAGTGTCTGGTGATGTTTTCAACAGGTCTTGAGGTAGCCATGATATTAAGGCTAATATCGAGAGAGGTGAGAGTCTCGATAAGAGTTAGTCTCCCTCTCTCTTCTCGCAGCTCATCAAGACCATCCACAATTATGAAAGCCTTTGGAAAGTTCGCCAGCTCCTTGTTGAGTACTGCTAAATATTCATCTCGCGAGGGACTCGTCTCTGCTTTACTGTGTTTGGAAAACATCTTCGAAGTGCCATCCGAAACGATGCCATAACGTTGGGCCAGTTGCTTGATCAAACTCGCGAGCAAGCCATCGATCGACTGCGACTGCGAGTCATCCCATTTGCAGTATAACATAAGAATTGCGGCACCTTTGACTCCGCCTTTTTCACTAAGTCGAAGTTTATCCAGCTCATTCACCACGATGGATGAAAGGAGAGTTTTCCCCGCCCCTGGAATACCTGGACAAAATAGCAAAGCATTTTCACTTTCTTTCCACCTGAGGAACTTTTCAGATTCTAGAAACCATTTACATGTTCCATCATGTTGTTCCTTGAAAAGAATGCTCTGCTTTGCAACGAAATTTAATGGTGATACCCAGTCAATCATTTCCTTCATCCGAGCCTCATCGATGATAGTCTTCACCGCTTGGCCATCACGGTAGATCTCCTGGCTGAGAGCATAATTAGATTGCTCGAGTGCAAAATGCAAAGTCTGTTGAATTCGGGATATTCTTTCTATGATTTGGATGACGTCCGACTTGGCCAGCGGCCATGCCAGAGTCTGTCGGATACTTCCACGAGCCGATCTGGGCTTCAATTTGCCCTCCACTTCTTTGACCAGGGTCTCTAACTCATTAAGGGTGGAATCAGAGTCAAATAGTGAGAGTAGTTGTGGTGGGAAGTGGTCTTTGTCAAGGACTTTCCCATCGGGGGCGATTTGCGCCTGGAGGGCTGTAATGGTAATCCACAAGTTCGACAGTTCCTGGAGAAGTGCAAGCCGTTCTTTACCACCCGCTGCGGCAGTTCCTAGGTATCCGATGATTTGGAATGCAGCTGTAGCAACACCAGCTATACTGGCGGCCAAGCTTAACGGATCCATTGGAATTTAGCTGCGAAATGTGAATAACCATGAGATAAACGAAGTTAGGGGTCTTCAAACTCAAACCAGGGTTCAACCCCCAACTTGGCCGGCAAATATCGGCCCGGAGAATAAGCAAAGGCATGGGGGCCGAACGGCTGACGATTCCAACACGTCCAATAGAAGTTCTAAATTACACGTTTGTCTTTCTGTGCATGCACGCTCTATGCCCGAAGTTGATGTGGCGTTGCTAGTATCAGACCAATGAACGATGTTCCTCAAAGCTGTCAGTGTGGGGCGGTATTTGTTTTCCCGGTGCGTATCTCACTGACACAACAAAACTAGCTACTTACCTTGTCGACTCATGTAGTCAATCAGCACATGGTATTCTCTACCTCGAATCAAATACCTGCGGATGACAGATCAAGACATTTGTTCTAGAAGCAGTCCATAACCTGTCCTTCACCGGGGTAAATTTCAACTTTTTCAGCCCAGTAGGTACTGAAGCGGGTGACTCTTATTGTTGAAAAAGAAAATGTAGATCATATTTTATAAACAGTGGATGCCACATTCAAGTAGGCTTCGTATTCAACCTCTTCATCTCCGTCCAGAACATCATAATGATAATGCCCTCCTTTCCGGTTCCCCTCTGTCTCAAAGCAATGCGTGTGCTCCATCCTCAATCCAAGACCCTCTGGGTCTGAACTATGCATCACAGTCAGGCAGACAACTGGAGCTTCAAAAACATGATAGGTGAGCCAATTTTCCACTTCGTCTCTATTTTTGAATGGCAGATTCTCTGGCTTCGGGAAGTCTGGCATGATATGAAATTTGGCTCTGCCTTTCTTCAACAGGAAGACACCACCCAGGCTGATGGGTATATCATCGCCATAGTGTTCTGCCAGGCCAAGACGGATACAATCCGTGAAATTCTTCTCGCCAGTTCGAGCACGGGTGGTGATTTTCAGTACCGGGCCTGCTTGACCTTTCGAACCGAAGAGATTAACCATGAGGCCGCAATTGAGACTCGAAATAGGTTGGCAGAGTGGTGAACCATCTGCGTCAACTTGGATTATGCGAGAGCCATTCGTAACCCGGTCGCCCTTGACTTCGTCAAAATCCACATGTTTACCAGATTGGCAGTATATATCAACAGCCAATTCAGCGTTGTAGCCTGTGTCGTGGAATGGAGCCGCCCCGGCACCGATTAGAAACTGGTCTTCCTCCTCACTCATCTGCATATCTGCAGCCAGTGACCGAAAAGCAAACTTCGCATCGAGATTGGGTCGCGGAAAAAGATTCTTTTGGCCACCTACATCCGCTACACAGGGGTCTCCTGAGAGACCAGGTCCAGCGAGATGGAACGGCGGCTGGCGGAGATCAGGACATTGAACAACGCTTACTGTTGCATCTATGAAGTTGGCCTGCAGCGCTTTTTCAATGACAGGCGCCAATTCATTCAAAGGCGGGGGATTGCGGGGATTAGCAGTGACAGTCATTGTCGATATTAAGCAGCAAAAAGGAATATTCGACGGAAAGTGGGAAGAAGGATGGTGTTGCGGGGAAGAAGAGAACGTTGCCGGTTGGTCGGTGTCGCGTCACGGAGCTCCGCCGACCATACACTAGCAGCACTGCAATTCGAACCTGCTTTTCTATTGATATTGCAACTGAAATTCATCACCTAAATTCTGTTCATTTATTATATCAAAACATTCTTGTAGAAGAGGTTCGACCTCCGGTCGCCGGCCGTGCCCGAGGCAAAACCCAGGAACAGCCGAACTTCCCCCGCGACTGTCTCATAGATCGCCAGCCCTTCTGGCTCACGGAATGACAATGTAGATCCAGCTGTAGTCAACGTAGGACCTTGAACAACCTTCCCAGTATTCATGTCCACACTAGTCACTTCAGAATTGACCTCGTTGTCCGTAACATCATACGAATTTCCCGTTAAAAGGTAGATGTATTGACCATAAGCAGCATACCCCTGAAATGTGTCCGATGCAGTGTTTACAGGAGGATGCTTGAAATCCGCCAAGGGATTCGTGAAATTGCCACCAGTCGCTTCGTCTAGATCGAACACAGCGATGCGTTTGCCCGTGCTAACATTGTACCGAACAATCAGGCGGTTGTTCACGGGGTCAATGGAGCACGTATGTTCAGTGGCATCGGAGATGGGTTGAAACTTGACAAGCGATGCAGATGTCGAGGACAAAGTGGAGCTGCTGGCGAATTTAAAACGGGCCAGTTTCTTTCCATACCCATTTGAATTGGCTTCGACCTCGGTCCAGAGGTAAGTCGATGACCCGACACCTTCAGCTCCGAAGGAAACCCCGTGGCCAAAGTCGGTCAGATACATATGAGCCACGTAGTTACCGTCAAAGTCCAGTTGAGTAATGCACAGATCGCCAGATGTTTCGGAGGAGCCGTCCCGGCGCTGTGCAACAAACAATCGCCGATTGACATTATCGAAGGCGAACCCTTGTTGTACTGTGACATCATACAAAGACTTGCTTCTGAATAGGTCATAGGAGGGCTTCGATAGATCAAAGCGCTTCGATGAAGGGACTGTTGCCGATACAAACTGGATGCTGGAGGATAAAGCAAGCAAGAGAAAACCAAGCCAAGCTGGCATTGAGAATTTTGTCCATAGGGACGAAGTCATGGTGCCGGAATATTGTTTGAGAAAATTGGTCTTGCTTCGAGAGAAGATGTTAATATTAAGGTGCGATGTTCCGGTTTTTTATACGTGTAGAAATTTGGGATACTACGAAGTTCTACACGAGCCCAAATCCCAAAGCGAGTTGATCATTACCAAATGTATCCCGATTACCTCGTATTGGTACCAAGAATAGAAAACGCCAAGTACATAGTGCTTAGCGCTCTCGGTTGACAGCAGAGATCGGTAAAGTGATGGAAGATCAGTACATTATTTTGTGGAAATACAGTTTTACTTCGAGGAGACTTCTGGAGCCCCATATAATGAACCCAGCCAGTCTCCTCGTGCCTTTCAGCCAATACCCATCATGCTCGTTTGGCCAACACCCATATTCAGGAATCGCCATTCTATTTTTGCCAAGCAATACCACACTCGCGATCGTTGTTTGCTGTTTGCTGTTTGCTTTTTACTTTTTGCTTCTGTCTTCAGATAACTATAAACTGCACATTGGAAACGGGAAGCCACGTCACCTTGTCACCTGAGACATTGTCGAGTCAAAGTTGAAATGAAGCCCAACTTGCGGGGAGACGTTCTCCCACAGTTCTTGTTTTCCATCTACTTATAGGAGACAAATAGGAATCACATAGGAACAACCTATCGGAACGGCCTCGACATATCCAGCCAAAAATGGCTTGAACGACAACTTTCAGCCATAATGAAGGCTATATACACCCCAGAAATCCTGGAGATGATCCTCCTCGGTTTGGACATGGGCACACTCCTTGTGACTGCCCAGCAAGTCTGTCGACTTTGGTCAAGCACAATCAAGCGATCACCTCAACTCCAGAAAGTCCTCTTCTTCATCCCAGCAACCAACGAATCTTTCTAGAGCGATGGTAAAGAGACCGCCAGTCCGTTATTGACAGCAGCATTCCCCACCCTCTTCCCAGAGGGATACCGGGTTTTTTACAAGGGGCTTTATAGACTGCGGCGAACTCATGGACTGGCTATCTATCGCCGAACAAACCACCAGTTTACCCGGAATTATCCTTCAACAACAAGTAGTCGTTTGAGGATAGACCTAGACCTAGCTGTCTTGTATTGGAATCAGGTGTTAGCACTCTCTGATCCCTCTCGGAACATGGACAAGGACCTGGCAATCCTCCTTGAGCAGAAATCATTCGGTGCAATGGGGCAGCAAATTCGCGTGGTCTTTGTCGGATTATAACTCTGACTATGGTCCGGATCCGGTAGCTCTATCGGGGACGAACACCAAGACATATACGCGATTCTACTGTATCATAAACAAAGACCGTTCACAATAATCAGGTGTGGGGGCGGGACGGTCAAACATAAACCTTAATATGGACTTGACATTGGAGGCGAAATAGTAACTAGCTAAACAATACAGACGATCCTGGGAATCTCTGACGGACCAGAAATTCCACGGTTTACTCCCATCCCATCATCCATCCCTGTAGAGCTGTAGAACTGTAGATCAATGCTCATCTTTCCGGAGTCCGCTGCTTTCACCATGTGCATATTCTCATTAGGCCTTTCGAGCCATCGTCATAAATCATAAAAGTGGACAGAAAAAGAAAGAGAAAAAAAAAACAGAGATAAAGGAAAATAAAAAGGGGTTTTTCCCCGAGATTAGAACAAACCCCCACCCCTATTAACACCGATCCTGTCCATGTCCCTACACCACATAGTGCGGCCGGCGGCTAGAGCTGCGGTGGCGGTGGTGCGAGCTGGAATGACCACGGCGGCTGCTGTGGCTCCGGCGACGGACGGTGGTCTCCTTCACGATAACCTCGCGGTTCTTGGAGTGGATGAAGAGGGCCAAGAAGGCGGTCCAGATGAAGAAGATGACCTCCATGATGCCCATCGCAAAGGTGGTCTTCAGCATCGCACAGGTCTTGTTGACGTGGTCGGCCAGGGGGTTATTTGTGCTCTGGCCGTACTCGCCGAAAGGACCCAGGGATACCCAGACTGAGCCGCCGTCCCAGTGACCACAGTCCGCGTTCGCAATGAAGCGCAGCTGGTAGACGCCGGCGATGAAGGCACCAAAGAACAGCATGTCCACGAAGGAGACGAAGAACGCCGAGCGCTTGGTGGTCGAGAAGCGGATCAGCGTGTCGACGGCCCAGAAGACCGCGATCACACTGACGATGAAGAGAACCAGGATGTAGGGCGGAGTGAGCATGTTGGCTTGGAGATAGCCATGGACGAAATAGGCCTGGTCAGTGTATCCGGCATGTTAGTCTGCGGGTTCTGGTGACTGGTGGGCCATCGCTTTGCGATGCGCATGAAGATGGAGTATATACGTACCATGATACCAATGATCGGGATCAGGAAGGTGATCTCCACCAACCGATTAAAGATGAAGAACAGGCTGCCAATCATCTTGCCGAGGGGCCTGTCAGGCAAAGCACGTTCCGGGATAATGCGATCTCAGGAATGCGACACAGATGACAAGAACGAGGAGCGGCGCGAAATGGTGGTGAAGAGGGCAAGTAGTATGTACGGAGAGCGTCAACAGGGCTGTACAGGAGGACGATCGCTGGCTACACGAGCATCACGTGGAGGTCTGTGAAAGGGAGGGATTGCGATTGCAACCTGGAGAAGATGAAGAAAGAGAAGGGAGTGAGGGGTGGAGGGGAAATAAAAAAAGAGATCTCGGTGCCGTCATCTTGCGCTGACCTGCGCTGACCTGCGCTGACTTGCGCTGACAGCGGGAGGCTGGGCGAGTCACATCGTTGGGTTGGAAGGGGGCTGGGGGCGCGCAACGGAGTCCATGGAGTCGACCGTCGCCAAGAGCCTGCGAGCACAAAGGCCCATGTATCATCGGGACGGGGTGAGTGGGTTAGTGCCCGCCCTGTCGTCAAATTTAATCAATGTCCTGCATTTGATTGACCGTTGATCTGCTTCGGTGCTTCAGGCTGGTTGGTTGGTTGGGTCCGTTGGATGGGCAACCCAGGGTGCGGATCCACCGCCCGCAAGCCGATATGGGATCTGGTTCAGGAACGATCAGGATATCTCAGAAAGACCTCCGTGGCCCGAACTGGACGGGAGATCCACGGTGATTCGCGATTCGTGACTCACAATTGGCTGCCCTCGTTTCTCGCTCATCACCCAGTCTCTCCGTCTCGCCCGGCTAACCCAACAATATATTCCATATCAATACGCGCGTCTAAGGATTCGGGCCCCGCTAACAAGCCCGAACACCATAAATGACTCGATGCTAAGCGCCGGGGGCCCAAATCAAGCATCGGACAAAAGCTGTCTAATAGACCATTCGATGCTGGAATGCGAAGCTGGGCCATCGAGGGGAGTATAAACTCAGCCTCCCAAGTGGTAAATCCATGAGGAATTAGAACCCCCGGGGATTCAATATCCAGGATAAAAGAAAAACGGGAAAACAATGAAGCCCGAAGAAATGCATTCTATTCACATTGATCCAAACTAGTATAGAAACTCGCAGATCGCGATCTTGCAAACGCCGGCCCCCTGTATTCATACAACCGAGAAAAAAAAAAAAAAAAAACGAAGGAGAAAAGAAAAGAAAAAGGCACAAAATCAGCCTGGATCCGGTGAGGCGATCTTGGCGCTGTTGGACTCTAAATCAAGCACATGGATGGTAATCTAAACTTGATACCCTGTAAAACCCACTCATATCACAGTCGATCAAATCGGAAGCGGCGTCTCGCTCAGCTGTCGTCCGCGCTCATGATTCAGGACCACCTCGGGAGGTGGGGGAACTCGGGCGCTTGCGGCCGGATAAGCCTGAGACTGATACGCAGTATTCGTCTGGTGTGGGACCGAGTAGCGACTGACACTCGAGTCCCGGGGCATCGCATACCCCTGTTGCATGTCAAACCCCCGCTGCATCTCAAATGCGTCGCCGGAGCCATCCTCACTCGACGACCAGTTGCCATCCGGATCATGGTCGTGCGGGCGACGGGGATACACCTGCGAAGTGAATGGATTCGTTGGGTCGGTGTGTCCCGTGAAACCCGGTCCGGCCCGACTCGAGGGGGAAACGGAACGCTCATGATCATCGGACGGTTGTAGCCGGTCTTCCTCGGAGTTGCGGAGGTGTTTCGTACTGTTACTACGGAGCGCTGTCAATTGGCCGCCGACAGGTCGAGGGGGCTCGGTGCCCCAGGTGCGGATTGGGTATGCTCGGCCCTTGCGCCATGCCTCGCTCAGCGGAGGGAAATACTGGCGGTAGGAGACTATCGCGCAGGCAACCCCTAGGAGCGACCCGGTGATAACATCGAACGGGTGGTGGCGTGCATCCATGATCCGAGACACGGCAACAAGGGTCGCCGCAAGGATGGGGATCGTGCACAAAAGCGTCTTCCATGTCTCGCCGCGGTTGTCCATAATGTGGAGCTTGCCGCCCAGCCACAGGGAAGTGTAGAACAATCCGGCAAAGGAGGCTATTTTCACCATATATTTGTCAGTATCTGTATCTGTCGAGTGCGGGAGGGAAACCCAGGAATGTGGGGGGTGGGGGGTGGGAAAGGGGGAAGCAGCTTCCAAAGAAGACTCACAGCTACTATGACCTGTAAAAATATCTTAGCGGCAATTTCAAATAAGCTCCGGATCCGGAGTTCACATACCTGAAGGCCATGAACGAAACCCATCCTTGATGAGAGACGCCTGTCCCGTGCAGATGGTTGAGTTGGACAGGCCGTATGGGGAGAGGTCGTGGCTGCCGCCGCGAGGCTGGCAGCGGTCGATCAGGTCGGGACGAGGTTTGCCGCAGGCATTCTTGAGAACCTGGGTGACCACAAAGGCCAGTCCTTGAGACAACAGCAATCCAAGGATGCCGCAGTTCATCTCCCATAGACGGTCCTTCCATCGCCAGGGACCCCGGGTTCTGCGCTTCCCGGACAGGTCCTGGGGCTTGTGGTGCGAAAACAGTCCATCGATGAAGAGGGTATAGACGATAATCAGGACGAGCGGGAAGAGTCCGGAGATGCAGAGGGCGTATACAATGGGGATTCGTTCGTGCACGGCGTAGGGATACTGGAGGGATTTGTTCTCGAGAGAAAAGTGTTGGTGGTATGGTTCGATGGAATCGAGGACCCAGAAGCCGATCACACAGACACTATTGCGATCGCATAGCTGTCAGTCAGTTCACATTCAACCATCCGAGCGGAACACCGGGATCTCTGGCCGGTAAGAGAGGGGGTGAAGAGCTCACATGAGGATCACATAGTCGAAGATGTAGCTGGTTGGAGAGGGCGAAGGTTAGTGGGCGCCACATTTCGCGGGGAAGCGAGGGGAAAACCCACGAAATCACCACACGCGGTCGCAACCGCCGCTTTGAGAAGGGCAATTTGGCCGGAACCTCCATTACTTGGAGATGGGCAAAAGTCGAGAGAATCCGGATGAGAGTCTTCCACAGATCAGGAAGATTCAAGGTGTTCCGCCCACTTTAGGCAGCCGGGGATCTGGTCGCGTGCTGCTTGGCGCTGGGCATGTCCATCATACATATACTCCATATCCTCGTCTCGCATCTGGCCTCGCATCTGATCTCCCCTCTGCCATTGGCGGTCCCTGCGATCAATCCACTGGGAGAATCCTTTCCCAATCCTTCAAACGTCTCGAAACTTTAACCGCGGACGTCCACAACTGGTGCGTTGCGGCGAACCAGAGTGGCCGGGCATGTCACCAAGTAGCCTTCTCCACGGTGGAGACTCGCCCCTGACTACAGACCGTGACGCCGCCAACACTTCAGAACAATTTTAGTAACACGGTTTTATTGGTTGGCCAACCCCCCCTATATGGCATCTTAACTATATCCCATATTTAACGGCCGTCAAACAATCTTCAAACAGCGCCCTGCTGACGGTGGCCGAGGGATTCTATGGTCCGAATATCCAAGCAGCGGCTCCCCGACGCCTCCAAAAGAAAATTTCTGACTATTTTTTGATTGACTGAAAGCAGACGCCGGCCAAGAGGCGGGGCATGTTACTCTAGATGATCGCCAATTTCTCTGGGGAGCCTGATTGCTCATAGTTGTGCATCGTGCATTCTCGATCTGATAATCTCGGGTTCCTTCGCCAAAACGCTTCATTCTTTTCCAGCCGCCACCTTATTCTCACCACGGCTGGATCATCATGCTATCAAAGTGGGAAGAGTTAGACCCGTGCTAGTTTGCGGTGGAGCAGACACCAAAACGTAGAGGAATCTTTTCCGTTCATTTAGTGTTGATCTGTTGAGGGGCGTAGGTACGGTACGGTCTGCGTTCCTCGACCCGCCCGGACTAGGCAGCACGATTATCTACATCCACAAGAGTCACACCGCAGGATGCATGTCAGCCTCTGCCTGCACGAGATGATCATCGAAAGGAAAGTCATTCGAATCGAAACCACCACTCTGAACAGTCAACCAGGAGCATACGGGTCCGGACATGCTATCTGGTCTGAATCAGGCACGAGTTCAAGGAATGAAATAGATATGCATTCTCGGGGACGTGAGATCAAAGATCTAGTATCTTCATTCACTTTGTTCTAGAACAGACGTGTGCAACAAAAAGAGAAAAACGCCCGGGGTCACAGTCAAATCAAACGCATTTCCACGCATCCACAAACGGTCTACAAGACAATCAATTAACCCCCTCCCGCACCCCAATCTCAGATATACCGTGACGAATTGCCAGGGACCAAAAACAAAGAATAGAAATTAAAAAGTAAAAACGAAAAGCAAATAGAACAGACACGGTACGTCTAGCAGACAGTCACATAGAGACCCAGTCTAAATCTCCAAGGTTAGCGGTCAAATTCTACAAGAGGCGAGCTCGGGTATAGACTCACGGAGAAGGGTTCCAGTCTTCGAAGAAGTTCAGGTTGGTGCTGCCCGCGTTTTTCATCTCATAGGCCACTGCCTGGCCAGCCGGGCACGAGAAAGTCGACACCACATACGAATTGCCGGGCGAGATAGTGATACTACCCAGATCCTTCGACACAGACGGGACACTGCTAAAGGTCGTCGAGGTGCTGACTGTGCTGGAAAGCTTCGCAATGTCAATCTTACCGTCGCCGCTGAAGCTATAGGCGGAGGTCTCGAGGTCTTCGCGCCGGGGGAACAAAAACACCAGGCTACAGGTCTTGCCGGAGTAGGATGATGGAATGTCGAAGTTGAACAGGCTCGACGTGGTCGAGTTGATGGTGCCATTGAAGGTAGTGCCGAAGGCGTCGTTGGGCGCGGTCGAGTCGATATGCACGATCAGGTGCGGGTACTGGTAGTCGCCGGACAAGGTGGTCGGGCAGCTGGTGCCCGTGTTGCCCGTCGACGAGCCCGTCGACGTCCTCGTCGAGTTCCCAGCCGAAGTCCTTGTCGAGTTCCCATTCGCGGTCCCGTTGGGGCGAATTGAGCCAGTGGGTTGTGCAACGCCGCCCGGCGCGCCGGTGGTGTTCGAGAAAGGACCGACGCCAACTCCAGTTCCAGTAGTCCGTGCACCTCCAGAGGCATGAGAATCACTAGCAGAACCGATGTTGCTATTAACGCCAGTGCTAGAGGGATGGGGGGCTCCGGAAGATTGAGAACCACCAGCACTAATGCCACCAACAGGTGAAGCACCGCCAGTAGTTTGAGTAGCTCCGCCGGAAGTCTGAGTAGCTTCACCAGAAGTATGGGAGCCAGCAGGCTGGCCACTACTCGAGGTATGAGAAGTCCCAGATGAAGTTGCAGATGAAGCCGCAGAGCCCGAAGCACCGGGCACTGCAGGAGCGTTGTTTGTAGGACAGGTGCAGTCCGACACAGTCACAGTCGAAACAATCGTCACCGGCGGGGCCGGATTAGCAGGTGCCGAGCCCGAGTTCGAGCACGAGTCCGCCGTGATCGTGATGTTCTTGCACTTGGTCACATCGGTACTATTGGTGGTATACACGTTCAAGCCACCATTCTGGCCAGTTTCACACGCAATCCAGCTGCCGCTACCGTGATAGTCTAACTGGCCCGAGGATGTGATCGAAAAGCCGGGGGTTGCCGCAGACCCTTCGTCACACTGGAACTGGGTGGTCTCCGCTGATAGTATGGATTAGATTAACCATCAACGGCTTTCAAGAGTTTTTGACTTTTCATTTGACATCATACTTACTCGTGATGATGCACCCACGGCCGGCACTGTCGGTGATTGCGCCAGTCGAGTTGATACAGTATGTGGACGGGGACAGACTGTTGTCCCCAATGCGGTTCTGGCCGTCGCTGAGTTGGCCCAGGGAGCCGGAGACGCCGCCAGAGGAAGTCAAGTGAAAGCAACACTTATCGGCGCGGCCAACGAGAGCATTGGCGCTGGCAAAAAAAGCGGCGAGGGCAATGAAGCTCTTCATGATGGCAGCGAATGAAGGATAGCCGCCGTAGAAACGAAGGAATGGATTGCTTGTCCGGGGTCTTTTTCTCTGCTATGAATGCGAAATGCTTGCCGCTGTGAGGTCGTATATATGGTATATATGGGCGGGGATCAAACCTCAGATGACTCGCCCAGTCGAGTCCAGGAAACTAGGGCATTCTTATAGCCAGCAACCAGATAAAAAGTGGAAACTACATCGTTTACGAATCAAGATGGGGATGGGCCCTTCCGGCAGGGAATCACTCACTCCACTGAAAAACCGGCGACTGCTCCCGAGGAGAAAATAAATAGAAATCAAAGGCAGAAGGTGAATTCCAGCCTGTGAACATCGTAGCTTGGACCGCTGTCCAATGTCGACCATGGGTGAAAGGTGGATTGGTACCTTGAATCGGCGAGCAAGTAATTCGAGGTTTCGGGTCCGAGTCAGCCGGGAAGACCATCCGCTGGGTGAAATAGACGTCATCTTCTACTCCCTCAGAGATGGAGCAGTATTTCTGACCCCGAATCCCTACCGTAAGAGGACATCTGACGACTATCAATGGTCAATGTTCACTGTTGATGGAGCAGTGGGACAGTCAGGGCCTACCATCCTCCAGGGTGTCGCCTTTATCCTACATGTAGGTTGGGTTCCTCTTCAGTGCCTGGATTATGGCCCTGAATACAGGCACCATCATTCAAGTGGCAACACTTTCGACCTGTTACACAGTACAGCATCTCGGGTACCTCTCGTCTGAGGAGCTCTATTTATAAAAACTTGGGTCAAGATGAGCACCATGACACATTTCCATGGTCAGCCCGACTTGTTCTGGCTTCTGATTGACAGCCAAACATGCCTTTTCGACGGTTGGAAAAGGCAATAAACAAGATAGAAGACAAAAGCAGGCACCCGGCACTTCCAGGTTCCATTGGGGGTCAGATAAAAGTTCTCCCCTCAATATGTCCTTGTAAGGCAACGTCCTCATCATACACCCATCACGAGAAAGCAAAGAAGAGGCCAATCTGCCTTTCTGGAGAAATAATTCCTGGCTGCATATAAGCAAAGCCCCGCGGTCTTTACACGGTGGAGATCAGCCTCCTCGGTATCGCATCATTGTGGATTTCCGGAATGGAGAACCCTGGATATCTTGTAAGAAAGCACATTACACTGTGATACACTGCTCTTTCCGGCTGCTGAGGGTAAAGGAGGACGGGTCTATGTAATCTACGTAATCTATGTAACTACTACCCGACGCGAAGTTCCAGGCCAGTCGCAAAGCAATGAGATTGGGTCGGATCATACGCAGCCGGGACCACATATCCACTAATTTGACCGGTATTCAAGCTCCAATCGCAGGTGGAGCCGATGAAGCTCTCCGCCAAACAGATGACCTACTATTTTTAATCGATTGTGATCCGGCAAATTTGCGGATCGCTCACCTATTCTGATTGCTATCGTACTGCTGGAGATTTGCCGTTTTGTTGGCAAGATTTCGGTCAACGAAAGGACTGACTTCCATTAATCACGTCATACCCAATTTCAACTATTTTGTATGGTACACCTGGTGGCTGCGCGGTTTTTCACAAGATAACTTCATCCAGTACGCGTGTCCAAGACCAAATTCAAATCAGATCGACGATCACTGATGTTAGGGCCGATTTTCTCGTAATCTTTCTTCTAGAACATCACCCCGATATTCAAAACACATTCCACGCTAGGAAGGAATAGACGGAAGCGCGGGGTTCTCACTGTTAGGAATTTAATAATCAGCTGGGTGAGGTTACCAAGTACCCGAGTAGAAACAGTTCTGCTTGGCACAATCACTGGAAATTCTATCATGTAACTCCTTCCTTGGTCCTCCGGTCTCCCGGTAAAAGCCGTTGAGCCAACCGAGCCCCCGAAGTGGCGCCAGTACCAAGTGATTTAGGTCAGCGATGTCGATCGCACCGGATGGGCCGGGCGGATGCCTGAGTGGGGCCGGCCTTCCCTCGCAAAGATGACAATATGGATCCCACATTCTTCCTTGATAAGTGCTTCGGTAAGAATATCTGATCCTGGATGACTTCATAGGAATAATTTGCGGATTGTGCCTTTGGTATATTGGAAAGCAGAACTTGAATTGTAGCTTGTAGCAGCTGATAGCCCGTCTGGGCGAACAGCTCAAATTGGAGAATATCTGGTAGCAACTGGAAGTTGTAATGTGGTGAAGGTGAAGTTCCATTCTGACGAGAGAGGTGTAACATAAGCTAAGCTATGGGGGGGGTAATGTAATTATACAGTAATATCGTGCGACCTCTAGATTCGCAGCGTCCCCTTTGGAAAGTTCAAGCTGTATAGCTGCATGGAATACGCGGAAAGTAGAAATGGCGATAAGCTGGAAAATAATTTATGTAAATATAAAAGTATATTCGAAAAGGGGTAGCAGTTAATATAATAAGCATAGTGGAGGACAATTGGTAGGTAGCCTAGAACTAAATAATTCTATTTGCGTCTTAGGATACCAAGATCGTTTTCTGTCTTATGACCTACTAGTGCTTATTACTATCAAAGTCCTTATATTATATTATAGATATTATAGAGAAAGCAAAATAAACATCTAGATTGGAGACGGCTTCCGTAAGAGGATAGTTTTCTCCCTGTGGAGGACGTTTCTGCACTAGTCATAGTAGTTATTTAACCCCCTTCCCCCCAATATAACACATACATAATTTGCAAAAGGATCAAAGCAAGTTTCTCAGGTGCTATGAGCCGTGTAAAGTTTGACCAGACAAACGTACAGAAATGAATCTCTTTCTCTGTCTACTAGAGTGGACATGGTGCGCGTCTTTTGCCTGCCAGCATGTTGGTTGTCATGAAGAGGTTTTTGTAATATATAGCACCGTCGTGTAATTGAGAAGCAAGCAGGCATCCAATCGGTCAAGTCATGGTTTTCTAGATTTTACAAGAGTTTTCTATGATCAGCCGAAACGGACCTTTATCTTGGCTTTCTTGTCTAAGCTTCATAGTTGAAGAATTGGACGGTAGAATTCGCAAGTTAACCCTCGATGGTGTAGTTGGATATCACGTTCGGCTGTAATGGAATATCATATAACCGAAAGGTCACCGGCTCGATTCCGGTTCGAGGGAATTGCATTTCTTTTTTGTATTTTTTCATGATCTGGAAAAATACCAGATAATCGCAAATCTTTTTTCCTTAAATCAAATAGAATTCAAACCTTTAATTAATTTCGAAATATCGATATCTGGGTAAGTTATATGATTCATCTAAGGGTTGGGGTCTCGGCTACGAGATATATATATTTCCGACGGCAAATCATACATTGAACCAGTGAGGCTCGCAGCTAGACCTGACAAAACAGAAAGGTCTGGGTACCGAATCGCTCGAGTCACCCATCAACCTACCATACACGACAGCGCTGAGCAGGCCTTCCGAACAGATGCAGATCTACATAACAGACTTACGACCATACCCAAGGTTGAATCCACCGATCACAGCGTTCACTGCGTAGGCGATTTCGCCATTACAATATCTAGCGTTCCTCAAACTACGTATTGCCGAGCATTGCCTACCTCCTCTTGCACTGTGAAGTCTGCATCGGCCTTCTTGAAGTATATGTGAACAATTTGTGTCACGAGCATGCTGACACTATGTAACTTCAAACTCTTCAATAGGAATGTGCTGCGTTAGAAAATTTTTTGGGCTGTCGGGGGAGAGAGGGGGGGAGAGAAGGGGGTTCTTATTATAAATCAACGAAGAATTCTTCATGGGACTTCTAAACGTGATTTGTCTAAAAGAATTGTCTCCTATCGTCGAGAGCACTGCATTGTCGTTACACGGTCTCCCTCGGCCGGATTCGGTTTAAACTCCGCTCGAGTGGAATGAGGGTTGGGGCGTCGGCGGAGTCTAAACCGCTTGGGGAGAAAAAAAAGGCTCAATGCAAGATATTTAGTTTATACGGATTTTCGCAGACATAAAAAGAACTGAATTCAAATCATCATTTATAAGTATCATTTGTAATCATTTATTTGCTTATACAAACACAAGAGTATATAAACAAGCTAAAAGAGTGCTTGCTTCTCTCTCCATCGACCTTCGGCCGGATCACATACCCACCGCTCTATAATTATTTACCTCCTATTTCGTGGAGTTAAATCTTTTCATTGAAAGCAAAATGACACCTCGTCTGGCCTGGCTTGGCCTTGGAAACATGGGTCGTGTATGTCGAGATTGACAGATTGGGTCGCCTTGATTCTTGTTAACTAACTCTTCCAAGGGAATGGCAAAAAACCTGGCTTCAAAAGGATCGCTCGACTCTCCGTTGATAATTTACAACCGAAATACAGCTCACGCGTTCGAATTTCAGTCAAAGAATGCCAACACAGAGGTAGCGGTCTCTGTCCGAGAAGCAATCTCGAAAGCCGACATCATCTTCACTTGCGTCGGCGATGACGCCGCAATCAAAGACATCATCAAAGCCAGCATCTCCGCCGAAAACATCGAGGGCAAGCTTTTTGTCGACTGCTCTACCGTTCACCCAGATACCACCACTATCATTTCAGCCCAGCTACAAGACAACGGGGCACGCTTCGTCGCTAGCCCCGTCTTCGGGGCGCCTGCAATGGCCGAAGTTGGTCAGGTTATTTGCGTGCTGGCTGGCCCTCAGGAGGCCGTCGAGCAGGTGAAGCCCTATACAACTGGGGTGATCGCCAAGAGTTTCATGGACTTCAGTAACCAGCCACCCGCCAAGGCTTCTCAGCTCAAGATCCTTGGTAACACCTTCGTCATCAGCATGGTAGAGAGTATTGCCGAGGGACTTGTGGTCGCTGAGAAATCCGGCTTGGGTACAGACTCATTGCACCAGTTCTTCGAAGCGGTATTTCCCGGCCCATATGTTGCTTACTCAAACTGGATGCGTTCTGGTGACTATCACAAGCGCGACGAGCCACTTTTTGCTGTTGATTTGTCTAGGAAGGATGCACGTCACGCATTGGACTTGGCGGCAAAGTCTGGTGCTACGATGAAAGGAATGGTGTTGGCAGATCAGTATATGGCTCAGGTCAAAGAGCGAATGGGTGCTCGGGGTGATCTAGCAAGTATCTATGGCGCTGTTCGTGAAGAATCTGGATTGGAGTTTTACAATGATGTATAGCCCAATTGAAAAGAGTTCAATGATTGCTCAAAACTTCTCTTTCAGATAAAGTCTGAATCTTTGTGTTATCTTTGACATAATTGTGTATAGTACGCTAGCAGAAGATCTAGTATTTTCTCGTCTAAAATCTAACAATCAGTTTGTCAAAGAAAAAGGGAGCGCTTTGAACTTTATGGTAAACCTTGCGAAATTGTGGTAAGCTGCAGTGGGAGTATTGCGAGATGCTTCTACAGTGTATGAAAGCTGTATTGAGCCAAATATCTACTTAAATGAAGTCCAATTCTGCGCCTCTAGAAAAAAGGCAGAGCCATGACCAACAGGCTTTGTGCAAAAGGTGGGGAGAGAAATCCGCCAATCGGAGCGGAAGAAACCACCGGAGAACGGTAGGATTAGTAGTATGCCCAGGTACTAGTAGTTAAGTGATCTCTAAGTCAACTCCATAGTGGGAACGCAATTAATCCGACCTCAGCCCGGTCAGCCGAGGGTAATGATTATGAAACATTGAAAAATCTGATCGAGAACAGCAGGCAAGCCAGTCTTGGCGATCTCGTATTGGAAGACTGGGCTAATTCATTGAAAATCAACCAAAGCTTTTGGGGTGAGTGATGTGTTATAAAGCAAAAAATTGGTGGAAATTTCGCAAGTCAACCCTCGATGGTGTAGTTGGATATCACGTTCGGCTGTAATGGAATATCATATAACCGAAAGGTCACCGGCTCGATTCCGGTTCGAGGGAATTGCATTTCTTTTTTGCGTTTGTTTTTTGCATTCGTCCCGCAAGTCACTCAATATTTTCCAGACTAATTAATTATCTTTGCAAAATAATATATGGCCGACTGTGTGTGCGTGTTGCTGAATAGGAATGAATCCTTTTTTTTTTTTTTCTCAAATTGTGCAGCGAGGCCAAAGTTGCTAACTTAGTGAATTACGTTAGTTAACTAGTTAGTTATTCACTAACTATGACAAAGCGAGATGTTAGTAACCAAGGTCCAGAGACTGCCAACAGCTACAACTAATAAGTTACATCAGATCAAGGGTCTAATTCCCAAGCAATTGCTGTGGTTACATTTGGCAAATGGTATGGAAATATGAATCGCACAACGTATAATTGTTAATTGGCAAATAGGAAACGAGAGCATAGCTCTATCTAGCGAAGTGAAGGCATAAGAGAAAGGAAAAGAAAAACAAAAGAAAAGCAAAAATAAATACAAAGACAAGTAACTGTTCCACAGCTTTCAACGCGAGCCCCCTTTATCTCCCTTTCTGCCTGTTCCGTTTTCCTGGAGGGGATTTGATCACATCTTGGAGGGTACCATTCCCCGAGGTGATTGACAAGATAGCGAAATCTATTTCAAGCTCTCATGGCTTAGGAAGAATACGTAGAGTCGATCGGGCCAACTCGGATGTTAGAGTAAATCACTTTGGCGGAAGCAGACTCGGACTCAACGGTGCTGGGCTTTCCAGAGTCAGTAGAGCAACTGCCGCGGGCAACACCGGGGTCGGTAGCGGTGGCGTCCGTGGGGTAGTTGCTGTCGAGCCAGAGCATATCCGCATAGTGGTCGTCCCACAAGCTCATAACAAGGACCATTCCCTCGCTGAGAGCATCGCCCATATTGGAGAGGCCACCGTGCTGAGAGAAGATATCCTGGTCGCCGAATGCGGTCTTCTGGGCAGTGCAGAAGTCTGAAGTGATCGAGTTGCCAGAGACGCCGCTAACATCCGAAGCCGAGTTGGCGATGACCTCGCCGTTTTGAACGTAGATACGCTTAATCTCCGAGAGTGTACCGGAGTCGGTGCCATCATCAGTGATGAATTGGGTGACAACGGTCATCTTGGAGTTAGTATCAACGATCTGATCGGGACCATAGAAGCTAGTGTTGCCCATACGGTACGGGTTGAAGTCGCAGCCATCAGGATCGCAAGTACCAGCATAGCGGTTAGAAGAGTAGGTGCCGCCACAGGCGTCAGTATCGCACATGGTCTGGCTAGCGGTGTCGCAAGGGTGAGGAGTAAGAGCAGTTGAGATGCTGTTGGCCTCCCAGATATCCATCTCAGCGCAGCATGAGCCATGGTTGCCGACACCAGCGTTCGCGTCATTGTCGGAGGGAGCCCAGCCGTCGACGTTACCCTGTATATTACTATTAGCGACTGAGTGCTCATCGATTCAAATCATTCTTACCTGGCCGTTGATGAACTTCAAATCGCGAGGGCACTGAGAATCACAGTAGCCTGTGCCGTACTTGGCGCCGGCCTTGTTGTTCTCATATTTGGACATGCCACCATCAGCATCCATCGAAACGAAGTACAATGCTCCATTGAGACCACAAGGGAGGTCTGACACATCCACATCGAAGGTGAACTCCTGGTTCAGCAGCTTGAAGATCTGATAGGTGTTCTCATCCTCCATCAAGTACAAACGAGAACCGATATTTGAGCCGGTAACGAAGCCTAGGGTCAACGCATCACCGTCGGTGGTGACTCCATAAGTGCCCGAATAATCAGCACCATCGACGGCACAGTTGGTAGCACAAGTCTCATCATCGGGGCAAAGAGTGGCATCCCACTATTCGTAAAATAAGAAGTTAGTGATATTCAACATCATCCACCACTTGCAATGGACAGACTAAAATCGAGATCCTAACTCACGGTATTTCCTGTATAGCAATTGGTGGTGCCATCAATCGAGTGAACCCAGCGCCAGTTGGCATCGACAACAACAGAGCCAGACTGATCCGTGCAGCTGCCTGCAGAGGTGCATTTCTGCCAAGTTAAAGAGGGATGAGTCTCGGCTTTCTGTGTGCCAACCTGTTGGGCACGAGCCGCTGCCATTACGGCAGAGAAAAGGAGTGCGCGTTGATACATCTTTGTCAAAATTGAAGCCAATGAATGATTTGCTAGGTCTGTTTTGAAGCTTTTTTGTAGACTGACCGGCAGTTGCTGAACAAAAGAATAACCTGAAGGCGCGAACATACTCTTTATATAAGATTCGCTGTTGAGGGACCACCATCCATTTTTCTTGCCATGTAGGCTCAAACAAGTTCTTCCGCCACATCATGATCCGGTGCTGCGGACCGTGAGGCCGTCGCCAAATGGGTATGGACAGTAGGGGAAGGACCCTTCATCAAACAGACGGAGACATCCAGATTAGGTGATGGCCGGTGTCGAGAATTGATTTAGGTGTGGACCAGGCTCCATGATCAGGACGGGAATGATCGTCGTGAGTATCGATTAATACGCCTCGTCAGGGTCTAAATTGGAGACAGAGCGGTTATATCTAGTCTAGTCGTTTTATTGTCCTCAAGAACGGAGATTTCTCCGGTCCATTTCTGTTGGCTGCAGCAGGATACTTCTGAATTGTGGATGTAATGAGTCCCGTCAATGCATCTTCGTGTTCAAATAAGTCTGGGAAAACAGAGCAAGCTCCCGGCAATGATTGTATGCTTAGGTTTGGACCATACAATACCGTGAAGGCGACCTAATGATTCAGATAACGGTCTCCCAGGTTCCTGAGACATTTTTGGAAGTGGCTGAGTCTTCTAAAGTTCCACTGGCGTGTATAGCGTTGAGGTGGCTTTTGATAGTGGACTATTTTCTGCGAACGCTGCCAGATTTTGGCGTGAGGCGCTCTGGGGTAGAATGGCCACCCGGCTAGAATAGTGTTTGGCTCAACCGTTTTGACCAGGGGTGTTTCAGATCGGTCACAGGACCCCTCTTGGGTAAGATTATCCAGGCACAACGGAGCAAAACGAGGAAAATATCCCTCAATGAGAAAGCGGACGTCTAGCGCCCAGGAGTGCCCAGGAACGATCGTACCTGACTATCTGTCAACGTGAAACGGAACAGTTGTGGCCCGTCACTTACGACATGCACAGGTTTTTGTTGCATATCATGCATAACTAAGTTTTACCATTGCCAGTCCACCCAGTATTCCGAATGAAAGATTAGTTCTTCTATCAGGTATGCTTATTGAATTAAAAAAAAGCAAAGGCAAAGGCATTATAGTCCCTGTCGGGGTAGAAACATTGGCGGATAAAACGCGACCGTCACCCCAAGACGTTTTGAGAATCTTTCCGAGAAGACTACACCAGCAATCAAATCCACCAGAGAATTCTTAGGGTTTACGGTCCGAGGTGTGGATGTACCCGGTCGCTAATTGGGTGGGTAATTCAATCTGAAGCGTGTTGGGGGGACCCGGCGGTATGAAGAATGGGGCGTCAAGTCTTGGTCGGGCATGTCGATCGCATTGCGGGGGTGCCAGCCACGGCTGTCACTAACTAGCATGTGGCGTGAAAGGGCGCTCGGCATATTCTCAGTGCGCCAGATTATTGTATTATGCCTATTCCTTTTCCATATTCTGTTCATCTTGAGTCCACCTCGCCCAAGGCCTACTCTGGGGAATAGAACAACCTTCCAAGAATCATCCATTATGGCCGTATATACAAATTAAGGTTGAAAACGCATAGGGACTGCAGCTGAGAGAATGAAAATATTGTTAAGCAGAATGCAAGATGAAGTAGAGCCGAGTAGGGATTAACCCCACATTTTCAGGGATTCTGTTCCACTCTGCATTAAACCATTAAACCTGCTTTGTCAGACATGGTCGCTGTAGATAGTATGGACTGGAGGGCATATATGCGGCAATATGCGTATAATTGCCCTTTTCTATTCATTTACAATGCGCAGTTAGATCCAATCTCTTATTCGTGTATGAACTCAACAGGTTGTAACACTGGAGAGTTCAAGAAAACCGAATCCCCCTCTCCGTTGTATGCTCATATCCTGTGCAAGCATAGGAAAGCCATTAAAAGAGTCTCCACTCTGCTGAGGAGACCTAGAAAGGAACGGGAATTGCTTCATCAGTATCTGAGTTATCCTCTAGACAGAGCGCATTCAAAATACAGTTGCCAAATGCGACACGGCCGTGTCATTGCATTAGTCGAGGTGTAAATCAAGGTCGTATAGCGGAACTATCGGCCCCAGTGATGCGCTTCTTCATGGATTTGACGGAAGCTGGGGCGTCCAGATAGACGGTGTCATCTGCACAACAGCTACTAGATCACTTGGACTCATCGTTCAAAGTATAATACAAATCAAAACCTATACCAAGAATTTAGGGTGAGCAGATGCCTGAGAGTTCTTCAGAATTCGGGGGAGTGTTCTCGAAAAACAATGCAGATCGTTACCACATGAGAAGAAATAGTTCTTTAGTTGAGTAATTAAATAGTTTCACTTGTAGTGGACTTTAGGCTGAACGGAATATATCGGTCGGCGATGGTCTGTGACGCGGAGGAAAGCCCCGTCTTGCCTATTATAGATTGGGCAGCCAGCATTCAGACATTCGCAGTCTATCCAAATGATGGAGGTAGATGTTTTTCACAACAACCCCTCGCAATGAAATCTGTATTTCTTCAGTATTGCGATCCAAGTCAGCAGACACCACACAACGATCAAGTGTTCTCGGTCAACCTTGTGCACATTGCTGATGACGTCCTTATCGGCTTATCGGCTTATCGGCCACATGGGGCCTCGGCCCCAGCGCTTCCTAATGAGTCTGCCTCATCTTCGCGATCTTCTTTTTCTCCGTCTCCCAACTCACTCGCTCGTGCCTCATCACCGCGTTCTCGCATTTAAGAGTCTCACTCTATTGTCGTCCTTCGTGTGCTGTGAATAAACTCCATCCAGGGGGTTAGCCGAGAGTTACCATGGCGCTGTACCACCAAACCGTGGATTTCCTTTCCGACTCCTGGACCAACCAACACACGCAGCTTCCCCTTCTAGCAGTTACAGGGGCGTCTTTCACGCTCGGTCTTCTGCTTCGATCGCTTTTCAAACGCAACGAATCTGCCAACACGATTCTTATTTCACCCCGCTCCACGGTTCTGCCTAGCCTGTCGGAAGACGAGAACCGTAAACTGCCTCTCCCGAACGACGTTCTTCCTGGTGCTCGCGATGTAGCCAGTCCATATGGATCAATCCGAGTATATGAGTGGGGTCGTGAAGATGGCCCCAAAGTGTTGCTGGTGCATGGAATCACCACGCCGTGTATTGCACTCGGCGGGGTGGCCCATGCGCTAGTTGACCGCGGCTGCCGCGTGATGCTCTTCGATTTGTATGTTCTGCGCGACACCCGAATATTTGTCGCAATTTTATTATGAGAATTATCCTGGCTGACCGCAATACTCTAGATTCGGAAGAGGATACTCCGACTGTCCCGCGGACCTCCCGCAGGATGATCGACTCTTCGCCACGCAGATCATGCTGGCTTTGACATCATCTCCCATTTCCTGGACCGGTGCTGAGTCTGGAAAATTCTGTCTGGTTGGGTACTCGCTAGGCGGAGGAATTGCGGCGGCATTTGCGTCTTTCTTCCCGCAACTTTTGTCATCGCTTGTGCTTCTAGCACCCGCGGGATTGGTTCGTGATTCACAAATCAGCTTCCAGAGCCGTCTTCTGTATTCACGCGGCCTTATGCCCGAAGGCCTACTTGGATACCTGGTGGGCCGTCGATTACGTGCAGGCCCGTTGGTGAAGCCTAAGCCCAAAAACGAGAAGCTCAATGCCGCGGATGCTCTGACCGAGGAGATCCCTTCCCAGGGAGCCGCGGAGGTCCAGATTTTGTCTCGCGAGTACCCCCATATCAACATTCCATCTGCTGTAGCCTGGCAAGTGAACAACCACTCAGGATTTGTTCATGCTTTCATGTCGAGTATGCGTCACGGGCCGATTCTGGGACAGCGGCAATGGGGGTCATGGGCCCGACTTGGCGAATATCTGAGCGCACAGAATAGGATTTCTTCTGAAGCGAAAAATGAGAAAGGTCTGCCCAGTGATAAGGTCCACATTCTCTGTGGTAACAATGATGCCATCATTATCAAGGATGAGCTGGTCACCGATGCCACTGCCGCACTTGGTGGGAACGCTATCTTCAAGTTCTATGAGGCGGGCCATGAGTTTCCAAGCACCAAGTACGAGGAAGTGGCGTCCTATATTGGAAAGTTGCTTTAGTCAAGAAATAGCCAGAGGATTTTGAAGGCGTGGACTCTTTTTTTTTCTATTGCTGTCAAGCGGTCTTTTTTTTTGGCTTTTGCTTTGGAAAGTAACATTTAGATATTCACTAACATTTAACTGCGACTGAATAGAATACATAGACAAGGATATATCACTCTATCATACATTTTGCGGATTTCTCAATATGCCACTCGGTCCTTAGTTCTTCAGAATCTGATCCATCGCGTTGACTTGGTTTGACAGGCCGTTCAGATGTGTCGACCGGTCCTGAATACGTGCCCCCGCATAGTAGGGGCCTTCTGCGGCCGGTGCCCGAGCGAAGCGGTTCACGTTATTTTGGTTTGCCCTGGGGACCTGGCTCACGTTGCCTTGATTGAGAGCAGTATTTGTAGTGCCGTTGCGGCCGCTAAGGAGATAGATTCATGAGCTTGTGGTTCCATTGAGGCGTCAAGGTTTATGTAACTCACGTTGTGGACGAAGCTTGAGGAACAGACATGGTTGAGGATTGGGGAAGATGGGTTTTGGAGTCGTCTTGCTTGAAATTTGCAAGTCTAAAGATGGAGAAGAGCCTTGCACGGAAGATAGTCTCCAGGGCAGATCAAGATGTAGGTTCCTTGTGAAGCTTTGGAGCACTTATAGTCATTCACTTTGTGATGTGATGACAACGATGATGACGATGAGGAGAAGACTGATGTAATGAGTTGGAGGTTTGTGATAGTCACCAAACAGCAGGAATTCGAGGTCTATATATGCAAGAAAAGCTGTGAGGCTATGCTGGAGGAAAGGCATGCCTTGAGACACGCGAGCTCGACTGGAGCTTACATCTCGGCCCACATGGAAGAATAGGAGCTAACCAGCAAATGCAATGGAGGAAAAGATCTTCAGTTCGTATCAACTGCCCACGACAGTGGGATCCACTTCACCATGGGCCTGTGACACCATTCCGCCGTCAGACTCGAGCAGCCTGGAGGCGAGTAGTCCGCATGAACCATATCCGGCGAGCCTGAAATTCTTCCAGCGGACGCTAACCAGAACCATGATAGTGGGAAGCACATACCCGTCTAATCTGCACAACAGGCGACAAGCTGGACGCAATTGGTCATCGGCCTGCATGAAATGGGGGCCGGCAAGGCAGGAACTAGATGGAACAGGGTGTCCATGAGTATGGGGTGGGGATGAGGGCCCACTTTTACGATGGTGGTCGGACCAGGAACATGGACGAACACGAAATTAGAGGTATTTCCAGGGCATGTCTACTCAAGGGCTCTCGAAGGCACACATGGCGAGCCATATGTTTCACTACGGGAATAATCAAATGCGGTAGCCGAGCCGTGCTGGAATGAGCGAAGGGGGAGGAAGCGATAGAAAAGAAAACAGACAGTATGCAGATGTACGCAGGCTCAACGGTTGGATCGGCAAGAGCGATTGAACAAGGAACAAGGGTTGCAGTGCTGAGGGAACGTCATGGGGAGTCTAGAACTAGTTGGGCAGGGCCGGGGCGTGGCTATCGGAGCGGTAAATGCGGTTTTTTGCAGAGGGCGGAATTCTCGCGTGGGGGAGTCTTAATTCGATTTTATTTTCGTTTCTGATTTTATGAATTTTTAGGGTTTTAGGCTTTTGATTTTCAAGAGAGCGGAAGCTTTCAAGGGTGAAACAATGTCGTGGGACCAACGTGGTCGATCACATGGAGATCACGCACTGGCCCAGGGGGAGGCGAGAGATTGGAATGATTGGATAAAAACGAAAGGGAAATTACTAACGAAGCTATCAATCACAATCGATCAAAGGGGAGAAAAGAGCGAGGCGTGGAGCTGACGAGAGCAGGGCTTTTCCCCGACTTACGCGCGGAAGAATGAAGAACATGGCAACTAGGAAAAATTAAATGGGACACAAATTCGGGTGAGTTCTTTCTACACCCATCTAGCGGAGATCACGATAACGCCTGGCAAAGAGGCGTGTGGCCTTGCATGTTCTGCATTATTGTTGGCCAAGCATCCGACAGACGGCACAGCTCCATACCAGCCACGTCGGCCGGCGTGAGGCCTAACGAATCAGTTCATTCTGCATAGCCATAATTCCAGTCTCCGGAATGCTTGCAGACCCTAGACAGATTACAAAGCAGATCGTTGAACACGCGAATGACTTGTTTCAGAATGAATCAAGGGTCCTGCATCTCTGCATCTCCGAAGAAAGGGGGAGCACGTGGAGTGCCGTAGTGATATTCACGTATTCAGTATCAATGCACTGCCAAGAGCGTTGGTTGGGTATGACGAGTCTAACGAGGGCTCATTACTGTATTTGGAAAGCATCGGCAAGATGCATTTTGTCCAGCGCCACTCGAGTGGCACCGTGAATCCCTGGCCCGTTCGTTCGGTTGCAGGGTGGCTCAACATATCCCTAGAGCAGGGCGCAAAAGGGCTTGTTTACGAAACAAGAACATCGAGTGGGGAGGTAAGCTCGAAAAAGAAAACCTGAGGTTGGGCGAAGAATAGAGGTTGAAGGAACTAGCGGGGGATCCAGTTTTGTGGCTCAGCAGTCCCCACCGGGTGGTATGGGTTCAACATCCGAAATGAAGCATTAAAGGCCTACCAGGGGGTATCTCACCCGGGTAAAGTAGGATCGCGATTCTAGTCCTAATTTGGGGGAGAGAAAAAAGATTAAGGGATATCTTCGCATCACGGCGCTTCGGAGTTGCCGAATCTCATTCTCAACGTGTGGCTTGCGGTCCGCTCCCTCCGTCATACTGACCGGACTCAAATCTCGGAGGACCGATCCGCGTGCGCTACCGAAGTATGCGAAGGCCCAATTGGGGGTGGTTGTTGTGCCTCAGACAGGGAAGCTGCATTGGATCTGGAGCCACAGCGGCCATATGGAACCCCGGCGTTTCAGATAATAAGCTTGCTTTTCCACGCGTGTTGAAGGAGGGGGAGCAGATCATTCATTCCAGCCATCCCCGAGAGAGTAATGTTTGACGACGTTGCAGGTCCACTTGTTCGCGTTCGATATGCAAGGCACGTCGGGTCCAAGCGCGGGAATCCCAACAACCTTATCTCCATTCGGTGCTAACTGCGCCGAGCGTCGATCGTGGGGCTTGGCCGTCTGTTCAGCCCCAGAGGACGAGAAAGAAGAAGCAGATGCCCTCTTGCTTGGCTCCGGTGCACTCTCTATTCCGTATGGTCTAGTTTCAGACCAACCACGTCGATCATCGATCATCACTTCCGGCTGATTATGGAGTGTGACTTGGGGGTTAGCTGGATTGGAGGTTCTGTCCTACCAGCGTGAGAGGATCACCGGTGACGTTGGATGCCCGATGGGAGTTCAGTGCACTATACTGCTCCGTAATCCAGCCCAGTCGAGCCCTAACTCACGTCTATTCTTGGCGGCCTTCTCCGAGGAGAAAGTAGAAAAAGCAAAACAACACCAGACCAGCTCTTCGATTTGGAGAAGAAAAAGCACAACCAGGATTCGCAGAAAAGCCTTGCAGATTTTAGCCACCCCTGATTTTCTCGACAATCGGACAGCGGACCTATCATACACAAGCTTCCAACCACCTACGATTGGAGCCCATGCAGGCCCAAAGGGATAAGATGGATAGTTCGGCAATAGTTCATAGGGCCCCCTCCTCACTGATCGAGTAATGATCGCCCGAACCGGATCATCAGATCATCCCTTGGGGATAATGTTTGCCCAGTTGGCATATCCCTCAAACAGGGCTTCAGTCTGAAACGTGAAATATCAACCCGCAAATTTAACCCAACTGGAGTACGGGGTGTTTCGATACCGATGACGAATGAGCTGCTGCATTTCGTTGCCATCGCAACGTTCTCTGATGCAGCCACACCCACGAGATGAACGCGCGAGCTTGGGCACCCAAACCTTTGCAGTCCGGACTCGAACACTTGGGGATCTTGGAGGTGGTGGCATAAGCCCCACGGACCAGTTAGCCAGCCCTGAATCATCTAAGGCAGAATTATGCGACCCGAGTCTTCTGGTTCCTTCATTGGAAAATCTGGTGGCTCCTGCAGTTTTGGGCTTAAGTCGCTACGAGGCCGTTACCAAAAACGGGATGTGGTCCGATTTGATGCCGCATAAGATTTTCAAAGGCGTAGAATACAAGTGATCAGTATGCAGTGGTTTATTTGCTTCACTCCCTCCTCTTTCGGCTCCGATTTTCCATCCTCGTGATGACCCGGAGCCGATCTATACGAGCAACTCTCCTTCCAAATGGAGAACGCCGAGGATCGCAATATCCCCCCAACCCCCGGCCCCCCTTCACTCTATCCACCTTCATTTGTGGCCCTACTTCCACAGAGCTATCGTGCCTGACAACTGAAAACCGGTTTGTGACACAGAAAAAGGGATGGGACACACCCCCAAAGTGGGCGTTGAACACGGTAGATCTTCGGTTTCTCCTTTTCCGAAAAATTGTTGGCGATGGTTGGTTGGGGATTTGCGTATGTTTGCTTTTTCTCTATTTTTCTCTAAGGCGCAGTCCTGTGATTTGCAGGCTGCTGCACTGGCATTGCGCAGAACCAGACTGTCGGGACGGGGGACAGCTGAAGGTTTTGCTGGGTCTTCAACGTGAAACGCCGGCTTCAACCCCTTCCAAGGGTTTGGTTGACAGATCATATCCCGACAATCTAGATCTGCTCCCGCTTGGTTCCCATGGTTGCGGGTTGCTGGCTACTGGCAGCCTTCTGACTTTTTGAGCCCAGCGGCTTTAGGCCCCTCTCGAAGAGGCAACCTATCAGACTAAACCCGAGAGGCTGGGCCTCCTCCACGGTGGAGGTGGTGGTTTGGTTCCTTTTCCTCGGGACAACGTTGACGAACTCATGACTCGATCAGAAGACGAAGGCTTTTTGGAGACCACGTCAAAATTGGCAGAATGTAGTTGCTTTTTTTTTGAAATTTCTTGCGGGTATAATTATTAGGTCAGCTGTAACAGATAACTATGGATAATTCTACTTTCTTTAAATTATTTAAATTTACTAAGATAACTTGCTACCTTCTTATAGGGTTTGATCTCGGATGAGGTACAAAGGGAGTTCGAATGAGCTCCCAACTTCTCCAGAGCATAAAGGTGGTTACGGAGGTATTCTTGGATCACTCATAGGGATTCTATGAATATAGCTACCAGTTACATATCATCAAAGGGCCCAAGAGCAGCAGTAAGGCTCGCGTAAGCCCGATCTAGAAAAAGAAATTTGAATGGAATTGAGCTGAGAAGGAACATCGCATATTTCGCCAAATTAAGACAAGCTTAGACCGGCAGTATTGGTGCTTTTTCATCAACAGCATAACTTTTCTTCTTTCTTTCCACGAGAAAAAGAACGACTGCCCGAAAAAACAACAGAGCATGGAAAATTCTGTAGAAAAGACACATCAGCTTTTGATCTTGGCATTTTTGGAAATTGGGTATCATACGCGGCACCAGAGATGAAGACAAACGCCGCCCAATTGGGAGACACAGGGTTGGTCTTAAATTGCTCTCCTAGGCACCAAGCACTGTAACCTAGGTATGTCGCCACCAGCAAATCAAAAACGGCGCTTCCAAACAACCATATCTCTCCTTTTTCATTATTCTCATCTGTCTCTTCTTTTTCCATGAAATGTACTGCTGCTCGAATAAATAGCCTAGCATGAAAAAGTCTGTAAGAAATATTAGTGTCTGGCCATCAATTTACCGGCGAAAATCATATCGTACGTGGCGCCAAAAATAAACACAAATGCAGCCCAGTTGTGAGGAACAGGATCAAATGCAAATTTCTCTCCCAAGCACCAAGAACTATAGCCTAGGTATGCAGCCGCAAATAGATCAAAAACGACGCAGCCGAACAGCCAGCTCTCTCCTCTCCAGAGGAACACAAACGCATCTGCGAATGCCCAGACTAATATCTCAAGTGACTAGGCAAAAATAAGCTATCATGATAAGTTGAAACTGTAAGAATAATTCGTACCAGTAGTTTAATAGAAGACAGCCCTTCATAGTCCAGAAGAATCCATATACCCGCAATATTAAAGAAGAGGCCCCCGAACCTTTGATAGAGAGCTTTCTCTTGTTCTTGGCTCACTTCCGGTGGGAATGACATTTTTGGTGGATGAGAGTTATGTGGTCCGTAAGCATCACGACGCAGTCAATGAAGGGTATTTGAATGGTAGACAGAGAAACATAGAAGATGCCTTGTCAGGCTCAGCCACGTTGGTGTTGGGGGCCAATGATTGGGAAGGGGGCGGCCCCCCCAGATAGCTCGGTTTTCAGATCTTTCACACTACCCGACCAGAGTAAATACAATGACCAGCGGCTAAGTAGAAATTCATCACAAATCAAAATTATCTGTTAAATTTTTTACCGAACGAAAGAGAATGCGAATGCCTTCGCAATATGTTATATTGGTTGATTCCTCACCATGCCCCCGAAGGATGCCAATGTGTGGAATCCTATAAATTGACAGAGAAAGCAATCTGAAGAGAGATGGCACGAGAATGTCTCGATCAATTTTTAAAAAATACATAGATGTAGGCTTTCAAATTCAAGAACGCTTAGACCCGACTCGGGTAGATGATAAAAACGTATGTGTAAGCTCAAAATATATCCAGCAAATATTTGGGGAGAAAACTACTTGGGAGTGACCACTTGAAATCCAATGAGAGCGGGCAATCGGCTTTATCGAATTCAGTTTTTTTTTTTCCAAGGCAAGTCTATTGAAAAGTTGAGATATCAAAGAGAATGAAATCAATGCCAGTGCATCCCACAAGATGACCTCATGTAATTTTGAGACCGCTTTGCTATTTTAACGCCATTACAATGACTGATGTATAGGTGGAGGCAGTATAAGTATGGATAAGTTCAATCTGAAGACCAGAAAGATCAGCCAATGCCTGCCATTGCTGCGCGGTCCGCTCTTTCCCACCGAGCCCGATCATCATAGTGATATCGGCCATGGTAGCCTGCCAGTGGGCACCAGTATCCGGCAAAACGACCTCGTCGATAAGAATTCGAGATTCAGCACTCATGGCACTGGCAATATTTCGCAGAATATTTGAGCATTCTCTATCCGGCCAGTCATGCATGATGCGACGCAGGTAGTAGAATTTGGCATCTGTATAGACCCGAATGGTCAGTGATAACTCCGCAGAACAGCTAGCCCGAGGAAAGCACAGTAGATTACTGACCAGTGATAGGCTGTTCTTCAAAAAAGTCATGGGCTACAGCTTTGACACCTTCGATTGGAGCAAGCTTATTGACTGCAGCAGGCAAATCTTGAAGGACAAGACGCCCCAGGAGATTGGGATACTTCTTGCCTAGCTGAATGCACTGATGACCATGGCCACCTCCGACGTCCACAAAGAAGGGCTTTTCGGAAGAAACAGGAAGCGAAGAAGGTATCTTTTTAGCCTCTGACTCGAAATGATTAAACCCAACAGTCCATTCCACACCCTCCAGGGACGTCATGACTTTTTGCAAATTTTCAAAATGCTCTGGGTTCTTGACATACCATTCAAAAGAGCTCAGAGTTGTGTTGTGAGCTTTTTGAAATGGTGTTTTTAGAACACTATCAATGTCCTGGTAGTTATTTTCAGCAAAGAAGGCCGGCATCGCCATAACGGTAGGCGCATGATTATCGAATCTAGACAGAGCATTGTTAAGTGGATCAAGTTCCAAACAGGTTTCTAGAGGTTTCTAGATAAAGGAAAATGACTAACCCATGGTAAATCATGGCATCACCTTTAGGATCAGCAAGAACGAATGTGGTAGTGTTTGCTTGATATTGGTTGGCAGCAACTTCCTTTATGATGTTGGTGGAAGCCAAGTAACGAAGGAATCTCTCTATTGGCAACTCGGCAACCGAATCAGCAACGTCGAGTAGCTGGGGTGAGTGGTAGGATATCTTCACCTACCTAGAAGCTGCGGAGATGCTCCAGTAAGGTCTGCGAGCTGGGAAACGGTCAAGGGCTCTTTCTGGGAGGCAAAATGACGGAACAGCCCCAGATCGGCCCCCAGACGAATTGTCCCAATGAGAACAAACTGACAATATCAGTACATAGTGCAGAATCAAAGGAACAGAGAAAAATCTACTGAGTTTGCGAGGTCCATGAGAAGATCTTTCGGACTCTGTAGCTCTGTTTGGATGTCCCGAAGAGCCTTCTGTATCCGAAGCTGGCCTGCTTCGTCGGACCTTTGAGACAAATCACGAATTTGATCAAGGATGGAGTCCATTTTGATGGGAAAGAAAAGTAAACGAAATGATAAAAATAATATGGCGGTTCTTTTGATTCTGTTCGAAGAATGGGTTTCTAGTTTACTGAGAACAACGTTCTTTTATACCTCCAGAGCCTCGTCAGGCTCCGCGGAAGTTCCGCGGAAGCAGCCGCTTTCTAATTGGCGGCCTCCCCTTAACCTCATTCCATCTCACTGGCAGGGACACGATCAAGTTTTCCAAAGACCCAGCCATTCAACAGAGGATAATCATGAGTCGCATTGAGAAAAATCGCTCAAAATCATCTCGATCTCGTCCGGTTTCGTGTCATTTTTGCCGATCACGAAAGTTGAGGTGTAGCCGCCAGTTCCCCTGCGCGAACTGCACCAGCCGCGGATTCTCCTGTCAGCTGGAGGGCCCACCGAGTTTGTCGACTTTGTCCGGCAGTAGTGCCGATGAGGCACCGGAACAACCATCTGGTGCATTCCAAAATGATGTCCTGGCTCGCTTGCGCAGACTTGAAGAAATTGTGATCGGTCAAGGAGAACACACCCGGACTTCGCCCGATCAGCCTGGCTCACAAGTAGGGCTTTCCTCGCTTCGGCACAGAGGAGATATTACAGCATCCTTTGTCGAAAATGCGGCAGTGGTCGATGTGGACTGGCTTGAAAGGCAAATAACAAATCCTGGCTCAGCCATGAGGCTAAGTGTGCCAGATTATGGTACGGACCCATGGTCTTTTTACTGACGCCATTTTACCTGTTATGAGAACTCACTCTTACTGCACAACCTAGAATTCAAGACCTGCTCTGTCAAGGATGCATTGAAACCCACAAGGATCGAAACCATCGATCCTTTGAAGCCGAACTCGACGAAATATGTCTGGCTTCCACTCTATGACGAGTCAAGATACCTGGTTGAAAAGTACCTCACTGAAATCACATATCTGCATCATGTCGTTCACGTACCCTCTGTTCGTGCTCTTGTGGATGATTTTTACCAAAACCTCGCCCAAAAAAAGCCAATAAAGCTGGGACAAGTGACATTACTTCTTGCAATACTAGCAAGCACTACGTTCTTTTGGACAGAGTGGGATATGAATAAGCCAGTATTTTCTTCCGTTGCCCAAGCAAACGGGCAATCGACAATCTGGATGAAGATAGGCCTAGAAATCCTGGATTACTCTCGGATGACGAACTCAGAGTCCCTCGAAGACGTTCAAGCCACGATTATCATTGGCTTTTTGGTTTGCAATCTAGTTGGAATTGCGTCTCAAGCTCGGTATATCTTTGCCACGGCCACTTCGACAGCATGGCAGCTATCCCTTCACCGAATTGATCATCCAAACAACCGAAACTTGGATGTTCCCAAACCAGACTCGATGAGGGCGGAAATTTGTCGAAGAGTCTGGTGGTATCTTGTCGCAACCGACTGGTACGTATCCGAAATGGTTGATAGTTTTATTGCAATAATGTCTAACACGGAGAGTGAGAAAGGCAAATATCTCAGGTGGCAGGCCTTCAAAGGGGCACATATATGATCAATCCCCAGCAGATGGCTACCAACAAGCCTGCCAATGCGAACGATGAAGATCTCTTTGATGGCATGTCTAATATCAGTATGCCAATTGACCAACCGACATCTATGTCCTATTGTGTTCAGAGAATTCGACTCGGAGAAATTTGTCGAGAAATTAGCGACAGCATTCCGTTTCTAGAAATTGGACCCGGTGACCCCCACTATGAAATGATCAAGCATTTTGACAAGAGGATATGCGAATTTGCCGAAGGAATGCCGCCCTTCTTCTCCCTTGACCGTGATACACACCAACTACCCGATTCTGATCGCCACAAATCCTCAGGAATCTCCATCCAAAGATACATTATCAACTCTTTGCTTTATACTCAGCGCTGTAGGCTACACTTGCCTTATTTGTCTCGGGCTGCTTCGGAGCCGACCTACGCGTACTCAAGGATCGCCTGTCTCGAAGCAGCGCGAATGATCATCCGCACGGAAGCAAGATTATCTGCGGAGAAGTTTCCCTTTGTTCTGACACGTTTTAAATTTTCTGGAGGTTTGTATTGTGTCTGTATGGCTATCATAGTACTGCTTATGGACCTTTGCCAGAATAAAACCATGCGGCCCGAGGATGATCGAGAGCTCCGAGCCGAGACTTTTCAGGCCTTTGGCATTTTGGAAGAAGCTCAAGGCCATTCTCCCTTTGCTGGGAAACTTCTCAAATCCTTTCACGCCATCATAAGCCGAAACAAGATTCCGATATCCACAGCGGAGAACAAGCTGGCAGGCCAACCGAGGACTCAAAGTCGGTCTGGTCGCGAATCAACCCACAATTCTACATTAACGCCCGTATCAACCGAGGCGGAAATGGAAACTACTACTATTGATGCGAGCTTGCCTTGCTTTGAAGATATTTGGCAAACATTTGATGCCAGCGTGGACCCGTCTACTCTGTTTGACTGGAATGCCTTGCTATCAGAGCTAGACTCGCCATTTTTATCAATATAGAGCCTGTATGTTGAGTAAAGATTCCTGCTTGGAGGAGGTTGGAAGATTCAGCTGGGCAAGATATTAAATTGGGAAAGAAAGTCGGGGAAGACTATAGAGATGATCCATGACGTAGACTAGACAGCATCACCTAGCAAAAAAAAAAAAAAAAAAAAAAAAAAAAAAGGCCGGTTCAAGCTGTCCCAAATGTTAGCACTCGCATTAATTTTACATCCACTATGAGAATTCGATTTTTGAATCCAAATGATGAATCCAAAAAATAGCTGTTCCATAGTTCGTGCTGGTTGAAGCACCGCAAAGCTTTGTCTTTCCCATGTAGCCAGTCACCGCCAGGCTGAGTGGAGGCGGAAGATTCTCGGCCCGCCTGAAAAACGGGCAGCTCCCAAGCTCTTCGCCGTTGAGAGCCTGAGGTGAGTCCAGCTCAATTCAAGAACAGCCAGATCATTGCCTCTGTTCAGCTGGTGCTCTCGACCAGCTTCACACAGCCCCTCATGTTCGACACGGTCTGCACCCTGCCGCTCTCATCGGACCTGTTCACGCAGGCCATCCATCCTAACCAGCCCGTCGTGTCGGTTGGTTTGGCTGCGGGACATGTCCAAACCTTCCGGTTACCGCTTGAGGAGTCGGACAGCGATGACGACGGGGCGTCGACCTCGTCGTCGCGCAATGGAAAGGGCCACATCGACACCATGTGGAGGACACGGCGACACAAGGGCAGCTGCCGATGCTTGGGCTTTAGCGTTGACGGCGAGACGCTGTATTCGGCGGGCACGGATGGCCTGGTGAAAGCGGCCAAATCGGAGACCGGGCAGGTCGAAAACAAGATCGCGATTCCGCTGGAGAAGACTGGGTAAGTTAGTTACTTTTTTTTCTTGTTCTGGATTTTTTTTTTTTGGCGCGCCGCGTTTCTGCAGCTGACTGGTCTCATTTTCCCTTGTACAGCTCCGTGGATGCGCCAACTGTGATCCACGCGCTTTCCCCGCAGACGCTTCTGCTTGCGACTGACTCGAGCGCACTACATCTTTACGACTTGCGTATTCCATACTCGAAGGTGTCGGCGCGCCCGGAGCAGTCGCACCATCCGCACGACGATTACGTTTCCTCCCTAACCCCTCTCCCTGCCTCGGACACGAGCACCTCTGGATTCAGCAAGCAATGGGTTACTACCGGTGGAACCACGTTGGCCGTGACCGACCTGCGACGCGGCGTTCTTATGCGCAGCGAGGACCAAGAGGAAGAGCTGATTAGCTCGGCATACATTGGGGGTCTGCCCAGCAGCGGGACCAGCCGCGGCGAAAAAGTGGCCGTGGGTGGCTCCAATGGTGTGTTGACACTCTGGGAAAAGGGTGCATGGGACGACCAGGATGAGCGAATCTACATTCAGCGTAATGCAGGGGACGGAGAGTCAATTGAGACCTTGACCACTGTCCCGGACGAGCTTGGCAAGGGCAAGATGCTTGCTGCGGGCCTGGGCAATGGCCTGGTGAAGTTTGTCCGCATCGGCGCGAACAAGGTTGTGTCCGAGGTGGTCCACGATGAGACCGAGGGCGTGGTTGGCCTTGGCTTTGATGTGGAGGGTCGCCTCGTTTCTGGTGGCGGTCAGGTTGTCAAGGTCTGGCACGAAGGCGTGGGGACATCGGCAGTCGGAGACGGACTGGGCAAGCACATGCTTGGGGAGAGTGATGATAGTGATGACGATTCTGATAACAGCGACCGAGAGGACCGGCGCAATGCGAATGATCGCAAGAAGCGAAAGAAGGGCAAATCCGGACGCGGCACTGGACCGGATGTCCTGGCCTTCGACATGGACTAAGACTCTCCATGGTTCTATTATCTGATACCCAACTCTGTGCGAGAATTCAAATAAAAAAAAGAAAATCTATGAAAAGTTCAACGGTATTTACGATGCAGGATGTAAAAGGGAATAGGAATGCCAAAGAGTTCCTGGAATATCTCCTCGCAAATATCGAGAAGGTAGATTATATACTCATAGATTGTAGATTGTAGATAGATAGTATTACCAGATCGCTCTGGATTGTTAAGGTTAAAATCACATCCGAGCCAAATCTCATTTGGCAGCCATGGCAAAACTGTATCCGAGATTCCGGGACGATTATTCATGCTCAACTAAGCCCGGGGCATTTCCGCGATGTCACCCCGTCGCGATGGCATTGGCTCACTCCGACGCCGTCAAAGTAGGGACAAACTTGCCAATTTGCAATCAGAGCACACGTCCTCAGCCCCTGAGACAATTTTATTTCGATGCAATCTTTAGGCCGCCCAATCAATAAGCTACTCCGTACATCTGCACCGGAACCTCAACCTCTGTTGAACTGCCGACGGAAGACCCCACCATCCCACGGCAGCCCATGACGTTCATCCGGTACGGTGGGGTGTGGGGGGAAGAGAACGGTCTATAAGACCACATTGGTTCGCCTTCTACGATTGAGCCACACACCAAACCCAGACACCGTTCGCTCTGCATTCACGATGGATGCCTTTGAATACAATCCTAATCCCGGCCGGGTCGTCTTCGGCAGCGGAACCCTGCAAAAGCTGCCGGAGGAGATTACTCGCCTGCAGGTCAAGGCGCCGTTGGTGTTGTCCACTCCCCAGCAGATCAGTCAGGCCGAGAGCGTCAAGAGCGTGCTCCAAGGCCAGGTAGCCGGCATCTTCAGCGAGGCGACGATGCATACCCCGACTCATATCACCGACAAGGCGCTTGAGTATGCCCGAGCGCAGGGTGCCGACGCGGTGATCTCAATTGGTGGTGGGAGTACGATTGGTCTCGGCAAGGCGATCAGCATCCGGACCGGACTGCCGCATATTTGCATCCCGACGACCTATGCGGGCAGTGAAATGACGCCGATTCTAGGCGAGACGGCCGACGGATTGAAGAAGACGCGCTCTGATCCAAAGATCTTGCCGGGGACGGTCATCTACGATGTCGACTTGACCATGACACTGCCGGCAGCCATGAGTGCCACTAGTGGTGTCAATGCTATTGCTCATGCTGGTAAGGTTCTTCTGCAAAGATTCCGATTGTGAATGTGATGTTTCAGATGAAAAGCTGACCCGTTCCTGTTCCCCTACCCACAGTCGAGGCTCTCTATGCTCGCAACACCAACCCGATTATCACGATGATGGCCATTGAAGGCACTCGGGCTCTCGCATCGGCTCTTCCCGAAATCGTCGAGAACCCTTCTTCTCAATCGGCCCGATCCAAGGCTCTCTATGGCGCTTGGCTGTGTGGCACCTGCCTTGGTAGCGTGGGCATGTCCATCCATCACAAGCTATGCCACACGCTGGGCGGAAGCTTCAATCTTCCTCATGCGGAGACTCACACGGCTGTACTCCCTCATGCCATCTCCTATAATGCGCCTAACATCCCCGAGGCGATGAAGCAATTGGCAGATGCGCTGCCGGACAGCCAGGGCGACGCGATTCATGGCCTTAACGTCCTGCTGGCCAAGCTCAAAGTCAAACGTGGCTTGAAGGACTATGGAATGAAGGAGGAAGATATTGACAAGGCTGCGGATATCGCCGTCTCAAACCCCTACTGGAATCCTCGTGCGATCGAACGGACGCCCATCCGGGAGTTGATCCGCCGCGTCTGGGCGGGAGAGCCGGCCAGCGCCAACTTGTAGATTCTCGAGGTCACTCAACACGAGTAATGAAGGAACAATGAAAAATATAATTAGCATGGAAATTCCAATTAGATCCCGGATCATTGCCAATTTTCCTCTTTTTGTGTATTGCCTTTTGGTTTCAGCGATGTATTGCCCGAGACGGTTGGGCGTCTGCCAATGGGCTGATCCGTATTTTGGGTTATCGACGGCGGGGGAAGTGGGGGATGCATTTTTTTTCCTCGAAAGAATTTCCTAGACACTCACCCACTTCCCCTCCTCCACGACACCCCTCGAATTCTTGTCTAATGGGTTCTGCAATGGAGGCAGCACCAGTGCTGTCGACTCCAGATGCTCGCATTCTCGAGGAGACCCAGCCTGTCTCCGGCGACGCGAAAGCCCACTCTGACGCCGAACTCTCCATCACCTACGATATCGAGCGCACACTGCAAGAGATCCGCCAGGCGCGGTACAAGCGCATCGCCCTCCAATTTCCAGATGACATGCTCCCCGATGCGCCGCGAGTCTTTCAACTCCTAAGCCGTGGTCTCAACACCGAAGAAGTCGCGAGCGCGAATGGTACGAATGGCGCGCCGGCCATTGCCCCGCCAAACGGCCCTGATACAGAGGAAAAAATCGCGCAGTCAGTATCTCGGCTGTCTGTGGCAGAAGACTCGGAGAAGTGGTCTCCTCGATTATATATTCTGGCCGACACTTCCTACGGCACCTGCTGCGTGGACGAGGTGGCCGCCGAGCATGTGGATGCGGACGTCGTAGTGCACTACGGACGATCCTGCTTGTCCCCGACGGCCAGATTGCCAGTGATCTATGTGTTTACGCACAAGGCATTGGCCTTAGACCCGGTGCTAAATGCCTTCAAGGAGATCTACCCTGACCTGGCCACGAAAGTGGTCCTCGCTGCCGATGTCACATTCTCGGGCCATGTGTCTGCACTTCACGCTCGCCTGGTAGCGGAGGGTTACCTCAATGTGTTTGCCACTGAAGTTGTCCACGAGCCCTCCTCCGCCATTCCCAATCGCACCGTACCTGAGTCGGTTCGAGAAGCCCCCGCAACCCTTGCAGACTGGCAGTTATTCCATATTTCCGACCCGCCAACGGCTCTGCTCTTAACTCTTGCTTCTCGTGTCGCCGCCATCCATATCTATCCCACGAATCACCCGAGCAACAGTAATGTTAAACCACTGCCAGCATCCACCTCAGCCGCCCTACGCCGGCGCTATGCAGTTCTCACTTCCTTGAACACTGTTCCGATCTGGGGCATCTTGATCAACACCCTGAGTGTCAAGAACTACTTGCACATCGTGGACCATGTGAAGGAGCAGATTGCCGCCGCAGGCAAGAAAAGTTATATGTTTGTCGTGGGCAAACTCAACGCTGCCAAGGTGGCCAACTTCAGCGAGATTGGTGGCTGGGTGGTCATTGGCTGCTGGGAAAGCTCGCTTGTTGATAGCAAGGATTTTTGGAAGCCCGTCATTACCCCCTTTGAATTGGAGCTCGCGTTGAAGGACGATACCGAGCGGGTATGGACGGGGTCGTGGCAGAGTGACTTCCAAGCTGTCTTGGACAAGCCTGCGGAGGAATCGACCGGCGATGAACCGGCCACACCCAACGGGGACGCGGATGAGGATGACATGTCGGAACCCGAAAGTGCTGCGCCCGAGTTTGACCTGCGCACTGGACGATACGTCTCGCATTCCCGTCCTATGCGCGATCCCGCACCCCGCGCCTCCTCCCAGATCGATGGGTCGACTGCGGCTGGGCCATCTGCTGCTAGAGCCCTTGCGCGGCGAGCTAAGGGGGATTTAGCGATGATCGGCGGCGCCGTATCACCCGGCGCCGAATTCCTGCGGTCCCAGCGGACTTGGAAGGGGCTCGGGAGTGATTTCGATATCCGGTACGATGAGGAGGACCGATCGGACAGCACCTTGGTCCAAGAAGGGCGCAAGGGCATCGCGAGGGGCTACACAGTGGGCGAAGCGACCGAGAAGCATTAGCGTTTTGGGGCCGGCGGTCGCGCGCTCCATAGAAAACAAGGCAACACACGGCAACGGTTGGAAACTATGGGAAAAGATGGAGACTATGGAGACTATGGAGACTCTAGAGCGCTATATTTGTACATTGATGATAGTAGCCACTAATCCCGTTGGTCTGAAACTATTCCAACTCGACCTGCTACACCATGAAACCCTAAAGCCGGCGAGAAAGCGAAGTATCACATGACGCTTCTGGTGGCATCCGCGAAATCAGCATCTCGAGACCTCTTTTATTTTTCTCTTCCTGTACAGAAAGGATCCAGTGTGATCTCCCCCTCCCCTCGCCATTGTTTGTGATCTTTGGCTGTTTCCACTGTTCACTTCTCGTCGTGAACCCCTCTCCTTTACTTCCCCCCCTCCCTTCGGATACCCGATCCGCCCTTACGATTCACGTCTTATCGATTACCGATAGTTCACGTTTGACGGCCTTGCATAGTGGCTGACCTGGAGATGTGATTGTCCATCCCCCTCCAACCTCCTGGTCCATTTTATCATGAGCTGCGCCTTTACTCGCCTTGCCCGCGACACCGCGTCTCTCGAATCCTCGCCCTGACCTCCGAGCCTCCCACCTTGTCAGATCGGTATCTACTCACGCGGGCTCCCGGCGAAACACGAAAACCCACCCGCCATCACCGCCATGATGGAGGCACTGACGAGTGCGGAGCCGGCTCCGCAACAGCTCGTCGAGAACGCCTTGCAAAAATCAGTGGTCCCAGTGGAGCGGCCGCTGTCGCTCTTCGAACGAGTGATCACCACCAATGCTCCCATCCTCGAGTCTCTCCTCCTCCAAATCCCGACCGACACCATCCTCAAGCTCTACCACACCTCACATTATCTTCGCACGTTCCTTCGATCGTACCCGACCGCATGGAAGTCCCTCTCATTCCGCTTGCTCTACCCCTCGGGCACCCTCCCATCGACCCGGATCATCATCCCGGGCATGTCGGATCCGGAGACCCAACGACAGTCACGACCCTATTCCCTAGATCAACTACTGATGAACGTGGTGATCCCCTTCAGCGGGTGCCTCAAGAGCCTGGAACTGGACAACACGGCCGTCTCCGGCCAGATTCTGATTTCAACCGTCTTGCATGCGCGCCGGGAGAGTTTGGAGCACCTGTCCGTTCGGGGCTGCAAGAATGTATCGCTCAAGTACCACATCATTCCATACCTTACCATGTTTGGGCTGCAGTATGACGTGGACATGGAGAAGAACATTGGAAGTTCCCCGGCGACTCAGCGGCTCGCGCTGAAGAGTCTCTATGCGTATCGATGCCGTCACCACCGCCGTCGGCCGTATCTCTCAGCGTCGCTCCTGCGCAAGGATTCCGACTCAGAACCAACACATGAGTTAGTCAACCTCTGTCACAAGCTGGGAATCTGGACCGACACTGCCTGGTGCACCACGCCCGCTGGAAGATGCTTCCGTAGACGCGGGTATGTTTCCATGCGAGTTCCGCAGGGTTCCCCGGAAGTGTGGGTGGTATTCGATCGACTCTGGAGATCCAAGAACTGGATCGGCCCAGTTGACTCTCGAGCAGACAGGCCACGGGTACCGGATGGGAAACTCTGGGAAACATGCGATACTGGATGTTATGGCGAAGCACTGGGGACCGGCGAGGGACCCGGGCTCGGTGAAGGTAAGATGAGACCGACGCATCTGCGTCAGAGTCATCTGCAATTCGTCGAGAGTGTCAAGTGCGACGGCTGCGATGACGATATCTCGGAACGGTGCGAGCAGTGTAGTATTCTGATGCACTGTGTTGGATGCCGAAGGACACTCTGTGCGAGCTGTGCCTACGAACGACCTTATCTTCATCGAGGGAGTGTATCTCCAAACACAGAAGACGGCAATAGGCATCGTGAAGGAAACAACGCGGCTTCTTTGTGGTGGGCACCCGGCGCAACAATGTCACCCAGTTCCATGCAAGATCCTATTGCCAACCCAGTGGACAACAATGCATTGCATGGGGCGGCATCACCCTCACACCCCGCTCTCAAGTTTCACTGGTGCTGCACGGAGCCTATCTTCTCCGGAGGAGGTGGCATCAGTATCGGCACTCCAAGTCGAGATGTAGATCAAGTGCGCGCTGTTCCTTTGCCCCGGGGGAAAGGCTGGGAAGACCTCGAGTACACCGTCAGCGAGTGGAGCAAGACCTTTCCGAAGTATGCCTACGGCGATCCAAACAAGCCGGACTACTCGCTGGAAACCGGGCATCTCGCGATGATGAAATGGTTGCTTGGACCACCCAACCGACAAGTTTCCCCGTGCCCACGCAATCTGTGTCAGGAGTGCTACGATTCGCCCCAGTGGAAGGTTCACTGCAAGAGTTGTTCTAAGCCTCTCTGTATTGAACACGACCTCCGCGGACTACGGCTGCGCATCTGTGGCTACAGAGACCTTGCATTTGAGAAGATGACTATCCAAAATCGAGCTGCAGCTCATCCATCATCTGATGCGCCCTTGAGCCAACTCTCCGGCTACGATCTCCCATTTCGAACACAACGCCTCATCGACTCAGCCAACAGCAGCTTCATTGACGACCCACACGGTGACGGTGTTGCAGATGAGCACTTCCACGAGCCCTCAAATGGCGACGGGTCAAGCCATCCTCTCTTCCCACGCAATCCCACTCGCTCTGTCTCCGCCCCACCCTCTAATCATTCGGGATCGTCATCCCCGACGTCTGTCTCCTCCGAGTCACCCTTTGAGATGCCCCGCTGGCAAGGATGTCAATCCTTCTTCTGCCCTCAATACCGCGCCGTCGGGGATCAGCGACAGAGATGCCCAAGCTACCTCCGAGAGTGCAAGGCCTGTGCTGTCTACGTGTGTCAGGACTGTGTGCAGGCCAACCCCCCTGCAAATGCTCCTATTGCGAGGAAAACTATCTGTGCCCGAACTGCATGAAAGTCCGTGCCCGTGACGGGACTTGCCGCCGCGAGGAGGAAGAGAAGGCGCGGAGGGACCGGAAGTGGAAAAAGGACATGCAGGTGCTTGAGGGCATCCTGGAACTCAAGGTAGCCAACGAAGTCGCCGAGTTCGCGGGCCAGTTCTTTGATCTGGTCGATCAAGGATCCCAAAGTACGATGGTTGCTGGTCTCCTTGATATTGACGAGCCCGAGGCAACCGCCGTACCCGGTCCTTCTCACAGCCCTCCGCCTCTTCCTCCTCCCTTGGACCTTCCGGTCACTCCTGGAACCAGCATGTTTCTCGGATCGAACCACGTTGGCCCGCTTTACGAGTCCGAATAGGGCTCCATCCAATTTCCGAAACTCTCTTCAACTCCAACCAATCTTGCTATGTTTCTCTCTCCACCGTCAATCTTGATGGTTTTGCCAACCCACGTTCCTTGTTCTCTTACCAATCCTGTCTCTCGGGCTTTCTTTAGCGATCTACCATACCACGGCGTCCACGGGGATCATTTCCTGGAATTAATCTCATCGTGCTTCAATCTTTCTGCGCGGGGTCCATTTTTTCCGAAGCGATCTATGCATCAGCAGGTGAAATTTCACGGCCAATCTTACTAGGCGTTGCGACATGGAGGGGCGCATCTACAGCATCGTCCCTTTCTTTTGTTTCTACTCGTTCTCCCCTCCCCTCCCTTTCTTCCTCTTCCCAATCAAACTAATTGTGCAGCCGGTAAACCAGAGGCCTGTGCCCTGGTCTGCTGTTACCCTGCTGGAGTTGTTGGGGAAGCCCAACCCGGTCTGACGACGTGGCTGGCCCATAGCATTCAGACCCTAAGCTAGCTCTTGCCAGTTCTTTCTTGCCTCTTCTTTGATTATTATTTTTTCTGATTTCCTTGTTTTTAACCTTCCTCGCCAGGCTGGATGACCTGGCGTGGGACTAGCGGGAGGGGATTCGCATGGCATGGGGTCACTGGACAAACACATCCTTGATGATCAGCATGACGGTCTCTTTACAACCGTCCATAGTTCTCGATAGCGAATGGGAAATGCAGTCGTTCTCGCGATTTGCGTCCCGGACCTTACTACATTCCTTCCGTCCTATGTAGTCGTAGTGTCTTTCTGCACCCCCCCCCCCCCCCTTTTTTTTTTTCTTTCCCAGTACACTACCCATACTCCGTCGAGGGTTCCTCGATCGATCGCCCGTCCACTATTTGGGAATCGAGCAAGCATCATGGTCCCACTTCCCCCCGAACGCACAGTGGCAGACTTGTCTACTACTCCGGTATTCGAAGATCCTAGGAATGCGGCATCGCATCAAATTGAAACGTAGGAAAGGGGGAAAAAAAAGTACCTATATCACCCTTGGACTCCCCTAGCTCGCCTGGAAGTCCGGCTTGTGGGGACCGTCAAAAGCACCCCCTCCCCCCCTGAGCGGTCCGATTGGCCGATATCTACTTGTGCATATTTCTTTGGCACACCGTCTTGTCTCCCCGGTCACTTCACCTCCTTCGAGCCAACCCGGAGCAGGTTCCCAATATTGAATCCAGGCAGAGACGACGTGGGAAAATGAAAAGCTCCGGCACTGACTAGGATGATTCCGACTGGCCGTGCGGTGGTCCTGAGGGATGGGGATGTCGAGATCCAACGTCCATCATCTGACTCCAGTCGCAGTCCAAGTGGACCACCGACCTGCCATCCCGGCTTGTATGCCGCGATCGCCCGGGTGCAGAAGTCCTAACCCTGCTGCACCGCGTTTCGGGAGAACCTCGCTCTTGGAAGCCGTGCTCCCCGGGCTCCCCGGTCCTGAATTGTGTAGACAGCCAGGCAACGGATCAGCATTTCGTCGGGTTGCTGCTTACCTATTTTGAAGTGACGTGGCCAGTGCTGATGCGCATCACGGCCCCTTGACGGGGCGGCACGCTCGATCAGAGAGAAAGGGCGATCGCGCGCTCGACGTGTCCAAAAGTACGAGAAGAAGGCCCTGATACCCAGGGTATTTTTGCCACGTCGGTATTTTTGCTGTTGGTCCCATGTACACGTCCACTCGTTTCGTCGTGGCCTGTCCCACTTGGTTCCTAGAAAGACGAGGCGTGATTCGGTGCAAAAGTACGCGGATCGCTGCGTCGGGCGGAGATGGGCTGCTCCCTTCCCCCTTCCCTTTCCCCGTCCGACTGAGACTTGTCTACGGGTTTGGGTCGGGAGCTCCATACTGCTGGGTACAGAGTCACTGGGATCTGTGGTATAGTGGGTCTGGGGGAGCTAAATGGAATGAAGGATCTAGTGGGCTATAGCGGGTGTACTTCGTACATGATACCTTCATCAAAAAGACTTGGTGAGGATACGGTGTGAAGCACTCCGTACCATTGATATCAAGGGGGGTCTAGTGTATACACCGGGGTTCAGTCTTCCTTGGGAGGGGTGATCGTCTTCGCCCCCGGAAAAGGAAACGGAAATGACTTCCAAGGTCGTAATTCGAGAGTATGCTTCCACCGAGCCCTACACAGCCTCACATGCCCGGTCACGCCCGCTTCGCTGTCAAAGTAGAGTCAAGCATGACTCAAGACAGTCGACGGTCACTGCCACTGCACCGGGATGCTCAGCAGGACAGGGCATAGAAACTAGGACAGCGAGGAATCCATCCTCCGGGCAAACCTTAATTCCTCCGAATGTCGCGCTGAAGGTCCAACGCAGAGATGAAGCATCACGATGTACCGCGTGCGGAAGTGCCGACATCGTCATCTTCGTCAAGTGTCCGCTGTCAACGCCGTCCACTGCATGCCCCATGCAGCGTCACGGTCATCTGATGACTATAAACGAGGGACCCGCAAGAATGAAGCCGATTATTAACCGTGTACCGAAGAATCATGGTCCTCGGGCTCACGCGATTCGAGTACGTGTCTCGATGTACTTGGACCGCGATGCGGTCAAGAAACAACGACCATCATGTGGGAAAGCACCACGTGGGATTGAAAGATGCAACGTCCCGCGACGGGCCCTGCACCGAGAGCCGTCTTATCGGCGGTGAGCCTGTATATAAGGCCAATGGGACGGGGAGGCGCGGCGCGAGCACATCGCGTTTCGCCCTCGGTGCTCTTTTGTAGTTCTGCGTGGCCTTGTTCACAGAAGATCGAAGTGGATCGGGCGCTGATCGCTGGGATTCAAACCCAACCCAGCCAGTCGGGTCAGACCTGAGGGCTCTGACCACTTGGTAGACAGGGAACAGGGGAAACGAGAGGGGAAGGGGGATAAATCAACAGGTCGTTTGTGACTGGTTCCGACAGGTCTATTTTTCTCGTCGCTCTTCCCTGTCCACTCTCTCCACAGCTGAGAACCAAGTTCCCAGGCACCCTTCGATATCCACTTCTATTTTCTACCTCCCCACCCCCACTTCTTTCGGGCGTCAACCGGGAAGGGGCAAAGGGGGGCGGGGAGGGGATATCAGATCGGCTGGCGCGGATGTATATACCAAACCCCCCGATTGGGTCGGGGGTCTGTTTGGGGGAGCGGTGGAAGGCATCCCATTAGCCCAGAGAGCGAGAGGGGCGACCCTAAGGGCGCTCCGACTGGGGCCGGCGGCTTAGTGCGATCAAGGTCAACTTCCGTAGTGTGACATCAGTCGATTTCTTAGCGCGATTCTTGTCTTCTTTCTTCTTGTCCAGGGAAGGGGCGGGGGGAGCATGGGCCGCAAAGAAGGGGGGAAACAAGAAAGTGGGGCGGGGGGGGGCCTCATCAAAGGCGATGTGTATTCGGGGGAGGTGGAGTAGGCATCAAATCTCACGATCCCAGCTTTGACCCTGGCGGGAGATACCCAAGTATTCCACCTCCCAGCACGGTTTGCGCATTCATGTTGCATTGTGTTGTGTTTTGAGGAGGTTTTGCTTTTCTCTTCCCGGTCTGCCGGGTCTGATGGAATCTTCGCATTACCGAGTGGCGCCAATAGGACTGCTTGGATAGCTAGAATCTGAAGGTTGAGAGTTACCCAAGTTCTCGGGGGGTGATATAGGGTGATTCGAGGCGTGGTCTGAGGAGGACGTGGGGAGAAGGGGGGCGGGGGCCCTGCACCTACTGCAGGCTAGGCGGACCGTTGTCCCGTTTCGACGACTCGAGGGCGAATCCAGGGGTGATTGAAGAGAGTCGGTGAAGCTGAGAGCAACAGCTGCGGTGGAACGGGCGCGGATTGGTTGAGCGGGATGAATGGGGAGAGGGGAAGAGGGTTATTGGATAGCGGATGCTTTCTTTTGTGGTGATGGGATGGGATGCTCCATTGGCCACGGCGGCGGTGGACTCGTGACTGGTTTCTGCACCGAAGCAAACATTCTCCAAGCCGAACAATGGGGACTCGCGGTGACGTGGTTTCTGGTTTCAGGAAGGTGACTATTGATTTGAGATTCGAGATGTGCGATGTGAGAGAGCCGAGATCCGAGCGAGATTGGAAATCAAGTTTTTGTTTCCATTTACTTGGGAATTGGGAGAATTGTGGACCCTGGATGAAGTAGTTTACGGGAATAGACAGGGAGCGATTTGGCTGCCGCGTAGTTCATGGATGCGCGATCTGGATTACGAAATCAAGAGACGAGTAATCATGGAAAGGCTCGAACGAATGGAAATCAGGAGAAAATACAAAATCAGGAAATGGGAAACGGGAAATGGGACATGGGAAATTCTGGAATTAATTGAATATCGACAAGATTCGGGACAGCAGTAGGGAATAAGATTAAAAAAACAATTTCGGGAATATTCCGGCCGTCGGCCCATTTTGATTTTTTGGTCTTCTTTCTTTCTTTTTTTTTTTTTTTTTTTTTTTTTTCTTCGAAATCATTTTTTGGATTTAATCCACAGTATCCAAGGAATCCACGCAGGTGGATTCCAGCGGTTTATATAAAGGGGCTTAGGCCGGGATCGCTATGGTCATCACCGAGCCGCAGGTATTCTAACATCCACTCCAACGATCAGGGACTTCCTTTTAAAGAACCGCTTCGGCCTCGTCTACTTCCTCTTTCTTCTTCTCATTGACCTCTGTGACTACGCGTGTCCTACTATATCCGCTATTCACCCTCCTATCTATCTTCTATACTCTACTTCATACATATATTTATCCCTCTTCTCGACCTTGCTGCACCGGAGATCTAGATCTATATAACCTACAATGGACCCCGTTAAGACCAAGGATATCGCCCAAGATGCTAAGGGCAAGCCCTTGAGCAGTGTCGAGGAATATCAGCTACGATGGGCGCAACTGATGGAAGATACCACCAAGCAGATCCAAAAGATTCGAGGTACGTTCACGTCTACTGTGTCCTTTGGAGCCTGATCTTGCAATCATGTCATCTTGACATCTGATCTGTCAGATCATCGATGCAGGGAGCGGAAGTTGACAGCTATGGTAGATGAGGAGAAAGCGCGACAGTCCACCCAGGCCTCGAAGCCATGATAATCCCGCCCTTGCGCTGTCGTGGCGTCCACTTGCCGCTGCCGCTGCCGCTATTGCTGCTCGGCGATTCTCTACCGATTCTCCTATGCACTCGGATGGTGTTCTTTGCAGGGGTTATGATTTTCAATTTTGGGTTTCTGAATTTTGGATTTTGAACTTTGATTTTTTTTAACACCCCTTCTCGTCTCCCTGGCCCTCGAAGACTCTCGCTTGCCCTCCCCTTGAAACCCTTCATGATGATATGTATTGTTTTTTTTTGCTCTTCCTTTCTTTCCATGTGTTTTTTGTGCCTCTTTGGTTCTTGATTTTCGAGGGGTGTTTTTATGATCTCTGGGACGCTCGCTTATTGTTTCCACTGGGCTTAGTATGGCGGATGGTTTAGACGGGCAACACGGGAAGATCGATGAGCTGGGCGAGTCCAGTACGAGGATTGGCATTCGAGCACCGCCACCCAAGGGATTTACGATGACGGATGCCTGGAAGGGGCTTTCAGGTTGTCTCGAAGCATCTTTTCTTCCCTCTGATTCGCTTTTGATTTTTGATTTCTTTTATTTTTTGGGTTTCGTTTCTTTTTCCTATTGTGTTCAGGTTACCCCTGTCCCGCATCCAATGAGCGATCTTCTAGAAAGTGGGAATCTGGCGGCGAGGCTTGCATATCCGAGGAGACATCCCTGGACGATCGCAGCCTCGGTTCGGATTCAAATTTGGGGCCCCGTTGGGTCATGATCTATGATATACTATCACTTATTACGTGGTTCGTTAGCTTCTGAATATCAGTACTATGAGTATTTTCAACGATTCGCTTCTCCATCGCGTCCTGGACTTCCATAAACGAAGGACTGAGTACACCCCCTCGTCCACATAGTCGAGTACCCGGTAGTCAGGATAGGACGTTGGACGACAGATCGGTATGTCTATCGAATAGGTATGTGTGTTTTTCCTTTTTGTCCCGTCCAGGCGTTGAGCATTCCACTCCTGTCTTTCTAGGCCCCGAGATCGACCGCGCGCCGTTCGCTCGACATTTTTCTGGTCGTTGCATGGACATCGCTTGCGGTACGAGAGCGAAGTCGGTCAAGGGCACATGTAATGTGGTCGATCGCCCGGCCCAGCTTGCATCCCCATTCGCTCGCGCGGTTTCGGCCCAACCGTTTCAGCTCGCCATGGCCCTGTGCTCTAACAATGTCATTGCTTGCGCCGAGCGGTGTGTCGGGTGTGTTGCACACAGGACAAATGCATATCCCGCCGACAGGGAACGGGGATTTGTACACAACAGGTAGTCTACGCATCCTCGCTTTTCAGTTTTCAGCCCCCGTGATATTCCACAGGTCAAAGGAATGGGGAGGTGGTGCTGCTACTGCGATGAGGGTATTATCTGTAGAGGAGTGGGGGGGGGGATTGCAGCCGTTGCGCAGACCATTCGCGATCTGCGTGTCTTGCCCAGTGTCGCGTTGCGATCGACCCTCATCTCCCTGCAGACAATTTTTGACAGCATTCCGCACCGTTGTCGATCAGGAGCGAGTGGCACCCGTCGTGGGAATCCATTGCCTGCTTTGGGCCTGGACAATCTGCACCTTGAGGATCGAGATGGGCTGAAGATCTGCCATCACTCACTCATCCGTCGCGGACCCCTTTGACGTGTGCTTCGATGCTCATGCAAGGAGGTGTCGACCAACGACGCGTATAGCGCGGCTATGAATTTTTGTTTCTGGCCTGTCGAAGCGGCTTCACCAAAACAGGGGCTTGGTAGGATCATCTAAACGGAATTGGACAGCGGGAATTCTGGATATGCAGGACTATTGGTTGTCATATGCATTTCCGATCCTTCTCCGGCGGCGAGGACGTTGCGAACGCGAGGACGTGACGACGTGAAGACAGGGTGGCAGGTAGCGAGACTGGAAAGCTGCTGTCGACCTGTTCAGCTGGAGCGGGAGCCAATTAGGGTTTCGGGCCCCCACCTGCGTCGGCTTCGTGAGCCGCACTTCGTCACAAGTCAACACGGACCTCACTCACCCTCTTCCCCCACCAGAACGCTCTCCCCCCCGCCCTCCTGTCACCCCCCACACACCATGTCCTCCGCCGATCCTGAACAATCCTCACCTGCCGAGCTGGCGGAGCGTGAGCGCGAGGAGAAGGAGCGCAAGGCCCGCGAGGACGCGGAACAGGCCCAGCTGCCTTACAAATGGACCCAGTCCATTCGCGATGTTGACGTTACGGCGCCCATCCCCGCCAACATTAAGGGCCGGGATATGGAAGTGACCTTGACCAAAACGAAGATTCGGGTTGCCATTAAAGGGCAAGATCCCATTATTGAGGTATGTAAAGTCGCGATCACCAAACCCATTGCAATTGCATCGCACTCCACCACGTTGTATTGGGGATCATGGTGCTAAATAGGCTTTTTTGTAATTGGCGATTAGGGTGAATTCCCCCACCCTGTTATTGTTGACGAATCTTCCTGGACCCTCGAGACCACCACGAAGCCGCCGGGCAAGGAAGTCAACGTCCACCTCGACAAGGTGAACAAGGTGGAGTGGTGGCCGCATGTTGTCAAGTCTGCACCCAAAATCGATGTTACCAAGATAACTCCTGAGAACTCGAGCCTGAGTGATCTGGACGGCGAGACTCGTGCCATGGTGGAGAAGATGATGTATGACCAGCGGCAGAAGGAGGCGGGTGGCCCAACTAGTGATGAGCAGAAGAAGATGGAACTTTTGAAAAAGTTCCAGGCAGAGCACCCCGGTACGTGGTTCTAATGCACCTTGATCTTTTCAATTATCTCCTGGTTATCTAAAGCTACCCCTAACTATTGTGAATGCTGTGGCTAATATCCTGCCAGAAATGGACTTCTCCAATGCCAAGATGGGTTAAGACTTGCTAGCAAGGTTTTTCCGGTCAATTTCTCATGTTCCATAAAAAATACCACCTAGTATATATTAAGTATGAGTTATATGCTCAAGGACAGACTGCTGTCCGGAATGAATAATACAATGAAGATCTCTTTGTATCTACCTGAGTATGACGCCATTTCCTGTTATGCTTATTAAACCTAACGTACAAACCAAAGAAGTATTGATGAAGCAAATTTTGTTGTCGCTTTCCCTCAGAGCGTGGGCTGTCACCTCGCCTTATCATTGTTATTTCGAAGTGAGAAACCAAACATTCTCATAATTCTATTGCGAGCAAAACAAGATTCAACACTGGAATATTTATCGCATCGGCATGCACAAGGCCAAACTGGGGAGCTGCAGAGTCACAAAGATTTCGCGCAGCTCATTGGAATAACCCTCATATTTCTGGTCCTGATCATGTATGTCATTCATTATCCTAGCGAGGTTGTGTCGTGATAAAAAGTGCTTGGATCTAATCAGAAGAAGCTGATATATGGGATATATGGGATATATGGGAGATCGAGTCGACGATCGGGTACAGCTTGTCACGTTTAATGCGAAAAGCTTGAGAAGCTCTAATGGTTATAGACTAAAATATATAGGTATAGTTCATAAAACATCATGACAGATCAGAGCTGACTATTTTTAACCTAAAATCTTAACCTGAAAAATCAACAGCCCACAGGCTGAGCCACACGTAATTGGCATTTATAACCTCATTCTGCCTCTATCCTTGGATATGCGGGGAATACTAGGTCTCATTTAGAAAGCCAAAAAGTATAAGCATCCAGGTCTTGGTCCTCCTGATGATCTCAATGAGTTTATTGTGACAAGACCTGAATGTTAGCTAAGGTGATATAAATGGACGCAATTCAACGTTGATAGGTGTTCCTAACATGTACACCTGTCTTCTTGGCCATTGACAAATGGCGGATCCCGAGTGACATGTACCAATCGATCATGTTTAAACGTGAAGAGTGGAGCTGATCTTGCTGCCTCAGGTCATAAATGATTACCTCAGCGACCAATCAACGGCCCTTGGAATTTGGATGCCTGCGGCAGCCTCATTCCCCGGTGCGCTCCAGCTGTTCTTTCTCCTCCTCTCGACGTGTTCCTTTAACTGACCAGCTCTTCGTTTTTTGAGGGATCTCTCTTCCCTGTTGTTATCGCTTCGGGTCCAGGGGTTGTCGACTCAAGCGGGGAGATTACCACCTCCCACCTGTCGTGCTGATCAGATTGGATCTCAATTGCGGCTCTAAATCCATCTTCTCAGTTGTGGTTCTTATCGCGACATGCAGTGAACCCCAAAGACCATTTCTCCCCTGATCAAAACTTTCAAGGTTTCTCTGTCTGATCGCTCCTGGTCTCGTATGCTACGATATCCTGTCTGTTGAGCAACAAAAAGAAAAGCCGAGTTCCTGTTCTACCATGTCATTCCTCGCTGGACTCTGCGGGTGTTTCACTCGCGAAGATGCAACCCCGCGCCCTTCGTCCCGTCCAGAAATGCAGTCGACCAATTCCCAGAGTCGCAACTGCAGCGGTGTTCAAACTGGACGCTTCACCCTCTCCCCTGAGGGCGAGTTCATCCGCTCCGCAGGGCCCGACGCATCATCTGGGCACGGGTCTCCTCTCGGCGACTCGGATGATGGGGGCTATGCCAGCGTGGTCCCACTTCCTCAATACACACCGCGGCCCGTGAGCATTCACGAGAAGACACTTGAAGCGCATCTGCGAGATCCGCCGATGTCGTCAGACGCGAATATCATTTCTTACCACGATGAGAAGAACCGTAACGTCTATGATGACGAGGTTTCTTCCGATAGCTCATCCACCATCTCATACCCTAGCAGCTATGGCAATACCTCGACTGCAACTAGAGAGACCCCTCCGCCACCGTACTCGCCCCGGCATTCTGCAGTGCTATCTCGGTCGCGCTCAATCTCAATCTCGTCCGCTATGGCTGTCGCTCTTAACCCGCCGCCCATGGCTCGGCTACATGGTGGCCGCCCTGGCCCTCATCCATCTGCGCCCCCATCCGAGGCGGATGACCGCTCAATTCACCGCCACCGAAGAGTTTCTTGGGAAAGCCGCTGAAGGACACACCGGTAGATTACTTCGATCATTCTTCATCACCTCTTATCTATTTCAATAACGTCATCCTTCACCGCCGACGCAAACACCCGCCATGATACTCGAGCTGGATTCGCCTATCATGACTATCATGAATGACCATTATTTATGATTATTTTGCACTTTCACATGCCTTCTTTTTAGTTTCTGTTGTGGTTCAACCATTCGCATATGACGCGACGACCAAGCGACATGCTTGAGTTTTTTTTTTTTACGACTTGGAATGACAGGATATCTTGGGATACTTAATACTTGGAACATTGAACATATTGCCATATTGACATTTGCTGATACGCTGGACTATGCCTATCTACATGCAGACAGACTACATAATAATAGAAATCCGTGCTTGTTAAAACATACGTCAAACAAACTGCCTCGAAGTGCAAATTGAACATTGATTTCAATTAACCGAAGGATATATTATCTGTGCAGAATTCCTATCGCATTATACTCTAACTAATCGCACATCCATGAGTCAAATATGCAACCCAAGATCACCCCGAGCTTCTAGCGCCATTCGTTCCTGGACGTGCCGCAGAAGATACCCACAGCACTGAGCAGGAAACTCGAGTAGCTTGCACACGAGCGGATCCTCACTATCTTCCAGTCGCATGCAAATAGCGGTGCATTCCGACCGCGTGCGAGTCTCCATCCACCATTCCCCAGCACACCCAGCGAGCGCAAGCCACCACGCAAGGAGAACCAAAGCCGGTGGATCCTTCTGCCACAGGCGCTCATAGTATTCCGATTCCAACCGGCCCATCCAGTTATGGTACTTGGAGGCATTCTTCGGTGCCATCTCCAGCGGAATAATCCAGGTCAGCATACGAAGTGGCCAGAGATAGGGATTATTGTCTGTGGTTGAGCATTCATCGATGCCGCAAAGATCAGCGAAGTCTGGATCCAAGCCCACGCGGCCAGGCCGATTGTCTTCGTAGTCGATGTTTGGGTCGTGGGTTTCCATGAAGGCATGAAACCACATACTGTTCGGTAGCCATCGGGACGTGCGCTCGAGTAAGTAGCGTAGGCCACCCTGCAATCGAAGCCAATTTAATGATCTTGGGTCGCTGGAAAAGACAAAAGAGGCACGAGGGTTGAATTCTTCAAGAATGAAAGTGTGCACGGTGAGTAAAAGGCAGGTAGAGTATAGCTTGTCCATGTTCTGCTGAGTAACGCCGCGGGACACCTCCTCTGAGTATTGACGGATGGCTTGTTGCCAGTGATATGCTTCTGCGACACGATAAGCGTTTTTTTCGGGGACAGCGTTACTGAGATGCGTAGTTGCGACTCCAATGATAGCATGCATAAGGAATGGAGTCTAGAATATTCAACGTGAGATTTGAACTATGATTGCTGGTAACGAGGTAGAAGGACGTTACCTCAAAGGCAAGTTGGGTCATTTTCGGCCTCATATTATCTTTCTTTCCCGGAGTACTGTCCATGCCAAAGGCGCTTTGATTGAAATGCCGAAGAGCCTCTAAAATACGGCTTGAAGAAGGCGAGCAGGTCCGTAACGGTAATCTTGATCCTGAAGCAGCATGACCGAGCTTGAGGAGCTCGTCCAATCTTTCTGCTACTAATAGCAACGACATTGATGCGGATAACGACTCCACAGACATTAAGTCGGGCTGAGATTCGATGAAATGGGAAACGACATGCTTGGGAGGCTTAGTACGCATGAGCTGGGCCGTATAGTCGCAATCAACGCCGTGCTTTTGACAGCGAAGACAGTGGGGTTTAGTTTCGTCGCACTTTTGATACAACTCTATTAGATGGCCCTCTTATTATATCTGGGGGCTTTAGATCTACCTTAACTCGCCGCTGCTTGCAGCTAGCGCAGCCTCCACGGGACTTCCGGTGCGACCGGCGAGAATGAAAGACCCGATCGGTTGGGTTCTCCACAGGTCCATGCGCTATGTGATTGTTTGATTTGTAGTTTGGGATCCGAAATACACTCTTTTGCCCCCGTGTGGAGGTCGAGGCCTCCTCGATCTTGGTCTGTCTCTCTGACTGGCGCATCTTGTTCACGCAAACGCAGGACTTTTCATTTCACCACGTCTAGGTTCGAAGATTCAAGAAAGAATAAAGCCCGGGGCTCTTAAATAGAATATGATATATGATACAGTTGACGAGGGCTCATTAAGGTGTCAGTCATGTACTGCTAGCAGCCGAGTTCGTAGTCACAGCCTCCGCCCGACTGTGCCCTGCTGCGTGGAATCAATAATCCGTGAACCAGACAGATGACGAAGGTTCAACTCCGATGGATCCTTTCGAGTCATAGATTCCATTGGCCATCTTATCCAAAAGAAAGGAAGGATAGAAGGCGACGTGCAGTTGATGGAGTCACGGGCACACTAGTCCCAGTTCGGCAATTCTCGTATTCGCCCTCTTGGGATCTCAGACTAATTCGCTCAGACGATGATTATATTAAGTAAGTGGCTTGAAGGGCCTTGAATCTATATACGAGGGAAAAGATAAAAATTCATGTATACGTTCATTAAAAAGCATACCCACCAAGTCGCGCATCTCACGGTCGATGCAGGATAGCTCGAAGTCCATAAATCCACCCATTGCCACGCTGTGGGGGGCGATAGGCTCAGGCTATCGATAAGGATGACATAATCAGGAACCACCCCGCGGGTCGATCTTAAGTTTTTTTAGTCTATTGAATTTTTGCCCCGCGCCGATTTTCTTACATTTTCTAGCATCTTGTTCTTTTGTACCCCTCAAGCAAATCTAGCACAATGACGGTCAATCCAAATATTCAACAACTTCTTCAAGATGTCCAACCTCCCCAAGTTCCCGCGTCCCGACCTCAAGACCCTTCGAACGAGATGAAGCGTACCGACCCTTTCCAATTTGGATCTCGATTTCTCGAAGAGGGCGACAACGTATACGAATTCAACGCATGGGACCATGTAGAGCCGGACGACGAGTTCAAAGCATTCGCAGAAGGCCAATATGAGAAGCAGCGCGCCGCTCCTGTATCGGAATTTGATCAGAAGCGCTTCAACGCCGACCCTGCCAGATGGTGGAATCTATTCTACAAGAACAACACTGCGAACTTCTTTAAGGACCGGAAATGGTTGCGCCAGGAGTTCCCCGTTCTCGCCGAAGTCACACAGAAAGATGCGGGACCACAAGTCGTCCTGGAGGTTGGTGCTGGCGCTGGAAATACTGCTTTCCCGTTGATCCGGAATAACGAGAACGAGGAGTTGAAGGTACATGCCTGCGACTTCTCCAAATATGCGGTCAAGGTCATGCGTGAGAGCGAGGAATACAATGAAAAGTTCATGGTTGCAGACGTCTGGGATGTTTCTGCTGAGGCTGACGAGAACGGCGATTCTCTGCCTCCGGGCCTGACCGAGGGCTCTGTGGATGTTGTGGTTCTCATCTTCATCTTTTCTGCTCTGGAACCGGCCCAGTGGGATCGCGCGATTCGCAATATTTACCGTCTGTTGAAGCCTGGTGGCCGTGTGCTTTTCCGTGATTACGGCCGTGGAGATCTGGCGCAAGTGCGCTTCAAGAAAGGCCGCTATATGGGAGAGAACTTTTATGTCCGAGGTGATGGCACACGCGTGTACTTCTTCGACAAAGATCAGCTCATTCAAATGTGGAGCCGTTGGACAGCCGATAAGGGCTTGCAAATCAGTCTTGAAGACGACACTGAGTCTACGTCCGCCGAGCCCGGGGCCGCATTTGAGATCGTGCATATGGGCGTTGACCGCAGACTCCTTGTTAATCGTCAGAGTAAAGTGAAAATGTACCGCTGCTGGATGCAGGGACATTTCCAAAAACGTATCGATGCGTCTACTGCGAACATTGAGAACGGCGAGTGAACTTGATGTGAGGTTTATTGTTGGTGTCAGACGTATCTACCCAACGGATTCCACTCTGGCTGGTATATCATTACGGCCCTCAATGGTATATGACAACGACGCAAGAGTCTGCAACAAAGCCAAGTTGATGCTCGTTTGGTCCTAACCTATTCATTACCTTTGGGGACCGGCTGAAGTTGTTGAATGCATGACTGGAAATCCCAAATCGCTCACTTTCTGAAGAACTTTTTTTTCGGACAGCCAAAACGACTTACGCAAAGGTGAATGGAAAGAACACGCCAGCTTACGTGAAAAATTTTCCTATTTCTTGCCCCATTGAACCGTTCGAGTCAACATTTTTATGGCATATTAGAAGAGCTAGCCCCCTCAGCCTCACATCTTGTCTTCACGGGCTGCATGTGAAAACGACATAGACATTTACATGAATTATTTGCATAGAGCATCTAGCAATATATTATTTGCATTCTGAATTTCTAGTCTTTAGAGCTAGTACTCAGTTCTGAACCTGGCAGGCTAGGCTATCATTCCAGTACAGCCAAATAAAGCCAAGTGAGTGAGCCAAGAAGTAAAAAGGTAAAAAGTATCCGTGTTCGACTCGAAGTCAGAAAATGAACCGAAAGTTGCAGCAAAATGCGACAGAAATAGATACAAGAAATTAATCCACATGTGCACATGAACCGAGGGCAAAGGAGTCAGCTCAGCTCTAGCCAATGGAACAAGCATCTTTAAAAAAGATGATCAAAAGATAGGCACAAACACCGGAAAAAATCAACAAGAATTAACAAGTAAGAAACTCCACCCATGCATCAAGGAAGTGTGCACCAAAACGGTTTAGTGGAAAAGAGGTCTATGAGATGTCGAAAGAAACTCGCGAGATTTAGCGAGACGTAATTTCCAGGGTCTAAGGCATCATGTGCAAGGCAGACAATCAATCATCTCCGTCTTCGTTTATCATGAGAAAGCGAAGCAAAACAATGCATGGTCATTTCTGGCAGTGAATAGATTCCAACCACCTTTTCACGACGTCAGGTTGGGGCACTCTCCCTGTGCACGTACAAAGGCTCCTGCAAAGAGATCTTGCATGGCGCAATAGTGAAACAAAATGCCACCTAGCACAGCAAGATGCCAAATGTTGTGACTACCACCAACGTAATCAAAGAAACCCGGCTTCCAGCGCTCGGGGACTTTGGAGGCATACACACAGGCGCCGAGAAAATAAACCATGATGCTCTTGACGACAGGCGCATAGAAGTACATGCACCACTCCAGGCCCCGGGTATAAGAGAGCTGGGCAAGCGGGGCAAATCCTGTAAGAGCAAGGGTAACAAAGAATGCAACCCGGGCCCAAGCCATATCATGACGATTGAACGTCGGATGCCAGGGAAGAATGATGCCACCAATACCCAGCGACATGGTGAGAAGAATGTATGTCCACCTGGAGACAGGTTCGCAATAGAAAGCCGTATATTCAGTGGTCACGATCGACGCAGCCACCAGCAGGGAAATTCCTGTGTAATCAACACAGGCAAATCGCTCCATCAGGGTTTGAGACGCAATACTGTTCATGGTGTGCCACATGGTACTGCAGACCAGGCACTTGCATGCAGCAAAGAAAAAGACGGCAGCAATCATAATGTCCGCCTTGGAGCTCAGATGGAAGTTGGTGTGCAGCGGATAGAAGTAGAAGGCAATCGAGAGAACCACAATTAGGCCAATAATATGAGACCAGATATTGACCAATTCATTGGAGAATGTGAACACAGATGAAACACATTCGACCTTGGAGGTGGTGAATCGATAACCATGGAGGATATGGGGGTTCACACGCCATGGATCTGGGAGATCGTAATAGGTAATCAATCGCTTCTCTTGGGCAAGGCGAATAGCCTGGTCAATGTTTTCTCGCAGGGCATCACGGGCTCGGCGAGCACGGCCCATCCCTTCATCCACCACCTCACGGGCATGGACGAGCTTTGAGTCCATGACCTTCCAGCCATCATCCAATGTCCCATAAATACCGCGATCACGGACCGCATGGGCTCGGTTTTCCATTTCGGATAAGAATGACTCCATCAGGCGGACCCCAGCTTGAGCCTTTTGCTCCAGAGTTTCCTTAGTCACCAAGGCCTCGTTGTACCGGTCTTCCAAAGTCTCCACCAAGATCTTAGCCTGCTTCCTGCCACACCCCATGAGTTCCCCCGACGCAAGGGAGCACTGATCTCTCACAGCCTCGAGAGTAGCATAACCTCGTCGGAGGCTGGCGTCGATCTGAACTACCTGTGATTTCCGATATTGTTCGATCCATTGCATTCGCCGCTCGAGTTCGGCAAGGAATAGCTCGACCTGGAGGACGGTTAGAGAGGATGGTTCATTCCCCTCAAGCCACTAATTGTCAGGCTCACTCACCCGAATGAAAACGGTATCCGAATCCTGGTAGTCACAGGAGAGCTTCCTCGGGGCATGGTAGGAATGTCTCCGCCGGCGATCTCGCAAGAGTGTAGTGTCCTCGCTGGGAGTTGCGGCGGAGGAGGAGAAAGCCTCCGCATATGATTCCACTGCCATTGAAGAGGATGCACAAGTCATCTTCAGACAGCGGGAATTACCCGTCAACAGTCAATTCGTGCGCTGCCAGAGTTGAGGGATTTGTTGTGTTGAGGAACGGGGGGACGGGGCCGGGGAAGTCCGGGAAGTTGGTAGATCGTACAGTCGCGGGAACAAGAACAAGCCGAGTCAAGGGCGCTGCCGGAAGTGAGTCTGTTGAAACCAGGAAGAACAGACTTCTATGTACACGGCATGGCCAAGACGTGGGGGGAGGGTTAAGAGAGGGGAGGGGAGAAAGGAAGGGTGAGATGCAAAAAGACAGGCTAAAGACTCGTCCCCCCAACCATCGGCGGCCCAGCGTTCACATGGCGGGCGGGTGCCGCGCCTGATTGCTCCGTCCGCAACCTCGACTGCTCCACTTGTCGGCACTCTGTTCGGCCTCTCAACCCAAACCTTCTTTCGTCGGATGACCCTCGCCACCCTCGACCAAAAGAATTTCACCACAGAATTTAGTGTCCAAGCCATGGCGATCAGTGAAATCGTTTCGGACGAGTCGCTGTTGCCCGTGCTCGGCACCAGCGCAGAGACCCTGGCTCAATGCCAGCAGCTCCTCGCCTTGCTGAATCCAGACACCGTCCCAACCGACTCCCCCAGCACTCAGGAGCTCTCTCTCGCAGTGTCCAAGCAGCAAAAATTGCTGTTCGCTCTGCTTGCGCAGCTTCGTGGCCAGAATCGAGATGCGATCTTTCGCGTGCGCGACACCAAACACGCCACCGCCGAGGCTCGCCAGGAGATCGACCGGCTGCACCTCCAATTGCAGAACCTGTACTACGAGCAGAAACACCTCACTGGGGAGATCGCTGCCTGCGAGTCCTACGAGTACGTGAATTCGCGAGCAGCCTGCACAAGGCTCTGTCGGATATTGGAGCCTCAACTAATTTGAGCCATTTTTTTTACTTGAATAGTCACAAATACTTATCACTGCCTCTCATCCCGGTCGAGGAGTTCTTTGAGCTTTTCCCCAACCACCGAGAGTCCAACGAACATGACCTGATGGTTGCGCGCATCAATCACGAACATGCCGAGCGCGAAAAACTTGAGCAAGCACGCCAGGAGCTGCTGAAGCGCAAGCAGGCTTTGATTGCAGAGAACAAAAAGCGGAAGGATGACCTGGCCAACCTAGACCAGGATCTCGAGAAGTTCATCGATGTATGTGCCGTAATTACCATCATATTCTTGTGTTTCTCCGGAGGATCAATCTTTGTACTGACCAATCCATGCGAATCTAGGCAGCCAAACCGATCCAGAAGATCTTTGAGAAGGAATACTAGAGGGAATATGGTCGTTTATGCAGTTCGGAGCATAGGTCAAAGGCTTTTTAGGCTCTTTGTCTTTGACCGTTACATTGGGTCGGCGTTGTTGGTCAAGATACCCTGTTTGATTTAGTCTGATCTTTGAGATCAATACCGTTGTCTTCCTTCATCCTTTGCTTTTCTTTCCTTCTTATTTCCGTTGGGGGATCATGGTTCGCCGGGCTGTTCTTGCGGATCGGGTATTGATTCCGACTACATCTCCGCTGGACCCTTAAACGCAAGATACAAGCTAGCGTAACTGCATTCCTTTGAAGAAAGCATTAAATTTTTTTATATTTCGCAATAAACCTGTCCATGAAATATTGTCTACCATCTATTGCAACCTTTTACTTATTGTCAGCGTGTTTGTGCAGGCCGTTTATATAATTACTTGTGCTTCTTGATGCGGCATGCCACCTGTTCCTTCTCCGCCTTCAGCCTCTCCCCGAACCCCGAACCCCCAACATCCCGAGTAAACACTCTGCTCTGGCGGTGCTTCTCCAGGGCACAAAGCATGCCCAAATCATGACAAGCCAAAATGGAGACTATGGGTCTCCCCAGACCTCGGCCATATCCACTGCATCGATTGGCAATTCCAAGTCCGGCGGCCAGCGCGTCCCGCCCCCAGAGACACCGGAAGCTATCCAAACACGATTCCGAGTCATTGCTGCTTTCTGGGCGGTGATAATTTTCCTGGGATTCCCGATATGGTGGAAGACGACGTCTATCTATCGGGCGCATCTGCCGATCCAGGAGATGGTCGACTGGGCTGATGGCAAGGTACGGCCCCTACAAGCGACAGCAACTATCGGCTCCTGTCAAACGTCCTCTGGCTGACCTCACCATCTTTAGGCGTGTCGCCCGGTTTTCCCTCTAGAGATTCATCTCGCGACACCTGCTATGCCATCTCCGGATTCTCAGCACCTGCTCCGGACCACCCAACATGCCCTCGATGACCTCAATGAATTCGCCGCTCACCATCTTCGACTGAAATTGACAAACGATACTAGTCCTTCCACATCGGATCAGAGTGAAAGTGGTACAGATTCTGAGGGTCATGGAGTAGTAGATGGTGCGGATACGGCGTTGACTGTCCGTGTAATTGCTCAGGAGGGTTTGGCCACCCCCAGGTCGGAGCTGCGTGCAGACACAACCCAGCTGGATATCTTCTACCCGCCAAGCCAGATTCCCATTCCGTCATCCTCAAATCCACCTTTGTCAACCTTTATTGCTAAGGAATTGCAACGAGTTTATGACGAAGAGAAAGCTACCATTGCTCACATCCTCTCTGGCGAGACCACTGGATCCGACTCCTCGCAGCTTATGGGGAGTATCAGCCGACGATTGCGCCGCTCCATGAAGTATGCGGACACATATCATCTATCCTTTTCCTTGTTTACACCAGGCTCAGCGCCATCGTCATGGGATATTGAAGCTGCCGTCCAGGAGTACCTCGCTCCCCTGCTTGATGCATTTTCCCCTATTAGCAACTTCACCATCGACACGCAAGTCCAGCCCTATGCAACCTTTTCACCCATGGCGCCGCCGATTATCTATGATGACGCTGAAGCGGCATGGACGTTGAAAAAAGAGGATCTGAGTGCTTTCATTAATGCCGCGGAATGGCCCCTGAATCCGAGCATCGGCAACGGTCCTACCCTTAATTTCATTCTCTATGTCCCAGATCCCTCTCAGTCGCCAATGGTCGTTAAGGAGAACCGTGCTTCTAGCTGGATTGTTCCACAATGGGGTGGCGTGTTTCTTCTCAACCCGCCCTTGTCTCAAGTGGACAAAAACGGAAACAAAGTCAATCCGGCTCACCTCTCACCGGAATCGTTGCAGTCTGCGTTCATGACTTTCTCTCACCAACTCCTGACTCTCCTTGGAACTCCTACTACTCCAACCTCCCTCCCTCTCCGTCTCCAAACATTGATTCGTGTTCGCGCGGCAGCTCTTCTTTTGTCCGCTTCCTCCACCATGGGCTCTCTTGCCCGTCTGACTGAATCACTTCCGTCTATCCCAATCCCCGCCACCGTTGCATCATCTGTTTCTACCACGCTATCTCATCTCTCCAGCACCTGCGCACACATGCGAGATGGTCGCTTCGCAGCAGCATTAGCCAGTGCTCGGATTGCCGAGACTGAAGCAGAACGCAGCTTCTTTGAAAAGAGTATGGTTGGCCAGGTCTATTTCCCAGACGAGCACAAGGTTGCTGTCTATCTGCCCTTGCTCGGCCCAATTGGCGTCCCTTTGGTAGTCAGCCTTGTCAAGGAGCTGAAAAGGTTGGTAGCCCAATGGAAGGCACGGAGGCAACCCGCAGCATAAACAATTCCCAACTTGCATTTTTTTGTATTCTAGACGCTTTGCCCAATTACTTATGTTTAAGATATTTGAATATTGAGGATTGAGGATTGAGGATTTATTGCATTTGACCCTAGGGAACCGAGTAAAAATGTTTCTATCTCTCCGGCCGTCCATAAAATGCGTCGCATAAAAGATAACAAATGGCGAGAAATTAGGCTCGCTTACACAAAGGTATCTTAACAGGAATAATAAATGCAAACGCAAAAGGCAAAAGACAGGACCCATACTCCCTAGCTAATGTGAATGGCTTTTTTTAAAACGTCACCGAGGCTTTGCATTCCAAGACCGTAGCCGACAGTCAAGACAACGGGCCAATGCCCTACTCTTTACTTGTGTCGGTGACTTTGAACGTTGGATTACCCTTTGCATCACTAAATCCAACGGCCTGAACTAAATCGGTGAATGTCGTATCCGGTCGTGCAATAGTCCCGGGGTACGGCTCGGGACCTAGGAACTTCCTCGACTGCGCAAAAGCTGCCCCCGGCGGGGAGTATATCTTGATACTCTCAGTACTTGGCTGGCGCTGGCGAGGTGGAGTGACTGGTGGGTAGCCAGGGAGTGGAGGAACATCCTTGTCCAGTTTTGGATTGTTGAAAAACAGGCTTTTAACCCGGGTCCCCGTGCGATGGAGCACAGAGCGTGTGGATCGACCGCCGACTGAGGTACGCCTGGAGTCTGGGCGAAGGAGGAAATCTGTGCGATAGGAGTTGTCTTCACTGGCGATTGGACTAGAGATGCCCACTACGGCACCGGACGAGGAGCGCTGGGACCAATGATGACCTATTTTGTGGGTTTGACGCTGAAGCTCCTTTTTCTGGGCTCGACGCCGGACGCAGTAGGTTATGATTAGTGCGAGCATGCCTCCGAAGAATGCACCAGGGAAGAAGCCGGCCGCTAAGGCTTTGGTAGGATATGAAGAACAGCTTGAGGTGAAGTGGGTGGAGTTGTCGTTTGAGGCAGAAGGAGAAGAAACGGACGTAAAGGTTGCACCGATATCGGTTGCAGTGGACGAGGCCGTCGACGATGTAGCAGTTTCAGTGGCAGAGGTTTTCTTGTTGATGGCACAGATACTGTCCCCCTGGCACGTATAGCCAAAGGGGCAACAAGAACTCCCGCAGGAGGGGAGCGTGTCATTGAGCCTGGTGGTCTTAACCGTACTTTTGGGATAGGCGGTTGCATTCTGATCTTGTACATCGCAGGTGATGGGGGAGATATAGTCACAATTGGACCCCGACGGGCAGCAGATGGCAGAGCTGTCGCTGTCGAGGCTGACGCAGGTGGAGGATGAAGGGCAGCAAAAGTTGTCTGGTAGACTTCCACCACACGAGTCGTATGAGCTGGGACAAGAGCTTGAGCTCCGTAGAGCAAGCGTCAACACGTTTGAAGCATGGCTCGGCCCGATGGACACTAAAAGAAGTATGAAGAAGAGAAACGATCGTAGAGAGATGATGGCCGCAGTCGACATCGCCATATTGGCGATGCAAGCGTCTTTTTGAGTAATGGGATAATCAATATGGAGAAACGTTGTAAGAAATTCAAAGTAGATAGAACTGCTTCAGAATGCGACTAAGAAGATAACAAGAGAAGAGGACCAGGAGGAAGAGAAAAAGGTTGGAGGGAGAAAGAAGCAGCCTGGTAAACAATAGCCCTAAACTTTTAGGTTGAAACACATTGGCGCATCAGGCAAATATCAATGGCCGCTGTCTGAGAGAGCCTTTATTGACGTGGATACAAAGCGATACAAAGCGATCTATTCCGGGCACGCGCCGGAATCTCCATTTCAGGGACCACCAGCCCGTTTCAGCATGGGTAGCATGACTTGAACATGCAGAAATGCGGGCGCTAACTCCAATGGCGTTCTGCAGAAGTACCAGGGTATGCTAATCCTACAGGACAAGGGATGCAGATCGGCCGATGGCGGGCGCTTAGTGAAGATGAATGAAGATGAGGCCGAGCCTGAAGAAGTACTACGGCGGCGTCTGATTGGCTGGCTTATGTCAGCGCTGCTATCCCCGATTGGGCAATGCGTCGGGAGGGAAATTCTTCGATTTCAAGACGAAGCTATTGCTCCAGTCACATCCCCTGTCCACATCATGTTCAGTCGACTCGTCCGGCCGGGCGCTCTGCGCGCGGCATCATTCCAGGTTAGTCTGCCCTTCGTTTTGCGCCCCAATCGACCCCGGGTGGTATCCAGCGTCACCGAGACTGATCGCGTTGCGTCTTTCAGGCACCTACCTCCGCTCTACGCTTCCAGGCCCGTGGCCTGCACCGTATCCCTCAATTGCAGCATGACGCCTTTTACAAGGAGAAGGGTGTGCCCGAGTTCATGTCCCCGGAGGCTTTCGACTTCGCTTGGACCCAATACCAGACTCTCCTCGTGGACAAGCTCAACCTATTGACACAAGGTCAGAACCAACTTTCTCCCCCCGGGAATTGCCTGCTAGATTCGGCCGGCGCGGTGATTGCGGAAGTGAAATAGTATTGGGAATAAGTGACTGACTGGGATGCGTGCAGACACCGTCGATGCGGACGCCAAACCTGGAGAATTGCTGGTCAAGTACTCCAAGCGCCCGGAGATGGCCTCTGTCTTCAACTACGCTTCAATGGCTCACAACAACCACTTCTTCTTCAACTGCCTGGTGAGCTCATTTCTCGCTCCCCTCCCACAAGCATTCAGAAACTTCAACATCTTCTAACCATGCCATTCCAAATACAGTCCCCTACCACCACTAAGATCCCCGAGAAGTTCGCCATGGACATCGTCGATACCTGCTCCTCCGTCGAGTCCCTGAAGATGGATTTCCTAGCCACAGCCAACGCCATGTTCGGTCCCGGCTTTGTTTGGCTCGCCAAGAACCTCGAGCGTGAGGGTCTGATGCAGATCTTCTGCACCTACAACGCCGGCTCTCCATACCCGGCCGCCTACTCCCGCCGGCAGCCAGTCGACATGGCCACCCACTCTCCGGATGCCCCCTTGGGCAATCAATTCGCCGGATCAATGGGCGCCCACGCACAGAACCAGAAGAACCTTGCCCCCGGTGCCATCGATGTGCAACCCATTCTCTGTGTGAACACTTGGGAGCATGCCTGGATGATGGACTACGGCATTGCTGGTAAGGAGGAGTACTTGGAGCGTTGGTGGGACCGGATTAACTGGGACGTCGTGTTCGACAACTACAACGCGATCAGCTCCGTGAAGGGTGCGCGGAGCACAGCCAACCGGGACCGGAGTCTGAGCATGCTTTGAACGGTGAAGCTAGAAAAAAAGCCCTTCTTGTCTGCATAATCTGTACTATATATACTATGACATCCTTTTTTTTTCCTATTCTTATCTTTCCTTTGATTTTCCCTTCTTGATCTCCGATTGTACAGCGCTCTTTATTGAAAAGAAAATAAAACATGAACCTCAAAGCTCTCTATGCTGTCTATAAGAGGAGAATAGGCTATCTGATACTGTACATGCACATGTGCCACTCAAGATCATTAATATACAAAATAAACACTCAACCCCGCAACCTCATGCCTATCTACAGACCTTGCTGATGTGTATCCCGAATGCGCTTCTCAAAAGCCTCAATCATCACGCCGGCCATTTGCCCCTCCACGGCCCCCATGACCGTGGCATGCAACTGATTCCGGAACTCGAACCGCACCTCCAGGTTCACCTTCGTCTGTGGCCCGCCCTTGGCCTCCACCGGAGAAAGCGGCTGCAGCTCCCAGCGTGTGGAAAGGTACTCGAAGATGCCCTCGTTCGCACCGGGGAAGAACCCACTGAGTCCGGACACTGTGCCACTGTCACTGCCCTGGCCCTCTGTTTTGCCGTATTTGGCACCACTCCGCGCCTCGACAATTCCCTTGGCGGGATCGCAGTCCACGCGTGAAGTAAATGTCTCACTGAGCGGGCCGTAGCCTACCGTCAGGAACGCTTGCGTCGGGTAACCTGTCTCTGGGTCGCGGGACGTCACAGTCGAGGCCGTGAGGAAGGGCAGGAATTGGGAGTAGGACTCGACAGCGGAGATCACTTCGAAGAGGACAGCGGGCGAGTAGGGGAGGGTGCGCGAGGCGGTAAGAACGCGCTTTGGTGAGTTATCGCCATTGTTGCCCCCGCCGGTGGGAAGGAAGGATGAGAGGGAGGAGAGATTGAAGGCTCGCCGAGGCACATAGGCTGCGCAGGGTTGTGATGCTTGTGCTGGGCGGCGCGGTGGTTGGAGTGTGCCGATTGTCCTTGCCGTTGATTGTCCGCGGAGCGTCCATTGCTCATTGGCTTGGGATCGGGCTAGGGGGCTCACGGAGCGCCCTAAAGGCGGCAAGGCACGAAGTGGCCGCATTGGAGACGGATTGGGGGAAAGAGGGTGGGAGATTGCTGCTATGCTTGCTGGTCTTGGCCGAAAATGACTTCGGGGGAAAAAAGGCGGCTCCGCGGTGATCGGGATCTGCGGCCGAGGCCCGCTAGGTTCCAGACTCCGCACCCTCTCTATGTTCTTTACTTTGAGCCATGAAGGACAGCCCTATTTTACTTAGTTTATTGAATCCTAATTTTCAAGCTTAAATGTGAAGATAATTACTTATATTGTACATACGAAAACCCATGTGGAGCATATGCACGATTCTACGGGGAGGATGATATAGATGATTTTTGATATCAGAAGCTCCTAGAGGTTGGCGGAATAGGGGTCGAAGTCCATTCCAGACGATTCGGTGGGGACAGGAGGCGGCCCCCAAGCAGTTTCCTGGTTTGCGGTCTCGTATCCAAAGACTCGGCTGTCGTACAAGCGCTAAATTCCTAGTCAGCTTCGACGGGCTGGCGATTCAGAGCTCAGGATGATCAAACGCTTACCCAGTCCAGTTGCCCGGGTGTATTTAGCATGTCACCTATCACATCTAGTGAAGAATAGGATGGAGTCTCGGCAGTGTTATACATTGAGCCCTGCATGCCACTGGCGGCTACCCCATTAAACATCTGCTGCTGCTGCTGTTGATCCGGAGCCGGCTGAAATGCCAATTGATCTGTGCTTCTGGTCAGCTGGAAACAAGTCAAATTCAGGATATCTAGGACCGACCATTCTCTGAAGCTGATAGCCTCTTGCTCTCAGCCGCCAAATTATTGACATCAGTGCCTTTTACTCTTCTAAGCATAATGCTTATTGTGGCAAAGGCCTTTTGCGTGTCGACGGATCGATGCCGCGCCTCTTCGAAAATTCGATGAGTGCTTTCCAGCAGGCGGACCAGTTCAATGCGTTCTTGTGGCTCCAAGCGAGCGGTATTATCATGCTGACTTTCCTGTGCAAGCGCAAGACAAAGAATCATCGATGAGGCCAAGAAGTCGGTGTTCTGAAGGGAATTGATGAAATACCGCTCGGCATACAGCTGTCCTCCTGGCATGGACTCACTCCAAATCTCAGCATGATGCCGAAGTGTCTTCTTGGCAGCAACCAGGCAGACTGATCGTGAATACGCATATTTGCTGTTGTGCTCAGTCATATAACGGCGATGCAGCACGATCCGACACTTTTGAAACAGGATTTCTAGCGTGTATCTTCGTATGACCAGGTCTGTTGGGTCTGCGATAGACTGACCGATGGGTCGCATCTGGAAGAATGGAGGCAATGAATCATGGGCTTCCTCCAGGCGGCGGTCAATTTGCAGGATCTCGTCGTACGATACTCCTTCGTTTGAGTAGGCCAAATCGATGATCTGCCCAAATACTTTCATAATTCGGTCTTTTGCCACTGTGTACAGACATGGAGTCCGCTCATCCTCTGATCGTGCCGGGGGGATTTGAGTGCAATTTTCATCAAAATCCGTGTCATATAGGTTGGATGGCATTTCTGCGTCAGACTGCCAGGATTGAATGGCTCGCGGAAGACCGACCTGGAATGATACCAAGATATCGAGTTGGCAGAGAACAGCCCAGAGACGTCGTCGCATCTCACCATCAAAGGCAGACAGATTGGGATAATGTTTCGAGTCGCGATGATAGCCCATGCGCATAGCCAGACGAATCGTGATTCCCAATAAATAGGATACCCCAATCTGCGCATCTTGGCTTCTGTAGAACTCACATAAAGCATACAAGAGAAGCGCTTCTGCTTTGTAGCGGCCTGGGGCCAGATAATTTGCTTGCAGCAGGCTCTGGGCAGCTTTCTTGCGAAAGATATTCCATGAACCCATCAGATTCACCATGTTCGCGGGAAGAGGCTCCTCGCTTCTGTGATACAAAGACACAGATAATGCCATTATGGAATACAAAAGGGCAATCCAGGTAAATGACGTATCATGCGGGTTCTTCCAGAATTGTTCGTATTCCTTTTGAAATTTAGGCACATGGATAATGACTGTTTCTCCAAAGATGAGTGTCCAGGTGCACGCCAATATGAGTAGGAAAGCAATTACCTAGTGCTGGTTCGGAAGTCTTCAGAAAGCGTGAAACTAATCGATCGGCGACGGAGCGCGGCGGGATGTCCATAAGCAATTCCTCCTTGGTCATCGGCCTACCGATCCCAAGTAAAAGAGCTGGCGAGGTATCATTATATGGGTCATCTTCAATTATCTCCTCTTCGGAGTCGCCATGATCGTCAATATACTCTTTGACACCATGGATCTTTCGGCAGGTCATCTACATCAGCTGGGAAATTGAAGTGGAGCGACTTTAGGAATATTGCCAATACTAACCTCCTCTAAAATAGCACGCCAGTTCGCACTATCAATGTAGCTGGTTCCCTCGTTCTTCATGATAAGCGTTCCAGTACGACGGGCAGGTGACTTTGCCTCGCGGTCATTGATAGAAGGTGGGGTATCATATCCTAATGAATGATCTGGCGCACCGTCATTAAAGTCGATAACTGGTTCACTGGGCTTCTGCTTTTGAGCCAACGACATGACTAGATTCTCCAGATGCTGTAGACGATCTTGGACAAGCGTCGGACTAGATCGCCCATGTTGAGCTTTACCTCGCGGCCCGCGACCGACATAGGTACATGAGCTAGCCTCGTTTCGTTTCTTACAATTGAGACATGGATAGGTGCGATCACATTTCAGCCTGCGTACCGATCAGCATATCTGATGATATAAAATAATGGTGCGATGTCAAGCTAGAGGCCAAAAAGCATACTTTCGGTATCTGCATGCTGTACACGAGAACTGGACTCGGGTTCTCTTTTTGGGCACTTGCGCTGCGGGCTCCGCAAGAAGCGGGTCTTGGGGACTAGGGTTGCTTGAATCGGACATCGGCGGGAAATAGCAAGATAGTCAAACCGGTCTCTGCTCTGGCGGGGACGTCCCTGAAGTCCGGCGTTCGTGGAGGAAAAATGGTGGGCGCGAAGCGGAGGAAACGAGGGGGCTGTCGGAGTCCGCTTCCTTTATCTCCGTCCATGTTCCACCCCCGAGATTCTCGGGTAGAGGGCCCTATTGTACCAGCTGAGGCTAGAACTAATCAACAAGATATATTGTTATCTAGATCCTTGACTCGCCATATCCCAAATGGCCGAAAGGGCCAAATGCAGCGAGCGTACAGGCCGATTAAGAATATTCGCACAAGTTTTCGTTATTTCCGAGAAGTCCATGCACCCCCCAATCGGGTTGGTCGAAGAAGAACAGACGAACTCTCATATCGTCGATGGTACAAGCCTGATGCGATCATTTGGTCGCAAAATCGACTCTCTTTTTAGATGAAAGAGCCGTGTTTCTCTGGTAAGAATTCCATACGCAGGCAACCCATCTCCAGTATCCATAGGGCCATTGGGTCTCTGGGATGGTCTGAAAAAGTGGCTTGATAGCAAGCTAGGAGCCAAAATTCTGGCCTACAACAGCTTGATGTAAACGATATACCACATATTGATCTCTAGTCAAAGCGCAGTTGTTTCTGTCTACCTGTTCATTTCCACTCCTCGCTTCAATTTGCCACACACTCGTCTGCTATACATGAAATCCTAGAAAGGAAATATGCCCTGATGGGTGTCCCAAAGCAAGTAAATTCCCATTGATCGCGAAACAGCTAGGGCGATATTTTGGAGGAAGCCATAGCATATTTTCGCCATTCAAGTTTACCCATCCATTTCGCTCAATGAAAATAGTTGGATTTTTGTGGATTGAGCAAGAACCATGGTTGTCGTGTCCAGGAAGTATATTGATAGTCCCCAAGTTCGTGATTAAAATGAGCCATCTTGCGAAAGTGCAAATTCGGTGATAATCCCATCGAGCTTCCAAAACTCTTCTAGTGTTCTCGTCGCCGTGCTCCAGAGCCGTACTGTGCAATCAGCAGAGCCGGATGCGAGTATCTTACCGTCGGGCGAGAAGGCCACCGACTGAACCGAGTATGTATGACCCTCAATGGTATGCTTGAGGTCACCTGTTACCGTATCTCAGAGCCGGACTATCTGATCCCAGGAGCCAGACGTTAGCAGCCGGCCGTCGGGCGAGAAAGCAACTGACTGAACAGAGCCCTTGTGGCCCTCAAGAGTCTGCTGTAGGACACCCATTGCTGCATCCCCAAAGTCGTATCGTGCTATCGCGGGAACTAGACGCTAGAATCCTGCCGTCAGGCGAGAAGGCTACCGAACGAAGCCAGCTTGTATAGCCCTCGAGGGTCTGTAGCTCTGAACTCCATCGGTCACTGACTTGTGGGAAGCGATATATCCAATTAGGAAGGTCGGCCTTGAATTTTGTACGAATGATTGTTGTTTCAGGTGCAAAGACCAATCCAGTACAATAAATCTGAAGTGGTGCCTCTTCGACTATCTGGAAATTTTTGAGAATAAATCGTCTTGCGTCTTGAAGAAATTCAACTAGTACGGGAGAGGACTGCGTTTATGTTGGATTAGGTAGTTTGTAAGGTGTTTTTGTCCTGTCCCTACTCGTGTTGCTAATCTAGAAAGAGACACTGAATCAAGGTCCATGGCACGGTGAGTTGCGTTTTCACTTCCTGTTGTAGTTTTGCCGGCGAACAGAAACCATCTACATCTAATATAGTGCATTTTCTCTTTGTAGAATGTTTTAACCATTTTGAATCTCCCAACTCTCTCTCGAAGCATAATGCAAATTCATTGAAAGAATTATATCGGACCAGTGTTACCAATTATGGCTCTGGAACAGGGATTGTCGCGTAATATGCCATCGCTTTTTCATTTGCTTCCTTTGTTAGAGAGCCTCCTTCAACCAACTCGCCTAGCAGCTTGAAGTAGTTGATGTAAAATGCAGGGGTGAAGGTATTGAAAAACGCCGACTCTTCCTCTGTCGGATTGGAAAATGTATGGGGGCTCTTTGTTGGGACAACAACATAGTCGCCTACTTTGGCATCAATATCAGGCTTTCCCGGTATATGAAATCGAACCATCCCTTTGGTAACAAGAAATGTCTCGTCATGCATCTCATGCCAGTGTGTAGGAGGGCCTATTGTCCCCGCAGGAATAGTCAATTCACAGCAGCTCATGCGCATATCTAACACAAAGTCTTAGTGCCGATTTATTAGCACTTCATCTAAAAGGTCTTACCAGTATTTGAGCCATCTTCCATAACCCGGAGCTTCATGGTCCCCAGTGTGATGATATCACCAGATTTGCACGGTACAAATTTCACAGCACGATCAGGTACTTCCATTTGAATAGCTTCTAGTGCTCTATATTGATGGTATTTGAAGGTCTCTGTAATAAGAACCGGACTTATATATATGATTTCTCGGTCATCGGACTTACAGCGAGGGCGAGACCCACAATGTAATGTGTCCATGTTGGTATGCCAGAGTATATTATCTCCCTGAGGGTCGGCTTAGTGACTTGATTATCTTCGATCGGAGTTAAAATGTATCTTTCCGATACCTCCGAAAACGTGCCCGTGTGACTTCAAAATATATTGTTTGCAAGAGAATCTGGCTCCTGACTTGTCAGCATCCTTAAAGTTAGTTGGCCTAAAGGCAATGGATTTGACAATATCTCTTATTAGGAGCAAAATACACGATATCAATCGTCATTCCACTATATATGAAATTATACACAGAGTATTTTTATACGCCAGATAAATATACAGAACTAATGGCCTAGCAGTCCTTTGCAATAAGGTCATCCATGGAATATAGTCTAGTTATTAACTACGCTACTCTAGATAGTGCTTAATATAGTATTCTAGCTTCCTATATTAAGTTATAGGTCAAATTTGAGATCGTATCAGTCTTGAGATAACCTGCCACTAGCAAAGAGAATTATCTTGATTAAAATGATGTCCCTGAATACCATATTCTCTGTCCCTTCTTTCTTATATTTTACTTCGACGTTTGGCTGTTAAGCCCCCACTCTACGGCAGCAATCTGTAAAGCGAGAAGGGGAGCGAACTGCCTAGACCACATAAAACTACCCGTCATATACCAGAATCCCGGCATACCGGTCGGTCTCCACACCTATAAGCGATTTTAGCCATTTGAAACCTGAAGCGTCTTAAGTCGATGAGAACTTACGCCGATTCGTTCTTGACAGTCATCAAAGTCGCATATATCTCCTAACTGGTCCATAGCATCCTTACCCATGAGCTGCTCAATCAATTTGGTCTTGAGTTCGAAGCCCGTTGCTAAAATAACAATGTCAGACTCGACCTTCGTTCCATCAGCCAAGACTATTCCATCTGGGAAGTACTCCTGCACGCCTTTTTCACATCTCTTAACCTGAATCCGCCCGTCGATGATCATTTGGCACGCTCCTTGGTCAATATAGAAGTGGCCTGCCTTGATGAGCTGATGGTCGAGTAGACTGTCTCCTTCAGTTCCCCTCTTCACTGCTAATCCAGCCTTTTCCAGGCCGTCCAACATGACTTTTTCTTTTGCCGACATCATCTGAGACGCTCCAACACTGAGGGTGCGAGCAACAGGATATGGCAAAGAGTTGCCTAGAAGGTCTGCATCCTCAGTGCTTAATCCTGGAGTGTTCCATCGCGACAGCATAATTGTTTCCAATGAATCGAGAGTTGTAACATAAATAGCGCCACGCTGCACCATCGTTACACTTTTTGCTCCGTGATTGACAAAGTCTTGGGCGACGTCATGCGCACTGGTTCCGGATCCGATGATTGTGACCTTTTTGTCTCGTAGGTCCGGTACCAAGGCGGCTGACTTATGTGCCATTGTGTGGTATATTTGGCCTTTGAATGCAGCTTCCTTAGGAAAAGAAGGCTGAATTGGGATATCGCTGAAAGGACCAGTGGCCAACACAACATGCTTAGCATTGATAATCTGTGTGCCATTCTGGCTCTGAAGCTCGACTGAGTACTCTTGCGTCAATTTATTATACTCAACCTTACTCGCGATGGTGTTATGCTTGACGTTGAGACCCATGATATCCTGATAGTGTTCCATCCATTTCACAATGTGTTCCTGATCGAGGTAGCGAGGCCAGCTGGTCGGATATTTCAGGAATGGATAGTGGTCTGTGAAGAGAGGAGTGTGCAATTTGATCGTTTCGTATCTGCTTTGCCATGAGTCTCCAGGCCGAGATGCTTTCTCCACGACGAGGTATTTGAGGCCGAGATGTTGTAGATGTGCAGCAAGTCCAAGTCCAGAATGACCTTGTAGTATGATTAGCTGTGCTTTCATGAATTAATTGATGTAGCTGGCTCACCTGCTCCAATTACCAAGACTTGCAGACTACCGTCGGTCTGGGTGCTTGACGGCGGGGTTTCACGACTGGGAGCATTAGACTGTATCTCTGCTTTCTGTTTCCTTCGGAGCTCCATGGCCTTCTGTTCATTCAAAGCTTCAAGCACAGTGAATACTGTCCATGCCTTCCATTGATCTGGCCCTACGTTGGCTAGCCTGAGAACACCTCTCCCGACGCCGAAGTTGTTCTTGAAGCCGAACCCGGATTGGATGAACCGCAGTCCCCCCATATCCATCAGTTGTGGTTCCAGTGCGCCTGGTTGATTTGCTTTAGGCTCCGCAAATCCAGTCGTTGATGCACTCAGGTATTTGCAAATCGTCTCGGCTCCATTATGACATGCGATATCCCACGAAAAAGAAACAAAATCCCTCCACCATGACTCCGTTTCAAGAAAATGGTCTTGGATATCGGCCTTCCGGCCCTCAGTCAAACTTTCTGCGAAAGTTGAAAGCCAATCGTTGACAATTTTGGCTGCATCGAGCTGTTCTGGCTCCACGGATGGGTGCAGAGCGAGTTGCGGAAGAGCCGCCAGGGGGGAATTCATCAGACATAGTGGGAAGCGGCTTTGATTCCGAAAATATTTAATGATATTCGAACAGATAGTTTGAATTTGAAAAATGAAATTCTTTGTTCAGACATAATGCCAGTTGGTGGCTGTCTTTATAACCCATTAATCATAAGGCTGGTATTCCCAGTCAGCTGTTTGGGGCCGAGTTCAAGTATTGATCCATTATACCTCGAGTATTCGTCCTAGAAAAGAAATGATCATCTACTGGGTCTGAGCCAGTTGGTGTCTCCACTCAGCACATTTTGGGGCCAAATCCTTTTTGTAATCTCATTATAGCTCGGCCCCAGATAATAAGCCCCAAGCAATAATTTTACAAAGGGCACGATGCCAAAGAAGACTACGCCCGCTCCAAATGGCCTGTTACTCTCCTTCTCTTACAAAATCCAAGCTGTAAGAAGGGTGGAAAATCTCAATGAGATCCCCACCGTATCTTCGCTGACAAAGCCAGTCTAGATGGGCTAACCTCGAAGTGGGGATCAGGCTACCAGCATACTTAATGAACCAGGGCGTCCGTAAGCAGGGCTGGTCGGGCAGACGGTCCGAAAGGCATCAACAAACCAACCACCAAACCACCACACACCACGAACAGGCAGGATATCCCGGCGAGAGGAATCTGAGCTGACTGACAAGGAGCGTGCCCAGTGTCATTGACTGACCGGAAGAGAAGAGGATATTCTGGAACGATCGTATAATGAATTAATCGTCCAATCAGACCCTACTACTTTTTCTCCACTGCTAGTTATATACTTTTTAAGGCTAGTTCGTTGTCACTCCAGTAGCCAATGCTGACTACGGCCTATATGACGACAACAACTTACTAACCACTGGAAGCTGAAAAATCGATGAAAATGCCGCAGAAAGGGAATTTCACACGTAACAGGACAGGATGTCTGATGTGCAGACAACGCCATGTCCGATGTGACGAGCAACGTCCGTCTTGGTATGTGTGTAGATCTGATAAATGCTGGGATGAGTGGCCACATTTCAGCAGGGATGGCACAGTCAATGTTTTCTCAAGCACGTTCAAGGACAATGTTAATCATTTGCTGACAATCATCTTGACAGCCAAAAGTGCCTCGCAAGTAAACGATCGTGCATCTATCCATCAGTCACCATTCCGCTTCGGGATCGAAGGATAATGCAGAAAAATGCGATCCCACCCGGTCAGCAAGCTCCATGGGCATTGATGAATGCACCTGGTGTGACTAGTCTAAAATTAGCGGCAAGCACGAGCATGGACCCCTTCGACGCTCTGCCCCTGAAAATGCCGTTCAAGTCACAGGAGTTATATCACTACTGTAGGTTGACGCTCTAGGCATAATTGGAGTCTGGATGACATTTTAACCCAGTCCACTTCAGTCTATCAAACTGGGGCGGCCTTTGCTGTGGCCCCATCAGATCCAAAGGATGACTGGTTCGTTGTATTTGTAAATCCATTGTTCTGTATGTGACAAATGCTAAAACGAACTTTGAAGTTTTGCTTTGGCGACGCTGGATGAACATGCACTTCGGAGCACGATTCTGATAGCTGGTGTTCACTACTTATGGAACACCGGCAATTCACAGGCCTATGAATCCGCCTTTCTCTTTCACAAGATTGAGAGTATACGCATTATAAACACATGGCTCAAAGTTTCAGACTCCAAAACATTCGTTGTTTGCGTGAGGCAAATCTTAACAATATGCCTGGCCGAGGTAAGGACGGATGCCCCACATCGAAATATAATTATGGATCCTAATACTTCATCTGACCAGGCTTGTCTTGGCAATCTTCCAGCAGCAGAGACTCATCTGAACGGCATTATGGCACTTTTCAACAGCCGTACCCAGGAAGATAGCGCTTTCAATAGCACCGATGATAGAAACACCGAACTTGCTAATCGATACCTTCTCCTGTGAGTCTTCTGACAAGTTAAAAGCGGTTATTTTACTAAGATGCCACCATTTCTCTGACAGAGCGTCTTGCTTTGTTCTCATTTTGAAAAGCCGTCTAGAAGACTTCATGGTTTTTCGCGCAAGTCAAGGCATCAACTCCTATCAGAATGATTCATCAGCTGAGGCCTTGCAACTAATGAAAATGTGGCATGTTAGAGAGTATGGAGGCCTCAATACCAGATTGAAGGCTATGCGTCTATTTCCGTACTTCTTCAGCCCGCCTCCACTAAATCGTCGGCCCAAACCGATAGATGCTTTGCCTATCTTTGAATGTCTCAAATCTATCACAAAGACCATAGATCAGTTCCGCATTAATCCCACAGCCGAAGGCCTTGACCAAGTTTGGAATGAGGGCGGCCCAACAAAGCTACTCCTGGTGGTAGTTGATGCTCACGTATCATCCTTGACAAGGAATGATGAGATTTTAGGCTTTTCAAGCGAAGAGAACTTGCCGCAATCTCATCTCCAAACCTCGTGGAGCGGCATACTTGCAACCGCGGCACTATACATGCATAGCGTGCTCAATATCGCCAATGCGGGTGAAGCAATCGAGTGCCGGCTGCTTTATCGCATTCTTCTAATAATGAAACAAGACATTGATCAGACTCGGGATGATCTAAGTGGGGATCGTGGGGGCCTGTATCAGACGCTCTGGTTCTGGAAAGTCTTTATAGGAGCTCTGGCTCTGGGTAGGAGCCAAGGCACGCACATAGCTATCGACATGAAGACTGCCAAGCCGTCTGTGAAATGCTCCTGTGAGACAAACTTGGAGGAGCTGCATGATTGGTTTCGTAATAATGTTCGGGCTTGGAGCGTCGTCACTGGGAAAAAAACTTGGAAAGATGCGGAACCCGTATTAGCGACTTTAGCATGGCCAGCTGTATTGTCTCAAAGTGAAAGGGACTATGCAGCCAGTTCATGGGCCGAAGGGATCTCAGAATAGACAATATAGTTCAATTTGAATGGGCTACAGAGTGAATTGACAACGGGACTCACGGCTTACCGGATATTCACAAGGAGCAAGCCTCGTCGAACATCTGACTTTTTCGAGCCACTCGCTATTACTCTTATTCCACTCTTATTCTGATAAATCTCTTATTGATCTGTCATCCCGGTGTCCCAGCTGGATTATTCCTGGTATATCTGAGAAGAAGAATGGGCAGTTGAATGGCACGCTAAGTTATCTAGCTCATCTGGAAGTTCCCATAATCTTGTAATATTGATTTTCGCTACGTCGTGACCCACCAAGAGGTCCAGATCGATGGGTGACTGGGAGGAGTTCTGTTGAAGATACAAACTCAGAGTCAATTGGCATTTATGTAAGTTCATATGAAACCCAAACCGGAAGAATATAAGTGATGGAATGCGGACTTGAAATTAAGGAGTAGATAAATGATGGGGACCTCACCACGGCCATTGCAGCCTTGTAGACTCGATCCGGCACATTTATTGTTGGTTAATGTGTCAAGCAATATTTAAAATCCCCGTAGATAAATTTTGGGACGATGTGTCCTACACTCATATGAACGAGGCTTCAGTCTCTTATACCTATACACTACGTACCTAGTCCTTAAGTGTTATTTCGTAGACTATGAGGGAAACAGAATTGGAGAGCGATGATGATGAACTACTATGAAGATGAACTAGACAAAAGGGGATCGTGAGGCATAGATACAGCCTCCGGCAAAAAGTGCATCATTCAAGGAAAGTAGGGAAGGGTATATTAACTGTCAAAGGTAAGGGTGTGCAATAATGAGACGCTTGGATGGCCGGCATTGAAAACGTGTATAGATGATGTGTAGAATAATAATCAAAGTCGGACTTGGCCGCCGTTCAATCGCTCCCAATCCTTCCGCCCAAAGGGAACATAGGTATTGCCCTGCAACCAGTAAAGGCGGTCATTCTGGGAGACTTGCGAGACGTCGACCCCTTCGGTGCGGAGAACATGCTTCTGCTGTTTATTGTTCCCGGTCGACGCCATCTGTGGCATGACGCGGATGAAAAGCGGAGTAGCAAAGCGCGGGAGGTTTTTAAGGGTATAAGCAGCGAGGCTGTCGAGAGTTGTCTGCGATGGTTCTAGGGCAGGGCCTGAAGTGTTGCCGCTGGCAAGCTGCTGGTTGAAGATAATCGCCGCACACCCAGCACGGCCATCGTGATTGGGGAGAGCTACACCATACACATTGGCTTCGTACACTTCAGGATGAGAGCCCAGAACCTCGGCGACTTCGTTAGTGGAAACGTTCTCACTCTTCCACCGGAAAGTGTCGCCCAGGCGGTCTGAAAAGAACCAGCGTCCATCCTTGTCCCATCGAACCATATCGCCCGTTCGGAAATACGCATCGCCCTTTTTCAACACATCACGGATAATCTTGCTCTCTGTCGCCTTTGAGTTCTGGAAATAGCCTTGGAAATTGGCGCTGGGGTCTGTGGCGTCGATTGCAAACAGAAGTTCCCCTGGGTCCCCGCGAGGCACTTTCTTGCAGAGGCCAGTCTTTGGATCTCGCCAGGGCTCCTGGGTTTCGTAGTCAATATCGACAACGGCAGTACCACGGCCGAAAACCACGTTGCCGATAGCGCCGTTGCGACCGATAGCACCGGCGGAAAAATCATTGGTTGATTTGTTCCACTGACCTGCGGTTCCCTCGGTCGCGGCATAAAATTCAGCAATTGTAGGAATATTGAAGCGCTCCTTGAAGCGATTCCAGATATCTGGACGAAGGCCATTGCCAAATGCAAGCCGGATATTGTGCTTCTTATCCAGGTCTTCGCCGGTGACAGGGTCAATCTCCGGCGGCACACCCAAGATGTAGCGTAGGGTCTCTCCCACGTACTGAATAATTGTCGCATCATTTTCTCGAGCTTCCTTGATGAAATTGCGAGCAGAAAACCGGCGCCCGACGATCATAGTGGCTCCGCTCATCAAGCATGTCACAAACCCAAGAACTGAGGCTGACGAATGATAGAGGGGCATGCAGGTGAAGAAGCGATCGGACAAGGTAAGATTCATCCAGTCCGCGACAAACAAGCTGCCACCCCAGCACTTCTTCCAGCTCACAATAGCCGGCTTGGGAAGACCAGTCGTACCACTGGTATAGATCAAGATGGCCATGTCGCGTGGTAGCTGGCTGCCGCGAGCCTGATCATCCTCCCTCGTAGGTTCCATGTCGAGTACCTGAGACTCGACATCGGCCGTGAAGAACAAGACCTTCACCGCGCCTTTTCCATCACGGAAGCTCGAAGAGGCGAAGGTCTTCAACAACTCTGGAGGAAAGCAGTTGCGGACCTCTTCATCGACGATAAGAAGTTTGGTGGTCGAGGTCCGAACGGAGTGGGCGAGGGGCTTCCCAGAAAGGTTATAATTGATAAAGGCAGGGACGGCTCCGATGCTCCAAAGGCCGAGGACCATGAATAGGAAAGTCGACGAGTTCATGAAGTCAATTGCAACAATCTCCTTGCGTCGGACTCCTTGCACGCTCTTGAACCAAGCCCCATAGCGTAAAGCCATCAGATAAGTGTCATGGAACGTCCATGTCCGGCCATTGTATACGATAAACTCATGATCGGCAGTCGCCGGAGAAAGCGCATGTTTTTCGAGGACGTAGAACAGATTCAGTTTATCGTCACGTTCCGCAAACCGAAATTTGAGCGACATCTTGAGCAGGGATTTGATGAGGCCCATATCATAAAAGAGGGACCATCTCGCATTCAGGTAAGCCGCAGCAGCCGCGACAGCTGGGAGGCCGTAGCGAAGAGGAATTTCTATTCATGGTGCTATCATCAGTTTCGGCATTCACGGTCAACCCTGCTTCTTATGCACATACCAGATAAATACGGCACTGGCATCCTGGAGCTGAGCACCAGCACTCAATGGGAACTGTCACTGCGTGAGATATTTTGGTACAGGGGGTGCGATCGTGAGATAGGCGACACAAAGACTGCAGCCGTTGCGTCGATCACCCTGGAATGCGGCGGTCCACGGCAATATTAGAATCCTCAGTGGAGTCCTGGAGGAACCAGGCAGGCTTTTTACTAAGAAAGCAAATACTGCCAGTCTGCGACAACTAACGGCAACAAGGGGAGGGGTTGGGTTTGAACTGTGACGGAGTTATGAAGTTGCCTCGGCTCAAATATGCTGATCCGCCCGGTCGCACGAGCATCCCGCCATGTGTCATCCCCTCCAAAATGTCACGGTGGATTTAGTAAAATGGGAGGTTCACATACAGCTTACGATTCAATTGTGCCTATATCCTTGAAACATTGCTAATAGAATGGATATTTAAAGACAATCTTTCACTCAGGAATGGATGAGAGAGATGTATGCTCCAGGCTACTTGCTTTAGCGTACGGGAGCTCCGGATGATGTCCTAGTAGGTGCTCCACTCGTAAACTATCATTTGGGCCCACCTTCACACTACTACTGACGACCATCAAGAGACTTCGAATGTCTTGTTCTCGCTAGCTGTATTGGTTAGCTGTTTCTGGATATATCGGGGAGGCAAGGAAACCAAATGGTGCCCCCCAAAAAAACTCGGAATGTACAAAGCAAGAAACTTTCGAGCTCGCAGGTAGTGATGTTATTGGTAAGCGCCCTGACGCCCCAAATGCACCATGCTTGATATTGACTGCTTCAACACCGATACACCGCTTCAATCGCTGCGGCAGTCCACGACATAAGCAAGATCTCAGCACACCTTGCACTCTCATGGTCGTCACACTAGAAAATTCTGTATATGCAGCAAAGTACTTAGCATCAACCAACAGGATATCATGGTCTTTGGTATGTTTCTCTCATGGACTTCGTAGATATGGACCTTAAAATAGGGATTCAAAATATACCTCTCATCTACTGGGTTTCCAGTTCGAAGATTCATTAAATAAAGATCTTTTTTCATCGGGATAATTACAATTCAAATCAATTGCAGGGTTTGACCTTCTTCAACGAAGGAACCTCATCGTAGTCCTCATCCATAAATTCTCGTAATTCCTTCAGTCCCTGCTCCAGCACCATCGTCTCACAGGCATATCCAATGCGAACATAACCCTTAAAGTCCTCGCCCCCACCAAAGCAGAGACTGCCCGGGACAAACATCACGCCCTTCCGTTCTTGCAGCATTTCGCAGAAGGCGATGTCGTCGATTGGCTTTCCCATCTTGTTGAATCGAACGAAAGCTGTCGTACCCGCTCGAGGCTTAATCCAGTCGCACGCCCACCGATGGTCTTCAATGAACTTCTCCAGGATAGCCAGGTTGGATCGAGCAAGGTCGATATTACGCCTCAGAAGATTGTGGATGCACTCTGGGGCAAGGGCAAAGCTTGCCACCGCATCATCAAGCTGGCCCACAGAGATAGTTGTATAGTCGCGAGCACTGGCACAAGCTTCGATGAGAGAATTATTTCCCGACGCGATCCAGCCCACACGAAGACCAGCCAGGCTGTATGCTTTTGAGATTGAGCCTGTCACCACACTGTGTTCGTATCCAAAGGAGAGGAGGGATGGAGGAAATTGTGAGTCCATGGGGCTGATGTTGTGGAAAAGCGGGCGGTATACTTCATCGGCAAAGAGAGTTATGGAGGCCTCACGGGCCACATCCACTAGGCTCTGGAGAGTATCACGCGGGATGATGGCACCAGTCGGGTTCTGGGGGTTACTATGACCAGAAAACTTGGTTAGAAACATGACACGACGAGAGCGGAGTGCGGACGAACTTGATAATAATCAGCTTCGTGTTGGGCCGGATCATCCCTTTCAGCTCTTCGATATCCAACTGCCACCCATCCGCCTCCTTTGACTTCCAGAGTGTGACTTCAGCACCAAGAGACTCGGGGACTGAGTAGAGTTGCTGATATGTGGGGTAGTGGCAGATAACATGGTCGCCTGGCCCAACCAAAGTATACAGCAACAGGAAGTTGGCCTGAATGGCCCCCGCAGTGATCAACACATTTTCCTTTGAAACCAATCCTGGAATCTTCGCGGAATATAGATTACTCAGAGTCCCTCGCAGTTTTTCCGAACCCCGAATTGCCCCATACGTGAGTTTGGTGGACTGGAGCTGGGTCAAGGGGTTTGTTTCCTTGGCCTCGGATAACTCGCGCAAGTCGTCGATGGAAAGCGAAGCACAGCATGTCTCGGCAGTGTTGTACTTGGCAGTAAGCTCATATTTATCCATCCACTTTTAATCGAGTCAGTCCAGTCCAATGGTCTTGCAACATCCCAAGAAAAAGATGGACAACCTATCCAGGTGCAAATGCGGGGGGTACCTGTTCAACCGCAAAAGCTTCGAGCTTCACCATCTTGGCCAATGGTGAGATTCAGAATGAGGTGGGAATATTCCTGCGGTGCTCTTTCTTGTTCTTTGGTCACAGATGTCCACTGACCGTCAAAGCCACAACCGGAGAAGATTCCAAACGAGATATCGCCGATGCTCCGCGGGGCGCCAAATCTCCAAATCACGTGACTTTCCCCGCACCGAGTGGAGGGGCCTTGGTGCCTGAGAGAAGCTTAATTGTTCAATTGTAGGAAGGTCAGTCATGGGTTTTCCCTAGGGATCAATTCAGGATATTTGAAGATATTTCGTATTTTCTATTTCACATATAAGGGGTTCGTTCCACCTTGCGTGCCGGAAAAGCTAGAGGCATCAAAAGAGTACCGAGCGGATGGTAAATTTTCGATATCAAACCTCTATTCCCATTGCCATCTTCTTTTTTGCAGTCATTTCTATTGATTGGGTTTTTATTTGGACGATGAATTTAAATTTCCTTTCTCGGGGAGTTTCCAACCTGGGTAGCCAGTGTGCTTCCTGTGAAAGCCTCGTGGGGGCCGATTCCACCTTGAAACAACTCAGAAGAATAAGTGTGGAAGGAAGCCTCCCAATTGAAGCACTCAACTTTTTTGACCCACTCGGGCTTGGAGAACACAATGGATCAAGCCTAGTCAGGCAAAGACCATCAGTTTGAAGATTCGTTGTGAGTTCCTGGTCGCAGCTCTCCAGCTCTGCGATTCGCTATCACACCATTTTATGAGGATAAATGGGGGCCAGGGCCAGTTCTTTTGGGGGGCCGAAACACCTTGTGGGTTTGGGTGCATTGCAAGGCGGCCTGTGATAACAGGGAAATTGCTCAATGAAATAACAAAGCTCAAGGTTACCCGGGCCCTGATCTCTTCTTCGCCTCTCCCAACTTTTCATATTCGACAGGTTGGACTATTACCCTTGACTCTGATACCATCATGGCCGTCCCTTCATACACATCCTACGATTACATCATTGTCGGTGGGGGAATTTCCGGGACCGTGATCGCTTCACGTCTCCGTGAACAGCTTCCTGCTTCTTCGATCCTCCTTCTCGAAGCGGGGAAGGATCCTGTTGGTCACCCTGTGACCGGAGCTGCGTTGGCAGTTTTTGGATTCCACCACTCGGACCTCGACTGGGACTTTACATCAGTTCCCCAATCTCAGCTCAACAATCGGGCCTGCTATCAGGCGGCTGCCAAATGTCTTGGTGGGGGCTCGTCTATCAATTATAATACTTGGCTCAGAGGCCCCAAAGCAGACTACGATCGATGGGCAAAACTGGTTGAAGACGACCAATGGAGTTACGATCAACTTCTCAAGTACTTCGAAAGGGTTGAAGCGTCCCCCAGTCATCCAGGGGGCAAGATTCATGTAAACTCGGTTACCCAATCTCACCCAGATCGCAAATATCCTCTTCGTGATGCCGTCCTCGCGGCCTGGGAAAGCACGGGACTGAAGCATAACCCTGCTCCTAATGAGGGAGACCCTTTGGGAATCACCGAACTCTACGAGAACCGAGATGGAGGGCAACGGCAGTTCGCTCACAAAGTCTATAATCTGGATAAGGTTGATATCTTGACTGAAGCCCAGGCTGCCCGCATTTTGATCTCCGGGGACACGGCCAACGGCAAGAAGGTGGCCAACGGGGTAGAACTGCTCGATGGACGTCGTTTCCATGCCCGCAAGGAAGTCATCGTTTCTTGCGGAGCATACAATACCCCCAAGCTATTATTGCTCTCGGGTATTGGGCCCAAGGAGCAACTCCAGGAGCATGGTATCCAACAAGTGGTCGATGCGCCTGAGGTGGGACGTAATTTCCATGATCATCCCGCGGTTGTCTTGATTTGGAAGCTAAAAGAGGGTGACTCCAATCTGCCGATGAGCGCTATCGGGGCTAATCCCGGCTTCCAAGTGGGATTGCCCGCCGACTGGGTGGTTTTCGCTGGCCTTGATAGCCAATTAATCCGGAATGCCCTAATCAAGGATGGCGAAGATCCCGAAGGGGTGGAAGGACAATATCTGTTGAATGCAAACAACATTTTCACTGAGACTCTCAGTGTGTACGCCCCAGCGGGTGCTAATCATGCCGACATGGATATACCGTTCGACGGTCGACACGTCTCCACCCCAGTGCTAGGAATGCTTCCTACCTCTCGAGGCAGTATCACATTGGCCTCCAACGACCCCACCACCGCACCCCGAGTCGATCCAAACTACTACGCCACTGAGGTTGATCGGACCGCGTTGCGCACCGGCATAAGGCGGGCAGTTAAGGCCTTCCGGGAGTCAGCTGCAGTGAAAGATTTGGTGGAAAGTGAGGTTCCACCGGACAATTTCCCTCCGCTTCATGCCGACTCCTCCGACGAGGAAATCGATGATCGTGTTCGACGGGTGGTCAATACTTTCTTCCATGCGGGTGGTAGTTGTGCGATGGGCAAGGCCGTCGACAGCGAGCTGCGTCTCTATGGGGTAGAGGGGCTTCGAGTCGTGGATGCCAGTGTTCTCCCAACGCCGATTGCTGCTCACTACCAGTATTGCATCTACACTGTAGCGGAAAAGGCTGCCGAGCTTATTGCTGCTCGTCACACCTAAATAATTCTTCACCGAGAGTTTCAAATGGCAGTTCATGTGGTAACCCTATAGCAATCGAAGTGCCTTGTACTGCAACATGTAGAGGTCACTTGCTTTGGGGGAAGTAAACACGGATTAAGGCAATCAGAAGGTTCAGACTGAGTAGTGAGAGAATCAACATCCAAATAACATTGAATGTGTAGTTGTTGAGTGTTCTCAGTTACTTTCGACGGGGGTTGGCACATCAATGCACCAATACCTTGCTCGACGCCAGTCTGAGTATCCAACAATGAAGCGGCTGGGTGCTGAATGTTCTACATAGTAACTGCTAAGTACTAGTCTATCAAAAGACACCGACCCCTCCTGTGAGCTTGGGCGTGATCAAGTTGGGTCGCCTTGATATGTCTCTGTCTACCAATACTATTCTGGTATTCTGCCACGGGAAAGTAAAAAGAAACTAACGCCTGGCGCGGTCGGCAGATGCTCAAACGGGCATCTGCATTGTTGATCCTCTCGAGTCTCTCAAACTATCGAAGCGCCATGTTCCTCGGTGTCACCCGGTCCTCTTGATGCGGGCTGTTCCTGGACGGCAAGCCACCGCCCGCTTCTCCGCCCGCGTCATCGTCTGGGGCCATCTCACTCGTCTCCACTCCACTTGGAGAACACCCCAGCCCCAACAGTGCAGCATCTTTCAACAGCACCGACGAAACCACTAACACGGATGATCAAATCTGGTTATCAGCTCTAAGCACCCCCGGCGATCGGTTCCCGCATTCTTATATCGGTCACCAACAACGGTGGTGCATTCCAATAGGGCCTAGGCACCTGGCAACCACCCTTGCTCAACATGCGGTCGGCATCTGCCTTCCTCCTCTCGATTATCACTTTTACATCCTGTTCAGTCACTGCAACAGCATGGAGTGATGTCTACGATGTGAATCTGGTCCCTCGATCACCGTATCCACTCCTCGATGACCGGCCCCCGAGTGTCCGCCATGTTTCAACTGCCAGCTCGACTCCTACAACTGCACCCACTTTGCTCCTTGTAACAAGTACAATGGCAAATGCTCATGTCCTCCAGGATTTGGAGGAGATGACTGCTCGACTCCCGTGTGCGGCTCATTGGCAGATGGCGAAAACCGACCAAAGCGCGAAGGCGAATCGTGTGACTGCAACGATGGCTGGAGTGGCATCAACTGCAATGTCTGCGAATCAGATAGCGCTTGTGATGCCATGATGCCCGAAGGCCAGGGTGGAAGATGTTACAAGCAGGGTGTTACGGTCAAGCAGAACTTCCAGATGTGTGATGTGACGAATCGCAAAATCGTGGATCAGCTTGACGGCCGGAAGCCTCAGGTGACATTTTCATGCACGGCTGAAGATCATACTTGCAACTTCCAGTTCTGGGTGGGCCAGAAGGAGTCTTTCTACTGCGGCCTTGATACTTGTGAGTGGAACATCGAATCTGAGGCTGACTCCAACACGACAAACTACAAGTGCGAGAACGCGCACTGTAGCTGTATCAAGGACCGATTCCTCTGTGGCGAGAATGGATCCATCGATCTCAGCGCCTTCCTTGATATTTCGATCAAAGGACCTGCGACTTTCTCCACAAAATCTACAGCGACAGGCAGTAAGAGCAGTTTCTCTGAGCCTGAGATGAATAAATTGATTAGCGGAGTCTTTGGAGACCCCAATATCTTTTTGTCTTGCGACTCTGGAGAGTGTCTGTACAAAACAGACGAACCGGGTTATGAACGTCCGATCAAGAAGATCAATACTCCGCTCATTGCTGGTGTGATTGCCGGCTGCTCTCTGTTTGTGGTTGCAGTCATCTTGCTGGTGTGGTACCTCTCACGTCGGGCTGCCCGCCACGGCTATGCCCTTCTGGCTCTCTCAGATGATTCGGACGACGAGACAGCCAAGCTCCTCGAAGACCACCGACCAGCCGCTCTGTATTGGGATAATGTATCCTATAACTTGAATGGCAAGGAGATTCTCTCTGGTATTCAGGGTGCATCGGCCCCGGGGCAAATCACGGCAATTATGGGAGCTTCCGGCGCTGGCAAGACTACTTTCTTGGATATCCTTGCCCGCAAGAACAAACGCGGTTCTGTCCATGGTAACTTCTATGTGAACGGTGAGAAGATAGGAGACCACGACTTCAAGAGCATGGTCGGTTTTGTTGATCAAGAAGATACAATGCTTCCAACCTTGACCGTCCATGAAACCATCTTGACCAGCGCTTTGCTGAGATTGCCCCGGGACATGAGCCGAGCGGCTAAGGAGCAAAGAGTCTTGGAAGTTGAGAAGCAGCTGGGAATCTACCATATCAAGGATCAACTCATTGGCTCAGAAGAAGGCAAAGGGCGTGGTATTTCTGGTGGTGAGAAGCGCCGAGTCGGCATTGCTTGCGAATTAGTGACTAGTCCAAGCATTCTTTTCTTGGATGAACCTACTAGCGGATTGGTAAGTCTGGCTTCAATTTCATCGTTGTTTTTTTTTCATTCGCTTACCATATCTAGGACGCTTTTAATGCCTTTAATGTAGTCGAATGTCTGGTGACCTTGGCCAAGACCTACAACCGTACAGTTATTTTCACCATCCATCAACCACGCTCCAATATCGTCGCTCTATTTGACCGACTTATCCTCCTTGCGGGCGGCCGTACCGTCTACTCCGGTCCTTTCTCAACATGCCAGCAATACTTTGATCGCATTGGCTACTCCTGCCCACCAGGCTTTAATATCGCGGACTACCTTGTCGACTTGACGATGCATGCTGGCGCGGCCACCACGTACACAGATGAGGTAGCTTCATCAGTGGATGCTCGCACTGGCCCGCCCAAGACTGCTTCGAGCAGCTTACGAGCTGTCAAGTCGGTTGCCAGTGCGTCGAATGTCAGTATCAGTATTGAGGAAAATCAAAGTGGCGGTGAGACCACAAAGACACACAATAACAACCGCCGAGTCTCCGTGAAACAGCAGCAGGAGCGCCAGCTTTATTCGCGCCGAAAAGATCAGGATCAACGCCCAACAACGCCCAAAACTGACGAGGAAGATGCCACGCTCGACACGGCTGAGAATACCCAACAATGGCTGCGCCTTCATCGTCAGCAGGGCAGTGTTCCGCCTCAGATTCTCGATGACCCAGATCAATTACCTCCTCCAGCACCTGGTCAGACCGATCTGGACATTCTGTTTGCCAGTTACGCCGACTCTGATGTTTGCCGTTCCGTTACCGATGAAATTATCGCAGCTGTCCAGGCGGCACAGGCCGCCAATGGCTCAACAAACTCGCAGATTATGTCGGGCCCGGCAGCCGGTCAGCCCATGAGCTACGCTCGAGTCAGTCTGGCTCGCCAATTTATCATTCTCTCGCAGCGGACCTGGCGTAACCTTTACCGTAATCCCATGCTCATGCTCACGCACTACGCCATTGCCATTCTTCTCGCGGTCCTTTCCGGATATCTCTTTTATGGCCTGACCGACGACATCAAGGGTTTCCAGAACCGTCTTGGTCTCTTCTTCTTCCTTCTGGCCTTGTTTGGCTTCAGCACTCTGACGAGTTTGAATGTTTTCTCTACTGAGCGGCTTCTCTTTGTCCGCGAAAGAGCCAATGGCTACTACCACCCTGTCACATACTTCGCGGCCAAGGTTGTCTTTGATATTGTGCCTCTGCGACTGATCCCGCCTATCATTATGGGTATTATCGTTTATCCCATGACCGGGTTGATTCCCGCAGGACCCGAGTTCTTGCGCTTCCTGCTTGTTCTGGTCCTATTCAACTTGGCCGCGGCTAATATCTGCCTGTTTATCGGTATTGTCTTCCGGGATGGTGGCGTAGCAAACCTGATTGGAAGCCTCGTGATGCTGTTCAGCTTGCTCTTTGCGGGTCTCTTGCTCAATCACGATGCGATTCCCGACTCAGCCTTGTGGTTGCAGAGCGTAAGTCCAGTCCGGTCGGGACCTGAATCCTACGTTTACTGACATTTTTTCTTTTCTACAGCTTTCCATTTTCCATTATGGTTTCGAGGCGCTGATTGTCAATGAGGTCACATTCCTCACGCTGATCGATCACAAATATGGCTTGGATATTGAAGTGCCCGGTGCATCCATCCTCAGTGCTTTTGGTTTCAACAACCTTGCTTACTGGTCCGACGTCATCGGCCTTGCTGTGATTTCCGGCGCTTTTATCATTATTGCATATGCAGCGATGCATTTCCTGCTTGTCGAGAAGCGATAATTCTCGAACTTGAATTTTGTCTCATATACCACTATGGTCTCATGACACGCACCTTCCCATGCCTCGGTAGCATTTTACCATTTAGGTATACTTTTATCTTCGTTTTAGTTTCTCTGGGAATGGCGTTGTCGTATCTCCGTTTTCTCTGTATGGGAAATCTCACTTGGATCTTCGAGTAAACCAGGTGTTTGTACAGGAGCCTCCATGTCTCAAATTTGGCCTTCACCTCAGCCCCGGCGTGAGAGCAAAGTTGGTAGGGAGGGAGAGAGTGTGTATATAGATCATCTTTTGCGCCTATCAATAAATTTTAGGATTGTTTGGTATGTTGTATTCCTAAAATTGGTAGTATTCTATCCACCCAACTCATGCGATATACTCTCCTCGCAAAACAATCCACGGCGCCTCTCGAATTAATCATCGCGGGCCACTTGGAATGCGGAGCACGTGTACGACGTCATGCTTTCGCGACTCACTCAAGCGCCTCATTTCTTTTTCTTGCCATCTCCTTTCAACAAGAGCATCATATTTTCACTTTCCGCCACTTTCACGTCTTTCAAGTTTTTCACGTTGCTTTCCCAGCTCCTTTTTTGGATTGTGTTCGTATGGTGGCCCCTCCCGTTTATCGGCGCGCTAACGCCCGCTGTTGGTAGTTCATAGTCGGTTGCCCACCGCCGACCCGTTCAGGTTGGCGAGGTTCGCTAACTGCACCCCAACCTCGCAAAGCTCCTCCTCACTTCGCCCGCAGACTCCCTTCTGTTCTTGTCCGTCTCCACCGACCGTGCTATTACGCAACCCCCGATTTGTGAGTTGAGCTCCGGACCCCTCCTGCAAAGAGTTTTCGGGTCTCTTCGCGCTTCCTCTGTCTGCCTCGAGGCCTCGGACCCCACAAAAGCCCATCTCCAATTCCGGCCTCTACGGTCCGCACCACGGCTTGACTTCTTCCCCAACCCGCATCCCCACCCCCTTGTCACCACCTCCAAGCTGACCATCTGGCCAAAGAAGTCTTCTAAATCATTGAATCCCTCTTCATCTCTCTGGCGCTGTCGTTTTTGTGTTGCCCATCATGTCCGGCGAAGCGTGGCTCTACCTGTTGTCAGTGTTGATCAATGCGGTCAACCTGTTCCTCCAGGTCTTCTTCACCATCATGTATAGCGATCTCGAGTGGTAAGTCCTTCAATCTATCCGCATTCTGGGATTTTTCTGCAAGCTCTATGATCTGCTTAGAAGAATGTGGCTAACTCGTGTCTCCCCTTTTCACGTGAAGTGACTACATCAACCCGATCGACCTCTGCAACCGCCTGAACGCCTACATCATCCCCGAGGCCGCTGTTCACGCTTTCCTGACCTTCCTCTTCATCATTAACGGTTACTGGCTCGCGATCGTTCTGAATCTGCCACTCCTGGCGTTTAATGCGAAGAAGTATGTACCGCTGTGCCTTCTAGCGTTCTTCGAGCCTGTTCCCCTCTCCGACCACAAGGCTAATCGGATACTTTCACGGCTTATAGGATTTACGAGAACCAGCACCTGCTGGATGCGACTGAGATTTTCCGGAAGCTGAATGTTCACAAGAAGGTTGGCGACTTCTGTTCCCCGGGATTCTGTCCTCGATATTTGAGTGTGTGATTGATTTGTTCGCGCGCTTTTTAGGAATCGTTCATCAAACTGGGCTTCCACCTCCTGATGTTCTTCTTCTACTTGTACAGCATGATCGTTGCTTTGATCCGCGACGAGGGCAACTGACTGCGTACTAAGACCGAGCATGCAATGCGCTATGGCCGACCCAACTAGCTCAAGAATCTTGTCACGCCGGCAAACGTGTTTCTCGGGGTTAATGTCATTCACTATTGCTGGGTGATCGCCTCCTTGGGCTATACTTGTCGGACATTGTTGCATCCTCCTCCAGGTCACCGCCGACGGTCATTGTACTGCGGAGCCTCTGTACCGCGCGGCGGGTTCTGGACGAATGATTAACGGATAACGTGTGAGGATTGTCTCTTTTCATTGTTGAAGTTAGATGGCTTGGTTTGGGACACAGCGTTGAGTAAAAGAGATTATCTCGTGGATATTTCTTATGCGGTAGTGTGTGGTGTTTCGAGGGCTCTGGGTTGGATTGGTCCGCAGAGGCTCTTGAACCCTCTTCTGGCTTTCATCCCAGATTCACCTTCTTGTTTTCTTCTCCTTATTTTTGTCTTTCTATGTTGATCTTGCCATTTCTTTCGGCCTGTGGGCTGTATATACCTCCAAGTGGGTTGGCAATGAAGAGCGTACGATACCCAGTCCTTTGCCACTTTTTTCTGCTCCACGTAAATTCAGGTAGATATAAGATTCTCAGTAAAACGGTCAGCCCAAAATCTTGAATTGAAAGAAGTAATTGTGTCGTGGGCGAAAAACACTGTTTTGAGCAACGAACGTCTGTTCGCGGTCGGCAACTTGCCGACTTTCACTTCGCGGGTCTCCCGACGCCCGTAAAATTCCCATCTACCCAATTGCCCTAGCAAGCCATCTCCACGCCATCCTCATTCTTTTGCGGTTGTGGGTGGCCCTTCATTCGCCCGCCTTCTTTTCTTCCTCACAATAAAAATGGCGACCTTGTTAGGCGCTGGCTATGAGTCCAGTGACGACGACGTCACTGTTCCCAAGCCTTCAGTGACGCCCGCCACGACGGTCGTCGCGGCACCTGAAGTCAATACAGAGGTTTGGTCCCCCACCTGATCCCGATACCTCCTTTCCTGTTCCGAATTTCATAATTTCAGATTATTCATGGCGAACAGATATGGCTAACTACCCCATAGGACCAGGCACATATGCAGATGACCCTCGCTAACACCTCGTCGCAAGCTCTCACGTACAATGCCACATACGATGATTTAATGCGTCCGTCGCAGGGTCCTGTGAACCCATTCAAACCCGTCGAGGCAGGAAATGGAATCAAGCGCAAGAATGTTCCCACTGGATTTGCGGAGGAAGCCGCCATCAGCGAGTCGACATTCGCCGCGCAACATCGGACGTTCCAGAGTCTCGGCTATTCACGCAACCCTACTCTACCAGACCAGTTTGTTGGAAATATGGACAAGGTTGCGCAGTTCGGAGGTCGTGATGTTGTGCAGATGAAGCCTACCAAGTCAGCTTCAGCAGCGTGGCGTGCAAAGCGTCAAAAGAAAGGCGACTCGAGCATTGTGGAGGGTGAAGGAGCATACCTTGGGCCCTGGGCAAAATATCAAAACCAGGAGCAATACGACGACATCGAGGTTGGTTCGGGCGAGGAACGTGAGCTTGCGAGCGATGAGGAATACGTGGATGAAGAAGACGAGACTCTGGTCCCCTCAGCGCCCATGCCGGCCATGAGCAAGGAGGCCACCGACTACCAAGGCGATACTTCCAAGGTGGAAACTACTGAATTCCATGGCTCAGAGCAATTCGACTACCAGGGCCGTACCTACATGCACGTGCCTCAGGACCTGGACATCGACTTGCGCAAAGAAGTCGGCAGCATCAAGAACTATGTTCCCAAGAAGCTGGTGCACACGTGGAAGTCGCACACAAAACCTATCACCTCTCTTCGTTTCTTCCCCAACTCGGGTCACTTGCTGCTTTCCGCGGCTGCAGATGGAAAGGCCAAGATTTGGGACGTCTACCACTCCCGCGAGCTGCTGCGGACTTTCTCGGGCCATTCCAAGGCCATCACCGATACCGACTTCCACCCTTCAGGCAAGACATTCCTCACTGGATCATATGACCGACAAATCAAGCTCTGGGATACCGAGTACGGAAAGTGCCTGGGCCGGTTCTCAACGGGCAAGACTCCGCACGTCGTGCGCTTCAATCCCGGCGCCGAGCACTCCCATGAGTTCCTGGCCGGTATGTCCGACAAGAAGATCGTTCAGTTCGACACCCGCTCCGGGGAACTGGTCCAAGAATACGACCATCACTTGGCGGCGATCAACACCATCACCTTCGTGGACAACAACCGCCGCTTCATCTCAACCTCTGACGACAAGTCCCTGCGCGCCTGGGAGTACGGCATCCCCGTGCCCATCAAGTTCATTGCCGAACCGTACATGTTCGCTCTCACCCGGGCAACTCCCCACCCTAACGGCAAATACGTGGCCTTCCAGTCCGGCGACAACCAGATCGTCGTGTACGGCGCCACCGACAAGTTCCGCCAGAACCGGAAGAAGAGCTTCCGCGGCCACAACAATGCCGGCTACGGTATTGACATCAAGGTCTCGCCGGATGGCCAGTTCCTGGTCTCCGGTGACAGTGGCGGCTATGCCTGTTTCTGGGACTGGAAGACTGGCAAGATGTATCATAAGATCCTGGCTGGCGGTAAAGAGGGCGGCGCGATCACCTGCCTGGACTGGCATCCTCAGGAAACGAGCAAAGTGGTGACTGGCGGCCTAGAAGGCGTTATCAAATACTGGGACTAATTCACGGCGGCTCTGGGTTGTCTATGTATATCGGGCTGTTTGAGGCGTTCCGAGTAATTCTTTTTCGGCGGAGCATTGCTCCTCTTATAGCAGGCGGGATTTTTTTCTTCTCTTTTCTCCCTTTAGTTGTTAACAAAGGCAAAAAAACGCTTCCAATCCATTTTTTTACTCTCGGTAGTAGAGTATCCAAATATACAGTAGTCTATGCGCTGTCAAAGCGGAAATGGTAACTATGTTCACAAGAAAATGCAATTCCACCAATATTCTTCCTTACCCCTAAATCATCCCCCATCTATCGAGAAACATGCCCCCAAGTCCTCGCTACTTGCCGCGCGACACGGTGAATGATCGAGACAGGCGAGAAACGGCGTGGAGCCCTCCACATCAGCACCGAGAATGCTGTCGCCCCCATGACCAGCGCGGACATCAGACCAACGCCCAGAATCTGGCTCTGTCTTTGCACGGCACTGACGACTTCTGAGTAGCGCTGGTTGCTGAAGCTGATGCGGGCGTACTGCGTCTTCCAGCCCACGCACGGGAGGTGCCGGTCGACAGCTTCCTCGATAGTCTTGCGCAGCCTGTACAGCGGGGACTTGACGCCCCAGCGCATCTCGACGTAGTTCTGCTTGGAGAGGTCGTTGATGGCGTGGGTGTCGTCACAGCGCTCGTCGGTGTAGGCCTGGAATGCGGCCTGGCGGCGCACGCTGCGGGTGTAGACGCTCGTGTCGGGGTCGTAGACGCCGTGGTGGTCAAGCTGCTCGAACAGCACGCGGACGTCCTCGAGGCCGGCGTTAAGGCCCTGACCATAGAAGGGAAGTACGGCATGCGCGGCGTCACCAATGATCGCGACGCTTGAGCTGTGGTGGTGCGGCTTGCACTTGATGCTAATCAGCGGCAGGTGCGGATTCACGGCGAACTGCTCGCTCAGGGCCTCGGGGTCGATGAGTTCCGGGCAAACGCCGGGGAAATGCAGGTCGAAGAAGTCCTGTAGGCCCTGGGGTGAGTTCTCAAGGGCTGTGTAGTGCACCGAGGGGGCGAAGAGAGTGCATGTAAACGACTTGTCATCGGATGGCAGCGCAATGAACATAAACTCGCGGCCGGGCCAGATATGAAGGTGGTTTGGAGAAATACGGAAATCCCCGTCCGCAGAAGGCGGGATACGGAACTCACACCAGAGGGTATCGATATACTCCTGCTGGTAATCGACTCGCGCGAACTTCATCATGTGGAACCGGGTGGCCGAGTGGGCTCCGTCGGCACCAATGAGGTAATCGAAGGAGACTTCAATCTCGGGGGATCGTCCGGCAACCCCCAAGTTGTCGGCCTTGGGGGTTTCGCCTGGGATACGGCGTTCAAACCATGCTTTATTAGTCCGGAAGTCGGCACCGGTCAACTTGTGATTGAAGAAGAGCTTGACGTTGGGCGTCCGCTCCAGCTCGTCGAGAAGTGCATTGTTCAAGTGACTGCGGTCAATTGCATTGATTGCCTAAAGCGAAAGAGAGGATACAACCCGTTAGTGGCTCTGGTGCAACCGTGCAGTGGTCCTGCAGGAGATCTGCGAGATGTGCATACCCGGCCATGGACGTCATAGGCTTGCGCCGCCTCCCACAATTCACCGCGGTCTCGGCCGTGGATCATCCGCCCGAACATAGGGATCGACTCGCGGAGCACATTTTCGATTAGGCCAGCGCGGTGAGATTGCTGAATAGATGTGATGCCGCGCTCGGAAATGGCCAAGTTGATCGACTTGGTGAAATTGAGCGGCACGGTGGCCGGGTCGCGGAGATCTACGGAGGCACGACGAAAACAATTAATTGAACTTTGTTCGGGAAATCTCGCAACGCGGGGAAAGAGGGATCGGAAGAGCCAGGGAAACCAAAATGGAAGCAGCGCAGAGATCAATTGTCAGATAAAACAGAATCTCTGCGCTTGAATGCAGACTGGTTTTGGTTGATATAGGGACCTTGTGAGACGTTGGGGCTTGTTATAAATTTTATTGCCTTTCGGACATCCATCGATGACCGGCGGGAGAAAAGCAATCTTCTCCTCGGGCGTTCATTTGTGCTTTTTTTTGGTTTCCTTGCCTTGCAACAGGAATCGGAACAAGAACAAGACCCCAAGTCAGACAAGAGGCATTGGGAAACGGAAAACGTACCTCCGCGCAACTCGTATACTTCGACCTCGTCACCACGGGATGCAGCGTACAGGGCCGCCAGGGACCCCACCGGCCCAGCACCCACCACCACGACCTTCTGCCTGGGAGACGCCGCTGCCATCGTGACTTTGGATGAAGACAAAGCAGACCCTGGATTCGTTCGGTTTCCCCGGATCGTAAGAGAGTCCCGTCACGTGCGGCGAGATCGGCCTTGCCAAATGAGGCAGTCTTCCCAAAACGATCGACGGGTGAATGTGCTGATTAATAAAATGGCGTGCCAGTCTCAGCGGTGCCTTGGTGCCTTGAGTCTCTGACGACCATGGTGCCTTGATGCCTTGTGGCCTGAATAAGTGCCCGGCGGCAACATGATCGGGTTAGTCTATTACGGGACTAGTGTGTGACTGTTGAATCCAAGAACCGCGGGGAATCGATTTCTTTTTTTTCAAGACCGATTCTTGACCAGGCAACAGCGCGTATTCTTTGCGGAACCTGGTTTGTCCTGGAGTCTTGCCATTTGACTCTATACACATCATGGCAACGGTTGCAACCAGAAAATGCACTGGGGTGGACTGCGGTAATGACGCCGGCTCCCTCCAGTGTCCGACCTGCCTCAAGATGGGCACTGACAGCTTCTTTTGCTCACAAGACTGTTTCAAGCGAAGCTGGGTGAGTATACTCGAAATTACAGGACGAGAAGACACGTGTTGTGCTTTTGGCTCCGGAAGATCATGCTAATGCGCATCTTTGCAGAGCGAGCATAAGACCATCCACAAGAAGAGTAATTTCCTCTCCAACCTATTCACCCCGAACGTTGTTTCTGAACCTGATCCAGCAACCGGCCACTTCAACCCTTTTCCTTCCTTCCAATACACTGGCAGCCTGCGACCGGTCTATCCCCTCTCGCCGATGCGGACCGTCCCCAGTTCCATCCCGCCCCCCGACTACGCCAAGGGCGGTATCCCGATCTCTGAGCAGAAGCTCTGGGGTCAGCATAAGATCAAGATCTTGAATAAGGAGGAACAGGAGGGTATGCGAACGGTCTGCCGCCTGGCTCGTGAAGTTCTGGATATTGCCGCGCGCGCCCTGAAGCCCGGCGTGACTACCGACTATATTGATGAGGTTGTTCACAAGGCTTGCGTTGAGCGTGAGGTATGAGATTTACTTTCTCTCCACAGTTACAGTAAATCAATCGCTAACCCCAAATCTCGGTTGCAGTCCTATCCTTCGCCCCTCAACTATATGCACTTCCCGAAGTCTGTCTGTACCTCCGTCAATGAGACCATCTGCCACGGTATCCCCGATCAACGACCGCTGGAGGACGGCGACATTGTCAACATCGATGTCACCCTGTACCATAAAGGCTTTCACGGTGATATCAACGAAACATACTATGTCGGCGACAAGTCCCTTGCAAACCCTGATGCCGTCCGGGTTGTTGAGACTGCGCGTGAGTGCCTGGACAAATCGATTGAGCTGGTGAAGCCCGGCATGCTGTTCCGTGACCCCGGCAATGTGATCGAGAAGCATGCCAAGTCCCGCAACTGCAGCGTCGTCAAGACCTACTGCGGCCACGGCATCAACCAACTTTTCCACTGTGCCCCCAACGTTCCCCACTACGGCAAGAACAAGGCCGTCGGCACCGCCAAGCCCGGTATGTGCTTCACCATCGAGCCCATGATCAACATTGGTACCCACCGGGACCGCACATGGCCGGATGACTGGACCAGTACCACCGCCGATGGGTCCCTGTCCGCTCAGTTCGAGCACACAATGCTGGTGACAGAGGATGGCGTGGAGGTCTTGACAGCCCGTCTGCCCGACTCGCCAGGTGGTCCGGTTCCGATGCCTGTGGCAGAACAGCAAGAAAATGGGAATTAAGTGAACTTATTGGATTTTTGCATCTATGTTCAGATACCTATATTGGGAGCAAAATAACGACTCATACATGCCTCTAAATCGAGCCTTTTCTCGTAATTTCTTTACTAAACATAGCTTACATATGCTTCTTTGCACTGTAATTCAATTTTTCCAATTCCTTGGAGGCTCAGTTGAGCATCAAAACTAAGAAAGCTTGTCTTGGAACTCGGATGTGGGGCCGTCTGATTGTCGTCATGAAATTACATTTGGATTTGACATGACCAGAATTGAAATTACTTGCATGGATCTTCCAAGTTTCTTTTAAATGGCTTATATGGAGCGTACAGATTAATGGGATATTGATGTCTCTTAATCTTACAAGTTTTGCATTTAGAGGTCAGTCATGGGTCCAAACGTCACACAAGGTTTCACAAGCTCTTGACCCTCTTGACCTTCAATTCTAATTGGATCAAAGTCTCCTTCGCCCTTGACATAAATCTTCGGATTCCATTGCTATCTATCACTACTCATTGCTGCATAGGCCATGACTCTCGGACGCGGGTGAGGATCTCATGCTCCGTCACGACGCATATTCAGCGGAGCCGGCAGAGCAAGCAACTTCGGCAGTATCATTTGCCGGAATAGAGAGTAGGGCTCTCAAATTGGGAACATCCTGCGACCCTCGTGACCTTTCATGCTCAGAGAGTGTCAGTGCTCTCGAGCATTCTGGATCGAACAACATGATGAGTAGTAAAGGCTCATGTGGGGCTCGCTCGATGGCACCTTGATCTATAAAATCGAGATATAAACTGCGCAGACACGACTCAAATTCCAGATGAGAGAAGAGTATTTTAACTCCGGGTCTTGATCAATATCGGAGACACTAGATATTAAGCTTAATCAGGATAACCAAACAAATCGCTCCGCAAAGATGCGACGGCGGTTTATGACAGTCGAACTTCAGCCCCACATCGTCGGACGGTCCTTGCCCTCTCCACATCGTGGATACCGCAGCACCACATTCGCATTGCCATTTCTTCTTCCCCCGTTTTGGTTTCTGTTTTGAATAATCATTTCTTCCAGCTGAGCCAGGAAGTGAATATCAGGTGTCCTACAATTCGTGTGGGTCAATAATTACGTTATCAGATTGAAAGCTACCTGGGAGAACCGGCAATAAAACATGGCCAGCCAGCTTCAGAGCGCACCGCCCTTCCGGGCCGAGCATATGGGCTCATTGCTGCGTCCCGATAACTTGCTCGAGGTTCGTGCTAAGATCCGTGATACTGGTATCACGGAGGAGTCGGCGGGCTTGCCTGCCGTTGAAAAGGAAGCAGTGAAAGATGTTGTCCAGCTCCAGCGGGATCTTGGTATTAAGGCTGTTTCGTCCGGCGAGTACAACCGTACTCGCTTCTGGGGCTTGATGTGGGATGAGTTTGAGGGTAAGCTTGATCCATCATCTATCTGATTACCAAAATATGTATACTGAGCCGGCATGCAGGATCCCTCCCTCTGCAGGATGCTGATGCTTCAATGTTCCGACTCTACCACCCTGATGTCGTCAGTCTCATTGAGAAGGACCGCAAGGTCATGCCCGGCGACTCAGTCATTGCTGGCTCCAAGCTCTCCTGGAACCCCGAGAAGTCCCTCTCCAACCTGCACGAGCTCAAGCTGGTTCAGGCCTCTCTTCCCGAGAGCGAGTGGGGAAACATCAAGCTTACCATGATCACCCCGGCCTGGTTCCACATGCGGTACAAGCAGGGCAAGGCATACACGCCGGAAGCATACGCCAATGATGCCGAGTATTTCCAGGGAGTTGCTGAGGTTTACCAGGCCGAGCTGGATGCTCTGTACAAGGCTGGATTGCGCAATGTGCAGTTCGACGACCCGGGTATGGCGTACTTCTGCTCGAAGGCCTTCCGCCAGGGCTGGGAAGAGGACAAGGACAACATCGGCACCGTTGACGATCTGTTCGATGCCTATATCCAGCTGTACAACGACTGTCTCAGCAAGATCCCCGCAGACATGCACACTGGCATCCACCTGTGCCGCGGCAACTTCATTGGCGGCCGCCACTTCGCTGAGGGCTCGTACGACATCATTGCGAAGAAGCTGTTCGAGAACCTCAACGTCAACACGTTCTACCTTGAATACGACACCGAGCGCGCCGGCGGCTTCGAGCCGCTCAAGTACTTGCCCAAGAACAAGAATGTTGTCGTTGGTGTCATCAGCACCAAGCTCCGCGAGCTGGAGGACAAGGAGGCCATGAAGGAGCGAATTTACAAGGCCGCCGACTTTGTTGCCGCCGGCAGCGGGGAGACTCGGGAAGAGGCTCTCAAGCGTATCTGCGTCAGCCCGCAGTGCGGATTCAGCACCCACGAAAGCGGCTACCCTCTGAGCTTGGAGGATGAGAAGGCGAAGCTTGGACTGGTGCGGCAAATCGCCGATGAGATCTGGGGCGAGCCGTAAGTGCGCGACACGGCGGGTTCTTTGGTTCCCCGACTGCTTCAGCAAATTGCCATGGTTTCTTGGAATTCAACAGCGACAAGAAACTTGATGATGTGACACGACGACATGTATTTTCTTTCAACAGTTCGTATCCAACTTGGGATTAACCTTTTGGTTAGCATGTATAGGGGGTTGGGGAGGAAATTGATAATTTCAAAGGCACTTGAACGTAAATTGCTTCTTGATTGACACTCAGTCTGTTGGTGGGACCGTTTCCCTGTTTAAATAACCCCTGCATCACCACCAAGGTACCGTGTAAAGTGGAGATACTATGTAGCCTGAGACCTACCAATCCAATGCTCTTGTATCATCGGTTAAGGTTTCAAGGTATTTTTTAATGCTGAGACTCTGCGCCAGTCCCTAGATGGTCGTGGTGGACGGATCTTATTATCCTCCGGTTCAGCACTGTACTTGGCACACTCCCCATCTCAAGTGCAATAGTGCTTCTATTACGCTGTTATCGGCTCTATGAGGTCTTGATCAAATGAGGTTTGGTCTCATCTAAAGCGAAAGAAATTGACTTAAACAAATCGCGTCGAATATTCCCCAAACTATCTCAAGGCATACCTAGGCTTATCTCTTTCTTCGGCACAATTTTGCCGACCAGAGGCCCGAGGCCCGCCCATTACAAACCATCAACGCCAGTGATTCGCACGGTTTGCCGGCCGCAGTGTTGCAGGGAGGGGAAACGCGCTTATCAGCACGTGACCGCATCCGGGGCCCCAAAGGAGCAAAGAGCGCTCTGCATCTCTGTGTTTGAGTCATTCGACTTCTTTACTCCCTCTTTGAGTGTCGAGGTGAGCCTGACGGGATAGGCATACAGTCTTGATGGCACCGCAAAGGCCCCATACCGAGACTTCCCCGTTGCTGGGCGCAAGCAACAACACTGCGCCTACTGGGGCCATTGCCCACCGCGATGCGGAGTCGGGAGAGCCCAGACAGTCGGCCGAGGAGCAGGCGAAAGAGCCGTTTCCCGATGCGAAGAAGCAGCTCAAGTATATTGTTCCTGCTATCTCCATAGGCGTATGTACAATCCCTGTTTAATTCAATTGCGGATATAAAAAGAAAAGGAAAAAGAAAAGATGAAGCCGGCACTCCGCAACGGCTCTTGTACTACGTACCTTAACTAAGATTTGAAAACAGATTTTCCTTTCCGCTGCAGACCAAACCATTATCATGGCCAGCTATGGTCAGATTGGTAGTGATCTGAAGGCTCTTAATCTGACCAGTTGGATTGCAACTTCATACTTTCTGACTCTGACTTCGTTCCAGCCGCTGTACGGGAAACTAAGCGATATCTTTGGTCGGAAGGCGTGTTTGCTTTTTGCGTATGCCATTTTTGGCACAGGCTGCCTGTTCTGTGGTCTCGCTCGGAATATTTATGAGCTGATAGCGGCACGTGTACGTCACAGCTCGAGTTCCAATACCAGAATTTCATTTTTCACTTGTCTCAGAACTGACGCATGGCTTATAGGTCTTTCAGGGCATTGGCGGCGGGGGTATGACCACAGTTGTCAGTATCTTAATGAGTGATATTGTCCCCTTGCGGGACCGAGGCCTTTGGCAGGGAATTATCAATATCATCTGGGCTACTGGGTCCGGCACTGGAGCACCGCTCGGAGGCATTCTGGCCGACTATATCGGCTGGCGCTGGTATGAAACTGTTCAAACTCCGCTCATAAATTATTCTTAATCGATGCTAATATGTCATATCAGGGCCTTTCTGGCACAATTCCCCATGTGCATCCTCGCGTTCAGTGCTGTGTCCCTGATGCTAAAGCTTCCCCCCCGCGAGAACTCCCACTGGAAAGATAAGCTGCGTCGGATTGACTTCCTTGGCGCGGTTGTGCTTGTCGGTGCAGTCCTAGGTTTCCTGGTGGGGCTAGACCGTGGCAGCAATGTATCTTGGAAGATGCCTTTGACAATCGCTTCTCTGGGCGTTTCGATCGTGCTCTTCATTGCTTTCGTCCTGGTTGAAGTATACCTCGCCGCCGAACCTTTCGCGCCCGGTCATATTATTTTCAACAGGACGTTTTTTGCCCTCTACTGCTGCAATTTCTTTGCCTTCGCGGGCTGGCTTGCTGCGCTTTTCTATATCCCTCTATATTTCCAAGCCGTCGATGGTGTCTCTGCTACCGTTGCCGGTGTCCGACTGTTGCCATGTATTTTGTCTGGTGTTTCTGGCTCGCTCTTTGCAGGGATTGTCATGAAGCGGACCGGGAAGTACTATTGGCTGACCCTTGCAGCTTACTCCTCTCTGACCATCGGTTGCTTCGTGATCTACCTGTCTTCCGGAGGTGCAGTGGCCAGTACCATGCCTATGATAATCGGAACTGTCTTTTCATCATTCGGAAATGGAATTGGTGTTACGACCACTTTGATCGGCTTAAGTAAGTACTATCTTCACATCCACCGTGCACAATCCTCTCTACGGTACTAACGACCAACATCGCAGTATCAAATTCTACTATTGAAGATCAGGCGGTCGTGACCGCTTGCTCGTATCTCTTCCGATCACTGGGGTCAGTGATTGGGCTATCCCTGTCCTCGACTGTCGTTCAGCAACTGCTGCGAGAGCGGCTGAGATCCGGTCTGCGTGATAGCAAGGATATCGATCAAATTGTGAATGGGGTTCGTGAGAGTCTCGATTATATCAAGAAACTAGACCCGGAGATTGCCCATATCGTCCGCAGCTGTTATGGCTGGTCAGTCAATAAGGGATTCGGATTCCTAGTCATTGTGGTGTTTTTTGCGTTGTTTAGTGCTTGCTTTATGCGAGAAGCTAAGCTCAGTCGTTGAGATCCGTTTTAAGTATACATGTTGGAAGAAGGTAAGACTCAAAATAGCCTGTTTGGCTTTGTTGCATTTTTGAAGCGCCAAAATTCATTGAGAGATGATGGATAAAATTGCATATTTTATACCGCCTTGGGATGAGATAGAAACCAGGTTGTCCATATTGAAAGTTGGTTGAGGTCCTAATGGAATAAATTTTACTACTGTAGGCTCAAATATCTTATCAGACTAGATTCCACTTCTCCGTTTTTCTTAAATGATCTCCGTTGTGCTGTGGCAGTTGTGTGGTTGTGTGGATCGATGTACCAGTTGGCGGCCGTCGGGCGGCTGTTGGTGATGTTGGTGGTGAGGGCGCCACTTGGGAGGTCTGGGGTTCTCGGCCCCGTGACGTCCAAGCTACCGCCGAATTCCCCGTCAACAGTCACCCCTCAACCTACCGCAGCAATAGCAGAGCAGACGTCTGTGCAAGCTAGTCACAGCTCCAGATATCCTCGAATCAAGTCATCAGGTCTCCAGTTGGCTGACAATGAGCTTCGTTCGATCCCCGTGAGGCTACTTTTGCAGCTTCCATCAGCTCGACCTCAGTCATGTCCGAGCCGCGTTCAGGGCCTGTGTCGTTGGCGCGATACCGACCGATCCTTTACCTCTTCACCGGCGTCGCCGCTGCATATGCCCTCCTCTACATCCATAACAATGTTGTTTCATCACAGTCCTCCGATGCGCCGCTACGACGTCGAAATGCCATCCGCCGCTCAAGACGAACCGAAGCCGAAGAGCTGGGAGTTATGGACACTCCGTCATATCGTGCAATCACCCATCTCGAACAGCTAGAGCGCCAAAATGGTGTGTATGGAACATTTCGAATCGAGACGGAAGATGGGCGGCGGGTCGAAAGCGGGCTTCTACCCTCACTGCTCGCAACCCGTGATCAGCTGATGGAGGAAGTAGGAGTGCCCCCGGCCCACGCCGAGCGCATGCGAGAGATGATGGAGGACACTTTTCTTGAATCTTTTCTTGCCCTTGATTTCCCAGCGTCACATACCCTTCCAGACAACAGCCCAGAGCGAGCCTACTTGACGGAACAGTTACAACGACGAGGGATCTCACGAGCAGGCATTGAACGAGCCCTGATCCGATTCAACGACGATGAGAACTACGGTGACGAGTTGCGACGCCGGCGTCAGAATGGCGAGCGTGTCACTCTCTCAACTTCCACATTTCCCGATGCGACTGCTCCGCCACCCAACCCGGAGGGTGGAGAGACGGCGGTGGATGACCAGAGCGTTTTCTCTTGGCGCGATGGAAATAACGATTCTTCTCCCACTCGCGAAGGCCAAAATCTGCTGAATTTGCTGTATCATATTGCAGAAGACCAAGCGCGCAGGGATGGCTATATCCACCGTGGAGTTACATGCAATAGCTGCGGTGCAATGCCTATCCAGGGCATTCGGTACCGCTGTGCAAATTGCATTGATTACGATCTCTGCGAGACATGTGAGGCAATGCAGGTGCATATCAAAACCCACCTTTTCTACAAAGTCCGGATTCCCGCTCCTTTCTTGGGAAACCCTCGCCAATCTCAGCCGGTTTGGTATCCTGGCAAACCGGCGATGCTGCCCCGAAGCCTCCCCCGACCCTTGGCCAAACGACTAATGCGGGAAACCAATTTTGAGAACACTGAACTTGACGCACTCTGGGACCAGTTCCGCTGTCTGGCCAACTATGAATGGGCCGATGACCCAAACAAGCTGTACATGGCCATCGACCGCAAAACCTTCGACCGATGCTTTGTACCGAATACATCGATTCGACCTCCACCTCCAAGTCTCATTTATGATCGCATGTTCGCATTCTATGATACTAATGGCGATAATCTTATCGGATTTGAGGAGTTCCTAAAAGGTCTTGCCAGTCTGAATAATAAGAGCAATGACGAAAGACTTCGGCGTGTTTTCCGTGGCTATGACATTGATGGGGATGGCTACATTGAGCGAAAGGACTTCCTCCGCGTGTTCAGAGCTTATTATGCTCTAAGTCGGGAACTGACGCGCGATATGGTTGCCGGGATGGAAGACGACTTCCTTGAGGGTGGCGCCCGTGATGTCGTTCTCGGTAGTCAGCCTATCAGCTCCGCATTCCCGGGAAGTATCCCCTCTGGCGAAGTATCCCGGGCAGGAGAAGGCAAGCGCCGGAACCAGGAGGGCGACTTGGAAGTCTTTGACAACGAAGGAATTTTGAGGCGTGACGGTGCTGATACTGGGGATCGAAACTCAGTCATAGGTGATGCCGCTGTCAGAGAGCAGTTTGGCCGCACGAGGCCATTGTTCCCCTCGACATTGCGTCTTCCTACTACAGCTTCTGAATCTCGACATCCCGAGACGTCTCACAACGATGAGAACGGTGACCACGACGATGACGATGAGGATGAGGACGCTAGCGACTCTGATGAAACAGGGTCTTCAGTTGCCAGCGGTCACTGGCCACCGCCAGAGCACTTTGACGAGGAAGACATAATCAATGCCCTCGGAACGTACGTGCCCCCTCAGGAAATAAACGACCCCATCGACAGAGCTCGTATCGTGACAGCTGTCTATCATAGGATGCGCGAAGAAGATCGCAGAAGAATCGAAGAGACTCGGCAAAATGGCATTGATGAGCGCTGGCGGCGTAGAGCGTTCTATACCGACGAGGAAGATGGCGCTACAATCCCTACGGGTTATCAACCCGACCCAAATTTTGACGATGATCCCAGTGACGAGGAATCCATGGATGAGCCGCAGACGCTTGAGTCTCATCCACCTTCGCCACGCTCTCGATCATCTTCAAAGGTCAGATTCCAGGATGACATCGCTGACGATTATGATGTGCGATCAAATCCCTCCACGTCCTCCCGTAGCATCCCCGTTGGAGAACGTTGGGGTGGGTTCGAAATTCCCGAGGTCGAAAAGGATGTTGGCAAGGAGATTTTGTATCAGGTTACGCAGCAGGGCTTCAACGAGCTCCTTGATATCCTTTTCAAGCAAAAGGAAGATCTCTTAATGGAAGTCCATCGAACCCGCGCGGACCGCAAGGCTTGGGCCCATGAGATTGAGCTTGTGGAGAAACCTGACGCTGAAGATCACTCTTCAAAAGAAGAGATTGTTCCCCGCAATGAGGAGGATCTCCAAGACATGACATCCAGTCGGTCTCTCGATGATCTATTGCAACGCGCTGGCTATGCAGTACAAAGCCCAACTCTGGAACCTGTGAATACTGGACCAATATTGGCACCTCCATTAGCCCCTATTTCGCCAGATGATGATGTTCGGCCTACACATCTTGCTGATCCTGAGAACGATGGTGGAATCGGTCAGGTCCAATCGTTCGAGGAGGATGACGAGGATGACGATGAGACTGCTTCAATTACCGACTCAGATGACTTGGTCGACCAAATTCCCATTTCTGAGACAGTCTCCGAAGAAGAGTCATCCGATGCTGAACCCGACACCAGTATCGACGATTCGCTGAAATGCGATCCCACTTTCCCCCAATTCCGCCCGGAGACAGAGGTATCCCGGCCTCGCCTCTCGTTCCGTGACGAGCCTCTTGTAATGGCAGACATCAGACCCTCGCACCCCTCTTCATCCACCCTTCCCAGCCGCCTTCGCCTTCAACCAAACGGGACCACCTCACTTCCGGCGCCATCTTCTCCCCGCTCATCCTCACCGGGGGCTGAGGCCACGGCTCCTAAGCTGCCACCCTCTCCTATGCAGCCTCTCCCGCCGCCATCTAAAGCAACTACTCCACCAGGGGATAATCACGCCCTTCGTCGACCTTCGGCGCGAACTCTGGCCCGGTGGGCATACCTGAACCAGGTAGAGCATGAAGCTAAGGAACGAGGTGGAAGTGGCGCTAGACTCAACTTCGAGGAGTTCACCCGCCGCATGGCGGCTGACAAGGGGCGTCGCCTGGCGTTTGTGGCAACTTGGATCGAGATGGCTAGTTTTTAAACGGGGCATATTATTTACCTCAATATCAAAAACTGTGTATATAATTTTCTCGCTTGGAGTACTGTGATAGACTGAGTGGCTGTCAATATTCATCTGCATAATTCATTTAAACTGTGCCTTTTGGTTTCTGTGTTATATATCAAAGCAATGCTGCCAGCATTTTCGTCTTCGCAGGATCTCGGCAGTAGTTGTCTAAACACCTAAAGAATAGTCAAAGTTCCTTATATGCGTGCTTCCAACTTGCACCGAGTACTGAACTAAATGTCATCTAGAATTCATAAAGTTAATCATACGTATAACGCCAGGTAGAATCATATATTCTAGGCAGTGATAGGCTTGCCCAGCAACCCAAGTGCAAGTCAATTTCACAACACTGATCTCGGCATATGCTCGTGCTTGATACAGTTGTTTGAGACCGAATGGGTTGTACCAGGTGTGAGTGGCATTAGAATTGATCAACTGTCACTTTTGACTTCTGCGTCTAGACCGTTGACTGGTATTTGAGATATATATTGGCAAACACCTGTGTCGAATTATCTGAGAATGGTTCCTCTCTAGCAAGTCAACACTGTAACTACATCTCGTGGTTTTCTGGCAGATTTCTAGAAAATTAATCACCTGTTTTGCGTTCGAAGCATCACTCAAGTTGGTCGCCTGTATGGACGGATTGATTTTACGGAAAATCAAATGCCCTAAAGGGTAGATTCTATTCATATGAATTGCTGCTGCAGGGTCTTAAATCATTAATCTATCTTTCTATTCAACAATGGCCGGATGGTGTAGTTGGTTATCACGTATCGTTAACACCGATAAGGTCCTCGGATCGAGCCCGGGTCTGGTCAACTTTCTTTTTGCTTGCTCTAAATTTTTGCTGGTTGACGGATACGCAAAATTTTACTGTGGGTACCATATGGATTTATGGGACTGAGGTTGCCATTAGGCACGTGCCATGATGCTATTTTAGTAAGCGTCGCATGTGATCCAGTTATGTAATCCACAGCCATTCGGAACACCCCATCCAAAATCGCGTCTTCCCTACTGAACCAGGGCGCCCTGCGGCAAACCTGCGAATGTAGGCAGGATGAGATGGGTCAGCGAACCAACCAACAAACCACACTACACCACGATGGAAGGAAGCCTATCAGAGAGGAAACAGGTGCTGCTTCAGCGAAAGATGTGTAAAAGTTGATTCTCTCCCTATCGGAGATGCGAAGCTATATCTTGTACAGACTGTGTACTAGGAAAGATATCCTCCAATCAGAGATCACCCCTTGTCTGCCATTTCCCCACTACTTTATTTACTAAAAAGTGTCAATATAGTAGTATACGGTATCGGCTAGGAAAGCTAGGATCCAATAGAACGAGATGCTCGATATAGTGATGTATTGGGTGACTGAACTATCTAAGTGTGTAGGCGGGGGGAATTTTGAATATCCTCTACCTCGCTGTCTAGCGCGTTACGGCGCTAAGTTCCGAGTATCCCTGTAACAATCTGACGCACACGGGGATATGTGGGTCTCGCCTGTATTATGCGGTCTTCCTTCTTGACCAATAAGTAATACTTAAAATTATAGAATAACTATAGATCTCTATCTTAGTAACTAAGAAAGAATAAGTCATTCTGTTATGGAACAACCAAATGTATAATACTTGATGTTACTCCGGCCGACTTCGGGTACGAATCGTATGCATAACGATATATGTGTCATATGATATTGTAACATGAGGCTATTCCCAACTCATTACCTTAGGCGCAAGTTCGATACCTTACATGTTAGGTTTCATGATGACAACCCCACTTCTCCATGACATAGATACATGGCCTACCAGGTCCTGGGGGTTCGGTGCCCCTTCATCAGGGATTCGTGAACCCCTCTTTCTCGATGCCTTCGCTTAATTCTGCTAATGGGAGCCATGTCAGACCGCATATTATGACGTGATTCATCACCTCTACTTTGGTCATGCGGAAAGGTGGCGAAGCCTGTACATAATTGAGGATTATGGAGAGATCCAAGATAGCAAGAAACAGTGTTTTGCCTTCCTTACTTGACGTCTATCTTCCTACCTAGTTGACAGGCTTTCTACTCTGTACAAGTAGTTATTCTCTAACAATATGTTCACAGGGAACAACAAGTTGGGAATTGGACTCCTTTATCGTCATACCTTCGGCAAACAGCGGAATGGCAACATAAAGGGTATAGAAAGAGAATCCCCCTTTCTTTCGAACTGAATCTTGAAGAGATTCAGTTATTGGAATAATATACCTTTACTATTCTTCTTTGATTCTATAACGATTTAATATTGTATTCATTTCTCCTTACCTGACCAACAGGCCGCAACCCTGCAAGTAGCACCCTAACAATTTAGTTCTTTGTGCTAATTTATATATTATTACTTAAGACCTATTAATTAACTATCTTAGTTACTTAATTCTATCTATAGTGTGACAGTTTCAGGAGATATAAAGGTGATGTTATTGGTTATCTCTCAGCTAGCTAAGAAGGTGCCTTGGAATCATGTGATCTAGCTTAGAGGGTGTTCCGAAAGGTTGTGGATTACATAACTGGATCACATGCGACGCTTACTAAAATAGCATCATGGCACGTGCCTAATGGCAACCTCAGTCCCATAAATCCATATGGTACCCACAGTAAAATTTTGCGTATCCGTCAACCAGCAAAAATTTAGAGCAAGCAAAAAGAAAGCTGACCAGACCCGGGCTCGATCCGAGGACCTTATCGGTGTTAACGATACGTGATAACCAACTACACCATCCGGCCAATTGCTATATATTATGGAATGGCAATTTGTGTACTATAAGTAAAGTTTTTCTGTATAACTTATCTGCGCTACCTAGGAATGTAGGCCATATCTCAATTTCATTCAATAGTTGCAGAATTGATATTTTTCATATAATACACATAAGAAGGGTTTGGTAGTATACCTAATATATGCCAGCTATCCAGTGTAGAGAACTAGAGCTGAAAACTATCTGAATTTTATGGTCCGCGGAGATGGCACTATTTCTCCTCCTTTCTTTGACTTTCTTGCCTTTTGAGTCTACGCATGTGCATATGTGCGATTTTGGCCTCAATTGGCGGCTCTAGAATGATCAGTGAGCAATCATACGGCCATCAATATGAGACCTCGGGGCGAGAGCAAATTTTGGAAGCCTGGTAAAAGTGGCGAAAGCCATGTGGGGCCACGGCGCTCATCCCGATGCAAGTCGGTCCGTCGTAGGCACAGAACCTGTCATCGGGATCTATCCGATCATAACATTAGATACTAAAAATGCCGAGATTTTGATTGGCCAATGAGTCAATGAAGCAAGCCTGATATTTACATCCCGTAATCTGAGCTGAAATTATGCAGAGTACCAACCACCTGGGCGTACATAAGTGAACGGATTTTCGGGGGCAGAATACATGCACATGTGTGTTTTAAATCAATTGACACAGTATTGATCTCAATGACATGGATACTGGATTCACTGTCCCGTGGAGCAAAGTGAATAAACCCCTCATTACCCCATATCATTTGAAGCCCCGAAGACTTAGGTCCTTGCTCCCCACATATACGTTATCAATAGATGCTTGAACGTCCAATAAAAAAACAGCGCATCATACACAGCCAAGAATTGCATTATTAGCCTCCCTGTATGTATATGATTGTGCATAATCGTAATATTCGAAGTTTTCCAAAAAAGTATAACAAGAACAAAACCCTGGAAGAGGGGCCTCTGCACATGTCGGCTGCAAATGAGTTGAACATTTGAATGGATAAAAATATATAAAGAATAGTCCATTTAAGCTTATGACGTGGGAAAAGAGCCGTGATATTAGTTTCACTTGCGATAACCTTGTATGGGCCAAGTTATAGGGATGAAGATAGCAAATTAATCACTTCAGAGTCTCACAATATCCAAGAATTCTAATGTCACTCGAGTGGTGTATATTAACAGTCTACTTGATTCTAATTCTGGATCTATCTTGTACATACGACCACAGGGTGTGGAGAACAGGGCTTCCCGTCCGCTCAGCCGTACTTAAGCCACACGCCGGCAGGTTAGTAGTTGGGTGGGTGACCACCAGCGAATCCCTGCTGTTGTATGTTTTTGTTTTCATTTTCATTTTTGATTCGTTAGGAAATCCCCTCTTGCCGCCCTACGCTTCAGCCTGTTTAGCCCCCTTCATCTGAATGCCCCGAATGGGTTCAAGCCAAGCCGGGTTCAGGCCAAGCCTTAGCTCGACATATATGGTTTTCACTTAACAAAATGAATTCAAGGTCTGTAAGCCCCAGCAAGCATGACGGGAGTCAAACTTGATGCGGCCATATTCAAAACAATACAAGACGTCACCTAGACCGTACAATCAACGCAGGAATAGATAACATGCCAGAAATGGTCGTACGTCATGGAAAAGGGTCAGCGTGCACACCCCAGCGATGATTGAACTGACTCAGCGAGTGTTGTAGCCGTTCTTCGGCCTTCCGAAGCCCACTGTCTGGGGTTGAATGTCGGCGATCGCGGATGTGCGTCAGTGCAGCCCGGGTGATGTAGGCGCAGCTAGGAGGAAGGGTGTCAAGGAAGCTAGTGGTAACGTGCCCATGCGAGTCGGCAATATCAATGACCATCTTGGTGACAGTATCGAGAGTTGCAAACGAGTTATTAGACATCTCCTCTACAAGACGATGATCGAGACTCGCATTTTCAGTGAGTTCACCAAGGATGCGCCAGTGCAGAAGAAAGAGGGCCCTGCTCTTTCGTCAGCAATCCGACTCATAGATAGACCAAGTAGTCGACTCACCGGATGGCAATTGCGATCGCTCCACAATATACAACCCAGGTTCCCTGACATTGCTGCATCACCGCGGCAAGAAATGAACGGAGAAGGCTATCGAGCTCGTCTAGTGTCGTCTGCTTGGAACTAATGTCGGCGAGCGAGAACGTCTTGATCACATGATCCAAGAGGGCCGTCGCCTGGGCTGCTCGGCCAAAACTGCCAACGTTAGGTGAATGGAAAGTACTGGCTGAGGGGGTGCTGGGAGAGTGAGGGCTGAGCGCTTTCCACTGGCCTAGAGTTGGCAACTAGCCATCTGGTTCTGGGAGTTGCGAGACTAGCGGTTGGTCCACCACTGAAAGTTCACAAAGAAAAGTCCTAAGAAAAGATGAGCATGTTTTGGGTCTCTGCTAGACTAAGGCTGAAAGGGCGCACCGCTCACAGATGATGATCCCCCACCAGGTATTTACCTCCTCTTCATCCAATTGTGCACCGCCTGCAACGATGCTTATTGGGAGCGAAGACGGCTGTGTCATTGCCAGACAGCGTGCCATGCGCGCACAGCCGCCAATAGAGGCAAACGCCAGCTCAGGCTGGCCATGGGCATACTCATAGACGGCCAGCAAAACGAGGGCTTGGATGAGGTGCAGCGACGGGGGACAGATAGCTTGGGCTTGAGCCACGACGGACCTGGTCGCTAGATACAGCGCTGAGTCACTGATGAGTCCCGAGCTCCGCTGCGCGAGCCCGGGATGGTAAGTAAGGAGACATATGACAAGCAACTGGATGGAGAAGTCCGTCTGCGGACTCGATCCGGAGGACATGAGCTGGGTGTGGAAGCGTGTGCGCGAGATAATTGGGATGAAATTGTGGATTCCTTGGAAGTAGCGGACACTGATCTCGTCCAGATATTGGCCGGTAGCTTCGATGAGACGGTGGGCCTGCCGACAGAGGCTGGGATCCTTGGTTGCACCCAGGTCCAGCCATGTGCTTTTGGGGATCTGCTCGGACAGCGCCGACTGGGTCATCGCGTCCATGAGTAGCAGCGACGACGAGTCGGCGACAGGCTGCGACTGGCGCGGACTCGCTGGGATCCCCATCTTCATGGGTGTTGTACGGCGGCCGCCCGGTTTGTGGGGTAGGCCGTGGTTGTGTTGTGGATAGTGGCATTCCAACTTTCGCCTGCGAAGACGTCAACAAGTCCGGACCACCCTCGACGTACCTGCTCGGCGCAGGAGATACAGCATGGCATTGACTCGTCGAACTGTTTACTTTGCGGCCCTTCAAGGTGATGCATATGCTGACGAAGAGGGATGGGGCGGCGGGGCGGCGGTCGAACCGCCGTCGACATACTTACTCGGCACAGTAACTACAGCATGGCATCAGCTTGTCACACTTCTTCTTGCGCGCCTTGCAGGTGATGCAAACACTGGCGGCAAGTGAGGGGGCGGCGGGTCGGCTGTTGGCGGCCGTCGTCGGGGAGAAAGGGGTAGGTAACATGAGAGCATCGGATGGAGGGTGGTGAAGGGATAGAGGATTTGGCAGAGAACGTAGACAGTCTCGGGTATAATCATGATAACTAGTGTAGTGGGGAAATGGCCTACAAGGGGGATCTCTAATTGGAGGATATCTTTCCAGTACACAGTCCTTACAGGATATAGCTTCAGATCTCTAATAGGGAGAAAGATGAACTCTTACACTCTCTTTGCTCTATCTGCTTCTGCTTCCTATAGGGGAGGCTTCCTCCATTGTGGTGTGTGGTGGTTTGTATGCTGGTTTGTTGAGGCTATCTCATCCTGCCTGCATTCTCAGGCTTGCCGCTGAGCGCCCTGGTTCACTACGTAGATAATACTTTCTATTCCTATCCCTACTTATAGTAGCGTACTTTTCTAACTATAGTTAAAAAGGAGATATAGATTATATATTGTAGTGGGGAAGTGGCATACAGGCATGAACTAGCGGTGTGACGGAAGATATGATATATAAGGCCTACCCCGCTGTATCTAGCAATTCAGACACCCATATTCTCTTCAACTATCCCTAGGTGTTCTCTCTTTCTGTTCCCTAACCCCTAGAGGCGGGCCTGGTCGCAGACAGTGACCGTCTCTCACACCAGTTCAATATTTATACTAGGGTCTATCCCTACCCCTATAGTCGTAGTATACTAACTGTTAGAGAATAACTACTTGTACAGGGTAGAAAGCCTGTCGACTAGGTAGGAAGATAAACGTCAAGTAAGGAAAGCAAAACACTGTTTCTTGCTATCATGGATCTCTCCATAATCCTCAATTTATGTACAAGCTTCAACACTTTCCCACATGACCAAAGCAAAAACGATGGATCATATTTCAACATGCGGTCTGACGTGGCCCCCACGTAACAGAGGTAAGCAAAGGCTACAGGGAAGAGGGGTTCACGAATCCCTAATGGAAGGGCACCGAACCCTCAGGCCTTGTAGGTCATGCATCTATGTTGGGGAGAAGTGGGGCTGTCATGACGAAGCCTGACCGGTAAGGTGTCGAACCGACACCTGAGGCGTGAAGTTGGGAATAGCTTCATGCTGCAATATCATATGACATGGGCTCTGACTTTGGGCCTAAAACCCGGCCCACGCGTAGGTCGGGCCGTGGTCGGGTTTGGGCTTTCGTGGGCCCTGAAGATGTCTATAGATAATAGTCGGTTTATCGCCTAGGAGACTATAGTTAATACTCCTCCTAGTAGATATTAGTAAAGAAGCAACTAAGTAAGAGATTAATAGCAGTAGTTAGCTAGATATAGCCTTATAAAAAATAGCGAGAACTATTGATTCTATCGCTAAGCTACATTTTAGTATCTCTTTAAATCTTTCCCTGCTAAAAGTCATAAATACGACTTTTGCATATCAGGTTCTGTCCTTCAGGTGATAGGCTGAAGGGGCGCCCTAACGGGCGCCGGTTAGGGCGGCGAGCCGCCCAGGAAAAAAATCGTAGGCGCTAGTTGACTATTAACATACAATAGCTGTTGGATGTTTTTTAGGTCGTATAATTTTGCTTATCCGTTCTTTCTGACTGCTGAAGTATTAAAACTGACGCCGCTGAGAAATTGTCATACAATGTTCAGTATTCAGTATCAATGACTGATAAGCAAATGTTGACCAGCGACGCAAACGTGCCGTGTCACTCCGATTTGTTTGCATGAGCAAAGCTTGTTCAACCACTTGATTTTGGATTTAGAGACGTACAGATACTCAAAAAAATGATCACCGAGCGAACTGTCTAACACAGGCAGATGTGAAGCCACCTTGGGAGTCCTTGAAGACCGGAATGGAGTGAAAAGACACTGCGGAAATTTACAATAAAAAGCTCTACGAATGGCCTATGTTGAACAATGAAACACAATTTTTATGCGGCAGCAAGCTCTAACTCTTTATTTATTGATATTCATGGCTCCTCCATTAACTCGAATGTCTAGACCTCAGCCAGTCAAGCCTGTCTTGCATGAAGAGGATGGTCATGAACCACCACCCATGCCTGAAACTCTTGCCCGTGATTGCCTTTATGCGGTCCACTTTCCAGGCAATGCTCGCTTTTCGTAGGCGTATTTGCTAACCAGGTCGTCCAAAATTTTCTCCTTTGGCTTCGGGTAGTGCCAAGCCTAGACAGGGCTGGCAGATGGCCATCAACGGGTGAGGAAAGGACCGTCGACCAGCTCATGTCCTGTTGGTAGATCTGACTAGGGTTGGTCTTTGACCACGTGCGAAGGGCAGCCCATTTATATCGGTGCAGTAGACGTTGTCGGCTGCCCTTGCGCCATGGACGTTCCCCGGATATTTGACATGTATCAATCTGTGCTTTATTCGTGTAAAGCTTTGTTTTTCCGTGTGATCGGATATACCACGCGCCTGTGGCAGCGAGGTTCAGATTGAAAAATAAACCGAAGAATGAGCATTCTCAATGAAAATTCTCATGATAATCTCCGGAAGCGACTCTTCGTCCAAATAACCATAGGAGCGAGTTATTTTGCGTAACTATCCAATGAGAACGCGAGGTCATTCTTAGTTGATGAAAGCCCCGGGGTATCAGTAATCATATGGCTGAAATGAAGTCCAAGTCGAGTATCCACGCTTCAGCCCTCTCTTGAGACGGCAATCAAGGGCAGGTAGGTAGACACGGACGTGCGGTCCACCTTCGACTTGCACCTGCTCGAAGAATAATCTCCGGGGTAAGACCGCACTGCATTTCTTTCGTATATTTGAGGAAACACGCTAGGAACTCTGTCAAATTGTTTTCATAGGCATAAAAGAGAGGCGTTTTTCCATCCTCGTCTCGGATGGACCAGTTGGCGCCTTGTTGGAGTAGTGCCACAAGAACAGCGGGGGAAGATCGCTGAGCGGCAAGATGCAGTGGTGTCTGGCCCCGAATGTCTGTCGCCGATGGCTCTATTCCATATTTGAGTAACTGTTCCACAATCCGGGTTTGTCCGTGGAGGACAGCTTCATGGAGGGCGGATCGGCCCGATGCGTCTTTGACGGAGAGGATGGCGTTATTCTTGCGATAGATATCCTCAATGATGCTTGTTTCGCCCGCGGCGACAGCAGAGAAGAAGATTGCACTCTCCATTATGGTTCTGTGTGGTCGGCGATTATTCGTGGGTGGTTTTTCTGAAAGCCTCGCAGCTCGCATTAGACAGCTTGCTTATCGCGGCGCCCCTCCCGGAGGGGCGCGCGCCTCTTTAAGCATTACGGACGGCAAATTAATTAGACTGAATGGGAGGATGTGACAGGGATTTGCTCAATCATGGCTCGCTAGAATATGGCACACGGACAACTTCCTAATTTGGAATAATGTAAGTTGAGGGGAAGGGAAGAGACTCTCCGAGATGCAGATGTGGAGTACAGTAGACAACTGGCCTGGCCCGCATTCTTCCACGGGTACGTACCATGGGGGCGCCAAAGCCGATCGCTATTTCAAGCAAACGCTTGTTTTCGGCAATTATGCGGCTTTTGCGCCCTGACGTTTTGGCGCGGTTGCACGACTCATGGGCAGTGATTAACTCTAGCTAAAGTCTACAACAGGTCTACAGCAGGTTCTAACAGATCTTCAACAGACGCAGACAGGCGCGTCAATGACTCGGACAGCGCCCGAAAACGCTCCGAAAGGTGGACCGAACCGGTCGCAACTAAGTGCTCGTATTGCTCTTATCATTGCTTCGGTTTGGAAACATGTGTCCGAAGTAAAACTAAACCTTGAGGCCGTTCCGACCTCGGCAAGGTTCCGTGGGATGTCAAGATGACCCCCCAGTCTTAGCATTGGATCTAACGGGCCACAATCGGAGAAGGAACTTCCAATGTTAAAGAACGGTCCCACGTGCACTGAGTGGCGAATGATATGCATCGTAACGAGTTTCTAACGGATTGGTGGGTTCAGCCGATTGGCAAGCCGGGAGAAACTGGCGCATTCGTGAAATGCCCCTAGCGATGTGATTTGCGCGAGGCCCTCGCTCTAGCCCGCCAAGGCTCGTCTAGCGTTGAGGATGCGGATACATGCTGAGCCGATGGCTAGTCGGGAAACCCGAACATCCTATTCAAGACAAGTTGAGTGAGGCATTGGATCGAGACTTTCCTGTTCTGACGCGTGGATAATTCCGAAAAATTGACCGGTGCATGCATCTTTTAGTAAGAGGTGCATATTGCCATCTCGATTCAGCTCCATGAACACCAGAGGCCGATTCGTCCTAGAGCTTAGACAATGGTTGCGAGTGGGTCTGCCATTGCCTCATGAGTGGATGATAGGCTCACGGTCACCCATCCGATATCTTCCTACTTTTTTTCTCTGCCGCTACGGTAGGGAGACAATTTCCACACAGAGAATGTCCTGTACTAGTATCTGTCGGAGTACATATGAACGGTCACTTGTCCCTTCGCCGATTGGGAAGCTCGGCCGCAGTGACAAACACTCCCATTATCGGTGTGAATAAAGTCGTCCAACTTCTGGTTTTTGTCACTTCATCTTTGGCCTGGGGATGAGGTTGCCTAATTTTTGGACCCTTGGCAGTTTTCACCTATTTATCCTGCCATGCTTCGGTCGGGCGGGGTTTGAAACGGCGGGACATAGTAGTGTGGTCCACCACTACCCTCTGAACGACTCCAACCATCCGTCAGGCTCGAGTAGGCTATCTCTCTGTGACCGACTGTTATTGGTAGTTGGGGGCATAGTGCTCTCCCTCTGTGCCATTGCATTCATCGCGCGGGTACTGTACTGTGCCAAGCGGCCATTTTACCGGATGAGACTGACCACTATCTAGGCATGCCGTATCTCGATCGACATCGTTCGAAGGGAGCGACAGGAGGGTAAAGAATGCGCCGACTGGGCGAACCACGGGCACCCCATGTCCGATCTTGAATCGGGTCATCGACCCATCACGCGTGACTCAACTTCGACAACCCGTACGTTGGTTAATGGCCGGTTTGCGACTCGGTACGGCCATCTTTCCGAGCAACTCATCCACGTGAATGGTATACGGAAAATTGTCCTAGTCGTGGATGAGACCTTTTCCCCGACGGGACCCAAAGATGCATATACCGATTGGTTTCAGAAGTGGCGGACCATGAGCTGTACAAGCGAACCATCGAACGATGAGAGAGCCCCTCTCATAGACTCGGAGTCATAGAATACGACATGGTACCTCATAGAGGGGTTGGGGCTTTCACAGCAAGTCGCCGGTGAATGATGCTCGGCGGTTCATCGAAACATCCGACGCAGAGATGAAAATCTTCTCAGAACGCGTATCACTCCGTGGATATGGGACCAGTTGCCCTTTCACAAATCGACTCCCTCATTTACAGCAATCAAGCAGGCATGATGGTACATTAGGTCGTTTGGGGGAACTTGACGGGCGAAGAGCGGTCTGGCATTTCTACTGTCAGAAACTGGTATTGGATGATTCAATTGTGCTCGGCGTGGTCTAGTGGTGCTGTTCTAGCATCCCAACGAACAGTGATTCGAGCATATACTTGGTCTATTTTCTGAGGGACTTTCTTCATGAGTTTCCAGGTGAAAGTGGAGCATCTAATGCTGTTGAACATCATTCACAAAATGCAAAGGCAGCTCAGATTACCAAAGGCTGCCACGGTAAATAGCAAACATAATCTCCGAAATCTATATATACGCAATCGTTCCAACAGCATAGTGTCTACAAAGAGCGGCGCAGCAGCTGACTTAAGATATTATTCGCAGTAAACCGTAGAAGCATCGAACTAATGTCTAATATTTTAGTCCTCTTCCGTCAACAGATAGACATCCAGTGATTGACAGTTCCCCAAGACTTTGGATACTAGTTTTTTGGGGAATTGGAAGTATATTATCCCCTTGCGCAAGCAACCAAGCTAGTGTTACCTGCGCCACTGTATAGTATTCCTTGGCGTGTGCCAAGAATGGTACTTCATCTATAATCTCCAACTTTACTGTAACGTCCTCCTTGCTGGATCACGTTAGTTATTTTCCGAAAGTGGCCGGAGACTAGATCTTTCCAGAGAGGAATCCGCGGGGAAGGGGTGACAAGGCAGCGGCTGCAACGCCTAGTTCCCGGGCGGTCTTGAATAGTCGAATTTGATCTGACTCGATATTTAGCGAGAATGAGGAGTACTGGATTTGTATAGTAGTTGTATGGCGATGCTTGCATGCACGGCGTAAGGTGTTGCTGCTCAGTTTGCTGAGGCAGAGATTCTTATCTTTCCTTCTTTCTTCAACTCGACCGGCGCCTTGACTGTTTTTTTCGAGCGGAATCTGGGGTTTGAGCCGATGGGTGTAGAAGACATCAAGAAGAGAATACCCAGTCTCTGAAGGGTTTCATTCCACGACAATTTGCAATAGGCCATAGTACAGCCAGCCTGTGTTTTCCCATCTTCCCGTCGGCCGTTTTGAACCCAGATTTGGCGGTGAGTAAAATATTACTATGCTTTCTGGGATTCCAGGAACCCATCCCTCTAGAATCTCTTCGCTATCATCATACAAGGCAGCCAAAGCTGCTATCATTCCGTCCCAGTGTTGAAAGAAAGCATCAGAAACCAAAGGAAAGAGATATCTAAGCTAACTTACCAGTGTCCTCAAATGTCTCCCTGGCCGATAAGCTTCGTCAAACAAGTCTTATCTCTTGGGTTGATCTTCAGCGGCCTGTAATACACACTCAGGCCAATGGTGATTAAGCCAAGTCGTGGAAGCTTTTGGCCATTTTTACCCAGCGATTGACGAATGAGAGCGTGGAGGCTAGGAATAGAAAGTTCTGCACCGGAGTTTACTCACAGTTTCCCACCTTATATCCGCTGGCGATTTTGGGTACATGGTTTTTTCACGGAAGAAGAATTATGCCTCAGGCGATTACGGACGGGATGATCCGGACCGTTCAATGTCAATGGGAGTCGTATTAACCTTAAGGTTTCGACCTTATAGAGTTGTATCTCATTTCAGTTGAGAAGGTCAGTGTGGTTGCTCGCATGATAGGAGGTGATTCTCTCCCCGGATCTTGCACATACGACCACAGGGTGTGGAGAACAGGGCTTCCCGTCCGCTCAGCCGTACTTAAGCCACATACTAAACGCGGTCAATACTCATAGAGCCCCGGGCCTTAAAGCAGCGTCGAAATTTCTGTTAGGGTGGGTGCGAGTGATATAGGTGAGATTTCTGGAGATGGGGGTGAGAGAGTTGAGAACGGGGTGAGAACATGGTGAGAGGACCTACCGCAGGACTCGCATTTTAAATAAATAATGGCTGAAGGGTGCTCATTAAGGCCTACCATTTTTAATTAATCTAACTAAACTTTAGAGTTACAAAAATACGATATTAAACTAGGCATTATAAGTAATCTTATTAAAATTTACATTGTTGTCGGCATATTTAGCTGCCTCGGGCCAAGATCACAGTGCCGCCAGCTCAGGGCCCGGATTAACGTAGGGAGGGCCCACGTGACGTCTTGGCCCGTAATAGCCTAAGGAATAAGCTATAGACCTGTTATATGAATCCACCCGACCGCCTAAGTACGGACATCATTGTCTGACAGCCTTCCCCACTACAATACGTAGTAGGTATAATACATATGAGTAATTTGCATTCTGTCGTTTTATAAACTAAAAAGACTTCCAAGGTTCGAAGGTTTCACTCAGCCAGGGAGCTCTCTTGAAGCTTTTGTCGTGAAGGGTGTAGTTATCGTAGGTATGGTAGCCGCTAATCACGGCCGTACAATATAAATCCAGGGCGTATTAAAGGCGGTAGGCATTGTGAAACTGGAGCCGTGGGCCCGTGGGCTCTCACCGGTGGCGGCTTTCAAGGTTGGCTACATAGTATATCCATGGATTTCTACTTTCAGCCTTGGAACCTTAGCTACTTTGGACCTCCGGGCGCTGGAATCTTTTCGGACCTGTAATCCACAACGTCCAAATCTGAAATATGATTGCTACAGGTGGTACTATACCCCTTTAGGATTCCGTGACTCCGTGACCCGTCACATCGGAGCTCCTCAAGACTACTTGTCAATATAGTAGGATAGGGTATCGGCTAGGAAAGCTGGAATCCAATGGAACGAGATGCTCAATCTGATGATGTCTTAGATGACTTAACTATCTGAGTGTGTAGACGGGGGGATGTTGAATATCCCCTACCTCGCAGTCTAGCGCGTTACGGCGCTGTATCCCGGGTCTACCCGGAATACCATACAAAACACGTAGGAAATCGAGTATTCCTGTAACAATCTGACGCACATGGGAATATGTGGGTCTCGGTGGTATTATGCAGTCTTCTTTCTCGACACTACTCTTTACCATAACCTCAACTCACTCCACCCCTTGTTACGAGAACTCGCAGTGATCGTCGAATTTTTCACTACTTCATCATGTCCGACCTACATAAGCTGCTGAATCGAAAGCGGCCTGGGTCATGGCAAAAGTTCTGTACCAAACCTTGCATATTCCTGGCGCGACACCTTTACACTTGGCGGCAATACATTCCAGCCGCGCCAATCAAAGATCCTGTTTCGATCGTCTGTATCTCCGATACTCACAATATCCAAGTTCATCTCCCCGATGGAGACATTCTGATCCATGCTGGAGACCTCACGCAATCTGGATCCTTCAAGGAAATTCAGGAAGCACTAAGTTGGTTACGTTCACAACCTCATCACACCAAAATAATTATTGCTGGAAATCATGACCGGTTACTGGACAAAAAATGTGATGATTCGTCCGGCCAAGCAACTTCTGAAAGAGCCCGACTTGAGTGGGGTGATCTTATATACCTTGAAAATGAGCAACGAGAAGTTGTCTGTGCCAACGGCCGTCGCCTGAATGTATTTGGAAGCCCCTATTCTGCTCGCCATGGTAATTGGGCGTTCCAATATCCCAAAGGTGAAGATGTATGGGTTGACTCGGTACCTGAAGGAATTGATGTGCTCATTACGCATACTCCACCAAATGCGCACCTTGACTTACTCAAACTCGGATGTGTTCAACTATTAAAGTCACTATGGAGAGTTCAGCCACGACTGCATGTATTTGGGCATATACATGAGGGTGCTGGTATAGAATGGATTTCATTCGATAAGCTTCAGCTCGCATATGAGCGTACTGTTGCTACTGGAGGAGGCGTTAAAAATCTTCTCTGGACGATATGGGAATTCGGAATGGCCTGGTTTTCCCCGGTTGGAGAGTCAAAGTGTTTACTTATTAACTCGTCAATTATTGGCGGATTGCGGGATAATGAACGAAGAGAGCCGGTGATAGTCGTTATCTAAGTTCAATTACTTTTTTCGAGGGTGATAAGTCAAGTCATATTTCCTAAAAAGAACATGGTAAAAATCCGAGTGGGAGTGGTAAGGTGATTTTCCTAAGATCTCTCACCTCGGGACCCGCGAAGTGTTTACCCTCTCCGATCCTCGAGCATTTGTGCACCAAACACCCACAACCTCTGATCTCCGATATTCCATCGCGTATCCGTGCCATTATGGGACAGTCTTTATCGAATTTGCGTCGCCAGCGTAGCGCAAGCACCCTCAGGAACCTCGCACCTCGTCCAACCCTACCCACGCAACAACCAAGCCTCTCTATTGCAACCTTGACTAGCGCGTTGCACAATGTGGCCTTGCACCTTCATTCTCGACATAATAACCTCACCTCGATTGTCGTCGGAGGGGTAGTGAATACCCTCTTGATAAGAAGCCGTTCCCACACCAGTGATGTTGATTTTTTCAACGACAATTTGACGGCGAACGAAATAAAGATTTTGATGCAGGCAACAAAAGCGGCGATGAAGAAGGACACGTCCTTGGGAGACCAGTGGCTCAGTAATCATACCGTCCTTTTTATCCCACTAAATCTACGTCGCATTTTGACATCCCAGTCCGTGAACCAAAATGAGATAGTCTTCCGTGCTCCAGGCCTTACCATTCTCGCAGCGCCGTGGGAGTACCAACTCTGCACGAAGCTTGATAGGCTTTCGAATTCCGGAAAACTCAACAACACGCACCCCTACGACGAAGAGGATGCCTTGCATTATCTAGCCCGATATCTGGATCGAAACTCTATTGACGTTTTGCAGAAATCGAAGATCCAATGCTGGTTCCGTGACTACTCTTTGATTTGGCATCTGGGAACGGATGAGATCCTTCAACATATCAATATAGTTTACAGGGATCGATTTTCCATCCATCATAATGTGATAGATCTGACAAATTGAATTTTTACCTGCCCACGGTCTTGAAAATTGGGTCGTATTCTGAAACTGGCCGAGTGCTGTTTTCTGCACCGTAGAGGAGCCCCCATTTTGAACATTCCAAGCCACATTACGAGCTCCATTGCGGCCTTCGCGGTGAGTCCACAAAGTGGCTATCATAGTTTTAGATCTGTGTTAGCCCCCAGGTCTCAAGGCTGTATATGTTCAAATGGCGTGTTTAGTGTTCCCTTCAAACCATGCCTTCATGTTGCTGAAACTGGCAGTAAATAATTACTGAATCTAGCCCGAGTATATGTACTAAGACCTCTCTTCTTGATCCTTGAATGACTATCACTTCTCTAGAAAGTCAATAACTTCCTGATCTCCATCACCCGATGCAATGAGCGACTCTAAGCTCTGAAACATTCCGTGCAGCGTCTTCATACCGTTCATTACTGACCGAGCTAGTTTCATTCACTCCCCCGATCTGATCTAAGAAGTAGCATATGTGGAAAGGAAGTATACTTCCAAAAATAATTGCAACTTGCTTTTGATGAATAATACGGAACTAGCAATGTCTCCGCCCACCCACAACGCTTCCGCGTTGTGGGTGGGCGGAGACACTGCTAGTATGGTGACTCGGGGAAAGAAGAAACGTGACATAGTATGAAGGAATTTGAGCATAACATAAGGTCAACCTGTATCTCTATGCAGAAACTTCGCCAATGGGCTGAATATACTCTTTAGATTCTACCATTCAAGTATAATATCATTAATTAATATGGTTGTTGAGATATGAAGTAGTAATTTATCGCATTTAGTATGCGTTTTGGGGTGTCCGACTCGACCGGGAACCACGTTAGTAGGTATGACATAAGCGCTTTCCAAGGAGTAGTACTAAGCAGTCCATGTGTAGGGGAGGGTGCTCCCCACTGAACTATCTATACAGTATCTAGAGTCAATGGATACATTTGAAATTTCATTACCCTTCATTGCCTTTATATATCTAGAAGTTCCAATATACCACTGTGCACAGTACTTCAACCTTCGGGGGTTTATAGCTATGTATAACTGCGGTTCAATCATCAACGACTTTTCCGGTCGGAGTGGCGACTTTCATTTGGGACGTGATCAGTTACCTGTTCTAGCTAGATCTTGTGATGTCATTTAGAGTGTGGCAAAACCTATATATCGAGAGGTGTTTCGAAACGAAAGGCGAGGTTGCTCCCACGTTCTCAACAGCATCACGGATCATCCTTAAACTTGTCCCAATTTGAACCAACTGATCAAACATATAAGGCTCCACCATGTCGGACTTCTTCCGCCGAGCATCTGACGCTCTCCAACATCGCACTCGTCAGGATTCAACAAGCTCCACTAGCTCCACAGAGGGGGCCATTGATTCCAGCGCTGCTAAAGCCCCTGATCAACCACTGAATCAACAGGCCCAGACAGCTCAGCCTCAGCCTCAGACTCATGCATACCCCAATGAATCATTCTCTTCAACGGCACCTGGTATGTAGTCATTATTCGATCTCGGCCTGATCTGGCCGTTCTATCCAGTGTATGCACATGTGTTAATGAAATCATCTTAGAAAACATAGCCAATCCAAAGCCGCGCCGCCTTTGGGGCTGGAAACACGACCAAGAGAACAAGACTGACCCGAAGCAGATCCCAGCCCAGAAAAAGGATGATACTGACTGGATTTTTGGAACTTAAGGAGAATGGAATATGGTCTTAGGAGGTGGACCAGGGGGTGTCTTCTAGTTTTATTTTGAATGAGCCCAATAATTTGATAATGGGGTACGAGAATGAACAGAATGGAAATCTGCCCTTGAATGAAGATTGATTTATGATAACTTGAGAAGATATTAAATCCATATCCCGATTACAGAACATTCTATCTGTCAAAATATAGCAATTCTAGGACCTGAATAGAAGGAGTAACAGCATCAATAGTAGCAAAAGTGATGTAATGGTAAATCATCAATTCATTAATGATGACCGTTAGCAGGCTGAAGTATGCTTAAGATTTTAGCTGATTGAAAACAACTTGGATCGCCATTTTGATTCAATACACGACAGAATCAGCATTCTTTTCGACGATTGAAATGTTATCGAAGCATAGAGCAATAAAAGTGGTCAATCCCACATGTTGCAAGGTGTTTATAAACAAAGGGCGAAAACACGTGGACAAGATGGAAACTCCCAGAAACTGAGAATAATCAGGACTCGTCGTATCCACTCCTGCTCTTACCGATGCGGTAATTTGTAAGGGGGATCATAGTTGCCCGGGTCTGTATCATTGGTCGTGCTGTTCCAGCAGTATCGTTTAACACACATTGTGTATTGCTCTGGGACGGCCATGTCAGTGCGTTCTAGACTTCGACTCAGGATCGCGCAGCCTAAATATGTCGGCCAGTCAGGGTCAATTGTTGCGTTGGCCATCATAGCGACATCATAACCATTCCTAATAATCAAATGACGTTCTGTGGTATAATACTGTAAGTCGAACATAGATACATTCGATTGGTAGGTGTATGGTGAGTTCGGAGTATAGACGACCAAAGGGACCGAGCTGCTCATGTTTGAGCTATTGCAGTCGAAGAAGGTAGGCCGGTTGTTCAGCCCCAGGTTTATTTGCCCTAAGATTAATAAATACCTCTAAATAAAGAATATATAGGTACCTCGTGCTACATGACCTAGACCTAATGGTTCTTATTTCTCTAAACCAATATAGGATAGCAGAATTCCTTAAGAGATTAGAAAACTTAAAGCCAGGGCTTATTTAGTATGTATTACTTGCTTATCAGACTTACTTCGACCACTCTTATATACATTTACAGTCTAACTTCTAGTTTCCTGTAAAGAATATAAAGTTTTCTATAGTTCTATGAAGACCAACATAGAGACATATTTCTATCTTTTCATATCCATCAGTTAAATATCACCTATCGCTTTGCATACTATAGAAAACGACAACGGGCAAACATAATTTCTTTGTTCAATTCATACAAAATGATTAGCATGTTTTTCATTGCTCTCAAGAGTAGTTATATATAAGTAAGCAACGCTACAGACAATGCAGGCAAAGAATTCGGCGGTAGTGTGCCTACTTTCAACTTTAAATTTATTATTTAGCACGTATTCAGAATTGTACACGCCCTTATTAGTAGCTAGATCTCTTCGATTTATGTAGATTCAAACTGCTGTATTTGCAATCTCCGCTCCCTACGTATTCACGTTGAGAACGTAGATATCTTTGCGGGTTCCACCTACTACTTCTTTTAATTCTGCGAATCTGTCGATATAGCCCCGATCTACGAAAACGAAATAATTTAGGTCAAGCTATTAGTATACTTACCGTGCTCCCTAGCATTTTATCGTTCCCTAAGAGAGCTTTCAACGAGCTTCTGCTCTAGATCGGCTTCCTTACTATAATCGGAAGCCCTTGTCTTAGTATACTACTTACTACTACCCTAGTAGTAGAATTCTAAATATACCCCTATATAAATCTCTCTTTGTAGGTCTAGTATAGCTACTCCTTTAGATACGATTATATTATATAGCTATATACAGGAGAAGAGCTTTATATATATACACTTTAGAGCTTATTTTATGTGTTGTAATTAATCTAAGTAAAAGGAATAAATAATCGAAGACGATAGGTAAATAGCTATAAGGGTATATTTTTCGAACTATAACTGAAAACTTTTAACAGGAAACTACTTATAAAGGTGCTCTTAAATTATTACTTCGTTAGCTCTATTAAGGTTATAATAAGAAAGATGAAAGGATTATACTTCAAGGCTCTATAACAACATTTTGAATTGATAACTCCTTGTTCCAAGCCAATATACCTCGCTAGGAAATTTAGTTCTCTCAAGATGAATGTTAATTCTTTTGTGGTCTAACCCTTCAAATTTTGGCGAAGTCTAGATACTATAAGATCCGTTGCTTCAGGGAGAGGTATAGGGCCCAATCATATTCCAGCCCTAGCTCAGCTGAAAGGGTCAGTACGGGGTCATACGACGCAGGGTTATTCTCACCTGGCCATCACCCATTCTCATCCCGATGACGTAGACCTAAAGCGGCGCTCACCCCATTCTCACCCGGGCTACACCCACCCGACTACTGACCGCGTTTAAGCCACACGCCGGCAGATTAGTAGTTGGGTAACCACCAGCGAATCCCTGCTGTTGTATATTTTTTTTTGTTTTATGAACAAATTCGAGGTGAACTTGTAACCACTGAGAAAGCTGGCGCCGTGAGCCCAACGGTGAGTACTTTGTAGCTTGACTGGCAGTCTGGACGCTGTATGAGCAAATTGATCCATGGGCAGACCGACGGGATTTATTTTTGATAAATGATCTATTCAGTCGAGTTCACAAATGGCTCTGACTTTTCTAGGGATGAATCAAGATATCCCACTATGCAGGTGAGCTGGAGTAATTTCCAAATGCGGATGGAATGTAAGCTTCTCAATGTTGATGATCAAAATCACTCATCAGATACGAACATTCACCGTAGATAAAAGCCCTGAATAATTTATTTTGTTTGGAATGACCGACACTATCAGTCTGTACCTGTAACTGAGATGAGCCGAGAGCAAAATCACCAAACATAAGTAGGTGAAGTGAAAGGGGAATCGAAATTTTGAGGAGGCTGCTAGGTCTCGTCAGCGTTATAGGTAGAGATTTGCACAGAGCCTCGGAAGGGGCAGGTAAAGATGGCGACATATCCAAGGCCTTTCGGTCAGAAACGTCTTTTGATCAGGCGCCGATAGATGGAAGTAAACCTCCGGTCAAAGATCCACAAAACGGAAAAATGGGAACAGGGATATCTCTAATGGTAAAATACTGAGACTTCGAGAGAATCAATCTGAGGCAATGATTCTTATTGTTAGCATGTGGTCGATTTTCAACCGATGGCTTATACAATAAGCAAAAGACACAGCCAAAATAGCAACGTCATCGCTGCCGAAATTATTTCGAAGATTTCAAATGAGTATCCATCTCACCGAGTTGGAGCGTAGAAAAGATTGCAGACCAAGCAGAAACAATTAGTAGAATTCGTTGCCGCTAATTCTCCACCAAAGAAGGCCAGTGTTGTCCCTCAAATCATTCACAAAGCCCGATACCAATCATTCATATTCGGCGGTGATACATTAAATCAAGCACAGGCACAATGTAGACGAGACAGCCAACCTATTCAAACAAATAGAATAACTCCAAAAATCAAAAACTGAAAACCAAAACAAGATCTAACATGGCAAAGTCAAACGAGAAACATCCAGAATCAGAATAAGAAAAGAAAAAAAGACAAAAAAACAGCCCTCATCCAAAAAGAACTCATGTGCTTCATGAATAGCCATGTTATCATACCTTTCAACAGGCATTTAGACTAAAGGTCATCCCGTATTTCGGGTCATTTCCTGGGAAAAACTAAAGATGTATCTGGGGAATATTTGGGGGGGGGGGGGCCTCGGTCGATTTCGAATGCAGTAAATCCTTCCTCCCCGAACATCCATCGTGGAGTTTTCCGCATCGTGATTGGCTGTAACGTTGGTGGGAGTCCCGGGGTCGCAATAAAATCCATTGGACTCGATGTGGGAAGAAATCCGTTAAACGGCCATGCAAGGAAAACCACGGCAAATTTCCACGGATCCACGGATCCACGGACCCGGAGTGGTAGTAGAGCATCAGAAAGAAGAAAATAGTCCAGGGCAAAGCAATCTCAATCCAGGGAGAATATGTCATGAATGGGCCTCATTCTGATAATGGAAATGGTCGTGGTCCGCAGCAGGTCTGCGGTAAAATCAATGGTCCGCAAATCTCACTCGGCGGCGACGTTCATTAATCAGCTTCTCCGTGTCAACATAAAGACAATCGAAGAACTGCATAGCACTAGAGTCCTTCAGGATCTTGGCAACCTGGGTACCAGCTGAGATGAGCTGCAGCACATTGCGGTCATCCTTGACGGGTCGAGAGCTGTGCTTCGCAGCATGGCGCATCTCCAGCGAGTTCTCTAACACAGTAATAAGCTGCTTGATCTGACCATTGTGGAGAGTGTGGCGAGGAATGCGGCGTCGGGTTGCCAGCCTCTTCAGCAAATGTACCCATTCATTCCATTCACGGTCCGAGGGAACTTGGACTCGTCGCTTGTCTGGCTCTATAGGAATGGGGAACTGATACCTTGCAAAGAAGTCATAGCCACACGTGGATAAGCGATCATTGACTTGGTGCAAGATTCTATCTTGTTCAGCTGCATCGAGGTTAGTAGGGAGCTGTGGGAGCTCTTCCTCACGAACTGTGTGGCTCCGGGGAGGTTCCAAGATTTGATGGGGACCGTCAAATTCATCCCGGGTGGACGGACGTCTCTGGGAAATGTATTGAGAGCTTCCTCGGCTTATATCGGCAGCGCGCCGACTGTTCCTTTCCACGATATATTCCGGGCTTTCCGAGGTATTCATTGGCCTAACATCATGTCTTACAGGCTCGTTCGACATGTGGGGGGAGTGGCTCCAGTCAGGATATACTGGTGGCAGAGGGAGTGGTTGTCCAGCGGGAGGGTAAGAGAGCCGTTGATTCACCATATGAGCGTGATTATCCAGTGGCGCTGAGAATCCATGGTATTGAGCCCGGGCTTCGAAATCTATAGATCCGAGTAAAAGCGGGTTGTCCCTGTGGCTGTACGCACGGGGCGCAGAAGGAGCCCTTTTACGGCTTAGCAGGCGTACCAAACGAGCCTCTGGTTGCTATTGGAGTCGGGGCTGGGCAGGAAACAATTCTTCATGGTAAAAAAGGGTTACCTTTGACGGTGGATGATGGGAGAATTCCCCGATGGTGCGTACACGGAGTGCTGAGCCATAGTGCTGCACCGAAATGTGAGTTTGAGTTCGCCACGAAGCAAGAAAAAAAAAAGAAAATCGACACCGAAGGGAATGAAAGGGAGAATAGGGAGAAGATGGGAGGGAATAATATATGCTATGCTGACCTGGCGCGAGACAGGATATCTAGTTTACTGCTAACAGAGCCCGCCCGAGAACCGAGCGTGACCGGGGTTGTTGAGATAGGCTGAAAGCACACGGGAACCGCCGTGGGAGGAGACAGGGCAGGAACCATGAATGGAGGACGGATTTGAGTGAATAACTGATCCCTCCAGGAATAAAGGAGAAAGGTAAAAGGAACTGGCGGCAAAGGAGTAATCAGCAAAAGATATATGCTGAAGGAAGAAGAGGGTGAACGAATCCGCGGACAGGAAGAAGCGCTGGGTGGTCAAGTCTCCGAGTAATATATGGCGAACAGAACCCGGGTCAATCATACTGGTAGGGGTGCCTGACGCCTGTTTTTGGACTGGCTAATCCTTTTCCACAAGTGGATGGAGAGCCGCGCTAGCAGGCTTTCAAGACAAGAGTGGATGAGGGCAATTTGGCAGAGAATGCATGACCTGGGCATTGTTGTTTGGTGGCATGTAATTGCTCCGGTTTGACAGGGAAGCTCCCAGGAGGCTCCCTTGCTCCATCACTCTGCACAGTGCGTGAAGAGCAGATCTCGATCGATCGAGCTCACCTCCCGCAGACAAGGTACTCCGTACATTGGCTCGACGTGGCTTGAGACGGTCTGGGGAGGCGTGGGCTGTTGGGGCATATCCACACTTGGATCGGATGGGGATGGATTTGCGATTCGACTCTCCGATCTTCACGGGTTAGGAGAAAAGCTAACAACAGACGCCACTTGACCGTGGTGTGACAGGAGTGAGCTTGGGCAGCAAGTTGGGTATGATAGCATGAAAGCAGTCAGGCCACGACTCTTGTTGGCCCATGCTGAACTAAACGGGTGCAGATAGGACGATCTGCAGCGACGAGAGATGAGATGAGCCTGACGGTGGAGGCGGAGCACATGCCATCCCGTGACGTCGAGCCTTCCTGCAGCGTTTCACTTTCTTAACTCACTTTCTTAACTATGGGCTACGGCGTGGAACTCCCCACCGAGATGTTAAAGAAGCTAGGCTAGCAGCTCTTGGAAAAATAAGATCACGATGATGGCGATTGGGCATGCAGAGCCGTTGGAGCCCAATGGACGCATGGACCATTTCTATATCTCGACCCCAATCGACCAGTTCTAACCCATCTTTCGGTGGGGAGCCGCATGGGGATGTAACCAGTTCGAGGATCTTGCAGCCCAATCGTCAGCCCAATGTCTTACACTCAACGCAGGTCCGGGCTTCCAGATAATCTCTAGGGCCAATGGTAGTAGTGAGGTTGGACCGACAGGCACTATACAAATCAAGTGGCAATTAAGTAAAATAGCGCTAATAACGCCTCCTAAGTCACTGGGGCTAGGTGGGGCCCTTTGGAGAAACCATAGTAAGCAGGCCGATCCCCAGTATATCACTCTTCAGCCGGTGTTCGGTGAGTTAGGGGTATAATATAGTATGTTGGAGGGAAAAGAGAGCCTGAAAGTCAATCTGATCCATCAATTTTGCGCATCTTCCGCATTCAATCTTGCCACCTCCTGGGCGAAGCTCGGTTTATTGCCCGGGCGAAATTCCGGGAGTTGAACCCCAATGCGCCGGGCGTATTCCTGTTGCCCCCGGGTGTGAGCAATTCACCTTCCCCAGGGTTGAAATCGACAAGACCAGGAACGAATGGACTTTTTCGGCTTACCTCGCAGCTCAAACGAATACCCTCCTCGATACCGATGCGGGCTTCGTACCCCAGTATTGTCTTGGCCTTATCACCGCTCGCATAACGCGTAGCACATGCATCCTGGACGCTCCCACGACTCAAGGTGGTCGTTGTGCCCGTCGCCCAGGTGGCCATTTCGCACATTAACCCTGCAAAATATGCAAGCCCCTGCGGAATACGGATTTCAAACGGCGGAATGTGCCCAAAGTGTGCCCAGATAGCCAGACAGAAGTCTCGGAAAGTGATGGGCTCATTGTTCTGTATAAAGAAAGCTTCCCCCGCCGCCGTGCGTGACGTTAATAGGTTCTCCACTGCGAGAACATGGGCATCAGCGATGTTCTCGACGTGGGTGACATCCCACAGGTTCACCCCATCCCCGATGATGAATGGAGTCTCATATTTGGCAATGCATGCGTGAATGGCGGGGATCAGCTGATAGTCCCCGGGGCCAAATAGCACAGAGGGCCGAAGGGAGCAGGTTGCCATATGGCTGTCGGATTTTTTTAGAACAAGGGCCTCTGCTGCAGCCTAGTTGGTCTCGGTCAGCATGTTTTGCCTGTGCTCGCTCGCAAAAAGCTACCCCGTTGCCCAATTGCTAGGGGGGCTATCACCTTAGACTCGCCGTAGATCAGTGAGGTTTGGGATGTAGGCCATCCCTCGTTAATATTGGGATATGGAAATCTGAAGTCGTCCGTCGTGACGCAGCAGGTACTGGTATAGACAAATGCCTGGACCCCATGCTCTGTGGCCGCATCCAGCATGTTCTGGGTGCCCTGGACATTGATCTTCCATACTTCTCGCTCCAACTGTCGGCCAAATCGGTCGGCTAGGGCGGGTACAATGCCTGCCGTATGGATAACAACATCGGGCTCGACGGCCTGAAATGCATTGCTAAGCTCATCTGCAGAGGTGACATCAACTTGCAGGAATGAGATAGTCTCTGGTAGGGCATGTTGCTGGCGAGGCGGACTCCGGTCAATGACGGTGATGGCGCAGCTGGGATGTTTCGCAGCTACGGCGCGCACTGTGGCTGAGCCTACAAAGCCAGTGCCTCCCGATATGAGGAGTTTTTTGGATGCTAGAAGGGTTGTGTCAGCCATTGCATATAAGGTGGTATGCGATTTAAAAGTCATCGATATTGTTCCGAAGCGGCCCTTGAGGGCGATCGACCAAGGAACGGCGGACGGCCAAAGATGATCGAGGCCGCGTGACTTTCGCACAGATGGCACGTCAACAGAGGCTGCTCCGTACGAATTAAATCTACCACGTCGAAGAAAATGAATAATCTGGACATCTTTCGTTTTCCTGTTAAAAAAAAACAGTCGTAATCTATACACAGTGTCAGGGTGAGCGACCACTTCGCAACCCACCCGACCAGAGCACAAGAAATGGGATACAAACATCTAATATACAGATTTTGACTGAGGTATATATCTCCGCAGTCTCGAAAAAGAACAAATCTCAAGAGGAGATCCCGCTGCGATTAAACCGACAAACTCCAGGGTAAATGCAAAAGAAACCAAAGGAAGCCCACATATTCGTCTTCTGGACTGGGGAATAGAGGAAATCCCAACCATGAACACAGGATAATCATAGAACCCGGCAGAGTACCAAGCCTCCGATCTTCTTCTCAACACACTCGCGGGCCTCCATGATTCCTCGGTCTGTCGACAGGTAGAGACTCTCGCCAGGAGATCGCAATCCAGCCACGTAGCCGGCTTCCTCGCCACGAACGACACGACGCAGGCTCTCGACATCGAGGTTGACTCGTCGCTTCGGCTTGCTGACCATTTGCACCTTGCCGAGGACCGGTTCATTGCGCCAGTACTTCAGACCCAACCATAGACGTCGGGACGCAACATTATCCCGAGTAATGGATTCAACGCCTTCGATCTCATCGTTTGCAGTCGGGTGGCCAAGAATAGGGTGAGCAGGAGGAGGAGTCGGGCCTCCACGCACCACGGAGGAGATGTAACCCGAGTTCTGGAGGGCCTGGCAAAGCTTCAGGTGCAGGTTGCTGTTGGGGATCGAGGTGAGGCCGAGACGAGCCTTAGTGGCATTGTTCAGGTGGGCGCACACGGAAGCGAGGTTGACGAGAGACATAGTGAGTTGAGTATGTCGCGGACGAGAGGCCCGGGGCCGATGTGCTTCGGAGGAGTGAAAAGTGTAGAGGGTGAAGGGCGATGTGTCGGCTAAATGGGCGTGCCGAGGGATGTAAAAACTTGAGCCCACGCTGTTCAGACGAGGAATTGAAGATTCAAGAATCTCAATGGGGCGAATCGCGAACAGGAGAGGTGGTTGGACAGGACGGACTAGTGATCCAGCGCAGGAACAGCAGCTCTCGCGATGGAAATTTTCGGAAAAACCCATGCTTCCGGCCGAAGTCTCAACACACCAGCTGGGGTCCCGGCGTGTGTACCCGGTACTTTCTCCACCTGCCGGAGCTGCGTGTGATAGCCAGGTAATCAGTACCCGCTGCCAGCCCATCACACACTATAAGCGCCCAGAGCAACACAGCGGCTGGAGAATGCTCCTCACAGGTCCATGCGGGTCGACCCCTCCATTTACGCCATAAAAGCAGCCGCATATATTGTAAGTGTTCCACCCCTCTGTCTGATCTTGCTCTGTCTTTCCCCTCCCGCGGCATTTCCAACTATACCGGCAACCATGCCTTTGCTAGCGGGTGAAGAGCGTCTTTTGACCGTGTAAGTAGTCAAGCTAACTTTCCCCGCAGAATATCAAAGTCCGGACGTTGAAGGGAATTCTGACTGGACAACTGTCATAGTTTCGCCGATATTCATTACTATTTCGCAGCGCCTACTCCAAAGCCCCTCCACCACCGATTTGAGAAGGGCTCATACTTGTATATTTACCACGATCCATCTCAGCACAGAGCGCGCATCGAGATCGCCAATAACCCAGGCTCTGCCGATCAGGATGCGTTCCATGGAGTCCTGAAGAATGCCCATATCAGACATTCGACCCAATTTCATAGCCGCTGTACCCTGACGGTGGACGGAATAACTGGTTCCCCCCAGCCACAAGAGCACCAGGCTTCCCAGTCTGACTGGCGACTACCATGCGCCAATACACATACAGGTCAGCTTGAGCTGGCCCGTCTCCATACACTGGATATCTATTTTTGGACGGTCGAGGATGCGAACGACTTCCTGGATACGCTAGGCCGTATCTTGGCTGTCTCGCAAGTGGAAACGGATCGAATCGTCTTGCCTAGCCAACAGTTGAGCTCTGTCGTTCAGCAGCTTGAGAATGTAGCAGTCTCTGACCCGGCCTATCAGAACGGACAAACACTAAATTCCAGATCAGAGCCCAGTGTCCTACCAACTCCCGGTTCGCAGGACCTCTCACGAACTCCGAGTTTCGCTCCTCCCCCGACTACCCCGCTGGTTGACCAGCAAGCTAATACGGGTAGTCAGGCTTCAGGGAGAGAGCGAAGAGAATCAGCAGCCAGCTTTGCTCCTCTTCCGTACAATCCTGCTGCGCCTGCCGCTCCAGAGCCAATCAAACATCGTGAAAAGACTCCCCCGCCGGAGGATGGCGTCGATGGTACTGGGCTGGCGGCAGCTCTAGCAGCCGATCATGGTGTTCCATACACATCAGCACACCAAACAGGCAGCACACCTGGGATCGGGTCATTGTCACCCCCACCATCCTCGTCGCAAGGCCTGTCCTATGCTGGACCTCCCGCGACTTCTCCGGCAGCATACGCTTCTCCTCCACCGAGTGCCGGGCTCTCGTTTAACAATAGATACTCTTCCCAGACATTACTCCCAAGCCCGGGCCTGCCCTCGTATATCCAGTCGACCCAGATCGGACAGCCGTACATGCCAAACGTCCAGGGACAGATGTCCTTTGCGCCACCTCCTCAGGACCCCAACGCACATCTCTACGCGCAGCAAGTTTACGGCACTTCCCAGTCCACCCTGCTGCATCCGAGCCGCAGTGGATCGATTAGTGGATACTCAAGTCATTCGCATGGCCCGCCGCAGGCTTCCGAATACGACATTCACAGCCAGGTATACCGGCCAATGGAGAATGAGGTCGGTGGACATGGTACTAAGTGTGCCAAGAAGGCAATGGAGGCGCCCGGGGAGCGACCTCGCAAATTCGAGAATGGTGCGGCGAAGTTGGAGAGTGGAGTCAATAGGCTCTTCAGGAAGCTAGAGAAGAAGCTCTAAAAGAATTTTGATAGAGCCTCGAGGCGGCTCTCCGTTCCCACGATTTTTTTTTCACCATAATCGAGCGTTGCATCTCATAATGAGGGTTTCTCAAGCCCGATCTTTTCTTTTGTCTATTTCCAGCTGCAGGGCAGCCCTTATTGGTTGCAGGCAATCCACATACGCCATGAATTTGAAGCAAGACTGTGTTTAGCATGGACAGAAAAATTATCAATTTTGATTGAACATTCTATTCCATTACCCAACTGCCGTAAGCAAGTCCAGAGTCATGGGACACCAAACCCAGACCGAACGCGACATCATTTTCGAGTCAGTAGCGTATGAGACTAGCACAACCCAGGTATTTCCACCGAGATAGGATGAACCCACGCGGTAGTTAGATTGTCAAGTCTACTTTTGTTCGTTGTAGGCAAGCTCTGTGTGAACTCCATAGAGCATATTGAGCAATACACTTACGGGACGGCAAGGTCGCTGTCATCAATATCGTCTGAAAAAGACAGAAAAGACTTCAAATCCCGAGAAATGGCATTGACTTAAAAACGGACAGACCAAGCATCTCGGTAGTAAATAACACAAAAAAGCTAAAATGCTCAAACCGAAGAATGCAACTTAATCGCTCACTAAAACCATATGCTCTCGATATCAACTTGAAGAATGCAACCACCAAGGAACAAAAAAATAACCACCAAGACATCAACATCAGTGGATGCAGATATCTAGGTCGCAGCTGGGAGGCCAGCAGAAAACAAATCAACCCTTGAACAGACTAGGAGTCCAGGACAATTCGCAAAAAAATCAGAGGGGAGGGGACGGAACTGTGTGCTCTTTGAAATGAAATAGTCAAGGGTATAAGCACAGATGATTAAAAAGGGGGAAACAGAATGTGATAATCGAATTTGAAGAGGGCGAGGAATCTAGTTCAATGCCAAATTTACCAAGTCGATGTCAGCCATATCTGACTTGGTCTCTGCCACGGACTGGGCGGTCGAGGCAGACTTTTCGGCGGGAGTGTCTTCCTCGGGCTTCTCTGAAGATTCGGCGGTGGTAGTTTTCGCGGCCTCAACAAAGTCATCAGAGACAGAGGCGGGTTCAAGGGACTCTGGGATCTCGCTAACCCCAGACTCCTCAGGCTTGGAAGGCTCCTCTTGCTCATCAAGAACAGTCTCCTCGACAATGGGCTCTGCAGCAACAGCGGGCTCCGCAACAACAGCAGGCTCTGCAACAACAACAGGCTCTGCAGTGGCTGCAGGTGCCTTGTTGATTTCTTCCTGTGGCACTTGATCATGCGGCGCCGCCGAATCCTTCATGTTGCTGGCCTCTTGAGTGGGCTCCGCCGGGACATCATTGGCTTCCTTGGCTTCTGGATTTATTGACTGTTTCTTAGTTTCAATAGGGGCCCCGGGGATAGAATCGGCCCCATTTGACAGGACATGAGTCTCGGAAACATCAGTCGCGGGTTCCACCGGAACCTCTTCGACGGGCTGCTCCGAAACCTCCTCGGAGAGCTCAACAGCTGGTTCTTCGGTAGTCTCAGACGTAGCTTCCTTCAAAGAAACAGGGTCGGCTGGCTTCTTGGCCGCATCTTCGCTGGAGGCCTCGATCACGTCTTCTGCTTCGGGCTTTTCAACGATGATTTCATTTGTCGCCGCAACCTTTGACTCTTCTGTGACCGCAGGGATGACCTCAATATTCTCCTTCTCGTCCTCTAACGTCTCAATCGGCTTCACTTCCGCCGCCTTGGGTTGTAACTCTGCAGAGGAAGTCTGGGTTTTTTGGCTCTGGGGGCGCAGAGCCGCTGATCTGGCTTTCGGCGGAGCCGCACTCCGTTCTGTCGCTCTTGCGACTGATGGTCTAGAAACCTTCGGTGCCGTAGTAGTCTTTGAGGTCTTTGTTTCAGGTCGGTCATGTGTCTTGCTGGCAGAACTGGCAGTGGGGCGCATCATTCTGGCAAGGAAACCTTCGTTCACTGGTTTGGAGCCAGTGTCACTGATACGGGAACTGGGACGCTCTGGAGCTTGCTGGGCCGGAAGAGAAGGGCGAGATGACTGTCTACGCACGCCTGAAACAGGGTTCACCGCGCTTTTCAGAGATGAAGGTTTCCTCGTAAGAGTCGAGGTGGATTTGCTCGTTGGCGCAGTCGAAGCAACTGAGTTTCCCAACCTGGCACTAGATGCCCGAGTAGAGGCAGTCAACGAAGCCGGCAGGCGAACCGGTTTTGTAGGTGACTTCGTTCGAGGCTTAGTGCCGGCACTATTGGGAGGAGATGTTTTCGAGCTCTCTTGGGCCGGTGTCGAGCTCCGGACTGTTCGAGAAGTAGACTTTGCTTGGGGGTTCAATGATGGACGGCTTGGTCTATGAGCGAGGTTGGCCGCACGCTCTTTAGCCACTTCCCGGGCTGATGTGGCTTTGTTGTTTGTGTTGGTGGCGGCGGCGGTAGACTTTGTCGTGGTCGAGGATCCGGAGGTTCCTGCGGGTGAAGTAGCTTTGTCGGGGACGCTAGCTTTGGCCGCATGGGTATTTGAAGGCCGCTTGGTGGCTGTTTGCGCGCCAGATTTTTCGGCGTGGCTTTCGGGCCTGATGGCAGTTTGGGGACTAGGAATTGACTCTGTCTTTTGTCCAGACAACGTCTCTTGCGCCGGAGATGCAAGTTCATTGGATGCCACGGATTCGCGTTTAGCAGCATCTGAGTCCTTATTTGCTACTTCTGCTTTTGTTTCTCGGCGAGCTTCATCCACGACTGAATCCAGTAGGCCTGGCTGGGCACTACTGGGGCCACTGCCAGGAGTCGGAGAAACCACATTGTGTTGACGGCGCGATTCGACCTCTTCCGTGTTGATTCTAGGGCCAAATATCCCCGGGCTATCGCTTCGTCCACTGGTTTTCCTCAATGGCGAGCCAGGATTCGACTGGATCGCTCCCTCTACTGTCACAAAGCTGGCACGGACTTTGGAAAGCGGCCTAGTCGATCCCGGGGTATCTGAGCCCACGGGAGACCGTCCACGCGACGGGGGGGATGTGATTGGGCTCTGGCTGTTCTCAAACTTGGCCAGCAGGCTTCGAACACCAGGATGGGCGTTGTTGTCGGACATGATTGAGGTTCTCGGGGATGTCGACGTCAGGTCAGGGGCATGGAGCGCCACGGAGGTGGGAATTGGGGGTAAAGACGCCCTGGACCGCGGGGGGTGCAAGACGGATGATCAGTCCGGAATGCGAAGATCAAATGGAATAAAACCCCCCTTTTGGGGCAAGAGAGGAGGGATTCAATGAGTGAACACGGTGTTGCTAAAGAACAGTGGAAGGGGAGCGTGAAGAAGGGTCGATCAGGAAACTAAACGCGCTAGTGACGATTAGCGCACCCAATGGGGTGAAACACATGAGCCTTACAGCGTCCCCCTCCTTTTTCAGGGGCCAAACGGGCGTTTGGGGCTCATCTTTCTGCAACAGTGGACTCCCGTCTGCATGTTGGCTTTGATCCTGGAGACCGTGGTTCATCTCCTGTACTCCGTAGCTGTCGCGGGTTTTGCTCTGTGCGACCGTTGATTGCCGGTTGGGAGCGCAACGGTGTGCCGTCTAGAGGTGGGTAAGAAGAGGAATCTGGAGAAAGGGGAGAGCATTACAAACACAGCATCATAACAAAACCATGAAATCTCGTGGTTCTATAGATCCCAATGGAATTATAAGAAAAAGGGCCTAGGGATAAACACGGATCTGCGATCCACGCGGGCATTGGAATCCATGGTCCGGGGAAGTCGATCCAGATCCGGCATGAATTGGAATTGCTTCTACTTTTATGTTGATAATTCTCGCTGAATGACCTCTTGTGTACAATTGATGATAGGCAAGGTGGGCTGAGATTCTCCGAGTCATTCTAGAAGTATTCTTGCGTCTACTCGCTGGAGCCCATCATGCAACTAAAGCCTCCCTCTTGCTTGTCGGCCGAGGTTCGGCTAACCAGGGATGTGAAACAGTCTCGAGTGGGGACGGGAGCAATGGGAGACCATCACTCCTCTACGTACCACATGTACAGAAGAAGTATGATGGCCTAATACCAGATGACAATCCATTGCCTTGCCAGAGCAAGTCTCCCTCGTAAGCCTTCCATATTGAAAGAAACACCCACAGCAAACAAATGAATACTTCCTAAATGTCAAAGCACGATCTGCACGGGTCCAAAGGCGCCGGCACAACTAATTGCCGACATTATGTCAGCAATGGGCTTCAACAGTGGCTCCAGCTCGTATAGGAGGCTCTCAACAAACACGCTTGGATCCCTGCTCCAGGATTTTTGGATGAGCGAAATATGGTGGGCGTACCTCGCAGCAGCGGCTGTGCGACTTGCGTGAAGCGTCGGGTGAAAGTAAGGCTGCATCTCAGTCAGACAAACATCTTTAGTTAACAACGCCACAGTGCGATGAAAGAGTCCCGGGATGCGCCAAATGCGAGAAGTACGGGACGCTATGTCCGGGATACGATAGGGGGTTCAAGTTTATTGCTGGCAAACCATATCGGACCCGTCGACGTCAAGCTGATACCCAAGAGACCCAGTCAAACAGAAAGCGGAGCGAGACTTCAAGTCTAGCACCGTCCAGCAATACCCAGGTGGCTACCCAGATGGCACTCCAATGGCAAAGGCCAGCATCGTTGGTCTCATCGCAGCTCAACGTCCTTCAAAGCCTGGGGATTCTCATTGATGACTTCTCACAACCACAGCCCATGACGCAGAAACATGTTGTTTCCCATTGGTTCAACTATCTTCCCTCGGTTTACGGACATAGTCGAACCTTGGATGCCACGATCCGGTCTTTTGCCGCCAATCACTTTGGGACCGTGCTGCAAAATCATCAGATGATTGCATATGCTCGGTCCTCCTATGGAGAGGCCCTGCGTAGGCTACGAAAGTCCTTAGAATCCCCGTCCGAGTCCCTCTCCACCCATGTCTTTTGCGCAGTCGTTTTACTGTGCATGTATGAGGTAGGAATCCACTGGTTTTTGCCATGTATGTCTATATATGTTCATTCCTGACAGGGAGTCAGTTATTTGCGGATGTCGAGACTCCTGATTCCTGGATGAAGCATGCCAAGGGGCTTGGGCAACTGGTCAAAATCAGAGGACCCGAGCGATATCGCAATGAATTGGACATCGTCCTGTTAAAGGCTTCACGAGGATTGATTGTAGGTTTCCCTCCATTTCCAGAACCTGTGAACTCCTCATTGTTAACCAACAAACTTGACGTCAGGTAATGCATTCCATGTTCTCAGGTGAAGACTGTTTCCTGGCCGCTGAAGAATGGCATCATATGATGCTACAGCAATACACGGCAAACGTCCCACCTGAGCTTCACAACTGCATTGAACAATTCTTTGCATATTTCACATATTCGCCAAGCCTTGTGCACAAGCTCTATCGCCTCAAAGAAATAGACATTTCTACACCCGAGGCATTCCAATTGATCTCGGCCGCGCTAGCCCAAGCTCTTGACCTCCAAGCCAAAATGGCTGTCTGGTACAAGCAATACTCTCAAATCACTCCGCAGCCAGTGGAAAATCCATCAAACAAAGATGACCCAGTGTTCCCAATCATCTTAACGTACTCGGACATGATAGATGCCGCAATCTACACCGGCTACTACGCATTCATGGTGATCATCCACGAAGTCCTCAAGACTTTGTCTTATCCCGGCCCACATGCAGAAATGGTGGTCTACTTTCGAGACCAAATTTGCAAGTCCGTCGAATTTAGCTGCGCCGGTATTCTTGGTCCCTATCGAATGGGTTTCCCTCTTCGGGTAGCAATCGAAGTTGCGGACCCGGATACAAAATCGTGGATTCTCGCTCGCCTAGAGGAGTTTTCAAAGATTTACGCAGCATCGCGACCAGAGAACTTCCAGACTGCGCTCTGATTTGGTATAAAAGAGACCACACGCTACATTACATATCAAACAACCTCGAACACCACACAATGGCCAGTCTTCTGTTGTCACTGCGAGGTAACTCTAATTGCTCAATTTCTTGAGGGCTCTAAGTCATCGGAAATAGCTAGCATCTTGGAATCAGGAGGACTGGAGATAGGCTCCGTCACTGTGCGTGCCATCACAAGCAAGGATACAATTAATATCTCCATCAGCAGCCCCATTCCTGCCAAGATCCCCACGTCCCCATTGGCGGGGTTGAATTTCGGGGACCCGTCGGTCAACAGCACGAAATAAATTATGCGGACCAGCAAGAAGGGCAGAGTGAAGCTTGTGACCAGGATGCCACGGTATCCGGAAGCAGAAAGAATCGAGCGAGACTTTCCTGCAAGCCAAGCAATCAATCCACACACAAATGCATAGGCCACGACGAGCAACACCGAACCAGCCTCTGCAAGTCCGTGGATTTGAATGATTCTACCTACCACTGTCATGACAATAGCAACAATTATGGGCAGACGGAAACCGTGGAGCATCACGCGTGTGGGTTTGGGGTACTTGGACTTTCCTGGCCCGAATTCTCCGGCTTGGCCGCTGTTCTATAATATCAGCAATTTCTCACAGGAAATCATCAAGCCCTGCAGATGTGGATCAATTGGTATTGCGTACCATCGCAGGAGAACCAAGCTGACTTCGAATAAAAGAGGCGAAAGCCCAACACTTTGCATTGAAGATTCAGCAATGAGCATCGAGCTAGTCGGGTAAGATGTTGAGAGTATCATAGCATTATTGGCAATTCGGACTGTGGCCATAGACCAGTTAGGGTTTGATCAAGAGCCTAATTGACTCTGGCCATTTTTCGTGACTTACTCTGAGATAGTAAGCCAATCATGCTAAACCAGGAGTAGAAGGCGCAACGAAACGGATTCTTTCTTTTCTTATGATGCCAATATCGCCACTCTTGAATATACCTGAGAGAAAACTGGACGAATTGCACGGTTGAGAACAGAACAAGCTCAGCGATCGCGACATTGCGCTTTTCAGCCGAAATCGAGCCCTCAGTAGAGCGGGAGAACAAATGAAACATCATATTGAACAGTCGCAGTCCTTATAGGAGAATTCTTCTCCAATTAATTATTCTAAACCCCGTGCAAATTCTCTGCAATAAATATTTCATGATGCCTTGATGGCGATCTTTTTGGTTATTTTTTCAAGCTCTACATAGCACTTTTTGCTCGGTAGAGGCACGTCGCGGTTACTGACCACTTCCGGTTTAGCGTGGGTTCTCAGCTGGCATGAGATTTTAAAATGCCGGGCAATACGAGTGTCTCGAGGCATAAATCAGCCCAGTAAAAAGGAAGAATAAGAGAGTTTTTCGAACAGTTCCAAAACAGGAGGCAAAAAGGCAAATTGTTGGGTCCATCTTCATGCACCCACTCGCGATGAAAGACCTATTTTGGTAACCGTTTGATCAAACTCTTGCTTTCGCAATTTGAAACCCAAAGTAGTGAGGGTTCATTCACGAATGACTCTAATTATCGATTGGCATAAAGCCCTTGAAGGCTAACAAACAGTCTCGGTGAGAATGTAGGACCTCTGTATAGTGCATTGCTCCCGAGGCGGTATGGTATCACTTCGGGTCTAGTGTTCTCGGGATCCCTGGAGCTCTTCCCACTCTTTTACTCCGGACCCCGGAGTGAGTCCTCGGACCAACGATTATCCGTGGCCGTATACAAAAAGAAAAAGCTCCGATGACGGCGACACTCCGAAAGCCAGGACATATCCCTCTGACAATTCGCCATGGCTGCTGCTGCTCGGACACTTCGCATTGGTATGGCTCCTTTTTTTGCTAGGAGAGATCGTTTCGATTGAGATCACTGCTTACCGGACTTGCATAGGTCTCATTCCCGGAGACGGCATCGGACGGGAGGTCATCCCGGTACGTAGTCCTCGACGCCGAAGTCAAGAAAGACAATTTGCTAATTGGGTGCTCAATTGATGCATTTTAGGCTGGTCGTCGTATTCTGGAGTCCCTCCCCTCGTCGCTGAACCTCAATTTCAGCTTCGTCGACCTCGATGCTGGTTTCGAGACTTTCCAGAAGACTGGCACCGCCTTGCCGGACAAGACCGTCGACACCCTGAAGAAGGAGTGTGATGGTGCTCTTTTCGGTGCTGTCAGGTGAGCATTCAATTCCTTGAGCCGTCATAGATGCCGCTCGGCGGTTATGTGTGGACACTAACTCCTGCGATCTCCAGCTCCCCAAGCACCAAGGTCGCCGGCTACTCGTCTCCCATTGTCGCCCTGCGCAAGAAGCTTGACCTTTACGCCAACGTCCGCCCTGTGAAGACCACCGCCGGCAGCAGCAACGGCAAGCCCATTGACCTGGTCATTGTCCGTGAGAACACCGAGGACCTTTACGTGAAGGAGGAGCGCACCGTGGAGGGCCCCAACGGCAAGGTCGCGGAGGCAATCAAGCGCATTTCCGAGCGGGCCTCGTCGCGCATCTCCACCATTGCCGGTGAGATTGCCCTGCGCCGCCAGAACATCCGCTCTGCTGCCCCCGGCTCCTACACTCGTAACCAGCCCATGGTCACCATCACCCACAAGTCGAACGTCCTGTCCCAGACCGACGGCCTGTTCCGCGAGACTGCCCGCAAGGCCCTCGCCGCCGAGAAGTTCTCCTCCATCCACGTCGAGGAGCAGATTGTCGACTCTATGGTCTACAAGCTCTTCCGCCAGCCCGAGTACTACGACGTCATCGTTGCCCCCAACCTTTACGGCGATATCCTTTCTGACGGTGCCGCCGCCCTGGTCGGCAGTCTAGGCCTGGTTCCTAGCGCCAATGTGGGTGATAACTTCGCCATTGGCGAGCCCTGCCACGGCAGCGCCCCTGATATCGAGGGCAAGGGCATTGCCAACCCCATTGCTACCCTGCGCAGCGTTGCTCTGATGCTGGAGTTCCTCGGCGAGGAGAATGCCGCCGCTAAGATCTATGCTGCTGTTGACGGCAACCTCGACGAGGCCAAGTTCCTTTCCCCTGACATGGGTGGCAAGGCTACCACCCAGGAGGTTCTCGATGACGTCCTTAAGAGACTGTAAAAAAAACTACAATCTAAATAGATCGTTAAGCTTGGGAAGTAGCAGAAAGTCAAAGTTGTTGTATGCGTCTTGCCATAATACTTGTATCGTAAATGCATATCTCAGTCTAACAGTCGCCGTATAGTCTATAAGATTCCTGCGAGAAGGACGATCGTCAGATGCTGAAATTGTCAAAACCCCCTAGGATGGTTGGTCATTCCTGTTCTTCTTCTCCATCTAAGTCACATTTAACAAGAGAAAAGAGAACAACAAGATAGACGGTCCCTGTCCTAGAATCCTTCAGAACGTATCGTAGTTCACGATGGTCATCATCAACCATATTGAAAACAGGTATATGGAACCCAGGAAGTCGGACAGAAAGATCTGAGTATAGAGATCATCGCATTAGCACCAGTAACGTGAGTCACTAGCAATAGCAACAAACAAAGCGCAAGTTAAACTTACCACTGAATGAGAGATATTGGTTTCCAAAATCAGCCAGATATGTTCTTCCGGCCTCAAACTGGAATAATTTGCGGTTTTCTTCGTTTCGAAAATGTTTACGGCGCTCGGTGGCTGTTCCTGGAATCCGGGAATGACGGCGAGATTCTTCACCTTGTCCTTCGGCACCTTCTTCCACCACATGGCTCTTCTCCATCAGCTGGCTATTCTTCAGATCCTGATTCTTCTCGCCGATACGAAACTGGTTCCAAGTTGCCAGCGCTGGACTGTATAGATATGGCTTATCTGCATAAGCATCGCCTTCTATCGAAGGGTCGAGGGTCCATTTCACCATACTCAGTGCCGCGTTAAAGCCCATTGGTAAACGGTCACGGAGGGGGTTGTCGAAATCGTTGCCAAAAACCAGGTTGTTGCCATTGATATTATGTTTGGAGGTGAAAGAAAATGATATAGAGTACTTGTCGTTTTTATGTAGAGCATTTTCGAAATACGGGCTTGTGGAAGGTGAAGAGTCCGGATATCCTGTTCGGCGCGTAAGCCTACTTGGAGCATCTGGGTAGACTAGGAGGGTGGAATACCTGTATAGTCCTGGATGCGGACATTCAGGTCAATCACCGCAAGGTCACTGTCAAAGCGCAGTGTCTTGCCATTTACCTGGACCACCTCATGGGCACCCTTTTTGTAGTCGGTGCCTGCAGTCACTGAGAGGCGATACTTAGGTTTGTTGTTCGAATTTCTCATGCTTTATCGTTCCGGCTAAACTCAAGATTGATAGGTAATCACTTCTATACAAAGGTATAGAGGATATACAATAAGATAGTTCTTTGATATCGCTAATTTGCACTGCTGGGGTAGCTATACCATTATGATGAGAAATTGATTCTTATAGGTGGAAGGCGTTTTGAAAGGATGATTCAGCTTACTCTCGTGCTAGAATTTCCAATCTTTTTCAAAATTTAAAGGGTCAGCTCAGTCTGCGCTAGAATTTCCAGCAGCGCTTTCTGTTGGAGCTAGAAGAAGTTAAAGCGACTCTAGCGTTGTGGAATCTAGGGACTTTGATAGCTTTAACATGGGTTTGTGGCGATCTTTGGGGGCCGTGACATCATGCGTGGCTGGTCTGGTGTCCGCTTGACGCCCGGACTGGGCTGTGATTGGGCGTGCGCTACATCGCTCCCAGAAGGGACTCACCTTTGAAGATGCCAAGCCATAACTGCGCCCCGGGACCGGCTGATGGTCAGCTCTAATTTCGGTAGATGCCCGAGTTGCAAAAAGAAGTCAATAAAGTGGGATATATAAAGGCAAGGCTACTCTCACCTTGTAGTTACCAGCAATAGTTCAATCTTCCAAACTAAACCATTGACTCAATCAACCATCATCATGGAGCATCAGCCTGAACTCGCTCAACCGTCTCAGTCCACTAAGCCTCCAAGCCTTCAGTTTGACTTCCAATGGCGCAAGTTTAAGACCCGCATTTCCGACACCAACAATCCTGAGAAAGGAGCTCTATACATTGTCGACTACAATTCCTTTAAGAAACCCTCAATTGTCTTCAAGCGGGTTACTGAGAAAGAAGGCGCGGAAGAAGTCATTGGATCCGGCACTTTACACACATTTGGCATCGATGCCGACTATGAACTACATGGCCGCAAGGATACCCTTGTTGCACAGCGCCGCTGGCACACAAGCTACTCTCATCGCTCTCTTGCTGTCTCAAGCAACGAGAAACCGGTCAAAATGATCTGGTCCAGCGATAGTGATTTCAAGACCTGGGACTTCATCTGCTGCGACGAGCAACAAATGCCCGTAGCTAAGTTCTCAGCCAATATCTGGGCGACAAAGAAAATGGGCAAGGTTGAATTTATGGGACCCTCTGCGAATAGCAAGGCGCTGCATGATGAGATCGTTGTGACCGGGCTTACGTTGTTTCACTGCATGGTACTCCGAACCTCAAGTCTGCTTTCCTTTTTCGGCGCAATATTTGCCAGTCCTGGTCATGACAAGAAATGGAATGAAGAGTCGCAGCAGGACTCTAAGACGAATTCCAAGCCTTGCAGTGAGGGGAAACAGCTTGAGAAATAGTGAACATATGGGAATTTGTGTGGATGGAGTTGGTTTTTTTTTTTTTTGTTACATCACGCATACTGCTCAGCGAATTGCATTTACGCGAATATTATGAATTCACGCATCTTAATTGATCTTTCCAAATGCTATAACTTAATTTTGAGCTCTATTTCATATCTTAGCAAAGATTTTAGGGTGGAAACGTGACATCGCGACCCAGTGATCGAGCAACCCAGTAGCCAACGGTTTCGCGAACAATGTTGTTACTGGACCATGTTCTATTTGGATGGACGCTATGTGCCAATATGACGAAGAATGTGTCCGAGTTTCGATCGACCACAAGTGATGTACCTGTGAATCCAGTATGGCCGCCAGCTCTAATATTTGCCATCGGCCCGGAGAAATAGAATTGATTGAGTTCGAAGCCAATACTATGCTCATCACCTGGGAATTTGGTATTGAAGTTGATGAACATCAAATCAACGCTCCGTGGAGACAGAATCCGCTTGCCATTGTACGTCCCGTTATTGAGAATCATCTGGCAAAGGATTGACACGTCACCAACTGAAGAAAAGAGACCTGCATGGCCACTGATACCATCGAGGGCCCAGGCATTCTCGTCATGAACAGTCCCCCGCACAGGTTGTGGGCGCTCGGGCTCCGCATCGCCTAGGACCTCAATCTGATACTCTGTCGGGGCCATCTGAGAGTAATAAGGGAAGGAGTCGGCGCCGATGTTGCCTTTGTTGAAAACCGTGCTTGTCATCCCCAGTTCCTTGGTGAATGAGTAAACCAATTCTTCAAATGGAGTCTTTGTAATCCTCTCCAAGATATAGCGTAGATTCATGAAGTTGAGATCGGAGTACGTGTAGGTAGATCCAGGAGCGTTGGCAAGCTTGTGTGTAATGATCGCATCCACTCTCTGTTGCATAGTCTTGTATATTGGATCATATAGTCCTGGTTCAGGGTCGGCAGGAAATCCACTTGTGTGAGTGAGAAGCATAAGGATCGTTACATTGCTCTTCCCATTAGCGGCGAATTCGGGGAGGTAGGTCGCGACCGGCTTGCGATAATCCAAACTCCCATCATCAATAGCGCGCAATACAGCCACGGCGGTGAAGATCTTTGTTAAACTGGCCATATCATACATAGTGTCCATGCGCGCGGGGAGCCATTTATCGGAGGGCAGTAGCGTCCCGTTGGCGTCGGCATACAGGCTGATATTCCCAAAGGCGAATGAACTGACGACGGTGGACTTATGTCCAACCATTACAGAGCCTCCTGGGAGGATAGGGTGCACCTTCCCGTACGAATGAGATCCATAGTTCGCCGGATGAGTGTATTGGCTTAGATTCACTGGTAGCTGCAGCAAAGGCTCGGGGAGCAGTCCGACGGATTCTGGCGAGCCATGTCGTAGGACGCGATCTGTTGCCACAGAAAGCAAGCCGAGGCTTGCAATCAGAGAAGTTGTTATGAATGACCTTATACCCATCGTCACTTTCTCAATTTCAACCTGTAAATTAGCATATTTCATTTCAGACAAGACATTGCCCATCCTGAACTTATATCAATTACGTTTCCTCCCCGAACCCCCTCATTTCGCACGGGAGACTGTCATCGGATGCGACTCAAAATAGTAACCTTGGCATGACATGTTGCTGCGATCTGCACTGGATACGGGCAAGTGTCCCCATTCCATATGTGTGCCAAAAGGAAATCTCGTATCGTTGGAGCGGGTGAAGCCGACAAGCCACCTACCCCCGCACGTTATATTCGGCAGAAGAATTTCAACCAATCAATTATTCACAATTACAAGGATTCAGTCCAATTATGCATATTCGAAAGTCAAAAGTCTTCAGACCTGTATATAATACTTTATATCCAAATGTGTATATAAGAAATGCCTTGCATGAGGTGACCAGGGTCAAAAAAAAGGAAAAAAAAATGAATCTAGACCGACACAAAAAAAGATACGTACAACAAAGGAAAAAATGGTGACCCTAAAATTGATCAAAATATTGTAGGAAGATCAACATCAGAGTCAAGGCCGTGTTGAATATCCGAGAGATTCACATCCTCGTCAAGCTCGTCCTCCGTGAGGATACCAATCCCACTGTCCATGCGACGACGGTTCTTGCCTCTGCCGATCTCGACATCAATAAACCGGGTCATACTGACGGGGGTAATGGGCTCGCTCCCCATGATTGTGGTTCCGTCTGACATGAGATCATCGGATTTGAGCTCCCAGTTTGCGGTGCGAACCTTCGCTCGCCGCCGCTCCGAGCTCACGCTTTCCTTCATGAAAGCAAATGATCGAGCTTGCTCTGAAGCCCATTTGTCAAGTAATTCATCACGAGCCTCAATCTCCATTCGGAGTTGCTCCTCAAGGCCAGTATTGACTCGGCGCAAACGCTGTACTTCTGATCTAGCCCCATCTAGAGACGTGGTGAGTTCCGAGATCCGAACATTGAGTATACCAATCTCTTCTTCATGCTGTTGCTGCCGCTCACTCAATTTCTGTTCAATATGTTGAACAGCCACTTCGTGCTCCTTTTCGAGGGCCTCTGCTGCCGCAGTAAGATCACAAGCCCGGATTCGGTTCTGTTCCACTGTTTCCTCCAGTTTCTGGATGCGGATTTCATACTCGGCAGCAGAATCCTCGATGGCAGACCGTTCCTGTTTCTCACTAGCGACTTTCAACTCCAATTTGGATATCTGGCGCTTGTACTTTTCCTTGACTGCGAGATTTTCCTCTTCAAGTTTGCTCACTAGATCCTCGAGGCCCTTCATATCCTCATGATACTTGTCCAAGGCGGTGCTTAATCTGTCAATCCCAATGTTCTTTTCCTGATCTTCGCTCTCAAGCTCCTGGAGTCGCATTCTGGTGTGGAGCATGTCGCTTGCTGAGGATGCAATGGAATCTTCGAGGCTACCAATCTTATTGGCAGCATCCTCGTAACGGTGTAGCAAGTTGTCGAAATGTCGGCGAAGAGCCTTCTCGCGGTCGAGAGAGCCGTGGTGGTGCTTTTGTTCGTCCGTAAGATCTTTCGCTAGAGATTTTACCCTTTTCACCAAGGCACCTAGAGTTGCCTTTCCATCTCCCAGTGCCGCGGCATTTTCGCCAGGAACAGCGCGCTCAAGCTCAAGTCTGGCTGCACGGAATTGGGATTTGATATCGGCAACCATGTCATCGGCGTTGGTGCCAGAAAATCCTAGACTGGAACATTCCTGGCTGATACCCTCAAGTGCTTGGGTTGCATCGGAGGCACGAGAAAGGGCTGTTGTAAAGATATTGATCACGTTGTCGAAGAAATCCGGCGGTGGGGACGATTGTCGAAGTACATCGCTCATCGTAGAGTCTTCGAAAGCTGACATGTGTTTGCGGCATACACTGAATAACTCCTTTTTCTCGTTTCTAGCAGCCTCTAAATCGAGACTGAGCGTATAAAGTTCAGAATCCTCCGCAGAGTTTCTGACTGGTGTTTTGATTGATACATCGTCAAGAACGTTCAGACTTTCTGGCAGCAACGAGAGACGGTCGCGGGTGGCACGAAAATCCGGTGAATTGGAGACAATGAGGGTGCTATCGTTGAGCATAAATGTTTCACCGTCGTTATGGGTCATGGATGGCTCTAGGTCTTCTATGCCATGATTGAATGCGACTGTATTTTCATCACGTGCATGAGTAGTCTCCTGCTCAATATTGCGATTGCGAGTCTGCGGTGACATCCAAAACGTTTCATAAGAAGGCAACTGGTCCTCTGACAATTCATGTCGGTATTTCAGGGCATTCAGTTCATGCTGCAGTGCATCTCGCTCTCGACGGAGACAGTCAAGGGTCTTCTCGATACGAGATGAAGCTCTTTTCTCTTGTTCAATGTTATTGATTTCATCGCTGAGACCGATGCGCCTGATTCTCCGCTGCGTGCGAGTGTCCAAGATCTGACGCAGAGGAGTGAATTGCATCACTCGTTCGGTGCTAGTCTCATCGAATGGGTCAACTGGATCAAAAAGCCGTTCAAACCGCGGAGCCGGGGCTGATTGGCGCCGGTACGCCCGTCGACTAGGTGTGGGGTCTCTCAATCGTAAGGCTCTAGCAGCTGGTTCTGCGAATGAAGTACGTTTCATTGCAGGTGTCAAGCCAGTAGAGCATGCCGAATTGTCCAGCAGTCGAGGCCCCGGATCAGAGAAGCGTACCCGCTTCCTAGATTTTCTCGGCGTGTTTGATATGGGCTTAGTTGCTGGGACAGACTCCTCTGACATTGATGTTGTTGTTCCACAGCGTCTTGTTCGAGATGCAACTGGAGATTCGCTCCTCGAATTCGACATAGAGCTATTCTTCCGCTTTCTTGCCGATTGTCGAGTCTCCATTGTAGTGGTAGTTCCCAGTGGTAGTCGGATTTGAAAAGGGTAGGAATGGAACTAGAATTACTCCTCGGGAATCTGTATACCAGGTGGTGGGACAAATGAATTGTTGCACTGAGCGACAAGCAAAATAAACAACAAAGAACGCCAAAAGTCCATGCAGCCCGAGTGGCGCTTATAAACTCGATTCTATAGATCACAACATAAACAAACACGGTGGGTCCGCGTAGGCAGCAAAGACGCCTTTCGCGCGGACCAGGCCCATTGGCTTTCCTAATCCGGCGATGTAAACAAGCTGCTTCTTCTGGTGATCACGTGTATACCGGCGATCTGACACCTGAACACCTCAGGCAGAAAGTTTGGCCGAACAGTCCACTCATTTCACAGAACAGGGTGCTATTGCTGAAAAAAACGTTCGAGTTTCTATTTGAAGGCTTTTTCCTATAACATAAAGGATAGTCCTAGACTGAAGCCTCTTAAGGGGCCGACGTAGCTACTTCCCTGCATGGTGATAGAACGGTCTGGGCCGCATCATCCGCGGGTCGCGCCTCCAAATCATGCCACTGCCCAAGTTCTTGTCTTTGCTTTTTGAAGAGGTCACTTGATATCTAAATTACCAGATGGAATTTTACGATAACGCGTTTCCTTGCCCGTTTTCTCTATTTCCCCATCCTCAAACCCGGTGAGCATCGATTTGTTGGCAATGCGGAGACGACTCCAGATTATGTTATCTTATCAGTGACGACCCACCACTCAAAGAGCTCCCACCTCCTCCCCTCTTCAACTGCGTGCGTTGTGCCCGGCACTAGAACCCGTCCATGTGGAACAAGTTTCTTGAAGCGGGCCTTCTCATTTGAATTCCTCTCTCTCTCATGCTAGTCAACCTCTCAGTCGTTAGTCATGTCTGCCCATCGCAACACCTTGCAGTGATGTCATTTCCATGAATGAAGGAAGCCAAGCAGTAGTTTTGGACTCGCCGTTTTCCCCTTTGACACCCTTCGGAAGCCACACAAACCATGATTGCAAGCGTGGCTTCCTTTGCTAAGGTTTGTCTGCCATCTGCGAAGCGGAAGTTTGCGTTCGCTTAGGTTGGAGAGGGACTGCCATCTAAACCTCGAAACTAACTGCCATGCAGCATCGCAGCGATCGCAGTCTCCAGGACCATCGGCAGCTTATTGACGAGATCCTTCACGATAAGCCATGGACAGAGGATGCGAAGATGACCTCTATCTTTGATAAACTCCCGGCCGAGATCATTCATCAGATCTTATCCCACCTCTCTGCCCGAGACCTCACTCGCGTGTCCAGCACCTGTCGCATATTCGCCGAGCATGGCTCAAATGATCGCTTATGGGCGGGCCTCGTCAACTCACATCTGCCCTTTCCCATTCCTGATCCGGGCCCCTTCAAATCTTTCCGTCGCCTCTATCTCGCTCACCTCCCATATTGGTTTATCCCTCAGAGTCAGATCTGGTTTTCAGATACCGAAGCCCACGGTAATCTGATCCTAGCTCGTTATGATAACCGGCGAGGTGTAATAGAAGCCTATCGTATTATCGCCGATAGGGGTCAACCTCAGTTTCATATTTGGGAAGCAAATCCAGACGTCATGATTCAGTCCTTTAGCCCCAAGGTGGGTCTGTGGCTCGATGATCCGGTCCTCCTTTTGAGAGACGACGCACCCAACAACGCGATAGCCGCCTGCCAGGAGTGGCAGCCGGATCGCCGAATGTCGATGGCTGCTGAATCTCAGCATGTTTTTAGTTCGCTCATGCTCTGTGCAAGGGAACATCCCCAAAACACAGTCGTGAATGAGACGAAACTCTGGCCACCCAGGACGATCCCTAGTAGGCAACGTATTTTTCGAGATGATTCGTCGCAGAATCTCCCATTACCCACCTCTGCGTCGCAGGCATCTGACCTGGGATTCCGTATCAAACGTTGGGCCAACTTTCGGCTTCCGATTGCATCTGGAGGCAACGAAGCAATATCGAGCTATGCCACGATCGATCCTATGTGGTATATTCCGACAAGGGAAAAACCATATCAAGGACTCTGGGTCGGAGATTACTCTGCCCATGGATGTGAATTCCTTCTGATCTATCAAATTGATGAATCCCCGACTACCACACCCTCAGCCCCGTATAATGAAGAGGATGATTCTGAGGAGGTCAAGGGCGCCTTGAGGGCTATTAAACTCACAGGTGATCCGAATGTGCCCCGTGGCGAAATTACATTCGTTGCTGAGGATATTGGCCCTGGAGGCCTTGTCCGTGTGGCCGACGAAGAACCATTTGAGGGCGCTCGTATCGTAAAGTGCTTGGGGCATGTTGCTGGCATTGGATTCCGCGATGGTGAGGCAGACGCTCTCTTTCTCTCTCTTTCCTCTATTTCCTCTCTTTCTATTCAATGACCCCACGAGGAAGGGCTATTCTAACTTTACTGTTATCAAAACAGATTCTTTCATCTCATCACAACTTATTCTCGTCTCTACCGACTACATAGCTCATTATTGGGAAGAGATGGGCCACATCTCGTACTTTCGCCGTGTGGATATTGACACACTTCTACGAACATGACAAGCGATCTTCCTGCATTTGGAATTTTCTTTTGTCTGCACCGCTCCCCTACATACCTCTTTCGTTTCGATCTAGTCGTGACTTAATCAAACATCACCTTGGAAGCTGCAACCATGATGGTCGAGCATTCTGGACAACCCCGAGAAGAGCATCATCGAAGGGATGAACACACATTTGTTTAGAGAAGAAAATACGTGTCCTGGGATGCCTGCAGCTTCTGGAAAGCCCTTTCGCCAACCATGTCCACTCAGGGGTCGGCCCACTGCAGCTATGAATCTCTCCCTGTACCCTCGTACAATCGACACCTAGACCGAAGCCCGAGAGCAGTCCTCGTCCGGCAGCAATGTCCACTAAGGCCGAAATATTGGGTGTTATCCAGCGCTCTACCATTACGACCTGGCCAATTAATACAACCAGCCGGACTTCTGGAAAATGTAGAGAGAAGTGTGTACGATGATGATATTGATATTGATAGATACAGATAGTCAAAAGGTATCGCGTAGAACGAAAAAGAGCCAAAGACGCCGGAACTCTGAACAGGATGGTGGAAGGTGGAGAATTCGGTACAGAGAAGAGTTGTGGTCATCACTCATCCGACTGGTCAGACCGAGACACAGTTGCACAGCGAATGGTCGTATTGAGGCGTGTTTAAAGAAGTCGATCGCTGAAGTCATCTCTCTCGGAGCCAGCTACTTCTTCACCGTCTTCGCTCGAACCAGCTGGACGAGCCCATCACGGCAACGGACTGGTCCATCACCCACTCGCCGACGCCGAGGTAGTTATCGATCCACTTCTTGACTTCCTTGTTATCGGAGATCTTTTCGGATTGGAGACTGGGGCTAAGGAAGACCCCGCACGCACACGACCCGACACCAGGGGGTGCGCGGGGGGTCAATTAAGTTAGCTGGGTTGTTCATTGATTTGTTGTCTAGCTGAACTTGTGGTTCCTTGTGGATTTCTCCAGGCGGTTTGTACCGCGTGGGGGTCGGAAGAAAAGAAGATAGGGCTTGAACGGGGTGTATTTACGTGAGGCCCGTGGATCGCTTCACTCCGGCGAGGAAGGCAGAGACTAGTGAGAGAAGCAGCTGTATTAGTTTTGAGTCCCATGAGCTCTGCATTATCTGGGAATTGCCATAACTTACAGAGTACCGCATCGAATGCGTAGTGGGTGAGACGGCCGAACTGCCCGCGGTGGCTCCAGTTAGTTGGGCTGCTCGAGTCGCTGCTCTGGGAAGGATGGTCAAGGAGGACGGTTCATACCATGGTGGACAGGGTGATTAACGTGAAGAGCATGAAAGATCAGCCTGGAGAGGAGGGCAAAAGCAACAGGAGTACAGCGACAGGAGCGACAATACCAACCAGGTGATGCGCGGAAGATGGGGAAAGATCACGTGGGGTGCTTTCACATGACGTCGGGCAGCTCGAGCGGGTCCCGGTGGCTGGTGATTACCTAATTGGGGAGGTCAGGCTGAGCCTGCGTTGAAGTTTCGCTGCTCCCGAGACACTTAGAAAAAGGGTCACATTCATGATTTTAGCCAGGTGACTGACTAACAAGCAATTGGCTGGATGGTGTAGTTGGTTATCACGCGTCGCTCACACCGACGAGGTCCTGGGATCGAGCCCCAGTCTAGTCATATTCTTTTTTTGCCGTTTTCGCTGTTGCTTTTTTGTGCAGACGGGCGCTAGTCCCAACCCGGCCCCATTAGCTTCTTATCGATAAGGCTGATCCCACCGAAATCCCTTTTTCGCCTGGGCGCTTGCCGACCATCAAATTAAGTGTCGTTATTTGTCACGTTTACTCGATAAATGGACTTGAATGTACGGCGCGCAGGCCAGCACGGGCCCCTCCATCCGTAGAGCTCCCTGTGTGCTGTTTTTTTTTTCTTTCTGCCTGTCTACAAGGGCGGATGCCGCCGGTGTCGATTGATATGAGACACCAACTCCAGTGAGGGGCCAAATTGGGAAGCGCGGGGGCCGCCTCTCAACATTGAGCAGACAAAAAGCAAGAAAAATAAACATTTAATGTCAACGTAATAAGAATGCCGAGCGAGTTCCAATGCGGTCTAGTAGTCGCAGCGTAGCGTAGAGGGTCTAGGAGGACTGTACACCGGCGAGCAACCTGGGGCAATCCGAAATGGCTGCCTGAGAAAAGAGCGGAGGCCGGAGATAGCATCGGTGACCAACATTTTCCCTTCCGCCCCTCACCTAACTTCTTCCTCTCTTCCCCTCCTCCCTCTCTTCCATCCCAACCTTGCAATTGATTCTTCCTCCCTGCTACCATCTACGAATTTGTCCAACAGATCAAAATGGCGGCCACTACCTCCCTCGATCACCTGTCCAACCGGATGAAGCTGGAGTGGCACTCCAAGCTCAACACCGAGATGGTGCCCGCGAAGAACTTCCGCCGTACCTCCATCATCGGTACCATCGGTATGTCGTGTCTCCACTATCCATCCCCTTACCCTCCAAGTGGGCAAAGCTTTGAAGTCTCCCCAGTAGAGCGGTATAAGGATGGGAGATCAGTTCCAAAGTGCACCGAAAGGGCTGGTTACTAACGGCGAAACGGTATTCAGGCCCCAAGACCAACTCCGTCGAGAAGATCAATGCTCTCCGCACAGGTAGGGTAACCATCGCAAGATCAACAGCACCAATGCTGGAACTTGATAGCAAGAGCGTAAACTGACTGTCCTGCAGTGGGTCTGAACGTTGTTCGCATGAACTTCTCCCACGGCTCATATGAGGTTCGTATTTCCAGGTCAAACTGGTGCCGAGGTGTCGCTAACACCATCTTCAGTACCACCAATCTGTCATTGATAACGCCCGTGAGGCGGCCCGCACCCAGACTGGTCGCCCTCTGGCCATTGCCCTCGACACCAAGGGCCCTGAGATCCGTACTGGTAACACCGTCGGTGACAAGGACATCCCCATCTCGGCTGGTACCGAGCTCAACATCACCACCGATGAGGCGTATGCCACTGCCAGTGATGACAAGAACATGTAAGGACTCGCGTTTTCACATCATGTGGAAGTTGATCGATCGCTCCGCCGATCGAGGTGTAGTAATTGGTCGAGTGGAATGGCTGACAAGAGTTCTGCAATTGAAGGTACCTCGACTATAAGAACATCACCAAGGTGATCTCCGCCGGCAAGCTCATCTACGTCGATGATGGTATTCTGTCATTCGAGGTGGTTGAGGTGGTGGATGACAAGACCCTGCGCGTCAAGTGCTTGAACAACGGCAATATCTCGTCCCGTAAGGGTGTCAACCTCCCGGGTACCGACGTAGACCTCCCCGCCCTGTCGGAGAAGGATATCAGCGATCTGCGATTTGGTGTTAAGAACAACGTCGACATGATCTTCGCCTCATTTATTCGTCGCGGTAGCGACATCCGTCACATCCGTGAGATCCTCGGCGAGGAGGGCAAGGAGATCCAGATCATTGCCAAGATCGAGAACCAGCAGGGTGTGAACAACTTTGATGAGATTCTTGAGGAGACTGACGGTGTCATGGTTGCCCGTGGTGACCTTGGTATCGAGATCCCTGCCCCCAAGGTGTTCATTGCCCAGAAGATGATGATTGCTAAGTGCAACATCAAGGGCAAGCCCGTGATCTGTGCCACTCAGATGCTGGAGTCCATGACATACAACCCCCGCCCGACCCGTGCTGAGGTTTCGGATGTTGCCAACGCCGTTCTGGATGGTGCGGACTGTGTCATGCTGTCTGGTGAGACAGCCAAGGGTAACTACCCCTGTGAGGCCGTCAAGATGATGTCCGAGACCTGCCTGTTGGCCGAGGTCACCATCCCCCACTTCCAGATCTTCGATGAGCTCCGTAACCTGGCTCCTCGCCCCACCGAGACTTCCGAGTCCATTGCCATGGCTGCCGTCAGCGCCAGTCTGGAGCTGAACGCCGGCGCCATTGTCGTCCTCACCACTAGGTATGTGAAAAATTCCTCGTTCTTCAAAAAAGTTTTTTCACGGGATACTAACGAACGCAACAGCGGCAAAACTGCCCGTCTTCTGTCCAAATACCGCCCCGTTTGCCCCATTCTCATGGTCACTCGTAATGCCACCGCTTCTCGGGTAAGTTTCCAGCTCCAAGATGAAGATTCGAATCCAGGCTAACATCAAGCCCCACTCAGTACTCTCACTTGTACCGCGGTGTTTGGCCGTTCTACTTCCCCGAGAAGAAGCCCGACTTCAACGTCAAGATTTGGCAGGAGGATGTCGATCGCCGTCTCAAGTGGGGTATTAGCCACGGCCTGAAGCTCGGCATCATCAACAAGGGCGACCCCATTGTCTGCGTTCAGGGCTGGCGTGGTGGTATGGGCCACACCAACACTGTCCGTGTGGTCCCCGCCGAGGAGAACCTCGGCCTGGAGATGGAGTAAATCTGCACGGCCAAAAAGAAATTCGTTAGCTAGCTGGATCTTTTCTCCGATCTTTTTTCTTCTTTTTTGATTACCGCTGGTGCGAGGGGTTGGATACATACCTTGTTTTGCCTTTTCTCTTTATTTTGTTGTCATCTTGCAACGGCCTTCTTCCGTTCAAAGCCAGAGCTCATACTGCTTCGTGGTCTGGACCATCGCTGGCTCTTGGGGAAGAGGCCCTTGCATTCTTCATGTATATGAGACGAATTTAATGCCTTCAGGTCAAGTGCGTTCGTTAGTCAGCTTAGACATCCCTCCAAAAGAATCAATAGACCTGGAAATTATTCTGTGAATTGAAGACTGGTTAGTGAGCTTCTGGCGCCCGCGCCGAATGAAGCGACTGTCAATAATGCGCGCGTTCTTGCACGGCTTCTGCTTGATCGTATGTATTCTGCAGGAGTCTCTCACTCCCCGCAAGACAAACGGGTTTTGTGTCAAGAAATTAGGAGAAAGGGAGAAATGAACGAAATGGACGGGGAAGAGGAGAGAACCCCCAAGCCAGTCGGAAAGGCTTTCCCTCGATGCGCGGGGACCACGAAAACGCGCTCCCCGGCTCCGTGGCCGAGGCTCATGTGTCCTGCAGGCACCCGAAACCCGAAGACATGGAGTATATCCGCGTTGTCTGCTGCACCAACCCTTTGCATAGATGAGCGGCGCGACAGCAGAGAAGCGGCAAAGCAAGTCACTTCCGGGTGCGGAGGATTGACAGAAGGTGAAAAAAAGAAAAATTAATTCGCTTCATCTCTGCTTCGATGGCTAAACGCAATTCCCGCCTACCGGCCCGGTTTCTGCCGATATCATCGGAATCCCCTCGTGCGTGCCTGAGGCTGTCAATCTGCCTGTTTACGACTTGGAGTTCCTCTCTCGGCCAGTTGGTTGCTGCTTAACACTTGGTTCTGCTTTCTCTCCTATGCTTTTGACATGTTGGACTGTTATATTCATCTTCTATATGAAAACTTTACATCTACTCTGGTATCGTTGCACGTAAACAAGAGCTGGAGGGTACAGATATTCCTATCAGTAGAGATGGACAGGGGATATATATATATCTCTACCTCGTTACAGTACACGGCTTTGATGCTAGGTATGGATTGAATCTAAAAAAGGTGGACATAAAATGTGCTTGTATGCTTGTATCTATGTTGATTTGAATTTATTCCCATGCTTGACAGTGATGATCAGATGAGTGAACAAGGCGACTGCCCCACAAAGATTGAATAACGAAGAAATAAACAGCCCGAGATGCGCCATTCCACGTCTCTCAGCAGTACTAAAGCCCCTGATGACAGCACCGGCCTACCTATGGCATCGCATCCATCGGTATATGCAGTACCTCTGTGATGAACCATTTATCAGGACACTTGGTAAAATACAAGCATGTAACGCTTCAAAGATAGCAAGTCTGAGACATTAAAATGTTGTCGTTCAATCATAAGTCATTATGCAAAGAAAATATGAGTTTGGTCATGCTGGCCTTTTAAGTAGGTCAGGATGTTCATTGAGAAGCCCCAGCTTCTCCTGATCCGTCCATCGCTTCTAAGTCGGTCCCATTGAGAATTTGATTTTCGCCCTGCGGGTATCGATACATGGAGTTGGGTTGGAATTGATGCCAACAGCTAGATTCGTTAGAAAATACTTAGGCAATAAAGCAGGACCATTTAACATACCTCGGGGCCTGAAGAACATATCTTGCCATGGCCTCCCGAAATCGACTCTTGTACTCCTTTGGACTGGTCACAGTTGGACGGTTGCGACCACCTCCAGCAAACCCTCGGTCTTTGATCCAGGACTCAAGCTTTTTATCCCAGGTGTACGTCCGGATGCAGTCAATTATCCCCACCACCAATTCGCTGCGCTTTTCATCGATAGCGATCATTAATGAATAGTCCATGACATTCTGGCGACCTAAGAACAGGGTGTCGTTCCACACGCTTTGTCCCAGTAGCTTCTTGGAGTGTTCTCGTGCGAACAACGGTGTCTCATAAATGAAATCAACCATGTTCTCGTCCAGCAGAACCTCATCCCGTTCGCCAGTGCTTTCCACTTTGCGATTTCGCATTGAGCCTTTCAGGTCAAAAAGTCGGCTAGGCACCCGATCATAGAAGAGGTTCTCCATCAATAGCAAAAACCAATTGCTCTCTGCACCTGTCACCGGGTTCTTTATAATGATTTGGTAAAAGCCAAACATTTTTGCGATGGCAGATGGCAAGTCATGAAATAGCGCTTCAGACATTATCTGAAAGTAAGCCGGAGCAAATTTGAGGAATGCTTGGGTTTCAACTGGGGCCAGAGACTTAAGGACAAATCGATCGTCAAGAGTCTTGAGGAAAATAGATTTGGTCTTCCCTCCCTTTGAGTCCCACTTCATGCACCGAGACAAAGACTCTACTATGCGATCGGCCACACCGCATTTTTTCCGGAGGGCTTCGAATTGCTCAGCGTAGAACACCTTGCACAACATCTTTGCTTGACCTTCTTGGAACTGGTATTTGAGATGGGTCCCGGTCTGACGCAAGAGCGCATGTTCCAAACGAGCTTCATTCGCGGCTTCCCTGTCATGCTCGAGTTCTGGGAGATGGCCTTCTAGTTCGTCGCAGCGTTCTTGAATGCTGGCCAGCTTCTCCTTGTAGTCAGAAGAATCCAGAGCAAACGCGATTAACGAGCTGGGCTCATCTTCTCGCACAATGATATCACAGTCGGCGAAGACATGGTCCCCCACACTCAGTGGATAATCTAGGGCCGCCCAGCCACTGGCAGATCTCTCAGACCAGAAATTTGTCAACATTTTCAGGAGAGTTGTCCGCTCATGTTTGGGCAGATCTTTGAAATCAATCGAATCATCATCTGGCAATAGTTTGGTCTCTTCCTGTGAGTCGACAGGGTGAAGATCTTCAGCCGTGATTCGCTCCTCGTCACTCCGCTCTCCATCGGATAAGAGCCGAGAATCGGGGCGAGTGATGCGTTCTGAATGCGGCTCTTGAACCGGAGACTTTTGTTCTTCACGCTCTACTTGACTCGTGAACTCGTCGCTCTTCCGATTCGACTCATCCGATGGCAGCTGCGGGACTGGAGGAGAATCTTCACCATCGACAGGAGGCTCCCGTTCTTCCACGGCTTCCTTTACATTCCTATAAACCTCCACAATAGGTTTTGAGGATGGGAGGGGAAATTGACGGGAAAAGGGACCGCGAGCAGCTCGTTGCCGCCTTTCACGTTGTCTCTCTTTCTCGAATTCACGGCTAAGTTGCTCAAAATGCCTGGCGAGATTTGAGACACGAGAGCTTCCTCGCTTGGGGGTGGATCTTGGGATAAGAGAGTGTCCCGGAGAAAACCGTCCACTTTTGAGAGCCGTCAATCCTAGACGATCCGTGAATTTTTTCTCGGATGCCTTGGTCGAATCCCCACGCGAGCTTTCCGATTCTGTCGAGAGCGACGGGCCGAGTTTTAAACCAATGGATTTCTCTCTGATAATGTGTGCCGGTTGAGACTGAGCCCGTTTTAAAGGAGGAGATTGGGCTTTGCCAGACTGTCGGAAAGCACCTTCAGTAAGTCTGGGAATTGCAGAAGGTCGATTGCTTGGCGGAGTGCTTGGTAAACCCGTAACATCCTCCTCTTTTGATTTGACTCCACTCTCTGGGAAGGCCGCCTCAACTTTAGGGGGCGATGGCTGCACAATATCCTTGGAGTGATCGTCACCAACAGGAACCGGGGATGTGTCTTCGTTGGAAAGGGGCCGAGTCAGAGGGTTAGCAGGATCTGGCACTCGCTCTGACTGACTTGAAGGAACAGCCAAATCAAGATGTCGCACCTCTTCCTTCGCAACAGCCTCATCTTGAGGAGAGGCCTTTTTGCCATTGATAGCATCAACCGCAAGCGCCGATTCCTCATGAGTGGTAGGAAGTTCGGGCAACTCGACAATTTCAGCTGGTTCTTCTCGGTGCTTTTTCCCAGCATGTTCTTCAACGACGGAGACCAACACATTTTGAGTTTTTTCAGGAGAAAGCGTCATGCGTCGTATCGTCCGCGGTTTCGCGTTTTCCCGAGTGCCCCCATCCTCCACATCGATTGGAGTATGAATCGCATCATCGGGAGCCACACTGGTCGCGTCTTTGTCAAGGAAAATTTTCTTGAGTTGCAATGTTGCCAGTCTCTTGATATCTTTCTCCGACGGAAAGAAATTCTTTTCGAAATCTGCGAAGATGGTATCCCACTCAACGACCTTCTCTTGCACGGCACGTAGAACTTCATTTAATGGGATAACCTCCCAATAGCGCGAGCTTGTGTACTTTTCCTGTAACCGCCAAGTCAAAGCAGTATGGTCATCAGTGGCCTTCTTGACTAGACTGTCAATCTCTTTCTTGCAATCATCCAATAGCTCCGGTAACACACTTTCGACATTGATGCCCTTCAAACGCGCGTGAACAGATCTCATGAACTTATTGAGACGCTCTGCAAGCTCAGTATATAGAGTGTTTCTCAGCCTCAGGTCATTATCGACTTTCCATGTAACACGAGGTCGGGGGACAACAATCTCCAAGAGATGGATCGTGTCATACTGAATGCGAATGGCAACATCCTTGAAACCAAAGTAGCGCAGATGGTCTCGCTGGAGGTCATGGGGACACACACCAGCACGAGCGTGCAAATTTCTGCCCCAGAAGGAAACCTCCAGATATTTACCGAATGAGTATTTCCAAGTGTTTTCAGACATTGGTGTGACTTGAGTTTCATTGCCACAGATCTTGCAGGCGCTCCACATAAGCACCGTATCTTGCAGCCCCCGAAGCTTTGAAGGGTAAGGTTGCACCAGGACACTAATCTGTGCATCGCCGTGGACATATTGACGGTGATGCTCAAACATGCGCTTCTCGCATCCATTCGCCGTGCATATAGCGTTTGCTGTGTGGCAGAGGTCTTCAACGTACTGACCAACCGTGCAATCTGGCTCGAATATTGTGTCATCGCCATGCTCGTTGTAGAATTCCAAAGCGAAGGTATCGGGACCCGAACAGGGGATTGATGTAGTCGTACAAACAAGGCTGTAGAGGACAACGATGTTCTGATGAGCGTACGGGTCGAACATGTTAGAGTTCCCAGAGACGTAGGCTTCCCACTGTCGTTTCTGAGTTTGGTAGTGATATAGTGCGCGATCATACTCTGCATCATGGGCCGCGCGAAGGACCTCTTTGACCTTTGGCGTGGCATCATTGGGAGACTCGTGTACCATTTCAGGCGTTATAAGGATGAATTTTTGAGGCTTTCTTTTCTCCTCGTCAGTTTGGTCGGGGTAGTCCTGGTCACGGAGCCTCTTGAGGTAAGCCAGTCGGCGCTCCATCTCTCTAGTTCGCATGAGCAAATATGGGGGCTCAAATTTAACAAATGGCGACGCAGAAAGGATTTTTGTTTGATGATCATGAACCATATTGTCATAGTAGGTTGGCATAGGGATGTCGTCAGGGACCTCCATAGTTTCAGGCACTGTTGTCGGCTTGCTTTCCGAATCCTCTGGAACTTTATCATTCGAGACTCCAGGATGAGTAGAGCCCAGGCCGTTATCGGTACCTGCCGAAACAGCATTCTTTTTCGCCCCATCAGAGACAATAGTGGTATCAGTGATTGATGACGGCAGCTTTGCAAATTCGTCGCGCATCAAGTTTGTTTCAAGCCGAAGGTTGTAGACGACATAAACCATGAATTCTGTGATTTGCTTGACTTTCGTAAGGACTTCCTCATCTCCACCGCGTAGAACAATTGTGCATCCAAGCTCTTTGGGGCAACCGGAGACATACATGTATGTTTTCTTCCGCCCAGAATGAACATACGTCTTGACATCAAAGCTGCCACAATCGCTATGCAGAGCAGTAGTCAAGAGTTTGTCCATGGATGTCACAATTCGGGTTTGGGTACATCTTGAAACTGCCTCAAGGACTGATGGTTTCACGTTATATGCAGTGGCAATGCCTGCCTGTTCAAGGAGTCCGAGAGCCAGACCCGAGACGTTGGTCTCAACAAGAAGCAAATTCGGTCGCAAAGCAGCGATTCGGCTGACAAGGTTCTCAAGGAATTCACGCTCTTGCCGGATGACAGGCTCAAGACTCATGAAATGCTGTTGTTGACGGGCATACTCGAGAGGGAATGTAATGATCAGGATGTTCGGTCGGGGAATACTTCTTGACATGCTCTTCAAAGCAAGATTCTTGCTAAAGACAAGCCCAGATACGTACGAGGTATCGCCAGGTCGGCCACCGGGAATCTTTTTCAATTTGACGTAATGTCGAATATCCATATCATCTCCATGTTGAACATCCGGGTCGACTTCATCAGCTGCCTTCAAAAGAATTGGCATAAGGGCGTTTTCCCAGCTTTCATTGTTTGGAATAAACGCCTCAAGGAGTAGTTGGCGTAGAAGCCTCCGAACATGCTCTAAGCTAGCTTTATTCAGCTCCACCGGGGGTGCGCCGGTCCCTCTCATGGATGAACTTCGCGTCATTTTGAATCCGGTCTGGTTCGAGCTAATAGGGAAAGGAACACCTGCTAGCGGTAGATCGTGTGGGAACACACTATCTTTAGATGCCCTTGGGGAGCCACGTTGATGAACGCTGCTAGCAACGCTCAGATTGCGCCGCCGGGAGGAGCGAGGTAAATTGACAGCTCTTGAACTGCTCAAGCTGGCTTCGTCTGGATCACGGCCTGATTGATTGACACTGGCAACGCTTCGATCCCCAAACGCAGATCTACCCTTTTTCATCGCAGCAAGAAAACCACCCAAGGTAGCTGCCCTCTCGGTGTCCCCACCGCTCTTGGACAAATTGCTTTCCGAAACAGCGGATAGTAGGTTAGGTTGATCATCACCACTCGAGGCATCATCTGAAAGATACTGGGCTAAATCCGGGTCAATTATATTGTCTTTATGAAATGCGGGAAGTCGAGACTCTGCACTGAAGTCATCAGGGTGGCGACGTTGGAACGGTGCTCGATCCTCGTGGTAAGGCTTGAAACTCCGAATATACTGCTGCCGAGAATGATGCCGTTTATGACTGATGGAGTGTGCTCTGACCCCCAGTGAAGACCTCAAAGACCTTGACGAAGTAGGTCTGGTCAATGGACGATCGGAATTGATCTCCAGGACCGCTGAACGGCGATTGTGTCCTTCTCCTGCGCGCCGGGTAGCTGGGATAGCCATTGTTGGGGTCTTGATCACATGGTCAATGGATTGAGAGATGATTGAAGAGGTATCATCGTCATCTGCGGATGGACGGCCCCCGAGCCACCCCAGCTGAGTTCAGAGATCCGAGGGTTCATAACGATAGGACTCTGCTCGCTATCAGAGAATTCAGATGAATCATCATCATGCGCATTTATCATCGCTTCGCATGGCTTGCAAACACGAATGGAGCCCGGCTGGCCAAAGCGACTGCCCGAAATAAGAAGTGTACATTTCGAATCGAAGATCTGACCACAGGTACGACAATGGTGTTTTCTGCGAAAGGTTGTGAAGGGTTCTCCGCAATGAAAACAGTCTTTGGCATTTTCATCCCGCATCCAGAAGTCCCTGCTGAGCAACCTACTCCGGAGCTGTGATAAAACACCGTCGCTCTGTTGTTGAACTGCTGCCGGAGCTTGGGTCGGTACCCGAGAAACAGCTGTATTCAAAGGCGGAAGAGAAGATACCGTGGTCATTGTCTCGGCTGTAGATGCCCGCGACATAACGTAGCCGGGTAGCCGGTTTCTTGTAGTAGGTAGCCCTGGTTTGTCGCCTGCCAGTGACTGAGGAACATTATTTGGCAACTCACCAACATTTGTGGAGTCCCGGGGCGCTGGTGTTGCACCACCCGATGCTGAGTCTGCACGATACGAGCGGTCCTCCGGGGGGTTTATCTTTGAGAGGCTGTTGGAAGCGGAAGTAGGGACTGTAGACTCATCATTGCCATTAAAGGACATTCTTGAATTCGACCTGGTTTCGTAACTCTGTGTTTTGGAGCCCTGGGTGAGTTCAGAGTGTTTCGAGCTTCGTAATCCAGTGGATTGAGATGAGTTATCTGGAGGTCGTGATTGATCTGCATTCGAGGATTTTCTAGGCAGAGCATCTGAAGCATGGCCTGCGGAAGTTTGCGACCCGCTGACATCCAGCGGTGTATGTTCTTCTTGGAGGCTATCGTGTGTCTTTGTAGACAAAACTGGTGAATGAGAAACATTCTGGCTGAACACAGAGGATGTTTGACTCATGGACATGTCAACAGGACCATCTCTACTCCCAATACTTGACGATTCGGCCTGTTTAAGTCCATGTGAAGGCGTATTGAGAGAGCTACTCCGAGACGGACGGACTGCGCCGACGGCGTTCACATGTACCTGGGCGATCGTGGAATCTGCTGCAATAGAACCACCGGTTGATTTTGTGAGCGGAGTAATGTGGGGTTTCGTCCCCGGCGAGGGAGAAATCGAAGTCTTGGAAGATACGCTAGCTGTCTTGGAGGAGATTTTGGAGCTCTTGCCCTGGTTCGACAGCTGCGCAGCGTCTTGACTATGTTGTTGAAAAATTGGAACAACCGGTGAGTGAAGTCTCGATCCCTGTGATGAGCTCGGATGTGATGGTGCATAATCTGTCGTGGTGGTCGCGAGGTCTGAGATAGATTTGGTCATAGAACGCTCGGATGTTGGGCTTCTAACGGCTGGAGTGTCTAGGGCACTCTTGTCTGCAGATTTGGCACCGCTCACGATATCTCTCATGCCACCGACCGATGTTCTAAAGCGACTGTAGAGCCCGCTAAGACCTCCCTGCAGCTCCTCTGACAAGCGTTTCTCCTCTGAAGCCGATACCGGTGCGGGGGGATTGGTGAACTCGTTGAAAAGCGTCAACGAGTCGGACTGATACGCTGTACTGTGAATATGGTCAAGGGTCGCGTTTATATTTTCTCTCTCGGTTCGGGTAGTGGCTAAAGAGCCCCTCGATCCACGTCGTCCGAGTGGAAGAAACCCAGACGACGCAGAGGGGCTAGGTGTTTCGTGCGACTTCTGCTCCATCGGCGGAGTTTTGTTGCAGTCAGGCCCGAGGCTCAAAAGGTCACCCCCAAAGTGGAGTCTGGGTTGCTTTCAGAAGTCGAGCATTTGGGGCGAAGATGCTGAAAGCGCTCGGACTGGGGAAAAGTCACCCAGTCCGGTGAGATGTCTCGGGGGTTGTATGAAAGTGCGAGTCAAGGCCCTTACTCTCCGCAGTTTCCTGCCCAATGACGTGGGGACGCTGAGTAAGCCGATCGCGTCCCGCGCGTCTTATCGGCTATCGGTGATTTTCGTGCCTGGACGTGTATGTCGGATGACAACGTCGATGTCTTGTATGCTCCCATTGCTCTGCCGGATATGACTAGAAGAGGATTTACCCCAGTCATCCACACAGATGGACATGCACGATGAGTCTGCCAAATCCGTGGATCGCAAACCTCGTCAAGCGGTGCCTGGCCTCCTATCTTGGCCACACCCAGGAAAATGATGTCGAGGTAGAAGATGATGGAGCCTGCCTGAGCTTCGGCATTCACGATTCGACCTTAACAGCTCTCATTGCAGATGTATGTCTCCCATATGTATCTAAAACAGTGATTTAATGGCGCTGACTACTCAATCTTCTCTAGTGGGGTCTCGGATCCTCATGCGACAGCGGCGTGCTGATGGAGTCGAGCAATCAAATTGACGCGATCTTCCCTCACGATTCGATAGAAAATGCAAAAGCTCAATCGAGGACCCTATATTCAAAGGAAAGCAGCCTCATGAAGCAGCGGATTGAACTCCTCAGCTTTAATCTCATTTTCCCTTACTCGACATCCGCACCCACTTTCGACGTCTGTCTTCGTGTAAATCGATTCCGTATCAATTGGGGCGAAGAGAAAAAATTCAAGCCATCGAAGAAGTTAAAGAATGATAAAGCTGTCAGAGGCCTGTTGGAACAAGCCCAGCGGAAAGCCAAAGATGCCAGCAGAGCTTTCAAGCCCATTGAAGCAGTACGCTCGCCATCAAGGATCTCAGATCCAAGTCACGGAAATTCCCCAGGGACAAGAACCACAGAGATAAGCTTTCCTCATGGTGGGGAATCTCAACAATTCTTCTCCCAAGTCCCCAACTATGAGCGCGATACATTGCAGCATAATCCAATTGGCGTAAACCATCCGGTCTCGCGTGCTTCTGCGACGCTACTTCAACATCTTGCTTCATCTTCCCGGCCGAACTCAAGAAATGTGTCTCTATCCTCTCCATCTCCACAAATACAAGCAGATGAAATGGCTGCGAAAAGAGACCCTCTCCAGATGCTTGTTGGTGGAGAATCTATTGCGAATGGTGCCCACAAATTACTCCCAATGGGTAATGAACACGTGCGAGAAGACTCTATATCGTCTCAACCTGAAAAAGAAAATAGTGAGAGCCTCATGTATAAAACTCGGGGGCTCGGGATGATGCGGCTTCTCAAGCTTCATCACATTTGGAGAAGGACTATACACCAGAAGCTCTCAACGAACACAATCGATCCCCTTCAAGAAAGCGAAATCGTGAAAGCATGGAATTTCAATCGCAAAGGACTATCGAAGAAACACATAATTCACAACATGCTCCAGATTCCTTAACGGTGTCTCCATCTAGAAAAAGACAACGCACCGATGCCTCCTCCCCAAAGCTGCCAGATCCCAGAGAACCTGAGAGCCTACCAGTTCAAGTGACTCGGGTCCCGGATCCTCAAGCCCTAATCGATGCGTCTAAGTCGGTTGCAGATGATCCTTCACCTCCAACAGACCCATGGAATGGTCTTTCGAAAATATCCGATAGAGATGTTGAAATCCTCAAAAGCCAGGCTGATCTCTTAGATGGTATTTTATGCTGGATTCCGCCTCTGCCTGGCGACCTTATGCCCCAGGGACATGTGCCGCCCCAGCTTCTCAAACAGTGGAATGAAATTGCTACACTAAGGCACCACCAGCAAGCCGAAGACAAAGCAATCTTAGAACGACCAGTTACTCCAACCCAAGACATAATATCATCTGCTGGCTCGGAAGATGGCACTTTGGGAAATGAGAGTCCTGGACGTGAATTTAGCTGGTCTGCTAGCCCAGTTGATACCCATGCCCAGAATGTCCTCCCGCCAAGCAGCCCCGTGAAGGAGACAAGGCGAGACTCAACACCCCACTGGGGCGAAGCCAATGTGAGAAGGGATGGAAATGCCGGTGACTTGGAAAATCGCAAGAGCCCTCGTGACATGCCACAGAAAGAAAAAGACACTGCTGTGTCCTCAAGCCAAGCATCTTTATCTGTTTCAAGGGACTCTATATCTGCCGAATATGACAAGAGGAACCCGGTTGAGATTCCTTTGTGTCCGGTTGAAAATGGACAGGGTGAGCCTATGTGCCACGGCAAACAAAGGAGCCCTTCTCTTGAGGCCCCTGGGATTGATTCCCAATTCCAATATTTGTCAACGAAAAGACCCGTCCATCTAAGCAGCCCCAGATCTATTGCCGAATGTCATGATGTTATAATCGAGGAGAGCGATGATGAATCAGTGATGGACACTTCGGTGCCTATTGCACTGGGTGAAAGTTTGCCACCGACGCAGTGCAGCCAAACAGGGCAGGAAGTCACACAGTCGGGCATTTCGCTAACTAAGAGAAACATGGGGCATGTTCAAGTCGCAGTCACTCCCATAATTGACATTAATAAGGCATATCGGGAGGACCCTAACAAACAACAATCCCAGCTTGATTCATCGAAGTTACCATTCGACTCTTCTCAGGTTCAAAAGGGTTCCTCACAATCTCGTATTCTCAATACCGATCCTTACCTTGGCAGCTACGAGCGGGATCACTCATCTCACGAAATAATTGACTCATCTTCGTCGCAGTCAGAAGATATAGTAAAACGCCAGACTGAAGTTGCTGTGCCACAGACCCAGTCCAGCATGAACTCCCATATGCCGTCATACTCGCAGGGTGTCCCTTCTCATTCGCAGCATGACATTGTACTCGACTCTTCTGAGGCAGCTCAACGCCACCATGACTTACTCTTACCTCATCAAGATTCACAGATCGAGCCCTTCACTCAGCAGTTAGAGAGCTCTTATGCACCTGATTCACCTCTCCTTAATGAATCTATCCTGGCTCATGCTCAGCGAGAATCACCCAGTGGGCCTGAACCATCTCCACAGGTCTTGGGTCTGGAGCATCGGTATCATTCTTGCAATGAACAAGACTGTTCACCTTCTGGAAGTCCCAAAGGAACATCCCAGACTCCTCAAAATAATGCCAACCAGGCTTTACCTGCCACGAGCGCAGAGTTGGTTGCACGGCGCCTGGGATTCATCCATGATCCCACAACGTCCGTCGAGGCACAAAAGGTGTACAAAAAGTTCTGCAATGATTATCCTCGCTACATTGGTGACTATCGCCATTTCACAGAGCTATGCTCAAAACTACAAGCAGTCCGAGACAGAGGACAATTGCAGCGATCGAATTTGTGGGATGATTTCATTATTCTGCATCTTGACTCGGATGTAGGATATGTATCATACTTTGCGGAGTGCAGGTCTCAAGGGTATGCCGATTTGCTTTCCTACGAAGAATATTTCCTCACAAATGTTTTGCAATCTGTGAATAAGAAACGCAGCCTATCAGCCCATGACATCGAAGTGGCAGCATCGCAATCTACGTTGCAGGATACGGCGTCTCCTATCACTAGTAATCTGCTTCCTTCGGCTTCATCCGCCACCGAGGCCCAGACTTCGAACGCTTTTCTTCCATCAGGCTTTGTAGGCCGCTTCCCACAGACTCATGCCAGTTCATTCAGGGTCAACACCGGTCATGAACTACTTCGTGAAGGCGAATCAATATTTGCCCCGACAGCCTTGGAGTCCTCCGGATCCTCGGTGATTATCAAACAAGAAAGTCAAGATACAGAGTTCCGCGATACTATCATCAACGAAACAGTGCCAACAAGCTCGCTTGACATCAAGCCCATTCTATCCAATGACTCTATTGCCGTGAGTCAACATCTATCGATCGAAACTCAGATCACAAGCACACAGGATGAGCAGAATATTTCCAATGGAGGCATAGAAGGGCTCGACGCTGAAGAAGTCGATGCTGAAGAAACCGACGCCGAGGACACACGTCACGAAACCGCCAGCATTGAACTCGGCGACGAGAGTTTCATCTCCAACGCAACGTCTGCCCCTGGTGATGATGAGATTCCCGAAACAGAGTCTGAGACAGAGCCTGAAGAAGAGAATTGGTTTCTGTCTCTGCGGCGCATGTACCCTAGTGGCCCTGTTTGGTCTGACAGCCCGGACACCCCGTTCAAGCGTTGGGGCCAGGCCGACCAGAACGTTCTCAGCGAGCGGCAGCGCCGTGGGGGAGCTAAAATCCTGCTCGACGAGAAGGGAGTCATTCGACGGCCGATTCATCGCTAACTGTGCGAGCCTTAGTCGGCTTGCAGGACTCACACATAATTCATTTTTCCGGCGGTGCTCTAGAATTAACGATACTACGGTACTACGCCGGCACCAAACAACAAAGAAACAAGGACCGCGGGCTATATGCCGAGAAAGTAAGAAGCTTGTTGTGTTCAGAGCCTTCTGGCAAGAGACTTCTGGTCGTGGTGCCTAGGGGTTTACTATAGTCTGCTTTGCAGAATTCGTGTACATTATTACCTTGACTCCACAGTGATCCATTCCCCCAGTACTGAGTACTAGTAGTCTCTATCAATAGTGTACCCAAGCCGTAAAAGTGACTATAAATATTTTCGGTTCCTTTGGGTGCCAGGGATAATTCCCCGACGATATCGCCTATTACGGACCTTGTTTCAAAGTGCGCGGATGGGTTCGCACGCGCGTCTACCGAGTCGGCCTTACGATAGATAGACACCAGTATCTGGTGCCTCAAAATGCACAAAATCGCGTCTATGGAACTAAGTGATGAAGTACATAGAGGGAGAAACAAAGAGAGAAGCCAAGGGAGTACTTACGATAGTGGGCTCCACTACTGAACTATGTACAGACGGAGTACCGGGGGCCCACCGTGAACGGGGCACAGGAGCCCTGACTAGTGAACCTTGTACCACAAGTTAAGATAATGATCTTCGGAACAAGGGGAATACAGGGTGGACTATGGAGTACGTGTGGCTGTCACGAGAGACTGCTAACCTAAGCCCTACGATTTCAAGCGCATTCCGAGAGGATCGAAGGACTTGGGGGTAATAACAGGGTATTATAGGAAAAAGGTTCTTTTTGCTAAAAGGAGAAGTGGACAAGCTTTATGAATAGTTGGGACACCGTTTTTTATTCGTGAGAAACAATATACAGCATAAATGCAAATTTCATCAGGGAGATGCGGCTGGTAAATCACAGTCATCAGAAAGGAAATGGTCGTTAAAGAATAGAACATGGCCTGGAAACAATCGAGGCTGAAAAGATAGAAGATCCAGAAAAAGAAACCGCAGGTCCCAACGCCGAGGTATTGCCAGTCTAAAAACGCTTCATAAGGTTGCATACAAAGATAAATCGAGGAGATCCCCCCTTTTTTGACGTAAAAAAGCGGGCGGTTTAGGCGTGACGGAAAGGCTCGTAGGCGTTGGAATGCTGGTTGGTGTTGGTCATGGGGTATTGTCCGCCGTGAGCGGCGGGGGCCGGGGCGGGTACGAAGTGTGCTGACCCGCGCCGAGGGGCTCGTAGGTGTAGGGGGCCTTCTCAGCGGTGAGGGCTCGGGGGTTGTTGTGGCCGTTGCGGTGGCCGTAAGGCGAGCGGCCGGAGCAGCAGCAGATGCTGAAGAACCAGAAGATGAGACCGGCCAGGGAGAAGGCGACGGCCAACCAGGTCGCAACGAAGATGTTCTTGCCCATGGAAAGGGTGATGCCGTAGGCCTCGAGGGTGGCTTTGATGGTGCCTTTCATCACGACGAAGAGGACGGTCGAGGTGACGGAGGCGGCAGTGGTGAACAGAAAGGCGACGGCCGCGAAAATGGTGGTCACACAGCTGCCCCAGCGGCTGCAGATGGCGAAGAAGCCGACCAGGATTTGAACGATGGTGACGATGAAGGCAATCAGATAGGCGATGAACATCCACTTCGAGACGGCCTTGTAGACCTTCATGAGCTTGTTGTAGTCATCAGGCAGCTCGTCCTTGACGGCGGAGTCCTCAAGGCCCCAGACGGAGAGGGGGTCGAAGTAGAACTCGGACTTGGGCTTGGAGCATTCTTCGACGGAAAACTTGCTGTTGCTGATGTTGCCGTCGCAGTAGCTCCACAGACCGAATTGGTAGAAGTCGGCCAGCGTCGAATCATCCTGGAGTTGCTGGATGATATCGCTGACTTCGGAGGCGTTGACGCTGGTGATGCCATTCTCCTCGAGGATGTTTTCGATTTCGGTTGATGTTTTGGATCCGCTGCTGCTGAGATTTTGGAGATCGAACTATGCGAAGCAAAAGCAGGTCAGCGGGATGGCAATTCGGTGCTACTAGCGTGGCAAACCACATACCCGAGCGAAGTAGAGGTTGTTCAAGGTGCCGGAGCTCGCCTTGGTGCAGCCCAGGCCGACCATGATAATACAGATCAGCGAGGCGATGGTCAGCAGACCCGGCGTGAAGATACACGCGACACGACCGGCTTTACCCATGATGTGGTTGGTGTAGTATGTGTGTCGATGGATGATAGTGGAAAGATGGGGAGACCTAGTCCGATGTGGCTTGGCGGAGAAGGGGGAGGGGGGTGTGGTCGATGATGGAAGGAAGAAGGTGAGGGATGATTACGAAAGAGAAGTGGTTGGACCAAGGGCGACGTGTTGGTTTTATCTTTTTTATCTTGGGATGATCGGCAGTTTCTCAGCTGGTCGGCGGGATTTTGTACAGCCTCCAACGTACCCCAGCCTCCGGCAATAAAAGTTGCGAAATGAACGAAACTGGCGAAACTTACAGTGAAAAGTTGACTCTGAACGGGGCTGCGAGGCGCAGGCGCCCCTGCCGAGACCAATCAGCGACGGCGAATCGCCACAACAAGGACCCACTTTCGCCCACGCCACGTTTGTTTCTATTCGTGTACGCGCTAAACCCGAATGGGCGGGCTGGGTTGCCAGGACCACCGCGTCATCAAAATTGATTACGTATGATGCAATGATTCAAGTTGATTGAGATGGATCGGGCCCTTAATCTATCACACAGAATGCCTTTCTCGACGGAATGGTGAGACCAAGATGATCAGACGATCCCCCAGGAGATCAATCCAGTAATCGTGATGGCATCCCTCTACCACATCATGAGAAGGATCCGGATTCACCCCTGACCCAAAACTCGGCTTCCCCCCCCCCCCCCCCCTTCCGTGGTCGCGCACAGGATCGCCCAGCCCGCTGGCCCAATCGGGGTCAAACCCTGCCGCAAGCCTCGTCATCTTTCCTCTCTTCTTTTTGGGCTGCCTCCCAGCCCTGTGGAGCTCCGGCCGATTTTTTTTTTTTTTTTCACTTTTTATTTGTCGTTTCTTGTCCGCCCTTCGTCCCTTCACAGCCCTGGATCCATGCGTAAGCTTGCATCTGACCTATACCAATCCTTACCTATTCTGCGCATACCTCGCACCAGGCTCCCTCGTTTCGCGCTTGGCAGAGATGCCGTTGACCGGCTCACCGGCAAGCTGCACTATTCCTACTATTCCTACCGTCTAACTTGGAGGGCTTGCCGCATACAATATGAGATCGACCCGGGAGCTGGCTAGATTCTACGCAACGGTCGGTTGATCGCAACTAGGCAGTCTCCATTCTTCACTCCCCAACATCCACTCCACTGACGTTGATCCTGCCCCTCTCTTTCCTGGAGGTTTCTATCTTTATCTTTTCAAATAAACTTCTCCAGAGCGGAGAGATTAGATGGCGAGTGTGCTTCTATATTCAACCGTCCCACTCCTTGCTCCACTTCATACTATCTCTCCGGAAGTCACCGACGAACCTCGTTGTGAGAGGTGGGACAGCAATCACTTCACATTCCCAAACAATATAGCTGCCTAGTACATCGGTGGCTGTATATGTGCCAATCTGATGCATAGGTGTGTGTCTTCCTATAATCGGTATATGGGTACCGATATGTACATTACCGCTAGATCCATTTTCCTATCCCGCGAGTTGGCCGTTGGGCATACACACCAGACACAAGCCACAGAGCCGGACCTTTAGCCTGGCTTGAGATACGCCAGTCAGATACCCCTCTAGGAGGAGCATCTGCGAGTGTTAATTATTAACATCAAACTGTAGCGAAAACCGCACATTTTCTATACAACTATATACAAAACCAAAGATTTTGCTCCTTGTCAGTTCAAACCTCGCTACATAGTAATAGCCAGGAAACATCACCTATTATGCTGTTAGAGTAGTACTTGCAGGGTAGCCACCTGTTGATTAAGTAAGGAGAGAATAAATATCAATATTGAATCGTCATGAATCAAGGAGTAAGAAAGATGGTATATTATTTAATAACTGAATCTTGGAGAGATTCATTTCGAAAGTTAGGGGGTTTCCTTCTATATCATGAGATATGTAATTAACATGACATTCAATGAGTGATGACAATAAATGAGATATCTGTATTGCGTCACATTTGCATCCTTTATCTAGTAGTATCTATTGTCAATCTGGTAGGATACTGTATGAGCTTGTAAAGGTGGGATCCAACTTCCACCTAATGTCCAAACCACAATAGTCCCTTCTTTAATCTAGGATATCAATCTTTTGAGTAACTAGTTACCCTACATCGCTTATATAATTCAGCTTGGTCTATAAAAACTTCGTAGAAAATTCAAGGTAGCCCTTAGAATAATAAAGCCGAGTCAGGGTGGTCAAGCAAGCAAAGCCTTGATATCTCTAGACTAAGTAATCTACGCACCCTATTATAAGCACTTGAAGCACTTGAAAAAAAGGCATTATCTTTATTTTACCTCTCTCGCTTATCAAGGGACTATACTAATATTTATTGATTTAAGGATAGAAACTACAGGGCTCACTAAGGTGAATCCACGTATTTCCTAGAGAGAATATAATTATAAATTTCTAATATTTGCAAGATTGGGATAGGGTATTATCTTGACTCTTGCGAATCGAGTAGGAGTTGAGCGTATATTCAATTGTACTCGCGATATCTATTAATACCGCCCTGGTCCGCTAAAGCTAGATACAATCATTGGTCTGATAATTTGTCTTTTTGATCTAAATTCAATTGAAGCAGACATAGATCAAAAAGAAAGGGTATCTCTTGTTCGTGAGGCTGCTATGATCAATGTCGGCAGTTAACACTATCCCTTGACTATGTAGAACCGAGTAGTGACACCAAAGAGAAAGGATACCTGAAAGGGTTACAAGAGGAGAATTGCGATAATAAGACGGACAATATGGTAGTCTGTCAGGAACATGCTGTACGGCTCGCTTGAGGACCGGGTTCGAGTACGCCCCGGGTTTGACTTCGCTCAAAATTCCCTTCGACGATTTGATTCGCCGGATCACAATGTGATGGATGATACCGCAACAGCTACTTCGCCTAAGCCCTCGTCACAAAAACTCTGTGAGCGCAGCCCTGTCCAGGACCATCCACAATCACAGAGAGCCGACGGTCCCCCCTGGCCCAGTCCACTCCACCGACCACGACATTTTGTAACCCGAAGGCTGCCGCAAATTTGCCTCGTGAGGTTCAACCGCCCCTGTCTTCCTGTCTGCCTCCAACATAATCGAATGAGAGAAGTCTTTCACCCACGGCGTCTGAACAAGCGAAACAGCGTTCTCCCATGGCCCTTTCAGTGGCGCCTGTCAACCTTCCCTCCGGTGACACCGTGCTCCAGGACACGTACAGTACCTCGCTATGACTTGGCTTCCTTAATGCTAGCGAAACTCCGTCCCATGATTTTAACGTGCTTGTGCGTGCTAAAACGCCATGATCTAATGCACATTCTTCTAGCCAGTCCTCTTCTTCCCCTTCGAATGTACCGTAAACGCCTGGATGCTTCCAACTCCCGGATCCGGGAGACTTCGCCGGGAAATGAGGCAAGTGTAGACGGCGCTCGGTAACCGGGCGCTGACAATGCAAGGCACCTTGGATCTCCCTGGCGTAGGCTCCCATGAGAGAAGGGACTCCCACAAGAGGAACAGGGTAATCACGTCAATCACCTTACGAAAATGGACCAAAAACCCCAGGATAATTAAAGCCTATCACATAAGTTCGGAATGCCATGGCGAGACTATCATAAACAGTAATATTTAAAGCGGAACATGAAAAAGGAGCAAGAACGGAATAAAAACGATGAATCGGGAGGGAACAGAAAGTCATGGAGCCGTGTAAGATGATTTCTGTGTTAATCCTAATACAGTATCCTACCATATTGCATTCTATACAAAAATGCAGAGAATCGAGTTTTCCTGTGATAGCGGGACGCATAGAGAAAGAGGTGGGTCTTCGTGGTATTCAATGGCTCCTCCTCGACATTTACACTGAACCAGCTGTGTGCTGAGGAATTCCTAAAAGCCAGAAGATTCTATTCCGAGAATATGTTCTCTCCCAAGTCTCCCCTCATGTATTCCCTGGATACGGACAGAATCGAAGGTTTGAGGGTAGAAGGCCAACACCCGGACATTGACTGGAGTCAAGTCAACTTCGAGAACTTCTGAAACGGGGCCGTGACGCCGTGACGCTGACTCCGCGACATATAGATTCGGGATCCACTGGACTCTGCCAGTGGGTCTGTCAGTGGGTCCGACATGGCTTGAATTAACTGCAAGTTACTATTAGTGACGAGATTTGGAATTCAAATGGGAAGAAAGAGCATCGAAATTAACTAGCAGAGCAAAAGCATTCAACAGCAGGGCTCAATTGGTGGTCACTACCCCCTCTGCCCCTCTCAATTTACTAGCCTGCCTTGTGGCTCATATTTCAGCGCTACAAATTCTATTCTCGTCGTAGGCATCTCTTGCTAGCTTGGCAGGGTTCAATTCATTCATGTGTACAAGAACAATTACAGAAACTCTGAGGGTATTCCTCAGCATCCATAAGCCAAACAAAATTCACCTTTCCATATTTTCTCTTGCTGATATTTCCTTTATTGTCCTTGTCAACAACCCAAAGACTTTGTTTGACCTGATTGCCAGTCATCCTGATCTTCAGCAATAGGGATAAAAAGACGGCCGGGGCTCCTGAGCTGCTGAGCCAGCACATCATGAAACTTGAATGCCGCGGCACCAACGTGAACAACATCCCATTTCCCTTCCTCGCCATCTGTCTTGTTTGCAGTACCCGATTCTGGCCAACCTTGTCGTCCATCGCTGCAGTGAAACTCAACACGACCTGTATCGAGCAACGATGAACCACAAGCTGATTTTCTCATGTTAGCTTCGCCGAGATCTCTAAGCCCATCGACATGCTCGACACCGATAACCAAACTTGCTTCTCCAGCGATCTCGGCGAACAGATGTACTAGTAAGCCACTACCGCTGCCTATATCCAGAATCCTTCGGGATTGTCCTGGAATACCGATAACGCTAGGCATGCCTTCAGTTTCTTGCTCCGGCCTTCTCTTGGGCAACAAAAAGGGTAGCAATATCTCCACTGCTCGAGCATGCATCCATGGAGCACTTATTGTTGAGTTGCAACTCAGCCACTGCGGCTCGTTCTCATATGGCATTCTTTGGTGCCAAGCTGGTCAGGATATGATACAATCAAAAATTTGCGTATTGCATATCAAAGAACGTATCTGGTCAGCTCGTTCCTTAGGGATTATTGCGTGATGGTGATCGAGAAGATCTATGAGGTTCCATCCTCGATATCTGATAGTATAGGGTCATACGAAATCTAGTGGCAGCTAGTAATACACGGGATTTCCTATTTCAGCATAGTAATTATCCAAAGAGGAAAGGCCCTATTTCGACATAACAATTACTCAAGAGGGCAAGGCGGAAGGCAAGAATAGAAGGGTGGGGGCGAAGGTAGAATAAACCTAGAACTATAACACGCCTCTACTAAGGACCAACAAAGTCGAGTTTAGGAAGAGCAATAACGTAACGTATCAAGCGAACCAAGCACACGAACGAGCCGTGCACTCCAGAACACCATAATTTATGCGATAAATTATAATTCGGTGTCTCAACGACCGTGATTCTTCAGGGCTGAAAACAAACGCTATTTCAAAAACGTCGAGTGGGATCTCGTTCAAGGTGTGCCCCTGGGGGCATCTCGCCCTCGCAGGGAGGATGCTGTGCTAAGCGCTGCTTGTTGAAAACGGTAAATTGGGTTGGATTCTTCCCACGAGGCTTGGACAGCCCTCACAGAACTATTACTTTAAATGTTACTGTTGGCTAGCAGACCGAAGTGGGGGGTAGAAAGCGGCCGTGGTCTAAAGGGCGGTGTAGGAGTGAGAATTTATACGCCTCAGAACCCGACTACGATACGAAATGCTTGACGGTAGAATGAAGCAGCGCTTTAAATGCACCGTTCATCACAGCCAACATTCCACAAGTGACAGACCCTTATAAGCCTACGAGCCATGCTCACTATCGAGGGTCAGCGGTCGGACACCACGTTCTACTTCACGTTTATACCTGTCGACGCCCGCTCGACATCTTATGCGCCTATACAGAACCAGTCTGCTCCTTGTGATTCCAAAATTTCCAGCAAGACCTCGGAGCTATCAAGCTGCAAAAAGCGGAAGCGCCAACGATTTTCGACCCTCGAGAACTGCCTGCTGATAAAGCTGAAGTATGGGAAGAAGTTGTCTTGGCAGGAGATCACGGCTCACTTCCCCGACCGCAATTCGTGATCATTTCAGGTGCACTATTCTACCAAACTGAAGTGCCGAAAATTCAACGGATCTCATATTCGTCGCATGAAACACAAGTAAATAAAAAAATGTAGTGATCTTCTTTCATCAACGACAGAGACATGGGAAGAAAATATGAACCAAATCCATTTGCATCCGTTATAAGTTACAATTCCGAGATAATCGGCAATCATGGGAAAGTCCACAAACGACCATCACTTCGAAGCGTCTCTAGAAATTCCTTAGCTTAGCTGTTGGCTCACGATCAAATTGTTGCATTCAGATTTTTAAAAGACTATGACCATCTTTAATCATCACACACCTCTCCTTGTAATTTCCGATGAGCGAGTTCTTTCACGTAGTCGAGTGGAGTCTTGCAGGCTAAGCCGGTGGCATAAAGGTCCAGGACACTTTCTAAACCAAGAAGACTTATCAGCTCCTGGGTAGAAACAACCTAATCACTCCGTGATACACGAATGGTTTCCCGTCAAGATCTCTGGTCGCTGGTTCTACGTCCACAGCAAACACATACTTATATTCCAAGTTTATCCAAAGTTTCGTCAAGTCTCCACTGGCTCTCCATTCCTGGTGGGGAATTGGAGCACCCCGAGTCCCGACGGTCTTCGCTTCCGCTGGGACTTGCTCGACGCTGGTTTGGCTTATTGGAATGAATCTTTATACCACCCCGACAAGAACTCTCATCGACAACCCGTGAGGCAGAAAAGGGTAAACTAGGTCAAACCCCAAAAATCATTCTTTGTGGCCTTTTTAAGATTCCCCAAAAGAGGACTCAATGCTAATTTGCTGGCGACTTGGTTGGCTACAAGTGAAGCTGACCAGATAAACGAGACCACCAAACTGGAACATCCCAGGAATGTTTCAGAGACCTAGGCAACAGGCTATTCCGGCCAAGACAACTAGACTGGGACACATCACCAAACTAGAAATAATCACCAAACTTGAATCTCTAGAGCTTGGGCATATGCGAAATCTTCAACCTCCTTCGACGGTAGTCTCGGCCTCAGTCCATCGGAGTAGTTGGTGACACATGCCTGTGCTCTATACTGAATCCAAGCTCCGTGGGCGTACCCGACGTAAGTAAGCGAAGAAGTCCACGCTTCTCCAAATCTTGGCAGAATTGCTGTTTCGAAGATAAGTACTCGTTAGAGTGGATCGGATCCACGTTGTAAAAGTCCTCACTATTAGTTACCTCTCCGTTGCTCCGCTGTTAGGCCCCGGGGCTGTATCCCGACCAACGCAGTATAGAAGCTGCTTCGTGGTTCGGTGCTTTGCTCCGCGGTTCCTTAAGCAAGGTCTCTGTGTGCGTAGCTAAATCCGCAACTGTGCAATACTGATTGTGCTAGCATTTGTCGATAATATCGTCAATAAGCGGGTCGCTATTGAGCTTTGGAAAGTCTATATTCTATAGCAAGTCTAAGACCTTAGGTCTATGCTCGTAAGGATCGTCCACAAGATATTGATCGTTATAAACCTCAAAGCCGTAGTTGATCAAGTAGAACAACGAACCGAGGGCGAACTGCTCCGTCCGAGGACCTAGGAAACCGGTAGTTCCTAGTATTCCTTGGTCTGTCTCGTTACTGTTAAGCAGTCTTCCGTACGGGCAATAGCAAGCTTCGAAATATGTTCCGACTTCGGCCGTAAAATCAAAATCGGATATCTTCACTCGGTTACGATCAAGTAGAATATTTTCAGGTCGTAGGTCACTATAGGCGAGGTTAAGCGATTCAAGGAAAGCAACCCCTTGAGCAAGATTATGCATCCCTACGTATATTAAGAAGTTAGTTCCTTAGAAGCAAATATTAAGTACAGCGATTAAGTGTCTACTAACACAACTTTCGCAGTGCTAAGGGCTCTAGGTCTCCTACTTTAGTAACCACATAAGTTTGGTGGTCCCGAGTAAGATTGAATTGTCTCCTATAAGCAAGGGATATATCTAGAAAGGCAATTAGTTATTGTTTGCATACCCCTAGGGATCGCACCTCTCATATACTCAAGGAATATTCCGTCTGTAGTAAAGTAAAAACACTACACTAGAGAGGGACAGGGCGAATTCCGGGATAGAATCTCATAGATCTTGAGTTCTTTGTGAAATTGCTCCTTCTCTTCCTGGCCGGACTTAGGAACCTTGACCACGATGAGAGGGTGGACCTCGTACACAAAGGAGATGCCTCCTCCCTAGACCCAGTGTACACCAGGAAATTCGCGTTGAACATTCATATCAAGGAGAACAAAAACAAAGGAACATAGGAGGAACGAGGAGGAGAAAGGGAGAAACTTGAAACAAGCCAGGTGCACCACGTGACCATATCCTACCTTCGCCAGCGAGTAGTCTCTTGCGGGAATCGACCGACTTGGTTTCTCCCTTGATCCCTTCTTTCCAGGGCTCTGTTGCTCACTTTATGAAGAAATTCCTACCTAGCGAAAATGGAACGGGTACTTCAAGGTGGTATGTAGGCAGCTAGGTCGATATAGAGAGATCCTGAAAATCAGCAGGGTCTAATAAGTAGAAGTAGACATCAGGGCCCACGTCGGGCCCCCGATGGGCCCCCAACAAAGCTCATCCTTTGCGTAAAATAAAAGGTTGGCATTCATAAAGGCGCTTAATAATCTTAATCAAATAAGTTACTCTTTTTAAACCTCTGTTATGGTTCTTCCTATAAGGTCTTGGTAATCTATAGTAGGAAGAGATGCACCAGGATCCGCAGACACTCTCAAAACTGTACATTGTCATTTGTACTCCCCAACAGCAACCCTTCCACTCCCAACACAAACTCATATTTACAGCGTGAACTGACGACTGCCACCTGCCAAATGATTACCCATGACCAATAAAAAGCCTTACGCAAAGTACGGCTCCAACGTGGACATCATGCCCGTATATGCCGTCCCGCTTGGGGGCTCCAGGCTGAAGATATACGTGCCCCACCATGGCCCAGCCGCCCACCACATTGCGCCCTTCCACACATCGGTGTTATCCGCCAGATAGTCCAGCATCCCTGTGATGGCCGTCTTGCAATCATCATTGACGCCGCCCGCAAACTCCCCCAAGATGCCCACTTTTCCATTATCCTTGAGCCACTGGGTCGCGCTCGTCACGCGCTCCTCCCCTATCGTCGTCGACACGCATGTCTCGCTGGTCCCGGATCCGTCCGAGTCCAGATACTGATGCATCTCATAGATGATCTTGTCTTGCGGGTCTGTCAGATCCTTCAAGTTGTCATTCACGTCTGTCCACGTCCACGCCCCTGAGTACGAGTTGCCCTCGACGAAAATGTATTGCGAGGTTGCCCCCCCGGCGCGGATCCCGTCGATCGCGGCTTGGTTCAGGTCCAGGACGAGGGTCTGGTCCATGTCATGATATTCGTTGTCTGGGAATGGGAGCGTCAGTCACACCCCAGTGAGAGGATCAATGCACATTGCAAGAAGAATCCAGGCCTGGTTATATACTTACTCGTGTCGAAGATGACCAAGTCGTTCGACTTGAACTGTCCTGCGACATTCTCCCAAAAGGTTTGGAAGTCCGAAGTGCTGGAGATGATTTCACCATTGCTACGGACCAGGTGGTTAATCCAAGCTAAATTGCAAACTGCAGCTAAACGGGCCATGTGGTCGACCTACTATCTGCCAAAGTTGTGGGGATCGATCACAGCATGCGCCCCGGCTCCAGTGATATAGTTAACCACCTAGTAATATTTTTTGGATTCATAAGTCTCGGTATCATCATTCGTCACAGCTTTCAGCCCCGAGACACAACTCACTGTTGTCAGGTTGTTCAAGTAGTTGCTGTCGAATGAGCCCGACAGGCTATCCGGAACAAGACGCTCCATCAGAAACGTGACCCGGAATATATTCATACCCTGGTCAATCAGGGTTTGAATCGTGCTAGTATCGGGGAAGATGTAATCGGTTCCCTGCCAGGGTGATCGAATGAGCTTATACCCATTGTGTGACAGCAAGTGATCAGGCGGCAGCAGTCATCATCTCACATAAACACCCGGAATATTAGCATTGCCGAACTCGGCGCCAGACTCATTTGCACCAAACCCTAGAGTTGATCAATAGGTTAGATTTTTCTCTCTCCATATCTAGCAATTCTGCCCATATACGAACATTCAAAAGCAGAGGCTCTCTTTGATATCTTCTTGGCAGGTGCAGCCACTGCAGAGCCGGCCGCAGCAGCCAAAAAGAAAAGATCACTGAGTCTCATATCTAATATCGCAGGATCAAAGAAGTGACAGTCCAAGATAATTCAATTGAGGGCGGAGAACAACGATATATTAGCTCCCTGATTCGGGGCGTAGGGTATCTTTATAGCAGTCCCCAGCAGTCCTGACATTTTCCCGTTACTCATTCTATCTAGTCATCTAGTGACGCATGATCCAGCAATTGGTTCTACCGAGTACCCAAAACAAAGACGGAGTCGAAAAATGACACGGAGTAGGAGATGTCAGAGGTCGCTGAACGGCTCTTCGCGCTGTCGATCCTTGATCCAGGACAGGACCTTAGGTAGTAGTGAGAGGAGGAGCGTACGGAGAATTTGTCCTTATTTCAAGGCTCGTTGCGGGGTCAAGGGGTTAAATTATTATGGGAGAAGTAGGTTCCGTTCTTGGCCAGGTCCGGTTATGAAACGGCACCAACTCGGATGTGTATTCTCCAGGCCAATAACAGGCAACGGTTGCACTTCGTATACGTGTGATCGGCTTCCCCGCGAAACCCCACCCAAGCTTTCTTCAGGCACCGGTGGCTTGAATTCTGCAGCATGTACTCTAATCGGTTGAAAGGAAGTCCGGGGTACCCCGTGGCGCTTCAGGAATCGATCGACACTTGGAGAGTGGGCACCGGTACATTCAATGACAATATCAGGTGGGAATTTGGAAAACTACGTAGCAGGCTTCAGAAAGTTGGGTGTGGATCAAAATATCAGATTTTTTAATCAGATTTTATGAATGATATTCAGAATATGGAATCACTTCAAGCCGAAGTCTAGGACGTGTCAGGTACTACAAAGAGACGCGGGTCGACGGCATACTTGAAACAGGACCCACCATAGCCTGGAATGATTTATCCCAGACCAAGTCAGCGATCATTTTTCTCAATAAAGATTATGTATCTGTATAGGTGAAGCACTAAAACAAGATATGAATTCGTTACTTGTCCTAGAAGTCTGTACAACCGTTTTCGAAATTGGTCAATCAAACTACCATCCACCCAGAGGTTGAAGGTACTTCTTCATATCAGCCGCTTGCAACCTGTGATACTTCTGTCCCGGATGGTAATTATTCCACCAAACGCAGCTTTCTCCGTCGTCATCGATGCAAGTTGCATCCGGGTATCCGTACGCGGTGGGATTATCCAGAATTCCGGTCATGAACGTCCAGGAATCATAGAGAACTGTTACCACCTACAATGAAAAGTCAGCTTCTGTGTTAGATAATGTATCTAGCTCAGTAGACGCACATCTTTATGGTTGGTCTTGAAATCCTTAATCATGGCGCTGAGTCCATTGTTGAAGACAGTAGTCCACGCCGCATGCAGCTCGGATACACTTTCTCCCTGATCGAGGATATATGGACTCCGACTGACAGAGGGAACATTGAGGAACAGGAATTTGCGTCCCCCATCGGAGTAAATTTCCTCAATGAGCGACTTGTACTGAGCCATCAACTCCGGAACGATAACACTGGCATTAGTGCTCGAAAAGTCCCAGCCCACACTGCGCAAAGTGGTTAGCAAGTCAGCTCAAAGCATGAAAGTAAGGCATTGATGTCATATACTCGTTGATTCCGATCCAGAATCCAAAAACGCCATCACTAGAGGTCCATGGCGCACTGGATGGCTTTTTGCTGTATGTTCCTTGAAAGTCAGCCACTTGGGTGGTCATGTCCTCAACACCAGCGTTGATGATGGAGTTGTCAATAGTCGCGCCGCCAACGGCCAAATTGTAACTGAGGACTAGAGAGGCATTGTCCACAGTTGTCAAATACCCGACCCAATTGATACCACCTCCTGTTGCTCCAGTTCCTAAATGTCTATTGTTAAATGTCTACCTACTGAAGGGATATTCCAAAAGGAAGCTTGCTTACCCAAGGTGGGGTTGCCCATTGGATTCGAAGCCGATGGTTGTGTGCCTTGATCATTGAAACTGGTCATAGTATATGAATCACCACTGTAATAGTCAATACCATATCCACAGATCTCCTCTCTCTGTAGACAAAGCCTTCGCTCACAAGGTGAAGAAATATGTTGTTGAGGCCCGATGCGCCAAAGGCACCGCAGCCGCTGCCGCAGCACCAGCAAGCACAGGAAGCAAATATCTCATATTGAATTGACCTCGAAGAATTTGAGTGATGCAATCTGATCGTCGCGATCAAAGCCTCTCTTTAAATATAACAACTTTGCCAGCCACTTTATGAGTTGCATGTATACATGTTTCTTGTATAGCCCAGTTCGTAACGGAGACCTTTCCGAATGGGGATGTTGCCGCTTCAGTGTGGATTGAGGACCCCTTCTTGCATAATTTAATCTGCACGGGATTTCGTAGAACAGACTGACTTTTTACGTAGCTCATCAAAAATTCCGGAAAAGGGGTTTAAATAATCGACCCATTCATCCTCCGATCGGGCTGTTTTTAATTTTGCTTTGCTCAGCCATAGTGGTATACGTTGGAATGAAGTCATCGGTTGTAAGAAATCAAGATGATATTTAGGTCACCAAATACCATCAAAGAAATAGGATTTCTCATCTACTTTTACGTCGTCAAGTTGACGCGATGATTTTGACAGCCGTCTCACCAAATATAGCCTCTACATACCTACCGTAGAGGGTAATTACACCAGCTTCATCAAAACTATGTCTTTTCAAGATGTCCTTCCTTCTACAACACCAAGATACGGGTACGAGAGTATTCAGCAATGCCTCGATATTGTGGAGCAAGAGCTCGACCGATTTGAGCGTGAGGAATACACAAGATCATGCAACCCCTACATTATAATTTATATCGAGGAACGTGACTTCCAAGAGTGTTTTGTCAATTCCGGAGAGAGGCTCCTGACGCTATCATGGGACCTTTACGACTACACATCTCAAGCCACTCTGTTGAAAATGGAATCTCGACCACATGCAATCGTTGCTAGTATCTTTGACCCTATTATTCTTGCGTGGGCCCAAAGAGCGGTTGATACACTTCTAGTGCCTACAAGTACAGCGAGTGTCCGGGGATCGACAAGAAATAAACGACCAGACATTTTCTGGACACCAAGAGATCCACCAGGAGGGAGATCTACCAAATGGCCAACTTTAGTTGGTGAGGTAGCGTACTCTGAACCACGAGGGAAACTCATCCAGGATATGGAATTCTGGCTTAACGAATCTCACGGCGATGTCAAAATAGCCCTCACAATCACCATACATGCTCGAGGCCGAATTAGTATCGAGAAATGGAAATTCGATCGCTTAAATCGTCCGCGCCCTGTTCAAAAGATCGAGATTGTCCGCAATCCAGCGCCAAACTGTCCAAAGGTCAACGGGCGGCTTAAGATCCCGTTTCGCGATGTTTTTCTTTGCGAGAAAAGAGGCACAGAGGCTGATTTGGTTTTTACCGAGAGCGACATGGAAAATATTGGCAGATATGTGTGGGCTTTCCAGTCCGCTGATTAGGGGCGAGGCAAGATATCGGCGTTGGGTCCAGAGTCCTGCATGGCCAGACCACGGTCTCATTGCAAGACGACATCCAGCATCTCTATACCAACACCGGAGAGTATCAACTTGCCGTACAAATCGCGGGGAACCCCTGAGTCGGTCCTTGTTTGGGGTCCTGATTCCTTCAAAAAGCCCAATGACGAAATATCAGCTACGGCACTGTATTGGTCCAATAGGAGCTCAATATCGATGTTTTTCGTGTCTTGATTTTCAGCAGAATCCACGGTCACAGACCAGACCTTCACACGGTGGTCATTACCGGAAGTCACAATCTTGAGTCTGGTAGCATCACTTTCGGGACTGGTTTGCCCACAAAGAGCTTTGAGAGTTGTCACCCCTGCGGTGTGGGCATCTGGAATAGATACTGTACTCAGATGAGCACTCGTATCAGAACTTGTGGAGGCTATGTTCAAAAGAGACACCGAGATAGAGTTATCGTCACTCCCAGCTAGAATGATGGCAGAATCATTAGCGAGGGGCAGCAGCTCCATTGCTTTAATGCTGTTCGAATGAAGCCTATATCTGCTCTCACAAGTGATACTCTCTGGAGACACAGCGAATCCCTCGAATGAATGTTTGGATTTCAGACCCGAGAAGCCAATAGTGTAAAACGGTTTCAAAGTGCTGGTCAAGTCCCAAAAAGTAATATGTCCATCAGTTGCGGCCGTCACAAGGCTGACTGACGATGAGTTCACCCAAAGGTGGGCTTGAGTCAAGCAATTTGTCATATAGGTGCCCCGAGCCAGAAGGGTGAATCGAAATCCTCTTTTTGGCGAGAAGTGGAATATCTAGGTTCTGTTAGCTGCGTTATTTGACCCTATGTAACTGTCCAAAGATTCTCACCTTGATTGTTGAGTTGGAAAATGCTAGGCAAAAGAGAAATGCCTTTCCATTATCAACTTCCTCCACTTCCAGTACATCGAAGCTGGTTATGCGCAAATCCGAACTGGCGTCATCCTTCGGGCTAGAAGCTAGATGGACAGTCGCCATGCCAAATGTTGGAATCCAGCGTACTCCCCAGACAAAGAATTCTTCGAATGCGGCACTAGTGAAAATATATTGACCATCTTTTGACCAGCTCACTTGTTGTACTCCGGATGTATGGTCGTCAAGAACACATAAACATTCAAGATGGCCCCATGGCTTTGTGCTTGACATATTGAATGGCCGATATATGCGCACAGTAGTGTCTTCGCTCCCAGTCACAAAAATGGGTCCTTGGCCTTGGAAGGTGTTTAAAGTATCCATGGTCTTGATTTCGCGCCCATGACCCCCGGGGTGGAGAGCTCGATTGAAATCAGTCCGAATGCGACGACTGTGTAATTCTTTCCCATCTCTCCAAAGCAACAATCCGTCTTTGTCTTTTGTTGGGGCTTGGAAGTCCCAGCCTCTTCGCGCACCCGCAGACGGAATAGATATAACATCCGTTTGCTTAGTCTCATTTCGCAAAACAAAGCTCTGGGCTCTGCACCCATAGACGAAAAGGTCACCACTGTCATCCATATATACACCTTCGAGATGTGGCCCAAGGGCAGAAGAAACCCGGTGTATTGTTCGAAGAAAAACAACGGCATTTTCATCCTCGCCAACAATCAGTTCGTGAAGGCAGTAATTTCCATCACGCCCACAAGTCATTAAGTACTCTCGTGTTGAGCCGTCTTCTTCTGTAGAGGAGATAGTTCGCATCTGGCTCGTAGTATCATTACCGTGGACACGCCGATCGTCAAAAAGAGGCTGGGAAGACAATCCAAGGCCCGCCGTTTCAAAAACAGCCACGCCGCCAAGCCTTGACCCCATAACCAAATATCGACCATCATGCATCAATGATGCAGAATGAATGCGGTATGGCGCCTGTGGCAAACTAAACACAGTTGCGTCGGCTCGCGGAAAATTGCTGTCCCCACCGGAAACGGTCACCAGTGTAGCCTGGTTCTCTCTTGAAGAGTTCTCGGGAGAATATGAAGCCAAAAATGAGAATTTTTCAGACCGTGGAGTGGTGTCAAGGACAATTAGACGAAGGGGTCGACAGCCCAAATGCAGGAGATTGCTTATTGATTTGTTCCCGTGGTTGTACAGCCTCACCATTCCTTCAGTGCTGCAGACCAATGCCAATCCTTTCTGTGGAATTCCCGTTATCACTGATACTGAATGAAGAGTATCTGAATCGCAGATTGTTTCCCATGTCACGTTGAAACTCTCCTCCATACCCACATATCCGAGGACAAGCTCGTTACGCAGTGACTGGCCAATAAAACAATCCGGAGCAGTGAATGCAAAAATCTTGCAGCTTTCAGGATCTGCCGACTTCTTCTTCGAGCCAGATGGACTCTTTGCCTTTGCTGATAATGGTGCGTTTTCATTGACAGAGAAGCATTTTAATGCTCCATCGGCTCCTCCTGTATAGATGAATGTCTCGTCTCCTTTACCATAGAGGTCGAGAGACCATATATGCTTTCCAATGTGATTGGTGATTTTGGCTGTCTGATGAAGTTGATATTTTGTGGCGCCGGACGATGAATCCCAGCTTAAATTCCATAGAAAACAAGTGCAGTCCTCACCGCGACTCACGAGACCCACGGTAGAGGATGAGTTTGATCTCAATGGGCGAAATATCACGCTCCAAATACGAGCTGCGTGTCCGTATGCTTTGGCCACACACGACTCGTCTATATCATCTGCAGAAGCTTCACGAAAACCGGTGCTTCGGAGCTCGAAGCCATCAGAAGAATAAGGGGAAGGATCCGCTGACGTTTTGTTCTCACAGTCCGAAATATCCCATATTCTGATGCTTCGGTCATCACTGCAGCTTGCAAGGATCCGTCCAGGCTGTCCATTCTTCAGAGCCGGAATTTTTGGTGAAATGCGCACTCCGAAAATCGATCCATCATGGCCAGTGAAGAAGTGATGAATAGAAGAGACCGCCTTGGATTGAGAAAGCCCACTTTCACCCAAGAAGCAAGACCAGACTATGATTTCACCAAAGACAGTCCCTGCAGTAACAAGCACATGAGACGCTGAGAGCGCAATGAGATCAGCGGAGAACAACGAAGACTTTACACTCGTTGCTAGCTGATGGACTTGAATAGTCGAATTATAATTTGCATAAGTGCCGTATTTAAGCCTCATTCTCAGGATTGCATTGTTGGCCGTGACAAGGTATGCTATATCCGGTTGAGTTTCAACAGCTGCACAGCCACTCATGATCCAATCTGGAGCCTGGAGCTCCGCACTAGAACGACGAAGAGTAACCTCCTGGCTCGGGTTGAGGAGAAGATCGATGCATCGTAATGAGCACCCTCCCCAAGCTATAACTGACACATGATCAGGCTTTTCAATTGTTTGCAGTTGATGAGGAAGCACAAGAAACCCATGCACATTACTCCGGTTGAAGACCCGAACTTGAGCAGCAACATCTCCAGTACGGTCATCAACAACCCGAAAGAAAGGACCTTGGCCCTGGAAGACAAGTATGTTCTCACGCCATTGAAATGTCTTCAGCGCTGTAATTGGCAAGCAAGCATCGACATGCTGGGCTTGAGTGTCAGCGAATGACTTTAATGTGCGGGGGCAGGGTTTGGAGATGTTGCCGATTAAGACCAACCTCGAGAGAAACCGACATATCCCGAGAAGCTTCGTGCGTGGAACAATTACACTTGCTCTCACGCTCACTTCCAAGCAATATTCGTTCAGCCAATTCCTTGGGAAATAGATCGCCTTCTCTCCCAAAAGTGCGCCTGCCACCAAAAAAATGCTTATCTAATTTTGATGCCCGCACTAGTCCCCAAGTAGTATAATACAACACGTGACTGCGCGCCTCGCAACGCGGCGAACCGAGCGACTGACATAGATCCGGAATGAGTCGAAGCGATTCCAGAGCCGCAACCTCACCGCGTCATGAGTCTTGCCCCAGCAAGCCACTCGTGAGCAAGCTTGCTCACAGCGCTCAGTGTCAACTGAATGGTCACTTGAGCTAAGAAACAGCCATGGGTGTCACCGGACTCTGGACGGTGGTTCAGCCTTGTGCGCGGCCGATCAAACTTGAGACTCTCAACAAGAAACGGCTGGCCGTCGACGCGTCCATTTGGATTTACCAGTTTCTCAAAGCCGTGCGGGATAAAGAGGGAAATGCGCTCCGTAATTCGCACGTCGTCGGTTTCTTCCGCCGGATATGCAAGCTGCTGTATTTCGGAATCCGGCCTGTCTTTGTCTTCGATGGCGGGGCCCCAGTCCTCAAGCGGCAGACGATCGCGGCTCGCAAAAAGCGACGCGAAGGTCACAGAGAAGATGCGACCAGGACTGCGGGGAAACTACTTGCGGTTCAGATGCAACGATCCGCGGATGAGGAGGCAGCTGCGCGGCGGCGAAATCGGAACCAGCCCCTGGAGAACGAGGAGCCCATCCCCGATGCTCCGGTATACGTGGAAGAGGCTTTCATGAATGAAAATGAGAAGCAACAAACACGCAAGTTCAAGAAGAAGGATGCATATCATCTGCCGAACTTGGATGTCTCGCTAGAGGAGATGGGCGCTCCCAATGATCCTCGAATCATGTCTCAGGAAGAACTGGAAGAATATGCACGGCATTTCCACCAAGGGCAGGATATCAACCTCTATGACTTTTCCAAAATCGACTTCGATAGTCTTTTTTTCTCAGTCTGCCCGCGACAGATCGATACAACATTCTGAATGCTGCAAGGCTCCGAAGTCGACTACGAATGGGTTATTCCAAAGAACAGCTTGATACTATGTTTCCGGACCGAATGGCCTTTTCAAATTTTCAAATAGAACGAGTTAAAGAACGAAACGACCTAACGCAACGACTGATGAATATCAATGGTATGAATGGGGAAGAGGCGTTTTATAATTCTGGACAACGGATCGCAGGCGAGCGCGGCAGGGAGTATGTCTTAGTCAAAGATAGCCAACACGAAGGCGGCTGGGTGCTTGGTGTAGTGGGGAACAAGGAGATGGGAGAAGAGGATAAGCCCATTGATGTCGACCAGTACGGGCTGCCGGAGCCAGTTTCAGAGTCTGATGATGCTTCGGATGACGATGAATTCGAGGATGTACCGATTGAGGGTCTCAACAGGTTACCCAAGCTTCCTTTTCTGCAGGAAGGTGTCTTTGATGAGTCACTTCAACAAGCACATGAAGATTCCGATTTGCAAAAGGCACTTTTTGAATCCACCACAAGTGCAAACCATGCACAAAACGCCGAGGATGATGCCCTTTTTGTTCAAAATGATCAAAATATCCTCTTTGGCCGCCAACCCCAGGAATCAGGCCTCTTCGAGGACGAAGAAGATGACGAGCTCAAAAGAGCCATCACCTTGTCCATGCAGCCCAATGAGGATCATCTAGAAGATATGCCTGACATCTCCATCAATCAACCTATTAAACCGGCAATCCCTCCGGAATCCCTGTCAAACCTCACTCCGGAAAGTGATGACGAGGAAATGGACTTTGCTGCTGCTGTGGCAAAGACAAAGGTCGTCAAGAGACCCGCGAATCCTGAAAATCCGTTTTCCGGCCCTCTTCCTTTCGAATCTATCACACTGCACAAGAAGGCCAAAGATACTGGCCAGTCCCGGGAAGTTGATGATGATGCGGGTGGTTTTGTGAAGGAACCTGCCCAGAAAAAGAAACAAGACCCTCTCCCCCCGTGGTTTGTTGGCGAGCGACTGAATGAGGATTTCATCGTTGATCCGACATTTGATACGACGGGAAATGATCAGAAGGAGGAAAATCCTGATCACCTGTTCCTTTCCAACCGTCGATCACCAGAAATCATTGATGTTGATCAAATGTCAGAGACAAAAGAGATCATTGATCTCGGCGAGGAACCAGTTGAAACGCTGCCTGAGTCTGCAACATCTACGGGTTTAAGTATGCAAATGGATGAAGAGAAAACGAAGGGTGATCTTTCTATTTCTACGACAGGATTACTGAACACACCATCCCAGATCAAAGCTTCTGAAAAACAGTCCCAAAAAGAACAGACACCTGTCCCTGATGAAATCGATATCCAGAACCCAACTTTCCAAGCCGAGCCCTCCCCAGAACCAGAGTTTGAAGATGTTCTGGCGCAACAACCTACGGCTTCGGCTCCGGCTCCGGCTCCGCCCCCTGAGATCACTGTGGCTATGAACCAATATTCCAAACTCCAAGAAACGTCCACTCAGCCTGTGCTTGTGGAGGTAGATGATGACGAATTCAGTGATCCCGAGGACGAAGAGCTTCTGCAACAGCTTGCCGCAGAAGGAGAGGAGCACGTCCGGTTTGCCAGGACTCTCAATTCCGATATTCTTCAGCAGGATGCGTTCGACTACGAGCAAGAGCTGAAGCAGCTACGAACCCAGCAACAGAAGGATCGTCGGGATGCCGATGAGGTGACGCAGATCATGATCAACGAATGCCAGCAGCTTCTCACTCTCTTCGGGCTGCCATATATCACGGCCCCCATGGAGGCCGAAGCGCAGTGTGCCGAACTGGTCAACTTGGGCCTGGTGGACGGGATCGTCACTGACGACAGCGACACATTCCTGTTCGGCGGCACCCGGGTCTACAAGAACATGTTCAACCAGAGCAAATTCGTGGAATGCTATCTGACATCGGACTTTGAGAAGGAGTACGCGCTACACCGGCGCAAGCTCATCAGCTTCGCTCACCTGCTGGGCAGCGATTACACAGAGGGGATTCCGGGCGTGGGACCAGTCACCGCACTCGAGATTGTGACCGAATTTGGCGACCTGGCCGAGTTTCGGGACTGGTGGACGCAGGTGCAGATGGGGGTGACCCCGACTGACGACATGCACCTGGCCTTCCGAAAGAAGTTCCGCAAGAAGGCGTCCAAGATTTTCCTGCCCCCGTCATTCCCAAACCCGCACGTCGACGAGGCCTACCTCACGCCGGAGGTGGACGCTGATCCATCACCGTTCCAGTGGGGGGTTCCGGACCTGAATGGGCTGCGACACTTCCTGATGGCCACCATCGGCTGGAGCCAGGAGCGCACCGACGAGATCCTTGTCCCAGTCATCCGCGACATGAACCGGCGGGAGCAGGAGGGCACGCAGTCCAATATCACGCAGTTCATGCAGGGCCCTCAGGGGGCCGGAGCGTTTGCGCCCCGCGCCCGGACCGGGGGTCCGAGTCGCATGGAGAAAGCGTTCGGTCGCCTGCGTCAGGAAGCACAGGGCCGCCGGGGATCGGAGCCCTCGCGCCAGGCCGTGGCCGGGACGGATTCGAACTCGGGCAAACGAGAGTCGTCCCAGCAAACCAGCACGGGTGCTGTTCAGGGGACGGCGAGTAAAAAACGGAAAACTCGCGGTTCCTCGTGAGCAGCGGGAGAGCCTGCACGAACCTGTGGAGAGGGAGGAGGAGAGAGAGACAGGCAAGGCAAATCATATATTGGAAGGTCGGCGAATGCCATGGTCTCTTTTCGTGAGATATTGGAATATCGTATATATAATGTGTATTAATGTGTGTCCATGTGGTTATCCTCGTGATCTCTGGGTGTTCTCAGTTGTCTCAGCCCGTGCTCGTCCCAGCTGGCTGGGAAGTCCGGGGGTTCCAACGGAGCCAAATCAAACGATCCGCGGGCCCGCCAAATAAGCAGTGTTCTGGCATTCCTCCCCCACTGACGATCCGCCCTTGGATCCTTGTTTCATGCATGTACATACCAGTAACCGACTGTCCCTCTCTTGGCCTTCGAGTTGTTCCCGCGGTCTCATGACTTGACTGGGAAAAGTAAGAACCGAAAAAAATGGGGGAAAATTTCCTCTTCGATGCAACGTGCAACGTCGGCGATGACTGGATGACATGGTCGAGTTGCTGCAGGAACGGGTCGTGCAAGACACATGACATCAGTTGGTGCTGATGACGTCAGCGATCGAGTCCTCGATGCGGCCACGATAAAATCGAGATCGAGACAGAAAGATCGACATGTGGAAGTGCCTCATATAGCTTAGACTGCTTTGTAGCCAGTGGAGGATTAGCTTTGGGAGGAGGCGCAGCTTGGAGCTTCGAACGAAGGGCCAGAGAACGGGGTGCGATGCTTGAGGAGCTTGACGGGTGAAGCAGGTCGGACGGAGCTTGGCTCGTGGTTGACCCAGTGATCCGCCCGTGATCCGCCAGTGTCCGCTTTTCCACGATTCCCCAATCATCGTGGCTTCACCTTCCACTACTCGTCTGCTAGTCTACGACTCCGTCCTAGTGTGCCAGTCCCAGTCCCAGTTTTTGGGCTCAATCTCACCCACCAATCCATTCACCATATCCAATTTTCCCCCGTTTTCTTCCTCCATTGGAACCATTGCGTCGCCGAATCGGGCAAGGCGCCCGCCGCAGGAGTGTCGACGTCACCAGGGGAAGATTCTCCGCTTGAAGACTTGAGATATTAGCCACTTCGTCTCCTTTTTTTTCCTTTTCATCATCCACTTCCTCGGACCCAGATCTCCCTGTCCTGTCCGTCATCCTAGGCACTGTTCCCCCTGCTACCCCTGTGCCGATCTCCGGTTGCAGTGCTGTTCCGTCGCATCCCGTCCTGGTGAGCCCTACTCAACGAACCCCTCTCTGCTTTTAGTTCACGTCACTACTGCGCAAGGCACACCCTTTTTTTCTTGCGTCTCCATTTCACTGACTCTTAACCTCCGAGGAGCCAGGTACCCGACCAACCCGACCAAGTGATCCGTTTGGACTCCTCCTCTTTTCCTCCCACCACTGCCACTATCCCCCTAAATCGCCCATCCGCCGATCCTCAATCGCCGCCCAACCATGCATCGCACTTATTCAATGCGCCAGTCGCGCGTTCCGACCGCCTCGCAGATCGAGAACCCCCCACCTCCAGTGTCCTCGACCAAAAGCAACCGCTGGCTAGGAAAGGGCGGAATTGGTGAGTGACCACCACAATAGCTCTTCAGAACGCCGGCGAGCACAATGCCGCGGCGAGCAATGGGTCGATGACGAGGGAAATGCCCCGAGGCGGACTGATCAGGCAACGTCTCTACCGCCTTTTTCTCCATCTCCATCCACTCCTATCCTCAAGACGTGACAGGAGACCGGGCAGAATCCGAGCGTGACCATCAAGACCAATCGCAATCGTAATTGCTAACGCATCTTCTCTCAATGCAGGCCATGCGTTCCGCAAAAACGCTGCCGGTGCCTTCGGGCCCGATCTCGCCCGAAAGCTGTCCCAGCTGGTCAAGATGGAGAAGAATGTCATGCGCAGCATGGAGCTCGTTGCGCGGGAGCGCATGGAAGTCGCTGTAGGTCGATGCCGCTTCCCCCCTTCTCCCTCCTTCTTGTATCCTCACAGACGAGGGACTCAACCTGAGCACCACAGTGAGATCGAAAAAGCTAACTGGTGCCTCGCTCTTCATAGCAACAACTGTCTCTCTGGGGTGAGGCCTGTGACGAGGATGTTTCGGATGTTACCGACAAGCTCGGTGTGCTGATCTATGAGATCGGCGAGCTGGAGGACCTCTTCGTCGACCGCTACGACCAGTACCGGGTTACGATCAAGAGCATCCGCAACATCGAGGCGTCGGTCCAGCCCAGCCGAGACCGCAAGCAGAAGATCACCGATGAGATCGCCAAGCTCAAGTACAAGGACCCTAACTCGCCGCGCATCGTGGTTTTGGAGCAGGAGCTGGTCCGGGCCGAGGCCGAATCGCTGGTGGCCGAGGCGCAACTGTCCAACATCACCCGCGAGAAGGTCAAGGCAGCCTTCCAGTACCAGTTCGACGCTCTGCGCGAGCACTGTGAGAAGGTCGCAATCGTGGCCGGCTACGGCAAGCACCTGCTTGACCTGATTGATGACACTCCTGTCACCCCCGGCGAGACCCGCCACGCCTACGATGGGTACGAGGCCTCCAAGGCCATCATCCAGGACTGCGAGGACGCCCTCAGCAACTGGGTCACCTCCAAGGCGGTCGTCAAGTCCAACATGTCGCAGCGCTCGCGCACGCTCTCCCAGCGCCACCGCAACAACATCAACAAGAACCGCGACGGCATCGACCTCTCCGGCCAGGATCAGCCCATGACCGGGGACCGGGACTCTTGGCTCCCCGCTGACCAGCACCCCAGCTACCATGAGGATGGCGAGGATGGCGCCAGCACCCTCGAGGGCGAAGTGCGCGGCCGTGAGGAGGAGCGGGAGCCCATTGCCGCCTAAGCGCACGCAATGAGATCTCCTACGCTGCGAACTTTCCGTGTTTCTTTACTTCTCACGAATCTGACGGCTTCGTTCAACCTCCATTTGTTTTTGGTGTTTCTTCCTTGCTGGGGAGGAGCTCCGGTGCCGAGGTTACGAAGAAGGCAGAGGAAGATCAGAAGTCCACCTATTCCTGGTCTTTAATCTGCATTTCTATATCTCTCCTCGTCTCCCGGATCATGCAACACTTCCTTCCAAGTTCATACATTCCTTTCTCCCTACCACCAACCTTTTCCTCCCCCTTGTCCTTGTCTCTCCCTTCACGTCTCCGCCCACTCCGCGCAGTCCGCACACGATTACACCATCTGTCCGCCCTCCAATTCGACACAGAACCTTCTCAGTCATGACGCAAGCCAGTGCCCATCACACCATAACAAGCACATGCACATCTGCCTGCTTAATCATCCCCCCTTCCCCCTTGCCTGTGATTTGTCCCCACTCCGAATCCGAATGACCTCTCCTGCTCCTAAGCAGTCGATGTCGTGATATACTCCACCGACCCACACACACACGGCGGTCCGATGGTCAAACATGTGGTTCATGGACCCTGGGCCCGCACTTTTCTTTTTCTCTTACGTACAGACCACCTATTCCTTGACTCCGTCCGGGGTTGCTCCCTTCAGATTTCGAGATCCGACGGATCGACCCTGGGCAGACTCGGCCCGATGAAATAGAAATACGGTACAGGAAGCTAAAACTGTGTGTGCGGTACGTGTACGAGTGGAATATATGGGATTTGGGGGGGGAGCCTGATGTCTTTTTTTTTTTTCCTATCTTTTTTCTTTTTTTTTTTTTTTCGTCTTGTGTAAGTTGGTTTTTGTTTCTTAATGTAATACCATCTTGTGTTTTGTGTGTCTTTTTGTTTTTGTTTGATTCTTCTTCGCTCCTCGGTTTCTCTTTTTTTTTTTTCTTTCTATATCTTCTCGAGGGCGGAGAGAAAGGAGATGGATGGGGATTTGAGTTGAGGGAGGAAGGGGAGGGTTCTGCTGGGGGGGGGGGGGAGGGGGGGACACCCCCCGGATAATTTCAGTAGGTGTTAATGAAATCGAGTACTTTTCGTTAGGTTCGATGCTTCGCTTTTTCCCTGGTCCTGCCCGTTTAGTAGATCTTAATCTAGTGTGGTAGGTTATAAGGTGGGGAGAATCACATTGTCTTTCGGACTTGGGGACATCTGGGGCGGTTTTCAGTGTTTGAGTGCCATGTCTTAGGAGTAGCCGGGACTCGGGCTCAAGGAATGGGAGACTTGGTAGACAGTTATCGGGTTGCACATACAACACCAGGCTGAGGAGGTACGTCTACAACGGCTACGTCAGAGCGGCAGTGGCAGTCTTCATTAAAAGAAGACGTGATATGGAAGGGAGCAGAAAGCAAGCTGCCCAGGACTCGGTCTGGTCCGGACCTATGCGATGTATAAAGTATGCAACTAGTGCGCAACACTAACCCTGAGGCGCAGCGATAGGTAAGACACAAGATATAAAGAAATAAAAAAGCAATTCCCAGGAACCAAGAAGCAGAAGAAAGCATGAACAGTATAAAAATAAAAGATAAACAGCACGCAGAGCCAGACAGACTGAGGTAAGCCCTATCCGAAAACGAATCCTCAGATATGTCTGTCAGGGCTGTCATCAAGCACAGCACCACGCGGCATCTTAGTCTCTCCCCACTGGGAAGCGTGGAAACCACAAAGTGGTGGCTCCGAGTGATAGCGAGGATTCGTCAGAAAAAGACACACGACGCGATCGATATAAGAGAGAAGAAGGGAGGCGGGTATCAGGGAGGAAAGAGAAGAGGGTCAAGGACGAGAAGAAGAGATATAGACCCAGGTTGAGCGGATATGATGGATGTGTGGGTGGAGAATGGCGACGATCGGGCGCAGTGGCGAAGGAGTAAAAAGGGGCAAAGAGAAACCGTAACCATCCGGATCCCAACGCATAAAGCAACAAGACCATTCCCTGAGAATCGCAAAAGCCACAGTCGGACAAGAAGGGTCGCGAGACGCGGAGAACGAAAATAAGAAAGGTCGTGACATCGTCAAAGCGGAGCGCGGCCTGCGCCCGGGTCAATTCTCTCTGTGAATTTCCAATCTGATTCCTGCTTCATCATCCAAGGCTCTTTTTCACTTGGATGTCAAGGAAGAAATGGGATATCCAAGAGGACCCGGGCGGGACATGCTCCGTCAAATAGCAAAGAGCACAAGCAAACAAACTAGAAATAACACGAAACGCAACCAGATCGAGGGAGAGTTCTCTCGATGATGTTGGAGATACCCAGAACCGCCAATGAAGAGTTGGAGAGGGAGATGGATGTGTACAGAGAACGCGGCGGGTCTGGGAAAGCGAGCGAACCACTCTCCCGCAGCCCTGACGGAGATGAGAAGAGCAACGCAAAGCATACCAGAGCCAGGATTCGTTCAATTTCCTTTTTCTTCTTTTTTTTAAAAAAAAAATGTCTCGTTTTCTTTTTCTTTTCTTTCCTCGTTGGTTATGCTCTTACTCGTCAGTACCCACGCCCTTCTTTTTGGGTTGAATATGTTTTTGGCCGGAACGCGTGGTGCCCGACTTTGATTCGAGTGCAGTACCATCTTGAGGAGGCGGCGGCATGCGGGAGGAGGTGGCCTCATGTTTCTCGGTGAGCAGGTTCTTCAACCACCGGTTTTCCATCTCGAGCTGTGCCACCCGGGCTTCGAGGGAGGCATTCTTCTCAGTGGTCTCACGCACAGTCCGCTCGAGAGCCTGCTCGCGCTGCTTCTTCTTCATGCGAAAGCGGGCCGAGGCGGCGGTGTTGCGGCGCCGGCGATCTTCTTCGGCGGCCACGCGCACCCCTTCTTCCTGACCCAGGGCGGCCGCAATGTGGTCCCCGGGGATGGAGGTGCTGTACTTGGTGTTGCCCATCTGGCCATTGGGCGGGGAGATGGACGAGGAGACATCCGACGGGGTCATCTGCCCCGGCCCATGGCCCAGCTCATCAGGAGTAAACGGGACCGGCGGATAGATTGAGTGGGCCGAGTACGGCATGATGTGATCGGGGATAGAGTAGTTGATAGACTTGTCGCCAGCAGGGCCTGGAGGATGGAGTAAGCGATCGAAATTTCGAGACATGGTCACGGTAGAGGCATATAACGGGCAGGAGAAGGGAGAGGTGTATCAAAAGAGGAGAGAAGAGAGACACATGGGATATAGAATCAGGGTCTTCCGGATTCCGAGTATCCTTGCTCTGGAAGCTCCCCACTCCAGGACAGTGACAGCGGGAGAGGGAAGAGTAGAGAGGAGAGGATAAGAAAGAAAGCGTGTGTGTGTGTGTGTGTGTGTGTGTGTGAGAGAGAGAGAGACAGAGAGAGGGAGGGAGGGAGGGAGAGGGGGAGGGGAGAAAAAGGAAGAAGGAAAGTGTATATCGCAGGATGCCAGATTGAAGCACGGATGAGGAAGGGGGAAGATCAGCCAAATAAACGCAGCCCCATCGAGAGGCCCTGAGCCAAATAAGGGCTCAAGAGGGTTTGGGAGGGGGACCAGCAGGGTAAAAAGCCCGGGGCTTCTGGAAAGGATGCAGGCAGCCCCGAAAGCACTGGCAATGCAGGCCTCTTTGAAGCCCAAGCTCAAAGAGAGGCTCCCCCCGGAGTTCCTTCCCAAGAGACGCCCCAGTGGCCCAATGATAGGCCAAAGCATGGGGGTTCCGATGTGATTTGCGTGCGGGATTGCGTGCTTGGGATGGCTGAACCATCGGTGATCTCATCCCCCGCCAAAATGAGGATCGTGGATCTTTTGCCCTCTGCTGTTCTGGCGACCACGGAATCATGGGGTTCGAATATTGGGGGCTTGGGGGGCTTGGGGGCCTCGCTCACGGATCATCGGCCTCGTTCATGGCGATCCCGGAAAGCCTGTTCAGCCCAGTGATGGATCCAGAGATCCTCATGGGCTGCCTGCAGGGCTTGCAGGACTTGCAGGACTTGCAGGGCATGGACCAGGACGCATGAAGCACGTTTGAGTGCAAATCAACCCAGCTTGGCACCGTTTCGACATCGAGTCCGGGGATGACACCAGCGCCCATCGAAGGATGGAAGCCGACCAGAAGCCGATCCAGACAGGTCACACAAGACACGATACGGTGCATAATGGGATTGCAAGATAAAGGACATGGTGGGAACGAGGGGGGAAGAATCAAAAAAGGCGCGGAGAATGAGAAACTGGGAGGGGGATAGGGGTTTGTCTCGCGATCATTCACACTCTCTCCAGCTCGTATCTCTCTCTCTCTCTCTCTCTCTCTCTCTCCCTCTCGCTCTCGCTCGCTTTCTGTCTGTCTCTCCCTTTCTCTCTTTCTCTCTCTTTCTTACTCTCTCACGCTGTGGGTGTGTATATGTTGCAGTGACAGACGCCGCGGCTGTTGCGATCAGGGCGCCCACAATGTGCATCCCACCACGAACCACATCGGCGGGTGATGGCGCAACAGATGCAACGTCTGGCAACAAACGGCCAACCCCTCCCGAAAAAAAAAAAAAGAATAGAGTGGAAAAATCAAGACGGTAATCACGAAAAAGATGAACCAGCCAAAAACAAAAAAAATAAGGAAATACAGATCACATACCATAGGGATATCCGCGGAGATCGAGAGAGCTGCGTTCGTCTTCGATGCTGTCGTAGGAGCTGACGGACAAGCCGCCCATGCCCTCAGTTTGATCGTAATCCATGTTCACGTTGGCGAACGGGACCAGCCCAGTGTCCGCGTCGAAGGAGTAATGCCGGGCCGCCTTGGCTCCCGGATCGGTGCGCGACAGCAAGAAGTTGAAGTTTTCGATCTTATCGAAGGCAGGCCCAGAAGGACGAGACAGATGGTCGTCCGGCATGATGGAAGAAGGGAAGGGGAAGCAGGGGAAGGGGAGGCAGGAAATGGACGGGCCGGTGGTTTTAACCCAAGCCTCGTGGAAATGCTTGATGTTCCCGAACCTGGGGGGGTGGGTGGTGGTGGCCCTCTCGTGGTGTGCACGGTTAGGTTTTTGAGGCAGGAGATGATTGGAGAAGGGAAAGAAGAAAAAGAGGTGGTTCAAGAACCGGGATCAGTTGGGAGTACGATCAGTGGGATCGGGCTGTCGTAGCGCGGGCCTTTTCGCACGGGCAAGCCTCGGAGGGGAAAGAGATGATCGCGCAAACAAGTAACGGTACGGGAAATGATGAGATTGGATGATGACGGACCCCGTACCGATCCCAGAGGGCATGCAAAGTAATATGAGAAAGTCGAGAGGGGGCAAGAGAAAATCAAAAAATCAAAAATCAAAAATAAAATACAAAATAAAAAAAAAGAGTCCCGAATAGCAAGGGAAGCAGGATGGACGAAGTATGGAAACGGTGGCAGGGGCAAAGGAACAAAGTACCCGTGAGCCCGGGAGAATTGATGGTCAAGTGGAGATGTGGTTTCGGCTTGGATCACCGTTTTGAGAGCCAGCCTGTCGCATACCGCGCCACGTAGATGTTGTCGACCAGGCGATCCTCGGGGCACTATACGGCGGACGTCGAGTCCCGATACGTCCAGTCGAGTCCGGTCGAGTGCGGTCGAGTCCTGTCAAGCTCCGTCGAGTCTGTCGAGTCTGTCGAGTCTGTCGAGTCTGTCGTGTCTGTCAAGTCTGTCGAGTCCGGGTCTCTAGTCTAGGCAAAGAAAGGGAGGAGGGGGCGAGAGGGGGAAAGGGAGGAACCAGAACGGGCCACAAAAGGGGGGAGCCAGTCGGAAGAAGCGTTTGGGAAAAGAAGAAAGTCGGGGCGTCGCTGTCTCCCGGACGAGGTCGAGTCGTCGAACGCGAAGACGCACGATCGTCCTTTAGCTTGATGATCTGATCGGATGGAGAAATGTCGTGATCGCGTCTTCTGGTTCGTCCGTTCCGCCCTTCACCGCTTTGCCCACGCTCGCGGGACTGGCGCAGTCGGCCCAGGAAGAGAGAGAGAGAAGAGACACGGACCGAGAGGACCTGGGGATGGAAGCAGAGACCAGGGAGGGGGGGGGAATAGAAAGGAAGTCCACAGGGGGTTGAGGATGAAGCAAAAGAGGCTGAGAATTTCCCCGGATTTCAGTTCCTCGCCCGAAGTCACAACGTTCTCGCCTGAGGCCGCGTCACAGATTGAGCAGGTTGAGCGGGTTGAGCAACGTGGGTGTGTATGTAAGCCCGACTCCAACTCGCCCGCTCTCCAGACGACCTCCAGACGACCTCCAGACTCCCAGACCTTCGAGTCTGCCCTCCTCGTCCTCCACTCTCCCGAACTCTCCTGCGACGACTGCTCCTGCTGCGACTCCGGCTCCGCTCCTCGTCCGCCTCTCATCTTCCCACCGCGTTTCCACCCGTGTCCACTTGGCGGCCACTGGCCCGTGGAGCTCCACTCCCGCAAAGTCCGATGACGCGGTCTGAACCGCCCGTGACGCTTCGCCCTCACCGAAGCTTGGCATTCTGTCCCGCCGGGTAAGACTCGGCCGTGAATCAACCGCAGGGCCCTTCGCTCTGCTTGTGATGATGTTATGATCACCGTGGCCGTGGAAGATACTCCAGATCCCGTGACTTGGATCAAACATGGAGAATGCTGGTGCCAGAATATGGACAAGACTCCATGCGGGTCCCGGGCCAACTGGAGGCTGACCAGTCGTGCCTTCGGGAAAAAAAGACAGAATCAAGAAAAAGAAAAAAAATTTATAACAAAAAGACCAAAGAACGTCTAGAGCGTCAAGCCCTCCACCGTTCCTCGGGGGCCAGCCCTTACTATCCGCCTTATGATTCTTCCGCATCTTGCGCATCTCGTGCATCTCCCATGGACCCCCTTCGGGAGGAGATAACCTTCTCCCCGACTCTAATCCTGCCTCCCCCGCCTCCCCTCATCCACTCATCCACCCATCCACTCCTCCTCCTCCTCCTCCTCCTCCACTCAACAGAGAAAACAGCAGACAAAACAGGCGGTCCCGACAGGATGACTATTCTGCTTTGCGCGTCCCCCGACTGGCAATCACCTCGGCCGCATCCCCCACGCTAGTCCCACGCACCCGAGCCCCAGCCCGCTCACCTCCAAGCACCGTGTCCTCCGCGACCACACGATAAATCTCCGCAAACCCATCATAAATACTCGCCCCAACGCCCTCCCATCCCCCCTCCTCCTCAAATGTCTGCCCAATCCCCCGCATCTCATCCACCCACCGGTATGCCTTGGGACTCATCGCGACAACCCCCCCGCGCGCCAGCGCCCCGGTGGCCGGCGAATACTCGTCCAGATGGGCCAGCAGCTCCGGCAGCAGTTGCGCCCGCTGCGCTGTGGAAACAGACAGGATCGACAGCGCCGTGAGCCCCTTTGTCAATGCCGCAAACGACATCTTCAGCGTCGACGCGGCGCCCACCTCCGCCGACACCACGCGTACGTTCAGCGCCGTTGCCAGCCGCGGGAAGGTTGCTGGCAGCCGCGCCACCGCGGGGCCCGACACGACCACACTGGGCTTTTTCCACACCCCGGACTGCTGTCCCTCGGGGGTCTGCAACGCCGGTGGAGGCCCGATGATCCCACCGTCTAGGAACCAGCACACCGCCTCGGCCCCTGTTGACGTGGCCGACGACGTCGTCATCGTCGTCCCCGGTCCCTCCTCAGACATCCCGCTGAAGAGGGCGCCCAGTTCCTTCGCGAGTCGGGCCGAGGTGGCATTCAGCTCGAGGTAGACAAGCGGGCTGCGGCATGGCTGCTGGTTAGCGTCCTCGAGCGTGGCTCGCTGGCGAGCCGTTTCGGGGGCCTGGCAGGCCGTGGCGATGCGCGTGGCCGTGGCGAGCGCATCTCTGGGCGGTACGATGGAAAGGATGTAGTCGGACTGGATGACAAGGTCGTCGTCGGAATCAAGCGCCTCGATCCCGGCGGCGTGGATGCGCGCCAGCGTGTGCTCGCTATACCACGGTCAGAGGGAAACGCGGGGGAAAGGATGTCTCGAGGGAAATGTAGCCAGCGTAGAGAAAAGAAGAGCAAAAGAGAGCGCAAGCAAAGCGGCGTGCTTCCGTAGGACGTACCTCCGGCCTGCGGCAACGGTGACGATGCGGTAGTTGTGGTCTTGCAAGAGCTTGGCTATGCCCAGGCCCATCTCGCCGATGGAGATAATGCCGACGGTGGTGGTGCGCATCGTGTACAGAGTTCTAGATGGCTGTTTCGAGTCTCACTCTTCAAGTGGGGGGATCGGGAAGTGGTGATCAGTGTGTGAGTGGAGATGGATGTGGAGAATTCTGGGGCTGAGGAAGAAGACGAGGAGAAGGAGATTGGGGAGGGAGTTGAGAGAGCATTAGAAGCCTCCCCTCCCCCTCCTGTGGCCAGTTTATCATGCTGACTGTGGTTATCTATCGGGTCTCAGGCTGCCGGGCTCTCAATCGAGCGTCATAATCGGCGGGATGTCTTGCGCATCGATGCGCGGGGAACCACCGCTATTTGTCAGCACCAGCAGTTTGATCACGACTCGCAAACTTGTTAAACTACTAACTAGCACTGCTTGGGCAGAGTCTCATTGGGTCGTAGTCGGATCTATTGTTACGATGGCCAGAGACAGATGGGAAATGCCGACAGACCCGGTGCCTCTTAGCCGCAAAATCAACCTGGCCAGACTTTTGGGATCAATTGGAACCGTCAACGGAGGATATTGAATATATTGCTCCCCTCTCGCACGGATAGTCCTGTTCGGTGATATGGATCTAATAAGGCTGCAGCCAAGCTTCTTTGGCGTGGACTCGGGCCAGGGCTAAGCGCTGGTTCTCAAAGATCGAAACACTGTATCGATTCGATCACAATCAACGAGAGTTTGGACTATCGTCCGATCGCGGTTGGGCCTTTACCTTGTTGGGAGCCCCGATGCTCGTTCGCCAACTCGTCATATGGTTTCAGTATATATATATAAAGATAGATAAATAGATCAATATAGTGATCCAGATAGCCTCGGCATTTTTTTACCCAACAGCTGACGTGTTGACCCTGAACTTTGGTATTTATTTACCACGGGTTTTCTTTTGATTAAGATCTCTTCGGACTATGTGAAAAGACCTTCTGGATTCAATTGAGCCATGCTAGCTGTCAATCCTGTTGACACAGGGTTGATGGCCCGTATGAATTTCATTCCATATGTTTTTTTTTTTTGACTAAAAAAGAATCGGCTGTGTATTTCATCTCAGATACTCAAGGGGCCAACCTCTGCTTAGAAGACCTGAGCAATCCAGTAGTGTTATGATAAACTCAAGACAATGGGAGAATAAAAAGGAGTCAAAGAGTGCAGATTGAAGCCGTATCAATCGTACAATTCTTCAAAAGGGAAGGGGGGTGGTAAAGGTACTTGCAAGCTACTTGGCTCAGCGCGGTTTCTACGCACCCAAACCAGGTTCCGCCCGTGTACCTCTCTCGCTCGTCGACACCTTGTTACTAAACGCCCCGGGAATCGGGAGTGCCGAGTTCCCGGCGGGCAACAGCAGCGCCGAAAGCCACGAAACGCCCCTCACCCTCTGAAACAACTCCCCAATAAACGTATCCCACGATATTCAAACAGCCGCTCTCGTCTTATCGCCAGTTCGGGGGTGTTGTGCTCATCAAGACTCTCCACGCTAAAGCTTGTCCCGGCGGGTAACGGAGTCCCCAGCCCGCAAAAAGGAAAGTCTTGGCATGACTGAACTCTTTGGGGGCAAATGCACAACGCAATGCGGCAAGCGGTTGGTATAACCTCCCACGATGAGGCCGCCATGAATGTCAACTCCGCTCACGCAATCGCCGATATCTCATCTGTGGGGCGGAGACGATCCCAGAGGGTACGTTGGATCGCCGTGTCTTTTTTTTTCCCTTGTGTCTACGCCGGGAAGTGGACGAGTTCACGTCATCTCCTACTTCGGCATCTTATATTGGGATTCTGCGCATGATTAGAAGCTAACGAGCGGAAAATAGGCCTGTAAAATGTGTTATCGGAGGAAGACCAAGTGTGAGCTGGACGGAGTGAGCTCGGTCTGTGTCCAGTGCGTGCGTTGCAGCACGCCATGCGTTTTCAATGCCCGGGACATGCGCGAGAAAGATGATGACAGTGATATGCAACAGTATGTTGAGCTTTATTTTAATTTGCTTTTCTTTTTTGAGATAACTCCCCCTTCCCCTTTCATGATCTATGTTTCACCCTCTTAAATACCATGGGAGATTGTAATCATTGGATTCGGGCTAATTTTCGTCTGCAGAGACCAATATGTGGCGTCCTTGAAGGACCGTCTAGAGAAGGTTGAATCCCTGCTTAAGGCAGCGGGCATCTTGCACGAGGGGGTCCAGGGCGATCTGTACGATGAGCAGGATGAGCTTCCAGACGAGGAATGGGAGACGGCTCACGAGCGCGCCCAGTCATTAGGGAAATCCTCGATCAATTCATCCGTATCTCACTCTTCGTCAGATCGAGAGAGGGATTTTTTCCCAGAAAGTGGGGATGTTGAAATTGCTCCCATCTTCAAGAGCCATGAAAGAGATGACTCGAGATATTTTGGTTCGTCTTACCACAGAGTTCCCGTGAGCGGACTCACCTTGCCTTGAGATCGACTACGGTCACTAACACTGAAGCTTAACAGGCCGATCCTGTTCACTATCAATCTTATCACGAGGTGGGATCGAATGGATTAAAAGCAAGACAGGCGATGTCAGTTTCCTTAGCCTTCTATCCCGGGACTCAATCCATGACAGCCCGTGGAACCAATGGCGCCCCGATGTCTTTCATGATCTCTTCGCCTCCCGGGTCTACAAGCCACTACCCCCCAGGTCAGAAGTATTTTCTCTTATCAAGGACTTTTTCAGAACAGCCAACCGGCTATTCCCAATTTACCATGAGGCTTCTTTCATGGAGATGGTGGAATGGCAATATACACAGCAAACCTGTGATGATGCCGCTAGATGGGCCAGTATCAATATGACGATCTGTTTGGCCTACGAATATCGGTTCTCAAACAGTTCGAAGCCAGAGAAAGATCGCGAAAAAGCACGGTTTTACTTCAAAAATGCCATGTCGGTATTCACGGAGTTAGCTCTACGACGTACCGATCTTTTGAGCGTACAGGCGCTTCTTAGCATGGTAGGCCATCTCATCCCCTTGAACTCCATCGAGAGAGTATGGTTGACAGCTAGTTTTTGTAGGCATTTTTCCTCCGGGGAAATTCTGGCACTCAATCAGCTTTGCCATTCATAACGGCTGCTATGAGGTCATGTCAGCGAATGGGTCTCCATCGTGATATACAGCGACCTGATCTGAGTCCTGTTGAGCGGGAGCAAAGACGGCGTGTGTTTTGGGTTGCATTTACTGTTGATCAAAGGTAACTTCACATGGGGTCGCAAAGCATTCAAAATAGTCCTAATACTGATGTGTTTATTTTTGGCTGCTGTGCAGCACTTGTTTGCGTGCCGGCAGCGCTCCCTCTCAGCACCCTGATGACTTTGACGTCCCTCTGCCAGAGGACCTTGAGGATAATAATGACCCAGACCAGTTGAGCAATATCCCGTTCTTCCGCCAGCTTTGTCGTATGTCGGTGATCAAGAGCCGGATATTTTGCCGTCTTTATTCCGCCAAGGCCTTGCTCAAGCCTCCACGTGAAATCTTTCGGGTAGTGAAAGAGTTAAACGCCGAGCTTGAGGAGTGGAAAAAGGACTATCCTTTTGATGAGGTACCCAAACAGAAGGTTGCAGAAAAGGACTTCTTGTTCGGATTCGCGTCTGTCGGTCTTCATTTCGTCTATTATAATGCCCAGATTATGATTCACCGGATCCCTCTCTTATTAGACTACCTAATGCCTTTCAAGGATGAACCAGAGGAGCTTGTTAGGCTCAGCAAAGCACAGGCTGCGAGCTCAGCATTGGTCTGCGTGAAAGCTGCGCGGAATACACTGAAGCTGGTGAACAATATGCCGTGGGGGGATATTGCATGGATTTGGTACGTTACCTTCGGGCAACTTGAGTTTCTGATTATTTGTGGTTTATAGTAGAGGCTAACGTGTGCTTTCCCCTCCAGGTCCTTGTTGTATTACGTTTTTCTTGCCGCAGCAACGATTTTCTCAGGTATCCTTCGGAATATCCGCAACCCGGATGTGCACAAAGATCTCCAATCTCTCAATATGGCTGCGACCTTCTTCGCAACTCTTGTGCCCGGTGATGGACCGGCTAATTATGCCGGGTTCATGACTCGAATGAGTGCCAATCTCGAACGTATTGCCAGGATGGCAGTGGAAAAGAGTGAAAAACGGGCTCGAAGTCCCGATGATGGGGAACAAGACTACCATCAATCAAATACAAAAAGACATCACCGAAAAGCCTCAACAGCCAACCGCGCAAGGTCATCACGTCACCAATCCTCCGCACTGCGATCATCTAAGACTACCGACTCTACAGGCCCTAATCAGCATTTACACACAACCGCCCCTTCCGCAACGACCTCGTCGACTGCTAATAACCCCCAGAGGATAAACATCGGCATCCCGGAATTCATTGAGGGACTTCCACCCATCAACTCCTCTGGCTATGTCGTCCCCATGAGCCCAGTCGACACTGGCGATTATCCTTCATCGACACTATACACTCAACAACCCCCGACTATAACACCAAACTACCCAATGGGCCTCGGTCTCCGCAACATCGATAGCTCCAACACCACCAACGACTTCGCGCCCAACACCCTCCCATCCTGGCATTTTGCACAAGACGCCAGAACCCACGCCGCCTCGTCCCTCGACAACACGCAATCACCTTTCTCGCAGAACAGCGGCAGCACTCCCACCGGCACCATGTTCCCGGACTCGTGGCAGGTCCCACTCACCGCGGACTGGCATTTCGGCGACAACCTCTGGGCCGGCCTCATCCCGTCCGAAAGCATAGCTGCCAGCGCAAGCCAACCCAACGTCTCATTGCCTATCCTCAACGCCGAGTCCTTTCTCGAGGTCCCCGCCGGCACTGGAAACGACCCGCAACCATCTTACCCGCCCGCCGAGGTGGAGTATGGGAATAGTTTTGTGCCAGGTCCGGGGCCACAAGACCAGAGTCAGGATTCGGCGGAGTCAATTTGGCCGAATGGCTTTCTGGGTCTCTTCTAGCTATGCATTGCGCGAGAAGACACGCGCAAGTCCTCTTTGTTTCGAAACGGTTGTAAATGACCTTGTCTGGGGTCTGCGTAATCATGATTTGATGTGGTGCGTTGGGTGTTCTGCGGTATATAGGATGCGCATTTCCGAGAGTTTGTGACGTGACTTGATTGTATTTACCATGCATGGGAAACCAAGGAATCCTGGAGCAAAGAAAGGAATTGGAAAACATAATCATTTAAATAGTAAGAAAGCGCTCAACCCCCGTAGGGAAGAAAACCCAAGTAGCCGCTCGATAGTCCTAACAATTCCGCTCCCAAAATCAACTCCCGGTTCTTCTCTGCCTGGCCCCGAATCCAATGAACTCCTCCGTCCCATAACATAGAAAGTTGAAAACGCGCGAAAAGTGTGAACTAAGGGGGGGAATGAATAGATCATGATATCACATCACAGGCCAGGCTTCAATGCTTCAAAACACAGACCCAGTAAGCATTTGCACAGCCTTGCACCAAACTCCGTTCCCAAGAGCCTCGCCATCCTTGCGGCCGAGCCCCTTACCTAGGATACTTTCCATCTCCTTTCCGGACAGACCGGATTGGTTGCCCGTGCCGAAGCCGTAGACTTTCGTGGCAAGGGCGTCAATATCAAAGTCTAGCGAGCCGATTTCTTTCGTATCCTTGTCCGTTGAGTCGATGCGCGTGCGCACGGTGAAATCAACATCGATCCGCTTCGCGCCGCCGCTTTCCTTCACTGCTGCGCCCTTCCGGCACGGTATCGAGGATGCAGGCGTGTTACCAAGCAGTGTGCAGCGGGCACGAAGGGAAAGCGCGGTGTCACTAGGGTCTGTGAGAGTGAGACGAGTGACGCCGCAAAATTCGAGCATACGGGCCTCATTCTCGAGGCCGAGTGTGCGGTCCCAGGCGCGAGAGACAAACTGTAGAAGCTGTTTGGGGGCAATCTTGGATTGCTCAATCGCGATGAGGTGGCGTTGCAGCGACTGGAGGACGAGAGATGTGATCGGCGAGGTTGCTTTACCCTTGACGAGGCTCAACTCGAGAGGGAGGTTGGAGGATTCAGCCTTAGAGGATTTGGTCGCAAACGCGCTGGGGTGGAATCTGATCTCTAGCTGGCCGCAGTACGACATAGTCAACAAGGGACCCGTGGTCAGTTCGGCTGGACTCGATGCAGATATGATGGACCAGCCAGTTTGGCGCTCGATCTTCTGGACAGAATCCTTGAGCTCGCGGATATCGCGCGCACTCCACCCGCGGCATTCCTCCGTTAACCGTTCTGCTTCTTGGATCTGAGCGAGGTATTCGTCGCGCATTTCGGTTCCGGCCTCGATCGAGGTGGTTTTCTGTTGAACCTCGACCTGGAGCTGTGAGAGTTCTCGTTTTTTGGCTGCAATCTCCTCCTCGACGCTAGACAGTTTGTCGCGTGCGCTGCGTAGCTCGTCCTGGTCACAGTTCTCCATTTCTTCCACCAGTTGCTGCAAATTGCTGGATTCCTCCTCTAGTGAAGCATGCTTCGCTACCAGGGAGGGCACGATGCTGTTTAGAAGTTCCTCGCGTTTGGACAATAGCTCGTCATCCGCCTTCATATCGTCGGCATGCCGAATAAGGCCTTCCTTCAAGCCCTCGAGGAGTTTCATGCGCCACTCGTACCATGTTGCCTTGCTGAGCAAGCGCGCATGGGTCTTCACATTTCGGAATTGGTTGTCCATAATCACTCGGATGTCAGGAGGGGCCGTGACATATTCCTGGAAAAGGGGCGGATTGTCGGTGTATGTTTCGGCTTCGATAGATCGGATGACTTGGCGGCCTTCCGAGATATATGACTTCAATTCGCGGCAAGACTGGAAAGCGTATTAGTTTGGGAAACTGCGATTGAGTGCTTATTAATGCTTACATGTTGATAGAGCTCCAACATAGGCACGGTACAAAAGCCAGCCGCAACGCAGTCGGCAAAAGTGAAGGTGCCTTGTTTAGGAGCATTCTCGCTAGAGCGTCTGCTCAGCTTCTTGGTAGCGCTGCCAGGGGCGGTGGTATGCCGTCTCTTTGTTGTAGTAAGCTCCATAAAATGAATATTGGTCATGTTGAGGAAATCTTGGAGCTGAATAGGTTCGATCTCGGGATCTTGGTTTTCAGTAGGAATATCTTCATCCTCCTCTGGCTGTTGAGGGTCTGATGCAATATGCAGAGCATCGATGCCCTCTTTCAAAGGGGTCGTTCCTTTCTTATAAGTACCTCGAGGCTCCTGAGTTGGAGTAGTGCTGCCCTTTAGAGGTGAAGAGCTGCGAGCTCGACGAACAGGCGAGCGGATAGATCGACGACTTGACCCATCCTGAGCCAATGGTCCAGGCAATTTGACTCCCTTTACAGGGCTCACGGTGTGGCCACGCAATCTTTTGGGAGAATTTTCTGCTTCTTCCTCTTCCAAGTCGAGTTCAATTGGCCGCTTGCCTAAGATGCCGAGAGCGGCACCCACGTGAAGGCTTTTGCGGCTGCCCACCTTGCCCTTCTTGGGACTCATACTTGAGATCATATCCTTCAAGCTGAGTGTAGGTTCGCGGTCTGCGGTAGTGTTTGAAGGAATATGGCCATCTTCTCGGAGTTCCTCTAGTTCACGATCTCGTTCCTCGTCTGCTTGCATCCTCAACGGGTCCTCAAACCGCACAGCACCACGAGTGCGCTCCTGAGGCACAAACTGAGGAGTGTTCTCACCTAGTGACAGGCGTTTATCCAACAAAGCAGCAACTCGAGGTGATCCAAGGCCTTCCTTATCGATCCCAAGACCAGACGAGCGGCGTTGTCCCCGAGGCTGTAGGACAATGCGGGGAGTCGACTGTCCGTTTGTCGTACTCTGTTCAAAGATACTCAGTCGCGAAGACTTGCGCTTATCTGCGGACTGCTGAATCTCGGGTTGGAATAGTTTCTTCGGGGAGGCGCTTCTGAAGGTGACATTGGCAGACGGAGGAGTTTTACTGGGTGTGGTTGGTTTCGTTTGAGGTGTGGATTGTTTTGATGGAGTTGACGGTTTCTTCGAGGGTGAACGCTGCCGAGTCGCTGACTCCGGAGTGTCTTGTGCTGTAATACCAAGGCTGCTTCGCGTAGAGCGTTTGGGCGGTACGTTAGCCAGACTGGGGCTGCCATTTTCAGACGCTACAGCGGCAACCTGGAATGCGAGAGGTGATTTTGCAGGGGACTTGTTTGGCGAATTCCGGATGTTATCTTGGAATGGGGAGCTTCCCAATTGCCCCGAGTCGGTTTCGAGCTCCATTATCCTCTTCGCTTGTCCTTTGTCTGGGCTATCCAATCCAGGTGGTAGAATGAAACCCACAGCCCCAGTCATATCCATCTCCATGCCCCCATCCGAGTCGTTGTCTCCTTCTAACTCCATGTGGCCTGATCTGGGCATGTCTGGCTGTGTCTGTTCCGCACCACTGCCTAGGCTAGCGGTATTGGTGCCACCTTTGCTCAAGACGCCACCAACGACTGATGTGAACTCCATGGTCATCTCTTCATCATCATTATCATAGTCATTATAGTCGTCATTTGCAGATCTGGTGGGAGACTCTGGCTTGGTAATACCACCAACCATTCCCGTCATTTCCATTGTTTGGTCACCATAGTTTGTTTCCTCACTAGTCGATTTGCGACGCTTAACACTCTGTCGACGACCAGGGGATTTGCCCAGAATACGACCAACTGCATTGGTCACATCCATACTGAGATCCTCATCCTCATCCATACCGTCAGATTCAGGGAAGCCTCTCGCCGAAACGGCTTTAGAAGGATCGACGTTCTCTTGATCCTGACGAGCACCGATGTCCTCCCAGTCAAAACTTTGGCGTTCGCCCTTCTTTATCCAAGGTTGGAAGGCACCGGTAATTTCTTGGTCGGCAATTTCCATGGACATCTCTCCATCTCTATCATCGATTGCTTGAGTTCCAGCTTCCCTGGCAGCTTGGCGCAGTGCTTCATTAAGTCTAGCACTGGAGCTAGAACTAGAGGATACATCTGACTGGATGGTGACACCGGATCGAGCGGTCATGTCATCCATACTCATGGCCGTACTCTCCGCATCAAAGCCATCATCGGATCCCGAAGAATGCTCATCATCATCACCCTCCTCCTCCTCTCCAGCCAAGCTCTGTGCACCGGTATCCTCGCTCCCGACAGAGCTTCCACTAAAGGGACTGGATGAGAGGTCGGTAGGGCCGCGACCTGCTTCAGTAGATGCTGAGCGATCTCGCATTTGTTGGAGATCTTGTTCCCTAACTGGAGAGAAACCAAAATCTGACTCAGCATCTCCCTCAGGCGACGAAGGGGCATCTTTGGCAGGAGTGGGCGCCTGCAGTTGATTTTGGGTGTTTGTGAGAGATGATGCGCGTCTGGTGGAGTTCGATGCTGACGAGGATGTTGCATCTTCGGGTATCTCTACCACGTTCCATGTATGCAATGTGGCCTCGGGGGCAAACGACACTCGACGATTCGCTGTGGGTAGTATGTTAGTATGTTTCATTTCAATTTCAAATAGTCACGAACCATACCCATGGACTTTCGTCTTGCTTCTCGTTTCTCAAGAATATTCAAGCGTTCGCGCTCCCGGCGCTCTATTTCGTCGCGTTCCTTGGTAGCAGCCATTTCATCGCGGATAACCGACGTCGCATTAAATGTATCGAATGGATTAGCGGTATTATCGGGATCAGTGGTGGGGGGATGCGGAGGGGTGGCGAAATCAATCAATAGCCCCTCCTGTCCTTGGCCGTTTCCATTTGCATTTGCGTTCTGACTTGATATATCCCTAGCCGGGGTGCGCCTGCGCGTCTCTTCGAAGGTTGGGATATTTCGCACAGGAGATACAGGAATAGTAGGTTTCAGAATAGATTTAAGGGGGAATGAAGCAGTAGACTGCAAGTTAGAATAAGTCAGCTTTGTTTGTTCTTGATATCGCGTGGTGGAAGTGAATGGACCACTGTATACCTTCCGACGATTACCATTAGAATGCTGAAGAGCATCAAGCCCACCAGGTCCCAGACTCTTGCTTCGGGACTTCTTCTCTTTTGTAGCTGGCTTAAAGTTTGATTCAAACGGTAGCGTTGCTCCGATGTCTGTTGTCGCATTCTCCTTATCAAGCCCAGACGTCATCTTAGATCGCGGAACATGCGCAATAGAGCGACGGGAGCGCGGTCGCGTAGCCGCGGAGCTCGGTCGGGTCGACATATTGGCAGTAACCGCAAGGTGTCGCAGATCATCCAAGCATGATCCGCGCAACAGCGTAGGCGTGGGATGTTGAAATGGGATCGATGGCCAGCCGCATTCCCCTCCGACATGGACGACGCCTCCCGGGCGCGTTAATATCACGTGATAGTAAACAAAGGGGAAGCCCTAACCCGCTCCGTGGCTAGTCCCAATGCGGACTAGCGGCCACACACACAGAATCCACGCCTTTAGCGAATCTTTCTCAACCTCGACGTTCCTTATCCCGAGACCCGACACGCCAACCATTCACTCGACAACGCTTCCTCGTCGACACACACCGCAGCCATGGCGACCGAGTTGACCGTCCAGTCCGAGCGCGCTTTCCAGAAGCAGCCTCACATCTTCCTGAACTCGAAGACCAAGGCCAAGAGCAAGAAGGCTGGCTCTGGCCGCCGCTGGTACAAGGATGTCGGTCTGGGTTTCCGTACCCCCAAGACCGCCATTGAGGGCAACTACATCGGTATGCACGACCTACGATATGACTTTTGATGTCGACACGGCGAAGATCTGCGATTTCTGGTGATTTTTTGGAGGTGAATATGGGGTGCGACAAAAGGACAATTGAGAGCAAGAGTTTTACGAATCGCGATACGGATTGGAACAAAGCAACCGCAACCTATTATTGGCGACAGTACCAATATCTTGATCGTCCCAATATGTCCTTGCTCGCCAACCCTCAACCTCCAAGAAAAAGATTGACCAGAAATCTTGAAGATCTTGAATCGCCACATCCCTCGAATCGAACAACTCGCTAACAGACTGAACAGACAAGAAGTGCCCCTTCACCGGTCTCGTTTCCATCCGTGGCCGTATCCTGACCGGTCGCGTTGTGTCCACCAAGATGCACCGTACCCTTGTCATTCGCCGTGAATACCGTACGTCGCTCCAAATTTTATCTCCGGCTTAAACAATATACTTATAAGAACAGTCCACTTCGTTCCTAAGTACCAACGGTACGAGAAGCGCCACAAGAACCTGGCCGCTCACGTCTCCCCCGCTTTCCGTGTTGAGGAGGGTGACTGGGTTACCGTCGGCCAGTGCCGTCCCCTGAGCAAGACTGTACGTTTCAAATTATACCCCAAACCGATGCACTACAGGGGATACTTGATTCCCATTCATGGTTGACAGCGCATTATGCGCATTCCCATGCAACGGGAGCATCTAAGTCTTTGATAGGAATTTTACTAACTCGTATTTTCCTTTAGGTTCGCTTCAACGTCCTGCGTGTCCTGCCCCGCACCGGCAAGGCCGTCAAGGCTTTCTCCAAGTTCTAAGCGTTTGGTAATCTGGGTGCTCGGAAAGGACGATACGGCGAAGGAAGCGGTTTGAACTGGATATCAGGGAATTTCTTGTACGGGTCGGGATAGTTTACGAGTTTCCATGTCCCAGATACCTTGCTGAGGAATGTGTATCCACACAAAAAGCAAAAATATTTCATCGATCTTCCTGCCATGGAAACCGTACACCTGCCCTTCCAATGGGCTGCATGATTCTGATGCCATCGGTCATCGCAACGATGTTGTTTCCGATGCTGCATTTTTTCCTAGTTACTTCTGCTCCTCTAAGTCGCTATCATTGATGTGATTGGAGAAGAACCGATATTCCAATTTTTGCCAACTCGGTCATATTTATGTTTCAGTTCCCCAGTTCTCTAGACCCTAATTGGTTGTAGTGCAAGCATTTTACAGCAAACACGGCCAATTTCAGTCTCCTCATTGCCGCGACAGTGATTTCCATTGCGGCCCACGCCTGCGCCTTGGCCCCGCAGGCTTCACGAACTGTCATTGAAGAGTTGGCCAATTTTTGGTCATTGGACGGGCCTGCGAGGTAGTTGGGGATGTATCAGGGCGCTGCAATGCATGTTTGTAGATAAGATATCAAGTGGAGGGGTTCGCCAAAGCCTTAATACCATTGCATCTGGGCTTTCTAGTTGAAGAATCATTCCTGTACATGATAAATAATATCGATCGGTCGATTTATATATCAATTAGCAATTACTGGCAATAAACTGTCTTTCAACTCGAATTGCGGCCCGATTATCTTCTATCTACTAAATTTGGGGTCGATCAACAGATACTTCCCATGAAAAAATAATGATTCAACCTTGACATAACATAGATAACAAATCCCTTACTTCCAGTTTGATGTTTTAGGTCTATTTTCAATCGTTTATCTACATGCGTTGATTGATAGCCTGATTACTAGATCCGCTAGACTGATATGGGAGGCAGGAATATATATTCGGCTTCTCGCCATCTCTTTACCATCATAATGACCGAACTGTGATATAATACATTGAATCAAGTGATTAAATTACAGCCCATAGAGAGTCCAAAAATTAAGCTCTAATTCCAGATATTCCCTGGAGTATCCTCATTGATGTATATCCCGAGTCTAGCATTGGATGTCTTACTGTCATGCACATCTAGCGGATCCTCGTGCTGGAGAAACGGCGCTATACCTGATTGGGCGCCGAGAGCCCGACATCGAGCTCCGCCCACCGGCCTGACTTGTCCCTTGGATTCACGACCTCTCGACCGTATCCTTATTCCTGCATCTCTATTCTCCTGGCCGACGGTCTTGCCCTGACTGCCAATTACCAACCCGGTCGGTCTATCGTCTACCATCAACTTCCCTGGAAAGCGCTGCCGTCCTTCTTCCCCCAGGCTTCCGCCATGGCCCTATGAGACATCCCATTGACGATACGGGTGATGATTGAGATTCTATACAAGCATCACCAAGGCATTGACGTCTGAAGCGGGCTCTTCAGTATTTCCGACGCCTCTCCCTGCTCCTTCAACCCCCTTCTACCAATTCGCAATTGAGGGTGTCAACAAATCCCCCATCAACCGGCTCACCCCTCCACGCGATGACCAACTTCGAGAAGTCAGTGAAGGGGGCCACTAAGCTCAAGGTATGCCGGTAGCGATGTAACATTAGCCTCTCGGCAGTCTCGCGAATACTGACGCCCCTTTGCGCAAAAGCTCGCGGCCCCTAAATCGAAATATGTCGAAACAATCTTAGTGGCAACCCACACCGGCGAGGCCGGCGTCGCCGAGGTATTCCGAACACTCCAGCACCGACTTCGCGACTCAGCATGGACGATCGTTTTCAAAGCGCTTATAATTGTCCACCTTATGATTCGAGAGGGCCAGCAGGATGCTGCTCTGTCGTACCTTTCCGACAACCCGAAGAAGATCGCGCCGAGTAATTTCTCGGAAGGTGAGATTTCCCAGGCTGATAGAGTCCCAGAACTTTGTTTACTGATTTCTAGGACAGCTCAGTCACAGGGACATAATATTCGACGATATGCCGAGTATCTAATCGCGCGCGCAAAGGCATTCGATGCGACGAAAACAGACTACGTGCGGAGCGGACCTGGGCGACTGAAGCGATTGAGTGTGGATAAAGGCCTCTTGAGAGAAACTGAATTTGTACAGAAGCAGATTCGTGCATTGTTGAGATGTGATGTGAGTGAGCCGTCTAGGTTGGAGCTATGTCCTCAGGAGCTAACAGAATGGTATTATAGCTGTTGACGGATGAGCCCGAGAACGAGATTAGCTTGACTGCCTTCCGCCTTCTGACCCTTGATCTTTTGACGCTGTACTCGGTGATGAACGAAGGCACAATCAACGTATTGGGTAGGTGACGCAGTGTCTATTACGTCTCGTATAGGGTTCTAACCGTCCATGTTCAATAGAGCACTATTTTGAAATGTCAAGGCCGGATAGCGAACGTGCCCTGGCAATTTACAAAATGTTTACGAAACAAACGGAAGATGTGGTGCAGTTCTTGGGTGTTGCGAGACATTTTCAGTCCGCCACCCGCCTGGAGATCCCGAACCTTAAGCACGCATCCACTGGCTTGGCGGAGCTCCTCGAGGCTGACCTGAATGACCCGGACTTTGATCTTCGCCGGCGCGAATACTTGGCTGGGAAAGGGATAAAGAAGGAGGGACGTGCACCAACCACTGTCGCAACCCCCTCTGCCAGCAATGAGCCCCAGTCCACGTCCAAGCCACCCAAGCTTCCCGAACCTCAGAAGGCTCCGGCACCCGATCTGATTGATTTCTTTGAATCCATCGATCAGAACCAACAACCCATGACCCAGCAACCCGGAATGCAGTATCAACAAACTGCCTTCCAGCAACAGCCCCAGCAGGTCTTCTATCCCCAGCAGACTGGGTACCCCCAGCAGCCCCAGGTGACGGGATACGGTCAACAGAATCCTTATGGGCAAGGTTTCCCCCAGCAGAACACTGGCAATCCGTTTGGACAGCAACAAGTACAACAGCAAGTTCAGCAACCGGCACCGCCGCTGCAGGCTACTCCGACTGGGGCTGGCTTTGGCGGATACACTCCGCAGCCCCAGCAGTATGGGTACCCGGGACAGTTGGCTCCCATCCCTCAAAATGGGGTAGCAACATTCCCGCAGCAGCAGCCCGCCCAGCAGCTCCAGCCCTTACAACCGCAAACGACCGGTACCAACCCCTTCCGACAGTCGATGTTGCTCGCTCAGCAACAGACTGGGGGCCCGCCTCCTCCGGCTGCTCCTCTCCAACGGCAGAACACCAACCCCTTTGCCAAGCGTCTTTCTATGGCTGGCGGGCATTTTTCTCAGGGGGCCCCGGAGCCTGTTCCCCAGGTTCCCCAAATCCCCCAAGCGCAAGCGCAGCCGCCCGCTCTGCAACCGCAGCGCACTGGGACCAATCCATTTGCTCGGAGCTCGTCCGTGCCTCCTCCGCAGAACGCAGGGCTGCAAGCTCCGGCCGCTGCTCCTCTCCGACCCAATCCTACCGGCAGCACTAATCCCTTCCGCCAGAGCCAATTCATCAACCAACAGACTGGGCAAGGATGGCAGTCCAGCGGCCAGCACGGTACCATGGGTGGCTTGGAGCAGCTGGAGACGATGCCCGTCTTTCCACGACCGGGGATGACGTAGGGAGCTGTGGGCTCTATCCCGCTCTCCCATCCTTGTATTCGATTTCTCTTGTTGTCCTTCACCTTTCTTCTTCTTTCCAGTTTCCCCCTTTCCGCCTTTCCCCGTCTTCCTTCTCCTTACTACTACCACCTTCGTCCCCCAATTTCCCGAGTGCTCCCCGCATTGGCTTGCCGGCGCGGGGATATGAATAGATAGAAGTCGCCGTTTCAGCGAAACCAATGGAATTTCTTCTCTAGCGAGACTGCTCTCCTGTGGCCCCCCTGTCCATACTTTTCCACTTGTCCGCGTTTGCATCTGTAGCAGGGGATGGCTCCATTGTCAGGTCCTGGTCCCAGGTTGCCGAATTGGAGTCGTGCTAGCGTCGTGCTAAAGTAGTGCTGAGATCAGATCGGTATTTGCCGGGGGGAAAAGGGCGGGATGAGCTGACGAAAGTCAATTGCTGCCGTAGCTACTACTTGTCTTTGCCAGCCGATCACGGTATTTTCTGGGGAGCTTTGCAATTCCCGGTACTTTGGAAGCCGGTGCATCCTACATGGTCTCCCCCTCAGGTATTTGTGAGACTGCGGTGAGTCTTGGTCAGCCCAACCTGGAGCCCCCCGGCGGAATTCCGCCGACAGACAGCCTCGGTGAGCGTCACCGAGGCTCATATGGGAGAACATCCTGTATGCTTGCACCGGTCGGCGTGGAGTTGAGGGTCGGCCTCGTCACCGCTGAGGTCACGAGGGGAGAAAATCCCAAGCAAGAAATGCAATCTATAGCACAACTCCACCCTCCCCTTCCTCTCGGCCCGTGGCATATCCAAGTCCCACAGGGAAGCCCGAGAGAGAACCCGACCAGCCGGGCCCTCCAGCTGCGGGCGGCCGAAACACGGGCTCTCGTTGCGTTCCCGTGTTCGGATCCAAGGCTGAACCATGTTCAGCTGTCCCAAAGTCTACGATTGAAGGTTGGATTCGCCGAGGCTGAGGTATTTGGCTGAGGTATCTGGCTGGGGAGCCGGTCTACAGTAGCCAGGCTGATGGCATGGGTGACATGATTGGGAATCAATCTACGTAGTCGGCGCAGTCTGAGTAGCTTGTCCTATCCAAGCTCCATTCCGGGTCATCGCCGTGCCGGAGCTGCGTTGGGCTGAGTTAGCAATGCGCCTCCTTCTCCAAGAGCGGATCCGAGCTGTCGGCGATCATAGTGAACTAGTGAACTACGAATCTTGACGGGGTATCGAGGAGAACAGGCTGGATGCTGGATTCTGGACTTGGTATCAATGTTAGGGTTTGGGGGGCCGCCTACTTTGGCTGTTCTTCTGCATTTCTACATTTCGGCTCTCGACAGCCTCCGTCGTTCTTCCTCATCCCAATTCCCCAATTGCACTCACAAAGGCCCATTCTGCCACCTTTCCCTCCCCCTTTTTGGGTCAATTCTCGGCGCTTCTCCCAGAAAAAGACGCCGCGCCCGACTCGCATCCCACTAGCAACGTTAGCGGGGGTCATGATTCGACCATGAGATGATAAACGTGAAGAATTCACTCCCGGACACGGCGGACACCACGGACGCCGTTGAGGATCCCCCTCTCGAGACCGCGTCCACTTCGTCCAGTCTCTGATCCTTCAGTTGATCCTCCAGTCCTCTGGCCGGCTGGCCCTTTGATCCCCCCACGTCGTTTTCCTCCGGTGTGTTGCGAGGTGGGGAAGCGTTCTGCTGATCCTCGTTCGTCTGGGTGTCCTCTCTTCAGTGCTCTTGTTGCTCGTTTCTCAGGGAGGCATCATGGATCCCCCAGACTCCGACTCCTTCCATGGAGGGTTTGAGCAGACTCTGCCCGTGCTTTCACGACCTCCGGCCGCGCCCGCCTGGTCTGAGGTCGATCCCACCCCCCACACGGACCCTGAGACTTGGCCTTCCGACCCTGTCGCCTCCGACTTGCCGCCCGCGATCCCCGCTCCGCCACCAGCTCCTCAACCCGCTCCTGCAACAACCCTCCCAGCGCAGACAACGACCACCGCCACCTCTACGACCACAACCGAGCGAAATGCATCCTCAAAGGTCCGGAAGTCGCGCAAACCCGCCAATGCTGCGGGCGGCAAGTCCACGCTGTTCTGGGTCCATACGGACCCGGAGTCCGCATCCTCGGGCACGAAAGAGGAGACCCTGAAGCGCATCCGGTCGCATGTCATGTCGGAACACAATCGTAAGAAACGCCTGGAAAGTACGAAGCGCTACAAGGGCAAATCCTGGAAACATCTGGCCTTCCAACCTCCGGAGACGATCCCGGGCGCCATGGGCCCCCCCTCGACCCCCGCCGCCCCCGTCCTCTGCGTCCTCCTCGTCCGGCAGCCGCCGAAGCTCACAATCCGTTGAAACATCCTCGACCCAAGAATTGGTGCCTACTACGACCACCGCCAGCTATTACCCCTCCGTGGTGGCGGCAACACCCTGGGAGGTGGAGCCGTGGAGCGAGGAATCCTGGGAGGAGGACACAGTGGACGGAGCCTTGAGCTACTCGGCTGCACCCACCAACCCTTCGCTATGGACATACGTGGGATCTGGGGCCCATGATCCGTTCAACACGGGGCATACCCAGCTTACAGACCGAATGATGCGCCATTTGCAAAATTGTCAGTTTGCCCTCCTCTTCCCCGCACTCCCCCCGCTTTTAGATGACAGGGCGAATGTGGATATGAATGACCCAGCTACTAACATCGACCAATGTCGAACAGTCCTGTGGGACCTCACTCAGGAAGCACATCCATTGCAGACGCGGTATAAACCCAAGCTGCAAGCACATTGGGCTGCCCTTATTCAGCGGGACCCCGCCATTCTCCACGCGACGATCTGCATGTCCACTTCCAATGCGGCTATGCAGCGAGGCGAGCTGCCCATTCGAGATCCAAACCAGAGTCGCAGCGCGCTGGTCGTCGATACTTTCCACCACCGAGGTGAGACGATTCGATTGGTGAATGAGGGCTTGTCGGATCCTGTCAAGTGTTCGAGTGATGAACTCATTGCGGCGGTATCTACATTGTTGACCATTGAGGTGAGTTTACTCTTTGTGACGGTTGGAAGCCACAATCGATAGGATAATACAAGCTGATCTGGTTAGATTGCCTCCGGAAACCCTGATTATTTGAAGATCCATCTGGCTGGCTTGCGACAGATGATTGGGCTGCGCAAGAATTTTGCGGACGTGCCCCCAGACGTTCGATTCCAGATCTCCTGGTCAGCACAGCCCAATTGTATACGTCCTGTGTACAATGGACATCCCTTCGACTAACTTTCCACTAGGACTGATATTCGAGTCGCTTGCATGGCTCTCACTAAACCTATTTTCCCCTTCGTTCGCTCCATCCGTCCCGCCGGGTTCTCTCTCGTCCCACCCAATGACGACGTCGCCCTGTTCGCTACCCGGCTCATCCCACTTATCAAAATTCCTGGCATATTTAGCGAAACATTCACGAAAATTATATACGACCTGCTTGAGCTTTCCTGGTACGCGGAGTGGATTAAGGGCAATACCGGATATAAGGAATTTGACGACGAGGTCGAGGACTACTTCAATTTCGAAGTTCTCTCTGTCGAGTACTCGCTGCATATCGATCGGTACACACCGACCGGCCAAATTAAGGGCGACAACTCCATCGAGGGCTGTTGCCGACTGGCCTGTCTTGGTTTCCACAACAGCGCCATCTGGAGCTTCTACCCCATGATCGGCCCCCTGCTACCCAAGCCTATTCTGGCTCTCCGCGCTGCCCTTGAAGCAACCATACCGTCGGGCCTGTTCGCGCTCTGCCGTGACCTGCTGATTTGGCTTCTTTTCATCGGCGCCGCCTGTAGCCAGATGATGCCCCCGGAGCGAGCGTACTTTGTCTCCGAGCTGGCGACGGCTGCAAGCCTGCACGGCGTCACGTCATGGCAGGAATGCCGCGCCATCTTGTTGGGCTTCTTCTATACGGACCGTGTCCATCTGCCCATGCTGAGACAGATCTGGCAAGAGGCACAGCTCCAGTCTGACGCTACTTCTGCATAGGTATACCAGCCCTTCCTCTCCCATCAGTCTCCATATCATCCTTCGCTCTCCCTATATAATGTAGTTCCCACTCCCCTCTCTTTTTCCTCTCCCGCGCGTGTGAATGCGCAACGGTGGAATTCCCATCTCCGTATATACGATCCGCACTAGGATAAAACCAATGAATGATGCCTTTGAATCTAAAGCCCCCCCCCCCCCCTTTATCTCTCTGATTAGCGCACTGCCGATTGTCACTGGCTGGAACAGAATAGTCCTTATTTGAAAGACTCGTAGCTCGAAATCCGGTCGCAGCGAGTCTGTCCTAATAGCCCGATAGAAGCATACAGACACCGGGCCCATTACCAAGCAGGATATAATGGGACTGGAGAATTCACAAGGCAAATTATGATAATGGGTGAAGGAATCGCCCCGGAAAAAGTTGAAATATGCAAGTGTCATGTTAGGCGTCATGAGATTGAGAGTCTATTTCCCCACATTTCCCCGCACTGGCGATATCCCCGGATTCCTTCATACAAACAATGTCTAAAGAAGATAATTTGTCTAGTATTTATGAAGCTCTATATTGTATGTACAGATGCAATGTTTCCTGCGGCTATGTGATCCACTGAGCTGGGTCTGGCTTGCGTTGGATGAGAAAGTCAAATGACATCTTCTACGGAGGACACCTCACCGCAAAGGCCTCGCCCTCGTCACTGGACGAGATGGCAGTAGACCACATCTGCTGCCGTTTGGAATAGTCAAAGATAGGGTGGAATGCAAGGGGACACCGCTGAAGAGCTGGATCTTAGACGTACTCGCCCCCTCCATACCAGACTCGTCCTCTCCGAATCACCAATCCTTGCTCTTGACCGACAACCCATTCTCCTCCTTTCGGAATAGTGCCGCCAGCTTGAGGCCAATATTCGACCTCTAACCTCTGATTGATTTCATTGATTTTATCAATCAGCAGTCTCACACGCGTCCGATCAACATCCTCTTTCCCGTCTACTCCCTGAACTTGAAACCCGTCATGATTGATAAATCGCGCGATGGTGACATGCGCAGATGGGACAATATAGCGCGAAGCCACGGGGATGCTGGCCTGGCGGACCATATCGAAGATGTCCCGACGAAGGTGGTGGTAGGTGTAGCGTTCGGGGTTGTCGCCACCACTTACCCCTAAGCCTTCTCCCGAAGAAGGCACGAAGCTCAAAGCAAGCGCAGCAGAGTCAAAACTGACCATCGGCTTCAGCAGACGGGTCTGATGAAGCATTGCGTATTCAACAATCTGCTCCTTGGTCGTGCCCTTCGAGAGCTGGAGCGTTTGAACCAGCTCCTCGATTTGCTGTTCCGTCAAGGAGTGCGCCACCTCCAGCACCGTCGTGTGCAAGTTTGGAAGCGGCATTAACCATATCGCTAGTGATTGGGAGGGATGCGTTAGTTGGCACTTTTGTGGAAAATACAATGATTCCACTTGCATGGCGCTACATCCTTCAATTCGCTCTGGATCCAGGATATCAGATCGCGGATGGGAGCAGGAGGTCTGGCCCAGATCACAAGACAGTTGCGAGGGTCGACGAATCCTTCTTCCCTCTCCGGTCCATCAAGTCGCTTGAGAATCTCATCTAGAGTCCAGCCGGCGAAGCTCTCAGCCAGAATCTTCTCGCTTTGCTGCTTGTTTCGACTAACTCGATGGTTCTCGTACCGCAGTTGAAGCTGGGTCTATTTGCTCATAGAGCAAGTAAAGATCAGAACAACGCACAGTGAAGACTACAATTCAGGCAATCGCTCAACTAACCGGATCATCGTTGGTCTCCTTGATCAGCGGCCGAAAGGGGTTGTCCTCGGAGAGTGGAATTGACGACATGGCGAAGTGTATAGAAGAGGATGGGTTTGGTGGTCTGGCGCGCAATTTGTAGAAAACTGAGTCACGAAAGAGCCGAGGTAGATTATTTTTTAGCTCCTCCCCGGGCTACTGGACCCTTCTCTTTTTGTAAATACAGTAATTAACTAGTTAGTTCCTCTTTGATTTCAAATCATCCCGGATCCAACCAAGTTTCAGATTAACCGGGTTTCAAATTAGCCAAATTCTTGGCATTCTCATCAAATAAGGATTGACTGCACCCGCCTGGGCCGGGAAACTATACGGGATTCGTGCGCAGTTGGACGGTAATGAATTTGCGTTTCGGCCAACACCGTCGAGGATTACTGTCTTCGTCATTGTTGTCAACCCAAGAGCCTGAAGACTAGAGAAAGTATACTATTGCCTTGTCGGCCTCGACTTCTCATATCGAAATGAGCATCGTAATCGTGGTATTCCCCGGCTAAATTTGGGAAAGAGTCTGCAAGCTCTCTCCAGTCTCTCATTTCTGTACGCCATCTCTTGACTGCAAAGGCCGAATGGGACCAGCCATCAGGTGAATGTAGGCAAGATCCTTTGGCGAGATAGATCACGGCCTGCGGGTCTGTGAAAGGAGCGAACCTAGTTATCATGGGAAGCTACATCATGAAGTCAAGCGTCGATCACTGTAGTAAATTTCAAAGGACAGTATCGCAAGCAAAATATTAACGGCCACCGAATACACCACCAAGGACTAACGACCATTCCGAATATCTCGTACAAAAATGGTTAAAGTTCTTCAGGTTGTCGCCGAGTTCCCTCCGAAACACGCCATGACTGATAAAAATGGTCAAATTGCCTCGCGCATCCGCAGAATCAAGCACACCGGAGCGAAGACATTATCTCAGTCTGTGGCAAAGTCCGAGTCATCGGAGGTTGGGGGAGGCACGGTTCCATAATGTACCCAGAGGTGGAACATCATCTCGTCAATGGAGCGCATCTTGACACCGCGCAGAAAGCACCGGTCCTCTCGAATGCTCTGCGAAACATTGTTCCACACAATCCCGATGGCCACAGTGACCATATGATCGTACAATGCGAACAGGTTGTGATGCTCCGGCAGAGGCTCGATCGCATCGATGGCCAGGTCCCAGAGCCGGTGCATGCGCAGAACAAGTTCGATACCAACCGACCAGCTGACATAGTCGTCGCAGCCCCTCAGACGTTTGACACTGACCTCCTGGAAATGCATATTCTTGTTGGTGCTGTAAAAGGATTTCATGTACCGAATCGTCTTTTCGATTTTCTTTTTCGCGGGTGCTTTGCGCATGTGCTCGTTGTCGGCATCACGAGCTTCATACTCATCGTCCTCGCTCGCATTGGAGGCGCCATCGGAGCTGCAGTCACACCACTCGTCGCTGTTGTCATCCTTACTATCGACTATGATGGGCTCTTGGCCTGTTCTACCCTCGGATGGCCTTGAGAGAGACTCCCTGGTTGTAGACAGCGATTGTTTTTCTTTTCTAGCTGAAATTACAGAAGACCAGTTAGTGATGTATATAAAGAGAAGTGAGATCTTGTCCCCGTTGATCTACCTTCGCTGAGATCCTGGTTCTTGATAGGCTCTTCTTTGCCAGTGTTTTCAGGAAAATTCGGCATCCCGGCCCGCTTTTCAGTCATCTCAGCAAGGTTATCAACCTTCGCAGTCTCCTTGGGCAGCATGACGACACCAGTTTCGACGACACTTCTAGGGACTGGAGTGTGAGTTTCACCTGAGGTGAGTGACAGCTTGTCGGCCTTGTGAGTTTTGCGCCTCTTTTCCTTGAAAGTCTGCCGCTTACGCGAGGCTGGCATAACTGAAAGGGATAGGGAATAGGGTCTTGGATAATCTGGCAGAGGAAGAAGGGGGGATGTTGTGGAGAGGATGAGTGGAGGAGGGGGAAGTGTCGGAGTGACTCTTAGAGACCGACTGCGATTGCAACCATCTGCGTCAGGGGGTTTGCGTTTGATACAGCCTCATTGGGGGGTTCATGCACAAAGGAAGGGCATCTCATGCAGGATGTTTGGACACCTGGCCAATTGGTCTCACGGCAGAGACATGGATTCAGGTCAGGTTATGTACATTGGCACTGAACGACATACATGTCCAAAAGCTTCGATAAACTTCATCTTTCAAGGATTGTAATCCACCACAGGCACGTTAGTATCATCCAGGCTCACGGAGTTGGGATTTGAGGCTCCGATGCCCGAGTATTTATTCAACCACCCCAGCACTTGCTGATGCCATACAAGGCTGTTCTCATGGTTGGTCACCCTATAAAATGTCAGTTAGAGGAACACCTTTGCGACCCAGAAGACATACCAATGGTTCTCATCGGGGAAATTGAGTAGGCGGCTGGGCACACCGCGTTCCTGCAAGACATTAAATAGACTCAGTCCTTCGGAAATCGGCAGACGGTAATCCTTTGAGCTGTGAACGATCAGCATTGGCGTGTCAAACTGGAGGATGTGTTCTGGCGCAGAAGGGTCCCAGCGGCGATAGTTGTCTCGGTTGGCCCAGAAGGTGCCGTTAAACTTGGCTCTGTTAGCAAAAAAAGGTGTTCACAAACAGAATGAAGGAGGAGCACGTACATCGTGCTCAGTGAACCACAGCTCTTCAGTCGAAATCTTGGCATCAGCCACAAAAGTCCCGTCATGAGTTACCAACGCCTTGAATTTACGACCCAATGGATTGCCCTGGATCCAGTTCATCATAAAACCACCATAACTAGCACCAGCAGCGACCCCGTTGTCGGTGTCAATGAAGTCGAAATTGTCGCGAACATATTCCCAGCATTTCACGAGATCATCATACGGATAGCTTCCTGTATATTCGTCAGAAAATGGGCTCCTTAGAGGAAGGTAGTAAAGTCTAGAAGACCATACCCCAGTTGTTGGTAATCATATCGGTCAGCTTGTCTCCAAAGCCAGTACTGCCAGTGGGATTAGGCGCAACAACCACATAGCCTTGATCCGCGAAGACCTTGGGGTTCCATCGGGTACTCCAGGAGTCTGCCCAGGAGCCTTGAGGACCACCGTGGACGTAGAACACGAGTGGATAGGTCTTGGACTTGTCAAAATTGGCAGGATAGACGATCCAGGAATGAAGCTAGCTTGGTTAGCAAAAGACTGGCCTAGGCAGCAAAAAAAACGCACCTTGGTCCAGTTTCCTTGGAAGTAAAATTCGCCAACATCAGAAGCACTCAAGCCTTGAAGACCAGGGTCAACTTTATTCGCAGAAAATAGCAAGGAAGTGACGCCCTTCTTTGGGCTTGCTTTGTATACAGTCCAGCTATTCCATATGGCCGAGCCTGTGACGAGGACCTCACCCTCAGGGAGGTTATAATAAGACTTGACAGAACCGCTATTGGTGAAATTGTGGGGCTCGTAATCGTCGTCCGCATCGGCAGTCACGAAGAAGAGTCGTTCATGTGCTTGATCTTCTGTATTGAGGAGCAGACCTTTTCCGTCAGCTGTCCACTTGACAGAATCTGGAGATCGGTCCCAATTTTTGGCAAGCGCGGGAATTGTCTCATCAGAGCCAATTGAATAAACGTAGAGAGTGCGACGATCGGATTCGTAAGCAATATCCTCCATCTGGAAGTATGCAATTTGTTTACTGTTGGGAGAAAACCTAGGGCTGCTCGAGTCTCCCTTGACGCCTTCAGGCGTGCCTGGACTATCTGGGCCATTGATTGCCTTGGCTTCTTCCGATCCGTCGCTGGGGACAAGGTAGATGTAGGATGCGGTGTGGTTTGCTCTGGGCAGCTCGGGCGCTTTGCTCTTGAATGCGACCCATTTTCCATCTGGAGAGATATCGTAATCCGAGGAGTCGCCAAATGGAGGGTACGGGGACTCGAGGTTCTTCACTCCGGCAACAAGATTCTTGAGGGAACCATCAGATGAGTACTTTCCTCCACTTTTCTTTTTCAGAACTCCCGAGAAGACCGCATTGAACGTAGTTGTGAGCCAGGTATCCCAATGCCGGACATAGATGCTGTCATAGATGCGAGCGGAGCTGAGTGGAGTCGCAACTAACTCCTCATTATATGCGGTACCATTGCCATATGATGGTGCATACAGCAGGTAGTGAATGTTACCGGACTTGGTGAGAGCGGTTTTAAGACCAGAGAATGAAGCTGGCAGGGAAGCCGCTTTGTACTGCCTGAATATCTATGTCAGCGGGAAGTCTGTAAGAAGAGACACAGATACATACGACTTGGAAAAATCAGCCATGTCTGAAATCCATAGTTCAACTCCGCCGGGGATCTCGGCATTGCTGCTGTTGATGTATAGCAGACTGGAATCATCCGAGCCAAGCCAGATCAGCTCGGAGACATTGCTGTCATCGGTAAGTTGAGAGACCTTGCCACTATCTAGATCCAATAGACTCCATGTCGTTGAAGACTTGTGGGTGTCAAAGGAATAGACCGATGCAGAAAACAATGCAAATTTCTGCCCAATTGTCAATGTTCGAACTATATCTAGATTGAGACTAAACAATCAAACCAAGGACACCACTCACTCCCGAGGGATTTGGAATCGCTTCACCGCGCCTGGGCGCAGCAATTAATTGCCTGCAAGAAGTAAATCAGGAATTGCATTCTAAAAAATGCATTGAGGCAAGAGGAAGAAAGCACTGACTCCGGTGTAAGCGCAGCCGCAGAAGCAACCAGCGATCCAATGGCCGTCGCCCACTGAACAGCACGCATTTTTTTGAAACCGGATACCCGCCTACAAAAGCGAATACCAAAGTGCAGATCAGGAGACGAACTCACAGCAGCGTGGAAGCTTTAAGGAATTCTGCAAAGCGGCGGGGAACACCGGAAGTCAGCGCCTTCCTCAAGGGGGGAAATGTTACATTCCTGTATGCCAAGAGTGATAAACAGGGAGCGGAAGGCCTGACCGGCCATGACGGTAGAGCAAGAGGGGGGAAAGTGGACACTGAGTGAGATGCAAAACCCTTGCTAGGAAGGTTCATAGAGCAAAGCAGGGCTCTAATGCGCGCCCGCTTTCTTGGGTCGCAGCGCCAAGCATCGAAATCTGTGGAGAACCGTTGATAACCGTGTATCACACTCGATAGGACCAATATGAGGTGATGATTGAAATTAGTGTCTGAAAATATTCCTCGGCTTGCGTGATCAATCTGATCAGTAGATTTCCAATTTAAACTGCAAATATATGCCCCCTAAGTTGTGATAGCCAGTTACTAATCTGGTCTTGACTACAAGTATCATGATGGTTTCGCTTTGCAGACTAAGGGTAGCAATGTCTGGTCAAGCTACTTTGTACATGTAGAGAGACAAATGGATGAGTGTTTTCACTAAATTATTCCTTCCCTGGTTTGTAATTCACAATATAAATCGGACCTGGGACTTGGGTGGCAGGAAAAGTGGTCGCTTAATGACGTCGTTCTGGATGGGTCGATGGCAGGAAACTGAATATGCGACGCTAGATACCAAATGACCAGAGTGGCAAATCCTTATAAATGCGCTTAATATTCAAAATCATCGTCTACACCTTTCTTGCCCGCATTCTCCTTGGCCACCGCCTCTTGCTTTCGGTACATCTCCGCAACGGCCCGAGTAGTGGTGGCCTGCTCGGGCTTTTTGTCATCACGGGCCTTGATATAGCGAGGAAAACGAAGAGAAACACCCTTGCCGCCTCCGGTTGTTCCTTCAAACTCATCGGCAGCGGCCTTATATCTTGGGCTCAGCGTCAAGTCAGCAGTCTTGACTTCCCAAACAAAGCGGGGCTCAAACCAAACGTCCGGCTGGTCCTTAGGAACGGTTGAGTGAGAATAGAATGGTTTGGGCCGGTCAATGACCAACGGTTTGAGTTCCTTATGAAGTTCCTCAAGAAGAGCCTCAGAGAAACCAGTTCCAATGTTACAGATCGTCTCATAGGTGTCGGTGTTAGGATTGAAGGCGGCTAGAAGGAAAGCGCCATATACAGATGTACGTTTTCCCCGTCCATAGTAAGCCCCCAGAACAACGAGATCAAGTGAGTCGCCGACACCGGCGAGATAATCTTTCTTGACCTGTCGAAAAAAGTTAGCCGGGGCCCTTGGTTTCGTGTGCAGAGAGTAGTATAGCCATTTGAAGATACCTTTAGCCAGTTGCGACTCCGTTTGCTTGGCTCATAGCCACTCTCTGATGTATCCAACATCTTCACCATCAATCCCTCACATGAAGCCTTGACACTATCTTCGAGCAGGTTTTGAATCTCATCAAGAACATTGGTATTTCCAAATTGCGCAAATTGAAATTCACCCTCGACGGGCTGAAAGCATTCATGCAGCAATTCTCGCCGCTCACGAAGAGACTTCTTGACACAAGGCTATATCGATTGGATTAGCAATCGCGAGGATGCATGAGATTGTTGGGGAAAGTTACCTCTCCGTTGAAGAAAAGTAAATCGAATGCGTAGACGCAAACCTTAACCTTGACATCCTCGGCCTTTACATCTTTTCTCTTTCGTGTCATCAGCTGCTGGAAGGGGAGCACCTTTTTGTTAACGGTATCCCAAGCAACAGTTTCACAGTCCAGAACAAAGCTGTTAACATCGTTCTTCACCCAGCTTTTCAGCTTCCCCAGCACATCAGGGTATTTTTTCGAGAGATCTTCCGAGTTTCGAGAGAAAATCGCACAAAGACCGTGACCGTCATGTTGTAGTGTGGTGCTAGACCCCGGGTATTTATGGATATGGTCGGGCGCCACGAAATGAATCTGAGCACGCTCTCCATCGTATTTGTACTCACACGTGAACTCTTTCCCTTCAAAGCGGTCCAAAACTTCGGTGATAGACTTAGTCGGTTTCGCAAGCATGGGCTTCAGTGGGATACCGGGCTGAAGCTTGCACACGCTTGCAAGGTTAAATAGGCCGTGCTCCAACATCGCAGGGATAATCACTTCGTAAGAAGGAAGTTCGCTGTAGACCTGCTTGAGAACCCCTTCACCTTCAGCTAACTTCTCCGCGGAGGGAGCCTTTTCACCAGCGACGGCAGCCTCGTGAGAGACAATCGCTTGGGCAAGGGCGGGAAGTACTGTTCGCTCCGCAAGTCCAAGTCTCAATTTACCCTCCAGGAAGCGGATCAAAAATTTGGCCTCACTGGGTCCACCCTTGTCCTTGGTGATGTCAATTCCCTTGCTACCTTTCCCAGCACTTGCAGAGTCTGCAGCAGACAGGAGCTTCTTAATCCCGGAAATCTTCTTGTCTTGAGAGCCATGGCCCTGGACCTTGGCAATTCCAAGCAAGCCCTCATGCACACCTCTGACCGTGAGGGGTTTAGGCTTGAACATGGTGGGTTGGTTGGATCGACTCTTAGCAGCCACCAGGCCCAAATCTCCAATCTCATGTTGATCAGTTTTGATTACTGCCAAGCTGCGCCCTGTGCTTTCGCCAATAGCTTTCATGATCAGTGACTCGCCAATTCCCAGCTCGATACCTGCATAATCCGCAGCCAATTTGTTGATCATAAGTTGCACGGTTGGAAGTAGATCGTTGGGTGTCAAGCGTAGCACCTGCTGGAGAAAGGCAGAGCAGTGGGCGAGAATAATCAGTCGTTTTGTGGTCAACTCGATTAGAGAGAATGTGGTACAGAGTGCGGCATACGGCACAGGCTCGCCTTGTTTCCAGTCGGGATATGGATCATTGCCGCTAGCGTTCACTGTCGCTTGCACCTTTGCCATCGTCTTCTTCTTGACCTCAGGCTTGGCCTCTTCTTCGTCGCTAGCCGTTACTGCGTCTTCATCATGGATATTAGATGCATTTTCCACCTCTGGTGTTTCTTCACCTGAGGCCTTCTTCACAATTGGGCTCGGGGTGGCCACTGTAGCTTTGACTGGAGTGGGTGTAGATTTCTTAGGGGATTTGGCGGGAGATTTCTTCGGAGAAGGCGACTTCTGCTTGGAAGGAGATACCTCCCGGGACACTTTGCGCCGCCTCTTAGAGATAGGTTGAACATCTAACTCTTCACTTTCGTCTACCTCGGCCTTCTCCCGCTTTAGGCCCTTGCTCGACTCGGCGGCCTGCGCATCGGTATTCAAAGTTGACTTAGGCTCATTCTCAGTCGCCGGCTCTGCAGATTTGTCGGCATCATCCTCGATTGATCTTTGCCGCTTCCCACCAAATGCTAATGTAGTTTGCTTCTTAGGTGCGTTGCTTGCGTTCGCATTAGAGCCGAAGAATCGCCTAAAACACCACGGGACAATATTAGTCAAATTCACGAAGGAAGAACATGGAATTTCCTGAGCTTGACGGGGGTAGACTGTCCCTGACGCGAAGCCAACGCACCCGATAGTCAATTGAGAGTCGCGCACATACCCAAGCGTAGCCTGCTTCTCGCTCTTACCATCCGCCATAATTCTGGAAAGACGTTGTAACGTTGATAATCTGAGCGAATAAAAATGAGCTGGTGGAGATTTCGAAGCGAATGAGCAGCTCTGAAGGGCTCTGGATAAAGATAATCTGAATGCAGGTGGGTTTCCGATGTATTGTTGGATGCCAGACAAGTTATTTCTGGAGCGCAAGCTGCGGGTACGCGCGATTGCAATTTGCAGAGCGCGCATAGAAACCGACCAGAGACAAAGTGAAGCACTACCTCCCAAGCGACACAGCAGCCTTGACTTATAGGCTCTTGAAACTGAAAGTCTGATCAGGCAACATAACCCGGCTGTACTTTACCCTGCCAGGCAACCTCGCGACGTTCCGACGGTCTCCACGCGACGTGACGCGCGTGTCACGTGGAAGCTATTTTGCCTGGCTGGGAAGGTATCCGCTCACCGCTTGATTGTGAAGGCAGAATAATGGGCGGTGGGCGTTTTCCAAGATGATATCCGCGGAGTCGTTGGATTGGCCGCAAACCACCCCACGATCATAATGGAGGCATATCGCTAGGTGTCACTAGTGCCGGAATCCATTTCCCTTATTAGTACAGCATTATTCACTGTGACGCTGTTCGGCCCGTTGGAAATGGAACACCAGCGGCAGGATTCCTTCAAGAAGGTACGGCCTGGAAGCGGTTTCATCATCTACCAACTAGATACTAACATCTTGATAGCTGCGCGAGCCATGTGTTGAGCTCAGCTCCGTAGGCCTTCGATTCCGTGGAAACCAAGCCTCCGCTCCCGACCTGTATCGAGCCCTTGAACCGGTGTATAATGTCTTGGAAGAGCTTGCGGGGGAAAACGTGCTTGATGAGAAGCTCGCCGAATACGCCTTTTTCCCACTGTCACACATATTCAATGAAACACAGCGGCTTCCAGCACGATGTCTAGAGCTATCAGTTCGATGTCTTAATTTCCTCATTGCTGATGGATGGCGACAGAAACTATCACCAGCATTGGGAAAGCAACTCATTATTCTCTTGACCTTGATTGTGGGAGGATATCCAAGCAAAACTGATGAAAATCAGACACCCAAATCCCAGGCACCGGAAGAACTGGCTATTGTGTGTTTTGATTGTCTCAGTTCTATTTTCAAGGAAATGCAAGGCCCCGTTGCGCAACAGACGGTCTTCCATGATATCGGTACGGCTACTATCATTGATCAAACTGTCTATATCTTGCTTGAGGGAGTTGTCGATGATAGGTCCGATGATCTATGTATATCGGCTGCCAAGGCCATTCAAGCTCTCTATGGTCGCATCACAGACCGCCTGGTCCTGGCCAGCATCATGCCGCGCACAGTTTCCGCTTTGGCGAAGGTTGTACGGCCAACGACACAGGTTCGGCGGTCTTTCAAGCTATTACAGATATGTCTTCAGGTAATGAGTCAGCTTCTGAGGGCTGTTCTCAATGATATCGTCTGTGCGGAAAGCAAGACGCCTGCTTCTAGTCAATCAAAGCCCGATACAATGACGCTGGATGCATCCTGGCTGAAAGCGACAACAACGCAGATCAAGTTGGCATTGGTCAATATCATACAGATTCGTCGGCATCAGCGACCAGAAGTAAAGTCTGCTTTGCTGAATCTTTGTATAATGATTATTGAAGAATGTCAAACTACACTAGCTGATGCTGTTCCCATGATGGTAGAAACAGTTGTGGTTCTAGCGGACCAAGAAGATGAAGTACCGAATGAGGCTTACAAGACATTGATTCATCTCGCCACTACATATGCGGTTGTACTGGATTCGCTGAAAGAATCACTGCATACTTGGCTAACATCTTTCCCCCGAATCATGCAAAGCAATGATGAGTCCGCCAAGCAGTGGGGAATTAGGCAAATTTCGACTGTTTTCCAAATTTTGTCGCAATTTCAGATTGGATCGGATATCCTTACTGGTAATCTAGCTTCGGGCCTGTGTGACAGTGTTGGCGCAGTTGTCAAACGTGAAAATCATGCCCTTCAGCCCATCGCGGCCCCCGGCGATATCGCATGGGAGGTTCTTGGTACCGATTCGACGACAATTACCTTCCCATCAGTGTTGCTAGATCACCAAAGCCAGCGACAAACTCTAAAAGACATGCGGTCAATGGTAATGAGGTTAAATGCATCGGAGTCGGGCAATGAAATCACAAGATCCATCCTCAATCGCTTGCATTCTCTGTCCGGTGATTCAACAATTGCTCCTTTCTGGCTTGCCTTGACCTCGCTCCGAGCACAATCACAGCAAACGTCTGGATTTGATGACTTCATCGCTGACGACTATATGGAGCAAACTTCCTCATTGTCTCAGCGTGCTGGCATGATTGAAGAGCTATATTATACTTCTTTGAACATTCTGAATGATGTGCCTGCTGATGGCTCCGGTGACTGGCGGATTTCGGGACTTGCGCTCGAGGCCGTGGCTTTACAAGCACAACAGCTTGGTGAATCCTTCCGACCAGAGCTCATGGATGCTCTCTATCCCACCCTCCAAATTCTTGCGTCCAATAATCAGAGCCTGCAACGACATGCTATGACATGTCTCAATATCTTGACTAAAGCCTGTAACTATCCTGATCCCGGGTCTATGATCATTGAAAATGTGGACTATTTGGTGAATTCGGTCGCTCTGAAACTGAATACCTTTGATGTATCTCCATATCCACCCCAGGTCCTCTTTATGATGGTCAAGCTATGTGGTGCGCGGCTGGTTCCTTACTTAGAAGACCTTGTTGACTCGATCTTTGGAATCCTGGATCTATACCATGGCTATCCTAAGCTTGTGGAAATGATGTTCAAAACTCTTGCGGCCGTGGTTGAGGAAGGTTCACTGAAACCTTCGCTGCTAACGATCGATGCCGGTAAAGAGAGCGGCCCCAGTGACAGTCGCAAGTCGAAGTATAACAATCTTTCCATATTGGACCTTGCCGCGGATATTGCGAACCGCAAATCGAAGCGGAGTCAGACTGCCGAAGACGACAAAGATGCCGAAGAAAAAATTGCTCACCCCAAGAAACCCTGGTCGGAAACATACGAGAAGCCTCCGGCGGAGCTTGAATCGATTGAAGAGCTACTCAACAAAGCAGAATCTGATGAGCCGCTTCCTCCACCCACGGAACCCGAAGACCAGGAAAAGCCGTTGAGCAAAACTCACTCTCTTCTTCTACACATCGTTAAATCGATTCCGTCACATCTTTCCTCTCCATCACCATACCTCCGACGGTCACTGCTTTCCATTCTTATTCAGGTGCTCCCAACCCTCTCACAAAATGAAAATAGCTTTCTGCCATTGATCAACGAACTTTGGCCATCAGTGGCATCAAGGGTCATTTTTCCTTCGTCGATTGCCAGTGACAAATCTTCTTCCACCTTGATGACCAAATCATCCCCCGAGTCTACTAGCCACGAGCAACATGATACCCAAACTTACCAGGAAGAAACCTTCGTCATTACCGCTGCCTGTCAAGCCATTGAGGCTATGTGCAAGGGTGCGGGTGATTTCATGGCCACACGTATCGAAACAGAATTCCCACGCTGGCAAAGACTATACCAGCGGGTTTGGTTTCAGGTGCGGGACGACGCAGAGGCCGTTAATGCACGTCGTAATCGACAGCAAGAGCGAGAGAAATCGATATCAAAGCCTGGGGAACAAGCACTGGATGTCGGCTTTGTTCTTACTGCTTCTCTTGCATTGTCACCCATTACTGCCGGTTCACGAGCATTCACGCCACATCATTCCATTTGGAGGGCTTTGATATCTCTGTTTCTCACCGTGTTGGCCAATGTCCGGTTACCCCAGAATGTGGGCGATCAAATCTGCAGTATACTCGGATCATGGATTGCAATTCTTGTAGGACCGGACTACTACTTCCAAGCATCACGTCAGAGTATCCGAGCTCAAGTTGATGATTCCCAGAGAGATATCATTGACTCTATTGAGAGCGCACTAAACGCCATGGAGACGTGGAATCCGGATCTCACCTGGTTTTTCTTTGCCATTCAAGAGAGCAAGGTGAAAGCATCCCGGGAAGGGATCGCCGATGTGGGCATGTCAGTGGACGCTTTTGGACAGACTTTTAAATTTGCAGAAGTAGCTTTCTAGTCCTTCAGCGGACCGAAAATCGAAAAAAAGCATTGATCACTTGGGCTCGGTCAAGCAAACTACTACTCAAGGAGCCTGCATTCAATATTTCCGAACAACTACACCGAAAGCATCAGAGCATGTTGCTGGGAGCGCATGCTCAGACATTAGGGACGCATAAAATATGAATTCCCATAGGCAAATATGAAACAACTATTGTACAAGTATCGTCATTATCGTATTAAAGCAAGGTAAATTTAGTATCAGCCACCGGCCGACGATTTCAACCCGCATTTCCCCCGTAAATCGGACTATCCTAGTATACAAATATACATCTACTATTTAGATTGGCGGGTCGACAGCTCCGAATCAAGAATTAGGAGCGCCATCTCCAACTTGGCTTCCAGTGGTATAGTTACCAAAGCAGGCTTCTTGGTACTTGGCCTTCTCTTTGAGAGTTGGAACTCCACGCAGGAAATTGTCTACTGGACAAAAGCCGTTCTGGGCGTGCTCGCAACCAATCAGCCCACCCAGAGGTAGAGGAGCATTATTTAACACAAAACGAATGTAGTTTGTGGTGCCCGAGGTTGTTTCAAGTTCCGGGTTGCTGTAAAGAACGGGATCAAGACTGCTGAATGAGATGTTGCGAGGGCAGGTCCAAATTTCAGACATAAAACGGGCGCCGAATGGGGTCATCTCGGTCAATTGGAAGGTGCGATTGGGAGCGTGGTCAATGTCGCTTGGCAGGCCGTGGGGTCCGAATCTAAAGTAGTCGAGGCCAAGCGCAGAGATAACGGAGAGGATAATATCGTCGTGGGACATGTCCATGTAGAAGGGCTGGTTGAAAGGGAACTGGGAGATGTTATCGTCATAGGTATAGTTAATGCTGGTATCGCTCGAGGTGATGAGTTTCTGCTGGAGACGGGCGGCAAGCTCCAGGACATATCCAATACCCTGAGCACGGCCAGTGGGGGAGCCATAGGCATAGTCTCCATAGTACTGAATGTCAACATTGTAGGCAAAGTCCTTCCACTCCTGTTCAGTGAACAGGGAGCAGAATGATGAGCCGCTAAGGCTGGTGTATTCATAAACACACAGGTTTTGCATGGCCAGCACGTCCATGGCAGTCAGGTTAAAGTCGCGAGGGAAGTAGGAAGAGAGACGAGAACGAGCATGCTTGGTGTAGCGGGCAATGAAGGTCTCCGCGGCATCATCACTATGCCGGATGGTTTTAGTACGTCTCCTTGCAGATATGTTTTAATCCGAAGTCGGGTTCTATGGCTTACCCTTCAGTCATATCACCGGGACACGATTCATATGAAGCCAAGGTGTTGTTAAAAGGATAGACCTCGGGGATCACAACTAGATCATACTGCTCGTATGAGCTATTGGCGCCGCTGTTGCCAAAGAAGCCACCTAGTCTCGGACGTTAGCACCCCTTGATCGGAAGTCCCCCGAGCTATTCCACTCACTCAGCCACCAGCGAGCACTCTCCAAGATTCGGGCCTGGGAGGTGGTGCGAAAGACTGGCTTGGGGCGCGCGGTGCCATTGGGCCACACATTCAGATCCGAGTTCCAAGCAGCCATATTGTCGTGGCCAGGTCGGTACAGCAGCCGACCATATTTGATCCAGAAATGAGCGCCGGACGTGGCCTCTGTGGCCGCGCCAGTCTCCATCAGAGTGTCTTCGCCAATAACATACTCCCAGTTATTGAGGAAGCTCAACGGCCCAGTTGCCACGGCTTTGCCGGCGTGCGCCTTGCTGTAGTTTGTCAATTTGGCCGCGAAATCTTGCATGCCCGCTCCATCCAACGGATAATCTGTAGGATAGCGCTCGGCGTGGCGATGCAGAACATGAACCTGCGATAGCTCACAGCCCTGTGGCATGCCCTTGGGCACGCCGAAGCTATCAGCATCCTGGTAGGGGCTGAGGTTGGCCCAGCTCCGGGTCATATCAAACCCAGATGCGTAGGATGCCCCCGTCGGCGCGGATGCAGGGGCCAACGAAGACGCCGCGGCAGCGGCCGTGGCCAGCGCAACACTACTAAGGGCTTTCATGATTCCTTCAGTTATAGACCTTGGTCGGCGAAATCCGCAGTCGGCCGGAAAAAGATCACCGTGTTCAAACTCTTCGGAGTTGAAACACCGGATGCACGGAGTAGTAAATAGGTCGGGTTGGAAATACTTTAGTGGTACCTGTGGGAGAAGGGTCGCAGTCGCAGTCGCAATGGGCCAAGAGAAAAAGAAACGATAAGCTCTGAATTGATGGGCATACGCTAGGCCGCAGGTCCCAACGGTTATTATTATTTTCCCCCGTCGGCGGGGAACTCGACTCCGCGATGGAACCTGGTTTGTTGATCCCTTCCGTATCTTCTCCGTCCCGAAATTCCTGAATTCGACAGAAGCAGGCCCACCCGAGACTTTCTCGGCGAGATCGACCCACCTCGGACTCAGTCCATTGTCCGTTATCGGGTCGAATCCGTTTGTCTCCCAATTTTGATGACTTGAAATTCGAAATCACTTGAGCACACAGTTGTCGTCGTCCCCTTTCCTGGTCGCATTCAAAGCAGTTGTCCATTGTCCAAAAAGAGTAAGTCGATTAGATTTATGGTTTTATGGCGTTGGATGATTCAAGATGCTGCAGGCAGCAAGTTTTGATTTCCAGGATTGAAGCACATAGTTTGATATTTCGAGCGAAGAGATCACAATGTGCATGGATGATAGTATACGTATATACATTGGTTATCTACCTATCTTGAAGCGACAACTGCTAGTACTAGTACTCGAATAGCTACGAGGCAGTTAATATGCGCCTCGGAAGGGCAATTATTGAAAGGGCGGCCCCTGCCAGCTTCTCAATTGCCTTGAAATGCGAGAAAAGACGAAGTCGCTTATTGGAATGCTTCTATTCCAGGTGAAGCCTCTTATTTGAGCTTTTTTTGGGTTTCCGCCAGCTTTTCTGCGAACGGCTTCAGGCTCAACGCAAAACGATCCTGCTTATCATATTATAAGTAAGACCCAAATTGCTGGGAGGATTTGCCGGTACACTTGCACGGTCAAAGCACTTACAACCATCCATTGGGGGAGCCACGTTGAGAAACGTGCGAGATTAGCAGCACCTCCAAGCCAGACTTTGCCGGCTCTTTTCTTTTCCACGTAATATACAACATCGTTTGCGAATTTCTCTGGGCTCACCCCAAACGGGACCTTCTCGGGCTGCATCTCGATAATATCTTTGATGCCGATATAATAAGAATCTTCAGGTAGTACTAGGGTTGGAACATTGGTGAGGAAGTTCGTTGCGATCCCACCTGTGAGAAGAGTGAGAACGCGCACGCCCAGAGGTGCCATTTCGAGCCGCAAGACCTCACTTGCTTGAATGAGGGCTGCTTTAGACGCCTGATAATAACCTAATCAAAAATTGAATTGTGATCATGTCAGCTGCTGTCTCAATGAAGGCCCGAAGGAAATGCGGAAGCGCCTTCCTCTGCATACCAAGGAATGGGAGGGCGCAATAACCGCCCACAGATGAGTTATTGACAATACAACCCCCCGAATTGACGAGCATAGAGCTAAATACCTGGATCATCTCAAACGCCGCGAAAAAGTTGATGTCAAAAACTTCCCTCGCTTTGCTGATGGGGGTATCGAGGCTGGGCATTTCTAGTCCCACACCGGCGTTGTTAATCAAAACATCGAGCCTGTCACCGGTATCACCCCGTACCTCCTCGGCGACAGCAGCAATTGATTCAGAAGAAGTCACATCGAGGGCAAGTACCGTAACATTAGGAGCATCGTGCAGAGTTTGAGGCACTTTCGATGGCGTGCGTGCCGTTGCAAAAACATGGTAACCTTTGTCTATGAATGCCTCAGCAAGGGCAGCACCGACTCCACCACTGGAACAGCCCGTGATGAGGCATGTTTTTAAAGTGATAGTCATTTGTTCGATCTCAAGTTTAAAACACAAGCCGAAATGCAATGAAAATAAGGGATTTTTCGTGGATGCCACAATAGTCTAGGAATGGGGGTAAGTATGTGATTTAGAGTTGCGCGATGCTAGAAAACAGGGCAAAGATCTTGATTAAATACTCTGTGTTCATCTTATCATACCCTTCACCCATGAGCAACCGTGCTGGATTGCATGTCCGCGGCAGTGGACCTCATACTACGGCAACAAACGTGGTTGGTTGCGATCTCCGGCGAATGATCGTCTATAATTGGCTGCGAAATGCGGATGGCCGTCATTGCGGGTTAGTCTCGCCCCCGGCGAACATCTGAGGCGCCGCAAAGCGATGTGACGGGAGAACCCTGATGTCTCGGGGACTAACATGCCATTCCGAAGGTCCAAGGCCTGCGTCAATTGCCGTAGAGCCAAAGCACGATGCTCATTGGCGAAACCTTGTTCACGATGTGCCGACCGGCGCCTCGAGTGCCATTATATCATCGCGTACCCTCCACGCCCCGTAAACCGCTGGCCTGAGGGATTCCGGCCTATTAAGCCGGCAGATACCCTCCCCAGAGCCCAAGGACCGCTCATTACGAGTGATGCAGCCGGCGCTGAACTGTTCGCTCCATCACAAACTGGGGATATGCTCACTTCACCTCACTGCAATGTGCTGCTTGAGCAAACCAAGAGAACTGCGTCAACCGTCGCTGGACCATGCAACCAGATACCGGACTTGCCTGTATGTTCAGGGGAGGTGACTCAGTATTCAGATGTTTCCTTTCTATTTGACACTTCTCTCCCAGCCGACTGGACATTACAGTCCCCGGGCTTGTCCTTCGACGACTTACTATCATCCCCTCGACTTGGGAACTCTGACATCAATACACCGACGATGATACCTAATACTCAAGATCGGACTGCAAATGCTGTTGATCTCACTACTCTCACTTCAATGCAATCAACAACGACCGGCATCAAAGCCCTCGGACCACAGCTCTCTCAGCGTACTCGATCTCTCCAACAGGGCTCTTTGACCGCCCGGATGATTTTCAGTCGGCTGGCTGAATATTCACGTATGATGGCTGATCCTACAACTTTACCTCCATTTATCCATCCACCGTGCTGTCTTAGCTATGATTGTGACGATTGTCGTCCAGACTCGCCTCACCAATGCTTGCCGGAAGCCTTAGCAGTCTGCGCCAATCTCACCCATATGTTCTATTCTCGTCTGCCTGGAAGTCAAGTATTTGTGTGGAAACAAATCTACGCCCACCTACAGCAAATGCGTAAAGAGGTAAGAGCCTCTCACTGAAAATCTCATTCCACTACCCTATTGTAGGTTGCTTATCTTACCTTAACATTAGTATGAAGAATACGAGCAGGATAAGATGCTGCAAGCCTTGCAAGCGGCTATGGTTTATGGAATGCTGTGCGCTCAATGTACGGATTCTGTGTCAAGCGATAATGCTGAATGGATAGTTGATTCAATTGAGGTTGATATTTCCTCCCATTTATTATGAATCCTTTATATTTTCAAGTCGTTAACACTGTCGTTTATCATCTCTAGACCTTCACCGAGGCTCTGTTTGATATTCCTGAATGGGGCCTAGATATAGACCAATTGTGCCTTTCTCGTCGGAAATGGGTATTTGTGGAAAGTCTGAGAAGGTTCGAAATTGAAATAAATGCAATTCTTCTCCCCCTTGCTAACCGTAACTTTTAGAATTGGTTGTCTCCTCTATTTGTTCGATTTGCTTCTCCAAATAGACACCCAAACACCGTCAAGAGGGGATTGTCCAGAATTCTTCGATATGCCATTGCCTTGCGTCCGCCAGCTTTGGGAGCCAGTATCCAACAAAGACTGGCAAAAGCGTTACGAACAGCATACTGAAACTAGAAACCGTAAACATGGCTTGACTTTACGAGATTTGCTTACTTTCCGACAGGAGACCCATGATAATAATGTTACACAACCCGCATTATCTCATATTGAAAAGGAGCTCACAGAATGGTGTGAACAAGTTGATGACTTATCGATGCTTCTCTGGATGGCGGTGGCAATTGAAGGAGAAGGACAATCACGGTTATATGAACATAATTGACGATGAAAATGATCTACCTACTGCAGTGGGGAAATGGCCAATACTAGGGAGACCTCTAATTGGAGGATATCTTTCTAGTACACAGTCTTTACAGGATATAGCTTCGCATCTCCAATAGGGAGAGAATCAAATTTCACACTTTTTTCGCTTAATCTGCTTCTGCTTTCCCTTTGGGAGGCTTCCTCTATCGTGATGTGTGGTGGTTTGTTGGTCTGTTCGTCGACCTATCTCATCCTGCCTGTTTTCTCAGGTTTGCCGTAGAGCGCCCTGGTTCACTACCTAAAGATACACAGCATGATATGGCTTGGCCGATTAAAACATGTTCAAGTATAGTACATACCCTTGGTAACTTCGATCAATTCACTATTTACCCAACTCTTATTATTTATGTCAGCCTTCAAAGTGATTTTTGTAACCCCTGATTTCTTTTCGACAGTGAAACATAAATTGAATAATGCCTCTAATTTAGAAACAATTCAAAAGAGCAGTAGAAACTCTCGTTGAATGCTAGAATTCAGCATGTTTCATGTGCAGGTATGGCTTGTTTTCTGCGGCGTATGAGCATCAATACGGGGCCATACCCATCTACTGTAAGCCGGACATCAGCCACACGTTGCTCGAGTGAGAAGACACCAACAAATACATGCTAAAAGCCGTTTTCGGACACCCGCTTGTGGATGTAGATTATTTGAGAAAGAATATCTAGGCTTAAAAAATGACACTATCTCGCAGGCATTAGTACTAGCTCGGAATTAAATATCAGTCTTTATTTTCCTTGGTAGAGAGCGCTATATACAATCAAATTGATGTCAAATGCAATTGATAACAATGTTTAAATAATCTCTATCGCTGAGATTCCACAGGAGTCTCCGCAGTCATGGTCGATCATCAGCAACATTCATAATCCCAATTCTGTGAGACCTAAAATGGACTTCTGGCTGACCAAAATAACTCTGGAAAAAGCTTAGGAGGCAAAGCCAGTACTGATTACCCAGCTCACATCGTTGTTAAATTGAGTTGCAGAATCGAATGTGTGAACACCACCGTTATTCGCAAGGTATCCAACGTTCGTGTAGTGACGAATATAGCGAGTAGGATAATTCCAGGATCGAATCGAGCTGCCCTGGCCATTGAGAGCACTCTGCGGACAGAATGTAGCGTCTTCGTAGAACTGCTTTGTGCCGTCATTCGCATTGACATACAGCACAAAGTCAGAATGCCGGATGTAGCTGCCAGAGGTATCGACGGACTCGAAGGAATAGCAGGCGCTATTACCGAGGCCTGTACGAACAATCCAACTAGCCTCCTCTTTCACGGCGGTGGTATTGGAAGACGTGACAACCTGAGTATTAACTGTAGTGCCGCTGTGTGACAGATAGCGGTTCGTGTAGCCAGATGTTGTCGCCCGAAGCGAGATGGAGTTACCGACTGTGAGCGTCGTGCCGCTGATCAGCGATGTAGTGGCGTACTTAGCAGCAACAATGTTGGCTTGCACCGAGGCCTCTGCGGAATCAGAAGGATAGCCAGAGGTCATCACACCCTCATAGAACGTGCCCTGGGCGCTAACACTGTTGTCGCCACCGATACCAAGAATGATGGCTCCCTCCTTGCTCATGGGGTTATAGCCTGATGCAGTGGGGCGCACGCCACTGTAGTAGGTTGATAGTGAGCCCGATGCAGCGTTAGCGCCACGAAGTGCCCATTTGTTTGCCGTTCCTTTCACAATCGCAGTGACAAACCGGTAGGAGATAGATGGGTCCGCAGTATTTTGACCAGAACTCGAGCCGGAGAACAAACCGTTCTCGAGATCTGCCATGATCCATGGGCCGCTGCCAGCACCAGTGCCCCAGGCAGTCTCCGTGCCAAAGTAGATGGCCTCCATGTGACCATTTCCGGTATCAGTGCTGCTTGTCTCGGCATTGCCATAGTCAAAGCAGCAACCGCTGTTATAGTGTGTCCCGTCAAGGACTGCATACATGCCCTCCGCTTCATCTCCTGTCGCTGTGCCTGTGGCAGCGTTGTTGCGGTACCCAGTGCCGGGTGAGATAAAAACTCCATATGCTTTCTGGCCATTCAAAGTGACCGGCGCACCAATTGCGCTAGCCAAATTGTCATAGTTATTGACATCTGGGCCATTGAAGCCACCGGGAGGAGCCTGGGTCAGGTGGTTGCCGTTGCCAGACTGATCATAGATGATACTAATGAGGCAGGTCGTGTTGGCACAAAAGGTATCTTGAGCGGCAGCATTTGCAACACCACCGGCGGTAAGCGGCGAGATGGTGGTCGTGGTACTGTCAGAGCCACGCTTGACTTGATAAAGAGCGCCACTAAATGCACTGTACAGGGCGCGAGTGGTGCTGTGCGCAGCAATACACGGAGCACCGTCAGATTTGTAGATGTCGCAGGGCCCAGCATTGACAAGGGAGCCTGTGGCAACTAGGCCAATGGCAACCATCCAGGCACGCTCAGCTTTTGATCGTGAGAACATGCTTGATGGATTTGCTTGAATGTCTCAAAAAACAACGTTTCGCTTCTACAAATAAAGCAGGAACTTGTCGAATTGGTAGAAGATTGGAATATACACCGAGGAGTGTCTCGCCCCTTTTTATAGTCTTGAGGCTTTTCTTCAGGACCTTGGTTTCAAGATCTGGAAGTGCACGTGTTGCTAGCAATGTGGATTTTCCTCCAATAAATATAGTGATTTTCCCTGTTATTCACTGGATAAAATAGGCGACTCTTGAGTCCTGAGAGGATCGGTTAAAACCCGAAGCGAATTTACGAGCAAATTTAAGCGACTACATCGCTGCATGATCGATTTCATTATAAATAAATTCCAGTGACATCTCATTTGAATTTGTTTTCAAACTATAGATGCCTTAATCTTGGACTCTCTGACACTTAATCCATACAAACAAAAATGTTTACACGTAAAAAGCCCCTTCTAAAGTATCGCGGCTTCACCTACGAGAAACTTCCGAATCACGAAAGGAGGCACGATACTGAAATATTCTCTCAATGAATTAACATGAAGAGGTGCAATGCCGTCCTAGTGATATCTACTTTAGAGTTATTGATCCTAGAAAGGGGTTTGTCGGGACCTTTTTACTCCTTGGCTTGTCAATCCCCATGTTATTACGCAAGATCGGCAAACATAGCCAATGCGGTCGGCTAATTAGTATCTCAGTTAGTCCTCTCTGCGGAGAAATTGTATCAGGCTGCTTGGCGGTCTGCCATTCAGCTGAGCGGAATGTGTTGTTCCACCTCTGATGCTTATGAGAGGGGGGCTTAACTAGTGTCACAAGACTGGCTATCGCATATGGCCGGAGATGAAAGCTCCATTTAGATGAGAGTTTCTGCACCATCTCAAATGTACCCCGCATTATGGTGGCTGGGTGTACAATTGAAAGCTTGAAGAATATTCTTGCGTCTGCATCGCAGGTTACCGAAGCAACTTGTGCCGCCGGGGTTTTTCCCATTTCCCCTGGATGCAAAACAATTAACCGAAGGAATCTGCATATCTAAAACTAAGTACCATCGGATGATTGGTCTGAAAGAAGACAAGCCCAGGCGATGTAGGATTGTGGCGCCTGGGGCGTGCCTGTGAAGAATTTAGTTGCGGGGGGGTTTCGCACCAAATGAGGGTCTCTCGCAAACTTGATTGGGAATGCGGGGATGCGGGGCCCCATGTGAGAAGACACCGGGCAGGGTTGATTCGAATTAGATTATGAGAGGCAGAGAGAGCTACGCCCGTGGTGAGAACATACTTTCATCTCTTGTCCAAATAATTACGAACTTGGCAACAGAATTATATCTAACGTCACCATTTTGCCTAATTCTGGTTATATGTTTTGTGATCGACAAACCCATTTCTTGACGAAACATGGTGCTGTTCGAGATTTTACCATTCCATTTGTGGACTAGTTCAAAACGCTTGTGATGTGACTCGAGGCCTTTTCATTGCATTAGCTGGTACAGAGGGGGAACAGACCACCTCTCCCTGGCTAAGATGCACTCTGCAGGCAAAATGCTCATCCGCTTTCCTGGGATGCGTTCAGACGAAATGAGGAGAAAAGAAATCGATAGGAAAATAAATTTGAATAAAGGTTCTTCCTCCTCCTTGTTGCTCAACGAATTTGTCTTATCAAAATTGTTTGAACAGTCACATATTGAAGTCATCAACTTTGATATTTTCAGAACGAAACGCTTGTTATTTATTTGCAGGATCCAAAAACCATCACAAACACTGTGGGTATCTTTTCTGCATGCAATTCCGGTCATCCGACACGTTCTTACCGACCCAGACACAGTCCGTCAGTCTGAATCTCCAATTCCTTGACAACATGAGAATAGCTTGACCACTTGGGAAGTGTCGTGCATTGATGGTTGTTTGCATTTCCGTCATCATAGCGTGAGCGTTGTTTCGAGGATCCTTTTTTGGTATCATGCCCGCCGCCCTTCACAGCTATACATTGAATCCCAAAGATACTCGGATTGCCACATAAAATAATGAGACAGCTAGACGCACACCGTACAGCACAACAAATCCACTGCTCATTATGGCGGAGGACACCCATGCCACATGATGCAATTTTCAGAATGTTGATCAATGTTCAAGAATCTCAAACAAAGCCTAGTTTCACAAATGGAACATCTTGGAAACCATCGCTCTTTGGCAAAGGCATCCGACTGCGAGTTATTTGGGCAACATTTGTCTCTGTTGGACTTTCGCCCCGCCTCTCGCTAGAAAATGGGCCCGATGATCGATTCTTCTTGGCAAGACCGTCCTGGTGATTCTTCGTTCGCTGATTGACTTCGTTTTTGTCCGCACTGGTATCCGGAATTATTGCGGTACTTCCTGAGGATTCAGGAGGTCCCTCCCGTAGGGGGTCAGAATTTCCTTCTGCGTGGTTTGTACATGTCAAAATTCTCTATCACCTCTCAAAATCTGGATCATCAAACTTACGACCAATTCTAGCTTGCGAATTGGTGCGATCCTGGGCTTCGATCTGACCCCGAGAGCCTTCGTTCGGGGTGCCGTTTAGCTTGTTGAATTTGCTCGGAATAAAGATATTGAATGATGCTCGGTGGTGTTGTTGGTCTTGGAAGAGACCGTCCTCGACGCCGATATCTCGAGCATCGAAGTCGGGCTTCAGGTTGTGATGTTGGAGGAAGACCATCGTGTGAATATCAAAAGTGAAGAAATCAAGGCTAAACGGGTGTATACTTCAAACCAACGACAACAAGCGCCCGTGAGCTTTTAATAGCTGCAGCAAGCCCCCCAACCTGACTTCTTCGCCCACCCATTGCCATGGGCCTGGGAATCCACAATCACCGTGATACCTTTGCAACTTCCCCCATCGTTCCACTTGTTGTAAACCTGCTAAGCTGGGTCCCGGAAATGCACTTGGCCCCCTTTGAGTATGTGCTTCGTTCGTGGGTGCGCAGCCGAGCGGATCTTCATCCACCTAAACTTAGTAGGGAAAGAGGTGCGTAAGCCCCACCAGAATGACGGCTTAGATTTGACGCTTTCTCCATCCCCCCTGAAACGCCAACCAAATTTCACACTGTGCGCCCGAAAGAGAATAAATTCTTGAGATCAACGGGATTAATTGAGGCTTAATATCCCCCATGAGGGTCTGCGGGATATGGGGGCGTCCATCTAGAGGCGATCCAGTTCGTTGGGGGCGTTTAAGGCCAAGGTAGCAGAAGGGGCGAAAAATGATTTCCATACCATTTAAGGTAAACCAAAGTCGGATGTTTTTGGGTCTCAACTGCATCACAATTCTATTTTTTATCCTTTCTGGCATCGCTTAGTCGGCGGAGTACCGTTATTGAAGACTTATGCTTCATTTCACCTCCATAAAATCAGAATAACACAAGCAAGCCAAAAATGGGCGGAAGGCCTTGGCAGTCGCGGGGATGTACGTTATGTAGAAAGCGCAAAATCAAGGTGCGATAATCTCTAGCAGGGACATGCGGATACATGAACATCGAAGCTAACAGTCCAAAATCCAGTGTGATGCCCAAAAGCCCAAATGTAAGCGATGTGTGAAGAACAATGCCGTATGTCAGTGGAACACCAGTGATGGCTTCTTCACGCACCATACCTATGTCACAAGTGGGGAAATATCGCAAGTCCAAACGCAAAGATATCACGGACGGGCACGGCCGGTCCTTCCAGCTGCTCTCGATTCAAGTTCTGAAAATCGAACTCAAATTTATTCGCTCTTTCTTGCCAGCTACTTGCCGGTGTGCAATCAACGGCTAGAAAAGGTCGATGAGAAGTTTCTTCTGGTTGTAAGCTTTCTGAAAGCATCAAATACCGAGATGCTTGATCGGGCGTCTTCAAGCCTAGCTTGTATCTTTCTTGGTCAGACCCAAAATGACGAGACTCTGACTCGTCATGGTCTATTTAATTATAACGAGGCAATTCGGCTTCTGAAGATTCATTTGAAACGGGGGAAATTTGAAGATGACATTCTATTTACATCAGTTATCTTTCAGATGGTCGAGGTAAGGCTTTCAAGCTATTGCATGATATATCACAATATTCCTTGACAGTTACATGAAAGGGCTAACGTTGTCTCATCAGGCGATTTATTGTTCTGATGGCCCTATGTCGCACGTAGCTCACGTCGAAGGCACAAACGCAATACTCAAATACTATCATGCTCGCGCAAGGCAAGATCCTCTTGTCCGAGCTGTTTATAACAGCGCCCAAAAATCCAGAGTCGTATGTCGTTCGTCGCTTCTTCAAAGCATCAGATTACTAACTATCCACAGATATTTGGCTTGAATAGTGTTCAGTGGTCTGACACGGATTTTGATTATATTGAAGATTGCAACAATCGAGCACCTTGTGACGAAGCCTTTAATCTCAATATTGGCACTATGTCCCTTCTGTGGACCCTCGAGCATATTGATGTCTCTGATCATGATTCATGTGAAGGCTTGCTACAGCAATGCCTTGATCATAAGGAGAAGATTCATGCCTGGCACACCGATCTTCAACAAAGATTCGGCACTCTGTCAACACCATGCTCGTCACAAGACATACCGTCCCTTCTAGATCCAGTAGAGGACCTCTTTGGCAGTCCTTACACATTTACTTCTCTCTATCACGGGAAACTTCACATTCTCTACTGTGTCACAATGCTGAATATTCAACAGCTGATTTATCCAGCCCAAGTTCTTGTCAACTCACCAGAAAGAACACCAATTATTAACGCCGATGATGCTGATGACGAGATTCTTGAAATCTTTCACTATGCCAGTGAAATTCTTCGAGCTGTGCCATACTTTATGCAGGATGGAATGAACCTTGGGGCTTCAAATATGGTGATGTCTTCGATCTGGTTGGCATGCAAACCACTCGTACATCTCAGGAGTCGCAGACATTTTCTCTGGTGCTTAAAAGCATTACACTTATTAGGACATTCGGGGTGTCAAATTGCCTACTTTATTTCCCACGTCTGCTGGAGATACTGGTGTCTTGCAGGCAACCTGAAAATAAATTCGGCTTTAAGCCTGACACCAAGATTCGATTATTCCTCAGAGAAGACAGTTACAGCTGATGATATTGCATTGATTGAGGAAGCTAGTGGAGTACCGACGGTGATCCCGTAGACCAAGAGTTTGTGATGGTAAATTTCAATTTTTGAAAGTCACGAATGATATGTCTATTTAGATACCATTAGTTGTCTTCTATTAGACATCAGTTATAGAAAACTATTTTGTTAAACTAGAATTCATTCAAACACATTAGGCTGCAGGAACATATGAATTCTTTCTCGCCCATCATGAAACGGATTCTGGTAAAGCTCCTCTTCGTTGCACAAAAAAGACGATACATATTTCGATGAATAAATGCTCAATATTTTGAACCGTCTGATTAGCAAAGGCTTACCATATATATTGTATCAACAAAATTGATGCTCGGCAAGACGACCAAGACAAAACAGGGATTGTGCGAATGTCATTGACCCGTTCTCAACACCCGATAACCTGCACCATTACGAATACCTGAAGGAGTCAAGCACCCTGTGACCGCCTTTTTCTTTCAGCTTATCAGCTAACATTGCGCGCCACGAACACGTCACCTGCTAGACACATTTTTCAAGTATAGAGCCAATAATCGTCACCACGCCGCCAGTCTCTACTTGGCCCCCTTGTGGGCGAAATTGTCGATCATTCGTAGTTGAAAAATCCGGACCCGCTTCTCTTATCCGACAGCCAATCATGTACTGACTCTTCTTTACCTAAATAAGTTTAGCTTAGTATCATCGGTTATGCATCAAGCTCAAGGCGTGAATAGGTTTGACAATTCCCACTTGCATCACCCAAAAGTTTTTCGATCATTATAAGACCCAGCTGCTCGTGGCTCAGAGACCTTGAATATATATTGTTACTTGCGAATCCTCTAAGCTGTTTGCTCAAAAGCAGAAAACGACTAGTACGTGTCAAGATTTCACATCTGAATCAAATTATTGCACTCAAAATAGCCACACTGTCATTAACAGACAAAAGGAAGAGCCTCAAAGAGAAAAATTCTTTGACGCTCAATTTTTCATGTCTGAGGATGGAAATAAATGTCTCAGGATGTTGCTTGCGGGCTCATCCCTTTGACGGTACACAAAGAAAAATTCCTCCAAGATCGGAACTGCCTGACTTGAATCAACGAGGTGCATACTTTCAGCACATTCTTTTAGATGCTTTATAAACCAAGCGTGGACTTCAATTCCCGTTGATAGAAGAGCTCCAAGGAATAGTGTCCAGAATAGCAAATCTGCAGCCGTGCTCTTCAGCAAAGCATAACAATTCTCGATCCGCTGTTGAAGGATTCGGGCAGAATACTGAAGGCAGGGCTTCCGATACCACTCCCAAATTCGGACTATCCCATAGACTTGCAGTGAAAGGCAGAGAACGCCTTGAAGTGGACTGATCATGACTTTTGAGGGCAGCGAATACAGTTGATGAAACAAAAATAGCAGGTAGTCATTTTCAGCGGGCATATACCGAGAGTCGAGTTTTACCAACTGCTCGTGACAAGGAATGAGTCGCTGAAAACCCTTGATAATTGATACAAGCTCCTCGGAGAGGTCTTTGGACCATGAAGAGCTGAAAAAGCGGGTTCCAATCAAAAACGACGAGGAAGAAGATGGTGATGGTGATGGACTTTCCATCTTCATACAGATCGAGTTTTCCCGGATCCAGGCTTCCCATTTTTTCGAAATTTCGAATATCGGCGGGGTATCTAAGATTATACCCTTCATGGCATCGCAGCTACAGAGAAGTTAACAACAGAAAGCAGAATTTTCAACGATATCTATGACTTTACCAGTATATTGTTGAAAGGGTTCGGATATCCAATCTCTCTAATCCACCTAGTGCATTTATAATCTGCTGCAATCCCGCCATATGGGCTTCAACAGCTTCGATGTTGGCCTGGGCACACTTTTTAGAGAAAATTAGCAAAGCCCCTGGAGCTTGAAAATGCGCTTCTCTGACCTCAATACAAAGAAGGTGCGTGATGACCAAAATGGTCGCCTCTGAAAAGGCCATAATTGGGTTGACCAAGTTGCTTTGAAGAGACTTCAAAGCCCGGGAACGCAGCTGTAATGTATCCTGCATTGACCTCTGAATTGAGTATGGTGAGGTATCGATCATCTTCAAGGTTGCAGTGTGGCTAGCCGCACTCAAAAAGAGAAGCGTCTCTACGAGGGCTGGTTGATTCAGAGCCTCTTGAAAGAACCAGACTGATATCACCGTAGAGCTTAGAGGGAATGAATGGTGCGCAGCAAATACCCTATCTGTATACCCCCTATTAGCCTTGTTCCAGACCATATTGTATCAAGTGCCAGAACTACTTGCAATGGTGGTAATAAAAATTGATAGCCCTGTTCGTATTGGTCGGTAACGAGGGGAACGCCTCCAACAAACCTGCCTGCATATTATGACAGACTAGTGCCTTCCGATCCTTCTTATCCGCTTGTTGTTCCTCACGATCCAAAGTGGAGCTCATGTTCGGTCCGGGAAGCAGGCGGCCCTTCGGGAATGGCTTCACAGATGCTTTTAAGGTTTGGAGTTGGTTTTCTCTCCGTAGCCGATTGCTCCGTTTTCTGATAAAGGACTGCTTGACTCCTTCAGTGGTATAATTCGGGTCAGTTTCATCTTGGGCGTTCACCCATAGAAACGTTTCCCGCTTGGCAAGTCGGGCTTCAGAATTCGAGTCATAATCGGTGTAACTGATATGTGTCTCTGATTTCTGTGTGGAATTATCCACTTTCATGTTGATAAAAACAGCGGAGACTCGTCTAAAATAGTTCGATGTCTATGGGGAAGAGGAGAGTCTGCACCCTGACTGGTTTGCTGGTCATCTTGGCCCCCACGCTGGACAATTCGACGAAGCCACTCCATGGAGATCACCTGATCGCACTAGTTTTCTTGTGATTTGTTTCATGATTAACGAACTAGTTAGCACCTGGATTCATCATGGTGCTAAACCCTTTGAGGCTATTAAGGAGTTTCTGCATGGTGAATCCATCAAATCAATTTGATCTGTTAGAATAATCCGGATTTTAGTCCCTTCGGATCCAATGCTTGATATCTCGCAATCGTGACTCTATTTGAAACAGACGATAATTTTTGGAGCAAAAGACGTTTTGTTGTGCCAATATCACCCGGCAACTACTATTTGATTCATTATACTCCGTTACTCATAGAATATCTCGCTTTAGTATCCAGCTATAATGGAACGAGGTTGCAGAAATATTTGGGTTTAGCTGAACATAATTGTATTACAGGTTTTCAGATTCCAAAGGCAGCAGTAATAGTAATCTAGATTCGACTCGCGGTTCAAGCTATGCATAGGTTGTTTGTACCAATAAAGTAGTTCACTGCCGCAAAAATCTCAAGTACTAATTATCTTACTCTTGAGTGTTTTCTTTCACCGAAGCCTCCCACTCTTTCTTGGCTTGTTCAAATAGTAAGTCATCGGTCAATAGATCCCAAGTGGTAAGAGCGAGAAGTGTTCCAGTCTGTACAGCGCGATGAAAGGCATCATCAGTTCCTGTGGCCTGAGTGAAATTTTGGTGATGCGCAAATATCTCCGGCGAGCATTTAATCATGTAGAAAACATGTATTCCGGGACACTCATAAGTGAAGTTACCTTGCCATAATGCTTAGTTCCATGAATCTCGAACGCATCGAATTTGGGGTTATGACTCACCAAAATCGGTAGAGCCAGTCTCAACTTTGGTGTTGAAAGGTCTCGCATTTTGGCCTTCAATGCTATTTGCAATCTCGGTATATCGGTTACAGAGCGTTTCATTTATAATCGTGTCGGTATACATGTTGCCCCTACAGAGTAGTTGTTGGTTAGTGTTCCTATTCTTTGCAGCATAGAATTAGATCATAAATACTCTGTTATGGTCACAGTGCATCCTGTGGCAATTGCTGCGGCTTCAAAACAGGCCAGGACACGCTTTGATAAGGCTAGCAAGGTCCCCTTGTTCAAGCTACGGGCAATCCACACTGACTTCGTATAGTGACCGATTGTATTAGGGACCTTTGGCCCCTCAAGAACACAACCGTGGATTCGCTCTTCAGATAGGGTCTGTTGTCTCAGGAAAGCAATGTTGTTGTATGCAGCAACGGCCGCATCAAAAGCATTGAGGCCTTTGTGAGGGTGTCCAGCTGCATGGGAAGCCCGGCCGTGATACTCGACGACCCATCTCTGCATAGCCAGTGTTGGAAGGCCTCCGATGGCGGTAATACTGGGATCAGCCTTCTCTGGGGAGATGGGATGGCTTCACAATCAATTAGACTGGCATTGTATCAAGCAGGTAAGTGATTAAACTCACGCCATGATAGCAGCGTCCACTCCTTTCATCGCTCCATTTTTGGTTAATACCACCTTTCCACCTTGGTTCTCTTCTGCTGGACAGCCTAACAATTGAATGCGGCCCGCAACACCATGCTTCTGTAATGCATAGTGGACACCAAGGAAGGCTGTAATACTAGTCGCGGCAATCAGATGATGGCCACATCCATGGCCAATTTCTGGAAGAGCATCATATTCCGCATCAATACTGATTAAACGTCCCCCTTCACCAGAAAGCGCCTCAAATGCAGTCTTCACGCCAAACGCATTTCTAGTGACTTTGAACCCAAGTTTCTCGAGGAAGTCACAGATGGTGTCATGAGCGATGTACTCTTCAAATGCAAGCTCTGGATTGTTGTAGATCTGGCAAATTCCTTTAGTATTTCAACTCAGCCAAGGAGCATTAATACGAACGTGTTGGATGACCGCGCGTAGATCTCCAGTGTGATTAGCAACTGATGCTTCAACTGTCTGTTGTACCCTCTGCAGTCTTTCCAGGGCCGTCAATGGCTGAGCATAAGGGTTGAGAGACATTTTTCACTCAGTTTATTTTCAAATGCGATTGGAAGTCAGAATCTAACGTGTGGATGAAATCTAGAGCTGTTGCTTTGAGGAAAGATCGCAAAATATATACTCATCACTCCTGTGGTTTTTTGATGACATCTTTCGTCTAAAACGCTACGGTTCACTGGCCAAGTTCAGCATTGTGCAAATAGGTGCTCGGTCAATTCTACGTAGTATCACTCTATGTTCATTTCGTTTCTTTCGCACAATCAAAAAAGTAGCGTTCATCGAGTGGGGATTCTCCTCGGGTGAGCTATAAATTGGCGAGATAAGTACCAGCCGAATTCGGCTATCAACAACCAATAAAATGCCTTTTCCCCGCACGGGGCTTGGTAGATATAAACGCAATAGTGTTATCTCGAGCCCGGATGTACATAGTGGCATAAATTAATTATGAATAATGCTGCTTACAAAAATGCCATGATCAAGCGTTAGCGCTTACCTTTCTCCAGTGCCAGACAACCTTATCTGCTCATACTGCCACCGACACTCGCTTGCTCGTTTATTATCTCTCATTAATACTAGGCTGCACCCGTATGGTTTCAGACCCAGCGGCCCTTGTCTACGCACTGCATATAGGCGACCTCGCCTAAAAAAAGCCGAGTGATGAGTGGCCGTCATGCACCTCGCAGTAAAAAGGGTATCGTAGTATGAGTCTTCTACCATTTACCCCAGCTAAGCGCTAATGATAAGGACTAGGCTGTTGGACATGCCGGGCTCGGAAAATAAAATGTGACGAAAATCGACCCCAATGCGACAAATGCCGGCCTGGCGATAGGACCTGTCGATATGGTCCCCGAGGAAGGGCTAAAAATAGACGGATCATAAGCCATGATAGGGTCAACATTGCTATTGCACCAGTTGCTGCACAAAACACAAGCAAGACTTCGGTGCCCGCATCAAAGACATTGCCATTTGGAATTTGCAATGAAGACTGGCCGTTCCCTCTTACAGAGCTAGACTGCCAGGCAATACAACATTATTCTAGACATGTTGTACCTCGAATGGTGCTTAAAACTCCACGATGGTCTAGCTATTCCTACGTATTATTCATGTGTGTCAGAAATAAGTTACTGGCACACCTCCTCCTTGCATTTTCGTTACGCGATATGGCCGAGTCACAGAACGAGAATAGTGTCATGTTCGCTTTAGAACATTATCAACTAGCCCTGGAGCTGTTTATACAGCACCTTGCCACCCCAGCTGTCGAGTCTTGGATTATATTCCCATCCTTATGGTTGTTTATCTTGTACGAACAAACCTATGGAGACGATCCGAAGATTCTACAGGCTCACCTTCGTGGAGTTCGGGATGTTATCGCAACCCACGGAACCAAGGTCCTTTCATGGTCAATTGATGAAAGGAAGATTTCAGAACAGGAATCTGGAGAAAATTACATTCCTTCCCAGATGATCAATAAGATGGCTGTTTGGACTATTCATTACGACGCCAAAGCTTCTACATTTGGACTCGATGGTGGGATCATTGATTTGCTCAACCAAAAATTTCCGGGTTCAATGCAAAGGCTGTGCGAGTCTTCAAAACATGCCTTGAAAAATGCTTGGGGACCTGCATACCCTGCATTTGAGGAGGTGTGGGATATGCAAGTTGATGATCTGTGGATGTTGAACCACGAGACTACCATGCTCCGTTTTGAGCTTTCCATACTGGAACGTAAAAGGGGCAAGATAGTCTCCAGTGAGAAAATTAATTTCGGAAAAAAACTTCGGATTATCGAAAAGGTATGTTTGGGCATTATGGTAGCAATCTGAAGATTGTAGACTGATGTTAACCATCAAACCTTAGAGATTTTCAAACTACGCATCTATTGCGCTTTCCAAACAACGCGAACGAAGTGATTTGGTCTCCAACATTTGCTCATTAGTGGCCGACCTTTATGCATTAATTGTTCGCTATGATCGAATTACATATCATATCCAGTCTTCGGCATTGTCTCCACTTCTGAAGGTTTGTGCTTATTTGTATGAGTATGAAGGCAGTTCCTTTTTGTGGCATATAGCATGGCCACTGTTTGTAGCGAGCTTTGAGACAGATGATCCAATTCACCAGTCATGGATCATTGATCGCTTCGAACAAATGGAGAAGACTGGCAAAAATATGAGGCGAGCTAAGATTATGTTGAAGGAGCTGTTTAAGACTAAGCGAGATATGTCACAGCCAGTAGATTACTATCTTGACTGGATAGTTGATAGCAAATTCGAGCAATTTTCAATTTAGCCTGGAACCTAATGGAATTAACAATGATACCTTCAGATGAGGGCATGCCGGAATGAATTGTATAGTGACCGGCGCCCGTGGATTGAATCGCGGTTGTCTCCAATAAGCCTTTCTACTCGATATTATCGATGATGCCAATAAAACCATCATATACTCCATTCTTATTCGTCAACTCATGTAACCCATGTCGCTATTTGTACTGCGATGGTCCTCGCTAGTGGCTTTACCGAGTTCGGCTTTTTTTGCCCAATCACAAACGTCGAACCCTCTGCCGGCCATAACCAAGATAGCGCCAGCCGAGCCCCTGAGATAGGAAAATGAAATTCAAAGAACATGCATTGTTCCGTAGAGTGGTGAAATATTGCCAATTTGCATATCAGTGGTGATGTACTTTTGCTGTTTTCCTATCTCACTCTCATGAAAAAATAGAGATATGTGCCAACCTAGAACAATGTAGGAAGGGTTATAAACACCAAAATGCATATCCTGGTGTAGATATTATCTGAAAATATTCGTGTTTAATTGTGACGTTTCATTAGTCCTTGATCCTTGTTCAAATATGAAGGAGGAGATCAAATCCCTGTCCCCAGCAAAATTGCCTGCCTACGACAATATGGCGCAGGAAATTGGCGAGATTATCGGCTCATCTGATCCTACAGTAAATAAGAGGCTGTTACGAAAGATTGATGGAATGTATGAGTTACCCATGCTAGGGTTCTCGGTTCAAAAACATGAACTCTCACAAGCTAACTCGCCCCTTAGACTGTTGCCTCTGCTAGGATTTACCTATCTACTTCAATTCTTAGACAAAATATCTCTTGGGTACACTTCTCTTCTAGGAATTCGTGCAGATTTGGTAGGTCATTATCAATCCATCACGATAATTGGTTCTTTCAAGATTGGCGAATGAATAGGCTCATATTTTTTGGCTCCAAGGGACTTGTGGGGGATCAATACTCCTGGGCTACATCCATTTTCTACTTTGGCTATTTTGCATGGTCCTTCCCCTCATCATGGCTTATTGTCAGACTTCCTCTTGGTAAATATCTAGCCATCGTTGTGTGAGTGAATTGAGAAAGTCTCATAACGTCTTGGATCTGCCTTCTTACATGAATAGTACTCTTTGGGGCATTGTGCTGGCCTGCCATGCGGCATGCCACAATTTTTCACAATTAATGGCAGTGCGTTTTGTGCTTGGCTTATTGGAGGCATCAATAGCTCCAGGATTCAGCTACTTGACCGGCATGTTCTACAAGCGTGACGAGCAACCGCTTCGGTAAGTCCACCCTCTCTAGGGGTGCTAGAAAACTCTTGAAATAATAATGTGTCCTAGTCATGGCATTTGGTACTTGGTATTTGGGCCTTTCTTAATCTGTGAGGACTAGGTCATTCCCTAATAACCTCACAGGGAAACTCTACCGCTGGACTTTTTGGCGGGGTAATTTCGTGGGCTATCGGCCATCTTCACGGATCTTTATTTTCTTGGCAATATCTTTTCATCATCTACGGCTGTATCACAGCGGGGTGGGGAATCGTTCTTTTCTTTCTCCTTCCAAGCTCACCAGTCACAGCACCCTTTCTCAACAAACAAGAAGGTATCATTGCTGTTGCACGCACCAAGGATACACAACAAAAAGTCAATTCCAAACAGTTCAAGAATTACCAAGTGTGGGAGGCCTTGCATGATCCGCAAGCGTGGCTCCTGTGCTCAAATATGTTTGGCTGTATGCTTGTCAATTCCGGCTTTTCCGCGGTAAGATAAGCGGTTTAATTCTATATGCGTGACATATGTCCAGAATTAATCTGACATAGCTGAAGTTTGTTGGTATCATAATTTCTGGTTTTGGATACTCAGGGCTCCAATCTCTCCTGTATCAAATGCCAGGATCGGCAGTCCAAGTTGGTCTCGTCGCAATAACTTCCGTCTGTGGAAGTTACATTCCGAATTGCCGAACAATTATTCTGGCAATTTTATCTCTGATCAGGTCAGTGGAATATGATAGCCAAACATATAGCCCCTCGTCAGTGTCCCGCCACTGACTATTTGAAGTCTGGTCGGAGTTGTGTTGGTATATGTATTGGACGACCAGTATAAACATGCCAAGCTTTTTGCCATATCCATAATGGGTGCCTACGCCGTTAATTTGCCCATAAGTATGTCAATGGTCTCAACTAATATCGTTGGAAATACAAAAAAAACCACAGTCAGCGCTATGCTGTTTGTTTCATACTGTGCCGGTAACATCATCAGCCCTCAAGTATTTCTGTCTCGCGAGGAACCCAGATACCCGGTAAGTCCTGCCGCTTTCTATTTTGTCACTATTCAATTAAAATGCCCTTGGCTACTTTGGACTAATTGGACAAAGACTGGGATCAAAGTATGCCTTGCGGGACTTTCATTATCGTGTGTCTGTGCTCTGGGATTGAGAATTTATCTTCAATATTTAAATAGACAGAGAAGAAAGGGAGAAAGCAACGCGAGCAGCAGCAGCTATGAGAACAATGAGGATTGGACAGACAGAGAAATACCTAACTTCATCTACATGTATTGAGTTCACTCAGATGAAGACTCAAGCCAATGGCTAAGGAGGCAAATAGTCAAGCAATCTGATAAATACGTCTCTCCTATTTAATAATACAAAATCCCTTCGGCTTAAGAACGGACACACCAAATTCAATTTCCCTATATGAATATCTTCAGAAACACACAACATTCCGCGGAAAGAATTTTCATTCCGCTCAAACACTCGGAAAACTTATGTTACCTCAACCACCGTGCCTCCAAATGACTGTTCCTCAGCTACTGATAAAGTTCCCGATACACCTGGGCTCTCTGATCCTTCTGTCACACTGGGAATCTTGGGTTGAAGCTCCTGAGCAGGTGTAGGTGGAGTTACCATCGCAGATCTTACAGACCACATTCCCCAGAAAACCTCGCTTAGCCGAGCGGCAGAGTCAAAGCCACGATCGGCCATGAGTTTAAAAGCTCGCTGGCACCAATCAAACTGCTCCATACTTCCACGATCGACTGCAATCTTGCATAATTGGCAGAGCGAGAATATAACGGTATGGACGCCCCATGATTTCATTTTGTCTTGAACACAATAGGGAATAGCGCGTCCGATCTGATCGGCATAGAATCCGGAAAGTAGATAATCCTCGTCATCAAGCATACCGCCAGCTATAGGAGAGCTGGGAATATATTCCGATGTCTCGTATGCCTTGACAAGGGATCTGATTTGGGAGATCAGAGGGTGGATAATAGAAGCTAATGTCCAGAACATGGTATGGAGTCTTGCATTATCGAGTGAAAGAAATCGATAAGGTGCTCCAAACATATGATCTGCCGGGGGAAGCTGAGAGCACAGCACTTCTCCCCGGGCACATGAGACAGGTCCGGTTTGAAGATTTTCCGATGACCATGCTAGTAGCTTCTTTTTATGACCTAGGCATTTTTGCAGCAAAGATTTGCACCCTTCATGATCTGCAGGATCAGCCTTATTGATAGCAACGGCCAAGGGTGCAAAGCCAGCAAAAAGACTGAGCAACTCGACTACTGGGTTACCTTCACTTGGCTGAGTTACGTATTCATAGTCTTCTTGGGACATGTTGATTCCCTTTGCTGAGAATACCTGGAAAAGATCAGTTGCAGGATCCTCAAATTTTGACCGAGGGCAGAACTTACAATTCTTAGTTTTTGATATTCATGATAAATCGCGTTGACGAGAGGGCTCCGGTCCGCTCGGTGACGGTAGTGGCTCAAAATAGCGTTGGTCCCGGCGATATGCGCAACCCAGGCTTGCAGACCATGGGGACAATAACACGTCTTGTACACGAGAAATTAGCTTGCTTGAAATATCTCGGACTATGGGAGACAGAAATCACGTACTTCTAACTCCTGAAAGATAACCGTAGTGTAGATGATATCGTCGGAGTATGCATCGCGGCTTATCATGCTCGACATATGTCGTATGGCAATATTATATAGCTGAATTCCATATTGAAATATCCGGTCATCGTTATTTAATTTTCCCAGATAAGCACATGAGATGGCAGAAACGGCCTTTTGCAACATAGTTGACTTTTGGGGGAGCGCGGAAATCCCCGAGATCAGGTAGTGCCATAGATCTACCGAGGAGTGGGCCTCCTGATTGGGAAAGAAGATATCGATGTACGACGAGAAGACCTGCTCTCTCAATGCAGGTCCCGACGTAACGACTTGTGGGATGACCCAGTCGACAGGTGGAATCTGCACCCCCTTAACATAAGAACCCACGTTGTTGGATCCCCTCGGCTTGACGGTCGCGTCGTGGACGAAGATGCGGTTACCATCGTAACCTTCACACTTCAAGCCACGTTTGATGCATCTTCCGCACTCAGGCTCTTGTCTGTCACACTGTGTTCAATGTGATCGATCAGCAACCCACTGCCCTAGCTAGCGAAGACCTTCCCGACCGACCTTGATCTTGCGACGTTTACAAGTTCGGCAACCTTTCGACTGCCACGGAATACCGCCCATTTTGTCGTCTATAGGGCTTGTTTGGCTTGAGATATGACCTGTCCGGTCGACTTTGGATCTGATGGAGCCAAGGGGGGCCAAAGGATTTAAGATAGAGGCCCCGACCGAAAGGACTCTCGGGGCCTGGGCGTTTTGGTGTTTTGGCCCCCACTCAGAAGCTAGTTGGCCCCCTGATTGACGTTGCCTTTGGCCCAGAGATGATCATGAACCGGCAAATGCGGATGTAGCATCGTTGATGCTGACGCGGAGGTAAGACGGAGGTTTCTTTCCCAATAGTCCAATCAACACCCTGGTATAAACTTGTTGAAGCTGACACTTTCACCTATCGCCAAGATTACAGCGGTTGTCGATTCCGTCTCGCTTGGCGACGCCCCATGTGGGGAGATAATATAAACTTTACCACTAGAATATAGGACCTGTGAAGAGGGCGCATTTTGGGTTTTGGGTCTGCCCTGTCCGAGTGGGCGCTCACAACAAATCTTCCGAAAAAGTTTTCTCGGCCTTCATGGTCCTGAGTTTGAAGGCAGCGATGTTCTATGGAGTTCGATAGACACTCGTCCTACGAAGTCATATCGCCGATTGGTCCCCTTTCGCCATTCCGGAACAGCCGATTCAATAATCACAATGCCGTCTAACCACTTTATAGATTTAGGCGCATTACTACTGTGATCGTCCTGGAGAATCTCAGGAGAAAAGGTGGGAAGCATTTTGAGTCTGCTCGTATCAAGGGGACAACCATAATGTCAGAGGTATTCGTCTTTCTTGAAATCTTCCAGGTTGCAAAGTGAATCTGGCCCAAACAAGGCTTGTCTGATAGCCGCTCAATTGAGTATAAGTTCTTCTGGTCGCGTACGCCCCCTTTAGACTTCTGAAACATGCAATCATAGGGTCACATGGCCTTCTGCGCTTGGTTCTTGCTGCTGTCTGACCCTGTTTGAGTTACGTGGCATCTGGTTTTCCCGCGGGGAAATATCAGCAACCGGATTGAACCTACATGGTAAAGCATCTTGATTCACGACTAGGCTCGGTATTTTGTTTTCAAGTCTACATAGTTTTGTTAGAGTTTGTTTCAAATGGGAATCAAAGCACGGTGCCCTAGTTACCGACCACAACGCAAAACTGCCGAAGAGCTCGCAAATCCGGAGGCAATGAGTAATAATAGTTCCACTTCGAAGGCATTCACCTCCAATAGAACGTTTCAATCTTCATAATGGCGTCATCGCCTTGTTGATCATGGGACTCCACATAATAGTGTCCCTTGAAGGTGCGGGGTTCGGTAGTAGATGCGGATATCCCGAAGAATAGCCGGTGGCACTACAAAAAGGTGTATTATTCAAAAGAAATGAGTCTGCAGGTTTGCAGAAAAAGCCAATTAGTGTCTTAAAGTTTAAGAAAGATGTGGTTTGGGCCCATAATGTGTAGCCTGCCTTTGAGTATTGCTCGCCTACTTACAGGTCTCTTACTGTGGACACAATTTGGTTTCACAGCAACAGTCCCGGAGCCACCAAAACTTTCATTTCTCTACACAGCATATGTGGAGTGTGAAGATAATCTTATGACCGCAGCGGTTGGCCCGCATGGAATCCGAAAGGCCATCCCCATTATAGGCGGAAATTTTAGCGGTCCGCATCTATCTGGTAAGGACAATGTCAATTCTGTCGTGATAAAAAGGTTCATTCAGCACTGTATCTAAACAGTACAGGGAAAATTCTCAATGTTGGGGCCGATTGGGGATTAACAGATCCCCACACAAACATCTTTTCAGCGGATACTCGATACAATCTCCGCACAGATGATGGGGCAGATATCTTCATTCAAACTTCCGGGCCCAAGGCACCGGATAATCATCTACACTTACGCCTTGTCTTCGAAACAGGGAGTCCAAAGTACTATTGGTTGAATAATATTGTTGGTGAGTCCCCCGATATAGACCTGCATTCTCGAGTGCCGGGAATATTGCTCATACGTATTCACATGTGATACTAGCAATCGGTATTTTAACTTCTGGCCTCCCGGCGCCCAGCAATATAAGCTTATTACGAATCGACGCATGGAATGTGAGTTTATACAATAGAGAAAGAACATTCTATGTTGATTTGACTAATAAGATACTATCTTCAGTTTGCTTCGGATTGGAATGCGACTCACTTTGTCAATACCTCTGCGGCTGTATAGTTCAACCGCGAGAATGCAGCTAGAAAATAAGAAATTTGTTCCATAGGCTATCTTTACTATTATTCATATTTTATCTTTCTTGCTTCTTGGAGTTGTTGAACATTCATGTTCCAACGTCTATTGCCGATCTATGGGACTCAGCCATGTCCATATCCAATCAGACCAAGCCCCATTGGAACGTGTATGTACAACCCCAAAGTCTATGGTGATTGGTAAGGCCTCTATCATTCAACAGTTTGGCTTGTCTCCGCCATTTTGCGCTGCATTGCACAACCTTGAAGGTGTCCAGGCTCTATGATGTTTCAATCCAATCTAGCTGTGCGGTGTTGGTTCTACTAACAGAGCGATCACAATACGACTAAGAGGTGTTTGGATTGACTTTCAGCTGAAGTAATGATCTCAAAGGACTCTAAAAAGGAACTGGAGCCACCTTTAAAAGTGTATCGTAAATTTCTCTACCGGAATAACCCTAGCTAGGCATAGACCCATCTGACTAGTCTATTGGGATGAAACAGGCTTATTACTTCCTCTCGCGAACATTGAATATGATGCATATGGTCCATTCATTGAGCAAGATTTTTGTTGCATGCTTGTAATACTTCCCCTGTCATGCATAGGGTTCATGTCAAATACTATCATCCGTGCCTACACACTCCCACAACTCGAAAGGGTAGGCGGCGAGACCTGACTGTTTAATTCAAACTCCATCAAGTGGGTTGGGATTCAGGAAATCTTTTTCTCTCGTCAGGAATGCGTGGTTCTACAGCGTGAAGTATTTGAGACTTGACAAGGAGTGGCGATTGGTCGGCTAAGCTAGATACTACCTAAAGTATTCCAAGTCCATCATAGATGGGCCATGAATCAAACAGTTTAGAACCAAAATAACACACAAGTCACCAAGACGGTACAAAAGCAAGGAAAAGCAAAAATCAACAAGGACGCAAATAAGAGGTCATGTTTTGATTGAACTGACAAACATAACACACAAATCCACTGCTTTACTCGTCGTCCTCGCTGTCATCCTCATCCTCGCTCTCGGCATTTTCAAGCCACTCCAGGAAAGGCTGGGCAGACTTGCGAATCTTCTTGCTGGTAGAAATATCGACGTACTTCTTGCTGGCCTTAGCGCCCCATGCCTTGATGGTTTCCTCGGACACAATATCGTTCTGATAGTATCCAAGAAGGATAGCAGGGACCTGAGTGATCAAGGCCGGGTGATCTTGCCCAACAAAGCGCTCGGTTCCGCCAAGGAAGGCCTTCTCATGGCGCTCGGAAGTGATCATCTTCTTGAGCAGGGGAGCACGGTCCTCGATTTGCTTGGCGATCTTGTCGTTGAAAATGCTCTGTGCCAGGACGGCAACAGTCTTGTGTTTGGCCTCGATACCGAATTCCTTGGCCTTCATGTAGATCTCGACGTCGCTAACCTTGCTCACATCGCCCTTCTCTTCAGCAGTCTCAAGGATCCAGCTGCCGAGCTGCTCGTAAGACGATGGGCCATCAGCCTCATCATCGTCGCCATCCTCCAAAACCAATGAGCGCTTGAGGTCATCAGGGAGGTCCTTGGCGCGAGCCTTGACCGCCTCCTCGGACACGTCGACAGCCCAGTCGTCGTCCTGGATCTCGGCTTTCGCCGCGATGGTTTGGGCTTCGGACTTGATGCGGCGGGTAAGCTCATCATCGCTACCAGCTTCGGGGATGTAATCGCCGTTTTCATCACCATCCTCGGAGTTGTTGCTGTCGATAGGACTAGCATCCTCGCCATTAGCAGCTTGTTTCTTCTGCTCACGGCGCGCCTTCTTGTCCTTCTTGTCCTTCTTCCCTCCCTTGGGATTGTTACGGACGATGAAGGTGCTCAGCTTGAGGCGAGGATCAACGTCAGTGCGCTGACCGCAGGCCTTGCAGTCTAGGGTGATCTTGTCGCCGTTGATAATGACATCAGTCTCGGGGTTTTTGCACTTCTTGCACAGCACAAACTTGGAGATGAAGCCATCGAGATAGTCCTGAAGCTTGGGAGCGTCATGAGCACCGTTGATGATCCATCGGTCGTCGGTCGGCTTGGCATTGGCCTGGGCACCCAATTCAAAGCCAAAGTACTTGATGACATAGGCAGGAGGGCGGCTGAGGGACTGGGCGACTGAGTTCAGATTGACGATGACGGTCTTAATACCGTTGCCTTTGCCCTCGATCTTGGACTGCAGGCGTTCCATCTTGTACCGGTAGAAGGGATCGGTGACATCCCGACGAATGTTGACAGTGGCCATGATGACGGTTGAGAAGGTTTAACTGGAGAATTGCTCAAGAGAACGGAACGGTGGGCTTGCGAAAAAGGAAGCGGGAGGGAATTGTAACCGAAATGTTGTCGACGGAACAAGACATGCGTGTCGAGTATCGGGATTTTGGGGTTTTGGGGGGTTTGAGGGAGGTGTTGCTGTTTCGATGGAACAGGTTGTGGGAGTGTTGGTTGATCTCACAAACAGAATTCACAGCGAAAACAGGGAATCCGAAGATGGGTATTCAGCCACAAGACCGAAGGTGTATACTGCAAGGTTTCGGCGCGCGAAACGTTTGCAGCTTGAGCGGCAGGTGGTGTTCGAAATTTTGCACGGAGGACGAATACATGAACGAATTCGCAATGGACTTCCTGGGTGGCTTTCTCTTGGGAGCGAGAACGACCAAAGGTGTTCTTGGGGGAAACCGAGTCAGAGGTCGGAGACCCTGTGGCAGAAGATTGAAGATAGTGATGATGGCGATGCCAAACTAACCAGAGGTGAAAGCTGGGAAAAAAGGCGTAAACTGTGCAGAACAGTCGACGCAGATGGCAAAGGCTTCGTGAAGTTACTCGAGCCGGAAAGATGAATGGGAGATGAGTTGGACAGAAGTGGGCAACGAAGAAAAGAAAGAGGATTTTAAGCGGGCCCTGCTTAGGTCAGCTGGCACGTGGTCTCGGACTTAGTGGTCCGTGAAGAACAACACGTCTTGTTCATCGGCTGCCTCACGACTCATCGGATGTCGGGGAAACCCGTCGTCGGACTTTGCTGCCTAGACAGCCAGCATTGAAGTCAACCACTTCTGCCCCTCCGCCCTCCGGAGATACAAGGCGCACTGCGCGATGAGGCCAACCGAGCCCCACCAAAAACCCAACGGTGCCGGATCGCCGTGCTCCTTTCGCGCTCAACCCATCGCCCCCCCCTTGTTCACCGCTCACAGCTCCGCCTTGGCCCGAAACAGCCGAGTATCCGAGTATCCGATTGTCTCAATTGCCCGTTCGTGCTCCATAAAGTCATCTAAGGCTGCGCAATAGTTTGTGGTTTTATATCTCTTTTCAATCTTGGAAGTCCGAGAGTGACGCGACTCTGATGATTCTGTAACGAGTACACCTGTCTCGCCCGTATTAAACCAACTCAACATTCGGTCGCCAGATCAATTGACTGCAAGATAGGACGCCAAAAGGGAACGTTGTCTCGAGACGACCGTAGATATGACCGACCAGAAGGATACATATATCAACCGTCCAGAACGGTCACTCTGGCGTGTGTTCATGAAAAACAACCCCCGTAGTTATCTAGTTCACCGCCCACATACAATCCGTAGAACACATCCTATCCAACAGCAAGAAGAGGAGCCTGCCATGCGGTTAAATTTCTCTCTAATTTGACGTTGTAGCCATTTCTTAGAAGCCATCCAGAGTACCAACCGACGCAAGCCCTCAGACGCGATCCATATCGGTGAAAGTCTATCGATGCCCTTGAGGACAACAACATTTTTCTGCCGGTCAAATCCCAACATTGTCCCGCCATGATTCACGATTGTCCGTTCGTGACCCTCACTTCCGTCCCCGAGGGGCTCGCATCAAATCTGACCTTGAGGGATTTGGAGTGATATTGACAGTCGTCACACAAGCACGTCATCTGTCTGGTGCAAAGAGTCGTACTGCCCGGTCCGTTTATCACAAGTGGGCAAGACCAGAAGATTTTACAAAATAGAGCCGCCATGCCACTTGATCTCTCGCTGTACCTGGTGACAGACTCCACGCCGGCAATCCTCAAAGGCCGAGATCTGTGCGCAGTAGTTGAGGAGGCACTCAAGGGAGGTAAGCACTCTGTATGACCCGATTTCTGGCTTGCAATTGGGACAAACCTAATGGCCCGAAATATAGGTGTCACCGTAGTGCAATATCGGGACAAGAAAAGCGACACCGGAGACTTGATCGCCACGGCCAGCAAGCTGCACCAGCTCACCCAGAAATATGGTGTCCCTCTCCTGATCAATGATCGTGTTGATGTCGCCCTTGCGATTGGAGCGGAGGGTGTGCACTTGGGTCAAGATGATATGAGTAGGTGTGCCACTTTCCCCCAATTGCTGGTGTTCCACGGGGTCTAACTGCCAACCAAATCAGACTTTTCGCAGGCCAAACGACTTCTTTCCAAGGATTCAATCATCGGTATTAGCACCTCGAACCTGGAAGAAGCCCGCAAGGCCATCGCCGATGGGGCGGATTACTTGGGCATCGGAACAATGTTTGCCACGCCAACGTAAGTGTTTGCGGATACTGCAATACAAGCACCCACCAACTGACAATTGTAAAGCAAGACGAACACAAAGTCGGTCATTGGCACTGCAGGCACCCAGGCTATTCTTAGTGAAATCAGCGATTCGTCAGTGGGCACTGTCTCTATTGGCGGCATCAACCACGCCAACGTCCAGCGAGTCATCTACCAATCCAAGTCGCCGAAGAAGGCATTGGACGGTGTGGCAATTGTCAGTGCCATCATGGCGGCTGATGACCCCAAGGCATCGGCTGAAAAGTTTGCACAACTGATTAAGAGCCCTCCCCCGTTTGTATTGACCGCACAGACGCCCCGGGCCAACGAGGCCGAAGCCTTGCTGCAAGAAGTCCCCGCTATCGTCCGCAAGATGGTTGAGGTCCACCCGCTCGTCCACAACATGATCAATTTCGTTGTCGCTAACTTTGTGGCCAACGTCGCGCTCTCTATGTACGTTTTTGGCTTTCATGCCGTGGGGCATTTCCTAAATACTGATTATAATAATAGTGGTGCATCTCCTATCATGTCTCCCTACGGCGATGAGGCTAAAGATTTGTGCAAATTCGACGGGGCTCTTCTCATCAACATGGGTACACTGACCAGTGAAAGTGTCTCCAACTACCAGAAAGCTCTTAGGGCGTACAACGAACGCGGAAACCCCGTCATCTACGATCCCGTTGGCGCCGCTGCAACTGAGATCCGTCGAAACGCGGTATCTCAGCTGATGGCAGGCGGCTACTTTGATCTCATCAAGGGCAACGAGGGAGAGATCCGACAAGCATGGGGAAGCAACACTGTGCAGCAGCGCGGTGTTGATAGTGGCCCAAGCACATTGGATGGTCGGCAGAAGGCCCAATTAGCACGAGACTTGGCCAAGCGAGAGCGTCAGTACCCTCATTAATCACTATTTTGACTTCGCATTGTTATCTTTATTATGCTAATACCTTTACAGGCAATGTGGTCCTCTTGACTGGAGCTGTAGACTACCTAAGCGACGGTGATCGCGTTATTGCTGTGGAGAATGGCCACCCCTACCTAGGCCAAGTCACTGGGGTATGTTGCACTTCAATCTCGACCCCACAATTAGGTTTCAAATTACTAACAATCTAAATCGTTAGACTGGTTGTGCCATTGGCTCCATCTCGGGCTGCTTCCTAACTGCCCACCGCTCGGATAAACTGCTCGCCGTGCTGTCGGGTATTCTGATGTATGAAATTGCAGCCGAGAACGCGGCATCCAAGGAGTATGTCCGCGGCCCTGGGAGCTTTGTACCTGCTTTTCTTGATGAACTATATGCAATTCGGACAGCCGCAGCCAAGGGCGACGATAGCTGGTTCACAGGAAGGGCAAAGGTACATGAGGTAAAGCTCTAGGCTTCGAAGTTAAGATAGATGTGTACATGACCGCATAAAAGTGAATAATTCTATTTATTTGAATCCAAACTTGGTATCATCATGATTTCCATGCCCTGCTTATGCATGTAACGCTGCCCGTAGCCTTCCATATAGACGGCATGGGAGCCGCTCCGCAGTTCCCCTCGGCCGCTTCCCCGCATCTCCGAAGGTTCCCCGCCCGGCATCCGCCGCTGAGCACCTTCCTCTCTTCTACACAACATACAGGGCTCTCTATATCTCCATCCCCGGAATACAGCCATAACAGTCATCATGGCCGCAATTCGTGCCAGTCGCATTCGTAAGACTTATCCACAACCCATTGGATAAACCTCCAGCTAACCTGATCTAGGGAACCCCGCATTATTGTGTGTTACAAGAATCTGACAACCTATCTACAATGTATCTCTCAAGTCCACCACCACAACTAACACCATCCGCAGCGTCTGCGATATCCAAGAGAAATTCCGCAATGTGATCTATGAATTTCCCAAGCTGTAAGCCACCGCCCTCACCCAGCGCACATGCCACTCCCACTCAAAAACTTCTGCCATCCTAGCGTAACAACAACGACCAAAGTGGTCCGCGCCGCAGAAATCCTCCAAATCCCGACCTTCATCACGACCCAGAACCGCGCCAAACTGGGCGACACCATTCCCGAGCTGGCTTCGCACCTGAAAGGCGAGCACATCAAAGCCGACGTCGACAAGACCCTGTTCTCGATGGTCACGCCCGAAATCGAGAAGCTGCTGCCGGTGAAGGCGCAGGATCCGTTAGATGTTGTAATTGTGGGTATTGAGACGCATATCTGCGTGACGCAGACAGCACTGGACCTGCTGGCGCGCGGGCACCGTGTGTACGTGTTGGTGGACGGGGTCAGCAGCGTGAACGCGGAGGAGCGGGGCATTGCGCTGGCGCGGCTGAGGGATGCGGGGGCTATCGTGACAAGTAGCGAGAGCGTGTTGTTTGAGATCGTGGGGGATGCGGGGCACGAGGCGTTCCGCGCGATCAGTGGGCTGGTGAAGGAGACGAAGGATGAGACGAAGGGGGCGTTGGGGGTGTTTTCGAAGATTTGAAGGGAGCAGAATCTTTGTTAGCCCGGAGAATATGTGTGAAATTTGTACCCGGGTAGATCACTCTGATAAATTGATGAGAAATAGGGAATATCGAGTATAGCTTTGTTTACTGGGAATAGAGAAACAATATTTTCCTTGTGTTTGCTTAATGTCGTTTTTGATATGGCTATCAATCGTGAACTACATATTCCCTTGCATGGCGAACAGAGCCCGGGAGATGAAGGGACAGAAGAGAGTGGAAGAAAAGTAACGCCCCCGCCAGGAGAAATACCAAAAGCGCCGGCCCTTGTTTCCCTGAAAGACATCCACCTTTGGATTTTTGGGTGCGGTAAAAAGTCCCGCGGTAATCAAAAGTCGCTCGCTAAGGCCTTTAAAAATGAAAATCAAAGAAAGAGATTTGCTCATCCCAATGCCATTCTATCTCGGATTGGCCGTGGCGCGGCTGGTCGTGTTGAGCCATCCGAAAGCGGAAGCACCGCCTATAGGATTGGGCGCCCATGCTTTGCCTGGACGACTATCATCAGTGAGCGAGCGAGCAGTGGATTGAGTAGGAGTGCTGCTGTGCTCGGTAGTGGTGCTGGTGGGGATAGACATGGTGGAGCTTGCTCGAGTTGCTAGCTTGGTGGGCTTGAGAACTGTCATGGTTCGCGCCTTGGCCTTGGCGGCGTTGGTGGATTCGGACTTTTGCTCGCGGCGCCAGGATTTCCAGACACCAAGTGCCTCGGCCTTGGTCTCTGCAGACTCATCGCCTGTGGCCGTGAGAGACGAGGTCTCCACCGAGCCTTCCATGTTGGCAGGATCGTGGAGACTGTGCTTCTTTTCCTTATCGGCTTCGCCAATTGAGACACGGGTAGGTGCAGACGCTGAGGTGGACTGCTCCAGGATCGGCGACTGGCTAATCACGCCCGGGGCGCCCTGTCCATTCACATGGGTGGCCAAGGGAAAATCAGGATGTGAAGTATCGGAAACTGTCTGTAAAAATTTGAATACAGAATCTTTCTCCGGGCGCACAATGGGAATAGAGATACGGTTGCGCTCATCGTCTACCATGACAATCTTGTCCTGGGAGAACAAAACATCGGCATTGTGGGAGCGCAACATGTCACTTCCAAGAATGATCTGAATGCTTTCATCCGATGGGTCTGCTTCACGAACCAAGAACCGGATTGTCACACATGGAAGATGGGGGACCGGGCTATTGGGCCGAGAGGAAGACTTGTGGACGCTGGCCTCGGGAAGATACAGTGTAATCTTGGCGAACAGGCGTCCATCTAGGTCATATTCTATCTGGTCCTCCAATCCAAGTTTGTGGACCATGGAGGAGGTCAGAGACGAGAAGAATGAGCCCGAGCAGACAGCCGCGTACAGAAGAGACTCGTTAGAGAAGGTCGTAGTTAACCAGCACCGAATGATACAAGGCGAGGGGCCCAACAAAAAGAGTCCTGGGGGCGGTGTCAGTGGGGATTCGCCAAGGGAAGAACTCATCAGACGGCTAGTTGTGTCCAATCCAAGACTGTTCGTTCGGGTGGAATGAAGTGAGAGAGCAGAAGAACTCTGACGGCCGTCTGATCGGTGCGACAGGGATCGCTCCGTCAATGGGTGGCTCCCCATTCCACTGCCTGTTCGGAGTGGGAGTTCGGTACTTGACCGGTTGGTCTGCCCGTAATACCCATGGATCGCACTCTCATCAAAGCGCACGCTGTTGGCTCGCGAGGCACCCCGTCGTGGCTCATCCTCCCCGTCGAGGCCAGGTGCAGAACTGGACATGGTATGATGTTGACCTTGGTCAAAGCCCTTGAAAGCATCAGGAGGGGAGTTGAATAGGTTTTCTACAAATACATATTAGCGTCCACCAAGTGTTTCAATGATCATATATATGAATCGTGAGTTGGACAAGCCACAAGAATGATCATACCTGCGGGGATCGAGCCTCCCACGGGTGTGGGAAACGGTGACATAGGGGGGCCCCAGACACTTTTCAAGCGTGCATCCTCGTCGCGGCGACGCTCTAGTCGGGCAATCCGCTCTGCCTGTTCAAACTGTGCAATGTGCAGCTCCTTCAGCTCGTCAAAGACGCGCCAGATGTCGTCTCGGGAGGCGAAGGGATACTGTGCATCCATCACCAGGGAGGATGAGACAAGGGACTTGGTGAATCCAGAGCAAAGAACGGGACGTGAAATAAGACTCGATTATGTGGCACTAGGCCGAAGAGACAGCCCACCCGGTATTCAAACCTCTTGAGGCCAAAAGTTGAGGGCTTGCTTGATCACCGCCACCTGGCATCAACGTGAACTTTCTGATGAACGCCCCGACGACATCCGACTATCTCCTCCCTCCTTCAGTCTGTGTGACGGCCCCTGGGGCCGTCCACGAGTTATGAGATGCAGAAGATTGTGGGTGCGTTCAAGGCATGTGAAGGTATGTCCTGCGAGTTTGGGATGGAAGAGCGAGGGGAAGCGATAAAAGTCGTCGGAAACGTAAGAGTTTTTCGTGGTGTGGCGAGGAGGGAAAAGAAGATAGGTTGTGAGATGGAGATAGTCGAGTCAGGGGGGTGGGGTGTGATTGATGCGGTCGAAAGTACAACTGAGGTGAGAGCTGCCTGTTTCGAGGGTCTGAAGTGAAATTCGGAGACGGGATGGCTGAGAGGGGTCCAACAAGCCGCAGGACTCGGGGCCAACGACACAGAGGTTCGAATGCAGCTCTTATCGAGTCGACAGCGGGCTGATCGTGAGAGTGAGTACGGTCATGCACAGAGATCGGGGGTTGCAAAAGGACGAGATCTGGGGGTAGCGGAGGAGACGGGCGTCATGCAGGAGAGGGGCCGAGCGGATCTAGACCGCTTCCGTACAATGCTCCACTAACGGTCTCCTCCCTATCCACAACAAAGGGTCTTGATAGTTGAATGAGGATGGTCTCTACTAATGATGGATAGCAGGGTATCGACATTGGTCATTTCTAGTTCATCCTGGCGGGGTGGTTCTATGGGGTTGTTTATTCTAAAGAGGTCGCTAAACTAGCAAATTGAGAACTATATAATTGGCGCCTTTCTAGATCAATCACGGCCCCTTCACTTCGGGGCCACTCCCCAAGCAGGAAACACCATAGAAAGGACTTCGGGAGCTTGATCTGGGTAATTGGCGCGAATTACCTTCAAAACTTCATCAAAAACAATACGATACCCCTCAGGGGTTAAGTGCAGGCCTATATCCACCACAGGTCAGTATACGATGAAAATGAATTGCCACACATATAACAGGATATCAAGAGGACTGACCATCAGTGAACAGGCTGGCAAATTTTTCACTGTTTGGCACATCTCGAGAGCCGACGAGGGCCTGGCCTTCTTGCCAGCCAGCTGCCGTCATGAATTCCGACCACACATCGGCTACCGGGACGTTCAAGGATGCGCCCACTTCTTTGGCTGCCTCGGCATATCGTTTAGCCGACTCGGCCGTCCGACTTGGATGAGGTGTTTCCTTGACGTTGTCAAAGTCCTCTAGCTGGTACTCGTTGACGGGCGGGGGGGTGATGATGATGATGCGGGGGTCCTGAGCACGGACGAGCGGGTGGTGGATGATTTTCTGCAGATTCTCCTTGTACACGGCCACCGGAACATGCTGCTCATGAGTGGGGACACAGGCATCGTTGGCACCGAAAAAAATAGTCTGATCGATTGATGTTAGATCACAATGTTGCACTTCCCGCTGCCATTGCCGTTATGCATGTCAGGCAGAGGCCGGGGAGGGGATCTGTACCATGAGTCGTACATTGGCCGTCTGGGGCGCCGGAAAAAAATGGGGGAGGACCTGGATGGCATGGGCAGTTGTATAACCACTATGTACTTGACAGTTAGCTTGTCATACACGCCCGATCTCCTGCGCAATGCGCAGGCTTGTTGGAATGCTTGCAGTGCCTACCCGAATCCTCGGTTGATCACGTCCAGTCTCCGGCTGTAGACTAATTGAGCAATCAGTTTGGGGTTCCTAGATGTCAGATTACGGGTGAGGCTGCCAACCTTCCTGGAGCTGTGCACCGAAGGCAAATCCGAGGGCCTGGTTGTAGCTCATCTCCGTGATCGAGTCTCCGAAGAGCAGGAACTGGTCGTACGGCTTGGCGGCATTTTCGCTGCCCTGTGTGGCGACTGTGCTCATGGCGAATGTACAGTAGCCGACACAATGAATGTACAGACGGTGCGTTTCTAGATAGTTTCAATATCAAATACAAGACAGGATGCCGAGGAGGGTTTTAAGTCGGTCGGGCTTTGTTTGGTGGGGTTGGCCGAGTGTCCGCACGTCCGTGGACAAAGCGGGAAGAAGTGGAGAGTACGCGATTGTGGCTCCGTCTTATCGTCTATCTGTTATCGGGGGTTTCTCCACCAATTGAGCGCAAGTCCAGTCGACATTACGGCACGGAGGACTCGGTCATGATAAACATGAGCGTAGAACGGGAGCGAACGGGAGAATAGGCGATGATTCTATACCCATCTCATTGTTGTATCAGCGCTCTATGCAATTTGGAAACCCCGGTGGGCGGGATCTTCATTCTCTGCTATATTAACTGCCCCCCTTCTCCAGTTTCGACCGCGGGGCGAATCCTACAGGACGCGGCCAATGATGCCCCGCCTGTAATGTTCGGCCAAGCGCCTACAAAGCTAATGTATAGGTAGACTTGCTTTCTCCAGAAGGGTGCTCCTCAAATAGGGAGCGATCGATCGGATGCATGCACTCCTGCATTGTGGGCTAAGCCCATCGGATCCGGGGCCGTTGAGCTGCCGATCGATGCACGCCTCGTTGGCTAAAGAGCCAAAGCGTCCTGCACCGAGCCAGCCACCACCGGCATCCAAAAATGAACACCATTGCTGTTTGGCCCAGTGATTGATAAGTAGATTTCCGGGTTTGAGGCCAAGATGCGAGTCCTGCTTCCGAGACCAGTGACTTGGAGCACCTAGCGATTACTGTGGGGGGCAGCAGACACGGAGCTTGGACATCTCCAAACTACAGGGACAGACACACGAGGTAGTCAGGATTCATGCCGTCGCACGGTGGGTGTCTCAGTCTCGGTAATGCGAGATGGCGAGATAATGACACGAGGCCAGCCAGACACCCGCTGGCCCCGGGCAGTGCCGCCCGGAATGAACTTAAAAGATTCAGGCCTTTCGTAGCCCGGGAACCGATTTTTCCCCGCGATGGACATCATGGGAGCGGGGAGATCACTAGTCACTGTAGTTACTGCTTTCGGGTTGGGTTGAGGCCGGCTGGGCCGGGGCTAATGTGGACAAGACTGGACCCTTCATCAGCGAAGGCAGGGAATGCCCCTTGTCAAATGAGCAAAAAGGGAGCCTCGAGGGTGGAATATCTCGCACTGTCCTCCACCTCACGTCGTGGGACCCTCTCATCTGCTACTCCTGCGCTCATTCCTCTGCTCAGCTGTTTTGCCCCAGCGCGACGGGGCCGCCTCATGTCGTGTGGCTGGCTTGCTGCATCGGATGTGATTCGCCCTGGCGATGCGGAAATCCTTCCCGCTCACCACTGTTGGTGCGAGGAAAGAGAGACCATCGAAGATCATCGGAGAAAGCTCAGCGCCAACCGAAGGTCTGCGAGTCTGTCCATCGTTGCCTATGACAGGCGATCGGCGGGAAGCGCGGGGAAGGAATGAGGCAAAATGACACCAGGACAGTCCTCCCCGCTTGGATGGACCCTCAAATAGCATGGACACCTCGACGGGTGCTTCAATGTTGAATAAATTCGAAAAGAATCCTTGCGCCGTCGAGTCGCTGAGCGGAAGGAGGAGAGATTGGCGCCAGCGTTGCTACCACAACAAATAGTCCTCCATCTCAGACGGAGGAGCGGGCCCTCACCTGACGCGTCCAGTCGATCATCCGCCCCTCGTTCTATTTTTTTTCCTTCTTTTCTTTCCTTTTGTTGTGCGAGGTCTGCGGGAGCTTGAGATATGTTAGCTGGTAAGAACAAAGCCCCTTTCTTTTCGGTTCTGTGCTGCCTTTCTCGGTGCTTGTGGTGCCGTATCACCTGGTGTTTGCCCCGGGCTGTTGGTTCTGCCGCCCATTTATCCCCAGGTCCACCCTTGCATGGGTCTTACCCTCCGATCTGACGTCGGCATCGCTGGGCGGAATGGGCCAAAAAGCTTCTAGAAAGGCTTCCCACCGGTCCTGTTAGATCTTCAGACCTAAAGGCCGTCAAACTCCTCGAGCGGCCTGGTCTTGGGTCCTATTGCTACTTCATCCCATAACCTCCTCGTCCCAGCTCGAGAATTCCCCACAGCTAACCAACTCCCGCCCAACAGACCCCGACGCCCAACTACGAAGCGTCACCGCTTCTAACCAGCATCATGCCTCGCTCCGTACCTCAATTCAGCTCCACCTCTCGCAGTGAGCAGGACGATCCGGACCCCGATCAAATGCACACTACGCGCACCGCGCCGCCATCTCCGTCGGCCTACCGCCGAGCACAGAGCTACCTGTCCGAGCCGCACACGGGCTACCAATCTCTGGAGGAACACCTCGATATCGGCGAAACAACTAGCTTGCTTGACCCGGGGCTTGAACGACGAGCTCCCCGACGATCCTATACCAGCATCTCCGGCGTCTCCGGCCCGGAGACGGGGCCGGACTCCCTACGCTACCTCCTGACCGCGGGAAGTCTCCGCCGACTCCGCAATCACAGCCGGACAAATTCACAAGGCAGGCGATTAAGTCGCCGAGGAAGCTCAGGCGACGAAGGACGACCGGCGAGTCTACCGCCGTCGGCTAAGGATGGCCTGACGGCGTCGTCCTTTCTCGATGAACGCACGTGGTACGACCAGTTTACCTCGACCGACTGGGTGCACGATAGCATTGCCGATGGAGCACGTCTGCGTCAACTACGTCAGCGAAAAGATGTCCGGGGCCGGCTGCTGGCCTGGTTTGACGGCGCACAGGGATGGATTTTAGTTGCACTGACGGGGTGCATTACCGCAGCGATTGCGTACTTTGTGGATGTCACCGAGGAGCCGGTGTTTGACTTGAAAATGGGATTCTGCTCACATAAGTTGTTTGCCAGCAAGAACAAGTGCTGCGATGGTGCAGAAATGTGCACGAATTGGCGGTCTTGGAGTCAAATCTTCGGGTCATCAGACTATGACAATCAATGGGTCAATTTCTCGATGTTTGTCTTTTGGGTCGTGGTTCTCACCATGATCTCATGTTTCCTGACACTGCTTACGAAGACGGTGGTCCCATCGTCCATCTCCCTGACGACACTTGATGAGAACCTCGGTGCCGAGTCCCGCGGCACAAAGCGCAATACAGACACCGCTGGTATTGGTTCTCCCGCCTCCCAAACCAGTCCACATGGGACGTTCCCCACTCTTCCTCCACGCCCAGCGATGGTCTACTATTCTGCTGCCGGAAGCGGTGTTGCGGAAGTTAAAGTGATCAACAGTGGATTTGTGCTGCACGGGTATCTGGGTCTCAAAACTTTGGTGATCAAGACGATTGCCCTGATCTTCAGCGTGTCGTCCGGGTTGAGTTTGGGTAAAGAAGGCCCTTATGTGCACATTGCTACCTGTGTGGGCAATATCTCTTGCCGATTATTTGCCAAGTACAACCAGAATGACGGGAAGCGCCGAGAAGTGCTCAGTGCGAGCGCTGCCAGCGGTGTAGCCGTCGCTTTTGGTGCTCCCATTGGCGGTGTGCTCTTCAGCCTGGAAGAAGTCAGCTACTATTTTCCGCCCAAAACCTTGTTCCGCACTTTCTTCTGTTGTATTGTGGCTGCGCTGTCCCTAAAATTTCTCAATCCCTACGGCACCGGCAAGATTGTTCTCTTCCAGGTGCGGTACGGATCTGACTGGGAAATTTTCGAGATCTTTGTCTTCATTGTCCTCGGTGTTCTTGGCGGTGCCGCTGGCGCTCTCTTCATCAAAGCTTCAAGCTGGTGGGCACGGAATTTCCGTCGCATTCCTGCCATCAAGAAATGGCCGATGCTAGAAGTCTTCCTTGTTGCATTGTTGACCGGCCTGGTCAGTTTCTGGAATAGATATACCAAGCTACCTGTCACAGAATTGTTGTTCGAACTTGCCAGCCCCTGTGAGCAGGATGCAGTGGAAAGCGCGACAGGTTTATGCCCTAGCGAGGATGGTATCCTCGAAGTCGTCCAGTATCTCCTCGTTGCATTCGTGCTTAAGAGCCTTTTAACCATTATTACCTTCGGAATCAAAGTTCCGGCCGGTATCTACGTGCCTTCCATGGTTGTTGGTGGTCTAATGGGTCGTATTGTCGGACATGCGATACAGTATTGGGTGGCTAAGAATCCCACATTCTTTTTGTTCAACTCATGCCCTAATATCGCTGGCATGGAGTCGTGCATCACACCAGGCGTGTATGCTATGGTGGCAGCGGGTGCGACTATGTGTGGCGTCACACGATTGTCGGTAACGTTGGCGGTAATTCTCTTCGAGCTCACAGGAAGTCTCGACCATGTGTTACCCTTCTCGCTAGCAGTTCTCTGTGCAAAGTGGACCGCTGACGCGATTGAGCCTCGTAGCATTTATGTAAGAACCTGAATCTTGTCAGACATTGCACTTCTTGATTGATGCTAATTGGATCCAGGACCTCTTGACCGACATGAATTCCTATCCTTTCCTCGACAACAAACTCCAACCTCTCTCTGACGCCGAATTGGGAGACATCGTCCGACCCCCACGCAAAGACCGCATCATCGACATCTCTAACTCGCCCTTTGTTTCTGCAACCGAACTTCGCTCCAAGCTGGAGCACCTGCTGATGGCGGGCGAGCTAGATAGCGGACTCCCGATCCTACGTGATGGCATGCTGACGGGTCTCATTCCGGCGCCGGATCTCGAGTTTGCGCTGGACACGCTCGGCCAGGACGAAGAGAATACACTTTGCCTTATGGCAATGGATTCCTCTTTCGCCATCTACGATAGTGACAATGAGGATGCTCTCCAGGAGGACTTCACCCGTTACATCGACCCGGTACGTTCCCCTCCCCCTCAACCCCAAAAAGAAAAACGAAAAAAGAAAATAATGAATGGCCTTCAATTACAATAACTAATTTTGATTTTCACAGGCCCCGATTGCCTTAGACGTGCATTCGCCTATCGATCTAGTGTATCAATGCTTCGCGAAGCTAGGCCTGCGGTATCTGTGCGTCCTACAGAACGGTCAGTATGCAGGACTGGTGCACAAGAAGGCCTTTGTGAAGTTCATGAAGGAGAATGAATAAGACAAGATGCGTCGCCATACCATTCGATACGACAAAACGTCCTTATTCTTGACTTAATCATTTGCTTTTACTCTGGTTCCTTGTCTCGTGTTCAAGTGAGCCGCATCAGCGGGTGTTTGATTTTCTTGGGATTCTTCTCTTCGCGGGCATTTCTCGTTTCGCTGCTGTCCTTTCCCTGCCCTTTTTCGTGAAATTTGCATAGCATTTCATATTCCCTCTCTCGTTCGTTTTTTTTTTGTTTTCCTTTTCTCTGCTCGGGTCATAAAATACAGTCTGCATGACGGCTGCTTGTGACGGGTTGGATGGAAGGTATTTTGCATAGAGCCATTCGCTGTACAGTTGTATTTATCTGGGAGACGACTTCGATTTAAAAGGCTTTTTTGTGTATAGCAAGCAATTCTCAACGGTTTCAACGCTACGCTGCTTCTACATTTATATACATAGCCTTTTGTAGTACGTCGGTCAGGCTGTCCCAAAGTATTAGTCTCTAAAATATATGATTGCATAATCACTAGAATCCCCATGTTTATGCTTTTTTTTGGTATCACAAGTCCTCCACAAAGCCCCCTTCACGATGAGACCCGCTCATACCCAACCATCTGCACCTCGACATCTCCCTCTCGAATCCACTCCCCGCTAACGCTTTCTCCAACCCACTCAGACAATTCCTCTGGACTAGCCGTCCGCCATCCATCCTTAGCCGTAAGTTTTTCAACCGGGAAAAACGTATCACACTCAAACTCCCTCGCTTCGCCTTCCCCCTCCGCTTTGCGAACCACATTCGTCATCACAATTCGCACCGGCCGCACCACCTGCTGCATACGCAGCGCAGCCCCGTAGATCTCCGCGCCCCCGATCACAAACACCTTGCCCAGCCGGCCTGCAGCCCCATAAGTAGAGTCCAGCTCCGCCAGCGCCGCGTCTAGGCTACCTGCCACCAGCGCGTCTGCCTCGGGCTCGTCGGCCGACTTCGCAGCCATCTTGGCCTTGCGGGCCGCAAGCTCCTGTAGTACTCCATCCCGGACGGTGCCCGTCGTGTCCCGCGTCACGACGACGCTAATGCGCTTGCCCAGCGGGCGCAGGTGCGGAGGCACCGAGTCGTACGTCTTACGGCCCATGATGATGGCATTAGTGGTGCCGGGAGCGGGGGACCGCGATGTCGCGCGTGCAAAGAAGCTCATGTCTGTTTTGATGCGTGGCCAGGGGAGCGTGCCCTTGAGACCGATGCCGAGGCGTGTCGGGGGTTCATTGGCGGCGGGGGACGCGACGCGGATCGGGGTCGTTGCGACGATGAGGGTGAGGGGAAGAGAGTGGGGGAGGATGGGCGTTTTTGCTGGCGAAGGCATGGCGTATGGTATTCCTCCTGTATGTGACGCGATTGGATTTGTCTCGTTAGCTGGTGGTGGTACTGGTGGTGGTGTCGATCGAACTAGGTTTCCGAGTGAACGAAGCAAGTTCGGTTCGTGTTTATCGCAAGAGCTTATCGAGCTTATCGCCCCGTTGGTTCGTCTTGCAGCCGCGGGGTCTTGAAGCTAATACGAAGTTTGTCTCTATAATGGCCTTTTGGATAAGATTGGCATAAACTAAATCTAATTGACACATAGAAAATTTACGGTCTATGGTATTCAATTCTAAATGGCTAGTCTAACTATACTCTGAGACTTTGAGATACCGAGGCTAACTGTTGTCTATCGAGTTCTATGATCCTATAGGCAACCTACTGGGTGGAGATGTGAGACACCTTCTTGGCCCCTCGAAGGCTACGAGAAAAACACTCCTGATTTCCCTGAGTCAATCAAATTTGAGTGGTTTTGGTAGGGAGACATGGTTGCAAATCGAAGATTGGGTTGCTTGACTGTTGGGCTATTGGCCAGCTCGAGTCTCGTTGCCAGCACTGGCCTGCCCTCGGAGCTATACCGTACGAGAATTCCCAGTTCACTGATATATAGCATCGACTAATTCTTTCCCGTTCACAGCGGTTGGTGTCAGCTTTGGACACGGAATCATGTGAGATCAAGGTTGTCATCTTCACGCAAATATCGAAACTAAGAGATTCAGTTCGGCTGCGACCATCAAGCCAGATGGCGAGCCATTATTAATTACCAGCGTCAGCGCTACTGATGCATACTGCAACATGATGCTAGACTCAATCAATGACGAGGGGCTCTTCTTTGAGCACGATGGCCATTGGTATTACTCGAATTCAAGCGATCCAATTCAAGTTCCCAGGCCTGGCAATGAGCACGAGATGGAGCAGATCTTCTGGGACAATTTTGTGAAAATTAACGCCTCGATACAGGAATCACTCCCGGGCTCGTATAATGTTACCTCCATGGTATACCCGCGACATTTGAATGCCAGCGCACTAGAAATGTTCACAAAAATGGCAAGCCGTGTTCCGGGTATTCAGATACCGAAGAAGCAACTCATGGACTCATATGGCGGCGTCTTTCGTGCATATGACTTCCCCGTCAGTGATGCGGGGGGTCTCATTTTCTTTTATGACCTCAACGAGGAGTTCGTGGATATTGCCTTCGGAACTATTGCTAAATATCGCACCTTTCCCGATGTGAGTGAGCGCCAACTGTTCATGCGGATTCTGAGCAGACACTACCTGGCTGTCAGGATGGGAATGACAGAGCAGGTAAATCCATCATCGTCGCTTTACCTTTAACCAATACAAAATGCCAGAACTGTAGGCTAATCAGTATTTCTGGTGTTCTTAGGAACGAGATGAGCGCTATGATGAATTTCGTGAAAATCAAGCAGAAATGCTTGAAGGAGTTGCTTTCCTCAAAGACATGAGCACGCTGAAGGGTATCATTATTACTGGCGAGGGCCCCGAATGGGCAATGAAACGTCTACAAAATTCTATCACCTTGGCGGCTCCTGACTATGCGAATAAAATCCAAGGCTTTATCGATCCAGCATTTGCTGGGGCTGTCGGTGCTGCAAAGTGGGCCAAGTATCAGCTTGAGCATGCAGACACCTTCTTTGACGATGCCGGGGGGAACCACGAGGAACTATAGAGGAAATCTGCACTTTTTTCGAACCTCTCTTGCATCCACCCTGCACATTGTTGCTTTTATGTGCCATGCTCATATGCACTCCTGGCCCGAAGGGACGGACCAAAGTAGTAGAAAAGCCATGGGATAGGTGCCATAGCAAGCGCCGCGAATGCCAGGATGCTTGTTGCCCATGCAACCCCCAATGCCTTGTACATCTGAGTAACAAAAAGCGGAAATGCAGCCGAAAGGGTGTATCGAGACAGGGAGGATGCACCACTGGCTGACGCGCCGTATTTTGAGCCATAGACATCCATCATGTAGAAGTTGCACGGCACATAAATCAACAGGCTTCCGAGCAGTGCAAGGCCTTCGGCAATGATCGGGCTGATCCAGTGTATTGAGGGTCGGGACGTCCAGCCAAACCAAAATAGCGCAACAGGAAGCACCAGGCTTCCATACAAAGCAGCGTAGAGCTTTCTTTCCGGTTTAAAAGTGGTGCGGCTCTCGGTGGGTGGCCGTCGTTTGCGCAGAAAAGTATCAAACGTAATAAGGACAGGCGACGCACATAGACATCCAGCTACGGGCCCCAAGAAAGATAACGCCTGTGCACTAGAAGAGAACCCATAAACGGTCTTGAAAACCCATGGGCTCGCGACAACCACCGTGTAGAGTAGCGCAAACTGAAATCCAGTGTATAGGCAAAGGAAGCCAACGAGCGGTTCTGTCATGAGCATGTGAAGTGGCCGAATAATCGTCGAAGTGATAAACTGTCGTAGTTTTTCTGTCCTTGTACTAGATTCTATCAAACCGTCATTGAGACCCATCTCTTTTGCCCTCTGCTGTATTATAATTGACTTATAAGACTCGCGCAAGAAAAGGGCTGGCGGATGAAATGCGGTCGCCATTATCAACACGACCCAGAATGTCCATCGCCATCCCCTGGACTCGACAGCAAAGCCACCAATTAAAGGTCCTATGGCACTTCCCGTAAACGGAATCGAGTAGTAGATTCCCAAAGGAATGACTCTCTGGTCTGGATGGGTGAAATCAGAGATGGTAGCTGCCGCAACTGAGACGCCTGGCGCTGCAAAGAGACCCGCCAGGAAACGGCAGGCGATAAGGGAGGCCATATTATGAGACAGGCCGGCTCCCAGCATGAAGACGTCAAATAACGGTAGAGACAAAAGATAAACAAATTTGCGACCAAAGGTTTCTGAACAAGGTGACGATATCATGGGTCCAAATGCGAGACCTAATGAGTAAGAAGAAAGAGGCAAAAGAGCCACGGTTGTAGAGACGCCGAATTCCCGTGAGACTTGCTCATGGCCTGGAGAATAGATCGATGCCCCAAGTGTGGTGATAAACCCAATTGAGCAGATGATGAAGAGTGAGACTGTTTTTCGCTGCGACGACCAATTACGGGGATTGTTTTTGTCAGTGTTACTATCCCAGTCGTGCAGGTTTATCGTGTTGGTTGTCTCTTCGATGTCATTTTGGTGATGAGTGACATCCATTGTGCCAGTCAGAAGAGGTCCTGTCCTCGTTTTCCTCAAACATTAATATGTTCTCGGGTTAAGTATTTATTTGGTGGGGTTCGAGGTAACAAGTGACCGAGAACACAAAACACTCTTCGACCACGATCGCTCGGCAGGAGGCTTTAGTGCCCGAACCCTCGGCAGGTATTGGGGATCGCCGACTCGAGGAGATCTGTGAAGTCCATATGGTACCTGGTAGTACACAGTGTATCACTTAGCTTTCCTTGCAGCTCCACTACTCGCTTTCATATAATGATTTATGGAACTAAGCGCCTAAGATGGTTGATCTCAGTCTCGATCGCCCATAAAACAGGCTTATATTGTAACTCTGAGAGGTCGGGATGTTCTCGCTATCTGCGTATTTTTCTCTCCTCGCCTATAGCATATAAAGTTCTCATAATGCCATAAGCCTTCCTATCTACGGATTTTTCTTCCAATCTTTAGTTCCACACATTCGAGTCATCTCTTCCGTTGCTGTTGAACGGTGCTGTAAAGCTTTCAATCAGGCACGTTCCCAGACACTAACAGCTCTCCATCCACCTAAGATGAAGTACCTTAGGGCCGAGTCATTACTAGCCCCGCATCCGTGACTGATAAATAATAATAAATGAGCAAGCACCATCTGTCCGGCGCAGAGGATAATATTTAATGTTTATTGAAGTTCTTGTGGACTTATCTTCTCCGGACCACTTAGAAAAAGTATAGACCACGGGAATGGTACCTTGTATAAGAAAGTTTTCATAATCCTGACAGGCATCGTTCCTCGGTAGGCTGATTTTAAATTAATTCTATAATCAATAACAATCGCCATATAGGGAAATATTGTAAGAGTCAAGTTCTAACAGCGAAATGTTTCTTCCTCGGGTGAAAAAATCCCTACGGAATTTCGTCGCTTTGAAGACCAATATTGTGTGTCATAGAAGAAAATGAGGGCGTAGACAACTTGGACTCGTACGAGATTAAATGCTATAAAGAGTCTCAGAAATTTAATTTGTCTCAATCTTCATCGATAACATGCCTACTAATGATTACGATTATCCACAAAAGCGAGGTCTAGTTTTCGAGAGTTATTATGATAATGTTTTTTTTTTTCAAATACCACATTTGTCTATCTCGTGAAACCCTGAAGAGTCGCTTGAATATCCCAATTTAATTATGTGACTAGAGAAATTTACATCTCAAAAAGCTGATTCGAACCGGGAAAATTGTGGCTGGCGGAGATGATGATGTAGTGCGTATCTTTTTACATCTGACCTATCGCCTATACTTGCCCATGTAAAAGTGCCTCCTCTAATCGCCACTGCCCCTCACACATGGTCAACAATATAAAAATATATTTCAAGGTCGTGAATCCCGAGAAAACTTAGGAATTGCGGCCGGCAAAACGGAGTGTTTTCTTTTTACTCAAAATTTTCTAATCGGTAACAGTTTTTATATTTCTGTTCCAATTTCTTCATCCCATAATCATCTCGGCCATTAACAATGACCACTGAAACCTACCATTGGCATGAAAGTGCCAGAAATATCCGACTCAACGGGTGGACAGTCTGGGCAGATCTTCAGCTGCGAGATGGCTCTTGGAAAGAGCGAAGCTTGGATCTTGATGAGTATCTAGGAAACGATAATGGTATGTATTGCAGCGAGAATACGAGTCTCTGTCGTGATATTTGCCATATATTTGCTCACCTGCATACCATGGTGAACTAGGAAACTTCAAATGGAATGGACGAAATATCAGCGATTCTGCCAAAGACCCGATTCTCGTGTTCTGGGAAGGGTATCCGATCATAAGAGCTTCGCTACAAGACACCAATGGCAACTATCACCAGAAGGACTACAATCTTTCCGACGAGATTGGAAACTTCAATGGGAAATTCCACGTTAAGGGTCGTGGTGTACCGCCCGGCGTGGCCTTTGGATCTGTTGGGATTGACATATTCAGCGGGATGGGTTAGGTTCTCCTCTACTGGCTTGGAGCTTAGCACGTACATGAAAGTTTTTTCAGGATATTGCAAATCAAAGTCTTGACCATACTGACTCCATAAATTTGTTAAAATAGAGCTCTAGTAATACTTGGCAATGCTAAGTAAGCTCTCCTTTAGATAGATTTTGAGATGGTCTGACTCAATTTCGCTGTCTCCAGGGTGTGTCGCTGAAATACCCACTCAGGGTATTTCCCTTGATCAACGTAGGTCTTTATTACCACCTCAACTTCAATCTTTTTATTGCGAGCAAAACCCCGACCCAGGCCTGTAAATTGAACTACAACACGATGACCATTTTGGTAGGTGACCTGATATCAAACGTTGAAAACGCCATTGGGAGACACAGTCCAGCATGCGGCACTTGGCCGGAGGTCGCAAAACTGTGTCGATAGAGTAGATCACAGATTACGTTATTCCACAATCTAACTACCACTTTGACCGACACCAGAACTTTTACCAGGCGGTTCGGCTATTTGAAGAAATTGGGCATTTGCCCGTCTCATGTCCAATTGAAAGAATACAGCTAGAAACACATCATATCGACGAAGAGTATGTAACAGCCTCCTCGAACCCAGTCACATAGCACGGCTACGTGGCCGAACTCGAGAAAGTCAAAGAAAAAGTACAGAGAGATACAGCGTTACCAATGTCTTGGTATCCATGCAATATAACGGGCGTGCAGATGCCAAGAAATGCAGCGCTGAAAAAAAGTTGAAATCGATCAAAACGCCGGGTTTCTGGAACTAGTCATTTCACCATAGCGTCCACGGCCCTGAGTGGTGTCGTAGGCGTTCAAGACACGCATTTGCCCACCGTCGTCGGCTTGGGAGAAGGCGTATCCTCTCTGTTTGCGCGTGCGCACGGATTGGCGGGCCTTCCGAACGGCTTTCTGGAATTGTTCCATGCGGGGACGGTAGTCCTGCACGTTGTATTTCTGAATTTCCTGCACGTGGTGATAATTTTGAGGGTAGTACATGCGCTTGGCATATTTCCAGGCAAAATCACGCATGAGACAGATACAGGGCAGAGCAATAGCCATCAAATAGAAGATGGGAGATTTGAAGAGGACGGGAATAGTGCCATAGTATTCGGTAGAGAATCCAATGGCGGGAGCGGCATAACCATAGGCTGGGAGGAAAGCAATCCAGAGTGCCATAGATCCAGGGATGGCGATAAAGGTGTATTTGTTCCAGATGTTGGAGATCAAGGCGGCTTTACCGAGAACGGTGGCGAGCACAGCGGTATACAATGCCTCGCCCCAAACCCAATGCCCAGCGGTCTTGCCGTCACTCATGGGCAAATCCCAGAAAAAGATCAGCTCAGAAACGATGTAAAGAAGCAGGGAGTGGAAAAATCCGTTGAGAATCCAAGCCCAGAAGCTGTGTTTCTTGAAGAAAATTCCTTGCTGGCCCAATTGATAGAGTTGTGGGTAGCGATCCAGTAAACGAGCAGATATGTACTGGTCAAATATTCCCATGGCAAAAGGAGGCATAACAGTAAAGAGCACGTTGTAGTAGGAGAGAGTCCACGATTCGTAAATGACTTCACCAGAGAAAGCGTTTTGGAAAGAGTACTGCAGAGAGAGTCAGAAGAGAAAAATTCAACGAGATTGCCAAAACTTACCCAGAATTGAGTCATGTACAGTGTAATGTTCTTATAGAACGAGTACAAAATAACTCGACTGATTCGAGAGTAGCTCCATGACCCGTGAACCAGAAGAAGCTTTCGGAGGAAACGAAATTGGCCGATCGCCACATCGGCAGAGCGAGCGGCCTGGAGACCCTCAACGCCGCTGATACCAACACCAACATGAGCGGCCTGAATCATGGACACATCATTGGCACCGTCGCCAATTGCGAGAAGCAACGACTTTTTGTGGCGCTTGACAAGCTTGACAACCAATGCCTTTTGAAGGGGAGATACTCGACAGCAAATAACGGCTTTGCACATAACAGCAAGATCAAGGAAGAGCTTTTCCAAGTCCTTCTCCAAAGCAAAAGTCAAAGACTTGCCATCAATGACTAGTGCCAAGGGCTCGGCGTCATGCTGACCAGCTAAGACCTTAGCCTCCTCCAGATTCTTTTGCAAGGCTTGGCGGGTCTCTTCAGTTGATTCCTTATTAATGACGACAAGTGACATGTCCTCGGAGATGAGCTTGCAAGACATGCCAATGTTGATGGCTGTCTCTTGTCGGTCACCGGTCAGCACCCAAATCTTGATTCCAGCGGTCTGGAGTGTGTGAATAGTGTCCGGAACGCCATCTTGCAGTCGGTCTTCGATAGCAGTAGCACCCAGCAGATAGAAGTCACGCTCAATCAGCTCGGCAGCCTTGTCCAGCTCCTCCGCACGGTTGCCACCGACAGTCGTGTTCGCCTTGTCGAAGATCTGATACCACTGTTGAAATTCGTCATCCGGAACCTCACGCATGGCAAGACACAACGTCCGCAGGCCATCGGAAGCATACTCTTCCAGGTGCTGGATAGTCTCATCTTTGAATGGTGGGTCTTTCATTAACCTTTCAAAGATGACAGTATCAGCACCCTTGCAGTAAATTCGAACTTTGCCATCCGGACAACGGAAAATTGTGGACATTCGTTTTCGGGTAGAATTGAATTCACAGACTGCTAGCAACTCATACTCCTGCTCCACGCCATTGGCTGTGAAGATCACAGAGCGAGGCTTACGATTCGTGAAACGATATCCCAGCGAAGCCGCACCATCCACTAAAGCTCCTTCGTCGGGCGAAGCGGCCTGGTACTTAATTTGATCGGGGTCGTTTCCAGTACGCTCAGGAATAACCGTGTGACAGGTGGCCAAGAGAGTGAGGAACTGCTGAATAGCACCCTGGGTCGGATGAGACTGCAAGTTTTGCCGGAGAGTTTTAAAATCGTAAACACCGGCATCCGTGCCATCTTCCACCGTAGCTCTTCGGTCCTCTGAGACATCATCTCCATATTGGATACCAGCAATTGAGCATTCCTTGAACTCCATCATATTGCAAGTCAAAGTGCCTGTCTTGTCGGAGAAGATATATTCAATTTGACCAAGCTCTTCAACCAGCGAAGATGTGCGGCACGTGGCGGGTGTATCAGTCTTGTCGTAGTAGATGTCGAGATCGGAGTTGATAAGATATGCCTGGAAATATTTGACAATTTCGATCGTCACAAAAAGAGAGATCGGAACCAGATTGGAGTAAAGCACCCAATACGTAAAGATGTCCATGAAAAACTGTTTGACAGCGTTCGTGGATCCGTAATCGAGATAGGCGAGTTTGCTAGAAGCGGTTTGTCGAACAACAAGATCACCCACAGAACTGATGACGCTCAGCGCAATGAGAATGCTGACCAGCATCAAAATTTGGATGTTAACCATTCGCTCGACGGCAGTCCGTTTAATTGGGGTCGCCGTGGCATTTCGCATCAACTTTGTCTCGTGTCCGGTGAAAACGACGATTCCATGGATCCAAGGAGTATTGCGCAGGGTTGCGCCTCGAAGTAGCAGCTGATCCGGTGCCAACGAAAGCTCTTTCTCTCCAGTCCCAGCATTCATGGTCAGTGTTGCCTCATATGTATAAAGACTGCTATTCGGTTGCTCTGATCGGACCCGTCCACTCAACCGGCTCAGGTCACTGGGGCTAACAAGATTGGCGGTTTCCGGAATAGCCTGCTTGATTTTGAGGTTCGTTTCACCATCCAAATTGGCAGTCTCAATATAGCATAAACCCTCGGGCTCAGATGATGCCAGTAAGACCAAATCTGCTGGAAACGGTTGCTCTGATTCGACTCGTACAATGTCTCCAACCGCAACATCCACCCATTTTGTTTCGTGAAATGAGGAGCCCTTCAGAATCTGCGTTTTAGAATAGTTCAGCCCTCTGTCGGATGTTCGACGCTTGTAGTCCTCCACGAGTTCCTTGATTGCAGAAACCAACAATACAATGCCGAGGGGAACAACTGTTGTGTACTTGTTTGTGGGTGAGACGTTGGGAATCTGTTGGAGGACGGCGGTGAAAAGGAAGAACAAGTTGGCATATTTGGAGAATTGCTCGAAGAGAAATTTCGGGATAAAGGTAATGACGTTGTACTTGGCAGTCGACACATGGTTGCTGACGAACTTGTGCGTCGCGTTCGCAGGCGGATTGTTGAGCTGAATCATGCGAGGACCCAAAGTCGACGGGTCAACCTTGCGCCGTCCAAACACGGAGATGATGTCGGAAGCCCGGAATTTTTTTCGCTCTCCCCGGGGTGCTGGCGCATCTCCGGTGCTATAGACACCAGCTCCCCCTTCTGTCAAAGGATGACTTTCATTCTGGAACCGGTCGTAATCTGGTGGCTTCACGCCAACCGCGTTTTTGACCTGCCCCCAGAATCCACTGCCCAAAGCAAAGACGCTATTCCGGTTTGAAGGTTGCTGAAGATGCTCCTGTTCGGGGTATTCGGCTCTTTCGTAATCGGAGTCATATCGTGATTGGAACGAGGTGTTGGTTGCGCTTGGTCTCAAATCGTAAGAGCTGTAGATCGGGTTGCCCCCAGGTACCGTATGGGGTTCCCCATGGAAGTGAGCTTCAGCTGGTTGTTCATTCCCGACAAAAGCCGCATATGGGTTGTTGGAATAATAATGTGAGCGATTAGGATCATTCGCAGGAATCGGGCCCGGACTCAGACTTCGCAAATCCTCATCATAGTCATATTCAGCAGGATGCGACCCAGGGGGCCTGCCGCTGGCCATGCTGTCGCTCAAGGGGAGCTGACAGCCTCACTGAGCGCGGTAGACACGATGCCCCTGAGGCATTGATCGGGACACTCAAAGAAACACGGTAAAAGCCCGTCGCTTATTCAGAGAGGAGAACCTCTAGCACAGGCGTCACGGGATCAGGAGAATGAGGGCTCACGAAGAGGAACAGCGAGAAAAAAGTGGATGACGAGGTTGAGGTGGCTTAGCGAAGGCAACAAGCCAAGTCACTGGATGTTGAGCTGATCGTCCCGCTTTCAGACGCGGGCGGTAAAGCGGCTTCGATCTGCCAGCCAGACGATCAGGTATCGTTGGTTGGTTACAGAGATGAGGGCCTATTAGCTCTAATTTCCGATATTGGGGATCTACCAGACGCAATTTCAGTTCGAAATTAAAGTTGAGCGATAGAAATGGCTTGCAAGGTGTTGTTCCATGAGGGTCCGGTACTTAGGGTCCGGCCTGGGAACGAGTACATACTAAGAATAGTTGGGGCCTTGGCAATTTCCGCGGCCGGAAATATGTATATTAAAGCGCATGCACGGGCGAGCATACCAGCACGAGGATCCATACTTTCCAATCCGAGAAGAAAAGTGTAAAATAAGTAGAATAAAAAATAAGTTGACTTCAATAGAACAAGGGTAAAACTTAAAGAGTGACTGGCGAGGGCAAAGAGGACGAATACGTAAACATAAGCAATGTCTTAAAAGACGCTGTCATTGGGATCTCTCATGAAATAAAAAAAAGCAACATAGCAAGCCATATGGAACTCCAGAAGTCGTGAACGCTCTATTCATACAACATGTAAGCAGGTGCATTTAAATTACCGGTCATTCTCTGCCCGAGACTCTTCCGCCATGCCTAGCTTCGCTCGCTTTGCCAGATCCGCTTGCATTACCTGCTCAATCTGTGCATTGATCCTCTTCACATGTGCGAGGGCAGAATTGGTACGGGTCACAATGGCCATCGCATCGAGAGGCGACCCGGAGGTTTTGGAAAGGAAACAGGTTTCTCCTCCATTGTTGATACCGATAACCAGGTCTCCCTCGGAGGTTTGTTCCTCTTTTCGCGTCGCATCCACAATAATGTTCTGACTCTCATTGAAGGCATGGAAGGTGATTGACAGTGGCTTGTGCGTGATGTTAAGTGCAACTGGCACTCGTTGCTCAACGCCGTAGACAATGACTCGGCCATCGCGCACCACAGCATCCGGCCGGCGGAAGTGTTGTAGTCCCGTCATGATGGCGATACAGGCCGCATCTGTCAGATTGCCGTCATATTCGACAACATGTACATCTGCACGGATGCTCCAGCAGCTCACACCCTTGATGATGCACAGCGATTCGGTATCGAGGGCGTTGGAACGGCGGATGACGGTGTCGAGGATGTTGGTAACATAGGCTTCGAGGTCACTAGACCTAGTAATCAGGTAAATAGACAAGTTAGTTCACAATGAAGCATCGTTGGAATCATTCAAAGACATACCGGCCATTCTCCCAAGCCGGAGAACCCATCGCAGTCAACTCAAGGTTGATATTGAAGAGACCATCGAATGGGCGATCCTCGCGAGGCTTAGTGACCTCGGCAGAAATACGGACAATAATTCTAGATCAGAATTGTGTTAGAAGTGCCAAAAATAAGAAACCGCTAAGAAAGCTGAGCAGAGAGTACCTTGTCTTGCCAAGCTGCAGGCTCACATGTCCGTACTCATCGCCAAAATCGATCCTGAGAGGACGAAATTGGTCCAGGTTGCGACCATCAAGACGTGCATCCTGACGCAGAGCCTCAAGGATGAAGTCACGCTCCGAAACTGAAAGGGGAGCTTCCTTGGACATGGCTGCTTTGGTGACATTAAAAGAACAACCGCGGGGCGGAGGACCTAGTCAATGCTTTTTTTGATGAATTTTGCCGTTGCTGGCCGCATTTGAGATACCGCTAACCAATAGGAGAGCACAAATTCTGAGGCGGTGAATGATAGGAAGGAGAGGCGGCCAACGGGCTTCAGCAGCCTCTGACCTTGAACAACTCCCCATTTCACACCAGCACCAAAATGACGACAGGTAAGCTCTTAAATGCACTATACCCACAGGTATCGCAAGAACATGCTGACATATCACAGCCCACAGACCCACCTTTGACCCGGTATGGCCTCACAAGGCGATTCGCTACAAGCTCAAGACTGACTGATGTGGATAGGCGCAAGGAAAAGAGGCGCTTCGAGGCCCAGCATACCATCAGCGGCTTCTTCCAGCTCATACACATTTGAAAGTTCGGTATGCAAGATCTGGCATGAATCGCGAAGAACAATTGTTAACACTTCATAGCCAACCGGGACAAGGAGGTGATGCTGATAATGAAGTCCGTGATCTGCGCGCAGAGCTGTTGAAGGCGGAGGCCGCCCACTTTGCTAAGAAGAATGGTGTTTCCGTCGATGAGCCTACCACGTCCGAGACAACTGTCCCCAAACGACAACTCGAACGCATACCCACCGATGCTGATGCCGATGTCGAGGAAGAAGACCCAGAAGCCAAACGACGGCGCATCTTAGAAGAGACACGCGACATAGATGCAGACTCAGATGGATCAGAAGACGACAGCAGTGAAGAGGAAAGCGATGATGAGGATGAGGCGGCTGAGTTAATGCGTGAACTGGAGAAGATCAAGAAGGAACGACAGGCCCAGAAGGAGAAGGAGGTACGATATACCGGCAAACCGCCTCTGATTATTCATGTCATACTAAGATCGCACAGGATCAAGAACGGGCGGCCGAAGAGCAGGAACAGCGCGAGGTCGATATTGCCCGAGGAAACCCACTGCTCAACCCACAAGACTTTAACATGAAGCGACGGTGGGACGACGATGTGGTGTTTAAGAACCAAGCTCGTGGAACAGAAAAAAGGATGGCAAAGAGTTTGTGAACGTGTGTTTGCCTGCCTAACTACGTTTTGGTTGAGATGTTAACTTGATTTCCTCTAGGACTTGCTGCGCTCCGACTTCCACAAGCGATTCATGGTATGTACCTGGACACTTTAATTCAAAACTCATGAGCATGTTTGCTAATTTCAGTGCATTATAGTCGAAGTACGTCCGGTAAACTTGATGTTGAAGGAATACTTGATCAAATCGAAATTATCGTCAAAATTGGTGGAATGCCTTTATCTCTCTACAAATACCCTATTACAATCATGGAATGCACATTCAGGTGAAATACTATTCTCTACATGGATTTCTGAGAAGGGCTGCCTGTCTTTTTGCTCAAACCTCCCGATGTTTTTGTTTCATGGGAAGAGATCACCAGAATCAATGGAGTCCTTAGCTTAATTTATGAATTATACATATCATATCTGAAATATTTCAGAGGCTTCTATGTTAGTGTCAGTCTGCACTTAAAAGTAGAAGCGTTCTTGTTAGTCTGTTTCCTACCCAACCCCGTGTTTATGCCCTCTCCTCACCTTTCCACGCCTTAACATCCCTCATCTCTCACCGCCTCAACTCACCGCCTTTTATTCACCGCCCACAAGACGCACAATTTGCCGACACTATGGGTCCACCATCTCCAGAACGCTCTTCGTATGCCGAACATCTCCTGAAGGAGCTCTCTGAGACAACCTTCGAACCGATTCCTGATCCAGAACCTGACATGGATACCGTGCCAACCACCAAGCAGCTGCATAGTGTGTTTTTCCTTGGCGCAAGCATCATCCAAATCTCAGAAGTCCTTCTGTACTTCGCTAACCTTAGCTCTGTTTCAAGACCGCATCAATGCCGATATCTCACAGCTTTTACAGCGATTTGAGAATATCATGGCCATTGCATCTGTATGTCACTTCAAATATCTCTTAATGTTCTCTCGGTACCTGTGCACTGACTTGGATTTCTTAGGCGGAAAACACTAGTTATGCCGCGATAGCGGTTGAGAGCTATCAGATGGATGTTGAGTCAACTGCCTTGGTAGGTGTTGTCGTCTTTACAATCCAGGGGCACACTAAGCCTTAATAAAAATACCACTGATTGTCAAGTCTTCTTAAACCCCCTCGCTGACTCCTCCGTACTACAGATCCGTGCCGCTGAGGACCTCCTCGTCGTGACTCGTATCATGAAGGAGATTTGGCTCTTTGGCAAGCTTGACACCGTTGGTGAAGATGAACGTGATATCCAGCGTCGTGAGCAACTTGAAAAAGATGTGGCTAGTGTGCAGAATGCTATCTACAATAGCAATCTGCTCAAGCCCTCGCCTCAAAACGTGCCCGAGAAGAAGTGAGCATTAACTCGATCTTTTTTCATTCAAATTCGGAGTCTTAGTGGGATCAAATTTCTGGGGAAATGGTTTCTTGTTAGTTAGCGTTCTGGCGTTGGGGACAAATACTCTGTGCATTACTGGTACAAAGACACCTGGGGGTTCTCACATAGCTGGGATTTTATTAGCATGAGATCAACCATCTATGAAGCTACAACGGTTACTTCATCGGTTATTCTTGGATGAGGCTTAATGATTCAAAGATTGCTCTTCTATTTTGTACACCTTTCACCTGGAGGTCTCCATCCGATTCCTAAGCGCTCCATGACCAGTCTCTCCCGTTCCTCCCAGGTTTCTCCGCCATGTTCCAGATCTACTACTTGACCTCCCGATGTTCGTTCTCGCACTCCACTGGAATCGAATTTCCAATCATGTGCCTTCTTTGCATAACGCCTTAAGTCTCGTTGGAAGGTGGTATCGCCAGACCAACCAAGAACTGCGCACCCTATAGCTCGCCAAGGTGAAATTATAATGTCAACTCGTCGATGAGGATTTGGATTTTTTTGTTCTTGTTTGGATCCTGTCCAGCATTGGATTCTCCATGGTCAAATTTTGGATCTTGCCAAACTACCAATGCTTTATCTAGGGTATCAAAATGCTTTCCGGTTTCATCCCCTCGGAAGGGGAGTGTTTGCTGCTCACGTAGAGTGGAAGTGAGGTGCAATGATAGTGTATGGGTGATATAAAGGTCTGTTTCGAGGCTGGCAACGACATCAACAATGAGATTTCGGGTAATTTCATCGTCGTGGTGAGTAAGAATAAGGTCAACGTCGCCGCTTATTTCTTTGCCTCGTCTGTAACCACCAACAAGAATGCACTCTATTTCTTCTCCTGTTTCAGGACGCACCTGATTGGCATGATGTCGTACAATGGCAGCAATAGACTCTGACTCCTTGCGTGATACGCCGTCTTGGAACTCATCAAAGAACTTGACGCCAATTTGCTGTACTCTCGACAGAGTATTCCATCCATGCTCGACGATGTCATCCAGATCTTTCCATCCACGATGGTAATAAAATTCTCTTGCAGTCTTTGCACCAACTCCCCAAATATCGTTGAAGTGATTCAAGACCCGCAGGGCAGGGTCGCTATCTAGCGCATCTGCCGCAGAAACTTTGCCATCGTCATCATTGGAGCCCCCATGTTGCTGAAACTCGGCGAATAGGTTAGCGATTTTCATATCACACCCGGGAAGAGCGAGGATTTCGGTAGGCCGTCTTATAACATGAGGATATGCCGCTAAAGACGCAATCGACGTGCTGTACGCTCTAACTCCAATTTCATCGAGCGTGAGCTCTCGAATACGTCGGATTTTCAAAAGTTGAGCGATGAATTTTTCATTCGGCGGATGGAGTGGCGCCGAACGCATACATGCATATAGAATCTGATCACGAACCCAGTCTGGTTCCGGTGGCGGTGGAACCTCGTCATCATTTTCTGAGGTCGTCTGCCTATAGAGTGTTGGCGGTGGAAGGCGCTGACTGGAAGATCCAGCACGGTGTTCCCGAGACCGATGTGGACGGAATTGACTTGGTGATACTGGCATAGGCTGCGAAGCAGCGTCCCCCATAGCACGCTGGAGAATCTGTTTTGGTATCTCATGGGATGGCGACCTCGCGAGGCTGGCGCTGACAGGTGGCGGAATCTTTTGTCCGCTATAAACCACAAATGAAGCGTGTGAAAGAGGCTTTCCAGCAGCAATAGAGTTGTCAAGCCATTCCAGTTTGAGAAGAGTGATGACATTTGAATCCTCTGAATCTTGAAAAAAACTTGTTGCAGGTTCAGATCGATTTTCTTTTATACCCTCCTCCTGTGGCGACTGATTTTTTAGACCCACTACCTCAATCTCTTCATCAATGGTTGATTGAACTGCCTCAGTCTTTCTTCTCTTGAGGGGGCGTTCATTGCTCCCCTGAGAATCTACTGATTCAAGGGCAGGAATCATAGGGATCTCCTCTGTCCAAATCCCACGTGAACGTAACTCCAGTACGGCACGTTTCTTCTGAGCAATATTCCCCAAGATGACCTTGGCTTCTGATATATCATAGGTTAGTTTCCCACCATGATCAATGAAGCGATTTTCTATATCATGCAACTTTTCAAGAGCCAGATGAGTGGGAAGTATGAATAACGGCGGCAGTCCCAAGAAAATTGTCTCTGGTATCTCTTCGGCTAACTCAGGTGGAGATGAACTGCCGAAAAAAGGATTGTGCATCATTTTGATATGTAGTATATTTTCAAATGAAAATTGAGATCACAATGGCCTGAGTATGCACGGATCATGATGTATGTACGAATATGCAGGAACCCATCAGTGTCGCCAAGGATCTCAGCCCCTTGTCATACGTGGAATAGAGCATTCAAACATTGTTCAATGTGAATGGATAGCCTCAAAGGTGATACTGAGAATGATTCTTCATGAGCAGAAGATTATACTGAAAGAAATCAGAGTGGTCTTAATTTGTGTTGTTGTAATGGGCGGAGAAGCGAGGTGGAAATGTGAGGATGCATTTGGCTGACGTCACATGGCTCGGTGCCTGAGGCCATAGTGGAAACCCTTCTCGAAGGATATCGTGCGCCATATGAAACGGTTATCTAGTGACTAGCTATTTATGTGTATTGGGGCTCTAAACAATCTCCTCCTCAATTGTGCGCTCACGAGTCTCCTTCACTTCAACTCGGGAAGACGTTCCTTTCCCAACTACCTCGGTTTGAGCATACTGCGTGTCATCGCTACTCTCATGAATAGTATTGCCGGCCTGATCAGTGAGACTAGCGGGACCATCGCGATCTGTTTCCTCATCTGCTGTCATGCTTTGGCCGTGTCGGCGCGCCATCCATCTTCTCCATGGCTTGTACAAAAACACACTGAGACCGCCAAAGATGATGAACAAACCACAGATTGACCCACCAATCACATCATAGTAATCTCCAGCTGTTTGGACACCATCCCAGAATTTACCCTTAGCATCGGTCACGTTCAAAATCATAGTGAGCAGTTGGATTACACCGATGACAATGGCAACAATGACGGTCAGTGTGGTGAGCACGATCGAATAGTATAGAAATGCGATAGGGTCGCGATGGTTATCATCTGATTGAGGAAGTTCATCACCTGTAACTTCGGTTGAACCTTCGGATGATACGCTGTTCCGCTTTGGTGGTAGAAAATTGGCAGATGGTTGAATATAGAGCGTGAACATGAGAGCTCCATCGATTGTGTCGAGAAGACACATTCCAGCTGTGAACAGGGCTGGGAGGATCAAGATCACCCAAAAAGATGTTCCTTTGGCACCTTCAATGGACGAAATACCAAGAAGAGCGATCTCCGAAGAAGTGTCGAATCCTAGGCCGAAAAGGATCCCAAGGGGATACATTTTCCACGGACTGCAACAAACTCAGTCCAGATTCCTCATTCATAATATTGGGAAAAGGTTGACATACCGGTCAATGAGTTTAAACATTTTCTTGAGAATCGAGAATAAAAACCCGCCGCCTTCGATCTTCCAAGCTTCACCTTCTTGGCCTTCAGGCAGACTGAAAACCTTTTGCATTTGCTTGATCAACTTGTACAAGATATAACCGTTCATAATGCCTAGCAAGATAAGAAACACAGCGCTGACAGAGCTACCGATGATTCCACCGATCGTGCTGAAATCATCAAAATGGGAGGACACGCCGGCAGCAGTTGCTGCAACAACAATAGATGTAATAATAACAATTCTGTTTTTGATTAGGCTCTGGGAAGTCATTCTTTTCATAGCAAAAACTTACGTCGAGTGGCCTAGAGAGAAAAAGGTTCCAACAGTCACTGGCTTTTGGCCAGTGGCGAGCAGCCGTCTTGTCATCAAATCGATAGCCTTTCCTGGTGTTAAAGCCAACATTTTGAGGAGAGAGGGGGACAAATGGTAGTGCTTACAGAAATATGATCAGCATCAAACGCATGTCGCAGGCCAAGAGTATATGCGAGAACTGCTGTAGAAACAAGCGATCTAGTTTGAAATGGAAATCAGTCTAACAGCTCTCTAGTGAGAGGTAGCATTCAAGTTAAATGTGCACGTACGAATTATAACGCTATCACAACAAGTTAGCACATTTTTACTCCTGAATATTTCCAAGCAGGTATAATCCACATACCAAAACAATCGCGGCTGCAACCCAAACGATAGCATTCAAAAATGCAATAAACAGAATGATAGCAATTGCACGGAGTGGAATTTTTCTTATACCCGGCAACCGTTTATGCTGGCGCTCTGCCTTCTGCAAAAGCGGTTTCATGCTCCATTTGCGTTCACTGTCCATGCTTCGTTCATCCACCTGGGGGTCAACAAGGGATGACATATTTGAGATGGGTCCTCTGTCGGTGAAATAATGGCTTTCTGTCTGCTGCCGCCTCAGGCCTGTGGGAAACAGATGAAAGCTTCCAGCAATGCGATTTCACAACAGGAAACTAAGTTCGTGTGGAGGCAACTTCGCGTGTAAACTGGAGGTTCAGTCAGTTCTTATAGCCTGAAACCACAGGATACAAATCAAAGATGAGATTTAAAAATCCTTTCGAGTCTTATCGGCCGTTACTCTTTTGCATTGCCAAGGTTCTCTAAGTACTTTAGATCCGCTTGGCGAGCGAGGACTGGAGTCTTGCCGGGTCGGTTCTGGTGTTGCAACGATGGCACTGCGCTCGCGAAGGCCGAGGAAACACTGCAAATGTTTTCCGACTCACCCGTTCACACCTTGAACACCGTGTCGCAAGGTCTATTTCATGCCCGACGAGCTGCAGAACGATTTTCCACTGTGAGGCGGGATACTCACGTGATATGGCGGGGCAGCGGAGAGCGCCGATTGCACTGATAATTATTCATGGCGTCCGCTCTGATGTGCTAATGTGACCGTCTTGGCTCGATGACCGTCCCCACCATCGGCCGTGCAAGAAACGATTTCTCCCTGCACTCTGCCGATTGTCGGGCCCCTTCAGCTCTCGGAATTGGCCGCACGGCAGACTCGGCCACCGTTATATTACCCAATCAAAATGAAAGGATCATTTGCTTACCTGACAACTAAGAATTTCTACAACTAAAATTTCTTCAAGAAACAAACGAGAGAAAAAAAAAGTCTCAACCTACCTAGCCTGGTGAGAATAGAGGACCTAGCAAAGGCCTATGTAGATGTGTGAATATATCTATCAGCTGTATTGACTTTCTATCATCGAAAAATAGTGATCTATTGTGAAGTAAATGTGAAAAGATTGGGTTGGTAGACAATATGCTATGCCTTGGGCACAACGATGGGAGACCTGGAGTTCTTCTTAAAGAACAGGGTGGGAAGAAGGAGCTGGAAGAATATCTCGAAGCCATACCGCCATCATCGCAACCATTTCCTTGGTACAGCTGTGGCCTGTGTTTTCTTGCACATAGAAGGTGATATCCTGCTCACACCCTTTGCTCCGCCTCTCTTCTATCCATTCTGCAGTGTATTTGGCGGGGACCAACCGGTCATACGCTCCATTGCACAGCAGGAGCGGTACATTGTTCGGGAAATAATTAGCAACTTCCCGGTCATCGCGATCGACAATCTCAGATAATGCTTGTGGCCACCGGCTTTGCTGTTTCTCTGACTCCGTGGAATTACGCTTCAATCGGTCAAGAAGCAGAGAACTCAGCTTCGGACACCCGACGATCATCGCATATGCGTGGAACTGGCCAGGTGAAGCCAAAGAAGCAATACGCCAGGCAGTGTGGCCACCGAGAGAAACCCCAGCCATGATGTTATAAAATCGTGTAAATCGAGGCAGATAGCATGGGAGATAGTCAACCACAAGTTTGAAGTCTTGCGCGCAACCAGAAATCATTGAAATCAAGTCCATTCTGTAAACAGGTCAGTTAATACAACCATCCAATTTATACAAGAGTAGGGAAACGTACGCGTGGTTTTCATTTCCATCTTTCCAAGTCTGGTTTGCTTTCGGGTCAACCTGGGACACCGTCAGTAATGAGGATCGAACCAAAAAGAGAGGTTGAATAGTGGCTCAATCTTTACCTCACGATCCCCATGATTCCTCATATTCATCGTCACCGCGATCAAACCGACTGGCCGACCATGTCTCTTGTCTGTCCGATACCGATATAAAATCTCATGGGCCATATCTTCCATGACACGATAGGTACGAGTTCTGTTGTGCGCCATATATAAAATAGCAACTTCTCCCTTACGCTCTCCTTGTTGTTCGGCATAGACTTCACTCAGCCCATAAATATAAACCTGAAGCCCGCCGATAACCTGCGTCGTCTTGCTCGAGCGGGGCGTGTTCTTCGGGAGAGAAAAACGAGGCTCTAGGCCATCCGTATTTTGTGTGGACATTTCTCCCTTTAAATTTATTAAACTCTTTGTCTATATTAAGCGCTTGAGCTTCGAACAATATTTATAATGAGAAATTGTTGACTCCATGAAAGCAAGAGCTGGTTTTTGAAAACAAGAATCTTGAGCATGAACTAGCTTAACCGATTGGGCCGAGAAAATTACCGACCCGCCACCAACTTGGTAAACATGCATAGACTCGGCAAAAGTCGATCGGCATCAAATACCCGCCACTTATGGAGCTAAACTATGCTGACTGAAAAAATCCAGTATGATTGGCGTGGCATTGAAACTTGCGGGGTGATGACCTGCCGCTTGATTATCGGCATTTGGGACTGTGCTCGGCCAATCATGGCCAATTACAGAATCATAGACCAAACGGACAGGTCCAGTAAGTCCGAAGGAATAGATAACAGTGTTTGAGGCCAAGGGAATGGTGGTATTGTGCTCACTATCCAAGCCATTTCGTGTAGCCCATTCTTGAATAAAGTGCGGAATACTAGGCAAACACTCCTTTTTGCGCTCGCCACCTAGGTAAGAGATCGTAGTATCATTCCCGCCATGAAATTCCATGAAGGGGATGGTCTTCCGCGCTGAGTGACAGGGAATAGATACTGTTGATGGTATACAGGGTAGCGTGTCGATATAGTAGGCTCCGGAAACGGGAGCAAAAGCTGCGAAACGCTTCGACAAATTTTCATCGCACGCAAGGACGTTGCAAAGGCCACCGCCATCAGATTTCCCAGTGGCCCAAACACGAGCCTTGTCAATGCACCATCGTGACTCGATCTGGTCAAGTATGTCCGCTGTGAACTGAATATCATTGGTCTGGACGCCGGGAACTCCTTGCCATGTATTCTTCAAGATAATTAGCAGGGGTTCCAACATTAAACAGGAAGGCTTTTTCCCACATTGATACCCTGTGGGTAAACAACAATAGCTTTGTCATTAAATTCTGGGTTGGTCAATTGATCGAGCTTTAGCTCGTCCTCCGCGGTCCGAACACCTCCATGATATGAGAAAATAACGGGTGTCGGCGTAGTCATATCATATTTTGGTGGAATTGAAATGAGATAGCTTCGCTGAAGACCATCACTTTCGATCGTTATATTCGATATTTCAGCAGATAATCTTTTGGATGTAGCTGATTGAGTATTGCCTGCCGAGCTTGCTAGGCTTAGTGGAGAAAGCCCTATGAGCAGAGAGATTGTGAAGCGGGAAAACGCCATGAATGATATGATGATGATATTGTCTCAATTGAATTGTATATCTCGGCCACACAGAGCTCGAACAAAGAGAATGACCTTAAATTTAACAGATTTTGATTGAGGAGGGTTCAATATGCCGATTGTGCCGAATCCCGGGGTAATGAGCTATGAGTGGCACGAACATGCTAGTAGAAGAATGCGGGGTATACACGTGCGTAATAATACGATGAGAATAAATAAGTCTTGTTACGAACTATGTAACAGTAATATCTGTCAATATGAAAGGTATATCTTTGTATTGGAATATCGGAGAGAAGAACTCGCCATATTTACTATGTTTTCTCAATTCATTCCATCTTAAACCAGTATTGCGATAGTAAGACGATACTATTGCTTTGTAAACTCAACTAAAATATGATTTTGCCTTACAGAACATACCGGAACTCTTTGTTCTGCATATCGGTCAGGTTTTCCTCGATCGAGTGTAGATGATGCTGATCTGTGGCAATCCCGCATCTCTTATCTCTTTCCATGTTCTCTCTTCGTAACAAAATCCAAGTTCCCGCAGCTATCACAACTACAAGACATAGGCATACAAAGCTGCCTATAAATCCGGCACGGTACAATGGCCCAGGAGATGCGCCAAATATAAGCGGCCCGATGATGTTGCCGATACAGTAGCCTGCAAATGTAGATGCACTTGTTGTAGCTTTCTCTGAGGCCGTGTTAGAGCCAATACATGGTATGGACGCAAACTTGGTGGAAATAATACTTACTTGTATGTCCAGCGACGTTCGAGGCAGCCAGGGAAACGGCCAGTCCACCCGCAGCAACTTGAACAGCAATAAGGAAGATACCGGCAAAGAGCATCCCTCTATTGCTACGAGGCCCAAGCCAACAGATCAAGGTACCGGCGATGGATATAAGAGCACAGATGATGATGCACAAGTAGCGAGTTCCGGTCAACTTTCTAGTCACGTAGCCGACTAATAAGATGGAAAGAGCCGTAATTGCGCCAATAGGACAAGTCAAAGCCAGCGAGTCAAAATGGCTGAATCCGAAGCCGTTGATGACTATTGTACCAAAAGTGCCAATTGCACCAGAAGGCACTCCAGTGAGGAGAATGATCAGTGTACAGCTGTAGACTTTGTAGTCTTGGAAGGCCTCGAAGAACTGGGACTTGTTGAATTCAGAGCTGATTGTGCCCGCCTGGTTCCGTTCCAAACGATGCATTGCAATTTGACGTTGAGACTCAGATAAACCCTTTGTGGTCATTGGGCTGTCTGGCAGAGCAAAGAAGAGAACAAACGACCAAGCTGTAGTGATTGCCCCAAGAACCAAAAACATGGGCTTCCAAGAGTCAAGCGATCCATGAATTTGGCCAAGTCCCCAATTAATCAATGGTGAGATAGTAGTCGCAACTCCAACGCAGCAGTACCATAAGCTTGTGCGCAGAGCCTGTTCCTCACGCGTCCACCAAAATGTCACCAAAACAGTGAATGTAGGGGCCACCGCCGATTCCAGTATACCCAACACCAAACGATTGACCATAATGCCAGCGTAGTTCCTGCAGCCAGCAGTTGACATGACGACAATGCCCCATAGGAAAGCAGCCAGGGATATAACTCGAGATGTTGGGTAGTGGTGTGCTAGATACATCATCGGATAGGTACCTATAAGATACCCAATATAGAAGATCATTGATGCATGAGAATATCGTTGATTGTTTGTAATAGCTGTGCCGTCTGCTTCGTGCCCAATAACCGTTGTCAGGCCCAAGTCTGTATTGAAATTGAACTGCGTGGCGGCACTCATGATGCCCTTGTCGTAACTCTGGAGCATATACGTTACCATCATGAGCGGAACGATCCTATTTGGTTAGTTTGTCTGACTGGGTAGAAGATAGGAATGGTCCAAGACATACCATAGATCTAGCTTACGGACGAGATTTCGCTCTTCTTCTGTTGAGAAGTTAGCATTACCTTTTGGCATGTCGTCAGCTCTCTCAATCTCGTCAACGTCGAGCTTTTCTGCACGACCGATAGAGTCGTCCATTTTAAAAGGGAAGTCCAAATTGTGCTGAGAGATCCAGTAATCAATGAAGGGGCATTAGAGGCCATATCTGACATTTTGCCGGTATTTATAGATGGTAAACCATATAAGTTCGTAATAAGAATGGCTTCATTGGATATTTGGCGAATTGCTGAAATGTGCACGGTGATTGATCGGATCCATATGATTGCCGAAATTACCGAATGAACCGATTGTGCCGGTGCGGGGCCCCGGGCTCTTTTAAGCCACTCTTCAACCACCATCAGCACGCTTTTTTGCCGCGGTAAATTGATCCTCGATATACCGACAGATCATCAAGACCATGCAGGATGCGGGCCATGATAGTGGCGGTAAACAGAGCTCACGTCGCTCGCGCGTGGCATGCCGGTCTTGTAACAGGCGGAAGGTTCGTTGTAACGTAACCCAGACTGGTATTCCATGCACAAATTGCCAGCATGAAGCTGCCATTTGCGAAGTGTTGCCTCGAAAGAAGCACAAGTGAGTCTTATCCATTTATGGCGGATGATAATAACTGACTGGGGGAAGACCACGCGTATCACGAGCCGGAAAACGAGCACCAGTGTCCCAGTCAACATCAAGGGATGAGCACTCAGTTCTTAACACACCAACACTCGACGTAGAATCCGTTTTGCCCGACGATAACGCATGCTCCTACATTGGTATGGTGTGAATTACCTCAGGTGGCTCGGTTTAAAGACTAACCAGTAACATCAGGCGACACGCGGGGCCCGAGGCAAACTGTTTACGAACTATGCCATCCGAGTGTTCCACAAGAGGTGCGCAATTCGACAACCTCGACCATCTCGGAAAAAACTTCAGGAATAATTAGTTCTCTACGACCACATCAACTAGATTATATTCGTCACGAAGGTGGATTTAACTTGCTGCCACCTGACATTTGCGACGAACTCATTCGTTGTTACTTTCATCATGTGCACTTTTTTCTTCCAATAATCGAAGCCCCCGTCTTTCTCAGGGATTACATGACAAATAAGAGTCTTGAGAAAAATCCTTTATTATTTTGGAGCGTGCTTTTAGCAGCTACCAATGTGCGCTGTCTCTCATGAACGATTGGATATACAATACTAATGAATTGCAGTTCGTTGATACTGAGATCTTACAAAGAGCCGGATTTGCATCTCGAAAGGCAATGAAACAGGACATGTACTCAAGGGCAAAGGTAAACCCCTTCCCCTGGGGGAAGTCTTCACCTTCTTATTCAGACACAGTGCTTTTATGATCTCGATCAAAGAACGGACAAACTTGTTCTAATCCAATCAGCCCTTCTCATGAGCTTCTGGTACACAGATGTCCAGGATCACACCGGAGCGTGGTATTGGATTGGCATCGCCATCACACTGGCTCAAGGAATCGGAATACACCGCTGCACCTCCGTGCGAACTCAAGGTAACCAAGCGTTGTCGGACGATCGGCAATACATTAAACGTCGTTTATGGTGGACATGCGTGGTCCGTGACAGGTGGCTGTCCTTGGCCAAAGGGCGACCAATGAGAATCCATGATGAGGATTGCGATGCCATCCCACCTGGTGTGTCCGACATTTTACTGGAACTTAGGGAAATTTCTCCAGAGGCCCGACAGAGGTTCATACCTTCCAACGAAGACCAGCTGGCACCCATGTGGGTACGACTTGTGGGCATAAGCTCTGTTCTTGGTCGTATTCTGCGAGCTCACTACCGTCTTAATGGACCTAAACCAAGTGTCGAAAACGTTGACGAGCTTTTTGCTACACTCTGTGAATACCAGTCCAGTAGGACTCCTGGTTCATATGATATAAACGACACCGTTCTACTTCATGAGTACCACCTAGAGCTCTTTTATCAGTACGTTAAAATCGGTTATCTTAATTCTCTAAGCAAACTGACATCCTATAGGGCCAGTATGACGGTCCTCTGCCGACCCTATCTATTGAATGCCCCCGCCTCGCTTCCTGAGGGTTCATCACGGACCTGGCAAAAGATGATGCAGGGAAAGGCAAGATCTGCCGCGTCATTGACGAATGGTATTCTTGAGAAGGTTATCGAATTGGATGCTGTTAAACACATAAAGCCTATGATGTGAGTAGTAATATGAACCCCAAAGTAAGAGATATGCTAATTTTTTATCTAGAATTACCTCTTTGGTCCCGGCGATGCAAGTACATCTTTTTGACTGCAAGTCGACTAATTCAATTCAAGCTAGCCTTGGTCGCAACAAGCTTCAGGTCTGCATGTTAGTCCTGGAAAATTTACGAAACACTTATTGGAGCGCCGGTGTTATGTATCGACTATTCGACCGGGCTCAGTTCATCCTCGCTAATAGGGCCAAAAATAGCAGTGGGCTTTCAGCGGTTCGAAAAAACGAAATTTCCTCCCATTTAGTGTCTCATAATGTGACAGATCCGGCGGATGGGGATAGGAATGGTGTGAATATAGGAGCTTCTAACTTTGCAAATTTTACTCCAGATAATTCGGAGTTCAGCTTTTACAGTGAAGATCTCCCGGCAACTGGAAGTGCTGATTTTACAGCTGATTTTGGTACCCTGGAGCAATTGTTAAATCCTGGGTTCTCGTTACCGGATGTCCAATCTCAGATCTTTTTTACAGATTACACGATTGATACCACAGCGGGAGATCTCCCTCTTGACATGCATAATATTTGAACAGTCTTTGAGAATTCTGTTGATTAGTTCATCTACATCAATCCTGATATTCATCAGTACAATCAAGTTTAATGTGTGTTATGCCATTACCGAAGCGTTCGTTGCTTGAGAGCACTCTGAGTACCAAACGGGACCCATTGCAGTAGAAACTCCAATGCCCATGCAAGTTATTATATGCATGAGATGACCTCTCCATGGAAAGCGAGAATTCCTCCAAGAAAAAGTCTTCTACCACCTTATGGCATCTACCATAAGGTCGTGGGGTCTCGGGGCCACGGAATAGTCCCGTCGGCCCCCGATATGAGATATGATGACTCAAGGGCGAATTCTCCGAGTCTAAGTCTGAGCCCGATGAACTTCTAGTGAAATCCCTGCTCTTGTACCAGCTCCAGCGGCTGGAGTCTTTACGTTCCAGCGCTGAGGGGCTGTGCCCGGACTCAGACAGTCGCAATCAACACAAGAGGAACCACGATTGCGTGTGCCAGGTCTTTGGTTCTACTCATCTTTTGTCTCGTGGCTCCTACTTGGTAGAATCACTTCCGCAGACCTGCAACAAGCATGGCTGCCACTCTAGACCTTCTCAATCCGCTCGCGGTCTTTGCCGCCACCCAGACTCACGGCGGTACATCAAAGCAGTCTTGGATCTGGACGATGTATGGCATTCGTTAGATAACGGCCATCCGTCAAAGAGCGAACCCACCTCCTTTTTGCTCGAAACAACCTTCGATTTCGTATTAAAAATCACCAACTTATTAGAGGAAGAAGAGCCATCCGTCGAGATATTGACTGACCAGCCCCCGATTCCCTCCCTGGCTCTCCCGCCCAACGATCACGACCCCGACGATCCCCCACGACGATGATATTAGATCTGGCCAGGCTGGTGCCTGCACTTTTCTTTCGCGCCCATGACCATCTCAGGCAGTACGAGGAATACATCACCATGGATTCCGACCAACTCATTGAAGACTACCCGTTCCCTCCACCCTTTGAGCAAATGTATCTCGCTTGGACGGATAAGTGGAATACCAATTTTGATATTAATTGCAATAAGAGCGGCGATATTCACGGTCCGGTATTCACTAGTCGAGGGAACAAGTCGCGTGGAACGTCGCCGGGTGGTTGCTCGCCTGGCGCATCCTTATGTCCCCCCGAGTAGAGAACCTCGAATTTACTGGCCATGTCGATAAATTCTTTCTAGAGCAGGGGAGAGAGACCAGCCTGACTCTCCAGTTTCCTAAGAAACAAAACCACTATCCGTCTCTGCCTCCCTCGGTGATGCCCGCGACAGAATAGTGGTTACGGAGCGCACTCTCAGGAGCTTTATATAATTCGATAGGCATCATCATATCATGACTACCTCGTTTCTAGTATTTATAGTAGTACAATGTTATAGGAAGCAATAATCATATTTAATTATATCTAAGAAGAGAAGACTTACTAAAAAAGATAGTAGGAGTAAAAGGTAGAAAGTTAAGACGGAAGAAAGAAAGAAGAAAAGCTACAATCAATATTACCGACACAGCTCTTGATACTTTTTTTAAAAGAAGAAAAGAAAGAATCAATTTCCATTTCACTCAATTTGTGAACAACCTGTCATAAAACATAGATCGCCAATATTCAAAGCTTTGAAACATAACGAGTGACAAGGGCATATCAAGTAATTGGGCAGGTTTCATCTGAATTCGAAAGCGATGAAACTCTGCTATTGATCCTCAACTCAAGCGCCTGGGTATGGGGATTTAAATGGTCAATATTGGTATTGTTGTGTACTTAAAACCGGTAAATAGTATACAACAGAAATGAACATTGTCATATCTCTTCGTGATGTTTTTCATGATAATCGTGGGTATCGTCTCTCAATGAACCTCGAGCTGACAGCTCATGGTCTTGTTTGGAGCTGGAGATCCAGATGTGGTTGAGTGGATTGGGAATTCCGGGATTTCCGGCAGACTTTCGCCAGTGGCCTAATTTTCGCTTCATATAAGAACATAGACGGAAGAAGTCGGTGTCAACTCGGTGACCATTGGCTGCGGCTTTCCAATATCCTGGCCCATGAGTATATTCCACTCGTTCCTCGTAATGGGGGTCACATCTGATGCTGATAATGGAGTCTTTGGGCCGCGTTTTGACCGGGAAATTGATTTCATACCCCTCACCTTCCTGGACTCGGACTTCGAGCTCGGCTTGGTGGATGCTGGGGCCTGCGGACGTGTAATACGACCCGATGGCCTCTGAGCAGGCGGGGCCATGGCCTCTGATGGCAGAATTATGGCGTCTTGACCATGTGTGCTCTTATAGGTTCTTGCAACCTCTCGAAGTAGATCATCCTTGACATCTAAATGATCATAGATGCGATGAAAGAAAGCCTTGGTGAAAGGTCTCCCTTGCTGATCATTGATAATGCGATGCAGCAACTTAACGCAGGGTGTAATAGAGTGGTCATTGAAGAAAAATGGCCGACTGGATAAGACACAGAGGCGGCGTTTAAAGATGAAGATGCGATCCATATTAAGCAGAGTCAGGCCCTCCTGGCTGAAAATCACTTCATTTTGCTTAATGGATTGCTGCACAAGGAATTCATTCGCAGTACATTCATAATTACTGCGATTCAGTGCATCAGTCCAGCTTTGGCTTAGGGAGAATTTATTCGCACTCTTCGCCATGGCTCGCTCGAGTACGCCACGTGCAACTGCATCCAGAGGCGTTATTGGGATCACCATCATGTCAGACACCTGTCCGGTTGGGAATGGCTGTCCACGACCGACTAGAAGAGTAACATGCATCATTCTTTGTTGCAATTTGGTCGATATATACTCGAGAGCTGGCAAAATGGAAGGAATAGCAGCCTCGGAATCAAAGTCAAAATCGGGAGAGAGGGGGGTAGGAATCATATCATTGTTGAAATGGTGAGATGGCGAGTTTGGAACGTAAATGCCCGCCGGACGAGGCATGCGAATAATGCCCATGATAAAATATATGGTATGTAAAGGTTCTTCTCAGAAACAAAGGGAAGAAGCGATTGAGATTGAAGGAATTCTGCCCTGAATTGCTTCTAGTTCGCTGTTTTTGAGCTGGAGACACCCCAGGCTGAATAGAAGAAAAGAAGGAAAGCTGCTCCGACGATTCCTGATATATTCGCTGTCCAAGGATTTGTCTCTAGGCTGTCTAAAGATGTTCCATGGCGACTGAAAAGACCCCTTTCCCCGCACCAAAGTAGGTATCTTGGCCTGGAAAGCCCCTAATTCATTCCTAAATTAGGACCAAAAATGTTGCTAATGATAGCAAATCACAGCCCACTCTGGCCAATCATAAACGAGAACCCTCCTCGGCTGGTTGGTGGATCGTTGTGAAATCCAATCACAGCAGCAGCGATCGGCGCAACCAAAATCGGCCAAAGCACCCTGTAGCCGCCGAGGCGCTCCTCCCCCAATAATCGACCGCATCACAATTGGGCATCGCACACCTGTACAGGACCTCGCATTTGTGTCTCCGCAGCGGTCTGTGTTCGCAGATTTTCATCCTTCGTAGCCGGTTTTGATCCTTGTAAGCAACATTATTCGGTTCCTTTTCCTGTACTGTCATCATGAATCGTTTGGCCACATCGACAAGCCTGAAGTGTTTGCTATACGATGGGCCCTGCTCCCTGGTCACCGTCTCCCAAGAAAAAGTGATGTCGTATGGTTGACGAGGGATTTTTCAATCTCGGATCTTAGCTTCCACGCAGGTTGTTTCCGTGATTGCCGCATACACACCGAAGTGCCTCATGACTCGAGCCCTCCTGCAGGCAGGCCTTTTCGGAAATTGTCCGTGTTCTACAATTACCAATATCATGCAGATGGGCAGTCCACTGGCCAACGTGCGTGTTCTAGACCTACTTGATGTCTGCTAGTAAACTAGGTGAGTAAGGTCGCCTTGCGTTTTTTGGGCTACAATGTTTTGCTGGGTAGAGGTTGCAACCATTGAAGTGCAACTGATCTAATCAAGTTCATTTTCCGTGGGCTAGACTTTCTTTATCATGATATTCGTATCGCATTGGCGGCCTTGTCGTAACCGTGTGAGGTGTGGTTTTTATGGTATATCCGGTCTGCGTGTGTAATGTTGCGGAATTTAGCTGCCTACAAATCTAAAATTGAAGCACACTATGAGACGAACCAGGTCATGTACCCTCACTCGAAAAGGCCGAATACCCAGGGTTTCAAAGATTAAGACCGATGTGATCTTGGTCCGATTTGTGCCACGTTTTTTTTTCTCTCGGCCACCTCATCGATATCACGAAATGCCTTGTTCGAGAGCCTCAAAGGTACATGAAACGAGCTGGACCCGGTCAAAGACATGGTGGCTGCAGAGCCATTGCTTTTTCGGGATCAATTTCGTCCTGTCATTGCTCCCGGGGCAAGGGATGCCTTGGGGGCCGGACCGGGAGCGCTAAAGGTGTGGGCTATTTGACATTAATTATAGATACTTAATCCCCAATTACCCCTCAATTTACCTTGGTTCTTAAAAATAAATTCATTCCTTTGGTTAGTATTTTGTTTGCGAAGTTGATATTATTCTTAGCTTTAATTGTTGATCCGGACTCGAGAATTGATTCTCGCATTGGGGTTCTGACCAAAGATCATGGGATATTTTGGTCAAAGAACGGATAGTTTTCCTTGTCCAATGAGTTTCATCTCTCTCCACCAAGACAACAACCTACAAAGAGAAAAGGGTTTCTCGTTAGCACCTTTGGTATTTAGATGGCCTCGTCTTCTAATGCTCTTTTGATCACCAAAATTATGTGAAATCTGACTTGATGTAAGGTACGTCCGATAGAAGAACCGCTTTTTCTGACATGTTGCTTCCTGGATTCACAATAATAGGATATTGTCGCTGCTGGAGCATTTCAATGAAGGGTATTCTTATTATAAACAGGTACAAATCCCCCAATTGGGTCATAGAAAATGCATTATATTAGGTGACGTACTTTTGCTTAGGCAAAAGCATTGAAATACCTTGTTAACCAATCTCTAGTCAGTAATAGAAACTACAAGGGTATTTGCGATGATAAAAAAAATAGAGCAACTGGATTCTTCAGTTGGGCAGTAGACAGCCTAGTGGAAATCTAAATTTGAAGCCCCTGTTGGTAGATAATGGTCAGATACTCATTCCTATTTCGGTCTTGGGCATCACACTTTCCAGCCCCAGCATGATCTTCTATAGATCACTCACTCTGGAAACTTTCAACCAATCAGGTTCCATAACTCAGTTGGTTAGAGTGTGGTGCTAATAACGCCAAAGTCGAGGGTTCGACCCCCTCTGGAACCACTTTCCTTTTTTTCATTTTCTTTTTATCGTACATCGAGTTCTTTGAGTATTAATAAAGTGCACCTTAAAATACAGCCAGAAGTTCGTCGTTCTTTCCTAATGGAACAAAGACTCGGCATCTCGACCCCAATTTAATTATGCAGCCTTATTCTTATATGAATGCTATATCACGCCCTGGAAATACTGGGCAAAAATTTTGATGCACTGATCTTTGATTCGTTGTATCTTTTTATGAAATACACATGAAACCTAATGATAATGATGGTCTAAATACAGCTATTACCTGAATAGCAGGTGACTAGAAGCAAATGCACACACAGCCCAAGACTGCATTCCAGCCAAAAAAAAAAAGGGAGGCCTGCACATTCTTTTCTTCGGCAAAGTGATAAATAATATCATAGGAATGATTATGATTACTTGTGTCTAGTTGAATTTGGGAAAGAGGGCTCAGCGTTGGAGGCTTAGCTCTGCCACATGTACAGACCAGGGCGATCGCTGCCTTGTAAGCAATTTCAGCAAGGCCAGCAATTCACAACAATTCGTTCGCCTAATTCGCCTATGAAAGCTTTGAAAGACAAATTCTCACTTGGAACCATAATGACCGGTGCAAGATTCTGAAAATTAGATAATGAAGAAGGGCCTCGCTTTCCTTGGTGAGCTGTGGGAAGAGAAGAATATGTTCACCGAGGAACCTGTGCGTTTGCCTCACTTCGATCTTACCGTGATTGACACCAATAGACATCCCTTTTTTCCATACCTTTTTTTCCAAAAGAGAAATTGAGCATCTCGGGGCGGAGCTGAGACTCTTGACAATATTTAATAATGCGAGTCATTCATTGCACAGAAGGTTTCCATCAGAAGTATACCGCATCTGTCCAGCTTTCTTCGATTACAATACGACCAACTACTCTGCGAACCATACGCCAAGAGAAACGGAACATACAAAGCTGGGCAAGAGTGAGGCTCAATAGATAACCGCCCCGGTGAAATGTCTACCTCTCGGATCTGACCCGTTCGGCTTTTTTCGTCGAACTACCATCAAGCAAACATGGTCTCATGCGTCGCCGGTGAACTCGGTGACCGCCGATAGGATATGCTAAGTCCCAGGGCACATAGAGCAGATGCTTAGCAGGTACTAGAGAAGGTTTTTTTTTTCTTCCTCCGGCTCCACGTGGAACTCGCCCCGTCATGGTCTGTTCGCTGGGCGGCCCCAAGAAAATGCGATAGGGAATAACATTCCCGAGGGGGCTGTGGGACACCGAGGCACGTTTTCTGGAAAATTCGCTGCTAGCCGAGCCAAATTCTTTGGTGTCATGTGGATTGCAAAGCAAAAAATCCTTCAAAGTGCATAGCGATACCCTGGACGCCACTCGCAAAAGCCTCTGCACCGGGCGCCGCCAAGGCAGCCAGATTGGTTAAACTGTTCAATCGACGGGGGGCTTTTGTTAGCGGCAGCGGCCATTGGACGATGCGGCAGTGGCGGGCGGTCTTGGCAGGCCTCCCGGGCGCAACGCTGGCTGATCGCCAAGCCTCATGCCCCCCTTTGGCACCACTTCCCTCCCCCCTGGAGGCCTGGGGGCTTGCTGGTCAAAATGCTTCTCACCGGGAACAGAACACGCGGTGTGTACCAGTCGTAGTTTCTGGGTTGTGGACTCTCTCATCCACGGATAGTCTCATGCCCATGAAATGCGGCACAGTCTGTGTGATACTTCTACATCAACTTCGACTGACCCATCAATTCTCTGAGTGTCCTCCGCACCCTAACCCTGACATGCCTCCGTTGGGAGTAGATCGACAACCCCATTCCCGTCAAATGCTTCCGAGACGGCTTCCCCGGTCTCTCTTGGGTCTCAATATTGCTCCATATCCAACACTTTGTACTCCAAAATCAACAAGACAGGCCCAATCGCCCGACGCAAAGCGAGCCGTGTCTTCCCCGCAGGATAGCCTCTCAGTTCCCGAGATCTTGGCAGCTTGGCGCTCCGCTTAGTCGGGGTCTTATGTGGTCTTATCACTCTTTCGTTGACACAGAAAAACTCGATATATCATTCCTCGGGGCAGGATACTGTATAGAGTAACCACCTGCAGGGCATAATCTGTATACAGTAATGAGCTCACCCCAGAGCTCGTTTCAGAAATCCTCGTGTGTTGAAGTAGGGAGGTACCTGGGGCGAAGTCCATGCAGGCTCATGTCGTGTAAACACAGCCCGGGGGCTCAGGGGAGAAACCTCGCGTCGGGCTTTCATGTACCTCATAGTTTCTGGTCATCCCCATTCCCCCGGTCACTCGGCTCGTGTAATCAAACCTTGTTTGTGAATGGAGGGGAGGCTCTTGGCCGGATTCATCGTGGCGCTGCAACGCTCCCTGGCTTTTCTGCACGCACTGGCATCTGGTCTGGGTCCGTCCCAGTGTCGCAACGGAGGAGACCCCATAGAACAGACTTTCGAGCAGATATGTACCCCATCGGAGATCCCGTCGGTTCTGTTGGATAGAGATCTCCTCCACACTGGCACTGGCAGGATCGGGGAATTGATGACTTGCGAATGGACTGGACGTTGCCGAATCCAGACCGAAGGCAACTCGGCGGGCTTGGCTCCCCAGTCAGCTTATTCCTATTTATCTCGCGTGCCCCAGTGGTCCCATCTTCCTCTTTCTTATCTCGAAAGCTGGTGGGTTCTCCGATTAGCTTGACTGGTGCGCTTCTCGTCGCAACTTGCCACAGCCCAGCTGGGCCCTTTTAAAACTCCCAGCACCCACTTCTTTCCCACTCTCCTACCGAAATTTTGTCCCCTCCCGAAGGAATCTTGTAGCCCGCAATCACTACCTTGGTCTGTGTTTATTACTCCAGTGTCATGGTGTCACAGCTCAAGGCGGAGGGCTTCTCCACCGACAGCCCCGTCAAGCGCGAGTACAGCGGCGATGAAGTCGCGACAGCAGAGGAGGGCGGCCTCGCAGACCCCAACCATGTTGATCTTCACCGTGCGCTCAAGGCTCGCCATATTACCATGATCGGTACGTTTCGCATCCTGGTCCTCGGAGGGAATCCGTGGCAAAGCTAATCCGCCCAGCAATCGGAGGAGCAATCGGAACGGGTCTCATTATTGGCACCGGAGAAGCCCTTGCAAAGTAAGCGATCTTCACTGCATTCCAGATTGGATCAAACAGGGACTAATCTAATTTCTCGTCTCTAGAGCGGGTGTAAGTTGATTCAGTACCTCGAAGACCGACTTCGAAGACCTCAAAATCCCCAGTTCTTAGCTAATTTCCGCAGCCTGGTGCAATTCTAATCGCTTATGCCTGGGTTGGCTTTATCGTGTACCTCGTGATGTGTGCACTGGGTGAAATGGCAGCGTGGCTTCCTCTACCGTCCGGGTTCACTGGCTACGCAGTTCGGTTCTGTGACCCAGCGCTAGGATTCACCCTTGGCTGGACGTGAGTGCATCGTGAAACGCTATTCTGTTCAATGGTTTTTCTAATTATGCTCGGGGTGTAAAGGTATTGGTTCAAATATATCATTCTGTCGCCAAATCAATTGACCGCCGGAGCACTCGTGATACAATATTGGCTTCCACAAGAAAAAGTCAATGCGGGCGTGTGGATCACAATCTTCTTGATCATGATCGTCTGTATCAACTATTTCGGCGTGCGATTCTTTGGCGAGTTCGAGTTCTGGCTATCGTCCTTCAAGGTGGTCGTCATCATCGGTATCATTCTTCTGTCCTTCATCCTGATGCTGGGTGGCGGCCCCGACCATGACCGGAAAGGGTTCCGTTACTGGAAAAACCCAGGAGCTTTCAACACATATATCGAAACCGGGGATGCTGGACGATTTTTGGCCTTCTGGTCCACGATGGTATCGGCCACTTTCGCCTATCTGGGCACCGAGTTGGTGGGTGTGACTGTGGGCGAGGCACAAAACCCGCGCAAAACTATCCCTCGTGCGATCAAGTTGACCTTCTTCCGTATTCTTTTCTTCTACGTGCTCTCGGTTCTTCTCGTCGGTACTCTGGTGCCCTACAATGACAAGAAACTTGCATTTGCCGTGAAGGCGAGCAGCTCCGCTGCTGCCTCTCCGTTCGTTGTTGCCATCGAAAACTCGGGAATCCCCGTTCTATCACACATTATGAACGCGTGCATCCTACTTTTCGTTTTCTCGGCGTCTAATTCGGATCTGTACATCGCCACTCGAACAATTTACGGCCTTGCTCGTGAAGGCAAGGCGCCCAAGATCTTTGCTCGTACGGACCGCCGTGGAGTTCCCGTCTTTGCGCTCGGAATCAGCTCTCTATTTGCGCTGTTAGCCTATATGAATGTATCCAGCGATTCGAAGACTGTGTTCAAGTACTTCGTGAACTTGGTGAGCATGTTCGGTCTCTTGACCTGGATTTCTATTCTCGTTACACACATCCATTTCGTTCGCGCACGCAGAGCACAAAACGTCCCTGACTCCGAGTTGGCATACGTGGCTCCGTTCGGTATCTATGGATCCTATGGTGCCTTGGGGTTCTGCGTCCTCATCGCGCTCACCAAGAACTACGACGTGTTTACCCACAATGCGAAATGGGGCAACTTCGACTACAAGAACTTCATTACCGCATACCTTGGCATTCCCCTGTACTTGATCCTGCTTTTCGGATACAAGTTCATCACTAAATGCGAGGGCGTCAAGCCCAGCACCGCGAATTTGTTCGAGGGCAAGGACGAGATTGACCGCGAAGAGGCCGCTTTTCTTGCTCGGAAGGCTGCCGAAGAGGAGAAACATACCCAGTCTCATTGGTTCTATCGCACCTTTGTTTCATGGCTCTTTTAAAATAGCCATGATAGATTCCTTCGCTGTATTCGGAGAGAGGCGCGGGTTCCTTTTTCGACGTTTCTTCCTTTTCTAGCTGCCTACATATTCATCCCAGATTAACTATTACTCTAAGTTATCATATAATCCAGCGGTAGACCAATGAATTTACGAGCTATGAACGAGCTTTAATCTATTGTCCGAAAATTGGACCTAAACCTTATGCAAAAAAGCCCCGGTATTCCAACTGCTCATTTTATTATACTGATGCGGACTAGCGACCGGTCCGATTGGCCACTCATAAGCATTGCCTCTATCGTGGACTCCAACGTCGATGCGGGGAAGATCCACTGATAACCGAACCGAACCCCCTCGAATATTAGTATTGCAACCTCAGATCTACATTATCGACATGATCCAAGAGGATCTCTCTTCCTTTACTCTTGGCCCTATAACCCTACTATCATTCTACGATCTGGATTATTTGGCCTATAAGCCTAACTTCCCCGGTTATCTTCACGTTCCATCGGATGCCCGTGAATCAATCAATGGCCAACGACAAGCCAAACAAAAAGCCACGGAGAGTGAAAGGTAGAGAATCTTTTTGAACTCAACGTGATATGATCTGATTGGCTCTCTAGGATGTTATAACTGCTCCCAGCGGCGAATCAACTGCGATTGCGGAACCCCCTGCCAAAAGTGCCTGAAGAGGGGTCTGCAATGCCTAGGCCTGGGTGTACGCTATCGATTTAATGTCGGGGTGGCATCAAGAGGAAAACTAGCAGGAAAATCAACACCTGTCCATACTGCACCGTGAGGGTTTTTCTTTCTCGTTTCTGTCTGCTTTTCCATGAGCCTGACTTATTACTCTACTAGTTGCGATGAATCATCTCCATTTCCAAGTCATCCCAAGCCACAGACAAATTTCAAGAAGCCCATTCATTATCTCGATATCGATAACAATAAGCTATCAGCTTCCACCAATAATATTGATACCTTCTTTCCTTTCAATCACACTAAACAAAACCGACCGCTTGGGAATTTTCTTGGCGAGTTGGCCCGAGTATTGGACCATATTGACCACCGGTCTCGATTCTTGCTTAATCACTGTAAGAACTTTTCAATCTTTTCAAATGTATGATATTCATAGTTTCATAGTTTCTCAAAACGTGGCTCCAGCAATGGTAGCCATCAACTTCGTATTCAATGGCTATCGTGACCTCATTCTGCCAATTTCCGAACAGGACGATAACGTGAGAAATGCGGTATTAGCTGCTTCTGCCTCTCATATGGCACTCAAACGCACTGAATGGAAGTCGATTGCAACAGATTATCGAATGGCTGCCATCAAAGGTCTAAAGCAACGTGCTAATATCGAATACCCCGACGAATTGATCTCCCATTCAAGCTTGTCTACAATGGTAGTTCTTTTAGTTGATGAGATGGTCGCGGTCGGGTCTGACTTTCATATTCTGCTCCGCATGTTAAAGAGCTTTGTTGAGGCGAAAGGTGGCCCCGGTGCGGTTGGAAAAAGCCCTCTTGGGAAGTTCCTGTTACAAGAAATAAGGAAGTATGAACTCGGCTTTCCCATTCTCTACAACATACACTGAATTCTGTATAGGATCTCCTTATATGCAAAACCCCTTCTTTGGAACATGTCAAGGATTTTGAAGACATCTCTCTTCAAGATTTGGATTTCCTATACAGCTGTCTGGATTCCCACCCGGGGTTTTCAGAAATCATCTTCAATCTCGCCGACCTTATCCTTAAAGCTGCCGCCATTTACCTTGCTCGGTCAAGAAATTTACCAGACGCACTTATTTTCGATTTGGTAACCCAGTTTCTTGAGAGAGCATCCTCTTTCAATGCCGCCTCTCCAGGCGGACACATCTTAATTTGGTCGTTTTTCATTGTGGGTGCAGAATGCTCATCTGACCAGGATCGGGAGTTTGTGACTTCCCAGCTTCAAATTCTTTGGGAATGCACTGGTTTTGGAAATATTTTATATGCCAAAGATATTTTGAAGAGTTTATGGGGAAAGAGCTCTTCAAAGAGTTGGACAAATGTCTTGCTAGATGAAGTTAAGAGCTTGATTATGTGAGACAAAATATAATCTGATGACCTTGTCCCTTGAGACATTGAAGCAGACACAACGGGACACTGTCGTTGATAGAAATACGTCATACTAATTATAAATACACCTTTCATGGCATTACCTATGGGTCAGTAGATTTCAGATAATCGTGCAAGGACATTTGGGTGTCACTATAGCCGATGATACGAATTCGTCAGATAAAGGGCAAAATCTCTGCGGAAAGTTCAATTCTCAGTCATATGTCTTGCTTGCAAGAGCCAGTTGATTGGAAAGCGTATCCACGTGGCACCAATATTAACCGAAAGATAAATTATTCATCAATTAGTCCAAATTAGTCCGAAAAAGAAAGTCAGCGCTATATTCACGTTTCCCCCTATCCACGGATATGTACTTGAGCCGAATTTGTAAAAGATGGGAGGCAAACACCAAATACTCGACTCGCGATGTTTTTCACCCATACAAGTGGCCTAGGGTTGGAAGCACAGGGAGATAGATCATAGGTAGACAATCGTTGCTGATGAATCGGCCAGGCGGTCGGGAGGCAAAATGATAATTGCTGAACACCCAAGTCAATTCCAAATCCATTAAAGAATTTACGAGCTATGCTACTCGCACATGAAGGTATGATTCTGGTTTATACCCTTCAAGTCACTGACAAGATTCATTCAATCCAAGTGACAGGCCCTCCCCGAAAGTATGTGAAGACCAAAGTAATCTTACCAGTATTATGTCATTTGATGCTCTTCTATGTATCATTCTGAGTGGGCGGGTCATCGCTCATGCAGGTTTGAAATACGAATTACCGATGCCAGGTCAGCCTAAACTACAGCACTTTGTGATGTGTACATGAATCTCAGCCGTATTGGGCAAGGAAAATGTCCAGCAACGACTAGATATTATGGAGTGGATCGATTTGCACACATGCCCTTTTGGAACAGAGTCGGACAATTCCTTCCTATGCAATATATAAGAAAAAGGAATTACTGGGTGGAAGATACGTAGTAGCGTTGTTGGCAGCCCCTTGCTTCCCAGGGATTTTGGCGGATGGGGCGGGTGTTCGCGGATTTCACGTCTTGAACTTCGCCGTGTAACAATGTACCTAGGAAAGAACTCGCATATTTCTCCTATTTTGGGAAAACTCTCCAAGTTATCACAAGAATATTATTAATAGTCCTCCTCCCTCGCTTTTCACCATTTTCCAACCTCCCTTGTCCACATTTCCTCCTCTTCTGATGTTTCTGCTCTCTGTCCGGCTCAAAACATTTCACAGGAGACAAAATGAACACAGGAATCTTCAATTCGGCTTCAACTTTACCTGACGGTTGCTTACAGCCTTTTCTGAGATCAAAATAACAGACATGTTGAGACCACCCGAAAAGCGAAAGACATGGGAAACGAAGGCCTCTCGCGAAGATGTGAGCTCAGTTCAGCTTTCCGGCAGATGCGAAGAGCCTCTCGTCGACTGAATATTTATGAGAACCAGCTCTGTCTGCGGTCATGGATGGCTGGATAGTCTGCTTGGATGCGGGGTGAATTGTGACATCTCGGGCAACGACATAGTTCGGTTATCGCGGTCATCTATTGGTCGTTAGCACGAAATGTATCACATGTGAGACCGCAGGAAGTATCCAATCGGAATCTGTCAAGACTGTGCTCAATCTTGCTGCAGCCAATATTGACGATATTGAGAACGTGACTAGACGATCCAGCATCATGACAGGCTAGTTTCAAATGCCATTCGTGACTCGGCTTTCTACTCACCCATATATCCAAAAAACGGGCTCGCCTTGAATTCTTTCCATGTTGTTTCACTGGGCTCCTTCCATCCATTCACTATGAATCCGCACCGCATCCAGTATTCAATGATGCGATTGCAACTGTGACCACATTTCTCTATAACCAGCTTCCGGATCGCCCCGAGGAAGTTGTACTCCGCCGCAGTCGCGTACCCAGGTGACAATAAATTGTACAGCATGTGGCGAACTCGATTGGATTCGATGGCAAAGTCGCATTCTAATCAGTGATGAAATCAGTTGGCGGTTCTTCTCCCATCCTTCAATGGCTAGGTACCTTGCGTTAGGCGGTCGGTTTTTTCGGCCGACCCTGATCGATTTTGTCTCATCTTGGTCATAAGCTCAAGCAGAGGTACTTTAGCTTGTTGACTCGCTGTTGGTTTCAATTCAAACTGGAAAACAGACTTTCAATTCCAAGGTGCTTGACTCGGTGTGAAGTGCAGATGGGCTCGGGTTCTCACTCCTATCACGCAGGAGACCGGCGCTCGTGAGAGACCGGCAAGAAACGACCGGAATAAGCAACTGCATTGGTCGCCGGGGTGATGCACGCTTTTCCAGCTTGGGATTTACGTTTAGGCTAGCTGGCTCGTCAAACGTAATTGCTGGGGCTCTTCGGTCAGGGGCAGCGCCTGTCAAATCCTGCAGAGCCGACTACAGTTCGATCTGTCAGATTAGCGGTAGTCTAGCTCAAGTCTAATCTTCAGCTACCCCATTGCCCTGTCTCTGATGGTTCAAGTGTTTATTTTAACTCTACCTTTTTTTGTTGTGCTCTTTGTTCAGCGTCCCCCTTTTCCAGCCTCCGCTGACGAGATGCCGATATTCTGTGATTGCTTTTTTCGCCCCGCTTGCATCTTTCCTGCCTTGTTTCTATTGGATTAAATCGACAAGCCCTGGCAACCCGAGAGTTGATGTATCACTTCCCTCCAAATACGAGCTAAAGCCCTTGGCTATTCCCTAAATGAACAAGCTTCTGGATTGAACGTTGATCCTCGCTTCACGCATTGATTTGATGACTGAATTGGTATTAACTAGCTACTAGGAGCATCACAAACCTTGGACTAATGGTTAATATACAGGCATGATATTTTTATTTACGGTTTGAAACTAGGTTGAAATAAATAAAAGGTATACTGCCTGTGGACTGTGCGAGGAATAAGGTATGAAAGCGGGATGAAAATGGTTGATTTGATTGAGACTAGGTGAAAAACCATCAAGTAAATGGTCAGATACATGGAAGCATAACACACAGAAGAGTCAATTTTGCAAATTCAAGAGCTTATCTCAAGACTCTTTGTTGGACCTGGTGAATATTTTCTTTTGTCATCACCGAAGATACAAAAAGCAACGCTGGAATATGAATTCTTCTCACTCGAGTCCCTGGGGCTCACACCATGTCAAGTCATAATTCAGAATATCAAGTGTTTTTTTCAGAGATTGTTTCGAGTCCTCTCCCGAGGATTTGCACAACATCTTCTGCATTGACATTGAAAATGCCATTCTAATCGGCCGTTGCGGGTGATTTTCAAAGATTTTGCATAATCCCTCGACGCCATCAGCCTTCAGTGATCCAGAGTCTTTTGAATATTCCTGCTCGAAGTCGATCAAACATTGGAGGCCTTTTTGAAGGACCATGGGGTCTTGCGAATCGAGGATCTTATTGTGAAACCGGTCCACTGGCTTAAGGAGTTTATCCATCCATATAATGGCCCCTCTCAGTGCCTCAATTTTTGTCTCAATTAAAATGTTAGACTCACTCAAAAGAGAGCCTTGCTCTTTCTTTGGCAACCCATGATCATTCAGGACATTCTGGTCAATGATATAGAGGATTAGATTCATCTTGATATTTTTGTACTCTTTTTCAACATCAGAGTACCTCTTTTCTGCAACGGGGCCAAGATGCCTCTCTATCAATAGAGCTAAGCTCAAGCTATCATCTTCATCACGGGCTTGGAGAAACGCCAAGAGAGCCTCCGAGGATCCCCTCTCCTGTCGATTTGCCCAATCATCAGCATAATGTTCAAGAAGCACACCGAAACAAATTTTAACCTCGGCGCTATCAGAGAACAAAAATCTTTCCGAAGCCAACTCGCTCCAATCGCGTGGTCTTGGTGTGGAACCAGCCTGTTGAAGATTTGCATGGCTTTCCCGGGTATCTTTAAATATCTGGACTTCAACCTGCCCATATACTTCGTTGCCGCGATCATTCTCTAAGTAGGCCATGTGCTTCTTTGGGATGTTGATAATGGTAACGTTCTTTCCACGTTTCGGTAACTGGACACGTTTCCCATAATATGTTCCTCGTGCAGTTTCTTCAAGACTGCCATGGTCTTGACTTTTCTCGATGGAACCTTCAAACCCCTCTCGTATGATTGTTTCTATATTCTCCATATTTGAATTACCTTTGAAAATAATTTGAACAGGGAAGAGTGCAATAATGTTGGGATCATTGATTATGTCGTTCACGGTATTGAAGTGGCGATTGGGGTCAGATGTGAGCCTCTCTAGAGCCTTCCGAGAATTTTCATCGCCAAGTCCGTTCGTCGGACAGACAACATTTGCTTCAATGTTGTTTTTTCCCATTATTGCTGCACATTTATTTTGAGTTTGAAGTGCGCTTTCTCTCAGGATGAATTTCCAGCATGTGTCGTATTTTTGACGGAAAGAAGAGACGAGAGTTTCGTTTATGTTTGCAGCCGACATGCTTGCGATTCAACAAACAGCGGAAATGACAATATAATATTCAATTGTGTGACTCGATGAGGCAAAAAGGCCAGATAAAATCTCATTCATAATATAAAGTGTGTGTTTCAAAGGCTTGTTGACTTGGGAATGTGCAAGAATACGTGCGTGATCTACCCGGCTTTTATGTCTCGATTATTTGATCGTTAATCTTAAAATCTCAATATCCTTGAGACCTTGATGCCCATCAAGGGCCCCAAATGAGATCTCAGACTACAAGAAAAGGATATGCTTTGGTAGGCATATTTGTTGATGGTGGGTAGGATTACCTGGGTTTTCATACATGTCGGTGAAAGCCAAATGAAACTATTCGCTACTACACCCTCTTCACTGGCATCGCCACGAGTCATGCGCATGCAAGTGCGCCATGTAGACCATTAAGTCTGACACCTGAGATCTTCCATTTTTATTTTTTTTTTATGTGAATTCATGCATACATTCGGGAGGGAGATGCACATGCAGGTCTAGCGCTGACCCGTAAATGCGTGTCCTATCCGTCCACAAAGGGCTTTCTTGGTACCCGATGGAGAGGCGGATAGAAGAACACCCTTGTTTGCGCCCGATGCCATGGCGCGCATGATTTTACGCGCCAGATTTGCGTCCGATCAATATTTTACAAGTTTAGTGGTCTGCAAATACCTTGGGCTGCGGCTGAAAACTAGAGTCGATCCAATAAAGAGGCAACTCGGTTCAGGCCTCTGAAAGAGCGGTGGGGCATGAGAAACGTGGAAAGGATGCAGTGGCCATTGTCATGTACGGTCAGCAGTGAAAACAAACGCCATTGTTTCTATTTGACATCATTGTGATCGATGCACTCCGTTCATTATTTCCAGTAGACCTTAGGGGAGAAAGTTTAGGTCGGAAAAGTTCAGAGCGGACCCCATTTTGGGCGCCAGCGACAAGGGACAGAACCTGCTGTCCACTTCCCTTTTAATAAATGATATCCCCAGCTGATGATTATTCCAAATCATAGCTGACTAAGTTGAATGAAATAATCCATGTTACATCAGAGAAAATTTGCACTATGACCAAATGTATGCGGAGAAGTAATACAAAATCCTCACGAACCCTCTTATTCGAATCGAATGAGCCATAATGCCATGTTTAATTTCAGCGAGGAGGTTCAGCTTTCTGATGGCTCTAACACTGTTATGAGTTTGACGATAAGTACTTACGGCTCAGTTAGGGCTCATAAGATAGCTTTATGGTATTGTATCTTGCTTCGCGACTACAAATGTCTCAAAAGTCAGCTCTCAGCCATTGATTGACACCAGCTTTCATGTTTCGTTGATATTGAAAATGAGTCGGGTCTTTATATGAATCTATATATTCCCATAATCCACCTACTCAGGGACTTTGCTAGCATACCCAAGAGTTTTTTTCCAAAATAGTTAACGGGAAAAGACTCAGACAAGAACCAAAAAGCGCGAATGTCTCAGAAGTCAAGGCTAGGAAAGAAATCACGTCCATGTATTCGAGAGCTAATCTGGGAATGTCCAAGCTTTATCTAATAATTCACAGGTCCCAATATTATAACCACAATACTACCCCAGCCACCAGAACTGAGGGCCCCTCCCTGGGCATGACTATCGAGCAATGTTGCGGAGAACTCCCAAGCGACCAAAAAAAGCCTAGACTCAGTTATTCAAATGTCTGATATACTCTGACTCAGAGATGCCGGTTGAGCCGGCTCCGTGTCGGGGCCTCTGAAGGGAATCGTTACCGGACTAGGAAGGTTAAATGAGCATTTGGAGATAAGGTTGTGCGGGGTAGCCACACCACTCAATGTGTGACGTGGTTTCTCGATAAAGCCATGGCTCGTACTTCCAGAAATGGGAGACAATATGAGCATGTCGATAAACTTATCTCACTGCTACAAATTTATAGATTCTGCATTCCCCAAACTCCGAAATGGGAGTAAGAGGTAGGGCCATTACCAGATCTTGGCGAGCAAACCCTTCTCCCGACGGCTTCTCGTGAAAAGGGCGCAAGATAACCGATATCCGTACAACTTTTTGAAGCTATAGTGAAATCGACTTGATCTTACTGGTGACATTTGCTTCTTATCCAACAGATCACCATTCTCTACATCTCATGATGTTGGATTCAAATGTGCTGGTACAGTGGCCCGGATGGTCCACGGTCTTATGCGTCAGTTTTCTCTCCAGTTTACTTCTTTTCTTGGCTTCCCTTCGAAAAAGCCAAAAGCGATCGCCTCCTGTTCCGACCACGCATCCATATGTCGACGAGCCAACCTTCTATCCACCAGTCGAACCGCTCCCGGACTTCAACTGGGAAGATACTACCCCGGTCAAGATAAGGCCTTTCAAGTCCAAATATAACCTAACAATGAGTACGCACCTTATTTTGTCAGACCTTTGCACGTTTTTAACCTATGCTTTGCAGGTATCCAAGAAGCTACTGCCAGTGAGCTCATTGAAATGGACAAAAATTACTTGGATCGCATCACATTGCGCAAGAGGATTATGGCAGAGAACCCTGGATTGACACTAGCTGCGGAGGAAGTTGTCAAGCCCGCAGTAGATGAGTTCTATATCTGGCTTGTCGGCACCTACCTGCCAACGCGATACCCTCGCATGTTCCAAGTGCAGCCTTCAATGGGGAGAGAAAGCCGAGTATCTCCAAAGTCTGGTAACAGGAGAGAAATATCCTCTCACTCCAGCCACTCAACCGATAGAAACCCTTCAGTCTCTGGGTGGTTTAGTCGAAGATGATCTTTTATTCCTGATGCCGTCGGAGGATGGTGACAGTGTCAAACTCAAAGGCTTCGTGACTTGTTTTCCAAGTGGCTTCGAGACACCAAAGAAACTAAACTTGAAGCTACGAGACATCCACGGGCCAGTGCCACACTATAAAGAAAAAATTGAGAAGAGTATGGACCGTTTCTTTGATAGACTCAAAGTAGGACGATTTGTCAAGCGCGCCAATGTGAGTCGAAACGTGGTTGCTGTCCAGTCCCTGAGCACAAGATTGATGCTAACTGACTTTACCTCCAAGTGGAGCATTCAAAACACAGATCAACTGTGTGTTCCATCTGGAAACCACCTCTATGAAGGTGAGAAAATGCAGAATGAAAATTTCAATATAGATATTGTACGGAAGGCCCCAAGTTCTTTTATAATGGTATACCTTTTTTCGCGTTGAACTAATGGAGAAGCAGGCTCGTTTTCGCGTCGAAAGGCAGTTCTTGCATCGGCTACCTCAAAGTCGAGCTCTGCTCTTCTCATTTAAGACTCTCTTATACCCTTTGACGGAAATCAAGGAGGAAGGACTTGGAGAAGCCCTTGCGGAGGCCATCAATGGGCTAAGAGACGGCAACGCGCCGGGGTTTTATAAATACAAGCGCGCAGCAGTATGGGGCGACTCCGCAAAGGAGTTCCTGTGTTCTTGAAGTTTGCAGCTGTGTCCTCGCATGTTAAATTGGCAGAGATGGGCAGTAACTTCATGATTAATCAAGCAGTAGATGATATCTTGGATACTTCTTCCCAGGTAGAGAGAAACACTGCGATAGTTTTGTGTTCAGGAACTAAATACACTGGCATTGCTTGTTTTTGACTGGACTAATGGGAAAATATGCGGTATCTCTAAAGAGTTTATTGGCATTTGCATTACTCTAAATGGCTTCTAACTGCTGGAAATCGACGATACCAGACCGACACAATCTGCATTCGGAGATCTCAGAAAAGTCCCTACGCTTAAAAATTCGTTCCTTCTATAGCTTCAGCGGGAATATTCCAGCATTTTAGTCAATTGGGTATCATTTGCTAGCAATCAAGCGAGGAATCCTTGATCAAGCCCAGTAATCGGCAGTTGTGAAGGACTAACAGCGCCGGGTCACCAAGTCCACGCTGTGTGCCGTACCAGGTCTAGTCAATCGACCTTACATCACCCGTATTGCCCACAGAAGAGACACAGATCAATTGGGAGTGCAGCGAGTATTGAGAGATTTAGAGCACGAAGCTGTGGGATGACACGGGCCCAAAGAGCCCCACAAACTCATCCCCAACTATTTAGCGCTCCGGGTTCCACCTCCACCCCCGCCACTCACCAAATCCCCGGGGGTTCTCCCGGTGTGCCAAGGGCCCCATTGACGAATCGCCATGCAGCAAAACTAGACTGACCCCCAGAAATGGGTAACATAAGGATTATCAAGAAAGTAGTCAGGAGGCTCGAGCATGGAGGTTCGGCTTTCAGGTCTGCCTTGGTCTGCCGAAACGTGCTACTCGTCACTACAAAGCTTGAAACCCTAGGCCATTGCTCCAATAGAAAGAGCTCAGGCTCTGCCGGGTCAACGGCCTGGTTTTTTTTCGTTTTTTCTCTCTTTGGTTTTTATCTTCGTCCTTTCTCCTACCTGCGTGTCCTCGCTTTGTCCTATTCAAAATCAAAATACATCTATTTTCTCCAAAATTTCCGGATATATTGATATCTTATATTTTTCATATGACCCCCACAAACTCATCGCGATGAGCAATGAAAAGCCGGAACACATCCCCGTGGAAGATATCTCAAGCAATTTAAAGCCAGTGAATGAGATTGACCTTGAGGCTGTAGGTGAGCGCGAAGGCTACGTCCTCAATGATACCTCGCTGGCCCACGAGCGTGGCCTCAAGACGACGGACGATGGGCAGACGATTCTCATACCTCAGCCGAGCGACTCACCCAATGATCCGCTCAATTGGACGCAGTACCGCAAGCACGTTATCCTTTTAATCATCTCTTGCACGGCGTTTCTACCCGACTACGGCAGTGCAACGGGGGCAGTTACTTTGAAGCCTCAGGGAGTGTAAGATCATCGGATCCTTTGCATTTCCTGCAACAAAAGAGATCGCGTTTTACTGATCCAAATCCCCTTTGTAGCGAGTGGAATATGGATCCCAACGTGGTCAATCATTCGCAGGTCGGCAATATCTTTATGCTTGGTGCGGCAGGTCCGATTATTGTGGCATTGGCCGCATACTTCGGCCGCTACCCGATCCTGTTCTGGTGGACGCTGCTCGCCGTGGCCACGGCCGTATGGTGTGCGGCAGCTCAAAGCTTCGAGTCGTTCATGGTAAAGTTCCTCAAGTCTCTATCCCATTTACGAGGGAGAATCTTCCGCTAATAGAATAAAACAGGCTGCCCGAATCCTCAATGGCTTCTTTTCCACCGTAGCACAGGGAGTACGTCCATCTATCTCATCAGAAGAAACAGAACGCAAACCTAAAAATATAATCTAGGGCGGCCTCATGTTCATCAAGGACATGTTTTTCCTCCACGAACACGCACGCAAAATCAACACCTGGTCCGGGTTCATCGTGTTGTCACCATACATGGGTCCCCTGCTCGCGGCCTTCGTAGTCAATACACAGATCTGGCAGTGGGCGTTTGGCATCTACGCTATCGAGACAGGCCTTTGTCTTTTCGCCATCATGCTCTTCGTCGACGAGACCTACTATGACCGCAAGACCGCGCAGCCGGAGCTCGTCCCGAACGGCCCGCGCTGGGCCCGCATGCTGGGCATCCAGCAGACACGCTCGGGTTATATCCGGAACTCGTTCAAGGACGCAGTGATGCGACCAGTAGTCATCATTGGAAAGCCCGTTGTGATCCTGGCGGTGATCTATTACATGCTGACCTTTGCGTGGGTGGTGGGGATCAACACCACACTCTCGATCCTGCTGACTCCAGTGTATGGCTTTGGCGCCAAAGCAGTTGGTATATCGATCTTGTCCCCTCATTCTCAGCCTTCGCTTCTTCCTTCACACTCCAATTTGAATCGCGAGTCGCTGACAGAATCCGCCTCCAGGCTTCTTCTACTTCACCCCTATTGTAGCCGCCCTCCTGGGCGAAGTCGCCGGTCATTGGCTACACGATTTCATCGCCAAATCCTACGCCTCTCGTCACGGCGGCCGCCTTGAACCCGAGGCGCGGCTCTTCGCGATCTGGTTCGCCATGCCGTTTATGGTCGCCGGGCTGATCCTGATGGGCTTCGCGCTGGAGCGACAGTATCACTATATGCTGTGTGCACTGGGGTGGGGTCTATACGTCTTTGGAATCATGGTCGTCACAGTTGCGATCAACTCGTACGTGCTGGACTCGTACCCCGAGGCGAGCGGAGAGGTCGCAGCGTGGGTGAATATGGGCCGCACGACGGGTGGGTTTATCGTGTCGTATTTCATGGTCGAGTGGGCTGAGAAAATGGGGACGATACGGCAGATGGGGACGATGTGTGGGATCGTGGGCGCAGCGTTCTTTATTGTTCTTGCGCTGCAGATCTGGGGGAAGAAAATGCGGATTTGGGCTGGACCGGCAAAGTTCAAGACGGCTTGATGTGGTGTGAGATGGAGTTTCTGGTGATTGTAGACTTTTTTTTATGAATTATCTGGAGATTACATAGTATCATAGGTGATGGAGGAGATGTAGCCCGGCGCATCTAGCCTACGATAGAAGGGAAGATCATTTGAGATAAAAAAAAGTCGTTGATTGATAGCAAAGACAATTTTTTGTGAAAGTTTCCACATCGCATCGTGACCAGCGCCGGGTTAGATAAACTAGAACATGCCAAATCCTCGAGGAAACCAATATGTGCAGGAACGTGCTAAGATGCCCAAGCAAAGAGAAGGAACAAACAAACCAAATCCACCGAACGCCAAATGGGAAGAACAAGTATGCATAGATTTCATGACAGAATGCAAATTAAAGGGTTTATCAACGGCAAGATTGAGAAACAGCAAAAGCACCACTACTTGGCAAGTGGTCTCTGCTCGAAGTTGAAGGGGGTCTTCACACTAGGCGCGTCGGTCTCCTCGACCTCTAGGTCCTCACCCCAGACAAACTTGCCAAAGGCCAACACCGCATGGAAGATTTCCTTACCCGTTGGGATGATGTGCTCTGAAGGAAGCAGGAAGCCATAACTGCCACGGTCCCGCAATTTGATCTGATAAGAATAGGTCGCATGCAATTTATGATAGAACCAGTCGAGGGCACTGCCGCCAGAACTGATACTAGCAGCAACACCGTTGGGGAGGATGCCCTCACATGCAGAGGTTACATCATATGACTCCCGGGTGGTCTGGCGGATGGCCTTGGCCAGTCCCAGAGCCAACTCTTCAAGGCTTTCAAGGGTCGGAGGAACTGAGGAGCAGCTATAGGAATAGGGATAGAGGATCTGCTGGGAATACGAATGCAGGTCCAAGAACCCAACAATGTCAGCCCGACCACTTTCGGTCTCGTTTTGGGCCCACTGGGCCAGTCGTTGCGATTCCAGAGCCTCGAAGGGCTCGGCTCCCGCATAGTTCTCAGAGCAGGGATTAGATCGGGTCGACTCGCCATCCCACTCAAAGTCCCACGCCCGGTCTAGATCCACCCCCGGGCACAAGGGCAGGCCGGTTGGTTGCCGGTTCTTGCGCCACAGCCGGTCCGACTCCCATGAGTATACATAGCCGTCCGGATTGAGGGTGGGAACAAGGATCCAGTCGTATTCATGTAACAGGCGCGTGACCGCCTTCGACTGACCATAATGGGTGATGAGGCTGTATGCAACATAGGTGACAGTGGAGGTGCTGATCCATTCTCGGGCATGAGTACCGCCGACCATCACGATGGTCTTCCGGGGAGTAGACGATTCGGATTCAGAGGGGGGTACGCCGATGCGCAGTGCCGAAATATCCCGCCCTTCATATGAGACTCCGACACTGGTGAGGCGGGCATGTGATGCGAACATGGATGCCATTAAGCGCATCCATTGCACAATCACGGAGAGAGGCTGGTAATCGAGAAAAAAGACATCGCCGACCGAGTCAGGTCGTCGGCCGCTGGATCGAAAGTCAGGCTCAGCATCCAGCGTCGGATGAAGATGTCTTGGGTATGTATTGTAAATCATGTCGACTAAGTCATCCATGAGCGGGGTGTGAGCGGAGCGAAGAGAGGGAGGAAGGAGGTCGAGCAAGGAAGGGATCTAGTAGCAGGCCAGATAGGTCATTAGCCAAGACATTGAACCCGAAGCAGGGCAAAAGATGAAGCTGTACCATGTCATCTGCTAATCGAATGTCCACATATTGGGCTGTGATAGCCCACACATCCAGCACGAGCACGCGCGACGCCGCAGCCAGTGCTTCGGCGTCATCGGGATGGCGCAAGTGAAAGCGGAGCACAACATCGCTGTCGTACCGATCTCGCACGTTCGAGGGGATACCTGTCCGCTTAGGACAGGTCCGCGGAATCCCCCAGACCGACTCAATCACCCAATCCCGCAATCGCGTCCATGGTCGGCGTGGGTCCGCACGCTGGTTGAGAAGCTGGACGGGTTGGAGAGGCGGCGGCGGAGTGATGCTGGATCCGGCGGGGACGGCGGAACTGGGCGGGCAGAGAGCCGAGAGGAGCAGCAAAGCAGGCAAGACACGCATCACGACGTCAAAGCGTAATGGGTGGAATGCCAGCAGAGACGTGCCAGAGGGGGGGGACGGGGGTGGGAGGGAGGCGACGAGACAAGAAACCGAGGAAGAGGCGTGTCGATGGGAAATGCGGAGAAGAGGGGAGGAAGTGGGTTTGGAACCCGTTTGGAACCCGGTTAATGGACGGCCCCGATAAGCGGGTTAGTCGCGCATGGAGCGAGATCAAGTGGATCGGAGAAGGAATGGAGCAAATGGGCCGAATGGACAGATGCGTAAATAGGCAGAATGGACAGATGGACGGATGGGCAAAGGGGACGATGCACCGGAGGACAGAAAGCCAAGATTACTCTGTGCGTCAGAAAATCAGAGTCGCATTTCGTTGGGCTGTTCGAGTCCAGGCAGGCGAATAGCGACAGCAGCCGGAAGCTATGACGCAGTACAGGGAGGGTACGTGTTCAATCTGTGTGCATGGCCAGTAGTTGCAAGTACTTCCGAAGTACCCGATTGGGGTCTGCTCTGTTACCGTCACTCAACACTGTGCTCGGGAGCAAACCCATTGCGCCCTTGTCCGCAATACATCCCAGAGTTATCAACTACAACTACACCCGGGTATACCTGGAGGAAATAGTGGGACCGCCGGAGAAGCAGGATAGTGTACATGCACGCAGGACCTTCGGGTCACCATAGAATGAGAACGCGCAATAGTTGATCGAGGGTCGTGACCATCCATGGTGCATATTGCCCACGATATATTACATGCGCCGTCCTGCTGGTTGGATGCTGCGCTGCCACTCGGCTATAGTTCCAGCGGTTAATCCCATGTCGATCGGTTACGTCCCTGAAAGGATTCTGACCCCTAGATAACTACAGTACAGCTACCTACAGGTATCTCATCACACTCATACACTCATGCACCGACGGGCACTCGATCCTTGTCGCATTGATGATATCATACCGGTGCGCTCCGGAGTGAACTATACACATGGTTTTTCTGTGCCATCCATCGATCCCACCGAATGCGGGTCTCCACAGTCATGAGAGAATGGGATACCGGATCATGGCCTCTGGGTTCCTGATGTTCACCCCCTCTAAGCGCCCTGACGGTCCCGGGTGGGTGATTGAACGTGGTCCTGCCAGAAGATCTAGATTCTATGATCTACCGGCTTTCTAGGATATTGATGTAGACGGGCTCCTAGCGAATCTGGACCGAGTAGATCCAGGCGCCAACAAACGCCTAATACTTGTGGAGATAATAATAGTTCGACTCACCTCGATCTAGAATCCCATCGGCCTCTCCCCAACATCTCCCACGTCGTGAAACCGGATCGTGGCATGCCTGCAACCCTCGTCTCTTGGCCCCATTTTTCCAACCGCCCATCAGCGAGTCTAGAATCGCCCGAACTCGCCGAGACCTCAAGTTGCTTCTCGACCTTTCCCTCCCCCCTTCTTGTTGTTTTTCTTTACGTGTTTTGCTTTTGCCACCCCTCCTAGATCCGCGTTATCCAGTGCTCAGGGCTCAGGACTCAGGGCTCGGTACTCGGGGCTCGTCGCTCGCCGCCTGTGCTTATCCTCGTCCTCAGCCGCGCGCTCAGGGCGCCTACGAAACTCGTCTGCCTTACCCCTCTCACCCGCTCTCGCCTTGACTTCGATTTCCTCTTTTCGGCCGTAGAGCAAATCAAAGGCTGGGTGACTCTCTGCATTTGCTGTTTCTTCGGGGTCTTTGCATCGGTGCCGGCCTCGCGCGAACTCCGCCGCCGCCCCCCTTTCCCGCGTTCCCCTTTTTCTGCTGAGCTGACGACGTGCTCCACCTCCGAAATCCCACCGCGTTCTGGAACACTCCAAACAACCTCCACGTCGCCATGCTCGCCCATTGAACCTATCCTCCAGTCCACGTCAAATTCCTTCTCCCTGTCTCATCTTCTGCGTCTTAAGTCGTGGGCCACGCATGGGTTGGAGCCGCTCCGTCCCTCGCAGCCATGCATTGGAAAGGCCTGCGACTCGTCGCCGATGGGAGCTCCAAACGTCAGAGTACCATTGAGCCCCAGGCCCAAGCTCGTCGCAGCGAACATCTCCCACGTCCCTCACCTCCCACGATAGATCCCCGGTTCTCCGAGTCGACTCCTCGAATCCCGGACCTGGTGGAATCTGAGCATGCAGAAGCGGACGACATCCTGCCGCAACTAAACGGGCCGGCTGAGAGGGGGTTGGAGACGAGCGCTCTGCAGCCAGATTTCGCTGCCGGTCCGTCGACCGGCGATACCCCAAGCCTGCGAAGAAATCGGTTCAGCTTCATGAGGCTGCGTCATGCATCCGATCCCCAGCTATCCAAGTCTTACGCCAAGGCCGCTGCTGTGCATACAGAAACACCCCCCGTCCCTTCCCTCCCGCGTAAGTGGCACCACTATCCGCCCAAGGGGCCGAGCTCCTGCAATGATAAGAAAGAGAGAGAAAGAGAGAGAAAGAGAGAGAGAGAACGAGAGAGCAATGTTGGGTGTTACGAGAAGCTCTGTGGATGAGATGCGTCCCACAGCTGATCGGGATTCTGGCCTGATGGAGAATAAATCCAGTCATGAGTTACAGTAGATAGCTGACTTGGCTTGTTTATAGCTCCCACGATCATCACAACCGCCCCAACCAGCCACGAGCTGGATCAACCGGTCAAGCAACGGCATAAGCTCAGCCTTTTCCCATCCTCGCGGAAGCATTCAATGGAAGAATTGCCTCGCAATTCTACAGATCAGCAAACGAAACCGGCCCGTAAGAAAAAGGAATCGACCGATTCCAGCCTCTCTACCTTCCAGGCGCCTAGTCCAGAGGAGCCAGGGCGACTATCAACCACGTCATTGCGAAGCGGCAGCCGAGATCAACCGCACAGTGAACCCCAACGCTCCTCGGTATCCGTCGCCGATCCACGCTTCTCGGAGTCATCCCGGTCAGATCAAAGCTACGGAGATCAAGCGTTCCGAGCTAATTCTCCCCGCGATGGCCATGGGTCAACAAGCAATAAGCGCTTCCGCATGCCACGATTAAAGCGCCATCGTAGCCCTCTGTTTCCCCTGCCCCCAAAGCTACCACCTCCAGTCAACAAGGTTTCTCCGGCTGATACACCCAAGTCCGATGGCTCAGAACAGGATCAAGTGTCGCCGTTGCCATCACCATCTCGATCTTCGGTGGGTCTGGCTGGTACCAGCGCACCACCACTCTTCCGAAATAACTCGACCCATTCTGCCCGTTCGGTTCGGTCCAATCAGTCTCATAATGGCCGGGGAGGTCGTCGACCATGGGTTCTGTAGCCGAAAATACTCAAGATGACTTGTCTCCAGTACCCTATTTGGTATCTTCAGGGCGTACATCAACCTCTACTAGCGGGCGCAAGAGTTTTGGAGACCTTTTCAACATTTCTCAGCGATTGAGACAGAATTCGGAGCCTCCAGTGCCTCGCAATGGTTCTCCAGGGATTGGCGGGTCCGCAACACCCATTAAACCAGATCACCCCCCATATCCTGAACGGGAAGACGGCGACACACCAGCAAGCTATTTGGACAAACTAGAGGAAACCCTACCTAGGGGTATCATTGGTGGGGTGCTCGCTCAATCAGATGACGATTTCTTCAAAATTTCCCTTCGCAAGTATATGAGGTCCTTCTCATACTTTGGCGATCCCATCGATATGTCCATTCGGAAACTCCTGATGGAGGTGGAATTGCCTAAGGAGACCCAGCAAATCGACCGGTTCCTGCAGGCATTTGCTGATCGATACCATGAATGCAATCCGGGAATTTTTGCTTCCACAGGTATGTGGACTTCTCGCCGGCGCCATCATTTATGACCATTCTGACTCTTCTCTAGACCAAGCATACTTCATTGCATTTTCCATCCTCATCCTACACACTGATGTGTTCAACAAAAATAACAAACGCAAGATGCAAAAACCTGACTATGTAAAGAACTGTCGCGGAGAGGGCATCTCTGAGGACATTTTAGAATGTTTCTATGAGAACATTTCGTACACTCCCTTTATCCATGTTGAGGATGCAAATCTCCGAGACCGCCATCTGGCCAAGCCGCGACGAGCTCTGTTCAAGAGCACTAGCTCGGAACATCTACCGCGGATGGCTCGAGAACCTGTCGATCCATACACATTGATTTTGGATAACAAACTTGGATCTCTACGACCCAGTCTGAAGGACGTCATGGATCTTGATGATACATACAACCATGTGGGAACTGCCGGTCTACCTGATATCGATGACCTCCATCAAGCCTTTACCAAGTCTGGGATTTTACAGATTGTGTCCTTGCGTTCTCGGCCAGATGCATTCATGCAAGGCGGCCTTAATAACTCGGCGGAATCGAATCCAGGCCTTGTGGACATCAAGGTGGCAAAGGTTGGCCTACTCTGGCGCAAGGACCCCAAAAAGAAAAGAGCCCGGTCACCGTGGCAGGAATGGGGTGCTCTGCTCACTTTCTCGCAGCTCTACTTTTTTCGCAATGTCACCTGGGTGCGTTCGCTCATGGCGCAATCCGATGCCTATGCGAAAGACGGCCGCCGTGGGACACTAGTTTTCAAACCGCCGCTTGCCGATTTCAAACCCGATGGCATCATGTCTACAAATGACGCTGTGGCTTTACTGGACCATAGCTACAAGAAGCACAAGTATGCGTTCAGCTTCGTTCGGCATAACGCGCTAGAGGAAGTCTTTTTGGCGACATCAGAGCCCGAGATGAATGACTGGATTGCTAAACTCAACTATGCTGCCGCCTTCAGAACTACGGGGGTCCGCACCAAGGGGATGATTGCCACCAACTACGAAGGCCAAAGATACCGGAAGAGTCAGCGAGTTCGATCTCTATCATCACTCAGGTCTCACCAATCCACCGATAAGGAGCCTCCCTCTCCTACCATTGACACAGATATTGTGGCTGAATTTGTCGCAGCTCGTCGGCAATTAATGGGCCAAAAGATTCGTGAAGCGAATGAAAAACTCTTCGTCACTCAGAAACAGCTCGACGACCTGTTGCGGAATGCTCGACACCTTCAAATACTGACTCCTGTGAATCCCCGGGCTCGCGAAAATGTCATCATGGCGGCTGGTCGTATGGCTGCCAAATTAAAATGGGTCCGGCAAGACATTTGGCGCAACAAGTGCTACCGTGAAGTACTGCTACGCGATCTTGGAGAAGAGGTTGAGAGTGGGGTGGAAGACAGAACGGGATCTGTTGCTGAAGGTACAGTTTCATCTGGCCCTGCACGGATGGCATCGGTCTCTGGCCCATCTGTCACTTCTGATCCGAGTGTGCGCGGGGCGCCCAGCATTGTCCAGACTGCCTCAAGTCATGACAACAGTGAACAAGCTGTCCCATCCTCGGAACAACCTGTTGTAGACCCTAGTCTACTGAAACACCCATCGATCGATGAAATGCGTCGTCCAAGTTTGCCCGCCTCTACTACTTCTTCTGACATGGCGCGCGTTGGACGGCCACTGTCCATTGCCCTACTTTCTGAGCAAGGCAGAACTGATTCATCTACTGCGAATCTAGAGCGCGAAGCATCTGTCCTAAGTCGCGGAAGCAAGTTTGACGGTGCAAGCCTTGGCTCCGGAGGCTCCAAACTTGCCTCACCTGCGAGTTATGACGAGGGCGAGGAGCGTCTGCTCCGAGAGACAGGGTTGCTGGACATTAGTAGCTCGCCTTCGCCTCGCAAACAGGCGGCTGTTCCTGTGGCAGAGGCTGAGACTGACAGCAAACCCGATGAATCTTCTGAAGTTTCCCAGAGCGATAGGCCAAGCCGTGTCCGACGTAGTTTACACCGAACCCTCCGCGAACAGCATCACGTCCACCGACATTCTTCTCGTCACAAGAAAAACAGAGGTTCTGTGTCCAGCATCGGCGCTGACGAAGATGAGAACGAGACCGGTAGCTTATCAAATACCGGCTTATCTCGCAAGACCCCCAGCTTTACCGTTCACGGCAAGAAAGCATCCATCGTCACCTTTGGTTCGGAATGGCAGAACATGCCCCCAGAAGAACGTCTCAAGCTGCGCAAGCCAACTCCACATGATGAACCGCGTGCCTCGGATCCCGCGATGCTTGGCATCGATGAGTCTATGACCTCGGACGACAACCATCACTCTATTGGTCGACCGCTCTCGTTCCGCAGTGTTAGTACAACAACAGGACTCAGCCTCCGCAGCGATGATGCGACTATCGAGACGATTGAATTTTTCAAGGATGCCCATGAGAATCTGGCCACGGAGTCTTCAGCCGGGCAGAATCATAATCTACGAGATGATACCGACGCTGGACCCGATCTTGCTCCCGATCAACACGTCGCTGAAGTTGATCCCCCTTCGACGGCTGACACAACCGGATCCGCCACTTATGGAAACCATCTCACAGCACCCAGCGAAACAACATCGCCCTCTACGACGCCTCTCAGCGAGCGAGTTGCCAATAGTGCGTCCTCGGAAAATCTGCGGCAGCAAGCTGTTGGCGCCTAGACCTGAGGATGGAATATTCTCACCGCCTGAGCGTGTGTTAGATCTCTGGGTACCGCTTCCACAACACCTTTCCTCCACTCTGCCTTCCATACTTCTCTCTCACATGTCCCTCGTTCGATCAAATGATCTGTGACCTACTTGTATAGCCTGAATCTCCTTGGTTTCTGCACCACTCTGTTTTTACGACTATTATACCCCACAATCCATTTTCAATTTCTAAATCTGGCCTCTGTGTTTCTGTTTCAGCTTCACCCTTTCGCATGATGACGGCTTATTGAACTGGTTCCATCTCGGATTTTCTTTTCTCATATTACTTCCTTCACTTTCTCCATTCTTTTAGTTGCCTGTTCATTTTGTCTTCCTTCTATCGACAACGGTCTTGTTTCGGCTTGGGGTGTATCATCTTCTGGAATTTTCAGTGCTGGGCAGCATATTTTGGTGCGACTTTCACGTTGATTGCATGCTTTCGTTTTTTTTCCGTACTCTTCACGCTCCAGTCCCTCACGCGCGTGCGTTGGGGAATACCGAGCTCAGGATTCCCGGGTGCATGTAACTCATTCCTCGATTCTCTTGTCGGACCTCCTGGCCTTGGCTGGTCTAGGCTGGCTAGCGAAATTGCCGGGGCTCTGCTAAATAAAAGCTTCTCTTCTGATGATTGCTCTGTCCCAATTCTCCTCGTATAATGACGTAAATATTTAAACAGCCTGGAATCTCATCAACTTAAATGATTGTGCTTCCCCATCGCGCCACATCCCTCACCACTGCAAACTACAATGGTGATGGAATTGCAGGTATTGAGAAGAAAGTGGAACTAAACCATGGCGGCATTGACTAGATTCTATGTGCTTGTTTTCCTTTCTAATGAGGTCTTGTTTCCTGGATGAGAAATAAGACTATAATTCGGGGATTTGGAGGTTGCTGGAATGTACAATGGAAAAGGTAATCCAAACTAAAAGGCTAATGAATGTTTGAAATTGCTTCCATTGCACTTCCGGTCGTCGGTCGAAACAAGGAAGCAGGAACGACGTAGGATTTCAAGTTGCGTGGTTAATTCGAGCCGTCTGGTATTCCGGCGCTAAGATGCCATATCTTGAGCCAGAGCCAACAAGCACTGGTTGTGTAGTGTAATGGTTATCACTGCGGATTCTGATCTATTCAACCTTCCGCCAATCCCGGTTCGATCCCGGGCACGACCTTTTTATTTTTCTGTATTTTATTCCCTTTTGCATCAGGCCATCAGCTTGATCATCTCTTTAGGCTCGTCGTGACATATCAACTGGTTGTGTAGTGTAATGGTTATCACTGCGGATTCTGATCTAGTCAACCTTCCGCCAATCCCGGTTCGATCCCGGGCACGACCTCTTTTGCAGTCTATTGCTCCCTTTTTTTCTATTCCACTGCTAAAATTTGAAAAAGAGGAATGACACTAAACCTGACGATCATAGCCATCTTTTGTAAGGCTTTTCTAGGTCGCTAGCGCCTATGAGGCCCAAACGCCAAGGTGTTTTTGTTAAAGAGGATATGTGAGTTTTGTCATTTACTTCTGAAGTAGGAGATAATTACCAATCCCTGACTAGCTAGTCAGCAAGCCCTTCAAGTGCTTCCTTAATCAATAATATACTGTTGTGAGTGGTCGTGTGTGGCCCCTGCAAGGGCACGGGTGGGTCAGACTTTGCCTGAGGGCCTCGCGGTAGTGGTAGCGCTGTCAGCCGAAGTACTTTGTACACTCACTTTTTAGCGCCCTGCATCCCTTTTATATACACACCTCTTTAAGGATCAACATTTGTAGGTCTGGGCAATCACATTTCCCTAAAATGGACAGCCAATTAGATTTTTTTGTGTGTTCTAAAGGATAAAAAGAGACAAAAGCATTCGCATTCATTCGTATGGGCAAAAAATTTGAAGTCTCTCTCCCTCGGGGAATCGAACCCCGGTCTCCCGCGCTTATCAGTGTTAATGACAAGCGGAAATCATGACCACTAGACCAAGGAAGACACTTGTTGTTGTAATTTGCCGCGTAGCTATTATCTCCTTCAAGACAGCTTTCTACTTTGAGGTGCATCCGTCTGTCACCAATTCTTGTATTTTTTCAATCGTGGCTAAGTAAGGATGGGAGACACTTCATATGAAATTTCAAATTCATCGTTTCTTGCACATATCCATGCTTTTTTTCATGTAGAAGGATACCTTTGCTAAAGGCAACTTGAATCTAGTACATCCAAGGATTGAGTGTTTATCGTGTAATTTGATTTTTTATCCGGGTTTGCTCGTCCAGTCACTTTAAACGAGGTAGATCCCATTTGTGTGGTCGAATCACCAGATTTTCTATTTTCTTCTCTCGTCCAAGGAGACTTTGTAGTTGCGTGTTTCTGTAGTTGTTGCCATGAAGATGGTAGTGTAATTTCTCTGGTTTATGAAAAATATATTGGAGTTGGTATAGGAATCTTGGGGTCTTATCAATCGCTTGGCTTTTTCAAAAAGAAGCACGGATCAGCTCCGATCTTTTGGTCCTAAAACCAAGCGAGTTTGGCATCGTAGCTGTGAGCAAATATCTGCGAGTAGCGCACGAATATGATCAAGCAACGAATAGGTGTTGCTAGCCCCGACTGTCAAAAAACCTGTGCGCTAAATAGAATTAAGTATCAGTAATGTTAAATATGATATTAAAGCTTGACAAATAAATTCAAAATAATGTAACTACTGAAATTTGTATTTAATTTCGTCCATTCCGAATATAGATCAATGCCTCTACAGGGACCTCATAGTTGAAGGGAAAGGTTTAGACTTCGTTCCAGCCGCTTGAAGTTCTCTGCACCCTAAGCTTATCACTCCTTTAACATTTTATGCCAGAGACCTTCCTTCCCTCTTGATTGATTTGGAGTCTACACGAGTATTATTCGGTTGGTCCTTCCTTTTATTTGAATTTATTCATGTTCTTGAAAGTATCAGAGCTCTACTTATAGCTTGAAGGGCCCTTTATTCCTGGCATTTCGTCGTTCCCACTTCAGAGGTCTTTACCAAATGACATAGAAGCTCCCAGTTCTCAAGGCTAGAATTTCATATAGAATAGATAGATTCAATTATAATTTTCTCTTATTGTGATGAGGGATATGGAACTGCAGTATCTTTACTGTACTGAGGTGTTAAGCATGAGACTTCCTTATGGGGAGAGAGAGGGGGTATAATGCCTCAATCCTTCACCTCACTTCCTTTGTTCTTCCTTACCCATGCTTGTAATCATTCAATATCGAGGACCAATACAGCTCTATTTCCAAAGATTGCTGGTATTTGACTGTGCATCGTTACACATATTGGCACGTTTCATTTTGGGGAGATATCACCAGTTTTTTAACGTTGTCATTAGCTTTTCGGCAACGAGCAAGTCCCCTCATACTTGACCTGCAACAGATCCTGGTACTAATATTCATAAACGAGGTTGAAGTAAGGGAGTTCCTTTAATATCTATATGGCTGACCTCTGCGGGCAAAAAGCCGGGGTTGTGTTTTCTGAAGAGGGCAGGGGTGGAATGTGTTGAAGATATGTCGGCAGACATCGCATAGTATGGCGGATGAGGAATACTCTTTTTGGTTTATATCTAAAGGATCACTCACCCATTTGCATTTGAATAATTTGATGGTAGAGATTTGAAAAGAGAAATTAGAGAAGGTGAAAAAGGTGGGGAAAAAAAAGGTGGAAAAGGTCGTGCCCGGGATCGAACCGGGATTGGCGGAAGATTGATTATATCAGAATCCGCAGTGATAACCATTACACTACACAACCGCTGTATATGGAGATGTCACAAAGATGCACCATGGATCACCAAGACTAGACGACCGGAGCACCCAATATTGTTCCGTTTTTTCTTGGTCCTTAGTATTGTCTGTCTATCATTCACAGATTATGCTATTATTTAGCACTCTTAGAGAGAAGAAAAAAAACTGTGTTAGCAGTATAATTCTGAATAGGTTGCAAAAATGTTAGGTCGTGCCCGGGATCGAACCGGGATTGGCGGAAGATTGAATAGATCAGAATCCGCAGTGATAACCATTACACTACACAACCAGTAGTTGTTGGTGTCTCAAATTTTATGTTCCTCAAAGTCAGTTCAAAGTCCTTCCAGCTTGTAGGAGTAAATATAGTAGAAAAGATCAGGTGTATAGTAAGAGCGATAATTTCATGGTTCCGAGGGTCATATGAAGATAAGAAGCGTATAGAGTCGACGCTGTGACCCTATACGCTTCTTGAGATATTAACTATAGTGGGTGTTCAAAAGTATGTCCCGATCCTCGCTCTCACCAATCCAACATCAAATATATATCTCTCACACACACCACGCCACTATCTGGTAACAAGAAGCTAGGTTTATCGGAGATATAAAGATAATGCTTTATTCCTAAGGGAATTAATAATAAGCTAACGGTGACGATGCTGTCACGTAGTAATATACGCCCTCTTCCGAAATAACAGCGTCCCGCTATTATTATAATAGATTAGGGAAGGAGTAGAAAAGAGAAAAGAAAAGGGTAATGATAGGAAAATAGGGAATAGAACTAGCGGTAACACTATATTAGAGCGTGTTAGAGCAAGCTTAAATCCCTACAATAGTTGTCGAAATCCTCTAGGTTCCAGAGGTTATTATTATTATTAGTCGTTCTAGAAGTAGGTATAGCTGCGACCTTAGTCGGGGTCTTAGTTAACGTATCAGGATTAGCTATATTAACAGCTACGGTCGTTTCGGGGATATTATTAGTAGTATATCCGGTATTATTAGCGGTAGCGATAGTCTATATAGTCTTATCCGCGGCGGTAATAGTCTATATAGTCTCCGCTATAGTAGTTATATCGTTGAACCTCTTAGTAGTTATTCTGTTAGAGAATAACTACTTGTACAGGGTAGAAAGCCTGTCGAATAGGTAGGAAGATAAACGTCAAGTAAGGAAAGCAAAACACTGTTTCTTGCTATCATGAATCTCTCCATAGTCCTCAATCCATCTGTTCCTTCTACTCACGCTGTAGAATTTCTCTTTCGCACATTCCCATCGCGTCTCCGCTTGTTACATATTAAATGCTCAAAAATGGGGTTTCAAATTTCAGGCGTACCAAGAATTTTAAACATCGCTGCAAAATACCAAGCGTAAACGTGATAAAATTGCGACGCTGATCCGCACCTATAAAGGGAGTCTAATTGTCCTAAAAAGTAGTTTAACAGGCTGAAATAGACCTGTAAATCTCACTAGCAGATTATTGGATCACCCGACAATTTCATCTCATTTAGCGAAGCTCCTGGGATAACCATTGGCCATAGAGGCAGATTGGGCTCGATTATTACACGAAGCAGCGCAGGCCCATCTGTGTGTATTAACCATCGGAGCTTTTCGTTGATCTCGGTATAGTCACGTAACTGCTGCGCAGCTACTCCCATCGCAATTGCAAGGGAAACATATTTCGGATGCTTCTGAGTCGCGTGACAATATCGATTCTCGTAAAACATAGTTTGCAGATGTGTGATCATCCCTTGCTCCCCATTCTTTAGTAATAGGACCTTCCCTCCAAGATTATACTGAACAGCAGTACTAAGTTCAGTCAAAGTCATATTGAGTGATGCATCACCATCAACATCAATCACAAGAGTCTCCGGATATGCAATTCTGGCCCTATAGCAGCAGGTAAACCAAATCCCATTGTTCCGACACCACCAGAAGTTATTAACCGACGTACAGGTCCAAATTTGTAGTGCTGGGCCACCCACATCTGATGCTGCCCAACTCCAATCGTGATTATGATCCTATCTGATAGACGGCGAGTCATTTCACTAAGAGTTCTGATCAATAACTGCGGATCAACCTTTCCATTTGCTGATGCTCTGTAATGTGTGCCAATTGAAAAAAGTGGATATTGCTTTTTCCACCGCTCGATCTGGCCAAGCCATTCTGGACGATGGGCAACTGCGCCCACGAAAGGCAAAAGATCTGTCCAGCTTTCTTGAATATTTCCCTCGACAGCTTCAGTTACATGAAAAATCCGGCTGATTTGATCGATGCTGATATCAAAATAAACGATTCCGCCCTTGCCCTCTGTCGCTGCAAACTTCGCTGCGGGCGCAAATTTTCCCACATTTCCCGTGGCTTGCTCGTCAAAGCGAGCTCCTAGAGCAATAATCAAACCTGCTTTCTGGATTGCGTGATTAGCATATGCAGCTCCATGCATTACTTGCATATGCAACGACTTCGCGTCAAATTCGTCAAATGCACCAATGGCAAGTAGTTTTGTAGTGATGGGAATGCAGGCTTTGTCGACTAATTGGCGTAAAAAAGAAATACCATGCGGGGAGCATATAACACCTTGGCCTGCATAGATGACCGGCCTTCGAGACCGGTTAAGGAGTTGTGCACATCGCTGAGTTATTTCTTTTTGCAGCTCTGAATTGACGTCTTGGCTCAGACAATTCACAGAAGCTTCTGCTTCAGCTGCTGATACAAAATTGGTCAAATGTATGGGCAAATGCAGTGTAGCCCCGCTGCTGTCTTTCGGAATATCCAACAATACAGGCCCAGGCCTTCCACTTGTAGCCACCTCAAATGCATTATTGATGTATTGTGGCAGAAGATTGATGTCTGTCACCATCGCAGACCATTCGGTGCAAGGTCGTGTAATGCTCACAATATCCAACTCCTGAAACACATCAGATCCGATAGCATCCATCGGGACCTGATCTGAAAAGACTAATAGCGGCGTTCCGTCTTGTAAGCATCATAGAGCGCAGTAATGGTATTGGCAGCGCCTGGACCAGAGGTGACCAAGATAACACCGGGCTTTCCAGTCGCACGCGCGTATCCCTCTGCCATATGGCCGGTCCCTTGTTCATAGCGTGGGATTATAACGTCAAATTCAGTTGCCTGATATATCGCGTCAAAAATAGGCATTACTGCTCCCCCGGGATACCCAACTGAATTAGATTATCAGCATGTAAGCATGAGCTTCATAGATAGAGTCAGACATACAGATAACATCAACCCTATGTCTGCGTAACATCTCCAAGATTATTTCGTCTCCTGTCATTTCAACAAGAGTTTCCGGTTCTATTGTCGAGTGTTCCAAGTCAAGTTCATGATTGTTGAAGTCACACTTGGGCTTGAGATTTGAAGATCTTGTATCTGATATACAACACAACCTTCTGGTATGTTCATGAGCCGGTGAAGCTCGACTGGTCGATCCTATTGAATCCGATGTAAGATGAGAAGAAACCACTTCCAATTTCGGTCTCAGAATTTTCTGTGGCTTGAACATGAGGCTTCCTGTCCTTATAAAAACTAGTCTTCGATTAATTGTAGTAAATATCATCTTATGTCCTAGGAATATGGATGGTTGTATAATGACAGTGGCGACAACTCGCCTTCAGAGAGATGCATGTGAGGAAACACAGCATGGGTGTAATGCACAAAGAGGCTAAGAAACATCTTTTTGGTAAGATGCACTTCCATATTCGTCATATGTTTGTTGATCGCATGCATCATGGGCGTAAATCATCAAGCAATAGTGTCATCAGTTAACCCAAGAAAGTTCTTCGTACGTATTGGAGTGGGGAAATTGCCTAATCGAGTGGAGAAATTTGTTCCACGGTATCTGCTATCGTGATATGTATGCTGCAACTCGCTCAATCAAGGTATCAACCAAAGTGAGCTGATTTTTCGCCACCAAGACCTATATTTGGCTCTGGAGTCCCCTATTAATGTTTGCATGCATTTATATCGAGGCATAACGAAAGGCATAAATCAGCCCAAGACCCAGAGAAACGATCAGTTTCTATTTACGTTCATAATGGAGTTGAATCAAATATTCCAATTTAATGTTCTAAGTGCCCTGATGTATGGCCTATGCTCAGATGGGTTTTCACTAGCCGATGTTTTAGAACGCGGAGATCATGGCCTAGGCACAGTCGCTGGACTGGAGGGAGAAATGCTTATATTCAATGGCGAAGCTCTTCTGTTCAAGCAAGACGGCAGTGTGCGTGTCGTGAGGAAGGATGAAGTCATCCCTTGGGCCACCATAACCCATTTTGCCCCATCTGCCCAGCTATCGGTACATGGCTTAAACTCTGAGAAATTAAAGACGGTCTTGACCGGTTGCAGTGGTTCCGGACCAAATCATTTTCAAGCTATACAAATCACGGGTTTTTTCAATTCGATCAGTTTTCGAATCATACCGCCGCAGCAAACCCCCGACGAAACGTTGCTCCAAGCTTCAAAGCGACAGGTTTACCAAAACCACCATGATCTGCATGGTACAATATTTGGCTTTTGGTCGCCGGCATTTACGGCGGGAGTATCTTTGCCGGGATTACATCTGCACTTCATATCTGAGGATAAGCTTATAGGTGGACATGTTATGGAGTTCCTTACATCATCGCATACAATTTCTCTCGCCAGCACCAACAAATGCTCTATTGAACTGCCAACTACAGCAACATTTTGTTCCGAGAGAATTCCATGTGCTACCAACGAGGATGTTCACTGTGCTGAGGGAAGCGGTTAGCGCAGTATACATCTGTCAGAAATTGAGGATTGTATGACGGCTGACTTCTTATCGAATAACTTACCGTTAAACATTCAGTGGTGGCCAAACCGAGAGACGAGTGGGATAAGACCTGAGTTTATTATATGCAAGATAAAGTGAGCGCATGTGAGGGGAAAAAAGGAACAATACAATAACGAAAATGATTCTAAACTGGTAAGTATGTGATGGGACATCGCAGGTACAACTAGAAATCCAAATTAGAGGCGAAGAAATTGCCAGCGCGTTGCTGAAATTACGCTGGATATTTGTTTTCATACCAAATCCCACCAGCATTAGAATTCTTTGCATAGACTTCAATGTTTACATCTGGAATTGAGAAGATAAATCATGGACACTTTGGATACCAGAAAATCTATAACAACGTTAGCGGAGCTCATTTACCTACCACGCTCTAGTTGAACCTACCCTGCGCCTATTACCACCACGTTGAGTGGATGGGGTATAAATGCGATTGACTTCAAACGATCTCTCTCCATTTCGTATAAGGTGGGATTCCACTAGCCGAGTAAAGTCACGAAGCTGTTATCATTGTATTGCCTTCGACTAGATCTTATACGTCTTATAGCACCACTAATTTCGAAGTTTCCTATTACATCCGTTTTTTCAGAGGGCCATTGTCACATCTCTGTTAAATGCATGGCCGATTTCAGTCCAGTCCGCTGATTCTCATGAATGAAATCATGTTTTGTGGTGACACAACATCGTTTTATGGGGTATGATAACAGTCTACAGGGAAGCTTCCAATTACGTATTATTTTTAATCTTGGATGTAAGGGTTTGTTTACATGATTTGCGTATTCCATATATCCCTCATGCTGTATGTAACTTCTCTAACAGCGGCTATGGCCGTTCCCATAAGACTACCCAATTACTAAGGAGCTCGTGGGCGACTACAAATGAAACGATCGAGGTTAACGAACTATAGCATGTAGCGTTGCCGCACGTGAATGAAGATCCTAGTGAAGAAATAGTCAATCCCGCACAGGTAGATTGCAGGAATCGCCATGTCTACAACAACCGTATGCGGAGATATTGCTCTCTTTCTAGGTCTCAAGATAGGAGCTTCAAATCCACTCCCCCTACTTTATCAGCCGAAATAGTAAAGTGATTTACTCAATTCACACCAGTTTGACACGGATTGAGTTCATGTTATCAAAAAAGAGCTCCCGCCAAAACCAATTTCAAACCTCTTATCATCCATGATGTAACCTCCTTACACAGCAGATATAGTGACTCGCTTTGACAGCATTGGGTGATTACATTCGAATCGGATGCAAAGTGCATGATTAAGTGCCCACCAAAAATGTAAAGAATTAAAATACCCAAAAATGACCTTGCCGTGAGTTCTAAAGTCTCAGGGCTTTATCAAAGGTCTTTCATGTGTCTTTGAATATTCGGGTCAACTTTGAAGAAATCCTCAATGTGCAGGAATAGCTATATTATGGACAATTTAGTCACAGGTTTAATTGCCCATAGTAGCTTGAATGCTGATTAGAATGGATGCTTGACAAGAGAATTGCCCGAACAATAGATTGGCCTTTCTAAATATACTATTAGCTTTTAAAACCTGTATTTTAATGTGACTGGGGTTTGACCTAATGCAGTAGGTTACGGAAATAGACAAAATATGTGGAAGCAAATTTTGCGTGAAATTTCCTGGATCTGTAAACCTACTGCAGAAGGTGATGATTAAATGGACAGCCCCAGATTTTACATGATTGCAATCTCCATGGATACTTCTAGTATGTTTTTCATAGACGAGAGAAATGGTTCACCAATTATCGCGGTTTTGATGGGAAAGGAGATGCAGGCATGATAATACAACCGATAACAGGGTTTCTGTAGAGGGTCAAAAAATTCACCTAAAATTGCCTTGATAGTAATTATGTTACCTAACTTCGTATTATATTTTTTGGTCTTCAAGGAACACTGAATAAGTACATTGCATCCTTGTCCCAAAACTACAGTGTCATGGCATCGTATATCTCGAAAAAGTCTCTTTTTACAGCGCTGACAACCCTGGGGAACATCATATCCCAAGGTACTCTCAATTGCACCTGAGTAGCGCGATGACTATGCATATCTGCTCAGCTCTCTCTTATCAAATTACGAAACATTGAGGCTATCTTATCATTCTCATAGAATAACTTTACTTATTGTGTATTTTATGTAAATTACATTGCAGAGGACCGAATTTTATTACAGAAAAAAACTAAGAGGAAATCATAGTCTATATTCATTACACGTGTATATTAGATGTTGAAATAGCGGAGGTTTTCACCTACCTGCGACCTGCGAGTCAGTTTCAGCCTCTAGGGAGTATCAGGAATGCTAAGGAGGGGTCCTAGGAGTAAAGAAATAAGTTGTCTGATTTTCTGATTTTCTGTCCTCTGCAAGCGGGGTAGTCTTCTGTATATCAATACTGAGTCATTCTGCAGACCGCTACTTCCCCACTACAATATTTAGGCAGTGCTTGCTCCTATTTTGCCGATTTCGTGAGACTTGTTGAATCTCAATCGAGGTGTTGATCTCATAGTGTATACTGAAGTCACATCCTCACCCACGGCCTTGCTTGGAGACACGCATAAATTCGTCCCCACTGCTGCATCCGTTCTTTACTTTAGCTCCGATTGAACTAATTACATCATAACTAGTATAAGAAAACCTGTCTTCACTTGTATGTTCGTAAGCACCATCTTACACCATTTTCCACAAGCAAGTCGCAGTAACCTTTCCCCCCGATGCATCCAGATAGACTGACTGGCCTGAAAATTCTCAACCACAAAATAGCGATCAAACATCCCTTCCACAGATGACTAGAAGAAAAACTCTACAATCGTGGTTGATCATAAGACTCTGTTCAGCCTGGCACATGACCGAATTTCGCAAAAATATGGGCAGCATGTCTCGTGAGCCTGCCTGCCTGGTGTGCTCGTGCATATATCCAAATTACCCTCGTGGGGGTCCAAGGTTCAGACTATCGCTTTGGGTAAGAAGATCAGACTCATGACACGTATGAAGGTGAACGTCACCCGCGGGTGAGAGCGAATTCTACTGGTGTATTTTATTTATTCTCCTTCCTGGACAGATTGTTGTAATTATCTTTCTTAAAAAGCCATGTGGCGATAACAGGGAGAGGGTACTTGATGATTACAGGAGGAGGGGGGGAGGGCTTGAACAACGCAGGCCATAGTTATCGGATGGCTAATGAGATTAGTTGGCAAAAATAGAGGTTATCGAGGCAAGCTTCAAGTGTATGAATAATCATTTTTCATGAAGATAAAACCAGGTGGAACTCATTCGGGGTAAAGAGATTGATTAATTTAAAGTATATGATTGAGATGCTCGATACCATAGTTGCAAATTGACCCATATTTACTCACAAATCCAATAAGCTGCGTTAACCATGTGCCAGCGGTGGGTTGGAACTTCAAGCTCGGAAATTAATATGTATCCTCGTTGCCAGCGCATCTAAAAACTAGCAATTCATTTTCATGTCATCAACGGAACAAGAAAATAATTCAATTTCACCAGACGCTGCAGAAGATATGGCATGTGAAAGCTGTCCCCAAATATCTCTCAAAGTATACTTGAACTAAAATAAATCCTATAGACAAGGTTTGAAATGCACTTAAAATCAAAAGGGCAGTAGATTAATGGAAAGATAGGAGTCAAGTTAAGGGAACCTTTTACCTCTCATCCCACAACCTGCACACTCAATCGCCAAGATAAGCATCTGCCCCTACTCGGACAGGCTACTCTCTTCGAGACTTTTCCTCCTAGGCTCGAGAATTTGCTCCACATTATTTTTAATCTGTTCCTCAGAGCTCAGAGCTCAAAGACTTTATCCCCGTAACATCCCAAGTCTTCTGTGCGTCCAATTTAGGTCTCTTGGTTGAATTCCGTCATTTGGGAGAATGCCTTTCTGGACAGCCACAAGGAAAATTCTAGCTACAAATTTTACTGCACTTTGCCATGTAACTCCGATGTAACCGCCTGAATTAGCGACATAACTTCAGCGGTACTGTGGGATCGAGAGCCTTGATATGCATGAATGCCACATCGTCAATATGAAAACTAGCTCCCAAAATGGGATTTACGGATTTGAGTCCGAGAATCGGTGAAATGAATGATTGAACCTTTGAGACCGACTGTGATACCTGCGGCTTCTTTTACTAGGTCATCCTTGTTAATCATAAAAGAAGGGTGGAGATTTGTCGCTTGAAAAACGGGGTCGCGGTCTCTGATGAAGGCTTTGGTTCCCTTGGGAGCGCCAATTTTGCTAGCGTTGTACGCATAAAGTCAGATAGATGCTGCGGTTATATCAAATGCGCCGGCTACAAGAAAGAGAAGAGGCCGTACAACATGGGTTAATAATAGTAACTCAAGACTGAAAGGCAGAAGCACGCAAGCACATCCTTCAGACTTCCAACGGCCATCATATTATATTACCAATGGTCAGCTAGAATCAAATAAGCTCAGCCATCAGATCTATTTCAGTAACAAATTTTTCCCGTGTTCTTTGATTAGCTGATGCAAAGCAGCTTGAAGACGAGAAACACCATCATCGGAGGTCTGAATGTGGAAAACCAGACGTCCATTTGGAAAAGCACGAACTCCGCGCTGCTTGCAGATCTCAACCATAAGATCTCCCGGAAGGTCCATTTTCTTCAAGTCCAGGACGATCATGTTGGTATTCACCGGAAACAATAACTTGTATCCAATGCTCTGGAGGTAATCTCCCACTTGCCTAGCCAGAGCATGTACTTTGGGGAGCAAGGAGAGGTGATTGTCAAGTGCAGCCAAAGCAGCAGCAGCCATCATACCAACCTATTATAATTAGTTGAGAGATTCAATACGGAGAATTTATAGATCACCTGTCTTGTTCCACCGCCGAACATTTTACGGAACCAAATAGCCCGATTAATAAAATCTCTTGGACCAACAATCACGCTTCCCATCGGCGCACCGAGGCCCTTGGATAGGCAGAGACTGGCTGTATCAAAACAGCTTAAGTAATCCTTTAGACTTACCCCTTCGCCAGCCACAGCATCCCAGAGCCTGGCCCCGTCAAGATGCATGGCGATCGGTTTACGGCCTTGTGGAACGGGCACGCTTCGCACATAGTTGGATATTTCTTGCGCATGCCGGAGGGGTAAGATTGACCCACTCAGGCTGATTTTCAAGGCAAACAATCCGAGTGGGAGGAAAATGGACTGATGATGTGAAGGTAAAAATTAAGCGGATATAACCAGATTCCCAATGTCAACGTACTGTTATTCTCTTCGATTATTCGACCTTTCAGGTCATCAAGGGTCAGGTAAATTCCATTTTTGGGCTCCACTCCAGTGACAGTGGCCTGCGATAGAATTGGAAGTGCACCGGTTTCCCAACATTGGACGTGGGCGCGGTGATCCAGAAGGATTGCGTGAGGAGGTTGGTGCAAGTGCGTGCGTAGGCAGATCTGATTTCCCATAGTCCCGGATGCAACAAACAATGCTGCTTCTTTCCCTGTCAATTGAATAACTCTTTCCAAAAGCCTGTTTACAGATGGATCTTGTCCATCGTATACGTCATCGTCAAAAGTCGAATCATTTACAATAGCCTATGAGCCAGAGTGGTCAATGTCGGGCAGGGATGAACAAAGGGGACTTCTACTCACTTGCATCACATGCTCATCCGGAACTGTCACTGTATCCGATCTGAAATCTCGTCCAACTCTCTCAATTGCCTCTCGGAGATTTATTGATATCATACTCCCGGTATCCTTCATAGCTGGGGAGATGGGAAAGCCAGAGTGGTCGGGAAGTACCGACGGGATATCCCCAATGTTCAGAACCGCCCGACCATGCATTTGTCCTAATGTGGTTAGATAGAGGTGAATGAATGCCCAAAATATTGGAACGAGTACCTTTTTCCATTAAGTCATATACCTTGGTCAGATTATCGAAATCGACTACTTTGGATTGAAGTTTAAATCCGGCCCGAACCATTATCGCAAGAGCTTCTTCTGTTTCATGTCGATTACCGACATACGAGCCTTTGATATTGACTTTTTGCGTTACCATGGCAAAAATATCGGTAGACATCTTGCCTGGTGGAAGCCCTACCGCGATGATGGTTCCTCCGGGGCGAATATACTGTATTTCGTCAGTCGACAAATGGTCCTGATAACCAAGATTCTAACTTACCCGAAGTGATTGATGGAAAGGCTCTTCTACAGAAGATACAATCACAGCGGCATGTGGGCCACCACTAGTCGAACGCTTGACTTCCTCCACGACATTCAGTGACTTGTAGTCGACATAGTAATTTACCTGCAAATCAACCAGGCACATCCTTTTCTTTGACTCCCCGGAAGATATTGCGAGAACCTTGAATCCCATTGCCTTGGCATATTGGCATGCCAAAGACCCAAGCCCTCCACCTGCACCCACAATAGCTGGATTCATCTATTGGTAAAGGAAAAGATAACAAGTAAATTCAACTTCAAGAGTATGCTTACCAACAGTCTGCCCTGGTAGGATTTCAGCCTCTAGAAGGGCTTTATAAACAGTGATGCCGGCACATAAAATCTGAAAATCGTAGGTCTATTAGCATTTACGGCGGTTTGTTATCACGGACTTGGCTCACCGGAGCAGCAATTTCCAGTGGAATGCCATGCGGAATTCGAACTGCATTGTCGGATTTGACGATACAATACTGTTGAAAAGTACCGTCAACATTGCAACCCGAAAGTTGAATTCCGGGACAGAGCGGTTGATTGCCACCAATGCAGAACTCGCAAGCTCCACAGGTCCGGTTAATCCACTATTTGTTTCGAAAGTCAAACGCAGAATTCTCTGAGTAGCACATCCCTTTTTGACCCACCTGTATTCCAACTGTATCCCCGATGTGGAGATCATGCACCTGTGACCCAAGCGCGACCACGTAACCAGCACCTTCATGGCCACCTAAAAGATCAAGGAGTTGAGTGGACGATGTTTCACTTATGAAATCATTTTAAACTTACCAACACAGGAGTCCTTGGGCACCACAGGCCAGTCACCTGGAATTGTGTCAGTCATATTTCTTCATGACGGAAGAGGTATAGAAACTGAAAACCTTTCCATGCATGCAGGTCTGTATGACAAACCCCGGAGAATTCAATCTTCACCAAAATTTCGTCTGGTCTGGGCTTTGAAACCAAGATTTGCTTAAGATCAATACCTATTATATGTCAGTCTTCTGGACATTTTTCTGAAATTTGACGAGGCATGTCTGGTTGTGGCACAAGGAGAAAGTTCAAAGCAGAATGTATTTATTCAGCCGGTAACAAGGCAATAGTCAAGATGAGGAGCCGGAGACTGTCAGGAAGCCAGATTTCTTCTCCCTTGGACTATAGATCCATCATATATTCATACCTTTCCCTGAGGTACGTGCTACTTGCGCCCATTGAGTTCTCGGAACAGCATCGTCCTTGATTTGATGAAATCCATTGGTTTGTTTGGCGGTCGATGGATAAGAGCCATTGGTGCGTAGAGACAGGCTTCCCATCTGCTCGGTCATAACTTCACTTCCGTTGGATAGGATAGGCATAGTTGTAATACTTTTGATAGAACTCTGAAAAAATCTCTGTTGAATTCGGACGATGTATTGTGCCAAAAAGCATCTCTCAAGGGGTTTAAATAGATATTAGCTTCTATACCTTTCAAATTGTAAGCTACATCTGTACATTTAGAGACACCAAAATTGAAAGCATACATATAACTCCAGTACCTATTTTCGCAAAGGTTTAAGATCTTCATGTCTCCTTATGTCTATCTGCATAACGGTGTAGTACAAAAAGATCCCCAGAGTTCAATGATAAGCCAAGTCTACTTGCAAGCTCGTTTATCTCATGCAACTTTGCAAGTGTGGTAACACAGCGATATCGGACATAATATGACCTAACAGCCAGACATGAAGTGAGAGGATCTATTAGCAGTGTAGTCATGGTGTAGATAAGCGTTCGCACTACCTCTACTCTCTACAGCCTGCTCTTACCAACGTGAAATGCAATATGGAATCCACCAAGCCACATAAAGCTATCATGACAATAACACTTCTCAATAATTAGATCATCAGCCTTGACCTCGACCTGCAAGGTTGTTGGCAATGATTGAGCTACATTAACTCAGTACCTCCAATTCGTGGATTTTTATTCTACCGAGGTTATGAAGGCTACGAATGCTTTGGAGTCAAGCATATTGAAGAGAGAAAAAAGAACTCCTGTTAATCCTGTTAAATGCGGGCGGGATACTTTTCTTGCATGGAGTGTTGGGTCAATACTGGACATTGGGCGTTTCACATTACATTAGCCCCTGAAGAGCCGATACTTTGGATTGCATAGTTTAACACAACTATAATAGCGTAATGTTCGACTTACTGACAAAAGGAAACCGGATTGTGGGTCCATACGCTTTGATTCCCACGTCGATTAACAATTCTACCTCTTCGATGCAATTTCATTCTTCGATAATGGCTCTCATATTTCGCATATTCGAGAAACCGGGGAAGTCAGCTGGCTCTCTGTCTATCTGAGGACTGGTTTCACTCTACATTACCCAGCAGAGGTTGCAAAGAGATATTTGTTACATACACAGTGGCTTAACCGAGCCCTCATGGGGAAACAAAACCATCGAGTGAACTTTTCATGTCCGGGTGGCAATTTTTTCCTATCTTTGAAATGCACATTTAGTAGTCTATGCTGCCCCATATTTTAGTTCCGGTCTCGGATTTTACCATGTCTTCTGCGTCGGGCACAGTCAGGCTGATCATGCAGGCGGCCCTCTTACTAGAATTAATCAGAATCGCCTAAGGCGCAAGAGCATATGATAGTTATTTCGATACTTATTAAGCTGCCCATTGCAGACCTATCCAATAGGAAAAATCTCTCATAGGTAACAACTCTAATAAATTTCTACATAAATCAAGAGTTTCAGGATAATAAATCCTGTAACGTGATTCTTGCGTCAATTAACATATGCAGTTACTCCCAATGAAATATGGTCGAATAAATTAAAAACTAAACAATCCACTCCGTCTTTTCCCAAAAGGATATACCAATAGGGCCGCGATAAACAACCCGACTGTGATTCCAATCGACACCTCCACCATACCAAATCCCAGATCAGCTGTATAGATCTGGCTTGACTCCACTGAGTATACAGAGTACCCGCTGTGGTTAACTGGATTGGTTACGTTGTTGCGTGTCTCACTAGATGATTTGATGCCACTAATGAGCGGTCCTGAGGCTGCCAAGCCGGAGGGCACCAAGACAAAGATTGCAGGTAATATAGAGGTTGCCGCGTGTCCATGCCATATGCGGCTATAGAGGTTACCCATCACACCAATAGTGAAGGCACCAACGGTATTGGCAACTTGAGTACTGGTACCTAAACGCTGCGTCACGAAATAAGTGACAAGATAGCCAGATTCTGCTATGAACAACATAATGGGAGCCTGCTTCCACCGGCCCTGGTATATGACCAATAGGCATATCACAAATGCCGCCACAAATGGAAAGCGTGGTGAATATTCGTCGGGAAAATCCCCACTCTTTGGGCAACTAGTGTCGTCCGCGGCGTTAGGATCGATCAGACCATAGATCGTGGTGCCAACTGTAATTCCGTATCCTAGAAAAAGCGAGTAGATAAAAGCATAGACCATACGAATGGATCCAGCCACGAGCTGATGCGATTGGAGCTCCAGACTACTGCTAAGGACAGTATACCCCGGCAGTATCAGAGCAATCGATGACTGGGCAATCGCTGAAAAGCAGAAAAGATACTCATGGTTGCCATTTGGGGCATCCCACTTGATGCTTCCTACACCGCGCGCGATGAAAGAGGTAAGAACTGCGGTAGTTACCTCAAAAACATTGGAGTATAACACTGAGCGGGGGGCAAAGAAATGGCGAAGGATTCCGAGAATTGTGCCATTAATAAAGATCATTGGCATGTCGATAGGCCGGGCGTTGAATGCGAATGGGCCGACCATAGCGGTGGCTATACCATAAACAACCACGATGATCCAAGTATTGAAGCGAGGCCTGGAATTAAGAATTCTCTCCAGCTTATTGGTGGCCTCATTGACCCCAATATCATCGTGAATCACGCTCTTATAGACCTGATGGCTGTCCTCCAAGAGCCCAAGATCAATCCCTTGCTCCACTCGTACTAACTTCACCTCCGTCGTCCTTCTCATGGGATCATTGAAGGACATGATCATGCATCCTGGCACATAAAGAAACTGACTATCAACTTCTAGGATGGTAGCTGTCGTCCGCATATGCTCTTCCAATCGATGCATGGGAGCTCCAAATCTCATTAGCGCCTTGCACAAATGCGTAATATATATCTGACGTGAACTGATATCGCCGATTCTAACGATCAAACGACTTTCCTCCTCTAGCATCACGTTGTGGCAAATTGATCGGCTCCTCCGGCTGGAATCCGAGGTCAATCTTTCAGAAGGGCTGTTTTTATTCGAGGCGTTTGACACTTGGGCTTTCGGGATGGTTTCAGGTCGTAGGGGCCGATTTGGACCCCTCTGACGTCTTAGTAATTTAGACAGGACGCCTCCCTCGCTTTCACTACGACACAATCCAGATTCGATGGATAGAGTCGCCCCATGACGCGCTGTGGCCAACGTGTCTGATTGATCGTACTCCACGTCTTGCACTGGTTGATGCGCCTCCAAATTTATTGAAATATCTCCGATCGTGTGATCTCTCGAACTGAAGACATCGCATTGAGTTTCAGCATCAGCCACGGCACGTGTCGAAAATAGAGATATGAAATGGCCAGTAAGGTCCTTTAATTTGCCAAATATTGATTTTGTTGCAGTCGATTGTAATTGCGCCACAGAGGAACTTTCCTGGGCATTACGGCCTGTGGAGGAGATTGGTTCGTTATTGAAGTTGGAGGATTTTTCACTCGACAAATTTTCGTGCGAGTTGTTCAGTCGACTTGAAGTGGACGGGTTTGTGCCCATTGACAGAGCCATGTCCTCGTTAGTTGGCTGACTGCTTCGAAGTATCGAAGCTCGGATACCTGAGAGGAAAGCCCTGCCGCCTGAATCATGGAAGGTTAACCTGGTGGCTTGCTGGGTTTAAAGGTTGCAATTCAAAGTTCAAGACTATCATAGCCCTAGTTTCCCGTGCTGTGGCATACTTCGAAGAACAGATTTGAACGAAGTAGTAGAATAATAAGTTTCTCCTTAACCGACAAATTCAACAATCTGTCGATACCAATACATGAGTTTCGATAGCCTTTCAATGATCCTCTCAAAGGGTTTTGTACGTAATTGTTCAAGGTGCACACCATAACCCATAACCCTTAACCTAATACGCCGACACTGATAAGGCTGATAAGTACTAATATAATCGAGAATATTAAAGATATGTTGACGTCATGTATGTCGTCATCATTCAGTGGTCGAGATGAAAAAGAAAACGGAAATCATTAAAGGAGACAACAATAGAATCGTACAAAAAGAAAAATTGAAATTCTCCGAGAAGTTTGATTGGTTGTGCTTTGAATGAGAATCCTTTTACGCTAGATTAGAAAATTCTCTTGCTCAGTGTTAACACGTCGGAGAGGCTCAAAATTGGTCATTACGAGATTAAGCAGAGCTTTTAGGCAAGTTTCAAACAAAAGATACGGCTTTGAAAATAGCCACCGATCTATGACAGAGTCTAAGCAACCGAAGCGACCTTTTATTGCAATTCTTGACCTTACAAGCAATCCAGCCCGCGAAAAGTGAACCTCGAGAGGATGTGTCGAGAGTTTGAGTGGTAACTTGGTTACCGCTAAGAGTTACCGCTAAGGCCGGAGTTGGACCCACGTCTCCGTATGTTTGTATAGTATTATGTCAATATATTAGGATACGGTTTCGGCTGGGAAAGCTAGGATCCAATGGAAAAAGATGCTCAATATAGTGATTTATTGGGTGACCGTATCTAAGTGTGTAGGCGGGGGAATGTTGAGTATCCCCTACCTCGCTGTCTAGCGCGTTACGGCGCTGGGTTCCGAGTATACCCGGGATACCATACAAAACATGCAGTAAATCGAGTATCCCTGTAACAATCTGACGTACACGGGGATATGTGGGTCTCGCCTGTATTATGCGGTCTTCCTTCTTGACATATTAAAGTATCCTTAGCATTGCGAATGTCATAACATTTTGTATTTCAGCCATCCATGGGGTATTTCACTCTGCTCCATGGTATTCGTTCTTTTTTCAATCAATCTATGAACTGATGCATCCAAGATTGGTTCCAGCTGAGCCTGCCCTCTATCCCATTCGCCTAGGCACTCGAGAGAAAAATTCCTTAGGTAATTCGGCGTATATAGCGGATGAAATAGATGGCCTAATGATTACCATCACGAAAATTATGTGACCGCTGTTTTGGTGTAAAGGAAGGAATGATTGTTCTCGTTTCAGAGGGAATACATGAAGCTATGTATTGCCTCTTTCTTAGACACCAGAATTGGCAAAGGCTGTGGGTCATAAAGCTTCCATGAGACCGTCAGCAGACTGTTCCTCAGTAGGCACATATTGAAGAGCGATTTCTCCTGCTTTCAGCACCGCTCACTGGTAATGGAACTTCACATTAAAATGCTTGGCCCGCTTATGAAACTCGTCATTGTGAGAGAGTGCAATGGCTGGCTGATTTTATTACTTGAACCCTAAACTAACTCTGGTGTTCTAGCTCTGTACCTTGAAGATTGTCCAAATTTCGATATAGGGATATAAGTATTAGGAGATCTCCAAGATGTGAGATATGAGTTTCTAATTATTAGAAGCTACAGCACTTAGCTCTCTAGACCGGGATTGACGATAAAGATAATATCTCATTAGCGTTTCTAAGAACGGGAACTTATTAGGAGACCCTACCGAGTCAGGGGCGGGAGTAATATGACGAAATTGAATCGATGTATAAAATAAAATAAAGATTCTAGACAATCAATATCAAGTCCTGTGCCGGGGGACTTAGAGATATCGGTAGGGTTTGACATCTCTTTTTCCCCCTTCAGTAAATGCGGCTTCTATTTGAAGATAACATTCTCAATCATCCGGCACAGACTAACTTTCAGCATAAGAGCGATGGGCTTCAGAAAACCTGTATAGGCCGTGTCTTCCGTCTTCTTGTGTGATGAGCCACCATAGTGGACAATAGTACTCTCACGATGTTAAGGCAGCATGACTAGAACACTCATCGCGGATTGTTGTTGATGTGCTGCTTGTTACCAGCAGTACCGCCATTGTGCGAAGCTGTCATTCCTTTACTCGCAAGATCCAGCGGTCTTGTTTGTTTCCCTCTTTTGAGCAGTAGAAACGCAACAGCAAGCTGTGCTATTGCAAACCCGATCAGAACCTGGAATTGGATCTTATAGCTCTTAGCAAAATTTTCTTGCACTCGAGCCTGATCTGTGCGTGTGAGATCTGAAAGAGATTCAACATTGTGGAGTAGCCGTTCGTAGGCATCTTTCGAGAGAAAACTCGACACCCCGCTTTTCAACCGCCCATTGAAAATGTTTGAGGAAATTGATACACCAACAGAGCTTCCAAGGTATCGCATTTGAACAACAATGCCTGAGGCTTCCTCTGTAATAGATGACAAACGTGGATTAGCAGATTAGGGATTGAAAGTCCCACTGCTCGGCTGTTGTTTCACTTACGGAGATCCTTAAGGTCCAATAAATAGGGAACTGAAAAAACCGATATTCCATATGCTATTCCCATGCCGCAGCCGGCAAGAACTTCGTAACCATATCCGGAAGGAGGAAAGACGGCCGAAGTCGGAAGAGTGGCTAAGAGCACTATTCCGGCAAGATTGATGACCGCGCTCACGATGAGAATGGGCAGAAAGGGTACCTTTAGTTTTGTGCTAATACCAATGGCAAATGTCGATGAGAAGGCAGTGACCCCAGAATATCCAAGTAAACGAATACCAGCCATCAAAGCAGAGTCTCCCATAATGACTTGAAAGCGCTGTGGCAAGTAGACAATGACAGAATTATAAGGAACTCCAACAAGAAAACTGGTTCTATAACATTGTCAGCTTCGGCAGCCATGCAGACCAGACACTGTTATGTCAAAATACGTACAAAAAAATTCCAATAAGGGGCAAGTTGGAAAAAAAGGTTTTTGGAAATACTGGCCGGATCTGGAATTCTGGGTCGGAAATTCGAATTTCCCAAACAAAAAAGCCAGCCCAGAAAATCACTGACATAATGACCAAAATGATAGCAGTGGGAGAGGACCACGAAAAATGACTGTTGGTTTCATCTATCACAGTCACCAGCATAAGTGAGCCCCCAAGCAAGAAAAACATACCCGGGAGGTCAATGTTCCACATGAACTGCATGCCCGACTTTGTTGATAAATCGAGTCCAGTAAATCGTCGAGAGAAATGGGGTGGCATTGAGATAGCTGCTAGTATCATAGCTATGCACCCTGGAGGAAGACTAAAGATTTCATTGAGCACATCTTCATGGCAGAGGTTGCAAGGCTTTATACATACTTCATGTAAAATAACCATCTCCAAGCAGTATCTTTACCAAGAGCTCCCCCAACAATAGGCCCAGCAATGGTTGCAAGCGCGATCGTCACTGATACCATGCCACTATAGGCCGCAAAATGGGTCTTGGGAACTAGCTGATACACGCATAACATCACCAACGAGTAAACACCTCCACCACCTAATCCTTGGAAGGCACGGCATATTACCCAGTAGTGCTGTTAACAGGTTTGCTATACATGGCATGAGCGGTACTCACAATTGAATCCCCGTTTGAGATACTGCACATCCCAGTGAAAACACGAGAAAAAGTCCCATCGCTATCAGAAATGTGCGCAGCCATCCCCATATGTCGCAAATTCTAGTCCACAAGACAATAAATCCTTGTTCAGTCAGTTACCGCCAAATTCTACCTCATAATGCATTGCTGACCTGTATAAGTTATCAAATATGAAGTTACAATCCAGCTGGTTTGTTCGAAGCTTTCAAGATCACTTGTTATGGCGAATAAAGAGGTACTGATAATTGTGCCCTCTATGTTGACAATAAATAAACTGAGTGATAAGCTAAGCGTATTTCGCTTTAGCAAATCATTCACTTAAGAAGCACAAGACCCGATAAGCGTACCAGACACTCATTGCATGTAATCTCCATCCTTGCAAACATTCAACAACCGACTCTGACTGGATAGTCGTATTATTATCTTCAGACAGCTCGGTATCCATGCTTTTAGTGGGATGAATGGAAAATCTTTAAATGTGGCAAGGTTCAGAATGAGATAAGGACCTTGCTGCTGGACCAAGTAAAGGAAGAGCTGACCTATGTACCAGCGTTCCAATATATGTGAGCAGACACTTCGCTTCTAAGTCCCAATGAATATTCCTGTTTTCTGATAACCTTAATGATTCTGCAAATAGTTTCAAACATGGTAGTCATGCGAAGCGATCAGTGATCCATCCTAAAAAGGGTGTTTTCTTGGGTAGATCGGTACAAAAACAGAGACGGTTGCAGGAACGTATTAAATTTATGTACACCCCTTGTTTGATACTTCTTTATGCACCGCAAAGCTGCGTCATATTGAATCCACTTCAATGTCGGACAAAAGCATAAATTTCACATCGCACATCCCTCTCTAGTATTCTGTGTAACTTCCGCACACCTCTATCTACCATGCATTCTTCCTGAATCAATCTACCAACTTTCTATAGGTTGTATTCTACATTTCTTCTCTTGGAAGATTTCTCCGGAAGATCCAAGACTGAACGTTCACCGCACATCTTCAATTGTACTTCCCAGCATCAATTTTCGTATTTCCTGTACCCCCTTCTTTGGGAAATTTCTTTATGATTTACACCATAACTTTTTGAGAAGCCAGAATTATAATAGGGGGAGACTCTAGCTACAAGAAGGATTTTATATACATCTTTGAGCCGTAATTCGCTGATAATCCTGAATTTTCAATCACTTTTTCATCCTCTCTGACCCAAATCATGATCAATTGGCAGCTTATAAATCCAATAAGGCGACAATTTAAATCGCATTATTAAAATTAGAAAATGTATGTATATAAACACACTCATAGAATTTTATTATTCCCTGAATTTCTGGTTAGTCGACCAACGTATACCTGTTGAAACAAAGTCCTTTTTCAACAGAAAATAAACAGTCAACTTCCAGGCCCCACAATCAACAAAGAGACACTAGGCCTATCTATCAGCAGGCTCATTGGGGCCGACTTTGATTTACTAGTGGAATGCCTTTGATGGCAATGATAGTTTGGTTTTGATGGGTTCCGTTACAACTATCTACGGCCATTTTCAACTTAATTTTTCCACCCAGCTCTGGGCTTGAGCTTACTGCAGGTAAATTTTATGATCCCGATCTAGAAGCCTATGCAGCGAAGAGCTGATAATCTATTCCACAGAAGGTACAGTCGCTACTGGTCCGCCGATCACATTGTGCAACGGCGTGGAGGTTGTCTTGACTATCCTGGGACAAGTACAGGGGAAGGTACTATCAGAACATGATGCAAGGATTACATAAAACATCATCTACATCATCGCTATGTCTATGCCGGTAAAGATCCTTATTTTGTGCATAAGGGCTTGTGCTATGCACACTATGGGTGGATCGTGATCCAGCGAAATGCCGAAAGAACCGGCCAGGTCACCATTCAGGGTCTTGTGACCAATGCCATTTTCCTGTGGAAACACTAAAACCATGCTTTGATCATTTTTTTTCTCGGTACTCATATTTCCAGTTGTCTTTTGTGGCTTCTTATTCAATAGTTTCCTTGGGAAATTCATATATCGCAGCTACATGAGGTTGTTTATTGTTCAACAAAGAACCTTTGTACATATTGGATTGGAGAGAAGCCATTTCCCGGAAGGAACTCCCCCCGTAACAATTATTTTGTTGCCATGATCACCTTGGGAGAGGGCTATCACAACTTCCATCACGAGTTTTCCATTGATTATCATGGCGGTCATCACTGGTTCGCGTATGACCCCAACAAATGGTTTATTTAGCTCTGTACCCAGCTAAATCTTGCTCCCTAATCTCAACTTTTCCTGAGAACGAAATAAGAAAAGGACATTTCCAGCAAACTGAGATTAAAATAAGTAAGGCACGGGCGGGGATTGATTAGGATAGACCCCATGATGAAAAGCCCGTCATTGATATTTTAGAATTGAACATGTTGAAGACGGTAATTCCCTAATTTGCATCGATGGTATGGTTCCCTATATCTCCTTATGTATTGATCATCGTCCCGGCAGCCCCAGAGTGTTACAAAAGTATCTTGAAAAAGACAGTACGCGCCTTTTCCGTGGATGCATTTACCTTGACTCAATGCCGCCCGGAATCTGCAAGCATCGATCCGTTTTGCATGGGTGGCCAATGATCAAAGATCAAAAAAATTTCAAGTACTACAATGATGGACTTGTTTCACGAATGTATGCGCCACTTGTAGGAATTGAGAGTCATAATGGATCAAATCGGGAAATGGAATTGATCTGCCCATAAAGAATCCGTCATAGGTATGGGCGAAGTTCGAGTTTTCAATAAAATTCAGGTTGTGTCAATTTTTGTTAGTTGATCCTGGGCATCACTCTTCTCTTTCTCCATTTGTTTATTATGTCTACCCGGAGCGCTTAGGCTCAAGCGTTTTTTTGCCAAATTTCAATTATCGAAATATTCTAAAGAACTTTATGGTTCACGTTTTTTGCTAATTGCATGATACCTTAACAACACCTTAGGCTGCGTTAAGAATTCCGATCTTCAAAAAAATTAAATTGCAGAAATTTTGTTCCTTGATGTGACAATAAATTCTCATTTGTCGATAAAAACTGAAAATGTCGCATAATCTGCAACGCTTGCATATACCAAACATCGCACATAGTGACAAAAACTGCAGTCTGCTTATCTCTGATCTCATAGTTCAAATATCTCATCCGATAAAAAGGATAGGGATTGACAAAATTGAAGAAGGGTGAGGGTTTAGGGAATAGGGTGCGTCAAGCATAGTGGGAAATAAATCTAGGGATGAATCATCTACAGTATGCTACAGATTCCAAATTATAAAAACCCTCATTCACTCATCATATTTTCCCCTCATGATTATTTGTACTTCCAAGTGACATACCGTTACTTAGGTTGTGATGTTCTGAGTATTTACAAGATATTTCTAGCTTCGTCGAAATATTGCACTATCCCATGATTGCCCTGAAACCTGGTTCCAGCATATTCCGCTGTTTGAAACTCAATATGGAGTTAAAAACGTTACAGTTGTCGCTAAAAACGGCACTGCAAATTGTTGTTTCAATGATTTCAACCGTTTTTCATATCATTATATCTTTGCTTAGTTTAAAGGTGTTCCCTTTTTCATGGCATGTGAGTGATTTCTGTACACCCAAATCTTTGATCCATCCTGATCTCACTTTTTGAATCTCTGGTTAGGTTCGAGTTTTCTACACATATTTTTTTCGCTATAAGCTTGTCAAGAGACCTATCCCGCCATCAACTCTTGATAATATGGTTATCTTTCAACCTACGGTATTTAATTCTCGAGTTACAATGGGGGAAATGGACTATTTTGGTCATAAATCCAACAGCACATACTTCGTCGATATAGACTTTGCGCGTGGGCACCATATATATGGTCTTTTCCGTGATTGTGCCCGATATTATGAGTCTCGTCACAGCACATTGGGAGAATATTCGGCTGGCAGGTTTAATTTTGCTCTTGGAGGTGTCACCTGTCTGTTCAAGCGTCCCATTCTGTTCTTTCGGCCATACGAGATTTGGACCCGCATCTGCTATTGGGATGACAAATGGGCATATATCATCTCTCATTTCGTCCAGGAAGACTTGGTGAGGCCAAAGTCTTTCAGTGATATGTCCACAACGGACCAGAGAGGCAACTCACGTAAATTATGTGGTGAACAAGGATTTCAAGAGTCAATGATCTACGCAGCAGTAGTCTCGAAAGTCGTCTTCAAAGAAGGGAGAAAGACCATTCCCCCTGTCACATTTTTTCAGGCGGGCAATTTGTTGCCGAGACATTTAAATAAGGGCTTGTCGCAGGAAGATTTTGACATCCAAGGCCAGCAAGTCTGCCAGCAAGTCTACTCAAATGAAAAGTCGGCAACTTTGGAACTATGGGAGGCAATCGATGAAGAAAAGTCAAAGGGAGAAAGCATAATGGAAGCGATATTAAGTTTAGATGGCAGCATTGGATTATTTGACAAGGATGTGAGGGTTGCATTTCGCCGATATTAGTGAGTCTTGATTATTTACATAGGATGAAGCTGGACTGAGCTTAGTTTGTGAGGCCTTGATCTTCAGTGGAAGAGATTCTGCGAGAATCGGGCAGGAGATACGACCAGTTCGCGGTAGGCTCAAGTTTGGAAGTATCAGAAACCACATCCAGTTATGATATAGAATCATACTTTGAAGCGACAAATCAAGCCTCTAGATACTTTATATGCCTTTCACTATAAACACACAACCATATGCGTGTTATTTTCGTCCGGAGCTTGCTAGAATTACTACGAAGCAAAAGGGAAACGAGTTTGCTTGAAATTGTCAGAAATTTCCAAGAATAATATCAGACTTGAATTGGGAAAACGTTTGTCGAGGTCTAATCTACGATATGTGTGGCACGCGTCGAGTTTGGTGGAAGAATTTTGTGGTTGAAGAGCTTTCCTCAATAGAGGCCGACTGACGAAATTCACCCTTCCGCCAGACTTTCGCAGTTGAACTCTGCGGATCCTCACCAGGCGAGCTACCGAATAATTTTTTTTTTTTTTGGATTGGGGGAGGAGGGGGGAGTATTCTCCCTGATTCTTGAGCCTTGTTAATCTGTTCCCCTTTGATAGCCTGAGCCGTGGATTTAAGGGCGAAACCGATCCTGTCTCATGAGATTGCGTTATGGAAACGGCGGCGCGATCAAACAGCGGAATCGGGAGAAGACCAATCATACTCTCGCTAAAAATGAACCGATGCCTGAAAGCAGTGAAGATTCAGGTTCTCATTTCATACTTGGAATTTTGAGAATTCCATTATGCCAGGAAAGAACGCGAGGGGATGAAAAGTCGGGTGACGTGGGATGTGACGACTTACAATGAAAGGCTGAAACAGATCTGCATATTGATTTCCCAGGTCTTACGACACTCGTTGATATCAGAATGAGTGAATTTTTTTTTTGCCAGATTATATGGTGAGCAAGAGTCGTTGACACGCTATATTCCCGAAACCCTTGGTATTTGTAATATACCCAGGTTCAAATGTACAGATCGCCGGTTGACTCATGATACCCTATCAAAGGACGAGGCTAGCGGAAACTTAATAAGAATATCGAATAACCACACCATCCTCTCCTTCAACTTCGACTCGTATTTCACAGGAAATTTCAGTAGATTTTATCCTCTGGATATCTTGTGGAATCCAAGAAGAATCCACGCATAATTTGAAGTCCAAGATAACTAGAATCAACTTGCTCTGATGGAGGATGCAAACCTTTCCCACCCTTTGTTTCTGATCTGCACCAGCCTAAAATCACAACTTTCCCTTTCGAAATCGCTTTGCTGGCAGGAAATATTGACATTAGACTGAGCTGGGTGGCCTCGCTGAGATCATTCAGAACTGCGTAGGAAAAGTGAGTGGAAGGAGCACCCGCCCTCCAAACATTCTATTTCCAAGTCTCTACGGCAACATCCTCTAGGAGGCCATAGAAATGAGCAACCGTAGCATATTTCAAGGATGTTTGTCAGTTCGCCATATGGTTCCGAAAGACTCGGACCGGCCAAGCCTCATCTGAGCGACTATTATCTGTCCGGAAGAGAATTGGATTTGGTGCGAACATATTTTTGGTCGAACTATGTATCCTGGTTTAACTCGAGGACGCCAGTGTTAATTGGCAGTCGTCTTTGATGTCGGTGTGATTATATAAAAAATAGAATGTATGAAAAAGGGAGAGCTAGATAGAACCTGACGATTGAAAAAAAAATTAAAATTAAAATTAAAAAGGTCGTGCCCGGGATCGAACCGGGATTGGCGGAAGATTGAGTAAATCAGAATCCGCAGTGATAACCATTACACTACACAACCAGTGCTTGTTGGTGGCAACCCTTAAATTGCATCTATGAGGCTTATTCATAGAAAGGGTCATAGAGGTCACTTTTACTCCTGAATACATATCCTAGATAGAGACTGTGCACAACCTGATCCATGCGTGATTTCTTGCTGCTGGGAGACTTTTTCCGGATGTAACTTATATTTTATCGCTCTCCGTTATATTATATGGATTGGGCGGCGGGATATTTATGACTTTATCTGAGGTAATATATCTATTTGACAAAACAATGTTATTGGAGTCAGTATGTTACTAACCTGCATCTGTTGATCCCTCTCGCCGTGCGCATAGTCTCTGGAATGCAATGCAAAAATGACAAGGCTCTCATAGGAGCCTTTAAATCCATACAGTAGCTGCAAGATTATCAGAACTCGAGTCCGTCAATAGAACACCAAAGACATCAGTTGCTGCAAAACCACACCCCGGGTATGGATGGGTAGAGCAGAGTACTTGATAATCTAAAAAGCATTTCAATAGCACGAGATGAACATCAACTAGAAGCTGTTTATCCTCTGGGCAGAAAATTCCTTTCGAATGATCGACTCAACCGTTCTTTCACCTCCAATCAACATCATCTCGGCACATCTGAATATAGTACTTCAAAGTTCCCCCGATCCACCCCGCCCGCCCCCCGTGCCAATCAGCAGCTTCGCGGCTCAATTCCATCTCCAAAGCTCCCAACCTTGCCCCGTCCCCAGGCTCAGAAAAAACCCCAACTGCACATACCACCACCAACCCACTCAATGGCGCATTCCAAGCGCAACACCTCCCTTCCTCACTTCACCGCATATGAGCGGGGCCTGCTCCGCGCCACCTGGGGCACGAAGCGCAGCGTGATCGGCCGCGACAGCTTCCTCCCCTTCGCCTCATGCAAGCTGTGCCTACAGCCCGCGCGGGCGCCTGTCGTCGCTTGCGCCACGGCCGGCGACCTATTCTGCCGCGAGTGCGCCATCAACGACCTCCTCGCGCAGCGGCAGGAGATCAAGCGGCTCGAGCGCGAGCGCGACGACGCAAAGAAACGCCTCGCCGAGGACGAGGCGCACATGCTGGAGGAGGCCCGCGCGAAGGACCTGCGCGAATTTGAGCTCATCTCGATGGGATTGGAGGCGGCAACGAAGGGCGGCCGCAAGCGCAAGGCTGACGAGGAGAGTGCGTTGGCGGCGTTCAAGGCACGGGAGGTCGAGGTCAACGGCGTACGGAAGAAGGTGTTTGAGATGGATGAAAAGGAGATGGCCCGCGTGGCGCGGGACGAGCAGGAGCGGCTGAAGCGGGAGATGAAGCGAGAGAAGGTGAGTTGCTCGGCAAGGGAGGCGTACTGCCTCCTTCCAATGGAAGACAAAGCTGATGCGGTTGCTAATGGTGCTTTGCGATGGTTGTTCTAGTCCGAGTCCAGCAAGTCCGCACTCCCGTCGTTCTGGGTGCCGTCGTTGACGCCGACAACGGATGCAAATGAAATTGCCGCCAATAAGTCGGTTAAATTGGCACCGGTCTGTCCTGGGTCGACGGAGACGAAGAAACACAACTACTCGCTCAAGTCGCTGGTCGACGTTCATTTCACCGAAGAGAAGGCTTCTGATGGCACAGTGTCGCGAGTATGTCCGAGCTGCAAAAAGAACCTGAGCAATGGGCTCAAAGCGATGCGTACGTACTATAACTGTGAAAAGCTACCTCGAGTTTTCCCGGTATTCCTCGCCCTAACAGCTTATGATTTCAGTGACGAAGCCCTGCGGCCATGTGATTTGCTCCCCGTGCGTTACGAAATTTATGACTCCCCACGATGTCCCCGACCCCCATGCTTCAAAAGAAGAGCAGGCGCGGACGGCCGCCCTTCATGGCCAGATCCTGTGCTATGTGTGCGAGACGAATATTACTCCGACGACTTCAGACAAGCCCACAGGCGACGGGGACGAGGGCAGCAGTACGAAAAAGAAGTCGAAGAAGAAGGATAGGGACGCGATTCGGCCGGGTCTCGTGGAGATCAGTTCTGAAGGAACTGGATTTGCAGGTGGCGGCGGGAACGTCGCTACGAAGAGCGGTGTTGCATTCCAATGCTAAAATGACAGTGTAATATGATAGAGCAGGGGAGCCAGATACGATATGTATACAATTCAAAAAAGAGGAGGCAGCCAGCGGACTGCCTTCACAAGACCGATTAACAAAATGAATACCGAAATGATATACAGACCCTCTCCTCTCAAGTCGGCGAAGGGATAAGCCACAAAACGCCCGAACCATGCAAGAAACCAGGTACTAAAAATATACAGAGCCCATGCCGGCCGAAGTAATCCTAACTTCCTTTCCCCTCTCCTCCACCATCCCCGGGTCTCCATGTCTGTGATCTGACTAGAGATTGCCTAGCTCCGCTTCTTCGCATCGTTGAATTCGCGCACCACGACCTCGCACTTGACCTCCTGACACAAACGCCGGCGCCGACTAAGATCCAGCTTTGACGCAAACTCCAGACCGGATGCGCGCTCAACAGCCTCGAGCGGGACCTCAAAGTCGGACAGGCTCTTCTCGTTGGGGATGCGCGCGTTAGGCAGAACGAAGGCACCGAGAGCAACCTTGCTGGTGGGCGAGTTGGTTCCGTCCTCGGCGTAGATTACCTTGTAGAAGTGGGTCGGCACGGAGACATTGGGCGGGTTTCCGATGACCTCGTAGTTGACACGCCACTTGCCGTCAGGGTCGCGGTGGGGGAGATACAGTGGGCCAGTGACGATGCGAACGGAGGGGTAGCGCTTGGCCAGGTCGCGACAGAAGGTCTCAAAGTGTGCCCAGTAGTCGCGATTGAAGCCTTCACCGACCTGGGGGCACATGTTGGACAGTCGGAAGGTGTCGTCCATGGCCTCTTGCGACCATTTGGCATCTGCGGCCGGTACCTGGTGGCCACGGTCGTAGCCCGAGCGGAAATAGTCGGCCAGCTTGGCGCGGAACAGCGCCGGAATCGAGGTGTCCTCGACGAAGGTGCTGTGCTTGCGGTCGGCGTTGTTCATGGCCAACGATGCCGGGGTGATGTGCTCGGCGACCCAAGCGGGGTTGCGGGTACGCCGGTCGTAGGTACCGTGCACGGGGAGGGAGGAGAGCTCGTCGACGACCGGGCCGGGGAAGCCATACTGCAGGACGCCCGCGGGGTCAACGGGGCCTGTGGCCGCTTTGGCAGCGAGAGTAGGCGTGGGGGTAGCCGTGGGGACCTTGACAGCGGAGTTTGTTGGAGGGCTCGGGGGCAGCTGCCGCGGCTGTTGTTGCTGTTGGGGTTGCGATGGTTTGGAGGAGTACAGCAACGCAGTGACGCCGGCACCGGTGGCCGCACTGGCGGCGGCAATCACAGCTAAGGTGGCTTTCGACATGGTCACAAATGGGTCCAGCGAAGGGAGGTTCAAGAAAAGGAGGGGAATCTCCGAGGACCAAGTGGATGAGGAGTCGAGCCGTAGAGCTTTGACTGTTGACTGTTGACTGTCGCAGGAAAAAAAAAGGAAAGTCACGGGCCAATCAGCTGGTCACATGCCCGTTCCACTTGACGCGCGCTGTCCGCAGTATAACGAAGGTCATGGGAGTCATGAGAGCCATGATAGGAAGCGCAATGGAGGCTAGTGGTTAGTTGGGTTTCTAGTCATCTATATCTGTCCTGTGATATGTTGGTCACCTGCAAAATTAGTCAAGATGTCTCTGACATGGTCTGGAGTTTGGTGTTGGGGCCACGTCCATATACTACTATGAGATGGTCAACGACAGCCACGATTCAAGGACAGCTAATTTGCCGCCTGAATAAAAAGAGATAGCGTGAATGATTCTGCAGTCTGCGAACAGCTTTGAGATTCAAATATTCCTGAACTCGAAGGTGTTTCCACTGCAAAAATAATCGACACTGCGCGCGTCCCCGCGGGCACTGGGCAAAGCGGAGACGCTGAGAACCTTGGGGGCAAATGGAATGTACTGTGCAGGCTGCTCTGCAGGATTGACTCCTTCCCCCCAAGTCATGATCGCAATTTCTCCTTCCAACACTTGGGGCGGGCGCAGGGCCAAAAAGAAAGCGACGAGGGACGAAAGGACGAAAGGACGAAAGGTCGAAAAGTCGCCGACTCGAGGCCAAAAACCCTTGACCGCCAACGTCCTTTTGCTTGTCACTGACATCACCGATCTTCTCTCTTCTGCCACCTCCCACTCGCCGCCATGGCTGCCAACGACCTTCGAGGGTGGGTAATGAGCGCCGTCTCTGGCGTCGGTGAGTGCGACCGTGAGGTTTCTCTTGGAAATGTGGGAGTTTAAGTTAATTTTCGGCTCAACCAGCCTGCGTTCTCGGGTCGTCCGTCATTTGCATCGACCTGCTCTTGCGCCAATGCTCTCACCACAAGAGCTTTCAAATCGCCAATAGCAATAATTTCCTGTCAGCGTCGCTATGTCTCAGTGCAGGAGTGATGGTCTGTTCTTCGATACTTTCTGTCTTCGCCGCCAATTATTGGTTCCTCCCATGTTCTAATCAAGCAAACAGCTCTTCACTTCGTTGTACAGCATGCTACCTACCTCGAAAGACTATCTCACACGTGCCGGCTTTTCTCCTTCTGTCTCTGCATATATTCTGACCGCGCTCTTTATCACCGGAGTGATTGTGATCCGTGTCCTCTCGGGGTTTATCCATCGCTTCATTCCATCGCATGTCGTCGATTGCGCTCACAGTCACGGAGGGCCGGAAGTTGATCCCGAGCGCGCCGAAGAACTGTCAGGACATCACGACCATTACGAGCACAACGATGCCAACCATAGACATGCAAATGGAAATACTGAGAGCACGCCGCTTCTTCGGCCCCCAAAGACCAAGTCGTTCAGGTCCACGCCCGCCGTTTTGCAGCGGACCGGGTCGGCGGCAAATACCATCAAACGGGAATCGCTGCGGGCGATCCTCTCTCGCCGCATAAGTGCTCTTATGGGCGGTGCCAAGCCCCTGTGTGACGAAGATGGGCCCTGCTACGGTTTTTCCCAGACTTGTGGCCGCGAATGCACCAAGATTTTGGCAACCCAGATCACCCCACCTCCGACAATGAGCACGAATGAGGTCACTCGGCCCTCCCTGGTGCCACAGCATAAAAGCATTGCAATACAGCTCGGCGCTGACCCACATTGTGAACAAGAGGGGAATGCCGACTTGATCGCAACAGCTACCGACACTGGGTATTATGATGCGATCTCTTCTCAGCACATCGTGCACTCAACTGCCGCCTCTTCTTCATCGTCGCACACTCATCATATTCATTCCGAACATACTCATCAGCACAATACCGCAAATCAATCCAAGGATCATGCTGATCCTTATCATGATCACGTCGAGGACCCCGACGGGGCTGCTTCCAAACCAACACCCGACCCAGTCCACCATCACCATGTGCCCCAGAACGCATTCCTTTCTATAGGACTTCAAACATCAGTGGCAATCGCCCTCCACAAGCTCCCAGAAGGGTTCATTACCTACGCAACTAACCATGCTAACCCGACCCTTGGCCTCACGGTGTTCCTTGCTCTTTTTATTCACAATATCGTCGAGGGCTTCGCCATGGCCCTGCCGCTATACCTTGCCCTCAGCTCCCGCTGGAAGGCCATGTTCTGGTCTAGTCTGCTTGGTGGCATCAGCCAGCCTGCCGGTGCCGGCATCGCTGCACTATGGATCTGGGGCTCCGGTCGGGGGCAGCATGACTCCACGGGGTCATCGTGGGGCGTTTACGGAGGAATGTTTGCCGCGACTTCGGGCGTGATGACTTCCGTTGCGTTGCAACTTTTCAGCGAGGGCTTGGGTTTGACCCACCACCGCGGTATGGGGATTGGGTTCGCCATCGCGGGCATGGGACTGATGGGGCTGAGTTTTGCTCTGACGGCTTGACGAAGAGGGAAGTATATACGTATATACACCGGGCTGGATAATCCCACAGCGACATCTGTTTCCCTTTTGCATATTCACTGGCGTGGCTGCATATATAACCAAAAAAGAAGTTGGAATAGGGCGTTTTGGTTACTGGACTGTGGATGGGTTATCGTTCTGATATTGCTTTTGCTTTTCTGACTGTCTTTTATGATTATCTTATTTCTGCGTTGTTTTGTTTGTGGAAAGACCAAGAGCTGGAATTGTGAATAATGCATGCTTGGAACTGCTAACAGTCTCATCCATTGATATCAGTACATCTTTATGACGCCTGGCTTACCCTACCCCATCACAGTCGGCTGTTACTACGTGTCAGCCTAGAGAGCCAGGGAGGTGGCGATGAGGAACGTACCTCCATGAAAATTCAAGGTGTTGATGTGCATAGCTGGTGTTGATATAAAATACATGACTCATGAATCCCACTCCTTTTGACAGTCAATTCCATTCCCTGAATCAATGCAAACTACGTGCCTGGAATCTAGTAAGCCTCATTGGACGGCGTCCTTGGTTTATTTTGATACGAGATAAGAGTAAATCACCCAGGATCGAATTGTAGATAGCTTCACAATTTAGTGCATATAAAATAGAAAGGATGGCAAGTAGTATATCCATCTCTTTTAGAATCCCAAACACCAACCTCCAAGAAAGCGTATTTGTCTGGCAATCTGACCCAATACCCTGCCCTTCACCACCAGCACACCACATCTACCAATTCCCATCACAGTGCCTGCACCGAAATTCGTCTCGGCGCACCGCTTCCGGTCGTCATTTCAGCTCCACTCGACTCTCGCAGATGATTATGATGCATCTGTCCCTGATCATCCAGATCTTCGATCTCAATACTAAACCGTCGTGGCCGAGACCACATACCAAACTGCTCGCCGCCATTCGCCGCACCTACACCCTCAATCTGCTCTGACTGCAGCCCAAATCGGTCAGTCACCTGCGCAACAAGATCAGCGTGTGCAGACGTCCTCGCTGAGGAGCTCTTGCTGGTACCCAGACGCGCCTGTGCACGACGCATCAGCTCCATATGCTGTGACGCCGTGTCCGCTCCGCGCGGGTGGGTGTTTGCGTCAGAGTCGCTAAGCAGGTCGTGCAGGGCGCCTTCGTGCAGCGTCGCAGCGGACTGGTGGTCGTTCGAAGCTGTGAACAGGCTTGACAGAAGCTTGGTCATTTCCAGCGTTACCGGGTCACAATTACCCCAGACTTGGCGCAGGTTGTAGCAGATGTCGCGGCACAGCTGGATGGCGGCGTCGAACTTGCCACGGCAGAAGCGCGTCTCGACGAGGCGGCGGCCAATCCAGACGACTACGTCCGGCGTCCAGGTGCGCTGGACGATGCGGGATGTCCATAGCTGAGTGAGGATGGTTTCTAGGTCATCGAACATCTCGTACTCGCCCAACAGGGTGATGATGTCGTTCAACTCCGTGAAAGGCAGGTCGACAATCTCGATGCCGATTGCCTTGGAGGAGGCCATGAGCTCTTGGAGGAGCAGCTTGGATTTGACAGACATCTCAGTGAACTGAGCCTTGTTCTCGCACTTCTTGGCATGGTGTCCGCTCAGGTAGAGGCACAACTTGGTTGCAGTGATGATGCTGTCGTAGTTGTTCAGACCGTCCGTCAAATGGAGGAATGAGTGCAACACGCCTGTCAGGTCACTGGCGTCCTGGAAGCGTGAAGAATTGCATAGGTCACGGACGAGATTGGATGTGGTGGTCAGAATACTCATGTTGTAGTTCTCGTTGTGGACTTCCCGCAGACAGATCTGGTAGAATTGTTTCACGACATCGCGGTCAGAGATACTTGTGGCAGACAAAGTTGCACAGAAGTACTCGTAGAGCTTGCTACGAGTATCCACAGCAGCGCGAGTGCGCTTCTGGTTTACCTGCAGTCGGGCCAGGCGATCCCCGGAGATCAAGGTGGGAATAAAGTCGTGGCCAGACAGATTTTTGGAGAATGCCTGTTGGGTCTGCATCTCACGAGCCATCTCGCTCATGATCTGATCTGAAGTGGCACGACGACCAAATACCTCTTCGAATGCCGCGACAAAGACGGCATCACGGCGATCACCAAGGGCCATGGCAGATGTGTCAGAGCCATATACAACACGCTGGCGAAGCTCATCCAGAACGTTGTTGCCGCCTTCAATGAAGCCGCACTCCAAAAAGATGGCAGCAATCTTACGCGCCCAGTCGGCCATCATGTCGGGGTCACCGCCAGCATGGAGCACATCCGTGACGTATGTGTGGAGAAGGGCATTACCCTGCTGAACGGACGTCGGAGTACCTTGGCGAGAGTGTGCAAGAGCCAGCTCTCGAAGCCAGGACAATGTCGTGGTAGAGAAGTAGCCTTGAGTCTTCTTAGCCAACTGGAACTCCTCTGTATACAAGGTCCTAGCCTCGCTTGTCGAATCACGCTTTCGCACAAATAGCTGTGCCAGCTTGTGTTTTAGGGTGATAGGCAAGGGCTGGGTCATCTGGTCCAAACCCTTGGATGATTGAGAGGTAGGAACCCATTCCTGGGTCTGCAAGGGCTTCTTATACAATGAGATTGCCTGATCGGTGTATGAATCACTAGTCTCACACAGTTCGGCGAAAAGCAAGATAGCACTGAGCGTCTTCTGATGGGTGGGACCGTACACATTGCGACAAGTGGTCACATACTCGGAAGAGACCTGATATCTCTCAGAGAAGTCGGTGCTCTGCGAATGCGATGTCAAAATGGTCATATAGCCCAGGTAGGTCTTTTCCAATAGCCGCTCTACTTGCATGCGGTCATAATCATGCATATTGTCTTGAACGACAAGAGTAGGCCACATGTGTTGGTAGATGTCCAGGGCAGAATTCCACTGCATTTCCTTTTCATATAGAGCAATCAAGGCAAGAGCAGCCTCGAACCCTTCAGGGGCAATGGTGTTGCCGCTAACAGTGCTCTTGTAGATGCGTTGGTAGGTGTTCTTGGCCTCATGATTCATTTCCAAGCGGGTGGCAAGCGCAGCTTCGAGATACATGTTCTCAATAGTGTGCTTGTGTGTCTCCCCGAGCCGAGATGTCAGGAAGTTACTGACAGCGTGAAGCAGAATGAGTGCTTTGGTGAATTGGAATGTGGTCTCGTAGAATTCAACGACAGCTTTAGCTACAGCTAAAACGGAAGCCACGGGAACCTTGTCTGACAGGACCAGTGAGCCAAAAGCATTCTCGTAGACTATTGTAGCTTGCTCTAGATGCAGCTTGCGGAAATGGCAGTAAGCCAATATCAAGGCAAGATCAGCCACTGGAGGGCCCAGTTCCGTCGAGAACTTCCTGTGAGAACTAGCTTGTTCGACATTAGGCCAGACATGCTGCAGAACAGCCTTTGAGCACTCGCTAGCGGAGGTCCAATCCTCTTCACGCACATAGACACTGGAAAGATTGTGACACAGAATCAATGTAGACACGGAGAGATTGCTGGGAGACGAAGTGATAGAATCCAGAAGCTCGACCATCAGCCTGCGGTCTCTTCCAGAGAGACCAGCACTGTCTTCAATTGAAATAGTGTTCGCCATACTCTCAGCCAATGATAGAGCTAGTGCTCTACCTTCGGTAGTGTACTCCTGATTGGTTTCCTTGTAGTAGCGCCACGTTAAGATTGAAAGCGACCGGTCGAGGTTGTACATCTGCATCTTTCGGGTTTCTGCACGCAGTAGTTGTACACGCTGCATTATTTCCGGTGAATGAATGCCAGTCACCTCGAGATCAGCAACAAGCTCACGGATAATAATCTCAGCTTCATCGTTGCGGCCTTGTCGGCGGAGGAACTGGTAGTAGATAAGAGCGACGTTGGCCTTCTTGTCCATCATATCGACGGAGTCAATATCACGAGAGTTAAGCCCAGCCCATAAAGTGGACAGTATTGATTGAGCTTGAAGGTTATCCCCTTGTTGCTCATACAGCTGGGCCATGTATAAGGAGTACTTGATACGGCGTTCATCTGTGACTTCCATGGTGCGAACAACATTGTCATACTTTGTTCGTGCAATATCCCGGCTCATCTCCTCACTCCCAGTAGTCGAGAATTGATCAGTCAAGAAGTCTGCAGCCTCAGAAGATTGCCTTGAATTAGTTCCATACTTTTGCAGGATCTGTTGGTAGAATTGCTTCGAAATGAGGAGGGCCGAGTTGTTGTCACCGCGAGACTTGTACATGCCCACAATTACGCCAAGGTACTTCAGCCGCTGATTAAACTCCACGCCAGTGATTTCAGAGTCAGTCAGGATCAAATATTTCATGATATCTTCCTGCTGAGAGGTCATGGTGCCACGATCAGCAAATGATTGGGTCATCATTTCAGCGCAAGTTAATGTGATGCTGTCAGATTGGCCCAGCAGCTCTTGGCTTATTTTCCAAGCCTCATAGCAGTGCTCATCGGCATGACTGGCATGAGCAAGTTTGGATACACGAGCACTGAGGAGAAGACTCTGAAGAAGTGCCATGGATTTGTCACCGAGGATAAGGCGGCGAATATCGGTTGCCAGGCGGTACAGTTCCACCACGCTGGATCGTGTGAACTGTGACTCCTTGCATGTCAACTCGAGGCGAGCAAAGAGTATACTGGCTGGGAGCAGCTCCTTGAAGGTTGCATCAAATTGGAATTCCCCTTCGTCGGAAACTAGTGGTGAGGACAGCAAGTGCGAGAGCCAGTACCGTGCGGTGTACTCCAGAATGACGTACTTGTCGAAGAGGCGGTTGCGATCTTCCATGTCAAGCTTGTCCATTGAGATTTCTGTCTCTTCGCGGACACTCAGCTGTACCCAGGCCAAGCACCTGGTTAGAAGATCATAGTGAGCATCCTTGAGACTGAACGGAGACTTTGCGCTCGCAGACTTGGCCTGCTTGATGACATGGTCCCGAATACAGGTATGTGCAAAGGAGACTACACCGTCACGGGTCATGACGATCGGGCTCAGCGAATGTGGCCATTCACTTTCAGGGCTTATCATGCGAGACTTAAAGGAAAGACCTTTGGGATTGACTCGCAGGAGATGTTCAATTTCCTCAACCAAGAGAGGTCTTTCCGAGGCCGCCAGCCAGGACATGATGCAGCGCGTGTCATGCTGACTCAGATCCAGATTTTTTGTGTGGAAGTCGAGCAATTCGGGCATGGATTGTGGCAGACTCTGCACAGACGAGACTGCCTGTCCCAATGTTCGTTGCTGCTGGGCATATGCAACTGCCATTTCAGCCCAGCTGAATGAGCCCTGGGAGCGGTTGACAATAGCGGCGACAGCAGCCTCCATCTGATTATCTTTCAGGCTGTCTAGAAGTAATCCAGATGACAGCATTTTGTGAACATAGGCAGATAGATCTGTTCGAGTCTGTGAAGTCTGAATGGTAAACAGCTCAATATTCTGAGACCAAGTCTTCGAGCTGAGTGGTCGGGTGAATGCAATCATCTTCGACCCGGCATTCTGCTCAGACAAGATTTCACTGAAATGATCAAGAATGGCAATGGCATCAATGTCACCGCCCTTGATTTGATCAAGTCCGTCAACTACGAACATGTATTGGATATTTGAGGCCAAGCCCGTCCGAATACCTCTCCAGAGACACTCTTCGACTTCGGTGTCGCCGGAGCCATCCAGAGCACCCTGGGCTGCCTTGGCTACCTGAACCAAAATAGCTTCCTGGGTGTGTTTATCACTGACGCAGTGATCTAACATCTGGTGAAGAATGCCTTTCAAAATTCGCAGAGGCAGTGTCGCGACAGGAATGTCGGCACCTAACTATGTCAGTGTTGTATTGAGACTTGGGCTTCTTGCAAGCGCGCCACTTACGAATTGTGTATGGGATAACGTTCCAATTGTCATGATCTGTCGATTCCTGAAGACGTTCTACTGTCCACTGGGCCAACGCACTCTTTCCAGATCCAGCGCCACCTGTCACCAGCATCATTGGCGACTTACCAACGCTGAAATCATATAGAGTATTGTTGAACCACTCGAACGAGCCTTCTGCTAGGGAGTGGGTACGTGAATCCAGAATAAACTGAAGAGGGCGGTCTTGTACTCCGAGGAACTGGCGGAGACTGCCGAGCTCAGGGCTGGAGTAGATCAACGAACTTGACTTCACAAGCTTGGAAGTAGCAGACTCCACGACGGCATTCCAGTGGGTGGAATAACGTCGAGCATACGTGACAAAGGCTGCATCGACATTGCGCCCGGTGATCTGGTCTGATTCTTTGCTCTTGAAGCCTTCGATACAGCTTGTAGTAGTGCCACAGATCATTTCCAGCAGGTTAGCATAGACGGCCGCGGCTTCGGGCTGAAGGTCTGGAGACGTCCTGAACGCATTCTCATACTGGAGGAGCAAGTGGATTCCCACGGCAACGCGGCCGTATCGACCGAAAATGCTTTCAAACATGTCCGTGTTGTCCATGTCGGACTCCAATAACATGATCTCAAAGCCCCAAATGAGCTGAGCAGCTTCATTGGCCCCTGGAGCAAAAGACCCAATGGACATCCGAAGAGCATCGACCGCATAAGCGAGTCTGGAGGCCCACCGTAGAGAACAATCGAGTCGGCTCCCATCTCGAGGCATCCAGCGGAGACGCTCTGCTGCCACGGCATCAAAGAATGCATCCACTGTTGGGCTGCGCTGGCTAATCTCGCCGGCTGACATGCCGAGCTGAGTCTTGCACTTTTGAGAGACTGCTTGAACTCGGTCCTGTAACACGGTGATGTTGTAGTTGCTGATGGAAAGGCCTCGAACGGCCCGAGTGGAGCTGGAAGAAGTCATGTCACTTGCATCTTGGGCCTTGACTGTGCCCATCCTTCCTCCTTGACTTCTCATTCCGGATACTCCAGCTGCACCAGTGCCAGCCATCGCAGCTCCTCCCATGGCCATACCACTGGAGCTCGACTTTCCTTTAGACGGGCCTGTGGCTCCAGAGGAGTCATCGATCATGATTGCGCGATGCGTGCCGTTCTTGTCGAGGCTGCTCTTCTCCATGCGACCATGGCTCATACCAGACTGGTCAATACCAGATTGATTCATACCAGATTGATTCATACCAGGCTGGCTCATACTAGACTGGCCCATTCCAGCAGCCATCATACCTCCCCCGCCCATGGTCGGGCCAGTTTGAATCCCTTTGGAAGGGGCCTTTTCTGATTTTTCTTTGCCCATATTGCTCTTGCCGGATTTTCCTTGACTAGTGACCCGGCTAAACAGTCCTCGAGTACCGCCCATGGAAGAGGATTTAGATGCAGACTTCGGGGAAGCTTTCCCAGCCTCTCCTCCACCGAACACATCGTCGCTAATAGCGGCTTGGTCGTGGAGCTCCTGGTCAAAGGAATCCTCGCCGCCCGACTTGCCACCAGCAACGATATCCTTGCCAGACATTCCTTTATTCAAGGTGGCTTGGCCGGTCTCGAGTCCAGTCTGTCCTTTACCGAGCACGTCCTGGCCTTGACTGAGCTCCTTTTGGCCTTTACCACCAAGGGCAGCTTGGCCTTTTTTAAGCCCAGCCTGTCCCTGACTCAAGCCTTTCTGCACCTGATCCATTCCGGACTGGGCTTTACTGAGACCGTCCTGGCCTTTGCTGAGACCTTCACTTTGACCTAATCCTGACTGCGCCTGGTTCAAGCCAGTCTGACCTTGATCAAGTCCAGATTGAGCCTGGCCCATGCCTTTCTGAACCTGGCCCAATCCTCTTTCCTTCTGGCTTGGAAAAGCTGTTTCTTGACTGCCAAGTCCAGACTGGGAGGAGCCCACGCCAGTTTGGGCTTGATGAGTTCCTTTCTGGATCGAAGCAGGTCCTTCTCGGTCTTTGCCCAGTTCAGATGAAGATGACTTCAAGTCTGTCAAGGGCTGACTAGTTCCTTTCTGACTGGAGCTAATTTTCTCTTGTGCTGTTTTCAGCTCTCGCTGGGTTTGACTTTGAGTAGTAGTCTCTTGGACTGATCCAGTCTGGCCCATGTTCATTCCACCCTGAGCACTGCTTCCAGCTCCCATACCAGGTTCAGTTGCGCTTGTTGTAGTCTGCCCGGTATTTCGCTGGACTGGGCCCTGCGTGATAGGCCCTCTTTTGATATCGTCATTAAATTCAGGCACACCGTGACTTATGCTGGGCTTGTACCCGAATAGTCGTCTGCCGACTTCTTCCGCGTGTTTCTTATTGACATTTTTTCCGGTCAAGCCAATCCCGGCGACGGCGCCCTTGGCATCTCCCTGTCCCATGGCGTTCTTGGTATTTTCTCCTTCACCGGCAATGTCCTTGACACTGCCGGAGTTTGCCTGGGTAGCTTCGCCCGTAGCTTCGCCCGTAGTTTGCTCGGTCTTTTCTAGGACTTGCTGGCCCATACTACCTTCTCCGCCAGTGTCTTTGCTTGTGCTGGCAGTGGCGCTCTCTCTAGCGGTCTCCTTTGCGCCGCCACCGCCTGACAGTTTCTTGCTGAGCTTCTTGGTCAGGCGGGAGCCAATACTCTCGCCACGCTGCTCAGACTCGGTTTTCATCTGCTGTTCGGAGGACATGGTGATTCGAGGCGATTCGAGGTTGGTGTTGGGTATCAAATAGACGTAGACTCAGAATTGATGTAGGTGTTGGTAGGTTAATTTGGTGGTAGGGTGATCGTAACAATTAAATTGAAGCTATCATACAGTCGTTGATTTCTGTTGTTGGTAATATTGTGGAGAAAAAGGATAATTGTAGTCCCCCTTGAATTAATAGACACATCGTCTGCCCCCTCTTGTCATTGCATCATGGGTTCCTCTTCGGAGTTCCCGATTAATCACGGTAGTTCTAGAGTCCCACATAGAAGGGAATACATTTGCGGGGCTATCACCTTCGTCTCTACAATAGAGAGCTATTACCTGCTCTTGCCTGTTCCCAAAAGCTGCAACCGGACCAAAACAACGAATAGAAGGCCTTGATTCTACTCTGTACCGCTGTGGCAGACAAGTCAATGATGCCGAATGCCATCGCGTGGTGGGCTCAAGCGGGTCGTCTTGCCAGCTGATTGCCACCATTAAGTTTAGCCTTTCGTCACTGTGTTTTGTACACATTTACTTAGCCTGCTATGTTTTGATTGAAACAATTGAGCCGTGGGCAACGGCGCACTGGCGGGGAGAATATTCAATTGAGTCCAGTGCCTCTCTACAACTCCAATTGACACAATATGTAATCCAATATCTATTAAAACTGACGCAAAATGGATAAAAAGGAGTTGAATCCCTCGAACCCCAGAACCTCTGCATGGACTGAAAGCCGGGTCTCGATAGTCATAAAGTACGGTCGCATGGGGTCAAGATACCTAGTCAGGAAATTTATGGAGAGCCATCGCGTGAGCTCACAAACCAATCACATTGCAAATTTATCTGCCTTGACGTAAAGACTCCAGGCCTTTATCTTTACAGCTCTCGGAGAGTTATCGAGTATTGAGGAGAAACCAAGCTGTGAGTGGTGATCCATTCCTCTCACTCGGGTGCGTTCATCCGCGATAACCTTAACAGGCTCTTAGTGGATCCCGGGCGATCCATGGAATACCCCACGACAATGAGATCATTCGCCCCCGCGTTCGCTGAGAATGTTCAATCCCGGAGGAGCCGACCGCTCATGAGATCATAAAACTTCTGCTTTGTTTGAGGTCTATTACATTGATCTAGCCTCTTCTGCCCGTCACAGCCAACTATGTCATTGCATTTAGATGTGCACGATCTAGGAGAACCCCGTCCACCTGTTTGAGTATCATAGCTAATGAAATGGATATTCCTTTGATTGTCAGCTGAACCCGAAAAGGATAACAATTTGATGATTATCGACAAAAGCTACTGAACAGGTCTTCCCCAGTCACAAACTTCACTCTGGGGTTTAATGTTCTGTTGGTGATAGGAATCACGCGACGCCCCTCTGGAGCAGTGAGTATTTATGTATAGTAATGTTTGGAAACAGTTTCTCCCTCCTTTGGCCCCCCACTCAACCTCGATATCTTTCACTACCTGGTAAATATTAGTCTACTTTGTGATTGTAAAGGATCCGTATAGCACGCTTCTATGACAGCCTTTATACCTTACCTCTCTTACCCCGCTTGACCTATTGTATTTACTAGATTATTCTTAAGCGAACCCGATGTATTTAGTCTCAGATCTAAGATCTCTTCTCCTGGATCTTTCAATATTTAGTCTGTCTTATATAGGACCTACCAAATCTTTATACCTGATTCATTATTAATTCCTTACCTAATCGACAGCCTAGTACGCTAACGAGTAGTACCCTTACACCCAGGCATTTAGGTATTCGGTAAGTGAGCGGGGTATGTAAGTAAGCAGCGCCCTCTCCCTAGCTATTGTAGTGGGGAAGTGGCATACAGGCATAACCTAGCGATGTGACAAAATATGTGATATATAGGGCATGCTCCGCTGTATCTAGCAACTCAGACACCCATTACTCTTCTACACTATTCCTAGGTGTCCTCTCTTTCTCTTCCACAACCCCTGGAAGCGGGCCTGGTTCGCAGACAGCGACCCTCTCAGTTCCCAGCTCACTATGTACTAGGCTTCAATATAATTATCTCAACCAACACACCACCAGATTCAATTTGACTGACTGATCCAGGTGTGTCTTCCTTGTATGCCTAAGCGTCCGTTAATGCCATATGCTCTTTAGCTTTACTGGCTGGGGTTAGAGCCGCAATCAGAGATATAACATGATGACACGGCAAACTGCCAGCAAGAGATACGCCATTCGCATCTTGCTATCTTCAGTTCCCCGGCTCAAAATTCATCCGTCCATTAATATCTTGCATGCATGATACAAGTACTACAATCCATTCTCAGAAAATTTGAAGTCACAAGCAAGCAGGTTAAAATAATTCTCAAAAGAACCGGGCGTAGATTTATTAGGAAATGCACGGACCTGCGCATTGGGCTTTTCGAGTAGCCAATCATTCATTATTGCAACACTGTGATTTTTGGACTCCATTCTAGTGGAGACAGTGTTGTCAGATGGCCACATCCACCAATTTCCTCAATTTTCTCGCAAAGAACGAAATTTTTCGTCTACACTGGAGTGAGTGTAGAAGCGATGGATAACAAAGCGACTTGTACGCCAATCTAATCATTCTTTTACGATATACGGCTCGCTGTGCCGCCAGGTAAGTAACATGGCTGGAAGTTGCGGTCTGCTCGGCGCTACGGTGTAGCCGTTTCGTAAGGTTTTCTGGGGTTACACAAGTTACGTGGAAGTGCCCGTTTACCTAAGAGAGCTTCAACTCACTGAATTCAAGGTGCAGATTTATGATTAGTAAAGTGAGATATGTAAGTTGCTATAAGAACTTTCATATCAGCTTCTGAATTGTTAAAAGTATCCTGCATCTATTCGCTACCGATCGGATCATTAATGATCAGGTCGTCACAATGTCCTTCGGAAAGCAGTTCGACCCATTGGATCATGAACGCAAAGCCTGGGGGCTCCGTGGACCTCGTGTTCGAGAGCACAGGGGCATACCGCCATCGTCTAAGGATCCAGGCAATGCCGACACGAGAGACGTATATATTGCAACCATGTTCGTGGGAGGTGAAGTTGGCGACACTATCGCAAAGTATATCGGATTAAGAGAACTTCTTGACCGAGTGATGAAGGCAGCCGTCGATATCGGTGACCCTTTGCCGAATCCATTACATCACTGGTGTATAATTGTCGGCGACTACTTGTATGAGCTAGTTCCTCTTGCCTTAAGTATAGAGAACTTAGCAGTTATGATCTCCTACAAGCGACAACCCGCTAGTTCAAAGAGTTGGACCAAGACCCGAATTGGAGTAACAGCTGATAGTGATTCACAAATTCACGAGGCTGGTGAGGCGATTTCCCTTTCCTCTTCCCCCGCCGGCTCTTATTGGTTTTTAGCGCAACAATTATTTGACTTAATTATAACTTATTTCTGTAGCACAGAAAACTATATCGGAGATGCCGAAATGGTACCACTTGCAGGACAATAACTGCCAGCACTTTGTGTTAAATCTCGCTGATAAAATTTTGCGAGATCCTCGCAACAAATACGTGGTTCTTAAAGGTGAATTCATTTCTGCGGGAGGAACCGAAGCTCAGAGAAGCGAGCCAGCCAAAGATGAACAAGACTTCAAGGAAGAGGAAGACTTCGAGGAAGAGGACGTCGTCCCAATTGTCAATCGAGATGCCGAGGGTGCTTTTATTGAGAACGAGGAAGACCGCAGAAAGGCCATGCTGGGGTCCATCGCTGAGTTCATGGTTGCAAATACTCCATCTATTCAGGAAAGTGAGGCAGTACATCAGTAGCGTGCCGGGATTATGCGCGGGCTTAGCTTACTGCCTCGCTATATCGTCACCTGGTTCGAGTGTGGATCACGGGATCAGTTGACCCATACCCCGCTGTATCTGCGGTCTGAATGGCTACATGTTTGATTTTTTCTTCTTCATGGCAAATATTATAGCAAATATTGTTCGTTTCCTGCACTTTTAGTATAGCTTCGGCTACGCATAGACTGGCTGTCTAAGAGTTTATATATCCGAAAATTTCGGGCTTTTTTCCAACTAGGTAGTATTAGTAACTGGCACAGGAAAAGACATTCGAATAACCTACGTTCCTACACTGACTTTGTTGGATTAGCCTACGATGTCATGTGCTGCAGCCTGAAGTGCAGCCTGCAGGAGAAAAATGACCTCGCGTTGTCCCTTTGTAATTCTTTAAGCTCCTTCAAGAATCAGTCTGGTACTACTCCGAGTATTTAGATGAATATTCAGTCCCAATCCGTATACGATACCATCCTCTGCCTTTGCCTAGTCGACAGGATCTAGCCTGTTCCTTGGAAAGCTTTACACTAACATAATCATTCAGCTTACAGAAAATATATTTGAAGATAAAGTATGTAGATCTCAGAAGGAGATGGTGTATTCTAAAAGCGATCTACCCTTTTGACCGCCTATTCCACTGAATGCCTAATATGATCCAATACTTGGTTGTCGCGTCCTCTATAGCTGAAATAGTATTCGAGTAGGTAGTTGTATATATCTAACCTAGCTTACAATATACGCAGTGTGCCGGAAATTCTTGATTCTTAAAGATTTGATGCCAACTATTAGTTAGTTTTTGAAAGAAAATAGAGTTTTAAGGACGGTAGAATTATTGATTGAACATATTGATCAGTAAGGGTGGCCACAGACTTTTATTATGATTCTTGTACCGTGATGTTTTATGAGTCTTTGATCGCCTCTGCTCTGCCACCTATTTTCCGCTCTTAGCAAGATGCTAGGGTGCTACTTGCAGGGTAGCGGCCTGTTGGTCAGGTAAGGAAAATGAATACAATATTGAATCGAAGAAGAATAGTAAAGGCGTATTATTTCAATAACTGAGCTTCTTCAAAATGCAGTTCGAAAGAAAGGGCGATTCTCCTTCTATAATCTTAATGGTCGTCATTCCGCTGTTTGCCGAAGGTATGACGAGAAAGGAGTCCGAATCCAACTTGTTGTTCCCTGTGGATGCATATCGTCATGCATATGATTCGTATCCGAAGTCGGCCGAAATAACGTTATTATACATTTGGTTGTTCTATAACTCAAGAACTTTACTATTATAGAAACACCGAAAGCCAAAACGATTGAGAAATTATTTCATGGTCAGCTCCAGGTTATATTCTATTTGAATCTGTAATCAAGCTCTATCTACTGACTCGAAAGACCGAATATTAATGTAAGATGTAAGAGAGAAGTTTTAAGATAGGCAGAATATTATATTATTATCAGGGCGATTGAAGACTTCTGGAACAGTAGAGTAGAATTCGAAAACAGTGTCCCCTCTGGACAATGGGCTTGTCTCTGACCAGAGTATCAGGTTCGTCTACTCCATCATATGATTGACGGTATTATACTGGACAGAATCGCTGTTTTCTTGCACGCTGAGTGATGACTTATCTGGTCGAAAGTCGGACTTGTTCACATTTTTATACTCAATGAGCGAAGGTTTCAGAGATATGTCAGAACTCCCAAAGGCTCATTAAATCGCGATTGATGGCACTCTCGGGCACGCGGACGGCTGAAGAGCGAGGCGGGGAAGCGTTTCAAACACCAGGACTTCCGATTGGAGGTTTTCGCTATTATCAAATAATGCGATAAGACGAAATTCACGGTCGCAAGCAACATAATTTATGTGAAGATGTGGACTGCGTGCCGGAGCTATGGCAACTACCGTGATATGGATCTAAGCACAGGGCTCGTTCATTCAGAGGCACAATGATCTCGTCCACCTGTAAAACATATAAAGTAATTTGATCACCCGAAACGAATACTTCAATTTCGATCTTGGGGATTCGATGGTTCATTGTTCTCATCAGCCGATAATAACGAACCAGCGCTTTTCTTAGACATCCAAGGCTGCTAATTGAATTGATTTATGAAGCCCCTCTGCAGCAAAGCAACTGAGGGATGAAGAAGTTGACAGATTTCCAACGGTCGTCTAGTCTGCTCTGTTTGCGTGAAGCCTTCTAGTCGCACAGGCCTTTGGCCCTTGATCGTTGTACTCATATAGATGGGTACAATGCGAGATATTATTACACTGTATATACGCAATTGGTAATTTACGCCAAATGTATATTGGGTTAGAATATCATATGATTAGGGTTTGAAGTAGTATCTCCAAGTCTCCCGATATGAAAGGCAATAAAGGTCAGCACTGTACCAATGATATGTCTCTGCGGATTGAAAAAGTGCAAAAGCCGCCATTAGCATTGTTCTATCTAGGCCAAGTGACGACTGAATATTTCATGAATAAATTTAAAAGTTGTCTGTTTTCTGTTGCTACAGGAGAATATTCGAGTCTGAGAAGTTACCATAACCTTCAGTTAATGAAATAAGAATTGTGAATTTCCATTTTGGATAATGATGACAACATTGATGAATAGTCATTTTGGATGATCTATTCCAGGTTTTCATGACTTGAAGAGTCCTACTTCACCCTCATAAGACCCGGATAATGCCTGCTAAAATTTCTTTCAATGAGAAGATTTGCTCTACTGTCGACGTAATACTGAATTCCCATACTGAAAGCATGGAAGGAAAAAAAGGGATAAAAGCAAGTCAACGCTGGTCACCGACGACGTTTTGGTTCGCGCAGAACAATTTCTAGCCGTGCACTAGAGATATCAGAGACTCGAGGCTCATGCACAATAGTACGCGGTCTATTTGCTGTTTGCTTCTCGTCATTAGAGGCTGATGAGTACATGGATTCAGAGGTGGATTTGAGAAATGAGGAGCTGCCCCGGGGCACTCTTTCGATCAAGCGTGGACGTGATGTAGACTCGGGTCGAATAGAAGATGACTGTCCAAAAGGTAGCTCAAAACTAGATACATTCTCTTTGTAGCGTGAGAAAGCCTCTGAACTTCGAGAATCACAGTAACCGTAATAATCGGATTCACGAGGTTGAGGGGGCTCAGGTTGCCTTGAGCTTTTAGTTTCTTTGAATCGATGGATCTTTACACCATTAGCACTTTTTTCACGCCTCATGGATATGATTTGGGGACTCGATCTTGTTTCATGGTAACGTAAGAACTCCATATCTTGCCCCTGGTCATTTGGCTCATCGTCATCTGGCTGCCATGCTTGGGCCTTAGCTGAGTAACTTTCTCTCCTGGGTACCCTTTCTTGGACGTTATCCACGGTGTACTTCTTTGAAGTCCAATGTGAGGTTTTATCACAAGATTGGGTCACATGCAAATTCTGTAGCTCTTTCTCCAATTCGGCCAGCCTCAGCTGCCTGTCCCACAGCTCACGTTGTGCATCATCGGAGAGTATCTCGTAGGCTTTCTGAACCTTCCGGAATTCCTCAAGTGTCGCTTCCTTCTTTATCTCGTCCTGGACCTTGTCAGGATGGCAATCCAGCACTTTTTTGCGGTATAGCTTTTTGATATCTTGGAGTGGGGTGTCTTGGTCAACTCCAAGAACCTCATATGGATTGAAATTGGCATCCATAACGACTAGATAGAGCTCTGGCGAATACCGGGATATCCTCTCAGATCAGTATAACAACATTCAAATGTCACATTAGAAGACAATATCTATAACATTCAAGCAGCTAGGAGAAATTTATTATAAGAAATCTGTCTTCCAAACAACATTCCAATTATAAAGAGATATCGCATAAAGAGATATTGCACAAAGCACATATTTCTCCCATTGTTTTCTCAACACAATTCTGAACTTGACCCTATAAATACGACAAAGCCTCAACACAAAGGAGAATTATAGAAATAGGCCTCAAAGGACCTCAACCGGCAAATTCCTCTAGAAATAGAATGAGCGATAGTGTTCAGTATCAGAAATATCAAGGTGAGGGAGATTCATAAAACAGATGCTAGTTGAGCGTGCTTGATATGATGCTGCAGTAGTGGCAACAAAGACCATATATTGCCATATTGACTGATTCAATGGCTGGAAATTAACTTACTTTAAAAGAGAGACATGCAATATGTCTTTAACTGGTTACATAATTATTTTCTAGCTTATTGTATGCCCGAGATTGAACATTTAACAAAGACTCGATCAAGTACTCTTTTACTGTAAAACGTGTGGCCCTGAAAGTGGTCAATCTAAATTACTAGTGATTAATGCCTACAATACTTCAACAACTGTTTGTTGAGGATTCTCCTTGACTAAAATTTTAATTAAATAGAGTTCCATGATGGAATATGTCTGATTCGCCCCAGAAGCAAGTCTTATTCAGAATCATATATCAAGAAAACGAGTCCGTATCTAGCTCATTTCCTCATCTTCCCGTACCATTCTCCTAAATTCTCATTCCCTTTGGAGATGGCCGCATCCTTAGAAACTGTTAGTCTTGTTGTCACTTGGGCTCTAGATATCTTCTTACTTAGAAAATCACTTACCAACGCAGACCAGCCCTGCTCGTTCTGATCCAGAGGGTCTAAGCCATTGCCAACAAATGTCTTGAACACCGCCAAATTTAGGACCGCCACAGATGAATTCCACCGAGATTCCCAAGCAAGATCCCTCAGAGCAACGATATGGAGTAAATTTTCCCCACGCTTGTTCACTAGATGAAAATCACAGCCAACTTTTTTGAAGTACTGAATTGTATCTTGAACTGCTTGTTCTATTTCCGCTTCGGATTTTCGGTGACGGGGATCTTGGTTCTCTTCATCCAGAATAACCTGAGCGGTTCTCGCCCACCAGAAAATGGGGGTCTCACCATTTTGATCCTGCGAGTTCACGTCAATGCCCATGGTGTGTAGTTTACTAAACCATTTGAACCAATTTGAATAGATAACGACAGCTTTATGAAGAGCCGTTACTCCATCAGGTGGTGTTGTAAGGGGGTCTGCACCGGCTTCTAGGAGAATCTCCCATGCCCATTCTCGCTGTCTTCTTGGAGTCAGGTGAAACGGCGTGAACCCTTTTTCGTTACGCTGATTGACGAGCTCGGGGCATTCACGCGCGAAAAAAGAAAGAGTCTCCCTTTTAACTGCCTCAGAATAGCCATCGATATCTCGTGCCATCAAACAATGAAGCACATTTTCCCCGTGCTTGTTTACGGCGCGAATATTGGCTCCCCTCTCATACATATCCATGCATCGCATCTTCTCTCCCGGTGCAGCTGCTCTAAGTCCCGACTTTCGATGCTTGCAAGCTGCAAGAAAGAGAGTGTTTCCTTGAGGGTCCTGTGATTCAAGGTCTATCCCTTCCCGCCCAAGAAAGTAATCGTAGACTTCAATATGATGCCCACTTTGTATCACGCTGTGGAGGATTGTCACTTCCCCTTCATCCTGCTGGTATTGATTCTTGATTTGAAGAGGGTCGGCACCATGCTCTAAAAGAACCTTGATGATCGGAATGTGTTTCTGAGGATCGGAAACCTCGTGAAACATCAATGCACGTTCAAGAGGGTAGAGTCGCGGGACTTCAGATGAGAATAATCCCTTCTTATGCGTGCCTGACTCCTTTTGTTTCTCGGGTGGGAGCACATTGCAGTCTTGTCCAGTCGCCAGAATTTCTTGAATTTCTCGCATATCTTCCCTCCCAATGGCGGCTAGAAGAGCCGCCGAACGATCGGGACGACTGGGTTTCCCCTCATGCTGAACCAGCAGATGACTTATTTCAGAGTCTGAAATTTTCATGTCCAAGGGTGCAATACCATTTTTATCTGTTTGGTTTGGGTCGGCGCCGTTTTTGAGCAAGGCTTGAATCATGTATTTGCTCATGAAAGATCCATTTTGTGAGCATTTTATGGCCACGTGCAATGGTGTTCTGCCATTGCTATCTTTCATATCCGGATTAGCACCTCTTGCTAGAAGATACTCCATTGCCCACTTTTGCCACCAATACTGGCCTGTGGCAAGGATATGGAGTATCCCTTTCTCCCATTTCTCCCATGAGTTAGGAGATTTGTAGGTAGCATTCACGTCAGCGCCAAATTTTTCCACTAACAAGCGGAGAATTGGCATGTTGGGCGCATCTTCGCGAGCAGCAATAGCCAGATATGGACTCACAATTTTGGACCCCTTGACCCAGCTAGGATCCTGAAGTGAATGTGCAATTATACTGAACAGGAAACTGTACCTCCCGTGAATTAACATGGAAAGCAAGTCCTCGGTCTGTTTCTGTGTGACCGGGCCAAAGTCAGCCCCTGCATTGATACTTTTCTTGAAAGCTCCGTAATCTCCTTTGTTGAGGGCAATCTCGTACTGGATTTTGAGGCGAAAGAAGGGAACATTCAGATCAAGTGCATGGTCACCTCTAAAGGAGGGTGAATGACCTAGAGCTTGTTCAAGAAGACATATTATCTCCATTAGTTGACCAGCTCGCTTATCCCCAGTATGTAGGAACAGAGGACCTTTCTGAGATGGCGTATTCGATTTAGGTCCACTTTTCAAGATATCTTCGAGTAGTTGACGTGATAGCACCAGTGGCGTCTGGCCTAAATGATCTTGAATGTCAAGGCTTGCGCCGGCTTCCATCAACACGGAAACGCTTTCTTGGGAGATAGCTTTGCAGGCAGCATGTAACGGGGTACATCCGTTCTCATCTTCTTGGTTCAAAAATGTATCAAGGTATTCTAACTCTCTATAATGGTCCAAAAGAAAGCCAACATTGTTCGCTTTGCACGCCGAGGCGGCGATGTGGAGAAGATTCTGTCTGCGATCCGTTTGGATGGTTGACGAGGCGCCCTTTGAGATGAGTTTCATGAGAAGGACTTCTTTTTTAGCTCCAGCAAGGTGTATTGGTAGTAAACCCTGGTTGTTTCTCATATGAATCGCCTTTCTGTCATCTAAATCGAGCAATACATCGAGTGCAGGGCTATCGGGCCCTTTGCCTGGAATGAGCCTCAAGTCCGTCAGGCACAGCACATGTAGTGGAGTGTTTCCGTGCTGATCTTGATATGTGCTAGAAACACCATCTCGCGAAAGCCATTTGATTATCTTGATCGGTATAGCGGCTTTCTTTGCCGACTTGGATCTCATCAGAATGTGCATCGTATTTTCACCCGCCGCATTAACCAGTAAAGGATCTGCTCCCAATTCTAGCAATTCGAAAAACACGCTTTCCGAAGGCTCCCCTTGGAGAAACAAATGCAACACGCCATTGAGGTCATTGTCGACAGCTTTGACGTTGGCTCCAAACTCCCGAATGAAGTTTGGAATCTGATCAGCGTTATGCCCATCTTGCATCCCGGCAACCAGATGGAGCAGAGGGATGCGACCTTCCACGTCACTTGCTCCCATATCTACGCCAGCATCCAAAAATAGCCTGAAAATCGCTTGTGCATCTTCCACCGAAAATGAAGACCAGTTCTTGGCAAGGATATGCATCGGCCCTTCGCCAAGGTTGTTTTTCCGCCGCGGGTCAGCACCCAGTTTCATCAGCTCCGCAATAAGCTCTGCATTGCTCCTATAACGAGGTGCCATCTTATGATGCAAGAGTATGTTGCCGTCCCTATCCTGTGCATTCCAATTCCTCACAAACGGCGATAGCCACGATGCGTTTGATTGTTCCGAAGGACCTCGAGATTCGAGAATCGAATGAAACGGAACTTTCCCGCTAACCTCGTGTGCTTCATCCAATTTCAACCCGCATTTGATCAGTGTCTCCATCAAGGGAATCGATTCTTTGGATGCTTTGATCATACATAGCGTGGTTTTTCCCTCATCATTCAGTATGGAAGGATCTGCGCCGTTTTCCAAGAGAAGTTCCACTACGGAAGAGAGGTTTTTTGAAGCACTTATGTGCAGAGACGTGTTCCCACGGAGACCCTGGGCATTGACATTGGCGCCTGCGTCAATCAACACTTGGCAGCATTCTCGTGCTCTTTGAAGTCTTGCCGCGTCTGCAGTGCCCCAGCTAGATTCGCCACCGGTTTGAAATCCAGCGATAGCATGGAGCGGAAAAGAGGGAGCATCATCAGGCGAATGAGGTACCATAACACAACCATGCGAACGTAGACCTACTGACCCTTTATTTGGGTCTGCGCCCCTTCTCAGGAGCAACTTCATGGTTTCCAAGTGGTGATCGAGACCAGCACGGAACAATGGGGTATCGGAAGATCTGCCATTGACATTCGCCAGGGGCGAAGTCAAAAGCAGCTTGACCCAATCTGTCTTTCCGTAGGATGCAGCGTGGTCAAGAGCATCATCTATCTCTCTCTCATTGGTCACGAGCAAGATAAGCTGTTCAGCGACCTCCATGGCATTGGAAAAGAAAGCCTGGGAAAATGCTGATTTGCGACGTTCGATCCTTCCATCACGAGGTTTCATATTTAGCTCGCTATTCGGTACCCAATTCACCAGTGCACCAGCCTGGACCAGAAGTAGTACAATCTGGACATGATTATGGCTGGCTGCGTAGTCAAGTGGACTTTTACCGTCTCGATTGATTGGGTCTGAACTTGCACCATTTTCAAGCAGAAACTTGACCACCTCGTAATGACCATGTTGTGCAGCGATGGCCAAGGCCGATGTGCCGTCCGACATGGTAGTATCGCAAGAGGAGCCTTGTTCCATGGCGAGTCCAATCATAGATACACTTCCAGACCATCCTGCAACGTGAATGAGACCGAATGATGACAGCGAATCATCCGAGGGTCTGCAAACTTCCTTCATCCAGACGGCTATGCAATCTCTTCTCTCTCGCATTCCTTCCAGCAGTAGGCTTTTGAAATCGCCTGTGATCTCAGAAAGCTCCCTGGCATGAAGAAACCAATTGGATGCGGCATAATCTAGGAAGGGCATGCACTTCGTAGCCGTTCTCCAGAGCTTATGTGGCATCACCTCAAGATTATCCAATCGTTTACCATTGAAGTGATCTCCTATCAAGGTGCGAAAACATATACTGCTCAAGTTTTCGTGTGCATTCGCCGCCGAGATGATGGGAAGAATGGCCTGACTTTCCAAGCTTCGATTCTTGTCATGAATAAACTCAATGAAGGACTCATGAATCAGTGAGAAGGTATCATCTGCCAAGAATTTCAATAGTGGCCCGAAAGAGGACTTGATTAGCTCCTGATCCTTGGCTTCGGGTCCAAACTGCACTTCGAGAGCACGAGTGATCTCGAGACGACGTAATCGACGCCCAGCATATATCACCAAGGTCAAAACAGTTCTGCGGTAATCTTGGAGGGGCAGCGGGCCAGAAGTGCCAGCCTTCAATATGTGGTCGTATAGACCATATAAGTTCGGACTTAGGCCGACCAGTGACTGGTGAATGGCTACTGGATCGCTTTCGCTTTTGAGGATGAGCAAGGCAAGATGGGTGTATATGAATGATCTCCCCATGAGTTTGTTTTTAATCAGAGATTTGATGTCCTTGGACACTTGGAATGACTCGAGTTGTCCATCAACAAATGCGCGAACATCTTGCAACACGTTCTCATTCACCATGCTGACATTGATGGTATTTTCGAGAACTGCGGCGTTTCGACTAGTAAGAATAAGTTTCATATTCCCAACGCAAGCTTCTTGCAAGCCGAGTATCTGTTGTAGGAAATCTGCGTCCTCGGGATCTTGGAAGGCGTCCACCCCATCGATAACGCAATAAATCTTTGGTAAGTCTTTGATTGTATCGACCAGAAGGTCCCATAATTTGTTGAGAGCTACGCTCCGTAGACTATTCCAGGACCATTTTTCGCGCCGGGAAGGACGGTGTTTCTCTTCTAGAACGTCGACCTTGCCCTTCAGATCCGAGCTCCACTCAAAAGCTTGGGCCAGCCAACTTATAAGGAGAGATGATGATAAGCTCTGTTGTGATTGATTTTGGGTTGAATATTTGAGAGGTTCTTGAGGACAGAAGTATTGAAATGAGGGAACATCTGGTTCAGCCCTCTGAAGGTGATCCACGATCGATGCAGCAAGGACACTTTTGCCGGTGCCTGACGGCCCATGGATGTTTAATACGCTTCTGGCGATATCATAATGCCAGGTCGTATATTCTGGCGCATCAAGAATCCATTCGGTGGTGTCAGGAGCACGGCAGCTCAGGCTACGTTGAAACTCCCCCGAAGTAGATAGCAAGTAAGTCGGTCCGATATCCGGTTTGGTGGCTTCGTTTGCGGGCAGACCAAATGGAGGCTTTAAACACCTCATTGTTCTCGATTATTTATGAGGGTTGCAAGTCGTGATCACGAGGAGTGCTTTTCCCGTTTTTTTTTCCCTCTCAATATTCGCGACCAGAGGCTGGTGAAATCGGCTTTATACGCTAGTCCCTCGTGGGGCGGAGACCTGTTTACCGGCTCATCCTGCTGGCTAAAAAAAGCCCTGGGGCCTAGGAGCCACAGGGGCCGGATGGGGGCTAGAGAGACCCCCATTCGGCCAAGCTTGGACTCAGGCGAACCCCTCATTGCTTGGTACGGTTTTTTTAGTTCATTTTATTTCTACGTAAAAGGGCTCTGAGGCGACGCCAGTGCAACAGACTCGCATACAAACCCCTAGAAACAGCGCATGTGACTTACTACAGGGAGAAATGAAACATTGCTATATCTATTGGCCCTCATAGGGCTCTATGAAGAAGGAGACTCCATTATAATGATGGTCAAATGAATTGAACGAAGATCTGAGAGAGCATTGTGGACTTTTTGGAGTTTTTTTAAAAGGGGGAAGAGGAGACACTATTGTACAGGCCTACCATATGAGCGGAGTGGAGCCGAAGATGACCCTCGTAGTTTAAGCTTTAAAGCCAAATCAAAGTTTTTGGGGAGAAGGGCGAGTAGCTTTTTAGTGCAAGGCTTGCTCATGAAAGCCATATCCCCCTCATCGGAGATCAACGAGAGCATGAGTATACCAGTGGGGCCGGTTGGAACATGCCAGGCAGATCTCCTCCACTGAAATATTGTTGGGACAGCTTGCAGTCGATCTACGCAAGACCCAGGACTGGACACCAGCACTACCATCAAGTAGGTAGATCGAATAACCTGATCTTGGTGGCGGGTAGTGACAGGGCCCTACCATGTCTCCATACGATTGGAAGCAAAGCACAAGGTGAGCAGCAAGACTCCATTTCTGGACTGGAAATGCAATGCATGGAATAGCCTATGTACGAGTTGAAAGCGACCGTCCAAAGCGCAGTCCAGACCAGTTCAACCCGGAGATCGACTGTCTGACTGGCCTCCAGTCCAAATCCCAAAAAACAAAAACCACTCTTTCATCCTCAGGCTATCATGACTTCCCACCCATTTTTCGGTATTCAACCCCTTTAAAAAAACCGATACCGACCCGGTTGCCGAATAAAAACATTTCAAGTTGAACACGAAGCATGATATCATCCGTACAAGTAGCCAGCCATACCTGGTGAGTACTTTCGTTCGATAGGGAGCCGTGGTTCGGGGTGCCGGATTCTCGCGAATATTGTGGTTTCAAACATCGGTGAAAACTCGACACTCCGTCATGACTCCGGAAGAAGGTTCTTTATCGACGTGTAGCAATTTATGAGCCGGGGTTGGGGTTCATCTGTGTGGTAGTAGGTCAGGTCAGCCTTTCTGTACTGTGCAGGGTGTGCGATCGTGTAGATTCAAAGTTGCGACAAGTAAAATCGGTGAAACAAATGGGGTTCATCGGAAAATGGTTGGAAGAATAGAAATGCGGCGGTAGTGTAGTTGATGGATGAAAAATCAGTTGGTATGTACCTTGCGCTTGCCACCGGTCATGGTAACGTTCACGAAACGGCGGGTGTATTGGATGCGCTTGTAGGCGCGGCCCTTGGGCTTCTTAGCCTTCTCCTGGGGCTCGACCTGTATTCCGAATCACAGTTAGGAGGCGTTCAATAGACAAATCGCCGTTTCCTCAGCGATCACGACACACTGCGTGCTCGAATCTCGACCGGGGTGGCGACCAGAGGTTCGACGGGAGCACTTGCCTTAGGAGTGGCCGACTTGACCTTACCCGCACGGGCGAGAGAGCCGTGAACCTTACCCATGTTGGATGATTTTTGGCGATGGACGAAATGGGAGTTGCGTGATGTTGAAGGGGGAGGGAACGAGACGACGACGATAGTGCAAAATTGGGAGTGTGTCCTGTGTGGGGCTCTTAGCGAGCCCCCGTTCGGCAGCGGATTTAGTGGTTTCTCCGGCCGAGTCCAACATGGCCGAGTCAGGGGCTGAGTCATCCACTAGGCCTAATTCGGTGCCCGGCGACTAGCATGGGCAACCAATCAAGTATTCAGTATAACAGGTGTATGCGGTACTGTATATCGGGACCCGTACTATTGCCTGATAGGTATAAGACTGCACACAGGTTGAAGGCAGGTAATTGGAAATTTCAAGAAGATAACATATTGGACCCGTCGAGATGAGGCCTAAGCACTGAATACTCGATATGCAACTCCATAACACCAGCGCAATAGATGTACATTCCCAAAAAAAAAAAAATAGCCACAGCGCCCTCGGAAGCACCAGAGATGCAAACTATACAGTTATAGTCTTCTTTTTAAAAATGGATTAACCCATATTTCTCATTTTGCATTGGCTGCCGCCTCTTCGCGTTCCCGCTTTCTCGCCAAGTACCGCTCCTTAGCGCTCGAAACATCGGTGGCGGTCTTTCGGCTCTTGCTCTTCTCCGCAATCTCTTGTTGACGGGCCGCCTCGGCCTCTGCATCTTGGCGTGCCTGTGCCTCGAGCTGGGATGCGATCATCTCAGTCTGGCGGGCCCGCTGGGCGGCACGACCAGTCTGGTAGCCAGCACCACCGCTGGGTCGTGGTGCAGAGGCCTGTGCGGCCGATTTGGGCAGGACAGAAGGCGTTGTCCTCGGTTTTGGTGCCACATTCAATCCGGCAGTCAGGAGTTGTCGCTTATCAACCACCTGGCCCTCCTCATTGACGACAATACGAGCACCTTGGGCATTGAGATCGGCTGCCTTCTGGGCGTCGGTCTGGTCTTCGCTTGGCTGGGTGGTATCCTCGGACACCTCGCCAGCCTTGACTCGGCGCGCAGCCTCTTCGGCAGCCTTGACTACTTCGTTGTGACGAGCCTCGTCGCGTGACAGCACATCTCGATAGAAACCGACCATACCGGCGCCGCCATTCTGTTTCCGCCGCTCCTCCTCTTCTTTCTCCCGGCGTGCCTCCTCTTCCTCGAGCTTTCGCATCTCCTCTTGTTGGGCTTTGTATGCGCCTGTAACAAAGCTCTCTTTATCGGCAAATTCGTCGCCTTCTTCTTCCCGCTCCCTGGCTAATTGGCGGTCTCGCGCCCGCAGCTGATCGCGTTTCCGGATGTCTGCGCTGCGCAGCAAATTTGTCATGTATTTTGGTCCTTCGCTCTTGTTCGCTGCCGCAGCCTTGTCGGGCTTTGCATGCAGATTATCGTAAACCGCATCATAAGAGTAGATAGACGGGTCAAGCTCTTCGGCTTCTTTAGCATGTTTTTTGCTGCTGTGTAGTGCGGAGAGATTGGTGAATTTTTGGCCGGGCCCGGCTGGATTCTTTGAATGGGCTTGGTTCAATCCGAACTGCACTTCGCCCCATCGCTCGTTTTCCCTTTCTTCATCTTCTTCCTCATCATTGGCGAAGATAGATTTCTTGTTCAATGGCTTCGCATTCGGTTTTCCTGGCTTGCCGCTGAATCCCATCTGCATCTTTCGTTTTGGTGGTGATTCCGAGCTCAATTTTGATTTTGGAGCCGGCACTTCAAGACCACCGATTGTGGAGACTTCAACAGCGCCATCTTTTTGTTGGTCTTCATCTCCTGAGTCGTCGTCGAAAATGTTCTTCTTGCGCTTCTGTCCGAAGGAAATGCTCGGCTTCGGAGCCGAGTTCTTGTTCGGCAGATTTAACCCGGAGGTAAATTGGGGCGTCATTTTGGGTTTCTTGATAGTGCTAAACTGTGTGGGGAAATTTGTTTCTACATGCGCAATAAGAGAAAGGGGCAAGGAAGCAAGGTCGTGATGATTGCGGCCAGGCGTGAGTGACGTCGAAAGCGAAAAGCCGCGATAGAGCGATAAAGCAGTGGCTGGCTATCAGTCATGTGATGAGGAGCTTTGTATGGAGCTAACTATCATTTGCGCGTCGGTAATGCATACATTTCGTCTTGTAAATTGAAACCACCTATCAGACAGTAACAGTACCATATTAAATTATTATTAATTCTTGATGATAACGGGCCAAAAGTCATGTCGCTTGAAATTTGAATAGGACTTGCCACAGCCATATATGTATCTTATCAATCACGTGCTCGGTCCAAACAATGGCAAGTGGCCGACGTTCCCCGTCTGTTCCCCCCCATACCTATTTTATACCTCCACAATTATCAGCCGCCACAATGTCATACTACTTCACCATTCTCTCCCCAACAGATACGCCGATATTCAACATCGCGTTCGGCACGTCGAAAGGAGGCGGCGATGGCATTGCGCGCTTCCGCTTTCCCGACACCGCGCAGTATATGAATCAGTTCATCATCCACTCAAGTCTGGACATCGTCGAAGAAGCCCAGTGGACGAATGGCGGAATGTATGTTTCAATCTCCACTTCCCGAACTCATACAAACTCGGCGGGTTTTTGAAATCGCACCACCTCTCAGCTCCAGACTTACAATTTGCTCCTACAGGTACCTCAAGCATATCGATACCTATCCACCTGCCGCAGCTTATATATCCGCCTTTCTCACTCCAAGCGGTGCCCGTTTTCTGCTCCTTCACCAACCTCCCCAGCACCCTTCATCCAACAGCAATACTGGTCTCGGATCATCGTCGCTACTTGGCTCAGGCGGGTCCTCCGGGCGTGGTTCATCAAGCGCCATTGCGTCAAATCCCACTTCTCCGCAAACCGAAGAGGCTGTGCGTCAGTTTATGAATGAAATATATGAGAGCTATGTCAAAACAGCGATGAGCCCATTCTACAAGCAAGGAATGGAGATCCGAAGCCCCGTTTTCCGGGCGCGGGTGACTGCTGCAGGGAAGAAGTGGCTCTAGCATGCTTAATACCTGTTAAGTGTGGGATGGAAAGAATTTCATGTTGCTCTGTTTTGCAGCGAGGCGTTTTTGAGGGCTTGCATTATGTTTAGAGAATGGGGCATTTTTGATTGCCTGTCTGATGCGGTTTCTCTACTGAAAGTGGAATCAACAGTTTCGAAGCATTGTACTTTTACTATGTCGGTCTGGTTATTAACTTAATTATGAGTAACAACCAGGCATTAGAAGTTAGTATGCTGTGAAAGATACCCGAATGATACAAATGTACCGTGTATGGAACAGCCAATATGCTGCAAACTATGCCCAATAGCCCACTTTTGACTCTCAACAAACGTAAGAAAAGAAGCAGAATCAACATTGCTGTCACCGAAATTCCCAGACCCGCTAAATCCGCCAAACAAGAAGAAGAAAAAACAAACATGAACATGAGCCGGACAGCCCAAAACCGTGGCCGAGGTGTCATCGAGTTCAAAACGATTTCTCCGGTAAGTCCCATATCGACGGAATAAACATCCCGGTTCCCGAAACCCAGAAGAATGAACGCCAACCCAATTCCTTCCATTATCAACAATAAAAAGCGAGTTCGCTCAAAACGGGAAAAAAAACAGAGAACTTTCAACCAGAGCGTGGCCTTTTCAGACCGTCATTTGAGGTGCCAGCTTTTTCATGGTGATATTTTTGAAGCTCTCAACGGCGTGCACCACGTCTTCAAGCTTTGCAACGGCGCCGAAGATGCCACCTTCCATTTTTACAGACTCAATAGTGCCCGTATGCAGTGCTGGTTCACTGGCTGCTGTGCCGTCTTCCAGAATGACACAATCGAATCCACGGTCATTTGCTTCGCGCATTGTGCTCGAAACACAGACATCTGTGGTGACTCCGGCAATAATCAGATTCTTTACGCCTTTATTTCGCAAAATGAGCTCAAAGTCGGTATGTGCGAAGGCTCCTCTTCCGGGTTTGTCGATGACAGGCTCGCCAGGGAGAGGATAGAGCTCGTCAACAGTGTCGTGTCCCATTTCACCACGAATCAGGAGGCGGCCCATGGGCCCAGGAGAGCCTATGCCCAGGCCCGTGGCATTGTTGCGGGAACGGTAGGATTCTCGGCTGGACAGGGTGGACAGATCTGGCCGGTGACCTGGACAGAGTTCAGTAACCTTGGCAAGCCAGGTTATTTGCTTCGTGCGAGCAGAATAAACTTACCTTCGCGAGTGTGATATACGGGGAATCCTGCTGTTCGGAATATGTGAAGTAGATGCTGCAACTTGGGTATCAGAGCCTGCGCTGCCGAGATATCATAGCCCTGGTACTGGAGATATCCCCCGGGTGAACAGACTAGCAAAGAAATTAGTCGCGTGTCTCAGGAAATTAAGAGATGGGCCAAGAATCAAGAGAAACAAGGCCAGACGTACAATCTTTTTGCATGTCGATTATCACGAGCGCAGTTGTATAGGGAGTGAAAGTTGCATCGTGAGGCCAGTCATATGGTAGGGCCGGCAATTGTCCCTTGCGAACTTTATGATGCGGCACCTGTCGGGGCTTTTCGATAATGGGACCGTGATTATGGGTCGGATTGAGCACAGTCAAGGTCCAGATTCCGGGGGAACCGGCTGCGACAAGCATGAACGGGCAATCCATCAGCCGCGATGTCCGCCTGCGCTTTCGCGTCTCCTCCGTGAGCCCATTCCGTGGGCGGTAGTGGCCACCACGGTCGCATCGTAGCCACACTTTGGCAGTACGGCCAGGTTTCTTCTCAGTTGGCGTACTTGACGATTTGACGACCACATTGTAGCCGTGGGCCTTGCCGTGATTCTGGACCGCGGCGAGCAGAGACGACCTAGAACGGAAGCTTGGTCAGTACGCGATTTGGCCCACTTTATGCCGACGGTTGTGATACTGACTTATCAGGATATGTGCCTTCCGGAGGGGGAATCAATTGCATGGCAATGTCTGGAATGTCGTCCTGAAGGTCGCTCGGCGCGTCGAGATTCAGATCGGTGGAGTCCGCCATGTTGGACGTGGGTGGTTGAACCACGATCTCAGAGGGCTATTAATCTGTCCAAACCGGCGTGTAAGTACGGCGATCACATCATCGTCATCATCAATCGTCGCACACCAGTTCCAGCGGGACCTTGTACTGCGTGGAGAAGTGGTAGGAACCAGAGGGGGTGAGGGTAAACAAGTGCGTGGAAGCAATCTTGATGATCAGCCTCCGATCCAAGGGCTACCGTGCGTGGGCATAGCAACCCCAGTTCAGTGGAGGGATGGGGGACGAACTTGCGGAGAGCTTCGGGCCACAACAAACCAACGAGCGAAGCACAACCGGGGACGACACGACCGGCACCTTGTGCACGCCACCGTGTTAGACACCAAAAATCCAGGAAGTCCCTCGAAATGAATACAGAGAGGATCGCGCGGCTGATTTCCTCTAAAAGTCTCACTTGCTCTTTGGGGAATAGTGGAGGATTTGGGGCCTGAGGCAGTCAATATCGGGAGGCGGTGAGGCGGGCAGTAAATCAGGCAAGTCTTCAGGCACCAAGCCAGGCCACAAGGCACCCACACGGGCCCATTGATCGCTTTGATCGGGTTTAGCGCAAGTCGGCCCCCCTGACGACCGAAACATCAACACTCAGCACCCGATCTAATCATTAATCCCGCTTTGCGACAACAACCACCCACCTTCCACCGTGAGAGGTCCGTCTCCCAACAAAGAAAGAAAGGTAAGTCTGGTCGTTGCCGCTTCTTTTCGGCTCGATCTATATTCCTCTCACTCTCTCGGTGGAGGGTGAACAGCGGCACCGCCAACCCATCAACAAACCCGACCATCTGCGTCACCGCCTCGCCGAGGGGCTCTTATCAACAGCCGTGCGTTGTTGACTTGCGCCACCCACCACCACATGAGCCTAGGAAACCGATCTCGAGAGCTGTCGAAGGCTTTCCAATCGTGATCGACGGCGTTTTGCGACCAGGAGTGTTTTTTTGACCTAATTTGGTAACTCTGGTTCGGCGGATCTCTTCTCTGTGGCCCGTCTCTGTGGCCCGTCGCCCGGTGCCCAACACGGGAAGATGCCAGCCGCCGACGATTCGCCTACTGGGCAGAAGCACAGCAGCAGCTCGTACAGAGACGAGCTGGCACACTACAAAGCGCAGTATGAGCAGCTGGAGGCGGAACTAGCCGACTTCCAGGTCTCCAGCCGGGAGCTAGAGGCGGAGCTAGAGAAGGACATTGAGGCTTCAGAGAAGCGAGAGCGACAGCTGAAAGAGAAGGTCGATACTCTACGATATGAGGTGGAGGAGTGGAAGGTATGATGCCCATACTATATTGCCTCATGCGCATGCATTTATCAAATCCCGGAGTGCGGCGGAAGCTCATGCTATCGGTCAGACCAAATACAAGCAGTCGAAAACAGAAGCAAACAACGCACAAAATGCCCTGCAAAAGGAGGTGACGTCTCTACGCGATATAAGTCGAAACCTCCAACTAAAGCTACGCGATATCGAAGTTGCCAACGATGATTTTGAGCGGCAAGCCCGGAACACCACTTCGTCCCTGGAGGATATGGAATCCAAGTATAACATCGCCATCGAGCGCGGAGTGTTGCTGGAGGAGGAGGTCAAGAATGGTGAACAGGAACGTGAAACCCTTCGGATTGAGAACCAGCGTCTGCGGGACGAGCTGTCGGATCTCAAGGTCGAAGCCGATATTGTTCAGGAGAGACTGAGGAACACGGAAGGACATGGGTATCGTCGTCGCAAGCCTACTCCCTTGTATCGCAGCCCGTCCACTCCACAGACATTGGAGATCTTTGACCGAAGCTCCCCGGGTACTGCGACGTCTTCTCCTGTTTTCGCGACTCCCCCGGCCAAGGCATCACTCGTTTCCGTGACCGCAACCCCTCCATCTCCACCCATTTCTGAGTCCTCTGCCAACTTGCGCAGATCGATCAACGCGACTCCCACATTCCCTCGATCAAGAGCAGCGGGTGCCGAACCGGTGAATTCTCGCACCTTACACAATGCCAGAAGCCAACCGTCGCGCCCTGCTCACTCTCGCAACTCTTCCTTTGCCTACAGCACTACCTCTATTTCCTCCCGAAACAGCCTCTCCAGGCCGATTGCTCCGCGTTCGTCTGGTCTCCCCAAGTCAGGATCCTTGTATCAGATCCGTGGTTTGATTGGCAAGATGCAGAAATTGGAGGAAAGAGTTCAATCCGCCAAGTCACGACTACCGGCGCCGTCCGATACCTCATCTCGTGGATCCCCCCACTCCCGAAACGGGTCAGTAGCAGGCGATAGCCCCGTCCCGTCAACCGTCACTGTTCGAAGGAGCTCTCGCAAACGTTTGAGTGGGAGCAGCTTTGGATCCTCTGTTCGAGACAGCGAGGGAACCCCTTCGTATTTGCCCCAGAGTCGGCAGTCCTTTGGGACTCGTGATAGCCGCCCTAGCAGCCGAACGAGTTTCTCCAGCCGCAGTTCATTCAGCCAGAGCGTCCATTCCGGGGTGCCGATTGGCCGACCTGAAAGTCGATCGAGTCGACCCGGCGCCAAAACCCCCTAGGCCACTACTCGACCAACCCGACCACGGAGAGCCGGCGTCCGCGGTCGTCTCTCAGCAACCATGCAGGGCAGACCCCATCGATTGGGAGCATGTCTCATATTGAAGAAGACCTGGATCCGGAATTTTCCACACCCACGTCTCGCATCCCACAAGAACTGCGGCGACCCTCTTTCTCCGCAACGCCAACAGGGATCAAGAAGCGTACCACCAGTGGCGTATCAGCCATTCCCACACCCCGCGGTTTTAAGACAAGCATTGGGCCCGGGAGTAAGCCATCGTTGACTGAACAGAAGCAACGCGATCTCGGCGAGACCTTCTAAACTTCTTAAGTCTCTGTCCGTGTCCCTTTCCTTCCCCGACATTGCGCTACTGCTATAAGAGGGCTATAAGAGGGGGAGAATGGGATCGGGCATTGGATCCCACGAATGGCCCAGAGCCCTGGCGTATGTTCTACTCCATTGGAAGTTTCATTCACTTCTCGGATACCAATTACCAATTTTCGGAAGCCTCCCGTCCCCCCGTTTGTCTGGGCGTGTATGAGCCTTTGCATTCAACGTTATTTTGTTACGCAATCTTACAGTTAGCTGCCTGGATGGTGGCCCTCGAGACTAGAGTGAGGATGCTGCTCCCTTTCCCCCCCCCCGTGAATTTGCGTCACTTCTGTACAGCCCGTTATGATTATTCATTTTATTACTACTCCTCCTTTTTGGCGCGGATTCGGCGGTTTTTTGGGTCTCGCTGTCTCGTTTTCTTCGCTGTCTGCTTCCTCTCTTCCCATGAGCTCTTGCCAGCAACGGAAGCGAGAGTCTGGACAGATCTTCTTTTGATTGTTGATTGTTGCGGATTTGGATGGATTGTATGTATCTAGTCCCAGATAGACTCTGGGGTGTCCTAAGCTGTGTCTCAGCATCCTGTGTTTCGTTCTCCGACGTCGCGAGGCGTTTGACAATACCCACGATGTTATGTGTCTTAAGTTGTGCACAGGGAACTCCAGTTCCACGGATTTTTCCACCCCCTCCTCCCCTGTTCCGTCCCCGGTACCTTTCCCCACCGTAGTGCTCTGGATGTCCTTGCATGCTTCCTTGGAGGTACCTAGATAGTGTTGTGGAGACCTGGGCGTGCTGGGAGATACGAGGAAACCCTGGATATCCAATATATATAGAGAGAGAGAGAGAGAGAGAGAGAGAGAGAATCATCCCTCTAGAAACCTCCCCGGTGTATCGGTGTACCAGATTCTATAATGGATCCCGGATAGAGCCGTGTTCGAACTACATGCTGTGGGGGGTATGGGGTATGGGTGCCTCTCTGGATATTCCGAGGTTCGATCTTGAATCAATGGGTTCGAATGGTTAGACTAGTCAAGATCAACCGATATAGTGGTCCGCTACCCCAGTGAGGGGCCACGACTGCCTGGCCCAATATAAAATAAGCTTCAATTGCATTGATGTACTAGTCCCGACAATGCTGCCATAGTGATTGAGTTCCACATGCTTATATACATATTATATATATTTGGTGAGAGATCTCCCAACTTGACTTGAGTATTACCTTGTTTTCAAGGATCCACGATCTAGGTCATCCTATCTACGTATTCTTGATTGGTCCCCTGTGCTCTATTCTCATATATGAAGGTGGAAGAGTGCAGGACTGTCATTGCTCCTTGTCATTCGTGGCCACTAGGAAAGGCGGGCGACGAAGTTTGGGACGGAGGGCGTAGACCCAGTCTCGGCATGATCGTCCATCCCTAATTAAGTGGAAATTGTCGGGGCCAAAAGAAAAGAGAGAAAAAAAAAAAGATAAAAAAAAAGGAAGAAGAACCTTAACCCCCTCCCCCCTCCCCCAAACAAAAATTGCGGAGAATCTCAACGATTTCTCTAGCGGGCAACCGGGAGGGCCCTGCACGTCATTGTTCGCGGTCGGTATTCGATAGTTCCAATGTAAGTGGATGGGGGAGATGAAATTGGCACTCCAGTGACGAGCAGGCTTTTTTCCCCCATGATGCTTTGACACATATGGAGGACGATGGAAAGGACCTACAACTGTGGCCTACAACTATTCTCTATCGGCATGGCATTCGGGATGTATATATACTTAGTTCTGATGGGTTAATCTATCGGGGTTCCGAATTGTTCAGGATCGCCCGGGATAGGTAGCCCGATCGCAATTCCGGAACAAGTCGACTGACAAGAAAAGGAAACAAAAAAGGTTATTAGGAAACCCCCCCCCCCCCAAAAAGGAAAGAAAGAGTCACCGACTACTACGGTACTTCGTACTCGCTGGCCAAGCAACCCGTCGGACTGGTGGGGCAGGATTCATCCCTGTTGACAGCCGGAGCGGGCTTGCTGGGCTTGCTGAGGCTGGCGGGCACCAGGTCCCCGATAGTTCTGATTAGCTCGAGGACGGGAAGGGGAGAAGCAGATGGAAGGACATGAATGGTGTGAAGTATCACAGATCATAGGATAATAGGATAATCGGATGATACCATAAATACCAGAATATTATGAGAACGCCCATCCATCAGACTCGTAGTTGACTACCCTTCGGTATGGATTATGTAGGTATCTGGTTATCAGGCTCTCAGGTTCCCTGGCCTCTGAGTGGTCGCTGGAAGGGGCAAAGGCGGATGATCCCATTGGGCGCCAGCCCCAATGGCGCGAAATGGTGGGACGAAGAGGCCAGTGGAACCGGACGGCCCAACAATCGGGGAGTTGGGGAAGTTGACCGCAGTTGAGCTTTTGGGGGCCTCCAGCGGTGCTTCGATCAGCGTCTGCCGGCCAGGGCCAAGGTCCTTCCCGACGGTGTCAGCGTCCCCCCGGTCCATTTCTCGTGTTTTCTCTCGGAGACAGTCCTAGGCCAAAGTCGGAACGTGAATGTATCTCGAGCTTGCTCCTCGTCTGGTGTATATGCGCTGTAAGCTCGGAAATGCTGCTGTAGGGGCTCCCTATGCGCTCTGTAGGGATTCTGTATGCTCCTGACGATTCTCTTCGCTCGAGACGCCTCGAACAATCACGTCTTGCCGGTCTCTCGATCGCGCGGCCCTTCTGCCGGCTTCTCTGGGCCTCTCTGCCCATCTGTTTTTCCCTGCAGTTGGGGAACGGGACTCCACTTCGGCGGGCGCTCGAGTGGGCTCTTCAGCGGTCTGCGGGACGGTTGATTGGCTATGAAACTGGGTGGGACGTCAAGTGGAAATCATCCTCAGCATTTTTTTTTTGCGGACATCGAAAGGAATCGCCCAAACAGGAAGGGTGAATAGGGCCGTGGCCGTCGAGAATTGTTGTAGTTGAGTATTTGACGGTCCACTCTCTCGTCTGCGCTCCGGAACCGACTTTCTGTCTCCTTCATTCTCCTCTTCTTCTCCTCACATCCCCCGACCTCTTTTTTCCTTTTTCCCACGTAATCTTCACTTCTTGTTAATTCGGGTTTCTGGTGGTCCTCCCGGTACGTGTGTTTCTGACAATGCAACCCTCTTCCCCATTCTGGCAATCATTCTGGTCACTCCGGCCACTCTGGCCGGTCCCTTTCGGGCCCCAGCCAAGGCATACGACGGTGCGATTCGGTTCCTGAGGGGCTCGGGGCTTCGGGGGCCGCGTTCCTGGCCTGGAGAGTCGCCGTTTGCGACCATCGGCCCAATCCAGACGCCAAATCCCCCCGAGCTGGCCGCATCGGGCGAATTGTCGATCGTCAGCGATACAAGCCCCGCTGCCTGCTGCAGGACGGCCGGCGATGCTGCTTTACCAATTGATGACACCGGGTCTCCCGAATCTGTCAGGTTCCGAATTTCCCAGCTGACTCCGAATGGCTTCTCCTGCAGATTCTCTCTTCTTCTCCCGTTACCTCCGCAACCCGTGACGAAACCACCCCAACTTCCCAACCTCCCGGGGAAAAAAAAAACTTCCTCTTCGCCACAACCCGAGGGAGCATCCTGTACATTATTCTCTATCTTCTACTCCAGCTGCGCTGTTTAATTCTTTCACTCCGGCATTCCGGGATCTCTCCCTCCCCCCCCCCTCTCTCTCCGACCCCCACCTTCTCAGCGATTACGCCCGGCGCATGGGATTTTCTTGATCCGCGTGTGTCTGATTGATTGCTGCATCACATCCACATCATGGGCGTCCCTAGCACCAGTGCGCCTGTCAATGGCCACGGCAGCTCAAATGCCGCCAAATACGACATTCCCTCACATTTCATCGGTGGCAACCGACTTGACCTAGCTCCCCCCAGCAGTGTCAAGGATTTTGTCGCCAACCATGGCGGTCACTCCGTTATCACTTCGGTAAGCCCTTCATCGAATGGCCTTCCCTGGCCCCCTCTGCAACCCCCTTTACCCGAAGCAAGCCTGGAAAGCAAACACAGGAAACGGCAAATCAAGAAAAAAAAAGAGCACAACGATCTCGTTGAAGAGGTCCAGGCTGCGAGGTTCTGGAGGGGGCAAGTTGCGGCGACAGAGAGCAAAAATCAACTGACATGGATCCTTCTCCCCCAATTATAGGTCCTGATTGCCAACAACGGTATCGCCGCCGTGAAGGAGATTCGATCGGTCCGGAAATGGGCCTACGAGACGTTTGGCAATGAGCGCGCCATCCAGTTCACCGTGATGGCCACCCCGGAGGATCTGCGCGCCAATGCCGACTACATTCGCATGGCCGATCAATACGTCGAAGTCCCCGGTGGAACTAATAATAATAACTATGCCAACGTCGAGCTGATCGTCGACGTGGCGGAGCGTATGGACGTCCACGCCGTGTGGGCTGGTTGGGGTCACGCCTCCGAGAACCCTCGGCTACCCGAGTCATTGGCTGCGTCGCCGAAGAAGATCATTTTCATCGGTCCCCCCGCCTCGGCGATGCGCTCGCTGGGTGACAAGATTTCTTCCACCATTGTCGCCCAGCATGCCGGGGTGCCCTGTATCCCCTGGTCCGGTACCGGTGTCGACGATGTCCTGATCGACGACAAGGGCATTGTCACCGTGGAGGATGAGGTCTACAACCGTGGTTGCACCCATTCGCCCGCCGAGGGTCTCGTCAAGGCCAAGGAGATCGGCTTCCCCGTCATGATCAAGGCCTCCGAGGGTGGTGGTGGCAAGGGTATCCGTAAGGTCGAGCGCGAGGAGGACTTTGAATCCCTCTACAATGCCGCCGCCAACGAGATCCCCGGTTCGCCCATTTTCATTATGAAGCTGGCTGGCAATGCCCGCCATCTGGAGGTGCAGCTGCTGGCTGATCAGTACGGTAACAACATCTCCCTCTTCGGCCGTGATTGTTCTGTCCAGCGTCGTCACCAGAAGATCATTGAGGAGGCTCCCGTCACCATCGCCAAGCCCATCACCTTCCAGGCCATGGAGAAGGCGGCCGTCAGCCTGGGTCGTCTGGTCGGTTACGTGTCCGCGGGTACCGTCGAATACCTGTACTCCCACGCCGATGACAAGTTCTACTTCCTCGAGCTGAACCCCCGTCTTCAGGTGGAGCACCCGACCACCGAGATGGTGTCCGGTGTGAACTTGCCCGCTGCTCAGCTTCAGATTGCCATGGGTATCCCCTTGCACCAGATCCGTGACATTCGTCTGCTCTACGGTGTCGACCCCAACACCACCTCGGAAATTGACTTTGACTTCTCCAGCGAGGAGAGCTTCAAGATCCAGCGTCGTCCCCAGCCCAAGGGTCACACTACCGCCTGCCGTATCACGTCCGAGGACCCCGGCGAGGGCTTCAAGCCATCCAGCGGTACTATGCACGAGCTGAACTTCCGTAGTTCGTCCAATGTCTGGGGTTACTTCTCCGTCGGTACTGCCGGTGGTATTCACAGTTTCTCTGACTCCCAGTTCGGTCACATTTTCGCCTACGGTGAGAACCGTTCTGCCTCGCGAAAGCACATGGTTGTCGCCTTGAAGGAGCTGAGCATTCGTGGTGACTTCCGGACCACCGTCGAGTACCTGATCAAGCTGCTCGAAACTCCGGCTTTCGAGGACAACACCATCACCACTGGCTGGTTGGATCAGCTGATCTCCAACAAGCTGACCGCCGAGCGCCCTGACCCGATTGTCGCCGTCATCTGTGGTGCCGTCACCAAGGCCCATCTCTCTAGCGAGGAGGGTGTTGAGGAGTACCGCAAGGGCCTGGAGAAGGGTCAAGTCCCCTCCAAGGATATTTTGAAGACCGTCTTCCCGGTGGACTTCATCTACGAGGGCTCTCGTTACAAGTTCACCGCCACTCGTGCTAGTCTGGACAGCTACCACCTGTTCATCAACGGCTCCAAGTGCTCCGTCGGCGTCCGTGCTCTGGCGGACGGTGGTCTGCTGGTTCTTCTCAATGGTCGCAGCCACAACGTCTACTGGAAGGAGGAGCCTGCTGCCACTCGTCTGAGTGTGGATGGTAAGACTTGCCTTCTTGAACAGGAGAACGACCCCACTCAGCTGCGCTCTCCCTCCCCCGGTAAGCTGGTCAAGTTCACCGTCGAGAACGGCGAACATGTCCGTGCCGGCCAGGCCTACGCTGAGGTTGAGGTCATGAAGATGTACATGCCTCTTATCGCCCAGGAAGACGGTATCGTTCAGCTCATCAAGCAGCCCGGCGCTACCCTTGAGGCGGGTGACATCCTTGGTATCCTTGCTCTGGATGACCCGTCGCGTGTCAAGCATGCCCACCCCTTCACTGGCCAGCTGCCCGAAATTGGCGCTCCCGTCGTCGTCGGTAACAAGCCCCCGCAGCGCTTCTTCTTGCTTCACAGCATTCTGGAGAACATTCTCCGTGGTTTCGACAACCAGGTTATCATGGGTGCTACCCTGAAGGAGCTGGTTGAGGTCCTCCGGAACCCCGATCTCCCCTACGGTGAATGGAACGCCCAGTCCTCAGCGCTGCACTCGCGTATGCCCCAGAAGCTGGATTCTCTGCTGCAGAACGTGGTTGACAAGGCCAAGACTCGCAAGGCTGAGTTCCCTGCCAAGCAGCTCCAGAAGACCATTGTTCGCTTCATCGAAGAGAATGTCAACCCCGCCGATGCTGAGATCCTCAAGACCACTCTCTCGCCGCTGGTTCAGGTCATCAACAAGTACCTGGATGGCCTGAAGGTCAACGAGTACAACGTCTTCATCGGTCTGTTGGAGCAGTACTACGAAGTCGAGAAGCTCTTCAGCACTGGCATCAAGCGTGATGAGGATGTCATACTGAAGCTCCGTGAGGAGAACAAGGAGGATGTTTCTGGCGTTGTGCACACCGTTCTCTCCCACAGCCGTATCGGCTCCAAGAACAACCTGGTTCTGGCCATCCTGGACATGTATCGCCCCAACCAGCCCAACGTTGAGAACGTCGGCAAGTACTTCAAGCCTGTCCTGAAGAAATTGACTGAGCTGGAGGCCCGCGCCGCCGCCAAGGTCACTCTCAAGGCCCGTGAGGTTCTCATTCAGTGTGCCCTGCCCTCTCTGGATGAGCGTCTATCCCAGATGGAGCACATCCTGCGCTCTTCGGTCATCGAATCCCGCTACGGTGAGACTGGCTGGGAGCACCGTGAACCCGACTTCGGTGTCTTGAAGGAGGTCGTTGATTCCAAGTTCACTGTATTCGACGTGCTGCCTCGCTTCTTCATCCACCAGGACCCCTGGGTTACTCTCGCTGCGCTGGAGGTCTATGTCCGTCGTGCCTACCGTGCCTACACTCTCAAGGGCATTGACTACACTGCCTCCGCCGAGACGCCCTTCCTGTCGTGGGACTTCACCCTCGGCAAGTTGGGCCAGCCTGAATTCGGCTCTGTCTCCTCGACTCACCCCTCGACCCCGAGCACCCCGACTGCCGAGACCAACCCCTACAAGCGGATCAACTCGATCAGCGACATGTCCTACTTGGTCAACGACCCGGCTAGCGACCCCATTCGCAAGGGTGTGATCATCCCCATCCAGTACCTGGAGGACGCCGAGGAGCACCTGTCTCGTGCTCTGGAGGCCTTCCCCCGTGCTGGCTCTAAGGCTAAGGGCGCCGGTGATGGCCTGATTGCCAATTTGGAGGGCAAGCGTCGTCCTGCCGTCAAGACCGAGAGCGAGGAGCTTACTGGCGTCCTGAACATCGCCATCCGTGATATTGAGGACCAGGATGACTCCCAGATCGTCGGCCAGATGCAGAAGCTGCTCATTGACGCTCGTGAGGAGTTGCAAGCTCGCCGCATCCGTCGTGTCACTTTCATCTGCGGTAAGAACGGTGTCTACCCCGGCTACTTCACCTTCCGTGGCCCCGCCTACGAGGAGGATGAGAGTATCCGTCACAGCGAGCCCGCTCTGGCTTTCCAGCTTGAGCTGGGACGCCTGTCCAAGTTTAAGATCAACCCGGTCTTCACCGAGAACCGCAACATCCACGTCTACGAGGCGATTGGCAAGGGCCCCGAAAATGACAAGGCCGTTGACAAGCGTTACTTCGTTCGCGCGGTGGTGCGCCCCGGCCGTCTCCGTGATGATATTCCTACCGCCGAGTACCTGATTTCGGAGGCTGACCGCTTGATGAACGATATTCTGGATGCCCTGGAGATTATCGGCAACAACAACTCCGATCTCAACCACATCTTCATCAACTTCTCCCCCGTCTTCAACCTGCAGCCCATCGATGTCGAGCAGGCCCTCGCCGGCTTCCTCGACCGCTTCGGTCGCCGTCTGTGGCGTCTGCGTGTTACCGGCGCTGAGATTCGCATTCTGTGCACCGATCCTACCACCGGCATGCCCTACCCGCTCCGTGTCATTATCAGCAACACCTACGGATTCATCATCCAGGTTGAGCTGTACATTGAGCGCAAGTCCGAGAAGGGCGAGTGGATCTTCCAGAGCATTGGCGGTACCACCAAGCTCGGCTCCATGCACATGCGTCCTGTCTCGACCCCCTACCCGACAAAGGAGTGGCTGCAGCCCAAGCGTTACAAGGCTCACCTTATGGGTACGCAGTACGTGTATGACTTCCCGGAGCTGTTCCGCCAGGCCTTCCAGAACAGCTGGACCAAGGCTGTTCAGTCAATCCCGTCCCTCAGCTCCCAGCGCCCTCCTGTTGGCGAGTGCATCGACTACAGTGAGCTCGTGCTCGACGACACCGACAACCTGGTTGAAGTTTCTCGCGAGCCCGGCACCAACACCCACGGTATGGTTGGCTGGATCGTCACTGCTCGCACCCCCGAGTACCCGCGTGGCCGCCGATTCATCATCGTCGCCAACGACATCACCTTCCAGATCGGTTCCTTCGGTCCCCAGGAAGACAAGTTCTTCCACAAGTGCACTGAGCTCGCTCGCAAGCTGGGTATCCCGCGTATCTATCTGTCTGCCAACTCCGGTGCCCGTATCGGTATGGCCGAGGAGCTAATTCCCTACTTCTCCGTCGCCTGGAACGACGCCGCGAAGCCGGAGGCTGGCTTCAAGTACCTCTACCTCACCCCTGAGGTCAAGAAGCGCTTCGATGCCAGCAAGAAGAAGGAGGTCCTCACCGAGCTCATCCATGATGAGGGCGAGGAACGCCACAAGATCACCACTGTCATTGGTGCCAAGGACGGTCTCGGTGTCGAGTGTCTGAAGGGATCTGGTCTCATCGCTGGTGCTACCTCCAAGGCCTACGAGGACATCTTCACCATCACTCTGGTCACCTGCCGCTCCGTCGGTATTGGTGCTTACCTTGTTCGTCTGGGCCAGCGTGCTATCCAGGTCGAGGGCCAGCCGATTATTCTGACTGGTGCTCCCGCCATCAACAAGCTGCTTGGTCGCGAGGTGTACACCTCCAACCTGCAGCTCGGTGGCACCCAGATCATGTACAAGAACGGTGTCTCGCACATGACCGCCAACGACGACTTCGAGGGTGTCCAGAAGATTGTCGAGTGGATGTCTTTCGTTCCCGATAAGAAGGGTGCTCCTATTCCTATCCGCTCCTGGTCTGACGACTGGGACCGCGACATCGCCTACTACCCGCCCGCCAAGCAGACCTACGATGTCCGCTGGCTCATTGGTGGTAAGCAGGAAGAGGAGGGCTTCCTGCCCGGTCTGTTCGACAAGGACTCCTTCGAGGAGGCTCTTGGCGGCTGGGCCCGCACCGTCGTGGTCGGCCGTGCCCGTCTTGGTGGTATCCCCATGGGTGTGATTGCTGTCGAGACTCGCTCTGTCGAGAACGTCACCCCCGCCGATCCTGCCAACCCTGACTCTATGGAGATGATCAGCCAAGAGGCCGGTGGTGTCTGGTACCCCAACTCCGCGTTCAAGACCGCTCAGGCTCTCCGTGATTTCAACAACGGTGAGCAGCTGCCCGTGATGATCCTGGCCAACTGGCGTGGTTTCTCTGGTGGCCAGCGTGATATGTACAACGAGGTCCTGAAGTATGGTTCGTACATCGTCGACGCTCTCGTCAAGTACGAGCAGCCCGTCTTTGTGTACATTCCTCCCTTCGGCGAGCTGCGTGGTGGCTCCTGGGTTGTCATCGACCCCACCATCAACCCCGACCAGATGGAGATGTACGCGGACGAGGACGCCCGCGGTGGTGTCCTCGAGCCCGAGGGTATCGTCAACATCAAGTACCGCCGGGACAAGCAACTCGACACCATGGCCCGCCTGGACGCGACCTACGGCGAGCTGCGCCGCTCTCTGGAAGACACCAGCCTCAGCAAGGAGCAGCTCTCCGCCATCAAGGCCAAGATGGCCGAGCGCGAGGAGCAGCTTCTGCCCGTCTACCTCCAGATTGCCCTGCAGTTCGCGGACCTGCACGACCGCGCCGGCCGCATGCAGGCCAAGAACACCATCCGCGCCCCGCTGCGCTGGCAAAACGCCCGTCGCTTCTTCTACTGGCGTCTGCGCCGCCGCTTGAGCGAGCAGCTCATCGTCAAGCGCATGGTCACTGCTGCCCCCAACCCGTCCCCGCGCTCCGGTGCCCCTGGCGCCATCCCCGCCGCCGCCGCCGCGTCCACCCACACCACTCCGGAGTCCGCTAGCGCGGTGCACCTGCGCACCCTGCACGCCTGGACCGGCATGCTGGACGACGAGCTCGAACATGACGACCGCAAGGTTGCCACCTGGTACGAGGAGAACAAGAAGGCCGTCCAGACCAAGGTCGAGGCCCTGCGCACCGAGGGCGTCGCCTCTGAGGTTGCCCAGCTGCTTATCGGCAACAAGGAGGGCGGTCTGCGTGGTGTCCAGCAGGTGCTGTCTATGCTGCCTGTCGAGGAGCGCGAGTCTGTGCTCAAGTACCTTGGCTCGGCGTGAAAGTATGAATGAGGAGGAGAAGTTCATGATGTGATGTGTTTTCTTTGTGACTTTGGCTTTTTCTTGAGATGATTCTTTTTTTGTCAATGGGGCATGGTGTTTTGCTTCTTTTTTTTGCGTGTCTGATTTTGGTATATTATTATCAACATGAATGTGTTCTTTCCCCTCTTAGATTGTTTCGTCGTGACGAATATATTTTAATTGGAACTTTTCTCGATACTTTCGTTTCTTTTCTGAATCAGTAAAAGATAAGATATTTTTTCCTACTGAGGGTACATGGTAGTATATCAAAATGTTTAGTATCAGCGGATAGTGTGATCTAGAAGCCATGCCATAACAAGGTGATCTTCCCAGAAGTACTTTGCTACTGATCTGACCAAGGCCGTCATTCAACGAGCCATGTTTGACTGCGAGATGATAGTATCCAAGGAAGGCTATGTCAAACACCACGTCACACACCACCACTGCCTGCGACTCGGCCTTATTTAGCGGACGCGAAGATTCAGAGTTCCCTTCCCCCCTTCCCTTAATTCCACTGCAGTATCCCGCTTTGTCTTCCGCTGCTTAGGTGGGCACGTCAATCCTGGATCTGCGAATGGCCCATGTTGTCGAACGAATTCTGTTAGAGCGCATGGTGCTCCGAATTACAGCTTTGCGCGGCGCCTTGACAAGCAAGGCGGTGCTGCGTTGGCGTGGATGGACACTGGGTTGATTGAATGCATGAGGGAGTTCATATACCATCTAGTCGAGGTGTTCCTCGAAGAAGGACGGACGAGACATAGGGCATCAAAGTCGTGGTTTGAGGCTCGCGGCCACGACGTATAGAATTGTTTGTCTTGGTTGCTGCTGCTCCTAGCTGTAGTAGGATGCACGTGGACTCGAAATATGAGTGCTCGCTTCTTCCCACGGCATCTTTCTAAGAGATGGCCATGGGACATGGGACATGCTGTTAAGACGTGCCACTTAACAATGAAGAGGCCAGAATGAAGGAGTTGGAGGAATAAGGGGTTCCAGTTCTCATGTCGCAGAATGGGCCGGAAGAGCGGTGGTCCTCAATGTTGGGTGTTTGGATGTTGGAGGTTGGAACCATGTCCCTCACCCGGTCTTGGACCATTCATAGGCATCCTTGCCCCATGCTTTCTCTCGGTCTTTGCGTACCATCTCCTTCGGCGGCGGTTGGTTCGCATACGGGCTGAAGTAAAAGTATCGGTCCGCGGCATCCTCCCCGTTCGCCTGTCGTCGTAGCTGGCGTTCACGGGCACGCACTTTCTTCTGGTAGGCTCGGCTAGCTCGTTTGCGCTTCCAGTGGGTCGAGGTGTTGCCGGAAAAGAACCGTTTCAGGAACTCAAACATGATGAGGACAGATTTGCACTTAACAGATGGGCGAAGAGGAGAAAATGCGCTGGTGTATGTGGGATGGGGAAGTATAGTATGGTTGAGTCGATGTTGGAATACATTGATCGACCGCACCCCCACGGCCTGTATACGGAGCTCGGGTGAATATTCCAATGTCTGAATCCTACCTTCGGGAAGATCGCAGTATTTAAACATTGACAAAGAGGCGTCCCACGTCGGCGGGGGGTTTGGGGGCTGCGCTGCGCCCTGTGGAAGCACGGACTGCGAACCTGGAAAGGGTTTGAGCGCACTAAACTGCTTGGCGCCTAGTGCGGTCTGCGCGTAGGCCAAATGGATCTGATATACCTCTCAATCGTGAGTATCCATAGTCCCTGGACCTGAAAGGTGCTGCAGGCTAATCTTGCAACCGCTACATAGAATTTGGATATCAAGCAGATCTGCAGTTGACCTCTGGTTTTAACTTCATGGATATCCTTCCTTCTTCTCCTAGTCGCGGAATTAAGATGAAGGGATTTGCACCACGAACGGGTGGTGGGTGCATTCAATCCACCTTGGTCTTGAGAATCCTTGTCGAGGCCGAGTAAGGGAATTGGTTCAAGTCCATCAATCCACACCCATATGGTTTCGGGTGAAGGCCAAAATTCTTTCTGAGTGAACTTGACCCGATGACAGCGGTTAAGCCCCGTCTCGATATCAACCTTTGCGCCTCCGTCTACTAGACCGAGTAGGAGATCTACAAGGAGTTTTTACGGAATTGGGTGATCACTTATTTCGCACTGCCGCGTTGCGCTATCACTGACAGCCAACTGGACGGGCCTGGCATGCCCCATTACCCCTGCGGCGTCGGCAGTCGTATCTGTCCTACGGGGCAGATCTCCAATCGGATCATCTATGGTCTCCTGCTGCGTCTGATTGTGGCGTACCAAATGTTGACTGAGGACGAGAACCCACCGCTGTCCAGTGACAAGACCTTCGCAACGACCCCTGCAAAGCTTCTCAACATCCCGAAAAAGTTTGGGATTCGGTTTGTTCCCCGAGATGAAGCCAACCTTCGTACAATTTTGCAGTAGGCTTGGTCGTTTGCGCCCGCCCAGTGGCTTCTTTGTCTGGGATGTCAACTCGCCATTCTGGGGAATAGAGTATTGGCACATGGGGGACACCCAGATGCCGTTCTGGAACGTGGTCGAGCGTAGGGTAATGGGCTCGAAAATCTGGGAAAACCCCGCAGTACCATCGTACATGGACAGCAGGGGTGCCCGAAGGAGGAGATTGCTTCGGGGTGAAGAAACCATGGTTGCTGGGCATGGTCTTGTTGATGCGTGGAGCGTCCATTATGTCGGGGTGAGGCTGAGAGATGGTCTGCAGACTGGATCCTACCCCTGTTACGGAGTACAATTGTTTCGAATTGCCATTAGCATGGGTGGTAATGGGCGATGGATTGGTAAATCTGCATCTTCATCTCCAGCTGGGGTCCATTATCAGAAGTTCGCCCAAAGCCGCTGCAGGACGGAGATAGTCGAGCCTCGCACGGGACCGACGACAGCGTTCGAGGTGTCGCACCGGTTAAAGTTTCTGACTTGGTTGTCGTCAACGGCCAAATCGCAGAAGTAAGATTGTCTATACTCTATTGTCTATTGTGATCAGCCCCTGATTCGTCCCTTGTGCGTGCTCCTGCACCCACGAGCCCGTGTCTCGTAAACCAGTAAGGGCATACAGAAGTGTGGACATATGCTCATGCTCATTTGAGACTAAACCCCATTGTCACTAGTCTCTTCAGCCCTACGGGAAACCGTGGAGCCCGCCAGGAAGACTAACCTGCCAAAAGTCCAATCATGAAGGTAGCAGATGCTTGTAACTTTATTGTTGCCTAATTTATGCGGAAAGAGTCTCATCACACAGCATCCTCCAATCGGAGTTAGGTTGAAGTTTATGTGACAGGACTTGCGAGGCTTTGATCTGTGACACACGGGACCGGACCTTTGTCTCGACTGGAAATAGGCAGCAAAATTACTATATATCTGTGGACCACTTATTTGCCGTTAGGAAGTAAGCTCTGTATGGTGAATTGAATGGCTCTGAATCTCTCCATATATGAGAAGCCCCCATTGTGGGGTACAAACAACCGGGCTACTACATGGAGCCAAAGTCGGCCAATTGAACAAAACAATGAAGCCAGTACGAGAAACAAATTTCAATTCCGCCACATTCCAAAGACTAAGAGACAGACAAATTGAAGATAGGGGCCAATTATCTCACAGAGCTTAAACAAGAAGCCATAAAATAATCACGAAACGGTCACAAGTAACTAAGTCCACCAATTGAACAAGTGGATATCTGGCACAATAGAATTGTACGATAAAATGAAGAAATATCTTTCTACTAGGTTATTAAAAGTGAGTAAAAGAGACGGATGTTCTAGAAGAAAGGATTGTTATTTCTTACCTGCCTTTTCTATGACGGGCGCACGACGCCTTGCTCCATCTGACTGGGAGTATTGGTGGAATAGAATGCAGCAGGTGGCTTTTGAACAATAGGGCTATTCATGGCCCACTGTTGTAGAGGCGGCGGCCTGAAAGAGTTGTTTTCGAGTTCTCTCTTCTTTGCCTTTTTCTCACGGTGCATTTTGATGAGGATGATGATGACAATAGTGGCCCCGATGAATAGAGCAATAGGAACCAAAATGACTTTGAGAAGGAAGCCGACGACGCCCATATTGATGATGTCGTCTGGAAATAAACAAGAAGATTGATGAAGTATTGGCTGGGCAATTTTGTACAGACTTTAGGAAAATGGAAAGGATGGCAGAGAGCCTGAGGGGTTTTATAACCCCCTCATTTTAAGGAAAGAATGTGTGATCGAAAGGTCCATCGGGTGGTTCATTGAAGAAATATGTGAACAGCAGCGCTTATATTTCACATCTGGTTGGATCTGGGCTATGATAGCTCGTCCCTAGCGACAGCACGCTGGATGTACCGTCCTTGGAGCCAAATATAGCTCACCGATGAGCGAATTGGATGGAACCAAGGGCCCAGTGATCAGCTACTACAAGACCTCTTTGAGGTATTTTCTGGTCACTCAGCCCTGTAGGGCTGTTTCGTGGCGTGATTCTCGTTGCAGGGTGGAGAAGACGCTTAAGTAGCTAAGTGCTAGTTCCTTTTCGCAACCTATAAGCAAGTGCGATAGCCTTAATGTTCATTTCCCCCTCTCAGTACTTTAATTTGGTCTAGAAACTCGTGTCCCATCACAAATTGCGGGAATGAACTATTAATGATCATAAGAATGACTCTCGTACTCTAATAAATATGAGTCTTCGGAATCAAATTCTGATCGAAATCTGGCAGTATTAATCTCAAGTACTCCTGGACTGGCTGCCGGACATGGTAGTCTGAAATTCGTGCAGCTCCTTTACTGTCTTTGCCGATGGCTTCCAAAATGTATACCTGGAGGGTAAAACAGGAGACAGAGGACTAATTTTGCCTTCAGTTGGTTTGATGGTTCAAGGCAAGACCGATTATCCATCATAGTTGTAGAGAATTTATTTCATGGATTACTTGGCCCCTGCAGTCTACGTACCCTAAGATCTTCGAAGTGTATACCAAGGCTAGTATGATAGGTCCTGAAAGGATTTCCAGCGTTTCGGTACATATTGAGAGCCCGACCGCAAAGTTTTACGTCCTTGCCCATCTTCATCAGCTCTAGGGTATCGTTATAGAGTCTCACAAGGTGATCATAGACAGCATGCTACCTGTCTTCAAGTATCCGCGGACTCCTATTCCTGAGAGACGCCAGGATTTAAAAAAGGTATTCACTTGCCAAGAGACGGGATGATACGACCTCTGTTGTACTACAAGTTCCCCACTATTTCAAGCCCTTTATGTCATGGATCTCTTTAAATATCAAAGCCGCCCCAAATGATAGCCTGCACGTGGTGGCGTGTGAAGCTCCGGTTGCACCAAACGAATGGGGTCCACGCCGATCTCCCGTAGACCCCAGAGCCAGCTATACCATATGTACCGGGGACAGTCGCATCTCAGCATTCAGGGTCCATCCTCAACTATCATAATGCCTCGAATATACCTTTTCACGAAACTAGCCATCTTCGGGTTTCTAGCAGCGGCTCTGTTTCTTGCCTTACATCACGTCAACAAGCTCCATGAGGAGTCTAGTCGCCGTGAAGAGGAGAAGGTCGAGACTTACAATCTTCAAAGCACCTCGGCGGAACATCGATGCTTGTACAACTCGGGCCCTGCATCTACCCCGATACCAAAAATCGTCCACCTCATATGGCTTGAAAATGCCGAGATCAATTTCATGGCCTACCTGACTATTCGATCTGCGTTAGTTTCCATTCAGCCCGATATCATCAACCTTCACTATACTGTTCTCAATCATAAGAATGAGTGGCTCAAAAAACTGCGTGACAATATAACCCTAGTGCAACATGATTTGGCGCAAGAGTATAGTCGGCAAATGGATGAAAAATGGAAAATTACCCATATTTCGGATCTTCTCCGATTAGACGTCATCAATAGGGAGGGAGGGATTTATGTCGACATGGATGTGATCTTGCTTCGGCATTTCGACAATTTGTTACAGTCGCCGAAGGATCTGATTCTCGGAAATGAAGGTGGCGATCGGCACGGTCTGTGTAATGCGATCATCCTAGGGCGTCCTGGATCATCTTTCGTACAGCGGTGGCGTGAGAGTTACCGCACATTCTCTCGACACGAATGGAACTATCATTCAGTGACCTTGCCTAAAGAGCTATCTACTCAGTACACCGACGAGATCTGTTCGCTGTCTCCTGCCGTTTTCTTTTGGCCATCGTGGACCAAACGACATATTGAATATATGCATAAGCCGATCTCGGACAACGAAACAAGGGAATTCGAAACGACAATTGCGGACAACCGAGGAGCGATCTTCCCAACACAACTTGCATATCACGCTTGGAGTCAGGTTGCTGCAAAATATCTGAGAAATCTGAGTATTGAGAGGGTGATGAGTGAAAACACTCGGTTTAATATTTTGGTTCGACGTTTCCTGGAGTAGAGATTTGGTCGCCCGAGCCGGAGACCTGAAATAGGGATGCCTTGAACAATGTATTTTCGAAATATAGCAGGTATAAAAATTTGATTAATTCAAAATTCAAATTTTGGTCTGTGGCTGAGACACGCGTTTACAAAGCCTACATTCAGGGGCAAAAATTGATTATGCAGGAAGTTCAACTGCTTTTACCTCGAGGCTGTCTTGGGAGTTCCGTCGCTAATTTCGTACGATCTTCACGAATTATCCATTGGCAATGTAGGACTAGTTAGATTTCGCTCTTTTGGGATGCGGCAATCGTGCCAATTTTTTTATTTTTTTTCCAAAATTTCCTCATCGACAAGAGTTCTGGTTGGATAGGTGAAGTACCGAAGGATTTAGTCCCGGGGCTAGCTCGGCAAACACTCGGCAATGCCCCGGCTGAGGCTCGGGAAGGGTTAGAATTTGTTGACGAGGCGGAATGCAGAAGAATAGTCAGTCAGTATCATTCTTACTTAAATAGGGACTTGACAGCCCATCAATGAGAAATAAAAACACATCCACTCACCTCTCACTTGCTCACGATTTCACCTTGCAAAATTAGAGCCACTGTAATGAGCGCCTCAACCTCCAGGTCGAACTCTATCAAGAGTGTGGACACGAACGAGGATTCGTCCCATACGACAATCGCTTCACGCCTTAAAAAGCATTTTGAGAATGTTCAAAAGAAGTGGGGCCCGCTGATGGCTGCCAAAGAGCACCTGGACGACGAATACAATTTTCCGCCCGGTAGATACGCCGGCCAGGCAGACAGTCATAGGACGACCAGCAGAATATGACGTGAGCCTTCTTCAATTTCCCCTCACAAATTAATGGGGTTTTGACTGACTCCATGCCAGAAGCTCGCCAACCTTTGTTTGTTTCAATGAACTGTCGTTCTGATCGATATATCGATATCAAAGCAGCCTCAAGTCGTCTTCAATTGCTCGAGAGGCCGTGGCTATTTTTTTCAGCGTGATGAATTTTATGAAGGAATTTAATAATACCCAGTTTGTGGGGATGTGGAATATTTCGGCTATATACTATACTATCAACAGGCCAGGTGCCTTTAATCACAAATTCTACTAGACCATTCCATTATGTACTGTTCCAGAGGCAAGTGTTTCCAAGATGTCCATACCATTATGATCGCGACACGGCGATCGCTCCGTATTCCCCTTTATCGGAATACGAACAGAAGTCGTTTAAATATCGTATTCATTAGTTCATCAGCGCTAAATCCGGATTGGAAGAACTCCAGAAACAAAAGCCGCATGTGGCCTTCCGTTCTACCTCAGAATAGCACGTCGAAAATTACCAAAACCTGCGCGGAGAGAATCATGACGGGAACCCATGAGTACCACGATGCAATACTATGTTCACGGGTACTGCCATTACTTTGACTAGTCACGGTCGATGTAGCGCCATTCCGGGAGAGAGGTGTAGTTGTGCTAAAGGACGGTGTTGTCGTGGATGCTGCTTCGTAATATGCCCGAATAATATCACTTGCTTTTTCAGCTATTCCATATGTCGAGGCCATCAGATGGGTTGACAAAGCAATGGGAATCACACTGGCATCTGCAACTCGAACATTTGACAAGCCATAGACACGAAGATTTGCATCTACCACACCACCCTGATCACGGGGAAGCATAGCACAAGATGATGAGGGGTGAAATTCGGTGCTAGCTTCCGCAAGCAACCAATCCAACCACTCCTCGTCCGTCTGAACAGATGATCCAGGTGAGGTTTCGCCTGTAAGATTGCTGCTCATTGGGCTTGTCTCACCCAGTCGACGTGCAAGCTTGAGGCCTTCACGAAGAATTTCGTAATCTGCAAACACATGAGCTTCAAGGTCCATGTCCTAATGACAAATTTGGAACATACCAGATGGGTTGTTGAGGTAATTCGGGTCGATTACAGGATAGTCCATCGGATCTGACGAGTTGATATAGATGCGGCCCTGGCTATAGGGGTGCTGAAGGGCAGCTGTGATGCCAATGTCTCCATTGCCGTCACTGTTCATGAACAGAAGCTCTATTTGGCCAATCGGACTATCAAAAATCTTCGATGCGGTCGTATTGTAAATGGCTTTGTAACCAGCAATAACGCCCTCGTCATATGTCGTGTTCGGTGTATATTGATCCATCATGGCAAGGATGCTTGTCTGAAACTCTTGCACGCTGCTACTAGAATTGTAGATAGCAGTGGAGTTGACATACGCTACCGCCGAATCGATATATGAGAGAAAAAGTGTATCATCCTAGTACGGTGGTTAAAAAAAGGGCACGTGCTGTAGAATCGAGACGACAAACCTTGTCGCTGCCATTGTCGTAGTAAATCGAACCTGCGGTCTCCACGTCCGTAGTCCACTTCACAGTGGCACTCTGCAAGGGGTCAGTCTTCTACTGGAAAGCAATATAGTAAATTTTACTCACAAAGTGATCCTGCAGGTGTTGCCCAACCCCAGGAAGTTCGGAGACAAGATCAACTCCAGCATCAGATAGGACGTCTTTAGGGCCAATGCCGCTATGGAGTAATACAGCAGGGCTGCCAACGGTACCGGCTGCTAGAATCACTTCTTTTCTAATTTTGACCTGAACCTTAGTGGTGCCGTCATCAGGTGTATACTCAACAGCAGTTGCCGTAAGATTTCCAGAGGTCGAGGAATTGTCGAAAACCAGGCGAGTGACATGGGCATTTGCCAGGACATCATAGTTTGTCCAATCTGGAAGAGGGTCTAGATATCCTGTTCGACTGTAGGAACGTGTCCAATTTGAGGGATTGATGGAAGAAGTTGAGACCTCAGCTCCCCAGTTTTCACCGCCATACATCTCGGATGAAATGGCAATGCCCATGTTTTCTAGGGCCTGTGACCATTGTCCAACTTGAGGGAAGGTACTAAATGAAAGTCAATATCAAAAATCTCATAAATGATCATAGAGGTCAGCATACTAGCCAGGATAAGAAGCGTGGATAGGTCCTTCTGAGCCGTGTGTCGATACGTTCCATGTGATGTCGGCCTCATCGGCAATAGCATCGGATGGTGGCGTGAATGTTTCACTTTTCTTCATGGCAGCATAAAAAGACTCCCAGGTCCAGTTTTCAGCACCATCCATGCCTTCGAGCATATCCTTCCAAGCATTGATCTCGATCTCACCAGGACGGGTCATATAGAGCCCGTTGATCGCAGAGCTGCCTGTATTTCTGGTGTTATGAATTCGTTGCTAATACATGGGGTGTGAATACGAACCTCCAAGGACTTTACCACGAGGCCAGTAGATCTCACGGTTGTCCGCACATGGTTGAGCCACGGTATAGAACCCCCAATTCAACGGTGTCGTCCAAAGTGAATCAAAGTAGCCGTATGCCGGTGTGTCTGTTTGACTCTTAGCCTTTATCAAAGCTAAGAACTGTGAGACGGGTAGTCTTATATCTCTCACCTATCCGTTCTCGATAATCATCTCCATTGCCGCCGGACTCTAGAACAAGGACGGTGTGATTTGTGTCCTCTGAAAGACGAGCACCAAGCACGAGACCAGCTTGACCACCACCCACAACAATGAAGTCGTAGGCATCGGCGATCTCCGTCCGCGGAGACAGCGCGTGGACGGGAGAAACAGCGAAAGCAAGGCTTGCGCCAATGATACGGCTAGCGGTCAGACCAGGTCGCATTTTATGGAACAAGATATGCGAGAAGAAGGTCGCCGTCGGTGGGCTGTAGCATATCAATACGAAAGATATGAAGGCAGATCGCGATCGCGAAGAAATATACTAGCGAAAAATCAGACCTAAGCGCCCCTGGAAAACTTGTTGGTAGAGTAACGCCGACCCTTGGAAAGCTTGTGCGGTGAACCGTGCTTTGCATTCTCAATTTTACGCCAGATAAGGCCCATCTGGAACCAGGAAGTGGATAAAGAAAATAATAAGATTCAAGCATGGCTGGAACCCTTCTCCCGCAAATAAGATCTCGGGCCGCATCGCTCCACACGGCGTGGTTGCCAGGTGGGACAACGTGGGCCAGTTTCTGATGAGCCAACTGTTATTTCTGAGACACATCAATCTTGGTTGTACGCGAGTTCCGACGTCATAATTGTGGATTCTAGTTGAAACATTGTCGCAATCCTGCTGAGAATGAGCAGGAAAGCGTTGGATGCGCGTCCTACGACTCTAGACGCTTCATAGGAGTTACGTTAGAGATGCTTTCCACGTCACTCTGTGCTATTGAATTTCCAAATGTAATCATTGCCGATTCCTCGTGTTGGTCGAAAGCAGCCGGGTAATTTTTCTCTCTTGGATTATTGTGTAACTCCTCGGGACGATAAGCCATCTGGTGGGCCGCAAATTTAAATGCCTTAACCACGGCAACTCGCCAGGGCGGCATCGTCGTTGGCCAGCCGCCGGGCCAGTGGACCCTGAAAAAGCCGACTCGATAGGCCCGTCGGAGGAGCATCACAATAATCTATGCAGCTAGTAAACTCTAAGACACCACTGCTTCTTAGTCCTCGAATCTCCTCTTTATCGAAGCAGAAGCCTCGCCCCAGCCTGAAAAAAGCAACTGTATACACATATCCAGTCTCTGGGCATGTACACGATTTCCCATCGAAAAGTATCTAAATTTTTGTCCAAAGATCAAAATCGTTCGATTTCTCCCGCCGATTCAAACTAATGCGGCGAGAAGAATGGCCATCGATGACGATTATGCTTTTTGGAAAGCGAGGCATAAGCTCTTCAACGTCTAGCTATCAAGATCGGGGAACACCCCATAGTTGAAGATGATGAAATAGATTGCAGAGCCAACTACAGGCAGAGCAGGCCTCACAAATATAGAGTCCCTGCGACCTCAAGGCATGTATGACTATTCAGCGTTGTCGAGAGAGACCGGTGTCTCCTGGGATTCTGTAAGTAATGGATCAGGATGTCTGCCAAGGGAGTGGGTTCGACAGCCTTTAGGCCAGAGAATGCATAGATCAAGCACGAGGTTCTGGTTCTGGTATATATTCACCAGCGCACATCCACCGAACGACACCCAAGATCACTCTGGACCCATGTGGCTTTAACATCAAATAAACGGGACCTGGGCTGCTCAGATCACTCCGGGGCAAATAGGCGACGCATAAACTCGTTGGGACTCCTCCACAGTCTTTTGCTTGACTGGCAATATCTACACTGGCGCATTCTCCAACTTCACAACAATCTGAGCGACCTGAAGATACAGAAGGCCTGAGCCACGCACGATCTCGTATAGGTTCTTCAGCTGAACAATCAATGGCTTGGCGCCGCAGAAGGGGATGCTTACACTTATAGGCCATACAATATAGCCGAGGCGTTATCTCTGGGTCAGTGCTTGAGTCGGTCACGATAAATTGGAGATCTAAACTGAAATTAAGCAGGACAACATCTCCAGCCGCTAAAACCATAGTTTTGAATCCCGCAAAGCACTCATTGCGGCTGGATTCCTTGCGATGAGTACAATTAAGGAGCTAGATGCGGGGCTCGGGGGTCACTGATTCCGATAACCACGGGCCGTTGGGTTTATGACACCCGAAATACAGTTGCTGGGCTTCCTTTTAAGCATCATACTTCGTTGAATGTAATTTCTGACCCAGCTCTGATGGCCCGACCGGACGAAGGCCAAGCCACAGGTTTACAGATCGGTCAGTGATTCTCGCGTCTGCGCAATATTTTTAAATACTCGTGTCCCGGACTTTATAGAGACGTTGATATATTTGATTCAACCTTCAATGATTGAAACCCCTGGCCTCATTGTCCAACCTGGAGTTTTAGCCGACGAAGCAAGCAAAAGATTTGTCAATCTATACTATCGTTTGAAAATATCGTGTAAATTTTCAGTCGTGAAGATAGAATCTGAACTTGCACATGAACGAACGCCCGTGGGTTATTGAATCGAAGTGTCTCATTCTCGGTGTTTTGTATACTTAAGCAAATGATTTGGATTGAGCATACTCCCAGACAACATGGTGGACGAGCCAACAATAAAACCTTCGGTCAAATTAAAGCATCATCCTAAACTAGTCAAGATAAAATAGGAAAGATACATTGCAATTAGAAAAAGACCATCAGTGTATTCTAAAAAGACATAACGAGTTGCGCATCACCGTGGGTATTCCCAAAATCCCAATCATAAACCACGTCGTATATCATAGAATGGCCCAAACCAAAAATAAATATATAAAGGAAACCAATCCCAACCCAGAAGAAAAATAAAAGAAACCCCAAAAATGACCCAAGTACTATAAGTCCGAAACTATGCAAGTTGTCTCTCAATATTCCTCGGGCCCGCCAGCAAAGCCGGAGGAATGGGCGACACAGCGCGGAAGACATGCGTTTCCCGTGAACCGGGACGAGGGGGCGGCGGAGGAGGAGGGGGCGCGAAGCCCGGAGGAGGGGGATGGCCGGGACGGGAGTATGCGAACGGATGCGGCGGGCCTGGCGGGCCTCCAGGTGTGCCAACCGCCAGGCGGTTGAATTCGCCTGGGAGTTGCTGCGGCTGGTAACGGTATGCGGGGGTGTTGGGGCCGTCGTAGGTCATAGCACGGCTTGGATCACCCGGAAGGGAAACGAGGGAGGCATTCAGGGTGCGCGCGATGTCTTCAAAGGTGACTTCCATCGGAGTGATGTAGGTGATGTTGGTCTTCGCAGACCAGGCGAGGACGTGGCCGCAGACACGGCCAGTTGATCTGTCAAAAACCCATGCGCCGGAGTCGCCGGGGGCTGATGTGCCAACAAGGAGTGAGGTTAGCCTGATGAACGATACTACTTATACAAGTTGGGTGAGAGAGGGTAGTGGGTGGTCTTAAGGTCCGGCGCAGTTATGGTTTACCGGCTTAGGAAGATCATATGGAGGGGGAAACAAGAAGGTGAGAATAGGACCAGGGTATAACAGAACAAAGGCAAGGGTATCTAGATTAAGGATCGTATAGACATAAACATGAATCTGCTGAGGTGCGCCTCTTACCTCCAAAGTTCCCGTTGACGCAAAAGCTCGTTGAAAAGGAATGTCGGCCATGGAGCTTGACCAACGTCATAGCCTTGGATATCTGGCCCGTCTGCAGCCCACTTGTCCGGCCACAGCAGTGCACCTGCAATCCGCCCAGTTCCTCCATTCGGGCGACTTGATTGAGAAAGATCGGCTGAGATTGGGACCACCCCAGTCCCGGTAGGCCGGGAAGGGATGCGGCATAATCGATGATAATATTGCGGGGATCCATGCGATTATCATCGACTCTGATCAATGCCCAATCGATTTCATGCTTGATCCCCTTGCGAGTCCAGCGTCGGACACCGGAAGAAGCATGGACATACCCCAGAGAATGCGAGGCGAGATGCTCATCATCTCGGTCCTCTAAGGAAGGAAAAAAATCTTCATGGATATCGTCGATAGCGGGTTGCGTGACAAGCAACTTAGGTTCCTCTCCAGGGTCGATGCCGGCAGTATCACCGACCGAGGCCGCATCATCGTCATCATTATCAAGACCTTCGACGGACTCTTCGTCGGATGAGTCATCCTCCGAAAGCCAGTACTCATCATAACCAGCATCCGGCCCTTGGGAGACCGACCTATCGTCATCTTCCGGGTCTGATATTTCGAATTCCAGATTAACCTCGGACCGATCATCCTCGTAGGTATACATGAAATCCTGGTTTGGGGCGTTTGATGTGTCCCGAGCCCAATTCCCCGCAGAGCGAGCAGGGGCATCTTGCTGTTCATCTCCAAGGTCTTCATCGTCACTAGGTGCCTCAAGCATGTGATGAACAGTCAACCCGTAGGGTTGGCCATCGACGAGGATAGCACCGCCATAGGAAACGGGAGGCAAATGCTCTTCATTTTGGAATGCACCAATGGACGCACCGCAGAGAGGCCGCTGCTGGTGGCACGGATTCAATTCCCGCTGACGAAAAGGAGTTTGGTTCGATCCATTGGGTCGAGTCTTAGCAGGCCTGCGGCGCTTGTTGCGAGGGACTTTGGATCGTTCAACATCGCCCCGCAAGACAATCAAGTCCCAGTCATCCCGGCCCAGAGGAAAGTGCTTCTTCAAGGCCAAGCGAACTTTCTTAGCGCTGGCACAGGTGACGCAAATAGTTGTTCGGGCAGTCTCCTGAGATTCTCCCGTCATGATGAGAGTTACCCCGCAAGACTCTGAGGAATCTTTGAGGATCTTTTGGAGAAGTCGGCTCAGGCGCGGCATCAGCTGGAAGTTCCATTCGTGCAGATGCTCGTCCGGGATCTCTAGGTGAGGAAGGCGCTTGACCGTGCGTTTCTTGCTTGGCTTGTCCAAGCTCTTCTCCTCTGGTGCTGCGCGCCATTGCTCGGTCGGAATCGTCGGAATAATCGGGAGGTTTTTGTCGAGCTTGACGGGCTCAGGTGGAATTTCGAACATGCTAGACTTCTCTTCTGCAGGTGTTGGCTCAGGAGTTGGGACAAGTGCCAGAGGTAGACAGTCATCCAACTCTTCTGCTGGAGGAGCACCAAAAATATCGATGCGGCAACATGACCATAAAATCTTGCAAATGGTATACATGAAGTTCATTGAGAAGGAAAAAGTGCCATCGGGGTCGGAGAGGTCGAGAACTGGGTAATGATAGATCTGGGGAACACGGAGATTGAGATCGGTCATGGGTTGAGTGGAGAGGTGGAAGTTGGGGGCATCGAGGCAAAGCTGCACAGCTTGAAGATATGCGCTACCGCACTTAGAGCCCAGCTTCTTCACGTAGAGATCCTCCACACGATGCTTAAACCAGGAGCGATCATACTTCATCTTCCACAGCCGGCCGATTGGAGCCCACAGACCAATTTCTAGAAGGACCAAACCGAGCGAGTATAGATCATATGCCCAGGCACCATCGTCCTCAACGCATCTTTTATCTTCGGGATGACGATACATGGCTGTAGACAACGGTTCAGGGGTGGGTCCATCAACGGAGAAACGTGCGGGGGAGGTCAAGTAAGGACGGCGAAGATCGGGAGAGAGACCACTCTCATCATTATTAACGTCGGTTCTTCCAGGAAAGAAAATGACATTGCTGCTGTTGATTTTGCCGTGCACTGCATTCTGGCTTCGCAGGTGCAAAACAGACATGAGCAGGTCGTAGGCAAGTCGGAAGCGCGTCTCTAAGTTCGGCATTCGTTTCTCGCGATAATCTTCTGCAGAAGGGAGAAGAGCCACGAGAGGCATAGGTTTGAGCTGATTGAGCAGGTCGCTGGGGTTTTGTAGGAAAGGAAAGTAATCGACGGGCATTTGGTATAGAAAAGCATAGCGGGCGTTAGGTTCATCGACACAGTACCCTAGGAACTTCAGAAGACCCAAATGGGCAATTCTGGCATTCTGGAGCAACTGATCGAGCGATTTCTGGAGCTTCTCCAGCCGAGAGCCCTTCGAGTTCATCTGAGCATCCACGATCATAGGCATGAACTCAACTAACACGGAGACAGAGGGCTCCTTGACGGAGCTAAGGAGAGATGGACAGGCTGATGTTTTGAGCCTACCAACTGCACGAGAATTCAGAGATGCTGCAACTGGCTCATAGGGGGGCGGATTGTTATCATGGTTGGCCCCATAGAGCTGTAGAGCTGATCGATCTATGACGAGAGGGTGAGGAGTGACGAAAGGATTGCCGTAATCGCGTTGCGGGGTCGGTGAGTTATATGTAAACGGGTCGTGCATTTGCTTCGGACTCTGGACCTTTTCTTTAGAGTCGGAGTAGGAGCCGTATGATATATCATGGGGTGAGAGCGGGGTCGATCGTGTTCGTCGGCCGGTGCTTTGCTTGGAAGAGGACATGCTGGAGGCCATTGTTCGTCGCGAGCGCGACAGATCATAGAGCGTATCGATGCATGCGGTCAGATCGCTCAGAATGGTCTTTGAGCGGCTGATATCGTCGTCTGTCCACTGTGTCTTAAGAGCCCGGGCGACTAGTCTTTCCTTCGATGGAAGATCTACTTTGCGTTCCTTCGAGGGTAGAATAGGCGGGTCGACGTGCTGCACGCGCTCGGCGTCATTGAGTAAGTCTTGGATCGTGGACATGACACTCTCCACCACATCGCTGAAGCCAGCGGCGGTCAGTGACTCGTCGATATCGTTCGGTTGGGCGGCGCTCGCATCACTCCAATCCAAGCCCCACGAGAGCAAGCGATCTCGTTGTTTCTGGAAGCTCTGATGCAGCGCCACCAATTCCGGGTCATCCAGTGCTTTGGAAGCGGTTGTCACACTCTCGCATGAAGTCTTGGTGTCGGTATAGAGCTTTGTCAGACGGCGCTGGAGGAAACCGCCTCCTCCGTGGCGCATGACAGACATCGTGGGCAAGAACAGTTCGATAAGGGCCAGAGAGGAAGATTCGCAGCGTAGATATCAGGTAACAAGAGGCTCACTCATCCATCCTGGAGTGTTGAGATAGGCGAAGAGGTGGGAAAGCCATGCGAAGAGGTCTAAGGAGAATCTCCTTCGTTTCAATGGGTGCCTGGTCAGCGGCGATTGAATACCGATAGACGATCGCGGGCGGATCGAGGGAATCCTGTTGCCTAACCAATCAGCGTGGCGTCCCGGCCGCGCGGTGGGTCACGTGGTAGGCATCGATATTCAGTCTTTTGGTCTTTTTGGCAAGTAATACCAATACCCGCCTCAGGCAACAGCGTATCCTGCAGCGAGACTCGCGGGGATCTTCGGTGGGCATGTTTGATTCATGGAAATCCGCGCGAAAGAGGGCTCCGACAAGTTTCATGTACGACTAAGACGCAGGCAGATAGGTGATAATAGGGAGTCGGTCAGGCTTTACTAGGGCCATCTCCGCCTATAGGGAGCACACTGGAGCAGACAAGATATCCGAAGAGCCAGGTATATAGTTCTGTTTGGGGCAAGTGGATACTGAGAGTGTGTAACAAGACCAAAACGGAGTCTCAAAATGTTCTCGATGGATTCGGTCTGAATTACTAGTGGTAATCGACTAAATACAACTATGCGAATGCAATATTAATGTGGACCGAACAACAAATACGCGCTCTAAATGTACAGAGGAGAAAAGAAAGGGTAGGGGTAGGTGAGATTAACTAGGGTCTTCATCGCCATGACCCTGAAAATGCCCCACCGGAGGCTTCATATACCCCGGGGTCAGGCCAGGGAGCAGGAGGTAGGGCTTCACTCCGTGATCACCCGTCGCGAAACACCAACGTCCCGCGCCCGCTTCTCGCCAAAGTTGTGCAAACGTTCCCCGATCAAATACACATCGTCTCGGATGTTGATGCGCCAGATAGCCACACGTCGGAGAGCGAGGTGGGTGGCCCATACGGCTAGAACGAACATGAGGGTAAGGGGGTAGACATAACGATAGACAAAGTGGGGCTCGGTATGGGAATAGAAAAGGGTCCAACGCAGAATGCACCCCAAGGTGAGGGGCACGGCGACCGCCGTAGTAGCGAAGAGTAATAGCGGCAGGATCAAGGCTCGCGTCGCCAGGTTCACGTTCGGTTTCAACCAGCCGTCACGGAAAATCCCGTTGAGAACCGCGGCAGCCCACGAGTGGGGGTGCCACAAAGTCAACTTGATCGCCATTTGTACGTACAATACCCCCAGCGTCCAGTCCTGGACCAGATGCATAACGTGGGATTCGCCATTTCCGATAAAGGTATATGTTGGGATCAGGATGTACAGCTCGACCAGAAGAGCGAAGAGAGACGGGAGGACAATGACCAGGGCTATGGCGATGTATAGCAGTCGCGCCGCCCCCGAAAACAACTGAATACACGCTTGGCCGAGCTGGCCCGGGGATTGCAGGTATGCAGTCGGGTTCTCACGCACCGCTTGAATGACCTGTCGGCAGTAGAAGGTCATATAGGAAAGCCCACCAATGACGGAGAGGCCTATGGAGAGAGCATAGATGTCGTTGACTGGAACTGGATTGGCGAAGCAGAATGAGATCACAGTGCGACCAATGACCAGAGGCACAACGGTGATGCCTACTCCAGTGACGGCCGCAAATAGCCAGATACAGAGGATAAACGCAGCGATGCGAGTCCGGAAGAAAGGTGGAATGTAGACTTTAGTAAACGAGGTACTGGAACGACCATGCAGCCCATCATCGGGATCGGGGTGGCCATCAACGCGTTCGTTATCCTCGGTCACGTCTAAAAACACCTGTGTTCCTTTCGGAATCCGAACCTGGTCCGAAGCGGGCGCCCGGACATATCGCCCGTTTCGTAGGAAATACACGTCGCGCTTTTCTTTTTCTGCGGCAGCCTGTTGATCATCCCCAATGACAGGATTTTCCCAATCACCCTTGCTTCCTGTGAGGAGACCCCACCACGTGCGGTAAACATGAGATCCCTCCTCTTCAGGATGTCTTTCGGGGAAGAAAAAGTTGCTGAGGCGCAGGAAATGGGCGCACTTGTGAAACCACCAATCGTACAGTTCGTGTAGCCCCTCTGAGGGCTTGAGAGATTGAATGGCCAATGGCATGACGAAGTTGTAAAATAGGAGATCCACCGGGAATTCTAGCATGGGGGCGCTGGCAGACCAATGGATTGGAAGAACGCCGTCAAATGCATAAAATAGGCCCCAAACAACGCCACCTAGGCAGACAATGACCAGGGCACCGTAGACCAAGGCGCTGAAGCCGATCTTACGGAGCTGGGTCGTGATGCTTCGTTCAAGAACATCACGAATAGGATGAAATGTCGGGTCATCAGGGTCGCGAATGAAATCTTGGGGTATGATGTTAGTATTGGAGACAATAGGTATCGATAAAGAAAAGAGACGACTTACATAAAACTCCGTTTCGCAAGATCTTGCGACACATTGAAACGAAGAGGGCAAAGTGGAACATATAGCAGGTGCCAATGAACCAGTGCACGAAGAGTGAAGTAAGAGGCGACGCAGCTGTGAATGCGATACGCGATGATATAGTGGCGTTAGAAAACAAGGGAAGCAAAGCCACATCCAGCAGAGTGCCACAGTAAAGTGGGAAGACAATCATCTCAATCCCTATAATGAGAATGACCTTCATTACTCCACCGGCCTGAAGAAGAACCTCAGCAACGATTCCCTCTGCGCGCTGGCCACGGCTGGGTCCTGACAACAACCCGGTAACACGAAGGTAGAGGAAACCCATGAATGTCGCTAGTAAGTAACCCATGGCGATGGCGATGACCCGGTCCTTAGTATTCCAAACAGCCAGTTCGTAGTCTATAGGTGACTGAGCCGACGCCGTCCTAGCAACACTGGTGTTCATCATTAGCTTCGTCCCGGAGCCAGACAGAATTGACGAAGTGAAGTTGCTGAGCTGTTGTTGAGTTTGAGCAACGGTCCTTGTTATCTGAGAGAGGTCAATATTGAATGAAAGGGCGCCTGGTATCCCCAGAGTAGCTAGGCGTAACGGGAAGTCATGCACAATGAACTTGACAACGGCAAGAGTCGATTGGAGGACGGCGGCGAGACGAGCTTGGTGGAGCTTCAGAGCCTGGTGAGAAAGCACAGAGAACATAGGTATATCTGATTCATGGAATACAAGAAATGCCTTGACAACCTTGTTCAATCGATCGGTGCTGGAGTCGATTAACGAAAGTGAAGCGGTGGTCACAGATTTGCCTCGTGTGATCCATTCCCCAGCAGGAAGAAAAGCGCCTAAGGGACCAAGCACGAGCTTGAACATGAAACTTAGCCAATACATCACGTAGCCTAGAACACCAATGAGTGTATCAAGAGCGATGTCCGCAACGACCGTGACGGCGGTCATTGGAACGCCCACGATCAGTTCCAAAGGATTAGCAAGGAGAACGAGGGCAATCTTGCCCCATAAGTAGGGAAGCCAGATGCCAATGGCCACAGTGAAAGCGATCAAAAGTGCACAGAAGACACCGTTTTGAAGGAGCCCAAAGATAGGACCCTGCATCCCGATGAGATCCATAATCCCTTCGAAATCATCCCCTTCAATTGCATCCATTTCGTTAGCGTCCAATACGCCATCGCCGCCAAGTCCTGCCATACCCTCATCCACAGGCGGCTCGCCTGCCCTGTTTGCCATGGGGACGAAAGGTTCTTCAAGTGCAGGATCTTGAACAATATGTTCGTCATCTTCAGGTACTTGTTCCGGGATGTCTAGCTGATCTGGTGTGACGTCTCCCCAGAACCAATCAACAAGTCGCCGAGCGGCACCCTTAGCAGGCTGGGGTTCATCAGCCTGCGTGTTGGTAGGTTCTGCCTCTTCTCTGGTAGGTGGTCCGTGATTGAGGTCGGCAGCGGCGAACGGCGAGCCATTCACAGGAATATGGGGGTCGAGATGATCAGCCACTGCCTCGAAAGCCTGGTGGACTTCAGAGGGCTCTGTAATATTGAGGTCATCTTCACGGTTAGAAGGTTGGGCAACATGCGGAGGAACACGAGTCAGTGCGTTGACGATCCAGCCCAGCCGGTCCTCATGGCCTTCCTCTCGAATCAGTCTCAATATTTCATCTCGGTCGCCATTACCCCGAGCCAGAATATCCTGGAAAATAGCGACTTCAGAGCGCTCGGATGCTTCTTGGGGCTCTACCTCGGAATTTTCTCCAAAGAGGTCTCTACGGAGGCCATTGTCATGGAATCCAGCCTGCCGCTCAAAGATTGGAAGACCATCATCCGAATCAGTCCAGGAAGGCGCAGGCGAGTGGTTGGCAGACCGAAAAGGGCGTTCATCGTCCACTGGCTCAGGAAGATCATTTTGTTCCGGTTCTACTTCGGCATGCGGGCGAGGTGGAAAATTTCCAGGGCGAGGGGCTTGAAGTTCTTCGTTTGGAGGGTTATTCGCGATTAATTGCAAGGCTGCTTCACGCTCTCCCTCAGCAATATTGGCCATGGGCTGCTGTTGAACAACCCATTCTCGAATCAAGAAGAGAAGAATGAACGCAACTACCACAAGAAGAGTGATCAGCTGGCCTTCCAATGTGTCGATGATCATGTTGTTGATCGTGGGATACGGTGTCAATTTATTGAGAAACTTGACGTCCGAAAGCCAGGATGGATATCTCTGCTTCGCCGCAACCATGGAGCCATTGGGACTGGTGGTGTTCTGGTTGACAGTCGATGTTAATGCAGGAATGAAAAGGCTTGGTATAATTTTCTTGAAGAGCGTGAGCATGAGAGGGTCACCGGCGGGAAGGCCGGTGCCCGGCGCGTGTATTGAGGGTGCCGGGCCAGAGGAGGACTGAACAGCGCTCGAGATGGCGGCGGTCGCTGAGCTGATGACGGATGTGGTATTAGCTGCCCACTGGGCCGCATCATTTTGAGTCGATTGTAAAGTTCGCTGCTGAACGGTTCCCCCAGCTGACCAACGGCCATCCGCAAGCCAGAATAACGCCCTCCATATTGCACGCATCGACCACGGCAGCCAACCCAGCCATACGAATGCGACGAGAACAAATCGCAGCCATGTGACCAAGGTTCCAAGCGATTGAAGCAAGGCTTGTTTCAGAAACAATGGAGTCGGAAGGTTCTGGGGCATATTCGGGTCATATAGCTTGGTAAAGCGGAACGGGGTTTTGCAGAGCTCGCAGTGTTTCTTTTGTGAATGGGCGAGCCATTCCACCAAGCAGCTCTGGTGAACAAACTTGATGCTGCCACTGCACTTGCAAGGATAGAACAGAGGCTCATCATCGGTTGCCTCCCCATGGCATATCCGACAGGTATCAATGTCTTCCAGCCCTCGTTCCCTCTCGTCAAAAGCTGGGTCGTTCATTAGGTCGGGAAACGAGGCCGGGTCCGCAGGAGCGCGGGTGTCGTGTATCGGAATCTCCATCGTCTTTATTTGGTGACGGCTTGGCTCGTCAGGCAACACGGCCTTTAACAACTTTGCATCATAGCCTCAGAAGCATTGATGGAGCGCAAGGCCGCCGACTCTCAGTCGGGTAGGAATATAAATGGAGGTTGATGATCGGAGAAGTGAGTAATCTGGTGTCAAAGGATTCCAACAAGTCAGCGTAATTCAAGGGCTGAACGCTCCGGCGTGAGATGTCCAAGGAAGGGTGAGTCATACCAGAAGACCGACTAAAAGAACTACCCAAGTGAAGTCCAGCAGTCCCCGAAATGCGGTGGATATCTGATTCTCAACTTGAGTTGTCCGCAAGTATGATTTGGTGGCGGTCGAGTCGGGCCTTCCCACTTCGCGGCTGCTCGTTTCCGCCGTGCTGACTTATCTGTATTCGTATTACCGAGCGCCCGCCGCTGACCAGCTGTTCCGAAACGTCAAGGTGCATGTAATGACGTACGACTTGGTTCGACCTGGGCCACCGATGACCTCACTGCTCTGAGGTGATCAAGTCGCGGACCAAAAAGCCATTCGTGCCTCGGATTTGATCTTCCCCAGGTACTCAGTGTTCCTGAGAAGCGTCCCGCTGTCTGGTCGGCGTTCATAGAAGCTTTCAACGTTCACCCGTCCGCGACCTCGGAATCACATTACTGATCGTGTTCTGGCCCGCGGTTCGTGAATTGCTCCTAGCGCCAAGGCCGACGCGAACATTCCTCTCCGTACACAACTTCCTTCGTCAGCAGCAACCTCATCGTCCCCCAGCTGCAGCAACGCGGGAGTCCCGACATCGAGTACGTCGACTCGATGAGAGAATAGCTCTTTGTGATCGGAGCTTGAGACCCCTGTGAATACCGGTACCTTCAGGGGGACCATATTCCCAGCTTTTTTAAAGCTTGCCAGCCAGCATGACAGTGAAGGAAAATGGGCATGCGGAGGTGGTGATGAAGCCGAAAAAAGAGGCCGATCGTGTGCCTGAGAAAAGCACGTTGCGGTGGACAATGGGCTTGGTTGTGCGGTAGGTCTTGAAACAACTCCTCAATCTCATTTTCGATGTCTTTGCACCGAGGCCTCTCTTGGAGCATCATCCCTCTATCCGACACCATTGGAATTCCTGCAGGGATATGATACCCATATACAGTGCCTAGATGAGTTAATGATTAATTTTATTCAGGCTATGTATCTGGTACACGCTACTCACTCCCTTTTTCCGATGTCCTTCACGTCTTGCAGACTTGGACGGAACTTCACCTCGAGTCTGCCAGCCTTACCTGATTGCTCGGTCGCATGTGGAACCATTCGTCACCCCATACTATGATACCTATGCGGCACCCTATGTGGATCAGGCACGGCCGTATGTCGAGGTGTTCAATCATCAAGTCTACACCCCGGCATCGAAAATTGCCAAGTCGGGCTACGAGAAATACGGTTCTCCCGCATGGCAGCAAGCTCAGAGGTTCGGCGCGGCGCAATGGAAAGCGCAGGTTACTCCAAGACTAGAGGCCGCTCACGGTAAGGCAAATCAGCTCTACCTGACTGAGGTGGACCCCTACGTGCAGCGGGGTGTTGCTGTCGTGTCGCCTTACTACCAGAAAGCTCACACGGCGCTGCTTACGGTCTATTGGGATCATTTCGTACCGATGTACACCCGATCCCAGCCCTTCATCGGCAAGACCTATTCTGCCAGTCATGAAATTTTGGTAACCCATGTTATGCCCGGTGCACGCTATACCTGGTCCTCAGTGGTCTATTTCGCAAACAGTTCGCTCTGGCCACATTTAACAGGGCTCTACTCGGAACAGGTAGAGCCCCAGCTAGTCAAAATTGGCCAGCGTCTGGCTAGCTATAGGGAAGGAAAGCGATTGCGTGCAGTTCTTGAAGATACAGAGAGGTAAGGAAGACCATTATTCATATAGTTTGAGTGTCTGTTTAACAATGAGATCCGCAGTTCATCGGAGCAGCTTGTATTTTCTACGGTGAGCACTGCGAAGGTTGAACCTCGCACTTCAACAAGCTCCAAAACCACTACCACTACAGCCACCGAAATTGTCTCTGTACAGCCCACTTTGTCAGCCATCGAACAAGCCCAGGCCGCGCGTGCCCGTATCAACTCAGACCTTCAGAGATGGCAAGATAAATTTGCCGTTGCAGCTGACAAGGGAATTGAAGACCTCGAAGATCGCATCGAGGAAATTGTCGCCGCGCTTATTGCCAGCAGTGCGAACAGCCATGGGCAGAGTCTGTCAAATGCCCTTCAGACAGTGGCCACTGCACAGGTTTCTGTGATCAAGCAGCGGATCAATGAGCTTGTCGAGCCACTCCCCGAAGAAGATGCTCCCGAAGCCGAAGAGGCTGCCCGCGATCAGCTTGTCACTGATATTCGAACTTCTGCGATCTCAGTGCGTGATCGTGCTCATTCCCTCCGCGAGTGGTCTTTGGCATTCGATGACGAGCTGATCCGCCGAGTTTCTGCCGCTGTGAACTCCACACTCGACATCCTTGACAGCATTCGTAGCTTGGGGTTGCAAGAGATTGGTACTCGGTGGGCTTGGATGGATGATGTCACCTACAAAGACTGGGCAAGATACCACGCCCTCAAACTTCAACTGGAGGATTGGCGCAACGAGATCCGCAACATTGGTATGAACCACAAGTCGATTGCAGGTGCTAGATCTGTAGCCACTGGCATCTTGGATACTGCGATGGAAGTCGCTGAAGATACTGCCAAAGAGCTCGTGAGACTCAAGGATGTCGGTCATTGGAAGATTGCCGCTCGTGAAATTAGCGACAACTTTGATACTCGAACTGAGCCTCCCCCTCCCAGACCCAAACCTGAGGAAGAGGGCCAGGAGGCTGAAGCAGCCGAAGAAACACCCACAACTGAGCACGACGATATAGTCTCTGGCGAACCTACAGACTCAACTACCTCTCCAGATGAGAAAATTACAGAGGAGCCCACGCTGAGTTCGAGCGATTATATCTCAAACGAAAGTGATGAGACCGATGAACCAGTTGGAACCGAATCGGAACGTGAACTTGACGATGAAGGGATTTTCTCACATGATACTGCGAACGAGTACATCCACTCCTCCACCAGGCCTGCCTTCGGTGTTGCGGCTGCGCATGTCGGATCTCAACAAGATCCCATCCTTGATGACGAAGAGCAGGATACGTTCCACAACTTGGCAAGCATGGCTAGTGACGCTTACGCCGAGGCAAACTCTGCTTTTGCCGATTCAACCTCGCAGGCAAAGGTTCTCTACGACATCGCGAAGTCCCAGGTAATGGGCCAAATGACTCAAACCAGCGCCCCCGCGCAGGACCAGCTTCTGTCTTCTATTGAGTCCGCTTACTCCGGTGCTGTGAAATATGCGACTGAGGAGTGGGAAGCTCGTTTTGGTCTTGTCAGAGCAACGCCCACAATTGCAGGGCCCTTGGCTCACATCTCTTCCGTTGCATCTTCCCGTCTCAGTGAAGGCCTGAGCCTCGCTTCTGAGCATCTCGTGCCACAAACTGCTCCCGCAACTACATCTGCTGGCTTTCCTCCTTTTGTTCTCGACGCACAGCGGCGGTACTACGAGGCTGTTGGTCTTGCCCACGAACACTACACTGCATTTGTCTCTACTGCTTCCAATGCAGTTTATGGTACGCCTACCCCAACTGGCGCTCTGGAGTCTCTCTCCAGCCAGGCATCTGAAAACTGGGAGATGCTTGTCTCCAAGGCCAGCGAGCAGATTTACGGCACACCGGCTCCATATCTGCAGCGCGTAGTGGGGGATCAACTGCCGCAACTGGAGGCAATCCAGGATATTGTCTCGGAGTTGCTTGTTGGTAAACAACCCTCGTTCACTGAGAGCATTATGAGCAAACTCCGCGTCGCCTATGAGACTCCTTATCCTGCGGCAGCAGTGTCCTCTGCATCGAGCTACATCAGTGGGACCTACGAATCAGCCTCTTCCGCTGCGGATGCCTTTATCTCCGAAATTCCTAGTGTGGAGGATATAATGCAACAAGCAAACGACCAACTTAATGCTGCCGTTGAGGCTGCCAGTGTTGGAATTTACGGCACTCCTAAAGGTCCATACGAAAAGGCCACCGATGCTGCCACGGAGGCTTTCTCAACGGCTTCCGCTCAGATCAGCGATGCTATCTATGGCCACGAATCCGGCTACATCAACATTGCTAAGGAGGCAATCGATGACATCCGGTCCAAAGCCAGTGTCGCAATCTACACCGAAGAGCCGGGTGTCATGGAAAGCGCCACCAGCCGCCTTGCTGCTGCCGTTGAGAGCGCCCAGTCGCAACTGGTGGACCTCGCCTCTGGTGCAAGCAACGTTGCCTCCGAGGCTGCTGAGGCTGCTGCTTCTCATGTGGATGAGGCAACAAGCAGCGTCAAGGCTGCTATCTCCTCTACACCCAAGGATGAGCTGTAAACGACTCTTGCTTCTGTTCTGTTACTGTTATATCGACGCTTTCCCCCTCCCCCTTGTCTTCCATCCACTCTTTCCTGTTGAAATGTGTCGCTCTAAAACCGGCTCCTTGCCTGCCCATGGCATATTTGGCCTGGTTCTTCGATGCTTTATTCCCCATATAGTTTGTTACGACGGCGATATGCTCATGACCCCCCCCCCCCCCAAAGATGCAAAGTGATGTTTTGTCTTTCCATTCTCGGCTTCTATTCTTATTTTGTCTGAATCTGCCGTCACTCCCGGAGGTGTGCTTTTGTCTTCTGAAGGTGAGATGTAATCTTGAGTACATAATGAAACGCTTTCTGAATAATTCGAATGGCTGCTTCGAATCCCCATTCTAGATAGAGTCATCCTCCTAGATTAAATTCGGTTGTCCAGAGTAGGTTGGTGACAGCCTTCATCGAAGTCAAGCTCAAGATCTCCAGTCAACTACCTGAATTGAGGATACATTTCCTCGTTCAGTCATTTCCAGTTCCTGGACAGATTGCACATAAGGTGGAGTTTTGTTGAGGAGCACCGATATGTCTCGTCAACCAATGATGTCGCCTCACAGGCAGAGCAGGTTGGTCAAGCAGGCTGCGTAGATATCGAAACTGATGTCTCCATTGAACCCTCGATTCAACGAGTACGGTGCTTCACACGATCGCCCTTCTTCTCCCTCTTCATCTCCCGCTTGCTCATGGGTGCACTATAATCTCCCCCCCTCATCACCACCGCCCATGCCCGCAAAGCCTTTCTTCACGCCCATGACAGTGGAGTAGGCCAGGTAGATCGAATACAGTGGTACGATGGCCCACAGCCACCATGCACGATCATTGAATATACAAACGGCAACAATGCACCCCTCAGTCCAATACAGAATGTCCCACATGTACTCGGTCAAGCCAGTTGCGTTGAGGTCTTCCCCGGCCGAGCGCAGGGAACCATCCTCATTATAGCGGGGGCGGCCTACACGGTCCAAATAGAATTCAATGACAAGAGTTGGGACAGCTAGGAGCACATATGGCTTCAGGGAGCGTGGTCGCTGGAACATGAAGTGCAGGAAGAGATAGAGGGCATGCAGCGCGGCGGTGGTCAGATGGGTCCGATTGAGGACGGCGGCATTGCGAGTGGCCAGCGTCTTCGCAGCTTTCTTTGGATGTGTTAGCCTGCTTAAACTTCTCTGGCTCCTTTGGAAGCTTACCTGTGCCATGGTGTCGAGAACCTTGTTGAGAGAGGTAGAAGAGAAGACCAAGCCGTGAACGTGCGGAGAAAGGTGATCTCCGTGGTTGTACGGCAGAGAGCGGCCCAGTGCAGGAGCCCCAAGGAGCTCGTGGTGACCGCCTTGGTCTCCGCCTTCAGAGCTGGATACACGTCTATTTCATAATAAGAATCATAGTCATCATCATCGTCATATTCCACCATGCAGCCCACACAGTTCTATGGCTCACATGTTCCTGAAGTTTCACACGTGCAGTAATCAGGGGAATCTGTAAGGCTCTAGCTTTACATCTTGTAGAAACCCTAGAATCGGGAAACGGATGCGCAAGCAACCTCTGAACTTAAATATGTCAGAATATTCCTCTCTATATAAAAGGATACAGGCCAATTTTCCGATCGTTTAAGATTATAGTTTCTTGCACATCAATTATAAGTCAAGTTGAAAATATGAAGGGCATCTTGCAACACCTGGGAGCCTCCGCGACGTGATTGTTGCCCTCCACGACCCCCACCGCCCGGCAGAAACACTCCAGCACCAAACCAAATGCAACCAAAATAAGACCGAATGAAACCACCGTCTAAACAACCTCCATCCTGCGCCCGCCTTTACTCAGCACCAACACGGTACGATGTGCGCGTCGCTGTGACAGACTCTTTTGGGTCTACAGACCATGTTCCAACAGGTCTTTCCAGTGCACCGCGACACCAGCTTCCTTCACCTTCCGCATTCAGTTTACATTCCACGATCCGCTTGCTGCATCCTTCCCGATCCAGATCGGTAATCAACTCCTCTCTCCAGATCAGATCCTTAAGGTCCGGGGCTGCCTTTTCTGTCTCATGTCTGGTGGGTGTTGACGGGCAGCTCTTTATCGGTTCCATCCTCTGGGATCGCGTCCCGCCCCCCGCGCGCCACCATGGCTCTGTCAACAGGCCATGTGGCCAGCCAACTGAGGCACCTAGTTTACTACCACCTTGACAACAATCTCATTCGCAACGCGCTCTTTCTCGCCGGACGTCTTCATGCCTACGAACCACGATCATTCGAAGCCCAGTACCTACTTTCGCTGTGCCACCTGCATAATGGAGAGGTCAAAGCCGCATTGGAGTGCAGCCAGGGTTCTGGATCGCGCGGTCTACATGTGGGCTGTGCATATGTCTATGCGCAAGCTTGTTTGGATCTGGGGAAATACCTGGATGGTGTGACTGCCCTGGAGCGGAGTAAATCTCTCTGGGCGTCAAAAAACCATTGGAGTAAGGCGTTCCCAGGTCACCACTTCACATCATTTGAGAAATATTTGATCTAACCTTTTGGTCCAGACAAACACAGTGAAACTCAAAGACAGCATCTTCCAGATGCAGCTGCAGTCTTCTGTCTGCTGGGGAAGCTATGGCATGCACACAAGGATTTGAACAAAGCAGTAGACTGCTATGTGGATTCCTTGAAACTGAATCCATTCATGTGGGATGCTTTTTTGGGGCTTTGTGCAACAGGTACGTCTTCATGCTAAGGAAATTCAGAAGTCATATTTTCAACCTAACGTTTAATGTGCCAGGCGTCAATATCCGCGTCCCTAATATCTACCAACTTAACCCAGAACTACTTGCCATCATCTCAACCTCTCCTAACGATCTAGACTCTGTTCACGGTCTCGGTCAATCTTCACCAACTGAAGGGTTTTTCCCTACTCAAACAATTGGAGCTACGACCACAGATCCCTTTATGGTTGTTACATCACAGACTGAAGCTGATTCTACATATGGAAGCTCTGCTCTCTGGGGGAAGCTCAATGGAAGCTCCGTTAGCGTGGCATCGGCAGTGCCACCGATGAAGCATGAGGGGATGGAAACCCCAAGCGGTCCAAGCAGTGGCTCAGACGATTTCCGTATTGCAAATGGTGTCACCGATCCAGAATCCTCATGGGAGCCACCCTTGGCGCCTGCAAGGAAAAATCGGACAATTCAGACGATGAGCCTAGACCAGACAAGTCAACCTCCACCCAGAATGCGACCAACTGGGATTCGACCGAGGATCAAACCAAGAACAGAGCCAGAAGAACCTCCTTTTGTCCCGTCAGACAGAGATCCCCCGCCTGCTCCGCGAATTGGGGATCGAAAACGCACAGTTTCTGGCCAAGTTGCTCACCCCCTTCCTCCTCAGCCGATTGAGCCTGGTGCTCCCCAACGGCGCAGTGTGAGGTTATTCAATCAGATTAAACCCACGACTAGTAAACTCTCGAACTCCACCCTGATGGGCAGAGATGGCCGCGAGGTGAAAAAGGTCAGAAGTGGGAACACTAAAGGTCGAACTGCAACAACATCCACAGTGGGCCGTGTGGTGAGTGGCAATCGAAAACCTATGGAGTCGACCGATCACGATGGCAAGGAACCTCGTGCTGCGTCAGTTCCGTCTACTTCTGTTCCTCCTCTCCCTAAAAATGCCGAAAAAACTAAAGAACTTGAGGCTCTGAATTGGCTTCTTGGACTGTTCACAAAATTAGCATCTGGATATTGCGCATTGTCACGGTACAAATGTCCCGATGCAATCCAGCATTTCAATTCATTATCCCAGGGTCAACGAGAGACTCCTTGGGTTTTGGCTCAGCTTGGCCGAGCTTACTTTGAACAAGCGATGTATGCAGAGTCTGCCAAATACTTCGCTCGCGTCCAGAACTTGGCACCTTCCCGCATTGAAGATATGGAAATCTATTCGACCGTTCTTTGGCATTTGAAGAATGACGTTGAGCTCGCATACCTTGCCCACCAGTTGCTGGAGTCTGATCGACTGTCTCCCCAGGCTTGGTGCGCTATTGGCAATTCATTTTCCCATCAGCGGGACCACGATCAAGCCCTAAAATGCTTCAAGCGTGCTACCATGTTGGATCCTGAATTTGCCTATGCCTTCTCCCTCCAAGGCCACGAATACGTGGCCAATGAAGAATATGACAAAGCTCTGGATGCCTATCGCCATGGTATCAACGCAGACAACCGTCACTACAACGCCTGGTACGGATTGGGCACAGTTTATGATAAGATGGGCAAGCTCGATTTTGCTGAGCAACACTTCCGCAATGCGGCTTCTATCAATCCCACTAATGCGGTCCTCATTTGCTGCATTGGTTTGGTCATGGAGAAGATGAATAACCCGAAGAGTGCCCTGGTTCATTACGAACGAGCTTGCTCATTGGCACCGCACTCCGTTCTAGCCCGATTCCGCAAAGCTCGTGTATTGATGAAGCTGCGCGAATTTAAATTTGCATTGGGCGAGCTCAAAGTCCTCAAGGATATGGCACCCGATGAGGCTAACGTACACTTTTTGCTCGGCCGACTGTACAAAATGCTTCGCGACAAAGCTAATGCCATTAAACACTTCACTACGGCCTTGAATTTGGACCCGAAGGTAAGAATTTTGTTATTTCCCCGATCCCCCGCGAAAGTCCCCGACTGACTTGTGTTCATCTATGACAGGCTGCCCAATTCATCAAGGACGCAATGGAGTCGTTGGACGATGATGATATGGACGATGACGACATAGCATGATCCATCCACTAGACCTGTGATGCTTCCTGGTCTTGTGGCCCCCTTTCTTCGCTTTCTTTTTGTGATTGGGTGGGTAGGGTGGACTTCGTCTTTCAAGCTTGGCGTTCCCGGTCCAATTTTTCTCAGTTCATTTTCTCTGCACAGCATCACCGGGGGGAGTTCTTTTTTCCAGGTCTCTCTAGACTTCTGGCATTAGGTTTGGTGTTTTGTACATTAATGTGTGACAGTTGAGCCCATGACGATGAACCTATGAGGCATAGCATAATCCATTATTATCATTACCATCTGATTTTGAGGGTGTGTTTAGACTGCTATTAGAAGCATTTAGTTGTCTTATCTGTCATTTGTCCCTATTGAGAGATTTCATCCTCCCTGAAACTAACCTTTGTGTTTTGAATTTTCAGGTGCATTCATGGCTTAGGGCTAGACTAGCAGTCAGGTGATAGATAATGTACGGCTGTCTAATCCAGCTTCTATGATCGCACTGGCAGGCCCACCTCACTGTCGAGTTAATTTATTTGCAGGGTCAGGATGCCCTTTTTGCATTTTGCATTGGCGAATTACCGGGGTTTAAGTCCAGCTATTGGCGTCGGACATGGCGTATTGTATTCTAGCCCTCGTGTTGCTTGACATCCTGGAACGCACCTTTCAAAATGGACTTTAGGGGCGGAGCAACCTGCAGCTGTTTATTACCATTCGAGTCCTACTGGGCTTGGAGAGAAGACATTGAGTAGTAGGTTCGCAACTGAGCACGCATTTCGGGGAAGATCATGATACAATAATAGCGCAGAAATTACTCGGTGATCAGATAAGAGTACTGACTTCTTCTTACGCAATATACGTATATAGTTGAGAGTAGTATTTAGGTGGCCGAAAGTAACTAGTAAACAAACTATCGCTATACTAACAGCCACCGGTTTGGACCTCTGCAACGTATCCTTCAAAATCCTCCTTATTTTGCTACTCAGAGCTAAGGCATTAATATAGGTATTGGTAAGGTCTATATTCTTTTACCTGTCGGCGTATCGCATTAAATGGGTGTCTTGTCCCCGGAAGAACAAGCTTAAGAAACTAATATTGGATATTTTTCCGCCACAGGGGGCTATTATCCTCCTTGTTGAGATCGATATCGGATCTTGTTGCACATATACACGGAGACAATAGTACCATTAGCATGCGGTCTCGTTCCAATTTTCGCGCTTCGGTCGCGCCGTGTGAGTGCTCGTCCGCCGCCTCGGACGCGGCGAGGGATTCGTCTTTTATGGTACCTTCGGCTTCTGCCATCAGGAATAATGGCTGCTATCAGGGGGGATTGCTTGATCAGTCTCAGTGGGGTTGGGGTCACGTGCTGAACTGATGCTCACTGACGAGCTGAGGCCGCTCAAAGGTGTCTACAACTCTACTCAATAAATCGAATATAATGATAGACTGCGCTGGGTCCCTGTGGAGCTCTAGGTCTATGAATGATTATCCACGAGACACTCCCCACCATTGTCCGTCAGCCTGGATAAGAGAGATACAGGGGTGGACAGGAGTATAGAAGTACTTGTCGATACCTTTACACTATATTGGGTTAGCGTAGTGTTGAGGATAAGGTTGAACATGGATGGATTAGGCCGTCCTCGTGGCCGGTGGTGCCCATGATTCGCTGCTGCCGTCACCTGCCGCGGTCAGCTGGCGGTGAGTCGGCCGGGCAAAAAAAGCAGCTTCAACTCCGCAGTCCCGCACAAGATATGGCTCTCGCTCCTTGAGACTCGATTACTCGCATTCCTCTAGTGGCCTGCGGCCATTCACACCAGAAAGAGGTCAGAATACCTGTTCATTCGCTCTATCTTTCAGACCTAACCTCAGATATTTCCTAACAGTCCCAACAATTCAACAGTTCTCTTCTCGAGATCGATTCCACCGCCATGTCGATCAGTTCCTATATCCTTTCAGGCATCAGCTCCTTTGTGGTGGTAACGTTGTCACTTTTTGCACTCGGTCAAAAAGTGCCCCGAGCCGCCTTTGTTGCCCGCTGTCTTGCTGCATATGGCTCCCTGCTCCTATGCGCAACCTACGGTGTCATTGCATCGATCATTCTCCGCTTGGTCGGCTACGGTCGTATCTCACAATGGGCCACCGCCCGGAGCTTTAAGTGGGTGATGCGCTACACCACCGGTGTCAGGTTTGATATTGTCGAGGGCCAAGAACACCTCACCACGCGGCCGGCCATTTTCATTGGCAACCATCAGACTGAGCTGGACGTCCTCATGCTCGGCGCGATCTTCCCTCCGTACTGCAGTGTCACCGCAAAGAAGTCTCTACGTAACGTGCCCTTCCTTGGCTGGTTTATGTCCCTTTCTCGTACCGTGTTTATCGATCGTGCCAACCGTGAGAATGCGATGAAAGCCTTTGATGGTGCCGTGGAGGAGATGCACAAGCATCGCCAGAGTGTCTTCATCTTCCCGGAGGGGACACGGAGTTATTCTGATCAGCCCACTCTGCTGCCATTCAAGAAGGGGGCTTTTCATCTGGCTGTCAAGGCCGGTGTGCCTATTGTGCCAGTCGTTACCGAAAACTATTCGCATGTGATGTCGCCTCGTAATCTGCGGTTCAATGCAGGCACTATCAAAGTCAAGGGTCGGTTTCAATTAACAAGCTGCTGGGAAACTTATCTGACATTTTTATTTTAGTGCTTCCTCCAATTTTGACTAAAGATTTGACCTCTGCCGATGTGGACCAACTCACTCTGTCTACTCGCGAGTCCATGCTCCAAACAATCAAGGACATGGCCGAGGCCCAGGGAAACAAGGTTGAGGAGTCATCGCGCCCCAATGGCGTTTCAACTGCTATCGAGATTTAAGCTCTCACATGCTGCTACAAGTCACTGGGATCTTGGATATCCCCGAGAAATTTCTCGCGCCAACAAACACAGAACTCCAGAAGACTCGCCCTCCCCCATCACCGTTATCTCACTACTTCAACTAGGACAGCAGTCCACCTGTTTCAACCCTCACTGCTATAAATTGCCATTCTCATTCAGTACATACAAACGCATTATTCCACAAAGCGCCACAACTAGAAGAAAGACCTTTTTCTCCCAATTTAGCTTCTATCGCTGTTTTCGGTCCCCGGGTACGTGGATACCCCCATGGAATTATGGCAATCAGCATTTTTGCTTTCCTGATGGTTCGGTAAGGAAGGAGGGGGGGCGGGGGCGCTGACACTTTGTTGCCCCTGCTTTGGCATATCTTTAGGCACCTGATTTGTTTACTCATCAGCTCGATCCTAGGTTGCTGGGATCCATGCAAATTGCCCTTCCCTATCCTTCTGCTTCTTTACCCTCCTCTCCTTGCTAATCCTTGATGTATATATTCTTACCACGAAAAGATGTCATGACCTTGTTAATGCTTCTTGAATTTTTATCTTCACTCGTTTTGAGCCTGTTTAGAGTTGTGTGGCTATAGAGAACGGCGTTGGCTGAAAACGTATATTGTTACCTATACGCCCTTTGAATAATATATCCTTTATAAACACCCTTTTCTAGACCAAATGTTGCTTAGCTTCGACAAATTAACCTTCTGCTGCTTCGTATCGAACTGCTGACTACTGTCTACGGAGACTTCAGATAGTAGTACCCTGAACCCCGACAAGCAGATCGATGGAGTGATTTTGAGAGTATTCTAGGATTGAATGGAAAGTTGACCGACATTGAAGTGTTGCATCCGCACCAGCTACTCTCATCGAGCTACTATGATTGAATTACCTGCAAAACCCACATATTCATTATTTTAAATTCAAGGAACTCAATGTGATATCATATAAATGCAAGGTCCTAATCTCATGATACGACAAAACAAGCTAATCGAAATGGCCCAAGGAATAAATTTAAAACTCTCGAGAGCACCATCTATGTCTAACCGTGCACCTGCACAGCTGACAGAACGCTTCTGTTGTTGGTCGGGTGTACACAGCGGCCTTCAGCGCAGGCTCGGATATCAAGCTCGATGTCAACCTCCTGCATGGGAAGCCAAGGATCTGTAATGGCAAAAGGTATGCGCCAAGGATTCATATCCCCAATCAGTTTCCTGGTGCATAAGGGAATACGCCTTTCTTCCGTCTGTCCATCAGGCAAGATGAGCCTAATTTCGCCTTGGGGGCAGTGTGGTTGGTCCTTTTGGCAGTTTTGGGGAATGACACCCACCGAGGCCCCACTACCCGCAGTAGCGATGATATAGTCAGACTCGAAAGATTGAAGTTGAATGCGGACATCATCTAGCGGTCGACCTGCTCGAGAGATTTTAACTCTTGTATACGGCACACCCCAATTTTTGGTTGATTGGGGAATATGTTTTTTATCGCGAGAGACGCCGTAAGGCTTAGAAGCTTGTAAGGGATCGACTGGATCTGGTGGAATCACATTTGAGAATTCAAGGGTGCGCACCCAGGGGGCTAGGAGGGCATCGCCGGTCATTTTGAGATAGGCTTCTTTGAGAGCCCAGTAAGAGTAGAACAGACGAAGTCCATATTCAATGACGGTTCCATCATCGTCTGAGGGAAAGCTTTTGGCAAAACCAAGCTCTCGAGCCTGATGAAGAGTTGAAATAGGATTCTTCATGATCGCCAATTCGCCGGGTGAGAACACTTCAGAGAAAATAGATACGAACTCAATAAAGTCTCCGATGGTTGTCATGGGTTTGCGGCGTTCATTAACGCATGTGACATCGATACCCAGTCGCGGAGGGATAAATGAAATAGCCTTAGCTGTGTTTTTTTGTAGCATCTCATCATTGGGAGCAAGAGTACCAGCCAGAATGGTCAGTGATGCTTGGTGGCTGACGTTGAACTCGACCTGGGTAGCTGAGCCAGACGCATAATAGGGACGATTCTGCGGGGCAGCAGTACGGCTGAACACAATGTCCTTCCAGGGGACACCACAAGTATGGTGAATGAATAAGTATTTTAGCAAATGGGATGCCAAAGACATGCGCTTGTCCGCTGCATGGTGAAACTTGGTCACAGCCTGTTGTTCGGCGGGGCGAAGGGCGTGCAACATAGGAAGATCTAGGCCATTAGCCTCCCATTCACGAGTATCAATGTACCAGCGCATCAATGTGGGGAATCCATCAAAAATAGCATCGCAATTCTCATCTTTGAGCGGGCTTCGCAGGACATCATCCAAGCTGATCTCATTGGCTGCCATTGTGTCGAAGAGATGGGTTGTATAGAACCAGTATCAACAAGTGGTCCAGTTCTGGAGAAAGAGAGCAGATTAACCCCCCGTTAAGTGTTCATGCTCCTGATTTTTATTAGTGAGTATCTCTCCTATTTGTCTCTTTCTCTTCTCTGTAAACTGGCGTTGCAGAGATGTCAACGTATCACAAGCCCCGCCAGGAACACACCGTTATCGGCTTATCAGAGTTCACGTGGCGATAGAAAAGTTCCCGATAAAGAAATTCCCCGCGGAAAGTTTGCATCACGTGCCTTTAGAGTCATATTGAATGGGCGAATCTACGCCTCTTTCTACTCCTTGCCACTACAGAATGACAGTCACAGTTGGAGTTCTTGCCTTGCAGGGCGCATTCATAGAGCATGTGCAATTGCTGAAAAAGGCTGCCGAGCAGGAGCAGCTGTCGAATTGGGAATTCATTGAGGTCCGAACGCCACAGGAACTTGCCAAATGCGATGGACTCGTCCTGCCTGGTGGTGAGAGTACCACCATGTCTCTGGTCGCAGCGCGATCGAACATCCTAGAGCCACTGAGAGATTTTGTCAAGTATGTATCGTTACACCTTGATGTTGGGCCATTAGTCTTATCTAACATGGCAATTTTACAGAGTGGACCGCAAGCCGACTTGGGGTACTTGCGCAGGTCTAATTCTCCTTGCAGAGTCGGCCAACAAGACCAAGAAGGGTGGCCAAGAACTCATTGGTGGGCTTGATGTTCGAGTCAACCGCAATCACTTTGGTCGGCAAACGGAGAGCTTCCAAGGCCCATTGGACCTACCCTTCCTAGGCCAGGATGCTGCACCATTTCCCGCTGTTTTCATCCGAGCTCCTATCGTGGAGTGCATTTTGCCTCATCATGACGGTATCCAGCTTGGGGAGGTTGAACGGGAAGACACTGTTGTTGCCCCCTCCAGGCAAGTTAAGGATTCGGTGGCAGAAGCTGCGACCGCCGATCACGTCGAGGTGCTGGCCACCTTGTCCGGTGCAGCAGCTCTCAGCGCCACACAAGGACGTGATATCAGCCCAGACTCAGAAATCGGTGATGTTGTGGCTGTCCGCCAGGGCAACGTATTTGGGACGAGCTTTCACCCGGAGCTGACCGGAGATGCCAGGATTCACGCTTGGTGGTTACACCAGGTGGAATCCGATGTGAATAGAAGGAAGAAGTTGAGCCAATAGACCTAGCATTTTAGAGGGCACTGCGAAGAAATTTGTAAATAAGGTTTCGAATGAATAGAATTTCGAGTCTCTTCTAATTGCTTTCCATTTCCACGCCTGTGAAAAATAACGCCATTTTGCCAGCTCCGACACCTTGTTGCTGATCCTTATCCAAATCACCTTACCTCCCTTGCCCATACTCATCCTCTTCTCGTTGACGCTGCTCATCGTATGCACGGCCATAGCCACCACGGCCTGGATCGTATTCCTCTCGGTATTCATCACGGACCTGACCACCAGATTTACCGCGTCTGTCAGATTGAAATCAGAAAATGTCGAGAATAATAGTTTTATCCATAACCCTAATGTGTCGACATACCCATACTGTCGCCCCTCCTCAAAACCAGGGTCCAGGTCGGTTCGAATAATGCGTTCGTCCAGCTTGGTGCCTCCAACATACTTCAAACAATCGAGCGCATCTTGGTGTGTGTAGTATTCGACGAAGCAAAATCCGCAAGGTGTTTTGTTAAACCGGTCGAGACCCATGACCAGGCGCTTGATCTCACCACATCTAGCGATTGGAGTTAAAATTAGCCTGTGGACCCTGCGACCGTTATGCGCACTTACTTGGCAAAAAGCTCATGGATCTGCTCTTCAGTTGTATAGAATGACCTAGGTTCCGTCAGTACGGCGAGCGTAGTATCTCATCGCAAGGAAACCGTACAAATTGCCGACATAGAGTGTAGTAGCGCCACGCAGCTTAGATGTTGGATCCTCCTGCTCTTGTTCTTCGTCTCGGTCATTATATCGACGTCGCTTATTCTGTTTGAAATCCGGTATCAGCCCTGCTCTTATGCTAGGCAGGTCGCGACTGAAGGCTGATGGAGCGCGAGTAAATCCTCACCTTTCCTACATAGTATGCGCTTGGTCGATCCAGACGATCGACCGTGTTGATTTCCAACTGGCTCATGATGAATGGTTGGGATGAGCGTGGAAGTCAATTGCGGAGAGTGAAAGGTTGGAGGTCGGGCGGCGAAGGGAGCTCGGAGCTGTCGAAGAATCTTGGCGCCGGTCGAATTCCACGCCGCATCAACATTGTTTCCTCTTCTTCCACGGCGCGTTGTTCTGGCAGCGATGTTCTAACGCTTTTATCCTCACAACCCGATTATTGTCAACTCTACGAGATCGTCTGCCTTCATGCCTAAGGTCAACAGCTATGCGCCGGCCTGGCTGTGCCGGCCATCGCCTGGCGCCAGCCTCTTCACAGGCAGTGCCGCCAAAAGCCCTGCGCCGGAACTACAGAATGGAGCCAAGGCTTCTACCAGCGGCGGACCAAATAGGACTGTGACCAGGAGAGGCAATGAAGTATTTGCCGTTGTTGATAATGAAATTCGGTGGTCGAATCTCGCGCGACTGAAGGATCAATGGCAACAGCAGGCACGGCAAAAGAAGTCCAACGCACAGCCAAATGGCTGCAGTGTTCCACCCTACAGAGTCAGCTCTCCCAGCACAAATTAAACGAGACCCTTCTCAAGTCTCGAATCGTATGGAACCTCTCTAACTCACGGAGGAAAATAGGTCTTGTCGGTGCCCGTCTTCGGTCTCATCAAACAAATCCTTCCCTCGCCAAATGGTGCATTTCTCGCAATCGTCACTGAGCATACTGTCCACATTGCCGTCCTCCCAGACTCCTCTCATCTGTCATCGACAGACACTTCGCCCATTCGACTGAAGGCTCCTCAACTTGGACCGACAACCCACGTTATTCCAGAGGCACCGGTGGTCTCTGCCCTATGGCATCCACTAGGACTATACACCAACCTCGCCGGATGCATTGTCACTGTTACCGCCGATGCTGTAGTGCGTGTTTGGGAGCTAGATCGAGATAACCGTTGGTCTTTTGACCAACCTACACTGGCGGTGGATCTTAAAAAGTTGGTTGATGGAACTTCGTCTGATCAGGACTTTGCGCCAAGTGGCTTTGGTAAAAGCAAGGGCTTTTCTGCGGATATCTTTGATATGGAGGTTGCCTCTGCTTGCTTTGGGGGTAGTGGCAACGAGAGGGAGGACGCTTGGGCGCCGATGACACTCTGGGTGGCTATGCGTCCCGGTGATCTCTACGCGCTTTGCCCTCTATTGCCCTCTAAATGGCAAGCTCCATCTGCAACTATTCCCTCTCTGTCTTCTGCCATCGTTCCGAAATTAGCGGCATTGGAAGAGTCACCCGAAAACCTAGAGGAGGAACTGATCGCATGCCGTCAACAGTATGATTGGCTTCGTGAAATTGACGACCAGGAACCTTTGAATCCACCCAACGAATCTGATACGATCCAGGGTGCCGATGTCTTCACTCGCCCAGCTAACCCAAGCGCCATTCCGCGCCTGCAAGGCCCTTTCCGTTTCGATACCGGAGATGAGCTTGATGATCTTGATCTTTGCGATATCTTGGTTATCGCAGCCGGACTTAACGTTGAGGACCTGATGATGGGCGAGGATGAAGAACTGGCAGTTGAGGCGAGCGATAAGGACAAGCTGTCTGCAACTGTTATCTGCCTGACCAGTGGCAATGGACGAGTTCACATCTGTCTGGAGCTTGATGGTGTCGAAGGTCAATGGCTTCCGAAAGCCAAGAAAAATGCCTTCAGAACTCCTCTTTCAGAACCGGCAGACCTGATTTTGGTCGAATCTCTAGATACCATCAAGGCGACTAGTTCGGAGTCAATCACCTGGCCTACCTTCACCAAGGATGTTCACTCGCGATATTCCTTTTTTGTGACCACCGCTTCAAATGTCGTATCCTTCTCTATGTCTTCATGGGTGCAACGCTTGGAGTCTGAACTACAAGCGGAAGACTTGTCGGGGTCGGGGTACCGACTCCAGGTTCTTTGCAGTGGGAATGTCGCCCAGAGAGAACGTATCTTGCAGGTCTCAGAGACGGACAGCCTTAGTCGGGATCAGCACTTGGCCACATCTCTGGTATTCTATGACTTCGATCTTGGTTATCTCCTTCTCACCTTTAACCCATCCAATCCCTATGCGGCTGCGATGGATACACCGGAAGACTCATTCTCGGTGGCAACAGACCTTCGTCTGTACGACCAGACGAGACCTATGCTAGCCACACCTGCTGTGGCTCCTCGTCGCGCACCATATCAGGTCCCAGCCGTTCTTTACGCAGAGTCTCCCTTGGAATCATTTGTCGAAAAGCATGTTCCGCACCGTCAGCGGCATACCCTGAAAGAGCAAGTGCGTCTGTCCCCGGCAACTCTTGACCTGGTAACCGATGCACACCGAGTTCTATCGTCGTACACCAACACCCTCGAGCGAGCTGCATCGGACTTGTTTCGCCGCTGCGAACGCCTGCAGGGTGAAATGAAAGATCAGCTCAGACAGCTCTCCGATGTTGCGGAGCGTATCAATAGTGTGACGAGTACGCTCAGTGAGGATAACAGCGACAAAGAAGGATCTAAGAATGATAACGCCCTTGATAAGAGACTGCAGAATGCGAAAGACCGGCAGAGCGAGCTTGTCCGGCGCTATGACGCGCTGCGCAAGAAGGTCGCCAATTCAGGGGGCCGTCCTCTAAGTGAAAAGGAGACGGCGTGGGTATCTGAAGTGAAGACCTTGTCTGAGTCCCTCGACGACAAGCCCAAGGCTGAAGAGCGAAACCAACAGCTGGCGGAGCGTTTGGAAACCGTGAGTCATTCCCACTCTTCATTCTTTCATCCTTGTCCCGTCCATTATTAACATAAAATTAGGTCAAACGTCTTGCCCTTGATCTTGTGTCCGACACCAAGTCCATCACCGCCAAGGTGCCTTCGCCTCCGGAGCCTGGAAGTCCCTCTTCTCCCGGTGGCTCTCAACCCAAGGTGCCCCACCGACTTCAGCGTGCTAAGATTGCGGATGCTATGAGAATGGTCGAGAGAGAGTAAGTTTGATGTTGCACTGCTATCTTCAATACTTCTACTAATCCAATTCTTTTAGGTCTGCCGTTATTGACGCAATCACCTCTCGTCTTGACCGGCTCAACACAAGCTTGTAAGACGCAGGGCTTGTAAGGGAGTTGTCAAGTGATAGTTTCTATTTTTCTTTTTGCCGGTTACTGGTAGATAACATTGACTAAACTGAAGGAGATTTGATAAACACTCTTCATGACGTTTCAAGTTCCAAGGAGCACATAGCGTAAATTCCTTGAAATCACATTCAATAGCAACCACCTGCATTGCTTGGACATCTCTTTGTTGTTTTTTCGGTGGGCGTATAAGCGGCGGTCGTGTCTGTATCAGATCCAGAATATCTTCCTTGCGCTTCCAGGAGCAAGAACGTCTTGCTACCCTCAAGTTGGTACCAATCTGTCAGTTGCCGCTTAGCGCGATAGTCCCTGGTGATCATCCCAGGTTTAACTGCCTGACAAACTCTGGTGGCATCAATGTAGGCTTCGGATTCGAAATTCCAGGCCAGCAGATGTTCAGGGCCAGGGTGAGTGTCGATTTCAAGATCTGGAGTGACAGGTCGAGAAGGGGATATGACTTTCTCTTTATTGTCGGCTTGGAATAAAGAGTCCCTTCTCTGCATTTTGGCACTCGCGTCCCCTTTTGCCTCCAGCTCCTTGATCATCTGAATCATCTCCTTAGCTGTCGTGTCTACCCTTTTATCCCCCTTTTCCCAACAATATTTGCATGTTTGAAAGTCCGAATAGACTCTTATCATTAGTTCACCTGCGCAAATTTTCTTGTCACTGCAATACCCACTGTCGATCTCCCAAATACACCCACAAAGATTATATTTACGGACCCAAATGACACACATGGTGGGAACAGTTGATCAGGTATGATTCAGATGAATTCTGGAGACGAATGTCTGGAGGACAGCATTCATAATAGATGGGTTTTATAAGGAACAAGCTAAGTGGTTGAGATATAGCCATTGGAGCTCAGTTTTGTGAAAGTCTGAATAAAGAATTCTTTGTGTGTACAAAGGCATGCGTTGAATACATAATGGGCCTATCAACAAAGTTTATTCACCTACAGAAATGCCCGGTCCATTAGGAAGAGCAAGAAAGCATTGGCTGTAAACGCCGGCCAATTGAATAGCCCCCAGCCCTGCAAACTCATTGCAAATGCGAGATCAAGAAGCTCTTCTTGCAAATTTTGGTGGCACTCAAATCATCGACATCGCCCATGTATGAAAATCTCTTTTGATGCCGGTATTCATTAATCGTGGAAGCTGGCACACACAAGCGAATTTGACAAGTCTCGGGCCCGAAACTTTGTCGTGATCTTGGACCCGCTCAAGAATGAGTTTGTATACTTCATCCACGATTTCCTCCCAAGGTGGGATAGCCAAGTCCTGAAGGCAAGATTGCCATTTATGCATCTCATCTTCAAATTCGCCGTGCCACCAATATGACCATTCCTCGTATTCGAAGCGGTTGAGGACTTGGGAAGCAAGAAACTTTGTGTAGTCATTTTGCTGGTACCAGGATGCCCATTCGAGATGTCTAAATCGCTCTAGTGCATTGAAATAAAGGCCGGCGTATGTTGCATAGGCGGCTTGGTCCATGTGGAAGAAAAGAGCTTCACAGGGAAGCTTGCTTGTAGGGCCGGGAGTTGGATCTGTTGGGTTATGGTCCTCAACCCATTCATGAAGTCGACGCATGGAGGCAGTGTGCATGTCGAATGTCACGCCCTCTTGTTCGGGGCACATGGCGTTGTAGCGCTGGGAGTGCGCTTCCACAAGGAACTCGATCGCCTTGATGGCGTTGAGGCCTACCTCAGCAAGGTGATGGTGTTGTTGTGCGAGTTCTGGAGGAATTTGGAGCCATGATGGAGGTGAGAATGAGATTGGGTCGTAAAGATATGCCGTTCTCGTCTTCTTGCCTCCCGGCCTATGGAGCATGGCATGGTGCTTGTTGGCTTGGCCATCCATGTTGAAAGTCAAGACCATGGAAGGACATTCACAGGAGAGAGAGAGAGAGAGAAAGAGAAGAGAAATGGATGAAAGCAAGGGCAAAAAAAAGTGTGTGAATGTTACAGAGCTCTTAAATGCATGTTGGCCTCAATTCATTGTATAAAGAGAGGATCTTCCACATGCTGTTATCCACAACATTGTCAACCAGTCCACCTCATTTCTCTATCAAAGGACGATGAAAAAAGGCATCTATCAAATCTATTACTCTAAGCATATTTATTAGCACATGACTTCTATGAAAAGAAATTTGTTCGTTATTATTTCTTGTATTGTCTTGATATTGTCTTTTTCTATCAAATGGATGGACTTGGAGTTGACTTTTTTTTTCCCATCGGTCTCTTTTCAATCAAATCTCAATTGGGAATCCTATTGAGGAATTTAATCTTCTCAAAGGCCTTTATTTTTTTAGATCACAAGACTGTTCTTTTTTCCCCTGTAAACAAAGTCCCACTTCAAAACACATGAAATTGGAAAACATTGCCCCAAGGCACAGGCGCATAGAAACACACAAGAAGTCCCAAGTCAATTGACCAAGTGGCCCATACATTGTATGGATCCTGATTTACTGAACACTGTTTGGCTATGTCAGTAAAAGTCCTTTCAAATCCATGACGGCGCGATGGGTGCTTACCGTTGAATGAGGTGAACACCGGATGCCGTCTCGACGATCCCGCTGACTTGGCCAGGCTGCAGCGCAAAGGCGGCATCCTCGAATTCCTTTTGCATCTCCCCATGGCCAAAGAAGCCCCTGCATAAAGTTAACACTTATGAAAAGCACCCGAGGTAAATCTGAAACGTACAGGTCACCCTTCTTGCGAGCGCTGCTGCAGTCCGATTCGGATACTGCGATGTCACCCAGAGTTGTCTCTCCAGACTGAATCTGTTGCTCGTACCCCTTCAGAATCTCAATGGCCTCCTCCTTGGTGCGGGTGATATCAGCTTCCCTCCAGCTGCTGGGACGGCGGCTATCGCGGTGCTTGACGAGCAGATGGCTGCACTGGATCTTGCCTTCACCCTGGCCACCTACATCAGCCCGGGCAGTCGGAGTGTGGTTCTGTGCCATATAGATCTTCAGCTTCTCGGTATCAGTGTCGGCAGGGGGTTCCCAGCGTGATTCCTTGGTTACTGGGTTGAAGTAGTAAGGCAGATTCTTAGAGTTCGAGTGACGAACTTCCCAGCCGGCTGGAAGTCCTGAATCGGCCTGAATGGACAGCAGTTTAGTAAGAGATTCCCTATAATGGACAAGCAGGTCATACCATTTTGGAAATTGGAATGAATCAGAGGATTGTGTCTAGAGGAAGCTTGATCCAGCGCGGCTATTCATCATCAGAGACGGCGGGATTGCGGGGGATGTGCAAACACTGCAAACTATAGTGATCGCCACCGCCCGTGCTTGCCGCGGAAACCAGCAGAACATCGCGGTCTGTGCCTTGTCCTGAATTTTGATTCCGTCGAGTTGTCATTCTATCTGTTCTCCAACCACCAATCCTCAGTTGGTCCCTCTCATCTCTCTGATCTCAAATACAGCTTGTCCAGCGATCAAAATGTCTGCTAGCCCGTCCCCGTCTGCCGGCGCCGACTCCAAGCAGTCGGACCAGATCCACTTCCGCTTCTGTCGCGAGTGGTGAGTAACAATGAAATCTCTCATTCTTCGTCTATGGTGATGCTAACAATGTCAGTTCCAACTTGCTCTATCCTAAGGAGGATCGTGCCACCAACCAGTTGATGTTCACTTGCCGCACATGCCATGTCGGCGAGCCTGCCAGTTCTTACTGCGTCTATCAGAACAAGCTCCATAGCCAGGTCGGCGACACTGCCGGTGTTACTCAGGATGTTGGATCAGACCCCACGGTTTGTCTCCCAGATCCCTCTTGCGACTTTTTTAATATCCCCGGCTTCTGTTCTCTCTGCGCCGGGGAGATACCTTGCGATATCTGCGGTCGTGCCAATTATGCGGTGTGTGGGAATGAGGATAAGACAAAGCACGCCTCAGACCGTAGATCATCGATTTCACCACGCAGCTGGTCCCTCAAGGAAACCACCCGCCAGTCTTGACTCTGATGGCTGACCTGTCTCTTCTCCTCGTGTAGCTTCCTCGGGCGAACAAGTTGTGCCCAAGCTGTGGCGAGAATGAGGCTGTCTTCTTCCAGTCCCAACAACGGTCAGCCGAAACTGGAATGGTAAGCATCAATATCTCTCCATTTCTCAGGTTCCTTTGTCTGTTGCAATGGTGATCTTATATACTGATGCGTTGACTTCTCTTTAGAAACTGTACTACGTGTGTTGCGCATGTGGTAACGTCTTCATGTGATGACCCCATTTATGATACGCGGCGCGATTTCCCCGATACCCTTTGATGGATTTAAGTTTCCAATTAGTTTTTGCATGCTTTAGGAGTTTGGCGATGAAAGATAGGAAATACAATACGTGCATATGGATTTTCGTGATCTTATAATCTTATAGAAATAGAAAGGGGTTGTATTGGTACAAAAATATGTGACAAAAAAATGCTTTCAAAAAATAACGCTGTCCCAGAATAATAGCACAAGTCCTCTGTCCGTGAATGTTGGTGGGAGAATATTACACATGTACTGGCGCCAACGACAAGATCTTAGACCAATTCTTGCCGCGCAATTCCCGTCCCACAACACCTGTTGGGTATGTCAGCAAATCTCAACTATAAAAAGTAACAAAGGAGGTTGTGGAAGGAAAGTCATCCGGGGGCAAAAAGGCTCAGCAGTTCCACGTTGAGCCGGGCAATTGGGGACTGACCGTTCATTCTCGTTCCAATAGGATCTCCAGCCTTATTCACCAGCACACAGGCATTGTCTCCAAATCGAACAACGGTGCCATCCTCCCGCTGCAATTCCTTCTTCACACGAACGACAACAGCATGCCGGATATCACCGCGGCGGACCTTGTTTGCGAGGGCCGTAGCGCTTGAACCCTCGGAGGATCCAGCGGCCCTCTGCTTCTGGACGACGACGACAATTCGATCACCTGTGTATCCAACCAGCGTCAGCACCATGCTCCTTCACCATTGTTCTTCTCTCTCGCATCGCTCGGGGAACTAACCAATTGTCGCGGGCCGTTTCTTCTTGAGGACGTTGACGCACTCGACGACCGAGGCACCGGAGTTGTCGATGCAATTTAGTAATGTCTGCAATCAAAGTTAGTGCACTGGACCCATAGTCATCATGGCATCTAGTCGGTACCTTGAGCTGAATCATCGTGGGCGCATTGAGGGAATGGTATCGGACAAGCCGCATCACGACAATTTGTTCGGGCGTCGGAAGGGGGTTTCCCCGAACGGATAATTTCCCCGAAGCATAGACGGAACCATTGGACTGGTGCTATATGTTCCTCATACTATTGACCTTCGAGGTAACAAGGTCTTTTGAGTTCGTATTGTCTATAGTCTCCAAAATAAAATAAAATAAAATGTGTTTTCTGTATCTTCCTTAGAACTTCGATTAGATTGGACTGAAAGTAGCGTTATATGTCAGAAGATATATTTCGAGCATGCGCTATTCATGACAATGATTCCACACTTCGTGTCCACCAAACTTGGCGACAACTTTTGATTAATTTATTCAGAGGGCTGCGTGACTGGGGAAACTCAAATTGATCGAATAAGACGGTAAACTATCTAACAGTTAAAATTTTCATACTTTGAGCTGCATTTCTGCTACATTATGAGGTAGTTATAATGGTGGGTTAGACATTGCAATCTGGCTCAATGCCCCGGGTTTTCTTTTTCATATGTCGTTTACTACCTTAATTTGTTTTCAAGGCTGTCAGCTTGTCTCTGAGGCCTTCGTGGTCGGGAGCAAAGGGTAGCTGAACATGTATGCAGATCAAGAGGTCTAGACATGTATTGGAAAGCCCGTATAGCCTCATCGGAAGATCAATCCACAGACTATGAATCTGCGTGTTGACCCGTCAATAACGTAATTGACCAACTCCCGATCTCTAGGTTATAGAAGAGGGTTCCGACCGTAGTGATGCTTTCGTGTAACGATTCTAGTAGTAGATATTAGGCCTATAGCAAAGCCAATTTAATCAAAGTTAAAGATATCGTTATCTTAGATCCCGGTTTCCTTCTATCTTACGCTTGACTAGCCTAAACCACGCGCATAGGCTAGTAGGGTCTTCGTTTTAGGCACATTGATAGTCGTAGCGTTTAGAGTTTCGTGTGCGAAGCCCAGATCGTCGTTTAATATAGCGTATTACCCAATTAACACCTGTAGTAGAAGGTATGGTATCACGGCGTGCTACCAGTAGAAGATTTGCTATATCTTAAATATACGAAGGCCTAGGGGAAGCGCCACGCGTATCTAGCGATAGAATCCACTTGCAAAGCGTGGTGATCGTGTATCCTGGCGATTAGGCTCGCCATTAAGCCTATTGCGTAGCGTTGATCGAGGCACACTATATAGCGCTGCTGCTTGCCTAATTGAGCTTGCTGAGCTATTTGGAATAGCTTTGATAATAGCTTTGATAGCGCGTAGTATCCTACCCTCCCTATCTGGCGCTTTTGAGCGATTGTCAGAAGGGTTTGGTGGCATGGTCTGTGGTGGAAGATAGTAGGTGACGCGTAAGAAGCGTGATTTGGATGGGGTGGCAACTCCCTAGTGAATTAAGTTAAGAAATACATAACTCTTAATATAAACATATTTCACAAGCCTCGAAGTGCTACAGAATAACCTTGGCTCATTGACATCATAGATAACTCGAGCATGATGCAACTGCCGTTATGGAGGGTGTTCAGGTCGGACGAGCAGGGTCCACAGATCGCATCGTCCGCGAGCATCCAATGAGCAAGCCCCGTATCGGAGAATATCCTTCTGCTTTATGATGAAGACTCTGGGAATGCTCAACCAGTTCTCATGACCGAACCCACGCGGGAGGTTTGACCGAAAGACACGTTGTGTACACTCAAACGCAGTCGAGACTTCAACGGCGTGTTCCCAGACCGACCGACCATTGATGACCGACACGTTGGATAAGCTGAACGCGCCATACGGGGTAGATGAGTGGGATCAGGCAGAGCGCAACGCACGTATTTTGGCCCCGAGCAGGAACGATGCAGAGGGGGCCGTAAACCGAACCGCGAGGCCCGGGTATGTGACTAAGTAAAAGCGGCGAGGCCCGGGTTCCTGGAACGCGCAAAGTTCCCCTTGGGCCTCGCGATCACTCGGATCACTCGAAAGCCTTCAACCATTGGCGTCGTGGCGAGCACTCGGAGTTGTCGCGCCATGGTGGTCGCGGTTGTCCTTCTTTCATCTGCCTGCTAAACCCACTTCGCTTCTTTATTTCCGTCACTCAACGTCTCCCGTTCCCACCCCCTCCCTTCTCTCGCCGCTCCTGACGCTTTGAACCGTTTCATGACTGGATCTCGACTGACGCTCAAGACTCTCATTCCTTCTCGTGTTCAGCTGCTCACTCCCTCTACATGTCACGACCACAATGCCGCCAAAGAAGTCGCGTTCAAGTTCACCTGCGACCGAGCGCCGCGAGCGTCTAACCCTGGCCAAACTGGCCAGCTATGACGATGTCGCAACAGATGCGCTGGTCGATCATGTACGTCTCTGACCGGCGCCCTAACTGGCACCCTGGCCACTGTAACAGCAGACTGACTCGCTTGTTTCGTAGGCCTACTTCTGGACCACCACCCGCAAGAATCGCAACAAGTACAATTCGGCCCGTGGAATTCATGACGACGATGTGGGCCATATTCTTCTCCACGATATCGCCGTGGCCAAGGACGTCGTCACGGCCGAGCGCAAACTCCTTGATTTGCCCGGGCTGAAAAAGTACCTGGCCAACTTGCGCAGCTCGCGAGAGAAAGACTGGTTCCGTCGTCACCTCCGGAAATACATCCAGATGTACCACCCCGATTGTCCGTTCGAGGTGACGACGACCAACCGCTACATCATCACGCAGCCCGAGGCTGCCATCTGTGCCCGCAAGTTCATCAAGGCCGGCCAGGAGATCAAATATCTGAGCGGCACTCTTGTTGCCATGACCAAGGAAGAGGAAATGGATCTAGGCCTCACCCGCAAGGATTTCAGCGTGGTCATGTCCAGCCGCCGCAAGACCCCCTCGTTTTTCCTGGGACCCGCTCGGTTCGCCAACCACGACTGTAATGCCAACGGTCGCCTGGTAACCCGCGGCACCGAGGGCATGTCAGTCATGGCGACTCGCAACATCCACGAAGGCGAAGAGATCACGGTGTCCTACGGTGAGGACTACTTCGGTATTGACAACTGCGAATGTCTGTGCTTTACCTGCGAACGGGCCAATCGCAACGGCTGGTCGCCAACAGTAGACCTCGATGATGATAGCAAGGAGTCCTCACCGGCATCAATCGCCGAGGCTACCCCGGCCCCGGCGGAACTTCGCTCAGAAAGCAAGAAGCGTAGTCGTGACTCCGAAATCGAACCAGAAGATTTAATCTGCTCCACTCCGCACAAGCGCGCCAAATTCCAGCGTCAGACCTCGAAGCTGTGTGAGGAGATTTCGATATCCGATATTATTCCAGAGTCTACGACCACTTCTGAGACTGACATTCCCCCAACTCCCGAATCCGACTGCGGTATCGTTATGGTGCCAACAATGATCGCGACTGAACGGCAGGTGTCCAAACTGAGACAAGAGATCATAGCCTCTGCAGAAGTACAGCCCGCGGACGGTTCATTGCCAGCCGAATCACCACTTCCGGTTCTCCTGGAGCCAACCCAGTCGATACTGAGCCCCTCCGCTCAAAACGAGGCGATCGCTCCCTTCGACTCGAATGAGATCGTCAATACTCATTCCAACGGTGTTACTGACTGCAAGTCCCCCAGCTCCGCTACTGATGACTCTCATCAATCTTCAACGTCAAGTGTCCCAACGTCCGTGGAGCAATCTACGCCCAATGTGAAGGCCGAAGAGTCTACAGAAATCAATCATATCGACCCCCCTCAAGGAGAGTCGACTGCAGAGGGTCACCTCAGTATCCCAATCACAGGTCAGCCAGAAGCAGCCACCCTCTTCCCAGACAGTGATATCCCAGATGAACTGTCAGACTTATCAGCCTCGTATGAACTAGACGAAACATTGCAAACCGTTGTTGAGAAGGCCCGCAAAACCCGACGCCGCCGCAACTGGCACGTCGTTGCCTCCGTTGAGACCGAAGCACCCGTCGCTCGATCCCCTGGCGACTATACGAAGACGTCACGACTCCTTGCCCAAAAGTATGACCGCTGGGTGGATTGTCAGACATGTGAGGCGTGGTTTGTTCAATCCAATTCTTACCAGACACGCCGCGAATGCCCACGCTGCGAACGGCACTCGAAAATCTACGGGTTTCAGTGGCCCAACACTGACAAGGGAGTCGACGGAGAAACTCGTGTTATGGACCACCGCACAATCCACCGATTCATATCCCCAGAGTCCGAGGCGCGCGTTTCCCGCCGAGACCGAGGTGTCAGCTTCGGTATTACCCCTACGCCTGAGCTTTCCGACGCACGCACAGAGACGCCTACGAGCGATTCAAATGAGCCTCGCCGCAACATGCGGGCCACTCGTCGGCTGACTCGAGAGTTTCGTATGACGATGTAATCAAGTTTGAATTCTATCAAATTTACAGAGGCAGGTGTTAGACATCGGATTTTTGGTCTCTGACATTCATTTGTACGATTTATTTTCACGCGTTACATTGCACATGGAATATGGTGTTGAGGGTTTCAAAGGTGCATGAGAGGGGACTTCGACATTGGGGGTTTCTGGTTTCGGGTCGTTTTGTTTTCATTTGCATGGAGTTATGGGCCTGGATCTATAGGCATCAGGAAACGAACATATCTGTAATGAGACAAATAGTGTACTGTACTTCTTTTGAATTTGTGAGCCTTGCCTTCACTTGTAAATTTTCTTGTTTGCTATTGCATTCATCGGGCTGATTGACGCCGAAAGTTGCCCTCCCCACGCGTCCCCGCATTTCATCCCGCGGTCATGGTAAACAATAACTGCACCAATGATATCTTAGTAAAAGGGTGTCTTTGCTTCGTCTTGCTCATAACGAGCCTGAAACTAATCATCCGGTTTGCGTTTGGAGGGTTGCCTCGGGTTTTTTTCTGACCGAAATTTGCCTGTTCCGGGGATTTTGTGCCTTGAAGAGGGACCCTATATAGAAGTCTTCACTGAGGCGTAACACCAGAATCATTTCAGATCAAAACCCTCAAGTACATTCTAATATTGATTATACCATGCAATGATGCGCTTGCTTTTGAATATTTCCCTTGCTCTTCTTATTCTCATCGCGACAGTGGCCGCATATGAAGACCCGCTAATACACTTGGAATATGGATCGTTCCAAGGGAAATACGACACCACCTATAACCTCTCGTACTTTCGCAAAATACCTTTCGCTGCACCACCCACAGGAGAGAACCGCTTTCGTGCCCCCCAGCCGCCCTTGAAGATCACAAATGGAACCTATGACACAGACCAAACCTTTGACATGTGTGCCCAGCGTACGGTCAACGGCTCCGAGGACTGCCTATATTTGGGCCTGTTTTCGCGGCCATGGGATACATCCAAGGATGTACACAGGCCTGTGCTAGTCGTGTTCTATGGTGGTGCCTTCATACAAGGCGATGCTGCATTCACCATGCCCCCAGCTTCCTTCCCGATTCTCAACGTGAGCAACCTGAACGACTATGTGGTCATCTATCCAAATTACCGTTTGAATGCGTTTGGATTCTTGCCTGGAAAAGCTATCAAGGAATCCTCAACATCGGATCTCAATCCTGGCTTACTTGATCAACAGTATGTTCTGAAATGGGTGCAAAGCTACATACATCACTTTGGAGGCAATTCGCAGAATGTAACTATTTGGGGACAATCTGCCGGTGCAGGGTCTGTAGTTGCCCAAGTCCTGGCAAATGGCCGGAATGGACAGCCAAAATTATTTTCCAAGGCTCTTGCCAGTTCACCGTTTTGGCCGAAGACCTACTCCTACGATGCGCCGGAAGCCGAAGCTATCTATAACCAGCTTGCCAACCTGACCGGTTGTGCTGGTTATGTTCATGACCACGAGACGCTGGCATGTTTGAAGTCCGTCGATGTACAGAGCATCCGCGATGCAAGTCTCATAATTGACGCTGATAATACATGGACGACAAGCTCCTACACGTGGGCCCCTGTCATCGATGGTGGGTTCCTCGCGGACACTCTGACACAAGCGGTCGAAAGTGGGAGCCTGAATACAGAATATGTCTGGGGAATGTATAATAGCCACGAAGGGCAGAACTTTGTCCCATCAGGTCTTGAAGGGTCAACTTCCACAAATGGGTATAATTCGTCGACAGCAAGTTTCGACCAGTGGCTTGCGGGGTTCTTGCCGGGCCTATCGACAAAGCAGATTGAGGCTGTGAAAAATTACTACCCAGCAGATGGAAGTACAGAGACAATTGATGAATATAACACGACATATGTCCAGGCTGGTCTGATATACCGCGATGTGGTTCTCGCCTGTCCAGCCTACTGGATTGCATCCGATGCACAGAGGAGAGGATATATTGGTGAATATACGATCTCTCCCGCTACTCATGGAAGCGACACTATTTATGTGAGGAAGCTCAAACTACGTGATGTCTTAAGATAAGGGCTAATACTAAAGAAGTGGAATCGTGTCAACGCGGTCCAAACAACGAACCCTGTTGTTTACGATGGCTATGCTGGCGCTTTCGCGAGCTTTTTCCAAACTGGAGACCCCAACGCACACAAGCTGACGAATTCCTCAGAACCGGGTGTTCCCGAATTAAAAAGTACGGGAGACGAATTTGTGATTATAGACGATGGATTTGAGAATGTGCATCTGACACAGCTCAAGAAAAGATGCACATTTTGGAAGACACTTGGGAAGCAAATCCCGGTCTAAATCCCTAAGATGTCGTATCATAGAAATTGCAAGGGAATGACTATACTCCTCATGTTCGACTTGGTCACTGAAATACTGGCTATCAGTTCCCGAGTGTCACCCGTGGTTGTTACTTTTAAGGTATGTGACAAGAAGTACTACTTAGCATCCAAAGTATTGTTACAGTCCTGGGCTACAAGAATCACAATATATGAACCAGTCTGCGATTTATGTGGAGATGACTGTGGAATAGGAAGTCACCTACATTTAACCTAGTTTTCTCGAGAATTTTATCTGCGCTCTGGCATAAAACTAGTATATTCAATGTCATTATATCGAGATTTATTGACTCACTGGAATACGTTTGCGTATGTGCGGCGCATGTATATCAAGGATGATGCTTTAATGGCTTTATGCGTTCCTATCCCAGCTGAGCTGCTTCATTTTTAATCCGCCAGAGATTCTTCTATCTTTAATAAAATGGCAAATGCTCGATTTTGTGGACGTGAGTATTAATGTGAAGTTTTCCTTCCCCTGTCTCCTTCTCACATTTTTTTTACATTATACCTTATTTCTTTTTCAAAGACGACACCACCGCTGCAGATGTTTACAAAACGCAGATGTTTACAAAACGTGTGTTACATTTCCATATTTTTGCTTCTGGATTTCATTTCGCGAGCCGAGTCCATGTACTACTTCCCTTTTTTTTGTATTCTTGTATCCTACGTCCAAAGCAATATTTATTAGAATCTATTTGACGTCTCTCGAAATATCGGTATTCAATTATAGATCTTAACCAATAGAAATCCCTGGTTATTGTCCGTGCTTTCACTATTTCTATGCTTTTTCTTAGTGTTGAAATTGGTCGTCAGCAGCCCAATGCAATTATTGTCTTTCATTTTAATCAATGGACTATACACAGATGTCACTTGATAAATCGGTCTCCACGAAAGTTGAACCAGCTGATAGTTTCATCCAGGAGAACTGTAGAAGCCTCAAAGGAAAAAGAAGAATGCCTAGTATACATTACTTGAAAACCCCGATGTTACGTACTTTTTTCACCGTTTCAACGCGATCAGTCCAGCGCACCCCACAGGCCGCCGATGACGTCAACAACATCTGCTTGCCAACGCTGACCGGTTTTGGATGTTGCAGTCTCGCTGCAGGCACTTTTTCGTGGGTAAATTTGTTTTTCCCCTTCTTCAAATACCCAACATCTTCTCCTGAAAGCGATTTATTCATATATCAACCCCCAAGCTATCAGTCAATCCCACATACAATATGAGCGGGCACAATTTCCCGGTGGATCTCAAGCAGTTCAAGCAACTGAAGCTTGACGCAAAGAATGCGACCCTCACCGCCGACCAGAAAACTGATCTTCTGAACAACATTAACATTTTCAGAGATGCAATTATCGCGTTTACTGCGACCGGTGCGGCTCGGGGCGTGTCGGGCCACACAGGCGGGCCTTTTGACACTGCCCCAGAAGTCTGCATCCTTCTTGCCATGATCAACGCGAATCCCAATGGGTTCGTTGATGCATTGTTTGACGAAGCTGGCCACCGTGTAGCAACCCAATATCTACTGGCTGCGTTAGATGGCAAACTCGACCCTGAGCATCTCCTCAACTACCGTGATGCCAATTCAAAGCTTCCTGGCCACCCTGAGCTTGGCCTGACACCGGGAGTCAAGTTTAGTTCCGGTCGCCTCGGTCATATGTGGGGAATGGTGAATGGAATTTCTATGGCAAACCGGGACAAGAATGTCATTATGTTGGGCTCTGACGGGTCTCAACAGGAAGGCAATGATGCTGAAGCTGCACGCTTGGCCGTCGCTCAGGGCCTTAATGTCAAGCTGTTCATTGATAACAACGACGTCACCATTGCGGGCCATCCATCGCAGTATCTGAAAGGTTATGATATTGCTAAAACCCTCGAGGGTCACGGTCTCCATGTCATCCGTGCCCAGGGGGAGAATGTGGACTCGTTGTGGCCCGCGATGTGCGAGGTCATTAACCACAAGGGTCCTGCTGCCGTTGTTGTCGACCGAAAGATGGCCGCAGGCATTGAAGGAATCGAGGGAGAGTGTCATGCCCACGATGTCATCACTGTTGATATTGCCCGCAAATACCTCACCAAGCGTGGCTACAGCAAGGAGAAACTTGCCTTCTATGATGACATCAAGGGCCGCTCCAATCCGCATCAGTATCTTGGGACCAGCAAAGACAAGGGTGCCAACCGTGCTATTTTTGGTGAGGCTGTGAATGGTATACTCGATGGGTTGAGCAAGGAAGACGCCCAACGACGCGTCATGGTCATCGACTCTGACCTCGCTGGATCTACTGGCCTGAAAGCAATCCAGTCTAAGCACCCTGAAGTTTTTGTCGCATCTGGTGTCATGGAGCGAGGCAACTTTTCTGCAGCCGCTGGTTTTGGCTTTGGGAGTAACGGTGAGCGCCAGGGCGTTTTCTCCACATTCTCGGCCTTCCTGGAAATGTGTATCTCTGAGATCACCATGGCCCGCCTGAACAACTGCACAGTATTATCCCACTTTTCGCACAGCGGCGTGGATGAGATGGCCGATAACACCTGTCACTTCGGTCTCAACCATTTCTTCGCCGATAACGGCCTGATGGATGCAGAGACTACCTCTTTGTACTTTCCTGCCGATGGGGAGCAGATGAAGGCAGTTGTGAACAAGGTCTTTTGGGACAAAGGAATGCGATTCATCTTTTCTACCCGTGCCAAGGTGCCATACATCCTCAAAGAGGGCACGGATGAGAAGCTCTACGGCGAAGGCTACAAGTTCGTTCCTGGCAAAGATGAGGTCATTCGTAAGGGTACTGCTGGGTACATTGTCACCTACGGCGATATGGTCTATCGTTCTCTCGACGCTGTTGAGCGGTTGCGCAAGGAGGGCATCGATGTCGGCCTGGTCAACAAGCCTACTCTTAATGTAGTCGATGAGGATGCTATCCGCGACTACGGCTCAAGTCCTTTCGTTATTGTTGTTGAATCTATTGCCCAGAAGACTGGTCTTGGGTCTCGCATTGGCACCCACCTTCTTGAACGCAAACTTACTCCCAAGTTCAAGGCCATTGGAGCTGTGAAGGAGGGTTGCGGAGGTCTATATGAGCAGGTAAACTTCCAGGGTCTTGGCCCTAGTGACATTGTTGATGTGGTCAAGGAAGTTATGGGGAAATGATTTCATGCCTGATGATTCTTGTAGATGGAAGACACCATATTGTCCATAACAATCTGGAAATATTCAATAATAAAGCTGAAGTTGGAATAACAATATTTCTCCCAAGGAAACTAAAAACAAGCCTCGACTTCAAAGCCGTGATAGACATTTAATCACGGTCGTCTGGATGGAAGATCAACGTTCGAACCTCGATACTCTCCCTAGCGGGTTCATTAACAGTCTCAGGGTTGACGAAGGCCGAGTGCGGCACACGCCGAGGCCTCCCATCTGTTTTGGAATCAAAGCATTTGATGAGGGTAACCAAATCCGGTGTTTGGCCGTAACGGTAGTACCACTTGATATTCGGATCCGCCCGCACCGCATACGTCTCGCCCTCTCTGTCAGGGTAGATAAGCTTAACTGGAATGAGATCACTGTCTGGGACAGTGTTTCCATCGGCCACTGCAAGAGGGTCCTTAAGTATTTTGCGAATCGGTCGCCAGACATTAATAATTTGGTATCTGCCTTTAAGAAGTTCATGTGCTTCGTCCGGGAGGTGGTGAGTAACGCGGTTCTTTGCTGCTTCATATGATTGATCGACATGTACACGCTGAACTGGTCCGCGCAACTGACTTGCCGCAGACCTACTATCTCCTGATTGACGGCGGATGGTATGATCGAAAATAAAGACCTTTGATGCACCAGTACTATGTTAATTAGCATGGCTGTCTCTACTTGGTGTGCTTTAAATCATTGCAAAGATCATGTAAAGAAATAAAACATACGCGTCCTTCAGCAGCTTCTCTATTTCAGGATAATATTCTCGTATGATCTTTTCATCGTCCAGAAAATCGGTTTCTTTGCTTTCATGGTAATATAGCTGAAATCCATGGCTGTCCAGGGAATAATCTAGTTCATGACCACTAATATCGTGAATGGTCGCCGGAACAGCCACTGTGGGTTTATCATAAGTTTCGGGTCTTCCGACATAGCTCGGAGATGGTGGAGATCCATCTTCATTCTCCTTCAAGAAATTTAATGTGGTTTGGACATGATGGGGCTTGTCGGCGACATGACCTGACGCCTTCTCGACCAGCGCCGAGGGAAGACCCCCCGAGACGTGAACAGCTGCAGAGGCCATGTTGAATCTTTATGGAATAGCTTTGAGAGAGAATATTGAAGCAATGTCAAATGTTGTTACCTTGGTAGCTGGTTGTCCTTTTAAGTGAGCGGGGAGTGTCTTATGTGGACGACTCTCATTTGTCATGGCAGCACGCAATATCCGTCTCACATAGAGACATGCTGATAAATTCATAATTTAAACGCTGCCTGCGTGGACAAGCAGTACGACATGTGATTGTTACTTCCTGCCAGCAGAGAAGCGCCATTACTAATATACTCAGTCTTGTGTCATGCAACCCTCATGATCGGTAATCAAAGATGGCCTGCAATATGCAGGCTATGACGCAACATCAAGCGTATAGCATTGATGGTGCAAAAGTGATTGCTATTTGAAGGATAGAAAATATATCATATATCATGCTGGTCCAAATATTGTTTCTCATTCAGTTGCGGCATTGAAATGTGGGTGAATACTAGTGACCAGTAAAAAGGCCGAATCAGGTCACATTCTGTGAAATTCCACTATGAAGGAAGAAGGACCATAGACCAAAAGAAATCAAATTTGAAGCCAGTTAAACTATGAACTTATGAAATAAAAAGAGAACCAGAAGGCAATTGTCTCATTAGAGTACAGCAGGATCTCAAAGGAAATCGTCTGGAGGTGTCCTGCGGTCCGGGGTCATAGCATCGCTGCACACAAAGCCTTATTGAAACTGATAACAGAAAACACAAGGAAAAGGCAAGAAAAAAAATTGCATCCGACACCAGTACTGTTAGGGAAAGACAGGATCATAGAAAGAAAATAGATCTCCAAGACAGAAGGAGAATGATAGTATGGACGGGCATCCACAAAGGGGGATAGAAAAGAACTATTGTGACAACTTGGCATCATGTCCAGAAGAAAAGAAGTGGAGGCGTATTTTTGCAAGGCATTGAGTCCCACTTGGGACTTAGAACATGAGGGAGCGAGTCTTTTGTCGGCGAGCATCGGCACCACCCATCTCCGGTTGAGAAAATGTGTGCTTGTGTCCTGGACGTGCGGACTGGGGCGCCGGCGCCCCAGACCCCGCTGAAGTTGGAGGTCCTGGGATCATACTCCGGCGCTTCCCGGTAGGGGAAGAAGGAGCAGCAGGAGGTTGGTTAGGGGGTAACCGTTCGGTGGTCAGAGGTCTAGACTTCATACTCCGCTCACGCTTGAGAACAAGATCAGCCCAGGGCTTGATTGCCCCGTTGCCGGTTGTGGATCCCTTTCCAACAGCTTCCGACATGACTCTCAACCAGCCCTCTTTATCAGCTGCAGAGTCCGCGTAGAAGTCGATAACCTCGCCATTCGCGAAACGAATACGGAATCCCTCTTCAACGAACATGTAGCCCTCCTCCTCTTCAGCAAAGGCGGACTTACGGCGACCACCGCCCTTAGTGCTGGTCTCCTTTTGCGTTAGAGATGAACGATCGTCAATAAGCTTGGCAGCCTTTGCCAAATTGATGGTAGCGCGAGGTTGGCGAGTTGTTTCATGGTAGGCTGTGAGTTTGGAGCCCTGGAGTTTGAAGAAGCGGCGTCGCCAATACTAAAAAGACCTATTAGAGCGAGGCCATGCTAAAGAAATTACAACAATCCAACAAGATAACTTACAGGGCAGTCTCCACCTTGCTGGGAGAGATATCCTTCCCACGATCGGGCAGCGACACTTTCGGCGTCACGCATTTCCCGAATGCAGGCGTTCATGCTCTTCGGCATATCTTCATCTTTACCACCCTTAGGCTTGGGGACGAAGAGAAGCTGCAGTTCCAGCTTCCCAATCTTGTAAGGTGGTCGGCGTTGTGCAGTGATACTAGTCGCACTCTTCTTGCTCTTCACGCTGCTGGGCTGCTCATCCACGGCCCATTCATTGAAGCAAGCAATGTCAACCGTATATGGCCGGCCAAAAGCATGTTTCTCATGATCACTCAAGGCAACATAAGCACGGCCGAAACTCCCATCACGAGCGACCAAGTTGCGAAGCCGGTCGTATACAGGAGCATTGACATTGTTGGCTTTCTGTTGTTGAGATTGCATTTGTTGTTTCAGGTCCAGTTCCTTGCGCCGGCGTGGAGACGCAAAGACCCGGCTAAGAGCCGATGCCTTCTGGCGAGGAGAGCCGGCATTCTCCTGCGGGTAAAATTTGCTTTCATCAACCTTCATCTGCAGCGTCAATTGGAACTCGAGGTCATTCTGTACAATAAGCTCGAACTCTTGACCAATGGGAGCGGATTTGCCAAGCTCAAGCCATGACGTTGTAACACAGTGAAGGCCATTATCCAAGGTCAGAGCAAAATACGACCGTTCGCCTAAAATTTTCGTTAGCTTTTCGACGAGGCGGAGGGGAGAGCATCCCATGCATACCGCGAGGCATCGGCAGATCAAGGTATTTGATACCAACGACTTTGACGAAAAGACGGCCTCTCTCTTCACCATCTTCAAATGCATCGTTAAGAGCGACTTCGTTCTCCTCGATTGCTGCTGGTGGCTCTTGCACATTGCTCGAGTGCCCAGGGAGCGGGGGAACGGCTCCAGGAACGGGCTTCTTTTTGGGAATACCACCAGCCATCTTCACACTGGGTTTCCGGACAGAACCGTTCCAAGGAACCGTTGTCCAGGTCTGCTGGCTGGGCTTGCGCGGGGAAGAACCCGCAGATCGAGTACCCCGAGGGTCCTGCGTCGTTTGGTCTGCGGGAAGAGGAGGTTCCTCTTCATTTCGGTTGCTGGCAATGACGACCTTGGTATTTTGTCGCATGAGATATCCTCTCTGTCCGCGTGGGTTTATGTTAGCAAACTTCGTTGCGTAGTTGGAGTTGTCAATTCCGGGACGTTGGGAGGGGGTTGGGTCTTGTGCCTGGGAGACCGGCGTTGGGAAAGAAAATTGGGAAAGAGCGAGGTGAAAAGCAACCTTTTGTGATTCAATGACGCGATCAAACTCTTTGTTCAAACCGAATCCAAGGCTTTCTTCTTGGATGCTGAAGGGGATATCCAGTTTCATTAGGCTCGCCTGGCGTTGGGTAAGATTGGAAGGAAGTGCAAGTTGCGGAGGGAGATCGGTTGCCTTGTCTTCACGGTCCGATTTATCGGACTCGTTAGAAATCTGCTTGGTCAGTGGAGGCATAGGGGGGGGCATGTTGGCCACTGATCTTGCGACGAGTGGCGGCCATGGACTCCATGTCCGCCGGAGTCAGCGATGGGCGTGTCTTCAGACCAGTTCCAGGTGTCCTAATCGTGGCCACAGGTTCAGGAACAGACTCATCGGAAGAGGTTACGTCTTCATCCTCATATTCCTCATCATCTGCTATAGGATGGCGAATAACGGACTCGGGAGTAGAAGGCTCGGAAAGAGGCTCATCCTTGATTTCTGGGGTCACAGGGCGTCCGAGGGATTGCCGGATAGAAGCCATGTCTAATGGTTTGTTCTCGGTTTCTCCGGAGTCTTGCTGCTTATGCGCAGCCTGTTCCATTCCGCTGTTGGTTGCTTCTTCGGCAGTTGGGGTTGTCTGCCCAGAGAGGTCTTCCTGGCTGCCATTGTTGCCCGAAGCTTTTGCAGCAGAGCGAAGGGAGTAGTTGCTATCCTCATCATACTTGGCTCGCTGGTCTCTAGAAGAGAGGCTGTTGTCCGAGAGATTCTGGTAATAGTCAGGGATTGCATAAAGATCGTCATCACGGCCCTCTTCCTTAATGATGACACTGGAAGAATCGTCATCATCGGCTTCCAGAGAAGGGATAGGAACGTCAGGGTCGTAGTGCTCGTATTGATGAAGGCTGTCCTCGAGTTGGGAGTCGTCCTCAAAACTATCCTCCTCATCATAACTGTCGCCCTTTCGAATATCTCTCAGGATAGAATCCCTAGAGATTCGAGGAGGAGAAAAGACATCATCCTGTGACAGTTCTTCTGTCTTTCTTTCGTCGTTCGTGGCTAGAGAGAAGGGTTTTGATGTCCCCGATGCAATCCCAGTCTCGGCAGTGACTTCCCTGCTCTCCTCATCTTCGCCGTCTTTATTTTCCTTGAGCATCATGAGTCGCAATCTATCCTCAAGGGACATGGCTCCATTCAAATCCGCTTTAGAGTATGGAGCTGCCGCGGGTGGGGCAGGCAAAACACGTTGACCAGCACTTCCAAGTTCAAACGCAGATGCAAGTTTGCCAGGTGACGACGGGCGAGAACCAGACAAACGAGAGACGGAGGGTAATGGCGGTAAAGGCCTCCGCTCCCCATTGGAATCGAGGGACTCGACTCGGTTGTGGCTACTCTTTTCTCCCTCACGCGAGACTGGTCGCTCTTCGAAATGGCTGTCTTCAACTTGCTCGACAAATGAGTCTTCTTCGTCGTTTTCACTTCCGGGACTCATAAATCGCCATTCCTCCGGCAGGACGACAGGTGTCTTTTCAATATCTTCTAGAGATGCATCAAAGCTGTCATCCCGCTCGACAGAGGATTCATGCTCAAAGCTCACATCTTCCTCCTCTTCTGAATCATAACTATTTTCGCGTGATTCGGACGCCAGTGACGATGGGTCCGGAGTGCGCATCTCATATTCGTTGACTTGGGGAGGCGCAGCATCGAAAGTGACACTCTTCGCATGACGGTGACCAGCACTATCATACTCCGACCAAATATCATTCTGGGGGTCAAATCCTTTGCCATAGCGGCTCCCTTTTGACAAGGAAGACTTTCCAGGTGAGGGCTGGTCTTTGCTGGGCGAAGGGGGTCTAGGAGCGTGCTTAGCGTTTTCATCGTCGGTGAACTGAGCTTTCGCAAGATTCATTTGGCTGTCGCGGTTGGGCGAACGATCAGTGGCCAAGGGCCGATGCAGTAAGGAGACGAGTGCAGGGTCATATTCCTGGCCGCCATGGAGCATGCTATGGTTCTTGACTCTGGATGCGCGTTTCAGGTCCTCAAGTGATGGGCGCCTCGCCGGAATATAGCAAGATTCGGGATCGTACGGCGCAAGGTTTTCCGAGCCCTTAGAAAAGGGAGTCGGAGAATCGCGACCTTTCCAGAATGATCTTGGGGAGGCAGTGTTGTTCAACGGTGAGACATCGTAAGCGAGCGAGTCGACAGTCGGCGTCTTCCACTGTTTATCAGCATGATGTTTCAATAACAGCTGTATTGGGAATCGGCAAACTGGCTTTGTAAACTCACCTTTGTAGCTTCATTCCAGATGGGAGAGTTGCGCCGTTGTGCCATTGGGTTCACCTCGGAGAGTGGCCGTTGGCCAAGTCCGCTAGCCATGTTGATAACGTGGGTCCGAACAGCTGATTGTATTCAAGATTGGATGAGGATAGGACTGATGGAAAAATAAGATATCTGCGATGGATTAGATATTATGTTTCATCGCGGTGGTAGTCCAGTCCCGTCTCGCGTGTCTCGAACGTGAAGAGGAAGAAGGTTGCGAGACTGCGCGCGAATGGTAGCCAACATACCTCTCGTAACGGATACCAGGAATCGCGTGGGAAAACACCGAGTCCTGGTAAGTAAACCGAAAAGGCGTAAAAGTCGTGTCGATCGTCGCAGGAATGTGAATGCGTCACCAAAGCGATGCCACAAATATTTGAAACTCAACGGTGGAAGAAAGACAAAGACGTTATAAGGGAAGGAATAACGAAGGGATATGGATGGAGGAGGGATAACAAAGAGGGGATCCGATCTCGATATCAATCCCATGGATCAGAAAGTGGACTTGTTACCCCAAAGCAAGTTGTGATGTTGACAGTCGCGGGAGTCTCCATGGCAACAGCGGGGGCGGGACAATGACTCAGCCCCGATAACGGTCACCTGACATTTCTGCCTGAGCTGTCAGGGAATAAAGATCGGCGCTAGTCCTAATCAGGCATGGCGCAAAAACATCCTGATAAACTGGGTTTTTTGCCCAAGAACTATTAGTTGACGTCCATCCCCTTCCCCGGCATCTTGGTGTTGCTTCAGGATGCCTCTGCCGATTCGGTCCTCGATATGTTTCCTCTGTTCAACTAGAGCGCCAATTGCTGCTCCCCTTACGCTTCGCCCGACATGGCAGGCCACTCGAGAAATGGGTACGGCGCGCTTGCGGCGCAAGTCCGCGCGCATGACGTTGTCTCCTGACGTCGCAAAGTCTTCATTGAAAAAGCCGCGGTCCGGCAAGGAACGCCCAGGTCCCTTCGCTGGGATGAATCAAACGAAGGCTCGGATTCCCGATGCACCACGATCCAGATCCCAGGCCGCTCTCAAGCGATCTGGCGAGGAGGGCAAGACCGACAAGACGGATGCTCCCTTGTACAAAGCACTCAAGATGCAAACTATGTTGTCGCCGATAACCTATGGTCGTCGTACTGCCATCAAAGCCAGGATCGCCAATCTGACCAGCTTCGACCATTTCCCTCTCCTGCCCGCGGTACGACACTCGATTTTCTCTCAGGCCTTGCCTGGGTTGGCTGATGTTAGCCCAACCCCCATTCAACGACTTGCAATTCCCCAACTCCTCGATCACAACTCGGCAAATAAGAAGAAAGCCCAAAAGGTGGATGTGGATAGCCCCCAGTATGAGCAGTATCTTCTCGCGGCAGAGACTGGCTCGGGGAAAACGTTGGCATATTTACTTCCTGTTGTGGATGCCGTGAAGCGTGCGGAAGCCAAAGACAAAGAGGAGCAAGTCATAGTTGAGGAAAAAAAGGCAAAAGAACGGGAAGAGAGGCTCAAGAACCGGACCTTCGATATTGAACCTGAGGAGCCGCCGATGACCGATGCTGGTCGCCCCAGAGCCATCATTCTGGTTCCAACCTCAGAACTGGTCACACAAGTCGGGGCCAAAGTCAAGGCCCTAGCACATGCGGTTAAGTACCGTTCTGGAGTCATCTCGTCCAACCTCACCCCCCGGCGGATCAAGAATACGCTTTTCCACCCTGATGGTATCGACATCTTGGTGTCCACCCCCCATCTCCTAGCGTCTATCGCGAAGACCAACCCATATATTCTCAGCCGTGTCACACACCTTGTTCTCGATGAAGCCGACTCTCTCATGGACCGCTCCTTCATCCCGATCACTACCGAGGTGATCGATAAGGCTGCGCCCTCGCTGGAAAAGCTGATCTTCTGCTCGGCTACCATCCCTCGCAGCCTCGACAACCAACTTCGCAAACGATACCCTGATGTGAAGCGCCTCACTACACCCAACCTGCATGCGGTCCCTCGTCGTGTACAGCTTGGAGTGGTGGATATTGATAAAGAGCCCTACCGTGGAAACCGCAGTCTTGCCTGTGCAGATGTTATTTGGTCCATTGGCAAAGCAGGCGAGTCGAGCGAAGATGATCACTTCGGTCCTTTGGCCAAATTTATGGGTCCCAAGGTAAAAAAGATCATTGTGTTTGTCAACGAGCGCGAAGAGGCGGACGAGGTTGCCAAGTTTCTTCAGTCCAAAAACATCGATGCGGTCTCCTTGTCTCGTGACTCCAGCACTCGCAAGCAAGAAGAAATTCTCGCTGAATTCACCGAGGTCGATCAGCCTCCGACTGCCGAGGAAATTGAGCTGCTTCGAAAGCAGTCTCGGATCGAGAAATCCATTCCTTTCGATGCTGCCCAAACCAAGCCCACCGTCGAACGCCGTCTTCCCAATACCAAAGTTCTCGTGACTACCGACATTGCCTCTCGAGGCATCGATACCTTGGCCGTCAAGACCGTGGTGCTGTATCATGTTCCGCACACAACAGTCGACTTCATCCACCGTCTGGGCCGTCTTGGGCGCATGGGCAAGCGCGGTCGCGGTGTTGTACTAGTTGGTAAGAAGGACCGCAAGGATGTTGTCCGCGAGGTTCGTGAGGGCATGTTCCGTGGACAGGCTCTCATTTAAATAATGTGTGCATTATTGCATGCGTATCATGTACCATATTCGGCGTTTACAAAGGTTTGATGATGTTTATATAGGCTGGCAAAACAATACCCAAGATCCTGCAAAGCACGAAGGCCACTGGAGAGTGTACGATATTGGATATATATACACCGTTCTACTCCTGTACATTTATTTCCTGACAAAAATAGTTGACCTCTTCACCCACTTTCTGATCTAAACAATGGTAGTCTACGTCATATGGTATAACTCTAGAGATATATTTCGGGGTGCGATGACAGTCGCATGTATGCTCAACACTGTTGTATAGTCGGCGTATACAATTCTGACCGAAAGACAAATGTCAAGCCAAGTTTGAAGGACCCTGATGTTGGACGCGTAAATACCCCAAGATGACGCGTTTCATCCTCGTCGAAATCCCCAAGATAAATCTAGATACCGTCAATATTGTAGAAGTGATGTACCTTCTCATGTTATCCCTTGCTTCGCGTCGGTTGGAAAGACACGTACCTCAGGGCTTACAACTCCGTATTCGGGGAAGAGACCAAAAGGTTGGCCGTCGGAACAACCCCATTCCGTTATCATCGCACTATACTTGATGAGACTAGGCAAGCTTCATGAAAAAGTAAAAAGACCTTTAATTTGACATGGTTATGAGCTCTGGTAAGCTTTATCTTCTTGATACCTTAAAAGACAACGAAATCGCGTCCAACCTTCACGAAGGCCCGCTACCTGACTCCACCTTCTTCGAATTCTTCACACGCTCCAATAAGGTTATTTTCAAGCAAAATCAAGGCCAAAGGCCTTCACTAACTCTTCCACCTGTCCTTCAACACTTGTACGGAGGTTGGTGGAAGGAGAGCGTTTGACATGCTCTCCAGCTTGTACAGCTCTCATTCTCTTCAAAGAGAACATTGGAGAAACCAATGGCTGATGGGACAACCATTTCGAAAGAGGAAAAATGCAGAGATTTTGACTCTGCAGATTTTCAATGCCTTGCTTCTTTCCGCCACTGCAGTCGCTATCAAACAGTCATCTACTGTTTTTCTGATTGCCAGAGACGGACTAGAAGGTACCCAAGATCTGTCTCAATCTCAACTGGAACCCGTAAGTGAGGCACCCAGGATATCATTCCAAATGGCACGCGTCTCATTGAATTATACAAAGAGAACTTGTCATTCATTTGGTGAAGCTTCGCATAAATTTGTGCATTACTAAAATAGGCAAATAGCTTTGATCCGCCGTGCATGCCAGTCATGCATTTGACTTTTGTCTACAGGTGATAACACTCGAAGAGATAAAATCCATCCAAATGGAATTACAATATCGCGTTGTTCTCCAGGTGCGCAACTTAGGCATTAATCACCACTTTGTAATGGGTCCAAGACCCAGAATCCGTGCAAGAGCCGTTGAAGAGACCGTTGCTCTCATGATATCCATCCTTGTCATTGTTGACAAGACATGATTCATTCTCGAAGAATATCGCCTTCCACCAATTCACATAGTAAATGGAATCCGCCAAAATGTAACAGTAATCATATGTGCCGCCGAGGCTGGTGCAGGAGCCTTCATATTCCGAGCCAGACGCAACGAGGGCACCATTGGAGCACTGGGGTAATATGGGTCATTGTTAGCCGACTGCTATAGATAAGAGACCCAGAAGATAGACTTACGGAGTCACCACAGTACAGAGCCCAGTCAGCCGTGGCCACGGAGGCGAGGGCGAGGGTCAAGGTGGTGAGATACTTCATGATGATTTTGACCTAGATGCTTCGCTTCAGTTTCTATTTTCTTGGAGCTAAGCGAGAACAGACGTACTAAACGAAAACCAAGGGAATTGGGTACAGTGTTTTCCTAGAAATCACAAACTATTTCTAGGCAATCACAGGCTTATATACTTCTACCAGTGATGGCTTATATGCTTATACCAGCTATGAGAACCTTGTGACATTCATCTACTAGCTTCAAATAATCCTGCCACCCTCAGATAAGCCCCTCATAATTTGGCTACAGGATTGCCGAAAGGATGCCGAAACTGTGTGGGGTAATAAACGCTGTATCTTATAGGCCAAACTTAAAACCAATCCGATGCATGTTTGTCATTAGGGATGACCCCTAATCCCTTTTCAATTAAGATCCTTCGAGAAGCGAGTACGACCCGACAAATAGAGATCCATTCATTCAGCCAAACCAACTAATATTCTTCAGGCTACACTCCTAGGACAGTAGTTTATAGCCCCCAAAGGTCGGTAAGACCGATGGCGTTGTTGAAGGATCAGGGTCAGGAACGCCGAAGAGACTGTTGTTTGCACCTTGGCGGTGCAATACTTTTTTGAGGAGCTTCATCCAGGAATAAATTGACGAAAAAAAGACTTTGATGGTCTACAGAGAAAAAATAACTATAAGTTATTGAACGCCTAAGTATGACACCTTTTAAATGGTACCATTTCTCAACTTCTGGATTTTGATGTCAAGGGCTGAAGAGGGGTTCTACGATCCTAGTCCTTTCGAGGCGTAGTGGGCCGCGCGGCCTACATAGCGTGCGACTAGTTGACTGTCAGACGACAACAAAAAGGGTCAATCCCTGCCAGTCGCCAAGAGGTAGGTGCTAGATATTGTAGTGGGGAAATGGCCAACGATAGGTGATCTCTGATTGGAGGATATCTTTCCTGGTACACAGTCTTCACAGAATATAGCTTGCATCTCCGATAGGGAGAGAATCAACTTTTACACATCTTTCGCTGAAGCAGCACCTGTTTCTTCTCTGAGGGGCTTCCTATCGTGGTATGGTGTGGTTTGTTGGCTTGTTCCTTGATCCATCTCATCCTGCCTGCATTCGTAGGCTTGCCGTAGCGCGCCCTGGTTCAATAGTCAGTGATTGGTAGACCCTAGTCAGCGCTAATATCCAAGGCTTACCACAATAACAGATTGTGCTTAACAACATTTCATACGTGCCTCAAGGGTTACATTTTGTATTTGAACTTGTTATACATGGCTTCTCTATTGCTAAATTTCCTAAAAGATTATTGTTGAATCGCTTGGTGAGCGATCGTGAGTGCATACTTTCCATTGAAAGGCAAGACACAACGGCAATTAAATCCATGGGCTTGTCAGGTTCTTCTGGAAGATGTTGATTGAGACATGGAAATGCACTTTTGGCACTTCAGAGATACATCCATTCTCAAATCTCTCCCAATAAAAATCAATGGTGATTTTGAATGACAGAGCTAATCCCAAAAGAGACCAGAGCCAATTCTTGGTTGGCTTCGAATACGGAATCGTGGAGTATTTGCAGCATGCGGTGACATTTTGGAAGTTGTTTTGGGGACCCAAAAAGAGCAACGATATGCTTCCGGTGGGCATTTGTAGTTGGCTCAGGTTAAGACCATTCTACTAATCAAATACCCAAACCCAAAATAATTGTATGAAATAAATTCCAGTGATTTCTTAGGCACAATTAAGAAAAAAAAAAGCATCTTTACGCAAAAAAAAATCTCATTCCGGTACCATACGCGAGCATTTCAATCCCCCGAACTCGCCATATGGCTCCAATGCAGACGTGTGTATATCTTGGCAACCTATCCTTGCGCGATAAATTTCCCCTGAGTAATCTTTCTGGACACATTGATCAGTCGGGTAAACCCAGCATTCACCATTTGTGATATACCAAGACTTTGGCTGCTTGAGGCTACTGGAATCACAATCGGTCCACGAGAATCCACCATCGGTCCACCACCGGCACGAAATACCAGTATCGGTGACACTGGTACTCAACCTTCCATGCAGACTTACACACTGGGCACCGCCCACTGTGTTGTGTCCCTGGAGTAGATAGTAGTCGCCTTTGCAACCACTCTCACTGTACATAGCAATTTGCCATTTTGCAGTCTCCGCGGATGCTGTCTGCTCTATCGATTCTGTCATTATAGTCTCGGTGGATTCTGTTGTCGTCGATTTAGTCGATGTTGTGGTTGTCGTAGATTGAGTCGATGTTGTGGTTGTCGTCGATTTGGTCGATGTTGTGGTTGTCATAGATTTGATCGATGTTGTGGTTATCGCAGATGACACCTCTTTCATAGTAGTCGCCGAGGTTTCCGTAGATGATTTGTCACTTTCACTTGTGAAAGCGACGCTGGAGTCTGCATTGCAATTGGAAATGCATCCACTTGCCTGGCTACAGAAATCAGAGGTAGTGCCACATTTTCCCGCATTGGAACACTGAGCATGGTTAGCCAAGTTGTGGCGAATGAAATATTTGAAACTTACACATTGACTTTTTGGACACAAATTCAGTTCTCTGAGATCTGAATACTTTAAAGGACGTGCAGTTCCGGGAACCTGAGGACCACAAACGGCATGTGGTAGCGACACTGGCATTGGAGGCTCCCCTGCGCTTAAACATATGAAACTGCCTTGGTGAAACTTTTTACAGCCTGACCATCCCCAGGTCTGGGCATTGACTGTCTCGATCTGATCAGTGGTAATTTCATACTTTTGAGCAACACTGGCACAACTGTCGCCAGCCTGGATAGTATATGTGTAGCAAACACCGTCACTGCTTGGGCTAACCGCCGGAGAGCGTTCATCCAACTTGGCTGTGGTCACAGTGGATAATATACTGCTCCATAACAGCAGAACAGCAATATGTATGATCAACATTGTGAACTTTCGGAAATGACTTACAAATTCAGATTTGGGTAAAGGGAAATTCAACATTTAAATACATCTATGGTCTCAAATTTGGAGAGTCTCAAACCATCATTGAGGCTTTGAGTGTCAGAACAAGGTCAAAAATGCTGGCATCCAAGAACAACCATGGCAAAGTGGACCTAGAATTTCCATATTTAGCCTTGAAAAACTACGCTATGCAAGGTGTTGATAGAGATAGTCAGTGCATTTCAAGAGGGTCATGACCAATGTTGAGAGGAGAGTGGTTTATCTAATAGAGTGACAAAGAATTGCGGACCAATCACCATGCTGATCTATGATTTATTCTGTTTGTTTTCATGTAGGGTGGTAGAGCAATCTAGCCCAAAGAAGTGTTGAATAGACTTACTGATCTTAATGATCTCTTTGTGCTCCAAATACATGGGCGATTGATATGGAATAGCTCCTCATACCCGAAGCAACCTCTTTCGAATCAGAGTTCAAGGATCAAGATTAATTTTTGTTTTTCATTGCATCAGACTGAAAGGCAAAACAAATAAAAAACTGTGTATGTCTTATTATAATACATAAGAAGCGAAGCTATTTCACAGATAGGCGATTGGCCGACGACAAGGTACGGGCTAATACCCCTCCTCGTTATTCCAGTAAGTCGTTCCATGTTGAACCTCGCCTTGGGGGTCGAGATCCCACCTGAGAACCAGTCTTGTCCACTGCAGCAAGTGGCTGGCTAACTTGATGTGCCCAACATCTGTCGGGTGATTGGTGGGACCGATGTCATTATGCTGTATAATCCCGGCCGTGTTGAAATAGTATACAAAGCCACGGTCTTTGAAGTGTTCATGGACATCCCTGGTTTCTTTTTCGTAAATTTGAGGCAAACGGTAGCCCCACTCGGATCTCTCGAAGTAACCCCATTGGGACTGTTGAGGACAAAGATGGGTGTAAGCAAAGGAAGAAGGTGGTTGGGCTGAAAATCATGACATACCACAAGAAGAACCACTGCGTGGGGCCAATTACTGTGAATATCCTCAATCATATCCACATACGCATGATAGAAATCTTTGCCAGGAATTTCATTCGGATGTCGGTGGTCGTTTCCTCCCATTTGAATCACGACGAGGTCGGCAGGTTGTTCGGCAGATATGTCGAGTTCTTCAGGCTGATCGCCATAGAAAGAGTAAGCCCGGCTGCCGGGGTCAGATGCACGGTGCCAGTACCATGGCTGCCAAAGAAAGTATTAATGGAAACTCATTTGAAAGCAAGACAGGTTACTTTGACTGACCATGCCATGAACACCACCATAACATTGGTTATCTACTAGACAGACCCCTGCATATGCCTGCACAAGGATAATATGAGTATTTAGAGAGGATTTAGGCAGGCGAAAAGCTTACACTTATTGTAGACTCGACGTTTCCAAGACCGGAAACAAAAAGCCATGCCCAGGACGAGAGAGTTTCATATGTGGCATACTGTCCGGAGACGACACTATACATAGTCAGTATCTGACATTCGATGCGATCATGAAGTACAGCGACTCACGATCCTCCAATGATTTCGACCTTCTTTCCATACTTAGGAGGTACAGTGAGCTCTGAGCCACCTGCAACAGCAACGCTGGCAATCTGGACTGTATGGAGGATGAGCAGAGAAGATGGACCACCAGGATAGGGGAATACTTATCCAATGCCCCAGTTCGTCACTCCATGGAAGACAAAGTCAGCACCTACTGACAGTAATCCATATGTTTTTTTTGCACAGACTTACCTCGCATCTCAAAGATCTTCTTCTGCTCGATCTGGGCATCGCTTAGTCCCGTCCAGTTGCCGACAAACTGGTAGGTCGAGTCGGCAGTGACATTGGAGAACTGCCAATCTAAAGAACCCAATCTGTAAACAGAAATGAGCATGATTAGCAGTTTGAAGTGGAAAGGGGTAGCGGGGAGATTGAAGTGAGTCTAGGCACCTATATGCGACCAACACCCCATCGTTCGTGCTTGGACCGAAAGAGACAGCCAGCTGTAGATACGATTAAACTTAGATCAATAGCGAGCATGTAACTCGAACAACGAGTAAGGCCTAGGTGTACCTTGCTTCCAGTAAACTCTACTTTGATACCAGGTGCCCTAGAGATGTCAGGATCGTCATTTTGATTGGGTATCCGAGATTTGAGAGCATGAGAGAGAGACGAACGACCACCCTGGACGAGAGTTAGAAGATTGACGATAAGCAGATTATGGGCGAGGGATGAGAAAGCCCATACAAGATATATGCTTGCTATCCCATCGTCCTTTGTACGCGATCTCCGGCACATCTGCGCCGTAGATATTCCAGGTATCATCGAGAAAGATCTTCGGCGTGTGGCCTGGGTAGGGGTTTTCTCTGACTTGACCATTTTGCAGAATGGTGGCTGCTGCGTGCCATGACCACGCGAGCCAGCAGAGCCCAAGACGTACCAGCCGCATTTCTGTTGACTTTTGCGATGGTCAACAGCACTGGGTCCCATTCACCGTTTATTCAGGACCGAAAATTGGCTAGGCAGGAGATGATCGTTCCTGAGCGCCGCGCTGGCGCCGGAATGAAGTCAAAAAACTAATAATGGCGTGATCTTGTGCCCCAAGTCCTTCGTGATTTCCTCTGATACCGCGACAAAACTTGCCTGTGAACGAGAACTCAGGAATGCACAAACTGCATGGCTGTCAATAGAGTCGATTCCTTGTCTTGAAGGCCTCAGCTATCGACCCTAAGAACAGGGGAGGTGGTCTGGAGAGACCGATATTAGAATGGAGGGCGCACTTCCATATCGGAATGGGCTCGCTCATAGGGGAAATTCAAGGCGTGAGCCAAGCCCAGCCAACGTGGAGACTTTCAAGGGGCAATCGCAAGAACCGAGAACCACGAGGGGATGTGTATCTAGTGGCTGGGGATCAGAGCTTCGTCTTGAAACAAAAACGTCAGAGCCTCGACCCCGTTTTCTGAAAACCCCGTGGCTGCCGCGGCTTGGCGGGCTAGAAATCAATATATTCATTTACGGAACCATAGAATTCTCGGCATATACGGGCAGCCTGCAGGGCACTCGTTGGTGGGCGAGAAGAGGTAATCGGCTCTAAAATTCTCCCCGGAATTCCAGATATCGACAGGATTCCGGCAGCCCTCGACATACCGAGAGCCCATTCAAGTCCAGTCGAGCTATCACACGCGAGACAAAAACCTCTAGTCTGGAGTTCTGCAGGGGAAAGAAATTTATCGGAGGCACGCCCTCTGTCACTACTGCTATTTCGCAGGTCCCCGATCATGATCGTCGGACCCTGAGGCACCGGGGACCCATGGTCCGTCTGAACGCCGTCGGAGGAAGGACACGCGTCCAGCAAGAAGGAGGCGTTTTTTTTTCATCTGGAAATGATTTCACTCGAGGTCCATTACGATTCTCCGTATGAAATACTTCAATACGGAGTATTGTAAATTAAATCAGAAGATTATATTCAAGAACCTGGCACTGAGTGGATGATTCAGGTGCTGCTGGTTTGTCTCCCAGGATGACTCGCCCGACCAATCCTGTAGGGCTAATAGCCCAACATAGGGGTGCAGAGACCGCTAGACGGAGTTCACCCTGTCGAGCTGCTCATATCTATATGGATTTTCATTTTCCGCATCGAGTTTGGCCTATCTGTGGTCCGGGGGCACGCTATATGCTGAAATTATTGGATCGAAACTTTCTGAGTGGCTGGAAGAGAAAACAAGACTGCTACTCGCATTCTTCAAAATGGTATTTAGGTCCCTCCGTAGCCTTGGAAGGGATGGCTGATAATGAGAATGAGTGGATGCAGGGGAAGAGGCGCCTCCAGCCGCCCCCTGGCAGGCCTGTGATTGTACCCTGTCACTCTTAGGATCAGGAAACTGGTGTTCTCCTGCGAGGCTGTTTTTGGGACCTCCCAAGTCCAGCTGGAGCCCCCATTGTGGCCAATGTGGTCCAATGTGGCTGTTGGAAATACCTCTCTATTTCCAACACATTGGGCTATTTGTTTTTTTTTTTTTTTTTTTTTTGTGACGTGCCGATACGCTCTGTTCAGCGCATGGACTACGAAATACATCCTCCATACAGGTCCTTGCAGTATTTAATATGATGAGTCGCTGGATGGGTTGTTGGTATCAAGATCACTGGGCGGGTCTCCATTTTGTTTTATTTGGACTATTCAACCGATCTGTTCCCAAAATCTGAATCTCAGTTGGAAAACTGAGCCTGGGAAGCATACTCGACCACAATGCTTGTTTGTCGCCCCCTACATTCTTGGGCATGACAGTCACTGACGGATGTGTTAAGCCCAGAACAGGTGAGCCCACTTGAGTCAACAGGACCGGCTGAATCACGAGGCCGAATGGGTCTCGCCAGGCGTCATTGGTCTCCATTTGGCTGATGTTCTGTGGATTTCCTCGTCCGGTTACGATTGTTTTCAGGGTTCAAGCTGAGTCATCCTTCTCCAGGCGCCAAGCGCCAATCCCCTGGCGAGCGGATCGCGCGCAAAAGCGGCAAAATTAGGTCGAATGGCGCCATTTACTGGTTAGTTCATGCGATGCATCTCTCGACCTGTTTTGCAAGTCGCTGGGGGTTTGCCCCCTTTTCCATCGTATCCCGTCCCGCCATCACATTAGGAAACGAAGACGAATCGGGCGGATCTGGATACGAGTCTTGAATCTATAGTTTCTGGCAAGAGTCCTCCAGGGACACTTCTCATACGCCTCGAGGTATACCAACAGCCCCCGAGGTTCCAAAGACCCCTAGACCCCTAGACCCCTAGACCCGGCATCTCGGTCCATGATCAACCGTGGTTGCGGCTTCAAAACTCTGTACCTGTATCTCATGGATGTAGATCTCTATTGTTCTATGCCACAACTGCAATGGGGCGGACGTCGGAGTACAGATCGGCCTGCGATGGGGCAAGATTCATCCTCCGCTCTGCTCTTGCCATCGGATCCATAGGGCTGGTCGAAAACAGGCAAGTTGTACGGTAATCTGTGTCAAGTGCTAACGCCATTTTGGTTTCCGGTTTGCCCATCGCCGGACCCCAATCAAATGCCCTCGTTTGATTGCCAGGCAGGGCGGAATCCCTCGTTTGGTCCCCGGCGTCGTCAGCTTTCTCACCTTTCCCAGACCATCGTTCAGTCCGTTCGTATATGGTGCCTTTTTCGCAAAAGCTTGAACCCGCCGATGGCGTCCTCGCTTGGCAAACCCCCAGACATAATGACTGCTTGGGCCCCGCGATTATATCCGAGACTCCCAGGCTCGGACATGGAGCAGTTGGTCGGAGATAATCTGACCCAAAAATGGCTGGCGTACGTGGCCTACATAAATTATGGCTGAGCATTCAGCGCATGATCTATGAATGTTGGGCGACTATTTGATCAACCGGGCTCCGGAGACTATGGGGGCCATCTGGGGGTTTGGAAGTTGGGTGCATCTGGTGAAACACATCATCGGTGGGCGCGTACAGGATAGAAAGCTGCTCATTGTTTCTTTGCGTAGTAAAACACGTCCCAAATGATCTCTAGCACCCTCTATTTGAGGCAACTGATCGGCTGGAGAGGGAAGGATGCAACGTGTAACCAGAAAGAGACCCGCTACTAAGCCGAGGTTTTGCATGATGTATGGAGTCCTTTACAAGGAGGATATGCGAAGTAGCAGACTCCACTTCTATTTGGCAATCTTTTACCCTCCACCATTGAGAATTAACAGGCCAACAGGCGAAAAGGGTAACAAGGAGCTACCCCCTCGGACCCTGTCACTCGGGTTATTCATAACCCCAAAGGCCGCCCTCCCCCCGCCTCCCTCTCCGTTCTATCCCTTCTTTGCTGGTCGTTTTTAAATCTCCATCTCGGCGTGTACCCGGCGTACGTCCACTGGACCCATCTTGGCACCCACTAATATATTTGCTTTGGAGAGCAATTCTCTCTCCTATCCACTCGTTCTTGTTGCCTGCACATCCTCGGTTTTCTTGCCACCCTCCGTTCCTTGCATCTTATCAATCTCCTTTCTCTTCACGTTAAGAGACACTGATGCCGATGATCGAATCGTGAACTATCAAGTGCTCTCCTTTATTTTTTTATCCAGTTGCGTCTGTCATTACCAAGAACAAAAATGGACTACATTCAACCAAGCCACCTTTATACCCGGATTCTCGATAACATTCCGTGGAAGTCAGGAGACTCAAGTGTCAAGGGCGACCCCCGAAAGAGTGTTAAGTGGATTGATGTATGTGATCAGTAACCTCCCTTTGGGTGACCGATAAAAATTAGCCTCTTACAAGTTCTACCACAGGGCTTGAGAGGCATTGCTTCGTTTCTGGTCGTTCTGACCCATCTGGCTCGAGCCTGGGATTATGATCTCTTTGCACCCCGTGATGATGAAGATGCCACTCCCCGTATTCTCCAATGGCCTGTTCTGCGGATTCCATGGCAAGGGCGTCTAGGAGTCACCATCTTCGCTTTTCTAACCGGTTATGTTTGCGCCCTCAAGCCCATCAAACAGTCCCGTAATGGAGATCACTTGGGCTCTTTCACGTCCGTGGCAAAAAGTGCTTTCCGTCGTCCGCCTCGTCTGATATTCCCCGCAACTATCGCTCTGATCATCTCCTGGATCATGGCTCAGTGTGGCGCGTTCATCGTCGCAAACCGATCGGATTGCTGGTGGTGCCGTTATGCCGCTCCAGATCTGGCGCCTACCTTTTGGCAAGAATTCCTTCGTCTATTTGAGAACTTCTTGGGTGTTTGGACCACTGGGTTTATGGCATATGATGATCACCAGTGGGCCTTGCTGCCATTGTTGGAGGCATCCATGCTTGTTTATATCCTATTGTGTATCACCATGTTTGTCAAGTTCAGGTGGCGTTTGGCGATCTACTTGGGAATGTTCCTCTACTTTCACCAGAATGCCGCCAAAAACACAGGTATGCTTCGACTTCCTTCCGCTTATTCACCCATCCCCCTGACATGAATTTTTAGAAACTTTTCAAATGCAGGCTATATATGGCATGTTCCTGAGCGACATATCTTATGAAACTGCTTTCAAGGAGTTTGTCGAGCGACACAAATGGGGCCGTAGAGTGGTATCAGCGACCCTCGCCTGCTGCGGTCTTTTCATCTGTTCATATCCTGGCGAGCACCCAGAGTGGGCAACATGGTCAAACTACATGTTTGAGATCGCTCAATATATATTCCCACCCGATGTGAATATCGGCAAGCGCTATTCAGCTATCGGCGTTGACTTGATCATCTTCGCCATTTACATCTCCCCCTCTACCAAGGAGTTCCTGGCAAACCGCCTCCTGCTTTGGCTTGGGAAACAAAGTTTCGCTGTCTATCTGGTTCACGGCACTCTCCTGCGTACCGTCCTATGCTGGATGCTCTACGGCATCACTGGTCAGCCTTGGGAGGGAGATATTGTCGATGGCAACGGCAATCCCATCCTGGATGAGAATGGTGAACCGCTTCATCCACACTGGATCCCTATCCGTGCACCCTGGGTGGTGGCTATTTCCATCCCAGCCTGGATCGCGCTAGTCTATCTCTGTGCGTCGCTGTGGACAACGTATGTGGATCCCTTTTGCGCTAAAATGACGCAAAAGTTGGAGAAAATTATGTTCGAGGAAGACAACAAATCCTCAGAGGCGCTTCCTCTTACCAACATGCCCATGACCACCATGCCCATGACCGGCGCTTAAGTATTCAGAATGCACCGCGGTGCATAGTATTACACACAACTTCTTTTTTCTTTCATCTCCTTTTACTTCGGTGACTCTTTGCATTGCGACTATTGAGTTGAAACGAAAGCGACTACTACTCCGAACTTTTTTTATGTACATAAATTCGCCATTTTCGCTACTATTTTCCTCTTTCCATGTATGAGATGTGTTCTATGGAGTTATATATATTCATCAGAAATTTCCAAATATACAAAGACTCGATATCTTCCAATATTTCAGTCGTCATAGAACTTGAATAGAGCCAAGATTTTGATTTGCTCCTAGGTCTGTTCCCAATGGTGACAGTGCCAAGAGCTCTCGTGCCAGCTTGGCGCGCTGGTGCCGGGTGGGGATTGACTCGCCGGTGATACCGATTCATAGGGCCAGGGGCCAAGATCTATATTTTTTTCGAAACTGAAGCCGCTGCCAAGGCTGCTAGCAGGCAGCCGGATTTTTCTCGACCTGGGATCCCTGAAGGATTGCGGACGTGGCTTATGCGAGTGGTTTGGGTGGTAAGGCTGACAAGGCGGACGGCTGAGTGCTGGATCCACCATAACAATCACTTCGCTAGTGAGGATTCAAATCCTGGCGGGTACTCAGGCCTCCTTTCATTATCTCTACGAGAGTTACGAGAGGAGCTCAATTGCCCATGCGGCAGAGTTTGAAAGGTGACGCTCTATGCGTGGCCTCATGCCGGTTTCCGTTGCATGTTCAGTTGGCGAGCTCGTTTGCTGCGGTAAATATTATCCGAAAGATGCTCACGAGAGGATTCATGCTTGGGGCAGACTAATGTGACTTGATGTCATAGATGAGCTGGCAAACATGAAACTTGGATTCTGCCCACCTGATAACGGAAATTGACAGCTTACGCATTCCTAAATATGAGATTTCTTCGGTCGTATAATGCAAAATCATGATCTTAAAAATTTTTTCAATGATTCCAAGATGCGAAGGATTGACTATCTCATCAATAATTCAAGCTAGACAGCTGAATTTCCCTCTGCGAGTCTCCCAGGATTTGATAGAAGAGAGAGATTCTCAGAAGCTGAATTAATATATCTCAAAGGAATTACCGGCGTTGAACTGTGATTTATTGCGTTGCAAAAACCTCAATAGGATCCAATCTAACCGTAGAATATCCGTGCAGAAGCGAGTTGGATAGTAGAAACATCGCACCACGTACGGCATCTTGTGGACGTGTATAGGACATATCAACTAGGCTTTTGTAGTACAGGTATAATTTCTATTTGATGATGCTGATGGTATGCCTGCTATAGTATCTCCGGTTTCTTGGTCCTTATACTGGCGTTTCTTCCACAACCTCTCTTGTATCCGATATTAGTCTTTCTATGGACATATACATACGCGTAACTTAGAGCATTTTAGACTTTTAAATAGACTTGATTCCTTTTTTCTACCCGTTTTTGCTCATATTCTGGTCTTCTAATGCTGGACCAGTTTGCATCGCACATCAATCTACCTACAATACATAATGAGTCCCGAGATTCTTAGATACTTAGTTTCAGGGTGGATTGAAAGCAACACGAGTCTTTTTTCTTCCTATTACTTACTCTGTATTGGCTTCAACATCAACAACTTTCAATTCGGAAGGCGGGACAATCAATGGGCAAGCAGAGGCTGTAATAACTTATCCGATGCATGCCCCTGCCATTACCGGCTATCAGCGTTAAATTTAACATCCAACAATGTTTCACAAGTTTATCCAGGTACCAGTTATAGGTTAAGAAATTCTTTACTACATCCTGGGATCACGAGCATGGCCTCTTATTGGACGACAATGATTATTTTCGATCTTGCTCTGGTCTTACTCTACCAAGTATCATGATTTCCAATGATAGGGACTATGTCCAAAGACGTGGAAGATTTCTGATTGTTTTTCAAGCTGTAGCTCTCAGGAACAGGGCACAAATTTTCTGTTTCCGCCCAACTTCATCACCGAAGTATTTAAAGGAGCTAGAATAATCAGACTTACTACGCTCCTGAAATACAGCTGACGAGATACAAGAGCCATAGGATGTGATCAAGACCTCCAAGAATGGTCACGAACGCCCTTGATTGCTATATCTTCGACTCATAACACTATAATTTAATTCATCTTAAAGCCCTACATTCCCCATGATGCCAAAGCTCAGAAACATTGATCAAGCACTTACGTCAAAAGACTCTCTCTGGATTCTTATTAGCATATGAGGAAAGCTGGTATGTATTCGCCTTGACGCGTGGATTGTATGTGGACAGATTTGTGACCACTATGATAGACCTTTTCAGCGAGGATTCGAGATCGGCTGGCTTGAATTCCAAATTTAACTTACCTTTGATACTGAAGTTGCGATACTGCGCTTTCCTTCGCTTTTGATGATCTTGAAAATCTTGATATTAGGGGATGGAAATAGGTTGAGGGTTTTTAGATGCCTGAACATAATACGTCGGTAGATTTCAGACTCTTCAATTGACGACTGCAGATTTGCGAGCAAGAAAAACTTTTGGGAAGCTAGAAGAATAAGATTTCTATTGAGCGTGTCTTTAAAACCGTAAGGTTATACTCACCATCCTGACCGGCAAGACAGGTGTCATAAAATGGTGGAACTTCGGCTAGTGGGTGTCCAGGAAAGCAATAATCAATGAAGTAACAGTCGATAGCTAATAACGCTTTTTTCTAGAGCCATACTGAATGCATTCTAGATCAAATTAATACAAAAAATAGTTGTAGCAGTGGCAACTCGGTAATAGAGACATATGTGAGGTCGATTCCAATAAATGTCGCGACATACAAACACAATAATCTGATCAAAGTCTCCTCCATCCACAGGATGCAGAATATTGACAAATAGGACAAGCTTCCAAAGCTTGCAGCAGTCAGTTCAACTGTGGAGAGAAAACTCCTGAGCTTCTGCTCAAAAATAGCCATTAATTAGGATGATGAAGGCTTGATACCCATTCAAGCAAGTAATTCTGAGGTTGACCTGCTTCAGTGGTGTGCACTGGGAGAAGAAGAGGGAGAATCCTTATTACCATAACGGATGTCTATGGTCGTATCCTAGTGAATTGCACACCCCGCAAATAGCAATAGCAACAAGATGATTGGCGAAGTTTACTGGCCAGACCTCAAGAAGCTCGACCTAAGATTGACCGGTGTATGATAATATAGACGCTAGACACAAGCTAAATAACTAAACCCATAAATTACGATGCCAAATCAGGGAGCTCCAGCTCGCTCCGATGCTATCAAGTCTTTCGTCAGGCCCCTAGACTGGGAAAACCTTGTTGGTCCAACTTCGAATATCCTTGAATATACCCCCGCCCCCGGGCCATCGTGCTTAGCAATGAGGGTATTATGTATTATTTCGTTCCAAAAACGAATAATAAACACTCTAACGTATGTAGCTATCTTCTTGCGTCTCAATATTATCGACTGAATGGTCTGAATTATTGTGAGAAAGCGTGACGCACTGATCTCATGCCCATCAAAGGTTTGTCGTCGTTTTGAAAGGCAAGTGCTCGCGGAGTCTTCAACTCAGTAGATCGAGTATGACCGTTCATAGCGGCGCTATATTTCCGGCGCTAACATAATCACCCGATACCTGCCTGCTCCTTCTTTACTCCCTTCTTACTCCCTCGGGTTTCTTCTGCGATGGGGGGGTGTCAGAAAGGCGATTCAACTCTGTTAGAGATCTGTTTACACTGCAGCAGCACATACGCGTTCTATTTGTTAGCGCATGGACGGATATAGTTACATCTTCCTGATCAGTCCCTACGTCTGTAAATTTCAGATACCGGATACATCATGGTTGAGCTACCGAATTGCCGAGAGAAGGCATAATGTTACTCATGGCCAGACATGGATTGAGAGCTCGATTGAGCTTGGGAACTCTGTTATCAACACTGAAACATAGCTCAGTTATTCCCGTGTTCATTGTGAATTTGACAAAGATAATAAGTCCGCCAAGTCCGGAACTATCACTCAACGATGCCAGAAGAATTCCAGCTTTCAATTATGTCCTGATGGAATATTTGCTTCGCTTCCATCTGAACCGCTCTCTGGATTGCTGTAAGCTGACAGGTCTACATAGAAAGAAATTCGAACTTTTCTTCATCATCGCTGCAAGCGACAAGAGAGTGTCTCGTCGAGAGGATTTCGCGCGCGAGAGAGGCAAGTGGGTGCGATGGGAGAGGCATGAAAGTGGGGGCTAGGATCCTTCTCACGCGTACAGGTAGGTAAGAGGGAGTGGAGTGATCTGCGTAAATGGAACGGATCGCAAAAGGACCCCTAGAGATAAGCGAGAAGTACATGAAAAAAAGAAAAGCCACCGGCGCTCCCTCACATGATAGTTCTTTCTTTTTTTCGCCATATTTCTTCTGACCTACAGCCTATCTGTTTGCTCTCTGTTCTCTGATATCTCTACTTGCCTGATGTGGGCTGGTATGGACTGTCTGGATGCAGCATAAGAGTCGAGGCGAACAGGCTTGTGACTGTTTGAATATGATACCAGGAAGGCCTCTCAGGCGGCTGAGCCAAGAGTTCTATTTCAAATGGGCTGGGTAGCTTATTCCGTAGACGGGTTCTCCGCAGGTAAGGGATATGCTTGCTGACATCTATAATGCAAATTAGCGGTTGCGATGAAATGACAAGCTCCCGAGTTTCAGAACATGCAGAGGAAATTTGGCGACATGAGATATAGTACAGTATATTGGCAATCATGCGCCATAGCCACTGGGCATTGTTAGCGCAATAGTTCCATTGGTTATCCCCGGTGCTAAGTCGTATATGGAGCACGGACTGCACCTCCCGTTTCTTTGTCAGATTCTGACATTCTAGACTTTTTCCTTTGTGGGCCACTGAGCTGGGAATTAAAAAGGTAGATCTGGCCGGTTGAGTTTTGAGTCCATGCGCCCGATCCGCGACGGATGCATCCTGTCAGGTGAGCACCCATTAATAGCTCGCAATAGCGCGCTCTTGGGGCCACTGTCGCCCGGAATGCCGCTTATGTAACCGTTCAGCTCCTAAAATTCCTCCAGACCCCGTGCCCCAACAGAAACTTCAATACCTGAAATTACGAGAATCCGTTCTCCCTCTCCGTTTGTGCCGGCCCTCCTGTCTGTGCAGGGAGTCAATGGGCCCAGTTGAGATCATGAATCGAATGGGACAGAAGGGCCTGACGCAAGTCTCCGCTTGATATCCAGATATCTCGCGAAACTGTGGTCCGAAGAGGGCAACCATAGGCCGAGCAAGTCTTTCTCCACGGGTCCACTCCGACCCCAATTTCACCCCATGATGTAATACTGTTCGCGGAACATGATCGGCGGTCAAAACCGGCGGTGACCTTGATAAGCTGGCCTTCGTCGCAAACACCTCTTCCCTCCTCCATCCTTTTCCATTGCCATTCATTCGATTAGTTCTGGTCCTCATGGCACCCCTGAAGCTCAACAGCAAGAACCTGTCGCAGATTTCTGCGGCAGGAACAACGAAGATCGAGGTTCCTACCTACCAGCGTGGTGGCGCTGTCAAAGAAGGCATCGTCCATGTTGGTGTCGGTGGTTTCCACCGTGCTCATCTGGCGGTCTATGTCGACCAGTTGATGCAGAAGCATGGCGTGACCGATTATGCCATCTGCGGTGTCGGCTTGCAACCTTTCGATGCCGCCATGCGCGACGCTCTGGGGTCGCAGGACCATCTCTACACCGTCATTGAGCGCTCGGCCAAGGGTAGCTTCGCCAACGTGGTCGGCAGCATCAACTCCTACCTCTTTGCCCCCGATGACCGGGAGGCCGTCATTGCCAAGATGGCTCACCCGGATACCCACATCGTGTCGCTCACCATCACCGAGAGCGGATACTACTACAACGAGAACACTCACGAGCTGCAAAGCGAGCACCCCGATATCCAGTACGATCTCGACCCGGCCAACGAGAAGGCCCCCCGCACCACCTTCGGTTTCCTCTACGCCGCGCTCGCCCGACGCCAGCAGAAGGGTCTCAAGCCTTTCACCGTCATGTCGTGCGATAACATGCAGAAGAACGGCTCCATCACTCGCCACATGCTCGAATCCTTTGCCAGGCTCCGCAACCCCGAGATGGCCAAGTGGATCGCCGAACAGGGTGCCTTCCCCAACGCCATGGTCGACCGCATCACACCTCAGACTTCCGCCCCCGATAAGAAGGCTTTGGCAGACAACTTTGGAATTGAGGATTCGTGGCCCATCGTCACCGAGCCCTTCATGCAGTGGGTTATTGAAGACCAGTTCTCCGATGGCCGCCCACCATTTGAAAAGGTCGGTGTTCAAGTGGTCAAGAATGTTCACGATGTGGAGGAATTCGAGAAGCACAAGTTGCGTCTGCTGAATGGCAGCCACTCTGCTATCGGTTACCCGGGCCAGATGGCGGGCTTCAAATACGTCCACGAGGTTATGGAGCATCCTGTTTTCAGCAAGTTTGTGTGGCAGATGATGCAAGAAGAGGTCAAGCCGCTTCTCCCCGAGATTCCAGGCGTCGATATCGACGAGTACAGCAAGACTCTCATCGAGCGCTTCTCCAACCCCACCATTATGGACCAGTTGCCTCGTATCTGTCTCAATGCTTCTGGCAAGATCCCCCAGTTCATTATGCCATCGATTGCTGAGGCCATCTGGGTCACTGGCCCATTCCGCCGCCTCTGCTTCGTTGCAGCGGCTTGGTTCCGGTATGTCAATGGCGTCGACGACAATGGCAATGCTTTTGAGGTCGATGACCCAATGCGCGAGGAGCTCCAGGCCAAGGCACGTGCGGGAGGCACCAACCCTGCCGAGCTTCTCACCATTAAGAGCCTGTTTGGTGATGATTTGCGCGGTGACGAGAGATTTGTCAAAGAGATCACCACTGCCATGGAGGACATTGCCCGGGATGGAATTTTGAAGACATTGCCCAAGTATGTTGACTGATCGCCACAGCCAGGAGTTGCTTGTTTTGGCTTAGCGAAATTGGTTTTCCTGCTTCTGAGCGATGTATATGTTGTCTTTGTATTTTTTGTCATGAGGTCGGTCATCTTACGAGGAAAAGTTCGACATAGAGTTAGATGATGATAGATAAAATCCCCCTAATATTCTCTCACTACATGTTTGAATATCCATGTTTACTTGATCCATTGGTTTTGCCAATCCAACATGTAATGGACTGCGTATGTTTGTTGATCCTGTACCCTGTACAATTTGGGTACATGACACAAGATTTTTCTGGAGCTTCAGAATCATTTCTCGCGCATTAAAAAAGTTCATACTCCTAATATCCCTCCGCACAAGCAAGCGCATACACTTGAATTATTTCCCCTGGATCCTAGCTATGCTATGTAGCCCGTTATTTTTAACCCCGATTCCCACGCCCCTCGACAGTCCCCACATCTGCTCCGCAAAATCTGTTCGGGCTGCTCGGGGCCCACTTTCCCTCCCGACTGACCCTCGCCTCTTTGTCCCTGTGAGTGCAGAACTCGGCACATCCGTACCTGGTTTAATAAACTAGGGGAGGATCCATCGGCCCGAAGATTCTGCGAATCACTTTGTGTATGTAAGCGAAGCTGCAGCATCGGGTCACGCGGAATTTGTTCCTGAGGTAACTGAATGTGGTTCCTCCTAATAGTTTCGGGATTTCCTGATGAAGCCGCCTCCGCATCATTCGATGACAGTTGCTCCGTAGACAAGTAGACGACAGCCACTGGGAGATCTGGCATCATCTTCCAAACTGATGCACAGGGCAGCGTTCAGTCTTGGTTGGCATAAGAAATACGTATTTACTCTCAATACACACTTTCGGTAAAAGACGCTTCTTTTGAATCAGACTATCATATCATGGTGGCAGTGGGGGCAAGCTTGGTCTCTCTAATCAGATTGAAAGTTATCAAAGCCAAAAATCTCACCCTAGTCCATCGGCCTCAGTCTAAATGAATTCTCAAAAGATGGTAGGTCATTAGATTCTAAATTATCTTAGACGGCAAATGCATAGTTCAAAAGGTTACACTGAGGTGATACACCGTATAAAAAAAAGTCTCTGGACAGAAAATAGGTGCGGGGAATGATCGGATCACTTTCTGTCAGGTCAAATTGTATATTTGATCTTGCCAGAAATTCATTTCGCAATCTCTTGACCAGAGTTAGACAAAACGCGGTTTGAAAGATTCCGCGCAATGCCTCCAAGAACTTCCAAGCTCGCAGTTGGGGGCCAAAAGGAAGGCTACCGTCTCAAGCCTATATCGGAGATGACCTGTCTCACATCGAAGATCGGGCTTTCCCCTATCTAGAACAAGCTTGACACAGCACAAGTTCGTTGTTCCTAAGATGACATGAATGTGGGGTCTTGTCAAGTCCGAAATCAATCAAACTTGATTAGACACCAAATCAGATCATCAGATAACAATTGCCAATGGAGTCGAAGACGCGCCAAGAGTCCGAATCGGACATTTGCCGGAAACATATCATGCCTTTTGCCTCTTCCTCGAGGCTTTATGCTTTCTGGGTGACCAAGGCCCACATTTTGTTCGCACATGCCTACTGTGCCTGTGCCCATGGAAGATCTGATAACGATCCGGGGTGGCTCCACCACTGGTCGGGTATAAATGCATGAGGTCCTCCCTCGTATTTGAGCTACTTTCCTGTCTCCCAGCTTGTGCAACTGTATCCCTGAAATTATTGGGTTCGCAGCCACCATGACAGACCTTTGGACTTTCGAGAGGGCAAATAGCATTGATATCCCCAATATTGCATCGTGGCATGCAACTAACAGCCAGAGTGATCCGTATGCGATTCAAGTCTCTTGGCCGTTGGGATGGCCAGGTATCGACGGAACTGAAGGGGTTTCCGAACCAGCTAACATCCTGTGCGTGATTGACTGATCCTGCATATATGAACATACGGGATAACATTATGAAATGATCGATAACATAGATATGCGGTTGACGGCAATGCGATGTTTTTGACAGCAACCGAGGCTATACGCCGACGTCAATCTACCACTCTGGGCCAGCTCGCTACCATCGTCGTGGCTATCTCGTATCTCGTCACAGACTCAGTGTACAGTGCACGTCGAAACTTTGACCTCACACCGCCGACTTCCCATTTCGTACCCTTCCCGGGAACGGAGAATCAAACTCAAGCACCATATGGCGGAGCAGATATCCTACTCGATTTCATTCTCAACGATGTCCACCCGTATATCGTCTCAAATGTCTTTCCTAATGTCACAGTAGAGAACAAGATCTTGTTTGGGCATTCATATGGAGGGCTTTTTACGTTGAACGCAATGTTCAAAAAGCCTGAAAGCTTCGATACATTTCTTGCAGCAAGCCCCTCTATCTGGTGGAGCAACCGCACTATTCTAAAAGAGGAGAGCGCGTTTTATCAGAAGTCCATTGTGCATAAGCCAAACATCTTTCTATCATACGGGGTGCTAGAAGATAACCCTGTTCGCACGCGCAATGAAACTGAGGCAGACTATCAGGAAGTGGTCCGCCAGGATAAGATTTTCCGAATGGGACCTAATGTTGAAGAACTGGCATCTCGGCTGCGACGAAGCCATCATATTCAAAACATCAAAAAGCGGAGTCTAGAGGATGAAGATCACGAGAGTGCCGTTGGTGCAGCTTTAAGTGGGGCGATCTACTGGTTCCTCGGACTATGATATCTTTGAGAAGCGATGACGTTGGTGATTAGCAGGGGTATTATTTCGTGCACTTTTGTTCTACCAACGAAAATTTCACCTTTTTGTATGCCCTTTTATCAATATTCAATCAGTCAATACCCTTGGTTTCAATCAGGTCTTGCTCAATTAGTGCCAAATAAAATAAGTTGATTTGAGGCAGTTGAAGCAGCTTCCAAGGTTAGCCCATCGATGCATATCTCAGGGTCAGCACAATAGGCGTTTTCAGATGAAAACTTTTTCCCTCGTCTCGCTGCCACAGCAGTGGATAGTTGGAGGTCATTGCATGATTCTCAACACAAAATCCGAGACTGGAACAAAAAGAAACAAACATAGAAAGAAAAAGAAAATAAACGCAGCTTAGTTGTTAGACCGAGATTATGGAGTTAAATATTAATATTCATTTTGTACTATTAAAGATATGTGCAGTGACAATGTATCCCCTTCACATGAACAAAGCGATCAATACACCAATCACCCCAGTGAGACTTGGAGAGAAGTTAGATAGAGCCCCGTTAAAGACAGGCGCAACTGTCGATACGATCGACAAGCTCTCTGAAGCTGCCGTGCTGGGCGATGAAACGAGAGTGGAAGATACACTCAGAGTGCTTGTTCCAGTCGCATTGGAGGTAGCGTCAACTGTTGTAGATTCAGCAGCAAAAGCGCCAACATTTGTGGAAAGGCTCGATTCTGCTCCGGCTTTTGCAGAAGATGCCTCGGGAGCCTGGGTGGAGCCAGTTGCAGCCCCAGTCCCGGAAGTGCTAGATGTCGTAGACGCGTAGCCTTCACCCTCTGAAGCATGTGATACAAGCGAGCTGATGGTGAAGGATTTTTCAACCGTTTCAGTAGATCCAGTTCCAACGAGCTCAGATGAGGGATGGGAAGTCTTGACGGAACCGGATACATGGGCAATTTGTGTGGTAGTGGGAATCGGGAATGCATTACTAGCATTCTCCGAGACGGAGGAGCCGGCAAAGATAATGGAGGAGCTGTCGAGAGTCTCAGTGGCAGTTACCGGGCAGATCGTTGTGTAAGATGTAATGGTATCGGTGATCAGATATGTGCTGTGCACAGTAGAGGTAGACCTGTCTGAACTGGATCCTGAGCTGGATCCTGAGCCAAAGGCGGATGTAGTGGGAGAAGCAGATCCCGAAAAGGCCAGGTCAGAGGAGGGTGAATTAGAGGCGGAAGCGGAGCGGCTAGGTCTGGGGCCAGTGTGCGCCGGAGTACTCATCGCAGATGTGGAGGTGTGATGGAGAGCCACAGCTGAGGTGGAAGCAAGCGAACTCGAAGTAGCAGAACTGGAAGCCGGGCAGGACGCTTCTGCGGATTGGCCGGATTTCACGGTTAACCCAGAAACTATGACCGTCCCGCCTGAGCCATTGCATTCAACTAAGATGTCAACTATCTCTGAGGAGTCGGCTGCAAGACAAGCAGTGAACGGAGCGGAGGACCCGGCGTCGACAACAGTGGTCGAAATCACTTGCGAGCCTTGGGAAACGTACAGAGTACAAGATAGGGTATCTCGCTTTCGTGTTGCAGAGGTCTCAGTCACTGATACGGTACCAGAGACTGCACTGGTTGAGTCATCTGTGTCAACCGATACACTCGCCGCAGCAGAGTCACCATCGGTAGTGCTACCGCTTAATGTGGATGTTCCATCATCATCTGTCGTAATAGTTCCAGTAGATGCCGTCCAGGCTGTGGAAGTTGTAGAGGAAGCTGTGGTAGAGACGGGGGTTGAGGAGACGGCCGTAGTGCCCGAGGACTCGGTGCTAACCGAAGATGTCATGGTGCTGAGAGCATCAGTAGGAATAAGGTTGTCGTCACTAGTCGTGGATGAATCAGTTGTGGTAGGCGTGGCACTTGAAGATGCCGGCGTGGTAGCTGAGGACGCATCGCTGGGCGTAGTCGCCGCGAATGATGATGTGACCATATCAGAAGCAGTCGTGGAACATGTAGAATAGACCATTGAAATGTCAGCCAATCCAATGATTGGGCTGTCAGATGATGCACCCTCTGAGCAGCTCACGGTGATAACAAAAGGGATTCCGGTCGACGCAGTTGGAGTATAAGTAGCAGTAGCGGTCTCCCATGAGCCGGTAACAGGGCGGACGCCCGCAGCGGATTGCCCAGACCCAAGGATGGTCGTGGAGTCGATAGCGAGCAGCAAGGTACAGCTTGCTTGATAGCTAGACGTATTAGTTGACATTGACCAGGCCAGAGACACGTCATATTTCTCGCCCACATTCACGGCGGCAATGTTTTGGCGGACAATAACGTAGCCATACTCGAAGTCGGATATCTCCCTAGCGATCTAGTCAGTTCATAAAAGATCATTCGTGTGGTAATTTCGACTCACAACCAACTGCTATCATCTGCTGGTCCGCCAGTGGTCATTACTGGGAAGCTTGCTATTTCTGGGCCTGCACTCATGGACCAATACGACGAATAGTCCTGTGTACCTCCCTTAATCACATCAACGGAAGAGCACGCGACCGAGGCTGCCATAATGAAAATCGCAAAGAAAGCACCCTCTTTCTTGTTAATCAACAAAGTTCTCCTTTTTCAGGGGTAAATCAGAATTAGGAGCCTGGATTGGAGCTGGACAGCGCTTCAAAAGTTCGTGACTGGCGCTCTGTAGTGACCCGAGGGCTGGTCGCCTGCCCCAGGAGAGAGCCAATGGTTTAAGTAAAAGCTGAACTTTGAATGTCCTTCGCTCATTGTGACTATATTTTCTTGAGGATCTTTATGAAAATGGGGCCGTTGTGGAGGCCAAAAAGCTATTGACTGTCGATGGTCACAATAGGCGAGCAGATAAGCGGGTTTAGCGGAAAGCAGTAACGCGCCAAAGAAACTGGGGAAATTCAAGCCGACATCATGTTTTTGCTCATAATTCGCTAACAACATTGTCTGTCAAAGAATAATCCAGGCAAAGGTCAAAAAATAGGCCTCTGGTTAGTCATGACATAGGGACTGCAACTTATTACCTGATCCTTAAGTCAAAAAACAGAATATTGTCGCCCAACTAATCAACAAGATCATATAAAGGGTTAAGTGCATTTGGGTCTAGCTTTTCTGATACCTCTGAGGCTCTGAACATACAATGTGCAATATGCGATATGCGATATGCGATATCCAGGCACGTAGATGGCTCAGCCAGCGCCATTAAAAATGAGGAAGAGGGGCGTCAAATAGTCCGAGCCTCTTGGCCCCTACAGAAACTCCGATTGGATAAAATGTCTTAGTCATCTTCGAACGAAAATCGGCCTCTCCGATAGGAGACCCTGAAAGGATTGGATTTGGTTGGATCAAGATGATTTTTTTTATGCGAAGGATCTATGGGGCATTGCTGAATCAGTCCAATCATCCAGTAAGTAAAAGTTTCCCAAAGTTAAGGGCACTCTCGCTATGCTCTTTTTGATTAATAGCGGATAGGTTTTAGTTAAGTCCTTGTACATGTTTGAAAGCTCTGCTTTAATTACTCTGGTAAGTGTGGTCAATTCTCCAGGCGGCTGTGCTCATCAAAAACCATATAAGAAAACTCATTTTATAGTTAGCTATTTCAAGGAGGGCGTATCCATACAAAAATAAAACTCGAACAGGAATGGGCTAGTGTTATTTGTAGTGTAGGTCGGACACTCACAATGTCATTTGGCTTGTTCGACTGAGAGAACGCGTTGCTTCAGGATTCCTCACAATCCCCCATTCGCCCCTCTAAGGCTCGAAAAGATGCACTTTAGCGTGTCATTCAAGCCGAGTGGGTTTAGACGAGCGGTGAAGAATCATCTGCAGCCATGCAGGTCCCGTCGGTCGATTTCCGTTTGAGATTGGACGAAATTATCTGTCATAAGCAACGAACGAATTACTCTATATACACTATATGGATGCAGAAACTATCAATTTCGCTTAAAAATTAAAGTCATCTCTGTAATGGTGGTCATTTCATGAAGACTATAGGCTTCTGGAGTTGGCTCTTGCTCGAGACGCCCCGTTCAAGTTAGCATCATGGCTCAAATATATCTCCGTTCTCTCTTCATGGATGGACTCACCTCAGAGAGACAGCCCAATTTTCATGAAGACGGATACGCAAGGTAAATAGAGAATATAACACAAACTATCTATATTAGGTACTAATAACAGAATATCGATAATAAAATTTCTGCGTATGTACCCCCTCATATGCTAGTCTCCCTTTGCTCTTGCCCTTGCTAGTTACTACCATGCTTATGTCTTACTCTCACCTTTGGCCTACTCTCACTATTATACTCGCTACAGGTCCTAGCAAAATTCCAACATCATTATCTCCAGCAAAGAAGCGGAAGTTAGCGGGGAACAAGGACCGGAACTAGGCTCGGACTGTAATTACCAAGCCTAACGGTGATGACTTCTAGATAGGAGCTATTAAGATGGCTGAGAGCCGGGAATGAGCCCGCTCCGCCCCAAAGCTGGCTGAGCGTCCGTCCTCGACTGAGAAAACATAGTTAAAAGATTTTGCCATGGATTATGACACAAAATAACCAGCGGAAAGGAGACGCGCCGCTCTGAAGGATTTCCCAGAATTCATGGCCGTGGCCTGAGAAGACGGAAACAAGACTATGTATCGTTACAAGGCAAGTGGTCACTAATTTCAATATTCACCTGCTACATTTGATGAACTCTTGCTTTAAAATTGGCTCTTTTGATATTTTCCTTTTTGAACTTGTGGTCAACCACTTTGAAAACTCATTACCGAACAATGACATGCGCCCACAAAAGTATTGGCGTTATGGTGTCACATTAAATAAAATCCAGAAAGGAATGGTCAAACACAATTTGTAGCATGCGCTGTGCGCCACATGTTCGGCGAAAAAGGGGCCAATATACGGTCGCCAAGGAATATAGATATATCCGTGAGGCATTCGAGATTGTCCCAGCCGCCAATAGATATCTTCAAAAAAGGTCATGGCACCGGGATTTAAATTTGTGCGAACCTTTGGAATGTTATGGGAATGTTACAGGAAATTTACGACAACCAATCCTTGGCATCTGTGTCACGAAGAGAGACTAACAGGTTTTTGTGAGCATAGCAAATTCAAACAAGATAAAGGGTCTATAGATTATCTACATCACTATTTTGATTTGAAAGTATTCCTTTAGGGATTGGATGTTGCGTCACAAGATAAGTTTACGGCACATCTCTTGAAAGGAAGGATATCAAACAAAGTCCTGGGCAATAATATATTAATGATATGAGACTAACCCCTTCCTCAACTGAAATGGAAGTTTGCACTAATAGAGTTGAGAAATCTTCCTTTCGACACATAACAGCTTCAAAAGCCGTCACTTAAGCATTCTAAGCGAGGCTGTCTGCAAATATGGTATGGCCTTTGAATGCTCAATATCGAACCTCATTCACAGAATATCCCGATTCATGAAACCGCGGAAGCTGGTGGTACTGGGGTTTTGCAAAAATCTATGTTTGAAAACCTATCTACCAGTCGCGATATAACTAACGGTGCATATCGTGAACTAATAGCTTCCACCTTGATTCATTAGAGCTCATCTTATATATCAATATTTGGAGTACTACTTCGACACCTCTCACACCACTTGTCGACTTGCTAGTGACCGAATCGTGTGACCTGTCTTCCTTGAGATAAGCACCCATTGAGTTTTATTATTGAGTCATGTGAAAAAAGCTTCAGCTATAAAGTTGTTCTCTTTTCGGCGTGATCCGGATTCGGTTCTGGTTTGGGCTATTAGTTATCCACTACAGACATTGAAATTGAACTCAGAAACAAACCAGTAAATTACTTTACATTGATGACAGAACTACAATAATCTAATTAGAGTCAAAAAGAAGAGTTGTAATACAAAAGACAAGGCAATTATATTGTAATTTGCTATAATAAGGCGAATGGAAGTAGAGATCCGTCACTCCGATCGAGAAAGTGTGACCGAGACATCACATGCTCGTGTAAGGCGAATGTGTGCCGGTTACTGCGCTCAAAGAAGGTGGTTGAGGCTGCACTGGGCATTCACATCAAGGTTGATGAGGCCGCTCTGGAAATATTGTTAGTTATTTCACATAGAAAAGTATAAAAGACGAATCGAATCCATACCGCGACATCCTTGTCATCACAGCAGTAAACATCGCCGCCAGAGCAGGAGACACCAAGGGCACCGGGCGCAACATTGCCCAGGGTGATAAGGCCGCCGTTTCCGTTATCCTTGCAGACAACGGTTTGGCCACTCTTGCAAGTCTTGCCATCCTCAGAGTGGGGGCTTCCGGCAAAAGCAGTCGCAACAAGGGCAAGAGTAACAATGATGAACTTCATCTTGGCGGAGTGAAATTGAGATCTGCTAAGTGTCAGTCAGGATCGAGAAAAGGGCAAAATTATAATTACATTTGGGATAGAGATATTCAGATTTTCTTGTGAATTGTTAGGTGACAATAACGGCCTGGAGGAGAGACAGCAGCCTTATTTAAGTCTTTCCGAGTCTCACTGAATACAACATATGATCATTGACTTGAAAGAGACGGACACGTATTTCATAGCATAGGAAGAATGTAACGTTCTCTCCGCAGGAATGCTGAATGCCTCACAAGAGGCTCCTTGGTTACGTCAAAGGATTGACAAGGCTTCAAAATCTAGAATAGATCAACATTCCAGCCTAATCCCTGTTTATGCACCGGAGAAAAATCCCACAAGGTTTCTCAGCGTTGGGTTTGCTAGTTTCTGCTTCACGTGTTATTCTCCATCATGTCATGCAGTGATTATAGATATTCTTGGCTGCAATTCGTCATATTGTTGATCGCTTTGAAAAAGTTAGTTGGATTCGAGAAATGAAAAGAGAGAGTCACAACACCGGCCTCAGCACAGCGAAGGGAGCCGGATTCTCACAAGTCCTAAGTGACTGTGCTCAGTCACGTAAAGACTAACGGTGCACATGAACTTCTAACGAGAAGAACAATCGATATGACTCAGCACCCTCAGGTTTTCTAGACATTCATCCTCAGCCAAACCCCCTGAGTGCCCTGTGGTCGATACGGTAGTTGCGGAAGAACTGCCCCACAAACTGCATGCGACCGACCAAGCATAGGTCATTGTTCTTCATAGAAGCACCCCGCTTGCAACTCACCAGGAACTCAGTCTCTCATTTCAAGCACAAAGGTGTGCGAAGATCTGATGATTTATCTCCTAGTTGCTGTAATTCTGGCAAAACCAGCACAGCAGCCTACTTAGACATACTATCCAATCCTGCCCAGGGACCTTTGTGTATTTTTTGCTTAGTCTTTTAATTGTATAATAACCATAGCATAAGTATGGTGATTGGTTGCATCAAGCTATTAGACATTGCAATTAACAGCGATTATCTTTGGGAGTCCAGGGGTGTTATCAATGAAGCTATCCGAACTATTATGACGAACCATATCACTGTTACAGTGGGCCTTAAAAGAGCCATCGAAAGAACTTCAGGTGTGCTGGGCATTCATTTATGACATTACGTGTGATTCATCTGACGCGAGGAAAAAAAAATAAAGTTGGCGGGTGGCTTGACGCCCAAAATCTTTGGCGTTTCCGGTCAATCAACCAATCAAGCACTCAAATTTCCATTAGCCTAATGCAGCCGACTCGTGGCGTAATGTTCCTGCGGGCGAACCAAGAACCATTTAAATGGCTGACCCATGTAGCAAATGTTACATACAAGGAAAAACGCGGTCTTGTCGCACATAATCAATTCGAAAACCATGACGAAACCCCGTAATATATCTCCCGCAAATAGTCGACCATTCAGACTTGGCGTTTTCGGCAACGACCAAAACTTCACTCAAATTTTCATACTACCAAGCAGCCTCAGATCCATGTCACAGTGGTAGACCATTAACGTGCACTTCGTCTTTCGTGGACGTCATCAACTGCGGGAATTTTTTCCACCTTTCCGAAAACGTAGTCGTATTCCAACTTTATAAATAGAGTGAACATAGACACCATCTTTTGTTTCTATCCACAGACCTTCACATCCTCGAGCAGGTATGGCATTGTCCGGGCAATCAAACCTTCATTTTACTGACTGATATCGCCATAGCTATTCCGAGCCCATCAACTTGATCTACCGCCACCATGAAGTATACTCTTGTCCTCTCCGCTCTTTTCGCCACTGTCCTTGCTGTTCCGACTAGCAATGGGGGCCATGGTGGGGGTGATGAAGATCAGTCTACCGTCTGTGAAAGCCACCAAACCGTGGTCTGCAGCGGCAACGGAAATGGAGGCTTGCTTTCTCTCGGAAACCTTCTAAACGGCTTGCTGGGCGAGAGCTGCTCAGGCGGTGATGTCTATTGCTGCTCGCAGAGCGATGTGGAGCAGGTAAGATAGTCGTGACGTTCCATTTTCATAATACAGGTGCTAATTTAATTTATTCAGATTGGTCTGATCAACCTGGATCTCAATCTGCAGTGCAGCCTCAACCACCTGCTGTAATTATAAGACACCAAACCTATGTGTTTGAAATAATTACTTTAATTAATATATATAATCGGGAATGCAACTCCAGTGCCTTTTCCATGTAACCTCGCCATCGCTTTAGTGAACTTGATAACTTGCTTTGAATCCTTTGCCGAGTCTTCAGAGTGGAATTTGTCTTAGGAAATGGAAAATTCGCAGGATATATATATGACCACCTTATTTATTTGGAATTGGAGGCTTAGGCAATATTTTAATAGTATTTATGCCATCGAGCATAGTATATTCAGTAGTAGGATGTGCACATCTTACTTCATTTCGGCCGCATGACTAATTGAGTAGGCAAAGCCACTTAGCCAGTGGAATAAAATTCTGGATTTAGAAGAACTCCTTGTGTAGAAACATCTAGGCCCAGGAGATTTACCAACACGAATTTCAATGAACGAAAAACACTTCAAAACTGATTAACATTCCAAAAATGGAGAAGCAGGCTACCATTTCTTGAGAACATAGCCATACTACTTGGAATTTCTGGTACATACGACCACAGGGTGTGGAGAACAGGGCTTCCCGTCCGCTCAGCCGTACTTAAGCCACACGCCGGCAGGTTAGTAGTTGGGTGGGTGACCACCAGCGAATCCCTGCTGTTGTATGTTTTTTTTTTCGGTTTTTTGTTGTATCTTGATTTTCTCATAAGATACGTGAGAATTTGGATTCTTCCAAAGACCACTAAAATTTAGGGAAAAAAATATTATCACATTAGTATCTCAAGGCAATGGCATTGTTCCATCTCAATTGGAAGGTTTAATACTGTGCAGATCCGTGAAGAAGGATGTTAGGGCCCAATTGACACTGGTCTCCCTAGTGTCAATTAGAGTAGATTTATTGCATCAATAAGACCCTCCATTCGTCTATAACCGGTGATAAACAATAATTGTCTGCGAGAACCAATTACATATCAAGGCATATCTGCGAGGTATGACGATTATAAATGAAACTTCCTGCTCGCGTGCAATTACATGTCCGAACAAACATAAATCATTGATACTGTTTATCGCAAATGTAATATATGATATTGATATTGATTTGTGTTCCAACTTAAGGGTGCGTATCATGATATCACCAGGGTTCAGGTTGCATTTAGATTGATCGATGACGCCCATATGTGTTAGATAATCAGAAGCCTTGAAACTCTCCTCGCTGCAGCTCAACCATTCAACCGGCCCATAGGAAATTTAAAACTATCTTCGTTGATTGGACTCCGTTTTAATTCTAGGGATCTCTGAAATATGTTGAGCATCCATCGTTCTGGCAGGCAATTATCATAGCAATAATGCGAGACTGTTCTTCATATCGCTTATTAATCTTGAGTAGTGCGAACCAACCAGTTATATGATGTCTCTCTTGAGAAAATGGAATTGAATGGAGACATTATCCGCCTCATTACCTATCTCTAATAGGATCAAAAATGTAACGCTGCCCTCATTCAAGTTCCAATACCAGGTTCCATAAATATCACAAAAGTGGCTAGCTAGGCATTTCCCATTATGACCTAAATTACTACATAGTAAAGCTGTATTCAACAGGCATGATTCTCTGATTGTCGATCACTTGAATATGGCCATCACTGCTATATTTGGAGAGCAATTAGTCCTTGAGCTGCATATTATGCAGATCAACATTCTTTCCGTCATAGGTCACATTTCCGCACGTGCGTTTACGAACAAAAGTTCTAATTTTTTTTTGGCCATAGCTGCCGGGTTGGGTTTAGTAGAAAACACTAAACAAAACCCTGTTTTTCCCTCGGAGAATAATCAGACACTAATTGAAGTTGCTAACCCAGCAAACCCCCCTACCCTCGAATATGAGATAGCTCAGCTGACTTGGGAAAAAAATTGACCGTTACCCTTGTACTTAGTGTGGAATTATTTTTTTTTATCATTTTGCCTTAGCTGTCCCCTTTGTTGCCGAAATACGAATTTTGACACTATTTCAGGCATGCAAGGGTCAGTAGAGGGTGGTTTGCACCGGAATCGGCCACAGAGGCCTACTATCTCATTTGAGTAATATTACACTGGGACCAGAGTGGTATTTTTTGCTGCTAAAGCTCCCTATACAGAAATTTTGAAAACATAAGGCCCCATCCTAAAAATCACCTACTTCGCCATTAATGAAGTGGAATTCTTGTTCCGAAGCCAAAATTCATAGACTCAATTAGACCTGCCATGTTTGAGTGCCAAATACGTGCCTTGGAACGAATGAAAATATGGGCCACTTTTATCAGTCCCACTTCAAGACACGAAAAATTGCTTTCGCATAGCATGAGCATGGTAAATGCTCAGCGCCAAAAATGGTAGATATCATCGCTAAAAGCATAGCTTGACAAGATAGAATACAAATCAAAAAGTGTGCAAAGTCATCGAGGGTATACGTTGATTAGAACACATGTTGGCTAGCTATTCCATGCTCTAGATATCTGTCTGTGAACTAGCACCACTGTGACTTATTTCCCAGTGCGGCTGTGAACGACCTAAATTGATGAAAAAAAGCCCTTCGGTTTATTCAGGACAAAACAAGAGACAAACAGAGAAATCGAGGACCAGGAAAAACATTATGGCATCAACAAACGAAATTTCGGCACTCAGAACCTTGAACCTTAGTTTAGCAAATTCTTATCGTAGTGCAAGTTCATAATCCTGGTGGTTATCGCAAATCCCAAGGTTTTACTCTAAATTTGCCGTCTCCCCTAATCCGACACAAAGTGCCTTCGCCTCTATAGTAGTTCAACTGACTGGTATCACACTAGGAAACATTGACTACCGCAACGAGTTGTACATCACAACCCGTGTGCTGATTTCGAATAATGAGAAGAAGCCTTTTTGCTCAGCCGAGGCCAACAAATGCCCATTTTCTACCCACGAGGAATTCAAGAATTCAAGCACCTCCAGGCCTAGTGGTAGAAAGTATGACTAGAGAGCTTTCGGACCCTTGAGATGAGTCGACACTGGTCAGGTGGATGTGGTGCAGGCCAAGCTTTCGTGAAAAAGTTGCCAAGGCTTTGCGCTCTTTCTATAGTATGAATACTATGAGAGCACTAGCATTTCAGCCTATGGTCGTCAGATAAACGTTCAAAAGAAGCTTTTTCATGATTTTCCCAACATACCTGACGCGTTTAGGATTAATCAAGGAACAGCCTCCCTCATGCCTCAGTATGTAGGAAACAGAAACGGAACTGAAAAAAGATACACCTTAATAAGAACAGCTATGAAGACTAGTCATTGAATCCGAGAGCTTTGTTGACTACCATGTTCCTTCACAGCATTTATCTGTTCGTAGTTTGAGTGCCAACCAGTATTAGTATTATACATTTTTTATTGAAAAATGCACTAGAGCAACCCCTCTATTGCTTTTCAATGTGGAACTGATTTGATCCACGCTGAAACCCTTTCCATTTTGATGACTCAATACAGGAGCCTGAGCCAGATGTGCAATTTGAGACACTTATAATTGATCATCGAAGCAATACTACTAGGCTCTATGTAGATGTGATTAGGATTGTATTTTATGCAGTGCACAAGAACAGGGAGATCTAACTTGATATAGGAAGTGACCAATCATCACCGAAATCCAAATGTTTTTCTGAATTGATCAAACCAAAGGTCCGATGCCGGGTGGAGTGGTTAGTAAACAGAAAACCGGATATTAGATTGAGAGGTTCGTTTGCTTGAGAGGCGCATTCAATTTGAGCCTCCAGGCTTGAAAGTAATTCTACGGTGAGAGTCCTAGAGTAAGGCGTGAATATGCGAAGGGCTGATTACTACTATCACTAGCTATAGACGATGTTCAGAAGGAAGCTTTGAGAGAAGTTAAAGAATATTAGATTTGTGTGTGTGCTACACATAGCAAGAGCATACACAGATGCTAGAACAATGATTATAGCAGCAATGAATCGCTTTGATCAGGGCTAAACTGCACTATATTTGAGACATGCCATCAGAGGTCTCACATGTCTTAAAGCAATTCTAAGGTATTTTGGGACACTATGTATCGAACATTGATCGATGACACATGAGACCAATCCCCTCTACTAACAATTCCTCCCTATGAGTAGTATTACGTAGATGTACATAGTTGGATACGCAGATTATTTTGTGCGTGGGGGAGGTCGGCGGCGGGGTATTCGTGTAGGCGGTGAACTCAAGAGCGGGATGCAGACTTTAGCCACCAGCACGATCACGCATTATCCTTTAACTATTGCAAAAAGTGAATCAAAGGGAGAAAAATGAAAATCAAATCCCCCACAGGCAATAGTACAATACGGACCAGGATTCAACTAGTCTTTATCCTTAACGATAGCCTTGGTCGGCATCACGCCGCCATAGGAGTTGCTTTTCATGTAGGGGAGCCCTGGGAATCGTTATTATTGTGTGGGAATGAGCTTTCTGAATAATGACATTTATTAATCATTGCGCTAATAATTCCGCACCACGCCCGACCCTGGGACCTTGGGATCCAAGGGGTGTGTGCTTGGTAAGGCTTACAATTCTCTGCCCCTCGCGATTCATAATCCTCGCACACAAGGTGGGTTTTTCCGACCCACTTGCCCACCCTCGGGCCTTGCAACATCCGTAACTCCGTCGGAATCTGACAATGTGATTGGGCTGGTTGGGTAGGATAATTTGGGTTTGTGGGACTATTGCGAAGCGGCAACAATCAATATTGGTCAAAGACTTGTTGGCTCTGGTTCACGGTAGAAAACTTTGGAATGAGGACAAGAAACAGTGCACGAAAATTGTGGGATTGATAAAGGCTTATCGAGCAGCATGATCCACAATTTATATAAACCAGATAACCCCGCGACCCCTGATCCTGTCTTTCCTGTTCAATTCAACTAGATTCAATTCTCTTGCATCTTCGCACCTTTCAAAATGGGCTCCACCGCTGTTGAATTCAAGAACCCGGCCACCACCACTCTTCTCGAGCTGGTCAAGAGCCGCCGCACTATTTATGGCCTCAAGGCCGAAAGCCCTATCTCCGACGATGTCATTGAGCGCATCGTCCAGGACTCTGTCCTTCATGTTCCCAGCTCCTTCAATACCCAGACCTCCCGCGTGGTCCTGCTTCTGAAGGAGGAGCACCAGAAGGTGTGGGATATTGCCATCGGTGCCATGGAAGGTCTGGTTGCCGCCGGCCATGTTCCCAAGGACATGTTTGAGAACCACACCAAGCCGAAGCTGAACGCTTTCCGTGCTGCCTATGGAACCGTACGTTTGCCTCAGGGGAATTGCGAAAGTCCTGAATATCCTAGTAGTTGAGTCGCTGATCATCTTTGTGTGAAGGTCCTTTTCTTTGTCGACTATGAGTCACTCGCTCCCATCAAGGAGAAGTTTGCCATCTATGCTGACAAGTTCGATCCTTTTGCTCTGGAGTCGAACGCCATGTCCCAGTACCTTGGTAGGTCTTTGTCATTGATCTTCTCACAACTCCATCCATCTTTGGATGCAAAAAAAACCTGAAACTGACTGTCATTAGTATGGCTCGCTCTCGAGTCGGAGGGCCTGGGCGCCAACCTCCAGCACTATAGCCCTCTGATTGATGAGCAGGTTGCTAAGACCTGGAACCTTCCTGCTTCCTGGAAGCTGGATGCCCAGTTGGTCTTTGGTGCTCCTACCGCCGAGGCTGGCGAGAAGACCTTCGAGCCCCTCGAGAACCGATTCAAGGTTTTTGGTAAATAGACGTGGATTCATGATTATGGTATGCATTGCGAGCGAGGATAATAAACCAATTTCAAGTTTTACAGCCGTTGTAAACTACAATACACAAATATAGAATACCCGTATAATCAATCTTTCAGGCCCACTTTTGCTAATTACTAAGTCATTTGTCCCTCCCATCGCAAGATTCTTGGTAAAGCTTGTCGGTAAAGCTTGTCAAGTGATAGGCGATTTTCAATAATGATGTGGATCCAGCGAAGTTGCTGTATCCTTTCAAAAGTGTCAAAAGTTTTCTGGAATTTTTCGAGGGCTGACCCACTTTATTCCAATTCTACGCACTGGGGAAAAGCTAGAATGATTATACGTCTCTGAAGCCTTGGAGAAGTCATAGTCAATGCACGATGCTACCGATGCCCAGAATCACGAACATACGATGGGCGTGTGGGAATCAACGAAAACTCATGCCTGGGTTTGATTTTGGGCATTCATTAAGTGTTTCACCATTATCACTGTGCTCGTTGAAGATTAATCATTACCAAAGTCTCATGTATATGTAAGATCTCAATCTATAACGCAAGATTGAAACTGACTTGCTTTTTAGATATTGTGTTTTTAAGCGAAACAAACTGAAACAGCTCCAAAACAAATAATAATACCGGAAGATAATGAGCATCCACCGTGAGCACAGAATTGAAATCATGAATACAAATGATGGGTGGGATTACGGATTCGAAGGATGCCTCTGCTCCAAGATAGCCAGCTGGTCTTGAAGAAATTGGGAGGTTATTTCTGTTTCCTTCCCTGCCGATAAATGGTATGTCTTCAAGGTAGACGAGTGATAGACGATACTCAGAATATGAGGTGACATAAGTATTCTTCAGGCTAGCAAAAGCCCAGTCACATTATAGGCTACTTCCTCGTTCACAGTCTCGAAAACAGGTCTTTTATAGTCCTGAGACTCAACTCGTCGTTTTCTAAAGTTGTTATCCCACTGGTCTACCCACTTTTCATAAAAGCGGAAGACCAGGCTAGGGAAGATTTCGCGTAGTTCATCATCGAGCATCGTCAAGTCCCGTTCGTCTTCTGGCCTTAAGTCTTCAAAATTTCGGACAAAAAAATTCGATTCAAAATCGGGTTCGATCTCATAATGGCGTGCGTTTAGTAACTTTTGCGGTATCTGGGACATCACATTCGATATCTCGAATGTTGACTCTTTTTCGTTGTCAAAGATATTTTTCAGTTCGATCTGCAGGCCAAACTTGGTTACGATCGCAACACTACTCGAATCAATTTTGAGGGGCCGTTCTTCAAGCTGACGCCATGTATCCCCAAGATTTTTGACTGTTCCGATATACTGCTCGGATTGAGGCTGACGGCAAAAGACTGCTAGGGGTTGGAGCTCCCTAGGAATCTGCATCACAGAAATTATTTCCGCGAAGAGATGATCGCGGGAGTTGAGCTGGGCCTGGGCAGAGTAAATCAGGGAGTAAGTATTTCATTATGAGGAGGGATGGGCGGAGGTCACCGTGCGTCGCTCGCGTCATTAGTCAGTGGGCCGAGTTGGTCTTCAACGCGAGGCCGTTGGTTAGCGTCTACACTGCCTTTCACGTCAAATGGTTTACGTATTGTGTTTACAGCCTTCCATTCAAAGCTCCTACTTACAAGACGGCTAATCTTGACTGTGGGAGTTGGGGAAGGGGGCTTTGGCTATGCGCTCGCACTTATTCGCAGTGCTGGTGACTAGTAGCCCTCGGGTGAAGCTAAGACGAACCCCAATGTATTTAAAGCTTTATTCCCTTGATATTGCATAGATTTGGACTCACATCTATTGATAGCAAAGTTTTCCGTGACATAATCGAGATTACATGGTTCATATAATTTCGTACTTGACAGGAGAAATATGATGCTTGATGGGTGGCTCAACACATTTCCCATATTGTATTGAGTGAGAAATCTGGTTGTATTCAATTTTCCGCTGTGATACGAATAGCACCAAAAGCTCATTGGGAAGTATGTCATATATTGTGATTACAGCAATGAGAGGGAATGCAGTGAAGGTGTTTTATGGCATTTCAAGCATATTGTGTCATAATTAATTGGCTTTGAGTTGGCCATCAGAGGAATACATTGGGTTTTCTTCACATTCATCTTTTTCAATTTGCCTCTCATAAGTAAATGCATCTTGCTGGAGAAGTCACTCAATAGGAAGCCGGAGAGTTCAATAATTCCTAGAAAACTTCATACAGCTTGTACTTGATTAGCACTCGCCGTACGTATTGGTTCAAATACCATTTCTGGAATGATTTGCTGCTCCCACTGACTTGCTTCCGCGTATTCACTATCTCTCCTCGAAGCACGGCCAAGGTGTGAAAACATCTGAGCAAATGAGCTACGACGCCGTGTGCTCTCAGTTGAAGAAATATTGGGCGCTGTAGAGCGTCTCCTTTCTTCGCTCATTAGAGGTCCCGAGGAACCTCCGGTAGTCGAGGTTTCGGAGGTTAAGACTGAGTTCAACCTGGTGAAAGTGTACAAGAGTGTATCGCATAGACCAGATAGGGTCATGAGCGATCCTGCAATGCAGAAGTATGTGACACTGGGTGAGTGGCCATTGACGGATGCCATTCTTCCAACCGCGAGAGGTAATGTCAGGCCGATGTAAAGCACAGGATACAAGACCATATAACTAACGACAAGTTTCAACCGTCGAAGACTAGCTGTATTCTGCCCTCCAAGCTTGACGCATTCGAATATTTTGCGTTGCAGCCAAATAAAAATGATAGCGTAGAGTAGGACGGAAAGGAATTGAGCAGTAAAAATCCAGAAATAATGTGTCCATAGCCTTAATGCAGGATGGTCTGTTGTTATCCAGCACTTTATAAATGATGATATTCAGCTTTGTCTCGTAAAACCACGTTGGAAAAGCCAGAAAAAAAGAAAACTTACCCATGCAACCGAAGGTAGCCAGATGTATCGGCCATGAAGGGCTATTGGAATTATTAGTATCAAAATTCCAAATACCCACAAGCTGATAATTGTCAGAACGAAAGCTCGGTGACCAAGCTGAAAGCCCATTATGATATGCAGAAAGGTAAAAATTGCGATAGAGAGAACAAAAATCCCACTCATAGGGTTTCCAATCTGCAATAAAGCACCCTGAATAAAGCAAGAGGCATCGGAAGCATAGAGAGAGTTTGTGCTTATCCAGCGTAGGCTCATAAGAAACCCCAACGCCTGCAGGAAATCCGCCAAGGCCAAATTGTATACAAGCACGATATATTGGTTATACCCAATATATCGCCCATAAAACCGACGCCAGAAGATGAAATGATATGTCAGAAAGGTAAGTAGACAAAGTATTGAAACTAAAGAGATGAATGCAAGGCATGAAACCGCAATCAATCCTCTTCGCTGCAACGGGGGTAGCGGGTCGATAACCATTTCCCCAACAGACGATGATGCCGATCTAGACTCCAATGGTCCACCATGCTGGTGATCATGGAGAACAGAAAGAATCATTATACAACCACAGTTTAGGCCTTTTCTTGGACCGAGAATATAGCTGATGTTGGATTTTTTCCGCTAACAGGTGGAACCGGAACTCTGCAAGGAGATCTGCGTCAAAATGAGGGAATTGTGATAGAATGATAAAGTAGTTTAATGCATGGGTAAACTTGCTAAATATCAAAAGGAATGAAGAAAGAGATACATACCCAGTATTGCCAGTTCAAGTTTGCGAGCACGCCCATGAAGCCATCTTAGTTGCTAGAGCATCCACAACTCATGGCCAAACAGAGCTCAGAAATATTAATTTATACGAGAGTTAGATCTCTCATCCAAGGGCTGATAGACATTCACAACAGACGATGTTTGTTAACGATAGTTCCTCGGAAAGTGGTGAAGTCATCTCGCATATATCACGTGACATCGATTTTTCTCCGTCCTGGCTATACATTTGCCGCAAACATGTCAAAATTATCAGGAGAAAAAATGACGGGCATTATGTAAGACCATCGTACCTGAATATAATAAAAGCATGTAACATGTTCACAGATCTCTCTTGCCCCTACGTCATTTCTCAATCGATTTTATCGCTATATAATTAGACTGAAGGTGTACCAAGCCCCTCATCCCAAATGAAACCGCACAAATCGCAAAGATCTATTCTCAGTTCATCAAGAGGGCAACGCTATTGATGAGGCTTATAATACTCCGGATATGACTCTCGGTAGCCAAGTATATACTTCCCAATCAAAAGACCCCCGACAAAATTCATGAACACACCCAGTGGTCGCATAACATAAGCTGGACCTGGGAACACAGGGACAACATCACCTAGCCAATTGAACAGCAATAGCTGGGGCAGACTTCGAGAGCAACCGGCTTTCCGACAATCGTCCCGATAAGATTGAACATTCCCTGCTTCCATTGATTAGTAGATCGTGCCGCTAGCAGATGATACGGTTATTGAGCACACGCACGGAAGAACGCCTCGTCCCTTCCCTTCGATTTAGGCTCGAGCACAAACTCAATAACCAGTTCCTCAACTTCGCTTGCGTTGCAGAATGTATGGATTGTCCTCGGTGCTATGACCATCGTCTCTGCTTTAGATTTAATAATTTCATGTCCATCGCAGGTAAATTTAGCTTTGCCCTCGAGAACATGAAAGGTTTCAGTCTGGTAACGATGCCAATGAAGCGGTGGACGTAGGGCGATGTTTCTGTTTGCTTCATTTGAATTGGGAGGCCAGCGGTTGATGACCAAGTACCGGTCAGCTGGGGACTTGAACTCGATCGACGCCCGGCCGCCGTCAAATACCACAGGGTTCTGGGTCGCCGTCCTTGTTCGGGGAACCTTTTTTGCAAGAAAGGAAAGCATTATGTATGGGTTGGAAAGCTTCAGATTTGGGTTGGCTTATCGATGGGAGCATCAAGCCGAAAGCTGTGAGGTTGTGAGGGGAAAGAGTTGACTGGGCCTGAGGGTTGGGGCGGCCGTAAGCACGGCCACCGGGAAAACTTTCGGTAGAACACCTGGAGTGCGCGCGGGTTAGGAGACCTAACCACAGGCAATTATGAATGATAAAATTAAATCATTAGAAATGCCCTTGACGAATAATAATTATGATTCCCTGGTTTATATTTATAGGTATGGAGCTGCTGGCTTTCATCCGTACTTCGGCCTGGCCGTCTTGGCCGTTATCGACCAACCGGTTCTTAACCCTACTTCCTTGAACATGCCTGATTCGGAAATTGAAAATGTTTTTCCGACCTCAATTTCTCTGAAGGCCCATATCTCTCATGAAAAAGAGTCATTTCACCCGTATCGAAAGCAATGGCTTAGTACACATAGCGGAATCGAAGATTCTCTCTATCTGTCAAGTCTTCGAACCCATCAAAATCCAATGCTTCTTGAGCAGGTATATCTTCGACTGCGGCCATTTGATCTTTTTTTGTGTTTTGTCTTTTGAGATGAAACCGGAGAAACAGCAATATCATCATCAACAGGGCATAGCAGCCGATATGAATACTGAACGCCGTGAAGTACCGTGGCGCATCTCTAGTCAAAAAGATCTGGGGTCCTGCATCCAATTCAGCATAATATCACATGGTAATATTTGTATTTAATTTATGAGAGGCTATTATTACCGATTGCATTTCCTGTTGCCCACGCGATAAAGTTTGCGGCGATGACAGTTGACTTTTTGGTCTGGCCTGCAATATTTCGAGATATCATGGATAAAGTCAAAGTTTGACTAGCCCAGAATGAGAGAGTTATGTAATATGATAAAAGCAGTCCGGCTTTGGTCGCGGTAGATGTATTTTGAACAGTCATCAAGACAATGGTGCCGACGAACGAACTATGAAGCCTTAGATCAATACCACAATTAAGCAGCAAGAAAAACAAAGTGAAAGACTCACGGTATAACATAAGAAGCCATGACTATCACATTCTGATTTGTTTTTTTGACAAGCCAGGCAGAGGTTAAGAGCACAAAGATGATATAGGCGCCCAGAACCATAGATAACAGTTGAGTCTGAAGAGTGGTGAAGTGGAATCCTTTAATGATAATGTTCGCAAAAGTACCCAGGCCACTTGTAGGTAGTGTCGTAAAAAGCTGAACTCCACAATAGCACCACATCTGAGGATCTCGCAGAGCCTCAAGAACTTGATACTTGCGATATTTCCTATTCTGAATGCCTGTGCGATTTTCTCGCACTCGTTCAACCATGAGGTGTTTGTCCTCCTCTGAGAAGCATTTAGCTGTCATAGGTGAGTCTGGCATGAAGAGTAGGACGAAAACTCCGAAAAGAACAGAGAAGCAGCCATATGTTATGAAAAGAGCCTGCCAAGATTTGATCACTCGGTCTGAGCCAAGAAGACTAAACAAATATGCTAGAAGGCCTCCAATCATTTGCTGGAATCCATTCATCATATACCTTGACAAGGATGAGCCAAAATCTTTCAAAGATTCAATTTTAAGTGCTTACCAGAAAGTAACAGTCTGCGCTTGCTCCTCACGTTTATACCACATCCCGGACAATCGGACAAAGGATGGCTGGGCACATGCCTCGAAAGTGCCAAGGAGAATTCTAAGCGCCAAAATCCCGCCAAAGTTCTTTACCGTCGCATGCAATGCAAGAATAGATCCCCACAGGATGATATTGCAGCCAAGGTATTTGGCAATAGGAACTCGCTGAATGATCCAATTTGTCGGATACTCAACCACTAGAATTGACAAGTAGATACAAGTCGATAACCAGGCATACTGCCTTTTATTAGAAAATAGGTAATTGCCTTGCAATGTCTAGAGACTTACTTGACTTGTATTTATATGAATATCATCAAGAAGCCCCATAATTGATGTGAAGGATAATGTACCTTTATCCAAAGCTTGCACAAGATAAGTGAAAACCATGATAGTCAAAACACGACGGTCAATGAGACGTTTGAGACGATGATTTGTTGCCTCATCTATTTCCACTCGGCCCATTGCTGCATACTTCTGGACTTCATCATCAACACGGTCACCAATTTTTGCTGACTTGAATTCATCTATGTCGTTAATTTGACGCTCAATGTGGGTAGATCCGACTGTTTTCGTATTATGGTTCTCGTCTCGATCATTTGTGTCTGTTGACCCCATCGCAACTTTGATATAATTTCAAGAACAGGTTTGCAAACTGGTTACGTTTAAATTGAGAAATCTGGATGAAAAGATGCAAAATCTCCAGGGATATCGACCTCTATATACCATGGGATGAAATGATAGCTCTTGGGCACAATTCGACCGCAGAGCTAGAACGTATCAAGCTCAACACCGCGTGTGCCAACCCCACCCAGGATGCTTGGTTGGAGCTTAACCCCGCATCCCTGACCCCGGATTGACACCGCCAAAACCAACATTTGCCAAGACGGAAAAATCATGGACTAAAGAAAAAAAGACATAAAGCTTGCATTGCTACCGGCTCATCTTCCCTTCCAAAGGATCTGCCAGCGCCACATGAGTCTTGGCTGTTTTGCTTCGGTGTAACAATATCCGAACGAACAGGATTCCCATCGTGTTCGGGGTAAAGATCCAGCAAATTCATCGATTGCGCTGATGTCCGCATGTTGTATGGCATAAATTTGAACGAGGTTTGAACTTTTGATGGTGCATTATATTTCCATTCTGAAATCAACAATCCTTCCATATTTTATTCCAACTTGATCGGTTTGCATCTGCACTCATGTCGGATTTAGAACCCCACGTTATCGACCGCCCCTCTTCGGCAGAGATCCATGCCACCGTCAAGAATCTGATACAGAATCTGGTCAATATTAAAGATGAGACGGGGAAATTTCTTCTACATTTGTCTGATGGTCGTGTAATTGACACAAAATCATGGAATGGCTGGGAGTGGACGCACGGGATCGGCCTCTACGGAATCTGGAAATACTACGAACTGACCGGAGAGCCATCTCTTCTCGCTATAATTGAAAACTGGTTTGCCGACCGCTTTGCTGAAGGAGGTACCACCAAAAATATCAATACGATGGCCGTGTTTCTTACGCTCGCCTACGTTTACGAGAAAACCAGAAACCCGATCTATCTTCCATGGTTGGATACATGGGCTGAATGGGCGCTTCACGAGCTTCCTCGAACGAGATACGGCGGAATGCAACACAAAACTTACGCGATGGAGCATCGACAGCAACTTTGGGATGACACTTTGATGATGACAGTTCTACCGCTAGTCAAAATCGGCAAACTACTTGGGCGCCAAAATTATATCATTGAGGCTAAAAAGCAGTTACTTATTCATATCAAATACCTCTGCGATCCAAAAAGTGGTTTATTCTTTCACGGCTGGACATTTGAAGAGGGAGGACACAACTTTGCTAGAGCCTTATGGGCTCGTGGTAATAGTTGGATTACCATTGTAATTCCAGAAATCATTGAGCTGATGGATCTCTTGCCCTCGGATCCGCTCCATTCATTTCTTCAAGACACACTTGATGCTCAATGCGAAGCATTGCAACAGTTGCAAGAGTCGACTGGCTATTGGCGCACCCTTTTGAATCACAATGACCCTGGATCCTACATTGAGGCATCTGCTACTGCTGGGTTTGCTTTTGGAATTTTGAAGGGAGTACGAAAGCGCTATATCGATCAAAGATACCGAATTGTGGGAGAGAAAGCCATAGCTGCTGTGCTAGACTCAATTGATCAGAACGGAGAATTACAGAATACTAGCTTCGGGACTGGGATGGGCGATACACTGGACCATTACAGGAATATTGCAGTAACAGCGATGCCGTATGGACAGGCTATGGCAATGATGGCTCTTGGAGAATACCTGCGATTGTACATTTGAAATCATTTGTGGTATATAGATCCCGGACAGAAGATTGAAGAAATTCAGACATGGACATTTCAGTCATATCAAAAACCTCACCTTTTATTAATTGACCCATAGTATAGTTGATGCTTGGCTCACTTTGACTCTCGAATTGGTCAGCTATATTTTATTGTACGGAGTCCTCGATTTGAACCTCTATTTTGCGTAATCTTAGTATGCCCGGTAAGAACAGGAAAAGTTCTTCGCGGGGATAGATAGACCGAGGAGGCCCTTGTGCGGGGTATCAAGAAGAGAAAATTCTAATGGCTATAGTGCTGTAACAGGTAGCTTAAGGGCACAAAGCTCGCGTGAAATGGTAGTGGCTTCAAGGACTCACAAAAGGAGGTCGAAGATAGCGTTCTAAACCCTGACTGGATGGAATAATTGATTTGGTATCCCATCAATTAGGTGCAAGCTTAGGGGATTCATGAAGGTCGAAAGGTCAAAGCGTACGACAGCCTCGTCGCCGATCTTGTCGCTTTTAAGCCCCTCTCTGCATAATATTGAGAATAAAAGAACGAGTATTCCAACGATGAAGACTTCACACGACTTGATTCTTCTTTGTCGATCGCAATACAACGCATTCCAAGTATTCACATAATACATAAAATTGGCAACATGATACCTTTACAGGTCGATGTAACTAAAGCATGACTTGGAACTCACAGTCACAAAAGCAGAGGCAGAAGCAGGTCATCTTGATCTCTGTGTTAGAGAATAACTACTTGTACAAGGTAGAAAGCCTGTCGACTAGGTAGGAAGATAAACGTCAAGTAAGGAAGGCAAAACACCGTTTCTTACTATCATGGATCTCTCCATGATCCTCAATTTATGTACATGCTTCAACACTTTTCCACATGACCAAAGCAAGGGCGATAGATCACTTTAAAATATGCGGTCTGACGTGGCCCGCAGGTAACAGAGGTAAGCGAAGGCTACAAGAAGGAGGGGTTCACGAATCCCTGATGGAAGGGCACCGAAACCTCAGAGCCTTGTAGGCCATACATCCATGTTAGGGAGAAGTGGGAGAACGCAGTTCAGTGGGCGCCCACTGAACTGTAGTCTCTCAGAAGTGGGGGCTTTCATCACGAAGCCTGACTGATAAGGTGTCGAACTAACACCTGAGGCATTGAGTTGGGAATAACCTCATGTTGCAATATCATATGACACTCTGTTTCGCCAATTTTGGAGTCAACGGCCCTAATCTGAAAGAATTCTCAGCTTCTTCAGCGCTTGCGGCATGATCGCGGGGCTCAACGAAGCCAGGTTATAATTACAAGCACCATCTCGGGGTTCAGCAAAGCCATTCGGGGTGGCTCTGCATACGAGAGTATCCGGGCTACAATAACGCAAGTGATGAAGCAATTTGTAACTTTATTAGCACCATACGGTCCTCGAAGTAATATTACCGCACCAGGAAGTAAGTACGTCTTGGTTTTATTGTTGTCAGGTAGATTGATAACCACGGGCAAAGTATTTCTGCCTGAAATGACATCTGTGAGTATGGCTAGGAAGGGCGAAAAAGAATAATTTCCATTTTAGTGAGAGCACAGTGTCTTCACAGACCAATGCTTTGAATAGAGAATAAAATATCTAGAGCAGGAGCTGGTTGGACAGATTTATTATAAATCGAGCTCGGTTTGCAAGCCTCACTCTGATTGCCTTTAATTTGATGCTAAATGAGGGTTTGAATCTATTTGAAACTGATTTTTGCTACTCTTTTCCTTTCTTTTTTTAGTTTCTCTGGAATCATGTCCTTAACCTGTCGCGGTCTCAAATGCCATGCTTTGCAATTTTTCACGCGGGAAATATAATGATACTAGACACGTATGAGAAGGGGTTTGAAGATATGATAGTAGTTTAGTACTGATATCTACTGGTATCTACTGGTCTATAATTAAAATCAAAAGAGTTGAGTGATGCAAATTACTTTGATTGGACGGACTAATTGGATACCATGTGCCGCCAATCAAGGGACAGGATTCCAGAATTTTCAAGGAAAACAATTTAAGAACGAACCCCCTAGCGGCCTAATTGGTCCTTATTGGTCAATATGCCACGAATTGATGTCTCTCGCATGTCGACGAGAGGGGTTTGTGAATCCTTTTTGGAATGAATACTTTTCGGGGTAGTGCAAAGCGATGCGGGGTCTTAGATGTCTCTTCTAGTGGTGCTCGTGTCGGGTTATCGGGACAATTAGAAAGAGCTTATCATCGAGCTGTAGTGTGAAAGACAAATTCTTCTAACTTGAAAATGCTCACATCCCGTGTTCGACTTGGAACTAATTGAGTGGATGTGCAAACATGGTAATCCAAGCTGGTATTTCTCTTGAAAACCCTACATTCGACAGCCACATCGATGGCTTCGGGGTAGGAAACTCAAAACCAGATATTTCTTGGCGATTCATTTGCTCTGATTATAACATCAAGGGTTGGAGACAGCATGCATATGAGTTGGAACTCCAACGAGGTGATTCATTGAAATGCTATCGGGTCGAGTCTTCTCAGTCTGTTCGGGTACCTTGGCCAGCTGCACCTTTGCTTTCCCGAGAGACGGCAAAAATTCGGGTAAGGTCCATCGGGAGTTCCCAAGGCTGCTCAGATCAACTGCCAACGGAATGGTCACCATGGTCTACAGTTGAGGCTGGACTCCTGGACCAATGCAAATGGCAGGCGAAATTGATATTGGGACAGCAAGAGACTTCCCCAGATCGGCCAATTCGCCCTCTACTGCTCAGACGGTCATTCCTGGTCTCGGCAGAGGCCAAAAGGGTTCGCCAGGCTAGGCTCTATATCACCGCTCAGGGTGTTTACCAAGCCTATGTGAACGGAACTCGCGTGGGTGATCATTTCATGGCACCTGGCTTTACATCTTTCCAGTTTCGTCTCTCTTATCACGTGTTCGATGTCACAGATCTCATTCTTAGAAATGAGAAGAATATACTCGCTGCTGAAATTGGCGAAGGATGGTATGCCTCTCAGCTTTGGCGAGAAGGTCGACAAATTTATGGCAAGGATATTGGGCTTATCGCGCAGCTGGAAATCAGCTTTGAAAATGAAGACCAGTCCCTTCTAATTACCACTGACGGCGACTGGGAATGGAATGTGGGCCCCATGTTGACCAGTGAAATATACGACGGGGAAACCTTTGACATGTCGGAAGAGCAACCGGGCTGGAAAACAGGTTGCGAAGCTCGTCTTGGTACTCGATGGGCGCGAGTGAGCGTTCTTCCCCTTCCATCAATCACATTGTCCCTGCCTCAAGGTCCACCCGTTCGAGTCACACAAGAAGTTTCTGTCCAAAAGATATTCAAGTCTCCGTCAGGAAAAGTGTTGCTAGATTTCGGCCAAAACTTGGTTGGTGTACTACATATCCGATCACTGAGGAAGCCGGCAGGTCATCGAGTCACTTTCAAGCATGCCGAGGTGCTAGAGTATGGCGAAATCGGTATGCGGCCGCTTCGTGCTGCCAAATGTACTGACACTATCATATGTTCGGGAAAAGAGCTCAAGGGCTGGTCACCAAGTTTTACATTTCACGGTTTTCGGTTCGTCCAGGTGGATGGCTGGTCTCCAGAGGATGACTTGTGTCCCTTACATCCAGACAACATCTCGGCGCTAGTCATCCACAGCGACATGATCCGCACAGGTTGGTTCTCGTGCTCCGATAGTCTAGTCAACCGGCTCCATGAAAATTCCGTGTGGAGCATGCGTGGCAACTTCCTCTCGATTCCAACAGACTGTCCCCAACGGGACGAGCGTCTCGGATGGACGGGAGATATCCAGGTTTTCAGTCCCACGGCGAACTTTCTCTACAACACAAATGGGATTTTGGCCGACTGGTTGATCGATTTGAGCTTAGAACAAAACGAAGATAATGGAGTTCCGCCCATGATTGTGCCCAATGTTCAATTCGCAAAGGAATCCCGGCCTCCACAGGCTGTGTGGGGAGATGCGTCCGTCTTGGTTCCCTGGGCTCTATATCGATGGTTTGGCGATAAGAAAGTCCTCCAGCGCCAATATCTCAGTATGAGAGCTTGGCTCGATCAAGGTTGCTCTCGTGGTAAAGACGGGTTATGGAACGAGTCACTCTGGCAGCATGGGGACTGGTTAGATCCGTCAGCCCCCCCGGAGGATCCGGGCAACGGCCAAACAGACGGTGTTTTCGTCGCAGATTGCTACCTCGTTTATGTTACAGGAATTATGAGCCAAATTTCATCAATTCTTCAGCGACCGGAGGATCAAAGACGGTACAGCGAAGATCATGATCGCCTAAAGCGCGTCTTCCAGGAGAAATATATCACTCCGAAGGGAATGGTAATATGCGACACACAAACGTCTCTTTCCCTGGCCCTAGTATTCTCTTTACTTGACAAAAAACATCAAATCCAAACTGCCGGTGAGCGATTAGCGCATAAAGTACGCTATGCTAAATTTCGGGTGGCGACTGGTTTCGCAGGCACACCGATTGTGACTCACGCATTGAGCCAGACAGGATGGCATCAGTTAGCTTTCCGAATGCTGCTGGAATCTGAATGTCCGTCATGGCTTTATCCGGTTAGTATGGGAGCTACCACGACTTGGGAGAGATGGAACAGCATGCTCCCAGATGGATCAATCAACCCAGGACAGATGACGAGCTTCAACCACTACGCACTCGGATCAGTTTCAAACTGGCTACACGAGAGGGTGGGAGGAATCAGTATCATTGAGCCGGGATGGCGAGTCTTCAAAGTAAGACCGGTTCCGGGAGGTACGATACGAAGTGCTGAAATTCGGCTTGAAAGCCCCTTTGGACGAATCGAATGTTCGTGGGCGTTAGACAACAATTCGCTCTTTTCAATGAGACTCATCATTCCTCCAAATTCTTCAGCATGGGTGTTTCTACCAGACCAAGCAGATGAAGACTTAGAGGGAGGTAAGTTCTTACTTTCCGGTCAGTATGAAATGAATTGTCTGTTTCATCCTGGTCCCTGGCCCCCTAAAGCGCTGGAGACTCTATTCAAACCGCCACCCCGCAAGCAAAACAATTAGATCAAGAGAAGCGAGAAGTAATATTTTCAAATCTCAAATACCGAGGATGCAAGAAGTTCAAAATTATTATATGAAATATAGCAAAATCAAACACTAATATGCCAAGGAGCTATATTTCAGCGTGATGCATCTGTAGACGAATAGCAAAGGCCTAGATATTTCCGGGATTCGAATCTGTTTCAGAATCTTCTTCCGCTTTGGCAAGCGTTTGCTCTTTTGTAAGTTTTGGATTCCGAATGAAGAGCGCGAAGAATATTAGCGGTATAGTTAGACATATTCCGGTAATGCAGAGGAGACGTTGAGTTTTCTGATAGGCAAAAATCACATTATCGCGATCCGGTGTACCAACAGGATTAACAGCAGCGAATGCTAATGGCTCTGCATAGACAGAGGCAGCGAGAGTCTCATTACCAAGTCTTCTGGTCAGTTCCTGGGGAAGTACTTGATTCCAAATGGCGCCAGAGATTGTATTTCCGACCGCACTGCCGATATTGTAGGAGGCAAGATAAATTCCTGTCACAACAGCAAGATCTAATTGATGATTAGGGCATGTCTTATCGTTAGAACTCCGTCTTCGGCGTGGAAGTCTTACGTTCATGCTTGGAGACAGCTTGAATGCTCGCTTGAGCAGGATAAGGGAACATTCCACCAGCTAGTAAAGTGTCAGTCAATGCATGTCGACCAATCATGTATAAATATCCATACCAAGTCCTAGTAGTACCTGGCCTCCAATAACACCCGAATGACTGGATCCGCTTGCGCCACCACGGAAGTAGATCAAGATACCGAATGCGACTGTGAACAATAGGGTACCAATAATAATGAAAGGCTTGAGCTGGCGAATTCTAATGATGATAAAGCCAAGAATAGTTCCGGCAATGACGGATGTGAAGCTGTACAGTGACGTGATCCGGGTTGCACTCAAAACTGATTCATCAAAGCTCACATAAAGTACAGTGTACAGGAAATCACCCTGAAGATACCATGCTGTATGAAAGTTAGCTCGTGCGTGATTAAATCAATATGGAGAATAATACCAGTGTTCAACATCGTCGCAATTCCGAGTGCGCCCCAAACACCTCGATCCTTAAGATGCTTTGCTGGTGGTTAGTTTGGACGTTAAGCATCACAGAAAGGACATGATTAGACCCACCTTGAATGGTAGCATTGGATATTTACATGTCCTCTCCCAGTATACCCAAACCGGAACCAGTAAAATACCAATGACCAGGGGTGTGATCACCTTGGCAGTCTTCCATTGCGCAGTTACACCTCCAGCAATGGTAAAGGGGACTAAAATGCAAGCCAGCATGGCGATCATCAGGATAATCCCAACCACATCCAAGTGCCAGAAGAGCTCTATTATAAGACGACGACCTCCCAACTCTTCAAGAGAGCTTTTATAAGATTCCAAGTGACCTGAAACTTTGGCCCGTCGATAAACAATGTAGAGAACGACGATCAGAGGCAAAGCACATGCTGGGTAGATCAGAGCAAACATGCCTATTCCCCAGCGCCATGAGGTGACCTTAAGCACAGCAGTAGTCAAGTTGCCGCTTATCCAAGTGTTAATCTATGAGGCAGTGAGTTCATGAAGGCTTTAATCACCACAACTAATGTAGAAATTTCCTTACAATGAATGGCAAAGCTGGGATATAGGAGAAGAGAAGCCGAGATCGTGTTGAAGTCAAGTCAGCTATCAAAACTTCAACCAGTAGCATGATGCAAGTATACCCGATCTGGAATCAAGTCAGGTGGTATAATTCTGGATATTGAGGGTTGGTTTTGTACCTGATATATGACAGCGCCCGCACAAAACGCCTCCACGGTCTTGGAGAAGGTTTCAATGATTGTTCCGACAGTATAAAACAAAATTGAAACAATAATCAATTCGAGCCTGCCGAAAACGTCTGCAATCTTTGCCGCAGTAGGCTAGATGGACATTGCAATCTGATTAGTCTTCGTCAAGATTGATTCGCGCGACCTCCTACCTGTGCTGCAGCGGCTATTACTGCTCGCAAGACATTAACTGTCGCAAGTAGGCTGTGCTGTCCATAACTTTGAGTCGCATAGGGCTGCGTACATTTAGATTCTTTGTAATCATTCGGCAGTCGAAGTCACTGTATATATATATAATCTCACCTGGTAGGTATATCTGACCGTTCCATCAAGCCCATACACATAAGCAATCAAAAAAATACTTGCAAATAGGAGAACACGATCGACAAGTTGGAAGTGAGAAGCGATAATCTCAATTCGGCGGACACCTGGACTGCCGTTACCAAGCAGATTCACTTCCTGAACAGCCTCGGTTTGGTGGTGAAGCACTTTGTTCGAGTTTTCGCCGACATGACTTTCGTCGGGGGTTTCAACGACCATTTCTGGCATGGGGAGGGCAGAAATCTGAAACTGACAGGGTTTAATGGACAATCTCAAAATTTCCCTGCGTTATAAATGTGGGCAAAGGTCGAATATTTCAGTGAGGGAAATAGCTTCCTAGCCAAGCCCGCGTGGCCAGAGAAGGAACATGCCTAGCCTGAGCTGACTCGTGCTAGCCACGGAATCCCTCAAATATCATCTTATCTGATGAAAGTCTCGGTCCAGGAAACCTTTCAAAGCCAAGCTAGCGTGCCCTGATGGCTTGCCCAGAGGCACTAAGTTGTTTAGATGCTTGGCTGTGGCCAGTCAATCGACTCGGTTTTTCTCCACCTCGTGTTGCGACCCTGTGGTCGCAATTTCCCGCCATCTGCGCCGTGGCACCGAGACCCTCGATGGCTGAGACAGTTCCGAGAATTTTTCAACAACAGACGCAGAATCAGGTCAATTGGTCGGTCTAAGGCCAGGCAACGAGTAAAAAAAGTCAATCAAATCTAACCCCTTCGTCCAACCTTATTTCATGATTATCCATGAGTATCTATCTATTGAACATGGGAAGCTCGCACTTGAATCTGACAAAGCAGCCTGAAAAATGCCGATCGGATCGCCAAATTACCACCAAACAACCACCAGACTGCGACGCTGAGCAGGCCTCCACAAGCGCGGGGTCGAGGCGGAGAGGGAGAGGGGGGGGGGGGAGTTGCTTTTTAGACGGACAATATGTGCAAATAGAGACTATATTTTTAATGATCGTAGGCAAGATTCAATCGACTCATCAGGCGGTGCACTGAGTAGACGATTTCCCCATTAATCTATTTAGCACAAGATATCTTCAAGTCTCCAACACGAGTTATCAACACAGAGATCACTCATAGCAAGATCATTTACAAACATACAGTGGTAGCAGGACATTAATTAGTGCTTAAGCCTCATCTTTATCGGTGTCCTGACATCGAAAGATATTTCATGTCCCAAAATTACCGCTATGTGATACTCTTACTATTTCTGATACTCCGTCACCATTAGATTTACTGCTGCTGGTGCTGTTGAGCATGACGTGGCAAGATAAGTGAAATAATAAATACTACTTCAATAGTGATCGTCTCCATTAAGAGGGAGATCGTCTACAACCTCAAAAAAGATGTGAAGGTCACGACAGATTCAACTAGAGTTAGAGCACGTATGAAGTTGTCACAACAGGGAGAGGTCTACATTTGAGATGAGCATGGTCACAACAAGCTAGAATGTGAACCCCAAGTTAAGCCAACTTACCCAAATAGCCACCAAAGGGGCACAGTTAAACTTACTGATTAGTTTATTAGAGAGATGTGTGTCTTATTCCAACCTCGGATAGATAACCTGGCGGCATCTCTACGGATCGACGCCCACCAATTTATCCTTGATAATCCAGATGTGACAGAGTCCGGAGATGTAAAAGTAATTTATTCGTTCTCTCTGCGATAACTAAGAAGGTGCCTTGGAATCATGTGATCTAACTTAGAGGGTAACACTAGAGCTCGGATATGAGGAGATCATAGCCCCCGATACGCTGTCATCATATTTACAACTGGGAGGTCAGATTTACAAGAGATACATATCGTAAAGATACTAGCTTAAGAGCAGAGTGTGTCTTTAGAGGCTGCCTATTTGTGTTTGTTGAGCTATGCACACACTGCACACGTTGGGAAGACATCAGTCGTAAGTTCCTGTGTTCTGCTTGCGTCTGGAGTGCATAGTGACATCTGTCGGTGGAATCTGTTACATGTTTGAGATATTTAGCAGGCCATACGGAGTGATTTTAGTTCCTGAAATGATGCACAGGAAAAGGGCCTAAACTGTCACCCAGTTTTCACTATTTGTTGCAGGAGATCATGCCTTTTGACTGGGGCCGGCAGGTCAGGCTGGGGGCCATGCAGGGCGACCGGCTACTACAGGGGTTCAGCGTAACAATTATCATACCAATATCGCACTCGACGTGTCTTCTTCAAACAGCCATATAGTCTATCAACTTTTATTTTATCCGTCCTCTATCAATTATCTTCACTCTATACAAGTTCATTATATCCTGAGATCAGTCGTTTATCGCAGGTAGAGCAATGACGTGGTCAGCACATCAATGGGCGCAAGTGGGGATACGTCTCCGCCCCCTACGTACACCGCTTAAGTTGGACCAAGACACGGATTCTTGTGTCTCCCATGGACGTACTATATACTGGATTCAGCCAAATAGCCCCCAGGTGCGGGCGGGAGAGTGGGGCTCGTGCTGAATAACAACGGAATCCCCATTCTTTCTTGAGGTTCCTGCTGGACTTTCTTGCTGTTTTAAATAATTTCCGGTCCCTCGCCGATCCTCTGTTCACCTCATTGATCAACATATAAACATAGCACTCATACCCGGTGTATATCTCATCGGAATTTTACTTGATGGCTCCTCCTAGTACCATCCCTGTGCCTGGTGTTGACCACGGCGAACGCATTCTTGCTGCTGTAGTCGAGGAACGAGCCAAAAACAATAGCTCAAGTCCATGGCTCTCTATCCCAGTGGATGAGAATAATCTCTCTCTGGGCTTCCGAGACATCACCTTCAAACAGCTGAACAACTATGCGAATCATGCGGCGCAGTGGCTGATTAAAGCCCTACCTAATTCTGAGGAATTCCAGCGCCTTGCGTACTCTGGTCCCAAGGATCTAAGATACCCGATTCTGGCCATTGCAGCGGCCAAGGTGCAGAAAGTGGTGAGTGATACCAATAGAGCAGCTGACGTACTTGATGCAGAGAAGGATGACTGATCGTGGATTTAGATGGTACTTCCCTCGCCATTAGTTACAGCAAAAGCTCAGTTGAATATCTTTGAGAAAACAGGCTGTACCCTTTATCTGAGACCCCAGGAGAGCGCTGCTTCTGTGGCAGAGATTCTTAAAGACGCGCCTCACATCCATACTATCACTGTGCCCGCTCTGGGCGAATTTTTCAATGAAATAGAGGCTATCCCTGTCAATTATTCCAAGTCATGGGAGGAAGGCAAAGATGATCCATGGCTTGTTTTTCACACCTCGGGAACAACGGGTATGATTGAGCATGCTCTTCACACGAAACTTGAATATTATAAGACCTAACTAGGGAGCAGGGAATCCCAAACCTATCACATATACACATGAAATGATGGCCGGAGTTGATGCAGCGGCTAGTCGTTCTGACATCGAAGAGTGTGTCATTCATCAGTTTGCTCAACAGAGGTGGTATAGTCCTTTACCATCACTTCACGTGAGTCAACTTGTTCCAAATGATTTTATTTTGCTTTTGCCTTGTCTAACCAAACTAGTTTGTGGGCATGGCCATGACCTTGGCAATGACCACTTTCTTACACATGACAGCGGTACTAGGTCCATCTACTCCTCCATCCCCAGAAGTAATTACCAATGTCTTGCGTTATGGAAACGTTAAGGGTGCCTTACTTCCCCCAATACTCATTGACAGTCTCTGTCTCTCCCCTGCTGGCCTTCAAGCTCTTCGGGAGCTGAAATATATTCATTTCGCCGGTGCTCCATTGTCAGCTAAGTCTGGAGAGCTTCTTGTCCCGTATACAAAGGTTGTGCCCGCTATTGGAAGCACTGAAACCGGTGGTTATTTTACAGCTTGTCACGACAAGGCGGATGCGTGGGATTTTGTTACCTTCCAAAAACATGCCGGTGCCATTTTTGAACCTCGAGTGAACAATTTACATGAATTGGTCTTCATTCGTGATCCAAGCTGTTCAATGCAACAAATATTCACTGTATACCCGGATCGCGACCGATTTGAGACCAATGATCTATGGATTGAACATCCCGATTACAAAGGTCTATGGAAGATCATTGGCCGGACAGATGACTATGTGTGTCTGTCCCATGGAGAAGGACTGCATGCGTCCCTTTTGGAACCGGAAATTAAAGCCCATCCCAGTGTTAAAAATGCTTTAATTGGAGGACAGGGAAGGCCACAGCCTGTACTACTCGTGGAGCTCATTGGAAGTGCAGAGCAAAATGGATCTCCCGGAGACTTCATAGAGAGCTTGAGACCCTATATTGAGAAGGTCAACTCCAGCTGTCACGAGGCGGTCCAAATTTCATTGGATAAGATCATCATAGCCTCAAAGGAAAAGCCATTTATCGAAACTATCAAGGGTAGTGTGGCGAGGTTGCAGACTTTAGCTTTGTACGAGGAAGAAATTGCCGCACATTTCTTTTGAGAGATATAACAAATCAACAGTGGCGTTAACTGATATAGTATTTGATTATTAGTTATAGACTTGATAACGTATTGTATGAATTAAAGTCTTTACTTCCCATACTATGTTAGACCGGCATGATGGTTGTTTCGATAATCAGAGAACAAGAATATCTCAGCTTTATCTTTCAGTCTGATGCCCCTTACCATATTTTGGTTTTTTGAAATTTCCATGGCCTGATGGAAAACAGACCATGAAAATACTTGTTTCTACATATTTTTAGTGTCATGTATAATCATGAGGTGGCCTTATGGTTGATCACCGGGAGTCGGAGAGAAAACCGAATTACTTCCTCCGCATATCGTCACATGTCCCATGCAAAATCTACTAAGCCATATCGCATCCATATACTTTGCCAATTTAGAGTGCTTCATGTGATAATTTCCCTGACATCAATTTGCTTAGTGCTTTGCTTGATAGAAAAAACGATTCACCTCGCCGATAGACTCTCATTTTCAATCATGGCAGTCGGAGAGAACTCCAGTCTATTCCAAATCCTGTAAAGATTATCAATTGAAGAATATGTCTATTCTTGTGGCCTAGAATCATATGCTATTGATTCTACACCAGTCTCTTCTCTGTGACGACACTGGCAGTATACACTGTACAGCAAATAACCTAACCCTCGCTAGAGAGAGATTGCGTCATCATGGAGAACAAAGATCACAAAATAACCCATATTGAGCCTGTGCACATCCAAACAAGCGAGCTCGGGTTATTTTTCTTTTCCAGAAGAGTTCTTGTCTCGGGATGAAAATTGGCATCAACAAGAGACAAAAAGGCAGCTCAGAAAAAGTCGATTTGCATCTTTCGCCTTGAATAGTGGTATTTCATTTGACCAACATTCTAGGTCGCAGGTCGATTACTTTTGTTTTTACCACATCCAATTTGGGAGTCCAAATGTTTGCTATCCTCTCATGTTAATAGGAGGTTTTCTTCCTGCATTACAACTGCCACTTGGATACCTTCTTCGTTCTCAAGGTCTCTTGTATAGCGATCTATGGTGGTGGCGGCTGTATGTGGCTGGCATGTTCGGGAACGCATCTGCCATATATGGGAGTTACCTACACCCGGGGTTTCAGGGAGATACAACCTACCTGCAGCTATGCATTGGCATGCGTATGTGGGGCTTGCGGGGGTTGGAAATATTAACTTGGGCTGCACTGAAGAGAGAGAACTGAAGATGCGACCCATAGCTGTGTAAATTGTGTACGACTGCAAACTGGACACTTTTAGTGTGGTTTTTTTTCAATCTTTGCTTGATTTTTACAATACTCAAAGGTCTCAATTCGGTCGAGACGCGAGTTGTGAACAGTCAGTCGGTCTTCTCTCCGGCCAGGATATTATAGTTTCCGATGGCCGGATAAATGACGCGGAAATCACATTTCTAGGATAGCACTTCATATAAATGATCGACTACTTCAGCGGGGAAGGAATGTAATTTCGAAACAATGAAAGAGATTTCAAACATGTCGGGTAAACCTACAGTTCTTCATCTTGGTGATCCCATCAAATACAATGATGAATTCTACAACGAAAACTTCATCTCTCGCTTTGAGGTTATCAGAGCGACGGAAACCGACCGAGCAAGTTTCATGGAAGCCTTGAAAACTAAGAAGTATTTTCAAACATATTTTCCTGTTTGTCTGCAAGGATCTGATTCATTGCGATACTAGATATGGTGATTTCTCGGCTCTATTCCGCCCTCATTTTCAAACGGGAGGTTTCATGGGCCAGTGGGACTCGGAACTCATCTCACTATTACCACCAAGCGTGCGTATCTTTGCTTCAGCTGGAGCAGGCTTTAACTGGGCAGACACTGACATACTTGGCCATCACCAAATTTGGTACGCTAATGGTGCTGGTGCATCTGATGAGGCTGTCTCCGACACGGCATTGTATATGATTCTTAGCGTGTTCCGAAACTTCACACGATCGCAGCTAGCGGCACGGAAGGCTGATCCAAAAATATTTACTGAAACTCACAAGCTTATTGCCACAATATCACAGAATCCTCGTGGCCATATTTTAGGCGTGATCGGACTAGGGAATATCAGCAAAAAGCTTGCTCTCAAGGCCCGACTGGCGTTGGGAATGAAGATACACTACTTTGATATTGCGCGTGCAGGGCAGAAGGAAGAAGAAGAGCTCCAAGCCACATACCATGAGTCATTAGACCATCTTCTAAAGATTGCCGACTGCGTTACACTGCATACGCCTCTTAACAAGCATACCCACAATTTGATTGATGCCAGGGCCTTGTCATTGATGAAGCCCGGAAGTAGAATCATCAATACAGCTAGAGGGCCTATTGTGGATGAAGACGCATTGATTCAAGCTCTCAAGACGGGTCACATAGCTGCTGCAGCACTCGATGTGCACTACCATGAGCCGCAAGTGTCCAAAGTACTAGCGACCATGGATAATGTTACTCTTACCACTCATATTGGCGGTGGTGCATTGGACACGAGAATTAACTTTGAACTAAATGCCATGAAGAATATTCTTGCTGTGGTCGGCCCCAGTGGTGAATTCTCAGGAGAGCCACTTACGCCTGTAAATAGAGAGGCATTTCGAGGGGGATTGTTGAAAGTTCAAAGTTGAGGACCAAAGCCAGCGATACTTCCGATCATTACAAGCAAATCTTCATTTATTTGAAACTCGGCCATTGATCATCCGTGGCCCCGGTTCAAGTTTCCAGTAGGAAGCTTAACAAGCAATGATTACTAAATGTAAAGAGCTGTTGGGGAAGGCATAAGTTGCTGTCGGAAATCGAGCAGCAGGAATGACTGATAGACATTGATTATTGCGCCAGCTAGAACAGCCTTGGTCAAAACACTCCGACTTGGTGCTGGTCAGTCATCCCAGCCGGTCGATCCTACAGTAAGAAATTGTAACTCTTTCGGCGCCTAGCGAAGTACTAAGAGGTGAAAGCAATGATTTATTATTTTCTTTTATATGAGCTACCAAATTTAGAAAGTAATCAACTATCTTCGCGATTTGGTAAATCGCCCTCGTCTTCTGACTCAGATTCGACAGCTGCGAGAGCCTGGCTCCCGTTATTTCCGGATTTCTCACTCGTCAGCGCCTTCGAATTACCTGGTTTTCCATCAGCCGCCGAGGCGAGTTGAGTAGAGGCTGCAATGCCACCGGAGGTAACATAGAGGAAGTGGTTCATCGTGAAATGATCGATGTGATTGAAGAAAGAGCCGAACCTGTTGTATCATAGAGTAAGTATTATGCTGAAATCCTGTCCGACAAAAATCATTACGACTTACGCTGCACTCTCTGCCTCCTCGCGGAAGATTCGATCGTAAATCTCCCGCTGTTTGAACTCATCCATTTCCTTTTCAAACTTGTCGAAATTGATGGGCTCACGACCCAAAGTCTTAGCCTTGCTACTGTAGCTGTCGAAGATAGGACGTTCGAGTAAGAGCCCGAGCCCTGGAGCCTTGGGGATAGCTACTCGGTCTGGTCCGTATGTGTCGTTGATTCGATCCGGGTGACAGCCACAGCGGACAACAAGGGCGGCCATGGCAACCATTTTGCGAATTTGGTGCATCATGAAACTCTGACCGTGGACCTTTAAGCTGAGCCATTCGGTACCATTGATGACCACAGGCGTTGGGTTCACCTTGAAGGACCTGATGAATCGGCTCGCTGATGGATCTTTGTAGGTTTTTTGGATGGTGTAATTGTGGAAGTTCCGCGTGCCCTCGTACCTGCTGAGGCTTTCCTGCAAACGAGCGACGCGAGACGAAGGAATACGATAAGCTCTGCGGGCCGTCAGGTAAGCTGCCTTAACTGCCTTTATAGTGTCGTGGATCAGTTGTTGGCGAGGATCCAATTTGAAGGGTTTCTTGGTCTCTTCTTGAGCAGACTCGGTTTCAGGTTGGGGCTGTGGAATAGCATTGTCGTTTGCGTCCGAGGCATTTTCTTCCTCCTGAAAGAATAAGGACTTTTGAACAATGTTGCGAATATCGTCAGGGACTGTCTCGAGAATCGGTTTGATATATTTTTCATCAACTTCATCCCAGTAGGTCGAAACTTCCTCCTGTCTGGCTGCGACCTCTTCCAAATCACCCGCCTTCTTGGCAAGTTCGACGATTTTTGTTCCTAGGAACGTACTTGGATGGGGGGCAAAAGACAGTGGCTTGGCAGCAAGTACTCATAAACTCTTGAGTCGCAAAGTTGGTAGCAGTTGAAGCTCTTGGCCGTTTGCTCGATTCCCCACACCCGAATTTGCGGACTGAGTTTCTCGTTGATCTTTTGAACGATATCGGGATCCTCGATAATCATCTTGAGCGAAACAACATTTCCGGCAGCGTGTACGCCCTTGTCTGTGCGCGCGCAACGAGCGAAAGATGACTTTTTTGGGTCCGTGGCATTGGCTTTCGAAACTGCGCCGGCGGCAACCAAGGCTGTAAAAAGCTCGCCTTCAATGGTTTTCTTGTCGTTGGTTCTGGTTAAATAGAATTCATTAGCATGGACCAACCTCTGTCAACCCCTTAATCACAAGCCAGAGTTCACGTACAATTGCATGCCATAGTAGCCTGTCCCAGAGTACCCCATCAACAAGGCGACCTTCTTCTTCGGGCGACGCTCCTCCTGCTCAATTTCCTCCTTGGAGAATTCGGTAGCATAGATCGGGACGGCTACCTCCTCGCCATTCTCCAGCTTGCGGCGCTTAGTTTCGGCCTGCTGGTCAGATCGCGCTCGCTTGTCTATTTTTTGGCGGCTTCCTTGGTTAGTAACAGGGCTCAATTTCCTGAGTAGAACTCCACACGACATACCTCCATTCTGACCTTCCCATATCACGCTTCTTACGCCCTTCACCAGCTCGATCTCCTCCTGTTTGGTTGTCGGCCATTGCACGCGGCTGAAGAAATCGGCGAGCTCTTGCTCGGCCTTGCTTTTGAAATGCAGTGATCGGACAAATGGACAAGCTGCAATCAAACCCTGACGACTGGAGAGCGAGTATCGGAAAACAGGAGCCTTGAAGGGTGAAAAAATCGCAGGCAAATCGCGCGGCCTAAAAATGGAGGCGTGCATGAACTCGAACCTCATCCAAAAACGTTCGCGGGACTGCGAAACTGTCGCCGCGGAGGTTTTCAATGGAGAAACGCTAGTCTTGTTCAGGCTAGGCTCGAGCCTATCATCTAACCTCATATGGTAAACATTGATGCCTCAGGCTCCAAGGCGCGACAGGGCGGCCTCCGCCTCATCTAAAGTTGAAGCTTTCCCAGCCGCTGACACTCCCACGGAGATTCTTTGAATTCCCTCACTCCGGCGCCCGTGCCCTTGCGCGATCCTGCGCGGCGATCCTTGTCCTTCAAGCGCTTTTTCTTTGTTAAAGGCTGCGGACGACGATGGTCTTTCTTTCACCTTAAACCGTGCCACCAGAAGCTTTGTCTTCCACTCACTCAACTATCCTTGATTCAACGACCCCGGCATTCATCGAGTCTGTACCTGCCTCGCACAAGCTGTCGCAGCCATGGATCTTGCCAACACACTCATCCGGAGTGTAGTGCGTGCGTTCTATGAAACGCGCCACATCCTAGTTGTCGATGCACTATTCCTCCACTCGGTGTATGATGCCCCTCAAAGGGATCCGACACAACGTTCATGCCGCTGACCTGCTACAGCCTCCATGCGGAGGACCTTGCTTTCCTCATGGGAATGCAGCAAAAGGATTTGCGCAAACTGTGTGCCCGATTACGGGAAGACCGCTTGATTGGCGTGTATGACTTGCCTTTCGCTTTTCCATGCGGGCGCAATATGTCCTTGCAATTCAGCTAACCTGTGTCTTCTTTGCTGGGGTATAGGAGCACCCGCGCCGAGATTCGTGATGGTTCTACTCGCCCCGTCAATCGCGAATACTACTATATCCCTCTCCACCCCGTGATTGACGCCATCAAGTACAAGGTCTCGAAATTGACGTCAACGATCAAAGCACAATATACACCAAGCGAAGAACGCAAGGAATATATCTGCCCACGATGCAATACTGAATGGACAGAACTGGATGTGTTGAGTCTCGTGTCCGAGGAAGGGTTTGAATGCCAAAACTGTGGTGCCATCTTGGAACGTACCGAGGATGTGAAGGGTGAGGAGGGCATTGAGCGAACAGGGCATGAAAAGAATAGCAAACTTATGGCTCAACTTGACAAGATGCTTAAATTACTCAAGCAGATTGACTCGGTGGAGATCCCGCCGAATGACTTCGACACGGCATGGGATCATAAGGTCGAAGTACCCCGAAACCACCAGACACATCCCATCCGCGCGGCCATTCCAGTTCCGCCAAAGGCTCAGGATGTTATTCGCGGAACCGTGAAGACGGATGCCGCGGCCCTCGAGATCTCGCTGACATCCAGCGAAGAGAAGAGTGCTGCCGAGCAGGCCGAAGAAGTCGCTCGTAAAGCAGCTGTGGAGAAGCAAAATGCTCTCCCTGTCTGGCACACACACTCTACTGTCAACGCCGCCGCCGTGGGCACTTCACAGGTTAAAAATGAGGCTGGTCTCCCTATCAAGTCGGAGCTTGGGGATGAGGACCAAAAGCCCAGCCTGGACGCACTGGATGACAAAGTCGCAGCGTATTACGCGGAAATGGAACGAGAGAAGGCCCTTCAAGCACAAGAAGATGCCAGCAGTGCCGAGGATGATTCGGACGATGAGGACGATGAATTCGAGGATGTTGGTGGGATATCTGGCCCCAGTGGTCCTGGTACCCCGCTCACAGCTTCCGGGCCTACAAGCTTCCCTTCCTCGGGACTGGTTGGGATCAAGCGAGAGCATGATACTGCATCTAGTGCTGCTCCCTCTTCAGTTGGTACTCCGTCGACTCCAGTCGATGACGGTCCTGCTATGAAGAAGATCAAGGTTGAACCTGGCATTAGTGTCCAGTCGGCCATCAAACCAGATCCTGATGCGGCGGCTGAGCCCGGTGTGAAAAATGAAGAAGAATCCGATGAGGATGATGAGGAGTTTGAGGATGTATGATCACTTGGATTTGCCCACTACAATCACCTTCAACCTTGCAATGATAGAGAGTGCCGGCGCTGGCGCCAGACCAGTTCAAACCCAACATGTACCAACCACAAAGTCTTCTAACCACCTACTTAGAGAGTCTCCCTTGTCTCCATTGTGTCTTATTGGAATTTTTGAAGCTCATCCAGTGCTAAATGCCTTATTTCCGAGCTAAAATAGTCTTGATCAAATAAAGTGTTCTCAGGACGTTAGTCAAATGATGGTGAGGATGTTTTCATAGACCAGGCCGGCCTTGCCGCATAGCAACAAGTGGATTGATATCAGTCCAGACGTTCCATTACTACCGGGATATTCTCACCTCTCATCTCTCCTTCGTTCATCTCCCTTGACGCTCTCTTCCCTCTGCTTTTTCTCTTTTCCACAAGTCGTTCCCACTACCAGCTGTGTTCTATACCTCCTCGAAGCCCAACCGTGCACTTAGAACCAGCCAGGATGCCTCGTCCATATGTAAGTAACAGCCTTCACTCTCGCACCCAAGCTGTCCAACATCTCTGAATAGAATAACCTCACTCTATCAGCTCACCGTTGACACGATCCGCCACGAGATCGAAGAGATCAACCCCCAGCGCTACGGCTCCCTCGACACTGTCACCAGCGGCGTCTGGAGCGGCATTCTAGCCCTACAATTCCCCATTGTGCAGGGTTACCTGAGCCGCCCACAGCAGCACCAATGGGTCTCCGAGCAAGGCTTCTGGACAGACATCCTAGTCCAGCACACAGTGGACAATCGACCCCGCGTCTTCTTCGTGGTCATGATCCGCACCGGCTGGTCACCGAGCCTAGAAGTGACCCCTGGTCAACTGGAAGACTGGACCCGACACCTGAGTGAGTACCTCGACATGACATACGGGCTTCGCTGGCGGCCGAATTTGGCCCGCGTTTACGGAGCGATGGTGGTTGGACGCGGAGTACGCTTCTTCACGTACGACATCGGCGAGATGGAGCCTATGTTGCTAGATTATCAGCATTACCATGTGAACTACCCGTTCTTCGACCTTGTGCGGGATGCGGAGCATGTGCAGATCGTGCTTGATGAGATCCGACGACGACACTAGCAAAGAATGGGCGGTTCAGGATGTGCGGGGTGTTCAAGGAAAGTGTTTGCCTACTTGATTTCATCGCGACGGAGAATTAGTGTCGTGTCTTGAGGCATTTCAGGGACTTGAGAAGAGTTGTGATGATTGGATGAGAGGACTACAATTGTTCATTGTTCCTAGTTCTGATCTTGTATTCGCCCGTGTCCACCAGTTGCAAGTGGGTTCCAATGAAACTACTCACTGATAGTTCCACATGGCTGTTTTCAAAGCAAACGCAAGCTCAGACTGCAATTTTACTGGATTTTTTTCATGCAGTACGTAAGGAAAACGGACATTCGGAATTTACACCTTGTATCATTCAGTGAGAAGAGTTCTCTACCGTGGCGCCTTTTATTGCAATACTGAAAAAACTTTCAAAGTCCAGCATCCTAACAGAGCAACGCCCAGTATCACGCAAAAGAAATATGGAAAAACAATATCAAATTGTGCAGGTCATGAAATCGTGGTTGAATCTTGCCATCACAGGTCAATGTCGCTCCTCGCTCAAGTCAAATGATATCACCGTAAAAGAACAGAGAATGAAAAAGGGCACAGAAAAAAAAGAGGCTGGAAGTATCACCAGTCCCAGAGGCAATAATCACTTCTAGGGTGACCCTGCGATCCCCATCTCAGAGTCGCTGGCCATTGCAGATGTGGCCTCCCATTCCTCTGGGGAGGGCAAATCGGATTCTGGGATGCCCTTGGTTAGACGGGGTCTCTTCCGAATGCTGGGCGGAAGCGCGTACCTGATACGAGATCGTCGGGGACATCGACAGTCATTTGTTCGAGATTTGATAGCGCAGCTGTCACATAACATTAGCGTCAGCCAAAGTATGATAGGGATATCAAGGTTTCAAGGGTCAATCTGAAGAAACGCACCAGTCGCCAGTTGAATAAATTGCTGATCCTCGTCGTTTTCGTCATCAAAGAAGTTCGCCAGGCAATAATTGACAATGGTCATGATGTGGTGGACAAGTCTAGATTCAATGGTTTGGACATTGCTTTCAAGGCAAGAAGACCTAATACGGTCCATGCATGTGCTAGTTAGCTCACGAGCAATTCTTCTAGAACGTGCTCGAGCATTTTCATCAGGCGACTCATTTTCCTCAAGGAAAAGCATGTTTTGGAGCATCTCAGAAGTCCCGTGTCGGACAGACCGATCCGTGTCAATGAGTAGAGTCGGGCAAAAATCAGGGATTTTTTCTTGAACAAGGGCAGTGAACCATTCAATTTCCAACCCGGCTCGGTCATTGGACGTGTTGCAGAGACGACGGAAGAATTCCAGGTGCTCCGCGCCTGCGCTGTTATTGATAGAATCCACCCCTTTTGCGACGAAGTTGACAACGTCAATCACGGCGACCTCGTCGGGGCAATGTGCACAAAATGAGGACGCTGCGTCAAGGAATGGGATGCATAGCTCGGCCGGTGATAGTCGCAGCCCAATATCCAAGGTCTTTTCAATATTGCGCAGGTAGTCTGCCTGTGGCTCCGCTGCGAGGAAAGAGGCCATGATGTCACGAATCGCTTGTTGGTGATACAGAGCGTCTTGCTGGAGGATCTTCATCAAAAGCGCAATAGCGCCATCATCGTCGGAAGAACTCGATCCCTCCAAAGGCTTGACGTATTTGCTTTCCAGCAAGCTAAGGGGGAATTTGCCATCGGGTGAGATGGGACGGGGCGCATTGTGTGTAACTGGCGGAAGGGATAGATCCATGTTGCCGAAAAACATTGAGGTGAGGATCATCAAGCCTCTATATGAAAAGCGCCGACCTTTGTCCAGCAGTCTAGAGTAGCCCGGATACGAAGCCTTCAGCTTTTGTTGATCCTCGTTGTCGATCCACAAGATCTCCAAGCACCTGAGAAAGACGCCGTTCTCAAGCAAAATCCCTATTATTTCCTCGCCGCATTCAAGAAGGCCTATAAGGAAATCAAAGTATTCTTCCCATACACGAGGAATACTCTGCACAGAGGACCATAGAATCTGTGCCATCTTCACAATTATTTCGACAAACCCATAAAACTTGCTCTCCAGAGCCTTGCGCTCAGTATCATCGATATTTGGGGATCTGAGAATATTTTGAATTCTGGTGACAGACGCCAAAATGAGAGCAATTGCTTTGTTCTTAACTTCTGGATGAGAAACTTTCAGGAGAAGATTGCGAAGTGAGGTCGCTCGGTTGCTGAACCACTCAAGGAGCCGAAGAGCGTTTCTTGGATTTTGATTCATCAGCCTCCAAATTTCATTAGTGATGCTTTCATGCCCCATGTGGTCTTTAGTTCGGGCAACAAGTTGCTCCAGCGTGTCGAGGCCGATGTCCATTGCCATCGGTTCAAGCTGGCGCTTTCGATTATGCTCAGGGTCCATGTCCAGCACACGACGGAGAAGAGAGGGCACTAATAGAGCATAATATGGATCCAGAAGGCAGTATGTTCGAATGAAAATCTCATTCTCGATGGCGATCCTGTTCGAAAGCTGAGTAGGTAAGGGAACGCGGGCTGGATAGTTGGGCTTCGTGGGGCTGTAGACTTCTTTGGACTTTTCCATGGTGGACACCCGCTGGTAGAACAACATGTATGCATTCCAGACCCTATTGACATGGACTCCGCTCATAGCATGGGATGCTTCTGCTTGACCGCCAAAGCACTGATCCGCGAGAGTGGATGGATCAAAGTTGGAGACATCCGCATCATTGAACTCGACCCATAGGGGCACGGATCCAGCGCCGGGCCGTTCTCGTGTATAAGAGTAGTAGTGACCTGATTCGGCAGTGCCAGTGTGGACAAGAACGCCAACTAATTCGAAGAAATCTGGCTCCACAGGTGCGGTGGGATCTGAAAGATACTCCACCTTATATGGGGTCATGTCGATAAGCTGCGGAAATCTGAACTCATCGTTGATTTTACTCCGCATCATGGTGACCATGTCGAAGTCAAATCGCTTGAGATGGAAAATGAGGTTGTCGGGGACATCCTTCAAGCAAGCTCTGATCCCAAATTAGAAATATGTTCTAGCATCTTCAGTCCATCGAGTTTCAAACTCACCGTTTAACAGCATCGACATGGCGATCGCATCCGGTGCAGGAGTATTTGTTATCTAAATAAGCAGTCAGTAAAGCTTTGTGTTGATTTAGGCAAAGGCGCCTGGAAGCGTACCTCCTTGCATGATTTCCCCCTCAACATAGGCTTGTAGGCTTTCCTCGAGGCAAGCCTTGCCCTTGATATCGCACTGGATAGCTGAGAATGGTTCAAGGCGCTCTGAAATGTGGTCACATTCCTTCGACTTGATTTGCTGCACAAGCTGGCCTCCATAGAAAGATCGGAACTTTTTCTTTTCCTGTTGGTCCACAACTTGAGCCTCCCAACGGTCGAAGAGAAGGTTGTAAAACTCGTCAACATCCATCTGAATTGTGACATCAATGGCTTCGTTGTCATAGGTTTGAATGCTCTCAACAAAGTCTTGCGGATCAACACTCTTAGTCCATGTGTCTTGCATCCATGCAAAGAGTTTCTGGGTTTCACCAAGAAGTTTCTGCGAGCCATTGAAATCCACAACGTCAAGCTTGAGGAGAAAGTCACGGAACTCGACGTTCATGAACAGCTGGGTCATCAGAGAGTTTAAGTAGCATGTGTTTGAGAGGTTCTTAAGACCCGCATAACCCTCGGGTGCCCTGATCATCTTCGACCGGTCATGACACCAATTCGGGCCATATGATACGTCTACCAAGATCCAGTCAGATACAGATGGGGCACGTTAAGCTTCTGAATGAACAAACCTCGCGGAACAACCTGTTCAAGAATTTCCATAACTTGTGTGACATTGTCATCATTTTGCTTGCAAAGCAGCTTGACAATATTGTAAAGCCTTTGACGGGTCGGATTGTGAATGACAGGGATTTGGGGGGTAATCGGACCGTTCGTCTCTGGGCTGAGATCTGGGAAAAGGTAAATACCCAGGATTTTCTCCGCGAGGCCACTATGGGAAATTTTGTTAGGCATGATCCATTGGGGATCTCAAGAAGGAAAGCTCACAAGGTTTCGAGTTTGACATTCGCAGAATCAGCCAACTCAAGACACTGCTCCAACAGCAAAGCAAAACCTAGAATCAAATTATCGGCTTGCTCGCGTCCGACAAACTATCATAAATCAGTAAGTGCTGTATTTCAAATTCATATGATAGGGATTTATCAATATACCTCCTCGGTTCGGTGCTGCAGCATCACCTCGCTCCATTGACGAAGGTACTGGCTGAAGATGACGTCTCTTGGAGACTTCTCCGCGACAGATCGAAAAACCCATAGTGCGATTTTGAAAAACTCGGAGGACTGAGCAGCGAATTCCGAAGTCCGTGGAATAATCTGTACAAAGGCGTTCCAGATAGTAGCGAGCATATCAATCCGTACTGGACTTTCTGCGGGTACTGTCTGTGGCGTCTCGGTAGTCATCTTTGAAGATTTGAGGAATTTCGAAGGGCTATAAGTCATCCGGATTCTCTCTAACACATCATTCCGGACCGGCTGCTTGGTCTCCTCGAGAAGCAATGTCTGGAGCAAGCGGCCGAACTCTGCCTCTTGCTTGACTACATCCCAGAATAGTGGGTCACGTATCGAGACTTCAATCAAGACAGCGAAAGAATTGCACATCAACTTGTGGATGATGAGGAGATTCAGTTCTGAATTTTTGGCGGCAGATCGAGCGGTCTCAATGAAGTAGAGAAGCCGCCTAACAAGGGAAGCTGGATCTTCAACCAACAGTGGCGTCTCATTCGTTGGGCTGTAAACAGTAGCTGCTACTAGGAGGCATTCGACTGCAGATTTAGCAAGAGATAATCCGCTCTGATTCTCCGCAAGTGCAACAGAAAGCTTATCAGACATTAAGAACGTCACCAGGGTCTTGATGCTGTGGGATACGAAGCTCTGTTGGGGAGTCTCCTTCACGGCTTCCTCACGAAGAGAAGTGAGCAGAGCATTGAACGAATAGAAAGCAATAAATGGCTTCTGGAATGGGAACAAGTCCTCTGCATTGCTATTTTCACGCCTCACGAGATCCAAAACTCGATCTTGAGGGGGAAATGCGACCAAGAAATCGAAAATCTAGTCATTTGAATCAGTATTTCTTTCGGTATGATCAAAGATGTCTAGAACATACCTCCCGGGCTAAGCCATCATCAAGAGCGAGCAGCTCATACAGCTCGTCAAAATGCTTGAGCACCTCAGAATCGACAGATGTAAGGGATTGGCGCCTGTCTCGGGTGACTTCCTGGGCATCTGGCGCTTTGCGAAGAATAAGCAAGCCTGATTGAAGATGCTTCATATCTTTCACAAACATCTCCGGGTCATCTAGTAGCCCAACCCGCTGGCCACCAGAAATTGCAGTAAACTTGGAGAACCTAGTGATTAGGGTAAGTCGCTCGACCAGCTCTGCGGCAGTGGAGAGTTCGCCGATCCGTAGAGTATTGATTTTCGAGTGCGAGTTCCCATTGAATGATTGCCAAGAAATGTCAATCGGATTACCCTTTAGCGGACGCTCGGGAAGTATGGGCGGCGAACCCTTAGGGGAACTGTATTGCGGGCGAGCTCGAAGACCACCCAGGAGTTGATGGAGGAAAAATAAAGAACGTCTGAATCTCAGTTCCTCGGATCCCAATTTTTCGCTAGGGATATCAGAATCCATAATCGTATCCCCATCTCTGACATCGACTTTAGGTGTCTTCAAGGTCGCAGCAGCAGATTTCAGCTGGTCTAGACAACGTTCCACGGCAGCAATATGAGTGGCTTCGACTGCAGACCGCAACGAGTTTCGGATAATTGCATGGTCCAGATAGACCTCAATAGCATATTTTGTCGCTTCGGCTTCAATCGTACCCGGAGGCGCGGTTAAAATGAAATTCCAAATGCGATCCATTCCAGGAATAAGTACAACTTCGTGCTCGGCGGCAATGGGTGGGGGTTGAACCGGATTTCGTAATTGATTGATTGCTTTGCAAAAAGCAGCGTTTGTCGAGAGTAGTCCTTTGGGAGCAGACCAGGAAGGTATTCATTGATGCACCGGTTGAGAAACGGGTTGGACTTGTCGCTCTCTTTCAAAGCATTGATCATCAGAACCCAGACAGCTTTGAAAGTATCGAGATCCAATTTCTTGGACAGCAATATTTCATCCCACACGGCTTTGCCAAGTTCGGGGGTGATTGTATCCGGGACCTTTTCAATGAGACGGAACAACATGGTGATCCGTGAGATCAATCCGTGTTGTGACAGGCCGTCAACCAAATCCACTTGGTCGCTGTTCACAGTGTGGAGAACGTCGGTGATTACGAGGCGTGTCAAATCAAAGTCGGTGGCCAGCTTCCACATCTCCTGAGTGTCGTGACGCGGAACCAGAGAGCTGAGGACTTGAATACTTCCGACAGTGAACTGATTCATTTCGGAAATGTCCTGGATACAGCGCTCATACATATCCATCCTGTCAACCTCACTGATACCAGCCTTGATCAAGCTTGTAAGCTGCCGGCTGCCAAGGTCCTGCAATTGCTTTTTTTGCTCGACAGAAAGATATTCTGCTGCTGTACTTTCGCGAATCAGACGCGCACAGATCTGGAGCGCAACCGTATCAACCTGCTCATAGAGAGCTCGGTCAGAAGGGGTGCCGTACATTCTGTCGAGCAGACTGTCGCAAAATTCCAGAATTCGAGCATCGAACCGGTCTAAAGGAAGCTGTAGAATCTTGGTACAGATATAGAGTAGGGCGGGGGCCCCAGTGGCATGCACATAGAAGGTGCGAGAAAGCATCAACAAGACCTCGGAGACTATCCGACTATCTTGACTTTCTGTGACTGTTTTCCAAACAATATCGGTCTCCTTGTTGGTATATGCATTCGTGACAATTAAAAAGCCGATGATGTTGCTGCTTCGGCTGATCAGTTGAGGGTGGGAGTCGACCCCGACAAGGTAGTCGACAATCTTGTTGTCGAGAATGAAGCGAACCAGGTATTGAATAAACGGAAGCGATATACCTTTCGGGTTAGGAGAGATATTCTGTTTCCAGAGGGAAACCAGGTCGGACTGCATGGTTTCCACTCCGTGCACTCGAAGCTCCATTCGCCCTTCCATGATGTGTTTCTTCAACATGGCAAACTTCCATCCCCAAAAAATGATGAGGGTATTTTCCGAGAAGGTTGTATCGGCCGGAAGCTGAATGGACAGGTCGTTCGCAATCTGGTCCACGAGCTCGGAGTAGCCGAGGCATAGCGCATTGTAAACTCGAGGAAGCTGGCGCAACAGCTGCTCACTGAAGTCACTGGTAGCCCATGGAGCCTTTTTGGTCACCCACTCTCGATAGCTGTCATCAATCAAACGGGTTGTGTCGTACAAAAGCTGAGCTGAACGCGGTAGGCTGACAGGTGTATCGTTGTCAAGCTCCACGGTTCGTGTTAATGAGCTGTCAATGAGGTTTTGTGCAAGAAGGACATGGTACAGCAAAGGATTGGATAGTTGTGGAAACCGAGGGATCAATTCAACCAGGAGAGATGCGTGTTCTGCCACCGTCGTGGCAAGGTTGATGGAAGGTCCCAGGGCCTTTTCGCGAGCCCGGGATAGCATTGAAGTCAGTTCGGAAGGGTACCTTTGCTCCAGACCCGAATAAAAAGGAACCGTTTGATACGAGAGAATCCAGATCATGGGGTTCAGGTACTTCTGAGACAGGCTTTCCGGAGGCTGTGGATCTTTCTCGCTGGTCAGTTGCCTCAAGATCATGATCTCCAGACGGATCATATGCAGAGCGAGCTGCACGAAACCCAAAATGAACTCTTCAAGGCAATCCCATGGGCTTTTTCCTGTGCCATCATCGATGAGCAGTTCATGTCTACAGCAGGATATTAGCTCTCCGCCGTAAACTATGCATGTTCTCCCCCATCTGATACATACTTTCGGCGCAGGATGATTTCCACTAACGTAGGGAAGGACTCCCAGAATCCACGGTCATCCATGATGGCCTTGACAGTCAGTCGATCAAGGTTCTGCACGCAAGCGTCTATCCAAATTTTGACTTCCGAGACCGCGTGAGCGTCATGTGAGTCAACTGTTCGTTTCATGAAGCTTAGTATCCAAGACAAAGGAAAGGGTGAGACAAGACAAGCGGAAACCAGTTATGTCACGGGGAAGGGACAGAGAAGACTTACGCTTGTCAATCATCAGGCAGATTCTATTCAGACTCTCCCTCGCCCCAGTATGCTCCCTGACTCTGGGGAAGGAGTCGATCAGCGGTGCCGTATCATCAACCTCGACAACGTCCGGCAAGGCTTTCTCGCGCAATGCCTCCTCCAGTGGCCTCCAGTTCGACATATTGGGATCTTGGTTCATATCCTCGAGCTCGGCGACTTCAATTTCCGGGCTCTGGGCAGGCGAAGAGGAGAGGGAGATCACATTTGACGGGGTCGTGTCGGGTTGCGCGGGAGGCAGCGCAGTGGTGCCTGGCGGCATCGGGGAAGAGTCTCGCGTGTCAAGGGGAATGTCGGAGCCCGGCGACTTCATATTGATGGTCACTTTACTAGCCAGACGCCCGTGGTCGGGCGTGGTGTCCATGTCGGAGGCAGGCGCGGTCGTGGTCGGAGTCGCGACAGCAGGACCGTCAATGGACACAGATGGACTGACACCACTTCCACTGTCCAGGCGAGGCCGTTTCCGGGTCCCCTGAGGGTCTTGCTCTTCCATCGAGTCGCCGTGAGGTCGTGTAGGATCGTTCAACGGTGTGCCAGGCGGGATGCGAGAGCTCGTTGGCGGGGGTTCAGCCATGACATTTTCCTCAGGTCGCTGATGGGAGGAGAGTCGCGATCGCGGGAAAGTCGACCCAGGCGGGACACAGGGAAAGGGTCCTCGTTTTGTATCGAAGAAAATCAAGAACTGAGAGTGAGGTGAAAGTGAGAACGTGTTTGAGAGGACAAAGCGGTCGACAGCTTTTTTGAGGGGGACGCGAGGTGGAAGATCGGTGACGTTTCGCGGGAACATCAGGATCGCCCTTTCAGTATCTACGACGTCCTCTCTTTCAGCTGCACCCCTCCGGCCCAGCAGGCCTCTCATTCCCGATAGCTCTTCTTCTCATGCAACTGTCTAGTATCCAATCTGATGGCCTGTTTGTCGCTGTCTGCCCAGTTTCCCCTTCATGCGTGCAGATCGCCAGCAAACATGGTCTCCACTGTCTACAAATCAACTATGACACAATATATATATCGACTATGCAAGCGCCCCCAGCACCGATATCAATACCAATACCAACACCAACACCAATGAACGTACCTAGGACCGCCCTTGCAGATGCCAGACTGTTGCAGTTCCCCATTGTGAACCCATGGAACCACCAGAGCCCCAGGAACCCTATAGAAACGCATCAGGAGCCTGTGGCACCTCTTACACTGACTGAGATCATGACAACCCTTCCTTCTAGATAGCCATCTCGGCTGTCTCCGCATCGCTGACGGGGCCAGGCCTGCATGTCGCAGATGTAACCTGTAACCCCACCGAACGGTTCTATTGTTCGCCCTAGGTGACTAGACCATCTAGAACCAAGGAGATGTTGCACCAAACACAAGTTTGTTTTCTAGCTTTTCTAGGACTCTAGCTTAAACCTAGCTCTCGGAGAGACACTCGCTTTATGTCGACGTAGCTACTCTCTTTTCCCCTCTCTGACTACATCTCATCTTCTGTCTTTGCCTCCATCATGGTCGTTTCAATCTTGCGAATAATTCGTGCCGGGTTTCCAGCAACCACATGAAAGGCCGGTACATCCTGTAGACCAAATTAGCGTCGCCCGGTAGCGGTGCAGACAAGGAGAGAAAGAAAGCAGCGAGTGCAGGGTCGTATTGTCCATTCTCCAGTCTCCATCACTGACCTTTGTGACCACACTGCCTGCACCCACAGTTGAGCCTTTGCCGATCGTGATGCCTGGTAGGACAATCACATTGCCTCCAATCCAACAGTCCTCGCCAATGGTAATCGGCTTGCCCATTTCAGGGCCCTCCATGCCATTCCGCAGCGCCGGGTCTAATGGGTGCGTGCCTGAGAATAAACTGACATTCGGGCCGAACAGTGTCCGAGCACCAATTGTGATGGGCAAGCTGTCAATGAAGACAGCGCCGAAATTGACAAAGACACCTTTGCCCAGCTTCACATTGAATCCATAATCGGCCTTGACGGGGGCCTCAATCCAAGGCTCATCCTTGAATAGCGCATCATCCGCCACAGGGTCGTCAAGTGGGGGTGGCAGCGGTGTCTGGTCGGTCGTGATACTAGCGAAAAGACCCTGGATTAATGGAGATCCACAGAGAGATCCAGAGACGCAGCGATGGAGCACAACGCAGAAAGCATATCGGGATGTAATAGAAAACATGAAGTATATCGCATACCGCATAGAGCATAGGTATCAATGGCAACACGAAGAACACACACGACCAACAGTAGTTGCTACTCACTTTCGCCACAGTTCAACCAAGCGTCGACGGGATGTTTCTTCGGTCTTGTTGAACCGAGTATAGGCCGTTCGGCAGCGGGCTCGAGCTGCCACCATCTCGGGAGTGAATGAACAGAAGAGCTCGCCGCGGAGCATCTTCTCCATTTCCGTAGACTCAGACATCACGGACCCCAGGAAGAGCGGTTCTTCAAGTGCTCAGGCACTCAGAAATCATGCAAAAATAGAAAGAGCCCGGGTGGGAGTCCATGGTCGTCGAGACAGTCTCGTGGGGGCTCAGGCCCGGGTGCCTGAGCGACGAAGCTAAGTGGGGGAGCGTAAGACAGGAAGCGGAGCCCGTTCCGGGCCATGACAACAATCTGCGGCCGAGGATTGTCTTGCGCCTCTGAATCCCCCCGCCGCCCCGACACAAAGAAAAATGGCGCCGTGATTCAGCTTTAAGCCCACAGTCTCTTCTCCGACCTTCTTCTCTTTCATCCTCGCTCGACTGTGGCCTTTTTCAGCCCGTCAATCGCCTCTCCAAAACGGTCCCCCGCATTCCACAGCTCCTCCGAGCCGCCCGAAACCCACCCCTAACCAGCACTCATCACAATGATCCTTGAAGCAACCACCTCCGGCGCAGAGTCCACGCCCGGAGATCCGAACATCTCCTGGCCGATTGAGCGGCTCTCATCCTCCGTACAACCCACACCTGCCGAATGGCACCCGTCCTTCGCCGCTCATCACGGCCGCAGCGCCTCCCCAAGCTCCGCCTCCAGCACCAGCAACAACACTCCCGAGCTTGACCAGTCCAATTATCCCACCGGCCGCAAGTCGCTGGCCGGCATCTCACTGCGCGCCTTCGCCCTCGGCACGACTTTGGGCCTCTCCACCAGCCTGACCATCCTCCTCACAACGCTGAGCCCTACCCCCCTCTGGCGCATCCCGTTCTTCCTCGCCGCGCTCAGTCTCTTCCATTTCCTCGAGTTCTTCGTCACGGCGCGACACAACACCCCATACGCCGACGTCAAAGCCTTCCTGCTGTCTTCGAATGGATGGGCGTACAACGCCGCCCACGGCTCCGCCCTCCTAGAGTGCCTGGCCGCGCAGTATTTCTGGCCAGCGCCCATTGCCGGGGCTGGACTGGCGCGATTGGCGCTGGCTGCGGGACTGGTGCTGGTCTGCGTGGGCCAGGTGGTGCGCTCGCTGGCGATGGCACAGGCGGCCGGCAACTTCAACCACCATGTGCAGTCGACGCACCAGGCGGGTCATGTGCTGGTGCGGACTGGGCTATACGGCTATTTGCGGCACCCGAGCTACTTCGGCTTCTTCTGGTGGGGGCTTGGGACGCAATTAGTTCTGGGGAACGTGGTGTGTTTTATGGCGTATGCCGCTGTGTTGTGGCGGTTTTTTTGCGACCCGGATCAAGCGTGAGTGCCTTTTCCCCTGTTGTCATTCTTATGGCGGAAGACCCCGAGCGTAGAAGCTTTGGGGGTTGATCGAGGTTCATTGTGCTGACTTGGAGTGTGGCATGGTAGGCGAGGAGGTGTTCCTGATCCAATTCTTTGGCGCCGAGTATGTGCAATACAGACAGAGCACGCCCGTCGGCATCCCTGGTATTCACTGATTTGAAAGAAGAACAAAAAGAAACAAAAAAGACCATGCCACCGTGTATAGCGCCCTGGATTTAGTTTTGCATTACGTTTATTTAGAGAGAAGTGGCCCGGGTTTGTAAAATGCAATGAGAAAGGTTCGTTGAAGAAAGTTGATAAAGTTTGTGGACTGCAATGTCCTGGTATATGGTATATATGACATGATCAACGCTTGTACAATGGACCAAATGGCTGCGTCCCAGGTTTTTCCCCGTCGTAGGATATCTAGTATACTATGTTCACAGTTTACTCTCTGGCGCCACTTCTCCCAGAGCACCACTCATGAAAGGCCCGCCCTCGTCTGTCTCCGCAGGGCCTGGCGCAGTTTCCGCACCGAATAGGACGAGCTCGCGACCACCGCGGGTACTCCACCATGTGACGCAGCAGTGCGCTCGGTCCACATCCATCTCCCCGCCACTGAGCGCCTCCCAGAATCGATCAATGCAGGCCCGGCGCATGGTGTGGTCGGGAATGACGTTGATGAGCTGGGCGGTTAAGGGGAGCCATTCTTCCAGGTCGTCCACGCGGAGGAAGGAGAGCGAATCGATCAGGGAAAGGGTGAGCACGGTCTGAGCGGAGAAGGAAGGCTGGTCGGGCGATGATCCATTTTGCGTGGTTGGTGCGATAGGTGCGGCGGAAGCAACCAGGGCACGATCCCGCACCACCTCCAGAAGAATAGAGGGGAGGAGTGGCTGGCTATTTGCCAGGGGTGACGGAGGCGTGGTGACTTGGATGATGGTCTTGAATGCCAGGCGAAATTGCCTTGCGGACAGATTCTCAGGGAATACCTGTAACACGGTTAGCTAGCTCATAAAATGGCCTCGAAGAAGAGCGACACTCACAGCGAAGAGATTCTCGATATAGAAAGGTAGGTGTTTAGCTGTCAGTTCCGAATTGTTGGGTATGGCAAAGACAACAAGGACCAGACTATGGGCAGCCTCGAAGATCTCCAGAAGGAGACTATTGGCGCCAGCTGCGAGGTACGGGAAAGCGGCCGAGAGGAGCAATTCTTCATTCACCGCGGGAGAAAGAACCAACGGGAAATGCTCGGCTGTGTTCAAGAAGAATAGATCCAAGCACCGCTCCACTGGGTGAGCAGGGATCTGGCCAATATCGCTAGGCTTGATACTACGCAAGAAATTCTCGGCCAAGTCAGGATACTGAGAAAGGATGTCGATAGCAGCCAGAAAGACGAAGTTTTGCTGTGAGGACGCATTCTGACCGGTCCGAGAGGAGACGAAGTATAAATTGCGGAGAATATGAAGGGATTGCATGCAAAGATATGGGGCACCTAGATTCAGCGAGGGCAGCCGGTTAGTACCAAGGTGGAATGGAAACCGTGCTCGTGAGACTTACTGCTGCCAGCAGCGAGAGCTGGGTCGTTGATAGTTCGCCCCAGGACAGCCCGAAGCACGATGACCACGGAATAGAGACAGTTCCGGAGGATCTTCCAGAGCGCTGGAATGGTGGTCTTGAGTGACTCGGCATCCAGGAAGTCAGCTTCTTCGGCTACATCCACCTCCGACAGCTTGTTTTGACGCCACTGGACCATGAGGGTTCGGACAAAATCCGCTATGTAATCGACTGTTTGGGCAACGAGCTTCGGATTTTGTGCATTCTCGACGGCGTGAGAAATGAGGCGAGACAAAGGCCCCAATGCACCGACCAATGGACGGGATGCCATAGTAGAGACATATCCGTAAGTTGCAGAGTTAGGCGACCAACGGAATTTCTTCCCCGGTGCCTCGACAACGTCACTGTCAATAGCACCCAAGAAATAGCCGCCTTCCAGGCCTTCTGGAGAAAGGAATGCAGATCGGACCATCACCGGTAATAGCAGATCGTAATCGAGCTTGCTCCGCTCCATATCAGACAGGAGCTCAAATGTATAATTCAGCACCATGGTAACACAGTATCCATCAACCCCAGCCTCAGGATCTAGCTCCTGGAGAGCCAATTGCGCAGCAGTCGCAAGTGCTGACTCGAGCTTTGTCCGAATGTTCCATGGTAAGCCTTGTCGATTCTGCCCCTCGAAGCCCAGAAGAATTCCCCCAAGCAAGAGCATATGTCTCCAGCGCGGGGACTTATCATCAGCGCCTTCGACGACGGCCTTCACCCACGCTTCCCGCTCAATCCGCCGATTGCGGCCATGGGGTATCTGGGCTTCCTCAGTGGTATCGTTCTGCAGAACCGCGATGGCAGCCGTGTTGAAGACGCTCAGGATCTTGCGACAAGCGTGAAGGTCAACTGGATGGTTCCAGAGCGCTGGCGCAGAAAGAAGTTGGGAAGCAAGAAGGCTCAAATTCAGTGGGTTTCCGAGAATCGACAGGAAGCTGGTGACCGTGGGAAGGAGACTATGAGATTGTCGATGTTAGCCGACGTCGGTGTTCGCCGGGGTCGTGAAGATGCCGCCACTTACCCTGAAGCATCTTCGAAGCTGGAAGTCGACTGCAGCGACCGCAACAGCGCAGCCAGGGAGCGTTCTGTTGCCATGATTCACAGACCGGGTTGGAGCGCAATGCCCACAGGTCTACATGGCCCAGGGGAGGGAGAGAGGTGGATGCGGGAGCGAGACCGAGAGTCACACCGTGGAGACCCCAGACGCCCAAGCAGCCCTGGAGCCGAGGTCCGGGTGGGACCCAGCAAACAAGTGCAAACAACGCGCCCGGGCCCGACTCGGCGTCATGTCCGCGCTGTTGGGGCGTGTATTTGCCCGGAAGCCAGCGCTCAACCTCACAGCTTCCTCTTCTGGAGCGCTTCTTGTCTAACAACCAATTCTGAGCTATCCGAATCATGTTCTGATACTTCCGGGCTCTGCTGTAGCTGCCACGGCACTGCAGCGTCTTCTCCATGGCCGACAACCGGGTCCCGATCAACTATCACACCCCCAGCTTCCCCTCGCTGTACGATCCGCTGCCGTTGCACCGTAAAGAAGCATCCTACCTGTACTACACCTCGGATATCTGGCGCTTCACTCTCTACTGGACCTTACTTTTCTATGGAGTGACTCATCTCACCGTTGCTGGCTGCGCGGTCTTTACACATCGCCGCAATTGGAGCGTGATCTGGCTGGTGCCGCTACTCTACATTGTGGTGGCCGGACTGGAAGGGCTGTTGGCTGGGAGCATCATTGGTCTTGTGTGAGTGTTGGAAGATTCGGCCCCTTGACTATGATCTGAACTGTGACTGATGATCTTCTATACCAGACTCGGTGCGGTCTACGAAGCAGGCAATTTCCGAATGTCGACCTGGCAACCCATGATCTGGGGCGGTATCAATGTCATGGTACTTATATTGACGAGCTTCCCTATGCAAGGTGGTCTCTAAAGCTACATGCTCGAGGGTTGCCTCTTTTACGGCTGGAGCTTCACGCAAACTATTCTCTCCTACATCTACACTGATGCTGGCCGTTCAGGAAACGGCCAAGCGCGCGGCGGCAACATGGTTCGCTGCAGCTTCACCCCGAATACATCCCGAGAACATAACACGATGAATTTCCATATCCCTATGATACACTGAAGAAATGATATTTCATGAAAACAAAGAAGCGCCATCCCCCAGCCGCAAGGGGGGCCCGTACATGCTTATATGTTCCATTACGCCGGTCCCGCAGTCCAGATGAGACTCGCATTCAAATGAAATCCGTCACTTTTTGACACCCGCACTACCTGCGGCTACCGTCAGGCATGCCGCCACCCTGCAAGCCGGGCAATCCACCAAGCCCGGCTGGGATGTTCTGCATGTTGACCCCGGGGGGCATTGGCATTCCCTGAGCAAGGAACTGCTTCTGCAACTGAGCGAGGTCCATGTTCATAGGCGGGGGCGGGGCCCCGCTCATGCCTGGCAGCATAGGGAAACCCGGAATCCCTTGGCTTGGATTTGGTACTCCCTGGGGAGGAGGTCGTGTGGACATGAGAGCGGCTAGTCGGCCAGGGTCCATCCCGCCCATGCTTGAAAGGCCTGGAGGGGGTGGTGGTAGGGCAGCCCCAATGCCTGGTAAGAAGCCTGCACCGTCGACCTGGGGACCAGCCCCGGGCGCACTCTGAATGCCGGGCAGTGTGGGCGCACCCGGTCGTCGTTGGTCGACCAGACTCTCGGCTTCATCCTGCATCTCCTGCTCCTCTTCCTCGCGCATCTGTTTGCGGCCGAACCCACGATTCCAAGTACCCTGAGCCTCGGCCGCCTCCTCGCCGATATGGAATCGGTCCTTTATGTAATTAGTTTCACCCGGCCGAGCCCGAGACCAGAATCGAGTAAAATTATCCTTAGATCCTGAAGCAAGAATATGGCCGAGTGGGTGCCAGTCTAGGGACCAAATAGTCGCGCCATGGGCGTACTGAATGCGATGGGCTGGGAAAATTACCTGCGGGGGGCGTATTGGCCGGGTCGGGGCTGTCATAGGGCGCGACGGTGGGGACCTGGCCACTCGGCAGGTTGGGCTCGTCGAGGAGGTAGTGGTATAGTGAGCCGTCTTCTGCACCTGTCGAAATCAAATTGCTGTGTATAGGGTGCCATGTCAACGACGAGACCGGCTTCTCATGACCACGTAGGATACAGATGTCCCGCATCATCCGTAAATCGAAGACGCGTGCGGTCTGGTCCCGCGACGACGTAGCGAGCAGGTTATTGTTAACGCGCGAGAATCGCGTTGCGGTGACGGTGTTTTTGTGGCTGTGGAGGGTCGTCAGGCAGCGGGCCGTTCGCGGATCCCAGAACTTGACCTGGTGGTCCTTGGACCCAGAGACCAGTAGACCTTTTGTAGGATGCCAGTCGCATGATTTAACATCCCAATTGTGGCCTGAGAGAACGGTGTCGCAGGTGCGGGAAGTGAAATCGAAGATCTTCAGGGTTGTGTCATCGGAAGCGGAGAGAAATTTGGTGTCGCTAGGCGCCCAGGCCAAGTCACGAACGGCGTCGTGATGTGCATCGTCGATTGTTTCGACGTTGTTGAAATTTGGTCGCCAGTACTTAATGTCACCTCTTTGTCCGCCCGAGATCAGCCAGTCGTGGCTATGAGACCAGGCCAAGGACGTGACACCTGCTTGGATTTGATCGTAATGCGCCTGTTACAAGTTGAAAGCTCTGGTCAGCAAGAACGGTCCTCCATGATTTATCTGCAATTTGCGCGACACGCACATCCATCACCGTCTCAAAATTGAATGCTGTGCCGTTCCAGAGCATAAACTCGCCAGTATGACCTCCCGTCAACAACCGTCGCCCCTCGGGCGTCCAGCGTACCACCACAATCGGCTTTTTCGACTTTCCAATCGACTGGTGTAGATGTCGTACGGGTATTGTGTCGGCTGGGGAGTGGGTTCGCGCTATGGGTGGGAGCATCTATCCGATAGGAAGCCCTGCGTCAGTTTCTGTCCTCGGGGGCTCGGCGCCCAGGCTGTATGTTGTGTTGTGTATTTAGGACTTGCGCGGGCACTCACATCGACCACAAAGCTGGAACTAGGTCTTTCCACCTCCATACGATGTTCGCCCTGGTATCGGGGTCGCCGAGTTCGCATCCATTGTACCATTGATGATCCATAATCCGTCACCAGCCCTGGGTGTCGGAAACGCGATAATCAGCCTCGACGAACCGAATGAAAAGGGGTTTTCAAAGAACAATGATGCGTAACAGGGGTAGCAGATCACATACTGGGCCGACGGGGTCCGACGGGACCGTCGAAGTTCTTGTTAAACCTCCCGGAGCCTTGCGAATCGCCATGCTCCTCGTAGTAGGCCATTCCGACCTGATCTGAGCAGGATGCCGGAGGGGGGAGAGAGCCGTTGGAACTTAGAGAAGTGGGGAGTGGGCTTGCAGTAGGCGGTTCCAGAGGTAAGAGGAATCCGAGTGGTTTAATCACCAACGACAGGACTTATCATTGGAGAGAATGGAAAACGTTGGGAGGAAGTCGGAGCTCTGCAGGTTGACGGCCGCCTCCTTGAGGAGCGGCAGGCGGTGATTGGGCCTCAGGCTATCGGCTGCATCGCGCTATGATGAGCCCCGCCCGGTCTGAGAACGTTCGATGATGGAGTGAGTGCTCTAATATCCTACGGTGACCCCGGGCCTGCTTTCCCGGATTTTATCTCTCTCAGAATCTACTATGTTGGACGGCATTTGAGTCTTTCCTCCCCCTCTCCGCCTGTGTAAGAGTTCCGAAGCTCGGACTGGCTGGACTCCCCGCTCGAAAGCTAGTTCCCTCGCCGTCCGTCCTCTTGGCCTGGCCCTTTCCTAGCTCCTACAACGCTGGCCAGGGTCTCCTGGGGTTTCATCCACACGATGTCTTCCCAGACAGAAGCTGTCACCACTGCCCATGAGCATTTGGCCACGGGGACCAATGGGTTTGCAACGAACAAGACCGAGGTGCCCGCGCCCGCACCCGTACCTCGCAAGCACAGCAAGTACCGCCATGTCGCGGCGTATCACTCTCAACAACGCCATTCGAGCCTGAGCCGGGAAGCGCAGGTGACACCCAGCTTTCTTGGGTTTCGAAACCTGATGGTGCTGGTGCTCGGTAAGGAGCTCAGATCGACGATGTTTCATTGAGCCCCAGGCACATGTGATTGTGGAGAACTGACATCGTGCGGCAGTCGCCATGAACCTTCGATTGATCATTGAGAACTTCATGAAAGTATGTCTCTTGGACTCGAACATCGTGAGCACCTGCCGTTGAACCAGGAACTTGAGCTAAAACGAGATCTCGTAATCTCTAGTATGGTGTACTGATCTGCATCAAATGCCACGACTATCGCAAACAAGACGTGATCCTGGGATCCATCCTGTCCGCCCTCGTTCCATGTCATCTCTTCCTGGCATATGCCATTGAACTGTCAGCCGCAGGCTCGGCCAAGCAGACGGTAGGTCGCCAGAAGAAGACGACCGAAGAGAAGGAGCGGGACCAACAGGCCTTCCGGTCCACCTGGCCTTATACAGCCTTGCTTCATACCTTAAACGCGACCCTGTGTCTTGCCGTGACCAGCTTCGTCGTTTATTTCTACATTCATCATCCTGGCATTGGCACCATCTGCCAGCTCCACGCCATCATTGTCTGGTTGAAGAACTGCTCCTACGCCTTCACCAATCGAGACCTGCGCCTCGCCTATCTCCATCCCTCCGCCGACCCGGGCTTACCGGAGATCTACGCTGCCTGTCCCTACCCCCAAAATGTCACCCTCAAGAACCTCGCGTATTTCTGGATGGCACCCACCCTGGTCTACCAGCCAGTCTATCCCCGTAGCGCTTCGATCCGGTGGTCCTTCGTGGGCAAGCGGCTGGCGGAATTCGTTGGGTTGTCGATGTTCATCTGGCTGCTGTCCGCACAATATGCCGCCCCTGTTCTGCGCAACTCGATCGAAAAGATCGCCGTGATGGATATTGCATCCATTCTGGAGCGGGTCATGAAGCTTTCCACGATCTCATTGATTATCTGGCTGGCAGGGTTCTTCGCGCTGTTCCAGGCGCTGCTCAACGCGCTGGCCGAGGTGATGCAGTTCGGTGACCGCGAGTTCTACACCGACTGGTGGAACAGCTCCAGTCTAGGGGTGTACTGGCGATCATGGAACCGGCCCGTGTATCTGTTCATGAAGCGGCATGTGTACTCGCCGCTGGTGGGCCGCGGCTGGAGTCCCCTGGCGGCGAGTGGGATGGTGTTTTCGCTGTCTGCGATCCTGCACGAGATGTTGGTGGGAATCCCCACGCATAATTTCATTGGTATGAACAAATCCCTCCTACCCCGGCCCTCCTCTCTTCCGTCCTCTTTTTGTTTTGGGTCTATGTGGAATTCTAGATGCGTATATTAATCGGAGTCCCCTCAGGTGTTGCATTCTTCGGCATGATGTTCCAGCTGCCACTCATTGCTCTGACCGCACCGTTGGAGAAAATGCACGACCCGTTGGGGAAGACTGTTGGAAACTGTATCTTCTGGGTCAGCTTCTGTCTGGTAGGACAGCCTCTTGGAGCGCTGCTATACTTTTTTGCGTGGCAGGCCAAATACGGGAGCGTCAGTCGCATGCGCGTCTAAGCAATTGCGTTGGATACTGTGCGCTCTCTACCATCATTTCTCCCAATATCTACACATTTCCCTCCACAATCTTGACGCGATTTATCTGACACACTTCCCGATGTTGTGTGGTATGCTTTTGGGCTGGCCATGTTGAGCGGTTTTGTTTTTGCAATGTGGTGTAGTTCATACTGGCCTGCAAGGGGGCCTGGCTTTCATCTATAGATTCACCTACCCATTGCCTATGACTTCGTATGCAGTTCAATTGCCAGGGATAGCCCTGTAGTCCGTTCGATTGTGACCTGCTCGGCCGATTGTCCCAGCTTGAGCACGGAGTATAGATACCTCGGTTTTTAGATATTTGCCAGATCGGCGGGCGTGGACGACAAAGGACACGATAGCAACAACTATGATCGAAGCCCGTCGAAGGGGATGGGGAGGCCGGAGAGATTAGTTCCCCCGGGCGGCACTGCGGAGCTCCCGAGCCCGGTTGTCACGCAGTTCAGGTATTGGTTGGCAGCGGTCGCTTGGCGGGTCACCCAAAGATGCTCCGTGTATTCCGTCCACGGACTGGCATTTGGGCCAAGTATAAAGGGAGCGTCCCCGCGTGGAATTGAAGTTGTTTGGATCGCCGTTCAACCATTATATTCCAAGATCTCCTAGTCCAGTTTCCAATCCACCATGGTCCAGATTACTCTTCCCGATAACTACGGGTACGTCTTTCCTCCCCAATCTTCAAGCTGGTCCCCCAAGCCTCCCCATCGGCAAGGACCCGGAGCTCCATCCAATCCTTCCAGCTCCATCCAATCCTTCCCCCCGCTCCCCCCGGATCTCTGGCGCCGCTGACTCCCCTAATTAGCGCCGTCATTGCCGTCGCGCTCGGCGCCATCCCCGTCCTGGGCTTCGTCCATGGCACCATCACCACCGGGTTCCGCAAGCCCGCCAAGGTCCCTTACCCGCACAGCTACGCCTCCATCGAGCAATGCAAGGAGAATGTACGTTCTTTCCTTTCCTTGCCGTGTTCCACTCTCGAGTCTCGCAAATTGACAGTCTTCTCTCTAGGCCAAAGCCGAGCAGTTTAACTGCGCCCAGCGCGCCCACGCCAACTTCCTCGAGAATGCCCCCCAGACCATGCTCTTCACTCTCGTAGCCGGCCTGAAGCACCCCGAGCTGGCGACGGGCATTGGCGCCTTGTGGGTGGTTTTCCGCTCCTTGTTCTTGTACGGCTATGTCTACTCGGGCAAGCCTCAGGGCAAGGGCCGCATGCTAGGCGGCTTCTTCTGGTTCGCGCAGGCCGCTCTCTGGGGTCTCAGCGTGTTCAGTGTCGCGCGGGATTTGATCTCATTCTAAATCATGGGTCATTGAGAGAAAAGACAGCGCCGAGGGACTCTGCCAATGACGATTACTGTAATATTAGTTTGCACGAATATCATAATGACGCTATCCTTCCTTCTTGGCGACCGGGGTAGATACACCAGCCACGGAGCTTAGCTCCGTGGATGTAAGAAGTTAAAAGACGGCGTGGCTGGTGCTCCGCTGTGGCGCGGCCTCGGAAAAAGTTCCCAGAAAGACCGAGCAACACCGTCTGGCTCTGCTTGTCCTGCGATTGCATTGATTTGAAGCCACTTGCAGAGACTGCAGAGATACGGATTGACCAGCAATTGGAGGTCTGAACTTGAGTTCCTCAGCATCTCTTCTCTCGCCTTGCCAGACCAGGCAGTTTATCTTTCCTTTTTTTTTTTCATCGCGTCAACCCCGCCATCACCCCACCATCATGTCGTCCAAGTCGCAATTGACCTACGCGGCTCGCGCCAGCAACCACCCCAACCCCCTCGCACGCAAGCTGTTTGAGGTGGCTGAAGCGAAGAAGAGCAATGTGACTGTGTCTGCGGACGTGACCACCACGCAGGAGCTGCTCGACCTGGCCGACCGTACGTCGACTCCCCCATCTCTCAGCGTCCTCGCATTCACCCATGGCTAATCTCTCTCTTGCTTGGTCTCTCCAGGCCTCGGTCCTTACATCGCCGTCATCAAAACCCACATCGACATCCTCTCCGACTTCAGCGAAGCCACCATCACCGGCCTCAAGGCCCTTGCCGCGAAACACAACTTCCTCATCTTCGAAGACCGCAAATTCATCGACATCGGCAACACCGTTCAAAAGCAGTACCATGGCGGTACCCTGCGCATCTCCGAGTGGTCCCACATCATCAACTGCAGCATCCTGCCCGGCGAGGGCATCGTCGAGGCTCTGGCGCAGACCGCCCAGGCCGCCGACTTCCCCTATGGCTCTGACCGTGGCCTCTTGATCCTCGCCGAGATGACCTCCAAGGGCTCGCTTGCCACGGGCGCGTATACCGCCGCATCCGTGGACTATGCACGCAAATACCCCAGCTTCGTGCTGGGCTTTGTCTCGACCCGCGCGCTGACCGAGGTCGAGTCTAGCGTTGCCCCAGCCGACGGCGAGGACTTCGTCGTTTTTACCACGGGCGTGAACCTCTCGTCCAAGGGCGACAAGCTGGGCCAGCAGTACCAGACGCCGCAGTCGGCCATTGGCCGTGGTGCGGACTTTATTATTGCGGGACGCGGCATCTACGCGGCGCCTGACCCCGTTGAGGCGGCGAAGCAGTACCAGCAGCAAGGGTGGGAGGCGTATTTGGCGCGCGTGGAGGGTGCCACCCACTAGAGGCCCTTGTGAACATTCCTGACAAATAAAATCACATCTCTCTATATACATTTCTCTATATACCAATCTACTTGTCTTTCTTCGATAGCTTTTGATCTTCCATGACGAGGTGGATTGCGTTTGGTTGGAATCCAAAGAAGAGTTCTGACCTGCTGATGAGATCGGCATCTGTTGCTGCGGAGACTTTCCGCGTGGTTCTCTATAGCGTCCAAGCGTTCTGCTGGCACTGGACTATGCTTGCATCTTGAAGCCTTGACTATCCGTAAAAAGTGGATTATAATAAAGTGCAGACCCGCCTTCATTGACCCAGTGCCTCCCGCACATAGACGTGGGCCCGCCTTTTTATATCCCTATCATTCCTGCCGGTCCCATATCATTGTCGACTCCACTGTAGTCCAATCCCCCCGCCCCATCCAATAAAGAAGTGGTCCGCTGCAGGTGATAAGCCCTTCAACCCCAAGAGGTCACCACACTTCTCCAACTCGGTCTTTACGACTCCCTATTGCCTAGCCGGTTGGGCTGACAGCGACTTGGCGCGATAAGAACCAGCACACTCCCCCGATTGCAATTCTCAACCATCCACCGCCACCGAAGCCAAATGCAACCGTCGGCAAACACCCGGCTCCAAATCTGACGGCCGACGCCAAGTTTAACGCTCAGCTTTAGACTTCTTGGCTCCGACCTTGTCTTCTCCGCACCGCCCAGCTCGGCTACACCACCAGTCGGAGGCATCTACCATATCAACAACAGCCAGTATCACTTAAGTTCCTAGGGAAAGCATAGAGTCCAACCTCCCCGGATCCGAGGAGGACTGCGGAACGATATCAATGTTCGACGCGGGACCAATTCCTTTCACTCGGAACTAATGATTTCATAACTCATCCGTAACTCTGCCTCTGCCGATCTCTCCTCACTTCCCCCTCCCGATGCAGCCAATGAGCCCAATGCATCCCGCGACCTTCCTCGACCCCAGATACTCGGGTGCTTATCGTGGGGAGACCCACCGGGGCCGTGGTGCTTGATAGGAGAGCAAGATAACGCCTGTGAGACGGAGCCAGGATAGGCAGGACGCTTGGAGAGCAAAGCATGCGGAGATGGTCTGCGGGTTTTACTATTTACTCTCCGCGCATTCCCTTTGATCAGACCCCTCTTTTACTTTGGAAAAAGGAATCGAGGAGCGAGACCGCGAGGGGAATCCACTCGACCACTATACCACACACTTCGTCTCCTCGCGCCCTACTCGACCTTAATCCGCGGTCTGAACGAAACCACTGACGTCTGCGTGCCCACCTACCTAGCTCTACTACGTATACTCGATCATTCATCTTATCCCTGTCCTAGCGACCTCCCCTAGCATAATCCCTTCTCCTCCTTTCTCTGTTCCACCTACTATGGCCGAGCCCGACAAATCGACGGGCGCCTCCACGGGCGCCTCCACGGCCGTGGATGTCGAAAAGATTGGACATATCGACCCAACTCTCGAAAAGCATGCGCATGATGCCGACGAGGCCATGAAAGCCTTTGACGACCTTCAGGGCGAGACCATCGAGCTCGATGAAGCCACCAACCGCCGCCTCCTCCACATCATCGACTGGCACATGATGCCTATAATGTGCTTCATCTACGGAATGAACTTCCTCGACAGTATGCTCTCTCCGATCCTTCTTCTGCCTCCCAATATTTGACCCGAGTGACTCGGATTGCAAGATCTGTGGCACGAACCAGCCTTGTATGACGGTCGGATATGAACCGAATGTTCGCTTACTCATGCATGATGTAGAAACCACCCTGTCGTACGCCAGTATCATGGGCTTGAAAGAGGACTTGAATCTTGTCGGAGACCAGTATCAGTGGCTTGGCAGCCTGTTTTATTTCGGTTCGTCCCATATCTTCCTCTTCCAATTGGCTCGGAGTCTGCTCTACATATCCGGCCCTTGAGGGTGCAGGGGTGCCGTAGACTCCGGGCCAGAATGCCTAGCCCTGAATGAAGAGGATCTGACCGGGATGGGGCCACTCGATGGCTTGTTTTCTGGTGTAGGGTATCTGGCTTGGGAGTACCCGACCAACCGCTTGCTGCAGCGTTTGCCGTTGGGCAAGTACTCTGCGGCGTGTATTTTGACCTGGGGTGTCATTTTAAGCTGCTTTGCCGGCGTGAAGAACTACTCTGGGGCCATCGCCATCCGACTGTTCCTGGGAGTCTTCGAAGCAGCCGTGACGCCTGGCTTTGCGCTGCTGACGTCTCAAGTATGCTCCCTTTTCTTTTTTTATTTCCTTCATCATCTTCCTTCTCCTGCTGCTCCTCCTTCTCCTCACTTCCCCTCATCTGTCCGGAACCATTACCAACCCAAGTGACGAAACGCTCTCACTAACAACTTCCGCGCCCATAGTGGTACACCAAAAAAGAGCAAGGCTCGCGCGTGAACATCTGGTTCAGCTTCAACGGTGTGGGCCAGATCATTGGCGGCGTCATTGCGTACGGGATCGCGGTCGGCACCAGGAAATACGGCTCGTCAATCGCCCCCTGGAAAATCGTCTTTCTGGTCACGGGCCTTCTGACCATCGCTTTGGGCCTGGTATTCCTGTGGGTGGTGCCCGACAACCAGCTCAACGCGCGATGGCTGTCGAAGCGGGACCGCATGCTGGCCATCGCACGCGTGCGCATCAACCAGCAGGGCATCGGCAATAAGCACTTCAAGATGTACCAAGTGAAAGAGGCGCTGATGGATCCTATGACCTGGGCGTTCTTCTTCTATGCGCTCATCGCGGATATTCCAAATGGAGGCATTACCAATTTCTTTAGCCAACTGGTATGTCTGGATCTGTTTTTTCCCCCCCCCCCCTTTTTTCTAGCTTGGGCAGGCCTTTTGAAGAGGGCCTTGTTCGTGTTGCCTTTTCCTCCCTTCTCCAGCGATGCTGACTTGTTCGGTTTTTAGATTTCCAGCTTCGGCTTCACGGCGGAAGAAAGCCTGATCTTGGGCGTGCCTGGCGGCGCGGTCGAAGTCATTGCGCTGGTAGCGAACGGATATATGGGTCATATCACGAACCAGCGTATCCTGTGCAGCCTGGGCGGGCTGGTGTCGGCGATGGTGGGCATGATTTTGATTGTGGCGCTGCCGCAGAGCAACAACGTAGGCCGACTGATCGGGTATTACATGACACAGGCCAGCCCGACGGCATTCGTCGCGCTACTGTCGATGATCTCGTCCAATGTGGCCGGGTATACGAAGAAGACGACCGTTGCTGCTCTCTATCTGATCGGGTACTGTGTGGGCAATATCATTGGTGAGTCTTGTAGCTTACTAGAGCAGTTTGGTGGTCCTGTCCTGAAAGCGCGAATGCGCTTGAAAGGGACGAAAGACCAAGGACTCTCGGACAAGGAGAAAGAGAGAATTTGCTAACCCCGCCGATCGCAGGCCCCCAAACCTTCCGACCGAAAGATGCCCCGCAGTACATCCCGGCCGAGATCACGATCATCGTATGTCTGGCTGTGGCTCTGTGCATCATGGTGTTTATCTGGTGGTGGTATCGGAAGGAGAATGCACGCAAGTTGGAGATCCAATCGCGGCCGGATTACGTGCGACTGGAGAATCAAGAGTGAGTTTCATACCTTTTCTTTTCGATTATTTCTTCTCTTTCTTTTTCTTTTCTTTACTATGTGTTTGGGATTTTTGGGTTGTTTTCTTTCCTTTTGTTGATGGTTTCTAAATTTGGTGCCTTTGCATCTGAATGGCTGTGCTTTGTCCCCTGTGGGCGCTAACTCGCGGTTGCGACGGACGTACTAACGTGTGGTTGCAGATGGCTCGATCTCACAGATCGGGAGAACCCCGATTTTACGTACTCGTTGTAAGGGTGCTTGAGTTTATGAATTTTGGGTTGAATAATGTCTCCTCGATGACTGCTACGTGACATATGCTGGGAGAGGGGAAATCTTCGAGGCGGTCAGCTTTTTGTCCCCATTCGTCGCTTTTTATTGTATATAGGTCAGAATAATCCAGGCCCATGATGTATGGGGAGTCAGAAAGTTACCCGTTCCTGTTGCATGTCGGCCCGCTACGTCGTACATTGCTGCATAGTTGATCCCCCGTAGCATTTCTGCACTGCTCTATCAGTCCTTGAGAACCTGATGGGATTCATTGAGTCATATGATCCGCCTAGTATTGACGTATATCGAGAACGGGGCGACCTTATTTATTTTAGTCGTCAAACATCTGGAAACATCGTTCGTGGCTGAGCACCTATATTGGTATTTGCTCTATATCTGCTATCTAGGACGTCCGATATGCCCTGTCTCAGAGTGGTGATCGATCGAAACGGTTTCTATTCAGGATGAAACAGGCTTTTGGAATGCGAACAGGCCAAGTCTCGTCGCATCAGATTTCCTCAACCCGTTTCGATCGTCAAGGGATCAGCGACCAACATTTGTCACCGCATTCCAGTCCACCCACGTTTCCAGGATTTGCGATGACTTCTCCGTGCCTTTTCCGTGGTCGCAGTGGGGGGTTCTGGGGCTGGTTGCCCTCTTTAGGGCGGGGGACCCTCCTCAACCGCGTGGAGCGGGTCTGGTTGGCCAGGGCTTCACGGTGGGTGTTTGGGTTTGGCGGTAGCAAGCGCCTGCTGTAACTTCGAGCCCTCGTCCTCCCTGTGGTGCCCGGCTGGGTGCCTCCTGGTTCCTGGCTCCTCCTGTTTCGGAGACTCACGCTTTGCTTGATACTTTCATCTCCAGCTGTGCATGGCAGTTTGACTTGGGATATTGCTGGACAGTCAACCTTCTGCAAGTTGTGCTCCCACGAGGTACCCTGCAGCCCAATCAGCGGCCTGAGTGCCAAATAACCCTCGTTAGTCTATTTTCCACCCCTGCATATCGTTGGCTGGTCGACTCACTACTGCAGGTCTGGTCGGGTCGGTGGGGAGAGAGTTTGCGAAGATCCAGACCGTGCACCCCTGGCAGGTCGTGACGGCCGGTCTCGGTGGAGGGGGCCTCCCCCCCCCTTCCCCACTTTCTCCGCTAAAACATCTCAGGCAAGACTTCCCTTGAGGAGCGGTGAAGCTGCTCGAAATTTAAAAAGAGCGCCTTTGTGTGGTCGGGGCGGCATACTTATTCTTCTTATTCGTAGGCCTTTTTCTCTTCTTTTGTTTCTATACTTCGCTCTCTTTGTGAGGTGGTGATAGCATCAGGTCACGCGGCGATACGGGCTCCCCCCCCCCCCGGGATATCAATACTCAGGACTTGGGATTCTGGACTCAGTGTTGTCCACCACCGTTCATTTTAAGGCGTGTTATTGTTGTTTTTATTCTTGCCTTTGCTTCTCACCTGGCTCTGGACACACTCTCTTGTCCAAGATGGGACTGGCTCCCTCTCGCCATCTCTGAGCCCGAATCTGATCGGGTCGAGTAATTGATCGACAGCGGGAAGGTTTGCCTGACGGCAGGATGGCGTCCATCACATGTCGTGGCAACCTTCACATGGGCAGTGCACCTGCAAGGGCTGCTCTTCCCAGTTTGGATATCTTCACCAAACAACCCTCCCAGTTGTCAGTATCGGAGGTGACCGAATTCACCACGTTCTCTGAGAAATGTGTCGCCGCCCACCAGGACAGCGACAACGACAGCGTCTCCACGATCCACTCTCTTGAACCGTCATCGCCTGAGATGGAAACGCCCAAGAAGAAGGAGCGAGTCAGGGCCAGGACGCCAGGCTCGCCAACATCTTCGCCAGGGACACAGCCCGTGTCAAGACCAACTTCCGCGGCTACCTCGATTCACCACTCCCGGCCTGACTCGCGCAGTACCGCGCGATCTCGACCACCCAGTCGACACAGTTCACTGCACTCGTCCCGACGAGCTGTGCCCAACCCGGCGATTGTGCAAGTTCCTTCCTCTCGGCAGAATCCAAATGATCGACGAGAGTCGCTGTTGGCTTTGCACCGGGAGTCCTGTCGTCTGTTCCAGGACTCGGAATCGACACCCAAATATTCCATCGACGAGAGACGTCCTTCGCTTCATCGGGCCACCTCGACAACCCATCGAAACCGACAGGACTTTCGCACATCCTCGGAGATCGGTAGTTCGGCACCGCCATCCCCCATTGCGTCCTCTTGCTCCAGTCGTCGCCCATGGCCCGATCACCGCAGCTCCATCAGTGCAACACCGGCTCCACTTCACGCCAGAGACCGCTCGAATACCCTGCCGAGCCCTAACAGCGTCGCCAGTCGTCACGGCTACAGTCCCTCCGCTTCCTCCATCCATGTGCCCGCAACTGTCATGGAGTGGACATCGGACACAACCCGACGCCGCGAATACGAGAAGATCGACCGTGCCAGCCGTGGCATGCGAGGGCTTTGGCGGCGGGTTGCCCCCCGTTGGTGCCAGTCTCGGGACGCGCGCACTCCGTTCTTCGAGGAGGGCAAGACCAGCCGTGAGGGCAGCGTGCGCCGATTCCGAATGGACTTGTCCGACGATGAGACCGAAGAAGCAGAAGGCAAGCCGCACGCCCAGCTTCTCGATTTTCTGGGCAAGGGCGCTTCTGACCGACGCCGGGTGTGTCGTCAAAGCAAGAATTCGCCCTAGCCAAACACACCACCATACGTAACCATTTTTGGCCACTGAGATCGCTCTGTTCTCAGCCCTTCCCCGTTTGTCCTTAAACCTGCACGCCGGCACCGGTGCCGGCCCTTTCCATCCACGATACCCCGTCCCCGACAACGAACTGACGACCGCGCCCCTTCAAGACCAGTACTCTGCATTACTTCTTGCATTTTTGCATTGCGTGTGGCCTGCACATCAATACCCGCCGTTTCCCTCGTATTCTTATGTCGTATCCTTCCCCCTTTTACTATACATATTATTCCTTGCTTCTCAACAACCCCTGTGGCTGGCCGCTAATTTCCTGAGTTCTCTCCACGCTTGAGTTACCTCCCGGCTAGACTCTTACCTCTAGTCGCCTTTTATTACATCCCCTGTGCATTGCCTCTTCTTTGCATCATCGCTTCCGGAGACTGAGATACCCCGCCACCAATTCTGCCTTTCCATCAAGACTAATGTACATACGGACGTGTTTCATGCTTTTTTTTTTTACTTTCTGGGCTCACTCTTCGTTATTCTGTGCTCGTCTTTCTAGATTTCTGCTCCGAGACTCTGTGGCCTTTGTCTCGCTGACGCGATAGATTCAGACCGGGACTCGCCCCGGTCTTACTGGTCCCAATTTGAATACTCTGCTCGTCAAATAATATACGGACCATTCTGGCCATGGACTTGGAATGTATTGTGCCTCTTCTTTTGAACTGTATCTGAGTAACATCTTGAATATTATAGTCTATACCACCATCAGTGCATTTCTTGCAAGGCTTCCCAGGCCAGTAATTATTAGATTCAGCCGGTCAAGGGTTTTCCAAGGAGGTAACTGCTGTTCCACGGTGAACCGAGGAACTGTGGTATTCAAAGGCAATATGAGCCTCGTGGGAAACGGGTGTGTTGTCGAAGAAACGGCTGGGATGGATTCGGTGTCAACAATCAATGGATATACGGTAATTCCAAAAGAGAGAAGTGGAGGTATTGGTTTTCGTCCGTTAATATTGAGATGAATTGTATTTTAGAGTACAACTATAGGTTGTCATTGGCCCCAATATATAATATGTAATGTACACGCTTCTTCCAGAAAGGTACGTATACCGGCACGGCAAGGAGCACAATTATCAGTGCATCTACAGATGCAAGGGCCAAGACTGCGGAAGAAGAGAACGCCATGTCCTGTCACCACATGGACATAAAGCACAAAGTATGGATGACCGTCGCAACGGAGGCCCCGACGATCATTCCTCTGTCCCCCTGACCAAATCCAATCGCGACGTCCGCAGCCTGGACTATCGCCGACACCCCGACCAGCAGCGAGACCACTGGCCCGGTATAATAGAAGGGAGCGAGGCCCGATAGCAGCTCGAAGGGAATAGTGCGCACCGTATACATGCGCTGGTAGTAGCGCTCGCCGCTCGTCACCTGTGTTGATCCTGACAGCGTGGCGGGGTTGCTGGCTGCAATCACTCCGCCCGTAGCGGACACGAAGGAGGCGAGCAGGTTCAGGCCAAGGAGTAGTTGCATTTTTCAGGAGCAGGGAAATATATATAAATCCGAAACTTGTAGTTTTTCCGTGGAGAGTCTGTCGATATGCATCAAGACAAGATGCTTAGTTTTGTCGGGAGGATGGGAGGTGGTTGACGCATCCGGCGCCAGACGTGCTTATCTGCGCGGGAAGCGCCACCAAAGAAATACGTATATCGACCACAGAAAGACAGAACACGCCACACCAAATAAGATGATTCCGAGTAACAAAATTAAAAAGACATCGGGCAGTAGGGTCCAGTATAACTCGGTCCTTTTCTGTCCAATATGGAGTTTCGACAACAGAAATAAATGAGCTTAACGTGCTAAATGCATCTATAGATAGATTATTAGATGATGACGATGCTGTGGATTGATCCTGAAATGGATGTCATCCCGGAGGTCACTCCTCGGACAGTTAGTTCGCCTTCTCAATGTCGCTGATAGCTAAACCGTCAACACTAGTAAACGCGATTTTGACAGCCTCTTGCCCCTTCTCTTGTCCAGCGTCTGGCTGGGACTGCAGGCTGGAGATCTTCAAAATGCTCAAGTTCAATATCACGATGCTGCAGTTGCTACGTCATATAATGAACAACTATACCACTGCAGTGATTCTATCTGTAGCAAGTACAAAGCTCAATCCAGAATGGAGCGGTTGAGCCTCCTGATGTCTGAGAAACACTACTCGTTCTCCTTGCTTAAATCCCTGTCTTTTTTTTTTCGAACAAAAGCTTGGCTTTTTGAAACGCCCATTCACATGGTGGTAACTCTTATAGTGTTTTTATAGTAATTGTCTCGAGAGCTTGCGTACCCCGAAACGCCACAAGAATATGCAGCTGAGGGCATCCTTCGTGGCTTCTACGCTACGTGAGCCACTTTCCTGGCCCCCACAGCCCTCGAGGGCATCTGTGCATGTTTCTATACCCTGGCGTCGCTCTTCACCTCCCGACAGAGCCCTGTGTAGCCAAGCTCGCATTTGAGAGGTGGACAAAGCTGCGCTTGCGGCATCAATAAACGAGTGGTGGCAAAAATAAAAGCCGCGGAATCGACGAGACCAGCGCGGGAGCGGCCCGTGCCCGAGCCCATCTACCCCTTGTTGTGATGTGAAAATGTCGCCGAGTGATGAAGTGGATCCCACCGTCACTGGGCGGGATTTTCTGATACACTGAACGCCGGCACGATCTTTCTGGAACAGAGTGGCGTTCATCAACATGGTTAGAGTCAATTCGTGGCCCCGAGATTCTTCCCATTCGCCGGTGTGACCCCCTAAGCTTTTGTGAAGATATTGGGGTGCGTCGGATCCCCATCTGGCTTCCTAAGGTGGTCCTTGATAACTTTGGTTGACGTAGCCACCAATAACATCTACTAGAAATGGGCGGTCGCTCTAATGATTGGAGGATAAACAACATTGAGATATGTCTTTCCAGATGAGCCCGGAAATGTATGTGGAGTAGAAGCTGGAGAACAGGAGCACCAGGTTCAAGTTCAAAATTTTTATAAAACGAGCTGATTCCTCTGATCAATGCCAAGCAAAGAAAAGCCAACAAGCATTGCCCAGAAATCCCAATTGAAACATTTACAAGCCACTATGCCGAAGCTTCTCGGTTCGCTCGTGCTTGTCGCCTTGGCGGCTTGCGCACTGGCATCCCCCGTCGCCGAGCCCGCCATTACTGAGGCCCCCAGCCTTGCCAAGAGAGCTACGAGCTGTACGTTCTCGGGCTCGTCGGGTGCCTCAAGTGCAAGCAAGTCTCAGAAATCTTGTTCGACTATAATCCTGTCCAATGTTGCCGTTCCTTCCGGGACAACGCTGGATCTGAGCGACTTGGAAGATGATACCACGGTAAGGATTTTCAACTGAGAACACGGTATATCTTTACTTGTTCAAATTTCATAATACTAACTGGACATTACAACAGGTCATTTTCGAGGGAGAAACAACTTGGGGCTACGAGGAATGGGATGGGCCTCTACTCCAAATCTCCGGCTCAGGCATTACTATCAAAGGTGCCAGCGGAGCTTATCTCAATCCCGACGGTGCCCGTTGGTGGGACGGTGAAGGCAGTAACGGCGGAGTGACCAAGCCTAAGTTCTTCTACGCCCATGATCTCACCGACTCGACAATCACCGATCTATATATTGAGAACACCCCTGTCCAAGCGGTCAGCATCGCTGGCTGTGATGGGTTGACTATCACCGATATGACAATTAACAATGAAGCGGGTGATGACGAAGGTGGTCATAATACCGATGGTTTTGACATTGGTACCAGCTCCAATGTTGTAATCACAGGCGCCAATGTCTACAACCAAGACGATTGTGTTGCCGTGAACTCCGGAACTGTAAGATACTATGCAACTTGGATTCCCTGTTTTAATGTCTAGTACTGATGCTTGTGATAGGATATTACTTTCAGTGGCGGTGTTTGTTCTGGCGGCCACGGTCTATCTATTGGGAGTGTTGGTGGTCGGAGTGACAACACAGTAGATACAGTGACCTTTGAAAACTGTGAAGTCAAGAACTCTGTTAATGGTATGATGATAAAAACTATGCTGAAACTTTGACTCATCATGAACTGACAACATGGTCATAGGTATTCGCATCAAGGCTACTGAGGGCGACACTGGTTCCATCACTGGTGTCACCTATTCAGAAATTACTCTGAGCGCTATTTCGGAGTATGTCTACCAGCCATCAACCCTTTCAAAGATCTTCGCTAAATCTCTTTTGCAGTTACGGTATCCTGATCGAGCAGAATTATGATGGTGGTGATCTGAAGGGAGACCCTACTAGTGGTATTCCCATCACCGATCTCACCATTGAGAATATTTCTGGCGCCGACGCGGTGGATTCGGATGGCTACGACGTTGTTATTGTCTGTGGCTCTGGCGCTTGCTCTGATTGGACCTGGACCGACGTTAATGTCACTGGTGGTAAGACCTACAGCGACTGTGAGAATGTTCCTAGCGTCACAAGCTGCTCTTAAGCATAAGACTGAGGAGGCATATCAAATGTGGTCGTTACCGCTCGAAAGACTCAATGTGTAAAAGAAGACTGATGTGCTGTGGTTGATATTTCAATGGTATTTTTCTTGCCATCTAGACGATGGTGATCACACCAACACAACTCCCCCATCTCCCATTATAGACTTAGCCCAGACTGAGTATCTCCCTTGAGTGAATCCTCGTTTCAGATCACGAGCCTGCTAGTGGTGTTGGGAAAAGTCGAAGGTAAGCATCCGAGATACCCAGTGAACCACTTTTGCGCATTTCAAGTTTCAATGGGGGTGTACTTTTAATCCACATGTCAAAAAATGACTAACTATGCGACTCCACATCGGAAGTTCGGCAAGTGTGGGAGTTACTAGTGGCGCTACTGGAAGCGTGCTATAGTCAAATCTCTAAATGGAGTCAACGCTGACAGGCCTCATTTCGGCATGCTCGGACACCTTCCCGATATAGAATAACCTCATGCAAGCCTGTTACTCTCTCGGATTAGGAACCAGCAATGACTGTTGTTTTACAGTCATGAATGGTAGTAAGGTAGGCACTATCCAAGCTTTGTCGAGTTCATTTATCAAACAGTAAAGGGATCTGAGCTGACGGTCCAACGGCAACGCGTGGCACTATGTTCACAAGCGTCCTCTGTAAGCTGTCAGACCCCGATCACCAACTCTAGGATCCGTGAAAGCTACATAATAGCTGTAGATCATCAATGATAAGGTGTTCAGCTGGTCGATTTATTTTCAAGGAATATCTCGCTGACAAAATTGATGAATTATGACCATGTTCGGGTTATCTTCGGCAGCCGGCGGTTTGGTCGCCTAGTACAATGCCGCTTATGGCCCGATGATGTCCGAAACAGCATAGTTATTTAGTCGGCATGTTCGGGTTTCAAATTTCGGCGCTAATTGCCAAGGACAAGGCCGGCTTCGGCAATGGCGAAAGGGGCAATTCCGCCGATATCGTGAACCATACGATGACAGCGAAATCCCACGTGGTGATCACGGTCAAGGATCTCAGCATGATGAGAGGCTCTTCACGGCTGACGAAATGAACAATGATGAGCTTCATGCTTGCGATCACTGGCTTATCATCGACAACTTTCACGAGAATCTGTACCCGGCATGTGGCCGATGGCGTGTGCTCTTTCACTTGGGTTCATCATTTCAGGAGTTCATTTAAGATTATTATTCGGAGAAGTCGTACTAGTATCAAAAAAAGAAAACGAGCCAGAACAGTTATTCAAACACCATCTCTTCAGCCTTAACCCAATGCTTAACAAAGATGGTCACGTGATTACAGGAGCCCTCAGGCTACCTTCCTATTCCGGCGATCAGACGTTCACCCTATCGCAGTGTGTAATCAATGGATTACCAAGGCAGGGCTATTCTATTTTTATTAAATTCGAAGGTTGTAGTCGCCGAATGCAAACGAATCTAACACAGAGGTAGTCGCCAGGGTCTCCACAAAGATTTGCCTAGATCCTTCAGCGTAAACTTGTCGGAGCACATTATTATTTCACTTCACCAGTCATTTACCTCATAGCATTCCTAGATCGACATTGAATTGCCACATGGGCTCCTATACTGTCAAGCTATTGTGAAAGGGCTCCTTAAGGGCTGGAATAGACAGATAGGCGATCGTAAGCATAAAGCTAGACGGACGGACGATGAAACGTGGTAGATCCGATTATTATCGAATCTACTCCGAGTAAGAATAGCTAGCTTTCGATTTCCAGACTCAAAAAAAGGCATTATTGCATTCACACAATGCTGGCCATATCGGCTTATTGTTCATAGTCGCTTCTTTCAGCATCCAACCACTGTCGCACCCTACTTGAGATAAGAGTAAGGTGCGCATGAGACAGAATAAGACAGATCTCCCAGAATTCCTAAACCGGCACTGAGACCACTTTTATTGGCTGGGAGAAGCAGCCGGGTGTTCCGAAGAATGTAACCCACGCTGCTATTGGAATGCCGTCTCAGGGACTAGTCATGACCTCACCTAGTCATCTACTCCTATTCTCAAAGCTTTCAAGTTAATTAGATCAGGAAAATTTACTTTTTTGAAAGAGAAGACTAATTGAAAATTTGGAGTCTAGAGTCACTGCTTTAGATTGTACTGAATTTGCTTCTAAAATCATCGAGATAGATGGATCAGGGGGGTTTCCCAGCAGGTTAAATATACGCAGGTTAGGCCATCCATGGTTCCTTGTATTGCCATTATCTGGTTGAATGAGACCTTGGGGTACTTTCCGTATTGGCTGTCCTCTTTACAGTCTGATCCTATCGGTCTACTACCGGGAATAGGTAGAGTGTAAATGGAAACCTACTCGGATTATCCACACCGGCGATTTTCATGAGTGTAACCATTAAGGCCCCAGCTTTCCAGAATATATACCTAATCCTCCTCAATATTTTTAGCTGAACTTTAATATTCCGCAATCCATTCAATCACATTGTTAGATTATATCTTTCTGAACCTCCAGCAATTTTCCTCTCTATACGGGGGTCTCCATTCCAAATGCGCAGCATCTCAGTTAATCTATATGCCCTGCTGTTTGCCTGGGCAACATTAGTCACCTGCCAGGATGCAGTGATTACGTCCGCAAATGCCGCAAGCACAGGCGAAAGCGGCCAATGTGCTAACCAGCAGTGAGTCAGCTCTCATCCTCAAATTTCATATGGACACTATTCATATCCCATGCAACAGGCTCGTTGACCAATGCGTGGCTACCATGAAAATGGCTCTTGCGAAGTGTTCCTCAGAAAATTGGGACTGCAAATGCAGCGGGAGTGCAAATATTGCCAAGTTAGTACAACTCGCTCTGAAACCACCCGGGCATCTATCATCAATAGAAAAATTCATGGCTATGGAATTGAATACTAACTCTCCGTCCAACAGCTGCTATGAAAATTGTCCCAACACTCCAGAATATATCGAGGCTCAGCTACTCAGCGAACACGACTGCGCCACAGCGAATGCCTATGACAAGGGGATAACAGCTGTGACACAGTCATGGACGACTCCAGGTGTCAATGTCGCCAAAGCCACCCCCACAGATTCTGACTCCACAACATCGGCTACCGATGAACCGACAAAATCACTGGAGCAACACGAAGAAACGAAAACATCGGAGGGTGCTGCTGCCGCTAAGACTGCCGGCAGCTGGTTGGCTCTGCTTGGTTTGGGGATAGGAGTGATGTTTTAGATGGTGCATATGCCTGAGAGCCTGGATGATTCCTAATAGATCGATACATTCAATATTGAATTTCAACAAATATGTCATGTGATTTTGTCTATCTCGAGCTTGGGTCAATTTTTATTATAGAAAAACTAATCTTGAGGAACATATTCTAATTGGAAGAAACACTCATCACTATTGGTGGCACAAGACCCTTCGTTCCTGACTTATTGAAAATGTCTGTATACAATTCTGATTGATTAATATATTCCAAAGAAAACTGATCTTGAAATTCCTTTCATTTTCCGAGACCGAAAATCTGAAGACACCGAGAACTTGAGAAAACATAGCTGTTACCGAAAAGAGCTCTTATGGCGATTACCTGGCGGGGCATGAAAAAAAGCCCCTAGAACTTCCACTGATCCATCCATCGCGTCATTAAGGGCCCATCAACTGCGTTCAGATGACGCAACGTTGTACTAGCTGCCTGGGTCTTGATGGTTTCTGTCGATGGGCCAGCTTCATCTGAATAGGCGACGGCCTTGAAGAATTCAAGAATTTTTAGCGCGGGTTTGTCTCGAAGATCAGCTTCTGTCGGATTCGGGAAGCTCTCAAGGGTATTGATCCATGTCTGCAAGGGAACTGGCTCAACATCCATATATTTCTGAATAAAAGGAATAAGAGTCTCCCAGTCCACGATTTTGGGGTTAACAATGTGGAATGCGGCGCATGGCTCTTCATCCTGAGTCGTCCGCCGAGTACGAACAATGTCAAGTATTACCTTTGCGCAAATATCCTGTCACGAGAAAGGCGGTTAAGTCCATTCACACAGGATGTTTGTATTCATTATCATGACATGACATACCACAGGCACCCATTGCACGGCGATTGAGCCAAGGGAATTCGGAATTTGTTTAATGGTTTTTGAGGCTGCGATCAACGAAGGCACCCATTCCTGTTTATTCCATATCCCTTTCTCAGTCGTTGGACCTCCAATCTGTCCAACGCGATGAATACTAGTTGGTACTCCGCATTTGGCTGACGCCATTGCACAAATTCTTTCAGCGACATGCTTAGACTCGCCATATCCCTGCCGCAGAACGGAGCTTGGCTCATTAAAAATAGACTCTGGAATAGATGGGCCGTTGCTGTACCCCTCAATAGTAGATATAGACGAGATGAAATGGATGTGAGCAGTCTTTTCACTGGCGATACTGAATTCTACCAGACGACGTACCCCTTCAATATGAGGATTCTCAAAAGCCTCGACCTTGTGGTTGAAATTGACTTTCCAAGCATTATGAATAATGGTGTCAACCTCCAGCAAGAGTTCTTCATATTTCGCCTCATCTAGACCAAGTCGCTCGGCTCCAAATTGTGCCTGAAGGAACTCCACACGCCGTGGAAACTGGGTGTAAGTGGCCAGACCTTTCTCTTGATGACTTTGAAGTTGTCTTATAGCTGCGTCTGACGACCTATTGAGGCAGTAGATTTTGGTGACACTCAGATCACGAAGGAGCTCAGACAGAAGATAAGCACCCAGCGAGCCAGTTGAGCCCGTCAAAATCACAGCATGGTTTGATCCGAAGTCGGCGGAGTATTTATTGACTAGATTGGAGATTCTTTGCTCTCTATCAATATCGCTTTCCGTTGTTGTACTCCCTAGTGAAGAGTCCCCTCCTTGAATGATGTTAAGAATATACTCAGCAAGCCGAGTGATTGTTGGCAGCGAGTAGAGCTGCTGGCTACTGAAGGCAGGGCCCAGATCGGGTCGTACTGACTGCAGAGATGCTTGAAGAACCTTTCCCAAGCGCAATGTTTGCAAAGAATCAAGACCCATGGCAAAAATATCAGCATTTTGATCGATTGCCGGAACTTCCAGAATGTCTGATAGTGTTCTCATAACGTAGACTGCAATTTCCGACAGTGTAGCCTCCTTGGCAATCTGTGCAACATCCATCTGCTCATCAGCGGCATAAAGCGCATCGATTTCACTTGCATAGTCATTCGCAATCATTCGTCGTTTGATTGTCCCTTTAGGGGTCAACTGAAATGGTTTTGAGCGAGACGAGATACCGACGCGTTCTTTTGTCACCTGTGCATGACTTGGAGCGGCTGCATTTGCCTTCTTCACTGTGGGCCAGATCTCATCAAGCAGCTCGCTAGGCTCACCATTCCACTCATCCCAGTCAGGTTCCACTAGAATTGCAGCTTGAAAACGTCCTTGGCCAATGGTCACCGCCCGAGCAACAAGTGGGTGACTCGAGATTATCTCCTCCATGGTGATGGGATTGAACTTCTCGCCATTGCTCAGAACAATAACATCATCGTAGCGGCCAGCATACAGCCAAAGGCCGTTCTTCGTAGGATGTTGGGTGAAAAGATCCCCCGTGCGATACTCCTTCAGGTCAGGATATGTGTGGAAGACAGCATGTGCGGCTCTGCTTTCTCCACGCGGTATCACAAACTCATGGTACCCATCACCCATGTCGCGCATTTCATACCCAGCATAAGGATTCCATTCAAGATAGCGCCACTCGTCTTTCTCTTGATATTTCAAGGTACTAAATACTGCGCATTCACTAGATCCGAGAATTGATTGAAGATGGACCTCCTTGGCAATACGATCGCCGGCTTCTTGGGACAAAGGAGCACCTCCGAAGGTGAGCATATCGAATTTCTTCAAACATGCCATCCCCAGCTCAGAGGAAGACAATTCCTCCAATACCGGTGGAGGTAAATTGGCGGTCTTTGGCTCTGTTTCTTGTACTATTCGAGCAAAGAGCTCAAGTGTGAGAGGTTTCTCAGGCACCATAACAATGGGCGTGTCGCAATAAATAGGTATCAACGCGCTGAAAAGACCCATGAGATGAAATAGAGGGCTCGATGTAAGTATTCGCTTACCCCTTTCTGCCACAGGTGCCAAACTTCCGATCCTGTTTTCGGGAGTTGGTAAATCGCACATTTGCTGCACTGCCATAAAGTAGCCATTTGTCATCGGGACTGGCTTGGGCATTCCTATAGTTTCAACGTATGTTGGTGAGTAGACAAAGCCCCACTGAGAACGCCTCATGATATCTGGTCTTGCTTACCCGTTGTTCCAGAGCTGTGGATATAGACAGCCACTCGGTCTTCGGGATCATTCGGCGGTTCTTCAATCATAGGTAGAGCAGCAGATTGATGATCGAACACTGTCCACATGTCGGGCGCCAGCCATGATTCTACAGATGAGTCTAATTCCTTAATGTCCTCTACTTGGCGGCTTCTTTCAGGTGTATAGACACATTTCGAGCACCCCACAGCTTCTAGCACGTGCCGTGAGGCTTGTGCAGAATTCCGAGTTGAGAGGAAAACAGCCTAGGACACTAATTAGCTGCAACAACGAGTCGAAAAAAAATACACGTTGAAACCTTACTTTATGACGAAGTCGCATGCACGCAAAGGCAAAGATGCAGTAGCGAATATCGTTAGCGCCGATATATGTCAAAGCCTCGGGCTTGTTGGATGATGCCACGTTTTCTTGAATCCAGAGGGCCATGCGATTGGTCGCGTTGACCACATCAGCGAATCGAACCTCGACCCATCCCTGAGAGATGTCCGAGGAGAATGGGTGAATGCAGTACAGTCTTCCGGGCTCCTTGGCACAGATTGAGTCAAGGATTTGCAACACGGTCTGCGGGGGCGTATCTGATCCCATTCCGTTGAGTAAAATAGGTTGACAGGGGTGTCTCGGTGTTAAGTGGCGGACGCATGCTTATATGACTAGGGTGAATTTGACCAAGTCGTACAGCAGTAGATCTCCTACGCCATTGCAGCTTCTATTGTCGCGCGTGCTGCGCATAGAATGCAATCGTGGTGGCGGCAAACCGCATGGCAATGGATTGATACTTGACGGCAAGTTACACAGAGAGGGGAAATGAATGCTATTGAAACTTAAATTATTTTGAATCGGACTGTCGATCAGTGGGCAAAAGCCACGCTGTCACCCAATTTTTGATGTATCTCATGCATCCGAAGGATCAAGCTAATGCTGCCTCAACTTGAGGGAGGGTCTATGCGTTTGGTTTCTCTGTACTGGTGCCCTCGTGAGTGGTTACTAACTTGCTAGCACAGGATATGACATGTACAATTACGATTGTGAAGATTTAGAATGGCTGAATATTCTAAGTAAAGACATTTCACTATCTCGTGGCATGGCTCACCTCGCTGTTCTCGAAATTTGGGTGCATAGGTCAAAAGCAATATGAAGTCTCTTAGACTGGCATACAACATGATTGGCTAAAGGCTAGACATAGAAGTAGCTTTCCTATCTGGCCCATATGTGTTTGACAAGTTTCACTATTGCAAAGTCATGAAACCTTTTACCTTGGTGATCAGCCTATGAATTCATAATGGTCAAGTTGCCACTCTTCATGCAGATGGGAATATATATTCACCCCAGGTCCCTTGGCTCTACGCCACTACATCGGCTTTATTGCCTTCCACAAACCCCCTCAACCATGACACGGGCTTGCATCATCCGTGCCTAAAAGGAAGAAAACTCCAGGCTCCCGGGCAGGGTATATGACATGAACCCTAGGCAGATTGGACCAAACTAATCTCTGCCAACACATGGCTTCACACGTGTTTTTCACATCAAATTTAATAAACTTCATAGTACCTATATCTTACCAGGATAAAATGCTCTGACCCGTTGCCACGGGCGGAGAAGTTGCATAGCACGGTTAATTTGTACGAAATAACCCGGAAAACGAAACCTTGTGACTAGCGTACCCGACAAAAAATTTGCCTTCTCAGGTGTGTAGACCTGGAACTTACCTTTGAGGGAATTTGGTTGTGAACATGTCGCTGCAAATAATCTGGCGCTAGCCCGGGTGTGAAGAAAGGGACGCTTCACGCGGGTGATTTTGGAGTAAGCGGGCGCGATAGGTGGCGTGTATCGTCGAACTAGTCACTGAAAAACTAGGATGTTCTGCATACTTACATACGTGAAAGTGACCAAAGTCCCGGGTCCTGAGATTTGTCAAGCGTCCCACTCGAGAGTCGTGCTTGGGCTTCCACTGATTTGAAACCTAAGAAACCCCTTCCGTCCTCGCAAGATCGCCGATGCGGCACACGTCAGCGCGGAATGGGGGATGAGATGATACTGACGGTTTCGCCGGGAGTCTATCCAGGGCAACACATGTCAGCGCTAGATAGGATAGGAACATTCCTGATTGGTCTGGACCGGAACGGATCTTTAGGGTCACATTTGAGAAGGCGCCAAGTTTCGTCAAATTGGCAGGCGTCATTGGTTCATACAAAACCGCTGAATGCGTTGGCCTTCGGGCGACTGGGCGCGACTCCACTTGCACTTCTTCAGCGGCGGGAGCCCGCCAAGCTGACGATACCACTAGGTATGCATCTACCCAGCTACCAAGCGCCGTACAGTGAAAGGGGTCAGACAGCTTCTCCGGGACGCCCCGCTCCAGCAATTGGAGAATCATGACTACTAGATCAATAATCATCAATTAGTGGAGGCAGGGGGATTTTGGTTGCCCCTCATCTGGGTGCTTCGTTCACCGGAGGGTTTGACCCTCGAAGTACACAAAGCCCTCAAAACCGTTAAATTTTTTTTCGCCTTTCCTGATTACACTCTCTTTTCTCTTCCCACCCCGGTCAGTTTGCGCAAACCATGGAGGACGACCGAACTGGCTATCAAACACAGAAGGAGGTGCATCCCACCGAACTGGTGGAGGGAGGGGTATGTCCATTCCAAATTTTTATAGTTCAAATCTGTTACGCACAGAGTGACTATGAAAAAAAGACCCATGGCATTGTCTCAAAAAAAGCTGACCGTGACCAAACCTAGCATCTCAACAAAGACATTAGTGTGCGCGAGCTCCGGGATGCCATTCCAGATTACTGCTTCCAGCCGTCCCTGTTCTGGTCTTTCTTCTACCTCGGCCGAGACTTGACCTACTCGGCTGTCCTTCTCAGCGGACTCTATTACCTGCTGCATACGGAATGGGTGACTCAATCCACAATCGCCTACTACGCGGTCGTCAATATCTATGGAGTGTTGCAGGGGCTTGTCTGGACGGGGCTATGGGTGATCGCCCATGACTGCGGCCACAGCGGGTTCTCGAATTCCGGTCTTCTCAACGACATGATTGGGTTTGTGCTTCACTCGAGCCTGCTAGCACCCTATTTCTCTTGGAAATCCACTCACCGCCGGCACCATATCTATGCCAACCATATCGAGAAGGACCTCAACTATGTCCCACCGCGCCGTGGCGAGTATGCTATGAAGATCAATCAGGCGGTGGAACTCCTGGATGAGGTTGGGCAGGATGCGCCACTGGTTCTGTTCTTGCGCATTCTGTTGCAGCAGGCTATCGGGTGGAACTGGTATATCCTATCCAATATCACCTGTCCGCCGTCCGCGGTGATCAAGCAAGGGATGTCAGCCTGGCGCCACAGCCACTTTGATCCATGGGGCGCCATGTTCCGGGACTCGGAGGTCTCAGCAATTCTGTTGTCTGATCTGGGTTGTCTGACGACGCTGGTGGTACTGTATCAACTCTACCAGGTCTTTGGATCGTTTGAGACTCTGTTTTGGGTCTATATAGTTCCTTGGACGTGGGTGAATCATTGGATCGGTAAGCCGCCCTTCTTCTTTCCAGATGCAACTCCATACTCTCCCTGGGATGAGCGCTATTCCCTATCTCTGTTGAAATCTTTGGACAAGAGCTAACGTTCGAAAAAAAAAACGTGGTGTTACTAGTGATGATCACCTACCTTCACCACACGCACCCAGCGGTGCCAAAGTACACGGCCGACTCGTGGACGTTCCTCCGCGGCGCCACGGCCACGATCGATCGCGACTTCGGCCTTATCGGCACGCACCTCCTCCACCACATCTCGTCGGACCATGTCACGCACCACCTGTTCTCGCGCATTCCACACTACTACAGCCCGATTGCGAGCAAGGCTATTATCCCCTTGCTGGGAAAACACTACCACGGGCGGGGCCAATTCCGGTACGAGGATCTTCAGATTGCCTTCCGTGATTGCCAGTGGGTCGAGGAGGATGCAGAAAAGGACGTTGTATTTGGGCTACGCAAGGACAAGGAAACGGCGGCCCACCCGCGTGACAAGGCACTGTGGTACCGCGGCGGTGTGAGCCCGTCCCCCGAATACAAGATGCGAGGGTCGTACTTTGTGGAGAAGAAAGTGATGTGAGCAGCCAAGAAGGGAAGTGAAGGGAAGGGAAGGGAAAGGAACGGAACGGAAAGGTAAGGGGGGGGGGGAAGGGAGGGGCTTTGGATTATAGAAGTATAGTTCGGGTATAGTTGGGTTGTGCTTGTGTTTTTTGGAGGCCAGTGTGGGGAAGACTTGCTATTTTTTGCTATTTTTACTATTTTTGCTGCATTTGCTACTTTTGCTGTTTTTGCTATTTTGCTATTTTTGCTTTAGTTCTTTCTTTCTTCGGGCGTCTTCTAGTTTCTTTCTGGTCGCGGTTGCGCTTGCTGTTACTATCTTGCTGTACAATGATAATTCACAGTTTTCAAACTCTCCCTGCAACGAGTTCGGCATTGGTTCACTCCGAGATGGCTTCAATTAATTTGAACACCTTGGCTTCCAACTCGCGCGCTGCTAGGCGAAGGGCCTCATTTCCCGCCATTTCCTCAGGCCCTGCAACTAGCCCTTCGGGCAGCAGGATGACCATTTTAGTGGTTCCGTCGGGCTGTTCGAAGAATCCCCCGTCAAGAGGAACATGGAGCGCGGCTTCCACGCTTTCCTGGATCATAGTAATGGCGTACAGCGGATTCCCAAAGATGAAGCGATGCGCACCATGGCCGACCTGGACCGCGTCGGGCACATTCCCGGTGTTCCCGGGGTTTCCAGGATTGGTAAATGGAGGGAAATGACGGATCCAGGCGCCATGATTGAATTCCGCGAAGAGTACGAAGCCGGTGGTCGTGTGGGTGTTCTGTATGACCTGGGCGATGCCCGCTGGGCCGCTTTGCGCCCGCAGGTCCCCCAGATTAACGGGTGGAACCAACGCCCGAAAGCGCTCCACCACCCGCGCATGGGGCGAGGCGATCGGCGCCGTCAATCGCCGGACTGTAATCGCTTCAATTCTGGTCTTCGGTGGTAACAACGCAGCCATGGGAGGAGAGGTGTGAAGATGGGAGAGCCCAAAACATGAAACCGGTTCTGCGAAAGACTAGTAGACTAGTAGACTAATGCACTAGTCGGCTAGTCGACTAGTCGACAAGGACACGAGTCCATGAGGAGCCGAGGATACGCTGCATGGGATGGACCCCGCGTCTACCATTGCGCACGCCTGCAGTAGCGAGCCAGGATGTGCATGAGCCCCCGCCAATCGACCTGACGAAAAGGGTGGACCCTGTAGGCATTCCTCACTGGCATGGAGCCGTCAAAGTAGAATCGCTAGGGGTCTTTTGCAGTCCAAGCAAAAAGAGGTATGGGGAAATAAGAGCCCTCGGCCACGTCGGCCAGAATCCCCGACCGCCATCGGTCTTGGAACCCCCTCACTTTCCCATGCTCTTCGACAAACTATACTTCCGGTGACCACTCGAACCTCAAGGTGAATCGGATCCTGCCACGATGCCGGGCTCGCGCGTGACGCCGCTGGAAGCGGACTATCCGTTTGAGATCATCGCCCACTGGGTCCCTGTGGTCCCGTTCCGCGAATATCCACACGCCATCATCGACGAACAGCAGGGCCTGGGTTTGTCCGTGAAACAGTATGTCCCTCGACACTCACGCCCTTCAGGGGCCAGCGGAGAACCTCTGACGATTGTGGCCGCCGGGGGCCTCGGCTTCATCAAAGAGCTGTATGAGCCCTTGTTTGCGGCGCTCCTGTCGCGGGCCGACCAGGCCGGTGTCGCGATCCGGGCCATCTGGATAGCGGATATGTTCAATGTAGGACAGAGCGCGGTGGCCAATCGAGCCAATCTTGGCTGTGATCCGTCCTGGCTGGATCACAGTCGCGATCTCTGGAGTCTTATCCACCATTTTCGCGCTGACATGCCTAAGCCGCTCGTCGGCCTGGGCCACTCCATGGGCTGTACGCAGCTCGTGGCGCTCTCCGCCTGGCATCCCACGCTGTTTCACTCCCTGGCCTTCATCGAGCCCGGGCTCGATGTCCAGTACGGGCGCGGCATCACCGTGCCCTGGAGCATCTCCACGCTGAAACAGGGCGATTGCTGGGCATCGCGCGCCGAGGCCGAGACTGGCGCGGTCCGCCTCGCCGGTGCCCAACGATGGGATCCACGCGTGCGCACCCGGCTCACCCACTACGGCATCTACGAGATCCCTCCCGCTCAGGCACAGGGTGCGCCGTGGGCGCTGACCAACCCGAAAGACCAGATTGCGGCATTGGCCAGCCGTCTTAACAAGGACCGCATCGGACTCGGCCCGGGAGGCCTCGAGACCGTCACGCTTGAGCAACGGCAGACGATTCCCGATAGCGACCCGGACGGCAATGTGAACGGACAGTTCTATCGCCACGAGCTAAAAACAACGTGGGATATGCTACCGAAGGTTCGGCCGTGGGTGCTCTATATCAACGGGGGCAAGTCGCCCTTCTTTGGCCATCCCGGCACGCGCGAACAGCGGTTACACTTGACCGGCACAGGGCCTGGGGGCAACGGCGGAGTGCGACTGGGCGCCGTGACCCAGCGCCTGCTCGAGGACGGCGAGCACACGATGGTCTTTGACAAGAATATGGCGACGGTGGCCGAATATGTCGCCGTCTGGCTGGCCGACGAGTCGGCCCGCTGGATGCGGGGCCCCAAGACGGCGCGAGAGACCTGGCAAGCCAGGCCGATGGACGAGAAACAAACCGTGGGCCCGGACTATATGGCGGCCTTGGCGAGTCAGATCAAGGACTGGAAGCGACCCAGCAAGATGTAGTAAGACAACCGCCCGGACGATTGGTCCACGTCCCTGTACATAGTCACCGGAAACTCGGTATCTTCTAGTCAATAACGACCGTCAGTAACCACGGCTAGTAACTATGCTAAGTCACTCACAATATTTTGGAGATTACTCAACAGCCGAGCTAGTGATCCAACCAAGGCCCATCCAGCTCTATCCCTGTCACGGACCGTGCCCCTTCCAAAGGGCGCCCTCTCCCCCCTCCTTCTCTTCCCCCATGCATGCGGCTAAGGACCTCCTCCACGATACCCCTCTTTGCTGTTCTTACTAGCGGTAATTTTGGACGCCAAGTCAACCTTCAAATGACACAATATTGGCACAATAAGTAATTGGCCATCGCCGGCACATACTTGCGATCGGGTGCAACACCGACGACTGTTCAAAGAGCCTGCGAAGTAGCGCCATAATGGCCCTAGGGGCAGGGTATCGCGTGTCGACGACATGGGGCTCACCAATGTCAATGCTAGGGAATGTGGTCATTCTATTGCTCATCGGAGTAAGCGCGAGATCTTCCTGGGAGGGCCAGAAACAAAAGAAAAGAAGCGAAAAGCAAATTTAACAGGCGTATACAGGTCGGTTGCGGGGCATTACACCGAATTTATTTCCATCCGCTGGCGAAGCAGCCCGGCCCGCTACTGGCGCGCCTGTCATCTATACCAAATTGGTATCATGCGAAAAAGGGCGATCGACATGTCTGGCTATACAGGCTGCACACTGAATACGGTCGGTGCTGGACCATCGAGAAGGCGGAACAGCCAAAGTCCAGGGACGGAAAACTAACATTTGGATTCAAAAAAAGGCTCGGTGGTGCGGTTCACGCCCAATTCTTTATCCTTTAACACCGTCACGGCAATGGATTCGATCTACAAGTCACGTAAGGCCAATTTGATCAAGTCCGACTGGTACCAATGTGTGCGTGACTCGGCGGGAAAGTTTGAGAGCACCTTCACAGCAAGACAGAAGACGCGGCATGCTGTGAAGCGTCGGTTACTGTCGCATGCATTCTCAGACAAGGCGTTGAAGGACTATGAGCCTCGGATATGCGCGCTGATCGACAAGTGGGTCGAGGCCATCGATGCGGAGGCAAAATACGACCAGGGCATGGTCGATTTGGGCCAATGGTCTGGCTACCTGATCTTCGACGTCTTGGGTGACTTGGGATTTGGAAACGCGTTTGGGTTCATGGCGAACCAGGTGGACCGTTCGCTGATTGGATTGGTGGCGAAGGCTACCGGCGTGTGGTACTCGGTATGTAGGATTCACTGGGTTCTCTAGCTGCCCAGGAGGAAGAAATCAGTTGAGGGGGCAAGAAGCAAAAACAAAGAGCTGACAGGTGATTTTGATTTGTGTATAGATTGGATATCATCCGTTCACCAAGTGGGTTCGGTATATCCTATTTGAAACCCGATTCGGGCACCTTGTGGGAGCGAGGACGATTGAGGATAATAGTCGATTTCGGTCCTTTTGCATGGAGAAGCTGATGAAGCGCCGAAAGTCTCAGGTCATGACCGAGGGCATTTTCGGAAAGGAAGTCAAGGACGACATGTTCGGCCACCTGCTTGCAGGACGTGATCCAGAGACCGGTGAAGCATATACGGTCGGTGACCTCGCCTGTGAAAGCGTGCTCCTCATGGTTGCTGGGTCCCAGTCGACTGCTGGTGGACTCGCGGCCACGTTCTTCTATTTGTCCCACTACCCCAACAAGCTGGCTCGGCTCCGAAAGGAGCTGCACTGTGCTTTTGCGAGCGAAGCCGCTATCCGCTACGATCCTGCAGGGACACTAGCGACGCTTCCATTTCTGCGCGCCTGCATCAATGAGAGTCTACGGCTGTCGCCCCCGACGCCTGGACATCTTCCCCGGGAGATAGTAGGCGACGATGGCATGGTGATCGACGGGTGGTGGCTGCCGCCGGGCACGAATGTAGGCGTGAGCCCGTACACCATTCATCATAATGCACAGTATTTCCGTGATCCGTTCGATTTCCAGCCTGAACGCTGGCTGACCGACAAAGAGGATGATGGGGCGGAGCAGCTAGCATCTGCATTCGCCCCGTTTAGTGCTGGAATGACGGGCTGCATTGGGAGACAGCTGGCCATGATGGAGCTGTGCTTAACGGTTGCACGGTTCCTTTGGCGGTTTGACCTTCGGGTTCAACCTGGCAGCGCCACGCTTCCAATTGAGTATGAATTGAAGGACAGCTTCATTGGCGAGGGATCGGGGCCTCGTGTGCAGCTCATTCCTTGTTCTCCTTAGTGGCCCCCATCCGCTCATTGACTAGAGTCTCCCCTAACGCCCAGCGCGTGCCGCGCATTCCCATGGCGCAGCTAAGAGAGATCCTGGACACATCCGTGGATGCATAGGAGGACTGAGGGGGAAGTGCATGTTTCGAAAAACAAATGAGAGCAAGACGCAGTTCAAGGGGGGGGGGGGGGGGGGGGGCGGATTGTGACCCATTCATTCGGTTTTTCATATCATTGGAAACAGGCGTTTGCCTTGCGAGTATTTCGCAATGTAGTTTTATGAGCAGGAGCTGAGTTTATACTTCCATTTTCTTTATGCATCAAGTCCCGACGGCCTGGTGCTGGGGATCGGCAACCGCGGCACCCCGTTCGACCTTTCTGTCACCAAAATAGACTCTATTATCAGACGCATGTGTTGTGTGGCCAGACGTTCCCTCTCGCTGGCGAATTCAAGCCGTCCAAAGTACTTCGGACTCCGGACCGGGACTCGAGAGTGAAGATGGTCTCCCCACAAGTGGTGAACTCCTCCGGGGGCGAGCCATCCAATGGGAAGCATGAATCCCCGTCCCCACCAGAGGACATGTCTGCGGGTATTCGGTATTCCAAATAGAGAACTGATAGATGAAGCGGAGAATCCATGATAGTATGTGGAATGTGGAATGCAGGAACTACAGGATTAAGGCAACTACGCGACCTACCGAAGCGACGGCCGCGATATCTCTGGATGCCAGCGTTCCACCACGAAAGTTTTTTAAGACGTGCAGCAGCACGAGGGAGGGTTCGAGCAGAGAGACAAAAGTACAGCCTGTGTGCATGGCGGTTCTGAGCAGGCGCTCACCCAACACCATCAACAGTTGATGCACGAGGTGCGGGCGTCGGGACTTCGTTAATGCAAAGCCAGAAGGCACCGGTGCCCCGAGGATGCGACCGACCAATGTATGGCTCCCACGTTGAGTGGCGTGTTCTGAGTGCGTTCAAGGCGCGATCTGGAGGCAAAGTCGGGAATCCAGACCTTCACGGACAACACTGCGCAGGAACCCATACGAAGCTCCGTCCACTCCTAATTGCGTCAGACTACATGGCGCACGTTGGGTGCACAGCACAATGAAACCCTAATTGTCCCAATTTTCGAGATTGGAATGATTTGTGAACGCGCATATGCCAGGTGCACGAACGTGCATCCAGCCTAGGCTTGGGCAGATGAACAGATAGGAAGGTGGGAGTGTAGGCAAAGTGAACGGCGGAGAACGTCCGATTCCGTGACAGCGGCCAAGAGTGGAGCCCGGTGGGAGTCAGGCCCGTTTACCACGTTGGCGGGCCTCCGAGTCTCTTGCCTATTTAAGTAAGGCCCCGAGTATGGCCGAACAAAAACAAAACTGAACTATGATCAACTCAGGTTGATGTCGATCAAGAGACACGATCCGGGTTTAGAAAATTGGAGAAATCATGCCAGCTGGAAAGCCGTAATGCGCAGCCCTAGTCCTTTTTCAGACCTTTGGATTGCCTCTACAATTCCGTTCAGGACAAGGATCGCTTCTAGCGAGATTCGGGACGGCCGGTCTGTCGTGCAGCTTCAGCATGGTCTAGGAAAAGCGCCCTGGTTGAAAATCCAGCGAATCAACGAATGTCCCCCGATGCTCCCATGGTGCCAAAGTGGGATTGGCCCCGCGGCAGACCTCGTGGCAAAGGAACTACCGTTCTTGACCGGAGCGGGTTGATCAAAGCCGATCGTCTGCAGGGTGATCACAATAATACAGATCCCTAAGGGCAAGCAAGAACAGAGGATCGCCAGAGCCAAAGGGCAGCAAGAAAATTCTTCAAGGTGGACCGATAGGCCGTGGACTTGCGCTCGCGCAGATTAGAGAGGGGCAAGCGAGACCGCGAGAAGCGGGGGCTTCGTGGCCAATAGACGCAGCGGGAGATACTGACACCCTGCAGACCGTTTGGCCGCGACCGACGGGAAATGATGTCCATGGGATCGGCGGGCGTTGGACATGCAGGCGACCATGCAGCTTGGGACTCTTCAAGTCGATGTTCGATACTGTTGCAGCACCGCGGTTTTGTTGTTTCCCCCGCAGGCCCGGTTCCTCGGAAAGAAGCACCTTTGACATCCGCTGCGCCGGTTCCGGGCTGGTGGGGCCATGGAAGGGGAGTCGAAGGTCGAAGGAATGGAAAGCAATAGCATGAGATCGGTTGAAAGAGCCCCTGCGGAGCGGAGTCAATGGGTTTAATGAGACAGAGGACTGCCGTGTGACGACGACGTCGAACGAGTGAAGCTGCGAAAGCGCGAACGTTGCGAAGTCACGTCGTCAGCACGTGAGTCGCCAGTCTCAAGCTTCAACGCGGTTCCTGTTTTTTGGCTGATCTGGGCGGGTCCTGACAATCAGACTCGGAGCGACCCAACGAGGATGCGGGAAAGGCTCCAGACAGGCTGCACAGAGGCAAAACACGTCAAAAAAACCAATCAAAAGTATGAACCCCGTCCGCCAGGTCCCAGGCTCTCGGGAAGAACCAGGTGAAATCCTAGCGAACCCAATCGCATCCCAGCCTCGGATCTCTCGCCGCAAAGCTGCATGCTTGTGTCCTAGCGCCTCGTGTAAATCCCGTTCCATCCGCTGGTTGTCCACCTTCCCACCCCCTAAACCTTGTCTATCAACGCTTGGACGTGCCTGGACCGGTGGGACTAGAAATATGGCCATGCTCCGCTTCAATTTCTCTCTCCCGGATGACGAGTTCCCTGGGGGAAATCGGCATTGTTGAAACTTTCTTTACCTCCACCTGGGGGAGTTCAAGATGCGTCCCCTTTCACTGGCCAATGCGGCCAGCACCAATGGCGGCGTCCCGGCTGATACACTAGAGCCAATCGCCGTCGTCGGGTTGGCTACAAAGTTCCCTCAACATGCGACGACAACAGAAGCATTATGGGAACAGTTGTTGCAAGCCCGGTCAACATGGTCGTCAATCCCCAAGGAACGATTTAATGCCGAAGCCTTCTATCATCCCGATCCAGACCATGGAGGTACCGTAAGTGGAAAATATTATGTCCATGGCCGTCGACAATCCGGGTCTCGCTGATTTATTGATTGTCCTTCACTATAGTTCCATGTGCAGGGAGGGCACTTTCTCAACGAGGATCCGGCTCTCTTTGATGGGTCCTTTTTCAATATCAGCAAGACTGAGCTATTGACCCTCGATCCGCAGCAACGGCTGGTGATGGAAAATGTCTATCATGCTTTGGAGAATGCCGGAATCCCCATGATCAATGCCGTAGGATCCAACACATCGGTGTTTGTCAGTGGCTTCAATCACGACCATCTCGGAATTCTGAACTCAGATTCTGAATCCGCCATCAAATATAAGCCCACTGGTGTCACTAATGCCATCCTCTCAAACAGAGTGAGTTGGTTCTTTGATTTCAAGGGCCCCAGCATGACCATTGATACCGCCTGCTCCAGCAGTCTGGTTGCATTACACCTCGCGGTGCAGAGCCTTCGAGCTCGTGAAACTAATATGGTATGTTGTTCTCGAGTGCCAGGGTCAAGCACACGGACTAATGGGATTACAAAAGGCCATCGTTAGCGGCGTGAGTATACTGGAAAATCCCGCTGAGACAATCGGGATGAGTCACCATGGGCTACTTGGAGCTGAGGGACGCTCTTTCAGCTTTGATTCCCGTGCCGAGGGGTATGCCCGTGGAGAAGGTGTGGGTACTGTAGTCCTGAAACCACTGCGTATGGCGATTAGAGACGGAGACACAATCCGTGCCATCATCCGTGAAACCGGGGTCAACCAGGATGGGCGAACTCCTGGTATCACTGTACCCAGTGCGGACGCACAAGAGAAATTAATACGTGAAGTGTACTGGAGAGCCGGGCTGGATATGACACAGACCCGGTTTGTCGAAGCTCATGGAACAGGGACTAGCACGGGCGATCCCATCGAGGCCGCAGCCCTAGCGAGAGCTTTCAAATGTCGACGAGGTACTCCCCTATACATCGGAACAATAAAGTCAACCATCGGACATCTAGAAGGAGGGTCCGGTGTGGCGAGCATTATCAAATCGATTCTCATTCTTGAATCGGGAATCATTCCGCCTAATTATGATATACAAGACATCAACACCAAAATTCCGGCATCCGACTGGAACATTGCTTTCCCCAAGGAAAACACGCCTTGGCCATCCGATGGCCTACGCCGCATTTCAATAAACTCCTTTGGCATCGGTGGAACTAACGCCCACTGTGTCCTCGACGATGCCTACCACTACCTTGCCGACCGCCACATCTCAGCTTCTCATCACACCACGCCTTCCGTACCTCAGCTTGACCAGATCGAGGACCATATCATGTTAATATCTCAATCTGATCAAAGCTCATTCACCAACATCTCGGCTTCTGTAGATGATGGCGACCACTCCGGGAGCAGTGCCGTATTCGCCGACACACCTATTACCGACGACTTCTGCCTGTCTCCTTCTCTTGACCTTGTAAATCACGCCGCTCTTGTTGACATCCCCCATATTTTTCTACTGTCAGCATTTGACGAGGAAGGTGTCAAGCGAAATGCATCCACATATGCCGCCTACTTGAATAAAGCTTCCAGTGATCACGATGCCAGTGAAAGACTCCTCAATCAATTGTCCTTCACACTTTCTCAAAGGCGGTCTATATTTCCCTGGAAGAGTTTTGTCACTGGATCGACAACCAAGGAACTGGCGTGGAATCTATCTGAATCAAACTTCACAAAACCTGTTCGAGTAGCGACTCCCCCTGATACGTGCTTCGTATTCACTGGCCAGGGTGCCCAGTATCAGACAATGGGTCGGGCACTCATGGCATATCCGGTGTTCCAAGAGTCAATCGAAGATGCTTCCAAGTATATTCAGCGACTTGGTAGTCCTTGGTCATTGATAGGTGAGTATTTTTTCAAGGCCTAAGGGAAACATTTGAATCACTAACTTTGCTCACACTGCAGATGAACTTCTGGCGGAACGAAAGTCAGCCCGGGTTAACTTTCCGGAGATCGCCCACCCATTGTGCACAGCTTTGCAAGTGGCCCTGGTAGACCTCTTCGCGAGCTGGGGGATCTTCCCGAGATGTGTCATTGGCCATTCATCTGGTGAGATTGCCGCTGCTTATTGCGCTGGAAAGATCACGCGTGAAGGTGCCTGGAAGGCTGCATACTTCCGCGGCTATGTGTCTTCAAAGCAGCTCATGGCCAATGGAGCAATGATGGCAGTGGCCCTCGATGCCTCTCAACTTGAGAATTATCTTGAATTGGTTCGTCAGGGCTCCCAAGGGGAGCTTATCATTGCCTGCTACAACAGCCCCAAGAATAACACTGTATCGGGCGATGAGGCCTTGGTCGACTCCCTGAAAAAGCTGCTTGATGCCGACGGTATATTCGCCAGGAAACTCATTGTTCAAAATGCATACCATTCTGCACACATGGTGGCCATTGCGGGTGAGTACTTGGATCTTATGGGTAACCTCTACTCTGGCAGACGATTAGCTGTGCCCCACGTGGTGCACATGTTTTCGACTTTGACTGGGCAGGAAGTGAAGAACGAGCATTTACCAGGGTCATATTGGCTTGAAAATCTGATATCTCCCGTTCGGTTCACTGTCGGGCTCACAGCAATGTATGCTCGGGCGAGAGCAAATGCGGGGTCTGATAACCTGCCCTATGTTATCGAGATGGGTCCTCATTCTACCCTGCAAAGCGCCATCAAAGAGACATTACCCCCTAGTGATAGCCAGCCAGGTGTAAAGTATCTGGCTGTTCTGAAGCGCAATGACCCAACTTTAAACGTCCTAATCAGCACAATTGGGTTTCTGGCAGCCAGTGGCTATCCTCTTGACTTGCATAAGATCAACCTCGCATGTCGACCGCAATTGCCCAAAAAGTCCAAGTTCCTAGTCGATCTCCCTCCATACTCTTTCAAGCACACTGAAAAAATTTTATATGAGAGTAGATTGAGCAGAAACTTGCGATTTCGAAAATACCCTCGTCACGATTTATTTGGAGCACCGGCTGTGGACTGCGATTCGAACAACCCTAGGTGGAGGCATTTCGTTAGGCTGAACGAGAATCCTTGGCTCAGAGATCATATGGTAAGTTGCGGGTGTGAGGTTGTTAGTTGGGTTGGTCATTCTAACATCTTTACTCAGGTCACTGGTAACTATGTCTATCCCGGAGTTGGTTACCTCATTATGGCAATTGAATCATCACGTCAGTTGGCTGGAGACAAAATGATTAGTGGATTCCGACTTCGCCAAGTGTCCATCAAAAGAGCTTTAATTGTTCCTGATACCAAGGAAGGCATCGAAGTTAGTATATCAATGATGAAGATAGAGAGCACACCGGAATCAAGGCAGTGGCGCCGGTTCCAGATCAGCTCGTTTAACAATTCAAGTGATGAGTGGACTGAACATTGTCATGGGTATATTGCCGTGGAGTATGCGACAACCCCAGATCCCATCGATGACGGGCGAGTGGCAAACGAAGAGACTGAGGCCTGGAGAGAAGATCTCCGCAAAGCTCATGATGCATGCACTCGTCCCATGAACTTCCAGAATATTTACGACAACATGCAAGCTTCCGGTCTCAACTTTGGTCCACTCTTCCGGAACCTGGATAATGTAAAGGCCAGCGTCTCGAAGCTTGGTATGATGACTGGTTCAGTTACAGTCCCAGATATTGCACAGTCGATGCCAAAACAGTACATGCATTCCCACTTAATTCACCCAGCAACCATGGATAGCATGATCCACATGATGATTGCCGCAGTCCTTGACTTCACAGGACGGTCTACTCTTGATCAAATCAAGTTGCCAACCTTCATTCGGGAGGTGTGGGTATCGGGTGATTTGAAGTCCGTACCACAGCACAAATTTACAGGGCATGCCTCAGTATCTGCAACAGAGGCAGAGAAGTTTGAGGGCAAGATCCGAATGCTTGATCATCATACAAGACGGAACTGTATCTTGATGGATGGAATCGAGCTCACGCCTCTCGAATCAGGGCTCGTGGAAGATAACAAGCGTCAGTTGTGTACACAGATCAACTGGAAACCTGATGTCCATTTTCTGGACTCGAAGTCTGCCAATGCATTGGTCAGTTTTGAAGACAGCGACCATGATCAGAACTTGTACTGGGTACAACGACTGCAGCTGGCTAGCATGCTTTACGTTGTCGATGCCTTGGATGAGCTGAGAGATTCTGAGGTTCTGAAGCTTGACTTGCATTTCCAAAGATTCTACGACTGGATGAAACACTCGCATGAAAAGCTTATTGATGGTGAAATGATCCATTTATCCCACAGTGCCTTTTCTGAAGTATACCAGAATGATGCACTAAAACGATCAATTTACAAGGAGCTTGAATCTCACAGTGCAGAAAGCGCCATCGCGTCCCGAATGGGGCGAAACATTGTCCGTATCATGCGGCAGGAGGTTGACCCACTTCATCTTATGTTTGGACAAGACAACCTGATGGAAGAGGTTTATAAGGAAGGCCTCCAGTTATTCAACCTTCCCAAATATCTCCACTCCCACCTCGCTCTTCTTGAGCACAAGCACTCTGGATTGAATGTGCTAGAAATTGGCGGTGGCACTGGCAGCTTCACTGCCGAAGTCCTTTCCGTTCTCTCCCCTTTGACTGGTGCATCGAAAGGCAGCATTTCAACCTATACATTTACCGATATATCATCCGGATTCTTTGAGAAGGCGAAGAAACGGTTCCAACCATGGAGTGACATGATGACGTTCCAAACACTCAATATCGAGAGCAACCCAGCTGATCAAGGAATTCGAGGGAAATATGACTTGATCTTCGCTGGTAACGTCATCCACGCCACTGCCAATCTCAATGTGGCTTTGCGAAATATCCGTTCTCTGCTTCGACCTGGTGGTCAATTGATCATGCAAGAGGGTATTCGGCAAGACTTCCTTTGGTATCCACTAGTGTTCGGTCAACTTCCCGGCTGGTGGCTCGGCAATGAACCAATTCGAGAATGGTGTCCGTATATTCCAGCAACCGAGTGGGATAAACTCCTCCAGCAGACTGGATTCTCAGGTGTTGATATTGAATATCAAAGCTCAGCAGATAAAGATTTATCGTGGCAGAGTATCATGGTTGCGACCGCTGTTGAGCCTGAACAGAAAAGACCTTTAAAGGATGTGTTTATCTTGACCTCTGAAAATATCTCCACTCGAACCGCAAAGACGGCCGAGTCAATTACTCAACTTCTTAGCCGCGATCCTCTTGTCGCAAATGTGGAGGTCTTACAGTTGGGGGAGCTTTCCAAAGCTATTTCACCCAACACCATTTGTATCTCATTGATTGACCTGGATAAGAAATTTCTCTCCGACATGGTTGAATCTGAATTTCTTAAACTTCAGCAAATGTTGATACAGTGTGACAACGTCTTATGGGTTATGCCAGAGGCGTCTATCCAACCTCATTCCCATATGAGTTTAGGTCTTCTGCGAACAGTTCGCTGGGAGCGAGACTCAGACGGCTCTAATATCGTCACTTTGGCTGTTCAGAATATCGAAGACGTCAAAGGCCTTGCTCTGGAAAATGCCTTGTACGACATTGCGAAGCAACAATTCTTCGGCATGCGAGATGCAGACCGACATGCTGAATACATCCTACGCGATGGCTTTATTGAAATCGGGCGTCTTCGCGAATGGCAAGAAGTGGATGATTTCCTGGCTGTCCAATCATCGAGCTTGGTTCATGAGCTTCGACAATTAGGAGATGTGGATCGCCCTATTGAACTCAGCCTCCCAGCACCTGGCTCCAGAGATGTACACTGGATCACAGACAAAACTCATTCTGTCTCCCTTGATAAAACTGAAGTTGAAGTAAGTGTTCAGGCAGTGGGTCTCAGTTCTGAAATTATGACCACCCATTCTTCAAATGAAGCCGCTGGATTTGTGAATAGGGTCGGGTCGGATGTAACAGACTTTGTCCCGGGCGACAAGGTTGCTTTTCTCACCAGCGATGAGCATGGCAGTTGTTTTAGAACCCTCGCTCGTGTCGATCACCAGTTGGTCGTCAAATTACCCGAGCAAATCTCATTCGAAACGGCTGCTGGACTTCCATCTATCTACGTTGCAGCGATTTATGGACTTGCCGAGATTGCTCGATTGAGTGAAGATGATACAATCCTCATCCAGTCTGGAGCCTCGGCCATTGGTCAAGCTGCAATTCAATACGCCAAAACCGTTAACGCAACCATCTTCACCACAGTGCATACCATCGAAGATCGTGAGCTCTTAGTTTCAGAATATGGAATTCTACAACATCAAATATTCTCTGCCAACGACCTCAGCTTTGTCAAAGGTGTCATGAGATCCACAGATGATAATGGGGTTGATGTCATATTCAATTCTATCGTCGGAGAAGCAAGCCAAGAGTCCCTTGCCTGTTTAGCTCCCTTCGGCCGTTGTGTCGATGTGTCTAACAGGACGACTCCCACAGCTGTTCTGACCGGTCCCTCTACCTATCACCGGAACTGGACAGTGTCGAATATTGACATATCTTTACTGGTTCAGAAGCGGCCGAAGATAATCAGACGCCTCCTTAGAGAGACATTGAAGTTATTTGTGGACGGCAAAATTAGCCCAGTCCTGCCAATGACCATGGTGGACTGCACCCAAATTACTGAATACCTCCCTGGCCCGCAGAGCACGTCACAAGCTGGAAAAACTGTTGTCAAACTCGACCCTTCCAATCTCATTGCCCTCGCTAGTGATGCCCTACCTCCCTACCACTTTGACGCCAATGCATCATACATTCTGGCAGGTGGGCTTGGAGGCATCGGCCGCAGTGCGGCGCGCTGGATGGCCTCTCGCGGTGCTAAACACATCATCTTCCTTTCGAGATCAAATCGCATGTCAGAGCCAGTCAAAGAGATGATGGTAGATCTCCAGGAACTAGGATGTAGCCCTCATTTGTTCATGTGTGACATTTGTGATGCCGATCAATTAAAGGCTGTAGTTGCACAATGCTCAGAATCCATGCCCCCAATCAAGGGTTGTATTCAGGGGTCGATGGTACTTCAGGTAAGTTAATCGCCCCCTTCTGACCCGGACAGCAACTCACATGTCTTTCAGGATGGGGCCTTTGCTGGCATGTCGTTCGATGACTGGAATCTTGCAGTCCGCCCTAAAGTTAGGGGCTCGTGGAACCTACATAAAATTCTCCCCGATGGGATGGACTTTTTTGTCATGCTATCCTCCGTCGCGGGAATTTTTGGAAATCGTGGCCAATCAAACTACGCTGCAGGGAACACATTCCAAGACGCGTTGGCGGTTTACCGCATGTCGCAGGGTTGCAATGCGTCTAGTGTGAACCTCGGCAGTGTGTCCAATGTCGGCTGGGTCGCAGAGAATCGAACGTCGATGCGTACCCAAACTTCAGTGTTATTCGAGACGCTCCGTGAGGATGAAGTGCACGCTTCTATTGAATTTCTCATCGATCCAAGACGTGACAAAGCTCCGAGTCGTGATAAGACCTCCCGGTCGCGATTAGTTCTTGGTCTGCCAACAGCTGATACATGCCGCTCCAACGCCATTCCTATACCCACATATCTTAATTACTCCCTATTTACACATCTCCGGAGCACTGCCATGGCCAAGGCTTCAGATACAGCTGAGCAAAAGTCTGTCAGTACTGCGGCCCTCTTGGCAGCCACAACCGAACCCAAAGATGCCCTCAGTGTTGTGTCAAATGGGATCGTTGAGAGGCTTTCTTCTCTTCTTGCCATCCCAACCTCCGAAATTGATGTCGAGAGGTTTGGGTTCGCGGCTATAGACTCACTTGTGGCAATGGAATTTCGATCGTGGATTGTCAAGGACCTCAAAGCTGATGTGTCCTTGCTAGATATCATGGGCGCACAGAACATTCGCTCCCTGAGCGAAAAGATTATTTATGCTACTCGCTTATTGGTACATGCATCCTCATGATTTACGACTTTTTTTTGTGGTTCATTTTGCATTTCTGCACCCTGATGCTTGTTTTTATTGTTGTTTGGACACGATAATGTTGTTTTCGTTACCTCTTTACGCCCGGTATGAGATATGATAATAAAGTGTGAAGCCCTTGCATTCCAATCAGACGTATAATCTAGAAAATTTCAGCAAAATATCTCGCATGCTTTTTCTATGCAATTTCGTAGTGCATTTCCATGCGGAGCTTTGTCATTCAAACATCCGGCATTGGTTCGACTGTGAACTTGACTGACCTGAACAAGATAGGTTGATGGGCTAGCCGTATGTACATAAAATTAAATTTGACAAAGAGAGGGAAGGCTTCTCGGATTTCTTCTCTTTGATCAAGCGCTAAAAATGTGCACATATAAGTACCTTTTAGTTATAGTTGGAAATCTAAATGACTCCAAAACTTAGTGAACGGGCAGTAGACGTGAATGTAACAGAACTCAACAACATCATTTGGAGCCTCAATTGTTAGAAGTATTCAAGATGTCTTTTGAGAGAAATGAAATAAAATCATCATTATCTCGAATACTCAATTTTGATTCACTCTTCCTCCTTCCGCCAGTTTCACTGACCACTACAGAGAACAGTTATATCACGTGACCCAGATAATTGGTCGACAGGTGTATAGTGGCAGAATCTCACCGCCAGATAGCGGAGTTTTCCTTATCGGCCTTTTTTTCTTGCGACCGAAAGCTCCAAGACTTGACGTTTAGTTAACTTCTCTTTCATACCATATTGGTGAATACCACTACTTGCAGCCATGGTCCGTGAGCTTAAGTATACCGAGAAAAAGTAAGTCTTCTGCCAAGTTCTCGATTCCCCTTTATTCGCCTCAATCCCGTCCAGCCTTCACATTCTTGACCACACATCTGACAATTTTTTCCATTCAGGCTTCTCAAGAAGCACAATTTTTATGACTACAAGTCAGATGGTGGTCACCGAGAGAACAGAGTCAGCCAGCAATACCATCTCAACAAGGAGAAGGAGGAATATCGGAAATACAACACCCTTTGCGGGTCGCTACGGAAGCTGGCTAACAGGCTCGCCAAGATGGACCCAGAAGATCCCCTGCGAAGGAAGCTCGAGTCTGATATGATGGACAAGCTTTATCGCATGGGTATCTTGAAGAAATCTCGTGAGCAGGGTGCTGCTCTGTCTGAGGTGGAACATCTTGGCGTTGCCAATTTTGCCCGACGACGTTTGCCAAATGTGATGGTTGCTAAGAGTTTCATCGGGACCGTGACGGATGTGAGTATATTCCAAGACTTTTCTTTGCCTTCTTGAAAAGATCACCCTTCGAGTCACCTAAATGAGGGTCCTTCAGGCCGTGAAACGTATAGCGAGACTAATTGACCAATTTTAATAGGCCATCAGAGCTATTCAAACTGGAGACGTTCGGGTTGGAACCGAAATCATCACAGACCCAGCATTCCTTGTCACTCGGAATATGGAGGATTATATTAACTGGGTCGACACCAGCAAGTACAGGCTTGCGAGCAAGCAATACCGGGGTCAACAGGATGACTACGACACCCTCCAAGCATGAGCTACTTCATTTTCAAGCTGGTCATACACGTCAACGGAAACTGTTTTTTCATATGATATACCCAACCCCATTTGCAATGTTATGTTGTTCTTTGTTAAAAATAAGAAATATTTCTTTTTTGAAACTGGGCTATTGATCAACCATTCAAATCTTCACCTTCCATTTCCACTTCCAGTCCAGAAGCGCCCAGCGGGACAGGGCGACACTGATAAGCCCAACTAACAGGAATATGGAGTAAAAGCTCACAAGAATCTGTGGTGTAGTTGATTGCAGTAGTTCACCACCGACCGGAACAGTCAATAGCACCCCAAAAGCGGCAACACTGTATATTGTGCCGTAGAACCGGCCGTACTCCTCGGTGCGACACAATTGACCAGCGCATACTGGAGCAAGCGATATCCACCCACCGGATCCAAATCCAAAAATCGCCACGACTGCATACAATGTGACCTCATCACGCGAACCAAATGGAATCCAGACGGCCGCCATGATCAGTAGAGTCATCATTGCCAGCGTCAAAAGGACATTGAACCGGCCCACCTGATCAGCTGCAAGTCCAGGAAGGATTCTCCCCAATGCACTCATACTGTTCAAAACAGCAAGCGAATAATATTGTACATTCAAGTCCAAGCCGGTATAGCGGACATAGGTGGGCAGCAGTGAGGCGCAGCCAAAAATGATAAACTCGAAAGCAAACACAGCAACGGCAAGAAAACACAGCCGTGGTTCTTGAAAAGCTCGGAAGTCGATAACTGCTCGACTCACGTTACCAGCAGGCAATCGTCCTTTGACAAGGACAATTCCGAACAAGTAGCAGCCTAGGGCCATGAATGCGATGATCCGAATAGCCCAACTCCATCCATACTTCTGGAACAAAGTGCGTAGCAGAAGAGGAATAATGGTACCTCCGGCAGACGAGCCAGCCATGCAAATTCCGGAAGCGAATGCCCGGCGTCGATAAAACCAGTGACTCAATGCGGCGATGCCAACGGTGGTAATAATTGCAGACGAAATACCACCAATGATGCCGAGGCAAAGCATAAAATGCCAATATTCTGTACACTCCGCCAGAAGCAAGTACGAAGCCACGCTGGCCATTGATCCGCAGATTAAAAGCATACGGGGGCCATAGTGGTCAAATAAAGGCCCAACTTGGGCTCCCAAAAATAGGGTCAGAAAAGTCAGGACGGCAGTGATCCAGCCCACATCTCGAACAGTGTAAGCGGCTAGTTGATGGGTGTTGATGTAGTCCTGGACCGTTCCAACTAAATCATCGTGAGTATTATTCTAATCCTGCCGCTCTTGAGAATGACTTTTACCAGCAGTTTGAAAGCCAAAAGATGGAAACATAAGCAGAGCGGAGCCCAGCAAACAGGTCCAGGCCTCACGCCCGCCCTCCGGGAAGGCTAAGCTCACCCCAGCATCGGGGCTTTGCGAGGCGAGATCGAGGTCGGTCAGTTCATAGTCTGTGGTTCGCGTAGATCGCTGCATCTTGAAATACCTAATAGTGCATAACGTGCAGGTTGTTTGAAAAAGATCTGTAGTGTTTAAGAGCTCTCAAACCTTTGACGAGCAGAGTGGACCGGACCAGTCGTGAAGTGGGTCTTGAGTCATTGAAAGGGCGTGGGGAACTCAATTTAGTAATTAGTGGAGGGCCACAGCTCTTTTGAGAATGAAGCGCCAAGCCATTTAAACATTTCGAAAAATTCTCGTATTGCCATGATAATCAAATTTGTCATAGTTGCTGTTCGCAAAAGTACGATGGTGCGTAGGTGCCAAGTTTGAATCTCTAAGCGTTGCGCCCTGCGAACAATGAGAACACAGCGGCTATCGATTCGATAGCAAGATTCAATATTTCAAGGCTTCTTTCGGAAATTTCATTCTTATCTAACTATGGCATTTCTGATAGGCCGTATAGATCTTGGCTCCCTATGCTGTGTCCTAAGTGTTTTCTAGATGTTGAGGATGGCCCGCGTTGATAGATTGACCGAAGGTATTAACTCAAAGGAAGGGGATTCCCCCTTAGCACTCGACTTGATGAACCAGTACGCCATTTAGCAGCCCGATCAAGGAAATATGGAGATAAGAGAGCCCTGACAGGCAGGGGCTTATTAATTAGAATTTTTCTGGTGGCTTCTTTACACCCAGGAACCTAGCTATCCGTCGAGGTGCATTCAAAGTGAGTCATTAAACACAATAGAGCGCCAGATTGATCTCTATAGCTCAAGAAGCTGATCTTGCAAGAGGCAGCTCTTGTGGACCGCATTCAACTGCGTTTCTTATAGGCGTAGAGCCGGAATGACATTCATTATCTCCGCTGTTCCACCGGCCAGGAAAGCACCCCGGCACATAGTAGCGAAGAAATTGGCGTAAGTAGGGGAGAGATCCACATAATATTATGAAATTCGACTCGATGTTACTGTAATGATGGAATCCAAGTCCATCGGATATTTTCAATTAATACAAGATGGAGAAACAGGAGAGGGTGAGAGGACAGAGAACTTACGCCAATGTCAAGGCAAGAGCTAGTCTGTATGATTGGTCTTTTGAGGTCACCAGTGGCCATAAGGTTGCCAGTCGTAGAATACTGGTGACAATGGTCCTGGGAGAACATTCATTAGCTACAGTGCTCAAGTAGTCCACCTTTTCACATTTACAGTTTATGTAGTGCCAGGGAGAGCAATGGGGATAGGGATTCTCACAGACAGCCAATACCGAACACAAAAAGTGCTCCCAGCTTCTCAACGGAACGTAGTTGTAGCTTCCATACGACCTTTATGGGAATCAAGATCAATATTACATCGCTTACGGTATTCGTGGCGGCGGTTGCAAGATATAAACCAGGTCTGTTGATGCAAGACCCGCCCTGGATGGTGGTACTCCAGCTTTTTGCGATAGGGTTGCATGCAAAAATCAGCGCTAGAGTCAGTGCTATGGTGTATCCAACAATCACGAAGCCAACCAAATATAGTGTGTATACCCAGAATCGGAATAGACTGAGGAGCCTGTAGTACAACATGAGTAAGGCGAGCTTTGCGAGGGCAAGACAAGGAATGTAAACGATTGAGGTGGCTAGGATGATCTATACCCAGCAATTTTAATTCGAGTTCAAGCTGTCAGGACTCTGAAAAATGAGTTGTTCCGTGATAGATACCGTACCTTGGTTAAATGCGACAAAGTTGACGAGGACAATTCTGTGATATGTCTCCCAATCCCAGCATGGCCCCATCCATCTCGATCAGTCTCAATGAGCCAAATTCTTTCGAGCAAACAGCCAAGTAATACTCACAAAGTATAATTGCTTGAATTCCAACGACAAAAATCTTTTTTTTTTTTCAAAGAAATGTCAATACATTTGATAGACTGGAGTTGAGGTGGTATTACCCAAGCAGCGATGATAAACACTGGTTTACAAGGGCATGTTAGGTAATTGTAATTGCCAATAAAAGGCAGTCAGCCTGAGAATCAAAAGAAGATTATTTACCATCATCCCACCAAAATTTCTTCATGATATGTATCTTTGTATAAATCCGCATCACGAGGGAACTGGTGCTTAATGATAGTCCGACTGCAACCAGTACCTGATTCGTTGTCTGCAACCACGGCTTTGAATCCGTTGGCTCGACTGAATTTGCAGAGGAATCAGCCATCTAGGAACGATTGCAGCGGTATCATCAGGTGTGTCAGGCATAGGAAATTTTGTGCATGATATGACATATGACCGAATATTGAGTAAGTTTGAAGGTGAGCCTAGAAAAGCGGTCATCGCCAAGATGAATCATCGACTTTCCGCGTTGAAAATATTGCACATTCTCTTTTGCGCACTTCGTCTTCCTCGATGTTCATTGACTGTTTGGCCTCACCGCTTTAATTTAAGATTTGGTTCAACCGTCTCTTATCGCTAACTCTTTTCTTCTTTCTCTATACCTATACAGTTTCCACGGGCCTTCTTGAGAGCTAATTAGGCCAAGTGTAGACTGCAGCAGCTCGCTGTTTCTACTGACAATCCTATTTATTTAGACACAAAAAGGACATATTAGCCTCTCCATCTACAAACGCAAAACCCACACGGAAAGCTTTTGTAAAAATTCATAAAATTATTTGGTCAGTTGATTATTATCATTATTATTATTATCCTGAGATTCGAAGAAATTGTACCAGATTGAACGTGTCGTTTACGTGAGGAGAACAGATGATATGATAAGATCGAAGTGGTTTGGGTGATAGAGAATTACCAAGCCCTACCCTACTGGTTGTTCTTGGCATCATTCACGATATCCTCCGCGGCCTTTTCAGCCACCATATAAGTTGACACCGCAGTAAAAGTACCTGGAATACGAGGATACACAGATGCGTCCACTACTCGAAGGCCACTGACCCCACGGACTCGGAACTTTGAATCCAGAACTGCCATTGGGTCATCATCCGCACCAATAGGGCAAGTACATGAAGCATGGTGACCCCAGGCAGTGTCCATAATATAGTCATGAATATCCTCGTTAGATGTCACGTCTTTGCCAGGTAGCACTTCGGTGACATCGACCAACTGGCGGTCAAAAGCATCCCGAGCAAGCGCAATTGCTTCTGTAATCGCCTCAAGGTCAGCGTTGTAATCACCGCTACCGGTGTCAAAGTAGTTGAAGACAATTTCGGGCATGTCAAGAGGATCAGCAGAGCGGAGCGTGACAGAGCCAGCAGTGTTGCGGGGATGAGCTTTGAGGATGGCCCAAGAGAACCAATCGTGGCGTTCGGTAATATTGATGCTGTAATTTGGGAAGTACCCACGGAAGTTGATCGGGCCGCCAAAAACGAATGCGTCGTAGCTGTCGTCTGAAGTGACAGAGCTCTTATAAAACATCGTAGTAGCAAATCCTGCCGACGAGTAGATGCCACGGTTTCCAAGAATAGGGTTATCCCAACGGGTCAGACACGGGTCCTCCTGTCCATCAATTTGGAACGTGCAACCATCTAGTGCCGTCCAGTTCTTGGGCACATGGCCTTGTACGGCAGTTTCATAGTGATCCTGAAGATTGGTTCCGACGCCAGGGAGATCTTTGACCACTTCGATTCCAAACTTGCGCAGCTCATCTGCGGGTCCAATGCCACTCAACTTCAGAACTTGCGGGGAGTTGTATACACCACCCGCCACAATAACCTCACGGGATGCCGATACACTACCCGGAACACCCTTGGAAGCAGTGCCCGAGCGCGGACTGGCGCGATAGAGATACTTGCCGTCTAGGAATTCGACACCAGTTGCACGAGGGGTACCCGTTGAGCTATCAAAGATGACCTTGGTAGCGTGGCAATTGGTGCGAATATCCAGAGGATACTTCTTAGAGCCGTCTAAATTCTTCGCATCCCGCACAGCAATGAGAAAATCCCGTGGTCCGTTACGTTTGCCGCCATCAGTGGCCACCGGGATCTGATAGTATCCAGGATTGGTGTCGCGCGATTTCGAGTCCCTATTGGCATCGGCCGCGAGGAGGGTCGCAATGTTGAAGACAGCATTGGTACTATTACCTAGGGCGAAAGCGCCACCAAGGAGCAGGCTCAAAAGCTGAGGATCTTCCAGCACAATGCTAAGAGGCGCAGTCTCGTCGCTTAACCAACCATCATAACCATGACCGGGGATTCCAGGCAACAGATATTGATTGTTCTCCATGCGCTCAAAATACTTGCGCATGTTATCTGGCGACCATGATCCGTCGCCAGTGAGTGTCGCAATATACTCAAAATCAGACTCATGTGGATAGACTGTGATCAAAGCGTTATGGGCAGTGCATCCACCAAGGGTTCCGGTACGCGGATACAGAGTGCCCTTCATGGTTGATCCTTCGGGTGGGTTGAGACCAGTATACTCTTCACCGTCCGGAGTCGTATAAGTTGTCTTGTAATCACGAGCCTGTCGTGCTTCATCTTCGTAGTGACGCACGAAGAAATTCCATGCAATAGCTCCATCTTCAGATGATTTGGCGGAGTAGGCCGGGACAGTATAGTTGGTATTCAGACCCTGGTCATCTCCCGCTTCGATCAATAAGGTTTTATGTCCAGCCAGTGCAAGTCGAGCAGCAAGGGGGCCTCCGCCGGCTCCAGATCCAACAACAACATATTCATAGCCGGTGAGTTCAACAGCAGCCGTTAGGCTTGCCGAAAAAGCAGCCAGCGTAAACAGCCGACCGAACAACATAATGAAATCAAATGAGCGTGGTGAGTTTTGAAATGAGTGTCTGAAGAAGAAAATCCTAAAAAGGTTCATGCACTAGTTTTAAAAGACATCAATTGAACGAACGAGGAGATCGCCCATCAAGAATCACTTTAGGGAGTCATGCAACATTGACTATTGGCTGGCTGTGGTGTTGTGGTGGGGTTTAGTATTAAAAACATATCCAAGCGAGATGAAACTGGAACTCGGGTTCAAAATGGCAGCCGACATTGTGTGAAGTTCCCCTCGTGGACCCCTATTGTGTAGTTATGGTTCCGGTGTACCAACCAGAACAATGGGGCGGCTGCTTAGCGGCGACGATCCAGCTACATTGAGTAGGTGATGAGAAGCTAGTTGACTCCAGAGGTGGGTCCTCGCGACACGAGCGCCAGTGTCACATGTTTTGCTGCCATGTCGAACGCTAGCATGGGCAGTATGCATGTCATGAATCGCAAATTTTTCCACCGATTCTATTGACAGGTGAAATTATGATTTAGTATGATTTAGGGGAATTCTATCGATGGATCTGATCGGCCAGCACGATAAGAGTTGCTAGTCCATGGCATTAATCATCGTACGTAGACGGAAATGGGGCGAATGAGGGCATGATGTATATCAGCATTGAATTCCAGGCTGTTTGTCTGGATAGTATTTGAATTTGGGCAATCTATACGAGAGCAAAATAAGATGTATTCTTAATCTAGATATGCATTCACTTTTCCAGTTCCGTCTGTTTTTCGGGGACCCTTTTTATTCGGGGAGCTTTGACCTTAATCTTGTCCCCGGAAACCGTTTTAGGCCACGGCAATCAATCACGGAAGGTTTGTACTCATTTGGGGAGGAGGAAGATCCACTGTGGGACGAATGCATTGCTTCCCCATTTGTGCAATATTGGTAGCCTGTTCAAAGGCATATGCAAGCCCAAGTAATTTTGCCTCGTTAAAGTGACGCCCAACGAACATAAGCCCGTATCTAGACTCATATTAGCATATGCAGCTATATAGCAGGGAAAGAAGAAAGTAATACTAACGGGATATTCGGGCCCCGGAACTTCAGTCGATCAAATACCTTTCTGGCATCCACTGCGTGTGAGTAAAATCCAAGGGGCACGACGATCGCAGGGTTACCCCCAAGGTCAAAAGGTATATCGGTATATGCTGGGGCCACAATGGCGTCACAGGCATATTGGTCAAGCATTCGGTTAACTTCTTCCCCGAGATCATCCACGTGGGCTTTGATTTCTCGAGCTTTATCATCAGGCAGGTGTGCTGCATTGCTAGCCTGATCAAACCAATCCGCACCATACCGGTCATACTGTTCTTCCGGTGTTTCTTTGAGGAATTTAGTGAGGTCAGACATTGTTTCAATATTGTGAGGATTCTTAGCCAAGCTGCCAAAATATGATTCGAGGCCTATATTGGATCAGTAATCGATATTGAGGAACAATCTTCATGTACAGACCTTCTCGGAGGCACGCGCCATCCCATATGACGCTTCTCGGGGTTTCGCCCGCTTTCCATTTGGGGAACTCGGCATTTTCGATGAGCGTCCCACCAAGAGAGGTAATAATCTTCAATGCATTCTCAAAAGAAGCTAAGAGTTCTGGCTCTAATCTCTTGCCATACTCGTTTGCAGCGGCGATGGTAGATCGTGGGATCTATAACTTTTAGCTGGCCGGATCGGTCTTGAGTGGGTGCAGAGGCATGCATACCGCAATTTTTGTATTTTCAAATGCGTCATGTCGGCAGGACCGGACATAATCTGGCGTGAGGAGGAACGGAATTCTGTTCTGGAAAGGGGTTTCGGCGGTCTTGGGATCTAGTGGATCTTGGCCTTTTCTTACGTTTAGCACATCATACAATAGTTAAGTTCTTCAGACCTTACCGGCAATAACTTGCAAAATCAAAGCAGCGTCCTTGACATTCTTGGTAATGGGGCCGATGGTGTCCTGATATTTATTGACGGGGATGATACCAGCCCGCGATGTAAGTCCAACTGTTGGCCGTAGACCAACAACATTGCACCTATCAGCAGCGTAAATAATACCACCAATTGTCTTTTGGTAGATCGGCAAAGAAATTAGCTTTACAACATCACCTTCACAGGTGAGTTTCCAAAACTCACATCAACTCCAATGGTAGCAGCAGCCAGACCTTGCGACATAGCAACTGCAGACCCCGACGAAGAGCTTTGCGGATCCTGGCTACCATAGAAGGTAGCTTGGCATTGCCCGTACATTGGAGACCATCCATGTGGCATACAACCAGAGCGGGCATAACCAAACTCGCTCACATTTGTCTTGCCCAAAATGATTGCGCCAGCATCTCGCAGTTTCTGAACCATGGTGGCTTCACGAGGTGGCCGGGCACCACGAAGTGCAAATGAGCCCGCTACATTCTGGAGTTTAGCTAGCAGTTTTGAAGATTTGGCTGAGAAATACGAACCAGTTGTCTCCATCCCATCCAATGTAGCGAAATTTTCATTGATCAAAATGGGTATTCCATGAAGAGGCCTATTTTGTGGGTATTAGCATGGTTTCAAACCTGTAGATCAACTCGGAGGACGTACCCTCGAACCTCACCCCGCCGTCTCTCCATATCTCTAAGAATCGCGGTATTGTTTGCTGTATGGTTGTACTGTGCAATCGATTTGGTAACACATTGGACCTGTTTAATACGTTCTTTAAAGACCTAGAATTGTGATCATAAAGCCAGTCAGAATTTGGACATTGCTAGGGTCAGATTCGATCGTTCTTGAATCTATCTCACCTTCACTAGAATCTCGCTCGTGATGCTTCCCTTGTCTAATTCTTGCTGAATCTTTTCAATATGTAATGTTTCGATACTGAATATTTCTTCTTGTTCCTGTAAGACTTTCTTCGCCGAGATCAAGCTATCGACTTGTGTTCCTTTTTCCACCTGCGAGTTTGTTTCTGCTTGGGCGCCCTTGTCGATCATAGGCGATAATATTCCGTTCTCCATCTCTGATTCCGGTCTCGTAGGAGACATCAAAGTTGAAAATGAATCTCTAGTTTCGCTTGGTGATGCTATTTTTTCAATTATAGGTGTCAGTTAAGGCCTCTTTTATGATGGACGACAGGTTGTTAGATGTAATAGGTTTCTTACAATAGCCAAACATTTCTCGAACAGATTTGGTAGATTGCTTCGCCAATGATAAATAATCTCAGTTTCGTCCTCTATTGGAATTATAATTCAGCAATGCCTGATCTTGAATGAAATGCAATGATATGATGGGGGTGATAATAGTTATGTTGTCTATTCGGCCCCTTAAGCTCTCCCGGGCGGCTATTTCTCCAACGGCGAGCCGCTGACCGCGATATTCGACCTTGAAAGCCGATGGTTGCGCCTGAAATGATAGTCTCATATATTACGTGATTTGTAGGAAGTCGCATTTGAGGTCCAATGATCGGCAGGATATATCCGCCGTTGGACCTCGGGTGGTAGGAATTCACCCAACACCAAAACCCGCTCTCAAACCCAACACGTTCGCCTAGTGATACAACAAATCCAATATCACATCACGCGCTGTAATTACTGTATTAGGAATGCCTTTGCCGGAGGCCTCAATGGTTGAATGAAAGGGCTCTATATTAGAGAAGGCGTTGGGTTTGTTATTCTATGATGTACGCTGTGACTAAAATCGATGGGGCAAGTCTAGGTACCTCGCAGTCTAGCACCGCGTAGGCGCTCCAGCCACAGAAGCAATTGATGCAATATACAGTACAGGATCACACATTCGCTCATAGCTCATCCTTCTCATCCTCCTCCGCCGGCGGAGGCACTGGGCGGCCACTGTCGGTACCCAGATTGACACCGATCTTCTTGCGCCACTTTTCCCAAAGCGCGAAGAACTCCTTCTCCATGCCACTCTCCATCTCATCGGGCAACACGACGGTGTATTCGACGTACAGATTGCCCGGTTCGTCTTCGCCCTCTTCGTGATGATCGTGCAGATGTCCCTCTGAGTAGAAGGGCATGCCCTCACCCTTGACAGTTTCCACGCCCAGCGGCTGGATAACCTCACCACGCTTGCGCCCCAGCCGAACAATATGGCCATCCAAATGCGTCAAGTTGCGCGACCACTCACCCATCCAGGCCTCACGCAGCGAGAGAGTCTCTTTCCAGAAAAGATCCTTGCCCTTACGGCGGAAGAAAGTGCCATCAGTGCGCTCGTAGTCCTCCTGCCCAAGCTCAGGCTCCTTCTCGTCCAGTATGACAATCAAGTCACCGGCAACCCAATCGGGGCTCTCGTCAGCCTCGTTCTCGAACACTAACCTCGTCCCCTTGTCCATGCCAGGCTCGATGCTGGCCGATGTCTCGACCTGCTTCCTGACAACCCGGTTACCCTGGCACACGGGGCACGGATTCTTGATCTTCTTGCCCTGACCACCACACCGATCACACTGCATCTGGACCTGCTGGAACATGCCCGGGGCCAGCATATGCTTTTGGATAACCATCCCACGCCCGCTGCATTTATCGCATGTAATCACCTCACGATCCTTAGATCCAGTGCCTTCACAGTCGTCACAAATCTGTTGCTTCTCCACCAGGAAGTTGATCTCCCGGCCCGTGTAGAAGTCTCGCAGCGGCAGTGCCGCTTTCACTTCCATATCCGGCCCGCGTCTATGACCGGACCCCTGGCCAAAGTGGCCACCTCCGCCGAAGAACCGCGAGAACAAGTCAAACGGATCATTAGAGCGGCCCCCAGCGTTGCCGCCTTTGCGGTGCTGCTCCACGCCGTCATGGCCGTATTGGTCGTAGACCTTGCGAAGAGAGGATGTAGACAGGACATCGTAGGCATCGGCGATCTCGACGAACTTCTCGCGCGCAGTTTCGTCGCCACTAGAAATAGAGGAGAAACAGTCAATACTCGTATTGCGTCGGCCGCGGACCACATAAAGCACAGAACCGCAATAGAAAGACCAGGTCTCAAATGGAATACGCTGCAAAACTTACGGGTTCTTGTCCGGGTGGTATTTCTTGCTAAGATTGCGGTACGCGCGCTTGATGTCCTTCTCTGAGGCGGATTTGTCTATGCCAAGCACCTTATAGTAGTCCTCCGCGGCGAGCACAAGGACAGAGAACAACACCACCGCCAATGCAATCAACAGACGTTGTAGATACATACTGTCGATGAAAAAAGCAAGAAGCTGCAGCGGCAGCTCATGTATGGTGGAAAACTTCGGAGGGTCTTGACAATGGGCGTGCGGAGCTGCGAAGCGTCGCAGGTCCCGCTCCGGTGGATGGAGCTGTGGGTGGGAGCTCGGTGATCAGGGGTGGATTGGCTGTGAACTCGTGGACTAGCTGATAATCATGAGGATTGGGAGAGAAAGTCCCGGGAAATTGATGAGCTGGACAATTAAGGGACCGGGTTTTTTCTGGTCTGCTCTGTGTCGCGTCGAACGGGCCAGGTAATCCTTATCGCGATGGGGGGAATAATGTTGCGCCGGATCACGTGAACAGCAATGTATAGAATTCTCCATGTTGATAGATCGGGATTGTCGATAATGTAATCTTTTCAAGCTTTGGATGTGAAGGTCAAGGACAACTCAAACTTCTTTGGAAAGTTCCTTGAATTATTTGTGTATTTGTAATCATTACAGCCCGGATATTGCATATGTGCGCCGTTCGAGGTCCTCATAAAGCAGCGAAGAACATATCCAGTTTGATCATCATTCATAAATCCCTACCCTCACATTCCGAAAGGGCCATCGCCATTGAATCACCGAGCACTAGAAACATTGAAGATATCATTTCTCCAAGTGTACCCCAAGCCATGGGTCTCATCCCCATCCTCGATCGCCTCCTGGGCACGAGTAGCCTGTTCATGCCAGGTCTTGACAATACTCCCGGGTGCATAGATACCCTTGAAAACGCCACTCTCAGGGGTATCAAGGCCAATTCGAGCTTCTATATCCGAATCAGCCGGTTTCAATCTTGCAATAACAGCTCGCACGAAAGTAGCTAGGTCCTGTGGGTTGGCGATCCGCGCAGCACGCAGCCGCTCACGCGCAAAGACGAGTTCCCGATTCAGTGCAAACGCTGCAGCCACGATCTCTTCGGCAATTTTCTTTTCCAAGACACGGCGAACAAGGTGCTTCAGGAAGGGCTTGGTCAGCCAGAGAAGGAACTTCCATTTGCTCTGCGAGACCTTGTAGTCCAGCTTGTGGATGCGAACGCGTACACCGCACAGAGTAAAGATTTGCTCTAGCCTGCCACGGCCGATTTCGATATCCAGAGAAATGTCAATGCCACGACGGTCGAGGAAGAAGCTGGCGATACCTTCATCTTTCAAGTGGAAGAAGACACCTGTATGGGTCCGTAGCCAGTATCCGAAATCCTTCGCACTGATGTTCAAGCCCTGGACAGTTACTGTAAAGGCGGTTTTGATAGATGTCTCAGTTCGCTTAGAATGCTTCTTAACAACATTGATATCGTTGCGGGTGAGAATATTGAGGCGGTATGGAAGGAAAGAAGAGAAGTTAACTGTGTGGCCCGGTTCCAGGACCAAATTCTCCAGAAGTAGATCCATCTCGGGTGCAGATACCTCCAGCCGGGGTATCGGAATGAATTGGATGGCTCGCAGCACAACTGGAAGAAAAACATTGACTATGTCAGCGGGGAGATCATTTTTCTTATCGTTGTAAGCCTGGAATGCATCATGATGCAGCTTCTTGGTCGCATTGACCAGCTTCGACACAGCAGGGTCCTCAGGAACATTGCGTAACGTCCGCTTGGCTTGGGCCAAGAATTCGTTCACATCTTTACGGAGGCCAGTCTCGGAAGTGACCTTCTCGGACTGTTGTTCCAGTTCTTCAATTCTGTGAGGAGCAGAATCGAAAAATTCCGGGTCCATGAGCATGTCCTGCAAAGATCCGCCCACTTCTCCCATCAGTCTTTCGAATTCAGGGTCCTTTTCTGCATGGCTCAGAACGTTGTGGAACTGCTTTTGAAGAAGATCCCAATCTTGAGGGTTCCCAAACAACCGCAAGAGACCCCAAAATTGATCGACTGCTTGCTTAAGGTCTGAATTGAATTCAAGATCTTCCTGTGCAGCTGAGGCTGTATCTTCCGCAGCACGGGAGTAGAGAACAATATAGCGTTGGAAAAGCTGCACGATGGTTGAGACAGAATCTTGGTAATCGGTTCGTTCTCTCAATTTCTCAACAGCCTTCTTGAGCCGATAGAGAAGGGTATCTCGTTCGCGACCGGACAAATGTTCTTTGGCGCTCTTCACAGCCGCCTGCTCCGTGTGAGCTATTCCCTTCCCAGTAGCCTCGATCACCTGTGCCATTTCTTCCTTCAATTCATTTTTCGATAGAGCCCGTCCTTCATCTGCGCCGGCACCCTCTATAGCGTACAGTTCCTCTTCAGAAGGCTGGACTTGCTCGGCAACCTGTTTGGACGTCTCCGCTAATGAACTCGCGGTATCTGCGAAGATCTGCCGCCCAACTGTCGCAATATCATCTATAAACAGACGGAAATCGGCATTTGTCAAAAGTAAGCTGCCAACGGTGCGGAAGCTATCGTATGCTGGAGATCAAGGACAACACGAATTAGCAAGTACGTTCCCATCTTTGTAACTGTCATGATAGTCTAAAGAGTCTCGTGGACTGGCGAATTATGACCTACCGGCTTTCGTATCGGCACGCGCCTTAACTTGCGCAGCTTGCTGTGAGATCTGCGACCGATCTATCTCGACCCGTGCGCGCGACAGATGCCATAGAAATTCCTGCAGATTATCATCGGCATTCTTATTATTGAGGAATTCGATGAAGGTTTGGATCCAGAGGCGGGCGTCACGGACGAGGTCACGACCGACCGTGCCAATGTCCTGGTTGCGCAGGTTCAGTACATCCGAGGCGAGTAGGGTGCGCAGATTGACAATAGTCTGCTCCGTGGACGGCATGTAGCCTTCAGAAAGGGCGCGCAGCATTTGATAGGAGTGCAGCTTCTGGTGTAGCTGCCGTTGTCGGGCAGTGTCATCCTCATAGCGAGGGAGAAGAGGGTCAGTTTCGGAAGGCATTGTGGTGAGAGGGCCCTCTAGGCCCAGGGCAAGGGGAAAGTGTTGGCAGGTGAGATGACACCGGACACGGAAGGTTTGTGAGTCAGTGAGGATTGTGAAAAAGGGAGAACAACTGCGTTCCAAAGGCGTCAAGGGAGCAATGGATGGGAAGGATGAGAAGTGTAAGAATGTAAGCTGGTATGGCGGGGAGGAGCTTCATCCTGTTTTGGGTGGGGATGACGACACCCGCGACGGGGTTGATGGTGTAACCGCGATTGTTTGCTTTGTGACGGAAGAAAACAAAATCTTGCCATGCAATCCGGGGACTCTGAAAGAAAGATTTAGACTCTATACCTATGTCCACTGTTAATAGACGACTGTACGCACAGTCACAACAGGAAACTTGGAGGTTGGAGGCGTTTTGGGAGAGCCGTTGGAATTTGGCGATCGACGCGGGGAAAGCTATCCCGTCCCACCCGGTTCCCGACCTTGATCCAGACCAAGTCTATAAACAGCGTTCATGTCCTGAATAGCTCGTCCTAGAGAACGTATTTTGTGCGTAGATATCCGGCTTTATATTTGTTCTTGATGACTCGGGATCTCTACAGATCCCCTTAGGCATACATATATTGTATTTTTTGGATCGGTAACATAACAGGTAACACAGTCCTCGTCCGTGTCTTTCATAGCTCGTACAATCTACTGCCGCCATTAGGTGTCACTGAGATCTACGGACCGCTAATAGTGATAATTTGAGCTAACACAGATCTCGAGGCATTCAATCGAGCGTAGATATAAGCGACGGCCCCTATCACGTTGGCTATGTTTCTCGGCCTCAAGAGCTCTGACCACGGGAATAGGATTCACAATACACCCCTAGTCTCCGAAGACCGCCGCCGCCCTTCTGCAACACGATCTAAATTTAGTTACTCTCCATCAATCCCCCTCAATGATGAGCCCATTCCGCAAGCTAATCTTTAACCAAAGCCCTTACCACTGCTCTAAGAATTTGAATGGGGGCAGGGTGAGATCTACGACGTGGATCCACTAAGTATCTACAACTTCATAGAATCACCGGTCACCGTCCACAACAAACAGTGGTAGAGGGTACAGAATAGAACCTAGTCTTGGCCCTAAGTGTGAATTGGTAGCTTTCCTTGAAAACGATGTTCCGACGCTAGCATCTAGTCACGATACTTTAAATTTTGTAACTAGCTTCTCTTACAGAATTTGCCATCTAGTGAGTCACTAGGCAACATACCATGTCTTCGCATGTAGAGTGATTAGCTAACCATTCTGAGAACTAGCAGCCGCCTACAGGGAGGTATAGTCCGCTTCCTTGGCTAGGTAGTTGGTTAAATGGTTAAGTGGAGGGTTGACTAGTTCGAGAATGTAATGTAATGATACACTTTTTATTTCTTAAAAAGAAAGGCTCAATTGTTCAGTATTTGCCACGGAGCACTGTCTGGTAGGCGAAAGCTGTTGTACGCAATTTACTCAACCAATTCTTGTTGGATCAAGCGCTCGCCCAGGCAGGGGTCCGGCGCTATATCGGACGTTCCGCCGGTACATCATCGGGATCAACGTGTAATTCGATGCTCAAAAATATAACAGTTTACCTCTGAGCATGCAATGACATTCAATTTGGCTTTGCCTAAACTACCTTCACTTCAATATACGTATTCATGAAAGTACCTGGGATCCTGAGCAACTAAAATTCAAGGGACGCAAAAAGCACATTCATGAATCAACTCAATCCAGAGGGGAAATCTTATTGTAATTAGCCAACCTCTTTTTCACTTTGCAACTTGTTCCTGGCGTACTTTTTAGGATTTTTGTATCTGTGCGTGAAAACTCTTCTCTAGGACACAGAAGGTCGCCAGAAAACTATGCTCAACGCCGCCACAAGAGGTACACGAGAAGCATATCGTAAAAATGCACCAAAATTATCAAGTCTTCTGGTTTGGTTTCTTGTGGCGGGGCCAGGTATGGTCCTTGGTGTGGTTGGAAAATCTTCTTTCGTAAAACAATATACTGAAAACCATGCCTGAAGGTTAGCGGGCAACCTCTCGGTGGATGGTTCAAATTGATGCCATAAAATCGTTCAAGAAACCCTTAGATAGATAGCCTTTTCTTCCAATGCTTTTCCAGCACAGCGAGGACCGATTCAATAGCTTCAGAAGATTTTTGCAAGTTTATACGTATATTTGAGGCTTGTAAAGAGATTCAGAAATCAAGCTCGCATAATTTGCTTGCTCATCGATACATATTTCGACGAGGACAAGAAGAAAAAAGCCTCGACTTCTTTGTGACGTCCTTTTAGACACAAATATCTATGAAAAACAAATAAAATCGAAGCGGGCTGCGTTCGAGGGTCTCACTTTGGAATTCTAGATTTGCCTGCACGAATGATCGCTAAGTCAAGGTTGTGAGTGCCTCAGGCCACACACTATGATCAAAATCTTTGTTATGAGTTGCGACAACGCTTTTATGGTGGGTCCAGGCTTTTTGTGCACGGCTAGTCTTGTCGTCTATTCATGCAGAGTCTCCCAATATGTAAATGCTGGTGGACTTCTGGCCATTTGATGATTTTTTTTCCAAAGTGTGTGAGCATATAGAACGAGCAGCGAGGACAAAAGTGCCCGACAGTCCTGCGTACTTTATGAATGGTCGACGGAACAGATATCAATCCTGCATTCCGAAAAGGGACGACCATGTCCATTTTCGAAGAGCTACAGAGCTCGACATCAGAAGATCTACATAGAAATTGACTTTTTGAACCAACCTTGGTTACTCCGGGGATGATATTTTTAGGAAAGGGGCAGGGTAAATAGCCTAACTAGGCCGTGTACTCTAGGTTCCCAGGTTTATTGTCCCCGGTACTTCCCTACTGGACTTGCATTGTAAAGCCAGAAGTCGAGTTGAATCAAATAATGGCCGTTCGGGGATTGAGAAGGGGATGATCGGGGGGCAACTCGGATGCGTCGGCCCCTGCAGGACTCGATTTCCACGCGTAGTTTTCAGGTTAAGCCTTTTTGCCCAGAGAAACCGTTGGGATCCCCGGGCCACCGATGCACAAGGGGTCAATAAATGAATAATGGTAATCCAGGCGAGACGTGTACGACCAGGCTGATCGTATGCTGGTTTTTACGGTGTACACTTCCAGCCGAGAGTCCAGGGCCAAATGGCGACGGGGGCCAATGAGCGATCGCTGAACAATCCCTGGCTTCCGATTTTCATGCCCTGTTTATCATTCCTTTTCGGCCGCCGATCCGATGGGGAGTGGGGTTTTGTTCCAGACTCCTCGACGACCGGAAGACCCTCAAAAAATCACTCAGGGCTACGCTAGGGCTGCAGGTGGTTGGGGTTGGGGAGGAAGGGCGAGGGGGGGACAGATATAAGCTGGGAAGCTGGCGTTCGGCGGCAAAGGCCATTCAGAGACGCGCATGAGATTGATTACCAATGCGGCCAACTCGAAGGCCGAATCCACTACTTGCCATCGCTGTCCACCGGGAATCCAGAATACAGAAGCAGGTATCAAGTACTGCGTAAGATCAGGACAATTGAGGATTGGTCTTCCATTTTCTTATTTCTGAGCTCAGCGCGACATAAGAAAACCCGTCGTTGCTCAGTGGCATTCTCCGAGTGGGCGGGTAGTATATAGTTGGTATTCGGCGGAGCAGCTGTATAGATCGAGCGGAGATCCTCGATGGAGTTCTCGACGGAGCTCTCCAGGGCTTTCGGCATGGACGATTTTTATGCTCTAGGAACACTGTGCTCCGGTCTCGTTCCCGTCCGATGGAGCTTTCCTATCGAATTCAACATCGTGATGTTTGGGCAGACCGTGCGGTCGGCAGGCTCCGCCTTCCGCTTTGCCGCTTTCCCGCCAAAGGAGGGGGACTCGTACCCTCGGAGGGGGGGCTTCGTAAGATCGTAGAGGGCCTTTCCGCCGCGTCTCCGTGGGCTGGGTGTTCTCCGTGTGTTCCAGAAGGATATGGCCCCTTTCCCCCAATTGAATTGGTGGTCGGTTAGCGTCTGGAGTGGCTCGTCAGCTTCGGAGTTTCGAGTCGCGTTTAGCCTATAGTTGAGCCCGGAGATCCCTGGGACTGTTCAACCTACGATTTGGCAGCGCCGAGGATCCACCTTCGGCACTACTCTGCGGCTCTGGAAGCTCGCTGCAGTGGAGTCGCGTTGCTGGGCGGGCTCCATCGCTGGGTCGCCCCGGCAAAACCAACCAGTCAGAGCGCGCCCTGGCGGGATGATATGTACTTCGTAGAGACGACAATGCCCGTCAGGCCACGCGAGGAATCCAGAGTTCAGTTCGAGACCTACCGTGTAGTTTGAAGTCTTGTTTCATCGTGGACAGGCGGGATCTGCTGTACACGGTACGGCGGCTTCCAGCTCGACGCGGTATGCCCATTCCGACGTACATGCAGTCGTGGTGGGATTTGGGGAATTCATGCAGTCGATTGGTCGCATGACCTAATCGAAAGGTAGGCTGCAGGGAATTGAGCGATATTCTTGCACTGGAATGGGAGTACCAAGCGGAAGCAGGCTGACAGAATAGGTCCATGGACTGTATAGATCGCCGAGTTAGGGCTACAAACATGGTTCACGATGCCGTGTCCCCCAACCAAATCAACCGGGTCAACCATTTGGAGAGCGGTGCTCTGTTCATTCTTCTCCAATTATCTGTATTATCTCCGCATCAGGGAGCATAGAACCACGAAACGAGGGCATCTCCAACACACCAAAGGGAAAAAAAAATTAAAAGAAAAAGGCCAGCTCGGCGCCGCCCGTCTCCACTTCGGCGAGTCCACCCTCCACTCTCCACCCGATCCCCAGTCACTTTTTTTTTCTCTTTTCTCTCGTTGGGTGTTTCTCCTTGCTGGATCTGCTTCCCAAAAAAGAAAAAAGCTTTGTGAGGGATCTAGCGGGTCTCTCATTGGCGCCGGTTCCACCGCCCATTCACAACGGTTCGCTGCCATCACCGAAGCACGATCTCCACTGCCCCCGGTCTCCACGCCCCAACCCTCATCCCTTCCATTCTCACCCCCCGACTCTTCCCGACGGCTCCAGATGATGTCGCCGCTCCGTACTGCTTTTACTGACGGCCCTGACCGTCCTCGACACGCGGACCCGGCTAATTTTCTGTCTTGGTTGCAGTCGGAATGGCTGGGATGATGTGCGCGAGAACCACCCAGGGGAAAGTCCCTAGTCTGCTGTTAGCTCGGACACATAAAACACCCCGAGCAACCCGCCACTCTGCCTTCTATCATTCCTCCCCTTCTGTGACGACTAAGCTGTCTCGCTCTTCGTCTGACACAATGGCTCGATTTTCTCCTCAACAAAGCCGGCCGGTCCACGCGACCCCCTTCATGAATCACTCCACCAACCCGTCGTGAGTATCGACCCTCCCATTGATTGAAAGAAGAAAAGATGCCCTCACAAGAGAGCAGCTTGCTTCTCCGAGAGACATGACACCAGCTTATGGTCAAGGGACTGAGCTAACTTGACTCCCCATCCTACAGAGATGCCAACTATGACACCGCCAACCCGTCCTATATCCGCAAGTACCTGCGCACGTACGGCCTCACTCCTCCCCGCGCCGAGAGCTACGAGACCCAGAAGACCCGCTGCCTTGCTCAGCTGGGCCTCAAGAACACTTCTATCGACAAGTTCCTCTACCTGAGCACCCTGCGCAAGAACAATGTCCACCTCTTCTACCGTCTGGTCACCGACCACCTGCGGGTATGTAGTCTAGATATCGGGGACACGTGAAAATGAGACTAACGCTTTATAACCCCTGCAGGAGCTGACTCCCCTGATCTATACCCCAGTTGTGGGCGAGGCCTGCCAGCGCTGGTCCGAGATCTACCAGCAGCCTGAGGGTGAGTCATGATCTCGAAACCTTAGTTTTCGTCTGTGACGAAATAGAACCGGGGCAAGTGGCGCTAACGACTACTTCACAGGCATGTACCTGAGCTGGGAGGATCGCGGAAACTTGGCCGCGGTGATCGCCAATTGGCCCCAACCAAATGTGGAGATCACATGTATTACCGATGGCTCCCGAATCCTCGGACTGGGTGACCTGGGCATCAACGGCATGGGCATCCCCATTGGCAAGTTGGCGCTCTACACGGCCTGTGCCGGTATTCGCCCCGAGGCCACTCTGCCCCTGACTCTTGATCTGGGCACTGGCAACAAGACCCTCCGGGAAGACCCGCTATACATGGGCAGCCGCCGAGACAAGATCTCCCCCGAGGAGGAGCGTGAGTTTATGGATGAGCTGATGGCTGCTCTCACCGAGCGCTGGCCTGGGTAAGTGCTTTTGTCCCCTCGCGAGATCTCGGGTGCTTTCCCCAGATGATCGACCCGTCTCGACCTCTCTCCCTTCCGACAGGGCGTAGGCTAACCTTCTTCGTCTAGTATTGTTATCCAATTTGAGGATTTCAAGAACCCCTTCCCGGCCCTTGAGCGGTATCGGGACCTCTACACCTGCTTCAATGATGACATCCAGGGTACTGGCGCTGTGATCCTCGGCGGTGTCATCAACGCTGTTAAGCGTTCCGGTTTGCCCTGCAAGGACCACCGCGCTGTCTTCCTTGGTGCCGGCTCTGCCGGTGTCGGTGTTGCCAAGCAGATTGTTGAGTTCTTCATGCGTGAGGGCATGAGCGAGGATGATGCTCGCAACTGCTTCTACCTGGTCGACACCAAGGGTCTTGTCACTGCCGACCGCGGTGACAAGCTCGCCGACCACAAGGTCTACTTCGCCCGCCAGGACAACCAGGGCCAGCAGTTCAAGACCCTCGAGGAGGTCATTGATCACGTTAAGCCCACCATCTTGATGGGTCTGTCCACTCTCGGTGGTGTCTTCACCCCTCAGATCCTGCGCAAGATGGCCGATTGGAACACTGCCCCCATCATCTTCCCCCTGTCCAACCCGTCCTCCAAGTCTGAGTGTGATTTCGAGAGCGCTGTGGTCAACACTGACGGCCGCTGCCTGTTCGCCTCCGGATCTCCCTTCCCCACCAAGTCCTTCACCAACGCCGCCGGTGAGACCCGCACCTACTACCCTGGCCAGGGCAACAACATGTACGTCTTCCCCGGTATTGGTCTCGGCAGCATTCTGTCCAAGGCCGTCCGGGTCACCGACAGCATGATCTACGCTTCCGGCGAGGCGCTCTCGACCGCCCTGACTGCCGAGGAGCTCGAGCGCGGCCTGCTCTACCCGGATGTCACCCGAATCCGTGAAGTCAGCATCGTCGTGACCCGCAAGGTGATGCGCGCCGCCCAGGAGGACAAGGTCGACCGGGAGACTGCCCTGCGCAACTTGAGCGACGCCGATCTGGACAACTACATCAAGTCACGCATGTACGACCCCCACACTGAGGTCCGCTCTCTCGAGCGCGAGGTAGGCCACTTGCTGTCCAGCCTGGGCAACATCTCGCCCCTCCTCAACGGCTCTCCCACCGAGGAGAAGCCCAACGGTGCCAAGCTGTAAGATCACCCGCCACGCTTCAATGTCCCCGAACTGCCCTTCAGGACTGGTTTCCTTGGGTACCCATCACGCACTATCCATCACCTTTCAAATCCGAAGACCACTTGTTTCTAATCATTGGGCCCGCTTAGGATCACTGCGTGATGGCTTCGCACTTGTTTCGTTGGTTCACTTGATTGATTTTTCTTCTTGATCACCCCTATTATTTTTCTTCTACTTTTTTTTGTTTTGAGCGCTTTTTTTTCGGGATGGATAATGGACTCATCTGGTTTTCTTTGGAATACCCACCGCTTTGACTGTTTTCTCTTGGTCACATTTGTTACTTTTTTGCGTGACCATCTGCATTTGGGATTAGGATAGCATTTCATCTGATCGAGCTACATTCGAATCTAGCAAAAATTGATTTACTTTGCAAAATATTTCGCTTCATTTTAGTAAATATGCTAGTAATCTCTCATCTCAATATTCAACACCGTTCCCCATTTCAAACCTCCGCTCTTCGTTTTCGACGCACGATATCAGTCAACGATTTGGTGTGCTGTCCTACTCTCATTCCCATTCCTCTCACCGAACGCTCCGCACGAGAAGCAATCACCGTCAATCTCCCCGAAACCACCCGCGTTGCCACGCAATGCAGTTTCACCCTCGTCACGGGTCCGCTATAGCGGGGGTATGCAGCTAGAAAGAAATCCGGAAGCTCCCCTTCTAAACTCCCCACACCCAGGTCCCGGCGAGGGTTATCTGATCAGTTCGGGCTGGGTGACATCGGGACCAGATAGCCAAATCCGGAAACCGACAAGCCGAGGTTAAATGCAGCGACCGCCTGGATTTGGTCTGGACTCTCGTTCTTCTCGTTTTCCCCCAGGGGCCAGGCTCGCAGCGACTGGGCCGTGCTTTCACGTGTCCTGCTAGACGCAACTCCACTTGCTCCACGGCGTCGAGGTGCTAGAGGTTCTAATTTAGTCTCTGGGACACATGGAGAAGCTTGGGTTTTCCTGGGGTTGTAGTGGATACCTCCCTCCCTGATGGTTAGTTGGTGGAGCGCTGTGGAGGTGGTGGTGTGGCTGATGCGACTTAAACCCTTGGGAGTATGGGATAGGCTGTTCTTGGCTTCGTAGCTAGGGTATAGTAATACTAGACTATGCTCTAATCTTGGGCAATGTTAGCACTTTGTTCTGAGATATAGTTAGATGTCTCTTGTTTTGCGTATCACCATGTTCATACTCAGCGCTAACCTCACCCCTCCAGATTCTAGGGACCAGAGTCCAGAGTTTTTGCATTACCAGTACGAGTAAGGAAACCGCACGTTTTCGATCAAGATGACTGCTATTTCCCCAATGATAGAAACTAGCTAAGATTCTTCCAGATATTAAGCCCTGACTCTCGGATATTGAATCTGATAAGTTAGAGCTGCCCACTACTAATTAGTATCCTTATGCTTCTAATTCTGGAACTTATATTTAGAATAGAGATGACTTTGGATAATTAACTCTTGAGATACTGAGAAGATCTAAGTGGCGGCGAGTATTACTAGTGTCGCAGCAACAAGTCTCCCCTAAATCACCTTTAGTTCTTGTGAACAGACCCACCTCTCTGCAAAGCCTCTACAGCTACTGAGCCTCCACGTACTAACCTAGATCAAGAAGTATATAATACTCGTAAAATTCTCATTCATCGTAACAGCATTTTATTTTGTGCATTTCGTCATTTCGTAGTTAGTTTCCGGTTCTCCCTCTGAGGACCGGCTCTACTTCCCCAATCGAGCACTCTTGGTGGACTTTCGGGGACGGTCATATCACCGTATCAAGTGATGGATGCTTCAGAGATGAGCGAATAGTCGCAGAATGTGTCCGTAAATGAAGAATATGTCTTCTGCCAGAATGATCTGTCTCAATCAAAAAATTTTATTGTCGATCCTCAAACTCTCAAAATTCAGGCTATATTGGCCAATCCTGAACACTTTGAGTGGTCTTTCTACAGAAGATGAGGCTTTGCAGTAGCGCAGGATGGTGAATATGACGATTCTACAGAATTGCTGCAATCCATAGAGACTATCTGAGTATCTACTCAAAGCCAAAAAATAAAAATTTGATCTCAAAGCAAAATACTGAAATGTTGAATTCTTCTGGTGGATCGAATAGAAGCTCATATGGGAACAGTATTAGCCTTTCTCTCGAGATAATGAAGAGCGGCAGAGTGCTTCTTAGTCTCATACCATCCATCCAGACCTGAACGCAACATTCCTTCATCCTGCATTGGAAGCTATAATTTACGAGAACAGCGAGAGTAATCTATTTTCCTATCCTGGTCCAGACAGAGCTATTTGAAATTCATAATTGGCCGGCAGGTCGCAGAATAGCCAGCCTGGGTCATGTCATGATCAGCTCGTTCATGTGATTGGCTGGTCGTCAGGAACATGGCAAGAAAGCCCTCTGACGGAGTGGGACAGACGAGCCAATGATAGCGCGCCTGTTGTGCACAATTGATCCTGCAGAGGATGCAAGTTCTGTAACTACTATATTAGATGCCTCACGCCTCTCCAAGAAGATTCTCAGATTTTTCATCGAATTCCTTCCCCTCTTCCATGTGCGCAGACCAGAAGGTCCGAGGCTGATCTCATAATGCTGCTGGGTCAGTCTCTCTTCGCTCTGCATTCCGGACCCGGCAAAGGAGCGACGACCCTTACATGGTTCCCGGGGGAAATCAAATCGCCGATGGTGATCCTAGGCGACCATTGAATATCGAGTCGTGCTAGAATCCGCTATGTACTGCACATTTATCCAAAAAAAACTTTATTTGTCGAATAGTCCGCGTAGGTGGAGATTGGGTTAACCAGACCCCGACTCGGCGCAATGAATCTCTCCGGAAATGGGTGACTAAGAACCGAGGCTATTTTTCTTCACGGCTTTTTTGGGAGTTCGGGGAGGAGCCCTGGTGAGCGCTTGATAAAAGTCATTGTAAAATAGTTCTGACCTTTTGGTTGCTTTCTATAGATTCTGAAAGATTAAATCCAAGTAGGCCATCCTGCCCAGGATCTCATACTTCTTTTCATTTTCAGCATAATACACCAAATAGGATTTCCACCCCAGCGAAGCCAGAAGCCTGTTTTCAAAATGCCTTCCCCATTGGCCGACCCTGTCAAGCTGCCCTGTGGCCTCGTTTTGCCTAACAGACTTTCGAAAGTATTTGAGCCCCAACCAAAATATCATTGGACAATATGCTCACTTTCAGATCAGGCTGCCATGGCAGAGATGATGGCTAAAAGCAACCATCCCAACGACAGATTCTTCGATGCGTACGAGCAATGGTCCCAGGGCGGTTGGGGCAGTATTCTCACCGGTGAGCTGTCTCTATTGACTGCAAGGGCATCGGGCCGCATTGGCTAAATCAATTGAAAGGCAATGTCCAAGTCGATGTTGATTATTTGGGTAGTCCATTTGACCCTGCTTTGCATGATGAATATACTGGCGATAAGACGCTTGTTGCAACCTGGAAGAAATATGCCGATGCCTGTCAGAAACACGGCACCCCGGGCATTGTCCAGATCTGCCACCCTGGTCGACAGTCGTTTCGAGTCGCGGGGCGCCGTGGGATGTTTGCGCAGACAATTGCGCCAAGTGCTGTTCCGATGGATGTCGGCAGTGGTCTACTAGAGCGGATCATTGCGACGGTGGCATGGTCGACTCCACGAGAGATGACTCAGGCTGATATTGAAAAGGCCATCCGGCATTTTGTGGACACTTCTCGTCTAATGGCTGATGCTGGGTTCTCGGGCGTGGAATTGCATGGTGCCCATGGTTATTTACTCGGTATGCCTTGTACCTTGCGCGAGGATTCCGATGAAAGTGAATGAGCTAATAGAAGGTAATAGATCAATTCCTAAATAGCAAGGTATTTTCGCTAGGTTCTTCAGACTTGCTCGGATGAAAAAAGCTAATACATAGCCTAGACTAATCTGCGCACTGACAAATACGGCGGCACTGCAGAGAAACGCGCCCGTTTCGTTCTTGAGATCCTGTCCGAAATCCGCAAAGTCGTGCCATCAACCTTCTGCATTGGCATCAAAATAAATTCCGCTGACCACAGCTCTGCTACCTTCGAAGACACCATGACCCAGATTAAGCTCCTGGTCGAGGCCGGTGTCGACTTTATGGAGATCAGCGGAGGAACATACGAGGACCCCCGAATGATGGGATACCCCAGCTCAACCAGCGAGCCCAAATCTGCTCGCACTATGGCGAGGGAGGCATTTTTCTTAGAATTTGCGAAAGCTGTTCGCGAACGGCATCCTGATCTAGTGCTCATGCTCACCGGCGGGTTCCGGACGCGCGCAGGTGCAGAGGCAGCTATCCGCGACAATGCTTGTGATCTAGTTGGCATCGGTCGGCCCGCTGCGATTGATCCAAAACTTCCACTTCTCCTGATGGATGAGAGCGTACCTGATGAGAAGGCGGCATTGCCGCTGGCTAAGGTGCCCCCGCCATTCTATGCAAAGTGGCTGCCCCGGAACCTTATCGGCGCTGGCGCTGAAACTGTAGGTTTATCATTACCCAGCCATGTGTCCTACATGCATCCCTTCAATTATCTGTACTGATGTGGCAAGCTAGACCTATTATGCGGGTCAGATTCAGCGGTTTGCGAAAGGACTGGCTACTTATGCCCCGGCTCTGTGACGTGGATAAGCAATGATTTTGTTGTTGTTTTTTGGCAGAATAATTTGTATACTATATGTATAGATAATGAAACTGAATCAGAACAACCCTTTGGATTCACTACTACAGGAGTTGTTACCTATCAACTCATGCTCTGATGTGTCGTCGGACTAAAACCTGGATTCAGGGTCTCCTTAAATTCGATAATATCGTTAGAGGGCATGACTTTAATATTGTAAGTTTGAATTTTGCTCAACAAATATGATTCAAATACCAAATAGTGATCAATTAATTTCTGATGTTTCTGGTTGAACATTTGCAAGTGGATCAGTTTCTGTTTCTTGCGTCCTTCTCTTTGCAGTACACTTTACAACCTAGTTTGTGTCCATAGGAAAACCCAATTTGATCTGCCGTCCAGAAACCAGGCTATGAGTCTCCAGTTTAATTTAAACCATAACGCCATCGTGTATCTCGTTAGAATATTATACATTCTTGCATCAGGCTTCGATGTGACCGGAGGCTATGAAGTTCCACATATCTTGATCTTTCCGATCTTGGATTTCACCCAACGTCTGGCGAAGTCTCTCATTCCCCTGAATCAATGTCTCAATGTAGTTGGCCGCCTCCTCTAAAACATATTTTCTTGTGAAATCGTTCCTTTCTAGGCCCGGCACCATCTGCGATAGATCTTGGTACCCTTGAGCAATGATCTCTCTTCTCTTCTTCTCAGATCTGCAGTGACAAAGCTTCTGTCCCGGCTTCTGAACACACTTTCTCTTTCGTCTGAGAGGTGCTGTCTTGGAAGTTTGGTCCATACAACTAGATGTGCTTGACGAAGAGGCAACTGATACTGGAGGTGGACTTGGCGATTTTTTCCATGTTTGCGAATCGCTTATTCCAAGCTCAGTCGGTGGTAGCAAACTAGATGTCTCGGTTTCGGTGTGGAAAAGATAATCGGAGGCATCATATTCACCTCTAAAGGCGATGTTCACACTGCCACACATGCTGGCCAGGTTACGCATCAGGTTCCGGGTTAATCGCTCTTCGGTCCATGTTCCGATCGGACGTGAAAACCCATGATAACAGAAGCTCGGATCAGAGCCCCAGTGCAGGCCTTGATCGATAGACAGGACTCGTTCAGTATCTCTTTGCGGGACCGAAGGTGGTCCAGAACAGCAGAGTTGAGATATGTGTTTTGGTTCAACAAATTGGCTTCCGAGGGCCATTGATTGAGCGGGTATGGTGGATGCAACTAGGCTGCCAGGATATTAATTTTCTTGATTTATTTTCCCGCTGCGCTCTACTTGCTGCTTAGTTCGATCAAAGAAAGAAATCAAGTTGCAAAGTCATAGCTGGTGGTCCGGAGTTAAGATATATATCGGAACACCCGGAGTTTGAATCAACAGTAGAAGTACAGCTGGGATGTCCAAGTGATCGGTAGGCATAGAAACCTTGTCCATGCCGATCACTCCCCTTAGAAAGCTGGCTTGCGAGGTGGCAGGCTGCTACTTTGCGTCAACATCGGAATGAACCCGGGTTGTGCGGGGGCCCCGGGTGCATCCCGAAGGCCGCTGGTCAGTGAAGCCCATGTTCGGAAAACACCTGACCCCAACGTTTTGATCGTCTTCTGCGGCTAGCTGTCTATAATTCAAATATTTTATGCTTACAATTATGGTTTTAGTTTTACCAGACTTAATAGGCTAAGTAAGCGTACCGCTATAGAAAACATCCAATAGATAGTAACTAGCATTTACTTCCATGCCGCAACTCGCGTGCGTAAGTGACTAAACCGTATATCTTTTTGACACCCAAAGTCTATTGGCCTTGAACATCAAGTGGGTACGAGAAACCTGCAAATTAAGACTTCATATTATCAAATACAGCTTGACCGGTCGGGATTATCTGACCTGGCACAAATACTTACGTATTATCAGAGACAAACATTACTTGATCATCGTCTTTCTAGACTTTTTACCTCACGGCCTGTTCTCTATTTCAGTTCGCTGAGTCAACACTGTTGCCTAACTTGTTCCGCTTCATTCGCCATAGATACATCCAACCAAGGGCCTGTCATTACCAATATAGCCTCACATCTCAGATAGAGAGAAACAAAACCTCTAAACACCTTTTCTCTCTGACAGCATCTGTTTTCTTTTTTAGGGGCCGTTCTCCAATGTGTTGGTTTGGCTAGTCCTTTGATCCCTCTCATCCAGCCTACTTGCCAGACTTGCCTCCAAGCGCCCTGGTTCGGTAGAATTGGATACGAAGATTCGTGTCACTGCTGCCCGCAGAATAGGTGAAGTTAATTGCAACTTCAAGCCTAATTCGATTTGAGAACTTGCTACATCCTTCATGTTTCTCTTGATCAAGCAATAGATGGACAATGGCGCGTCTGAGCACGACGTTCATATTATTGCATAATGTCATGTGACTTCCATCGGGTGTGTCCCGGCTGTCTTGGCGTCACCGTCCTCATCGTGTCAGGATATTCGAACACAAATGGGAACAGAACATCAGTTGCAAAAGGCTCAGCCGTCTGACTTGCTGATCAGAGGAATTATGGGTTAAAAGCATCAACTAAACTCCTCCTGTCTTGACATTCTCTAAGAGAATCGAGAAACGCAATGGAGTAGACAGCAGCTTCGTTACGCCCCGACCAGTATGTCTTCAAAGAATAGCGCAACAAAACGCGGAACACCCAGACGTCGCAAGATTGCACTCGCCTGTGAGGCGTGTCGAGACAAAAAGATACGATGCGATGGGGTGAAGCCAATATGTGGGCCTTGCGCACGGCGGTCATATACAATTGACCAGTGTGTGTTCAAACTCGAGAATGCGCGCTCGGCGAGCAATGATGCCTATTTAAAGGTCCTTCATGACCGGATCCGAGAACTGGAAGAGACCTGCATTCGGAATGGAATTTCGGTCTCACGCGCACCTTCGCAGAGTTTTGATGGTGAAAATACTCGAGGGCCTGCTGAAGCACAGAAAATCACAGAAGCGATGGATTCCGAGTCTAGAAAATCTGAGGCTGTAGAGGGCCTTCTGGGCCTTGGTTCAGGTGTTGATTTCTCTCATCTTCAACCAGCATGTTCGTCATCCAGGCCGTCGCAGCCGGATCTAGTCCAACAAAGGCTAGGGAACTCTGGTCAGTTAGATCAGCTATCGCCATCACGGGTTGGCCATGAACGCACCACTCCGCTCGGCAATTTGGACCAGCTTAACTCTGCCCAGAGTTTTGCCGTCGATGCTACCCAATCACCATCGCTGAACTCGCATGGGAATGTCACGGCTATGGGTGCAATTTCAGTCGCGGAAGATGGAGAATGTACCGACTCCCCACGCCATCAATATTATGGCAACTCGTCTGTTGCATCATTTATGCGATTGGCAGGAGAATCTATGCCTATTCAATCATATATGCAGGCTTTGAAACGCGCTGGAGCCGATACCCCCGGGGCTTCTTATCGAGATACGGGCCTATGGAGAGATATTAACTTCCCTACCTTAGGACTGCAATTTGATGACTTCTCTCTCCCACCTAGATCTTTGGCTGATCACCTCCTGGAGTGCTACTGGGATAGAGTGTATTGCCTCTATCCGTTCTTCCACCGACCGAGCTTCGAGCAAGCATATGAAAACCTGTGGGGTTCAAACAAATGGCCCAAGCCGCAGTTACCAGAACTTAATATCGGACTAGGGGGATCTTTTGATTCTGGTCCTCAGTCCATAGTCTTCCATTGCGCACTTAATGCCATATTTGCCCTCGGTTGCCACTTCTCCGATATTCCTGCCACTGAAAGAGAGACCGCCGCATACTCATTTTTTCTTCGAGCTAAACGGTTTGTTGGACTTGACCTTCTCGATACTGGTACAATTGGTGTTGTTCAGACACTTCTTGTTATTGCATTACTGCTACAGAGCACACCTTACCCAAACCGGTGTTGGAACTCCATTGGCGTCGCTTGCCGGGTTGCCCAAGGCCTCGGTCTGCACGAGACAGTGACCCAACTCTCTGTCAAGCCTCTTGAAAAGGAAATTAGACAACGCACGTGGCACGGTTGCGTCATATTAGATCTGTGAGCCTTTCGTCCAAAGAACGAGTATTGTGGAGCCACTAACCTTCTGTATAGAATCGTAAGCATGACTTATGGGAGACCGAGCATGGTTTCCCACATAAGCCCGGTCCCATTGCCTGTCATGAGACCCCAGTCTCAAAGTGATGACCCATGTAGGCTCAGCGGGCAGGGCTGTGACCATGACCTTGGGTACATGATTTTCTATGTCTCGACAATCAAGCTTTACAAAATTCTTGAATCTATATTGTCCGACATTTACAATGCCTGGCAAAGTCGATCGGATCATCGGCGTCCAATGTCTCCTCGGCGTGCGAAACAGAATAGTTTAGACCTAATTATGGAGCTTGATGACAGGCTCTCTTCCTATGAGACAAGTGTTCCGACTATTCTTAACTGGTGCATTCCACATGCGTTTACCAGTGAACACATCAATCAAAGATCCATATTCAAACGACAGCAGAATGTCCTTCGCGCAAGGTATGTCATATATGACCATTTTTCTAGATTAAATTTGCTCATTATCATAGGTTTATTCATCTTCGCCTTCTTCTATACCGCCCGATGTTCACGCAGCTATGCTCCGAGGAACGCACCGGCTTAGCACGACAACCCAGCACTAATGCCACTCCACAGACTTCTCGACCAGGAAAGAATGCCATATACTTTTCCATGTCTGTGAATTGTGCCTCTGCTTGTGTCACAGCAGCTATGGACCTTGTGTTGCTTGTGTATGAGACTTATAGAACGGCATTTACGGACGCATGGTGGTATAATGGCTTCTGTGAGAACTTCTTTCGTGCTTATCTGTGCTACTGGCTGAGCTAATGAGATATAAAGATACATCAACCGCAGGATTTGTGCTCATCATGTCATACTCTTGTCGTTCAATACTAAACCAAATTGACGCTCATGCTGTGGACGAGGCATGGGGGAAATGTGAAGAAATCCTAACAAATATGGCATCCTTCAGTCCATCTGCTCGAAATTCATTGCAATTTCTACAGGTCACATACCAACATATTATACAAAACTATAGTGGTACGTTCAAATGATATTCATCTCTAGAGTAGAGAGCATCAACGCCTGACAACTATAGCCTCGACTCCAAACGATGATGACTCGATGCGCGGGCCGACTCAAACACAACAAAGGGACAGCGAAAGCCCTACTCGATTAGATCAATCTAATCAGCCTGCTAATGGGGACATGCAAGATTTGAGCTCTCGCGATCCCGATATGAGCAGGCCGTCCATAAATCCCTTCATGAACTGGGACGAGATGGGTCTAGGGCAGGAAGAGTTTGGATTTCTTGGAAGATTTGATTTACCGGATCTTGCCAGCTGGTTTTCCGACGTTCCTGATATACCCTGATCATGGGATAAAACTTTCTTTTTTCAAATAGGTCTATGGGAATACAATATAGCCTCTAAAGCTTTGACTTGTGATCTGCCCGGCAAATATCGAGACGAGAGGGGCCATCATATATCTTTTCTTCTAAAGTTCGTGCATTGATCTATTGACTCTTGTTAGTCGGTAGTGTCACTTGGAAAATAGAATAGATGATTGCATGATCATCAACTTACATGATGCATTCCAAGCTGGTCAAGCTTTTGCACACCCAGTAAGCGCATGCAAGTTTTGGTCTCGTCAGCCAAGACTAGAGATTGGCTTAGTTTATTCCTTAAGAAAAAAATCTTTCTGTTCATATGCTTACTTTGCAGTGTCCTTTTGACACCATCGACACCTCCGGCGGCCAGCCCCCATAGTGGTGGTCGTCCAATACCGACCCCTTTTGCACCCAGGCAGATGGCTTTGACTACATCAGTGCCTCTCTTAACACCGCCATCTATCCAAACTTCGACTTTATCAAAGACTTCAGGACAGTATTTCCGGATTTCGAGCAATGTATGCACAGCAGGAGGAGAGGTGTCAAGGGATCTACCACCGTGATTAGATAGAATTATGCCCTTGACCTGGGGTCGATAAAGTGTGGCGATATAGGCATCTTCATGTGTTTGGATCCCTTTGAGAATGACAGGAAGCTTGGTGTGTTTTGCCAGCCACGAAAGAGTCTCCCTCCAAGTGAGAGTAGGATCAAGCCCTGCAAACACTTGCTTTTCTTTGTCTTTCCGGGCGGTTTCTGGCAAGTCTGCCTCGGTAATTTCATTGATGACATCGCCGCTCCTCTGATCATCTTCCCGTTTACCCATAACAGGCGTATCCAGTGTGAGTACAACAAATTTGATCGCACGAAGCTTGTTGATTCGAGCAATCATTTTCTCGCTCTTATTTCGATTTTCCTGCACGTACAACTGCCAGCCAAATGACTGGTCGGGTGAGGCATTCTCCACAATTTGCTCTGGCGTCATAGAGGCACTGTTGGAAATTATTTGCAAAGCCCCGAAGCTGCGACATGCCTCCGCGATTCCTGCTTCACCAGTTGGATGTCCCAGGCGAGCTTGGGCGGCAGGAGACACATAAATTGGCATCGATACCGGGTTTCCTAATAAGCTCACATCAAGACTGCACTCGGTACAGTCGATAAACACTCTCGGTCGCAAAACAATAGAGCGAAATGCCTCTGTATTCAATCGCTTAGTGATTTTGTCATCTGCGGCCGAATAGTAATATCCCCAGGCTTTTTTGCTGATCTTCGCGGTCGCCACTTCCTCGATTTCATCCATATTTAAAAGGGCTGTGACAGGAGGGTGATCATTGATCTTCTCTGGTGCCACGGGCGTCTCTTTCTTGGTCACTGTTGCAGGATCAACATTCCCAATAAAGGCCTCGGGCTTTAGGTTCTCCTCTAAAGTCCCTGCTGGGTGTACTGGGTCAAACTCCTCTGTCGCATCTTTGCCTGCGAGTTTAAGGATGACATTTGCACCACCCGGATGTTCGGCAAGGAAGTTAGTGACCTATAAGGATTGTCAATTTCCTGAGGTCTCTACCCTTTGAATATCTAAAACTAGGGTTTAACCCGTCACTTACATCGTAAATCTTGCCATAGAGAATGACCCAGCAACTCTTGCTATTGTTGTGTTTAGCCACTAGAACCATGTCAGCTTCCATTTCGAGGCTATACTAGCACGCGCAGGATTTCGAACCTTCTGTGGCATCAAACACCTTTCCCATCTTGAAGATTTTCGGATGTCCGAAGAGTTGAGTAGCTTGGAGGTCAATGTAACCCAAGTTCTATTTAACACCATGCCCCAACGGAATTCGCTGGCAATTTGAAAGCGGAAGGTGAGTCGCTTGACCGTGTTTGTCTATCTTATTTCCGCGTTATCCAATCAGCAGCAATCTTTTACCGACACAGCAGATAACAGCCGGACCGCCGTGCGGGGTATCGGCAGGGACGTCAGCTGCTCTACAAAAGTAATAGCTTCCAGTCAGAATGTCTGCTTAGGTACAGGCACTATAGGATTTTATCACTATCAACGTGGGTATCTCTTCTGGTAAGGTAGAGTATTACGGAACAAAGACCAGGTCTCCATCGCTCAAATCCAACCCCATATTCATAGGGGGGACAACTTCTTCGCAAAAGCAACGAAGAGAACAGTGGCACAATTGAGGATATAATTCGAAGATTTGTGCCGCATATATATGTATTATAATGCATCGAAAAGTGTAGTATCAGCCTCACTCCAGAATGTCCCCGATAGACTTTCCAGAGTCTCGAAGTCGGGCATCCAGAGAGGATCACTTTGGGCTTGGTCGATCCAAGGCGCAAGTTGCAGAGCCATTCTGACCGCATGGTCGCTATCATCTACAGGATAGGTTTGAGGCGTCGCCCCTGTCCGTGTGTCTGGAGCGAGTCCAGTCGGGTTTGTTGGTGGGAACTTCTCACCACTCGACATGCCAGGCACAGCAGTATTCAACGTTGTGGCTCCATGCTGAGCGGTCATCAGTTCGGCCATACCTGCATTGATGGCGGTTTCGTTTCCTTGTAGTTTTTCCATGGCTGCATTGACGAGCAACTCGAACGCGTCGCGGTACTTCTTGACCCAAGCTGCTCGCTCACCCATCACGAACAGTACTGTCGAACAGGCTCGAATATCATTACTTATCCGGATAGACCAGATTTGATCTGTGTGAGTCCATAAAGCGTAAAGTAATGTGATTCCTGCCATAAATACCGTCTGCACAGCCAGGAAAGAATGGCCATACTCGAGTGTTTGATGAAGCCGTTTGTGAGACTGGCAGATTTCTCCGGCAGCTTGGAGACAGATGTGATAGTACGGGTCAGTGATGGGGAGAAGCGGAAGGAACGGTTGAATCAAAAGTCTAACTGCACGGTTGTAATGAAGCATGGGATAGTCGAGGTCAGAACCACTGAATCGTGATAGGGCGGATTCTTTCCACTGCTCAAGCTCAAGGTACAGCGGATCCATCTTGCGTCGTAGGAAGGATAAGGGTCGATCAGCACGATAAATTTTATGTTGAATCCGAGAGTCGATGCGCCGGAGTTTGAAAAGATAAATTGCAAAGGTAAGGTTCGTAGTCTTGCTGGGATCCTGAGGTGCTATCAGTATTGAAGGGTCATGGACATCGTCATCAACATCCAACGGCAGCTCAAGGTCAATATGGCGGTCGGAAATGCTGAACGGACGGCCAAGCGACATTGATACAACTCTTTCCAGATAATATACCACCCAGAAAAGCCTCCGTCTCATTTGAACAGTGAAGGGGTCCATGTTTATTTCATTTGCCTTACGATGAAGGCCCAGGTCAATTGCGGTGCGCATCGCGAGCCCAATCATGTACCACATTCCATGGCTGGATGCAGTGCGAAGGTGATATACTACAAGAAGAACCATGGCCTCAATGTTTTCAATAGAGCGAGCTTCGCACATGGTAGGCACATATTGTAATGCGGTGGTATAGAATCGCTGAGAAGATTGTGAGCACATCAGACCGGCAAAATATCTCATTGAATTCTTACCTCTGGCGCAGTATATGCGTATTTCTCACTCAGCTGCAGCATGGTGGCACCAATCGCATAGACAATATTTAGTTTGAAAATGGCGAACCGGTCGGACTTTGAAAGGTCTTCCCGCTTGATTTTGGCCAACTTCCATCTCTCTTCGTGTAAATTCCATAGCTGACTTCGATCTAGAAACGGGTATCTTGAATGGAGCCTTCTGAAATATGTCTCGAGAATTTTCGAGCCCATTTCATCTGTCGGAGGTTCCACATCAGGAGGTAGTCCTCTTGGTCGATCCCGTACTCGAGCGCAACCACCAGCCAGTTGGTTTGATGCGCCTGGCAGAGGTCCTATTGCATTTTGGGAAGCGCCAGAATGGCCAATCGAAGGCTGATGCGTCCTCGAAATAAACTGATTCCATACGCTGGTCTGTACCATCTCCCCGAGGTTGGCAGCCAAAGAAAGACCGGAGCTCGAGCCCACATAGGCTGGAGCTTCCGATGAGCTTAAAGCCAGGAGGCCAACAATCTCACCAACGGGGTTATTATCCAGACCTAGACTGGGGGTTGTTGTATGTGGAGTCGCATGGCCACCCTGCGGCGACCAGATTGAAGAAGCCTGATTGGCCCCAGCATTCTGACTCGCCGATGAGTCGGTCTGCCCAAGCTTCCCTTCAAGGAAGGCAACTCGCTCCTCCAGAGCACGCGTATAGCTATTTTTTTTTATGTCAGAGAAGATATAAAGAAAGAGTACTTTGGTCAATTTTCTGGCACATACTCATTTTCGCGATCTGTGTCCTCTCTCACACTTGACTTGTCGCACGTGACGCCAGCCTTCTGGCAGTTCGAGCAGGTTGGATATTCATTGTCACACTAAACCAAATGTATCAGTTTCGGATATCAAATTGACTGTTTACTATGCATTCCACCTTTTGTTTTCGTGTCTTGCAGCGGGTACATGCTGTTCGCCCGCGCTTCCGAGGATTGTAGTCCTTGGTGGCAGGACTGGTCTGTCTGGAGGACACCGAACTCTGTGAGAGCGGATACATTATGCACGGTATGGACTAAACAAGACCCCACGCTCTTGAACATTTATCATTATGAAGGGTCGAACAGAGTCGTGTGTGGCCAGAGCGACTAAGAGGTTGTGAGAGGGAGAAACGAAACGGCGGGTGAGAGGCGACAATGCCAAGACTTTGGATTGAGCTGGCGATGCTACCCCATATTGATCTATAGGACCTGACTAACACCTTGAAGGGATCCAAACCAGCGCTCTCTACTGCAACAGCTCTTGCAAATCAAATGAAAACATTCATTCTCGCTCGTATTATTATATTCTATGCAAGTAAAATTTTTGGTATCACACGCCATGCAGTTATCAATGCATTTGGGACAACAAAGACAATAGAAATCATGTTCAAAAACCGCTGAATTTTTATTTATTTTTGTTCCGCACTTTTCTTTTCTTCGAAGCCTAACAGCTCCGGCTCTGCGCGAGAAGGAGGCATAGATGATTCAGCGAGAGTTGACATAGATGTTCGTTTCTCCGCGGTTTTCTCGGGCTCGTTGGCTTCGCGCTGTTCCGGCAGGGATTCAGGCAATCCAGCTTCTGGGTCTCTTATGGCCTGTTCAGCCTTTCGCTTTTCGTCTTCAATCTCTTCGGGTTCTTTTGGTCGCTCTAAGCCACGGTCACGAACAAAAGCGCAGGCAAGGAAGCATATGCCAATCAAAGGAACCTGTAGAATGAAGACTGCATGCGAAGCTTTGGTATAAGCAAGCAGTATCTGGGCCCATTGCAAATCCGTGACAGAGGACCGAGATGGTAGTGAGTATGATGAGTGTGCGAGATATGAGAGCTCAGTTGGGAGGTGTGAACGAAGAGTTGCCTGTAAAAGTGCAGCCGAAATGGCAAGCCCACAGGCTCCGCCCATGCACCGGAAGAAATTTCGGTTGGAAATAGACACAGCACGCTGGGACTTGGTGCAGTGTGCCTGTAATGCCACAAGAGTTGGTTGGAATGTAAAGCCAATTCCTGTACCAGCAACCCCGACACAGACTGCGATCACAGCAGGGTGGGTGTGACGGTCAAATAAGAGCATTAGCCCAGCACCCCTGTGTAAAAGTCAGCTGTGTGCAAGTTAAGAACATATTGGGGTTGTAGCAGACTTACAGAGTCCAGAGGCCAAACCCAACCCAAATAATCTCCCCATAACGCTTGAGGCGAGAGATATATTGTCCAGAGCAAATTGAAGCGATCGATTGGCAAGCCACCATTGGTGCTGTCAAGGCTGCAGACACAATAGGAGACCAGCCACGTGCATTCTGATAGTACAAGGGTAGGTAGTAGAGATAGGACTGATATACTGCACCAAGTAGCAAACTCTGCAATAGTAGGGCCACAATGACTTTGTTCTTAAAAAAGACCACTGTATCCAGATTAGCCAAGAATTCAAAATTTGTCCTGTCGGGGTGTGATTTCATACTGGGAAGCATGGGCAAAGCAGCGACTTTCCATTCAATAAAAACAAATGCAATGAAGGCGCAGGCACCAATGACAAGCATACTGATAACCATGGCAGAGTCCCATGGGAAATAAGATCCACCACCAGAGACAGGAATTAAAATGAAAATGATTCCAATTGACGAAGCGAGCACACCGAACCAGTCGATACGGCATATATTTTTCCGGAACGCATCCTTCTTTGCATTATTTGGGATGAGAAAGTATCCGATGACAGCAGAGATGGCGGCCAGTGGAGAAATCATCCAGAAAAAGCCCCGCCATGTTGATCGCATGATGAATGCAGCTGCAATAAATGGTCCAATAATATTTCCCACGCCAAGGGACGCTCCCAAGATCCCCTGGTATTTTCCACGCTGTTCAAGGGTGACCACATCTGAGACTATGATCATTGTGAGAGATGTTACACCACCGCCAGCAACACCAGCCAAGCCTCTGAACACATAAAACATCGCTGGGTCTTGCGAGAGACCACATAGCAAGTCTGCAATGCATAGCAAGATCAACGCGGAAATATAAACAATCTTTCGGCCGAAGATATCGGAAAGTCGACCATAGAGCACTGTAAACATAGTGTTGGCAATTAAAGATGAAGTCCCAGCCCATGAGATTGTATCCTGAGCGCCTAAGTCTCGCGCAATAGTCGGTAAAGTGACACTAATACCATTTTGGTCCACGAAAGTAATCACTAGTGAGGTTGCTAGGCTAGAGAAGACAACCATAAGCTGCCCAAACGGCAGAATATTCGTTTGATCATGTAAAGCCTTCTCGGCTGCACGCTGTCGATTCATTCCTCTTCCAGGCTTTCACGGCCAGCGCAAGCCAGTAGGCTGTCTAGTCAGTTGGAATGTGCTGACAAAAACTTGGCATTGGCCAACAATATAGAGAATATTGATATGGAGAAAGAATGCTGGTAAGACAATCGAATGAAAAAGTCTTGGCCGAAGCTTGAAGTTTGAATAAAACGTGTTCTCCACTTGCGCAGAAAAATGGTGACAATTCACTTCACGGTAATGCTGGGTACGCAGTGGATTAAAAGGAATCAAGAAATTTAATGGATTTTTCCCTAGGTGCTCTTCCTCTAGTACTAATCGGCATGTCGGCAAAGTATTCTGTGCGTCCATTGGAGACTGACGCCGCTGCGCAGGATCACAATCGGACGTCACTCCGACGCAAACAGAAAAGCCTTCCATCCTGTCCTGATTCTGCACCGGTGGGCGGCAATTTAGAGACTCTGGTATTAATTCCGCGTCACCGGGGGTTATGGTTGGTGAACGGAAGCGCCGACGTGGAGCCGCCACTTCGGATATCCGATCGGACATCCGATACTTAGTCATCTCGGAATAGTTCTCATGCGTCAACTGGCGGATTTGACGTATCCTGGAATGGTTATTATTGTTGAAAGTTTACAAGATGGGCGGTGTGCAATATGATGCAGACTAAGGTTTCCATTACTGTTTTTTTATTTGTTCCATAGCTTGTTCTTCACAATTTAGACGTCATGATAGCACTTCTGTACTGACGACTACATTCCCAACATAACAACGAAGTCCCCGATAAATCTGAGCCTCGGCCATATCATAAAGAAAACTTCATGCCAACCAGATCCTCACTCAAATGAAATAGCCTTTCAGCAGATTCAAGATTCACTGCATGGGGTGCAGTCTTGGAAAACTGGCAGTCACTGAGATAAACAGCCGAAGGCTCAGTCACAACTTTTGTCTTGTCAGCATCATCCATTTTGAATTGGAAAAATGGCAGCATGGGACCATACCGTTCAATGCAGGATCAAAGGCAGCAACAAGCATTGTTGCTGCACCTTGATCTGCTGATTTCCAAAAGTTACTGGTTTTCGACATCGTCTCATTGCCGGCATCATCAAGACCCCGACTTAGCCCAGTCCAGATCGCTGGGATTGCAACAATTAGACCCATGACATGGAATTTTTCAGAATGAAAATTGACTCACATCCAGGGTGTACACTATATGAAACAATTCCAGCAGATGTCAGGTGCTGAGACAGGTATACTGTGAACAAAATGTTTGCACATTTAGACTGCCCATATGCTAACCAGCCATTATATCCGCCGGCCGTAGGACTGAACATTGGGGGTAGTCCTTCTGGGGGTCTCTCGTCAATAGGCACTTCTTTTCCTTCAAAATTATAGTCGTGGAACCGGATGGGTGATAACCGATGGCCAGCGCTGGTGACATTGACGATTCGAGTCGACCCTTTGTCAGAATCTTTAGATGCAGCCTTCATCTGCTGCATCAACAGGTTGGTGAAAAGGAAATGTCCAATATGATTTGTTCCAAATTGTATCTCAATTCCCTCTTCTGTGCTCTCTTTATCCAAGACCATCATTCCGGCATTGTTGATGAGTGTATCAACCCGGTCAACTAGAGCCTGAATCTTTGACGTCGCTGCATGAATGGATTTCTGGGAGGCAAGATTCAAAGCCACTGTTTCCACAGAAATTCCCCTTGAAGCTTGTCTCACCTTTTCGGCAACCTGTTGAACCTTGGCTTCTGTCCGCGAGGCCAGGATTAATTTGGCAGGATTCTGGCTTCCAATTGCCAATGCAAGAGCCTCACCAAGGCTATTGGGACCCACTCCGGTGATAATAACTGATCACGCCTTGTTAATTCAACTCTTTATGTAGTCCCATGCATTGTAGCTGCAACTGACCATTCTTGTTTCGGATTTCATTTGCAAAGGCACTCGCAACTTCCGTTGCGGTAGTCTTCTCATTAAACTCAGGATGAGACGTAGCCATCGTGTCTTGTAAATTCTGCATTAACCGACTGCAGGCATTTTTTTTAAATTCCCCTGCAATCTGGCTCTATAAATGTCTATCTTACCTTTTTCTATAGCCTCGATATCTCGATGGCAGCCCCGCAAATAAGTGCCATATTTCTCCCTGAGCCCCACAAAAAGCTGTCCTTTTTCCACCAAAATATACATTCACAAGTCATGTTCTAGCTTCATGTGTATCTCGCTAAACACGTCATGATTATTTGCAGCAATGGGGTGTATTAGCTTTTGCGGGGATGCGGGGCATCGCAACCATTCGTCAACTTGGACTTGAGGATATCCGGGCCCCGCAAGAACACCCTCCACATTGCCCGTTTACCGTCGAGTTATGACCACTCATTGGCGAGAGTGACACGGCAAAGTTGGCCGAGCCCTGATTTCGAGCCATTTTTGGCATGCCGTTCGGCAGTTGATAGTGATTGAGTACCCGTTCTATTCGGGGTAACTCCAGAATCCCTCAAGGGGCAAGCCCTGCAGGTGGTCATTAAACTTAAGACTGCGCTGAACAGCGCATTTGATATTTCAGAGATTTAGAAAACACCTAGCCTTTTTTTCACAATCAATATATTTGGACAGACCACAGAAACATGACGGTTTCACAGTTCTCGAATGGAAATGGCACAACACCTAAGCCAACTGGAATCAAGGTTGTGGTTGTCGGAGCAGGTAGGCCCCCTCACGGCCTCTCATATTCCCTGATTTAACAATGAGCAGGATTTGGTGGATTAACCGCTGCTATCGAGTGTCACCGACAAGGACATACTGTAGAAATATACGAGTCATTTCCAGGTAAGTTCAGACACAATCAACCTTATGCGTATGTCTTGCTCATTGGCTTTGATTTTAGAGCTCAAGTCGCTTGGTGATATTATTTCCTTCGGTCCCAATGCAGGACGTATCTACCGTCGTTGGTCAAATGGAAAAGTCGCAGATCGCCTAAAGCCGCTCAGTATCAACCTTGAGAATCATGGGTTCAAGATCCATAAATGGACTGGGGAACTAGTTCACACACAACACGCACATCAGCATGATCCTGATGCACCTGTATTTAACGGCCATCGCGGCGAGCTGCATACAATTGTTTTTAATTATGCGAAGAATGAGCTGGGGATTCCAATTTACCTTGGTCAAAGAGTCACCCAATATTTCGAAGATGAAAATCAAGCAGGTATCATTCTGGAGGATGAATCAAAGGTGAGAGAGCTTGATTGGATTTAATATTTCTTCGGGGCTTAACTCTTCGATAGGTCACTGCAGATGTCATTATTGGTGCAGATGGCGTTCGTTCCAAGGCGCGAGAGCTTGTTTTGGGCTACTTTGACAAACCAAAGTCCAGCGGTTACGCTGTGTTTCGAGCCTGGTATGCAAGTACCAAATAAAGAACACCCGAATAAATCGACTGACTTGGGAATTTGAACAGGTTCTCAAACGTGGACATGGTTAAAGATCCTCGGACAAAGCACTTTTGTGAGAATGGCGACACGTTCAATGGCTGGATTGGACCTGACGTACATTTCCTCTTCTCTACCATCAAGAATGGGCAGGACTGTTGCTGGGTTCTCACGCATAAGGTTAATGGTTTCCTGTTTCTCAACCCAAGGATGAAGCTAATTTCGGACTTGATTGGTTTTAGGATGAGGCTGACATCGAAGAGTCATGGTCTTTTCCCGGAAAACTTGAAGATGTTTATAAAGTGATTGAAGGCTGGGATCCTATTTGCAAGGCCATTGTCGAGAAGACCCCTTCAATAGTCGACTGGAAACTTGTATATCGTGACCCACTGCCTCGATGGGTAAGTGAGCACGGACGTATCGCACTTCTTGGAGACTCCGCGCATCCTTTCCTCCCGACATCCGCTCAAGGTGCGACACAGGCAATGGAAGATGGGGTTGTACTTGCTGTGTGCTTGAAGCGGGGTGGGAAAGCGAACATCCCCGATGCAGTGCGCGCTTACCAAGACATTCGATACGAGCGTGTCAGAGCTGTTCAGAAAACAGGAGAAACAACTCGTGATATGTGGCATAAAGCCGACTGGGAAAAGGTAGCGAAAGATCCTAAGTCAATTCAATTGCCTCGGGAAGACTGGATTTTCCATTTTGATGCTGAGAAAGATGCCGAAGAAACTTTCGACAAGGTGTTTCAGAGGATTCAAGGATAATGTCGTCATATTTTGTTCTCTTTAGTTATTTGCGAAATTGAATTAAATAATGATTCCTTTCAGTCGCATATAGTTTCTTTGTTCTTGCCTGCCGCCTTGTTTTTGTGAGGGTCTTCGGAAGCCTATAGAGCATTGCAAGGTCGAAAGTGCCTTTTTGGCCGACAAAAGCCTCAAAGAGCACATGACTTGTTCATTTATTTTATGCATTAAAATTTCGGTCAAATCAGTGAAATTGTATTAAATTTAATTGGTCAAGATCGCATTCTCCAAGGCCCTTCAATTCTCAATGCTTCAAAAAAGATGGAATATACTCGTTGCTTTGGTAATTCACTAGGAATATTGTGAAGACTGATGGAAACCGATGAATATCATGTCTTGTTCGCAATAACCTCTGTAGTTGCTTTCTCCGAGTCAACCGAGGCTCTGTTCTCCTCGCCTGAGACCTGGTCTTCACCTCTTGCCAAATTCCCCTGTTCCTTTAGCCTCGCTTCCAGTGTCGCTGGACCAACACACTTATAAGATGCAAACTTCCGGGCGGGAAGTCGTTGCTCGAACTACAATCAGTCGTTAGACATATAAAATTCAATGATGCTAATAGGGCTCGAAATTACCATCTCGTCGATTTCTTCGAGCGTGCGGCCCTTAACCTCGGGGAGATAAAGGTAAATGAAAGCAGCGGTTATAAGGCAGGAGGGGAACCAGATATAACCATATTTCGGTCTTGAAGATTTCATTAGCGTAGGTCTGCAGTATTTGGAAAAAGATTCTCTGCACATACCCCCAATTTAGAGAATCAACGTTGATGAAATATGGTGCGGTAAATGTCGTCAACCACTGGGAAATGGATGGTTAGCTATTTCGTACTTCGACACGAAATTTTTGCTATACCTACAGCTCCCAAAAATCCAAACGCAGCCGCAAGGCCGAAAGTATAGGACCTGAGCCGTTGAGATGGAAGCTCGCCACCTGACACCCAGGCATACGTGGAAATCATTCCATTATAACCGAGTAAGAAAATGACAGACATGCCAACAATCACCTTGCCTGTTGATTTGGTGCCCGGGTGCACAGTATATACTATCGCTCCGATAAGCTGACTAAATCCGCAGATAATCAAGCCTGTCGTTAAAAACAAGCGACGGCGCCCGATATGGGTCACTACGCTAATATTTATCATAATAGCCACGACTCCTACTGCAGTGAGAATGCAGCTGTTTTCGAAGGCGTTGCCGACGTGAGCCATTTCGAAGAAGTAGGTTCCATAAGCTGATACCTATGATTAATATAATATTCGAGGCTTCTGTGGTTTGTTACTCACCAATCATGTACATTGCTCCAGAAGCTGCCTGTGTGCTTACTCCCGCAATGGCCAGAATTGTTCGCCGACGGTCAACGGGATTAGTGAACATATCCCATACCGATGCGTTGCTAGCCAAATCATTCTCTAGGTTTATTGCGTTCTGTATCACTTCCATTTCTGCATCAACACTTTCCTGGTCTGGTCTGAGCCAAACCAGAGCCTTCCGGGCTTCTTCGGTTCTCTTCTGCTGAAGGAGCCAACGTGGGGATTCCGGAATCAGTAGCATTCCACCGCAGAGGAACGCAGGAATAATGAATATAATCCCCAGTGGGATAATATAACTATTCTTTCCATCGATCTTGGATGTGAAGTTGTCAATGATGGTTCCGAGCAGAGAGCCAAAAGAAGTCCAGAATTGGAAGACACCTAGCATTAAGGCACGGTAACGGGCGGGTGAACATTCCTTGAGACCATCAAGTAAATGAGTGTACTTATTGCACCTTCTGTCAAAGCGGAGGGCATACCTGAATGTACAATTGCGAGAATGTCAACAGGAACCCATTTCCAATCCCGATAATAAGACGGGCAGCATAAAGTGCCCCGATAGTATCAGTAGTCATCATCACGATATTGGACACGTAAATTAATAAAATAGAAACATGGATAGAGGCTCTTCGACCAATCCAGACTGCGATGGGACCTATTTTCTTTTGTCAACCCATGGCCCATGTGGTTATAAACGAGCTTTTTACCTGCAGAGCATGATCCCAAGAAAGCACCCAGTGTCATCAGCGAGGAAATGAGTTGTTGTCGCTCATGCGGAAGATTCCAGCCAGTAGCGCTAGCAGAATCTTGTACACCAAATACCTACAGAATGGTAAACGGTCAACCCCCCTTCAGTCTCGACAAGAACGCGGGCTACTCACCTTCAAAAACCCAATCATGGCCTGGAAACCTCCAATCAGGGTGAAATCAACTCCATACTGGAATGGGGACATTGAGATCAGAGTGCAGGCTGCTAATGACTTCCAATGCAGCCGCAGGCCATTCTTCTGGTAGCTATTATCTTCCATGGTGCGATTGTCGCGTCTTAGATAGGTTCGGTGAAAACGTTCAAGTGAAGACAAATAACACCAAGTCAAATTGAAAAGTCTGGCAGGACTAAAAATGTGCACCCTATTCCACTTGGCCAGCTTAGAGGGCTTTTAGCATCCCCAATGCCAGGAATTCCCTTCACGGCCCTAGAACTGCTCGATACGTCTCTGCCGCCTTCCCCAGACACTCTGTGGGGCCATGCGGAGCACCATCTTGACTTTTCAAGAATAGATCAGCTTAACTCGCCAACCCCATGATTCCCTCTCTGTCTACTCACCCTACCCATGGGGAGGCGTCATGCTCGGACAGATATCGACCCCATTGGCCGCTAGTCTGGGTCTGGCCTGAGTAGAATCCCGCGGATTGGGTGAATATGCTGCAGGCGAGGAAGATGAAATGCTGCATCTGCATCTTCGGGAGTCATCTGGCCCTCCTTACTACCGAGGAGCCCCCTGTGGCGCCAAAATGGAACCCAATTAAGCTGAGCAGCTACCAGTTTCGTGGTGGTGGAACTGACCCCATTCCATGGTGCATAGGTGGCTTTGTGGTGAGTTCACCGGCGGATCTCGCCTCCTTCTGTGCTTCCTATGAGAAGAGGCCGTTTTTCAATATGGCGGTACTTCGATCGAGTTCATGCTCTGGCACCAGCGTGCTTCGTTGTGGGGAAGATCAGCATTGTTGTGAAATGTGGAGAAGGCGGGTCACCCCCGCAATTTTCCTTGCGATCCTGCGCCCTTTGCGCCTTTTCGTATCTTGAAGGGGAGAAATAGTAAACGCGATTTATTGAAGGTGTGTCTGTGAGTCGCCTTTTCGGATGATGTCTACTTGGATGATGTGGCTGATGCCTAGTGTCACTTGATGCTGCAGTTGATATCAGAATCCGCTGGTGCATGATCAGATTGGGAAAAGGAGATAAAATGCGCCTATGATAGAAATCGCAGATCTCGATCTGAGCGAAGGGTTCAGATTGACAAACAGGTCTTGGGTAGCGAAAGAAAGTATCTATGATCAACATAGTTTCTATATCCCAATCTACATGCCGATATGGACAAACGCTTTGTTTTGACCCCTTCTGCATAGTCGAATCGGGAGAGTTAATAAGGAGCCCGGGTGACAGCTTGCTCGAGTGCCAACCGTGTTCTACGGGATAGCTGCAGGACCATGTCGGATATTAAATTAAATCCCCGCGATTAAAAAGAATAGTTTGATTTAAAACTCCAGTTATCCGGATAACGCACCGAGACCCAACTCGGCGCTCTGAGCAAAATGATGGTATTCGAACAGAAAAGCCAAAAAAAAAAACACAATCCGATTATCATATCTCATCATCATCGTTATCATTTTCTGTTTTCGTTTGCTTTTTCTCTCGGCTTCCTCCTAATCAATCATGTACAGCCGAACCCAAGCAGTCGTTGAACTTCAGTCGAGGCTCTCACCTCGCAGCTCTATTGACTTGATCCGTCATTAACACTCCACCATGCAGATGCCAAGGAGGTTGAGGCCTTGCGCGCCGGTGAAAGATACGATGAAGTGTAGATTCGCGAATTCTCTGATTATAGGAACATATTCCCTGTTTTGCTCAAAGGTCTCGAAGATCTGGATAGTATAGGTCTCAATAGGAGCAGGAAAGTGCACGCGTCATGCGATCTCTCGCATCCTAGGTGTTGCTGGGCCCAATGGGAACACCAAGATTTCCAGCAGCCCATGCATTCTGCATAGCCCGGGCATTAAGAGAGTTAACAACATAAGGACTATCTTCAGAGACATCACCGTTGCCCACGGGCCCGTTCGGAGGAGCAGGACCGGGATGTCTCGCAACGGCTCCCTGGCTTGGAACTGGATGATGCGCCATAAATCCGGCCCCGGTTACATTGCCCTGGTTTGGAAAGAAACTCTGATTTAAGGCCCCGCATGTTGTACAGGTAAACTCAATCTTGAAGTTCGTGAGAACCATCTGTGGAGCGGCATGATGATCGTTGCGTGGGCCATAATTAGAAGGCTTGGGATGCTCAGGTCCGGCCACAGATAGAGGAGATGCTGTCGGGTATCCAACCCCGGGCTGAGAGACAGTCATAGAGCGAGGATCACTACCGAGAACAGATTGTGTAGGTGTGCCAATTGGAGGCGGCTGTGGAATCTGGGACGGCCGCACCGTTTGAGGGGCTGCAGGTGGCGGCGGAGGGACAGGTGCGTGGTTACTAGGGGGACTCGGTTGGATGGACCGGGTCATCATCAATCAGTGTGGGTGGAAGGTGGTCTGCAATCCAGCGTGGCTCCGACATCTCTCGAAATGCTGGCGCAGCTTCGCCTTGGGTTTCAGCCTGAGACTGAGTGGGCGACTGCTGATCACCGGGACTCGTATCCATATCCAGAATCTGCTCATCAGGGCCATCGGCCTGTCGCGGTTGCAGTTTGGTTAATGCACGCTGTGCCTGCCTCATGGAGATGTCATATCCATGGTAGCGCTTCACTGCTTCCACGACATCTTGGCCCTTGATCCTGGTCTTCATATCGAAGAGCTTCGGGATCTCACTCAGCAGGAAGCGGACATGGGAGGCCTCCGATCGGGCCGGGGTTATGGCGGGAGATTCAGCACTTCGTCGACAGCTGTGGCTGTCTTGGAGGCTGGTGATGTAGGTAGCGTTCTTGTTTGAGCGACAAACAACGCGAAAATAGCAATTCTGCGCGGATCGACACCCAATGACCACGCTTTTCTTGTTGCTTCGAATAACACGAAGCTCCCAGTGTTGGCGCACCGATATGCTTCGAATTACCGTTTTGAAATCCTCCAGGGACGAAAACCGTTGGCTTGTATGAAGCCCCGAGTACATTTCCGTCATGTTGGCGAAAGTGGAGTAGCGAACAGAGAGGGACCAGACGACCGAGCAACTGAGAAACCAGCCGCAGATACTCGAACGTCAAATTCCATCAGGTTTCCCGTCGCGAAGCGCGTTGCTTCCAGAGTCACGGGGGGTAGAGGGGGAATGTGTCAAGTGCGGGAGCGCGGCGTAGTCTCAGCCGGTCATCATCGAGGTAGATGGGGGAAGAGCAAGCTGCAATGGACTGCAGTGCAAGAACAGACGGAAGTCAAAATCTAAGAGGTCCAAAAGGCCCAAATCGCGAAATCCGGAATGTCGAGATAGCAGCGGATTGCGGGTCGCCGGGGTTGCTTGGAGTGTATTTTCTGGGGAAAGCAGCCACGCATTGGCAGGACGGGGTCGGCACCGCCAGACCGCTCGGCTTCACTTTTCTGTTCCTTTTAACTCCCCGCTGAACGCCCCAACCCGTCCCCGTCGCCAGGCCTTCAGGGCCCTTTCCTTCCTTCATCATATCATTCAGATACGACTTCCTTCGCATCTCATTCCCTGCCTTCGGCTTACGCCATGGCATCCTATGGCCTGCTGGGCCAGCCAGAAGAAGGTCCAGCCTCATACCAACCCTCCCGCCCCGAGTCCTCAGCTAACATTCCACCTCTTTGCAGACGCTCTCCACAAATCGCGTCTTCTCAATGTCGAAGAGAAACCTTTCAAGCGCATCTCCAAACGCCTGCTGAACCCTGACTCCCTCGTCGTTGCGAATGCCTCCCAACTGGTCACCCCTCCTCCCGAAGATTCCCACCCCGACGCGACCGACGGCCCGGAGCTGAAAAGGCAGAAACGCCTCGAGGAATGGCGCAACTTTCGCGAAGACGTGACCCTCGACTTTGCCGCCTTTGAAGGCAGCATTGCGCGCATCCAGTTTCTGCTCACGAGTAACGAGCAGGAGCGCCAGCGGTATGCGACGGAGAAGCTCCGGATTCTCGAGACCATGCACTCCGTCCGCGAGAACACCAGTGAATTAAGAACGACCTTGGAGGAGGCACAGCGTCTGCTTGCCTTGCGCAAAAGCTATGATGATCTCGCAGAAAAAATTACGAGCAATCGCCTGCTAAAGCCGCGTGAGGATCAACATGCCAGTCTCCAAAAGCTCGAGTCAGAAATCACAGAACTAGAGAAAGAGAGCAAGGACTATGCCAAGACATGGGCGGAGCGGCGAGAACAGTTCGGTCGGATCGTGGAAGAGGGGATGCAACTCCGACGACTCATTCGCGATGAAAAAGAAGAGGTCGAACGACGGGAGGGTATGCAGGAGGGCGAGGATGGGGATGAAGCCGATGCCGGATCCAAGGGCAAGCTGACGGCCGCGAACAGCCCACGACCAGAGGCCGACAGCATGACCCCGTCACAGCACAGTCAGGACGAGTCGGGCAGGTTACAAGTCGACAAGTCCTTTGGAACTGTCCGATCGGCCTCACCCCTGCGCCAGGCCGTCAGTGCCAATGGCAACAAGGCATCCCGCGACCAGGAAGACACAAACATGGTGGATGAAGGCGAGGTCACAGCCGAAGACGCTGCTGAGGAATCTGACGAACTTGAAGAGGGCGAGGAGTTGCCAGATGAGAAGATGGACACCACATAAAAGGTCTCGGCGCATGTACATTTACTAGCATGGAGTTTACGGCTACCATTCTCCGGCGTTCGGCAATTGCAAGGTTTCTGAAATACTTTTTTTTCTTTTGGTATTTTGTTTTTAGAAGGTTAGGTTTAAATCAGAGAATATCATGGTTTTCGTTCAGGAAACTTCACGCTCTGCAACCTTCGACTGCGCAATGGCCTCCTTTGCGGCTGTGATGTGCGCGACATTGCTTTCTGCACCCTTTTGGCCCTCCTCCTCCTAAGACTCCTGTTAGTCGACCTGTGAAGAGCTCTCAAAGGTGTCAGGGTTGATGGGTGTGAACTCACAATCAAAGTCTGCAGCACGGCGACAGTATCAATGATTTTCTTCTTCAATGTAGGCAGGACCTTCTTGGTCTCCTCGAGGGCTCCCGCCTAGTCACCAGTTAGCGCAACTACTTCATTTAAGGACAGGCGGAGTTCATGTATCCAGAAACATCGAGAACAAAGGGGGAATTTCGTCAGGGTCAGGGGCATATATCTATACTTACCTCCTGTTTCAAAAGATACTCATGGTTCTCATCATCACTCGGGCTAGTCTTGAGCTTCTCAATCCGTGCCTCCTGCTCCAGTAATTCGCGGTGGTAGGATTCCGCCTCCTTCGCGAGGCGAATGACCGAGGATGTTTGAATCTCAAGCTGCGAACGGGGAGGCATTGTGTCTGGTCTATAGGAAGGTCAGATGGCAAGCTTGGGTGGTCAATTTGGTTGAAGCTCCGCATGAGTGACGTCATGTTTGAGTTCTCCAAAAGCAATTCGTGATTTTTTTTCTCAAGATGGGCGACTCCAGATAGGGCATGGACTCGATGATCTCCAGAGTGCCCGAGAGATTGATATTGAAACTCGCCTGGGCATGCCGAGGGGTCATCGGAGCTTGCAGATTTGATATCCGCCATGCTGGAAACGTCCCTGGATCCATCTGATATGCAGAGGGAGATGGCCTTCACCATTAAGGTCCAAGAAGCGAGGCTTACCTTGTCTTTATTCTTTGGCAGTTGAATACACCAGATGGTCAATGGAGCTTTCAGAAACCTCGCCCCCCGTGACCCCCGCGCTATCGCGATAACCGCTGTTTGCCGTGTTTGTCATATTTTAATCACGTGGTTTGTATAGACTCAAGCCGCGAGAGGATTTACTTCATCGACATATTCACGATAATTCTACTGATCTGATCCCAGCCATATTTCATTTGGCGGGTTATCGTTGTATGTATAATAAAGTATGTAGAAACTTCAAATGCAACTTGGCTACTCCAGAAAGCATGCGAGATCACACAGGTAGGGTTCTCCCAGCTGATCCTATGGCTTCCCATTCGAGCGCCGAGTACTTCTATTCCTAGATACAGTGAGAAACATTCAAGCGCCGTCCATTTCATCTTCGGCTTAGATATTCTTGGACCACCCTCGGGTATTGTGTAAGTTGCAAATTGCAGTCTGCATCTTCTCGCTGGCCGGAGTCACAACGAAGCCGGGGCTACAGACTTGGCCAATGAGGACTCGCTGGGAAGCTTCGTAGACCCGCCGGACCAGGTCGGCGATCATCGCCCGCAACACGTCAAATCAGCTGGATTCGACGTGGAATCCTATTATATTATCCCCGAGTCCCGCTCTTCATTCACCCGACCGTCCATAATTCAATGTCATTCCTCCCATTTTTGAACCAGCCTCGGTCGAGCCCTCTGCCGTCCTAAGCATGCCAGCCCCATCACTCCGACAGCTGGCCATGGCCACGGCAATCAAACACGTGAAGCGTATGCACATGCGAAACAACAAACAAGCTAAATGATTGCTTTGCTCAGTCACTAACGCCTCCTCTGACTAGTGTTAACCGATCTGGGAAACTTGCCCTATGCCCTTGCTCGTCCGATCTTGCTGAAAGTCGACAATCCGGAGAGACTGGTAGGTGACGCACCAATTCAAAAGCCCAGCCACACGCTTCTCTGCACCACCATCTACAAACAAGATCCTGGCTTATCATGATCTGGATCTGGATCCATATAGCATTCAATGGAAAAGCGCTCCCCCCAAATCGCAGAAGAAGACCAAGAAATCTGGCTGGAGATCATCAAGCGCGATATCCCCCAGTGGGACACCTACGACCTGCCCGAGAAGTCCAATCGCTGGTACGAAATCTACTGCGACCTCCGCGAAGAAGTCGAACGATCTCTTGATGCCGACGCCGCAAAGATGAAACTGGCTATCGACGGCATCACATCCCAAAAGGCCAAACTCGCCCCCAAGGTGTTGCCCGGCCTGCGCCGACAGAAACCCTCGTTCCGTCAGCGAATCATGTCTACCCATGTCCCCAAGAAATCGACTATATTCACCCCCCAACGAAGGAATAATCACCTCGCAGTGCCAACGAAACACCTCGCGACGAGAGCCTCGCAGATCAGGCAGGCGCCGCGGTCCCTGATCGAAGAGCATCGCCGGCCAGTGGAACCCCCCGCTGCCAGACGTCCCAACGATCCCAGTGCCCAAATACCTGGACCCGGTCCTTCGATGCGTAATCCACTCTCGGGGTCTTCATCGTTAGCCGATCGAGAAGCGCGACTACGAGCCCTCACCTCCGGCAACCCGAGGACATCACTGTCTGCCAAGGACCCTTCCTCGCCGGTCAAGAAACCCGTTCCTAAACGCCGAGCCACATCTCCGCCTCTGACCAGCCCCCCGCCACCCTCGCGTTCTCGCAATGATGAGAGTCAGGCTGCGGCGCAATCCCAGGCTGCCAATCCTGCGGACGCCACCTCGCCAGCCCGCCCATCCATCAAGCGCCGAAAACCGGATGTCGATATCTTCCTTCGACCAAAACAACGAAAGCGAGTCCCTTGAGAGTTCTCTGTCGTTTTGGATGTCTTTTATTTAGCGATTTGTTTCCATTTACTTTTCTAGTCCGGTCTACTTCTTGCATCTGGGTTTTGTTGCATCATTTTCAGGAGTCTTGGCGGAGTTGTTATCTGACGCGGGCTCGTTATTTTTGTTTTCGATACTGGTAGGGGCGATCTCTTTGGATTTGGGTAACATTTGCCGTGTACAGTGGACGCACCTGGGTCGGAGTACATGACCTGTGATCTTTGGACCGTTTTTTCTTTGCTCTCTTTCCGCCTTCGATCTGTGGCTCATGCATTACATATAGCGTCACATATAACTGTCATATTACTGGTAAAGCCATGCCCTTGGCCATTGGACACAAATATTTGGACAAAGCTTCAGATTATTCTAGATTTTCCAAGATTCCAAGCTATTCCGCCACATAACCCAGTAGAACCAGAAAGGATAATACCAACCGGTAAGTATTCTTCGGAAAAGCCAGTTGTTCGAAGTGGGATTGATTTAAATCACATTGCTGGAAGGAGAGAATTGGTATCTAAACGGGGAAGGCATAACTGATTACATCGTATCGCATCCACCACGCAGGGCAAGGACCAGGTGGAGCGTGGCACCACCCACCAGGTTGTATTCTTCGGCCGTCTTCTCATCCGCCCTAGTCAAGAGGAAAACGAAACCAGTCAGTGTCTAGAGTTCTGGCAAAGAGTCGTGGAGATTTCGTTTTAGGGTATTGGCCATCGGACGTACATCTGTTTGCCGCCAAAGATCAGGCGCTGCTGAACTGGGGGGATGCCCTCTTTCTCCTCGACCCGCTCCTTTATTAAGGAAACCTGTTTCCGTTGCTCTGGGTCAGCTATTGGTGTTCCCGGGAATATGGTGGTCTGATAAAAAGCCGTCTAGTTGCAGGTACCCTCATCCGGGGCCGGATAAAGGGTCGGGTATGTCGAGTTCGCGTAGAGCGGCGTAGAGCGAGCGTAGGGACGCGGTTCAAGCTCACCTTGTAGTCGGGCTCGATGTCCAGCTCGATCTCCTTGCCGGTGAGGGTGCGGACTCTGTACAAAGGAAAAGATGCTTGTCAGCGCCAAGCTGTTCTGGGTGTGCTCCATATCGGGCCGCCGATGATGCAATCGCCCAGTTTGCGGGTCATGACTTACTTGATCAGCATCCTGGCAAGTCAATAGTTTGTGGTTGAATGCTGGAGTAGGCTGGTAAAGAGTGGCAAGAAGACCGCTGTGCGATTTCGGGGAGGCGAGAGTAGTGTTGTTTGCAATGAATGTCTGGAGAACGAAGAAGTCAGAGCCGCGCTGGCGGGGTTCTGGTGGGGCCCGTGGCCTTGTTGCCTGATTGATGATTGCGGCTGCGCAAGTTGACCGACGCGGACTTGACGCTGAACACAGATTGAGGTCAGAATGAGAGGATGAATGAGAAATATAGCTTTCTTGGATCGTTTCTCAGGTACTGTTTTATGTATATTGACTTTGATTTAAGCTCAGAGCCCCTCGACTAAGGCTTAGGCGTGCCATGAATTTTGGAGTCAGCTCTTTATCGAGCGTAGAAAAACGAATGTAAATGGGAGGAGGGGGAGGGGGAAGGGTATCAGCATGGCTTCCTTTCCCGATACAAATATAGCTATCAAGGTCTTGCTGTTGAGGAGCTGGTGATTTAATTGTCTGGTTCTTAACTGTATGTCGCCGAGCCAACATGGCCGCGTCGCTGTTATATATCTCGGCTATTCGTCTTACATACACCGCTCTACATAACATCAACTTACGGCAATTTCAAGCGAAAACCGTCCAGCTACGGACAGAGAATCTGACCTGAAGTTACTAGAGTGCCATCAGCCTAAATTGGAATATGACCATTAAGTCTCAGGAGCCAAGCTCGCACACCCCTAATCCGTTCCAAGGGTTGATAGCGGCCTGTGACAACGACCCAGTATCTTGCCCCTTACTCTCCCAAAATCTTTGCTCAAAGCTGACTCGGTCGACCAGAAAAGGCTACAACGAGCCTACGACGAGCACCGAACCACCCGAAATTCTCGGTTTAGGGATCAGATTCTAGACCCTGGCTTCCGGGGATGGCAGTTTGACGAAACCCTGCATCGCGTCCTCGGGGCCGAACAGGGTCTCTCTCAGTATGTTGACCAAAGGCATAATCTTGCCTTCTGGGCGCGACCGCCGCGGCATATCCGGGAATTGGCCCAGATGATTCAGCAGGAGATTGCGCCTCTGGCCGAGCAGTGTAAGTTCAGATCTTTTCAAGGTCTGAGAAAGACGGTGGGTTGACTTCTAAAACCGACAGGTCTCTGGCTCACGCCTTTAGAAAACCTTCACATGACTACGCTCGAGATGATGTCGGCGCGCACAGAGTCAGAAGTCAATACGGTTGTTTCTTTCCTCCAGCAGAAGTCTGTGTGCCAAGACACTGTAGATTATACTGTTGCCCACCGCGCCCGGCTCGTCCGTCCAATTGTCAGCTATGATGCTTCTGCCCTAGCTCTGAGTTTTGTACCTGCTGCTGGAGGTCCAACCAGCGGCATGAATAGTCTGAAGGACGTCTACTCCTACCATCATCTACGACGTGATCTCTATGATATGATGACACAAGCTGGCTGTGAAATCGGGGCCCGGTATACAGTCCCATCGGCACACGTGACTATTGCTCGATTCATCCGTCCTGTTGGAGGTAGTCCGGATGGTGCGAAGGAATCGGACTATTTATGTGAAAGGGCGACCAATTTGGTGGCCAAAGTTGAGGAGATCAACCAAATATTGAGCTCAGATGACTGGCAACGGTTTGGGAGCCCTGTGGATGGAGAATGGGTAGTGGGTCAGGAAAAGGGTCTTGAATTAATAAAGGGCCGATCGTGGTATGGGAGTGGTGATAGTATCCTTGTGGGTGAAGGTTTTCCATAACCTCCTTGGTGTGTTCAGATAGACAAGCACAATCATAGTACGACTGGTTGTTCAGGCTCTCTTGTGTTTCCCAATCGGGCAATCGGGCCCTCGTCAACGATGACTCAGCAGGTCAGGAGCGTGGCCCGCCCGACATGGTTTAGCGCGTACCCGAATAGGGCCTAAGCGAACGAAATCCCACAACCCAACCATCCGCTCGATCTTCTCCGACAAGCGACACCCAACGACCACCACCTCGCTATCCGGCAAGTCAGTCAAAATGGTAAGGACATCACTTTCTATGTTCCAGGGTGCACTCCCTTGAAGTCCTGGTCAATCGAAAATTGTTGCGACGTCACGACGGTATGGTGCGCGTGCGAATCGAAGACTCGAAAACCTGTGTGCGGCGAATCCGACCCTGTCATATAGCGACCGACCGACCAACAATCAACAATTTCTGAATCTTCGGCTCCTCCATTGCTCTTTTTGCTTGGAGTTATCACATCGAAAGCGCCTTCTGTTTCGATCCGCACATTGGCCGGAATGAAAGTCATGATCAGAGATGTTCATTTCGCAATGCACGGCGGGCAGAACCAGCGGACAGAAACATGATAGCACTTGGAACAATACTAGCTTGACGCTTGACAACGTATTTCTCTCGATTACAGCTACTCTCGTTCATCAGACCAAAGTGACGCAACCGCACCATTTTCGACACCAGACCCAAGGACTGAGAGGGAACCATCGCAACAACCTTGACAATTTTTTTTTTTTCAAATGCGCACCCATGAATCCATAGCTTACGAGACTCCGCGCACAGGTCAACATCCCCAAAACCCGCCGGACCTACTGCAAGGGCCGGGAGTGCCACAAGCACACCCAGCACAAGGTCACCCAGTACAAGGCTGGCAAGGTGAGCAGTGCCTCTAAACTCCTCCGCATAGCCGAACCGAAATGCTGACGACATAATTTCTTGCACCATAGGCCTCCCTTTTCGCCCAGGGTAAGCGCCGTTACGACCGGAAGCAGAGCGGTTACGGTGGTCAGACCAAGCCTGTCTTCCACAAGAAGGCCAAGACCACCAAGAAGGTTGTCCTCCGTCTCGAGTGCACTGCCTGCAAGGCCAAGAAGCAGCTCGCCCTGAAGCGCTGCAAGCACTTCGAGCTTGGGTATGTTTTCGCAGTCCCCTCTCTTTGGCTCTGGTTTTAGAAACTAATTCTTCTTCTTCCTTTTTACAGTGGTGACAAGAAGACCAAGGGTGCTGCTCTGGTTTTCTAAGCGTTCGATTTCCTTGTTCGGCTTCTGGGTTTCCTGCATTGCACAAGACACTTCGCTGCCTATGTGGAGGTCATATGATGGTGGCAATGGAAAAATGAAATAGGAATTCATACCTTCAAAAACAACTCGATGACTACCTGATACGAGTCTTTTCTCTGTCCTACTGCGTCTGTACCTCTTCCTTCCACCGTAAAACTCTCCGTTCCTCCAGTTCGGGGTGACTGGCTTAAACATGAGACCTCGAAGAAGGCTAGCCTGTAAAAAAAATACTTCCATTCCCCCTCCATACAGGAAGGACTGGGATTTCAATGCCGGAGGTGTTTCAATCACTTGTAATCTCCCTGGCTTGTGACTGCTGGACCCATGTCCCAACTGGGATTGGTTGGCTAGTGTGTTGCCATCCATGAATGTCTCATATGCAGGCTTGTACTCTACAAAACCAGTGCGCGTTGGCTACACCAAATGGTCTTCGTTCAGTATGTATCTACACAGGATGGACATCATCTCCAGCCCCTATACAAACACAAAGCTCGCGTGAGATATCCTTTGATGCTGAGTATCGGTCTGTATATATATATAGCGCAAGTCTGGTGGGTACAAGGGTCATACATGATAGGTATACGTGTAGTGATAGCCTATATTGAATAATGGAAGGCAGTATTCTTGACAATGTTCGATCAAGCCAATTGTAGTCATCTCACAAGCGTAGAATACTGTCCGTATTTCAACCTAGGATTCACCCCGGGTATTCCTCATGCCGAGGCAATCAATAATAGATCAAATTGGGGACTGAATGTCGGTGGACAGTGCTGAATGAAGGCTGTCAAGCCCAGTGGACGCCACGATTTAAGCTGCCAGTATCTTTCAGGTCCGTGATTGTCCCCGAGCCAATGACACAAATAGCAGGCAGAGATAGACGCCGAGCAGGAGGCGTGCCAATCCCCGATCGCTCAACCCTGCTATACTCGAAATAGGCAGACTTTCGCGACATCACCAGTCATTTCGTCTGCTCCAATGCCAGCGCGGCAGGAAATATATCCCGGCGCTCTTGAAAGATGACTCGGACCCATTTGACCCGTTTGATGACCCGTTTGATGCCCCGGTTGAATGGACCCCCGCACTTCCCCCACGCCGAGACCAAGTAGAAGTAGAAAAACGTACCCCCAGACTCTTCATTCCCAGCCAACCACCGGTACAAATCTCAACCCACTGTGTCTCACCGATTAGAACCAGTCCAAGCTATAGCAAATCCAGTTATCCCGATTCTCGACAGGCAAATCCCACCCAGCCACATCGCACCCACACTCCCTCCCCTCCAATCATCTCGTATTTCCCGACCCCGACCCCCGCAATCCCCAGAACATCACTTCCGCATCTCGGCCGTCCTCCGAGCCTGCTAATGGGCGTAGTCTCCCAACACGCCGTATAACGCTCCCTCGGTAGCTCGGACAAAGGCCGCCTCGCGAAGATAATAGAGCGCTGGCTGCCGCACGGTGATGGATCAGCCTGGCGGTTTTTGCCTTATTTCCCCCTTACAGGCACATTTCTAGATTCCCATCTCCCAAGTCGAGACGAGTGGGCGTGGTTTCTAGCACTCCCATCGACACCTTCCACCCCTCTACTTCTCCATAATCTCGACAGTGCTAGCTGCCGGCTCGGCTGTATAGTCCACAGCCCTTCAAAATGGCAATGTGGTACTCGCTCGGCATCGCGTTCTTCGCAGCCATCGGTACATTCTTGTTTGTATGTGGCGAGAACGCGATCGACTGCCTGGCCCTGTTGAGGCGGTTTTGCTAACGCAAATTAGGGCTTCGATACCGGCATCGCGACAACGAGTGAGTAGCACTCGTTCCAGGTTGGGAGGCGGGCCCTGTTTGCCGCGACCTCTCATGACCCTCCCCCCCCCAAGACCCCCCCAGACTGACCGTGTTCTTTTACCCGCTCAGCAATCGCCCACCAAAGCTGGATTGATTACATGAACAAGCCCTCAAATGGCCTGACCGGCGCGGTACGTCTCAGAATCTCGCACCGTTTCCTGATTGCAAAATCTCGACCGCATGTTCGGCTGCTAATGGCTGGCGTAGGTGGTTGCGGTGTATATCGCAGGTGAGGCAGGCGGCGCCTTAACACAGACGTTTATCGGAGATAAATTGGGCCGTATCCGGTTTATGCAACTGATGTGTGTGATCGTGACAATCGGCACGGTCATCCAGACGGCGTCCGTGAATATCGGCATGTTCCTGGCGGGCCGGGTGTTGGCTGGATATGCTGTCGGGTACGTTCCCGTCCGGAGCCTGAGAGCGATCAATTGCATCGAGAGCAGGGAGGAGAGGGGAAAGAAAGAGGTTCTTGGAGCTAGGTGCTAACCCTCTTCACTGTAGAGGCATGGTTGCCACGGTCCCGATATACCTCAGCGAAATCTCCGATCCCCGCTTCCGCGGCCTGATTGGCGGTATCTCGGGCTGCGGCATCTCATTCGGCACCATGGCATCCAACTGGGTCGGGTTCGCGTGCAGCTATGCGCCGTACGGACCGGTCCAGTGGCGCTTGCCGCTAGGCATCCAGATCCCGTGGGGAGTGGTGATGTTCGTGGGCTTGGCGACGTTTATGCCGAACTCGCCGCGGCAGCTGATCCGCAGTGGGAAGATCGAAGAGGCGCAGTCTGAGTTTGCACGGATTCGCCGGGGCCTGCATTCGCTTGAGGTGCAGGAAGAGTTTGCGCTGATGCAGGCACAGATTGAGTATGAGATGGAGCGGGAGATTACCTCGTATAAGGAGATTTTCCGGTTGTTCCGGCACCGAGTGCTTGTGTAAGTTTTGAAACTAGTCCCCGAAGCGTGGTTTTTCAGGGGTGTATTGGGGGAGGAAAGGGAGGCATGGAAGTGAAGGAAGGGGGAGGAGCAGTTTCACGTGGATGGCAGTGGTGGCGTTGTGAATGGGCAGGGCTGATGATCTGCTTCTTTTCAGGTCGATTGCCGTGCAGACAATGACGAGTTTGACGGGTGTCAATGTGATCCAGGTAAGTCAGGAATCGGGCCGCATCGACCGGAAGACGATACTTACCTTTTCTTTCTCTCTCGGTTCTAGTATTATCAAAGTGAGCATGCCCTATATGTTGCTCCAGTGAGCCCCAAATCGGGTCACATAGACTAACCTTCCTCTCCTGCTAGCCATCCTCTATAAATCTCTGGGGATCGACTCACATTCTATTCTCGCCTTGGCAGCGGTCTACGGCACCGTGGCCTTTCTGTCCAATGCCATCACTACCAAATATATGACGGACCAGTGGGGCCGCCGCAAGTACGTGAACTCACTAGCATAGGCGCTAGTGGATGCGTCTGATATCATGCGCGGGGAAACTCTCGAAAAGCACAGAGGCACAGATGCTAACGGATGTCTAGGATGCTGATCACGGGTCTCGCAGGCATCGTGCTCATCGAGATCTATGCTGCTGTCATGCAGCGCGAGTTCCAGAATACCGAGAACCGTGTCGGCAAGGGATTTGCAATCCTGGGGATCTATCTGTTTGTGGTCTGCTACTGTGAGTGGACCCCTAGCACTGGCGTAGAACTCCTGTGGGGATGATTGGCATACTGGCACGCCTATCCTCACGCCCACCCGGAGGAGACTTCCCATATCCTGATGTTCCTTGTCTCCACATACGGGGGGCAGTTTCCTCATTCCATTGAGGTGACATAGCTGACCGTGCCTTCTCGTCCAGATGGTATGCTGAACAGTACAACGTGGCTGTATGGTGCCGAGGTTCTGCCTATTGCGCTGCGCAGCAAGGTGATGGGTCTCGCGGCGGCGTCTCACTTCATCGTCAATGTGGCTAGTAAGAAATGCGGGCTTGCCTGGTCCTGCTGGACAGCTGCTGATACATCTCATTCCAGTTACTGAGGCCGGACCCAGTGCGTTCGCCAACATCCACGAGAACTACTACTACGTTTTCGTCGTGTGCTCTGCCGTTTTCCTGGTCATTGCATATCTGTATTTCCCGTACGTGGTTGTCTTCCCCCGCCTCATGATGCATGATGACTGCGCGCAGCTCCCAGGATCCGGGAGAACTCACGGCTAACATCTGCTGTCGCGTCTAGGGAAACCAAGCAAAAAACACTTGAGGAGGTCGCCGCGGCCTTTGGCGACCGTGTCGTCCTGGCTGACGATGGGCCCAAGCGCACCTCGACGGCAGGCAACGCTGACCACATTGAGTCTGCTGGCGAAGCGGCGTAAAGTGTTGAAGTTCAGGATCGGGGGTACGCGGGCACTGGCGTGGCGAGATCCGGCTAGGTTACAGCATTTTGAAATCATATGTAGTCCAATTGTAGCTTGAAGGACCCTCGCAAATCCTGATGCCTATGAAGAGGAGCTGAAACAGTCGGTGTCGGCCGGCCCTTGTATGTGTTTTGTGTCGTAGCTACATAGGCGTCGTCCAGGCTGATGTGTCGAAATTGGGCCCGACGGGACGTGGACGGCGGGAAGTGGACGGCGGGAAGTGGCGACACCTTCCTAAAGAAGCCCTCGGTCGTCTGCAACGTCACTCGCGATCCCGGATGGGCAAAGCTTTGCCCTCGTGAAAGAGACTGCGCTGGGCAGGTGTGAAAGTGCGGACTCCACGCTCGTGGCTTTCACCGCCAACCTTCAATTTATCCCATTGGTGCGACGAGGTCCTGCGATGGCTTCCAAATACCTCGCCGACCGCACTTTAGCCGGTATGGACCTGCCTACCTGAGGTTGTCTGGAGGCGTGCACACCACAAACAGCAGTTCAAATTACTCCCGAGGGCCCGCCTTAATCCTTCGCGCCGTCGATTTCAGATATCAGATTTGAGATTTGGCGACTCCCGCCAGCCCCTGAGGTCATCATACAGACACTATGGACACTACAGGGCACTACAGATCCTACAGGCACTACCGGCACTACAGAAATCACAGACATCACAGACCACCCACGGCCAGGAGTCAAACGCCTGGATGCCGAAACGCCGACTTCGGAGGCCAGGAAACTTTCTAGTCGTCCACATCCGATGCATGAGATTCACTTCCGAAGAGAAAAAGAAAGAGGAACCCAGAAAAGTCAAATCGCCACGCGATATATCCCTGTTCTACCCGCCGATCATTCACCACGGGGAGGAAAAGTCGGGGGGGAGAAGGATTGGCACGACACCGAGGGGAGGGAAACTATGAGACCGACTCCAGATGCACGAATGTCTAATGCTCAGCGGGGGGAGGCTGGTCCCTAATCGCTCGGGGAGGACGCTATTCGCCACTGTGCATCGTGCACCGACCGCCGTCTTCGCGACTATCGAGGATCTGGGGTGTGCAGGATATAGCATATCGGCAACGCGGTTCGGCTGTCGAATACGCTGCTCGGGCTTCTTTTCTCCCTTCCTCGTCCCCTTTGCCCGTCGGAGACGCCTCCCCCGAGTTGTTTTGAGTTTTTGGGTTTGGCGCGGACCCCTGAGCTGGGGATGAGGGTGATTCTTCCGTGGTCAGGAACCAGACAAACTCGGGGTCCGAGCACCCCGTGTTCCCTCCCCATCCCCGTCTGCGGCTCCGTTCTCCATCGCCAAGTGCCGATAGAGAGTCGATAGTTCGCATTCCGGGGCGCTGGAAGGGCCATGTGGGAAAAGGAGGACCCGGGGCTTGTGCGCTGATGTCCTGTTTCTCCGTCCTTTTCTCCCCTCCCCACCCCCCTTACAGCGATGATCGTTGCAGGGCACGATCTACATGAGAGCTTCCTTACTCCACGGATCATGGGATGTTCAGGGCCCGCGGAGATCTTCTCGTCGATCGAACTGCCGTTGTTGTACCCTGCCTGTACACAGTGCATAGAGTGCGGTGCACATCCTCTGCGCGGGGTGTTTTGGTGTTGATCATAACTCATATGGATCACGACGGCTGTTTCGTGTTCTCATCCGTGGAACCATAATCGAGATTGCCGTCCCCGCCCATGGATTTAGCGCGGATCGGCCTCGATATGGTAAATTGTTGACCCTTTCCTCCTGAGGACAGTATACTAGTCTCCATGAGTATCGATGTCCATCCCAGCATAGCTACACGTCTACCTATATCTGCTAGCCACCGAGTTTTTCTGCCAAACCCGAGATGAGGGTCCATGACGTCGTTCCTCGGAAAGGGGAGTTAGCTTCCGTGACAACGCCAAGTCAGAATGATTCTGTGGCGCTAGGAATGTGGCTCAGCCGCGCTTGACTCTATCCGCACTAGCAGCCCCATCGTAAGCGAGTGAGCGCGTCTGCACTAAGATCGACGATGCGCGGTGCAATTTTTTTCCCTGCCGCTCGGGCCTCCGGTGGCAAATGAACGTAACGAGGGAAAAAAAAAGCCCAGTTGTCCTCACAACCAGGCACTTATGCTCCCTGCAGAAGCCATGACAGGACGGAAAATGACGACCCCAACTTCGATTGGTAAACATTCCTTTGACCCGAGGTGGCGGGCTTGGGCTCCCCTTGATGCGCGTCTTCCGCATCCATAGTATAACACACTTTCTACAACATTGTAGGTGCGTGCGATATACTACATACTGCAACGTCCATACGGCATGCCACATCCACACCCTTCTAGGAAGACAGACTCTTCATTTCGGCCCTTCCCGCTCTCTGGAACCGAAACGCACATGAAGCCTGGCATTCTTATTCGTGATAGATTTTCCGAAGCATGACGATTTTAGGGTCTGAGCGGAGAGACAGTACCTCCTCGCATCTTGATGTTGCAGGGGTCGACCTGTATGTAGGGAATAGATCCATCGCATCCGCTTCTCCCGAAGGCTTTCCATTCCTTCGAAACCTTCGATGTCTACCATTCCCCCGGGACCGGCTACCCCAGCGGGTCTCGGTTTTTTCGCCTTTTTACTATGCGCCCTTGGATGGTTGTAGAAGGAGCTCACAACGGGCGACCCCGAAACCTGTCTGTCAGGATAGTTAGTACCCTATACTGCATAGCGCGACCCAACGATTCATACCCTGGACCATCGGAAGCTGCCCGCCTTACCATCGGCAAAGCTGCTAGTCCGTTTCCATGTCCATGCTACGTAATTCAAGCACTAGGGATATATAGCCCGCTAAAAAAAAAAACAAAACAAAAAAACCAAAAAGTTGAAAAAACCTTGATGCGCGGGCCTCATCGGAACGAGCGGGTCTTCCATGTCTTCTAGAAGGCTTCCGAGACCCACTTTTGGCCGGGCGTCCCTACTATTGCCAGTAATTACACGAGGCACGTTTCACATATTTTAAATTTTAATTTTTAGGGGGGGATTTTTTGGTCATTCTACTCTCTGGAATCAATGGATGCAGGGTCAGAACAACAGATCATTGGATGGTCCAAGGTTTCTCGGCATGCTGTCACGGCCAGTCTGTCGGGACCGCGACATGCAGAAAGGGGGCGAACGGCGAGGCGGGATCCGTTCAGCTGCCGGGTAAACACTACCCTTCTCTAGACTCTGTCCAAGGCCCAAGCCAGGACTGCATCCTCCAACGATGGTGGCTTCGTTGCCTCCCGCATTTGAATTTGAATTTGAATTTGCATTTCTTTTATTCTTAATTCTTTATTCTTGATTCTGACAGGTATTTCGAATATTTCGAATATTTGATTTATTCCTGCATAATCCAATTAATCGTTCATTCTCTTGACTATTCGGGAACGGGCTTTTACTTTGGTTTTATTCCCTTGGCCTATTCTAGTTCTTTATAAGGGAATCAGCACGCACCAGCGACATCTCTTGGGAACCATGACGCATCTTGTCGGGCTCCAGCTCTTCTCCAACAAAGTTTAAAGCAATTGGATTTCCCTCCCCGCTTGTCGAATGCCTGGTGGGTTCACTGGCACCACTCTCGCTTCTTATTTCTATCTTTGATCCAGTGTGGATGGGACCCCGTTCGTCACCTATCGTCACCAACTGGAGATTCAAAGGGCCACCGGTCCACCAGACCCCCATTCTGCAGACTCAACTTTCAGTCATTGCCGTGGATCGGTCTCTGCGAAGTGCCGCGTGAACGTGGATTCCCTGACGATCTGATCTCATCTTCGTGGCCCGTATACTGGGTATACTTGTCATACTTTCCGACTCTCACAACTCTATCGGGTCTCCGCATCTCTCTCGTTGACCCCATTTACCATTGATTCTTCCTCACATGGCGTCCTCCTCTCGCGCCTCCGGGAAACGCCTTCCCATTAGCTGCCAGGCTTGCCGGACAAGAAAGATCCGCTGCTCCAGAGATGGCCGTCCATGCCAGACGTGCGTCCGCCGCGGCCTCGGTGCTGAGGACTGCATCTATCTGGGCCAGCCGAGACTATCCTCTGAGCAGTCCTCTTCAGCCGATTCAACAGTGCAGAATGAACTCCTGGCCCGCATTCGGAATTTGGAAGGCCTGCTCCAGAAACAGGTCAACTCTCAGGCTGGCACGCCCACAGGCGGTGCGACGTCTCCTCTGCGCGCTCCCAGCGCGTCTGGAAGCCTCTCAGAATCCGATTTCGGCACTGGCTGGGAAACCTGGGGAAGCCCGGTGATGGGGAATGTGGGGACTCTGCACACCTCCCCTTCCGGCCATGTGAAGTATGTCCCACTCGCCTCGCAATGGGAATCCGTTGTTGCGAAAAGCCCCGCTGCGGAGTATCTGCGGAGTTCTGACTCGGACATCGCGGACGACGATGATCTGCAGATCCCGCTGGCGCAGAATGGTGCTGTTTCGCGTGCGGACCTGTTGGCGCTGCTTCCTCCCGGCAGATACTGTGATATCCTGAAGGAAAAATACTTTCGCGTTTTTTCACCGGTATGTTTTTATGTTTTTTTTTTTTTTTTTTCAAGAAATTAGGATTCAAGAACTTCTTTCTATAGCTACGATGCGATCCTAACGTGCCTTCTTTAGGTGTTCCATATACTTCATGACTTGACCTTCGAGGCAGAATACCAGCAATTCTGTCATGACCCTGGTAGCGTGTCTACCTCGTGGCTTGCTTTGCTATTTGCTATCTTGGCCATCGCGATCAGCGCTCTGGATGACGATGAGCCTCTTCTGTCTGATCTCGGCCGTGAGAGGACGGTGAGTCGGAATGTAAAAGTGCTCTCTGCACGTTACCGGTCTGCTGCTTTACGTTGTTTAGCCGCGGACAGCGTGATGACCCGCCACTCTATCAACTCTCTTCAAGCCCTAGTTCTTATTAGCTACGCACGGCTAAATCGTGGATTACCCTTCTGGACACTACTTGGGTTCACACACCACGTCGCTATATCGATGGGCTGCCACATTGACCCGGAAAGATTTCATGTTCTCGGAACCATTGAGCGAGAAGAGCGGCGCCGAGTCTGGACCGGCCTCATGATGCTCTATACGATCCAAAACACATCTTTCGGAAGCCTCGACCAACAAACACTCTCTCAAGACGTCAAGATGCCTGCCGACGTGGACGACGTCGACCTCCTCACTGGGTCTACCGTTTCAATAACGTCCGACCCATCGTCTCCTACTCCATCCCGTCCAACCCAAATGACCTACCTGCTGCTTACATTCCGCCTCCACCGTATCTCTAACCGCATATGCGAATCAATCTTCGCCTATCCACAGTCCCGCTTCACCACTTCACAACTTGAAGCCGAGATTCTTGCCGTCCGCGAGGCATGTGACCTGCGGTATAACACAGACAACAGCAAGGAGCCGCTACCCCTGCACCACCAAGCAAACCTCAACATCCTCTACTCCCAGATCCACCAATTGCTCCTTCTCCTCCACCGGCCTCAACTGTGCCGGTTCCTCCAGGGCGAGATCACGTCTGAGACATGCGCCTCGCGAGCGAAATGCATGGTCTCCGCCAAAGCCTCACTCTCAATCTTTCAATCCCTCCTCGAATCCACCCAGTTTGCCCCTTATAAGTGGTATACCAGTGGCCTGGGCAGCTTCCATGCTTTCCACGCTGCCGTCGTCCTCGCCATCGGCCTCTTCAACCCCGAATCTCAGGCCGAGTTTGACGAAACGAAAGAAACTCTGACCAAAGCGCTGGACATGTTCGCCTCGCTCTCCGTGCGCAGTATTTTCTGCAGCAAGGCTGTCCCCATCGTCCGACAGATTATGTAAGTATATCTCGCCCTCCCCCACAATCCATCCATTCTAGGACCATCCCAAAGAAGGCCACAAAAGGGAGAGGAACTAACACATCCGCCTTTCAGTGACGTCGCAAACACCAACTACACCCAACTCCAACAACACTCCAAGTCCCAATTCCAAGCCCATCTCCAAGCCCAGGCGCAGGCGCAGGCACAAGCACAAATACAAGCCCAGGCCCAGTCCCAAATGCTCACTTCTCTTGCTCCGAGCCTCTCTTCCGTCAGTATGACCGATAGTTTCGCCCTCTCACATCCCCAGTCACATTCGCCTGTACCCACTGTCGCCTCGACCTCAAGCGATCCCACCATGTCCTCCAGTTTCGGCGTCCACCTCCATCCGCAAAACTGGATGGGCCCGACATCAGTGCCGTGGGATACGCTAGGGGCGTCGATGGGACAGTTTGGCTTTGATGGGAACGGGGTCGCATAAGACTGTGGGGATGTGCCAATGCTACTTAATTACCTGTTTCTTTGGGGCCTCTTTCTTCTCTATGAGTTTCTTTTCTCGGGCGGGTTATCTATTTCATTTCTAATCTCTCGGTTCTCAAGACGGCACTTTGGATCCGGGATACCTAAAAGTTTTGGGACCGTTATTAAGGGCCGGGCTTGAAGGGGCCCGCGCGCGGGGGATTGGTTTTGACTTTATTTATTATTTATTTTTGTTTGCATTTTTGTCGGATCTGTTCTTCTTACTATTTGGGGTTATAGATGGACTATGCTTTGGGGAGGGAGCTTTATTTTTTCATTTGGACTTTTTTTGGAGGGCGGTTTCATGAGACCATGAGGCATGATTGCTTTTTCTTATCAATAGCTGGACTAGATGCTTTGATCCTGACGGACACATCATTATTTCAAGATATTTCCCTTTTTTCTTTTGGATCTTTTCTTCCTTTTCTCGTGGAGAAATGAGAACCCCTAGGAACACGAGCATGATCCTCGGACATTGAACAGGAAGGCTTCCCAGCAATCATCCCAAGCTCAGTTGAATTCTTTCGATGTTCATAAGCTCCCGGATTCCGTAAGGCCCATAAAACTTATCTCCACCGTCACGCATCCGTCTCCACAACCTGGATAGAAAGTCCAGTAGAGAGGTGCAGCAGCGGGCCTTGTTTTCAATTCGCAAAACAGTTGAAATATACTCATTTTGCTCTGCTTCGTGCACAAGACATGATCCAAGATGAAGCAGAGGCCATAACAGAATTGCCCATGCCGTGCTTGCTGGCGATAATGATCGCAACGTATTCCGGGCTTCGGAAATACAGGTGTCGATCCGGCTCCGGATGCTGGGCGGTGGGATCCCCGGGCCATTCAAAGCGCACTGGAGAGTTACGAGAAGGGCCATCTGCTGGATGACTGCTGCTGATATCTCGTCGATATCGGGGGACTTTGTGGAATTATGCGGCGCGGGAATATTCCATCGTAAAATCGCGTCCTCAATAGCGTGGAAATTATCCAAGATGTTGGGGTCGAGATGCCGAGGAGAACACTGAGCTACCTTTGTAGCAAATAAAGAAACCCGTGGCACAAGTTCAAACAGGTCGTATGCACACCATGAGCTTCGCCCGTGGTAATATGATCGATAGGGAAGCAGGGCGTTGTCTGAAAAGAGGCTCGCTGTGGGTTCGTCAGTCCCGGTAGACATAGGGCCAAGGCCAAGGTATCGGTTTACAAGCCCGAAGAACATGAACTGTTCTGTGATGAAGCAGGCACAATTTGGGTCGACTTGGTCGAGAAGGCTCATGTGACTCGCTAACAGGGCAGACAATGGTTGCAGGTGCTGCATGACAGCCCCTGCTGTATTACCATCAATCACCTGGAGAAAGCTTAGTTAGTAGATGTTATCTTGGCTGAATGAATCAAAATTCCTCATTCAGACTGCGAGACGTGAAATGCATTCGAGAGGCATTTACCTCGAAGTTACACAAAAGTAAAAGCATTATGATGATTTCCAGAGGACTCTCGCGAATTCCGCGCCCGTGGTCCGTGATGAGGTATTTGATCCCCCGAAGCGCGATGGCGTAGTGAGAAATGGCGGTTATATGCGGGATTCGATCATCATAAGACATATGAGAGGCACTGATAGCAAACAAGATGTGGAGAATCCCATCCTGTTGCTGGGCCAAGGGTAGAACATAGTTGAGGAAAGGATTGTCGATTGCTTCTCTGACTATAAGTCTCCGAGATGATCTTTCGACATAATGTTGAAAGAGTCTTTGTTCGCAAGGCTTCCCATCGAGTTGTGGCCAAAGAGAGAGCGCATGTCTCGGTGATGGAACGGCGAGGAGCGTTGAAGAGAGGACTGTTCTAGTGCGGGCCCGCATTCTGAGTTCCGCGGATTCCGGAGACTGGCTTACTTCTGCCGAGCCTTTCCAGGAGCAAAGCAAATGGTTGCGTGCGCAGCCCCCGCAGACTGGTTTGTATTCATCGCACTTAGTGCGGCGAGCGCGACAGCTCAGGCACCCGGATTTTGTTCTCTTGGTAATTTTTTTCTGATGAAGCCGGAACGAGCCTCCGTTCTCTGAGTTATGGAATTGAAGAACACCTTGCATTGCACCAATGACGCCATTTCTCGCGGATGAGAGCAAGAGTGATAAGTGAAGAGAGCTCAAGAACACCGAGCAGATCATGTGGACTCGACTCGGAGTCCAGACACGCTGACGTAATGGATGTGATATTGTAGATCTATCGATAAGCTCGCCTATCCATTTACGGACTAGTTTGATCGACAAAAGCAGCCACGAAAAATGCTCGTAAAGATCGGCCTATCGTTTCGATTCAATATCCCCCATTCCTGACAACGCCGACTAAGAGATGGAATTTTTCCGGAGGGCTGCGATGACCTCTTGCGCGCCCCTATCACCGGATCGAATGGCTCCCTCCATATACCCCTTCCATTCTAGGGCGGTCTCAGTACCGATGAAGTGAATATTTTCAAAAGGCCGCTGAACTGCAGACCCATCGATGGAAGACAACAGTCCAGGCGGTGGCGCCGGACAAGGTCCCCCGTGGAAGAAATCCTGCTTGCTCCACTCAAACTCCAAGACATTAATCGGCTCTGGGACCTGAATGTGCCCGGATTCCAGCTTGGCACCCTCGAACGCCGAGCGGATCTGGGCCCACGCGGAGGAATATCTCTCCTCCTCGCATAGTCGGGACCATTCAAGGCCACGCCCACCCACAACAAAGCAGCTGATGGACCATTGGTCGTCTTCGGGGATACTGGTGTCCACAGAAAACAAAATAGGTCCTTCGCCTACCGCTTTGAATTCGCCGGAGAGCCCAGCATTTCGCCACCATGGCTGGTCAAAAACGAAAATAATCTTGCTATAGTAGCCTAACTTGTTTTCTCGAGCAAGACGCTGTTTCTCCAAAGGCAGGGCAGGCTTAAATTTGATTTTGTCGTACAAGGGTGTAGCAATAGAAAGGATGATTTTCCTTGCCTTGAATACTCTGCCATTGGATGTTCGGATCGTGCAGACACCAATCTCTGCATCCTGTCCGATTTCAATGACCGGCGTTGAAAGATGGAGCGAGCCTGATTTGAGGCCCGCTGCCATATTCTGAGCAATGGCTTGGGCGCCTTTCACAACCTTGTTAGTATATTAATGTCCGTTCAAACGGAAATAAGGACTTCGAACCTTGACGGATCCGGAGGTATTGCCCCCCATGCTTGGAATCTGAGATCACGGCCTCAAGTCCCGTTGCGGTTTTGCAAAAATGGAGGAAACCCAGGGCGCTGATATCTTTGCTTTCGATTCCAAGCAACGATTGGCTGATGAAATTGAAGAGACTCGAGATCACCTCGGATTGAAACTCCCGAAGGCACCATTCTCGGAGACATACACGGTCCAGCTCCTCTGCCCCTGTGCCGGCAGCCGGGTTCTCTAAGTCGATGTTTGCGAGAAGCTTGTTGAAAGTTTCAAATACTTGACCCAGTACAAGTTGTTCTTCTTCCTTTAGCTGAACATCAACCAAAAAAAAAAAATGAGGTCTTGGTCAGTATTGAAATATACAGAAAGGCACCTTGAATGGTACACATACCGGCAATACGCCATGTGGAGACAGAATACTACCATCAGGCTGCTCCCAGATATCGAGGCCTGTGTCCCTTTGAATTTCGCTCTGCAGTCCATACTTACGCAGTAAGCTATACATTTCACTCTGGGTTGTGTCATTGATCCAAGCCGCACCGACGTCGTTGACGCCTGGGCCGCTTTTCTTGGAAGCCACGGTGAGCGTCTTCCCCCCGACTCGATCAACGGCTTCAATAATCGCACAGGAGAGCCCTTCTGCCTGAATATTCAATGCAGCCCGTAATCCACTGAGACCGGCACCGATCACCGCTACATCCACAATTGTGGGCGTAGCGGTACTAGACTCAGTCTTGGTTGGAGTGGCCATATTGCGTAAAGTGGAAAAGATGATGAAACTTGATGGAAAGACTTGATAAGTTGATTTATCCTAGCTACCGGCGATACTTGTGGATTTTATACTCCATTCTTGCCTCCACGTCATATGCCCCAATAGGAGAAAGACGCGCGAGATGAATCCTGTAAACGATGGACTTTCCCAAATCGGACGAGCGAGCTTATCGATAACGTCGATAACGTCGATAACGCCGATAAGATCGGGGCCGCGGACCCCGCGACAGGCAGACATCGAGTTGGGGCCCAGTAGATGGGCATTATGTCACTAATCCGAGTCGATTTAGAAGGTGAAGGTACTCGCGGAGAATACTGAGCTTGTATATGCGGGTGAAATAGGTTTCGGAGCGTATTTTAGCAGCAAGGTTTGAGGTGTAGCCCAGCAAGGTATTCTTCATGAATACGTTGACTCTGCAACACTTTTGCTACTCGATGTTGGATTTCCACTTGACACGTGAAGTGTTTAGGGTTAGATAGAACTTAGTTTTTTATAAGATCGAGAGATCTTCATCATAACCATGGTGTTTGCTACCTATCAATTTTGAAGCACGGCTTGGAATATTGTGTTGCTGCAAAACAATCTGAAGTTGGAGGAATTCCTCCTTGACCCAGAATTCTTAGCCGTACTTGGTGTCTTTTTTCTCCCTACCGCGGCCAGAGGGGCGTCCAAAACTATTCATCTATAACTAGCAAACATTATACGAGCTGTGAAAATCAAATCGTAAAACTGGTGACGCTAGTTCGGAAAGGAAATGTACTGTTGACGGCGTTGAGAAAGTTGATCTTAACCGCAGAGAACTATATTTTATGCTGCGATCGACAGGAACCTCGGTAATCTTATGCTGAGAAGTATAATCATTCATAGAGGCCGATAGTTTTGCATCTCGATTTTTGTAATAGCCGGGTATCTAGAGGTCCCAGTCTGGATTTGGTCTTGTGCGTGGAAGTGGCGCGACTCCATTTTGGCTGTTGCTTGCCCAAGCGAGGCATAATCTTCTTGTCAACTAACATCCATTGATTCGTTCACTATCCCGCTGTTCCTTCCAGAATCAGGTCTCGAAGCATCAAGTCCGCATGCCAAGGTTTGCGAAGAATCCAATCATACTGGCCGAGGCCACCACGCGTGCCGATCCATGCGAGATATGGCGATCGGTTTCGCTGCCGAGATGGGGACTGGCAACTTCCGACCTTGAAGAATCTCTCGAAGCGAGGCCAGATCGTATATCATGCTGCTTTTAAACGACAGAGTCTGGGCATTATGCTCCCCGACTGCCCGAGTCTGATCTTGGCAGACCCCGCCATTCGGGCGTGTCCCGCGTTGCACCATGACACCCACCAGCACGCTAGAAAGGCCAGAATGTTGCAAAATCACCACTGGCCTCCCTCTCGTCCCGCGCGTGCAGGCGAGTCAAGATCTGATTTGAGTTAACGGGTCCCTGGCCATGGTCCACACCTGACAGCAGAGCTAAGGCTAAGTGGCTTCGCAGCGTCCAACCAGGGCCAGTCCGAGGGGCCGTTTCAGAGACACGAGCCACCGAAGCTCGAGGTCACAGAAATGTGCCTGTCAATCCCCACGAATTGTGTTTAATGATCCAGGGATCCCCGCTTTATGTCACAAATCGGATGGGTTACATTTCCATCTTATGCATCCCGACTGGGCCACTCTCGAGGCATCTGGGTCGGACACCGAGTCGGATCGTGGATGGAACCCCGCAGGGAGCATGGCAGGAGCATTGGGATCCCATCAACTCTCGCAATATGCCCAGGCGAAACATTGCAGGATAGCGCAACACGTGGGATGCATCTCATAACATCCATGATCTCTGTCGGTGCGAAGGCCGGAGTTGCAGATGATCCTGGACGCTGCGGCAGCTATAAAGAGGATGCGAAATCCTCTCCTCCTGCCGAAAGATCGGATCTGCAGGCTATTATATGCTCTGAGCACCTCTAAAATCCTATTATCCGGATTTCACTATGCATCCCAGCGCCCTCCTCGGACTGCTGGCCTTTGCGGCAGCTGCCACAGCGGCGCCTCCCAAGCGTCACAATGATGCCCACTCGAGCTCTTCCATTAAGAACCTGAAGAATCACATCAAGAATGTCGTGATCCTGGAGATGGAGAACCGCTCCCTGGATAACCTACTCGGTGGCCAGACGATCAAGGGCCTCGATAACCCAATCAACAATGGCCCCTTCTGCAACCCGTATAACCTGACCGACTCCTCCCAGGGCACCGTCTGTAGTCGCGCCAAGGACTACGACTCGATCCTGGACGACCCAGATCACTCGGTTACCGGCAATAACATTGAGTTCTACGGCACTTTCACTCCTGACAATGCCGCCATCTCCAGCGGCAAGCTGACCCCCTCCCAGAAGGGATTCGTGCACGAACAGTTGCGCCGGTACGGAGATGATGTGAATAAGACCGAGCTGGCAAAGCAGGTGATCAACTACTATACGGAGTCGGAGGTCCCCGTCTTTACCGAGCTGGTGCAAAACTACTTGACCTTTAACCACTGGCATTCCGACCACCCCGGCGTAAGTCTTCCTTGACCCCCAGGATGTGGCCATTATACGTGTACACTGGCTAACTCGTACTTTCGCAGCCAACAAACCCTAACCGGGCCTATGTGCTATCCGGTACCTCTGCCGGGCATGGAACTAATGACGATTCCTTTGATTCGGACACGCACGGGCTTACTCAACGCTCCATCTTCCAGCAGCTGAGCGAGACCAACCACACCTGGAAGAACTACTACACCAGCACTAGCATGGTGGACTCGTGGTTCTTTGACTGGACCTTCACCAGCGGCAACACCGACTTGGCCGTTCCTATGACGACCTTCTACTCCGATGCCGCTGCCGGAACTCTCCCCGAGTTCAGTTTCATTGACCCTTCGTGCTGCGGCGTGGGGACGAACTCGATGCACCCTACAGGTCTAATCTCCGACGGCGAGATTTTCATCAAGAACATCTACGACGCCCTCCGCGCCAGTCCGCAATGGGATGAGACCCTGTTTATCCTGACTTTCGACGAGACCGGCGGTTTCCACGACCATGTGCCGCCGCCACTCGCCCCACGCCCGGACAATCTGACCTATACCGAGACCGCACCTAATGGCGAGAAGTATACCTTCTCGTTCGACCGCCTTGGCGGCCGTATCCCCACCTTGCTCATCTCACCCTGGGTCGCCAAGGGGCATGTCGAGCAGAAGGGCACCAACTCTGACGGCAAGACTGTGTCCTACTCCGCCTCGTCAATCCTGCGCACCTTGGGTTACTTGTGGGACTTTGAGCCCTTTACTCCCCGTGTGGCCGGCTCGGCTTCGTTTGAACACCTGATCACGAACGTCAAGCGCACTAATACACCGAAGACGCTCCCCGAGCCCCAGGCTTTTAAGCGCAAGTTGTAAGTAAGTGCGGGAAAGGGGTTGATTGGTTTATGGGGTGGCGGGCTGTGGGTGGATGTTTTGGCTCAAATTCTTTTGCTATAGACCAAGTATTAGGATTCTTTTTTTCTATCTGAAAATATATTGGAATAACGAATTTGGCGATACGCCCTTGCCTCCTTTTTTTTTTTTTTTTTTTATATTGTTTCCCAAGAAGGTTCGAAGAAGTGGGGATCGGGCTCGGGTTTCTGGAATTCTCGGCCAGCTGCGGGTAGCTTACATTACCGGAGGGCGGGGCAATTGCAGGCCGACAGGGGTATGAACGGAGTATGAGCGAAATATATGTCCAGGGTGGATAGCCAGACGTTTTGGGCGTCGTTCTGGTCCAATTGAGGAAGATACTGCTGCCAGGGTGGTTCTACCCTAACAACTTTAATTCAAATGTTAAATAACCTTTTTGACTCCGTTCGAATGAACTTCTACCATGCACTGGGAAGATCGGCACCGATCGGAATCTGCCAGCCACTACCAATGTGAAAGAAAAACCAATGGAGTGGCCATATCTAGAACTATTCATTTGACAATTTTCAGCGATTGCAAAACGGTTCAACGGTGGACTGAAGCGTCCGATCCGATCCAATCATCCTAACCGTCAAATTTGGCCGGGCAGATTGCGTTCGCTTACCAGAGAACCAATCGACTTGGACAGTGCGCCTCCCCACCGCTTAGCCCGGCCCCAATTTCCCTTTCCCCGTTGCCATCACGGGATCGCCAACGACTGCTGTCAACTCGAAATCATGGCGGACAAGATCTGTATAGTAAGGCGGGAGCTTCTGTGAAGAAACCATATCGCGTTTCGTGTTTTCTGACTCCCGTTTATAGGACGCAGACTATTTCACGCTAGAGCAAGACCATGCAGCGGATGATTGGCAGTCGTGGGTGCACGCACTCTCCCGCACATGACCTCCAGAAGGTCCTTTTGTTGGCGAACTGACCGAGTCCTCAGGGATACAATGTCTCTCGCATCTCAGATCACCAGAGGGCGAATAGAAAATGGCCGTCGGTAAGGTCCGAGCTCCCTGCTGCTTTAGATCATCGGGGCTCATAGCACAATCAAGATACCAGTCTTTTACGGAGGAGGAGTATTGGTAGGGGACACAACTCACATGCTGGGTTGAAGAAGGTACAGCTCACTAGGAAATATAGGAGTCCCTCGGATGAACAGCAGTTCGAGGCCTACGAGACTGGGTGTGTATTACATAGTCACCGTTGATTCTTCCCTAACGCCATGGTCTCGAACGGAGCTTCATGAAACTGATCATCCTAGCCACCTGGTCAATCTTTTGTTAGATTACCACGAGCCTAATAGGTTACATCGAGCCCCAATCGGTACTTCACCAAAGGTCAGAGCTATGCGCGGCCTGTCGATTCAAATGGTCTAATCTGCTGATAGTTATTTTTAGCACATTCTCGATGTCGGAACTGGTAAAGGATGCTGGGCGATGTAATGCAACTCACTTCGGACTCATAGACCAAATTGCTGATCTGATATCCAGTGATGCTGCGGACATGTATCCGTCTGGTAATTGAGCTTTCCCTGCGCATTCGACCATTCTTTCAACCTGCTCATCCCAAGTAGCCATAGTACGCGGCGTGGATTTGTTTCCACCCCCGGTCTCATGGACGCCCCCGAACTGTGTCTTTGAAGTCGACAACCTTCTTCAAGAGTGGACGTGGTCTGAGCCTTTCGATCTCGTCTTCTTGCGCCACATGCTCGGTTCCTTCGACAGCGAAGGCTGGTCTCAGCTTTACAAGCGCTGTTACGAGTGAGTCGCGCCGGGTCTTTCTTGGACCCAGACCGCGTCTCCTCAATCATATAGCTGACTCGCCTAATACCAGTAATCTGATACCCGGGGGTTGGATTGAACAATTAGAATTCGACATAAATATCATGACCGACGATAATTCAATGCCTGCGGATTCTCCACTCGCCAGCTGGGGCGACAACTTTATCGACTGTGCCGAGCGCGCCGGACGCTCACTCACAGTGCAAAAAACCATGCGCACGTCGATCGAGAATGCTGGATTCGTGGATGTCCACGAGCAACTTTATAAGGTACCCATTGGCCCATGGGCGAAGGATAAGGTGCTAAAGGAAGCGGGCCAGCTAAACTATCACCACTGGGTAACTGGTCTGGAGGGCTATACCATGTGGTTGCTCACGAAGTTTGGTGCGCCGACGCCCTGGAGCGTTGACGAGGTACAGGTTTATTTAGCAAAGGTCCGGGCCGACCTGAAGAAGCCCAGTATTCATGGCTGGGAACTCGGGTGAGTTTCAGCGATATTAAACTGTTTTAAGGGACGTGATTGCTAATCAAGATTGGTAGACGACGAATTTGGGCCCGAAAGCCTTTCGCGGGCGAAGAGAAAGAGGAGCTGGTTAGACCAGAACTCTCACCTTGAGGCTAGGTCTGGAATCTAGGCCACAATAATTAATTTTCTCTGCATTGGAGTTCGGACTAATGGCTCTCATCATTTTTAATCTAGAAGAGATCCATATTGCATAGTAATAAAAAAAACTTCACCATTCCATGACCAGCGAGCTATTATGAGACTCTTGTCCTTCGTTCGAGGATTGTGCGGGTGGCAAGACGAGCCTCACGAAGATTACTTGAAGGCATTCGAGTGTGATTAGGATCACAATGACTGAATTTAAGAAGAGATTCCAGAGATTACAAGACCTTCGCTTGAGCCGTGGAACTCCTAAATAACTTTATGGGCGATGGGGTGGTGGGGTGAAAGTGGGGTATGATTTCGCTGATATAAGAGTCAGCAGAATAGATAACTAGACACGGATGCAATCTCCAAGATACACAATGCTATCTTTAGAAACAATTAAAGTTTAGCGAACTAAAAAGGTTCTGAATCGCTTGTACCTAGTCTAGATACTCGCAGGGCCCTATAAAACAGATTGGTAAATCTAGAGGTGGCTTCTAAAGCTATGATTACATCGGCTTTTAATCTTATTTAGAATTTGGAGGATATTACTTACCCAGTAGTACTTAGATGATTGTTACAAAAACTATCGAAGTTTATGGGATAGGAAGGTATAGGTTGGAATTTTAACTTGCAAACAGAGGAGAAAAAGATAGCAGAGAGTAAGATAGTAGTGAAATAGCCTGATATATTGGATCTCATTGGATCTCATTGGGTGGTATCTTTCTTCTTCCTACTACACAGTCGTTATAGCTATAGCTTAATCTTCCAGATGGTCCAAAAATAAATCTCACGCACTTTTTCGTAGTCAGGCCAAGTAAGGTGTGTGGTGAGTTGGTGGTTGGTTTGTTGATGCCTTTTGACCTGTCTGCACGATTAGACCTGTCTGTGATTGCCCTGGCTTGCTGTATAGTGTTACTCTCTAGGTCCGTCCACCTCTAGTCTTTTTGGGCTGTAATAGTTAGCATGAAAGAAGATTTCTTTCTTCTGTGCTAAGGATGACATAGCGACACAAAAAACCTAACTGTACCATGATTTTGAGACAACAAAGACTATGATGATGTTTCGGCAAAAGCTGATAGAAGCAGGTGTATTATTTATTCTAAACATCTGTTGATTTGCACTTGGTTCATGCCTTCCCAGTCGATTCTTGCTCTATCCTCAGCTCTTCGACCCGCTCGGCTCTCCCGTTGCCCCTCTACCTCTCGTAGGATCAGATTCTGCAGTTTGATGACTGGATACCATGTTATAGAAGTCGTCGCGTGTCTTAGGCCCAAGGTCGATACGCGGGGTGAGATTCACTTTGGGCGTCCGGAGTCCGAGATGGTCAAGTTGTTGTGGATCACTTAGCTGTTCTGGGCCCGATTCCAACCACTCATCGATTGTCTTCCTCGGTGGTCCATTCTGTGGCCGCCGTTTTAATTGAATTATGTCAACTGCTTCTCCAATTTGACTGCCAAACTGTTGACCGTCATCAAGATTTGTTCCACGCCCACGATCCGCCGTTGCTGGACGGTCGAACCGGGATATGCGTGATCCTCCTTCGAAGTCTGCTTCTATAGCCGGCATATCTTCGTCTGCCTGAACATTTCCTGTTGAAAGCCTTCTTGTAGGAAAAGACTCCTTTCTTGTCTGTTGATTGAACTGCGAATCATTATAAACAGCCCGATAACGCGCGAGGCGTGAAGTTGTGGGACGATCGAATCTGGATCTTCGTGGTTCGCCTCCTAAATCTTGTTCGAGCGATACTGGGCCCGATTCCAACCGCTCATCGATTGTCTCCCTCGGTGGCCTAAATCGTGGCGGACGTTTTATATGCATGAGGTTAACTAGTTCTCCGGTTTGACCGCTAGACTGTTGATCGTTATAGGAGTTTCTTCCGCGCACACGACTTGACGTTGCTGGAAGGTCGAAACGGGATGTCCGTGCTTCTCTGGAGCTTGCTTGTAGATCTTGCATATACTTGTTTCCTGTCGAGAGCCTTCTTGTAGGAAAAGACTCCTTTCTTGTTTGTTGATTGAACTGCGAATCATTATAAACAGCCCGATAACGCGCGAGACGTGAAGTCGTGGGACGATCAAATCTGGATCTTCGTAGTTCGTCTTCAGAATCTTGTTCAACTAACTCTGGGCTTGGATTTAACTGCTCATCGATAGATGGCTCGTGGAGAATATCTTCGGTGCTCTCTGACCAACGTCTTGTTTTCATTGGATCAACTGCTCTTCCAATTTGACCACCAAATTGTTGATCGTTATAAGGATGTCTTTCGCGCACACGAAGTGACGTTCTTGGACGGTCGAACCGGGGTATCCGTGATTCTCCTTCAGAATCTGCTTCTATAGCTTCCATACCATAGTATTCCTCGAGATTTTCCATTGAGAGCCTTCTAGCATAGAAAGGCGTCTTTCTTGTTTGTTGATTGAACTGCGAATCATTATAAACAACCCGAGGACGCGCGAGGGGTGAATGTGTGGGACGATCAAATCTGGATCTTCGTGATTCGCCTTCAGAATCTTGTTCGAGTGATGAATCAACTTCCTGATCCCAACCGAAGGCCTCCCGTAGATTCCCTGTCAAAGAAAGACGCTCTTTCTTAGTTTGACCACTGAGTGGCCGCTCATTTCCCCCTGATTCTGGAGGCATATTGCTGCTGCGGCGCTTCCCCGCAGCGATAGTTTCATGATTGCTGTTGAGATCCTGGTATTGCTTGTCCAGTGGCCTGATATTCTTTTCATTGAGTATGTGCTCACGAGAATACATGTGTGAATCGTGTTCAAAACGCCATAAAAATGACATATTGCAAACAGTGCAGATGAACTCGTTTTGGGCCGAGGCTAGCGAATGTGATAAAAGGTGGTCAAACTCAGCTATATGTGGCTCTCCATCTGTTTTCACTTCGAGATTCTGGGATTTGCTTTTCTCTTCCACTTTGCTAGTTTTTGATCTTGCATACAATGATGGAGGTGCCCCCATTGCTGTCTGAAGGTCCTCAGAAAAGTCATAACGCTCGCGGAAAGACGAATCCTCGACATTTGTTGGTTGCTCTGACGGAAAGTAGGATGGTCCAGGGCCATGATCCAAAGATGCAGATGACGCGGCGCTCATAGTTTCAATATTGTGGAAGTTTTCATGTCTTTCATTATCTGAGGCTGCATTTTCAAATTCCTCAGTATCTGTCCTTGGCAAGAGAAACAACGAAAGTTCCTCCAGATGCTGGCCCACATGGCGCTGGAATGTTACTGCAGGGAGTGAAATTTCCTTGCAAATGAAACAGTCGTACGAATTTGTGCTTGCAGCTGAAAAATGAAATTGCTGGATGTGATGAAACCATTGTCGACGACTGTCATAGAGTTTGTTTGGAATTGAACAATCCAAAAAAGGACATACGTAAGGCATTAGGTCCTTGAATATATGGTGAGCCCATGATTTTATGTCCCGAACGGTAATTATATAGAAGCAAAATGGACATTCGAATGGTCTCTGATCTCGACCCTGTTTGGGTATCGGTGGTATCTTCGGCGCCTCTGTGTCTTTCCCTTCAAGCAATGTGCCGCCATACGAAGTCTCAGATGCATGAGCCTCGGAAGCAATATCACTCAATTCGTTGGAAGACTCTTTATAAACGTTTGACACGATTGTATCCGAAAGTATAGTTGACTTCCCATCGACATCATCGATGTCGATCCCACGGCTTAATTTGATATGGTGACGTTCGCGGTATTTCAAGATTGCTCTCTGCTTGGCCATTGCAGAGCTGATACGATTGACAACTGCCTCGTCTGCATTTGGGTATTTGCTCGAAACGTGCTGCCGAGTCCAAAATTTAAAGGGCTCGGAATCTAGCTTTTTCGTCCCGACGAGCCTGTCATGTTGCGCTGGCGATCGAATAAGCATGGTCATGCGGTGAAGTTGAGTAATTGTATCAGCTAGAGTCTGATGAATCTCTTGGACTTCTGTGGTGTCTTCTAGATTCTCTGCAAACTCTTCTGGCTGATATTCAAACCCGACATCTTCGTTCTCATCGCGCGTGTCCTCTCCAAGAACCTCCTGGGCGTCCAGGAGCAGCTCCTGAACCTGCTCCAAAAGTCGCAAGATTTGGTCTTTAATATGCGTGGCATCTCTCAGTCGGTAATCTAAGGAGGATTGGAGATTTTGGTGGGCACCAATATTAGCCGCCCAGACCCGAAGCCGTCCAAGTTCATCCTTCCAGTCCTGCAAAGAAACCTCCGGCGAGAGGGAGAAAAGTTCAGGAGTGGATACCAATCGGTTAAACTGAGCAAGGCAGCTGTGTAATAGCTCTGATATAGTTGCTACCATTTCGACCGTGTTGAAGCTGTGATGTTGCCAACAATATCCCGAGGTTGAAGACGTTTGCTCACTTCTGACACCCTTTGATTGGCCCACGACGCCACCAGGAGGGGTCTGCGGCTGGATATCAGCGGGGTTTTCGATGAGGACGCCCGAAGCAACAGTAATCATGATAGTTCTACTATAATCCTTCAGTCGACGAAGGGACCGGAAATGGTCACCGGTATTGAGGCCGCGGGACTTGCGCTGGCTCTGCTCCCGCTCCTTCTGAATCAACTGGATGGTTATGTGAGAGGGATAGAGAAGGTTAAGGTCTTCCGACGCTACCGCCGGGAATTTCAGAAGTATTCAGTAGGAATACGAACACAACATACGATTCTCTTGAATACGCTTGAGCAAGCTCTTGATGGTGTGATAAATGACGAAGAAAGAGTCTCCGAGTTGATCAGCAATCCAAATGGTCCAGGATGGGCAGACCCGGACTTGCAAAAGCGACTACGTCGGAAGTTGGGTCGAAACTATGATGTCTTCCTTGGAAATACAACTGCACTCTCCGAGTTACTCGAAAGATTATCGCGGAAGATCGAGAAGAGTGTTGTGGATGAAAAGGTAACTGATTGCACTTGTCTGTCATGAAAAATTTAAATCCTACTGGCCTGAAACTAATGAGCATTCGAATAGGGCTTCGTTACCGAAGTACCGTGGGATATTTGGAAGCTACGGAAAATCATCAATAGTGCAGTGTATGATGATCTCCTAGAAAAGATTGATGCAACCAATACCACACTCAAGATTCTGATCGACCAGTCCGACCACCGCGAGGAGACGCGAAAGAGACGTCAGCCGTGGACATATCTTCTCAAACGATATCGCAAGGCGCGCGACTATGCCGAAGGACTATTCAATACTATAACCGGGGGAGGTTTCTGGCACTGCCAATGCAAAGATCAGCATTGCCTTTATTTCCAACTACAAACAAACCCTTTAGAAGATGCAGATGAAGATTTCGATAACGACTCAGACCCCCAATATCACTTCCGAATAATCTTCTCCAATCAAGATCAGGAGCATCATACATGCTCCTGGAAATGGACAGAAGTACTTTTTGAGCCTTGGCACTCAGAAGAGTCTGTTTCCCTGACTTCTCTTTCTCTTCATGAAACCACGGAGGCATACCAGATCAAGAGGTCTAAGGTTCAGTTCAATATTCCGGTCGCAGTGGAGACTCGGATCCCGAATGCGAAGCGCGAGACAAAGTCTGCGCCGCTCATAGAAGACTTTTGCTCTTCTCTACGTATTGCAGAGGCACATATCGGGAAACAGAAGGCTATCGGTTCCATCGCCAATGTTCTGAACTCCTCTATCTCGTATACGATGCATACTGTGGAGGCTCTTTCAAAGGAAGTGCCGCAAAGGACTTTGCAGGATGAACTCTCACAAATGAGTCGACGAGACCGCTTGCATATTGCTGCAGGCTTATCATGCGCTGTCATTCAGTTCTGCGATAATTGGCTCAAGCCCTGGTGGGACAGCTCCGACGTTCACCTGATAGCCAACCGCGATAACAAAAGTGATTTATCGAGCCATTTGTATTTATCACGACCTATTTCTGCGGCGGGTATGAGCAAGGACTATGTGGATAAAGGCGTTCATCCAGATTTCACCAATAATCGGTTGTTACCGCTTGGCCTTGCCTTGGTGGAGCTATCTCTCGGAAAGTCCTTGCGAACACTATTGTCGCCGGAGAACGACAATGACGATATTCTAGTCACGAAGGTCAAAACTGCTTCAAAGCTTGTGAATATGGTTTACATGGAAAGTGGTATAAACTATGCCGAGGCAGTCAATAGCTGTCTGTCATGGTCAGGTCTGTGCCTCGAGAGAAAGTTTGAGGAGCGGGTCTTCGATACAATCGTCTCTCCGTTGTTGAAGGATTTAGTAAACTTTGAAGGAATATCATAGCCTTGAAAGAACTTCATGATTTTCCTATCTAGCAGAATACAACTATTTTAAAATTAATTATGTTTGATCTTGGGCGCTGGCAGAAGGTCGGTCCACTGCGAACCAAATTTGTGAATATCGACTGCTCATTATTGACCTGTCAGCGGAAGAGATGAAGACATATCTGAGCTGTGCTCATGAATCCTGCTGTGGAGGTTATATAAATATCCTAGCTAAATTTTCCGAATCGTGCGACATGTCAGACTTCGAAAAATAGAAGAAAAGAAACACGCACAGCAAGAGTCTCATTTCTTATCCTGGGCTGTCGATTGAAACAAGGAGAGATTCGAAACACTTTCTGACAACAAGCACATAAAATGGGATAAATTTCTTTTCCCCTGATAGCTGGTCGCAGTTATAGCCCAGTCCGACCAGGCTCTACAACCCACGGCGGTTAGAGGTTGCCGAGGCGGGACTGAGATGCTGTCTCGGCCACAACCCCACCAGGGTTTGGGTGGCCTGGCGGCAATTCACAGCCCTAGCGAAGTGGGCCGATCTGTATTTAGCAACTATCAAGATTCAAAGAAAATTTATCTCCTTTCAAACGATCTCAAACGCTTTGGAGACAGTATTCAGACGGCCCCAGTGCAGATCACGGCGTCTAATGAACATTGCTGATCTTTATTAATGTAGGGCCTCAGCGCCATTTTCAACTTTCTCTTACTCCTGGTTTTCTCTCCTTTCTTTCTGCATTGCGCTTCCTTAACATTTAATTTGGGGACATAGTGCTGTGGTCTTTATCGGGTATAAAGCCACAACTATGTGTCCGAACGCTGATGTCGCGTACATCAGTGGATATACTTTTTCGAATTGGGGGCCTTTAACTACAACATTCACAACTGCGAAGCCTTCAAGCTGTGGAGAAGGAGTCAAGAATCATGAAATCTGGCACAGTAATGAAGTCATTTATGGGAATAAGACCACAACGTCTATCTACCCATCATGGTCCAGCCAGTGTTCATCCTGGCCATTCTCGGGCATTATCCCGACTGGAACAATTAGTCCTGCTCCAACCATTACAAGCACCATAAATGACCTATACGCGAGTTGGTATTACTCACCGGGCCTGTATTGCCCTTCAGGATGGAAGACCGTTGGTGAAGCCGTCCGCGGCGATGGTACTTCAACCAGCAGATCGGGCATCCTCAAACCTACTACAACAACATCATCAGATCAAGCGGGTCTTGCTGCGATAGATCTCTTGGAGACGAGTGAGACTTTAGTTATGTGCTGTCCTAGGTAAGGAGAAATACATGGTATTGCGGAAGATGTGGAAAGGCAGTCCCACTGATCCTTTTTATAGCTCCATGACCGCCAGACTCGGATACGGATGTTACTCTATTCTTGAAGACACCGCCATCAAAACAGCCTGCAGCATGAATGCACCGTCAGCTGAACTCAACTCTCTGACTACGACGGTTGTTAAAGAGGGGACTTGTTCAAAGAAGACTATTACTTCACACGCTGATGGTACAAAGACCGTCACGACAGCCACGACAAAATTCGACAAATCTGATACATCGACGCTGGTCATGGTCACTGCAGTGCCCATGTTGCCGCTTGTTCGCCATAGTTCTGATTTCGATGCAGAGGAAGGATGCGGTACTACGACCCGGACAGTAGAATCTGGAGGATCTGGAGGTTCGGGAGACTCAGGGAGCTCGGAAAGCTCAAGTGAATCGAGTAGTACAAATGAATCGGCTTCTTCAACTGAAAATACCGGTTCGACTGAAAGTACTGGTTCAAGCGAAGCTACTGGTTCAAGCGAAGCTACTGGTTCAAGCGAAGCTACTGGTTCAAGCGACAGTACTGGTCCAAGTGAAACTACTGGTTCAAGCGAAACTACTGATTCAAGCGACAGTACTGGTCCAAGCGAAACTACAGGCTCAAGTGACAGTACTGGTTCAAGCGACAGTACTAGCTCGAGTGGATCGACTGGCTTACTGGCGCCATCGCGTTCAGGGAGTCGTGCATCAGGATATTCAGGGCAATCGGCTTCAAGGAGCGCATCAGGCTCAGCAGGGCCCTCTCGTTCAACAAGACTATCGACCTCAGCTATATCATTGACCTCCGGTGGGTCATCAAATTCCACAACGTCGTCGGGGTCCTCAACTATCTCAGGGGCCTCAGAGGAATCCGGGAGCTCGGATTCAAGCACAAGCACAAGTACCAGCACAAGCTCCAGCTCTAGCTCCGATGGCAATGGTAATTCCAAGGACGGGGGAAGTACCTCGAATGCCGTCGCAACCTTCCCCTTGAGTGTCAAATGGAATGACCCAGGCGCCACTATGGGTATTTGGCTGGCGGCAATTGTGTTGGGAGGGGCGGTACTATTCCAGTAGCAAGACTGACCGGCATAACATGCTACTGGAGATCCCACTTGTTTGTATTATAGCATTTGACAGGATCGCAAAGCTGATTTTCAAAAGAGTTTGAACAATAAAACGTATATTATATGGATGGCGAAAAGAGCCTTACTTTCTGTTTTTGTTCTCTATTCGAAATTTGTTCTGGCATCCTTAACACTATCTCTGGCAGCTCGTCATTCTCAACTTAACAAACTTGGAGTATAGAGCAAATCAACTGCAAGAGATTATTGTTGGTTGGTATTTAGCGCCTGGGTATTTGGGTCTCGTTGGTTGGTTTCTTCAAAGCCGACAGGGGGAGCGCCAGAATGTGGAGATGCTTGTGGGGGGTTAAGGTAGGTCTCTCGCACATTTTACTTGGATCGATACACATTTGCGTCTAATGAATTTGCCGAGAATGACATTCAGGAGTGTCAGCAGGCCCTAAGACTATTCGTCGAACCATATAGATTGCAAAGCCAGGTCCCGGGCTGCGGCCTCAATCAATTACCAGCGGAAGCTACAGAGTCCAACAGCGCCAATACACTTTTTTCGAGCGCTAAAATAGCGTCATTATTACGCAGCTTCAACTATTCTTCATTGAGAGGAACAGAAGTCTAATTCTTTTCTGAGTTTCAAAGGATTCTTGGCTTCTGACCTTTGTTACTTAGGGAGGAGCTCAGCATTGGACTAAACAACGATCTATCACCGGGTTCCATAACTCCTCCTCCATCTCGTATTTTGTTGAAATAATGCAGTCAATATATCAGATTGGTTTGACGCCATCAGAGACTGGATCCTGCCTCTTTCTCTGATGTGTTAGATCCGGTCTTCTACAACAGCAAAACCCACTGAGCTAGAGTGGGAATAACAGGAATGACGCAACGATAAAAAAACACCCTTATGAGCACAAGAAGATAGCTCTGTACGATAACCATAATCGGCTGGTGTTACTTCGGGGGAAATCACAAATTGTGGTCATAATTTTGGTTAGTCAAGGCAAGTGCTCAACTAGGCAAATGTATACTTTTGACTCATGGCCTTGTTTCATCTAGGGTAGTCAAGGAAACTGGTATATTCCTCCGTCCCTGATAAGCTTTTTTTGTCGGTTTTCTTTTCGTATCAGCTTGGGCTATCTCTTTGAAAATTTTCATTGGAAAAAAAGAGAGAAATAACCGCCCAAGAAGCCACCCTGCCAAACCACATCTTTAGTTTGGTTATTTGGGCATAGACACACCAGTTTAGACGAGCAACGGTATAAAGCTGAAGACTTTTCTGGTGATTTCAATCAAGAAATACAAGTGATTAGGTTGCAAATGGGACATTTGGGGGGGAGAGTGGGAGAAGTCTATTCTTCTATCACCCTATGCATGTACATTGTATCACTCTGAAATCAAATTTTCGGCAACAAGAGGCAAAAGTAGCTCCCTTCACCCAGAAAGACAGATGTGTGTTGCAGAGTAATTTTCACGGCTTTCCACAAGTAATGCCAATCGACGCTACCATATATTACCTGTGGTACTTTGCTGGGGCACACCAAAGAACGCTCCTACATACAAGCACGCCAGGCAGAAAATCCGGTTAGAAACCTGGTTTCCTCTGACGCGCCAGTCTTCCACTCACCTGGGAGCCATTTAGAGTCGGAGATTGCCAAGCGGGCCATGGGAGCCTCTGACGTCATGGGCCACATACCCCCCACTCGATACCCACCCAGCGCAGCCCTGTCTGACCATCCTGGGTGAGGAAAAGGCTGAAGGGTGAAAGGGGATAAGGGGATGGCGAATTGTCTGCCATGACGGGTAGATTTGGAACCCGCCCGGCCTAGAAGCAGAGACCTGGATAGTTTTGCCGCTTACCCACAGGTGCTGGTGCCAAGCCACCCTCAACGCAACCCAGCGAAGGGGAAGGCCGGGGCATTTTCGAGCGGGGCGTTTCAGCTTTTCGGCAAGATTTCGCATTATGAAGCCTCTGCCCTCGGGATTGCTTTCTATGGCAGAGGACGGCAATCTGATCACCATGCATGAAGAAACGTGGACCGCGGGCCATGGGCATTTCCGTAGGTACAGACAGTGTGCATGTACTTGAGCGGATGCACTGCGCCTCAATTCCTGACTGCAGATGCATAAAAGAACAGTTCTCGTGTTGTACATGGCGAGATTGGAGTTATGACCTTGTGTCCCAACTAGCGCTATCATCGGTTGGTTGTCTCGTATTTGGGCATCTGGCCCACCAGATTGCCAGTTCCCCATGGTTCCATGTTTCCATGGGAGCACGCGCGGGAAGTCGACCAGTCAACCTTGGGACGGCATCAGCACAGGAACTATAAACAAATAGACGAGTAAACAACGCGCACGAGGATGAAACTAGTCCAACGCATTCAGACAAGAAGTCCGCCACGCACTGTGTAGTGGAGATACAAGAATCGAGACCTTTGAGAAACCTTTGAGCTCAGCCACAGCACACCGTCGTTTGCCAAGGCGAACCCGGGCGCAAACTCTTTTGATGGTGCAGTTGTAGTCGAAGTAGCCTCAACGGGAGTCGATTGTAGTCGGTGAAGTCGTCGAGATCAATCCATCTCGTTTGAATGGCAGCGAGTTCAAGTCCAGTCAACTCCTGTCGGTCGAGTCGGGTGAACTGGAAGTCCTGGGAGTGAAGTCACAGAGCCTCACGTGGCGCATCGTCGCCTTCTTTATCTGTCGCCTCTTTTCATTCAACCTCGACCTTTCTACAACTCGCCACTTCTCTCATCTCTCCTGTCTCGTCCATTCCATTCCCCTCTTCTCTCCATCGCCTCTTGTCCATCCCAGCTGCTCCGTGGAACTCGACGCAAAACACTAAGTGTACCAGCTGCTGCCTGTCGATCTGCAGGTGCTGAGACCCGCAGGCTTTTGCAGAAGTTCGGCTCGGCTTTGGCTGCCCGACCATCGCCTCGAAGCAAGCATCGTGAGTCCCCGAGATTCCCAGTCGGATCCCGTCTTCCATAACCTTCTGGAAACCCTTGCCAATCGGATGTCCACAGTGACGCCCGTCTGGTCGGCGCTAGTCAAGTCCCAAAGACTACCAGAGGCTGTAACCAACTCCCAACGACCCCACCTACGCCCGCGCCCCCCAATTTCTTGTCGCGCATCTGCCCCGTTTTGATCACCCCGTGTTGCCCCTCCAAAATCCCCAAGCCGCCGAGAGCCCCTCCTGAGGTGCTGGATTTCTTGGTTTCTCCGGGCTTACTCGCTCTTCTCTCACTTTTCCCTCTTCTTACTCTCTTATTAACTCCTTATCCCCCACCCCTCCTTCACTATCACGCGGCCCCCCTCCACCACATCCTCACCCACCCTCCGCCCTTTCTAGTGTACCATGTCGTACATCTATCGGGAGCGCGAGCGCTACGAAGACGACCGCCCTGTTAGTATCAAGCGTTACGTCATCCCCTCTGACGAGCGGGAAGACCGTCGAGAATTCTCCATGAGTCGAGACGACTACGGCGATCGGGAGCTGGTCATTCGTCGCAAAACCGAACGAGAGGAACCCTTAACTATCTCGCGGTATGAGCGCGAAGTTGACTACGATCCGCCCGCCCGTCGCTTCGACCGTGAATATGAGAGAGACTACTATGATCGTGAGTATTTAGAGCCCTTATTCCCCCTGCGCCCCTCCCGGTCCATGGACCATCTAGAGGAAAGGCTTGACCCTTCGGCGCGATCCCATCATCGTCGGCGAATAATCAATAACCATTATCCAAAAAGATCGAAGCTCCTTCGCCAGCCCCCGCGAGTCGGATTATGATGTCGTTCGCCGGTCCGATGTCGAGCAGGACCCTTACTACTACCGCCATAGTGTCCGCGAGTATGATCGTCGTTCACGCCGTGAAATAAGTCCTGGCGACTCTATCTCACAGGCCAGTCGCCGTCGCCATGACCGCGACCAGGACTACAGCAGTGATGATAGCATTGTGTACATCCATAAAGAAACCCGCGACTATAACGGCGAGCGACACCATCACAAGCGCCATCTGGCCGAAGGCGCTCTTGTCGGCGCCGGTGCTGCCGAGTTGATCCGCAACCACCGAAAGCGTGAGGGCGAAGAAGTGAGCCACGGCATGAGCCATGCCATAAAGACAGCCGGTGCTGGTGCGCTAGGCGCCGTGGCTGTCAACGCCGCGGGACACGTCCGCGACTACTATCGCAGCAAGAGCCGCAGTCGCCACCGTTCACACTCTTTTGATGATGAACGTTCCTTCCGTCATAGCCATTCTAGCCGTGGCCGTCGTAGCCGCAGCCGGAGTCGCTCTCACTCCCATTCACGGGCGAAGACTCTCATGGAGCTTGGTCTCGGTGCCGCCGCTGTCGCGGCTGGTGTCGCAGCTCTACGCAGCAGCAAGTCCAAGGGTGACGAACGCCGCAGCCGCTCTCGCACTCGCTCCCGGTCTCAATCTCGTGCTGGTCGCGGGCTGAGTCGAAGTCGGACTGACGTTGACGATGCCCGGAGCCAATCACAACGTCGAAAGCACATGGCAGGTGCTGGTCTTGCCGGCGCAGCCGTTGCTGGTCTGGTCGAAAAGGTTCGCAGCCGCTCACGGGCTCGCAAGGGTGAGCCATCACGCTCGCGCAGCCGACTGAGAAAGGCTCTTCCTTTGGTCGGCGCTGGCCTCGCCACTGCCGCTGCCACTGGATTGTATGAGAAAAATAAGGAAAATAAAGAGCACGACAAAGAGGCAGAGCTTGTGGCTGCTGAAACCCGCCGATCGAGGTCTCGAAGCCGAAGCCGTGCACCCCCGGACGCATACCCTGACCCATCGCGCAACTCAGCAGGCCTTATCGAGTACGGGAGGGACCCAGTAACCGGTAGCATCCCTGCCGAGCACTACTATGGTCAACCCGTGAGCCCTGGTGGCGCATACTACTCTGACGGGGCTGACGCCTACGGCCCTCGCCGTCACAGCCGTTCACGAAGCCGCAGTCGTGGCGGTCGATACAACGATAGCTCCGATAGTTCGGATAAAGAACGTCGAAGCAAGAAGCATCGAAGCCGCTCTCGCGAGCTGGCATCTGCCGCTTTAGGTGCAACTGGCCTGGGTTATGCTGCACACAAATATTCTCAGCACCGAGAGCGTAAGAAGGCGACTGACAAAGAACGCTCGAGGTCGAGAACTCGTGAGTCCGTCACTGATTTTTCTTTTGTCATATCCACCCCTGTTCATACTAATAAACCTCGAATAGGGTATGAGGATCAGCCCGTCCGCGATCCTTATGAGGAGGCCTATGACCCGGAGCCCTACACCCCTTCTCCTCTAGCACCACCTCACCAGCAGCCGGTCGATGCCAACTATCCCCATAACAACTACTTCCCCCCGCCTCCCGGATCAACAACCAACCTCCATGCAACTCCTCAGCCCTACAACCCTGCCGACTATCCTCCTCCCCCCGGTGCCGCACCCCCTCCACAGCCCTACAGCTATGGAGGCGTAGGCCCAAGCCCAGACCCGTACTCCGCGCGGCCACGGAGGGCCGACGAGAATGTGAGTGCTCCATTGAGCTCCACCACCCTCCCCACTGATCAGGACCACGCCCGCGATGGTGCGTTCGCTGAAGCCAGCCCAGTGCAACATTCACAGTATCAGGGTTAATAATTTCACCCCAACAGGTCTAAACAGTTTCACCAATTCCTATCAGCCACAGTCAGTCCCGAGTCCTGGCATGCAGCCGAACCCATCTTCCAAATCCGTGGCCTTCGACCTTAGCCCAGATTCTCCGCGCCACCAGGATCCAGGGTACGAAACCGACGACAGTGACTCGACAATTGATTCTTACCCGGCCCGTCCACGCCATAATCGTCGGCGATCCTCCTCCGTTCCATATCCTCCAATGCCCCATCCACGTTCCAACCACCACCACCATCGTCATGCTGGATCAGCTGCTTCTTCTGCCTCCCGCCATCAGCATTCATCACACCTTTCCCAGGGTAATCGCGCTCCTGAACAAGACTCTGACTCAACTGTCTCGACCATCGAACTTCCAGACCGCTTTGACGAACATGGCCGTCGTCTTCCTCAAAGGGGAGATGACCCAGCCGCTGATAAGATTGAAGAATTGATAGAAAAGTTCGCAAGAGTCATTTTCTAGCTCTATGCACCTCCATACCTACCTCCGCTCTGGGTGGTCATGGATTTGTATGCACTCACCTTGAGGTGTCGCATTCCCATCAATGGATGCGATGGTCTCTTCTCACCTGTGCTATGATCTTTGTTTTTTATCCTGTTTGGGTGGTCATCTTTCCTCGTTTCAAGCTCGTTATGATCTACTTGAGTTTCGTATTTATTTCCTCGTTTTCCTTTGGTTCTGTGACAAGATCTTCGGAAATACTTTGTGCTTTCTTGGTTTCATTTCTTTACTTCTTACTTTCTTTTGCTGCTTTGATTTTGATGGATCATGAATTTATGCCCTGCGCGATATGATGACGATTTCATGACTGTATCTTTTTCAGATAGTTCAATACTTTGTTTTTCTCCCTGAAATATTGTGTGATTGATATTCGTAATGATCCCTAATGGGGACTGGACCTGATGAGTAATATCCAGGAATTCTCTCACTGGTATATTTACGAACATCATCTCTCAACATTTCTGCCAATGAGAAACCCATGTTTGGCAGTCTGAAGTCTTTTCTTCGCCATCCGTTTTTATCTATATTATCGACGGCTCGGGCTGAATGCCAAACTTACATATTACGTCTTTCTGTGGAATGGGAAGGTAGTCGAAATATTTGGTAGATGGGTTGAGAAAAAATGGCTCGCTTCCCTTGATATAGAAGTCGTCAAGAATGCCGCGGTCATCCAAAACTATACCTAGTACCAGGTCGTGCCATATTTAATTTGCCATCTCTATCGCATCCGATATTCTCTTCCGTACATCTTCTCGATCCTTTTCTCGATTTTCCCTATCACCTTGCCACTGCATCTTCAACAGTCTCCATGGTGCAATGCAGTCATAGTTGGCACTGGACCTGGAAATCGCCTTGAAGATTGCCGTCATACCCGCTTTCGTATGAATAATGTCACCCCCTTCGATGTTATCTCGGCAATCTGTATGCCTAGCAAAGTCTAGAATCCGACCAGCTAGGCCCGCTGCGATCGCTGTTGCCATCGATGTTCCTTGCACAGGCTCTCTCCCTGGATACAACTCGATACCCTCCCCCAAAATCGCGAAATTATCTGCATTAGATCGTGGCTCCGGGTTGTATCGAGAACTATTTTTCAATGTGCCATTTGTTGAAAATATACAAAATACGTGGTCCTTCATTCGAGCCGGGTATGCCACCTCGTCAAGGTTTCCCCAGTTGGACGCTGCGGCGAAGATGAGGATATTCGCTGCAGACGCTTCATTGACCGCCTCGCGTAAATCTCTCGGTGAGGTTCTGAATCCGGCTGAAATGCTGATAATATCAACTTTCTGATTCACAGCCCATCGAATTGCCTGGTTTGGTCAGAATGCCTCGCTCATCAAGAGATATAGTACCAGGAGCTATGGCTTGGCTGTTGCACTCACTTTTGCAGTGAGATAGGGCTCCTTCCTTTCATCTGCCTCATCCCTCTCAAAAACCCTAGCCACGTAGAGATCGGCTGCCTCGTAAACTCTGAGAATGAGGTCAACAGAGATCGTTCCGTGTCCAGTACAGTCTTTTCGCTCCGTTGATCCCTCTTCAACGAAATCTTTATAGTTGATCTTGTTTGCCAATCCATGTTCTGGATCGAGACCCGTATCGATGACTGCGATTTTGACCCGGCGATAATGCGTATCCGTTTCATTGCGTCTTCGGTTTGCCTTGAGAACATATATAAGCTCTTCAAGGCGATCAAACCATCTGGCCGATGATAATACGTCTTCCCTTCAGGATATGTCAGCCTCCACTTTCTAATATCTTGTTCGGTCACCTTACCTTCTCGTCAACGTATCCGATGGGCCGTGCTCTATGTTTTCTGTAGGATTATTAGGAGTATGAACCCCCAAATAAAACCTTGATGTCAACTCACCGAAGTCCTCAAAGTCCGAAAGCGCTGCAACGTTCAAAAGCGGCGATCTTCCCCTAGGAATTTCTAGTCTAGAATTGGAATTCGGCGGCGAACCTTCACCAAGTCTTGCGACAGGTCCTAGCCCACTCCCCCATCCTGAAAGCAGTTCCCCCCTGCAATATTGGCAATCGGTGTAATGGTCCAGTGCTGCCCTGTATGGTTCCCTTCCGCCATGAAAGGATCATGGGTATCTGAATACGTATCCAAGAAGAAATTCGACCCTGAGTATCCATTAGACAATTTCCATGTCCCATCGCCCCATTCCAGGATCTTCCAGTACTGCCCAGAAAAATGGCCTGCTCGTGCCAAATGCGGCATGATTTTATTGTTTCCCCATACGTCAAGTGCCATTTGATGGCCAAAAAATTTTGAATGCAGCTTGAACGTTCCTGAAGACTGGGGGACAAACTGCCAGTACTGGCCGGGGTATTCACCCACGGGAGCCATCTTCAAGACACCTTGCGGGTTTCCCAGCCCATCTTCAACTACATCGAGCGCAATTCGAGGTCCGAGATAGTCATTTGTGAGTCTATACCAGGTATGCACGTCGAAAGGGGTGGCCATGTTAAGCGGGCGCAAGAAGTCGATTCGCTTTCGCTAGAGCGTATCACCTATGGAGGCTCGGACTTGGCCACTCCTCTCCAGGTGACAAGAGAGGAGGAGATAATTTCTTTTTCTTCTTCCCGCTTTTTCGGGGAAGGTATCTTCAGGTATTCTCGCCCAGAGGAGCTAATGATCACCCATAAATGTGTAGGAACAAGAGTGCGGGGTTGAGGAAAGAGAGTAGACCCTTGTACATTCACTATTTGATTGCGTTGTTTGGTCATCTGGCCTATGAACAGTCAGCTACTTAAAGCGATGGACCATGTTATACCGAGAGAACGGATCTGTACATCTATTCGGGCTGTAGGTGCTAGTATTAAGAATTGAAAGTGCGGGCTATAGAGAATAGCTATTGGCACTTCCTTGACAATATGCATTTTTAATAGCATAACCTCGCCATATCATTTTGAAATATTCGGAATCTACCCATCGGTACAAAAAGCCAAGCCAGGCAAACCTCGAACAACTGGTACCCAGTAAAGATAGAGATAATGGTTCGCAGGTCAACAATACGAGGAACGACATACCAATCTTTGCTCTTTGGCGCCTTGTTAGGCTGCTCCAGCCAACCAGGGAGCTCGCTTCAAATACCCTTGCCCCGTTCTTACACCATCCGGAAGCTGACACCTGAGCGCCAGTTGTTACCAGCATTTTGATGTAAGGACTAAGGACTGATAGATAGAGATTGGATAGATTTGGGCTTTTGATCTTCGTGCTCGTGTCCAGCGGCGCTCTTCGGTCCCGAGCTTCTTTACAGGCAAACCCCCTCCCTATACCAAATAGCCGAAGCCACAACCAGATATCGAAACGAGTATTGACTGGAAGAGGGTGCTGTGATCTCACCCGATACATCTAACGTGATTATAGGCTTTGAATTTCCAACCCATGTAGATTGCTGGCGCGGTGGCGGAAACCCTCGCGGCTTCTCTGCTGTCCTTGTCTGCTCCATAAATCCGTGGTAGGGCAGCCAAAAATGAAAACCGCTCAGGTTCACCTCTGTAGCTATTGATCTTCTTTTTCTGTAAGAACATTTTGTCTTCGAGTGCAAATAAGAAAGATGGACAAGGTCTGGTTTAAGCTTCGGCAAACAGACTATCCACCACCCACAGAGGAAAGTATGGGCACTATGGAAGAAACCGGACCAATATGCCTTGGCCATTTTATCGCCGATATCGAACATATTGACTTCGCACTGAATCAAGGGTGTATCGAAGAGTTCCCACCCAGCATGCGTGTCTACCAAACGAAAACGATACACTTCAAATGGGACGAGAACACCGAGGCCAGCGGAGGTGGCTCCTTCGGCATGGGTGCACCCGCGCCAGGTGGTATGGCCATTAAAGGGAGCCTCAAGCAAGTGTTTCGACGTTCTGTCCACAGTTATGAGGAGTATGATAGGCTTGACACGTACATTGTACAGCCGAATAAAGCCTATATCGCCGAGTGTCTGGAAATCGATGAGCTCGCATCACATATTGCAGGAAAGAGATCATGGTCGGCATTTATGATCACAGGCCTGAAGGTCGCGCGAAAAGGATTCAAGACCCTCCATCAAGCAAGGGGAACTAAGAATGAACTTGGCTCAGAAATGTGAGAGTTTCTTTGTCTTTCCTTGATAAGTATACCAAAAGTGAATTCCTATACACTCTTGTCAATGCTGACGTTAGTGAAGGGATATTCCATCAATCGTTACCGTTGAGACCAAATTCGACAGCAACCGAGATGTCTCTCTGAGGAAAGAATCTGCATACGCATCAGACTTTGTATGGGCTGTTCGATTGGCGAAGATTAGCAAGGGGTTGCTGATGAGAAACTGGCTTCTACAACCATATACCCAGCGCGCTACCTTTGGAACCGAAGAGGGCAAGGTAGACGTTGTAGGTTCAGTAGCGGCAGAAGGACTCGATGCATTCACTGTTGTGGAGGACGACGACTTAGAAGAGGTTTTTGTGCTGGAACTACTTCCTAGGTCTACATCATGATGGTTCACAATTGGTTCTTTCATATTTATAGGCAAAACTCTACTTGATACAGGTTCCTTCAGTTTCGAAAACCGAGTAATTGGAAGACAACGCCATCTAGCGAGCAACAAAATACTGTCAGCTCTTTTCGATTACATCTAGATCTCAGATACACAAGATAGTAGTATAGATACATTCCTTGAAAGGAGATAGAAAAGAACGGCAGTAAGCCAGGAAGAACAACGGTGGCGGCGTGCCCGCCGCTCCGACACCATGAAGCAATAGGACTTCAACAACTCCAAACCAAACCAATAGGCTTGTACAAAGATATGAGAAGAAGGGAGAAAGAGAAAGGGGCAGCTGCACCACATGTCTCAGGACTCGGTGCCTGGGTAACACGAACCGTGAGATGAAACAAAAAACGGCGACATCGCAAATGGGTATACAGCGTCAGAAAAGCAAGGAGACAAGGCAGGCTAAACGTGATTGAGACCGAGGACTCCTTAATCTGTAAAGTTAAGAGACCCAGGGAAAACACGGGGATTTTTTGGCTTCTTTTCGTCTCGTTACAAAGGAGAAATGGAAGAAGAAAATCAAGAGATATAGAGAAAAATGGGGAAATAAAAGGGGCTGTCGTAAGAAATGGACGTCAATCTATCGCTAAAAAAAATATTCCATGGTTTTTCATGCCGTAAACTGTCGTTGAAATACTCCTGATCGACGCTCTTTGCCGGCATCCGATCCTGCAAGGAGGTCAGGAGTGGTTCTCTTGGTGAAAGAGATGTGAGCGGTTTCGTTGCTTGGAGGTGTGATATTTGGATCGTTGGGATCATGAGTCTCGTCGTCGGGAACAACTTTAACAGTCGAGCTGATAGAAGCAGAGTGATACCGCGAGCTCAGCGGCAGTTGATACTTCACGACACCGCGAACGATTAACTCAAATGGATGTTGAAGGACGCGCTCCCAGCGCTCAGTTCCGCCTTCCTCGGTCTTATTACCAGGTCGAGCGAGTCTGATCTGCCCCTTGGAAAGAGACGGCTCATTGGTCCAGGGAGAGGCATCAAATGATAGCGGTGAGTCGAAGTGCAATACACGGCCGAGGAGCATGGTTTGTGAATCACCTTCAGGGTCAGTAATTGGATCGGTGCCCTTGTCAACGCCACCACTGGCTTTCTTCTTCGACGAATGGACATCCATGGCTTCTTCAACACAATCAAAATTTCCCAAACATCGAACAAGCTGTGATAAATACCGGCGCCGGCGGCTTTGCTCGACACGCGGGAATGATTCAAGCTCCTTATCTGAGCTATGCTCACGCCAAAGCTTATCTGTACCAACATACCGGCTCTTTGCGAAAATGTTCACATCGGCATCGTCGATGGTCACAGGAAAGATGTTAGGATTCACAGCCTGCACATTCAGATCGAGCATGATCTCTTGTTCCGAAGCCAGCACATTCTGGATGGCCAGAACTTCGACATTCAAGAGGGTCTTAGTTGCCGCAACAATGAATGAGGCTGCACCGCCAGCGATGATACACAAAAGCAGAATAATGATAACGCAAGAGCCATAGCGCGAGAAACAACCGCGCTCTCGCTGGGCCATATACTCCATTTGTCGAAGACTGGCGCTATTGGGTCTGCGTCCATGGCGACTGCGTGTTACTCGCTGAGAGCCTACTAATGGAGTGCGTTCGTCATCGGCACCTTCGGCATCAAAGTCGTAAATCTCGCCCGACTTTTTGGTATTGGTGATGGTTCTGTAATTGGGCGAAGACCGAGTATTACTGTTGCGCGAGTGTCGATATCCACTGCCGATGAAATGTCGAGGAGACTTAGGGTTGGACTGAGCTTGAGGGAAGGGTCCATCGTTGTCGAAGAGGGACGGGTAAGCTCCGTTTCGGCCATGTCGTCCAATGTGATGATGACGAGGAGTAACAGTGCCACTTCCATCAACGCGAGAGGGGTTACGACTTCCATCGACTTCGCCGGCCTCGCCATCCAGACTGCTATTGTAAGTGTTGTTGGTAAACTTCATACTGCGTTTACCAGTGACACTATGGGAACCATCCCGCAATGCGCTACGGGTACGACCAGCCAGCTGGTCGACCTGGCTCGCCATGGACGTGGCGCTAGGGGTGCGGGAATGGTAACGAGACTGCCGGGCCGGATATGGATCGGGCGGGTTGGATTCGTAAACAAACGTCTCATCGGAATCGGAGACGTCTGCCTCGTCGACAGCACTCGCAACCTTTGCCTCAAAAATGTCCGCCTTGCTAGATGCAGGCCCTGTAGGGATGGTATTCGGCCGACGATTTTTTTCTTCTCTTTGCGAGGCCGGATGGTCTCGGTCGAGGGCTTCATGCGTAAAGTGCCTTGTTCTGCTCGACTGGCACTTCCTCGCTCACTAGACCCCACGCCTAGAGAGACCTGCGGTATAGAGCTGACAGTCTCGGTTTCCACAATCATATTGCGAACCGAGCCATCCGTCGGTTTTGCTCGGGCACCCGCACTCAGCGAAGTAGACGATCTTTGGGGCATGATTGTCCCAGGTAGTTTGGCCGGGCCGGTGGCATGACTTCGACTTTCTTCTTTGCCGCTCCGGTTACCACCACTATCACTCCCACTCTCAGCGTTTTGTTTGGAGGCTCGGGGTGTCGGGTCCTCATCGATCGTGTGTAACCGACTATCATCTGGAGTAACCGGGTTGAGGGCAGTGTCACTTGAGGGCGTAGATGGATTGCTGGCCATCTCCTGGACTGTTTCCAAGGATGGGCCTTGTCCACTGACTCCCCTCGCAACTGCGCGAGGCGTGCTTCGGTCCCCCTTTGCCTGTTCCTCCGGTGGCAAGATGGAAGATCTTTTGTGGGAGGTATTCGGCAGATTCGGCTCGTGGTCTGTACGACGAGGCCCCGCCCATGATGGCATATTGGATTTCTCCGGACTAAGGACATTTGCCGGAAGTTCGGGAGCGGGCGGAGAAAGGTACGGAGACGCGTTCAAGGGTCCGGTGGACGTAGCTCGCTGAGTAGATGAGGCAAATATTGGTAGGCCGGATGATTGAGCGTTGCTAGATGTTCGACTTGGGCTTGCTCTGTCTCGACTGCTCTTTCGAGATTGAGATGGGACGCGGCTGGTGGTCGGGGAGTTGGCCGTACGGGAGGAAATTCGGACCGGTGAGGATTCGCGAGAGGAGACGGCGGAGTTACAGGTAGACGTTGGGGCGGAAGAGTTAGAGATATGAGGAAAGAGCTTGGGCACCTGGGACATGGCATGAGCCTGGGATTTGACGGTCGGGTGCGAGACCTCCGTCATGTCGCCAGTGGCCTCACTGGCCGATCGATGTGCGGGATCCGGAGCCGCCTCCATATCCTTGGTTCCTCTGGCTCGACCAGAGGTACCGTTGAGGTAAGGCGGCCTCTCGGACTCCGCAGCCATGGTCTTGATCGAGTCAGGTTGCGCTGACGCGATGCAGACAAGTCAGGGGACCCGAGAGGAAGCCTGGCAAGTTGGGCAGGAATGAAGTCCCAAAAGGGAACCTGAAAAAGCAAGGTGCAACGCCAAACAGGAAGACCGGACGGTGAAGGAGGAATGCGCTGTTGAGGGAGAAAGAGCGAATGAGGAAATTGCCAGGAGGCAAGAGGTGATGTTGCGCAGGAAATACGGATCGTTACACGAGTGGCAGCGTTTCGAAGCAAATAGCCGAAGCCCACATGCTGGTTGAGGGGGAGATGGGACCACAGAGAGGAACCACGGGGAAATAGAAGCTGCAAGGCCGGGTTTGCAGGGGTTGTGTTGTGGGTATGTGGGTTGGGGTGTGCGCGTTGTGGGTAAGGATGGGGAAGCAGATGGGGTTTTGTTTTGTAGAAGAGGTCGGACGATCAGACAGGATCATGAACGGCACACATCACTAGGCCGATGCTTTGTTTCCGGGGGCGCAGACACAACAGGAGCGTCTAGAACCTGCCGGCCACGAATGAACCGTTATGGTTGGCGGGATTGCGTGACGATGGAGAACCGCCGATCCGGCTCAACGTTTGGGCTTAGACTTGTTTTTCGCCTATGAGAAGAGGAGATGTGGCGTCCGTCCGCTTGCCGAAAAGTGTCTGCAGAGATGTCGGTGACCAAGGCCTCGAGGGATGGAAAAGTGGCTGACAGACCGGACGGTCAGGGCCGGGCCTGGCAAAAGACCAATGATAGTAGCCCACGTCAGGAGCGAAGGGGGCGGGCCTTAGCACTGCAGGGAAGCACGCGGATGACGGTCTGGAAGGGAGGTGCCGCCGCAGATTTGTGGATTCCAGGCGGGTCAGTGGGGAGCGAGAAGCGAGAGCGGACTGTATTGGGAGAATCTGTGAAAGGAGGATAGGAGAAGGGGGGTCGAAAGAGGACTGACAGAAGGAAGTGATGAAAGAAGTTGGAAGTTGTCGCAAATAACCTGGGGGATCGCAAAAACAGGAAATGATACGCTCGGGTAATAAAACACCGGATCTGAGGCGCAGTTTGGTTTGTGTGGTGGTAACTGAATTACCGTCAGGATGACCTCATCAGCCGGGGGAACACAGCCCTGCGCGAAATTAAACCAGCATAGTAAGACATGAACGAGGAACGAAATAGACCAATAAAGGCCATGTATAATTCTAAGAATACTATATATACAGTCTTTGAAACTTATCATAACACAGCATGGAGGAAAATACTACACAAGAGATTCGAAAAGACAGGAGGTTCCACATCCTGATCCGTGTGTCATCACAAAACCAACGCCGTCGCATGCTCATCTGATCCGCACCGTGTTTGACGCCAGAGAGATACTAAAGAAATTTAGGGAACAAGCATAATGACATAAGGCCATCCAAAGGGAGGTCAGTCAAGGGGAGGGGGGTGGTTGCAGGTGGTAATATTTCAAGAAAAGCGAAGGGAGGAAGCGTGGAAAGTATAGGTCCAGAAGCCACAGGAAAGGAGCCGAGGTCCCTTTAGACGATCTTATACACCCGTTTGGCGATCAAGAATGATGCTAGACCAAAGCAGAACAAGCCCGCAGTGACTGTTAAGCGTTAGAACGACATAATGACCATCTTTCACATGGAAAGGGAACACATACTCGACCAGAACCAGTACAGGTTGTCAATATCCTGACCAGGCACCTTGACATTCATACCCCACATACCGCAGATAATGTTCATGGGTAACACAATCGTACCCAGGACTGTCAGCTTACCCAAAACATCCGCAGTCTGCTCCTGGCGTTCGTTCATCAAGATGTTGATCTGCGCCAGGTAGTTAGAGTGCGCACGCGACAAGATCCTAGATGAAACCGGTTAGTCGTAAAGTATAAAAAACAAGGCAGGGCAGAACAATCAAGAATCGAAACGATGCAAGGCCAAAACTTACGTTTCGTAATGCGTCAAATTCCCTGTCATCGTCAGGATATGGTCCTGGATATCGCCCAAATACAGGCCAATCTCTGACTTGGGTGCTACCTCCCATTGCTCGTTGCAGCGCTTCGCGAAGCCCTTAACAACATCTGCCTTGTTGCTAAGGAGCCGGTAGAGTCCCATGACCTTCTTGCGGCATTCCCCGGTGCGCCGCAGCATCTCACCAGGTGCGAAACTCGGAACAACACTATCCGCAGACGATCCTTCCTTGCTTGAGTGCATCTGCATAATCTTCTCGTCAATTTCGTCGACCTCGTCTTCGATAGCCTGAATCAGCGGACCAAAGACATCCGTGATATCATCAATCAGAGCATAAGAGATCCAATCCGAGCTTAGAATCAAATAGTCCATAAGTTGGCGGATGCGCCGTCGTACATTGGCCGGGTGAGGGGTTTGTGAGAAGTGGAAAGACAGCACACCCTCACGGAACACAACCACGTACATGTTGACGGGTTCAAGATAGTCCTCGCTATTGTGATCCTGCTCAAAGGTCCGATAGTTGACAAAATAGTAGCTGCGGAACAGCTCCACCTTTTCTCGGGCTTCTTGCATCATAATATCCTCGGCTGTAAGCGCATGGATGCCAAAGGCTTTGGCAATAACACGCATCTCCGCATCCGTTGGAGACAGTACATCGAGCCAAAACGTTGGCCGCGGACCATATTTTTTCGGCTTGGGCAGATTGTTCGAATGCGATGGCGAGGCCTCACGATGAGAGCCTGGTCGACTCTCGCTGAGCACTGACAGGCGAGGGTTCAATCTCTGTCCATTAACTGGACCAGACGCGGAGTCCTGTCCATTCTTGGCTTCAAAGGGTCCCAGGACTGAGGCCCCATTATTAGTAGAAGTGGTTTGACTGTCATAAGGAGAGCCTGAAAGTCGAGTGCCATTGCTTGTAGAGTTTCCCCTTGGGCAGGGAATGGAAGTTCCAGCTGTGGAGTGACCATCTTCATCTTCAGACTCGGACGAATCTTCCAATTCAGGTGGATCGGGAATGAACAGCTCCCGGAAACTGCCGCCTGGTTGCACCAGCTCCGAAATCGTTTGGGCATGGATGGTGCTCTGGAACTCTTCGTTAAAATATGTGAACCGGTAGGGCGCATCGTCCTCCTCCCGGCGCCAGAGTGTATATTGTGGCCGTAACCGACCCTCAACAAGCATCGGCTCGCTAATCTTCTTCACGCGAAGATCCCCACTGCGGTCCTCCTTTTCTTCGCGACTCCATTCTTCTAGAACAGATAGATCTGGCCACTGCCGATGTCTACGTCGCCGACGTTCGCCAGGTCCGTTTCTTCGCACTGTTGGTCCTTCGTCGCCAAGCTCCGATATATCCTCTGTTGGGAAACAAACATCTTCTTCCACGGGCAAAGCAACAGTACGACGGCGACGAAGCTCTTGCGGAGAAAATTGCCCCGAGCGAATTGAGGACGGAGCAGAATATTGGTGAGCTGTTCCACCCTCAATGTTGATTACTGTATCATTCAGCCGGTTGAGAGATTCCCTGCGATTTTCGATGGACCACGGTGTGAGAAAGTCGAATTCAGTGCCAGTTACCACCGCAACGTCGTAATTCATATCTGGGCCTAGCTTAGGCGATCCCGGGATTGACGGGGGATTATTGACATCATAGTCACGGTCCGCTTCTGGTGAATAAGTTGGGCTATGGTTTTCTCGAGGCGAGCATTGCGATGACGAAGTCTGAACAGATGGTCGTCTTGGGTGGGAAAATGGACTGGATCGAGAGTCGGTCCCATAGCGCGTGAAACCAGACGTTTGGCCCGAAGGAGCGCGAATCAATGGTGTACGATCGTTGGCCTCGGCCTCGTCGCTATCTTGATCTTGGAACGGTTGGATACGGCTTCCACCCGGGGTATTGCGGGGCCGAGAGTCGTTTGAACGGAAGGGACCTGAAAGCAAAGAACTGGGACGAAATGATGATGCGAGTCGACTCTCGCGACGAGGTCGCATCATAGGTTGGTCGCTATGAACATTTGAAGCATTAAAACGAGCCCAGTATTCCCAGTTACTACAGGCTAGGCCGAACATACCGATGATCCAACAATGCATCGCTCTCAAGACTTGTGTTGCTCAAGTTCCTACCCAATTTGAAGAATGGGGGGTTTTCCTTCACAGTTGAAAGGTCGCCCTCCATCGGGTCCCTCGCGCCGCCAGTCCCCGGGGACGTTCCAGGCCGATCATTAACCGGCTCTAGGTCAGGAGTGATGAAGGACTGCTGTCGGTTGCGCCGTTTGCGATTACGGTTTTTCTTTCGCTTAGACGCCTTGGAGGATTTCCCAACAGCGGCAGCATTATCGGGCGCGGGGGTCTCCAAGCGGGTCCCCGAAGACGTGGTCGCACCGTGATGCTGTTCGTGACCGCCCATTGGACCGTTCCCGGGTTTATCGTCGCTGGAAAGTGGGTAATTGATGTGCTGGGGACGTTTTCTCCGACTAGCTGAGGGGGAAGAGCACTGCGGTCGAGGAGCTGCCGGTCCGGGTCCGGGAGTCGGGGTCTGAGGAGGGTCCATGACTTCGGCAGGCTATGATGTATAGCTTTGCACGATCCTGGATGCTGTTCGTCCCACTACCTTCGCGGGCAGTTCGTCCAGAAAGGTGTGTCGCTAGCAGGGGGCATGAATTGTTTCGGGGGAGCTATTGATCAGCAATAGGAAGAGATGAACAGCTTGTGCGATCGTAAAAGCCCTTAGATTCACGGTGAAGTGGCTCTCGGCATGTTCGAGACCAGGATCAGCGCTGCCCGTGGAGGGCTCGAATCAGAAGCTGGAGCTAGCTGGGTGTTGCGGATGACGCGTGTGGCGAAACAATGTGGAACATCAGGCAGGGAAGGGTGCGACCAGGCAGACCAAATATTACCGGCCGCAACTGCAGGAAAGAGCACAACAGCTGTAGCCTCGATAGTCAAGGACTCGGCGCCAGGAGAGATGCGAAGAGGGGACTTGAAGCGATGCGGGATTTCCACGACCGAGTTCTAACTTGATTGCCTAAAACGGACCGATGAGGTCAGCGGTCGACATGGCCTCGGTCGCCAGCTGAGCGCCTGAGATCGTGTATATCACTCCGTGGGACTTTAAAAGGAGCCCAGGCTGGACATGATAAGAGTACCACATCAGACAAGCTATTTATTAGGCTGGGGTATGAGTGTTAAAAGAATACAGAGCTGCAGGAACGGTTGCCACTGCCCGTGGCTTTCACTGATTAAGGGGCCAGAAGTCCTAAGCTATGGGATATAGATGCTGGGACAGTAAGCCCAGCTCGCTTACCACTCAGCTTCCCATGGATATGCTCTTGATCTATGATCAGACTTGAATAGCCTACTGGTCTGGAGAATAGTATATCGATAATATAGAGAAATATTGAATATGATACGATATATTCCATAATTGGTGTTTGTGGACTGATGGTACCCCTACTAAATGGCCAGGGGGCTCCACTGCGCCGTGTTATGTGGTCTCTCGCACCCACGCACACTCTCTTTCTTTCCTTCCTCATGCTCAGTCACTTTCGTCCATTAGTACAGGGGTATTGTCTCTTCGCACTGGAGCATGTTATATGGAGCACATGAAACATATACCTCTATACTAGTGGACTGACCGAGATTGCAGGAGTTGCGAAGGGAATCAGAGTGCAAAGTTGGGGACGCGTCCAACAGCGTATCGAGTCTATTGGGGGGCACAAAGCAAGGTGAGAAACAGAGAAAATTAAAATATGTCCTCAAAGGATTGACTTTTGGGTAGAATTCGGCTTCTCAATGGAATTTTGAAAGGAGAAGAATCAAAACATGGATTTGAAAGTCTTAGGTGTAGGGACTGGGGGCCCAAGGCTCACTGGCCTATACAGCAAAGTCAATGCATGGCTACGCTCAGCACCCCTTAGTGTCTAAAAGATTTATGGGCTTGGAAAACTTGTAATACATCCTTTAAACTCTGTACATGTGGAATGATTCTATTACATTGCCGTGCGAGAAGTACAAGTCGTCATCACTCATCAGGCATCAAAGATAGTAAATACACAATGCAGCAGCCGTATCTTCCATCAAAAACAACAAAATTAGAGACATGAAAAGAAAATAATAATCAGGGAAAAAAAGGAAATTTCAACTCCATATAACTCATGCCCAGTCATCGGCGCAAAGAGTTCCCGAGAATCCACCAAGAGGAGACGCCAAAAAGCCGGTTCACCATCCAATGATGAGGTATAAAGCAGATAAAAAAGCAAGAAGAAAGACATGGAAGTGGCAGAGCACATCCCACGAGAGATGATGGGAGCAATCAGGATCAGAGTGTGACGCCTCAAATCACATTGCTCATGTCCATCACCGAGGGAGGAGCCACGCTGGGAGCCACACTATGGACCGAGCGAGTAGCATCCAAGGACATGCGGTCACCACTCATCATTCGAGAAACACGTTTGTCTTGACGGGCGACGAGGACCTGGGCCGGGCAAACCACCACTTCATCGTCGCCTTCGCCAACATCATTGCCCTTCTTGACGACGAGAGGGAAGAGCACGATGCGAACGATGGCCTGCTGGGATTCAAGCTCATCATTGGACGTCGTCTCGCCGCTCCGTTCATTCATGAGCGATGCGTTGAAGAACACTTGGCGGGCCAGGTCGCCGTTGGTATCATACTCGGGTTGGAGAGGAGGAAGCATGATAAACTCGGCCAGCTGAGTACGCATCTCTAACGAGAGGTTAACTGCAACACGGAGAACTTTGCGGAGGGACTCAAGCAGCTGTGCCTCCACCTGTGACGGGGGTGGGAGCACACGCGATAGCGTGCCGAAGATTTCCAGTGCAACCGCTTCAGTGTCGCTCTGACGCTGGGCAGCAAAGGCCGGGCGTCGCGATAGTAGGGTCAAAGTGGTGGCACGCCAGCGGTGGACTGCGCGCCGAGGACCAACTTCTCCCAGTTGTTTTTCTAGAGATTTGAGTTTCTGACGCTGTTCCCGGTCCATGCCAAACAGATAGCGGGTGAAGATATATTCCCAGACCATGGTCATGACCACTGACATGAACACATTGCGACGAAGAACACGGTCGGAAAGGTAGGCATCCGCGTCGGAGCCATCGAGAAGAGCATTGTCAAAACGGTCGGCGATTTTCTCGTCATGTAGCTCACTTAGAGGGCGGCAACGACGGTGGTCAGAGTGCTTGGAGAAACGCAGCACCCATTGTTGAACGTGGCCACAAAGCTTTTGGCACGCGGCGTCGAAGTAATCTTCATCCCGGAAGACAAGAGTATTATCGTTGACTGACGCTGCGATCTGCTGTTGTAGCTCCTTCACCTTGTCGCGGGCCTCCTCGAGTTCGGCACGAAGACGGCGCAACTCGGTATCTTTCTGAGCCAGGGCGGATTCAATCTCCTGTCGGACACGGTCATCAATCTGGGTGGACAGTGCTGTGTGTTGCGACCGCAAATCATCGAGCTCGCGCGTGGACGACTCGCGCACCGTGTGGACCTCGGCGGCGTGGGCAGCGGCGAGAGCAGCATTGGATGCGGTCAACCCTTCGTTCTCCTGGGTCAGACGGCTCATCTCCTGCTGAAGCCACTCCACCGAGCTTTTGAGTTGTTCCACCTCAGCTTCTCGATCTCTCAGGTCGGCACCACTGGTGTTGAGGGCCCGGTCGCTCTTCCGCCGAGCGACGGTCGCATTGCGCAGCTTGTCCTCAGCCTCATCTCGAGCGGAAATGAGCAATCGGTTCTCGGAGATGAGTTGGTCGAGGCGAGATTCGAGGTCTTGAAGGTGTTGCATGCTGCGGCGGCGGCGGACACTAGGCGGTCGGCTGGGCGACCGCGGGGAGCTGGGTGTCTCGCCCCATCCCTCCTGTTCTGTTGTTAGTAAACAAACAATGAAATCACCACGCTTTGCTGAGACAATCAAGGCGATTAGAAAAATTTTTTGGGGATTCTTCACTTACGTAGACATCGGCCATGTTTCGTACGGGGCGCTTGCCCTTGTCCGTGATGGGGTCGTAGGAGGAGGAAGAGGGAAGCTGATCGAGATCGAGATTTGGCGGGGGCTGGGAGTCTAGTGCTCGACTAGCCGCCCGCAGATCGCTACTCGTGCTGCGATTCGTTCGACGCAGTTTGCCCTTGCTCCCGCTGGGCTTCAATACCGGCATCCCCTGGTCGGGAGTTTTCAAGACAGGCGAGCCATTGCCGCCGCTGGACTTGGAAAGGTCATCATGACTCGGCCCAGACTCATTGTCCGTCGGCCACTGTTCCCTTGCCAAAGAATTGTCGGTGAATTTGCGCACGGGAGTGTGTGGACGTGGAAGGACGTGCTCGGGCTTGATCTCCAGACGGGGCGTCCCGCGTTGAGCCGTGGATGCGTGGTTGCCATCAGCGGGTTCCTGCTCCGCGATCGTATCCAACGGGGTCCGGGGCCGAGAGAGTGGATCGTGTTCGCCGAATGGGCCGAACAGTGACCGCGGCGGGGACGGAGCTTGAGCTGGAATTATAGCCTCGTCCAAGTTCCACGTTCGAGGAGTGTGCTGATGTCGTCCGTGGATGATGGAGGGCGATCGGCGCAACCCGCAGGGAGCAGCATCAGCAACCTCCATCTGAGAGGGCAATAGGTGCCGGGAGTGTGGCTCCTCTTCAGCAGGTGTAGGGGACGGTCCGAAGAGCATGTCCGATCGTTCCTGAGAAGCCGCGCGCATTGGCGATGGGAACAGTTCTTCAATGCGTTTCTCACGGTGAACCGCTGGTTCAGGATCCGTCGATAGTTCATCCGGAGAAGCAAAGGCCCCGGCTGGGGCATCAATCGCACCAGACGTAGACAAGACACCTCGTTCGCCCTCGGTAGGTGGCGTCGGGCTGGAGTCGGCAATGTAGGCAATTTCTTTCTTTTCATGGGTCGCTAGGGGTGCTTCCAAGACGGGGATCGCGATGTCGCGATTCGCTTCCAGGTCCGCTACTGTCTCTTCCTCAGCACTATCTTTTAGCGACGGTGAATTCCTGACGGCCGAACGCCGAAACCCTCCACGTTCCAAACCAGGGAAAATGTGTGCAACCTTGGAGCCACCAGGAGTGGTAGTTCGGACAGGTGGCTCAGTCTCAACGGCCTTAGCAGCCACATCCTCGAATGGTGGCTCGGGGTGAGACTCATGGGCCAATTCAACCATCTTATGAGGCGGCTCTTCGGGCTGGTCACCAAGCTTGGCCAAGGCAGCTTGTTCAGATTTGCGCTTGTTCTTCTTGGCCTTTTTCTTGTCTTTCTTGCTGAGCGGCGCAGACCAAGCTTCCTCTTCGACTGAAGGTTCAATCTCTCGCTTGGCATCATCCAGAGTATTGGGGATATTCACTTCTTCAAACTCCTCAATTACCTCTGACTCTGGCAGCGTAGGAATCAGTCCGAGCTCTGGCTCGGTCTCATGTATCGTTTCCTTTGGGGGCTCAGGCCTGTGAGATTTCCCATGCTCCCACTCTATTGTAGGCCACTCGTCTTCAGCATGCTTGGCGTCGTGCGGGATTTGGCTTGAAAGCTCTCGCGTAGACTCTTCTAGCTCACGAGCAAAGTGTGATTCTTGCTGATCGGGAGTGGTGTCAACAAATGGCTCTATTTCCAAGGCCTCGCTGGCCTTCTTGGCCTTCTTGGACTTCTTTTTGGAAGCTTTGCGCGAAAGTGGTGGCTCTGGTTCCTCTGGCTCAGCCTCAGGGGCAGTCATAACAGGCTCAGTGAAGGCTTCTGGCTCAATTGCCGATTGGGGTTCAATCAAGGCTTCGATGTTCTCGGGCTTGGCTGGCTCTTCTTCGAGTTCCCTTGTCGATTCTGGCTCCTCCAATTGCCTGGCTTCGGCTACCGGGGATGATACGGCTGTGTCAGCCGCCTGAGATTCCACAGGAGGGGCATCAGAAACGCCCCCGACATCTAAGCTCGGAAGTTGTTGCATGGTGTCTTTTTGCTTGGCCTTGCGCTTTTCCTTCTTTGAGAGCTTCTTGGAAAGAGGTGCAATTACTTGGGCCTCTCGAGGTCGGTCTTCGAACAGATCTCCAGCTACCTCGAGGTCGGCTTCCTTCTCAAGATCTTGGCTGCCAAGCTTGGCCTCTAACTCTTCCTTCTGGGTTTGGTTCTCTTGAGAGTCTATCTTGTCAAGGACGTTATGAGTGGCCGGGTCCGAGGGATCATCCATACCTCTCGGAACATCGACTTGGTGGAAGGAAGGCGCATCGAATGGATCTAAGGAAACGATGGCTTCGCTTTCGTCCTTCTCAGTCATTTCGACTTGGGCACTGGAATATTCACCGATCGGGGCATTTGGAGTAGGAGAAGCTTCAACAACTTCAGGTACTGGCACTAGCGCTGCTGGTTCTTCAGGTAATGGATCGTGGACCCCCTGGCCGGCCTCGGTTTCTTTTGTCTCCTCCGCCATGGCCGCCTCAGCCGGGAGCGAAGCCTCAGGGTCGACAGCATCTCGAGATTTTGCGAGACTTTCATCGACAGGGTTAACACTCAAATCAATAGAATCCTGTGCAGTCTGCTTTTTGGCTTTTTTCTTCTCCTTCTTGGACAATTTCCGGGAAATGGGCACTTCGGAAACAGCCTGCTCTAGGTCATCCGGTGGGCTTTCAATTTGTTGATCTGGCTCCTGCACAGGTTCTTCGAGGGCCCTTGCCATGTGCTCCTGTGTCACCGGTTCAGACTGCTCTTCAGCATCATGAGCAGTGGAAATCTCTGGAGATGAGGTCTGTAATTCAGTCGCTCGAACTTCCTGAACGACGGGCTGATCTTTTGGAATATCAGGAACTTCTTCCGCCACCTGTGGCTCTTCTGTAATCTCCGACTCCATAGAGATTGCTTGCTGCAAAGCAAGAGCTGCAGCTGCAGCTGCTTTCTTCTTTTCCTTCTTGCTCTTCTTCTTGGAAACCTCAGGCAGTCCTTCTGCTGGCTCTGCTAGCTCTGCTGGTGCTTCAGGGACAAGCTGCTCCCTCGACGTCTCGGCGGATGGCTCATCAATCTGAGTATCGGTAACATTGAGAGGCGTATCATGCTCTTCAGTTCCCGAGTTAACGATAGGCCCCGAGGGGGACTCTGGAGCTTCAGCCTTGGGAACTGTCATTTCGATTGAAGGCTCATTGTGAAGCTCTGGGATATCAACCACATCCGAAGATAAGGTCGAAGGTTCCTCCGTGTTGGGATGGTGTTTCTCGTCATGCTCGATGGATAGAATGGCATCGGCAGACTCTGAAACGGGAACAGGTACCTCGACGGTTTCGGGCTCTATCTGTTCTTCGGCTTGTTGCGCAAGAAGAGCTTGGCGCTGCTTCTTCTTCTCCTTCTTGCTCAACTTTCTTGACAGTTGTGCCGTCTCAATTTGTTCAGGCTCCGAAACAGCAGCGTCTTCTCGAATTACTTTGGCCTGAAGGGGGAATTCAACATTACCAAACGGCTGAGGAACAGGTGACTCTAAAGAGATGTCCCGGCCCTGCTCCACCAGCATATCTTCACCAGTTTGCATTTCCTCCTGCGCAGAAGACGAGCTAGGTTCGAGAACTGCCATGGTGTCAGTCTCTTCGGCAACTGTGGGAGCACCCTTGGGCTCCTCGCTTTCTTGCGCTTGGGATGGCTCCGATTCATGGACCGATGCCACTTCCTCAGAATTGTCTTCTTGCTGTTTTTGCCTCTTCTTTTTCTCCTTCTTCTGCTTCTTGGATAGAGCCGGCTCCGCGGCCTCCTCAGCAACTTCCTCTTGCACCGGCACGGTTTCAGTTAACTCCTTTTCGACCACCTCCGGCATCTCCTCCGGGACTAAAGTTCCAGTCTCAACCTGTTCACCTTCCTCCTTTTTAATGCTCTCTTCATTCAGTGCATCATTCAAAATACCTTCCTCTTGCTTCACTGAATCATCCCTCTCCACTTCCTTGCTCCGGTTCTTCTCAACGTCATGAACAACTGGCTCTTCGCCAGCTGGAAAAATATGCTCCACCCCCTCCTTCTGCACATCGCTACCACTCGCTTCGCCAAAATCAAACGAACGCTCAAGCACGGGTTGGGGAGGATAATCTGAAGAACGAGTCTCTATCTGCGGCTGCTCTACCTGCGAAGACAAGAACTGATCAGTCGAAGGCAAAATATTTTCCGGCGCGGGAGGCGTTTCTATGTCGTGGGACTGAAGTTCTTTACCGTCATTCTCCGCAGGCGAGGGTGCCGTGACGGGTATAGAGAGATCCCGTGTCCCAGATTGTTGGGTCTCTTGGGGGGGGAATGTTGGCATCAGTCACTGCGGTCGAGTCTGGGGTCTGTTCGCGCGAATCGACTGGCAGGGCTTCGGTTGTGGAGCTATTTCCTTCGGCATCGAGGTTTTTGGATTGGCGCTTTTTCTCTTTCTTCTTGAGTTTGCGTCGTTCCTTGGCAGACAGACCGGATTCGGGCTCGGGTTCGGGCTCCGTGGAATTTCCATGCGTCTCCTCTGCGACTTCCGTAATGATCGACTCGGGTTCGGGTGATAGTTCTGTAGGCGACTGGCCTTCAGGCTGCTCAGACTTTGCGGGTTCGTCGATGGTGGGCTGCTGGGTGATAGAGGCGGTCGTCTCAGGTTCAGCAGGTGCATTATCAATGGCCTCGCGGTTCACATCGCCAATAACTACCTCCGCTTCCTGGGGCTCAATAGATAGTTGTTCAGAGATCTCTCCACCCGCCGGGCTGGAGGGCTGAACCTCACTTGAAAAGTTAGCATCTGTTGCGGCATCAGGGGCCTCTGAATTGCCAGAATTGGGTCCTTCTAGCTTTGGGTCCTTAGCAGCGTCGACGAGGGCTACCGCCGAAGCCTCCGTCTCTTGAGAAAGCTCAGTAATTGCCGGTGAATCGTCCGTCAAGTCCACAGACTTAGCCTTCTTCTTCTCCTTTTTCTTGAGCTTACGGCGCTCCTTGGCAGACAGGCCCATTTCTGCTGCCGTTTCTGCTGCTTTTTCTGTAGAGTCTGCAGTTGGGGTTGAAGATTCTTCCTCTTGGGGTTGTGTCTTTTCAGCATCAGGAAGCGGCTCATCAGAGAGCGCTGCAGATTCAGCAGGATTTTCGAGCTGTTCCTCATCTTGGGACGGGACAGGCAATTCGCTCTGGGGCTCTTTGAGCTCGGATTCAGTGGCGGCTTCCAGAGACACAGCCTCAGAGAAAGCATTGGAGCCAGGTTGGGTTGTTTCTGTAACCTCGACAGCCTCATCAATGGAATTTTCTGCTGGCGTCTCGGATGGAATCTCGATCTTGTCAATTGAATCACCCTGGCCCTCAATGGGACTGGATTCGGTAGTTGGAGTCTCAATGAGCGCAGCACCTTCAGTATGAGAAGCGGGCTGATCAGGTTGGATAGACTCATCATCCCAGGCAACAGATTTGCGCTTCTTCTTGTCTTTTTTGGCTTTCTTCTTCTGTGCAGCAGTCATTGGTATTTCGGGTTCCGTGGGTTGTGAAGCTTCTTCGGCGGTCTCTTCGCTGGTTCGATCAGGCATAACTTCATTTGCGGGGGTTTCTTCCGAGACAGGCTCTTCGGGAACCTCTGCATGGTCTGCTAGCGAAGGGGGCTCTAGCGTTATAGAGGCGGGTGTCTCGACATTTTCAATAGCAATAGGCTCAATTGGACCCTCCTCTCTGGTAGACTCAGGCTGTTCTTCCTCATTGGCAGGCTCAGGCTGTTGCTCTTCGTCAGGAACAGATGATTGGTTCTTCTTCTTCTTTTTCTTCTTGTCCTTCTTAGACTTCGGGGTCGCTGGTTCATTGCCAACTTGATCTGCGGAGGGGCCCTCGGATGAAGGAGTCACTGGGGGTTCCTCAGCTGTGGCTTGCTCCGATACTTGCTCAACAGCAGGAATAGCCTCATCACCAGCTTGCTCCATAGTGGCAAGTTCAGCCGTAGCCGTCTGCTCCATAGACGTATCTAAAGTAGAGTCCTGTCCAATTGATATATCTTTCGAGTCTTGGCTGAATTCAACCGGACCGGGAGCTTCTGCGGAAGATTGAGAGTCGATTTCACGAGATTGAATGTCAGTGGCAGGCCCGATCATAGATTCTTCAGTAGTTGGAAGCGCTTCATCCGCAATTGGTTGCAAAGAGACATCTTTCTCAGAATCAGCAACCATTTGGTCCTCACTGGCATCTGGCTTGGCCTCGGTCTTTGCCTCGCTATTCGCCTCTGCTGAAGGAGTATCTATCACCTTAGTCTCCTCGACAGGTTTGGTGTCATCAGAGACAGAAACTGATGGTTCAAGAAGACTTTCGGAAGTCTGCTGCTGCGCGGGAGTAGATTCAATCTCGCTTGCTGGCTGCTCGTCAGGCAGCATAGACTGGCGTTTCTTCTCCTGCTTCTTCTTTTCTTTCTTGGCCTTTTTCTTTTGAGCAGCAGTCATCGGCACTTCTGGCTCGACTGGCGAAGCTTCAATCTCCTCAGGAGTGTCAATGTGCTCGTCGGCAAGAGGAGCCTCAGCGGGGGAAATTGAGGCCAAAACCTCTTCACTTGGCTGTTCAATATCATGGGGATCATATTTGTTCTCTTCCACTTGAGCAGAATCAGATGCAGCAGCGAGCTCCTCGGTAACAAGAGGAACGTCGATGGAGGGCTCAACGATAGGCTCGGCAGCAGGCTCAGCAGCAGGCTCAGCAGCAGGCTCAGCAGCAGGCTCAGCAGCAGGCTCAGCAGCAGGCTCAGCAGCAGGCTCAGCAGCAGGCTCAGCAGCAGGCTCAGCAGCAGGCTCAGCAGCAGGCTCAGCAGCAGGCTCAGCAGCAGGCTCAGCAGCAGGCTCAGCAGCAGGCTCAGCAGCAGGCTCAGCAGCAGGCTCAGCAGCAGGCTCAGCAGCAGGCTCAGCAGCAGGCTCAGCAGCAGGCTCAGCAGCAGGCTCAGCGACGGGCTCGGTGGAGGGCTCAGCGGTGCGTAGTCCAGTAACATCCGGCTCCTTGGTCGACTCAACGGTTTCAGTATCTATGGTAATAGGCTTGTCTTCTGTGACCGGAGTCTCCAGTGCTGGGGAACCCTGGGCATCGTTGCTGGCCTCGGCGGCATCCGCTTCTGGTGTAATACCAGGGGCAAACTCGGCCGCTGAGGGGTCGTCAGTAATGGAACTGATACTTTGCTGCTGTTGCTGCTGCTGCTTCTTCTTGACCTTCTTGGCTTTCTTCTTCTGGGCTGCAGTCATCGGAACTTCAGGCTCTGTCGACAGTTCTGCGGGCTGTGACTTGTCTTCCAACTCCTGGGGTTGAGAAAGCCGAGGCTCATCTTGTGCTTTCTCTGCATCTGCAGAATCAACAGGTACGTCTGCGGCCACGTCAGGAGTTAGAGAAGGAGCTAAGGCATCTCTCAAGGACTTCTCAGGCTCAATGGGCTCTTCAGTCTTTTCTTCCGTGGCTGAAATATCAGCGATTGGCTCTTCAACGGTAGACAAGATTTCTGGAGCGGCGTAGCCACTACTAGCAGGGGCATCTTCAGCGGGCTTTGCAAGTTCAGCAGGCTGTTCCTCGAAGGGTTGTTCCTCGAGGGGCTGTTCCTCGATGGGCTGTTCCTCGATGGGCTGTGCCTCGATGGGCTGTTCCTCGATGGGCTGTGTCTCGATGGGCTGTTCCTCGATGGGCTGTTCCTCAACGGCCTGAGTTTCGGCAAGCTGGGTTTCAGAAGATTCTGGCTCGGCTGGCTTTTCCGCGTCAGAGATAGAGGAGACACTCTGCTGCTTGGCCTTCTTTTTCTTGTCTTTCTTGGCCTTCTTCTTCTGAGCCGCAGTCAAAGGCATCTCAGGCTCGGGTTCAGCAGCTGGAGCTTCAGGCTCAACAGACATCTCTTTGGCAGACCCAAGATCCTCCATAGTAGGAGCTGGAGCTGGCTCGACTTCGCCGGTTCCAGTACTTTCGGGAGCATTGGAAGTAACTGGATCCTCGGACACAGGTTCAGGCATAACCTGGATGGGTTGTTCATTCTCGGATGGCTGGGTCTCACCGCCAGTCAGAGGATCTTGGGTTTCAACAGCCTCAGCATTGCCTGACTCTTCAGGTTTGACATCCGCAGTCGGCTCCTCCGGCTGAGCTTCAGGAACTGACTCAGGCTCGATGGGGGCTTCCGCATCCTCAAAAGTAACAGACTTGCGGTTTTTCTTATTCTTCTTGCCCTTCTTCTTAGGCTGTTGTTGCTCGTCCTGTGCCTCCTCTGCCTTGACACCCTCGGACTCGAGCGAGGACGCTTCCTCTGCCGCGGGCTCTTGAGAGGGGTCAAGTTGCTGCTCTTTCTGGTGCTCAGCGAGGTGCGGCTGCTCAGCAACAGCTTCATGGAAAAGATCGTCGTCAGACTCGACGGGCTTCTCCAGCTGGGGGGATTCATCAGAAATGGCAGCTGGAACGAAAGTCTCTTCTTGCGGAACAATAGCTTGTTCAATTTGAGAGTCATCCTTGATTTCCACGTCCCGAGGCTCAGAAAGAGAAATATCGGCTGGCGGGGCTTCCGCGACCAGATTTTCATCGATTGCATTGCTCGAATCCTCACGAACTGTTGATTCTTGCGCAGAAGGAGTGTCCTGGACTGCGGGCTCTTCGAGGGAAGGCGGCTCTACAGGCTCAACGATTTCTCTAACAGCATCGGGGGCGGGCGCCTCTGGCTCAACAGTGTGTCCAGCCTCGGCCGTAGCATCTTGGAACGCATCCTGCTCTGAAGGTTCATTGACGAGAGCGGCCTCCGAGGCTGTCTGCTGTTGTTCCGCGAATGGCTCTACCGAAGGAAGAATGGGATCAGACGGCTCGGCGCTCGCAACATCCTCACCCTCAGCCTCAGTCTGTTCAACAGAAGAAATACTCTTAGCCTTCTTCTTCTGCTTCTTCTTGTCGCGCTTCGCCTTCTTGGACAAAGAAGCCGCATCTTCAGGTTGTTCAGCATCAACAGGAGCAGACACATCAGCTGTAGCCTCAGCCAGGACCTCAGGAACAGAGATTGCTTCTTCTTCGGCGGGAGCAGCAGGGTTTTCAGATTGAACTGGAGGCTCAAGAGCTGTTACATTCTCGATGTTGTCATGTTCCGCGACTTCCACAGTTTCGGGCTCGATTTCTCGAGATGTCTGGATCGGTTCCGCTTGAGGCTTGGGGTGAAGAGAGATCTCATCGCCGGTGGCAGCCTGGGTTGAAGGGACTGGTTCGGTTTCAACAGACTGAGGTGCAGTTTCGGATGCCTCGACCTTAGGAGTCTGCTCTTCAGGTTCCTGAGTGGGTTCCACAGGCTCGGAGGTCAAATCAACACTCTGGCTAGCCTGGCCCTTCTTGTTCTTCTTCTTCTTTTTCTTCTTCGAAGAAGATGTTGCAGCAGCCTCTTCGATAGCAGGCTCCTCAGTAGGAGTAACCTCAGCAGGCTCAATGACAGCTTCGACAGGCTCGGGGACCAGTTCTCTAGAGGCTTCGGGATCGGCTTCTGGAGCCGACGTCAGTTCAAAGGGCGCCTTCTCTTCAACTGCGGTGCCGGGCTCGCCAATCGCCTCTTCTTCAGTGGTCTTCTCCTGGGGCCCCTCGGCGGCAACCGCGGCATCGACAATATCGGCAAAGCCTCCAAATTTAGCAGCTGGCGCTAGTGACGGCTCAGGGCCTTCTTCTGGCTGGGCCGCGCTGAACACGTCTCTAGTAGAAGCAGATTGTACCTCATCCTTCGTCAAAGAATCAAAATCAGGGATTGCTTTCTCCTCGGAGGCATGTTCCTCGCTTCCTTTTGCAGCGGCAATGACCGCCGCGTCAACAACACTTGCGAATCCAGCTCCCTTGAGGACATCATCAATAGAAACCCCTTTCTCTTGGATGGGAGTCTCCAGCTCCCTACTTCCAACCATTGATCCTTCGGCAGAAGGAAGAGCCTCCATGGTAGGTGAGTGAGGCATCTCCGGGAACGCGGCAGGGTCCTGCAAAAGTTCGGAGGGAGAGTGGAACTCATACTTTGGCTTCTCCTTCTTCGCAACGCCAAAGTCTTCGGCAGTGGGAGTCGCCTGCTGCGAGTCAAGCAGGTCAGTATCGTGACTGGGTTCGTTGGCCTGCGTGGTGGAAATCGTCAGGTCAAGAGGCCGGCGGCGCTCCAACATCGATGGGCTGAGATCAATCGGCTCCCAGCTCCTGACGGCATCCTCGTCATTAAGTGTGCGTAGGTCTTCGATTGATGGAGCGCGAGACGAGGTCTTGCTGGAGGGAAGAGAAGGAAGCGGCTCATCAGCCTCGGCCATCTCGCCCTTAGTAGAGCCATGGCGCTCGACAAGCCACAGGGGACGAATCTCGCGAGAATTCCTAAACTCGACCGAGTTCAAACGGCGATGGCGGGACTGGCTGGGTGACCCTGGTGACTCAGTCGTAGGCGACGGGGGAGCAACCGGCACGGCGCGTGATAGACTTGGAGACGTCGGGGGTCGACGGAAATGCAAAGGCACTGCAGTTGGCGATTCAGTGGTCGACTTTGCCATGGATAGCCGGCGGCGGCTCGGGGACTGGTCGGCGTCTCGAGTCATCTCTGGCGAAGAGGGTCTACTTTGGGACTTCGGGGCAATAGTCATGGCTTTTTCAGCAACTGGAGGGGACGTGGATCGACTGCGCGGCCGTTGTTGCAAGATATGTCCAGCCAAAGCCAAACCACCACCAGCAATTGCTGCACCCTCAACCGCTGATTCCAGCCCCGAAGCACCACTTTCATCGCGCTCAGCGGTGGCTGGCATTTCGGGGCGCTCCCCTAAAAAATAATCTTTATCGCCGTCGTCATTATATTCCGAAGGTTTTCCGTCCTGCACATGGAATAGTACCAAAAAGAGCTTAGTATGATTTCTTTTTGTTTGTTTGTTTGCTTGCTTGGGGTTCTCTGTGCAATAGATAGATTGCAACCAAATAGGCTGCAGCCAAATCCGAAATCGAACGAAACCAGAGACAAAAAGGGGAACTATATGGCACATAACAGTGTACACGAAACAAAGAACAACATTAGACAAGAAAGGAAAATTCAGATGCTATACCTTCTCAGATTCCCGGCGTTTCCCTGACTCAACAATTTCCTCATATCGGTGTCGACGTCGCTCCTCCTTCTGCTGCCTTTGCGATCTGTACTCCTCCAGATTTAAATCATCCCGACTGCGGACATCATTGTCCGAATTGTGTTCATCCAGTGCATCTCCTCCGCTGGAACTGCGGTGTCGAGAAGAGCGCTTCTTGCGGTGGCGCCGTTCCTCGTCAACCCCGACTTCAGACATCACATCTCGAGCCGAGCGCTTGTCGAGTGAAGAAGACCGGGTACGCTCTGGTGGGGCAGAGACACGCGAGCCGAACAGGCTGCGCAGGATTCCAGAGCTCTTCTCCTTCTCTTCCTTGCTGTCCTTGCTGTCCTTGCTTCGGCGCTTCTCCCGCGTTTCGTCAATACGGGCAGGAGAAGATGTGATTGAGGCGGTGTCATCAAAAGTATCCCGCGAGGATCGATGGCGGTGCTTGCGCCGCTCAGACTTTTCAAGGTCCTCGAGTGAAGTAACGGCGGACCTTGCATCATCGTCGACCGAAAACATCTCGCTGTCGCGCTTCGAACGACGCTTACGCCGTTCGGACTTGTCATCTTCGATTGACGTGACGACAGACCGGGTATCTTCATCCACAGAGAAAGTATCACTCTCGCGCTTTGAGCGATGCTTTCGGCGCTTCGTCTTCTCCTCATCAATGACATCAAAATCCTCGGGAACGGAGGACTCTGTCTTGGGCGGAAAGTCGAAATCGTCCCCACTGCGACGCGACTTTCTAGACTTGCTCGACTTCTCTGATTCTCTCTCAAGGGGGGCAGAAACCACGGACCGAGAGTCACGAGACATGGAAACGTCTCGCGTGTTATCTGGAGTTTCGAATCCACCGGGCATGGAATAGACATCATTTTCAGGAGAATCAAAGCGTGGAGTCTTCCCATTCAATTGCTCAATGACCTCCTGGGCAATTGAGCCGCGGTCTCGGGTCTCGGAGAATGACACATCCTTGTCTTTGGAGAAAGATTCAGGCTCGGCGTAGAAGGGTTTGTCATCAATGACATGCTCGAGAGACAGGTCGATATCGCGCGATTTGCTCGGCTCGTAGCTATCGATTTCGCCTTCAACGTGAGGCTGGACCGGCATCGAGGGATCTGTCCACTTTGACCGAGGAGAGAAAGTACCCTCGTCCTCAGATCCAGGAGGCGAGGTGCGCGTATGATATTTGGGATCGTTGATAACGAAAGAAGGATCGAACCCAGCAGCCTGAGTTGCGGCAGCAACAGTAGCAGCGAAATCAATATCTGTTCCATAGACAGGATTGGCACTGATCTCCTTCGACTTTCCATTCTCTGAAGTCTGCATGGGTAGCTCCTTGGTGGCTTCTTCCAGAGGGGAGATATCGTGCTGCTCAAGCGGATCCTGCTCGGAAGAAGAGAGGACTTCATATTCATGAGTCTCTGGGGTTCCCCATGATACCCGCGAGCCAGTCGAGGGGCGTTCACGATCTTCATCTCCTGATTTGCCGACTTGTGGCTCCGGCTCTGTGGGGGTGATGGGGGTTGAAGTGCCACGCACTGAGCCATTGATGCTTTGGGGAGGAGTTGGCTCAATAAAGTTCAACCGTGGAACCGGCCACGGGAGATGATCATGATTTTCATAAGGTTCTTGCGCAAATTGGGGCAAGTCGTCGCGAGGCATATCATTGTTCTTTACCCGTTCACTGGCAGGCACGATTTCCACGATTGTTGGCGTATCATCGGAGTCACGGTCGCGGGTTCGGCTGGTTCGATCCGGACTATGCCGAATCTCCTCGGGGGCGTAGAACTCTGCATAATCATCATGCACAGGGGCGGGGCGAGTATTTCTCTTGCGAGGCGAGGGTGTTTCTCTAGGTTCCACGACAGCGACCTCCTCGATAGGCTGGGAGACATCGGATTTCGAAAGCACAGAAGATTCTGCTCGGCGTTCAGCCCGGCGTTGCTCACGACGCTCGTCGCGACGGCGGGCGCTAGTTTCGGAAGCCACCTCCTCGTCCTTCTTTCGAGAATAAGAAATGATGCTGCTAGCAGCTGCAGCGCCAATGGCACCGACAGCAGCTGCTTCGACCCAGGAAGCGGAAGATTTGTTGTCTTTGTCACTGTCGGTTCTGCGCTTCTCATCCTCGCGTTCTTTGTAGCGGCGCTCCCGGCGCTCCCGGCGCTCAGCATCCTCGTGGGCAAGCTCCTCCTCTCGATCGATCAACTGGACGCGCTCTTCTCCGAAGTCATCACGGGAATCCCTATCGCGGCGGCTTAGACGACGTTCACGCTCAGCTTGCTCTTCAGTTAGGTCGAAAGAGACAGAAGCCTGGTCTCTGACGGTCGAGCGGCGGCTGGGTGTTGGCACGTAACTCTCCTGGGTTGAAAATACAGGCGAAGAGTCGCTGCGACGGTGTTGACGGCGCTCGGCGATTGCACTCGTTTTGCCGGTAGAGATGGTCTGAGAGCCCTCATATTGCAGATTGTATCGATCATGCTCATTGGCAAAAATGGGGGGAACAGCAGGGGCACTATAAGCAGGAATGGATCCCGGCAACACACCCTGTGTAGTGTAGACGGCCTGGGAGACCGGTGTGTAGGGTTGAGGCTGCTGCAGAGGGATAGGACCGGGGCGCACAAGGGGAGTCTGGTCAACAGACATGACCGATGGAGAGACGTTGGCAACGTCGAAGCGGGATGGATCAGATGTAGGCATCGGATACACCTGCTGAAGGCTTCCAGCGCTGCTAGAAACTCGACTATCGCGGTGACGAGCAACCGACGCAAGCGCGGCACCTCCGAGTGCGCCAGCACCGACTGCCAGAGCCGTCTCCGCGCCAGAATGTTTCTTCTCGCTCCTCTTCTTTTTCTTTCCACCCCAGCCCCAACGCCAACCACCGCTGCTGTTCGAATCGGAACTAGATTCAGCACTGCTACCACCGAAAGCCAGTGCAGAACTAGCGCTAGAAGATCGATCCTCTTCTGATTCGGCATCAACCCACTCATCTTCAATCGTGGCTGAAGAGTTGTAATTAGAGGAACGTCCTTCTCTGGAAGTCATCATCTGGCCAGTGGTCCGGCCATGGCGATGTGATGCAGCGGCAAGGGCAGTTGCCGTGGCACCGAGCCCAATGAGCGCAGCATCCACATCTTTATTTTTCTGGCCTTTCTTATTTTGCTTCTTCTGGAGCTTGGTTGATGATTTCTTGGTGAAGCCACTGCCAAAGGCGAGATCTGCATCAAGAGAGGACGACGACGAACTGTTGAAGGAGAAAAAGGTCCTACTCTTCTTGTTACGTTTCGTCTTGCGGTTCTCGGAGGCCGAGGTAAAGAAAGAAGCGAAGCCCCCAATAGACTTGGTAGCAGGGCGGGAAACATTCACGAAGGATCCACTGGATGAAGAATCTTTCCGGCGCTGGGTTCTAGAAGGTGAACGACTGCGAGATCGGCGATGTTTTGACATCGCAAGAGCAGCCGAGCCAACAGCCGCCCCTAAAGCTGCTTCCTTGACAAACGAATGGCGCGATCGAGATGATGATCGCGACCGTGAGCGTGTCCGTCGAGACTGTTTACTGTCGGAATGGGACTCTCTTGGAGAGCTCCGTTCAGACCGTCGGACAACACCGCGGGATGTATAGCTTGTTTGGTCATTGAAAACGCTTTCGCCATCATGAGAAGCAATCCGATCGCCTGCTACTCGGCCAGAGCGAACACTATAGGAATCATCAAAGCCCTTGCCTGTAAAGATTGACTTTGCTGCATAACCAGCGAGCATGCCCGGTAGCCATGACGAGGACTTTTTCGATCGCTTCCGTCGGCGGCTCTCATCTTCAGAAGAGTGATATCGGTTGAGCTTGTTCACACGAGAGGAACCCCCGCTACTATAGCGATCAGACGAGTGACGACGGCCATGGTAGTGATGCTTGCGAGGGGCATCGACGGAGGTGGTGCCAGGCTCGAAACAATATTTGCAGACACCGATAGTTTCGGTGTAATCTTCAAACCGGCCAACGCCTTCAGGATCACGCCAGAAATCCACAAACCTGGAAAGAGGACCGCGATGGCGGTGTTGAAGGGCAAGGCTTCCAGGTCGGTAAGGATAATATCCAGGTGTATACGCAGCGTGTGCAGCATACCCAGCAGCGCCAGCAGCGCCAGCAGCAACCATAGCATTATTTGGGTGAGCACCATAGGGAGAAATGCCACCCTGGGATGATTGCTCGTAGTTCTGGAAGGTGTACTGTGATGAGTGCTCGGGACTTGAGGGGTGATGCTGGTGACCAAGCATATAGCCTGCGGCTGCGCCTGCGGCCGCCATCCCAATACCAGCCCCAACCCCAGACGAATGGGGGGCTTGCTGGTGGATTGAATAGCCGGCTGGGATAATGAAGTCGTGTGTTGAACATTTGTCGTGGAGGAATATTGGGAGTGAGATTCCTCGAAGTTTCCTACTCCATATGTGATCGCTCCGGCGGCAGCCGCAGCACCTGAGATTGCGGCAGCAGATGAAGATGAAGGCTTGCTGGGTTTGGACTGGCTAGATGGCTTGTAGGGCTTCCCAGGTTTCGGAGGCTTTGAAGCTAAACCAGACGAGGGATTGTTCTGCAGTTCAACAACCCCCTCCGCTTCATCGGCGTAGTAAGCGGCGGCCGCTCCGACTTGACCGATACTGCTAGGCTCTGGTGGAGGATTGGCAGAGGGCGAGGCGGTCATTAGATGTGTCTGGCTGTTGGGGATGACTTCAGGCTGATGCGGGCGAACTCCCGGCTGATCTTGAACCGACTGGCCTTGATCACCGTAGTAATCGGCTGCGGCACCAGCAGGATTGTGAGGGAGGTAAGGCTGCGCGACCCCCGTCGGAAATTGACCGGGAAATTGTTGCTGTACATGAGGGTCGTATGGGGCCGGTGATGTATCATGGCCGGGGGAGACTGATGTCGAGGGCATGCCACTATCGTATTGCATGGGGAATTGGGAGAATCCGGGAGCGGCAATGTCGGCGGCAAATTGGGCACCCGGGGCACTAGATGGCATGGACGTGGAGATTGGCGGTACATAAGGGTCTCCCGATTTTGTGCGCCGGTGCTCGCGACGGTCGCGCTCTCGATCCAGATCACCATCTCGTCCATCATCCGTGCCTCGGCGGCTCCTCCTTTGATCGCGGTCTCGGCTCTCCGATCGGTCGCGGTCGCGGCGGCGGGAACTCTTGCTTTCCCGGTCGCTTTCTCTGCGCTTCGGCACTCGTTCGATGATTGTGCGCTCAGGGTTCTCAATGGCATCCGGCTCAGCGGTCACATAAGTCGATGCGACGGAGTCCCCGGCGACGCTGACCGGACCGCGCTGGCTGCCCGAGACAGAAGATGTGTAAACCGACAGGTCCCCCAAGCCGCGATCACGGTCGTCACCCCGTGAGGATTTGCGGCTTGATATGGACTTATTATCGGTCTTGCGACGGTTGCTCTTCGAGCTGGAGCTTCTGCGAGTGTCCGAGGCGGACGAGGGCCGGCCCCCGCCCATCAGGGCCTTGAACATGATGGGCAATGATTCAGAGGGATGCCCAGATGGCCCAGACCACCATGTGGAAGGGTAGTGAGGAATGTGAGGCGAGGAAAGGGTAAAATCGGAATGTCGAAAAGGTGAAGGAATGAAGATGACGGGGCGGGAAGGTCAAGGTCGGGGATGTTATGTTTGGGGGGGGAGGAAGTAAACAACGGAGCTGAACCGTGGATCTTCCTCTCGGAAAGCCCCAAGCGGAGACTGGGCGAACCCACGCTTTCTGGTTGCTACCAGACGATCGCGCTAACCGCTTCGAGTTCCTTTGGTTTCCCCCAGTCAGGATTCAAGGTATATTTGGTGATCGGAAATGCAATCGTCGGCAGAAGGACTCGGACCTATCCGGCATGCACGATGCTCAAATCCCCTTTTTTTTTCTGTTCTTGCGCGCCGGCGTCAAGGGAAAAGAGGTGAGGGTGCACAAGTGGGCACTGAACAGTTCAGCAAAAAAGTGGAGCGAATCAAAGTCGCGGTGAAGGCGAGTGCACGTGCCACCCACGGGGCTGGGATTTCGTCACTCGGTGCAACAGCGTCAGCACTCGAGGGCCTCGTCGCAAGAGATCGTAGGAGATATGAGACGCCAGTTGGGCCATTTCTATGTGAGATTTACTTAGAATACATGTTCTGGAAGAGGGCACAATCACTGTAAGGGTATCGTCATACTTTCCACATCTAGACAGAGAATCCGCTTGGCTTCAAAGGCCGGAAAAGCAACCCTGACAGGTAAACCATATACACTCCATGTATATATATAACACTACATCTCTCCAAGTCTACCAACACCACCAGCCGCCGCGATGTTCGGCTGCTCGCCGATCGACATATCCAACATTTACACATACGTATATTATATAGAAATAATCAAATCATGATACCAATGTTGCATCAGGTAAAATCACGAATAAATGACTGGATACTAAGAAATCCCTTCTCACAAATAAAAAGTATACAAACAGCAGATGGTATACCACGCGAGACACCGCTTACCAACACCCTTGATATCATCCAGGCATGAACTAGAACACACAAGAAAAGCAAACCCTCACTCGGCTCGCATCAGCCGCTCAAGTCGGCATCGCAGCCAATGCTGGAACCACAGCGGATAGCCTCTCAATCGCTGGGCAATTGACCCGGTAACACCCGGTAGCAGTACATGGCCGCTCTCCCCACTCATAACCTGGCGGAAAATCCCCTCGGCGACCGTCTCAGGGTCGAGTAGAGGGTTGAGGAAGGTATCCTCAGGAGTCAGGTTATCGATGAGCGCGGTGCGCGTGAATCCCTGGGTGACGAGCACCGTGCGGACGCGAGGCGCCTGGTAGCGAGTCACCAACTCCGCGGCGAGACCCTCGTGGAAAGCGACCGCGGCGGCTTTCGAAGCCGAGTAATCGACCATGTTGGGGGAGACGATATAAGCCGCCTGCGACGCAACGGTCACCACCATGCCATGGTTGCCAGCAATTATATCGGGCAGAAACTCCTGGGCCAGCCAGTAGTGCGCAAGGGTGTTGACGTCGAACATGCGCCGGGTGATGGTCTCGGTGGTGCCGAGGACGGTCTTGCCAGTGAGAATGCCAGCATTGTTGATGAGGATCGTCGGGCGGCCAAACGCGGCGCGAATCTTGCTGGCTGCTTCGGCGATGTTTGCTGGAGAGGTGATATCGCACTCATAGAAGCGCACGCTGTTGGGCAGGGCCTCGACGGGCGGCGCAATGTCCAGAATCGCAACCTTGATGCCGCGATCGCCGAACATCTGGGCGACCCGTCGTCCAATGCCTCCACTGCCCCCGGTCAAGACGACCACTTCCCGGTTCCAGTCATAGTGGTCGGGCACCCCGTTGTTGACAATGCGCCGGTCGAGCCAGGCTCCGACCCGCTTTAAGACTGCGAGCGAGGCCAATACCTTTAGGGCCTTGAGAAGGTGAGGGCGCGCCTCGAGCAGCTCCCGGCCCTTGACAGTATACTGGGCCAAGGCTAGCAAAGGCACCACCTTCCAAGGACTGAGCAGGGTATGGTGGATCAAACTGCCCACAACATCAGCCGTGAACCCTACCTCCTGTTAGCCTCTGAGAACAGCACTTGCACAACTGGAATGATGTCCGCATGTACTCTGGACGCCGTACCTTCTCGTGAGAGCCATCTTTTGGAGGGTGCCATTCTGTCGCGGATGATGCTAAGTATATCCTCGATACGCCCGGGCAGGTAAAGGAGCCAGTATTTGAACAATAAGTGATATACAGACACTTTGAAAAAGGCAAGCGAGCACTCGTATCTAAACGTCAGCCCGATCGGCGAAGTTCTGGGTCAGTGCCAGAGTCCATTTCTGCGGGGAAGCCGAGGTCCGCGCACCCAGGAATGCATTTGATCCGTGATCCTTGGTCCTTTTGGCGACCGTCGCCGTGCACTAGTCCCAAGTGAAATAGGGGCTGGAAGTTTCCCTCACCCCGAGTTCCTCATTGGATTATGCTCAGCGCGAGCTAGAGTGCACGGAACTGAGAATGGCCGGGCTTAGGCTCACACTGACTCCTGCATCGGTCAACGGCCTCATACGTCGAGTTCTTATATCAATCTCTGATTTAGTGTTGGCATCTTCCGGGTTACTTCCTTTACGTATATAGCTCTCTAAAACAGTGTAGTCTAGTCGTAGATTGACCACCTCCAGGATGCCATGTTATGACCGCCAGGCAAAATGGAGCGCAGGTTCTCCCGCTGGTAAGGATGATCTGAAATTAAGAAACAAATAATGATTGCAAACATCAGATCTATTACAAGAATGACTTGTAGTCATTGGCGCTCACTCAGCCCCTTTGCAAAGACTCCTTGTCAAGCTTTAGCAACCATCATCAGTATTGTTTGGAGACACGAGTTGCATGACCTTCCCATTTTGGGCAAATACGAGCATATTCGAGGAGCCTTGGTGGAATTGAGGCCAAGCAAAATAGCTTTTGTTGCCTGGATTTATGGCGACATCTCCAAGTGCAAGCCTAGTAGGGCCTCGCGTCGGATTCTCCGCGAAGCTCAGCCAAAGGGCCTCCATGGCATAGCTCACATCCCACTCGAAGCTCGTGGAAGGCCCACCATATTGAAAGTGGGTTCCAAAGATTAAGGGAAGCTCAGAGCTATGATAAGCGCCGAACCATGACAGAGGCGAGACATTGGAAAAGTTGCCCGCATACTCATACTGGTAAGTAGGCAGATTTCCCGAATTGCGATTCTTCACCTCTGCAGCAACGGGACAGCTGATGATTTTGGTTGCACTGTCTAAGGCCGCCTGGCCTGGTCCGCTGGGTGTGAAAGAGACGAAACCAGCGCCTTCGTTCGTGTTGTGGCCGATGATTAGTGGCTTCGGAGGTTATTCATAAGCTGTACAGACGAAAGATCGGGGCGAAGTATTACGTACCGTCTTCGCAATTTTGCCATTGACTACTTGTTGAGTCCAATTGGCAAATACAGTCTTGCCATCGACTACTGGTTTGAACGAGATCGACGGTTTTGTGCCGTTGCCAGAGTACCAGGAGAGTGCATTCTCCAAATCCTGCGAGGGGACCTTTCGAACACAATCAATCTCATCGTCAGCGTTGAGTCCCTTGCAACCGCATAAGCCTGCCAAGAAAGTGAAGTTCGTCTGTGCAGTGTCACTATTATCAACAATGTCGGGGCCGCCGGAGTCTGCAATGAGACCGGCCACGATGGGGTCATCAGGGTATCCGTATGGATACACCGACACACTTCCAGCTCCCGCTGATTGGCCCCAAAGTGTGATCCTATTAGGGTCACCACCGAAGTTTCCAATGTTTTCATGGACCCATTCGACACTACTACTCGTTACTATGCTATCTTTTTGAAAGCTGAAATCCAGCAAGATCGACTTACGCCATCCTTTGATCCAAAAGTCCAACGTTCTGGTCGGTCAATCCCTTTGCATTAGGAAATCCGAAAACATTGACACGGTAACTGTGATGATTTAGTCGTGAGAACAGTCCGATCAAACAGAGCAAGAGACCCTCACTTCATGATAACCACAATATGCGACTGTGTTCGCTGCACCCATTGATCAGGAATTTTGTACAGGGAAGCCTGCCCCCCACTGGTAAAACCACCTCCTGGAATGTAAAGGAGGACAGGCAATGGACGCTGCTGAGATTGGACATTCTCGAATCTTGGAGCCCAGATGGAGAGGTATAGACAGTCTTCTGAATTTCCGCCACTAATCAGAAACCCTGTTTCATAGGTGGTGTAGATCGTAGAGCTATTGGTATTGAATTGTTGCATGCAAGAATTGGGAAGCTTGTAGGCATCTATGGTCCCATTAGGTTGTTTCGCCTGCGGCTTGGCGAATCGAAGATCTCCCACTGGGGGCTCAGCGAAAGGGACACCCAGAAACTGTCGAACATCGGGCGCAGTAAGGTTGACGAAGCCTTGTATATGCCCTGACGATGTTTCAACAAGCAACCCGGCCGCGAGAGTGCTTCCGGGGCTGGAGGTAGGGGCAGCAAACCCGACCAAAGCGAAGATCTCGACTACTAAGAAAGCTATCAGGGCTTTCATTTTGAATATAGAACAGACTTCCCCATTTGACATGATCGATTGGAACTCGCATTTTATGTTTGTTCGGAACCGTCCTTTTATATTCTCGACCAAAGATTTCCTTTCCCCTCATTATGGAACGCGGCAAAACGTTCTTGCCTCAGATCAAAGTGAAAGCACACTAGGGTAGAATTTATATGGTCTTTCAATCCCTCGATAAATAAAGCTGGGCTCTGAGCAATGCGGGGTAGGCGGTTTGCTTCGTTAGGAAAAGCATTATGCCGTGCTCTGTATCATTCTTGCTTACCGATCAGGGTCTTGCCAATGGGGTTTGCCTTCCCCACATAATCCTTTTTCCAGGGAAATGCGGGGGCTGGGCCTTGTAATTATATACAGCAGCTATCTTCTGGAAGGCACGATAGTTTTGGCCTTCTTCTAGACTTGAAAATCGAAACAAGGGATGGAACTTTGCTATGCCGGCGGAGTTACCTCGGGTATTTGATTTTATTCCTTCGAAAGGGATTGCTTTCGATATTTGCGTGGGGTCCAAGCTCCCTGTCTGTAAGCCTTTCAGGCTTCTTCATGCTCCCAATTCCTCGACTAGTGGCCATAAAAACAACTGTTACGCTCGAGAATCAAGACTCTTCTGTCTTTCGCATCTCTTGAATCATCCAATTTCATATATTTGAGCTCCCCGCAAACAAGCCAGCTTTTACAAGAGTCAAGAGTTGCTTGGCCTGTTAATTACGGATAAACATAATCAGAAACTTTCCACGAATCTCCTTCCTCATAGAATTACATGCACTCTCAATTTCTCTCTTTCTGTCAATATTTTCAATCAAACCATACCATATATTGTTAGCAGACGCAGACGAGCTAGGATTGATTCTTGCTCTGGAGGATACATTGAGCAAAATCCAACCAGAGAAATTGACCAGAAAAAGCTTGTGTGAATGTGCGGCAGCTCCTCTCGGCAGAGTAAAGAAATTGACCTGGCTTATTGAATTGTGTTTACATACAGACCATACTTGTTCAAAAATGGAGTTTCCAGAAGAGTGGAACTAGAAAGGAGTAGAAGCCTGCTGAAGAATTTGTTCTATGAGAGCGACATCTGCAGAAATATGCGGGATTGGCTATATTCTACTAACTTTAGTCCAACAAGGGAAACCATTTTTGATGATTAAGGTCTGATGGAAGGAGAAACTGTGTTGTGTGGTAGACGACGGCTCTATCTTGAGTCTATACACAGGAGGCAAACAGGCACTTATTCAGATTCCCAGTAATCGTACCAAAAGCGGGATCAAATAATAAAATCGAAGGCTGTTTGACATCGTTGCTCCACAGGCTGAGTCTATATGGGCCAAACCCGGATCCAAATAGAATATTTGAGTCTTTTAGGCTGTCGGTCAGTATCGTCATCATTTTCAACCCATTGTGTCTATTGACTGCGTTTTCCTTCCCTAAGCCATTTTACTCTGCTCTCATCCTTCCTCTCTTGCCTCGCTATAAATGACTTCTTTCATAGGTGTGCAAGCGGGCCTATTGGTTGAAAAATTTCAATGTGATAGTTAAGCCGACCGCGGCCAGATGTGGTTGGTCGCAGGAATGGTCCAGTCTACTGCAGGAGAGGGTAACCGCGGCAAAACCAGCCGACTCTGTGTTTCTTACTCGAGATAGCTGAATGACTTCGTTCATTCAATCAAAGCTAACGAAGGATGGAATTTTATTATTGGACAGAATATCACTCCCATCACACCACCCTCCTCTTCCTCAGTGTGTAGATGGCTTTCGAGTTGCGCGTCTCAGCTCAAGGTGGATTGTTTCAGCTCGCCACGAACTTCAGTTCGTAGAATATTTCCGTATAGTCATGGAGTCCAAAAATCCTCTAGAATGTGCTCGAATCTATGGAGCTATAGAACTATAAGAAGAGTTGAATTCCTCGAAATACTATTACTTCGTTCCAGCATAACACCAACGAGCCACCAAAGTTTTATCCAACTTCACCGAGTTCTCTCTCTTGCCCTATTATATCATTACTCGATATTATGTCTTCCGAACTTCCTCTCAGTTTCCTTGGGAACGTCAATATCGGCGTTCGGACCGTCAGGGAAAAATACCCAGATGCAGAGCTCCTTGCAGTCGAGGGCCAAAACCTCAATCCCACCGTGCACATGAACAGTCCTTCGGAGGTCAACTTCCAGAAACTCTTCTTCCGTGTTGGCACGCAGGCCTCTGCTACAATTTCCACCGGCATGGTTTGGGGAGAGTGGAACCCTGTCGAATATAAAGATGAGCCTCTGCTGGGAAATGAGGTACTTCCCTGGCCGATCGGGATGGACGCGTTGGAGGCGGATGCTCTTCTCAAGAAAGCCGGATATGCGGGCGGTTATAAGAGCATTAACCTGCGTCAGCCCCTCTATCCCGATATTGACGAGCCTTACTATATCTTCGATTTTGATGATCAATCTGTTTTCGTGGGAGTGATTGATGGGAAGGTCTTTGTTGGAAATTCGGAATTGGCCGAGAAGGCCAGCGAGGCTTAGAAAGCGACAGTGGGATTGGTTAACCGGGGAGAAACGGCCGAAGTAGGGAGTTCAAAATGTGAATAGCCACGACCTGAAGCTTTATTTCTTTACTGATCTCAGCTGGGTAACTTTCTGCAGCACGCTAGAGAGGGGTTGGTGTCTGTCATCCATGTCGTGGAGGTCTCAGACCTGAGGGTCGCCAGAGCCGTTTAGCATGTTAGCAACCCAGCAAATAAATAGCGATGATAACCAATATTTGAAAGATTGAATGATATCAAGTAGACACGCGTCACTGTTTCTGTAATGATAAATAGCTGTCAATCCCAAGCCATGCATTCAAAAAATTGAGTCAACTCTAAGAAGTGGCTTCTAATTCTTTTTAGATGTATGTTTAGCAATTAAAGACACCCCCCTTTGTAAATCGAATACGATCTAGTCGAGTAACTGACTGACTATTACACTCTACATGATAGAGTTTACTTTCAATCTATGTTATCGACTGGATCAAAGCGTAAAGAATTTGGATGGAAAATGAACAATCTAATCTGACCCGGGAAGGAGGAGGCTGCCAACAGGAGCCTCTCACATCACAACGGCGCGCACCAAACGTATTTGATTCTGAAAAGACAGCGTGGAGAAATTTGAGAAGAAAAGAAGAAAAGGTGGAATCAAGCCAGGAGAATCCCGGTACAGAATACCAGATCATCATCACAGGATCTGATTAGAGTCTAGAGATAGACACGACCCCCGTGTTGGTTGGTTGGCTTGACGGCACAGCTATCAAAGTGTAGATGGGCGTGGACTTCGAAGGCTTTGGTGGCTGGGATGATGATAGAGGCAATGGCGGACAGTGTTTGTTCTGCTGTGCAAGGGTAACTGCTAATGACACCGGCACTGAGCCGCGCTCGATAGCGAGCTCCACATCAATAGATTGGGCCGTACCGCACGTCTCGGATAGCAGGGAGGAGCCAGGGGTAGGCTCATTGGAGGAGAGAGGCTGATGTAGATGACACAGAAGCCGATGAAGTGGTCGCGGAGGAAGGCGTGGCAGAAGTAGGGGTAGGAGTAGCAGTAGAAGTCGAAGTAGAAGTAGAGGTGGGGATAACAGTAAAGATAGAAGTTGAAGCGGTGGTAGTGAAAGAAGTGGTGAAGGAAGTCGATGTAGAAGTAGATGTAGAAGTAGAAATAGAGGTGGAAGACGAGACAGATAGGGACGACTCAGACTCCGAGGACGAACTGGATTCGGACAGGGACGAGACCGAGATTGAAATAGATGAAGACGATTCAGACTCGGACGATGATGTAGTCTCGGTTTCGGATGAGGTAGTTTCAGTCTCGGACGAGACAGAAATGGCCACAGATGAAGATGACTCCGATGTTTCTGAAGTTGAGGTGGTTGAAGACGACGAAGAAGACGACGAAGAGGACGAAGACGTAGTAGACGATGAAGAGGAAGATGATGAAGTACTAGCGTAGGCCTCGCCCACAGAGTTTGCCACGCCATCTGTGAGCATATAATCATTCGCGCAATAGAAGAATGCATAGCGTGTGACCTCTGATTGTTCATCAAGCCAGTCGCTGGCTTCCTGAACGAAAGTAGCAGTAGTAGAAAGATCCGAAATTCCACTTTCATCAGTGCTCAGGCCGAATTCAGTGATCCAAACTTCAGAGATATCGTAATCGGCGGCTGTATCAATAGCCTCGTTGACAAAAGTCTTGAAGTCAGAGAGAGAGCTGCCATACCAATGGACCGCGATAGCGGACACGCTGCAGTCGTCACAATCGGTCAAGAAGGACTCCAGCCAGTCCAAGCCTTCACCAGAGGTGCTAGACGAAGAAACAGCAGGGCTAACCAGCGTCGCATCATCAGCGTATGGAGTGATGTATTTCTTGTAGTATGTCGCAGCATCAGACGCACTCATGTCAGCCTGGGAGGACATATCTGGCTCGTTGAAACCCAGAATATAAGTGCTGCCGTTTTTAATCGCCTTTTTGACCGCCGAAGTCCATCCATCAATGGAGTCCGCACCCCAAAGCATAGGAACATATTCAACTCCAGACGGGATATCGCCGTCGACTGCACTACCCCAGTTATAGGCCCATGAAATCTGAGCGGAACTGGTGCTCAGGGCCGACACTAGCGATGCAGTATTGTAGGCAGCACCGCGCTTACTAGAGGAACTTGAAGACCTCTTAGTCAAGGTTGGGGTAACCTTCAATGGCGCCGCGGTGACCGAGGTCGCCAAAAGGCACAGGGTGACGAGCTTGAGAAAGGGCCCCATTGTGTAGATTGAATGAGTTAGTTCTTTCCCCTTTACTTCGGGAAGAAAATGAAGGACGTGGACGAGATCAAAGAATGTTGTAGTCGAACGTAATGGTTAGAAAAGAATGACTTGTTGGCTTCGAAATGAATGAATACTTCTGTGCACAGCACAGAAGCTATCTGAAAGAAAGACAAGAGATATCGTCCAGCGGGTAACGACAAGACTTCGACTTTCAGAGGTGGCCAGCCTTTTTTACATAGAGTCTACCGCAATTGCATCCCTACGTGGTCGCCGACGCTATCACACATTAGGCCATAGTGCTAACGAGTGCAAAACATCTCCAACCGCTCCATTCCTAAGACTTTGGGGGGTTTGGGGGGGGATCTTCGCCCAATAGCGAGGCTTGTGTGCCTTGAAAGCCCTAAAGGGTGGGGGTTATTCCATGGCAAACCTGATCGGATGCTCGTTCGGACAGCCAGGGGAAATTAGAGCACGGCCACTACCGCGTCGAATATTAGGATGCATACGTACTCTGTCCATGGGGGCTGGAACATATTGGCTTGGCCGGGGTGGAGTTGAATCAGTCTGCCACAATTTTTAGTGTGGCGAGGACAAACTATTGAGAACCCCCAGGGTGACTTGATCGACCATCTTTTTGTTGATGGTTCAAATCCGACCCTGCGATCAATTGAAAGGTATCTATATTCCAATTCCTGGTCGAGGGCAATGCCTCAGACCATGGAACCAAAATCTGGTGGTTTTGCGATCGGGGCAATTGTTTTTCTGAGTCCAGAACCTGACGTGGACGTGATAAGTGGGGCCACACATCCAATGTCAAACGCATGGGCTTACGAATTGGCGGGACTGGGCTTGCAAGCACCTACATTTTGAAGAGCCACTGGCGGGGGTCGAAACAAGTCTGGCTATTCTGACTCGAAGAAAACGGCGGGGGCCGCAGGATCAGTTCTGCACTTTGACTCCAACAATGGCCATCTGATAGGTTCCAGCGCAGAAAATGATCTGTGGATGTACGACACCTGAAACAACGCTAGATGGAGGAGACAGAAGAGAATCGAAGCTGCCTATGTTGAATTTATGGATGTCCAGATTACTTATTGACTCTTCTTGCTTCTCCTTATCTTTGGTGCATGGTTTCGACAACCTCATTCATCCTCTTTAACCCCATAACCTTCGTTCTGCATTTCTGCCTCCCAAGCTCATCCAACCCATCTAGTTGGTTTTCTCGATCAACCTCTGATCCACAAAATTCACATTTTTCCCCATTCAAAGAGATCACTCAATATAAAGGCCTTGAATACCCTCTTGAGTTGTTTTGTATCCAGACCTTGTCAAGAGTATCGAACTCAGTTTTCCACATCCTGCCATCGCCAAACAGTCCGAAGCTGCTCAAAATATTAGACAATTATTATTCTCCGAGATCCTTGCTATTCCACACCAATCATAAATGTAGCTCGCATCAAACCTTTAATGAGCGTCTTCGTATATCGGAGTAATTGGTGTGAGATGGCAGAATCAAGTGGGCGTGTGATTAAAATTATGGTGGTATCGCTCTCATGAAGTAAAGAAAAAAAATTTTGAGATCCATACATAGCGACCATTTCTTCATAAGCGCCTGCGAGGTGATGTCTAAACTTCATACGACTGGGTTATTTTCTGGAATAGCCCATGTCATTGGTTAAAAAAATCTTAGCGCCGAATCCGTGTGCTTCGAAGCCAGGCACTAATGGTTGGTGTATCGAAATATTGGTGAGTAGAGAAAGGCCGTCCAGGAGCTCCATCGGGTGATCAGTCCATATTCGGCCGTCGGGGACATTCATCATTTGACTAGCAGACGGGTCGTGAAATAGAGGTTCATAATATTGTTCGCGCTTTATAAATTTCGGCTCAGAATCCGGACCCTGTAGCAATAAATAAAATATCAGAGGGAAAAAACCATCAGAAGGCGCATTGTGCATAAATCATTTCAAAATCTTCTGGTCCATAACCTTACCTTCAGCATATCTGGGTGGCACTTCGATTAATCCTTCCCAGGCACCAACGAGCCTTGTCATTCCAATAATATGGCAGGAGAAGCAGCCATCGCCACAGCAAAATTCAAACCTCAGTCATTCCTTTCTAAAGCTGGTGGATGTTTCACCTCAATTGACTAGCCAGTGACTTCTGCTGGGGTTAACCAAGTCAGTGATGAATATGACGTTATGAAGAAGTGCTGCGGATGAGGGAATTAATCGCATAACCTCTCTCAAAGGGTCGCCTGCATATTGATCATGGAGATGATCCTAAATAGCTTTCCACAGAGCAATACCGCTTAGATGGAAGTGAATTCAGCAGCTTCTCTGGAACCCTTTGGACGTGCTACTCCCAGCGGTCGGTATAATGCCGATGTGCTAGTGACAGCCCATGCAGAAATTTATACAAAAGCGGCAATAACATTAGAACCAGAGCGAGTTCTCCATACATATTTAGCGAAAGTCTTCAACTTAGCTTGGCATGACTACTCACGCCATTTACCTATCGCATGGATTCAGCCTTACTGGACCCCTAGCGATGATTGCTCTCTGGCGATAAAACATTAATAGCAGTCAGGAAGTCATCGATCGTATCGCACTTGATGATAGTGAGATGTTCAAGATGGAGTCAACAACTGAGCTAACATGACTACGATTTCCAACAGCGTTCATAAACATTGACTCGGTTCTTTTGATGACATCTAGACCCCGTAGTTATTGTAGTGGGGAAGTGGCCTCGGGCGGCAACTAGCGGTGTGAAAGAAAGATATGCTATATAAGGCTACCCTGCAATCTATAGCAACTCAGACACTCTTTCTCTTCTACCACTACCTCTAAGTGTTCTTTCCGTCTCTTCCGGAACCCCGAGACGCCCTGGTTCGCAGACAGCGAGCGTCACTGACCCCAGTTAATTATCTAGGGCTCTAGAAATCCACTATCCCCTCTTAGGAAGCCAAGACACGGTGGTCACCAACCAAAGTGGTGATTGGTCCATACCGTATGAAGTGGACCAAGCAAGCAATCAAGAACCCCGCGCCAGTCTGAGGCGACAAATCAAAGCTTGTGAAGGGAAGTTGGTCAGATGCATTTTTTAACATGAAAGAACATTTTTTACCCACCTTGGCTGCCATTGCAAGACTAGCGCAATAAGCGCAAATAGCGAAGCTCTTTCTCATTCTAGACATTTTGTAGGAAAACGTCACAATCGGTAGGATCAGGATGTATTTATGTGGGACCGTTTGGGGCGAGGCGTTTCTCGACAAATCTATATCAATAACACCCGGGCGTCGCATTATGAAGAAGTTTACCCATGGCTACAACACGCTTGAGGCTGGAGTGCCCTTCTCACCATGAGTTATACTTCAATCCCACCTCAGAAAACTACTCTCGACCTATCCATGCTGCAGTAGTGCTCACAAACCACTCCGGGATTGGTAGCATTTCTGACCTGAGTCAGCTCCAAATTTGTCTTGTCCGCATGTTGTCAATTACAGGCAACGGGTGTCTGGCTGATGATGGGAATCTCTTGAACCGTTTAAATCGTTGGATGTCAGCTAGTTCACAGTCAAGTGTCCCCGAGACTTCGCAGATTTGTTCCATCCTTGAAGAGTTGACCATACAAGTGCCCACACTCGGCCCCGACAACCAAGTGGGCTCTTCCCTCGAGGGAGGGAAGATCCACAAAATTCCCTTTGTTTTGCCCTTTTCAGTCAATACCCCCGGGTCTTCAGCCACACCGTTGGGGAGTATATCTTACTTCCTCGTTGCTTGTATGACGACAGCAGACGGAATATCTTTAAGTGAATGTCAAGAGATCGCCTTGACCCATCGGCTTATTCCCGAGCACGATTCAATTCAACACACTTGCATCTATCCGAACTCGAGTCTGGTGACAAAAATTAGTCTTACTCAGTATCTTGCTTCAACGACAAGGTCAAAAATTTCCTTTGGCGCCGAAATATCTGTCCAGCCAGCTACACCAGCTGGACGGTCTACCGAATACAAACGCATAGCGGTACGGGGTATTCGATGGCGTGTGGAAGAAATTTCCAAGCTGTTTATTCAGGCCGAATGTCAGGATATAATTGAAACTCGCTCGTCTATACGTGAAATATCCAATGGATTCAACAAAGGATATTGGACAGCAGAACCAAGTATTTCCGCGGAGGACAATTTACCACAAAATACCGACTCTTCCGTTACTGTTCCCCTCGAGATAATATTCCCCAAAGACTCCATTCCAACACCGGAGGTCAGCCTGAGCTGTTATGACTCCTTGTTCAAGCCAGCTGATTCATTACCTCTATCGCTGAAGGGGTGCTTTTTCTCGACGACACAGCAGATGATGATGCTCACAATCGAGTATCGCTTGAAGCTTGACATATTAACGACAGAGGATACATTCAGCGTCTACGGGCATGATCTGGTTGATCGCAGGCCACCAAGGATTGCGATGAATGCATCTTTTCCTCTTCAAGTTATTGACAGGGCTGAAGGAAACATAGAAGAGATATTGGGTCCAAAAAATCCGCCGCGATACGAGGAGGTTCCTATCTCAGCTCCGACCTATGAAGAATGACTGTAGCTTGGCGAAATTGTACGCGACTTGCCTATTTTTCTACATTGCTTTCAACAAAGGGTCACTCTTATTGGGGGAACTCATGCCTAATTAAAGATTTATATTTATTTGGTTTCATTTCTGGATGGACTATGTAACAATAACAGCAAGAACTCAACATAATATGATCATCATTCAGTAGGGGGACAATGCCCAATGGAAAGAGACTACCCCCGGTTTCCCTTTCCTAGTGGTGTGGACTGCGAAGCTATTTTTTCTTCGAGGTGATGTCCACGAAAACATGGCCCAGAGGTCCTGCCTCTGGGCTCCATCCCCCACACTCGACTCTGTATTTGTCACTATTGTCCAGCACTTCGACCAAATTGTGGAATTCTCCTCCACGATTCTCCCAATGGAGCTCGCAGATCTTGACATCGTCGTGGAACAAGTCGAGACGACCCTCACTACCCCGGCGGCTACGGGCGGTAATCTCGCCGATACCATTCGAGGGGATCTTGATTTCGTCGATCTCCTCTTCGGTGAGCGACCTACGACGGTCGCCCGGGTTGTCGAACTCCCCGCTACTCGGAGTTAGTAGACGTACGACACAAGGTCAGGATCGTAAGTACCCTTCGATGACGGTGTTCTGCACTAAAACCTCGCCGTTCTCTAGATGGTCCCGGATATGGAACGAAACCCACTGGGAGTTGTACTTGTCCATGACGAAGGACTCCATGGTGACTGATTGATTGATTGATAGAATGTGGTCCTCTGGTAAGTGGAAAGACCGTGAGAGGAGGTCCTCGAGCCGGAAATCCGGGGTTATATACTGGGAATGCGGGGAAAGATGGTGGTGTGATGACTCGTACATGCCATTGATCGGTCCACCAGTGGGCAGATGTTGGGGTCATACCGGGGCCGGTGGCATGACATCATTGGCCAATGCCGACGCAACCCATGGAACCACCAAGGTCTGACTGGCTTAAGATTTGCGGGGAGACGTGTCGCCTTTCTTCTTTCCCCTTTGATACGGCGAGGCTGCTTGTGCATCATGAATGCGCATTCTCACTCGTGGTTCACTTGCGGGGAACGCAGCGGGACCCATCGAACTATACCCATTTTCACTTGCGCTCCAGGGATCTTGAAACGACGAGACCTGGGCACTCGTGCTTCTTCTCGGTCACCCATCTCATCCTGAGCATGATGGGGCCAATAAGCGACTAGGAGAGAAGACCTCAAAGGATCGGCGAGGCTATTAGGGTCTTCATAGCAGATACCAAACAGGAAGCGGGCGCCGTTCTTGGAGTCACACCAGCGCGAGGAACTGGCATTGTAGACTCTGGTAATACTTTTATGGAGCCCCTTGGAATATATCGGTGTGAGATTCAATCACAACTGAGAAATGCAGATCGGAATCCTCGGCGGGGTGATGCTGGTTGTCTACATAATCCGACGTCTTTAATAGAAGTCACGGCATAGGGTATGTAGATCCATGGCTGCTCTCCAAGCTCGGATGGCTTTTCAAAACACCATTTTAGCCCGTATTATAAAACACCAGAGATTCTCTTGTCAATCTTGATTCATCATAGACTTACACGCCATGTTTGGAAAGATCGTCGAAATCTCACTGTTTGGTTTCCCGTGCAGTCCGGGAATGTCCCAATGGACCATGATCCCGTGATGCATCCCGTGACAGCAGACATGGTTCTTTTGCAGTTAGACAGGTATCCTCAGGTGATTCTCACCATTCTGGAATCTCGAATGGTGGCATTGGTGGTGATGAGCAGGCAACATCCTGCGAGGTGCCTTCAGGTATGATGTCATAGCAAGCCAATCTCGAGGGGCTTGGGGGAGGTTGAGAAAACGGCGGATGCAAGGGGCATATGTGAAGAGTTCAATCTCGAAGATCCCCCAATTCAAGATAGTGATAACTCATCTTATCTTTTCCAATTAAATCGGAGCGGGTGAGATAACAGGAGGCGGGGGAGGGAAGTGGTTTCGGCGACATCCGAGTAGAAGTTCGGAGATGGATAACAGAGTTGGATAGAAGAGCCGGGATAAATAATCATATTCGGTATAAACTTACACAGATTTTCCTCCAGTACCCATGGCCAGATATCTAGCCATCCGAGTCGAATGGTCCAGTTAGCTGAAGCATAGGAAGGACGGGGTCCGGCAGAGGCTAGAGAGTGGCCATGGCTTTCAATCCCGTCTCTTTACCTTGTCTCCCGCTAGTAGCATTCCTAGTGAATATCCACCAGAATTGGTTTCCTCTCCAGGTGAATCAGGTAATTTCATCGCTTATATTCTCCGCATCTCCAGATATCGTCTGCAAAGCAGTTTTTATCCCGTGGTAACATCTTCAAATCCCGGCTTAATCATGAGGAGATCGGGGTTCCGCCGGGCCCCGACATCGTCTGCCAAGAATGCTTATCACTCGAGGTAATTCTCAATGAGCACCAATTTCCTAGATCTCAGATTGATAAGACTCCACGCTGAAGAAATATTGGCGGAACATGGTACACCCGCGGACTAAGTCTGTAAGTGCCTTTTGATTCTGTGCAGCTCTCGTCAGGCCGCCAAGCTTCCGTTATTATCCGGCTATCTATTCCAGAATCATCGATGGAACACATTAACTCAGACCCTTGAATACCCCACCACCGCGAAGGAGCTGATCAGAATTCTAGGTTTATATTTTTATTTGCTATATATTTGTTAAAAACAAATTAATCCCAATTCGTGCAGCCCTCGCTATAGTCAAGCGTTGTAGAAACAAACATATCATCACGTTGTCTAATCTCTCTCGCTGAATGGGCCGACAAATCTCATTTGTAGCGCCTGGGTCCAATGGACTCCGTTGCCCTGCAGCGCCGATCCCGTCACTGAGCCGAAAGGGGTGGACATCACGTAGCTAATTTAGCCCGCGATTGAGACTGGCCACTCACATCTTCGCATTGCGGCATTGACTACACTTCTGCAACGACTATAATCTCTTGGTGCAACGTTGGCTGACCCAATAACCGAACGCGCTTGCCCAATTCGACTTCCACCGGTCGTCCCCGAGAACAGTCGACCGTGACGGGGTTGACTGCGGGGATGCGAGACTGGCGAACTACATAAAGATGGCTCTGCCGTGACCGTTACGAATTGAATCCCCTCCCTGGCCACGCTTCAAATATTTGGCAAAGTCTCTCTCTTACCAACTATGGCGCGTCTTTCGCAGATTGCGCTTGTTACTTTTGGTGCCGTGAGTGGGGTGAAGGCATGGGGTTCTCTAGGCCATGCTACCGTGGCCTATGTTGCACAGAACTATCTTTCGTCGAGCACTGCATCCTGGTATGTGTGATCAATGGGGATATTTGGAATCAGAGCAGATCATGTTCTTTTGGAAAATCTCGGCACGTTCTTATCATATCTAACCTTTTTATTTTAGGGCACAAGGCGTTCTTGGGGACACTTCTAGCTCATATCTGGCCAACATCGCCTCCTGGGCCGATACGTATCGATCCACAACCGCTGGAAAGTGGTCTGCTCCGCTGCATTTCATCGATGCAGAGGATGACCCTCCAACCAGTTGCAATGTGGATTATGATCGCGATTGTGGGAGTTCGGGTTGCTCTATCTCTGCAATCGCGAACTACACCCAACGCGTTGGTGACGGCCGGCTTACATCGGCCAACGTCGCAGAGGCTTTGAAGTTCCTTGTACATATCACTGGCGACATCACCCAGCCGCTGCATGATGAAGCTTACGAGGTTGGCGGGAACGATATTGCAGTCACTTTCAATGGCTACAGTGACAATCTGCATTCGGACTGGGATACATACATGCCCGAGCAATTGGTTGGCGGCTATTCGCTTTCTGATGCGCAGTCGTGGGCCAAAACCCTGATTAGCGAGATTGATTCGGGCAGCTACAAATCTCAGGCGGCCAGCTGGATCGATGGCGACACTATCAGTGACCCTGTTACCACTGCAACCCGCTGGGCCTCCGACGCCAATGCATACGTCTGCAGCGTTGTCATGCCAGATGGAGCGGCTGCCTTACAGACAGGAGATCTTTACCCAACGTATTACAACTCTGTCATCGGTACTATTGAGCTGCAAATTGCGAAAGGTGGCTATCGTCTAGCCAACTGGCTCAATCTGATCTATAGCTCTGAGATTGCCAAGCGCGACCTTGAAAGCTTTGTCGAGACCCGTGACACTGCTTCTCTCCCTGATCTTTCTGGGCGCGATTTTCTACCTGCGCCTCGGCCACTGAGCCGCGCCAAATTGGCCAGAGAGGCTATGGAGGGATCCTGCTGTGGTTCAGCGAGACACAGTCATTAAGAATTTATTTTATATTCAAGTTCTTACTTTGGAAGTTGAGAGACAATGTACCATGGCGCGTGACCCTCAGTCTACCAAACAAGTTTCTTTATAACTGCCAATGAAAAATGAAAGAGGGAAGCCGCATGATGTGACCCATTCTAGCTCTATGCTGAACTACCATCAAATTATATGCTTAAGCTCATTCGGCCAACAAGATTCCAGTTGATCAACATATAGAGGAATTTGCTATCTCCCCCGCCGCTGTGTAACCGCACTATTAGCTGTGTATAGTGCCTATTGCATTATTCTTCTGGGTAAAGTCGTGTCAGCAAGGTTATACTGACAATTACAGCAAGTCTAGGCGAAACGAAGACTACTCTTCAGTGAAACGCTTTGCGAATCATTGCCACAAAGAGAAGAAATAGATTCACTGGGGAGCGGAGATCTCCGTAATCTGCCTCTAATGTGGACAAAAAGTGTGCCTTATTTTATTTCATTATTTTAATTATTTTTTGAGATTTGAATGGAGTGTAAAATAAATGCCTAAAATCTTAAAATAGCCGAGTTATGATCTATAAGAGTAGGTATCACATGTGTTGAATAAGGCAGAACATAATCATAATTAGTTCTTTATGTTTGATTCTATATCATATCTTAAAGCTACACTTTTAGTATCTTACATATTATAATATTAGAGTATACTACTAGTAAGGAGGAAGACTTACCAGTTATCTGTCTAGGCACATGCTTTCTACCCCCATGGGCCAAAATGACCATGATATCAATGCGTGAGCGAGTCGATAGCTTATGGCCCAGATATAGTAGCACACAACAGAATATTTATTCCCTTGCACTTTTAAGTTCTGTCAGCTTCATCTACTTCAACTTTTAGGGATCCCACCACATATTCCATGATAGGTGATGCTGCTCCGAAGCTGATCGTTACCTTGCGCGGTCGTTTACATTTCCTGTACGATTTTTAAGCGATTCACATTTATTTATTTCAGAAACAAAGCCCATACCCTGATTATCCTCAAAAACCAATGTACTTGATAGAGGAGCTACTATGTTTTATCCATCAATGTATTGTTGATTGCTTGCCTGACCGACAGTTCGCTATACTGACAAGTGATACCTTTACACCATCTTAGCGTGTTCCAGACTGTCTAAACTATCTATGATCTCCTTAAATTATCTACTTTTACTCCCAGAAGATATAGCCCATAAATCAATGTGCACCGGGTAGGTAAATATTGTAGTTGGTGAGAATTTGTATCTGTCTGTGCGTTATTCGCTCCAGTAGCCATCAATTGAGGGGTGAAAGAGGAGTACCAGACGATAATGCAGGGCGGTTTGGGTTTTTTCATTGAAGCACATAAATTTCTGCATATTTTATTACGGATTTGGGCCACGCTCTGTCTGGAAATAATGCTTGTTTTCTACTGAAATAGAGACATCAGCTGACAACTTCTATTCTGCGCCACCCTGAGCTTCTCTTTCTCTTCCTCGCAAAACATTCTCAATTAGCCTGCCTAGTTCAAATATAGGCCTCGAGACGGCAAGAAGACGTTCCACCATCTCTTCGGATCCTTGTAGTATGATCAAGTCCAGGTATGTGCAAGCATTCATGAAATCGTTGAAATCAAAATGAGAAGCTTCCAAAAGAAGCTTCATAACCTCTTTATGGCCCATACACATGGCATAAAGAAGAGGTTTGATACCTTCCCCATCTGTCATATGATTTCAATATCGAGCGCTTCTTCTAGAAGCTTCACAACCTCTGCATTTCCGGAACATAGAGCGAAATTGAGAAAGACGTTGCCTTTGTCATCCTCAATGTTCACATTAATATCAGAAGCTTCTAGAAGAAGCTTCACAGCCTCGGGATAGCCCTTACGTATGGCTAAACTGAGGGGTGATTCGCCATTTTTAGCATCTCCCAGATTAACATCGATGTTAGGAGCACCCAGAAGAAGCTTCACAGCCTCTGTATAACCCATATTGATAGCAAACTTGAGGGGTGATTCGCCATCCTCATCTGTCAAATTAACATCAATATGAGGAGCCTCTAGAAGAAGTTTCACAGCCTCGGGATCGCGCTTCCATATAGCCGAAATAAGTGGCGATTCGCCATCCGCATTTATCAAATTGACATCAATATCAGGAGCTTCTAGAAGAAGCTTCACAGTTTCTGTTATGCCCGTATAGATAGCCAAATGGAGAGGTGCATCGCCATCCTTATCTATCAAATTGACATTAACATCAGGAACTTCTAGGAGAAACTTCACAGCCTCAGGATAGTACGTCCATATAGCGAAACTGAGGGGTAGACTGCCATCCCTATTTGCCAAGTTGATATCAATATTAGGAGCTTCTAGAAGAAGCTTCACGGCTGTGAGATACTTCTCATCGATGGCTAAATTGAGTGGTGATCCTCCATTTTTAGCATCTCCCAGATTAACATCGATGTTAGGGGCACTCAGGAGAAGCTTCACAGTGTCTGTATAGCCCATAGAAATAGCCAAACTGAGAGGTGATTCGCCATTCTCATTTATCAAATTGACATCAATATTAGGAGCTTCTAGAAGAAGTTTCACAGCCTCGGGATCGTGCCGCCGTATAGCCGACCGGAGGGGTGATTCACCTTCCATATCTGTCAAATTGACATCAATATCAGGAGCTTCTAGAAGAAGCTTCGTAGCCTCTGTATAGCCCGTAGATATAGCCAAAATGAGAGGTGTTTCGTGCCAACCATCTATCAAATTGACATCAACGCCAGGGGCTTGTAGAAGAAGTTTCACAGCCTCGGGATCCTGCCTCCATATAGCCAACCAGAGGGGTGATTCGCCATCCGTATTTGTCAAATTGACATCAATATTAGGAGCTTCTAGAAGAAGTTTCACAGCCTCGGAATAGCGCATAGATATAGCCAACCTGAGGGGTGATTCACCTTCCATATTTGTCAAATTGACATCAATATCAGGAGCTTCTAGAAGAAGTTTCACAGCCTCGGAATAGCGCATAGATATAGCCAACCTGAGGGGTAAACCACCTTCCATATGTGTCAAATTGACATCAATATCAGGAGCTTCTAGAAGAAGCTTCACAATCTCTGTATTGCCTCCAGATATAGCAGACCAGAGAGGGATTTCGTACCATCTAGATATCACATTAACCTCGATATTAGGAGCACTTAGGAGAAGCTTCACAATCTTGGTATGGCCTTCAGATATAGCCAAACAGAGGAGTTTCGAGCTATTCCCAGGGTTTCCCATATCAACGTCAATGCTAGGGGAACTTAAAAGAAGCTCCACCAGCTCTGTCCAACCAGCATATATAGCAAACTGGAGAGGTGCGAGGTCTTCCCAGACACTTGTCTTATTACTATCAATGTTAGGAGAGCGTAGAAGAAGCTTCAGAATCTCTGTATGGCCCATAGATATGGCCTCCCAGAGGGGTGATTCGCTGTCCCCGTCTCTCAAGTTAACATCAATATCAGGAACTTCTAGAAGAAGCTTCACAATCTCTGTTTGACCCGCAGATACAGCTAACCTGAGGGGTGTGCAGCCAGTAAGAGTGACACTGTTAATATCGACATCATAATCAACAAGTAGCTTGCGAACGGCCTCTTCAAGCCCCAAATAAGAAGCTAAATGAAGGCTGTTTGGCCGTAGATCATGCTCAATTGGAGAGAAGGCAATTTGCCAGTCCATGCAGCTCTCTGACTCGACAGAGAAGAGTTCAAAAGACAACGGAAACCATTTGCGTTGATCGGCAGCACTCATGTTCCTAAAGTGTTCCGCCCAGTTATTGGCTGAGTAGTCAAGGAAGACATACTGAGTAGTCAACTGGTGAGCATGCCTCTGTGGAATGTTTTTTTTCCTTCCAAATTCTTTCAGTCGCAAAAAAAATATGCAGACAGAGGCAAGGAGGAGTTGTGAATCAGACATGGAGATCGAGAACTTCCAGTCTTTTTCGATCAAAGACGCCTCGTTGTTTGGCGATAACAAAAATTCCTTTGCCGAATGGTGAATCAGGAAAACGGTCTCATTTACGATGTGGATGAAGAGGCCACAGGTATTTCGGACTGTGGTTTTCAGTTGCTCTCCAGTCTGTAGTTCCAAATCTTTATAGCTTTGGATGTCTTCTCTGAAGAACAATGCTACACCGAGTTCCTGGACAGAGAGTGGTCGCACAGCCGCCACTATTATTTGCAATAGCCTTTTAGCCTGTATTTGATCCTTGGCTTTAGAAAGAATGTCATTGTAAACATCGTCCACGTTCTTAGGCAAACATTGTAGTAAGCTCTTCACCGATCTTCTGTCGATTCGCGGCATTTCCGCGATTCTTTGAAAAATGAGATGCAGCCAGAGATATGTTCGATTCTCAGCCGCCAGAAGGCCCTCTAAGAGCTCTTTTCCTGTTGTAAGACTTGCAATTTGAGAGCCAAGTCGGGAGACTCGAGCGCGCACAACATGATTCATCTCCAAGTGAAGCTCATCAGAGAGACTCTCGCCTTTCAACCGAATACTAGGAACATTGACAATGAGGTCGCCAAACTCGGCCTCGATGTTCCAATATGGACGACTCGTGACAATGATTTTCAGATGGTGAGCGAGCCGACAAAGTTGCTCACTGAGTTCAAGATCCTTGATTTTCTTGACGAGTTTTCTCTGTTCTGTTGGTTCACATTCGTCTAATGCATCCAGAACAAGAATTATACGGCCGCATTCCGGATCCTTGGCTATATCTTTCACAATATCCCACATAGCATCAAAGCACTCCGATAACTTGCCTGCCCTTTCGCGATAGGGTGGCAGCGCATATCTCATGGCTTTCGATCCCCGTGGGGCCTTAAGAATCTGGTGCAAAAAGGCAGCTACAGCGCTAGCTGGACTCCGTGCCTCAGGCGATACGTCTTTGAAAAAGAAGTAGCAAATAGTTGTGTCACTAGACTCCAGTCCAAATAGACGTTCGTCTACCAAACTTTTGGAGAGAACTGATTTTCCACAGCCTGGGTCTGCTGTGATCCATAACAAGCAAGATGTGTCATTGCTTTGCCAGTTGAGAAAGGTGTCATTGTGAAGACACCAATTACATGTCCCTAACTCTCGTTCTGGATTCAGATTCTTTTGATACTCATAGTCCATGGTAAAAAACGACTGTAGACATTTTTCCTCTTCGTCCGATCGTCGCCATGACTCAAGCCGCTGGATAACATTTTCTCCAACTGGAGATGACAAGTCAGCCTTCGATTCTTTACACGGAATCGATCATGTCAATGAATGGAGCCAGAATTGAGAGGAATATGAAATTAAGGATAGATTAAGTGATCCCAGAGAGTAGAAATCCATACACCTATCACATACATTTCTCCACTGGAGGCAAGTTTATGACACTCTGTCCAGAAATGACAAGTAGTAGCTCCTTCGCGTAAGCTGCCGCGACAGCTGCCGCATACGGCTGCCAAATCTTGTTCTTGTGAGAGTCGGCATAATCACAGATGCCTCTGATTACAAGACAGGGCAATGTATCCATTAGGCCTGCTCCGAGAAGTCAGAAATATGGTCATGAAGAGCTTTGCAGATATAAAAAAACTCACCTGCTGCTTCCATTTCAAAGCATTTGATCTTCTCTTGTTTGGCCCATTTGTCCCTCAAAAAGGCGTCCATTATGACCTGGTCCGCAGATCCAATGGTTCCATAGTGTATCCGAGGTGTCGTATCCGATCGCTTCTTTCTTTTAACCAGGTTCCTATCCCCCAAGCCCCGGCATGACTCGCATGTCTTTCCTTCAATGTGGGGAGCTGCTGCCAGAAATAGGATATCTTTCGCCGAGCCTGGATGGCTGAATTTCTTTTCCATAGCTGGGTTTTCTGAAAGCATCTTGGACATGAATTCGCAAATTCTGTTCCCTTTCCACGCATGTCGACCATCTAGCATGGAGATAGCGTTGAGCACGATTCCCGGGGCTTGTTCAGTTGGCCCCCAGTTCGAACAAACTCCCGCGCCTGTATGGATTTTCCAAAGTCATATTGCACGACCGCTTCCGAGGACCTTGAATGTTGACTGATCACCACGTCCCCCAGCCTAATGTCTCGGAGTTCATCTGCGTCCTCGCTTTCAGCGCTTTCGGAACCGTTCTCGGACTCATTGCGTTCAATTTCGTCTTCATCCTGTGATTTGTACAAAGGGGCGCCACCTCCGATACCAACCATCAGACCAAACCTGATGGCCGGGAAGCTTCGGATCATATCTTTCGCAACTGTAGCAGCCGAAACCTTTCCTTTTTGCTCTGCAGGTAAGCAGGCAATAACCACATTGTGGTTACCTATCCTACCCAACAGGTAAGAATTGAAATCATTTGGATCCGCTGCTTGAAGCACTGGATGTTCTTCATCCAACATAGCAGCCGCGGCGACCAGCTCAGTTCGTGGCAGGGCACATATCCACCCCACGGTGTAATCTGAGTGGGAGAGTTGTTGGCAGCTCTTTTCCATCGCTGGTAGTTGTTTTGATAGGAACCGTAAATCGACGACCGCGTCCAAGCTGGTATCTTTGGGGTTGAATTTGCTCGCGGGACTCTACAGGGGCTGAGTGGCCCTTAAGTGTGACCCTGAAGGCATGTTCTGAGCGCCAAATCGTCCCTGCCTAATTGGGCCTTTGTTGACGTATCAAGGCATTTGGCAGGACTAGTGCCGTGTTTGATTGGCAGTCAGGACTGAATCAATGGCAGCGCGCATATTGGGGGTTTCAGCGTAGCACCTATGAGGTTGCCAAAGTACTGAGATGCGCTTCGTAGCAAGTACGGTAGTCATCACAACACAGATATATCATAAGGATGAATGATTGAAAAAGAAAATCAATGAACTAGGGCATGCATATTTGTGCAATTCGACTTTGAGATCTTATAACACACCATAGCACAAGAACCCTCTGGGATTCATCAGAGATTTTGTTTGGGCGGTTAGACACAGCTATTGGGCTTGAAACTCTGGCCACTCTGGGGCACAGTTTTATGAGTACTTTCTCACTTTCAAGCTGGTTCAATTAAATGTAAGGGGCTTTGGGTCAATCATATACCAGGTTAACTGGGTTCTATATCGGATTGGCACGGTCGGGTGCTAGATGGAAGCCGAAGGACGCTGCCTTTCTACCGTTTTGCTTCTAGGAGACTGTATCCCCGAAGCTTCCCCTCTTGCGCAGATCTTGTTCTATTGTCGGCTATAAGTGTTTCGGACGCGCCTAAGCTGGGTTGTTTAAATACGAAGCGCTGCTTTTTCGAACATTTGCTTCATTACCAGCTTGATCGGTAGTAGGTAGATTTCTATAATAAGCGCTCCCGTACTTAGAGACTTGGAAGCGCCCGAGATCATGATTGCTGTATAACGTTGGTTCTTGATGAACTTATTGACAGTCATTTTTAGCCGCCCTGCTGGCAGCACCCTTTCCAGAGGGTAGTACTATGTAGATAGATCGTTAAGCATTGGTGGGATCGCCAGTACTCCATAGACTGTTCGTATAGCGGCGAGCCACGCTCCCGAGATTGATCTGGTGATTCCGCGGAGAGCTTCTCGGCGACAACACGCTTTCGCAAGAGGCTTCAGGCAGTATTTATTGAAATCAAAACACTTATCGAGCCTCATGCCTAGATAATTAGCGTGTTCAAAAAGCTATGTTTAGGTGATTGTTTTTTAGTGCCGTGCGCGGTCGGTAGTTGTGAGTGCTTGGCGTGGCCCTACGGGTGGGCGGCGTGCGCGTCGAAGTCGAATAGTTTAAATATTATTATCAGATCCTTCTCTTCGTTATTTTTCTTTAGGGTCCCTTGTGCCACTCTTGGATTGACAAACTGGATCATTTCGAGTTTATCCAACGCAAGTTTTGCTATATAGCGTCTCGCCTAAGTATTCGCGGGATTCATCAATTCTTCGAGCGCCTTCGATCTTAACATAAGTCAAGTTGCGGTCTTGACAGTTATAATATTCACACTCACGATTCTGACAGTTACAGCATTCACAGTTACGGAGAAGGAGGATACATTTCATTGATGAGTTGACCATATTGTCTGCCTCACAATCGCAGGACTTGTTTCATTGAATGGGGAATACGCTCGATCGCAATGACTATATCAAGTCCTGAGGAATTGTCATAAGAGAGAAAAAAAAACATATCAAGAACATGGAATAATGACACCAAGCCGGCCAGAGATATCAAAAAACAACCCAAAAATGACACATAACCAAAAAAGAAAAAGAAAACGCATAAGAAGCACAGACATAAGTCCTCGTTCAGGACAAGTTGAGACATAATGGTTTATCACACATGCACGCAATATGTTGGCCGCACTGGAACTCCTTGCCCCCTCCAAACAGAAAGCTGGGGGCATATATCCATGAGATAAGATAGACCGTATCGGGCACCACCGGATGCAAGAAACAAAAAGTGAGTCCAAAAGAACGGGTTCGAAACAAAAGGCCATGCTCATCATCTGTCGATGTGGGGTGCGAGGATGACCGTGGAACGAACAGGAAAGTAAATAGCACAGTTGCCTAAATGGACAAAATAGGCCGTATGAACATTGCAGAGGATTCAAAAGAAGACGAATCAAGAATTTAACATTTAACAATCGGACATTTGGAGCCACGAGGACTTTCAAATCGAGGGAACATGTTTACTCATTGAGACGAGGTGGGTGGTGGAAAATTGTTTCGTAGATTTCCGTCAAGATGCGCGCATCTGCCCGGAGAGAAGGAGAGATGTTTTCGTTGCGCAGGAGGAAGCGGATGGTCCGTTTCAGAAGCTGGTCGAGGACCCCGCGTTGCACAAGCTCGGAGAGACTCGACTTGTATGTCGCAGCCAGGACGAGCATGTTACCAAATTGACTGGAGTTCAAGAATCAGCGGGGACAAGTTCATCGGGAAGGAAACAGCAAAGGAGAGGCATTTCAAAAGACGCGTGACTTACGCATGAGCAGTACCGAAGATGTTGGTGACCACCAATCGATCCTTAATACCATCAAACGCAATGGTACTCGAAATCGCGGACTCGACACAGACCCTGCAGGCGCGACGAAGCTTGCGTGGCATATCACGCATGTCAACATTGGGTGGGACCCAGTTTTCGGGGAAAGTGGACGCAGAATTGCTGGGCGCAGAGCCTATATCACTCTGCATGCGCTGCATCTGCGTGCTGCCGCTCTGCGTCATGGATGGGGACATCTGCTGAGTCTGCGAGGTAGTAACGGAAACTGAACCGGTCGGGGAGTCCACTGCAGGCTGACTGGCCGATCCGGTCTGCACACTCGGCTGGCCAAAGTGGAGAGCGTGGTATAAGAGCGGACGGTGGATGATGTACTTAGCACCGTAGTACTTAGCGCGCATGCGTGCGGCATTGATTTCATCAGCGGGCTCGCCGTTGTCATCCCATTTCATGGTATCTGGCAGACTGTTCCGCCAGAGTTCGAGATTCATACTCAGCGTCTCTTGCACAGTGGATGACCAGTTCGGATTGCCTTGCTTCTCAACCTTATAGAGGTCGGTGTGAACACGGTTGAGAACTTTGCGAAGATGAATCTGAGCAGAATAAAAGAGCATCATCATGGTACTAGGCGCATTGAGGTCGTCGGGCAAAGTGATCGTATATCTACCCTTGGGTAGGCTCATCCGACCTTCATACCGAGAAATTCCACTCGCCGGAATATCAAGCTCGGCAAGAAGATCACTTTCAAGCTGTAGACAAGTCCAGTACGCAAAATTGAAGAGGTCTTTCAGCTCGCTTTCTTCCAATCTTTCGTATCTTTTGTGTCGAACAAGCACTTGGCAGGCTCGGGCGGCTTGACAAATCCAGCCGTGGCTTTGGAATGGATGCGCTAGTTGTCCAGCATAAAGGCCAGCAAGCAAGCCCGCCTGGACATGCTCCAGTTCAACGCCACCCTGCAAAAGACCCAGAATGGAAGTTGCGTATCCGTAGAGTGCGAGCCCTGGGATGACCTGTAGGTTCTTGACGTTCCCGTAATCATCGCCGATCGAGGAGATGGTTCGCCTGCCAAGGGTCTTACTGAAGCTGGTGTCCGAAGCGGGCGAAGGGTAGGAATTGCTGGCGGGAGGATTTTGCTCGTAGAAAGACGTGGATGGTGGCGCAGACTCTGAATTGGCGGGAGACAGAACTCCATTGGCAGTATTGCTGGCAGTATTGCTGACAGGATTGTTGGCAGTATTGTTGGCAGTATTGTTGGCAGTATTGTTGGCAGTATTGTTGGGAGTGTTGTTGGGAGTGTCGTTGGGAATGACGTTTCCGTTGGAATCCCTTTTTATAGGTGGAAGGGTTCTAGGAATCTTTTGCTTGTCGAAGGCAACCTTTTCGTCCATAATCGGGCCAGGAAGCGGCGACTTAACCTCACAGATAGCTCCTAGAGCGAGGACCAAGAGAATGATTGCGTTGTCGATGTTTTGTCCGACATGGGGACGAGAAGAAGTCGAGCCAGGATTGGTCGGGGCTCCTCGAATGCCCTGTAGATCATCGTGGGAACGCTTTCGCTTTTTCTCACGACACAATGTATTCGTCTCGGTAGTTGGAGATGTGGTGCGAGGGCCGTAAACACGCATGAAGACTTCCAGTTTCTTTTCAAGGTGGTACTGGTCTAGGAAAGGATGCAGAATGTGTATCCGGTCCAGATAACTCCGAACATATCGTCGAGCAGTATTGATATCCAGGTTTAAGAGACCGAATCGATCAATTTCTGCACCTTGAGCATACCATGATGTTCTTTCCTGGATTCTTGACGAGCCATCCAGGTTGGATTTACTTTCCTCGAAGAAGGCACCGTGTTCCGTATGGTTCGAAGAAGTTGTTGGCAAGAGTGTATCATCAGCCGTGAATGAGATCTCGCCCTGTCCATAAACACTGATGAGGCCCCGCTGTTCCTCCAGTCTCATTACATAATCTTCGTCGTAGGGTGCTCGAAGTAGCCTCTTGATTGACGGCCACATGAGAAGTTTATGCGCGGCGGTCGTATGCTCGACTGGAATTGATAGCTCTCCTTCATTGTCTGCCATTGATGGGTCCTCGAAACTGGAGTTCGGATCAAGCACCTGTCCAGCACCACTGCTTTGGGCGCCATAGTCCTCTAAGATTTCCGTTGACAGCTGGCCGGTCGGTTCGGCTTTCAAAGCTGGTTCGCGCTGGAAAGAGGAGGCAGCGGCTGGGAGGGGCGGAGGCGGTTGTGGATGACTTGAACGAAGTTTGGCCATTCGCGATGGATCAGGATTGGTCACTGCAGCTAGGACTTCTTCAAGGGTCTTCCATAGACCGTTGAAGCGATCGAATTGATCTTGCATCTTATCCTCCAGTTCCATGATTCGGTCCATGATCAACTGCGTACTCTTCTCTTGTCTGTATCAAGAACATCAATATTTTTCTGGCTTGATCCAGTTCTTGAAGATCAAATTCCAAAGCGGGGATACGCACTTATGAGGGGGAACCTCTTTATAAATGCAAATCAAGTTGGTCTCCTTGCAATGGCTACACGCCGGTCGACCTTCATCACATTTGGCTTTTCTTGCTCGGCATTGGTCGCAAGCCTGGAGGCGAGGATTTTAGTCGACAGCTTTGGCTAACGGAGTTGGGCCCTTTTGAGGCAATCCCTGTCTCTCAACTTACCTGCTGCGCTCGGGCGGCCTTCCGTTGGCGAGCTCCAAAGGCCGGATTTTGATAGTATCCTGGATCATAAGGTCCTGGCGTACTTGTAGAAACTGGGCCACCGGGTGGCATGAACTGTGACGAAGGGGGTAGCGTAGCAGAGGTCGGGGTTGTTTCGCCATTGGCAGTAGGTTCGGCAGGGGGGTAGCTCATGCGCGGCCGATAATCCGGTGGTGCGGAATGCGGGGAGGCTTCGTGAGGGCCGCCATTCATCGGGGGTCGATAGTTGGGGAGCGGTGGGGGGTTATGATCCGGTACGGCATGCGGGGGCCCGGGGACCGTGTTTGGACGGGCGTACGGCCCTTCTGGGGGTAGCTGCGGCAGCTCTCGATTCGGCATGACAGGATATCCTTGCGGTGGCAGCGGACCCTGAGGGGTACCGGAGTGTCGACGATCCGGCGCATGGCCATCGAAGGAGGGAGGGTACGGCGGGCGCGGTTGCCATGGATGCTCGTAAATAGCATGCGCAGGAGGCGGCGCATGGGGGCCATCTGGAGGGGGCATTCGGTGCATCGCCGGTGGTCGAGCCCGTGTCCGGTAGGAGGGACTTCAAATGGTTCAACTCAACGGAAATCTAGGACCATGGTTAGGCGCAATTTCTTTTTTTTGGGGGGGGGGGGCGCATTGTCGTTGCGGCCCGTATCGGTCCAGGCTTGCTAGACTTAGGATGGCTGGTGCATAAATACCGCGTAGAAGCAATCTCGCTTTTATTAAAACTCAACACAGAGAGGGAGGAGGGGTTACTGTCTAAATCAACATGACGAGTGCGAGGAGCGACGGGGTGAAAGACGCAGATCGCGCGGTGGACCGGGGTCAGGTAGGGATTCGGACCGGACCGAGGAAAGAGCACTCCCGGACAAAGGACTCGGATGCGATTTCAAGAGAGGACCACACGGCCCCGGTTGAAGGTTGAGGACGCTTATAATGGGGGCTGGTTGCGACGGTCAGCGATCTTGACGCGGTTGCTGGCGTCGCAAAAATGAGCGTGGCGTCCAAAAGCTTGTAGGTGGGTAGCCGGGGTGGAGCGACTGGAAAAAAGAAATCGTGAGATCGGAGGACCGGCGAACCAGGGTGTCCCTGTTCTGAGGGGAAGAGGGGAAACGGAGGGAGTGAGGCAGATGAAGATGAGAGGGACTCAGTATCTCAGATTGAATGCTTGGATCGCAAGGTTGGGCACGGAACCAGGGAGGAGGGGGGAGTTGGTACGACCAAGTACGAGCAAGTACGGCGAGTACGCGTAGTGCAGGTGGGCGGGCAGGGTGATCAAAGGCGTATAAGAGGTGTAAATATGGGGGGAAGCCGGCGGTATGGAGGTCCGGAGGTACCTGGAGTATCTCCCAGTACCCGTACCGTACCCTGGCACAGGCTCGGGCGTGCCCCACCGGGTGACACTGGAATACCGTATCACGGGAGCCAGTGGATACCACGGGATAGTACGCCGCCCGCCTGCCGTGTATGAAAGGTATGAAAGGTATGAAAGGTATGAAAGGTATGGAGTGTATGGAGTGTGTATGGAGTGAGTGGAGTGTTCGGAGTATAGCGCCAGGTCAGTGAAAGTCGCGCCTTGCACGTACCGGAGGAATGGACTGTCGGTCGGGGTCACAAAGACTCGTCCGCGGTGGAGTCAAAAGTGGAAGGGAGGAGTGGAGGATCGAGAGCTAGGACGACCAGGAAGGAAGCTAAGCCAGACTGTCGGGTTCGAAGGGCGAACAGCGAGACCGGCGAGGGGAGTCCACGGTTCCAGCAGTTTGGGTCGGAATAGAGGAAGAGAAAAGGAACAGAAGCGAGGGCGGGGACGATATCCCAATATAACTCGGGGAGGAGGCAGGGAAAGAGGGGGGAGGGGGAAAGGAAGGGGAAAAGGGTACGCGACTTGAAAGTTTAGGTTTCAAGAGAGGCAGCGAGCAGCGCAGAGCACAGCAGGAGAGTTGTGTTTGTGAAAGAGAATGACCGAAAAGAGAGAGAGAGAGAGAGAAGGGAGAAAAAAGTACAGTCGTCTTGGGGATCCACTGGGGACAAGCATCATAGGAATCACCGAAAAGAAAATGGAAAAGTCGAAAATCGAATTTCTTCTGCTTGTCTGAGCAAAGGCCGTCTGGGTTACTGAGGGAGCAGGATTAGCCTTTTTAGGGTTTGAGTTGGTTGGATAATTGGATAATTGGGATTATTCGGATTATTCAGATAAATTCGGATTATTGGGGGTTTGGGGGGGGGTTTCGTGTTCGTTTCGAGTACCGTACGGAAACCGGCAGACGGCGAAAGTCATGAGGGACCATCCAGTCGACGATCGACGATCGACCGCTGTTTGCCCCTCCCCAGACGCCATCAGAAGGCCCTTCTTTCCCAGCACGCCGAACCTGATATACGGTGAGAAATAGACTGTAATAGACCATAGTATATAGATCCTCTGTACACCGCACAGATCATACGAAAGAAGAACCCGGGATAGCCTGGATGGATAGGATCGATCTGCCATACTCCATCCTCGAGTCCGGGAAAAACAATAGAGCTGTATCTATCATACAGGTACAGGGAGATACCTGGGGTACGCTGTACATCGGTACCGCTGTACCAAGAACAGGCCAGCCCCCCCCCCTCCCCCCACTGGTCTCTGTGGTCTCTCTCTCTCTGATCTATAACCATCCCCCGATCGAGATCAGGGATCAGATAGAAGCACCCAACAATCCCCTGCGCTAGCAGATTTCGATTTCGAGACAATCATACCTCGCTACGATCGATGATGCGGTCTGATCATAACCAGCACACACAACCAGGGTTCGGGGAGGGGGTCGAATAGAGTAAGCCTGGAACTCAATCGCCCACAGCCGATTTGACTGGGGAGGGGAGGGGAAGCCCGAGTTGACAGGTCTGCTATTCTCGTTTCTTTTTTATTTTTTTGCCTCCGAAGAATGACAGAGAGACGCAGTGGGGCCACCAGCGGAGGAAAAGGGAAATGACACGGTTTACGGTATGTCCCTACACCATCCACAGAATCATTATATCATAACTAGTGACGCTGGAAGCGTCCTGGGAGCGGTAAAGTTTTCACCGGCAGGTTCTGGTCACCGCGGATTCGATGATCCCATTTGGCCTCCGATCGTCGACTTTGGATAGCAGAGCCCTTTCGGTTTAGTTGCAGAGGCAAGGATCCCAAACTCGCTTCGGCCTCTCCGGTGATCGAAGGTCAACCATTTCGCTGGGTAAGCCCATCCCAGGCACAGTTAGGAAGTTCGTCCGGAGGATCTACCAAGTGGGGGGGGGGGTTAAGGACGGTGGATGTCTGATTATCATCGCTTCGCTGGACGTGAAGGCAGGAAGGCAAGAAAACAGGAATATAGGATACCCGCTATGCTATCGATGGGAAAGGTCTAGTTCGTTGAGAGAGGGATCCGAAGCGAATCCGATAGGAATCCGGCTCACAACGTTCAGAGGCGAGAGACAAAAGGACTATGACGCGGAAGTAAAAAAGGCGGGATCGCCTCCCAAGACCCAGTCCTCGGGACATTTTAACTTGTCCCTAAAATCACAAACGCAATTGTCCACTGGCGCGGCCGCTTTCCCCGATCTCGATCGCGAAAGTATATCATTGTGTTGGCTCCCTGCTCAGACACTCCAAGGAGTGACCGCCGCAGTATAGAGTTCGATGCTCTCGCATCGCTTGCAAGGGGCGCCAACAACAATGGCCCTGTAGCAAAGTCTATTGGACCGCACATCCTCACTACCAAGTGGATACAAATCCAGATCGGCGAACTTCTCGAATTTCCACCGAATCCAAGTGGGTGTGCGAAGGGCCCCAAGATGCCGGTCCTCGGTAACCAACACCGTCGCCCCAAACACCGGGGCGACGCTACGCTCATCAGAACGGTGTGGGCATTCAGCTGGCAAGGTCTGCCGCGCTCATTTCACTTGACTCCACCTCAAATCCATTGGTGGTACCTTAATGGGCCAGTGGCGACAAGATTGAGACACACTATAGAGTTGGATATTCGACAGCGGTATGTACCACATCTCCTTTCTTCGCGGACCTACCAGAGAGTTCTGCGCCTCTATGGAGTAAATAATCATTGACCTGGAAAACGGGACTGCAGGACTACCGAAACCCCGCGGTATTGTAATTACCGCCTCGGTAGCAGCCGACGGACTCCCGACTCCCGTGTCTCGTCCACGGAAAAAGGGTCGCAGCTCCATGGCTCGCGGGCTCCATCCACTCCATCCACGGCTTCTATTGCATATAATTTGTATACAGCGTACACGTGAATCCTAGAGATTGAAAGCGATATCCATCCCTCGAGATCGATTCCAGGTGGCCCTCAATTTAGACTTGCCGTTGCGTAACAGAGACCGGGAATTTTAAGCTAGACCAGTGCGGTGATATATTTCTGCAGCTCTACTACTGTAGTTCTGGCAATGTCCACAAGGGGCGGGACTAACATGACCAACACAATAACACGCCGGTCTCATCATCAATGGAGATTTTCGCGTGTCCAGGACTCGCAAGCCGGATAGTGCCCTGTCTCAATCTCCAGACGGGCCATATTGTAGCTTGAAAGGAATCCATGACTTCATTTGTTCCCGGTGGACACCGCGAGCCCATGCCTGTCATTGGTGTAGAACCCCCCCCCCCCCCATGATATCAGAACTGGAGCCTGATCTCCCACACGCCCACGAATGCATTTGAAGCACCAATCGCTAGTAACAAGGGATATTCCCGTTCCCCTCCCCACCCCAATCCCGATGTTTATCATGTACACCGCCAGTGAGGCACTACATTCAGAACCAACTTAGCGCGAGAACGTTGAATATCGACCAAAAACAAGGTCGAAATGCCGATTTGCCGAATCCCTCATTGCACCAAATCAAACCCCGTGTCCAGGTCAATCACCATCTTTCGGTCCCTGCTTCTGAATTTTTTTTTCATAGTTTTTTAATTTATTTTCTATTTCTTAGCCTCCATCGGCACATTCCAGAAGTCCGCGTCACACCACCGAGCCCGCGGTCAGTCAAGGGTTCCCACATCGCTAGATTTCGTTCCTTTTTCTTTGCTTTTTTTTCTTTGCTTCGTTTGACCGTTGAGTCGCCGGTCGGTGCAGTCAGCCTGTCATCGACTCTAGTCTTCCCGTCTGACAGGTCCTGTCACACCGGTCACGGCCAGTCAGGCATTTTCTAAGACGGGGGGGCCAGTGAAGGGGAGTAGTGGCGCAGTGGAGTCCAGCAGCAAGTGATCATGGATTGATACCCGCGGCTGGTTACCAATAGTTCCGTCCCGGGCCCGTCTGGGCAAGCCATTAAGGTGGTCTTCGCCCTTTTTTTTTTTTTTTTTTTTGGAAAATCCTCCCCCCCCCCCCAACTCCATTTAGAATAGATTATGGAAACGAGAACAGCGTCAAGAGGGCGAGGATAGGAGCTTTTTTGACCCTGTTCCTCCAACAGGAACCTCAGAATCCTCGATCGACTTGGATCGTGCCTGGTTGATTACAAACTACTGCACGATCCTAGATCCAGCCGTAAAACGGGGAGAGATGCACCAGCCGAAACGGGATTTGTGGCCGAGCAACGTCCATGATCCGACCAGTATGAGAGAGAAAGAGAGAGAGAGTCCTTTGACCTTCTCCAATTTTCTAGCCATTGCCGCCCACAATGCCCTGCAGGACAGCTCATGAACTGCGAGACCTGTATCTGTCATCCAGTTTCCCTTCCCCAAATTCCAATTGCTTCCAATTGATCCCCAAAAGATTTCCTTTTTTTGGATTCTAGTATTTTCTCCGTCGATCCGCCGTTTCCAATATCCTGTCCGCTGGGTCTGGTTGGGCGCGTCCTGCCCAACTCCAGCGCGTATCATAGGCCGTTGGGCCTCAAATCCTGCCCTCGATAGAACCGACCCCAGTCCAGCTGGATTGGAAACTCGCCCAGGCACGTCGAAAAAAGCGAGAGGAGAAAATAGGACAACCATTGCTCATCTAGCGTGGAAAAAAGAATGCGTCTACTTTGGTCAATCACATCCATATCATCAATAATACCGGTCGACTTTGCCAGTACATGCGGACCAGCTTCATTCACGGATCAATAGATCAATGGATCAATGCACACTGGCCATTTCTAATTTAACGAGAGAGACAGTAGAGATCAACCCTCGCAGCAAACAGCCTCAGCCAAAATAGAATATGATCTCCAGGGTGACCAGCTTAGTACATCACACGCTCCTCCCTCCCTAGACAGCCGATCACCCTCCGCGCGGGTTTCTCGGGCGTAGCCAGATAGTCGCGGCCGAGGCTATACTGTACATTGCATGGTATGTACCGTCCATCCTGGTGATCAGTCCCCGATAGACGCGCTCGAATCTCCACCCTGAGGGGGGGATGGGCGGTTCTTCATCTCGATGTATTTCATCGCTCTCGTCCTCTGCAGTACACACTACTCGGTACTCTGCACGCCATGCATGGATTTGCTGTCTAGCGATGATAGAGTTTGGCCGATGGCCAATGGGGCAGCACGCAAGGGGGTGGCCAGAAAAGAAACTCCCCAGCCTGCCCGCAAGAATGAGTCGCTGATAGTCTCTCTCCATTGGGGAGGTGGCTTTCCTTCACCCCCCCCCCCCACTCCCGCAGATTCCAGCGGCTCGATGACATCAAGAGATCCTGGCCCTAGTTTGAATCTATGAGTTCACTGCCGTCCCCCGCGTTAGTTGAGGCAGCCAGCGGGCGCGAGGACAACAATCAATTGCCAGAGAAACCTCCTACGACGCTGGATATGCCTGGCGCGAGGCAGGCTTACGCACACAGCAGGTTGACTGGGTTATCCCAGTGTGTTTGTGTCTGTATGTCTCCTGCACTCTTATCGAGGGGGTCTGGCCCATGCAGACCGTTCCCTCCCCCAGACTCTCCCAGTGATGCGATGCGAGTCAGGTCCTCACCGCGTGTGCCCATGGACAGTGGGCATTGGCAGGGTTCACGGGACTGAAAGCCAGCAGGTGATTGCCAATGATCTACTAGAAGAGGGGATATACTGGGTCGTATACATTCTCTCCATTGCGACTGGTCCATCGCATATTATCCACGTCCCTCACTGCGACCGATAGCTGCGGGTGATCGTATCTGGAATCGCGGCAGAGAGAGAGGGAGCGGCAGAGACAGACGTTATCTAGGGAGGCTGTGGACACGTCCACGCGGCTGCCAATCCTCCTGTACGTAGGTGTTCGAGTCCTCGCGTCGAGACCAAAGACAGAGGCCAGGTCGTTCGATCTACGAGGCTGCGTTACATAGTGGCGGGAGAACAACGATGCAGAGATGCAGAGGCGCAGAGTCCCTGCGGGTGGCTGGAAGCACGAGAATATCCCGAGCAGGGTTCAAGCTGCTTTTGTCTCTGACAAATACTTCTTGAGCGCAGCGTTGCATACAGAGACAAGAAACAGAGACAGATGGAATGAGGAGAAGATATTCCAGTCGGGTTCCTGGTTTCGGGATCAAGGGACCAGTCACAACTAAATCTCGACTAAAATATTGTTGTCTCTTCCTGTTCTGAACGCAAATCAAGGAGACTGTCACGAGAATTGGAATCATACCAGCCCTCGCGCCGATCGCCTGTCTAGGAACGACCTCGGAGGAATTCTCGACTCCAAGCACATGTCGTTTTGCTTGACCGGAATGCTGGGGTTGGGACACGACCTGTAGCAGCATCGAGAGGTCCATCCACCTTGGTATCGCGATGAATGTATTGATGTATTGATGTATCGATGTATCGAGTGAAAGAGCTGTATCTGTTCATACATACTTCGAACGGACTCGGGCCTCCCAGGTGAGACTCGGTATGGTATGCAAAACCATGCCGTATCCACCCATATACTCCGTACAGCTATGCATACCGTATACAACGCTCACAACAATGTGACTGGCACTATGCGAAACTAGCTCCAGCTTCGACCACACGACAGACCGACGTCCACAAGAATACAAAGTACCGACGGCGTCATCGTCATCGCCGATAGCCGATGCTGATTCGCGCATCCCGAACCGATCGGCTGCACGGCCAAGCTGAAGTTAGCGTTGTACAGCTGATCCTCATACTCCTCGAATGAGCGCTTCCACCAACTGGGAGGCGCAACAAGATTCAATAGGCCTCGGACCTCCCCCCCCCAGTCGTGACAGCGGGATCGGCCGTGCTCTGAGTCCACCACAATGGAAGCGGTGGAAGGTGCTCAGGCGGAAACTAGCGGAGCTTCTCGGCGACAACTGTGAGTACTTCGCAAGGCGAGGGTCTGTGTGTACTCGGGTGCCTGGGCGGACGACCCTTCAAGCAAGGCTTGCCAAGAGAGCGTCTTCTCTTGTCTCTGTACACCCTGACTCCCCCAGGGCTCTCTTCTCTAGGACCCGAGGTTCTGGCTCAGGTCCTACATCGACCTCGAGCTTGCGTTGCGGCTCTCCGGCTGGTCGGGGAGAGGCAGAGGGGACTCCCCAATGCTAGTAATGCTGGTCATGCATATCCAGTATGGTTTTGACCATACCAGTCCAAACTAAGTATTTACCATCTCATCATCACCATCTTCTTCTTCTTCTTCTTCTTCTTCTTCCTCATCCTCTTCCTCTCTCGCTATCACGCTGCCCCATCCTCCCCCTCCCGCACGGGGCGCGGCGATTGTGATGTATACATGCCGTTCACCCGTTCTGCGCAGGAACTGGCGCACGCTGTCTGGCTAGAAGCACCGCGCACTGGGTACTTTTGCGCGAGGTCTCGCCACTTGAAACTGACACGTCGCACAGCCTTTGCGGGTGGACCTGAAGACAAGGGAGGGGGGGAACCAGGGGAGGGGAACAATATGATACTCGCTGTTTGTCCAGCACGTCGCACATCTCAAACGCTCTTGCCCGCAAACCTCAAACCCCAAACCTGAAGGGCGGCGGCTCATCCAGCCACGTGGATGGCCCATGTGGCTTCCTCTGCAGCCCTTAATTCGAACCGTAGAGCATATAACATAGCGAGTGAACCAATGTAGACGTATGACTATGGAATATGGAATACGAAGGGTATGGCCTCTCGCAGGCCCGTCTGGACTTTCATCCTGGAATCGATCGTCTCGCGTACGTACCCCACGACAATGGCTTGTCCCAGGGTTGGCGCTGGTTGCAGCTCAGGGGGCGATTATCCCGGGCCCTCGCAGGTACTTTTGGTCGTTTTTGCGAGAAGTCTCGCCTCATTTGACTTTTTGTTTTTGTTTTTATTTTGGTATTTGTGTTTGTATTTGAAACTTGAGCAGTTTTATAATTAAAATTTGTTTGTCTTCTAGGGTATGTGGTTTTTTTGTCCTTGGCCACACATTACGGTGTCGAGAAACTGGCGTTTGCTAACGAGGCCCTTTGCGTTGAGGGTTGGCTCATCCTGCCTGCAGCGCTTCACTCTTAAACTCCCCAGATCGCGAGCAAACAATATTGCTTACTTACACGTGAGGGAGGAACAGTTGATTGGAGTTGCAGGAACGGCTGGTCTGTTCTCACATCCGCATATATCCCGCGATGCAGGGAAAATCAGGGCGTGTGAAAGAGCCAGGGGTGGGGGGACCAGGAACGGATCGGGGATCGTGCAGACGCCCACAAGAGGGTTGGAGGGGGTGGGGGGGGGGGGAGGGGGAGTGGTGGACTCCTCTAGATGGGGATTCCTAGTCGGGCCGGGTGCAGAGATTGTCGACAAAATAAAGCATATTGTGAGTGGGAATAGTTAGTGAGGTAAACTAGCTGCTTTCTGAACTCAGATTTCCTGTCGTGATCAATACACATGCCCATCATTGTATCGAGTACTCCGTAAGTTCTCTGCTCGTGAAGACCCGGACATCGTTCTTGGAAATGGGAAAATGTGATTCCAAACTCGGGCGGTATCTTTGACCCTTTCTACACACAACAAAAGTACAGACGAGGCAACCGCCTCCACTACCTATACGGGCAGGTCCAAAAGAGTCAACGAGTAGCCGGAGTGAAGAGGTACGCCCCCAAGTCACGAGTTGAACCCGAGTGTACTGAACGCGCCTCGGATGAGCGACAACGCTGCGGACAACTCGCGCAAGCCATGCTTTTTTGGGCATCGGGTATGCCCGTTGTCCCTGGGATGTCTTTGGACTCGGTTCTTCAGCTTCAAGATTGGGTTTCCCTGTCTCTCTCTCTTTATCTCTCTTCTTCTTCTTCTTCTTCTTCTTCTTCTTCTTCTTCTTCTTCTTCTTCTTCTTCTTCTTTGTTTTTGTTTTTGTTTTTGTGTGCTCTGCCCTCCAATCGAAATCTCATACACAGTGTAGAATGTGAATCCTATAGACCCGGTCAGAGTGAGCCCTCTACCTAAGAAAGTCAGACAGGGAAGGGGGATAATAGCTTTGCCAGCTACCCGCGCCGCTCCGACCTCAACTCCCTGTTGTAACATAGGCTGAAAAGGTTGGGGGGAGGGGGAAGGGGTTGGTGCCAAAAGTACGAAGCTATTCCCGATTGCGATGGCCTCGGCCCCTCGTGGGGAGGGAGAGTCTCGGAGCTATCTTTCTCAATGAGGACTCTTCCCTGGCTCCAATTCTACACCCAAAGCGGATCAATGTGCCCTTTGTCGCTGGATCATTGAATACTTGGACCATTTATCGCAGACTCGACACAAAGAAACGTAAGATGCAGGACGTGGGATGGAGACAGGAATGTTGGCATTCTGGCCGAGGCTCTTGCATAAGGTAGAAGACATCTGTCTGGCTGGCTAGTTTGGCAATCCAGAATTTAGGAAATAGATCTTGTGCAGAAAATTGAATGCTTTCCTTGCCGGGCCGTGCGGATATATACTAGTTTTTTTTTTTTTTTTTTTTGGTGATTGTGAATACAGCTTGTTTGCTCTAACGCGGTCAAATGAACTCGAGTCTCTGGACCGGACCAGCAGTGGACGTGATGTGATGAGGCCCCCGCGCAGTGATCTCGGGTGCTGGCGTCTTAAACGCAAAGGTCTGCAAATAGCTTATTGATGACCGCAAACATCGTGCTAATTTGGGTGGATGGATTGTTTCCTTGTCTGAGATGCTGGGACGGTAGGCTGCTGGAGGAGAGAAGGTGAAAGCAATCAACACGTTCACGAAGTCAACGCAAGGCTTTCCGGGTTTGTTCACGCGAATGGTTTGGTATATGGAGTTTGATGCACAAGTTCTGCTGTACCGGGAATCAAAATTTGCTTTCCCAATCCCCTCGACTCCCGGGCCAAACAACTTCAATTGCGGGTATTTCTTTTGCTTCTTGCTATCCCAAAATTAAGGTAAGATACTATATTGGGCTCTGATCCGGTCCCATCGACGCCTGAGAAACCATCCAATTACGGGGATTGGGATGAATGGGGACCGGCGACCCCGGCATCCACGCTGTATAGTTCCTTTAGTTCCTCTCTGCTATAGCAAGCAGCAACATAACCGGCATTCCCGAGGCCCGCATAGTCTCCGTTGATATTATAATCGTGCCCGAGGGGCTGTGAAGATCTCCAGAGCATCGCTTGTGGACGTCCCATTCCTCTCTCCTCTTCTAACCGAGACCGCTGCATCCCAGACCGCCGGTCTCGATAAGCGAACCCCGTACGCTGGAAAGTTACGGGGGACGAAGGAAGTTGTTTCCCCGTCCGCTTCCCAGGCCCCACACGGAGAGTCGGTCCTCTTAGCCCCGTAGCAACACCCCCTCCCCAATCCCATCGCCCATCCAGGCTCCTCCAAATACCATATTGCGGATATCCTCCTGTGTCTAGATACCCTAGACTCTAGAATAACTCTCTCCAGTTGAGAGCCTGTCTGATATCCCCTTCCCCCAAAGTTCGTCCAGCGTTCGAGCACGCTCTGCACCTCGGAAAATAACAGTGACATCGGGGGCTCCGGTCCCCACTCATGCCAGCTCGTTCGGGCAAAGGGCCCGGCAGCCCACGCGATGCATCACATTCTGTGTGAGATCGTGGCGATCAGGGAGGGTCTTGGCGGCCGAACAAGTCCGCTGGTCCGGAACTTGCGTAAGTACGACGTTCTTTTGGTTCTTCTGCTTTGTTTGGCGCCCTCCAAGGTTTATTCGGGCTTTGCAGAGTGTGGATATGCGGGCGTCGGTATTCCGCGCAGTGGTTCTTATTGGGAGATTGGGGGCGCGCGGGGGCGCTGGGATCATGTTCGCTGGGGAGGGCTGGATTGGGGGATGGAACGTGTCGCTTGGAGGGTGGCTGGAGTGAGCGCAGTGCGTATGGTGCATACGAAGGGAGGAAGGGGGGGGGGGTGTTGTTGGTAACGGACGCGCGGTGGGTATTCGGAGGGAAAGATGATACGTGTATACTGGGCTTCGCTTGCGCCGTACGTTGAGCAGCTGAAGGGGGGTTGGAGAATAGAACGGGGATGCGGACTTGGCGACGTCATGGAATTGGAGCGTCGAATCCTAGCAGAGAGAGAAAGAGAAGGTGGTGGGTGTCTCCGTGGGATATGAGGTTGAAAAGATTGATATCTGATATCCGACGCACTGTTCCCAGCGGCTTGGATCCTTCTGGGGAATCCGGAAGCGCTAGAGGATAGCCGGAGGTGCTGGTGGGACAAGGCTGAACTGGGTTCGAGTTTCGAGTTTCGACCGCGGGAGACAGTCACGATGGTCCTTGGAAGAGAGCATGGGCGGACGGTTCATTCTATCTCAAGGCATCTCGATTGATGGATTCATGTCTATCGATGCTCTCACGCCATCGCCATGAAGGCCGGGAATAGGTATAGTGGTCTAGTGGTGTAGCCTGGAGAAAAAGATATGTAAATTCCCCAAGCCAATATACAAGTTGCTTCGTCGCGAATTGAGATTCGTTCTCTATCCGGGGACAGGAATCCTGTGCCTTGGATAGCAAGGCAACCCTCGCCAATGGAACGAGTGCACTGTAAATTAAGAGCGAACGCATGTCTGCGGATAACTTCAGCAAAATAAGCCCAGCAAGGATGCTTCCAGGCCCTACGGGGACAAGAGATACAAGCCACATCAACGCGATGTCTATGTCGGAGTCCAAGACAGTCAGCAAATGTCGGGTTTATATCATAGAAGTGAGAGGAGCCCGCGTCTCATTGTACTCGCAAGAAGATCATGAATACAGGTGGAACAATCTTTGGAAAATCATGGCTTGATATCTGAAAATGCAAGGGGAAAGAGAAGACAGAAAAAAGGGAAGAAGGCCTGCTCAAAGGGTCTTGGTGTGTCTATGTACAGTCTTGTCTCGAAAGGCCTCGAGCTCAACCAACACCGGCACTCGTGCTCAACTCGACCCGGAGGAGCAAGAGGGGAAGGAAAGAGATGCCAACATCGGGATCGGCAAAGTGCAGGCAGAGACTGGAAGGTATGATATCGTCAGCTGGTCTGTGACGTTTCAGCTCGTCCACTGTATGTACATGATGCACCGCATCGGGAAAGGAGGGAGATGGGGAAAGGTGTGCAGCGGTCCGTTGAGCGAAGGAGATAGGAGTTTGAGATGGGACAGATTCACGATAGTCCCATGCTGCTCGCTCAGGTTTTGCGCAGCTGGTAATGGAATAGGGACCAGACACCCTTCAGCGCCTCGACGCGATCGTTTCCATCCAAAAGATCATACCAACGGGTGCGTTGCAGCTTGAGAACATGCCACGGCTGGTCGACATCGGCGACCGGTGGGTATGTACTCTCACCCGTGGTCAGAATGTCGAGGTAGCGCCGGTGGACGCGCAGGTGGAGGATGGCGACGTGATGATTAATTGACGAAACCATGTAAATCTGAGGGAGCAACAAGTTAGTGAAAGTGCAGTGAAATTGAAGGGCAATGGGAAAGGGTAATTGTGGGAGAGGGAAGAACGGAGACTACCTACATCATCGTACGGGCTCTCCTTCACCTTGCCAATCTGCATGTACTTCATTCGCTTGTCCCAGAGACTAGGCCCCGGTTGCAAGATCTTCCACTTTTCGCCGCTAGACATCTTCCGCATGGCACTGGGTTTGCGCGCCAACGAGGTCACAAACGGGTGCTCAAATTTGTGACGTTTACGCGCACTCTCGAGCTCTTCCGCGGGTGAGGAGGGCTTTTCTTCCAGCATGGAGTCGGGAATAGGCATCCCGTGGGCGCTCTTGATAATGTCGTCCAAAAGGCTATCGTGAGGCGCACCACCAAACCGCGGGGCATTAGTCCACCATTTGCCTTCTCCAGGTCGGAGTTCCGCGGCCCCCTCGCGAGCGCGTTCCTGTGCGGCCAAAAGCATGCCACCTACTTCGCGGAATATATCGCACACTTCCCCAACTCCATTGCCTGGGGCATCGGCGGTGGTGCGGAAGAGGGTATCCGGTCGGCATTGGGCAATCAGGACGGGGCCCTCCAGAATGCCACTTCGGGCAATGGTGCGGTCTCGCGGAGATCGGGATGCCTGAAAGGATTGGCGAACAGGGAAGAGCAGGCTCTTGACAGAGAGTCGAGGGGGTAGCGTGGGCACAGTGACCTGGCACCCGAAGGGCCATGCGGCCATCTCGACGAAGGCCCGAATCGTTTCGTCTCGCATGTCATCCGGCATTTCGGTCCCCGAGCCAATGCGACGACCGGTGTACCTGCGGATTGTTGGACCGGGCGCGGGCTCTCCCTCACTCGTGCTTGTTTTGGGCTCTGTGGATGTCTTCGGAGATTCGGGGGAGTCGACGTCCATGGTCTCTGTCGGACCAGGTTGGCCGAGATCCGATGCATCATCGGTCTGCATGCCATCTTCAGGGCATTCGCCCTCCGCGGGCGGGGTGGGCTGCGGTGTCGCCGGACGCTCAAAGTAGTTATCCAAGCTGGTATCCCAGTATTGGGCCATGTGCTCCAGACCAGTCCAGAACTTGCGGGATTGGGTCACGCGGACACGGCTGCGGCCCTCTCGGGGTGGCATCCGGGACACTTCGCGAAAGGCATCCTCCTTGTCGAGCAGCAATTCATTCTTTAGTGTCTCAAATCGGTCCTTTGGCGGGAATGGCAGTCCATTGCTCATCAGGGGGCGCGGCGGCTCCTCGCCCGCCTCGACTGATGTGACTGAGGGCTCGGCCTCCCAGGGCAGCGGGGGAAGTGACTGTGCCTGGTCAGCCGGGAACATTTGGCGTATCCTGACATCCGTCTCGACGTGAAGATTCAAAGGCTTGAATCGGTCCAGACAAATATCCTGAGGACGCTTGATGCCGGCCAGTTGGCCGAATAGTTGGGGGAGGGTCGAGTCGGAGGCATGCGGGACCACTTCGGGAAGTTGGTACACAGGGAAGTCAAGCGGGGTTGGGGAGGTCGGAGGTTTGCGTTCCTTGTCGGGCTCTGAGCTCGCCGAGGGTATGGCTGTTTTGATGAGCCGGGAGGCCCGAGGAGTCAGTTTTGAAATGAAAGAGGTTCGCTGGGGATTGTTTTGAGGGGTCTCGGTGAGGGGGAGGGGGTAGCGTCAGTCGAAGCCCAAGAGTCATGATCAACCGCGGGCATTCCGCAGCCACAGAGGGGGGTCCCGAACGGACCAACCCCAAAGTTGTGGCGCGCAGGGACAAGTCAGGGGCGAAATGGAGAGGGAGATTGAGAGAACATACCCAGCCCAGGACCCCAGCCGAACATGTTGATAGAGAAGATGGGGCAGCTATTTCATCCCATGCTCTGGGTGGGGAGGGGAAGGAGAGGAAGAGGGAGTGTTTGGTCAGGTGAGGTCGACGAGGCAGCGCGGTACTTTTGGGAGCGTCTGGGGCTTTTGGGCCGTTTGGGCGTTTGGGGTGGGGACTGGGGACTTCCCTCCTTCACTGCCTTGACGGTGAACGAGCCACGTCTTTCCCGGTCATGGCGCCTGACTCGAAACTCTTCTCAATAAGTCTGAATATTTGAATCTGTGGCTTTCAATTGCTCGCTTATTCAATTGACCCGACCGGCGGCCCGTCTGAGGGGTTGCGCGTTGATGGATGCATCGCGGGTACCTGGATTGCCCTGAACTCTGTGCTTTCAGACCGGCGCCAATCACGAAGACGCTTGGTTCCGGGGCCTCTGATGAACCTCTCGAGACGATCTAGCAGTCGCAGTACCCCATTCAGATGTGGTATGATGCCCATCCACATGTCTGGATCATCGATAGTTCCAAAATGACTACTAGCGACGGTCCCGACAATCTCGGATTGGCGGAAGTCACGACCCCTGCCCTCCAAGCGGACTAGGGAGAGGGCATCATGAAACACGGCGGTTTAGACCCTTTTTGGGCTCATGCTGCATCCCCCATCCCGTGGCGCGTTTCGAAGGATCGGGATGTAGGATTGACTCGTCCTACGCCAATCCTCCACCGAGCACGACGATTCTTCATCAAGCGGAGAACGGATAGCCATGGATCGACTCATCGACCAGGATCCCAATTGAGTAATTATAGATCACAATTACGAAGTCCCGAGGAAGTCTGGAAGATGATGCTCTCATCCATACGAGGGACGCTAAATCGGGCACCGTATACCCTGGAGTGGGCACTTCGTACAACACTAAGCTAGGGCAGTCCGCTGAGACTCGTACCAGGCGTTTAGAGGGAGAGGGAGAGGGAGAACAGCACAGATGTGTCAACGTATAGTTCTGTGCCCGTCAACTACTCCAGTTCGAGACGATCCCTGTGTGTGATGAGAGTTCTGCAGTGCCCTGACGCCCACTGGCGCCCGTGCCAGAGCGACTCTCCCCGCCGATCGGCAGCCCAGTCCCGATACTTCATTGGCCCGCGGAGGCCAATCCGACGCTGCTAAGCGCCGAAAGCCCTCGTTTGGCTGACCTGGAACGTTGACTCCCTGGACGGGACAATCCGGCCGACTTGTTCGAAGCCCCCTCCTCCCCCAAGCTTAATCGTGAAACATACAACCCATGGCCCCCTGATATCGGATCCCGGGGCTATAAAGTCACTCCGGCGCCGGCTCTGACGTGAGGCCCTGCGGTTTTCTCCTCTTTTCGGCCCCTTCAACGGCGCCCCGAATCACAGAGGCCCCCGAGGGATGGTTCATAGTTCTTAGTTGGGTCAACATCCTATTTGGGTCAATCAGGTCTATTGATCCTCTCAATCTTATTTATTTGACCAATCCCCCCAAGGAATGACCTGGACAGACAACACGAAAATTAAAATAATAAAAGAACAAACCCACTACTCCAACGACCCAAGAGTATGTCGGGGATGCCCGTGAGGCTGGGAACAAAGAGCTGCGCGATGCGATGGTGGCTTTGTTGACGCACTTTTCTGACTTCGACTTCATCTGTCTTTTTGTTTCTCTGGCTTTCCTCACTCGCATTGGTGCATCCAGACTTCGCCAATCGACCGTCCCACCGCGCGGCCTCGATTTCAATTCGGTGGATCCCCGCGAAACGATATGCTGAATGCTAGTGATGCGCCGTCGGGCTCGAGCATCTCTCACACGACCCAGCCGCCTCCAGATGCCCCTGTCATTGTCCTGACATCGGTCCTCACTGAGACTATCCATCCTACCTGGGTTGTGACCGAAGTGACCACGATCGAACCGACGTCGGCATCCCGAGTCCAATCAGACACAGACATAGACACTGCGCAGCCGCACACGACGGCCCAGTACGAAACCGTGCAGACTGTTCAAGTAGGAATGTCTTCCAGCTCGGTGTCTTCAGACTCAGCAGAAACGGTCACATCTACGGCAGCTCAACCGCAAACAACCCAGCCTGAGACGCTCCAATCCTCGTCAACCGGACCAGCGCAGTCCTCAGTCCCCAGCACCAGCCCAACCACCAGCTCGACACAGCCCATGGAAAGCCCACTCCTCACGCATGACTCGGGCAGTTCAGAGTCATGGGCTGCCATCATGGTACACTCTAGTTCGACAAGCTCATTGGATCCAACGCCACTCGCCTCAACCTCATCAAGCTCCCAGTTTTCAATGTCAACAACATGGACGTGGACGACCTCGACATCGCCAACCACCCGTTCGAGCACAACAGATGCAGCCACGCAATCAACTCCAAGCTTATCGCAAATTATCACAGCCTTGGATTCACAAACCTCATCATCTCCTTCCTCGGCTTCGTCGACAAGATCCGCTACTTCGTCCTTCACCTCGGTAAGCGTGATATCAGGCGCAGCGGCCTCGAACGCTTCCTCGGCATATGCCATATCTAATTCCACTCATGTCGGCGCCATTGTCGGTGGCACTCTCGGTGGCACAGCCGTTGTTGCCCTCGGTTTGCTGGCCTGCGCTGTATTCTTCCGGCGGCGCCGGCGCCGACCAAGTGTGCAGCGTCAAAACAGTCACCAACGACTCCTCTGCGCCAACAATTCATTAAGTTCTCACCGCGGCCCTCACGGCCGACATCGCAGCCAGCCCTCCTTTCCCATTACTCGCTCCGCCATTCCCTCGGCCCCTGTGTTTCCCCCTCGTCGGTATTCCGACGCCCCATTACCTCCCAACCAACAACATGCCGGCGACCCCGAAAACAGCCCTGTGTCCCCAATAATCCAGGTCCAGCCACCCTCGCGCACGGCCTCGTCAAGCTATTCTCGATGCTCATGGGAGGGCGGTATGGATCTCCTGGACTGTTACGAATACGATTCCTCGGGAGACAGCTCCCGCTACGGGCAGGAGCATGCGTACTACCCTGGCGGCAGCGCAACCTCCATACCCCATACGGCCGGTAGCAACCCTCATCTCGCTGGCGATCGGCTTGCCCCCAGATCAGCTTCTCTGGACACCCCCAAGACGCGCCTCAGCACCCGCAGTGATCCCTTTGATCTAGAGCCTCCGCCGACGGCTCTGCGTAAGTGGCCGCCACTGCCACCACGGGCGACTCCGTGGGGGCGCAATTTTTGAGATTTAGATCCCACGGATCTGCTTTTTGCTCTCTTTTGCTTATTGTTATATTATGTGGTTCGGAAATACCCCCCTGCTCTCGTTCCTTTCTTCTTTATGTCTTTTCTTCTTTATGTGCATTTTTTTCTCTTTCTTTTGATTCGTTTCGTCCATACCCATTTGAGAGATACATTTACGATTTGCATATGATTCGGCTGGAGACATATGACGAAATGCTTGCAATTTTTCTTATTTTATTTCGTTTCTGTCATTATCTTTCTTCTTTGACTTCTTGGGGAGTTTGTGCTGGTGGCTTTCTTGGGGAGTTTTCGTGCCGTGAAAGACATTCGTTCCCATGATCGTTGAAAGCATACAAGTTACCTGTTGCATTTCTAGAATTAGCTAGCTAAAACATCGATTGATTTTATCATCGTGAAGGCTAAAAGAGAAAGATACAGACTTTGAAACTCGCTTTTATGCGGTTTATTCAATGATATCACTATGTACATCAGAATTATTATGACCATATGCCTGCTGGGTGTCACTCGTCAATTCTCTCCGGCTCTTCGACCCAGCTGCTCAATGCTATCTGAGACTGGACTCCCAGTTTCTCCAGATGTTTTATATTCTCTGGTAGGCTGTACAGCCAGGAAATATCTTGTGGTTTCAGACCGGCTTTCCTGGCGTTCTTGACCTCATTCTGCTGATCCGTCTCTATCTCATCATCTTTCTTCGCTTTGCCATCCTCACCATTCTCTTCCTTGTCACCCACTTTCTTCTCGCCATAATATCCCATTGCCTCCAAATTCCCGTTTATATACGAGAACGCCTCTGATAACAAACCATGTACTCCCTCTACATGGCCAGCCCGAATAAACAAATTCAGCCATAACTTCTGCCTCTCCACCTCTGAACTCATATCTCTCTGCTCTCCGCAGTGGAGCTTCAGCGTTTTAAGCCGATAAGCCCTCTCTACCACGGACTTGATTGGCTGCACCCGAGAAGCGAAATAGGCAAGGAAATCCGCAATATCTTCTTCTTCGGCCATCCGAGAAGCCATGTTCACCGCGGAGGACGCCGCTCTCACTAACGTGTCCTGTGCCTCTCGAACGCCTGTCCAGATGTTGCGCAATGCACTCTCCGTATATTTATAGTCAGGATCCTCTTGCCATTTCTTCCTTTGCGCTTCACTCCGCTTCGACTCTATTATCTCCGGCCACAACATCTCATTCAGGCTCCTCCGCGCCTCGACGAACTCGATGTCCAGGTTCCGCCGGCCAACGCTGCGCGCGCCGTGCCCACCCTCCGGTGAGTTCCCCGGCCGGCCGGCGTGGATGTATCGCACCATTTCGCGGTCCATATCCGCGGCGAAGTAGCGCAACAGGTCGATACTGTCCACGCTTGGCGCTGTGTAGTGCGTCTGCTTGAATGCCGTTCTGAGAGCCGTCTTGCTCACAAAGTGCCCGCCGATGCAGGTCATCACGAAGTCCCATTCTTCCACCGACGCGGCATACGCTACTAGTTGCGGGTCGATGAGCTCGTCGCCGATGGCCCGTCTCGCTTCTTCGCAGTTCTTCTCGTCATCGGCCGGGTTACGCAGAGTGGCCACGATGCGAGCGCGTTTCTTGGCCGTGTCGATGGCATTCGTGGTTAGGACGTGTTGCAGGAAGAGCGTCATTAGTGGACAGTCGCCGTGCGCCCGGGCGATCTGGAATGGCGTCTGGTTCTTGTAATTCTTGGCGAGCAGGTCGGCTCCGCTCTGGAGGAGCTTCTCGCACATATAGGTGCGGTAATATGCGTAGAATTCTGTCTTCGAACGCCCTGCCTGGGCGGCGACGAGAAGCGCTGTGTTGCCATAGTGATCTGCGATTCGGGGGTCAAAACGATAGGCCACCAGCACTTCGAGAAGATCGACTCGGCAAGTCGCGGCGGCGGCGTGGATGGTCGTGGCATAGCGACGTTGCACGTTGAGGATTGCTTGAGACAGTGTGCTTAGATACTGGGCCAGCACGATGGGCTCACCTTGTCCCGCTGCGAAATGTAGAGCTGCGATATGGCTCGACATGGACATCGTGCGGGACGAAGGGTGTTGTTGGAATTTCTGGAAAACGCTGGCATTTTCCCACGCTAGAGACATCCGGAAAGCGGACGCGCCATGCTTGTCCTCGATGAAGGGGTCTGCTCCGTGTTCTAACAGGAACGAGGCGAGATCGGATCGTCCAGCATCCATAGCGAGATGGAGGGGAGTCCTGCCACGTCCGTTTCGAGCATTGACATCGACTCCGGCGGCGACAAGCATCTCGGCCATCGGACGCGACTTGCGCTGCATTGCACAGTGAAGCGGTGTTCCGATTGCATTGTCGCCGAAGCTTAGATCCGCCTTTGCCTCAATCAAACACTTCAGAACATCCGTGGCACCTCGCGTTACGGCGACGTGGACTGCGGTGAATCCCTGAAGGTTTCGCTGGTCGAGGTCCGCGCCATTGAGCAGGAGCGTCTTGACATTTGCTGACACGCGACAGAAATGCAAAGGATTCTGCCCTCTGTCAGCGAGATCGTTGCATGAAGCCCCACGGTTCAGGAGGAACTTAGTGATTCGGTCCGAAGAGCCCATCGCGGCGATATGCAATGGTTTGGTGGAGATGCTGTCTGGTCGGTCGAACGCAGAAGGGTCAAGCTTCAGGATTGTTTCTAGGATTTGCTCAGACTCCGCTGTATCACGGTTGGAACCGACCAAGACCGCGAAATGGAAGGGGTAGGTAAACATTGCTTTGTTGTTGGTTTGGCCGATTTGTCTGCCCGCGAGCTGCGGGCACCGTGCGAGCAGCAATTCGACGCAATCGACATCTTCGAGGTCAATTGCCTGGGTGATTGCATTTCTGCCTTCCGGCGAGGTTTGGAGCAGTGTGGCCAAGGACAAGAGCTGGATCGTGCTGCGAAGTCTATCTTTGTGTTCATTTCCATGGATAGCCAGCCTCTCGGCATTCGTCAACAGACTCAAAGTGCATGCGATGGGGAACGAGCCCAAGGCCGCAACGGGGCGTCCCCAGATTCCAGTAGTTTTATCTTCGCCAAATGCCGCTTTCCAAAGAATCACTAGTATTTCTGGCGAATGATAGCGTACCGCAAGGTGGATCGGAGTCAGGATTGGCGCCGAGTCACCCTCAGGAGCCACAAAAGTAGGGGCCAGAGGATCGGCCTTGAGTTCCAGCAGCAGTTTGACGGCGGCAATGCTTCCTGCGGCGATGGCCACCGCAAGAGGCGTGCCATCGACCTGGAAAGGCCATTGAGGATGAAGTACAATTTTCTCCGTCATTGCATGGTCCACACTCAGCTCGAGATCGGATCTGCGGGACGGATGCTGTAGCAAATCCTGTATCTCTGCAAGAGTGGACTCGTCCAGACAAAAGAGCCAGTGGAGAAGCGATGCCGAAGTCTTGGGCGCCACCTTCGCATTTGCTTTCAATAGGCTAATGACGATTTCTCCATGGCCTCGCGAAGCTGCCTGCACAAGAAGACTCTCTCCTACCGCGTTCAGTTCATCTAACCTGTCTGCGAAAAATGGAATCAACTTCTCCATAAGTTCTAGATTATCATATTGAACGGCAATTTCCAACAGACTCTGCGGTTTTGGAGATGCTTTCGGGTTGGCCAAAGTGACAAGGGCTTCTTGTATCGTCTCCTTTTGCCAATTCATGATAACTTCTCCATTCACGTACATCTCTCGGAAATGGGCGTAATTGGTAAAATTAGTGGTGGACTCGCCATGAGTCACGACCATAGGGGACACTAGGTCGGGAGATCGAAGAATACTGAATCCAAGGGCAAGACATTCGTGATATTCCCTTTGAACGTTGATAGAATTTTGTTCAAACCCATCAAGCATGCGGGGTCCCATTATACGAGCGATCAAATGGCCCGCTTCTTCAGCCATATGGAGGAAATGGGCTGCCTTTGCTAAGTCCTTGGATGTTCCAAAGATATTCACATAGCAAAGCATTGTCTGAAAAACAATTGAGGAGTCTCTCTTTTGGCCTTGGGACTTTTGAGCCACTGCCTCGAAATCCAGCAAGAGCTGTTGCTGTTGGTCCCAAATAATGTATGGCCCCGCATCCCGACTAAAAATGGAGTATCGGATGTCTCCAGAAATTGCATACGTTGCTAATTTTGACTGAAGCGAATGCCCTCCAGGAGTCTTATGCCAGGACACAATGATCGGGAGTCGGCTCAGATCCGATATTCTTTTGGCAGGGTCCATCTGCAGAGTCCGATCCAATAAGGGCCGCAAAAACCCCTTTTCAAAGCCAATACTGCCGGGAATTTTCATGTTATTGATAAATTCGACTGCCAGATTTTTCAAATTGGAAATATCAAATCGGCCAAACACATTTTGGTCGTCTTCCTCGATTGAGAGTTCTTCGGGGGCATCCGAACCCCCGGGAGAGGTCAATGGCGTCGATTGGGATGAAGAGCGTTCAAAAAGAGGGTTATAGCGCCAGCTCCGCTGGAAATAGATCTGGCCGTTAGACAGGATCTCCCATGCGCATAGACCAAAAGCCCAGATATCACATTTGTGGAGCTGTTCCACGGGAATCGGTTGGTTTTTCTGTTCCGATACCTCGGGGGCATTATATCTATGAAGATTAACATTTAGTCACCTGTATTGAGCACCAGGAGATGCAACTCACAGGGAAGTACCAAAGTATTGGATCCGTTTCTCTGAGGCCGAGCTGACAATGATAGAATGTCCAAAATCCGACACTTTTGCAATCGACCCGCTAGGCCGATCCAAGGACGCGAATACCACAACGTTATCCATCTTCAGATCGCCATGTATAATCCCGCACTTATGTAGTGCCATTAATCCGGCGCCCACATCGCCCATGAGAATCAATTTGTTCCGCAGTGGCTGAGTCCCATCTTTCATGTACGCTCTGAGGGTTCCTTTGGAGCCAAACTCAACCGAAATGAAGGGCGAAGTCCGCTGTCCTTCTAGATTCCAGCCGTATCCTAGGAGGTCAATGATATTGGGATGGTAGCTCAAGGGTGGATGGCACATAATCAGAACTTCGCGCAGGACCGATTGTAGACGCCGCTGGAAGTATTGGCGATCCGAGCCTCCCCGGCCATCTTCATTAAGTCGGATCCGTTTGATGGCGACGACAGTCCCTTCATACTTGCATTCGGAGACAGCAAAGGTCTCTCCAGCCGCAACGAATCGGATCTCTTCGAGGTCTTCAGCCCGGAGTCTCTGTAGCTTCAATTGTTGTACTGTACGCAGGAGACTCTCTAAACTATTCATCGCCTCCACATCAACATTTTCGCTGAACCCCAAGCCATCAACAGTTGATACACGAGATCGGGAGATTGAAGTGGTCCATGTCAGCACGTCGTTTGCCAAAGCATTTGCGGACCGAACTAAGACGCATAATAGGTCAGGTGCTTGCCAAATATCAGGGACTTTTGCTCCTTCATACATTGAATCCAGTCATCGTTTAATGAGGATAACGACATCTCTGTCCCGATCTCACAGGTTTAGGCTGATTAAGATTCTCTCGAGCATCGCCTGGTCGCGATGACCTGGGATGAAACCGTCAGGTCAAGCAGCTGAGTTCCTTGTTGTGGGGGTTCAGGATCTTAGCCTCGAAATGATTGGACATAATCAGCCTCATGCAGTTGCCTTCGTGTTACCCCGCAGCGTTATGCGGACTTGATCGCATGAAGACGCTCATTAGGGTTTCTATTCAGCATCTCTATCTGAATTTCATGACTGGCCACTCCTTTGGGCTTTCCGCGTCCGTGTCAATACCAAGAATAGTAGTTTGCTGAAGCGTCAACCATGGCCGATCCGATCTCCGTCGTGAGCCTGGCGATCGCTCTCGTCGATGGCTTGATCAAGTTAGGAGAACGGACTGCAGTGCTCATATCGGATGTCAATGCCTTTGATAGTGTAGGTCTGATCAGTCAATGCGTTGGCAGCCATGTCTCATCGATATCCAGGATTCCAATGAACTCCGGAATCTGGTCAACGACGAGAACCTCCAGACGATGTTGATTCGGAACCTACTCTTCTCCGAATGCGCGGCAAGTTCCGATTATGATAATTCATCCTCAGAAGTCCAGGGCTGATTCAGAGATCCATTTGCAGGTTTATGGAGGAAAAACTCTCTTCGAGCAGTTTGATAGTGATATCCAACACCAAATCGAGCTTCTGTGGATCGAGATCGAGTCCATTCTGCAGCAGGCTGTTGATCTGCTCAAGCGTCGATATGGATTATCACGGGAAAGTTCCACTTCTTCGAGTTCGTCGTTCTTGAATGTCTCCACTGCGTCACTTTCCAGGCACAAATCCACATCTTCCAGTTCATCGCTGTCGCGGGGGCGCACCAGCCCTTCCATACCGGGTCTCCTCATGTGGGGATTGCGTGATAAAAAGCGCGTCGAGGCCATTCTATACACATTCAAAGATCGCAACTCTCGGCTGAAGAAAAAGGTTGAGCTATGGTGCCTTGCCTCTCAGCTAGGTGTCTCTCCTGAGCACTTGATGCATCTCCAAACAGACGAATCGTCAAGAAAGCTAGGATTCGACCAAGATGCGTCCCTCCGTCTGGCCCAGTGGGATGCCGAGAGAATGAACGACACGCTTGAGTTGCTTGATCCCTCGTGGGACTCGCACCTAAAAGAAATCCAGCCGATTGAGCACCAGGGCATGTTCGCGATGTTCACCAAGAACAGCGTCGCCTACATCCAAGAGAATCACCACTATGACCCCCTTTCCACCCCGTCCGCTTCAGGGAACGCCGTTGATTTGCGGACTAAAGGTCGAATTGAGTCCCTCGCAAAACTCTTGCATCAACCCAAAGAACAGGTTTTCCGTGTCTTACCTTGCGTCGGCTGGAGATACATTCCCAGCCGAAGCTCCATCGCGTTCGTCTTCGAGGTCCAGCCCCGACCGATAGGAGCACCAGTCAGTCTCCAGAGGCTGCTCTATAACACGGACCTTCGTCCCGAGGTCGAGGACAAATACCGCCTGGCGCTGGGTCTATCCCAGTGCATCGCGCAGATGCACATGGTCCAATGGGTATGCCCCACTTCGCGGCGCAATAACAACACAAGACCCACGCTAACATGACCTAATCCGCTCAGCTACACGAAAGCTTCCGAAGCGACAATATCCTCCTCCTGCCCCATCACGTCGACGATGAAAGAACGGAGACCCGCGTAGCAGTAAACTATCCCGAGCCCTGGGTCCTTGGATTCGAGTTCAGTCGGCCAGAGCCGTTTTTCTCCATGGGCCATTCCGACTTCGAGCCCACGCGTGATATCTACCGCCATCCCGATCGGCAGGGCCAACCGCTGGAGATGTTCAAGAAAATCCATGATATCTACGCGCTAGGGGTGGTGTTATTAGAGATCGGACTCTGGGAACCAGCTGTCAAGCTGGAACGAAATATGTTCGCGGGGGCCAGTAACCCGCGGGCCGTGCGGGAGCAGCTAATTAAGCATGCCCAGAGACGACTCGGGCACCGCGTGGGAAAGAAGTATAAAGAGGTGGTGCTGAAGTGCCTGACGGGGGACTTTGGAGTGGAGGATGATACGAAGGAGGACTTGAAGCTCCAGCAGGCGTTCCGGCATCAAGTAGTGGATGTGATCGAAAGGGCTGCGAATTATGAATGAGATATTAATACCTTGTTAATTAACTTTGATTATTTTGGATCGAGAAGGCTTTCTTTCACATCATGACTTCCATCTCTAAGCTTACTTCATTGACAATCTAGGCATTGAACTATGTTGGTCTTGAGATATAGTCCATATTGCGTAGTCGAGCAGGGTGGATATATATATTAACACTCTACACCTCAGATTCGGGCATCCATTTTATTGTCTTATCACAGAAAGGAAAATTTAAGATTTCTGAAACTGAAATTATAATCCCATCATCAGACGAGCATGTAAGACCTGGAAGGTGAGATTGTCGAAAACTCCGGAGAGGACTATTTACTCCGTATAGGCTCCAATTCCATACAAGGTGTGGGGGTTCTCCAGTTTTACCGCATTTTGTCTATCAAGTCAAATGTCATCGCATGATATTGGTATGGCCCACAGCAGGACGTTAGACAAGATCACATGAAAGGCTGGCAATGCTTTTAGGAAGATAGACATCAAGGTCAACGTGCCGTTCAATTACTAAATACGAAGGGCGGGACTCTAGCGAGGCCAACAGGGATCTACAATTCGACGGACTAGCAGCATTGCCAATCCGGGAGACTAGAACAGCTCAAACGATTGCAGGATTGCAGCTGAGAGAACACAAGCGCCGTGGCGACGAGAGGAAGATGTTTTAGTTTTTTTGTTTTGAAAAAAAGAATTTCCTTTTGCCCTCTCGTTATTAACAAGAAAAGCTTGAGTATCACATCATCATCGCATCTTCCTATTGCTCCAAAATTCCCAGGGATCCCAGAAGCTCAAACCCCCACGCGATCGACGAGAAGAATGGTAGGCGTTGTCGTCTTCACCGCAAGTATCAAAGTCCGACGATAGGAAGAGGGGGGTTTCTTGAAGACAAGAAAAAAAAGGCCGACCCTAGTTTATTTCAAAAGGGGACAATAGAATGGGAGGAAAAAGAAGAGCAGCCTTTTTGTTTTCAACAAGTAACCCCGGAACAAAACCCAGAAATATTTTCACCCGCTTTCAACCTCCGCACCGATGAACGTAACGTCACACAACGGAATGCGATTTTTGAGATCGGATTTACTCCTGGGTCTCGCCGACCAGAGCGTTACGCTTGGCCTCGACACGCTCCGCCCGACGCTCACGGAGAGCCTTGTTCTTGGCACGCTTAGCGTCCATCTCCTCCTTGAGGACACGCTCACGTTGGCGCTCGGCCTTAGCCTTCTGGATCTGTGGATGTGAAAAGACAACGAGTCAGCGGGGTTGGTTCCTTTCATGGTTGACTGAAATTTCTGATGGGGGTATAGTCGTGCATGGCTGGGGCTCTGTATCCAGGGGGACTTACGTGCTCAACCAGAGCACGCTTGTGCTTGAAGGTGTTACCCTTGCTCAGGTGGTACAGCTCGTGGTAAAGGTGCTTGTCGATCTTGCCAGCGGCACGGTAGCGGACGAGCAGACGACGGAGGACACGCATGCGGCGCATCCAGAGGATCTGGCTGTAAAAGAGAAACACAAAACATCAGCATGGGCCCTTTCCTTCTCAGATCGATTCCCCGCCGAGACCTCGTCCAAGGCCTCATAGCGAATGAGGGGAGAATTTCCTGCATACCTGGGCATACGGGCGTCCTTGGTACCCTTGCGCTTACCCAGACCGCGGTGACGACCGATGCGGCGGGCCTCGTTGAGCTCACGGGCGCGGGCACGGGAGTGCATGGTGACGGGCTTGCGGATGATGAGGCCATCGCTGACGAGCTTGCGGATAGTCTGGCGGGAGTTGGCGTTGGAGATCTCGTTCATCTCATTGGGGTCGAGCCAAATCTTGCGCTTGCCGCAGCCGACCACGGAGGCGGCGAGGCGCTTCTGGGTGCGAAGGTTGACCCTGTGTTGACGAAAAAAAGACATCAGCCTCTGCACACAATGCATCACGAAAGTCCGGTCTTCATTATTTCCACCGCGAGCGTCACTTCGTCGGAATGCGATCGAAGGAATGAAACATAGAATATCGTTCTCTGGTGAGGAGCGAAGGAGTTGGCACTCACATCTTGATGTCGGCGTATCGACGGTCGTTGGCGGATGATGTTCGTAGCACTTGACGGGAATTCCAGACGGTGAGGAGTTTGGGGCGGGCCGATTAGGTAATGTGCTATAAGCGAGTCCGTCCACTTTGGGGCATTTGAGGGCTAGGGCTGTAACCCCATACGCTAGCCTTAATTGGGTAACCGCTTGACCCTACTGTCCTGAGGTGTAGCTACATAGGCAGGGCTCCCGATAGCTTCTCTTGACATGTTGAGATAAGTCTCGTATCTTAAGAGAAACCGTTTGAATACAATTTGTTGAAGTTGTCATACTCCTAAAAGCGTTCGCCGCATATACTACCAGATGACGGTTACAGTATACCTACGTCAACGCGATATGCACGTGATTTTATGCAAAATTTCAATATCGGTCACATGACATTGAATTTCCATATCAGGGTGGATGGATCTATACCGCAAGACGGGGTATTCTCTCTAATACATCTTGCAGCGTCGCTTGGTTTCCCTCCAGTTTGAAATTCCTTACATGGCGCTTAGCATATCCCAGCTTGCCAGATCTAGTTTGTATCCAGAGTAAATATGAACATTCATCAGCAGCGTAAAACAACTTTTGTACGACGAACAGGAAAAAAAAAACAAATGGGCCCAAGGGTATATCTATAGACATGTAGATGAAACCTTGGGATGCTCCAAGAACGGGAAAAAGAAATCATCATTCATCTCCAAACGCATCACCCAAATCCACCTTGCCAATGCTCCATACCTCCTTCTCATCCTCCACTTCATCGTTGGACAAACCAAGTCCTCCCTCGCCGCCTTCGGCAGCACGTCGCTCGCGAGCCTGGGTAGCCAGACGGATGGCAACGCGCTTGAAGTAGTCCGACATGCTGCGCTTGGGACCAGGCGGGAGCGAAGCACCAGGGCCTGCCATATACTTGTCGAAGACCTCGCTCTCGGAGTCGACGACTGAGAAGATAGACAGGAAGGCGGCTTCAGCGGCAAGCTTCACAGGAATGACCATATCGCGAACGCTTGCAAAGATGGGAGGCGCGAGAAGTGCAAGGTGAGGGCGGGTCATCTCCGGGTGGAGACGGCTCACTGTCCGGATAACAACCAACGTCAGTCGACGAGTATCGGAAGGTCCGCCGGGTGCGATAGCTGGGGCTAGGGCCTCGAAGATGGTCTTGTGTGTCTCAAAGCTGTGGTCACCATCGTTACACAACAGATATTTACCAGCAGCGAGTACACTGTTGTCGGAAATGAAGGGATCCTTGTCGGCAATGCCCTGGCAGATCGCCGCAGGAGTCTCAGTAGCGAAATTCTCCGTCAGAGTGGCAGGAGATTCAGATAGCAAAGAATTCAAACCCAGAACAGAAGGGTGCGAAAAGTGTCCCGTGAGAATGCGATTCTTAATCAAAGGGACCGCAGTAGCAGTAGGGAGAACCTTAACAAGAGCACCAAGCAGTTTAGCATTGGTAATTGCGACAGAGTCAGTCTGGTCGCTGGCGTCGTCATCAATTAGGGCAAGAATGGCAGTGCGGGATGCCTCGCTCATGTTGACACCAGCCTTGCCAACGACTTCTTGAAGTGCCTTCATCATAGCATTCTTCACACCGATATCAGTGGTCTTTGATCCTGTAATGAGTTCCGCAATGAGTGGGTCAACTCTAGGGGTCAAAGTAATCAAGATACCAAGACCCTTGGCGGCACGGTTACGCAAAGTTTCGCTAGTTGAGTCAGCAAGACCACGAGCAAACGTGCGCTGAAGCTGAGGCAGGAAGGGCTTGACAGCCAGAGGAATCTTCTCCAGAAGCTTATTGAGCGTGAAGAAAATTGCGCCTAGGAAAACATGTTAGTGATCAGAAATACTATCATGGAAAATACTTAGAAACTTACATTTGATGTCAACGGAACGCTCCGACACCACACGGATCAAAGGACCGGTAATTTGAGTGACAAACGGCTTGAGAGAATCGGATCCAGTTCGGTCAATGACATCAGAGATGGCCAGAGCAGACTGAGTGCGCTGCTCAGGGTTGCCGTTGAGAAGACCTTGCAAGAAGATCGGTAGGATAGCCATGATACCCTTGGGAAGGCTGAAGCCGGGCAGGTCTGCACCCGCAACGCCGACCTGGCGGAGAATCTGGCGTGTGGGAATAGAGAGGACCTCCATCTCCTCCTTACGCAAGTGCGAAGTAAGCCCGCTGAGAGCAGTCCAAGCTGATTTGACGACATCCTTGTCTCGGTCATCAAACGAAATCAGCAGGACACGGATCAGGTCCTGGTGATAACGCGAGAAGTCGATTTCTGCCTCTGAGAAGAAGTTCTTCAGGTGAAGAGCAGCCTTAGCACGGCGGCGGTGGTCGTCGTGCTTGACAAGCGCCATCATCACGTTCATAGCAGCGTTCAGACCATCATATTCGTCAACAGACACTAAGACAGTGTCGAGGGCGGTTTCGAGTTCCGTGCTGAGTTCCTCGTCGCTGGCCTCGATAATACTGTCCATAAGACCATTGATGATGTTGGGTAGTCTTCTTGTCATCGCCCCACCTGCAACCTCCGCCAAGGATGCCAGGGCCCTGGCGTTGAAAGCGGAGATAGGAGATGTGAGCAAGGTAGGGATGAGGTTGGGAAGGATGATATTCGCACGGGTCTGCTCAGTGAGCAGGGTCAAAAGCGCGGACAAGGCCAGCTCAGCGTCATCGTCATTTCTCAGCAAGTGAAGGAGGTGAGGTAGCACCTGGTCCACAGCCTTCTTGCCTAGAATCTGCTGCAAAGCATCGAACGCCTCGGCGGCAGCTTCCCGCACATCCTCATCGCTATCAACCAGAGCAACACGAACAGTGGAGATAAGAACCTTTTCAAAGTCCTCAAGAGCCTCAGGAGTGGCGGAAGTAATAAGCTCACGCAGAGCAATGCAGATACCTTGCTTGACATCAACATCGGGCGAGCTTTGTAGTCCTTCCTCAAGCAAGGGCAACAGTGTAGCCAGCACCGACTCTCCAGCCTTTTTGATAAGATCGCCAAGGGCATTGCTGGCGATAACCTTTTGCTCCATGTTGGAGGATCCAAGACGGCGGATGATGAGCTGGGACAGAGTAGGAACCATGTCTTTGAGGGTCTTGGGAGAGGCAACAAGGGCCTTCCATACACCCATAGCCGCACTCTTGACCAGGCCAGAGGTATCACAGCGGCAGATAAACAGAGCCGAAAGAACCTTATCCCTCCGCTCTTCTCCGAGAACCTCGAGCAGGGACTGGCCTGCCTGGGTAGCTTCTTCTTCCTCCTCGTCAGCCTCCGACTTACCAGTGATACCAGTAAGACTGAAGAGCAAGTCTCCAACCAGTTCGACTGAGCTGAGACGGATGCGGTAGCTATCATCAGCGAGACCACGCTCCAGCTCAGGAAGCAGGAGATCAATGGCCTTGGTAGAGAAATTCTTGACAAGTAGACGACCAGCCCGAAGAGAAGTCTCGCGGATCGACTCAATGTCATCAGCCAGACCCGCAAGTATTGGCGGGATGATTTTGCTGAGATAGTTGGCGAAGCTGTTTCCGAAGCAAGCAGGCAAGAAGATAAATAGGGTCATGAAGCCCTCACGAACAGCAGGCTTGGAGCTGGACACGTTCTGGAGGATAGTGGGCAGGGTTTCCTCGAGTCTGGTGGTACCCAGGCCAGCAAGCACCTCCGAAAGGGCTTGAGCAGATCCCAGTCGGTCGCCAGCGCCAGTATCCGACTTGAGAGTAGACATGAGGTTGGGGATGAGGTCAGGAAGGGCATCCTCTCCAAGCTTCTCGATGAGTGAACCAAGGGCCTTGGAAGCGGTGGCTCGGGTGGTTGGAACAGGGTCGATAATAGCCAAGTTGAGACCGGCCACAATAATTGGCAAGTGAGAAATGAGGTCTTTGCGCTCAGTGAGATGAGCCAGACTGCCAATTATCTGTGACGATTTGCGTTTCGTCGCAGAACGATCACCAAGACCACGCTCAAGGATACGCACGACCAGAGCCAATGAGGGTGCATCCAAGTAATGCACGAATGAGACCTTGATTAGAGCATCTAGGGCCTCGTCTGTGTACTTCGTCGGGTCACTAAGAGCCTTCAGAAGCACATTGACCAAGCTCTTAACCTCTGGGTTGCTGATAACCTCTCCGAAGCGTTGAAGACTGCGGTTCGCAGCATTGCGCACCTCCTTGTGTGTATCATTGAGGACGATTGTCAGAGGAGGAATGATTTCCGGCAGACTGGCAGCGAGTTGCTGAGGATCCAGGTAAGCCATGGCACCTAGAAGGTCACAAGCTCCCTTCTGACTACGCCATTGAGTATCGTCCAAACCATCAAGCAAGGTAGGAAGGATCTTCTTAACACCATAAGAGCTGAGATTCTGGAAGCAGGCCTTTGATGCGTCCAAACAGGCATCACGGACATCGATGCTGGGATCACCGAAGCCTCCTAATAGCTGAGGAACAATCTGAATGACATAAGGTTCAAAAGTGCGGCCCAAAACAGTGGCAAAAAGCTCGTACGCCAACAGCGCGCCTTGTCTCTGATGCGGTTCTTTTCTGTTTTCGGTGGCCTCCTTGAGCAAGCTCATGATTCGGAACTCCCGCAGGGTTGAGATACCCTTGCCACTGACAATACCTGCCAGGCCGTAAGCAGCACCACGCTGAGTAGCATAATTCTTGACGTTGAGCAGAGAGTCGAGCATCTCCTGCACGTAGTTTGCAGTCTTGGGACCGGAAAGTCTGATCAATGGTGGCAGGCATTCAGAGACAGCAGATTGTACAGTTTCCGAAGGCGTTGGCAGAGTCGCAAGAAGCTTTTTGACGACTGCCTGCAGACGAGGGTCCTTGGCCTCCAAGTGTCTAGCCAAAGATCCATAGAGTACTACGACCGCCTCGTTCAGCAGATCAGAGCTCTGGGTCGCCTTGTCCGAAGTTTCGAGGGTGGTTTCCAAAAGCTTCATCAGCTCTTCGACCTTGAGTTGACCACGCTGGGCAATCACAGATTTACCACTTTCTGCCATTTGAGCACGGACAGAAGAATTTTTATCAATGAGAGGGCCGCGTTCAATAAGGAATCGCAAGAACGAAACTGTCTGCTCGCCGTCGAAAAGTATCGTCATGGCATTGAAAGCAAACGCAATGCCACTTCGGCTTTCCCAGTTGTCAGTATTGTCCATCTTCTTCGGCATGCCATAGGCATCCTTCTCTGGAACCTTGGGCTTGACCTCCTCAGCATACTTCGTCTGCAGCTCAGACAAAATGGCAGCGAATTTGCTCTTATCAAACTCGATTGCATGGGCAAGAGCACGAGCCGCAGAAGCGCGAAGCTGAGTGTCCTTGGAATCAAGATACTTAATTATCTTGGAGAAGGCGGTCTCATCAACTTCCAAGGCATTCTCTTCCCAAATGCTGTCTGCAATCTCAACATTTTGCTCAACATGATCATGGCAGCCGAGCCAAATGTATTCTGAAAAGTCCAGATCGGTTAGATCTATTTCGTCGTCGATCACTTGAAGCACAGAAGTTCGAACAGAAGCATCTGAAACAATGGTACCCTGCAAAAGAGCCTCTAGCTCCTCGCCGTTGATGCTAGACGAGATACACCGACAGAAATCAAACAAAATATCTTTAAGCATCTTGTAGTGTTGAGTGTATCTCTGCATGGCGGCAAGGAGATGTTGCAGGACATCAAGTCGAGGGAGACGAGTATCGGAGAAAGAACTAGAATGGAAAGAAAGGAACTCAATAGCAAGCAGGACCTGCTCGCCTTCCTGATCACCCTTAACCTCATGGATTCCGTTTTGGCTCAAGACCAGAAAGACCAATGGAAGGATATAGGCCAAAGAGGGAATGTCAAGAGGTCGCTGCTCAGAAGCGAATCGCAGTCGATACAGAATTCTTGTTACGAGCTCACCAAGATGCTCTACTTCCATTTCCGCAGGGAGGTTCGTGTTGCCAATGGCTCTCAGGGTAGCAATGCCGACGGATGACCTCAGATTCCCCACGCGCGAAGACAACTCGTGTGAGCAGACAATGTACGCCCGAGATACCACATCGCCTACAAAGAGCCCCGCGCCAGCTCGGGAAAGAGACAGCAAAGAGCTGACAGCAGCGTTGATCCAGCCCTCCGCGTCGTTAGCAGGGCCAGTGGCCAGACCTTGGATGATACCAGCACCTCGTTCAATACGCTTCACCTCTTGCAGAACTTCCTCACGAATCTTGGCCTCCTTCGCAAGTTGAGCATTGACCTTGGATTGCTCCTCCGACGTGAGTTTCTTTTGCTTCTGACCTTTCTTCTCCGCCAACTGAGCTCGGAGTTCTTCTTCCCATTTCAATGTATCGTAATCTTTGGTGCTCTTGTCAAAGGTGGGCTGCTTAGACTTGCTGCTCAGGACATCGATAAATGCAGTACCCTCAGGGGTGCGGGAAATGGCAGCATCTGTGGCAGTGTATTTTGAGAGTCGAGCGCCATCCAAGTCTTCTTTGATTTGTTCAACGAGACGGGGAATCATGACATCAGGAGCTACGAAGGCCAGATCGGCAGCCGCAGTCCAGACAGCTGGGTTGACTTTGGGGACAATCGATTGAATAGGGTCCGCATTAACGCGAACCAGCTGATGAACGCAATCAGCTGGTCGGCTGCGGACTAAGCTCCCTGGGTCTGTGCCTGTTCTCAGGCAAAGATCAATCCACGAGGCGTTGGGAATCATCTCCGGTCGGCTAAGAACAAGGATGTTGAGAAGTTGATTCTCGATTTCTGATGTAGCACCGGACTCTTCCTTAACAGAGGATGTAGGGCAGAGAGATCTTAAGACCAGGTAAAGTAAACGCTCACTTCCAGGCCCAGCAGAGACAGCAGCGGACTCCTTCTCGGCCGTGCGGGTGGAATAGAGCCAACCCCAGAGCGCCTTAACAGTAACATCCCCGATAGAGGTCACGTCCTTCATATAAACCCTGGACAATGTCTCTGTGGCCCTCTCACGAAATTTGGTGGTAACTGATGGCCCAGTAATAGCATAGATGAAAGACTGAGCCCATGCAGTCTTTGCTACATCTTCGACATCGCTAAACTTGGTGATAGAGGTGACAGCCGCTAGTGCTCTCACGAACCACTGCAATTCAGCCTGCGCTCCCAGCTTCGAGTAGACCTTGGGGTTGAGTAAGAAAGATGGCTTAGACCCCATTGTCATGGCCTGTGCCACCTTGTCTTCCCAGATGGACTTTTCAGACCCTTCGATATCTGAAATGCGCTGGAACAGAGCCAAAAAGATGTAGGCAGATGACAAAGCGCCGCTTTGGGCAGAAGGAAGTGGGTTGGAGGCAACTTCTCCAAACATATCCTTCATCTTTGCGAAAAATTTGGATACGAGGGGCTCGATCTCAGCGTGTTTCAGAGAGGTAACATCAGACTCCCAGAGCACTTCTCCTACACTGAGCTGCCAGATCTTTCGAAATGGGACTCGTTTGTCGGAAATGCCCTTGACGATAGCGTTAATAATGTCATCATCAATCTTCACGGTCGACTGAATAAGGAAAGCAAGATGCTTGCCGAATGCTTTGAGTTCCTCTTCAAGAGCAGCTTCATTGGACTCTCTGGTGAAGAGAGGACAGAATCCCTTGATTGTGTCTTTGGAGACATCGACCGAGGATGGGATGGCGGCAATCGCTTGGGCATAAGCAACACGGTGCTCGGGAGCAGTAATCTTGTGCGTTTTCATAGGACTAACGATTTCGCTCGCGATTTTCAAGACTAAGCCATCGTTTTTGCAGCGCGAAAGCAATGACCTAAAAGAGTCAGCAGCACCTTGTCGAATTACCGCATTGTTCGATTTCATGCTAGACAAGAGATGCTTCATAAGACGGGATTGCACAATCTCAGAAAGGTCAATTTCCTCGGGCAAGGCAGCACAAAGAGGCGGGATCACGCCAGTTAGAATGACTTCAGGTGCCCTCAGCATGGATTTCTCCATCGGAGGTACAACATCGGTGGCCACATCCTCAGCTGTGACAAACGAAGTAAAGAAGTCGGACAATCCATCGGCCACGTGTGCAGGCACGACAGCTTTGGAGCTCACAATTTCCTTGGTATAGAATGCCAGGATTGCCTTCTTAGATTCCTCCAGTATCGGCTTTTTCGTGGACAGTCGTGCACACACGCCCGAGACAACCCCCAAGAGCAATGCATTCTTGCTCCCCGCGGCCGCGTCGGCGGTTAATCGAGCGACCGATTGGCGCACGGCATCCTCGCCCCAGGTCGGGCATGAGAACACGGCACGGAGAGCACGCCTGGTCACTCGGAGGGCCGACTGTCGCACTGCAGGCTTGGGTGTATGGGCGAAACAGTTCTCCAATGCCTTGGCACTCACGACAACCAGGTCTAGCACAATCGCCAAGGGTGTGGCCGAATCTTCGCTAACCTGCTGCAAGAGAATGCAGCACCATTCCAACAGCACAAATCCTGACGCCGGGGCAAGACCAGGCTTGCCGGCCTCTGCTCGTAGTTTATCGGTAAGATATTTGACGTGTTCCGCGGCATTTGGAGATCGGAGGAGGGTGCGGAGACATTGTTGGACGGCCTGTCGCGATGGTCGGTCGACGTAGAGGGGATAGGTTTGGAAGAGAAGCGTTAAAACATCATGATGCGATTCTGAGGGGACTCCGGTTCCTGTTAATGGGAAAAATCAGTCGTTCTGGCCCTACAGTGGTCATTGTTGGGGCGGCGTCAAGTCTCACCGGTCCTGTCGCGAAGTTCTTGCAGGGCCCGGAGCCTGCGCGAGGTCGAGCTCGAAAAGAGCGCGACCCGCAAGGCATCCAGATCCCCAGCCTTGACCTGGTCCCATGGAACTGCATCCATGATCAGAGGTCAATACGGGGAAGTGGAGGGAAAGAGATGGGTGGAGGGAGAGGGAGGGAGGAAAGTTGGTGAAGTGGGCTGGGCACGATCGGATGCTGTCATAAGAGTTTTGTGTGGGGTGTTGGTTCCTCCGCCGTTTAACAGACATGCCCGGTTCTTGATTCTCCAACCTCCAACACTCTCCTCCTGTAAGTCCAATCGCGCTCTGATTCACTGGGATGAGTTGAATTGTAACACGACATGGCTAATCACCGAGCTATCTGAGCTTGTGCAGAACCCCTCTTACCATGCCGCCGAACAATAAGAAAAAGAAGAAGCCCGCGTCTAACCCGGCTCGTGGCTTTGCAACGGTCTCCGTCCCCTCGAAGCCCAAGCCGGAGAGCACTCCAGATACCCCATCTTCAAATACCGGAGCCTCGAAATCAACGCCGCAAAATGAATCGCAACCGAAGCCGTCTCAGGAACGCCCCGCAGATGCACCTGTATCCGAGGCTGGTCCCTTATTACAGAACTACTCCCCGGAAGAGCTAGAGAAACATTTGGAAGAGGCCGAGCTACAGATATGGGTCGATAAGAACGCTGCAAGATGTAAAACAGATGCATCTCGCCAAGCCACCAAACTGGAGACCGAGAGGCGGGTCCTTCGACAGCAATCGGTGTCACTAAGCCTCCTCGAGTGGCTTCCGACCGAGGTGCAGGAACGAATTCTAGAGTTGGCAGAGAATGAAGAACATGACTACCTCGTTGCGGGCGCATGGAATGCCAGCTCAAAACAAATGTTCTCTGAGGAAGAGCTATATACAAAGCTTTGGGTGTTAAAGGAAACTTTGCTCAAGCTTGGGTTCTCTGCAGAGCGTACGGAAGAGGCACTGAAACATGTCCTCTTATACTTTGCAGGTAATCCAGGCAGCACCAACCGAGAGGCCGTTTGGAATCTGGACGAAGCGCTGGAATGGCTGGCCATGCACAGCGACAAGAAGGACCTTCCCCCCTACACCCAGACGAACTCCCGGCCCCAGAAAGACACGGATAGTGTCACCTCCTGGATGATTGGTAAGTCCTTAGTCTCGATGAATATCAAGAGAAAAAAGGTGCTCATAACTCAGACTCTAAGCCATCTCGGTCCTCGACTCCAAACAAGCCCCAAAATGGAAGCACCCAGGGCAACCCGAAAGCAGATTGGAAAGCCGCAAAAGTTCCGCCTCCTCTTTCCTATGACTCAGACAGCTCGATTGACCCGGACACAATGGTGCCGGAATGGCTAAGCCTACAGACAAAGCTATATGGCTTGCAACCGGACCTGTTTGACCGGCCAGGGAAAGGCAAGAAAGGTCGTGGACTTCCCGCCGATCAGTCAGATGACCCCGAGGTGCTTAAGCTGCAACGCAAGGTTGCCAAAATTGAACGAGACGTTCTTTTTGAGCGCCAGGAAGCTGAATACATTTGGAAAGAGAAGCTCGATGAGCTTCGCAAAGACGCAACATTTTTACGTCGACCCGTTGAGCGAAAGAAACAAGCTCCACCTTCAGACGATGTGTCAAAAGCGCCACCAGACGACATCTCTGGTGCAGACGAGCCACCAATAGATGATCTGGGTGACACTACGGGACTGCTTGGCGATATGTTTCTCGCAGAGCCTGACGATGGATCAATACTCGGCTTGCCTCCTCCTGTTGTTGAAGCTAAAGTAACACTTAGAGATTTTGGCAAATGGGCGGGGTTGAGCCCACGGCGGGTTCTAGAAGAGACTTGCAAAGCAAGAGACACGGCTTCTAAGGTTGTGTTTCAGGACTTTTCGTCCTCAGGCCACCAGAACAGAAAGGCCGTCGAAGTTCGCTGGTCGAAGGCACAAGAAACTCCATTCCCATTGACAGTTGATGCGGTCACCCACAAATCAAATGCTTTGGCAACATTTGTTTCAATGGACGCGCTTGCAACTCCAAATGAACAGCAGGCCGAGGGATATGTCTCGACACTCGCCCTTTTCATCCTGTTCCCTCAGAACTCGAAGGAAGGAAAAGCCTATCTGCGACTTCCTGCAGTATGGCGAGAGCTTTGGACCGAGTTCTCCAGTCTCAAAAAGACACAGGAAGATGAGATTGACAAAGCCACAGTGAAGGACCTCAAACGTTTGGTGCAAGAAAACCAAGGAAGCTTTGAGGATGATGTTGTTCTCTCCGATAATTTCCGAAAAAGAAATGGAGCTGCCAGTAAACCTGGCAGTCCATTGAAAGGCCCTTACCGGGATAACTACTTCGGCCAGGAGGCTCAGTTACAACAAGCATGGGAGGCGAAATCCTCAACTCCATCCTTCCATCGTATGATGCAGGGCCGCATGAACCTCCCAATCTGGAACTTCAAAGATGAAATTTTGAACACTTTGGATACACACCGCGCCCTTATCATCTGCAGTGAGACAGGAAGTGGAAAGAGTACGCAGATTCCATCTTATATTCTTGAACATGAGATGCTTCACGGCCGACCTTGCAAAGTCTATGTGACTGAGCCTCGTCGAATCTCCGCGATCTCTCTGGCCCGACGTGTGAGTGAAGAGCTAGGAGAAAGCAAGAACGATGTTGGAACCACACGATCTCTCGTCGGCTTTGCTGTGAGACTGGAAAGTAAAGTCAGCTCTTCTACCCGGCTAGTATACGCGTATGTATTTTGTCATTTCTATCACTCCTGTCCATGTTCTTCCTGAAAGCTAATTGAGACAGGACTACTGGTGTGGTCGTGCGAATGCTTGAGCGACCAGATGACTTCCAGGATATCACTCATGTTGTACTGGATGAGGTTCACGAACGTACCATTGACAGTGACTTCCTCCTGATTGTCTTACGCAGACTCATGCAGAAGCGTCCGGATCTCAAACTAATCTTAATGTCTGCGACGCTTGAAGCTCAGCGATTTTCCAATTACCTCGGTGGTGTTCCGGTATTGAACATTCCAGGTCGGACATTCCCTGTGGAAATGAAGTACCTCGAGGATGCAGTGGAGATGACAAATTATCGTCTATCTGAAGATGAATCGTACACTTCTCTTGATGATGACCCAGACGAAATTTCAGACACTACAGGTGATAATGCGGGTGGTCTTCAAGCCAGTCTTGACGGTTACTCTAAACAGACCAAAGAGACAATTCTTAAATTCGATGAATATCGCATGGATTACCAGCTGATTAAAAAGCTCCTCCTCAAGATTGCTACTGCGCCCGAGTTGGAGCACTACAGCAGAGCAATCTTGGTCTTCATGCCCGGCCTAGCAGAGATTCGCCGCCTGAATGACGAGATTCTATCCGAACCATCCTTCCAAAAGGGCTGGATTGTGCACGCACTTCACTCTTCAATTGCCAGCGAAGACCAAGAAAAGGCTTTCGTAGTACCCCCAGACGGTATGAGGAAGATTGTCATTGCCACCAATATCGCAGAAACAGGTATCACAATTCCAGACATCACTGCTGTGGTCGACACTGGCAAAGAGAAGATGATGCGGTTCGACGAGAGACGTCAACTCTCCCGGCTCATTGAGTCGTTTATCTCACGAGCCAATGCCAAACAAAGGCGTGGTCGAGCTGGCCGTGTCCAGAATGGTATTTGCTTCCATTTATTTACGAGACATCGCCATGAGAAACTGCTAGCAGAACAGCAAACTCCGGAAATGCTTCGACTTTCCCTTCAAGACCTTGTCTTACGAGTCAAAATTTGCAAGTTGGGGGAAGTAGAACAGACTCTTCTTGAAGCTCTTGATCCACCTTCATCTAAGAATATTCGTCGGGCTATCGACTCCCTCAAGGAAGTCAAGGCCCTTACAAATAACGAGAGCATGACACCATTGGGATCGCAGCTGGCCAAGTTACCATTAGATGTCTTCCTTGGCAAACTGATCATTCATGGAGCCTTTTTCAAATGTCTGGATGCGGCTGTCAGTATCGCTGCGCTTTTATCTTCCAAATCTCCCTTTGTCAATACAATGGGATCGAACTCTCAGCGAGACGCAGCCCGAAAATCCTTTCAAAGAGGTATACTCCACGGCCCACGCATTGCTCTTGATACATCTAACGCTCTTTCCAGGGGACTCGGATCTTTTAACCGTCTATAACGCGTACTGTTGCTGGAAACGAGCTAGGAGCACTCCAGGAACTAGCGAATATGCGTTCTGCCGAAAGAACTTCCTTAGCCTGCAGACATTGCTCAGCATTGAAGACATCAAGATGCAGCTCATTGTATCTATCGCCGATGCAGGGCTTATTACTCTCGATGCATCTCAGAAGGCTGCACTAAATAGGTACGTATTCACATGATTTGATATAATTGGTCCGATTTACCTGAATACTAATTCTGGTATAGAGCTCGCTCCAGCAACCGCAATCGTCAGCTTTTTACGATTCCAGAAGAACATGACCTCAATAGTACCAATGATGTTGTCGTTAATTCTGTTGTTGCCTGGAGTTTCTACCCGAAGCTTCTTACTCGCGAGGGTAAGGGCTGGCGCAATGTCGCGAACAACCAATCCGTCACGCTACATCCAACATCGATCAATAAGCAAGCAGACTGGGCAATCAAATGGCTCTCATATTACCATATCATGCAGGCACGAAATCGCAATCTTAATGCGCATGAGACTAGTTCAGTGGACGATTTTGCAATTGCTTTACTGTGCGGAGAAGCTGAATTTAAAGTGAGTCAACTATATTTCCCTTTCATTAATTCTTATTTTCTTCCCCTACCATCTCCCACTCTCTATTTTATAGAAGTCACTGTTTTAACAATAATTGCCTAGCTTTACTCCGGTGTAATCACCATCGATTCAAACAGAATTCGCTTCGCAACTCATAGTTGGAAATCCATGCTCGCACTGAAGATTCTCAATTCGCGCCTTCGCGAAATACTTGCATCGACATTCCGCAACCCGCACAAACCTTTGTCGTACAAACAGCAGCAGTGGCTGGAGATCTGGCAGCAGATTTTCACACAAGCTGGGAAGCGGTGATTTCATTTTGCTATAATTGCCTCGCCCTGCAAAATTCCAGCTTCTGGTTTTGTATTCATTTTCATCCCTTGCTTCGATACTTATCGGCAACGGACTTGGGACCTGAGAAATACATGGTACATATTGATTGATGATGATAATCTACGATAGAATTGTCTTGAGAGCATACATATAGATTTGGTGAACAATAGAAGAATGGGTTTGAAATCCTTATGCCTTAACAAGGATTGGCTTGGTTTGGATCGGTCTTGGGTATGAGGCGGTTGGGACAGTTATTGATTTCTATAGAGAACAAATCCGGTTTTTATTCTTTCATTCTAAATGAAATTTTTCCTTCAAGTATGACCCTTGAAGCCCGAAGAGTCAGAAAAATATAATCCTTGAATATTCTGATCAAAGTCAACCATGGGGTCCCTCGTCAAGCCTGAATAATGGTCAGTTGTAGGAGGAATTTCCTCCAATGGCATAGGCATGGGTTGAAATGCGTCTTCTCGTGACTGGCTATCAACCAGTTCAAGGTTTGCTGCAGATAGATCCAAGGGGGCTATTTGGCGCAATGCCTCAACACGTAATTCCTCCAGAACAAGGCAGTAATGCTCCGATAAAGATCCTTTTTCAGCTATTGCAGCAATGTGAGATTGACAGAGAGTGCAGAAAAGTATTTGTTGTAAAATTCTGGTGGAGATGTGCTTTCCTGTATCACATAAATGTAAAGCATAATAGTTGCATTGAAAGCAAAATAAGTCGTAATCTGAAAACAATTAGCATGTGGGAAGACGAATAAGGTGACAATAACAAACCCGAAAAGCTCGAAATAATTGATGGCTTTCAGTAATATCATTTATTGTATTTACAACTAGAATATAGGGACCTGTGAAAACGACGCTGAAAATGACACCCTCTGGCGCCAGAAACGGCCGCCTTTCCACCCGTAACTTTGCACAGCGAGCCGCCGCTTAAGCGCCCGCTGCCTGCTACCGTTCCCTATTCTGCACCTAACTAGGACTGTTATTTATCCGCCTCTGTCTTATTAATACTTGACTTCGACGATTATTCCCCCCGTTTTCACTAACGACTAAAACGACGCTAAAAATAGCTCCCCTCTACACCCTAATACAAGCCCCCTTCTTTCTCGCCTAGCCTAGTCGAGCGGCTATAAGATGCTTCGTCTACCGTCTCCCTCGGGGGTCTTTACGTAACCTTCTTATCCTACCTCTGCTCCCTCGGTCGATCTTAATATACTTAACTCCTAAGTCTCCTATTATAGAATCTAAACCTTAGCCTTTATCTCCGAATTCTCCTTATAGAGCCTATATCCGAACCTCTAGCTTAAGTCGATAAGCACTAGTTCTAGACCGATCTCATCCTTTACGAGGAAACTCGAGCTAGACTAAATTATTTCCGTAGTCTTAGATAGCTCCCTCTAAACTTTAAGCCTAGAACCCTAATAGGAATCGCCGTAGTCGAACGGTACTAACGGAAGTAGGTTTACCCTTAACGAAATAAAAACCTTATAATTAGGCACTAATACGGAAATAGATCTTATATTTAATCGAACTAGGACTACGTAGACTATCTGTGTTATATGATATTGCAATATGAGGCTATTCCTAACTCAATACCTTAGGTGTTAGTTCGATACCTTATCGGTTAGGCTTCGTTATAACAGCCCTACTTTTCTCTAATATAGATGTATAACCTATAAGGCCCTAAGGGTTCGGGGCCCTTCTATTAGGGATTCGTGAACCCCTCTTCCATATAGCCTTTGCTTACTTCTATTATATATAGGCCACGTCAGACCGTAAATTGTAATATGATCCATCGCCTTTGCTTTGGTTATATAGGAAAGTGTTGAAGGCTGTATATAAATTAAGGATTATAGAGAGATCTATGATAGCAAGAAACAGTGTTTTGCCTTCCTTACTTGACATTTATCTTCCTACCTAGTCGACAGGCTTTCTACCCTGTACAAGTAGTTATTCTCTAACACTTGTTTATAGACAGCTCTAGCTCTATACTATACGGCACTACCTATAATTATCTAAAAAGCCGTAGAAAAAAGACCCGACCGCGAGGCCTAATCGTGAGACAGTGGATCCGATGATACTATATAATATGGCCGCGCTTACGAAGAGACTTGGATTTCAATCGCCCTAAATTGAGCAACTAATCTAGTTGTCCCTAGACCGGCAAATCGCGTAGGATGCCCTCCTAAAAGCCCGCCGACCCGATCGTTATCGGTATAATAAGAGAGAAGTTGAGTCTTTGATTAGAAAGGTCATAGACTGCTTCTTGAAGGCTATTCCTCTCGACTATCAGCCTCTAATACACTACGCTAGTAGGAGGGAAACCAAAAAAGCGTTCCGATATAGACACCTACAAACAAAAACCTAACTGCACGACCGTAGGTTCCTTTTAATTGACTAAATCTATAGTGACTCCGTATAGAAGGAACGAAAGGTGAGTTCTATCTTGGTAAGGAGCAGTGTCTATTTTGCTTTTTTTGGTAAGTTACGAACACCCCGTGTAGAAGACGACCGTGCGGGAGGGTCTCTAGATTTAGACTTACCGATGTCTCTACTCTTTGTTCTAAGCCACCCTTCGCCGTAGGACGAGCGAGAGAGGGAAGATTTATTTCCGGGCTTAGAAGCCGGACAGAATAGCAGCTTAGAACGGCAACGCGTTAAAGACGCACGTCGAGAGCGAAGTGAACAGAAAAGAGCGAAAAGGCTAGAACGGCAGTAACGGAGACCTCAAATCTTATATATAGACGGCTATTCTAGTTCTTACTCTAATAGCTTGTCGACCGTATCTCCTGAGCCTGATATAGAACTCGCACGCATTAACCCGGAGAGAAGCGGAATAGAGGAAATAGACACGCTAGTAGAGACGGACTCGGAAATACTTTTGGAAGGGAGTGGTGGAACAGAAAGGGATAAGCAGAGTCCCCCTAAGATGGAACTATTCGTAGCCGATGAGCTCGAGCACAACGAGAATATCGAAGATGAGTATGGGGTCAGGGAAGAGGAGTCAGACGACAGCTCTGATGGATTGAGACTTGACACTGAGCAGCCGCCTGAGGCGGTTGAAGAGAGCATACCCCGGGAGGTCTTTCCACAAGATGCTAATATGGAAGAAAGAGCATTTGAACAACAGGATCAAGCGGCAGGATTGAGAAGGCAACTTTCCTCTATAGAAGAAGTTCAATAAACAATGGATGTCTTGGAAGGGCGAGGGACATGGAGTCTAAAAGGGGACCTTCCCGGACAGTGAGCAGAAAAAGTGCGGCGCTGAAAGAAAGGGCCAAATACAAACCATATGACCGGACACAGCGGCGGCAGCAAACACCCAGACTGTCAACACCACCGCCGGAGACCCTGGAGCAGGATATAAATGCACTGCTACAAGCAGGACAAACGGAAGGCCAGAAATAGACAGCAAAACGTGTTACTCAGATCAATTTCCTCGACGGGTTACTTGGGGTGAACTCTTGAAGTAACTGTCACGGTAACCGCTACCGAATGTACCCCCACGGGTGGTAGGGACAACTGGGACTACGGCATCTGTTCGGACCCGACGATCCTCTACGAGTACGGGCTGGATGACCGCACAGACTACTCCTACACCACACGGAACCAAGGTGACTTTCTATTCGGCTCCGACCCGTCTATCTTCAGCCCAGAGGATTTGATTTGCAACCGACTTCGCAGCCCGTGCAATGCGCCCCAGGAGACTATCGATCGGTGCTACGAAGCAGAGAGTGCGACACGGAACCTGTCGGGACAAGAGGCGGCTGATGTGTGGAATGCGATGATGACCTAGATCGTGCTGCTCGCAATGTTGGGTCTGGCCAGCTGTTCACTACACACCTTGTCATTAAGCTGACATCCAGTGTCCCCTTCTCTTCTCTCCTTTTTGACCTATTTTAGACAACCGGAGTATAATTTTAATACGCCAGATTCACGTTCGGCTTACTTATTGTAGTCCATCCTGATAAGATATTTCTGTCAGCTATCTTCTACTACGACTCGACGATTCGATTAGATCAACTTGTAAAGTAATATCATTGCAACCGTATTCAGCAATGTGGCGGAAGTTGTATGTTATTGGAAACTGTCAAGAGGAGAGATGCCAGCAATACGCGAGGACCCATATATCCCGCTTTGCGCCGCTTTGCGGTCCGATATCCTTGGAATACCCGATTTCTCACTTGTTTAATCTGGTATCCCGGCCATACTCGGATCCTAGCGCCGTAACACGCTAGTTAGCGATGTAAGGAATATTCAACGCTTCTTACCAGAAACTTAGTAAGATATTTATTTAGGAGGCATCGCATTCCACTGGATCTCATCTTTACTACTCGATACATTATATAGATAAATTGACAAGTAACTGATAGTCAGAGCTTCGAAGCTTTCTTAGATATAATTTTTGTTATCATTTGAAATCTTATTGTCTTCCAACCGCCTGGACAATTCTCCCATGTCGACGTTTCAATTCGCCGGCAACCTTGGGTGGCTGGGCCCAGTGAGGTTCTAGATGGTAACACTCACAAACTTTTAAAAGGACCCTTGTGAGGGTCATATCTACATCAATCGATGGCTGAATCTCGTTAAAGTTATCGTGATAAGGGGCTGACTGAGCCTCGGCGTTCGAACATTCTATGATTGTCACACGCACGCGATCCGCCGCCCGTCCATGAATGGAAAGGAAAGACTTACAGTTAAACATTCGTTACAGTCCACTCATAGCTTTCGAGTGTACAGGGTGCCTCCATGAATTTTCATCACTCGAGGTATATAACAACCGCCTAGTTCATATGTATTGGCAGGAATCCACAGTTGCACCAGTAATGCGCAATGTGCCACATGGAACCTATCCACATCTCACTGCCAAGCACGGATTACCACAATCGGCCCCGAGCCTCCCACGAGGTCCGCGACATTTCAAAGCTATGATTGCCTTCGCGGATGATGATCTTCTGCGTAAATGTTCAGTGGAGTGACGAGTATGTGGGCATTCCTTGACATCCTTAACTGGGTGGCGTTCTCATCTGAGGTCCAGCCATTCCTTACCAGCCGCCATGGAGAGCACCAGCACAAGAAGTTTGATGACGATTAATGCCTGCTTCTTTCAGCACAAGCCTGGTTTCAAAGTGTCATTTCCAGAGGCAGGATGTGGCTGGACTTTCAAGCGACATGCAATGTGGTGCTACCACTATTCCCGATTCCACCAAGGCGCACCCCTACCGGAGCCACAATATCTAGATTTTCCAGCCAGCCACCCAAATGACCCCTGCGAAAATGTTAGGACTAGCTTTGAAATTGTGGAAACAACGTCTAGAGGCCGTTTTGTCTCCCGCGGTATCTATTCAGAAGCTGATCGAATTTCCAGCATTGACTGGATAGAAAATGTCGAATGTCATTCTCCAGCTTACTTTGTATTATAGGGCAGATTTTAAAAGTCACCTAGTAGATACATTAACAAAACATATTATGAGGTAAAAGGGGCTATAGTAGTGAAATGAGGAGCGATATAGAGATAACAAGTCTTCTGCTGGAACTCGATCTGTCCATATTTTAAATATCAGTATAATATTTATCCTATTCTCACTCTTGACCTACTACGCCGCACGAAACATAGGTTTAAGAGAAGCCGGCTTCTACGTAACCTGAGATGACGGACCAGGCGACTCCTATCGCCCTAAATGCATCTGCTATAAAGAGCATCTCTTATACTACTCCTTTTATATTACTTAACCGGCTCCTATTCCATCTCCGAAGGCATCACCTCTAGACCACTCGACACATCCGCGGATTCTTCGGATAAGATAGCTGTCGATAGCCTACTAGGAACTCTAGAGGTCAAGAGTGAAACCTCCTCACTACCCGAGTATAGAACCTAGTACCCCTAGCCTACCTACGGTTCGGACCGACCACGAAATGAAAGACGCACCTAGTGCGCTCCTTTCGCCTTACAAGATTTCTCGCGAGCGCGAGATAGATTTGGACGAGGAGCCGGCGGCCAAACGCACGAAGGTTAAACACGAGAACAGTACTATAGATTTAAAGCTGTTCGAGTTCCCTACCCCCTCCGCCGAGACTTCGGGACCCGTTGCCGCACCCAGGAAGTCCACTGTCAGCAAAATATAGCATACATTTCTCGCGAAGGATCTAACTAGCCTGAAGCGCATACATAATACACGGTTATATAAGGTTCCGATAGATCCGATCATGTTGTATATCCTTAATTATCATAATATTATAACCAGACCCATAGGTTTGGGTACCATAGAGAAGAATCTCAAGATCAACGAATATCTATCTCTTCGAGCCATGTAGATGGAGTTTGTTTTGATAGTGTGGATAATATAAATAATCTTCGACCCCCTAGCCCGATCTAATCTTGTCCTAGGTTAAAGTATCTGATCGTACGGAGGACAATATGTGGTATCTATTCTATATAGACTAATCAATACCAGTTGCGTATCTGGAATTGCTACCGCTACATAATTCCAGCTGTAGACAGACGCCGAACCACGCGGTCCTTTCGAAGCATCACAAATGCATCGAGTATTTCTGTGAGAAAGCTGTCTATTATCATAGGATCTCGAACATAGCAGACAGGGGTTCCCTACGTATGCTTTGGAAGCTGGAACAGCTCGAACGAAGTGACCAACTAGCGATCATGGTAAGCTACAAGGAACGTAATATACGGGATATCAACGCCACGCCTTATGTCAATATAGGAGGATACGGTATAGGTCATTAAAGATGGGATCCAATGGAATCCGATTCTCAACATGATGATGTCTAACTATCTGAGTGTGTAGGCGGAAAATGAAGAATATCTCCTGCCTCGCTGTCTAGCGCGTTACGGCGCTGTATTCCGAATGTACCCGGCATACAATACAAAAATTGTAGGTATTGAACCGGGGCGCTCGTGTGCAAATCTGACAAAAGCAGAAGAAGCGGAGCTGGCGTCAACAAACCGACCACAAAACCACCGTACACCGCGCTGGAGGGAGGCCCCTTAAAGAGAAAAACAGATGCTGGATATAAAAAAAAGAGTGCGTCATTGTCTAAATCTAATCTCTCCCGAAAATGAAGCTATATCTGTAACGACTGTGCATGGGAAAAATATCCTCCAATAGGCTGTTATGTAGCGCGTCGGTTTCCCCACTACAGTATCGAGTTTTCTTGTAATTCTTGGACGCACATCGGAATATGTGGGTCCTCTCCGTATTGATTGCTTCTTTCCTCTTGACATAATTCAATCATTTGTTTCATCAGCCAAACTTACTATGACCTCATTTAAGGAGCTGTCTAGCACTGGCCCTCAACTAGGGAGCTGTCTAGCGCTGGCCCCCAACTAAGGAGCTGTCTAAGCGCTGGCCCCTAACTAAAGCACTGGTCCTCAACTAGAGCTGTGTGTCGTGGAAAATGCAGTATCAAGTTTCATAGGACTACCTAGGGGCAAGCAGCTCGCGGGAGCTAGTCGCAAGCGCGAAATCACGTGCACTTGGGTATACTACAAGTAACACGAAAAGGGCTCGTAGAAAATTTATATCATACTCTAAAAGATATACCTGAAATATTATAGACACCGTACATATAACACGTGCAGTCTTGATATCACCAAATTGACCATTTTGAGAATTCTATTACAATTTCAGAAGGCCGTTTTGAAAATCAGGGCATAAATCCAAGGGTTCCACCCGCCCCCGCGGCTGCTTTGCTTGATATAGTATCTCGTGCAATTCTCCACCGAGACCAACATCCCTACTCGAGGTGCGATATTTGTATTCATTTGATAGCTGCATAGGGAAAGTGTGCACAACCAGATATCCTGCTCCTTCCAACAGATTGAGATCCCTGTTGTCAAGAAGTGCTTAGTATGGGTATATACAAGAAATCGTAAGTTGGGTTGCTATTAACGGCTCCTCTGCCGGCTTTACGTATGCCATTGTGGTTAGTACTAAACCAAACTAGGAAATACTGACGCAGGCGACATTTTCTTTTGAGTTAAGTGAAATGGCATTCCTCCTATACCAACAAAACCAACTATATCCATGATATTCATAATACTTCACGTGTATCATAAAATTAGAGCATGACGTAGGAATTCTGAGCCCTTTTCACGCTACTCGATCCCTAGGTAGACATAGAGCGCTTAGCCAACGTTCTATAACATTTCAGCCATATATCCTAATATCAGTGTGATGATGATCTTTGTATAGGCACTAACTTACAGCGCACGGGCCATTCGATCGGCATATTTAATCCACGATTGACCAGCTTTATCGAAAAACATCAGCCATCATTTTCTATCTAATTTACTATCTAGAAGTCTGGAGTCTAATCATTCCACTTAAAACAAAGAAACTTCGCTATGTCTCAACCAAGTGGGAACGCACCCAATAGTGGGAGGAGCAGGAACACCCCAAGACCTCCACCCCCTGTGAACCCTCCACGCAAAGCGACAACTGAGACCGTGGAGGATTATAGGAATAGACTACGTTACGGACTGAATTATTATCAAAATGTATGCCCTGATCCTATTAAAAAAGCGGAAGCTGAAGGATATTATGGACGAGCCATGGAAAGTGATCTTTTCGTGCATGAGGCCAACGCTGCAAAAGACGAGGAATTTTGGGAGAGTCTTACGGATGCGGAGAGAGTTTTCTTCACCAGGTACAGAATAAAACCATGGAAGCAGAACATAACAAGATCTGCAGTGGATAGGAACCAGAATCATATTCCCTCGGCAAGACATGGGCATTTGGGATGAGCTAGGAAATCTCCACAAATTAGTAAGTTTGTTTATCAATCTTACAATGCTAAAATTGTCTTTGAAACTTACGCCATATTTTTAGGAGTGCTTGTCAGCCTGACTCTCAAAGTCTAGCATGCAATACAACCTAGTCGTCGTTCTCATTTTTTTTCTCTTCATATCGTTTTGAGGAATTTCAGTGACATCAGGAGTCATCTTCACACGCTATACTCTCTTCCCTCATTTATTGAGAATTGAAATCTAGTTTCTAAGCCTCATATACACCCCATTTCAAGTAAATCTCAGGGCTTAGTGAAACTTTCCCGGTTTCAAGCCGTCATCATTGCAGGTTCATATAGGCCTATCTTGCCAATAAAATATCAACATAACGTCTTTATTGTTAAAGGAGAGCGAACTAGGTCGATTGCCCCATCGAAAAGAAAGCCCTTTTTATTCGGCCAGGTTTCTGTAGGGTTAAACCGAAGTTACCCTGGTCTATAAAGGGATAGCCTACTACTGTACCATTTCCTCGGGTATGGTCGACCATTCCATGCTCTTCGTCCGTACGCCCCTATAGGATTGTAGAAAGATCCAAAATGACAAGAAACAGCTATTGGGTGACCTAGTTCTAGTGTCTATTTTTCTACCTAATCGTCAGGTTTTCTACCCTGTAAAGTGGACCTTTATTACAGCGATAGATCACCACATGATATGTGATCTGACGTGGCCAGGTGTGATGGAGACAAGCCTAGGCTGTATGACAGAAAGACAGCCAAACCCCAGGTGAAAGAGTGACGGAACGTCAGGCCGGTAGGGACCATGTGACCGCACCAGAGGTGGCGGATCTGTCATCATAAAGCCTAAGGGTTAAGGTATCAGTTAAGCGCCTCGGGCCTCGAATCAGGAATAGCCTTATCTTATAAAATCATATAACACTGATTGTCAGGCTTTCTACCCTACATAGTAGATATTCTATTAGAATTAGAGACTATCCTATAGCCTATTTCTGTTAAGCCCTATTGCGAGTGCAAGATGTGATACAGTGCCAAAGAGGCTCCAACAATGATTGATACGAGACTGGGTCAAAAGATAATAGCACTGGATCAATCGAACTTGCGCACTAGTTAGACGTATTGATCCCTTCTCCTTTGTGAGTTGATGTTCTGCCGCCAAGAAATATCTTGCACTGCAGTTTTTAATCTTCAGTAAAGTGCTAACAAATCACGTTACGATTGCAGCCTTACTAACCTCAGATCAGGTGGACCTGGTCTATCATTGTCAGCCATGTAGACTCTTGCTTGTGCAAAAACCATAAATAATAGAGCAACCCTAGCTGGAGTATTGCTCACATCACGCATGACTCCAAGGGTATCATAAAATTCCTCAAACCATTCTTGAATCGTAGGCCTATGCAGAAAGCGGTATGTGGGCATTGCAAAATCAAAATACCGATCTATCAAAGGTTGAGCATCGGCTCTCGGAAGCATCATGCAGAATGATGGGTCTGATTCAGGAATATGAAGAGGTGCGTCCCCGAATGTGAATATACTGCTCGCCTGGGAGAACGAGATCGCTTGGTGGAGCCTTTTCTGGATTCTAAGAAGAAAGGAGAGCCCCGATGCTGGTCCAATATACTGCCCATAGGAATCAGTTTGAGAATGTTCAGGAGATTCTGGCGAGAATGTTTCTGCATAAGCCGAAGTCAAAGGCGTGGCATCTGGGGAGCAGACGTGCTCACTCTCCATCACATGGGGCTCATCCAGCGCGATCCCAGCCTCTGTTCTGGGTAATGACGCAGGATACCGCTGTACAGATTCAAACCAGGTATTGCATATAGAGGCTGTGTTATCGAGAGAGCTTGGAATGTCTCTATGATCTATGCTTGAAACTGGAGGAATGATAGGTGCCCTTCCTCTTGCATAGGCTGAAACAAACAGGCAATTCGCTTCTGCCCGGACACAAAAGTCACATGGTTGCTTGCCATTGCATTTTATTTTTCTCCTGGAAAGTTTTGCATTCAGCTAATGACACAGCTAGCATATACATATAAGGGACCTCTCACTTTTTGCACCTATCACATGCTCTAGTGACCCTTACTCTTTCCCTGTTTCGGTCTCGTTTCTTTTTCAGCGTCGGCTTAGGATCCTTTGAAGGTGCCGGTAACGATTCCCTACCGTGAATCGAAGTCATAGTATTGATATGCTTTGCATGGGTCACGCGCCAAAGGTAACACGGAAAAGCAAAGACATTTAGCGGAGTTAGAATTCTCGAGGAGAAAGCTCACAATGCGGGGAGACCTGGTCTTTTCCGGGAGTGTGGGGATTCGTGGGGGTGGACCCAATAGCTTTTCCGTCAACATGAAGCCAAGAGTTAAAGATCTTACGCTTATGTGATTTGTCTACAGCCTAGGAGATACTTGGTATCAGTATGGCAATAAATGAACCTTGAATCTTTATTACGTTATCACTAATAATTCCTTCATCGCTTAAAGATTTCTTCTTCTGAGCTATTATTTTTATCGATTTTGATTCCCAATAGAATCCGCCTGCAGATGATAAAGGATGGCAAATACGATGTCCAAGCGCCTGGATGGCAAGACAATCCTCATCACTGGTGCTTCATCTGGCATTGGGCAGTCCACAGCGTTTGAATTCGCTCGCACATCTCCCAAAAACGTCAAGCTGATTCTTGCTGCACGCCGTATCGACAGTCTTCGCCAAATTGCGGCCGATATTATTCAAGAGAATGGGCACGGTGTCAAAGTACTCCCTGTTCAACTTGACGTCAGTAACGCCAATGAAGTGCGTACATTCGTGGATAAGTTGCCTACTGAATTTAAAGAAATTGATATTTTGGTCAACAATGCGTGAGTATTTCAACAGCTGCGCCTCGGTTTTCTGTGTAACGAACAGTTTTCAAGAGCTCACATTGTTTTCGTGCCTAGTGGCCTGGTACGAGGAGTAGCCAGAGCGCCCGAAATTGCCGAAAATGACATCGACATTATGTTCCAAACAAACGTAACGGGCTTGATCAGCATGACACAAGCTATCTTGCCCATTATGCTCAAACGCAATAACGGCGAGGGATCTGGCGATATCATCAATATTGGTTCTATCGCGGGTCGTGAGCCATACCCAGGTGGTGGAATTTACTGCGCAACTAAGGCTGCCGTGCGGTCTTTTACAGAAAGCTTGCGCAAGGAGCTTATCTCTAAGCGCATTCGAGTCATTTGCATAGATCCTGGTCAGGTTGAAACCGAGTTCTCCGTCGTCAGATTCTACGGTGATAGGAGAAAGGCGGATGCAGTTTATGCGTAAGTCCTTTTGCTGAGCTGCCCCTACAGTATTGAAAGTTCACTAATTCTGACTAGAGGCTGTAAGCCATTGACACCTGTTGATATCGCCGAAGCAATTGTATTTGCCGCCGGAAGGAGAGAGAATGTGGTTGTTGCTGATACTTTGCTTTTCCCAAATCATCAGGCCAGTGCAACTATTATGCACCGGAAGGACACATAGAGAATGTTTGAACAGTGTAGATTTTATCAAGATAACCAGCAAAACGTACAATATTACTAGCTATGCCCATATACTTCAGAATCACAATCTGTGAATTGAGATGAAGAGCGTTCTGAAGTAACTATAACTCTACCCCGTATGCCTATTTCGTTGAAATTCCAATACGGATCCCATGTATTAGGAATTCCTGGACCATCACACCAAATAATGGAAGTTTTCATTCAATTAGTCTTGATCGGCTAGATTCCGTGCCTCGGTGCGGCTATGTTTGAGCTGGACTTGGATTTCTCCGACGGAGAATCTCCGTCGGAAATGGATTTGACAAATCCGTCTACGTAGAGATTATACCCCTCCCTCACATCCACATGCCAAGAATAAGCTGTGTACCGGAGTGAACCCCGATTGAGGACAATGAATTTTCCCAGGGTCATATTGATTTAAAGTGTTAAGCCACCTTCTTGCTGTGGTACATGAATGTGAAGTACGCAGTATCCTCTGTGAAGCAAAAAGGAAAGCAGGAACTTCGACAGATCAACACATAAGAGTTGGGTCGACGGGCCTTTGTGCTATCGGGCGGATAATCCCCACCGGCGTATACTTCTGGAAATCTGTTAAATAGTCTATATTTCCCCCGATCTCCATGAAAAACCTTAATGCGAAACAAGAGCTATCTATCAACATGTCTGTCACCATCGTCCCTGCCAGCGGCGTCTGGGCTCCAACCATTACATTTTTCGACCATAATACCGATAGTCTTGACACAGAGTCACAGGCAAGATACTACACTTATCTTTCCAAAACTGGCCTCGCTGGCTTGGTTGTTTTGGGAACAAATTCTGAGACGTTTTTGTTGACGCGGGAAGAGCGAAAGTCTCTCTTGGAGATTGCACGAAAGGCATGCGGTCCTTCATACCCGATCATGGCCGGTGTAGGCGGCCACTCGACCAAGCAAGTACTGGAATTCATCAATGATGCCGCAGGTGCCGGAGCCAACTATGTTCTTTTACTACCTCCAGCCTATTTTGGCAAGCAGACGACATCGGCTGTAATTAACAGTTTCTTCGATGATATTGCAACGGCAAGCCCACTGCCGATTGTGATCTACAACTTCCCGGCTGTCTGCAACGGCATAGATCTTGATTCAGCAACCATTGCAAATCTGGCCAAAAGGCACAGCAACATCGTCGGTGTTAAGCTGACATGTGGTGCTGTGGCCAAAATAACACGTCTGGCAGCCGAGTTTCCAGCTGAGAGATTTGCCATCTTCGGAGGTCAATCGGACTTTCTGATCGGCGGCTTAGCTGCAGGATCCTCGGGCACTATTGCAGGATTTGCGAATGTTTTTCCAAAAACTATTGTGCAGATCTACAATTTTTACCAGGAGGGCCAGTACAAGGAGGCAATGGAGTTGCATAAGAAGGCAGCACTCGCTGAGCAGCCCTGCAAGACTGGTATTGCGTCCGTCAAATACGCCGCGGCGCTGAACACGGCCAAGGCAGCGGGAATCGAAGGAGCATTGGAGAAGCTGAAGCCACGCCGGCCTTATGTCGAGCCATCTGAGGCAGAAAAGAATGGCATCAAGTCACACTTCGCAAGCTTGGTGGATATAGAGGCAAGCTTATGACCAACTTAGAAAGAAATTAACAGTTGTCGACTCTCACACCATACCCAGAAGATAATTAAATATACTGGAATTTATTGGTGTGGGAAGCATTATTATTTCCTGCTTTTAAAATCTACAAATCAAGTCAAAAATGTAGGGAAATTCGACAAGACAAAAAACATGAATTCCTTTGCTTCATCCCTAATCGCACTATTTACAAGACATACTTGAATAGCGGAGATCTGTCACCCAAGTCAAAAAGCTCATCCTCAGTGTATCTGAGTCTAGCCTCATCCACAAGCTTGGCTTTCTTTGCATTCCCAGACTTGTAGCTCCACTCAAGAAAGAGCGCGACAAAGAGTCCAACTCCACCAAGAGCCAAACTCAGGCCAAACCCAGTGTAATACGTGGGATTCTCCTTCTCCATGTACATGAAACTACCCAAAATGCCACCGATATTGCCAACACAGTTCATAAGGGCAATACCGATTGCTCGTCGCGATGAAGGCGCAATGTTGTTTGCATTCCAGGAGGCGGCAGCTGCTTGGATAGGGTAAATGCCTACCACCGCAAGAACGACTGCAAAGTAGGCCACTCCTCGCTTTTCTTGGAGGGCTCCATGTAGCGAGATGAAAATCGCGTAAGCAACTGAGACGATAATCATTGGGATTACTACGAAGGGCATTCGCCAATAGAAACGATCGGAAAGTTTGGCAAATATGATGGCCGATATCGCAGCAGCGACATACGGCGGTGCAGAAGTGAGCTGGGCATTGGTGTCGCTGAAGCCCATGGATTTTGTGATCGTCGGAAGCGTGAACTTGGTACCTGAGAAAAGTAGTGTTTTAGTTTTTTTCTTTTTCCCTCTCTGTGATTCAATAAGCTCGATAAGTGATTTGCTTACCATAGGAAAGCGCAGATTGGCAAAACAAGAAGTAAGCCTGTACATAAACCCTCCAGTTGGTGAGTACCATTTTAAGATCTCGCATCTTGAATCTAGCCTCTTCATGGCTAGTTCCTCCTTGCTTGATGAACATGGAGAGTTCCAAGTACCGAATCTCCTCGGGGGATAACCAGGCCCCAGAAAGGGTGGGGGTATCGATGAGGAGGAAAAAGCATGCCACTCCGAGTACCACACTAGCAAGACCTTCAAGGATGAAGATCCACCGCCATCCCTCAAGACCGCCAACGCCGTCCATTTGTGCGATAGCAGCTGCTAGTAGACCAGAGAAAGCACCAGAAAGCGCGCTCGCGCAATAGAAGTATGAAATGCGAAGGGCTAGGTCTTTCGGCATATACCAGTAGGAGCAGAGATAGATGGCACCAGGAAAGAATCCAGCTCTATGATGATCCAAGGTGTCAAAATTTAGTATCTTTGAAGAGTTTTTGAGAATTGACTTACTCAAAAATGCCTAATAGAACACGTGTAGCCATAATCCCAGCAAAGTTTTGGACCAAGCCAGTACATGTCATCACAATTCCCCAGCTGGAAACAAGGATCCCAAGGTACATGGACGGGCGAGTGAACTTTTTGAGAAGGATGTTACTGGGAACTTCGAGCAGGACATAGGGGATAAAGACTAGCAAGCTCTGTCAGTGTTCCACATCCTGACTATCATGAGGGGCCCGTTGACAAGTCTTCTGAAGTTACTCACAAATAGAAAGAACAGTATTGTACTGAACGCCTGTCATTCCCAGATCCTCAACCATGCCCTCGATCTTCGCATTTCCGATATTGGCGCGATCAATGTGGCTGATCAAATACAGCACAGCCAGCATGGGGACCAAACGAATATCAACCTTGAAATAGTTAATCCTTGAACCCCAGCTCCGTAACAAGGAAGCCATCTAGAGCGCCTCACCTTGCGAAAAACCTTCTTTCGACTCTCCTCTGGGAAATTGGAATAGAAGTGCTCATCATCAGGAGTCAAGCCAACAACTCGAAAGGTGCCAATCTCGGTAACATGGGATGGCTTTGGAACGCTTTCAAGATGAGAAGGCTGATCAACGATCTCGACGTCCTCCTTGTGGATGGGGCTAGGTGCCATGACGACGCAACGCAATGCAATGCAGGCTTTCCGTTTCACCAACCTCACGGGCAATTACAGATTTTTGACAAGTTCAGGTGGAGAAAGGCGACTCCGCATTCAAAAGCTGATGTCCAGTCTTCCATTCTATCGGTCGAAGTGGGGGTGATATATAGACCATCTCGCACATATCCGCTTGGCGCAGATTCCGCGGCATGGTCACCATTGCGAGCTGACAACTGAACGGCATGACTCTGGAGCTCGTCTTGGCTCAACGCATTACCCCAGTACCCCGGCCTTGGCAACCATGCGCTGAGGGGGTCGCACGGCTTGAAATGCGGGGCGATTGACTGCCACTGCCTCCTTTGGACATCCCGAGAAGCTCAAGGGTACGGATAAGCACCCAGTTATAAGCAGATCCGATATGGAAACGTTCCTTCATTTTCGCGGATAACCATAGCTCTCACACCAACGGGGGCTAACACGCGGTGGGTCCTCCCTCTTCTTTGCGGGGTATAACAGTTCGTTGGTTGCTTTTGGCTTTCTCCATGCGCTTTTCCAGTCTAATAGAGATGGTCTTCTCCGAGCACAATTCCGGAAATGTAGGGATAATATTCCATCCCGGCGTTCTGCCAACATAGATACAAGATGCACCTATTAAATCACTTTCCTTATCCCTCTCGGATTGCCTGGTAGTTCTGTCTCCGTACATGGTTTAGTGTCCGCAATCATGTCGCAAAAACGATTAATCAAAAAGATCGTCATCACGCCCGTGGCATTCCATGACATGCCCTTGTTGAATAGCGTCGGCGTCCATGAACCATTTGCCTTGCGCAGCATAATAGAAGTGGTTACAGAGGACACATACGGGCTCGGCGAATCCTATGGAGATTCAGCCCACCTAGCTCGACTGCAGAGTGCCGCTGAGCGGATAAGCGGGCTTTCTGTATACGACACCAATGCCCTTTACAGGATCTGCGCCGACTCGCTGGTGGGCGACACCACCACCGGCGGAGATGGCATGGCCGGGATGGTCACCACGGCGTCCGTGGTGGACAAGGTTTTCTCACCCTTCGAGGTTGCCTGCCTCGATATCCAAGGCAAATTGGCTGGCCTGCCCGTGAGCGAGTTGCTTGGTGGCCGCATGCGAGATACCGTGCAGTACTCCGCCTATCTCTTCTATAAATGGGCCGGTCATCCCGGTAACCCTGATGACGAGTACGGCGAGGCCCTGACACCTGCGGGGATTGTCCAGCAAGCCCGGAAGATCATCGACGAGTATGGGTTCAAGGCCATCAAGCTGAAAGGCGGCGTCTTCCCGCCCGCCCAGGAAGTCGAGGCTATCAAGGCGCTGCATGCTGCATTCCCGGGTGTGCCCCTCAGGCTCGACCCCAATGCCGCATGGTCTGTCGAGACTTCCAAATGGGTAGCAAAGGAATTGGAGAATATCGTCGAATATCTGGAGGATCCAGCCCCAGAGATCGAAGGCATGGCGGCCGTCGCGCGAGAGGCATCGATGCCATTGGCCACCAATATGGCCGTCGTGGCCTTCTCGCATCTCCCACCCTCAGTCGCGCAGAACGCCGTCCAAGTGATACTGTCTGACCATCACTTCTGGGGCGGCCTGCGCAAGTCGCAGACTCTCGCCGCGATCTGCGCGACCTGGGGAATGCGGCTCTCGATGCATTCGAACAGCCACCTAGGCATCTCTCTGGCCGCCATGACGCACCTGGCAGCTGCGACGCCTAACCTTGACTATGCCTGCGACACTCATTGGCCATGGAAACGTCGCAACGAGGATATCATTGTCGACGGCAACTTGCAGTGGCAAGATGGCGGGGTGGTGGTCCCTCGCGCGCCGGGTTTAGGGGTCGAACTAGATCGGGAGAAACTCGCACGGCTCTATCAACAGTATCTAGACTGTGGCATGACGAAGCGAGACGATACGACGTACATGCAAAAATTCCATCCAGAGTTCTCGCCCCATATTCCCCGGTGGTGAGGATTTGGAGGTCGTCTAGACGGCGTCAGTTATGGTATACTACAGCGAACCTCGCATCCTTGGACTTCGGAGAAACGATGCTCTGTACCGACCAGTGTCTAGGTGTCTAGACGCAGCACGCTGCCAAATCCCATGAAAAGAGCAATTTACCGAATGTTACCGAGCCGGTGCCAACTTTCTACTCGCCTCGGGGACCTGTCGATACATGATCATATAGCCTCTGCATACTTTATGTAGAACAGGCAGTATCAGAAGATTGGAGCATCCACGTACAAGCATGTTTGGAAATGGTCTTGCCCCATTCACAAGTCTAGTACGTCCAGACGAACATAATCTAATCTAACATAACTCTGTTCCCAATACCTCCAAGATGCTTCTCCCTATATTCCGTATAGCCTACATACTTAATGTGGAGCAAACCCAAGCAAGAGAATCATTATCCTCGATGGAGGCTCGTAGGAGAGGGTTTTACTGGGTGATCTAGTAGATCAGAGCGAAAAGAAGTTGAAAGTCAGGGTCATAGTAGATTCATGATCATTCATTACCGTCATATCGTCTCTCTAAAACAGAACCAAAAGCCAGGACGCAGGGCTCGCAGGCGCAAGATCCCCGGAATGCCAGGAAGAGAATAGAGACCAAGAAACAACCCCTTTTCTGCCCAGGAAAAGAAAAAGAAACAAAATAATAAAAAAAAAAAAATCCAAGAACAATGAAAACACAAACAGGTCGCACAGAAATTTCCCAATGACCAACACGTCTCGAAACGAGAAGAGAACAACAGTTAATTTCAAAATGAGATCACATGAGACCATGGCAATTGCGAATTGTAGAGATCGTCAATCGCCCACATAGAAGATTCGTCATAAGAGATTCGTCACATCATAGTCATTAAGCGGATTCAAAAGGGGGTGGGGTCGGGAAGATGGGTGCTTTTGTATAGAAAGTAGGCAGTAGCTTCGAGCTTAACCGTTGCTAATTCATGTTGAAGCCATGGACCTTCACCCCTCTGCCGGGTCATCACTTCGCAAAATGGCATGGCAGCCACCACAGGCAAATGGCGGGCTGTGTTCAACCCCGAGAAAAGAGACAATGCCCAGAAAGAAAAATTCAAATCCATCGAAAATGTATGCCTAAAAGAAGTCGTGACATGGCAACAAAAGAAAGTCGAAGGGAAGAAAAAAGACTTTCATGGCTCCATCATGAGGCAAGATGGAGGGAAAGAGGCTGGGCGTGCAACTTGAAACATGTTTTGCTAAAGGCCGGAAAATAAAAAGCAAGTCGTGGTGAGCGTTTCTCAAGTCCGCGGCGGGAGCAACCAAACCAAGCGAGGTCGCAATGCCGCAGTCTATCGTCATAAAGGAAGAACTCCCCAAAAAAGAAAAAAAAAGCAAGTCATAAAACTCCAGATCCAGAGGAGAGAGGGAGAGGTGAAGAGACATGGCAACTTCGGGGCGAGAGTGTGAAACATTCATCAACACCACTCAAAACATGCAGCATGGAACCGGAGATTGTAGTCCCTTTATCGACGGCGAGCCATGACACCACCGGTCTTCATGGGCTGCAGCAGAGGAGCGCCACCCACGGGACCCCCGAGAGTCGTGTCGGTGATGGTCTTGCGGCGCTTGCTTTCATACTCACCGGCGCTGTCAGGCCGGATGATATCGTCGTCCTCACGCATGCGCTTGCTACCTGAGCCCATATTCCCATTCACCGTCGAGTACACAGGTGTGGTGGTCGAGGCCATGGAGTAAGGGTCCGATGCACCGTTCACGGGAGTGCCGCGGGTGTCACTGACGGCGTTGTACAGTGTGGTAGCCGCCGGGGGACGTGGGGGAGTATTGTAGCCCGAAGCCCAGTGCGGGGGCGGACCGCTGCTGCGCGGCGTCATGCGGCCCGAACCATTCTGCTGCGGGGAACCAGTCATCTCCGGAGTCAACTGGGCGTGCTCGCCGGTCAAGGATCCGATTGAGGGGTTGGTAGTGTACGTATACGAGCCGCGGTTGTTGTAGGCCGACCCCTGGTCCTGCAGGTACTCCGGTTCCTGCTCCGGGACCGAATCACCGGGACCATTGCTCTGGGAGTAGCGGTCAGACTTCAGATCAGGAGTTTCGGTCTCAGGAGCACCAGGAGCCCGACCTGTCGGAGGCGCCATTTCGTTCTTCAGGTAGCTCATTGTTGGCAGCTGTTGGCCATACGATGAAAGACCCGACTGTGTCATAGGTGTTTGCGGCGCATACTGAGAGTGAGATTGGGGAGCCGCCGAATAGTACGGCTTCGAACTATCGTATCCAGATTGTCCCTGGTAAGGAGGCATGCCCTGCATGTTGTTGCCCGGAGGAGTTGTGGCGGGGGTGGTGGGCATTGAACGCTGGTTGCTCAACGCCGTGTCAATTGACAGAGGCTGCGTATGCGGCACGCCAGAGTTCATGCCCTGACCACCCCATTCGTATGAGCTTCCTGGCTAGTGACACCCATGAGGCTGGATGCGCTGGCCGGGGGTGTAGGAAAGTTGTTGGCGCGATCAAGACCCGGCCGCGGCTGGGACATATGGGAAGACATGGGCGTCTGCATGGCATGATGGTGCAAGCTCGAGGACTGAGGACCGGTCGGGGTGCGCTGAGGCCCTGTGGGAGGACCTTCCAGACGCCGTTGCTGCGATTCTTGCACGACCATGTTGGTCCGGTTCTGGTTCGCCGGGTGGTACAGCAGACCGCCGATGTTGTGTACAAAGAGCGGGTACAAAAGGTCAGTAATTTTCTCCTTGTTGGCGAACTCCAGCGCACGCTCGAATGGGATCCTAAAAACGGGTCAATTGCGATTCTTGGCCTTGCCTTTCAGGCGAAAATGGGGAACACCACATACCAAACACCCTTGAGGTGCATTGGGCCGATTTTTACCACATGACGCAGTTTCTCGCTCTTGAGAATACCGTCACGACGGCCGCGAGTCATTCCAGCGACGTTCAACAGTTTCGTTCCATTGATCATATGGTTATCTGCGTGAAATTCTCGGTCAGGTTCTTGTTCTAGCGTTGCTCTATTGTGCGGTTCGCCCGCGTTTGATAGTGTACTTACCCTCTCTGCGAGCCACACAAACACCTTTCGCTTCCACCTGATAGCACAGGCTGCCCTCATCTTCCCAAAGAGTCGCGGTCACGCGAGGCTTGGCTCCCGGGGGAGCAACCTGGCCAGTCTGGTCATAAACATAGCCTTGCAATGGCGCTCCGGTACTGTTCCCATAGCCAGCAGGAGCGACGGAGGGATGGTTGGCGACTATTGAGAAATTAGTTAGGCAATCAATGCTTTTTCAGTTCCTCCTATGTGGTATTCTGCGTTCCGCTTTCCTGTCTTCATCTTGTCGAGACACTCGCTCCGCCTCAGCGATGAAGGGAAAACTTACCAGGCAACGGCAATAATTGGCTGGGCATTTGGCCACCCATGGAGCTCGCTGGGGGCGGGTGCCCCGTTGGCGGGGAGGTCACGGCATTAGGATATCCATACTGCGGATATGAGGCAGGCGCATAGCTCGAGGTCGGCTGCAAGACCGGCGGTTGTTGATGATATGGGTAATGCGACATGGCGCCCGCTGTGGCGGCCTGGGGGGCATACGGTTGAGCCGAGGAGAGATGGGAGTGAACATCCATGTAGGGCTGAGTTTGATTCATACTGCCAAGTGAAGTTGGGCTGGGATAGTAGCTGTCGGTGGGCGCAATGCCGTACTCCGAATCCAGTGACAGGCGGCCCTGGGTGCCCAGATCCGCAGCCGGCGGGGGGCTCCGGGGCTCCTGGACCGCAGAGACACCAGACAGACTGGTGCGAGCGCTGGAGCTGGAATCCGGAACCTCGGGATAGACGGTACGCGAGGGGGCTTGGGGCGCGGTCGGCAGGCTCAGCGCGGGGAGTCTATCGCCTGAAAACACCGGTCGTTCGGCCGCGTGGTGGTTGTACCAGGGAATGTCAGCAGGACCGCGGGTGTGGACCTGCGAGATCGACGGCAGCTCCAGTTTTTCGGTTTCACGGGAAAGACTGGACAGAGCACGCAAGGAAGGAGGGGAGAAGAGACAGATTGGCTGTCGGGTGGTCTTCTCCGGGGTTTTTGGGGGGGAGATGGAAAAAGGACTGTCAATGAGACACCTGGATCGAAAGAAAGGCCGGGCAAATACGTTGCACGGCGTTCGGGCGGGCGTTTGGTGTCGGAAGCGCAACTAGACGTACGGCCCAGTTGTGGTTCGATTGTTGATGGACGGTTGACGGGCCGGAGGTCGTGGTTTTGTCTTTGATGGTCTGTTTTTTTGGGATCTCCTCCAGAGAGTCAATTCACAGCCGCAGAGCTCACGGAACGTATCGGAGCAGGATTGCGAATCGGCGGTCGTGGTGGTGGGGGAGAAGAGGTTGTTCGCGTCGGAGAACAGGTGCAATGTATATGCGGCACTTTTGGGGGGAGGTGGTTGGGAGTGGGAGGACGGCAGTCGTCAAACGCGAGAGTCCAGCAAGATCAAGCAACCGGCAGAGAAGGTCATTAATCTCATGAACGGGTCGTTACAACGTAAAATGGGTGGTAAGCGGGGAGCTTGAGGGGGGGGGGAGAGATTGGTGGTGGTGGGTGGTGTTTAAGGTAGAAGTTTGGAGCAGCCGCAGCCGGTCAAATAAGCAGGCCGAGGGCAGGGGACGGGGGCAGGTTGGGTTTGGCGGGAGTGGGGGGAGGCGGCGGAGTGGAGGTTCACAGGAGGCTGGCGTGCAGCAGACGCATCCCTCTCTGCAGGTTGGGAAGAAGGAAAGTCAGAGACACAAGGGAGACGAGCCGCAGCACGATGACTAAGGGGGAGGAGGAATGTGGAGAGAAGAGACGAGAAGAGAAGAAGAGATGGGCTGGGAAAAGAAGAATGCAGCAGAAACCCGGGCCCTTTTGGAGGTTTCGCGGCCCAAGTATCGAATCACGGGGAAAGCAGGAGTGTCGGAGAAGGGGGAAATCAAATCGAGCGAGACGATGGACGACGATGGATTTAATGGAGGAAATGGATTAAATGGATTAAACGGATTCCACGGATTCTGGGAAGAGTCGATTGAATCGGGTTAAATCGATTTAAATCGATTTTCGTGAATTTCTCGAATTAGTCGAATTTAGTCGAATTTAGTCGTAATTAGAGGAAATTCCGGTCCTGATTCTGGTAACGGCGACGCCCAGCGCCAGTACTGCTCCAGTCAACCGCCACCACGCAAGGGCACCGAGATCCACGCTCCCCCAGCTGTTTCCACTGCCCCCTCGGCGTGGACGCGTGAATGCCCTCAATCGCGGGCTGTCGACTGTCTACTATCTACTGTCTACCGTCTCCTGTCCGCTGTCCGTTGTCCGCTGTCTGCCCGGGACCATGACCCAAAAAGACCCACGATGAACCAATCCCCCTTCATATGCCGTATCTATGTGTATCCGTACTCCACCACCGCGCCGAGGCATCGTGTATCATTGTATTCACGATCGCCCAAGAACCACCCCCAACCAGAAACCAAAACCCCCCTCCCACTGGATAAAATACCCTCTTCCGAAAATCAAAAATAAAAAAGACCCTCGTCCCAAAAGGAAAAATGCAGGGACAGCGGGACGGGTGAGCGAAAGCGTCAGAGACGAGGAAAACGATAGAGCAGAACCAGCGAACCAGTCAAAGATCCCGTAGAGGCCCGTCACCAGTCGCCAGCAGCCAGCACAGCGCGAGCCGAAACGACCAGGGAAAAAAGAAAAGAAAAAAAAAATACAGAGCGCGAAAGAAGAGGGGGCAGGGCTCCACCGAGCTGAGGATCCTGGTCTGTGTGACAAGCAAAACGCTGATCGCCCGGGATAGGCCCGCTGGGATCGGGTGGAGTCCGATCCCTACCGCCACGCACTTTGGCGAGCAAATCTTGGAGCCTGGCTGTGACGATGAAGAAAAAGCAGAGAAGCAGCAAAGAAAAAGAAGGAGGGGGGAGGGGAGGGGGGGGGAAGGTCTAGTGAATAATTCATAGCTTAAACAAAAAGCCAATGTTGGGTGGCGGACGAACAGCAAAGATTACGATAATATGATATAGATCTATAAGATTATGCCCTCAATGAAGGGAACGGACAGGACTGTCAGTAGGATCGGCCCGCAGTGTTCCCTTTTCTCGCCGTCCCCCCCAATACGAGAGAGAAAATTCTGAGAGAGACTGAGAGAGACAGAGGAAAAAAAAAAAAAAAACTAAACTAAACTGTGAGTCTGTCTGGGAAGATGAACAGGAGTGTACCTGGTCGACAACGGAAGTATACCGGACCTGTTTACGGCGCTGTTTACTCCGGAAGGGATGAGGTGAGCCATGGTTGACGGCCCTCCCCACGCGCGCGGGTCCCACCCCAATGAACCAGGGATGAGCAACGGAGGGAGTAACGTCCGGATGGACTACGAACTTAGCTCACTGTAGTCAGGATAGTCTGTGGTAGCGAGCAGAGACGCTACCTAGTGGATGGGGTCGACGGCGTAGCGCCCATCTACTTCGTTACTTCACATCTTGATACCTAGATAGTCCCCTCGGCCACCCCTCAGCCACCCAATTCGAGACAATCCTCTCTGTCCATTGACACGGGAGAAAAGAGATCGTCCCCTACCAAATGAAATGAGAGGGAAAAAAAAACAAAAATAAAAAGCAAGTCAAGATAGAGAGATAGAGAGAGGGGGAAGAGCGCCAAAAGGGAAAAAAAAAACACTCTCCCAAGAAAAGTGAAATATAATCAATAATCAAAAAAAAAAAAAAGTACAATGAGGATGGCCCAGCGTGGCCGAGTCGAGGCCCGATCGACGAGACCCGTGCAAGACATAGCGCCTGCAGAGCCCGGCGGCTGCACGGTCGATTACGACGGGGGTTTCAAGCAGCGCTTAGTGCGAGCGATGGCGGGGAGACAGGAAACCAAATTGCCCCGAGATGGTCCATGGGGGAGCACATCGGGCGGCCCTCCTCCGGATCTTGGGCGTCAAGGGAAACAGGCAATGCATGAGAGACGAAATCCGACCCCCCCCCCCCTTCCCCCCAAAAATATTCATAAATAATAGTCATGATAATAATATTAGCAGAGGTCATGGAAATTGTGTTCCGTACAGAGTAGTTCAGACGAGAATCCCCTATGGACCAGATCGCTCCGTTCTGGAGGAGAGAAAGGGTTGGGGGGGGGGACGTGGTGGTAATTATTGCTATTATTGCTCTTATTGCTCTTAATCGATCCGGGTTATAGCCCAACCGATCCTAAAGTAGTGCTAATTATACCTAATAATCACTCATCATTCATCCCCGGACACGATGATCAGTTGATGCAACGAGTGATCCGAGCTGGGCACTAATGCCCGCGATCTCGAACTGGCACACGGACTCCCGTCGTTCCTCTAGCGAAAGAATAGATTAATCTAGGAATTAGTTTACGGTCTTCTATTTCCACCTTCCCCTTTTTGAAAACCATACAATTATTCCAAATTAGCTTGGTGGGTTTCTTTATTGTTATGAGATTTTTTATTAAATTCCTTTTCTTTTTTTTTTTTCGTTACCCTCTATTTTCGAATAGCTTGGGTGCGGCCCCGTCGATCTCGGTGGAAATCGCATCCATCACGGCTACAGCCGACCGGGGAGGAAGCAACAAGTGCGGTGGGAGGTGGATATGATGATGAATGACCGGTGCCCAGCCCAGGCCGTCCGCTCTCTCGCGTTCGACGTATGAGGAATCTAGAGCTCCAGCCGATTGTTGGCGCCGGCCCTCGGCCACCAAACCTATTGGAACCACCATCCTGACCATCCTGGCCACCCTTCTCGCCGGCCTCTCAACCTCTTAACCTCTCAACCAGCCCCCACCGCAAGGCTTCCGAGTACGGAGAAGGCTGAGACGGGATGATTCAATTCTCAATGTACCTCCCCCCAAAAGATTTCTATAGAAAAAGAAAAGAAAAAAGGAGACTTATGACGAAAGGTGGTTGGCCAAAAAAGAAAGAGTAAAGCCAGTAACGATAAGGCGGGCCGGGAGTAACAGGCGCGTCACACCCAAGGGATGCAAAGGGAGATGGAGAAGAGGAAGGGGGGGGAATCAGTGGCTCAGAGAGCACCACGCACGGGTGGCTTGAGCCGATAAAAGGGTCTGTTCTCTCAAGACCCCTGCCCAGTACCACGACTGGGCGTTTACCAAAAAGGCGTGCCGCCCGGTTTGAAAGGAGGTTGGGGGCTTTCCCTCGCCCCGTGACCGTGTTTGAACGTGGGCGGTAATGGAGCATACGTGACAGGCCAGAAGCGTGTCGTAGAAGAGTAGTAATAGGGGTAAACATCGAAGATGGTGTAGGAGGGCAGAGGCTCGGGGACGACGAGGCTTGTCTCCGTGGATAGTGAGCGAAACGAGATCGTGGTCGGGAGGTGATACGACGCCATGGATCGATGAGGAATCCTATCCCCCCATGGTGTTTGATCGGTCATGGGTCTTGCTCTTTCTTTTCCCCCTTTCTGCTTTGCCGCGGGCATCCTCAAAAAGTGCTGGATTGGGAAGGGGGGGCAACAGATGATTGGAGGAGTCCATCGTGGGCCAATCTCCCAATCTCTCCATCTCCCCTTGCTGGGGGAAGGGGAGATAGAGTACTACACACCCCGACCTCACTGGTCCAGGGACTGAAAGTCTGAGCGATTTACAGAAGAGATACGAAGCATCCGCGAAAAAAAGGGAAGTATAGCGCACACCGCCGCTTCCGCCCTTCCAACGAGATCGCAAATCGGTGGCCAAGATCAGAGAGACAATCCCTTGCGTTGCCACGTAGAGATTATGAACTACAGACGACAGGCGATAGACTTCCCAGAATCTCTACTCCATTCTCCGGCCTAATCAGGTCTCCAATGGCTCCGGTCTCGAACAAGGTTGACAGATGTCAAAGATGACAGGGGCATGAAATTAGTCCTTGACCGAGACTGAAGGGTAGAACTATTTTTTTTCCACGTCTTTTGTTCGATGATTTCTTTTTTTTCGGGGGTGAGCGCTTCGGGGATTTGCAATGATGTTTTCTTTTTGATTATTTATCAGAGGCTTTCACTGGAGTCAAGGACCCATCGTCCATTGCCGGGGTTATCAATAGCCAGGATTATGAAATTATGAGATTAACTCATGAGATTTATGAGATTATCGGGTTATGGGATTATGAGATTATTCAAGACGCCGACAATGGCTTCGGAGCCGGTGATGGATTGGGGAAATCCCCCCCCTCTCTTGCCTACTTCGTCGCCGATTTGCTTCCGACCCAGCCGTGGCGTTCGGCCTTACACAGACCCTACCAAGGTAGAAGAAGGAGAGGGGGAGTCGGGGTGGTTAGGGCCAAAAACCGAGACATGGGGAAAGAAGAGGTGGGGGGGGGGAGAATGGCAGAGGAGATATCGGGAAGAAACGGGGGGAGGGGATTAGGGCATCGCCTAGGAGTGCAAGTACCGGTGGAATAATCTTCAGGCCTAGCTTCCTGCTAGGTTCGACGTACGCCGTTCTCCGTACCTATGGAAGGACGCAGGACGGATGCCGGAAGACGGACAATATCCTAGTCTGAATCATGGAGACTGGCCAGCCCGCGGGCGGGGAGGAGGTGGGAGGGCATGGGGGCAGCCCTAGTCAGGAGACTGGGCACGTCGTGAATAGACCGGACGAGACCGCCAAATGGAGAAAGCAGGTACAATGGCACAGTGGAGGACGAGCAGGAGCGAACGAGGTTCCTTCAACGCCTGGAGCCACTCATGATCCCTGCACCGCAGCTCGCTATCGACGGCCCGATACCCGCTGCGCATACAGTAGGGTGAGAAGAGGGGGGGAGGGGAAAGTGTTCGGTTGAGCCGGGTTGAGCTAGACCCAGAGTCCAAACACTACACTAACCACGGAATTGTGAGAGAGTGGGTTCGGACAGCGGACCTTGGCCGTGAGAGAGGAATTAGAAATCATGCCCTTGTTTCCGGTTCTCCGTAGGAACTTCGGAGAACACAATTGAGAGGATAGAATAGACGGGGCACGGAAGACAGCAAATTTTGACAAGATGAGCAGGAGGATCGAAGGATCGGCAGACCGGTTCCCCCGCTGAGCCCCCTTCATCAGGGCGGAGCTTTTAGGGCAAACCAAAAGCTCAGACCAAATCAAAAAAAAAAGAAATATAAGAAAAATTTTGGTGTGGAAACGAATCGCCCAAGAGAGAAGGAGAGAAAGGTCTAGTGTCAACGCCATCCATCATCAATTATCATCATCCTCATCGCGGGATAGGGTGGGCCCAGTGCTAGGAACGGCTGGCTTGCGTTGGTCGTGGTTTTCGCCATAGCCAACCTCGTCTCGGCTTCTCTTCTCCTACGGACTCCTCTGGGATCCCCATTTCTCCCCGCTCTTGCGCTAGGCCGGGATAGAAGCTAGCGTTGAAGCTAGCTAGTCGGGGGCTCCGGAAGAACGGGGGAATCCTCGACCAGATTTCAAATTCTCGAGGAGCTTGGGCCAACTTTCTGGGCACCCCCAAATGCTCCACCGACGAGAGAACACGAAAGAGTGTGGGCACGAAACAGAGAAAAAGAAAGAGAGAGAGAAAGAGGTAGAGAACCAGGGAGAGGAGACTTCACTTTATGCACACGGCCCCATCGAACTAGGACCACGAACCTCCGCACCGGAGGTTCATGATGTATCACCCTGGGCCGTCCATTCAACCGTGACATAGAGCAAGGGCAAAAGCGATCACGCATCATGGACGCTACTACAGGGCGCTGGCTCCAGAAATGGGTCTGCCCGAATGATCGTCACGGACCGGCACGACTTGTCTTTCCCTCTCGACCATATCGCATCTATCACACCCGCAACAAGGGCGGAAGGGAGGGGGAACTCGAAACCCTCCCTGCCGAACACTACTGGGAGGAGCTAGTAGCACAGCCATTTCCAGAAGGCCCATTGTGTGCGATTGGGACAAGTAGATTGGACTGAGGATCTACTTGGATTAATTGTTCCTTTCCGTCTTCCGCAATGGCTTAATTGGCTGAATGGCTCACCTCCCCCCTTTGTTGACATACAGGGCCCGCGACCCGACCCGATAGTGCCTCCTCCGTATACTCCACTGCGATCTTCATGATTTGTATTAATATCTTTTTTTTTTCTTTTTTCTTTTTTCCGTTTTCTTTTTTAGTCCTTGGTCTTCAAATCGATTATTTCATGCCTCACGCTATGTTCGGAGTCAAGTCTATCGATCGACGGGTTCGCCCCGTACCTTGCAGCGACGAGTACGCTGCAGGCCGGGGGGATGGGCGGGGATCTTTCTCTCTGCAGAAGGTGCCTTTAATTAATGCCGTTCTCGACTCTGGACTACACGGAGGACGGAGGGACTGTGACTGCGACGAAGTAGGTCGCTACTGGTGCTTCGGCTGTCCGTTGACAGGTTGCACCAGGGGAGGGGGGACCTTGCCATGCTTTTCGTCGGCCTGCCGAACGTTAATGCCAGATGCCAGATGCCAGATAATGCCGTCAGACTCTTCGTGGCGTCCGCTCATCTTTCCTCCGACCGTCCTCCGTATCTATCTTCCAGCTGACGGACACGCTGACCAATACATCCTAGACAGGTTTCTTTCCCTCCCCCGCCCCTCTAGTCATACTCTTAGTCTTTAGTCTTGCTCGCCTTAGGTCCTAGTTGAGATACGCAGAACAAGGAAGAGGGGTGGGACAGCAGGCCTTTGGCGTCGGACAGGATAGGAATGAGGGCCGGGGAGTCGGAGCAGGGGTCTTCCTGGTACGGGTTTGGGACGGGGATGTGTTGTACAGACGGGTGATTCGCCGCCAAGTGGATGGAGTGGATTCTTTGGTGAGTTTTGAGAGAGCCACCTAAAACAAAAAGGAAATGATGACGGGGCGCTAAAGACGGTGCGATTCGCGATATTTTTCATCCCCATTCCGGATAGGGTTGTTCTTGGAAGCGACTTGTGGGAGTCTCCATTATTCGGAGACTCGCTTCTATGGTTCTGGTTTCTGGTTCGTTACTGTGGACTATTCGTACAAATCGCCCCTCGTTGCACTCCGTATCGAGGCTCTGGCCATAGCGAATCATCGCTGCTTGTAGGATGGACCGGGGATGGGGGGGGGGGGCTTGATCGTGCACCCGGGTTGGTAGCCCCAAGTGTCCTCCCCGTGTACGCAGCACGAAGTACTCCGTATAGTATATTCCCGCGGCAGATTCATACCTTCTCCGGAGGACATTGTGGATAGCCCTGTCGTCTGTTGTCCTCCTCCGTCATAGGTACCTCTTCTATTTTGTACATCGTAGAGACGTACCCTACAATCCATGATCAACCATGTATACTATGTGTACAAGATATACAGTGTACGTCGTGAATACCATGCAATCCACTGTCTCTGGTCCCTTCTTTCCCTTGTCTTTCTCCTCCTTCTCCTATTCGACCTTTTGATTTCGTTGATCGCATCATCACCAGGCCCGCCACCATTGACTTATTTATTCTTTTTTTCCCAAAAATAATTTATCTCCACTACACAATGACAACACACCACGAAGTCGAGGATCTGGGCACGCTGAGCCTGGGGCCGTGCGACCCCGATTTAACCTCGCATTGCATTCGTCCCGTGAGAAGATCGACTGCACGTTCATCTTGCCTTGACACACTCTAGCGTTGCTGGACCCCATGGCTCCCGCGCCGCAGGCGCCAAAAGAAACAATCGTGCACACCATGCCATGTCGGGCGTTTCCTCCGGAGAGAGAGGGGGGGGAGGGGCCACGGGGCAAAAGGGAAGTAACCAAAAAGAAATGACCTTCATCATTACCTCGACCTCCCAACGAAGCAATAGGGATCAGGCGTTTCCTGATCCTCTTCGCCTAGCTCTGCGCCAGGATGGCCCGGGCCCTTCCCACCTCCTCCTCTCCCCCCCTCTTTTCGAAGGTGTAACGACGCTAGACTGGGGCCTGCGGGGCGGGACTGGCCAGTGCGAAGGGCCGAGTCGCTGTGGGCTGCTGCAACCGCCCGCCGATCGACGATCCGACCGGAAAATGACTGGCGGCGGCCAGCACCACGTAGCGGGCTCTCCGCCGGGCTAGATCGTGGTGGATTTCACCGCCAGTTGCCCCCTTGCGTGCAGAGACGTGGCACAGGTAATTATTTCATACTCCATCTGAATCCTCCTCCACCTCCACCACCACCACCACCATTACTCTCTCGATGGAGTATACACCCTAGCATGGTGGATTCTGGACGTTCCGGTTGGTGGTCGGTGGTGGTCGGTTTCATCGGCCACTCGGGGGTTCCAGAGTCCCCTTCTGGTCAGGTCAGCGGCTTGGGGATACGAGCCAAAGCTGTCCATCACCCCGTCCTCTCCGTGTCCCTATCCGCCGCATCCCTGCTTATAATGGCTCCCTCTTTAAGAAGACCCATCTTTTACTGGTGGCTGTGGCTCGTTCATGGCCTCGCAAACCTACGTAGACGAGATTTCAATCGGGGATTCCATATCGGTGACCGATCTTACGTTAAGGATTTAAATGGCCTAAATGACCTTAAATTGGCCTGAGTGACCGCCAAGAATCTACACTAATTTACTTTGAAATTTACTCTGAATACCACCACCAGTTCATCGAGAAGTCCATAATAAGGAATATGAAATATGTATAGTTGTATATCAACCACCACCTCGCGACCACCGATGAGGTATCGAAAAGGGCCCAAGCATCAATCGCCATCGTCATTCACCCGAAACGAGTGAAACCAGGCCAAGGAACTGCCCGATCGGCAGGCTCTCGACGTCAGCGCCCAAGATAAGACCCTGCCGAAGTAGAAGAAGAACCTGAGTTCAAAGCCCAAATGTACAACATTTCTGCCCGTCCCCCCAATTCTCCCCTAATGCACTCGCCCTGAAAATTAATTCCACCCACTACTGAGAGCTTGTCCACCCCCAACTGAACCCCAGAGAGAAAGAGAGAGATCTCCTTCCTCCTCAACAGTCTTGATGATGTACTCCGTCTAGACCACTGTACCTCAGTATCTCGGCATCTCGGTAGCTATCGTTAATCCTCTGCACATGCCTGTACCTCCTTCTCCCCTTCCCCCCACCCAAGCTATAGATTGTGTGCTCTCGGTGACTCGCAATCCCATCTAGATACTTTGAACACACTTGTGCACATTGTACCTGGCCTTGATACTTCCGTGATTTCATTCTTCTCAATTGCCTGTACTGATTTGCCCCCGTATTCTCCGGATCCTTCCACCCCCGCGCCCGGGATAATATGCTCCCTTCTGCACATTATCATCCTGCACATATACCTAGATCTCGATGAATATACAAAAAATATCCCTGCAATCTCGACCTTCTTCAGACTCAAGAGGTCATGTAGGAATGCAGCAGTTCACGCTTCCCCCTCCTCTCCCTCCCCCGTGCGGACGTGCCAAATGCAGAGCATCTGCAGCACACCTGCTTCACCGTCTCTTGTAAGACACTTTTCGGTGTTTATTTTCTTTTTTGTGCATGATCTTTTTTTTTTTTACTTCAATCCCTCTATCCTGCTCCCCCTGCCCTTGTACACCATACGGAGCTCTGAAGGGGTGTGGTCCATCGCCACGCACCGACCACCGTTCCCTCCCCGTCCCGTCCTGCTTGCTTTTCCCACACGTCCTTCTTCCCCGGGCCGATCGAAGAATGTTGCAGAACGCAGGTCGCTCATCATTTCCCGCATTCTGCGGATGGCGCGTGGGCTCGCCACATTCTCGAAGCTTTGCCCTGCCATCCTAGCTGCACTGCATGTGTTGGACGTGGACCGAGTGCCTGGGAGAGTCTCGACGAGGGCCGGGGGGGCTGGTGGTTATGCCGGGGATGCTGGTCAAGCGTGAAGGCGGTGGCACACCGCTGGTTCTTTCCTGGTAGTCTTGTGTTTCCCTCCCCCCCCCTCCTCTTTCTTCCCGAGTTGCTGGTCGCTTGTCTCGCGGGCTCGATCTAGGGATGGCTTGCGTGGCTTGCGAATACTGAGTTGAGGCTTGCTTTTGGGAGAATTGGCTGGCTGGGACTAGCGGTGATGGGGGGGAGCGGTATCACGGTCCTGGTCTATAGTATGCAGATTCGGAGTTCGGTCTATGCCTTTCCCCCTCCCTCCCGGAGTGGACGGAGCTCGTTTTGCTCTTTTTTTTTCCTTTGCCCCTTACGCCTGGTTTTGTCAGGCATCCGCGATGCTGGGGAGAGATGTAGTTTCGGGTTCGGCCTGCATTGAGCTTGTGCAGGCGTGCATCTGATCGTAGACCGACCATTCCCCGAGGGAAACAGGAGCTGGGTTGAGAGTAAGATTGATCTCGGCTACCATGTCTGTTCGATATCCTGCTGTGTGCTCTGTGGTCTTGCTTGGCTGGGTGTCCTGAGCTCGCGTTGGACTCGTGGGTGTCATCCGGACATGATTGTCAGAGATAATGCATCTATCTACGCACAGCGGGTAGGTGCCAGGACCGTTCAATGCGTCGGGGGGCCAGGGGGCACGAGGTACAGAGCTGTGCAGAGAGTGCACGGAGATACGGATTGCAGCAGGCTTCTGGAAGCTGTGGTGCATCGAGAGGTTGTCATTGATCAGAGCTGTTGTGCCTGGCAGATACCACCTCGTGTGATGATGTCCTTTCTGCGGGCATTAAGTTAAAAGATGTCATGTAGGATCTCGAGTATCTTACCTCTGTATACTCTGGCAAGAAACACTGTCGAGCAATGCCGACTTCAACATAAATTCCCAAGGCCCAACCCAGAGGGAATTGACGGATGTTTGGCAGGGTTGTGCCTGTTGGTCGTTCAGGTTCAATTTTGAGGCCATGCACACTGTCAGACATGAAATATATGCTGTGATTCCTAGCTAAAATGGACCTTGATATTTCAGAGTTGCTGCATGGAATCTCTTATGCAAGCTAAGCTCGTCCCATTTAGTATAGACTGGACAATAATAGACGTCTCTACTATGAATTTGTTTTGCCGTTCAGTTGAAACGATATCAGTCACTTGCAGTTGCTATGCTTTTCTGTTTCGTCTCTAGAGCGTCTCGCAATATTCTGTTGATGTGTCAACAGCACCAATGTCACCAAGCCCACGTAGATGCGGCCATGAGATCTTTGATTCTTGCTGATAGAACACCTGCTGCACCATGTGTGATGGCGTTCTCGTTGCACTTTAGTAAAAATGAATTGCGATTCCATCGTCGGTGACTCATACCTAGCAAGTGCTGTAGGCTATGGGCCTGCTCGGAGTGTGGTTGATAAGAGCCTGGGAATAGTATGTTCACCTGGGAATGTCCGTCTAGTCCGCTACTTTTCTGCAAGCCATACATTTTTCGCTGGGGAAGGTACTCTACTTCGATATCTTGAGGCAAATTACATCTTACGAGCTTTAGCGCATTGCTGAAAGGTCAATATAGACGAATGACACCAAGTAAAACAGCATGCTCCTAAGAGAAGCAAGGCAGCCTCTGGCGGCCTATTTCTCAATGATTGGAATACCGGTTTTTGATTTGTGCGCCAGGAAATATTTGAACGAGTCCCTTTCGTCTCGTTCTATTCAAATCGCCATTCTACTATAATGCCGAACTCTACCAACTAGAGAGTGAGTTGTTTGTATTTATATCAATCATTTCAAAATCAATCACTATATCAAATGTCTCTTCTTGACTGTCCCTCTGAGCTTCTGTTGGAGATCTGCAACAGTCTCCATCTATCACACGTACTTGCCTGGGCTTGCGTGAATCGTTTCTTCAAATCTCTCTTTTTTCCGTTCTTATATAAAACCAACTCTCTTCGCGGGGACATCTTGGCTTTCATATGGGGAGTCAGTCATGGTGGAGATTATACTCTGAAGAGCATTCTGGGTTAACAGACAATAAAGGCATGACAGCCTTAAGATATTCTAGCGCTAGCTGCGAAGACCGCCTTGTTCAATGGCTTCTCAAAAAAGGGAGCAGCATTGGCGGCCTCGATTATAAGAAGTTTAGTCCTTTGGGTGTTGCAATTTCCCAGGGGAATCTGTGTTTGGTAAATGTTCTTTTCTCTTAAATAACGCAGTTCAGACAGCATGGGAGGCGTCTTTTAATACCTCACGCTGGCGGGAACCTCCTCTATGCTTGAGTGTGCGAAAGGAACAAGCGAGGATAGCTTGTTTATTACTCTCGCCAGAGTGAATTCAAGAGATCTTTACCAAAGGTCCACTTTGCATATAGCCGTGAGAAATGGCAATTTAAAGAGCACCGCTGTCTTTCTCAATTTTGAAGGTATCGAGCTGGATACGACTGATATGCGTAGGCGCACTGCTCTTCACAGCGCCGCAGAGCTGGGACACAACGTTATTTTTCAGACGCTACTGCGGAAAAGGACTCTCGATGTCAGTGGTCATAAATTCTCTTGTCTGGGGAGCTGGAAAGCAACCCGGCGGCCAATACCGTTTCCAAAGCATGGCTTGACTTGGAGAGGTATGCTAGGGAAGGCCTCGGAGCCCAGGATACTTGTCTTTTTGTCCTAGGCTTTACATTGTGTGGGCCCTTCATGAAGGTTTGACATTGTGTTTTCCAGGGGGTTAGACTTATAGGAGGCAGCATTAACCTCTTCAGGGGCGGATACAGTGTTATCCCATTCGCACGCTGCCTTCGTCTCACCACGACTCATTTCTCAGGGGCGCAAACGCAGGTATTGGAAAACGGGAGTGCTGATACGACAGAAGTCAGCGAAACATAGCCAATCATCCTCGAATGATCTGGGGCGTTTAACCCAAGCATCCACCTTCCCATGGGCGTATGGCCCAGCGTATTAATTATCTCGGCGAAAATATCATCCCGGACCCAGACAAATGCTTCAAAGAGCGGACGTTCACTCAAGACCTCGTATAAATTCACACCTAGTGTGCGGAGAGTGGGTGAGGACGTCTGTGACACAATAAAGGACGGCCCATGGTGTTATGGAACAACCAAGTGTATAACACTTGATGTTATTCGGGTCAGATTCGGATACGAATCGTATGCGGCGCACTTGCGTCTATGGAAATATAACTATATGCGCTTACCGGGATATGACAAAACCAGACCCCCTTATCGTCATACATTTGGCAAGCAGTGCAATGACCATATCAAAATTGATATAGAAGGAGAATCCACCTTTCTTTCAAACTGAATCTTGAAGAGATTCAGTTTTACTTGAATGATAAACTTTTGTTATTCTTCCCCGATTCCATAACGATTCAATATAGAAACTCATTCTTTCCTTACCTGACCAACAGGCCGCTACCCTGCAAGTAGCACCTTAACACGTAGCACGAGATGATGATGCCGAGGAAAAGTGGGCCCATCTGGGCTTAATTTATGAAGATACTATTGATAAGGCTAGTGTTAAGAGTGAGGATAAAGTGACGCCACTATTATCTTTGATCTCTGGGGGGAGATACACGTTCTGGTGCTTTGGATACTGAATATATATTGAAGATATGTTCAAAGGGAGGGAGCAGAATAGATTGATATGGAAGAGGGGGTAACAGATATGAAGAAAATCAAAACGAGAGGGATCGTTGTAGGTGAGAGAATCAAGATATATTTATTTAAACGCGGAACGTTCGTCGAGCATGATATACCCATAAAACATATTTTTTCTTTGTTGATACACAAAAGACAAAAGATGTACATAAAAATATTATATAAATAGAGAAGATCAATTGATTATAGTAGTAAATTAAAAATTTATCGAGGGTAGTAAGTGTACATATAGGTAGCGGAACACGGAAATTGAACCTAGGGTTGTTGAACCCCTTAGGGTCAAGGGGTTCAACCCGGGTCCCATGAAATCGTTACCAGGAAATTAGATCGCGTTCCTATAGAGTTGGAGAACCATAACTCCGTTCAAATAAAGCATTTCTAGAAATTCAACTAACCTACCTAACTAACTAACTATGCTATGCAGATTAGTTACTCAATTATGTTAAAAGTTGAACCTGGTTGAACCCTAGGGGTTCAACCTTTGTATTACACTATTACTCTACCTACATGTACACTTCCTACTTTCAATATTTCTATAATTACTACTATACTTGATTAGTTTTCTTTTTTAAAGAGGTGTTTTATTTACATTATGTAGTTTTATAAATAATGAAAAAAATAGGTTTTGTGTATATGTTATGATCAAAGAACGTTGTTGTTCAGATATTTTAGTGTACACTATGTACAATAGTGAAAAGGATAAAACACTAAAAATGCATCAGTTTGATTATCCAATGTCTCTAGGAACAATTCACATCGATATGAAGCGTTCCCAGAAACACGGAATTATCTTTTCTCCGATTCTCTGGGTACGCCTCCATGGGACCCGTTTGTATGTAATGTAATATATGGGTAACAATTGAATTCCAGCATGGTAAACCAAATACTGTTCCACCACCATAGGGGAGCTCAACCTGCTTCTTTTCCACATTTCGCTCATAGAATTTCTTTCTTCACTCAATCAATAGTTTCATTGATTGATTTCGTTAGTCTCCATTCGCCTAATTGCAAACTAGTTCATGCGATTTCAGCCCACTTTGATAGATGATATCTGGGCCATCAACCTCGTTGGCAGACACGCTCAAAGGTATAGGATAAAACGGTATGCATGGTGCGGGGGTTCGCCAGGCTTTCCATCCACTCGCTGGATAGGAACCACATTGGAGTTTGCCGAAGCGCTGGTATAGCTCAGTTGTGCTTAGGCCGTCCGTAAGTTTCAAATACTGTACAGTAACCTCGCACGGAGGCTCTGAGAGCTGAGCGTGAGCACTGCCTCGAGGCAGTGCTCATTACATAAACAGCTGACAAGGCCTCCTGATAAGAATTATCTGTACACTAGTTTACAGTATTATAGGACCTGAGGGTCGTCCGAGGGTCGTCCGAGGGTAATAGTGGGAGTACCCGTGGCTTTCTGCCGACCCCATTATATTTCTCGTATTGCAAAACCTAGGACATTTGACCGCAAAGAATGCTCCACTATTCTATGCTTAATCGTCGAGATTCCATCAACCATCTTCACACAATTGAAAGTGTATCTGAATCTTAGTCTTTACATATCAGCTACTAACGCCAAGTCCCCGACATCAAGCAGGAGAATTTCCACTATAGCCTCAGTATTTGTCTGTCGCTTATTTGGTCATTAAATACAACCCTATTTGGCACCTCGTCACCCCTGAACCTGAAACTCTACCTTCCCAAGCGCTCACCTCGACATCTCTCCTTTTCCTAGGGCTGGGGATCTCTGTCTGCGGTGCACGTCTCGTGTCTAAACGTTTCTTATCAGCTATTCTTAACAGCCTGTGAGCCGGCCAGTACATATGATATAATCCGCGCTTTTCTATTGCGTCCTCCGGCGGGCAGCCCCGCCTTCGTTCGCAAATTGCTGATCATCTTCGCTCGCTTTGTTTACCAGGTCCGAGACGTGCTTCTTCTGTAATCCAATCCAAGAACCTACCAATGAAAACTTCCCCGCCACCTCTCAGTCGCGTTATATTCGTCTCGCGATCCGATCCACCTCTACCACTGTCACTCCTATGCAGAGAGAACGATTACCGATAGAGAGGCTCTGCGAGCGGTTCAAGGATCGCCTCGGCGATCAATTCTCAGAAAATTATCGAGGACAGCGCTTTTTCCCGTATGGGACCGCACAAGAGGTCTTCCGAAACCACAGGCGAGATTTAGAACGGCTTCTACAAAATGTGAGCGAGGCGCTTGCTGCAGATGAAACGCTTCTGGTGAGCGTTGTTGATCAGATCCGGACGAGTCTCTCGAACGTCCTGGCAATTTTGCTTATGGACAGGGCGCAGAATGACACATTGGTTTTCAACCAATTTCTCTCTTTGATTTTACAAAGGAATAACCGCATGTGGGAGACCCTAGTGTTGAGTGATTCTGAATTGCCCATTTCTCGGGCTCGTGCCGAATGCCTATTTCCGGGTAAGGGAGGTGCCTTCTTCGTCACGCAGTTGCAATTCTGTGCGATAGTACTGCAGGACAAAAAGGAGGTGAAATGCTCGGATAATGAGCAGATCCTGCGTCCTCTCCCATACCTGACACAGGAAAATATCGGATCGGGGGGCTTTGGACAGGTGTGGAAAGTCAAAATCGAAAGACGCCATATGCTTTCAGCGAACGGAGACAGCGAAAATCGAGATACAGTGCTACTAGCACGGAAGGACTTTCAAATTCAGACGGCATTTAAGAAAGAGCTAGAAGTGTTGAGGGAGATTATGAAGCAACCCCAGAAGCACGACCATCTAGTACCCCTTCTCGCCATTTTACAACAGGAAGCTACCTACAGCCTATTCTTCCCATTGGCGTCTTGTGATTTGAGCTATTACTTTGAGCATACCCCAGTCCCCCGCGACATAGACGAGAAGAAGGCTATATATCATCGAGGAGTTGCCTTAGCGGGAGCGTTGGCGTTCCTTCACCATGGTCTGACCAATATGTCGTGCTATCATTTGGATTTGAAACCCAAGAATATTCTGGTCTATGATAGGAGCACGCCAAATGAAGTTTGGAAAATTGCCGACTTTGGTCTTTCCTCAGTTAGGGTCAACGCAACCTTGCAGAGTAATGGCGACTCCACTATGGCGACAGGAGTTCCAGGGACGTACTTAGCCCCTGAGTGCGCAGTCACTGGTGAGAAGGTCAGCGCTTTGAGTGATGTGTGGTCATTTGGCTGCATATTCAGCTTAGTTCTTACCTTTATGATGCAGGGTTGCCCTGGGATCGAAAATTTCAAGGAGCGACGAGGTAGAGAGCCCAATGGCGACACTTTTTACACCGATCCGGCTAGGCCACATATTTCGCCTGCCGTAACTAGATGGTTTGATTACTTGAAAGAGTATGCCCCTGAAGATCCATGTTCAAACGTGATATGCGAATCCTTTGATTTTCTGCTGGACAAAGTTTTACTGCCTCGAAGGAGACAACGACTGGAAGCGAGGGAAATTGAAGCCCGATTGAGGGAAATATGGACTGCCAACAGCCACTTTGAGTCCCCTTTAATAGTTCAAGACAGTCGCTCGACCAATCGCCCATTTTCCAGATTGACTCGGTGGATTTCTCGGCCAAGTTCAACCTCCAGGCCCAACCCACCGCCTGCATTTCGGGGAAGTAGATTCTCGCCAGAAGGCAACATCCTGGTATCTTACAACTCCAGTCATAATCGGATTCAGGAATTACCACATATGCAACGGCCAGTGGTCGTGCAAATTCCTGGATCTGTAAACTGTGTTTCGGTCAGCAATAACTACATTTGTAATGGGCTGGAGGGGAATTGTTTTAATGTATGCTTACTCCTTCTGCAATCTGATCTCTCATCACTAATGGTACCGGTACAGTGCTGTATTTATTCTTTCATGGGAGGCTCCACCAATAAACAGCCAGATCTTATATCCATTCCCAGTTTGGGTTCCATAAAGATGGTTGCCCTATCGACGGATGGTGCGTTAGTCGCCTTCATTATGACCCAGGAACCCAATGGGACCGAGTTGGAATGCTCGAGATATCTTTGTAAAACCGAAGACTTGATGCGTCTGGGTGATAGGTAAGTTTCCAGGTTAAGACACTGTGCAAATCGTGTGCTAACAGATAGACACAGAGAGGATCCCTATTTTATATCCAGCAGGTCAAACTCTGCAGCCTCTGCCCCTTCATTGGAATCCATAACCACAGGATCTGCTGCGAATCAGTTGGGACCTGCAATTGGATCGGCTGCAGATATTCGATTCTTTGGCTTCACCAGTGATGACCAATTTCTGGTCATGGTGACCCAAAAAAAGACGATCAGTTTTTGTGTCAAGGCATGGAAAACCCAAGGCGCCACTCTATACCAAGACAGGCCATACTTAGAAATGACTATTCCATATAAGGTGAGCGTGATGCATGTATCCTGATGATACAAAATGCTTACCACTAATTAGGGCTCGGCTGCCGCAGCTGCTCCGCACTTTACAGCGTGCACAGTTTTTGTGCTCGACGGGAATCTTCGGTTGTTTATACTGTCGCAAGAGCAGTATCTTATTAACGCTGATTTGTCCCAAAAAAAATGGAAGAGCCGAGGGTTGAACAAGAAGATGGTCCATATACATCACAGCAATGACAACCAAACACTAATCTTTCTCAAGCCCGATCGCCAACAAATTTTTACTTTAGCCGTCTCGCCTGTACATATTGAAGACGTTTCGGTTGCCCATCTGACCCCAAGAGGAACGATTGAAAGCTCTCCAACGCGGAAGGGTCAAGCTAGTCTTGTCATGCGAAAAAAGGAGAGGGGGCAAGTTGAGGTATTACTGGCCACGACAGATGGCGTTGTCCATAATTTTGATGTGACGTGACAGTTCCTGAGTGAACGCATCTGTAACTTGTTTCGAAATTTTGTTAAGAATAGCAAGTGCCATCTAAAAAAGGAACATAATGAACATCATGTCGAATCATACAGCGAGCCTTTTTCCATAATATCCTCCTTGTTTCTTGACTTTGCGCGCTGTTTACTGCTCTTGAAAAACCACCAGTATAACAACGTGGCTGCTGTCAATGGTACAGATACCACAAAGTATATCCAGAATCGTGGGGACACAACCAAGTTGTGATTATTGGGGTCCATCTCGAAAAAGGAATTCATTCCCAAGAGGGTCTATTCCACCAATCTTAGTTACACGTCTTATCTTTAAAGTACCTGGACTACTTACTGCCATGAATGTGGGAGGAAGATAGATCAGCGTGACAATCGTGATAACGCGCACGGTTGTGGAGTCGTCGACAGTAGAAAGTGTCAAATCGAGCATATATTGGCTCTGGCTTTTTGCCGTGAAAGAGTCTTTGAAAGAGAGGGTATCTGTGATGGAGACTGCGAGACATGCGGTCCGAGACTTCAGAAACTCTGCTTGCTGGCTGTACGCATCCACCATACTGGTGTAGTTGCGGAGTAGCTGCTTCATTGAATAAGCATCTGACTGCTGCGTGATGTTGCTCTCCGCTAAGGCGTCATTAAAATAATGCAATGCCTGGAAGCTCTGTTGGAGTGATCTAAAGATGGGTACCAGAGATAGACAGCGAGCCTCTGTATGACGGACGGTGTTTAGTGTCTCATGGTTCAGTCGCAGCTCCTCTTCTAGGCGCTGGGCCATATTTGTGTTGGCCTGCGAAATGTTAGCCCAGAATGCCGTTGTAATTTCTGCGACATACAACGTACAATAGTGAGAATTTTGCGCTCATGGTGGGCTAGGTAATCTCGCCACAGGGGAAAGAATGTCCCAAAGAGGATGTTGTGAATAAGAAGCGGCTGGATTTTGAAGGCTTGCACCAGGGATGGGTTCCGCAAGAGTCTCGTGAGGCGTTCTTGAAAGACACAGTCCAAGGTAGGATTGAGGAAGATCCATGTGGACCGATTGGTGTCTGTTTCATACTTTTGATACACTGCTGTCTGGCGAATGGCCCAAGGGTCCATTCCACCTTCAACAGACCTGCAAACAGGGTACTTCAATACGTAAACGACTTCTATTCATTCCGTCAGTTGATGCATGATTGGGGATTGCATGCGACCGGCCTACCGATGGTACGACCATTAAATTTGAAAATAGGCGCACTACTAAAGGCCTCTTCCACCCCAACACTCTTCTCGCAGAAGGCGAGAGGATATTCGAGGATTTCTGATGAGGCCCCGGCAATATCAATGATCTCTTGGAAGATCTGGCGAGACACGTTTAGTGAACTCCAGGAGTATATCTGATCAACAGAACTGGAGCAACGTTAGACACGCCAATTTCATATAATAAATGATTCCAGTTACATACATGACTCTCAGTTCGCTTTCTGTCTTGCCAGAATCGGTGTTCCAGGCGCGCAATTCGGCCAATGACTTCAAAATGTGTACTTCCACTATCTAGACATCAACAAAAGGAAACCGATCAAGAGCAATGAATAAATACCACCACTCCCCAGTTTCACGTCCGACAAAGTCACCTGAACATTTTCCTGCTCTGTGGTAAAGCAATGCCGGGTCTCTGCTCGCGTCCAGTAGTCTTCCGGAAATGGGACGAGAGAGTACAGTTCTAGGGGATCCAAGTCTGGCGCATAGTTGTTTTCGAGAATTTTGGTTGTAGGCGCGTATGTCGCTCCCACTCTCATGCTCTCAAGCCCCATATTTGGAATGGTGATAAGAATAGGAAAGGCTTGGAACTTGATTACCACACCCGGCACGATTTTTCCAACAGCCACAATTTATAGGACATATAGGGAGATTTTTTCAGGACACCAAACCGGGTCAATACATTGAAATCAGCCTCGGGGGGCTTACAATACACCCCTAAACAGCCAAGGCTGCACGCTGTTGCCCCGACGGGCCGCAGCAATGGCAAATACGAGCTTTCGTGCGTGGTAATTTCCATCCGCCTCAAGTCATTGGTCGCATTGGGGATCATCCCCCTGTAGGATGCTCGAGCCCCTTCCCATCATTTGGTTTCCTTTTTGCCGCCATAATCTCCTTCATGACCTCGTGTCTGATTTTTCTACGTGCCAAAGGTAAGCAAAAGTCCACACTGCCACTCAAAGCCTCAGCCACTCGGTCGCACTGCATCAGGCTTGTTTCGGGCTTGTTCAAACTTACTGAAGTTCAGCCTTTCATTGAATTATTAGCCTTCCTGCCTTTCTGTTCATTCTTCATTCACATATGGGAAAGGCTTACCTCAGTTACTTCTGATGGGGCGTCGAAAGACAATACATCTTCATGAATCTGCAGCACCACAACCGAAAGTCAGTGATCAAACAGGGATCCACATACTATTCTGCCGCGAGCTTACTTGAAAATGGAAGTTTCTTCCAGGATGGCTGGGAAACTTGGTCTCCAGAAACGCCTGCAGCTTCGCGATTGTCAGATACTTCCCTGGAGCCTCCTGTCGGCGCATAGGGGTCGAATTTGATGGAGGCGAAGACGACAAGACTGAGAAAGAGCTCCAGGCACGTTTGATGCTTGACATTTATATTTAGCTAGCCGTATGCCGTGGTGAAAGTATTGCTATTGTATAAGTATAGAGTAGATAGTTGTTCTATAGATTATTTGGTAGGAAGCGTCGAGGGATTTGAAAGACGATAAAAAAGCGGGGGATTCTTGACTCGCTCTATACTGGTTGCAGCCTACTTCCAAAGGCAACGAGGCAGGAAATAGGAGGCTCTGCACCTGTAGGGTTGTCCAATCATCTCAGTGAGCTGAGAGGGGAACCGACGTGGCTGCAGTCACCCGGATCGCAATGCTGCAGGAAAGGCCATGGCGGGCCAATGGACCATTCGCTGGCTATCGGTTCAGATAGCTGGGTATTATTAGCTCTACGCGGCGGACAGGGGATTTCGAACAGGCCCAATGGATCAAGAGCCTAGTTCAGCTAGCTTACTGTTGATCTCACTTTACCCAGCGCGGAATGGCTGTGGCGGACGCATTGTCCGTGCTGTCCAGAATCCCATCTTTCGACCCCGGCTCCGTCCATCTGAGCCCTGTTCATTGAAAGGATGATGCTGTTTGATGCATTGTTCAGGATCTCCTCAAAATTTACGACACGATGGCCTTGAACAACAACGGTAGTGTCGATGCATACGAGATCTTTCGCGACCTTGATTGGCTTCCCTTTCGTGCGGGATTAAATGAGACTCGAGATGACTCCGAGTCAGCACGCACAGGAACGACGAGAGGCAACACAGTTGAGCTGCAACAGCTTGGAATTCCACTCACACCGCAGTCGCCGTCTATGCCATCAGTCTCGCCCCAATCCTCGCGCCCTCGAGGACCAGAGGGCATTGATGGCTCTGGCGAGCCACCAGATAGCTCGAACGATGCTACTTCTGCCATGCAGGACCCGAGAGATCGCTCTGTAAGGTAAAGGCTACGTACGTCGACCCTATCTGAATCACTGCTTGGCTAACTGTGTACATCTCAAAACTTGCATAGTCAGAGACTGCGAGGCATTCATATTTTCGTAAGCGCTACCTACCCAGTCTCTTCCAGTCGTACGTGAATGTTGCTAACTGAGTTTGTTTTGCTCGTAGATGATTACCCTCAGCGGCGTTCTCGGAGCTGGACTCTATGTGCGAAGCGGTTCGATCTTACGATTTGGGGGCCCCGGTGCCGTGCTCATATCCTTCACCGTCATGGGGCTACTCGCTTGGACGGTGATGCAATGCATCGGTGAGATGCTGACTCTATGGCCAATACCCGGTGCACTGGTGGAATACGTCGGAGCCTTTGTCGACGAGGACTTGGGTATTGCGGTCGGCATTGCATATTGGTATTTTCTACTTGATTGTATATGCGTCGAAGAAAAATGAACTGACTGCTTGGCCTTTTGCTATACTAGGTTCACTTATTCAATCATCTTTGCGGCGCTAATTGTGGCGGGGGCCGGTGTGCTTGATTTTTGGGATCCGGGCAAAAGTATTGAGGGGACAGTGATGTTTTTCCTAGTTCCATTATGTATCATCTTCTTCAACAGCTTTGGAGTCCAGGTGTGACATAGTTTACCATACACTAAAGATGTATTGCTAATGATTGTCAGATTTATGGATTATCAGAGGTAATCGGAGGCTCTCTGAAAATCATTGGCATATGCGTGGTGATTGGTAGTATGATTGCGATCAACGCTGGGGGTAAGTCATATGTCCCAAGGGGCTATATTGAGCCTGAGCTGACTTTAGATAGCTGGAAAGGAGGGCCATATTGGTACAGATTGTAAGTTCCATTCCCCCCGGCGAGGATGAAGGTCGCTCAATCTATTGCAGATTTCAAATACGACACCATCTTCCCCCATGATCCAGCGATTGGTAGTTCTTGGGCATCTGCCTTGTTGTAAGTATATTTCCCCAAATATGCACTCATGTGGATCTTAATCTGTACAGTATTGCATTCTCTATCGCAGCCTTCGCCTACATCGGTGTCGATATCACAGCCGCCATTGCCCTTGAAGCTCGTCTGGACAGCAAAAGTCCACAGGGTAAAAAAAGTATTTGGCCTACCTTATCGGTCCGATTCGTCGCAACATGGACAACGTTTATCATCTGGGTTATCTACTTCTTTGCAGGAATAATGCTTAGCTTCAACGTTCAGTGGCAAGATCCTGATCTCCCTCGCGAATCATTCCTCGGATCCCCGGCCACCCGTACCAATAACAACCAGATTAAGAGCAACTCTGGGTTCGTCATTAGTGCATCGCACTCGGAGATTCCCGGACTTGATACTCTGGTCGCAGTGATTATCCTTGTAACCGTGATCTTTTCGGCAAACACAAACCTATACGTCGCCTCGCGATCGCTTTTTGTTCTCACCCGCAAAATCCACAGCGATGACAAGTGGTACTTGCAGGCTATGGCATTCTTTGGAAAGACGAATCGTTACTATGTGCCAGTCAGGGCGATGTTGCTCTCGTGTTGTTTTCTGTGGGTGCCGTTTCTGTACCTTTCGCCGCATAACTCGCCCAATACCACTATTACCAGTGTGAGTTAACCCCGTTCCTTGGAGATTTTCTTTTTTTTTTTGACACGTTGAACAGTTACTTGAGATCCTTTCCCAAATGGGCTCAGTGAGCTGCATTATAGTTTGGGCTTGTGAATGCTGGGCATTCGTCCGGTTTTATAACTGGTAATCTCAATCTCCCTAGCTCGGTGGACCCATATTCCATGTTGACATTAAACTAGTCTCTACAAACACCGTGACAAAATCAACAGCTCCCCCTCCTTGGCACGACTTCGTCGCTTTCCTCAGGCTGCAGAAGACTTTTACCCCTGGCGCTCCCACGGTCAGCCGATTACCATGAACCTCGCGCTTTTCGGCTGCCTTTTCGTCCTCATTATCGCTGATGGTGCTGCGCTGTGGCACGGCTTTTTAGTCAATGATTTTCTCTCTGCTTATCTTGCCGTATGTGCTCAGTCCATCTCCAAATATTAGGTTTGACATGCTGATTATCCTGGGCAGCCACCCTGCTTCGTTGTCCTCTGGTTTGGAATCAAATATCTGCGCTGGAGAAGTCTCAAACTGCATCTCAAGGATCTGTCAGATTTTGAGGAGGCTAAGCTGAGCTTTCGCTACCTGAATGAGATTGGGGAGAGAGCTTCTATGAGGGTCCAACCGCAACAGCCACGCGGATGGGGAAATCTATGGGGCTTAATGTAATTGGAAGATGTATATCAACGGGGGTCTGCCCAAGGTTGCCCGGTTGGTTCGGACAAGCCGAGGCATGTACAGCATGCAAAAACCACTCATCGCAAAACAGCAAGCAATATGGTCATCTCAGCCTATTGGGGATGGCAGGCACAGCAGGAATGTAATGACAGCAAAATCCACTCCATGGATCCAACTAATCGGCTCATATAATAATGAATACTGTAACATGTGTCTGTCGTACAAAGATATTATATACTGCATTATCTAGTTTATATCATCAAGCGCTATGCTCGTCCTTCTTGGTGTCCTTCTCCGGTGGAAGCCAGTGGTAGCCTAGTATTTGCGTATTAGAACGCATAATGCGACTTCTCGCTACTACTAGATTCGGAAAAGAGGCTCTGCCTTTCGAATGTCCAAAACGCACAGGATCCGACTATAGTCGATATCGATTATGTGCTATATAATGTCTTCCATCAATTCCAACCATTTCAGAGTGATCTTCACTCTCACGCTGGTTGTTTGAGGACTGTGGCCAAACTTCAATTTTAGGCTCGCGGGCTTATCAAATGAAGAAAACAACCACTCAACTACTCAATTAAGAATCGAGATAGTCAAAGCTATCTTGAAAATTTCCTCTAATATAATAAACCATAGAGCAGCTGGGGGAAAAAGGCATGTCCCCATCACTCAATACCACGTGATAGACAGAACCCTATCCCAAAGTAGTAAAATCTAAACACGGCGCAACCATGGTTCCGCAAACCTCGGTCACGCCAACGTCACTCATCGATGGCTGGTTCACACCTCCAAGCAAGAAAACACAGTCTGAGCCTGGTCGCTGCGTAATATAGAAACAAATTTATGCATTCGACCAAGGAAGGCACAGAAGCCAAACCGCCCGAGAGCAGCGCATTTCAACCCGCCAAGCAATACTCCCCAGCAACGTATCTCCGCAGTTCACGCTCACCATGCCTCCTCCTCCCCCTCCTGCTCCCCCACGACCGCCGTTGAAACAGACCCCACAAAACCATCAAATATTCGACCCCTGGAACTCCGCTTCAACGGGCCATCAGCGTGCCGAGAACCCCTACTCGAACACTACCGCCTGGCGCGACACCCGCGCGCACAAGCTGGCGCGCCAGTTACGCGGTGGCGACTGCAACGAAGATAGTGAAGACGGGGTGCGCACGGCGCAGGCATTCGATGGGACATGCGGCTTGGTGTCGCCCACGAGAGACGAGGGCCGCGTTGTGAAGGGCGGAGAGTGGCGCTGGGTGTCGGAGGAGGAGGCGAAGCGGGCGAGGCTGGGCGTTCGGGATATTCGGTGCTTTATGGGGGTTGGGAAAAGGAGGGCCGGTGGGGACTTAGAGGGCCAGACTGGGAAGAAGGCGAAAAGCACAGGTGATAGGTTGGAGAGGGCTTCTGCATTTAAGTCTGGCATTGCTGCTTCGCTGACTTCGGCGGTGTCGTCGTCGGCATCGTCGTCGTCAGAGCCCGATGCCAAAGCCATGGCACCGAATACTGTACAGGAGAAATCTAAGCCAGACTCGCAATCTGCAGCTGCTTCTGTATCGACTCTCTTTGCCGGAACCACTATCTATGTCAACGGCTCGACTCTCCCTCAGATTTCGGATCATAAGCTGAAACAGCTCCTTGTCTCGCACGGCGCAAAGGTGTCCATTGCCATGGCACGTAGATCGGTGTCACACGTTGTTATCGGTCAGCCTAGTGGCATTGGACAAGGGGCCGGTGGCGGTCTTGCGGCGCGGAAGTTGCAGCAGGAGATTGAGCGGGGTGGTTGGAAGGGCGTTAAAGTGGTTGGTGTTGACTGGTAAGAAGCATCTGCTAGGATAAGAAGCATCTGCCAGGATCTATCCTTTTCTCCCATCATTCTTTTGTTAAAAATTGTTTGTGCAGATGGATGAACGTCTGGGAGGCTGACTTCTAATCTACTGCAGGGTTTTGGAGAGTATTAAAGCCGGGAAAAGGCTCGCCGAGTCCAGATTCGCGGCTATGCATGTCGCGCCAAAGGGACAAAGGAGTGTTGCAGGCATGTTTGGTGGTCGGTAGATTGCTCCCAGTCGTTTGGGTCTCTCTTTGATGACATTGGCTGCATTGGCATCTATGTTTAGTTTACATTGCATTACATTAGACCTGGCGTTTAGGAGGAGGTGCATAGCATGGATATATGGCGTTTCTTCATTAATTTGTCCACTTTCTACTCTTACACGAGACTCGGTGGTATGATGATTGCTACAAGAATATTTTAAATTACGAAGAAAAATGCTATACGATTTACCTTGCACGACTAGACAATCCATCTGAAGTCATTTTCAGTCGCATCCAAGAAAACACGTATATGGGATGGATACAAACATATTGCAAATTTCCCGAGGGCGAAGAGACCACATACTTCACCAATGACACTGTCGATCATGAAAGTATTCAATCGTAATGCATTATCAGTCATCTATCATGACATCCATATATGTACAGTGCCTTACGCACAAGCTCGCTTGTGCCCAGACATACAAAGGTAGAGATAAGTAGTAGAAACAGGAAAAGGAAACAGATGTACACCCAATATATCCCAGCTACCCAAAAATCAAAGTATAATACGCCGTCATATATGCAGGGAGAACCTCGGCGAGGCTGTAAGATATAAAAGACACTAAGAGGGGTAAGAGGGGTGATGTCCATCGATCACAGATCGGTTACAGAGTCATCATAGAGAAACGTCCAAGATGCACTGCTGGAAGAATCGGGTCCCAATTAGAGAAAGGCGCCTGTGCCACCTGTGCCACCACCGCGAGCAGAGCGCCGCTGTTGGTATGTCTCGCCGTCATCACTGCCCACTTCCGACATGTGTCGTCGCCATCCGCTTTGTGAGCGGCTTAAGTAAGTAGGCTGGACGTTGTCATCGTCGTGGGCCTCCACGGATGAAGGAATCGACGTGACTCCCATGTCAGAAGATCCGGATGAGACAGACCTCACTCCGGTCGGGTCATCTGCCATGGTGGTCTCGTCGGGCAGCGGCGGGAGAGGATTAGGGTGGCGGTGCGTAGAGAAAGAAGAATGAGCTGGTGGCGGAGCACGACCGTGGGATGAGGAATTTGTCCGGGTACGGGAGCGAGAGCCCATCTGCCAGCTCTCGTGTTCGGCATCACCACGTTCATATGAGGCAGGAACCTGGCGAGTTGGGGGCAGGTAGTACGGATTGGAGACGTTGGATGACTGCCCAGTGAAGAAAGCGTGTTGATCCTCGTACGGCGGGAACGCTGCGGTGGACATGCTCGAAACTGAGTCATGATGCGGGCGGGCTGGTTGCAAAGGGTGGACTTCACCGGCATCAGACTCAGCACTGGACCAGCGGTCCAGTTTCTCGCCTAGGCTCTCTTCTTCGGGATGAGCAGCGCGTGTGTCGCCGCGCACCAGACCGAGGCGCTCCTCCTCAGTTCCAGATCTAGTATGACGCAAAATACCGCGTGGGGAATTGACAGGGCGTTGCGGTGAAGAAGGATTACTGTCAGACTTGTTGCGATTGAACATGCCGTTGAAGGAGAATTGGCGTCGGGCGGTTTGCATCGGGGGATCAAGGGTTTGCGTGTCTGGCTCTTCTTTCTTGTCAGCCCAGGAGATAGACCGAGGCGTATCGCTACGTTCTCGGCCAGTTGGGCGAAGCGAGGCTTCTACCCCAGCGTGTCCAGCACCGTGATACTCCGTGTCGACAGGCTCGCCATTGCCCGTTTCGGTCATGTTCGGAGGCGCACTCTTCGCGCTCAGGGGTTGCTTCTCATCCTGATCATTCAAATGCAGCCACTGCCCAGGGTGAAGCATGCTCGAGGTTCGCGACCGGAAATCACTGAGAAAGGAGTGTCCACTTTGCTTGGTGCTTGGACGGTGTTCCTCTGCATCGACATGATCGGGGAAACGAGACATACCCAGAGGCGGCAAGTTTTGTTTGATCGAAGGAGATCGGGGCGTATGCGGGCGAGACATGGTGGGTCCTGCACCGATGACAGTTCTGCGCCGGCGGATACCGTCCCATTCGATTATTTCGTTCTCACTCGGTGGCTTGAGGTAATCCTCCTGTTTCTCCTGGACGAAGCGACGGGCTTCATCAGCCTCCTGGGTGCGACGAACGGTTGAAATACGGCGGATGATGGAAGCAGCACCCCGAATAGAATCGGCTTTAGGCTCATACTCGGGTCCTTCCTGGGTAGCCACTTCACGAAGCTGGTCAAGATCACCCTTGAACACAGCGGCATCCGGAACATCCTTGGCAGACTTGGAAAGTTGCAGCAAGACTACGCCGGAGCAAATTTGCAGGAAGCCCATGATAACGGTCGCGATTTGAACACCGGTGGCCTTGAAACCACGAAACAAAATTGCCGAGGTGATAATGGTGGCACTGGTGAACAAGACATAGTAAGTTGGGGTGACGAGGGCAGCATTGAAAAGGTTGAGTGCTTTCTGTTTTTTTTGATAATGATTAGCATCGACCAGTCCAACCTAGAAAATGAGAAGGAAGAAGACATACGTTGAGAAAGATGATCTCTGTCAGCAGCGTGCAGACGACAAAGACAAACAGGACGTATAGAAACCAGTGCTTGAACTGTTCCTCGCCATCGATCTGAGCGATAATTGCGGAGCCCAGACCCTGCGTTGCAACAACGCTCAAGCCCCCAACGGAGCTGCAGATGCTGATGTAGGGGAACATGCTCTTCTTGCCATAGCGTGGGCCCACCCAGATCGCGGTGAATGCGGCGCCGATGAGGATGATGCCTCCATATACCAAGAATCCAGGGGAAAGAACATATTTTTGCATTTCCTGAATATCGTCGACAGACGACTGGTCGGGCGCATTCATGGCGATGATGACGGACCCGAGAATACACGAGAAGCAGCCCACTTTGCCAACAAAACTGAGCCGCTCCTTCAGGAAGATGGCCGACAGGATGGTGGTGATGACGACGGAGAGAGCACCGAGGGGAGTCACAAGAATCGCATCGACGAAACAATAGGCGACAAAGTTGCAGATTTCGCCGATAATCATCAGGGTCATTCCTAGCCACCACCAAGCATTTTTCAAATATCCGTATCCTTCACCGGCCTCCTCGTTGTATTTGATGTTCGCCTTGAGTAGTCCGACCTTCTTGATCACGAAGGAGATGCCGATGAACACTCCCGAGGCGACGGCTAGTGAAATTCCGACAGCCTTATAGAAGGCCGGGCGGCCACTGGAGTCCGCGCGGGCCAAAAGGGTCGCGGTATGAGGATCCATGACGGATGATGAATTCGCGCGATAAGTTGAACCACACTGGCCAGCAGTGAGGGGAGGAAGGGAAATGTGTTTCCAGAAAGAAGGTTCAGTCGTAAGGACGGAGTCGTCCGAGGACGGGACTCGGCGTCTAGACCTGAGACACTTTGGGTCAGGCCAGTTTTGCGCCGCGTGGCCTCGTCAGCGTCTAGACCGTGCGTTTCTCAATAGAGAGCAGAGTCGTCAAGTCGCAACACGAGGGAAGCCAGGTTGAGGTTTGAGGAGGAGTTTGGATCTTGTCAGGAAGAAATGACCTCCGAGACTTGGCTACTTTTGACAGTGCTGATCTCGGAATGTTTCTGGAACGAGGAAATCAAGGCGGGGGCAAAGCGATCAGCGGGTGGAACGTCAGCGGCAGAGGCGAGGATGAGGAGGGCGCGACCGAGGGAAATTCCAATAGATGTGGTCAAAAGGGACGGGATTTGATGCAAGAGAGATATGAAGAAGAAAGAGAGAGAAAAAAGTGCAGCGCAAACGATCGAGACAGATAGAAAAGGGGGGCAGAGGAAACAAAGAGGCTGGGCCTGTGGGGAAGAAGAAGGTTGCGGGTACACGCAAAGGACTTGAGAGTGGGGCGTTGCGCCGTGCGATCGGGCGGTACCTGGCAGGTCGCGATTCAGCGATTTGGCGATTTGGGCCGATAAGGGACTAAGATGCGATCGGTACGGCGGACTCCCGTAGATATAGTATGCTTCTCGAAGTACCAACCCGAACTACTCTGAACAGAAACCCGAAAGGGTAGACCCTTGGGAACCGGGACTCATAGCAGTGAATTCGTTGATGCTGGGACGGGCCAGTCTGCAGTCCTTGGTTGTGTCGCAGCTAAAATTAACTCGGCGATCCGTTGGGCCCAACGTTACAGTGCCCTGGTTCATTGGGTCTGCGCTGTGGCTGGCCAACTACGCTCTTACAGTTACAGTTCCAGCAGGTCCATCGGGCGTAGCTGAACAGATCGGATTCAAGTATCAATTGGACGCCGCGGCTGGACCCTGCATGGTAGCCGAGAGACCCATTTTATTACTACTGTACTATACACCAGATGTCTCGTTCAATCCTCTTATGATCGTCAAAAGTCATCATTCATCACATCCACCGCACCAGCCCAGGAGAAGGCGGGGGCGAAGATAGAAAGGAAGAAAGAAAAAGAAAGAAAAGAAAACAAAAAAAAGGATATGTAAAATAGAGTCTTCAAGAAACAGGAAGTCTCGCGAGAGAAACTGCCACACACCGAGACACCAGCCTGTTCCTCGAGAGACCCATTCCCCAATTTGCACCGTCCCGATGGTAGGGTATCCAAGGAGAAACAAGAAACAGTAGTAATATGAAACCCAGATCCCGGAAGAAAGCTTGCGAGTCAACAGTAAAAGAAGTTCAACAGGACACGAGAGGAAGAGATCATCGTAGATGGTAGCTCGGCTTGCTTTGTCGGTTCACAGCGGGCGGCGGCTCGTCGACAGGGTAGGGCGGGCGGACCTTCCCGGTAGCGGCAGGTATGGGGTGCTGCGAGAACAGCGGCGCCGGCATCGCAACGCGATCATCGTCGGCAGACGGATAGGGGATGGGCGTCTTGGGAGGGATAGGGGGTGGCATCCCGTTGAAAGCAGAGTACTGGTCGGCACTGCGGCGGGGAGGACTCCCGCTCTGCTGCTGCGACGACGGCCGCCCGTAATCGTGGCTGCGACGAGAAGTCGCCACCTCGCCGCTTGAATTGCGGGCAGGGAAACCCGTTACGCTATCATGCGGCGTGGGGTGAGCGGGCAGCGAGTCATCGGCTGGCGGTGCGGTCACCGTCACACTAGTAGGCACCGGTGGTGATACTTGCGTGGGTGGGTGAGAGAAGTACTCGACGGGCTCCGCAGGAAGCTCGATCGCAATGGGGTTGGAAGGTGGTGGTACGGAGTAGGGGGCCGTACTAGGCGGAGATGGGAACTGAGATAGAGAATGGGAGAAGGATTGGAACTGAGACTGAGACTGAGACTGAGACGGTGACTCAATCGGGGAGTGGACGGTGATCTCTTCTCGCTCTAAGTCGAAAGATAGATCATCCCGCTCCCCTCCAGCAGCGGCATGCGCAGCTAGGCGCTTGTTCATGCGATCGATCTTGGCGAACCGAACACCAGAATCCATAATCATCTTCTTCACCTCGGGCCTCGCCAGGTATCGTCGAGTATTGGTGCTGATGTCGGCAAGTCGATTCCATTCGTTCATGCCGAACTCGCCCACGCCAACCTCAACATTCAAACGGCAGTAGTTGTCTCTCGAAACATTTCTCTTAGCTAGGATGTCCCGCAGCATCTCCTGGTGGATATCTTCACAGCCTTCAATCTTGGAAATGAGTCGTCGCCGGGCCTCGGCGAATGTGCCCAGCGCATCACCAAAGAAATCCTCCCACCATTCATGCTGTCGGTTGTTTGTGCCCGAAGGCCGCTTGCCCGTTCCAACACTCACAAACACACCAACCTCCCGACCAGGCCACTCGTTGACCACCGCCTCCTCTAGGATTTGCGGTGCAGGGTTGTAGGTGCCGGAGCCCTCATCGATGAACTTGTGCTGGCCAATTTGGATCGGCTTGAAGGCGAGTCCGGTTGCTGAGGTGGCGCGACCAGCTTGCCAGATGGTGCAGTCAAATTCCGGTGGAGGTTCTCGACGGGAGTCGTAGGAGCGCAGAAGGACTGCAGGTACATTGCGTTGGGTACCCTTATAGAGAGCAGTGACAGCCCTGGCGGCCGAGTTAGCATGCAATTCCAAATATTCGATCCAGCAAGAAAGAGCCTTACGTTTTGGTTCGATTCTCTCGGTTGTCATAGAGCAATGCCTCCGGATTGCCCCAGCGCAACCCGTTGAGAAAGGTGGAGCCTCTTTGGCTTGTTGGACTTTGCGGATGTGACATTGCCGAGGTGCTGAAACTGCCACGGCTGACAGAGCGTTGAGGCATGGGTCCTGAGCTATAGGGCAGGCTGGAGATGGATGCGCGCGGATCTCCTCCGGGTTGGTCGTTCCCTTCGGCCTCGAAAACGGTGTGTTCGCGCACACATTCCTTGATGGCCTCTTCCAGCTTGGAGGCCTTGAACAACGTTGAGCGATACGGGATACCCGCGATCGTCTTGTCCGTTTCAAAAACCTTTCGAGTCATCCGTACATAAACTTCCTTGCAAGTCTCAAGGTCGAGGCGAAGGCGCCCCAGCATGATTGCGATCAGACCGCCGGTGCCGGTGCCGGCAATCAGGTCGAAATGGTCGCAAGGCTTTGGAATCTGGTCGCGCCGCGGGGGTTTGCCTTCGCATTCGACGTATGTCCGGTACATGAGTTCCTGGAGAATGATGAGCATGGAGTAGCCGCGAACACCGCCTCCATCTATGCCTTCGAGTTAGCGCGATGCCCGGATGCCTTGCATTGAGGGTGAATATGGGAAGGAAAAGATGGAATTTTGTTGGGCTTACCGAGAGACAGGATCCGCAGCGGCGGACCCTTGGTGGTGTCTTTGCGACGCAGGGTAACTTCGTCCATCGTAACCGCGGCAGATGGAGAATGAAGGTAACAAGATCGCCCTCGCCCTTTTTTTGGGCTGCGGCAGCTTACCCGCGGCGGGGCTCAGCGGCGCCTTATGCACCGAGATCGCGGGATCACTGGCGCCTGACCGGTGCGGTCAGAGCGTGGGAACAGAGGCGTGACGCTCAGTGTAACAACTGACAAGTGAATGGAAAGCTAGATTGGGTGTGTGACACGGTCGATGTGCGGTGCCGATAATGCGGGTTTCGAGTAGGCAACGGCGTAACTTCGGTTGGAGGGGGGGCCCTGCTTGGAGGCAAGCCACAACGTGATCGGGTTTTCGATCGCAGGTGGCTGTGGCTTCGCAGGGAGGTGGGAGCTGCACGATGCGAAACGAGGAGTTGAAAAATCGAAGATCGCTCGTTCAGTGCGAATGATGATAACAACAGTTATTCTTGGAAAACGCACCCACATCCAATGGTTCCATGGATCCCGGGCCAGTCAGGTGATACTGTGGCGGTGTAGTGAGATCTGACGTAATTTGTGGCAGTGACTCAGGGACCCTTTTCCTCAGCCCTGAGCACTCTGCGTACTTATGTCTAGAAAATCTTGGAAAAAGGAAATCTGGTTTGAAGAATGTTGGGAAGGTGTGCACTCAACGCTTGAGTTTAAGTCATTTATTGGAGTGGCCAACGACAAGGAGATAATAATAAATGGCTCTCATGGAGACGTCAAAATTCCTGCTTCTGCGGTCCGAAACACGTGGGTTTTCCGCTTCATGCGAAATGACGGGCAGCATAAATAACTTAGAATTAAGTATACTCCAAATATATGCCACTACAGTTAGCCCAGAAAACTGTAATAAATGCAGTCATTACTTGCAGTGATTTTACTGATCGAGGAAAATGAGAGGAGGGTTACAGAGTGGTGGCGGGTGAGGATATTGATGGCATTTCTGCGGCTGTGATATCCATCGCGCGGCCTCTACGAAAATATAACGATCTTATCGCTATAAACGACTCACAGCCGTTGTATCACTAGCATTCTATGGTGCAGGATGGAGGTTTGCTGTCCCCTCCAGCCTGCATAGTCCAAAAAGTCTTGGAATTATTCCATGAAACGATACTGCAAAGGAGCTCAATTGCTCTGAAAGGGCACGAAATTACACAGGCTATATATTTGTATCACAAGATATACTTTTATCTTCGTAGAGAAATGTCTCGACTGGAGCGAAACGCCACATAGATGAACCCATTCGTAAAATCATAACAGGCATTCAGTTCGAAATGCCCGGCCAATCTAGCAATTGTCAGCACGAAAAAGTCGGCTCCACTAATTGAGGAAGAAACAGATTCACTCACCGATAACTGAATGCTCCTTCGCCCGTGCGACAACTTCAACCTCATCACCGACCCGTATCTTCTGCCCAATTGCCATCTTTCCGAGAAACGAGTAACGCCCAAAGACGGGACTGAACCGTGCCCCCTTGTCCACCCGCCGGTCTTTCATCAGCTTCTTCAGCACGCTTCCCGCCTCGCCAGTCCCCATCTTGCCTGTCTCAAAGTCCACATTCAGGCTTTGGCACCGTACGCAATTCGCCGTCAACAGTAGCTGCGCCTTTGACGTAGTCCCGATGGCTAGCTCCGCCCAAAAGTCTTCCTCAAATGCCCTCTCCGCCCCGGAAACCACTATATTCGGCCGGAACTTGGTCCGGTCCATTTCTTCATCCCCCGCCAGCCGCGCAGACACGTTGTCCACCGAAGTTTCCGAGATGACCAGATACGGTGCGCAGTCTGCGAACGTGATCCGCGCCTCATGCTTGCGCTGCGCGTACCAGTTCACAGCGGCCCAGAGCCCTCCAAGGACGACGGATGTGAGACCCAGCGCTTGAGGGCCCGGCAGGCCGCTTTGGAACCGTCGCAGACTCCAGCCCACCACGTTGAGGAAAAGGCTGGCCAGACAGATGAGCTGGATCCATCGGTCGACGAGCTTGTTTCCGGGAAGCGTGAGCTCTTGGCGCCATACACTCCACCACCGCTCCTTGTTCCGCTTTGCGGGCGCCAGGGTGCCGAGCACGCCTCGTGTGTTGGGCCCTAGGAAGGCCAGCACCACCCGGTACCCGAAACACTCGCTGAACCAGTCGTTGTACTCTGCGCCCATGTCGAACCCTGTCGTCGGGCTCTGGTGCATCGTGATTTTGAGCGGCTTAAGTTGTTTCTCGTTAGGGTGGAGCGGAATCTCAAGGCGTCTGGTGTCTCGGGGAGTCCGACTCTGATTGAGGTCTCCTTGTGTTGGTGGGTGGTATGTCACGATGACTTTGCTGTTCACTTCCTTGCTCTCTGATATCTCGATGTTTGTCTGGAAGAGGGCCATCGCGGGAAAATCCGGGACATGCATGTTCTTCAGCGTGGGCTCTGCGCCGTTCTCTCCAGGCTCAACTTTCAGCAGCATGAAGCAGCGGTCATAGCGAAAGCCCAGAGGCGTTAATTCGCCCTCGGTGACGGTCGTCGGCCGCAGGGATTTGATGGGGTAAACATAGAGCTGGGTGCGTAAGCGGACGTTAGCGCCTACTTCTCGAAGTGAGATTGAAGTCCTCAAGATGGACATACCTGGCTGATCTTCATGGCCAATACTATGTGGGGTAACGGTAGGAACGATAGTTCGGTGTTTGGAGCAAAGAAATCAAGCCCAGCGACGTCACCCTTTTTAAGGGCGAAGATCATTCAGGACGGCGTTTGGTCCGTGTCATGGGTCTCGATTCCACTCTTATCGGTTATCGGTTATCGTGCCGACCCCGCGTCAGCGATTGAGTTTGAGACGCATTTTAAAGCCATCTTGAGGATAAAAATGCGATTATTCTTTCCACATTCTACAAGCAAGATTGGAAGGAATTTTGTTTTTGAAGTTAATTCTTGTTGATCATATTTCGTGTTGAACCATGGCTGGGAAATGTACATAATAAAACGAGAAGGAAAAATGAAAACCCCTAGGATAAAAGAAATGCGTCTACTGGTCCTTCGCCCACGGCAGGCTAAAGGTGCCCACCCAATCCTCAACTTCTTGTCGCAGCATGACAATCTCTGAGATCTCCTCGCCCTCACCAATGTACTCGAAGAAGGCCTTCAGAGTACCGGGGTTCTTGGCACCACGCGACTGGGCCTGCTCGCGCGCGGCCTTGTCCAGCTTCTGGGTCAGAGTCACGGCACGGTCGACAATATCCGCAACACGGCGGAAGTCTTCGGGCTGGAAGCCACGAGAAGTCATGGCGGGGGTACCTAGACGCAGACCGCCGGGCTTGAGGGCAGACTTGTCGCCAGGGACAGTGTTCTTGTTGCTAGCAACGCCGCACAGCTCGAGAATACGCTCGACACGAGCGCCATCCACGCCGCGGTTCTTCAGATCGACGAGGACCAGGTGGTTGTCGGTACCACCGGAGACGATGTTGTAACCGAGACCGCCGTTGCTGGTGGACTCACCCAAGCGCTCGGCGAGGGCCTGGCAGTTGGCTAGAACGGTCTTCTGGTACTCCTTGAAGTCGCTGGACTGGGCCTGCTTCAGGGCAACAGCCAGCGCAGTGATGGTGTGGTTGTGAGGACCACCCTGGTGGCCGGGGAAGACAGAGGCGTTGATAGGGTTCTCTAGGTCGTACATCTCCTTGTTACCCTTCTTGTCAGTGCGACGAACACCCTTGCGGTAGAAGATCATGGCACCACGAGGACCTCGCAATGACTTGTGGGTGGTGGTGGTCACCACATCGGAGTAGGGGAAGGGAGATGGGAGAACATCGGCGGCCACGAGACCCGAGATGTGGGCCATATCAGTCAGGAGGTAAGCCCCAACGGAGTCGGCAATTGCGCGCATGCGGGGGTAGTCAACCAGACGGCTGTAGGCGGAGGCACCGGCCACAATCAGCTTGGGGCGGTACAATTGAGCCTGCTTCTCCAGTGCGTCGTAGTCAATCAAACCAGTGGACTCATCCAGGCGATACGGCAGGGTTTCGAAATATTTGGAAATCGCGGAGATCTTCTTGGTCGGAGTCTGATAGCCGTGGGAAAGATGGCCACCGTGGGGCAGATCAAGACCCATCAGGCGGTCGTGGGTGTTCAGGAGAGCGGAGTAGGCATAAAGGTTTGCGGGAGAACCGGACAGGGCTGGGACCATGTTAGCGCACTCTCTTACGTTGCGTGTTGTTACGAAGACTGTGGCACCATACGCTGAACGTTCACTCCCCACTCCTCCGGGTCGAGACGGAAAGTCTCGAGAGCGCGTTGCTGACACAAGCGCTCAGAAGCATCAATGTGTTCATTTCCACCATAGTAACGGGCGCCAGGATATCCCTCGGAGTACTTGTCTGGATATGCGGTTAGGACTCGGTGCTTATCAAGGAGGTCGAGGAAGGGAGGTATCGTCACATACTCTGCATCACACTGCCCAGCGCATCGAGAACAGCCTGAGAGGTGAAGTTCTCAGAGGGAATGAGGTTGATGAAGTGCTGCTGGCGGTTTTTCTCCTGGGATTGGTCTCAGCGAGGGTGCTCTACAGCTCTGCAGGAGCTTCGGATCTCATGACGTACCTTCTCCAGGATGGTGTACACCGTCGGGTCGGAATCCTTCAATGAGGATGAGAGAAGCTGCAGGGACCATTAGAATCGCCAACTTCGCCTTTTGGAGTTCAATTGAGGCCTTCCGCGGGTCATTTCTTACCTTCTGCTGCGCATCGGGGCTCGATGACGATACTCCCCGCACGGGAAGGACACGGGGCACGGCAGTGAGAGCGCGAGCAGACACGGGCACAGCCGGTCGAAGGCTCCCCAAAGAGAGACGGGCAAGACGCCCACAGCGAGCGAGAGACATGGTGACGGGTGACCTTTGCCAAACTTCGATAGGAAAGCGGCGACTTTATAGTCGTGAACAGGCCGAACCGCCGTTCCCCGTTGCCCGCGGAAAGCGGGAAACCACGCTATCCCGCTTCGGGCGGTCCGCCTGGCCCGTGCGCGCGCGTCCGTTTTTCTTCCCACAATTTTCTGCCTCCGTCTTTTTCTTCTTCACACAACTAAATCCAAGATGAAGAGATGGCGTTCTATCTGTTTCAGCACTCGTCGGTGATGGCCTGGCCTCGTGCCGGGCTGTCGCTGGACGGGCGCTGCTGAGAAGGTCCCGCGCCCAGTCACCATCCATATTAGGGATCAGTTTACCATCTGATTGGACGTGTTGTGTTTGGTTTGGAGCTGAAGCTTCGCCCAAGCTGGCAGGTTTGGAGGATCTGGATGGGACATGGATCAACCTGGAGGGTTTTCCGAGTTCCTGAACCAGGGAACACACAGTTTTCAGGACTACAGAACTAGACAATCCAGTCCACCACTTTCTCTCCTCTCGGATGGTGTGAAATGTGGTGCAAATCCTGTCCTTTCCACGGTCGCGGTGCCCCGTTGGCTCCAATGGGCGTGGCACCTCAGTCAAGACATTTGAGATAGTGCTAGTAAGAATTCAATTTAATTTATACTCAATATATCTGAACAATATATTCCTGTATTCATTCCTAGGCTTTATTGTCTGTCTCGCAAGCTCTTGGAATCCTCGAGATTCGTGCTTTGTGTGAAGCACGCGAGATTTAGGTCAAGGTTTATCAAGCTTATCGCGTTCCCCTATCACCGCTTCGGCTTCCGGTCGGAGGTGGCCCCGAGGCCCCCCAGAGCCAGCAGCTACTCCGATCAGTCGACCGCCATTTCGCATGACCATCGTGAATAGCTGCAGTCCCAAAATGTTGCCGGCTGCCAAGGCAAATGTCGTGGTTCTACATTATCTGCCTCAATAACTCTCGTGACTCTCCCCGCCCTCTCTCGGGAAGCCAAGCTCAGTGTAGGACTTGATCGATTACCATGTAGAGCTCACTCTTGGTTGCACTGTCTGAGAACCACAAAAACATCAGAAGAGGAAAAGGCAGGTCATACTCTGAAACTTTGTACCTTCCCACTGGAATGATGCAGTCTGGCGGTGCCGAGCCTGACCGGCAGGGATCATAGGCAAGAACAGGGCCAAAACCAGGTGACGATCACACGAGAGAGTGCACAGGATGGGCTAGCGCACGAGACTCGGACCTTGAACTTATGCAACCACGGGGGTATCCACCGACATGAAACTGGTCCTCAAGAAACGAAATGAAGTCCACGATGTATCTATTAATGGCGCCAGACACAGAGTCTGCAGGATGAATAGCAGATCTTACGCTCCAAGCTGTTCGATTTGCATACTCAAGTGTTTGCAGATTACAGAGGGATAGGAAACGGAAGAGTACGAAGCACCAAGCTGGAAACCCACTGACCGCTACAGATGCATGCCCGATAGGCTACGGTTGTGTAATCTGCAGTTACAGAAGAGCATGGGCCTTGCGGGGCTAACGGCTGCATGTCGTTGTCCATGTGGTCCATTTTTGTGCAAGATTCCCTCTTTTTCGCATCACGCTTCGATCTCTTTTTCTATTTTTTATTCATATAAGATAGTTCATTCCAATCTTCATCACTACGTCCCCAACTTAAAATCGTCAGGCATCTGGTAGACAGAATGATATGTTCACAGACAGAAGAAGAGAGACGTCCTCTTCTTCTTGATCAAGAATCCCAAGAGAGTGAAATACCTTGTTCGCAACCAAAATCTCTGTGGGCGCGGTTTCGTCAACCCTCTGTAGGGCTTCGACCTGGACTCCTACCGAAATCCAGACTAATTGTGTTTTGCAACAGCCTTCATGGATTGTCGGCACCTTCATGTGTTTCGTAATCGTCACCAGTTTCTTTGCGATTCCTGATCTGAACGCCACTCTCGCCTTAATCTGCCACCAACAGTTTCCGGCCAGCCTAGCTCATTCAAACAGAGGCTCCTCTCCACCGGACCTTCTGGACGAGCTCTCACAATGCCTGGGCAACGAACATGCCCAATCTGCTTTAGCAAGGTTCCTGATATATGGCCAAGTCATCGCAGGCTTTCTAAGTGCCATCTCATGTCCAATTCTGGGCTCTTTATCTGATTCGCTTGGACGCAAGCCCATCCTTGCTTGTAGCGCCTTCGGCCTCGCCCTCTATGACAGTGTTATACTTCTGGTGCTGCGGCATCCAGATTCGATAGATTACCACTGGCTCTTAGTTGGTAGTGCCATTGAGGGCCTCACTGGCTCAATCATCATTGCTCTGCCCACTTCCCAGGCATACATCGTGGATCTCACCAACTCGCAAGACCGAGCGTCACCATTTAGCTACCTCCAAGCCGCACTTGCCGTCTCTCATGCTGTAGGACCAATCATTTCTGCGATTCTAATCAAGGCATTCAAGTCTCTCGTGGCTGTTTACGCTATCGGATTATATGCCCACTTATCGCTCGGCATGGTCTTCCTCTGTGTCTTGCCAGAATCCCGCTCTCGACCCTCAGGCACGCATAAAGACGATGATTTTAATGGTGAGCAATTGACACGCGAGCCAGAGTCGCTTAAAAGCTCAGCTTATGCGGCCCTCCCATCTTTCAAATCCCTTTGGGAAACGAGTGCACCTCAGCGCCGCAACATAATAATTTTGGCTGTTCTGGAGGTCACCGTGTTTAGCATCGGGCTGGGAACATATCAACTACAGTTGGCATACCCGGCTTATCTATTCCACTGGCAGCCTGAAGGCCAGAGCTTGTTTATGGCCTTGATAAACTCGTGGAGCATCCTTGTCCTAGTTCTTATATTCCCACTCGCGATGACCATGGTTCGGAACAGGGCGAGCTGCCTACCCGGTCCCAAATCGCCGAGCGTCTTTAATGTGGGCGAAATAAGTGCTATTCAACTGCTTTTACTTTTGCAAGGAGTTGGGTATCTTGCGATTGTGCTTTCTCAGCATCAAGTATTATTCATTTCCTCGTCATTGATTGTTGCATCGGCTGCCCCTGCTCTTCCTCTTCTAACATCTTGTTTAACGGCGCACGTACCAAGTGACCACACTGGTCAACTGCTCGGAGCTTTGAGCTTTTTACATGCTATTGCGCGTATTATTATCCCGGCTTCTTTGAATGCTTTATATAGCTCAACAATCGGCTGGTTTCCGCAGGCGTTATTCGTGGTGCTGGCAACTGTTTTCGGGGGTTTATTCCTTGCCAGCATCTGCATTCAGAGAAACAGAGGCATTTGAGGATTATATTGGCGTTCCCATACTTTTTACTACCATACACATAGATAGTGGCCAATAGACGAGCAGGCAATGAGCAAAAGATCAGTCTGAAGTGGCTCTCTTGGAGCGATCGGCTACGAAAATATCAGTCTTGATGGCACTTCTCTCTAGGCCAGTAGAGCTCCTAGCAGATTCCTCTCCTCATTCCTTGAATGTAAGATATTTTTGCCTAGATTTACTCCGAACCTTAATGTAACATAGCCTGAACCCAGTTCCCAACCAAAGAAAAGCTCATACCTTCATGACGCCGAGCCTCTTAAGGGAGCAACTTCTTTGCATCGCTCTACGAACAAAACCCGCACTCTCAAGCGACCTGTCCCGATAACTGGACGCAAAACATAATATTGAGATAGCTTATGGAAGATAAAATCAGTGTGCTCAGACCGACCACTAGATTTTTGGTTATTGACGAGAGATTCTCTACCGTGGTCCTTGGTTAGAGCGATTTGGTGCTGGGAGCTGAATGCAGAAATAACTAACAAAAACGCAATTTAATTACTAATTAAATCAGATTATTCTCGCCAAGACGGAACGCCCTAACTATGAAGTCGACGATACAGCAGTTGATGCCATATAAACCAGAATGCCATGGATGTTAAATACATGACAGATGGAAGCTGACCTTCGTTCTTTTCGACAATAAAGAAATGGCGATAGCGTGGGTGAGAGGGAAAAATCTTGTTGAATATGCCAAATCGAAGCCAGGAGAGATAATAAATATCAAACAGAGGAGACAATATCAGTGTCAACATCATGGGGAAACCTGCAACCGATACCCGCACAGTTCTCTCGTGGACATCGATGACCACTGATGCAACGATCATCGTCACATTGCAAGCCCTTCCAACAGGGCGAAAACCGTGCAATCCACATCAGATCAATCACATCTTGACCAACAAGCCGTGGTATATGCTTATGGGTACAATCCCTGTAGGAGCAGGATCCCAATATTTGAAACTGGTTGCAAAATTTGTTCCGCTTCAGAGTCTCAATCTTGGCTTTTGTGGAGTACTGCAGCGGTACATCAACGCGTTCTCCATTCACATTCCTACGCACGACCAATATTGGACTAGGCGGGGTATCTTGTTTTGCTGTCGGTTTTGTTAGCGGAGCCGCTGTTCTTGCTATAGAGGCGTAGTTTGGAGTCGGCGTCCGTGGAGGTGTAATTGATTGCGTGACCACTTTGTTGCTGAATGAAACTCTTCTCGCTAACTTCTTTGACCGAAAAACGCTGGGGAACGAAGTTGTCTCAAATTCGTACGCTAGGTCTCTCATTTCGCTGGGAAATGGTGGCCCTTCTACAAGTGATATATGATTCGACCCTCGATGGGGTCCTAATACTCGGGCATAGCCATTATCTGCAGACCCGCAGAAAATGATATGCTGACAATGAAGATCGTGAAGATAGTGGTCAAAGTGAGCTAGGGTATACATTAGAGCTTCCTTAATCCTCTGGAGTAGAAATTGAAAACCCTTACCTCCAATCTTCACATCAGAACATTCCTTCCCGCTACCAGCATCCACAAACTCACACAGAGTATTTTCCATGTTAAAACCTTGTATAAAGCATCTCACAACATCCACTGAGCTCACGATACCACTATCGGAATATACCTTCGCTAGACCAGCCACGTTCGCGTATACCCGAATTATGAACTGGATGTTGGGGCTACTGTCGGGTTTGACCTCTCGGATATGACAGCGAGCCGCCTCAATAAGTGCTTTTGCGGCGGTGCGACCACCCTTCTGTCCATCTTGAATTAACTCATCCATGAACTACATCACACAGTTTAGTCCAATTCGAAATCTGCGTAGTAGGAGATACTCATGCTCACGTTCATGTGATCGCCATCGACCAGTACCAATACAAAGCTCAACTTTGCCTATGCATTTGAAACCAATATCAGGCTTGGATACACAAGGTAATCCAGCGAAGGAAACCATCGCAAAACTTACTTCCATGCGAGACTTCTCTTTGAGTTCACCCTCGCATTTCCTCGCATCTTCTTTATACACCTGAACTAGCTTCTTCTGGTCCTCAGACTCGTTCTTCTCGAGTTGAAGTTCTTTTTGAAGATCTTTGACGTAGGTGAGAAGCTCCTGGTAACATTTTCTTTCATTATTTAGGTTTAGGCCGTATAGCCACGAGCATCACATACCTCGATGATTTTATCCTTGTTATCTTCCGCAACTCTGACAGCCTCATATCTGCTATTCAGCTCGTCCAGCTCCACCATTTTGGTCGCTTCTCAGAAGAGAAATGTGGGACGTATGTGAGGGAGTGTAGCCAGGAAACAGGGGCGCATCGCTGACCCTCGAGTTCTTTTTGAGTGCCTACTGCTTTCAACCCAAGGCAGAGGAGGCACCAAATGAGAGGTCATTTTGTGGCAGTGTGCATGCATAGATCCTTGGATGTTGGTATCCCATGCTTTACTGTCTATATAGCATGGGTCAGAATTGGTTGCCACGTCACCGCCGCATCCAACGAGTGGTTGTTGCAGGGGTATTGGCGAAGCGCCGCATGCGCCTCATTCAGTTCCTCCTAGACAAACTCAAAACGTGATGACCATTTTAGGTCAAGGGATGCATGCAACTTTTTATGCATCACTGTTCAATTAATAAGGCCGGTGCGGCGTTGACACGTTGGAGCGTATGTCAAAAGTCCACCCCGGGCTACCTAACCCCGATATTATCGAGCAAACTATGGAGGAGGCTCTTCCCTGTTCGATCCGTCAAATTTTTCAAAGTCATCGTAACCCTCTACCATTTCGAATACCCCACCAGCCATGATTAGATTTTTGAAACACGATTTTTCAACAATTATAAATTGATTCAACTACTTGATCTAGACACCAATTGAATCGATTAGGTACATAGACTGCAATTTCTTCAGTCATTTACTCAGGAAAAAGGAGAGAAGAGAGGAGAGGGTACGAGCTTTTGCTCTTTCACCATATTGGCTGCGCAGGTTGGTCTTTCCTTCCTCTGGGGTGAAGGAGCCCCTTCTTTGTCGTAGCGGGCGCCAGTGTCCCGTTAGGGTAGAGAGATAAGAGTCGAGTTGTCATCTTGTCCTCACGCAACTGTTACAAACTCCAAAGGATAAGCTTTCTTGTACTAGGATCTTCTATCTCTGTTCTTTGCGTCCATCTATCATTGATATTATCCACTCCATGATTGCCATGATTCAAGCAACTGATAGGGTGCAACGAGTATTTTCAGGAAGTGGATCAAGGGAGACCTAGCTATATAGCTAAATGAAAATTCAGCTCATACTACGTGCTACACATTGACAGAAACAACTGAACTAATTTGTGTATATACTACAGTAGATGCCCCAGCAAACGAAGTAATGAACCGTCATTCATTTTGCTTCATAAATTCTCCTGTTGGGCGAGCACTACAGTAATAATTAAGTAGTAGGTAGTCATGATTTGCTTTCGTCTGTTTCTTGACAGCCGTCACATCAAGCACAAGCGAAATTGTACTTTGAGAATAGAAATTCAGTGCATTGCCTAAATAATGCTGGCGACCGACTGAATGAGTCCAAACACCAAGACCAAAAATAAGGCGATTACCACAATCCAAAACATATACCTCTGGTTAGGCTTACGTTTGTCGACCACCCATTTCCGTACCGTTGTCGGCTCTGTCCGGTCGTATTCTTCGCGCAACTCCAACAACTGGTGGGACCAGAAGGGGAAACTAGCAATATCGCGCGACGTAGAAGGGAGTTGGCCTGCTTCCAGGTCAATGGCTGCTTTTCGACGGCATTTTAGGATACAACGCTGGCACTTAAGGTTGGATCGTGGGATCAGTAGCGACAACGTACGTGCAGTCTCTTCCAGGAAGCCGTGGGGGAAGATGGGGCTGTGATAAGTCAGTATATGAAAGCTCGCGAAAACCCGATTGATCCGGGGCAGGTCAGTCGTAACAATCTTCGCCATGTCTATCCTAGTCTATAAAAGACGCAATGTGAAAAACTCTGAGCTCCTTATATCCGTCCTCCAAGCTCAATATAAGGTGATTCTCAAGGCGATCCGTCCACCCAATCTGGAATCCACCAACTTTTCTCAGATTCTCAATATTGAATATCAACGAAAATGACGGGGCATCAGAGAATCCTGGGACTTTTGGAAAAAGAGACTGAATTAATTGCTCTAGTGTCAAGAATATGCAGGCCGGGTACACAATTAGCACAAAGCTGGCGAAATTAGCCCTCGATCGCTGCGACCTCGTTCTGGGCTGTGTTCAACCCCCTAATCGCAAGTATGCCCGGCCTTAAGGACTCACTCATGATCAATAACAATTACTACTAGGTCAACGGATCCAAGGGTGAATTTCCCATGTCAGGCAATTTACTCGTGTAACCGAGGGAAGCTGTGTTCTGAACCGTGGTGTTGCGTGGAGAGCTGGTCGAGATAACAAACCCAATTTTATTGGGGCCAGTGGAGGCTTGCACTGGCGAAGTGATGACCGCAGACGCATTATCCAGCTTGCGGCAATTAAATTTGAAACGGGAAACGAATCTCAACCTCATGGAGCCTCTGATGATGCACTTGCTCATGATCACGGGAGAAAATTTCACCACAAATGGTGAATGCAAATGCTTGCGTCAGAGCGGTTGTCGAGGACGGCGAGGATAATAGATCTAAGAAACATGTCCGCTAATCGAGGATGCTGGAAAGGCCACGTATGTTGCTGCCTGTGACGGGAGATTGCGTTGATAGTTTACTTGAGAGCCTTGGCTCCAGAAGTCTGGATTAATATCTTGCCTAGCCGAGTCAACGAAATCGCGAAACTCCAGTGGGTACGAACACTAGAGCTGGGAGACGATGCGGTGGCTGGCGCGCTATGTCGAATTATGTTGGAGATACATATGAGCAGGTAAATTGGGATGAAGAATCCATCTCACCGGACTGGAAAGCTTAGGCCGCGTGTTTCGACAAACTGGTCAGTACGGAAGGCGACATTTACCGAATAATCGTCTCTCGCCTAAACGTTTGGCCTTCGACGACAGAGGATACCTAGATTCTACATAGCTGATTTGCTTGTTAGTCTAGGCGTAGCTTACAGCTTCCAACAAAAGTATGAAGCGGCTCTGCGTGCCTCCGAAAAGTTTTCTACGTTGCTGAGCCAGCGGGGTTATGACACTCAAATGCTTCCATAGCTGTAAACGATAACAAGCCGGTCTTTATGATGACCGAAAGGCTCGATGAGGCCGAGATTCTATTATGGGATGCTGCCGCTGACTTCTCCGACCACGATAGAAACACGCATGTCCTCAATTATCACCAGCGGAAGCGCCTGTACCTCCACATCATGAAGACATAGGCGAGGTCTTCTACAAGCCTCGCTATAAATATCATCAGCAGAGAAGAAACCGCAGCCTTGGCCACAGAGCTTGTTTCACCGGTTGCTGGCTTACTTTTTTTTCTCTAAGCTTACTCGATGTCATCGTGCATGATCAAGCTGCAGGGAGCTTGTTATGACTTAACAGTAAGATTTTATAGGTCTGGCGCCAGCGCCAGCGCCCTTGCACAAGCTTTGTACGTCCTACTCCCTAGTGATGATGTGCAGGCAACTAAGTATAAATGAGAAGATACAAGTTTTGAAGTATGACGCATAAGTGTAGAACAACATATGCTCTCATCCTGAACTTCGTTCGGAGTAGAAGATGTATTTTGTACTTCTTTTTGCAACTGGTCCCTCAGATCTCTCTTTCCCCACGCGATAATTCTTTACTTAGGTCTACCCAATCATCATGCTTCCTCTATTTGGTTGATGGGGGAAAACAGCCTTGGCCCCACAGGGCACATTCCGCCTGTAATTCGTTCCTGTGCTGACACTTGAGTGTATGGAATATGTCACTGAACGAGTACCAACACGGAGAGCTGGACCATACAGTTGCCGCCTGAATACTAAAACTGGTGGGTGTTGGGATACGTCATAAAGGGTCTCAACCCGATGAGAGGTGATACTTAGTACCGCGAACTAAGGATCTTGGCTGCTAAGAATAACGACGACGATTCAGTTCGTTTCGATTTCGATCAACCCCCCTAGCCCGATCTTCACCAGGTCCAGACCCTTGGCTGCCCCCGACCAGGCTTTGCTCCTCGCATGTGTGAGACTGTTCGGTCTGACGAGATCCACCAAATATGGCCCAAGCCGGCAACGATCCTCGCAATTAGCGGGCCACGCACCCAGACCGAGTTTCTGTTTTTTTCCCCCATCGGCGTTGGTTTGGCTGGTCCGTGGCGGGTAATCAGGGGATAGTCGGCGGTGATCGGGCCACGGCCTCATCTTGTTCGACTCCGCTCCGCTCCGCTTGAAAGTCCCTGATTCGTCGCCAAGGCTCCACTTTACCCCTGCGTCCACCAGTCGCAGCGTCCTTGCAGCACCACCGGGCGTGAATACCTTGAGGTCTTCAATTCCTCATCTCCCAGAGCTTCTCGCCACGCCGTTTACCGGGGATACTGCCACAGCCGCGTCCCTTCCTGGCCCCTTTTCCTGCGCTAGTGCACGGGTACCTGAGCAGACCCGGGGGACACAACAACCAACATTGCTATAAACCCGCCCAGTCTCCCCCTTCCTCTTCCCGCCCCCCATCCGCTCTCTTACCAAACTAAACACCCCCGGTGCATTCCTCGCCCGAGTACATTCTTTTTACAACGAAATCCACTCTTTTCCAACTCCTCCGGATCATATCTATATCTCCCCCCTTGCCAGGAACATTCCTCGAATCTCTCTCCACACTTCCAAGATGCGTTTCTCTATCGCCGCTATTGCCGCCCTGGCCGCTGGTGTTGTCGCCTCCGATGTTGTCACTGAGACCGTCACCCACTACACCACCTACTGCCCTGAGGCCACCTCCATCGTCCACGGTGGAAGCACCTACAGCATCTCCACCGTATGTGATCTCCTCTCGAACAGTCCGACCCTGTCACACCTTCCCCTGGCGATCGTGATCGCATGTTGGTTCGAGAATATGAAGGAAGAGATATCGAAGCTCGGCAGCTTGGCGACTTGGCGACACAGCCGTCAGACCTCCGATTCACATTCCAGAGCCAACATGATGTTTCTCGAGATCTATATCCCACCTTTTCGCACTTCGGGCTCTTGTGAACACTGCTAACATCTATGCTCCTATAGCCCGGTCACATCACCATGACCAACGGTCCCTTCACTGTTACTCGTCCTCTGATCACTCAGACCGTGACCTCGTGCAACAAGTGGTAAGTGGTTCCTATCGACCGGACTCCCAGGTCGATGCCGTCCAGTCTCGAATTAAGAGGTGACTAACGTAACTTGTACAGCTCCTCCAGCGGTGTGCCTTCCGGCAGCCCCTCCAGCACCGTCAAGGTCACCTCCACTCCTCTGGTCCCCAGCAGCGCTGGTGCCACTGGCACCAGCGGCACCTCGCCCTCCGGCGCCGCCTCCACCTCCCAGGCCGCCTTCAACGCCGGTGCCGTCAACGCCGCTACTGGTGCTGGCGCCGGTCTGGCCGCCGTCTTCGGTGCCGTTGCCCTCTTGCTGTAAGCGCGAGCATGAGCTTTAGCTTTGTTCCGAGTATGAGCATGTGAGCGGTTATCGCATGCACGGTTGGTCGGATCGCCCTCGAGATTTTCTTTTGATTTAGAGTGATCCCGAGAGGCGTCCGTTTTCCAGGCGTTTCTTTTTTTTTATTTTCACTCTTCTGGATGAGCCTTATGGAATTGTTTTGGGGATCTTGTCTGTTTATTCTACTTTTTTTTTCTTGGTGTATATGTCTTGTCTATGCATTTACTAGATAATACATAATCGACCCCTGTCTCAGGGTTTTTTATGTCTTTGACGTCGCGAATCAGCTCTTTCCTTTATACCCGCGCTTGCGATACGTTCTTCTGGCAAAATTCTCCTGGATATAGAGTTTGAGTCTTCGTGAAAATGATTTCCTTGCCTTCACTCTTTGCCCTCGCTCACATGGGTGTTGTATTGTGGTTTGTCGCCGTTTTGTAAGTGCGAATGGTGTAGATGCAATTTGGAGCTCTTTTCGTCTTGACCTTTCCATTGCTCTCATCCCATGGCTGAATTTAGTGCTCGGCAGAGGTGAGTCGAGCTTAACTACCTGCATCTCGACTATATTATGAACGCTCCTTACCTCATTTCCCCGGAACATCAAGTTAGACATGCACAAGTCCGCTTTGGCTGTTTTGGGGGGGGTCTCAATTCCGGGTTTCGGCTGATTTGATCCTAGGTATGCAGGCTGCCTGGGTTATATATAACTAGACTCATGCTGGACTACGCTACATGCCTTCAGCATGTCATTATTTCCGGCTTGGAATGAATGGGTGAAGCTATCTGAATTGAACGATATGGCGAAACTTTTGTAGCTACTACGTGGTAAATATATATATATCTATGTCTGTATGTATGCGAACGACTGTTGCTGTACGTAGTGGCTTGGTGTTAGGCGAAATTGAGCTTCATACACAGTCTATTGCAATCTTTCATCCGTCAGTAGAATGATAGAACTAATACCAAGGCTCATATCTGAATACTGAGTGAGAGTGTATAAAGGACTGTCTTCCCATCCAAGTTATCAAAAACCAAACAAACCAAGAGGCACAAATCTACAGCTTCCTACATATCCGACTTTGCCTGCCACTAAAGCCTCAAGGCAACCTTCCCGCACAGCGACAAGGGACGTCACATATATACAACCTGCCAATCATCCTCCCTCTTCTCCTATCCAAAACCCAAACCCAACCCAACATCGCGCATATTCATAGCCTCGCCTTCGTCGCCCCCCCGGCGGCCCTTGTCTCAAAGTACTCACGCACCCGCGCCCTCGCAACCTCCACCACCTCAGCATCCTCTACCGTCGGCGGCACGCTCACAGGCGCCCCAATCCGCCCGGCCACCCCATGCTCCACCAGCTCCCGCAGCACCCGCCGCAGCGTCTTCCCACTCCGCGTTTTCGGCATCATACCCCGGCCCTGGATCATTCCGCCTAGCGACGCAATTGCCCCAATCTGCGCCCGCACCAGCCCATTGACCTCGTTGAACAACGCTGCCGGTGCAACGGCTGGGAGCGCAGCAGCCGGGTCCGGGTCTGCGCTGTCACGCAGGTGCACGAACGCGAAGGGCAGGTGACCCTTCAGTGGGTCGGGGATGCCGACTACGCTGGCTTCGCTGATAGACGGGTGGCTGAGGATAGCTTGTTCGATGGCACCTGGATCGCGCAGGAATGAAAGTGCATCAGCAGAGACAATCGAAGAAGCGGGTATATCGTGAGAAAGGGTAGGGTCTACGAACCTGTGCTGAAGCGGTGCGCCGCAACGTTGATGATGTCGTCTGACCGAGCCATGATATGTACATAGCCCTCGGCATCAATCATCCCCGCATCCCCCGTGTCCACCCACCGCCCCCCAAACCGCTTCATGTACCCGCGGTAGAACCGCTCCTCGTCGGCGAACAGTGTCGTGAACGCCGTCGGCGCAAGCGGCGCCGCCAGCACGATGTTCCCCATCGTCCCGCGTGGCACTTCTACTCCCTCGTCGTTCACAGCCCGCACATCGAACCCAGGCATTGGCTGGCCCGCAGACCCGGGCCGGGCCGGCAACGGTGTGTCTGTACTGCTAGGCGATTTTTCATGCGCTGCAGCGCTGCTGTGCAGCGCAAGTGCGGTGATCGGGGACCCAGACTCCGAGGACCACCAGTTATCGATGACCAGCGCGCCGGGGGCGGCGTGCTGTGACAGTAGGTCTTGGTAGAAACGCACAATGCTGGGCTCGCTGCGCTCGCCAGCAAGGAACAAACCCCGCAGTGTTCTAAGGCCGCCGCGCTTCGCGACTTGATGGAAGAGCTGGTTGTCCGGGTCGTCTTTACGGACTGCGCGCATAGCCGTGGGCGCCGTAAATAGCGCATTCACTTTATGCTCCTCGATGATACGCCAGTATGCCCCGGCATCAGGTGTGCCGACGGGCTTGCCCTCGAACACCACCGTCGTGGCGCCGACGAGCAGTGGGCCGTATAGGATATAGGAGTGACCAACGACCCAACCGATGTCGGACGCGCAGAACATCACGTCGCCCGGCCCATTTATGTTGAAGATATACCGCATCGACAGGTCCAGGCCCACGGCATGCCCGCCGACCTCGCGGACGACGCCCTTCGGCAAGCCTGTCGTTCCTGGAGAGTGTATCAGAAATGGAAGAAAGAAGGAAGAAAGAAAGAAGGAAGAAAAGTTGGAAGAGGAAATTGCGCTCTATATTCCTCTAGGGATTGCTCCCACTTACCACTGGTATAGATGATATAGAGCGCATCAGTGCTCTTCACGGGCACCGGGTCTGCGCGTACATTGCGCATACGCCCGCTCTTCACCAGACGCTGCCAGTTGCGCTGCCCGCCCAGCTTATCCGGGTTATTCCATCGCAGCTGGTCTCGCTGCCACACGATGACCTTGTCCGGCTTGAACGCGCTCGCTGCGATTGCGCCCTCCACTAGTGGCCGGTACGCAATCGGACCCTTGGCTCCTTCAATCCCGCACGACGCGGTCATGATAGCCCGCGGCCGCGCGGCCTCGATACGCTGCGCCAGTGACTGTGCGGCGAATCCGCCAAACACGGCGGCGTGGATCGCCCCCAGGCGGGACACTGCTAGCGCGGCGATGAGCGCCGCGGGTATCATCGGCACTGCGGGAGGCGTGCTGTTAGCCTTGAGTCCTCATCATGTGGTTGTGCCGGTTGTGCCACCTCGGCGCAAGCTCCGAAGGGGCCGCATTGGATGAGAAGGGTAGCTCTGGGAGCTTGGGAGCTCCGAAGCGAAGTGGGAGGGGGAAAGGTGGGGTAGACGACGGGGGTGGGGGAGAGAGAGGGCCAGTTACTGTAGAGGATCACCACGTCGCCTTTGCGGACGCCCTCCTCGCGTAACACCCCGGCCAGCACCTCGACTTCACCGAGCAGTTGTGCGTAGGTGTACTTCTCCACCGTGTGCGTCACGGGCGACTCCCAGATGATGGCGACCGCATCGCCGAGCCCATTCTGCACGTGACGATCGACGCAGTTGTACGAGGTCGAGAGCTCCCCGTCCGCGAACCACGACCAGTGCGGGTGCTGGCCACCGGCCACCGTCTTAGTGCGCTGTGTCAGTGCTCGTGATGGCTTGCGGTGCCAGTGGAGTCGCTCCGCAGGCCCGGCCCAGAAGCTCTCCGGGTCGCGAAGCGAGTGGGCAAGGGCTGTCTGTTGGGGATGGGGCACCATCGTTTGCCGTTTGCAATTGGAACAGTCGGTGAGCGAAACGGTTAGGTTGTTTTTGATCCCAATGCTGTTTACTTTCCTGTCTTTGTGCTCACTGTTTCGCCTTCTCGCCTTCTCGCCTTTTTGCTATATACTCATTCGGGAGGGCGGAGAAAGGGGATGAGTGAGATTCGTTGCACCCCCCGACTGCTCGGACTTATAGACCGTACTGTACCCGAGGTCCAGGGCTCGGGATCCGCTGGTGCGATTGGCCGAGCGGCATGCAGGGATCCTGAGATGCAGAGTCTTAGAGAGATGCAGGGATGCGGACATCAGAAACACCCTGAATTGTCGAGGACAACAAGTCCGAGCAAATGCGGGGGAAGCACGGACGTCCCCGCACCGCGGTACCCGAGAGCTACATGTGCTTGAGCTGGCGCCGACGTACGTCGCGTAGGTACTCACTCGGTAGCCTGGATCGACGCAATAGCGCTCCTCCGATGAATCCAATTAGCTGTTCTAAGTATAAGCTGTAATCTAATAGTACAGTAGAGATGCAGAGTGGGGGGTAAAGAGGGGAAAACTCTTAAATAGACTAGACACGTCGACACTAGTCCATAGTGCCACTCATCGGCCAATTCAACCCTTTCAGCTCACGGTGGCAAGAGGAGGCTGAAACATGCCGGTTCAATAGGCAGCTTGAGTTGCCCGCACAAGATGGTTGAGAGGGCCCAAAATGTCTTGCTCTCTATGCGACTCCGCCTCAAAGGGAACTCAAGACACTGGAAACTCTCTAACCGAGACTCACAGGAGTCTGGCTCATCGGTCTCAAAGCAAAGCTATAACAGTCTCAACTCTGTATTTGTCTATATATACTGGCAAATGGAAAAAAAAAGAAGTAGGGGGAAGGAGCTAGTAGAGATTCCAATAGAATAGATGAGGATAGTAATGGAATGAGAAGAGGGGAAAAAAATAAAGAACAAGCTCAGTCGTAGGGTATCATGTCGAAATGCCTGCTAATGCGCGACTGCGATCTTCTTGGCTTCGTCGCCTGCGAAGTGGTATGTGGTTGTTTTTTTTTCTGTGGCGTCGGGAGAGGCTCCAATGAATGCAACTATCCCCGTCCCATCGGATCTGTGTTCGTGGATTGCAAAGTCGTCTGCTGTACTCCGCCAGAAACAAGACCGGGCCCGTTACCCGTCATGCATTCTGTGAGAGTGGCGGTCATCACAACTATGCATGAGCTCAAATGCCCTCCCCAAGGGCTCTAAAATGGCACCAATCAGCCGGACCGAAGGGAAAAGGGAGAATGAGCGGCGTTCCAATAATTGCCGAGACATTCGGAAATTGGACGGCGAAGAGATGGCGGTGAGCCCCCATCTCTGGAAATCGAGGATGATCAGCGGGCGGGATCGGAGGTGTAAGGGCGAAGCGGGTCGAGTAGGAGCATGTGAGGTTAGAGGTCGCGATGATGAAGGATGGGCGGAAGAGGTAAATCAAAATAGGGCCACCGACGCCGAACGAGGTCGTAAACCAAAAGACAGAACCGCCCTCCAAATGCACCCGAGACCAAAACAATAGAGAAATCGAGCGGGACAAAATAAAGAGGAGATCGAGAGGAAATAGGGCAGCAATGCGAGTGTAAGGGCGAGGGGAAGCAAAAGGTAAAAAAAAAAAAAAGAAACTGAGACACACGCAACAGCCCTCACAAGGGGCCACCGCTGAAGAAGAAAAGAAAAAGGGGACAGAGACAAAGAAGAGCACCCAATCCCAAGTCAAGAAAGGCAAAAAAAAGAAAATCAAGACTCAAACGAATCCCGGACGGGCCCGGCCGCTCACAGGATAGTGCATCGACGGCGATGAGGTCGATTATCCTGGCGAAGTCGATTGGGAAATTCGGCATTGGCATCGCGATCTCTGTGCGTCTGGCGGCGCTCTTGTCCCCGACCGCCTTGTTGCTGTTGCCGCTGCTGGCGGAGCATGCGCACGACGTCATAGAAGGCCTTCTCGACATTGATGCAGTTCTTGGCTGAGGCTTCGACGAACTCACAGCCCAATTCCTTGGCCAGGGCCTGGCCCTCCTGTGCGGACACGGCCCGCTCGACGGCCTTGTCGCTCTTGTTGCCGACCAGCATCACGGGCACAGGCAATGGGGGACCGCCGGAGGGATTGCCTATCGGGGAGTTCAGGTAGCTTGGGCCGGAGGGAGAACCCGAGCTAGCGGATTCCTTGACCATCTTAATCTGGTTATAGAATTTGGTGATGCGCGAGAAGGAGGCGCGCGACGTGATGCTGTAGACCAGTACAAATCCTTCCCCGTCGCGGATCCACTGATCCCGGAGCGCGGTGTACTCTTCCTGGCCAGCCGTGTCCAGCACCTCGAGCATGCATGACTGTTGATCGATGACGACTTGTTTGCGGTACGAATCCTCGATGGTCGGATCGTATGTTTCAACGAAATGGTTGAGACAGAGCTGCGCGGGTGGGAAAATGCCAAGGTTAGTCCAGCGGTCTTAGATCGTTGTTCTGTGGTGATGCCAGTGAAGCGTGTCTCTCTGTCTCTCTCTCTCTCTCTCTCTCTCTCTCTCTCTCTCTCTCTCTCTCTGTGTGTGTGTGTGTGTGTGTCTTTCTCTCTTCTCTTTTCCTTTTGTGAGGCGCGTGGCGTGTACAATTCGGGTTGTGCAGGTTTTTCGTGGAGCGTATGCTTTGATCGCCGATCGGGGGAAGGGATTGGGAGGGACCAACCTGGATTGTGAGAGCCGTCTTTCCAACACCTCCATCTCCCAACACCACCAACTTGTACAATGTCATTTTTCCCGACATGGCGGGCGAAAGTAGTCGGGTCCGATCGAAGGTAAGGGGGTGTTGACGAAGGGAGAGGAAGAAGGGGGGAGGAGAGGGGGGTGGTGTGGTTGTGTGGAGGGGTAGAGGGAGGGTCGAGGGGAAGACGAGGAGAAGGCGGAGAAGGGTGACCGAGCAACCACCGAAGCCGGGAAGTCCAGAGGGGCCAAGAAGGTCAAAAGAGTCCTAGGGGGGGGGGGGGAGTCGGGGGAGGATAGGAATCGAGGGAAGAAGAAAAGGGAGCTCCGGCTTCAATGACGCAGCGTGTGTGTGTGTGAAAGGAGGAAACGAGGGGGTCCAAACCGCCGTGTGTGCGAAGTTTGGTCGGGAGGCTGGAACTAAGTGGAGTGGGAGGGGTTGGCCATCGCGATGGGCATACTTCAGAGAGAAACAGAGACGGGGAGAAAACAATACCAGGAATCCTCTCATATTATTAAACCAGTCCCAGGCCAAGGATGCCTGGGCTCGACAGAGAAAAAAAAAAAAAAAAAGACAGAATGATTTAATGATTTCCCCCCAAAGGAACGGGCCCGGCAGCCCGGTCACCCTGGTCAACTCTGCCGGTCTGGAAGTTCCTGGCGTCGGAGCTTCCCAGGGGGGGGAAACGAACGATGATTTGGATTGGAACTACAATCAGGATGGAGTTAGGATGGGGGCAGAATGGGGACATGAGGATCATTAGGAGAGCGATTGTCGTGATTGTACACGGTACATCTGTCTACGCTCCTGTCGTATTGCGTGTTACTGGAATAATTATATTCTTCTAGAATGTGTCCCCCGATTGATCTATACCCGGGCCCCGACAAGGAAAATAGCCTCGTGCAGCAGCGCGAGAAAGCGCAAATCCTCGACTTGAATGACCTGATTCGACAGACCGGCCATGATGGCTTCATGGGACATCGATTCTCACTGGATTGGTCACCCTGACTGCAAGTACTATACGGCGTAGCGTCGTGAAGGATCGACGGCGAGTTGCAGAGGATATATGGAGACCTAAGCGCTTGTGCGGACTATACCCTTCCCAAATGGCCTCCCAACCCAAGGGACAAAATAGGGGGGGGGGGGAATATCTAATAAAAAAAAAAATCCGATCTAGAAAAACGGCCCGCCACCTGTCTCCTGCTTTCCTGATGAAATCCTATGAACTGCATGGGGTTATGAGTCCGTCATGATCCCACGCAGCCAGCGGTTCGGTCCGTGATCGTTTTGGAGACGGTATACCGTCTCCAAAACGGGGGCAAACGAGCCCGACCATGACCATGATCAGGATGGACAGGTATCCTCCAGCAGACAGACGCACACCCCGCTCTTCCGATCTATTCTGTCTCTCATCTATCTGCAACCATCGGGCCTTGAAAAGCAGTGGTGAATAGTGGTGATTATGGTGCACCGCCCCGCTAGGGCAGCTCTCGGCCCCAACCTCAATCCCGATGCTCAGTCGTGATTACTATAGGATTGCTACTGCCAGCTGGCCGTCCCCCCTCGTGCGGAATTGAGAAGGGCTTGGTCCAATTGCTGTCTGTTTCTTTCTGAAAAGAGTTGCTGTGGCTTTGGGCCCTCCCCTCCCGTCTCCACCCGGATGCCATCCGCGCTCAATCGGACCGGAGAGAACTTGGAAAGATTTGGGGGGGGGGGGGGGGGGGGGTTCTGAGAAACGAGCTAATGGGGTTTTGGTCCGATTCTTCATTTCCACTATAACACTTTCTGCAATTGTGGCTCTCAAGTGTGGCTCCAAAATCTGGTCTATCGCATTCTAAAGTACGGTCTGCGGGCCTGCTCAATCCGACTCCCGACTGTAAGGTCGGTGTCCTAAGGCCTGAAGCCTCGGAATATGTCAAATTCTTAAGGCCCCATTGATCTCGACCGGAACTACGGGGCCGGTCTTTCTGTATGGCCCAACACCTCAGCCATCATCACAAAAAGAAAAAAAAAAAAAAAGGAAAGGAAAGACCAGCGATATGGTTCCGGGTGGGGTTTGTCCTCTTCCTATGCTTGGCCACTTGGCTCAACCACATACTTCAAAGTCTGTGGCTGATGAGAATGCGCTTCTTCTCCACCAGAATCAAAAATAAAACACTGACAGCCGACAGAACAAAGAAAGAGATATCCAAAAAAAAAATCATAATAATAGTCTTCCAAAGCACCATTGACATGATTCTCAACTCATCACCACAGTTCCCATGATGCTCGGGAGCAGGAAAGACCGGCAATGGAAGCGCTACCCGCAGTGGATAGGAATTCTGGCGGGCCCAGAGCGAAGCGGCCCAACCTAAGCCCAAGAAAGGTGGGTCGATGCGAAATTGACCTCCCAACCCAGCTGTTATTGTCCGTGTGGGGACGGGGAACTCGGGAGCTTCCCTTCGGGCCCAAGCGAAACAAGGATCGATGAAGAAGAGAAGTAGAGACAGAGAGCACAGAGAACACAGAGAACACAGAGAATTGAGCCCATATTCCGAGACCAGTCTCGTTCGGAGAAGAATCAGGTATGCGGAGTAACCTCAATTTACGGAGGCTCGACGGAGAACAACAGCAGGGTGCATGGTGCCGGGCATGGGAAGAATCGGGGGCATCGCAAAACCCGTTGATTAGCCATCATCGCCATCGGAGAATACGAGGCCGGAATTGCTCTGCACGTGGGAAACCGCGCAAGTGCCGAGTTTAAGTTCTTGACGCTTAACTTTGGGTTCCACACTAAGGTTTCAAAGCTGTCACGGTGTTGAGGGCCGACCCCCCCTCCTGGATTGATCTCCCAATTCTTCTAGATGTCGCATATATCGCATACGTTGCAGATAGCACCAGTTATCATAGCCCACTACTATCTTGCCGCCTCCCGAGTGCAGAGCGTTATACTTCCGACCTGGAGCTTTTCCAGAACGAGTGTACTCCGTTCTATGCCTGTCGCCCTCCACGGAACTGCTCCGGAAAGAACAAAAAGGGACGAACAGGACTGTTGATTCTCCTTCACCACGATCTCTCAAAGCGCCATTCCAGTCTTCTGTCTTCTGAAGCAGATGAGATCCACTCGGGAAACCCTCTTCCCACTTCTCTCCCTTCAGATTAGGCTTCGTCTCTGGCCGTTTGCAACCCCCTCGATGGTTGCTGGTCAGTGGGTCCGTGCCATCCACTCGATGGCTTTGCCAGGAGATGAGCGCAGCCCCGTTCTAATGATCACAAAGCCCTCAATGGCTTTCGCCTAGATGAAGTACGTATGCGGGGTCCTCGATGTAACTGCTCCGGCCTGGCGAACGGGCTTTGACTAGCCCTGTCGTCGCCGAAGGAACCAGGCCAGTGGAGCCCGTGTCCCGGCATCGTGGACAATGGCCCCGGGCGACCCAGCCCCTGCGCTACACGTCCCTATCCATGATGATGGAGACCCGGAGATTCTGGTAAATTTGGCTCCATCAGGATCCAATTCCTTCCCTCAGTCCAGGATGCCAAGACGCCCTGGGCTGGCCCGAGAAGGAGTGCATCCACCCGCGGAACGGCGCGTGAAGTCCCGTCTGATAGATCGCCCCAAGGCCTACCCGGCACGGTGAAGGCGGGCTCTGTCCTTGGTGGAGACGGCGGGTTTGGTTTGGGAGCTGTCGACTGGTTTAGTTCAAGTTTCAACCTCCCCTTCCCCCTTTTATTTTGGTTTTCCTGTCCCGTCGGATCTGTTGGCGCGGTCTCTTCTGCGCTAACTCGAGCATGACGACGTGCTCCATTTACCTCGTGGCACTGGAAGCTGCTCGGCCATCTAGAAGGCCCTGGCTTTTACTGACTCGACCTCGGCTTGCTCTGTGCGTGAAGATAGTGAGTCTGTGGATTCATAGACGGATTGGAATACTACAGGAATAAATCGTCTTGGCAATTGCTATCACTACTCCCTTCTAATCCCTAACCACGTCATCATTACCTATCAGATTGTCAATGACCCAGCCAAGGATGAGCCGATGGATGGAGGACTGTGAATTGATGTCGTCTTCAATCAACTTATGTAGCAAGCCATTCAGGGTTGTTTTTCCTCCGGGCCCCACTGAGATGCCGGTGTCCCCTATGTTGTCCCTCGGGGCCCTGGTTTTCGTTTCAATCTAAGCCTCTATTTTCCCAAAATTCTGCTCTGACTAGTCTCCTCGTCTAAGCGTATCTCCTCTCCCAGAAAGTAAAGTAGACGGTGTGAATGGACTAGCCTCATACTGGGAGTCCCAATGGGATGGGTATAGGATGATAGCCATTCCACATCTTAACCTCCATATGCCTTCCCGGCCTCCATCTAGCGTGGCGATGTACGCACCTCTGATCTTCATGACCTCTTTCTCCCCGGGGCGCCTTCTCCCGCTTTGTCAACGTTCCATCGGTGACCCTCCTTCCCCCTCACCTTCTAGCTCATCCGTCTGTGGTCCCCGGGCACCGCAGCTAAACTGGTTCTGCGGAAAGGGCCGACGCGAACCAGTCAATCGGGGAGTCGCAGAAGAAGCAATGAAAAAGAGGGGGCCAAACGCAAGCTGTTGCCCCCTGGTTTCTAGCGTTTCCCCTTCGCGAGTCGCCAATGGTGTTCGTCCATTTTCCAGAACCTCCGGCAGGGATGCTTCCGTAGCGGATCCACCCGCCCGTCCTGCTCCGCCGTTAGATGGAGTCGCCATATGGTCGACGTTCTAACGGTCCGCTATGGTCTCACCCCGGTCCTACACGGGAAGACCGCTGGTTGACATGAATTGGTCTAAGCCGGCGCTGTGCGTCGTGGCTTCGCTTAGTTTGGCGGCCCCCTGGTCCCTCTTGGGCCGATTCGAACTCGAATCCATGCCAATCACATTCGAGTCCAATATCCCTCGGCTAGGTTATGTTTTGGCCGGAAGGGGAAGGGGGGAATTACGAGAGCTTCTCTCTCCAGATCCTTCCAGTCGAGTGGACAGGTATGGATGATGATCTGATGTACGCGTCGCGCCGTCTTTGCACAACCTTAGGGTTGCCGGACTGAGCTTTGTCTTGTGACGACCCAGGCGATCGGCAGGGACAATTCCGGCACCCTGGGCCTGGGTAGACTATCGTGAACTTGGTCAATGGGGCCTGCTTTTTCGGATTCTTTTCAATTCAGGGGATGATGGGTCTCCGTTGGGCAGGAGCTTGGCATCGGGCAAAGCCCGATGCTTGGTGGCCAGCGAGGATTGGACAACTGCTTTATCCTAGCTGGTCCTTTTCAGGGGGATGAATGGTAACTAAGGTTCTGAGGTCAGTGGCTTGGCCTAGTTACGTGCTGTATTCGTAGCAGACTGGAGCCCAGTTTGCAATGGAACGATCGGGGACGGGCGCGATGGGTCATTAATTAAGCTATTTCTATCCTCCCGTCAAACAAACTGACCATTAACGCATTGGTTGCTACCTAAATAGACCCGCAATTGGGCTTCCTTAAATGGTGAAACCGATGCAATTTTATTTCTTTCCAGCAAACAACAACGATTCTTCGGCCCGACTGAGCACTCAGAACGTACTGAAAGCCACCTATAGAGTGCCGAGTAGTCTGACTCTTCGCTTGGTTTTTCGTAGCTGATGCATTTGATGAATCAATTTCTAGTAGGGATCATCGACGTGGCCAAGCTTGAAGAGAGACAAAGTTAGGCTCACAATTTTAAGACAAAACTAGATGGCTTGCATGTGTGCGCGTTTGAGTAAAGTTTCTCTAGTACGACTAACTACATCGTTCGGGGATTCTTCGGCTTTGCATATCAATATCACATTGTCTTAGATGAAACAGGAAAGGCGTAGAGCTTATTTGCAAAATGGATGAGACAATAAGAAGACAACTGGTTAGGTTTTGAGAATTATTCAAAAGGAGAAATATGAAAATGGAAGGTGAGAATCGTTGTCGGAATAGGAGTTGGAGAGACTCCATGTGCTATTTATTAGGGTACATGTCGATCACTTCTAGTTGGATGCGCCGGACCCAGCAACAGATACCTTTTTTCGTGAGCAGCAGGGCCTTTGAAACTTTCATCCATATATGATACCCACCAAGCCTTTCTTATAATAGGCACCTGCAAAGCTAAGAGGATGCGTGCTTTAAGTTACTGAAAGCTCCTATTGTCGCTATGTATAGTAGTCTCAATGCTGATTTACGACAATGAATACAGTTAAGTATGATCATCCTTAGCTATGCATGATTTCTACATCCAAAATGCCATTAAAATTCGAAACCCGTATGGCTGACAACGGAAGATCGTCCTTCGGTGACTCCGAGACATTGTATTATGGTCCTGAGATGTACAGTATGATTCTAACGGAGCACTAGATAGGAAAACGACATAGAGAGGAAAGATTTTGGTTTCACTGAATTCACGTACTTTCTGGATCGTATCGGCCAGGAGGCAGCTGCCACTCCGGCTTGACATAGCTGTATTTGTTCCTTTCAAACGTGGATTGCGTTCCAATGATTTTCATGTATGAAACATTCTATCGCGGTTGAAATTGTTGTCTACGGTAGTGCAATCCGAAGAGATCTCACTCTGCGAAACATATCTCTAATGACGAGATCTTTATGAAAGCCACGCAAGAAGATGTGAGGCTACTTAAGACCCAGAGGGCCTCATTTCCAGCCCGCTTTAATCAGTCTCGCATGGTTTAAACCAAATGATCCTGTGTTTTCTGCTCCATACGTGAGCCCAAATGGGCAAGGAGTCCATCCCTTGAATTTGAAACTGGAATGCAAATAACTAAGTTAGTGCCACAATTTCTTATTAAGTATCGGTCACCGATTGAAAAGCCTAGTCTGCTGACCAGGTCACTGTTACAAATATCTTGTACTTCGATACCATTCCATATGTGAAATAAGCGTTCAGATAAGTTAGCCATCACCCTAGAATCCGAAGAAAGCGCAACTGCTTCTGGTGGGCTTGTGTTCTCGAAATAAATGACTTCCGTTCTCATCCTTGTTGCCAAGTTGTACCGCCATCCAGATGAGTCTAAGTCGGTTAGGATCACTGTACCGTTATCTGTTGATGAGGCAGCGTTTAGAATTTGGTTCTTATGTTCGATCTGTTCGATCTCGTCATTGCACTTGGCCATAAAAACATCCCAAACCCTGATCCTCTCGCCCAGGGATATAATCAGCTTCCCATCTGGGGAGACTATCATGTCAAAAGATGGACCTGGTATAATCAGATCTTGAGCCCTTGTGGTAAGTACTCCTTAGTCTCATGTTGGCGTATGAAGTTAAAAATACGAACTTGCTGTCGGCCGAAAAGATACAAGATATGCTTCTTGTAGAAGTATCTTTGTTAACGCGAAAACAAGAGTCATCAATACTTTTTTCTCTGCTTATTTGAATATAACAGCTATTCATTAATTAGGCTTGCTCAAAAGGAAAATGGTTGAAGAATTTTACTTGCGAGAATTTTGCTAGGTTCATTTTCTGGTGTGGAAGGTTCAACATGATGGCTTCGAATAATTCGAATGTAGAGTTTCCTAGCACCTCCTCCCCAGTTTTTGAAAGTTCGACCAGTCGAACACAAAGAATTTCGTCCAATGCTCTTCTTCGGAATCGATAATGGAATAGGTTGCGCGAACATGCCAGCATTCATGACAATGAAGTAGGAATCTGAGTTACCAATCCACAGTTTCAAGCTTATGTCGAGATATCGAGAGTGGAAAGGGACGCTTAGAGAGTTTTTCGAGCCAGAAGAATTTGAATTACAAAAAAGACATCCTTCAAAAGTGATGAGAGAAATATTTTGTGTTGATCACTGTTTTGCCCCTGCAAGTACTCGTCGTGTTCCTCCATTGGTCACAGAGGATCTGATTCTGGTCATTTAAAGCGGAGTTTCCCCGTCGTTCATGGAAAGCTCTCAATAATATTGAATTTCAGTCGAGAGCAATAAGTAAGAAATATGATCTCGATGAGCAATATACTGACTCTACTTGATAGCCCGTGGAGCTCGTTTGGGGATATGGAATGGATGTGATCCATAAAGCCGATGCGGTTGCTATAACATAGTGTAAGCGAGACGCTATATTGTTGAGCAAAAACATCAAGATTGAACGTGGGGCTAATCAACATAGAAAGCCTTGCCATAGGGCCATCCGGAACATAAAAGGCTTTCCTTTGGGAGTGACGGCTCCCATCAATCGCTGCAATTCTTCCCCGGCTGTTTCGCTAGTGAGCCCTTTGAGTTGCAGGCAGTTAAATTTGAGATGTAGCTACACGGAAAATATCGTGTATTTGACAAGCCATATATTGTTGAGTGTGAATTTTGTTTCTTTTTTCCAGATGCAAAAGCTGAAATCCCTTGTCGAGAATACCCGCGTGATGAATATTTATTCAACCAGTGACCAGTGAATACTCAGTGCCGACCCGCTTCTCGGTGCGGAAAACAGTCCGAAACTGTTGAATTGACTAGTAAGGAGATAGTATTGGACGTATTACCCAACGCTTGGAAGTTTTACGGTCGTCCCCCTGGTTCTCTTGGACCAAATCAAGCTTTAGAAGAAGTGTACTATGGATGTGAGAGATGATTTTATGTCTCGCAGACCGCACTCCAGAGACGATTTTCTTTGTGAAAGCTGTTTTCTTTGTGAAAATTGTCCTTTGATTTGGACTGGTTTTGGGGGAAATTGGATCAAGAAGTGTCACTCAGCTAGGGTGGTGTTTAAAGCGAAATCTTGTACCCGGGATCGTAGCAATTCTAGGGCTGAGAACAGCAACTAAAGGACACCAGAATATCCGGATAGACCATGCATAGAGGCTAGTGTGTCCTGCGCATGTCCGCATGCTGAGTCTTCCGGATCTTCATGCAATACATAAATCAATGGAGCTTTTATTTTACCTTCTGAAACGTACGGTGGGGAGTGTAAGTAACGACTAGGCTATACGAGTAGCGTCTAGGGTATGCTCATGCAGATCGTATGGGTTGTTTCAATTTTGAAAGAAACGTGCGTTCGAAGAACAGTTTCTGTATCAAAACATTAGCTTGAACCTTTATGTAAGGTCATAAAAGTAAATAACAAGACATTTGAAATTCATATATTTCTCGCTGATTACTGCACAGCAATGAAGCTACCTTACGTGCCGAGTATGCCGAGTATGGTCATGCGTTGTCCAATATCCTAGCGCCGTATGAAGAATTTTTGCAATTTAGGCTCTTTCCGCCAGTTGAGAGGTACGTGACGCTTAATGATCATCGACCGATTATGAAAGGGGTGAAAAACAGCGAACCCAGGCTATCCACAGTCCAAGATGTAGCAACGAGCATCAAGTATGATTATAGTCCAGAAAGAGTATCATTCATTCAAAGACCCTGATTAATTTGTTTCCGTGATATTGAAAAATGATTTTTCCCCAGAACACTATGTCTTGCATATATTACCCCGAATCTATGCCTTTTGAATGTCGTTCAAATATGATGTCACTCTTTCCACCAGAATCCGCCGTGGCTCTGCTTGATCTGAATCACTTAGAGCGTGTGATGCATTAGGAATGACCATGCTACGATGGTCCCAGAATTCCCGCCCCTCGACATTGATGGCTCTCTGCCACCTTTTAAGTAGCTCTTCCTTATTGACCCAAGGCGGCACCGACTGATCGCGACCAGAATATAGAACCAGAAGTTTTTGGTTAAGCAATGCTCGCCTTCCCACCATGCCAAATGTTTCCTTTAACCGCGTATCGCTCAAGTCTGAACTGAACAGATCGTCCTCTTCTGGCTTCTCCGGACTATCCGGGCTCACCAGGCTCAGGAACCGTCGGCTACTGACTGGCGCAGTGGGCGGATAGCCTATGCGACCAGTGACAGATAGTGGAACCACTGTGTCAACAGAGTTGTTATCTTCATATGTATTTCGGCGAGCCTCCTCAACGGCCTTGTTGTACAACTCTCGCATCGCCGCTGGGCTATCCCTTGCTGTGCCACACTTGATCACCCAAAGAATACCCTCGCGATCCGAAACAGGCGCTTGCATAATAGCACCATCCACAGGTGTTCTCAGAATGGGCTCCCAGTCTTTGTCAAAGATTGGGTTTGCAGGTCGAGGATTCGGGCAGTTAATGTAGTGCATCACGTCCTGGCTGCCCGTTGAATGGCCCATGATAACGACTTTGCCAGCACCATACTGTGGCGTCTTGTATTCGCGGATATACTCCACAGCTTGTGCGATCTCATCAATGTCCTTGCCAAGCCGGCCCATGCCCCAGCCACCGTATGACGAGGACAGAATCAGGTTGAATACGGTCCATTCTGTCGAGTCGAGGGCTCGCACAATATCACCGAGATATTCCACAGAGCCGAGGCCATCGCCAAGGCCGCCTACAAAGAGAAGGGTGTGTGGTTTGCGAGGGGATCCGCGGGTGTATTCGAAGGAGACGAGGCTGGAGGTCTGGTCGCGAGAAATGGGCTGTCAGTGATTGTGTGTCATCATTATCGGGGGTTCAGAGAGAGCAAATACAATGTGATGTAGAATTCCGGGTTGGCCTCGAGCCATAGAGGTGAGCATCTTGAGTTGCATTATTGTGAGCTGGAGAGCTTGAGACGGATAGGTGCAAGACGAAGCTTTCCAGGTTCGTCAGATCAGATAAGGCATCAGATAAGCTGAAAGCGCCGACGCCGGCACTCACAGTCGAGGAATTATGTAAGGGTGTAATTGTGGAGTTAGGGCTTGTGCATACTTACCGTACCGCTAGCGCGGTTTTAGTATTGATACGGTCACATTCCCACTCCTTCGCCCTTTACATGGAGACCAAGGCCAAACACGGCTCAGGGGGAATTTTTGCCGCAGGAGGCGTTCTTACCGCGCTCAAATGACGCTTGAAAAAATAATCTGATTGATAAGATTACGCCAAGAATGCGAACGAGGTGAAAAGGGGGGATTTCGCAATGTGTAAGACAATTTCGGCAATTAGGACCTTGTTCATGCCGAACTGTCCGAATCGTAGAGGGTTTATGCATGGGATGCTGTGTATGCTGCCAGGACCAAGTGGCTACCCAGCATCGCCCCTGGAATGCAGATCTTTCCATTAAGACATATTGCCCAAATCCCTAGCTGCAGGAGACAAGCTAAACCTGCAGATGCAGGGTACAGAGATCTCAAACGGCGCTGTCAAACTCCTTAGCATGCAGCAAAGACGGAATGGCGATCTATGTATATGATCTCAGAATGATTGCTAGATAGGAATGCGAGAAAGCTTATTGCAACACTTGAAAGGGGAACAATATCAATGGACACAATGCAAATGCGATTAATACAGATATACATATAAATAAGTCCTAGAACCAAAAGAAGAATATCAGAAGATTTCAAATGACCATTGCAGAACTCTTCACGAATCCCTCCATGGCATCTGCCAGTTCATCCAGTTTGGTTTCCCAGAAGTCCAAGCGCTCTTCATCAGCTGCAATGCCAACATAGGTGGCACCGGCTTCGGTATATGACACGACGCGAACTGGTCGAGATGACTCAGGATGCGGATTTGTGTAGTCAACCTCACACTCGGTTCCTGCAAATGGAATTTTATCAAAGTAATCGATATCGTGGTGGTGCACAATTGAAGAAAAGAACGGAATTGTAGGTGACCATGATGTGCAGTTATCAGATGTTTCCTGGAATCCAAGCGTGGCGTGTCGGCTGCCCTCGAGGAACTGGTCACGAATCCTATCCAACAAGTCCTTGACAGTCCACCCAGGCTGGAATTTGATGCGGAGTGGCATATACTGGTAACATGGTCCCATAATTTGGTCAACGCCCGGAATATCAACTGTCCGGCCAGAAACGAGGCCTCCGAAAGTGACATCGTCTGCGCTCAAGTGCTGAGCCAGTACACGAGCCCAGCTGGCTGTGAGCAATGTTGCCATTGTAGTATCAGGAGAGCGTGCAGAAACGTCAACAATCTTCTTGATAAACTTTGGCTTGCTGCTTGGCTCTGGTGGTGGAAGGGAGGTCAACCAGGAGCCCTGAAGGACACTGCGCCAGTACTGAATGTTCTCAACCCTGGATTCAGCTTGATATTGAATGAAGTTCGAGAAAGGCACTGAAGTAACAATTTCCTTCTTTCCGTAGCTCATCTCTAGTTGTCGAAGCACTTCAGGAAAAGAGATTCCATCGTATTGAGCATGCGAAATCCGGATCATGAAGCCCGTTTCTTCGGTGCTGTGCACGACAAAAAGATGAAGGAAAGACGAGCCAAGTTGGAATGACGAGTCAATTTCAATATCCTTATCCGCAAGCTTTTTGCAAACATCTCGCAGAGGTTCTTCACTAATGTGTTCTGAAACAGAAACTTGCAAATTTTCAAGCACAACTTGGAAAATGCGGCCACCGTCTTTAACGAAAACCGTTCGGAGAATCGGGTGGACAGAGACAAGCTGCTGAAAACTGTCTACTAATCGGCTCGTATCAATATCTTTGTTAAAGTATAGCATATTGTACTGAATTGCACTGCGGGGAGTAGAAACAGTTGACTCCACATCTCGCTCTTGGGGATCTGTAGCTGGGAGAACATCCTCAATCTTCCAGGATGCTACTTGCAGTGCTGGTCGGATCGTTTGGGAGATAAAGGTCTCCAAGTCTTGCGTCTTCAATAGAGAAAATGATAAATATTCTTTAACAATACGCTCACCGTCGACAGGAGCATCCTCTAGCATACTTGCCATAGAACGGAGTTGCATATTGCGGAAAATGTCCGTTACCGACAAGTGGTAGCCATTGAGTCTCAAAGCGGATACAAGCTTCATAGCCATGATGGAATCACCTCCCAACCGGAAAAAATTGTCATCCAATGCAAGCTTTCCTTCTTCCATGCCAAGGAATTTGGCCCACAGTGCTCGAAGAGTTCGCTCTTTGGTGGTCAGTTGTTGAATGTTCCGACCTGCACGAATATTCATGAAGGCGGTGCGCAAATGGAGAAGCAGCTCCTGAGTAACCTTGCTTTCGGTGGCTTGAAGGAATTCAACATCCATTTGGTCACCAGTGTAGGGAATGTTTTCCAGCGGTATGTATATCGAGGGTATCATATAAGGTGGGAGAGTATCGGCGAGCTTCTTGTTCAGGCTAAGAATTGATTCTGAAAGCCGAGAAGAGATAGCAGGGGCCAAAGGTAGATCTGGGGACTTGATGCCAAGGTCAACAGAGAGGCTCTCACTGGTAGCCGTCTCGCTCAGAAATGCGACTAGTACAGTAGATTGATTCTCAGCCCCCTTTGGTATAATGAGACGTGTAAATACATCCATGTTTTCTGGGAGTAGCTCACGAAGTTGGAGATCAATCGCCGCAAGATCCATGACATGGCCATCAAGCCTTCGAAGGCTCTCCTTCCGACCCATGAAGATCAGAGAGTTATCATCGCCATACTTGACAAGATCACCAGTTTGGTACAACTTTTGTTCTCGACCTTCAATATCGTCTGCTCCAAGCTTGAGCCATTTGGGAGTATCAACACCCTCCGCTTCACTGGCACCCTCTAGCAGAAGTTCGCCGACCGCGCCAATAGGCATGAGTTGGTTATTATTTGCGGGATGAACAATCCACGGAACAAACCTTGTAGGGTATTTATCTCCTACACTGAGTCCTTTCGTTGCGACAGCGAGGTCGATAGAGTCCGTGGTTTTATTTTGAACAACCTCTTTGTTAATTTGCCAAATATCGGCCCGCTCTTGATCGCTCAGGCAGGATATGCTGTCAATCTGGACCGAGTCATCAGAACAAAGCTGCGCAACAACGTGTTCAATCTGTGCCAGAATACGATTCATTTGTGGCTCAGTGATAAGATTGGAGTCAAAGCTTGCTGTAACTTCGAAACCGCCTCGCTGCAGCGAGCATGCAAGCATCAATGGGTATGAATTGAATCGGAGGGCCTCATGCGCAGCATCTTCCACGCGAAAAGGGGGAAGCTCGTCCTCTTGGAAATAAGATGCATCTGCCTGGCGAGGCTGAATGACGAGACCCATCTTGACTTCGCACGCTAGCTGGGCATCGGCACTCACACGACGGATATTCTGCATCCCAAGATGCTCGTGTGCCGCACGAACAATGCCTTGTTCTTGGAGTGACTGCAAGAATTCCTGGGTAGGAGCCGATCGATCAATACGAATTCGAACGGGAACCGTGGCGATCATTGGGCCTTCGATCTGTTCGACACCTGGAATACGCAAAGTGCGCCCAGCGAAAGTTTCGCCAAATACCACGTCGTCGCTCATTGTATACTGCGATGCCACCAAAGCCCAAGCCGCTCGGATAAATGTTGCGGTCGTGATACTGGATCTGGTGGATTGTTCAACTGAAATAAATCGCTGAGCCATTGCGTTGGGCTCCGGTATATACATGCGCGATGGTAGCACTGGATATTGGGGACCGGTTGCACCTTGCAGTTGCATGCGCCAATAGTCCTTCGACGACTCCCTGGCTGGATCAACGAGATACTGAATGAAGTGCTTGAAGTTGGCTGGCCGTGGAGTTTCAATGTTCTTGTAGGCATTCTTTGCATGCTCAATGATCAGGTCGGTTGACCAACCGTCGTAGATTGCATGGTGAACAGTCCAGACAAAGTATGTCTTATGAGAGACATCGTCACAAATTATGGAGTATCGGCTCAATGGCATGTTGACTGACATCGGAACCTTTTGGTCTTTTTCCAAAAATTGGTCCAAACTTGAATTGCATGACTGCCATTGCGGAGCTTCACTGGTGATGACCTGCATAAATCCATGGTCCTTGAATTCCACAACCCGAGTACGTAGAATCGCACTGTCCTTAATGACAATATTCCACGCCTCTTTGAGCTTCTCCACGCTGCCCTGTTTCGGAATCTCTGCAATTCGCTGAGCAACATAACTTTCGGCCGATCTTGCTGAGAAGGCCATGAGAATTTCTTGTAGCGGCGTGCAAGGATAGATGTCTTCTATCATTGTTTTCTCAACACCACATTGGATTGCAGCCTCAGTACAAGCAGCACTATGATCCCAACTGGATTCAATCATAGAAAAAGGAGGCACCTCGATCTGCGAGTCAGTCTCTTGCCTCTGCATGGAATTTGCCATGTCTGAAAGAACTGGAAAACTGAAGATATCCGCAACAGTCAGGACAAAGCCTTGTTCTCGAACAGCTGGGACAAGCTTCATGGCCAGCACAGAGTCTCCACCGAGGATGAAAAAGTTGTGAGTCGTGCTAATTTGGTCTGCATTCAATGTAAGAAGACGACACCATATTTCATGTAGACAGATCTCGGCCTCTGAGGTTGGTGCCCGATTCTCAGTGCTGGAGGAATCGGTAGTACTTGACTGCAGTGTGAGCTGCGATCCAAAAGCGCGCAGCGACTTCCGGTCTGTTTTTCCTGAGACAAGCATCGGCATGCGATTGATACCGATATATACTGATGGCACCATGTAAATGGGTAGAGGTTTGGATAGATCTTCGTTAAGATTGACCATTTTCTCGCGAACTGCTTTTGAAAATTGAATTTCCCGGAGCTCTTCATCCTTTCCCCCAGCCATTTCAGCATTGGGATCCGCAATGAATGCTAAAAGCAAGGAGTCCTTGCTTCGGCCCTGCGGCGCAATCACCTCGACTGCCACGTCAGTTCCAGCTGGCAACAGCCGTCGCAGGTGATGCTCAATCTCGCCGAGTTCAACTCGTTGTCCGCGAAGCTTGACTTGTGTGTCCTTACGGCCAACGAATACAAACCCACGCTCGCCGTCTGGGTCGTACCTGACCAGATCACCAGTCTTGTATAGTCGGCCTTTGCGTCCTGGTACCCCTCCACCACCAGCAGCAAGCCACTCAGGATCCTCAATGAAGGCGGCTGCAGTCTTTTCAGGATCACCCAAATATCCTTGGCCCACAATAGGCCCTTCAACGAGCAATTCACCAACCGCTCCAATTGGCATCAATTTGTTATGATTATCCGGATCAACCAGCCAGATCACGCCTCCATTGCCTGGTCCAATGCTAACGTAGGGCTTACCGGCGGCGCTGGAATTGATGGTACACCCCACTGTACACTCGGATGGGCCGTATCCGATGACAATTCTTGTGTGTTGACCCCATTCAGACACATCTCCCACGGAGCATGACTCTCCACCGAGACCAAGGCTGTGCAAGGAAGGAATGATATCGGCATCCAAAATACGGGCCACAGAGGGGGTCATATTAGACATTGTGACGCCCATACGACGAATAATTCCACTGAGATCATTGAGTCGGTCTTCATCGGAGGGGGATACATAGGCATCCACCTCGCAGCATGGTGCAAAGCATACTGTCCACGCTCACATCAAAGGCGTAGGATGCGAAATCAAGGACTCGTGACTCGGCTGTATAACCCACAGCGGCACTGCGCGCGATGGCACTCGTAGTATATGTGGTGTGGTTGATGATCACACCTTTTGGCTTGCCAGTGCTTCCGGAAGTAAAGATAAGGTATAAAATGGAGTTGGTCGGGACCGTTGGAAGTTCAGGATGAGGGATAGTAGTCGCCTCTGTAGTTAAGTCGTCCAAGGCGTCCTGTGAAATAACCACTGTTTTCCCACCAGGGGCAATTTGAGGACCAAAAGGTCCGTGGGTCTCCGAAGTAACTATGAGAGTGGCGCTGACTTGGTCGGCAATAGTCTGGCGTCTCTCAAGTGGTTGACTAGGATCCATTAGGACAAAGGCACCGCCGGCCTTGATGACACCCATTACTGCGACGATGGTCCATCGCGACTTTTCGAAGCAGATCGGCACTATTTGACCGATTTGTAGGCCCAGTCCAACTAGATGGTGTGCGAGAATGGTCGAGTATCGTCCAACTTCCCCGTAAGTGAGGTTCCCATCCCATGAACAGATCGCCTGTGCGTCGGGCTGTTTCTGTACTTGCTCGGATATTAAATCTTGTATGCAAGTGTCCACCGCCTGGGGGAGATCCTTGTTCCAGGACCAGATTTCGGACCGATCAAGTTCACCTAATTGAAGGACTGAAGATATCGGGCTGGACATATCCGTGAGGATCATATTGAGGATTTCGACCAGCGCGTGTGCATAGTGTGTTGCCAGGTACTCTGCGCCGAGAGGTTCGCGCCAACATGGGCGCAACCACAGACTGCTATCCGACATAGTAGCTTGCAGTTGAATATTTCCCTGTGGTAAGTTGTGCATTAGTTTCTGGTCTAGTCGGTGCATTCGATCTGATGGGGTCCGCTTTTGCATACCCATGCCATGCCACCTCCGAGCGCATCGCCATCACTGACTCTCGCATTACTAGATAGGTCCCTCGGCGCACATTCATCGTTGAAAAAGAGGATCGCATTATCCAAGGTTACCAAGTTTCCGGCCTGGATCTGATGCCGGTAGGATCGCACGCTCTCAAATGCTACCGAGATCGCATCGGTCGCATTCCAGGTGACAGTTGACGTATCAAAATCAAAGGTGAAGTCGGCGGAAGTTCCATTGCGACCCCAGGTGAACTGGACCGGATTGCCATTGCTATAACGGTAGAGCAACAATGCCCAAGCCAGGAGCAATAAGTCGGCCTCCGACCCTTGGTACTCGCTCGATCGCACGAGGGGCACTTCGAACCGGGCAAATCTGGCCAGACGCTTTGGAGCCTCGCGCCCAGTCGAGAGAAAAGCCCCAGCCATGGCGCTATCCACGTCCTCCGTCGGAGTTTGAAAATTGAGAATATCGATAGAAGACCTGCCGACAGACGTACATGGGAAGGATCTGAAGAAAGAATCTTAGATGAGTCCGCGCATCCGGTCTTCTCTGCTCACCCGGAAATGCGCCTCTCCGTCTCGTTGCTTTTCTCCGACGCGAAATCGGGAATCCAACTTCTCTGAGCCCCACTATCGGTGGGCTCGTCTGTGTCATCGTCTGCAGGTGAAGGAATCACCGAAAAAGAAAAAAAAGCAAAAAACGATTGATATGATTATTTCCAAAATCGGATCGCAATGGGTCCCATTGACACGAGGGTGAATTGGTCCCACTTTTATCTGTATTGGTAATATATACCGTTGTCTATAACACCATACGATACATACCGTCACAGCGCGTATAAGCGTAATTTCTGGAACCCGCATTTTCGCGCTTTTATAGGCAGATTTCTAGCGCATTGCGTAGTGGTTCCACCCATGCAAATGCCTTGGCTCGGAAATACAAGGGCACATCACCGCATCGCATTGGAAAAAAAGGGAGGGGGGGGGCAGTTAGAGGAGAGGGCGAAATTACCTTGGTCGAGACTTGAACAGTGCCAAATTATCACAACATCCAAGAAAAAATCATGATTTAACAAGCACAAGCTCTATTGCTTCACGAGGTACCCGGCGATCGGCAAATCTTACAGTATCTGGACCACAGGCTCCTCTTGGCGAGTGAGAAATTTGCTTCCGAGACACGGCCTTTCTTGCCCGGCAGTCACCCCGTTACATGCTTTCCTGCGGATTTGATACTGTTTCCTGTTTCTCTTGGTAGCCCCATAATCAGATACCATACACATGGTGTTATTTCCTCCCTATAGAAGGTCCGAGGAAGATCAACGCCACAATTACCCCCCATGTATATAGTTCCGTTTAGCGAAGGACCTAGAACCCCACATACATATGGCAAAGGATCCTGGGATGCACATGGTATGTGAAATGAAACACTGCATGCGAAGTCGGCTGGCGTCGCCCCACGGATCTTTTCGGGATAAGACTACGATGCTGACAGTGCGTCTTCGACCATTGTCTCTCTCTCTTTTTCATCAATCACTGCCGGTCAAGATCAGATATTGAGCCTGCGAATCGACCCTTGGATTTACATATCCCCAACATGGCTTCAAGTTCCCAACAATTGACTCCGGTCAAGGTTCGGCTGCCTCATCCGTACTTGACGACTTATTTTCTGGAACCAAGCAAGATTCAGAACGGCAAGCAACTTTTCCAGCTTCGGAAGTCAATAGAGGGCGAAACACAGCCTTTCCCCCATGTTCTCCATAGCGATAAGCTCTACTTCAGTGCGCCGGCTGAATCCGAAAATGTGGTGCCCGATTCCAACAACACCGCATGGGCCCGCGCGCAACGAAGTCCATTAAGTCTCTGCACATGGGAAGGGGCCTCTGCGCCAACAGTGGCCCAAGTCTGGCTATTCCTATACGCCATCTTTACCGTGCAAGAGACCATCGAGACCTTCCGTCTCCAGTTGCAAGGTCCCAATGCTGAAGCTCTGTCGCATTCCCTTCGACTCTCAATGGTCGCTATTGACCATCCACGACCTATCAGCAGTGCCACTAAGTATGAACCCATTGCCAATGAACTGCTGGTTATGCGCAGTGCTTTCTGGCAGGGATGTGCCTCCCCTCTGGGATCGCAACCTATCTGGCTCCCGAGCTGGAACACAGGTGCCGCTGTCCCTTCTCTCGAATACACCATGACATCGACAGAGACTATGCACCGCCGTCACCCCCGGCGCAACCCCAAACCCACTCCCGGATCCATTGTTTACAGTCGCTACATCCCCTTTCTGGACGAGCACTTCTCGCTCATTGCGCTGGACTACCAGAACCCAGAGCATCTGAATCTCTTCCACACCTGGCAAAACGATCCTCGTGTTGCGAAGGGCTGGAAAGAAACCGGCACTCTGGATGAACATCGCGACTACCTGCGTAGGCAACATGAGGACCCACACACCCTCACCGTTCTTGGTCGTTTCAATAACACCTTCTTCTCCTACTACGAGATCTTCTGGGCCAAGGAGGACAACATTGGGGCCCACTATGCCTCGCAGGACTTTGATCGAGGTCGTCATACTCTCGTGGGTAACGACGCATTTCGTGGCCCGCATCGTGTGATGGCATGGTGGCCAAGTATGATCCACTACTGCTTCATCGACGATCATCGCACTGAACATGTCATTGGTGAACCCATGTCTACCAATGACAAGGTTCACACTTACGATTATACTTTCGGCTTACACCAGGATCAGCTTCTTGATCTCCCACATAAGCGGGCTAGTCTTGTTAAGGTCACTCGGGAACGCTTCTTTCAGCTGTGTCCGTTCAACCAAGGCACTCCGCATATTGCCGGCACTGGGCTGGCGTTCAAGCCTCGACTGTAAAAAAATTCTTTAATTTGAGCGACTTCAGTGAGATAATGAGATAAATCAATTTCAGCTTTCACTTTGCATCATGGTTTCAATGCGTAAGGCTTTGAAAGGATCAAGCAACCCACATAGTTTGTGAGGTTTGGAACAATTTAGTTATTCAGAATATTAAATACAATGATAGAGGAGTAATAGGATGATATATTGAATGAATGTCAATATTACATCTGATACGAAAATTATGTATGGAGTAAAGTCTATATAATAAGAAAACAGAAAAGCGAAAGAAATGGAGGGAATTTCTACCCTTCAAATGTCTGGTTGAGAACATTGCTTCTATAGTTCTCAGACCGTGCGAAGAGCTCGTCATGAGTGCCGGCATCAACGCACACACCAGCCTCGATCATGTAAATGGTATCCGCCTTGCGGATAGTGTTCAAACGGTGTGCAATCGCGAGAACACTAATGCCCTGTGATGCGACCTCCAGACCCTCTTGCAATAGCTTCTCCGACTCGGCATCAAGGGCGCTAGTTGGCTCATCCAAGATAAGAAGTCTAGGCTTGCGTACAAGCGCACGAGCAATGGCTAATCGTTGTTTCTGGCCTCCTGAGAGCTTGCTTCCGTTTGCGCCGCACTGTGTCTCATATCCATCCGGAAGGTTGATAATGGTGTCATGGATATTGGCTAGCTTGCAGGCTTGGGTGATCTCCTCATCAGAAACTTCTGTGCCTGGACGAGCACCAAGCGAGACGTTGAAACGGATACTGCCTTCGAACAGCACTCCTTCCTGGGGAACAAGAGCAATCTCATCACGGAAGCTTATGTCCGACCGCTGGGTGATATCGGTGCCATCCACGAGAATTGCGCCAGAGCTCGGCAGATACATGCGCTCTACTAGGTGAATTATTGTGGACTTTCCTGCGCCAGACGGTCCCACCAGGGCACAGAACTGGCCCGGTCGTACGTGCACATTCAATCCACGTAGAACTGGAGCATGGGCTCGGGCAGGATACGAGAACTTCACATCACGAAGCTCAACCTCAATGCCCCCTTGCGCATTCGGCGTGAAAGCCTTGGTTTCTCCCGAAGCCTCGATATCCTTTTCGCTAGTTGGTTCAGGGAGCTCCTTGACGTTAGAGGAAAGACCTGCCGATCCGATCTCCATCATATTCAAAACTCGAGCAACTGCAGCACGAGCATTGGAAACTTCGGGTGCTAAAGCGAACATCTGACTCCACAATTGAGCGCTGACCAACAAAGCAAACATGACGATGATGAACTGAGTCTCGCTGTATGTGCCATTGAAGATCTGCTTCGAGCCCCACCAGAAAGCTAATGCATAGGATAGGTTACCAATGAAGTATGCCAGGCCGAGCCATAAGTTTGCCCACAGACTGATCGTGGTAGTTTCACGGCGAGGTCCAGAGAGAGTACGCCGGTATACGGCCAGTGTCTCGTTTTCGAGTGAAAGTGCCGCAATGGTCTTGATTGAATTGATCGCTTCCACGCTGATGCTGACAGATTGATTGAAAGCATTCTCATGCTTTTCCTCGAAGTTGGCTAGGACTCGGAGTTCCATCAGACCAACACCCAGGAGTAAAGGCACAACAGCAATACAAACAAGTGCCATCTTCCATGCGATGCACAAGGTCATAACGATGGCAATAACCAAGTTGATGCAAATCGAAAAGATAGTTCCAATGACTGATCCGCTTAGGCCAGAAATGAGATTTCCATCGTTGGTGATGTATCCCAACAGACCCGTGGGGGTCCGGCTCTCAGACTGGTGCCACTGCAAATCTTGCTCAAACAATGATCGGAAAAGCAACACCCGAATTTTATAGATCGATTTCTCAGAGACATATCCAAATCCAACCCAGCTGGTGATGTTGGCAAAGAATTCCACTATGGCCAAAATGAAAAACATCAGACCAAAGAAAGCGCCGCGCGACCGGATATAATCAGGTGTTTCACAAGGAGTCAGGCTGCCCACAGTGTTACCGAAAATCACGGCTTCTACTGAAAAGGCAGCACCAACGATGCTAGCACCGAGAAGAGCCAAGAGGGCAAGAAGCAAATATGGACGCATAATCGGGAACATGCCCTTGGCCAAATACCAAACAGATTTGTTGACTGGCTTCCTGGCAGCGTCATTCAAAGACGATGATGCGGAATCGAGAGGCTTCTCATTCTCATCAATGGAAATAGGTTCTATGCTTGTGCTTTTCACAATCTCTGTTGAGTCTGAACTATCACCATCTTTTTCGGGTTCAGTGATTTTGGGGGCAGGCGCTTCAATCTGCTTGTCTGTGGCATTTGTCTTCAAATTCTGAAGTCCCACAAGGTCTGCATATGCGCCTTGTTTCTCCATGAGTTCGGCATGATCTCCTTCCTCGATGACCTCACCATCACGCATGACGATAATTTTGTTCGCCCGCCTAATGGTTGAGAGGCGATGCGCGATCGAGATCATCGTGCGACCTTCCGAACAGCGCTCGACTGCCGCCAAGATCTCCTTTTCACTTTTCGAGTCGAGCGCTGCGGTAGCTTCATCCAAAATCAGAATCTTAGGGTCCTTGACAAGTGCGCGAGCAACCGCGATTCGCTGCTTCTGACCGCCACTCAACAAGGTTCCATTGGATCCCACAATAGTACCTAGGCCTTCGGAGAGGTTGCCGATGAAATGTGCTGCATCCGCGAGCGTTGCGGCATGCTGGACCAGCTCAAGAACTTCAACAGCCTCGGGGCCTTGATCTTGAGCCGCCTGAGTCGCATCTTGACCTTCACGAATAGCAGCCGCGATATGAGAAAGTTGAGGTCCGACCAAAGTGGACAGAAGGTGCTCATGTTTCTGAGCGGCGGAGTTGACAAGGCCATGTGCAATATTTTCTAATATGGAACGATCAAGCAAAGTTGCCTCTTGTTGAACCATACCAATGCAGCTGCGAAGCTGACGAGTGTTTAAATCACGAACATTCTGGCCATCTAAAATGATTGACCCTTCGTCGGTGTCATATAAACGTAACATCAAACTGGCGATGGTAGACTTGCCACTTCCGGAGAGTCCAATAATGGCGGTCTGCTTACCAGCAGGACATTCTAGGGATACGTTCCGGAGCACTGGTCGCTCGGGTCGAGACGCATATGTGAATGACACGTTTCGCAGCTCGAAATGGCCAACCATGGCAGGGGGCAGCTGGAGACCTTCAGATGATGTACCGTCAATCTTGGATCGGTGGCTCATGTCCCGTTGAAGTTTTGTAAAAGCCGCGGAGGCAGCCCCAAAGATCTGTAGGAATGGAGCCACTTGGCTAAGAATAAGGGTTGCTGTGAAATTTGATCAGTTCACGTCCGAGAATGGTGTATATATGACACGATATGGCCTTACCATCAACGAGCAGGAAAATCACAGTAAAGATCGAGCCGACCGACGCACTATCGCCATTGCTAGCGACAGAATTGGCAATGGTGTGACTTCCCTGCCAAAAAGCTAGCGCGTTGGCCGAGTAGGCGATGAAATACATTAGACCAGCCTGTACACCAGTCGCCAAGGCCTTTTTCAACCCCTCATTTCGCGCCGTGCGGAGGTGGGTTGTGAACTTTGATTCAAGTCGGTCGTTTGCATTGAATGCATGTACAACAGCCACATTAGACAGTCCTTCCGAGGCGATAGATGAAGCAGCCGCAAAGCTATCTGACAAGCGGCTGGAATACCTCTCAATGAACCAACCGCCACCAATAGACATGATAAAGTATGCAGGCAGCAGTGATACCAAAATACCAGCGAGTTTAGTGTCTTTGATGAAAGCAACCACATATGCAGTCACAAAGAAAGAAACACTAGAGATACAAATACCAACTTTCTCTGATGTGCCTGAGCGAATAGTTTGGATATCCCCATTCAGCCGTGACGAAACTTCACCAGAGGGTAGGTTATCAAAAAATGAAGGCTCCTGGCGAAGGAGACTGCAAAAATATTGCTCTCGAAGTCGTTGGGCCAGTCGCGCACCACCAATGGACCAGCAGACGAGATGGATGTACATAAAACCAAACTGAGCAATTGCCAAGTACAAGACATATAAAATCTTGCTATTGACCTCGGATTGGTACTCATTTTGGACCTCGGAACTGAGCGCTGTTGATGACGCACAGCTCTCCGAGTTGAAGTCGTCTATAAGCTGACCGAAAATGATACCAAGCAGGGGGAAAGGAACTCCGGAAGCGATGGCACAGACTAAACCAGCAACAAGAAGAAAGATGTCAAATTTGGTCGGGCTGGCTTGAAAATAGATCGTGAAATATTTGAAGAAGTCCTGCAGCTATAAATCGAAGGTCCAAAGTTAGCTTCCACGCGTTTAGAAAGAGCTCTTGTAGCTGTGACCTACTTTCTCAACCACCGGGGAGCTGTGCTTCGCAGGCGGGACCGCCTCCGTGTCCGCCATGGCTCACGGTAGCTGCTTCGCGCAGTTGGAGCTGTTCTAGGGGACTGAAGCTCGAGTCTTAGGAATTTTTTTGCCCCTCGGCGACGCGATTTTATTCTTCAGGCCCAGAACGGGATTGGCGCAAGCTAAGTTCCAACCTACCGAGCAGCCTGTTTCTCAAAAAGGGTTGCTAAGAGCAGTAGGCCGATACCGGATCGGCATCACTAAGCTGTCGCGATTTTGGAAAAAGGAAATCTGATAAGATCAAGCAATGGGATGTCACAGCGTAGCGAAATTCATGGCGAAGCCCTCGACAAATCTTGTCAAATTTGGCGGGCGGAACCGCTCGTGTCCGAGTCCGTCTCGGTAGGTCTTCATCTGCAGATGCCCACATCTTAGTTGTTGATGTGGGTCATGGTATTAATTACGTGTTGATACAGGGGTATTGCGTCTTTTGGGTATGAATTTCAAGAAATGTTTTCTCGTATAAGCTTGGTGCATCCCGCTTGTACATGCATGGGGCCCCACAACATGTTCGGAGGTTGGACGTCAATTGGCATAGTGGACTTGGCATTAATAACTTGCGGTATTATCAATCTGCATGTGGGCTGCGAGCCAAGACACAACCTCTTTTCGATCGGAGAAGTAACGGTGGGAATTTTCATCCCCCACCACGTCCCACCCGAGTTGAGCCTGGAAAAGCATAGGATTGGATGCAACTGGTGGTGGGTTGAGGCGCAGTTCAACCCAGAATGGATCCGCTGGGGATGCAAAGGACATGAGAACTTAGCTGCCAACTAAGTTTTTCATCTGATAATTTTCGTTTTTTATCAGATTAATCAGATTATCTACAGGTAGCCGTATTGCATTTCTGCAGTTTCTGGAACTTAATTTCATACCGTGTCTACTGTAAGGCCGCGTAATTTACCGCACCGGGTGGAACTTATCATACATACGGTACACAAGTTAGATCCAAAGACACTGTTACTGTTATTCATGAAATACCCAATTGACGGTGCGCCGGTCCGAAGCAATCCCAAATTAAATGAGTCGCTACAAAATATTTGGACCTCGGCAAATAGTGCTCCCCTCAAACATATTCAGTTCTTGGTTTCTTGGGACAGCATACTCAATAATCAACGGCCAGCGAAGACGACAAATTGAAAAGTCATCCAGTGTCTCGCAAAATCAATCAACCAAAAAGTGCAGGTTGCCATGGGTTTTACATCGTTCAAACGCCAGCCGCCACCACAATCATATGCAGATGTATCATTTCCGGCCCCTCATGTCATGTTGGTCGTTTTCAACCGGCCTCAAGCACTTAACGCCATGACTAGTGCTGCACAATACGACCTCGAATCACTCTTCTCCTGGTATGACAACGAACCATCACTCCGTTGCGCAATTATCACGGGTGCTGGACGCGCTTTCTGCGCTGGCATGGACTTGAAAGAATGGAACCAGTCAACTACGCGCCGCGCAAATGGAGAACATGATGGTCAGCAAATGATGCCTCGTTCCGGCTTTGGTGGACTTTCACGACGCCACGGCAAAAAGCCTGTCATCGCCGCAGTGAATGGATTCGCCTTTGGTGGAGGAATGGAAATTGTCGCTAACATGGATCTCGTGGTCGCTGCTAAAAGCGCACAGTTTGGACTCCCTGAGGCTAAACGAGGTGTTGTGGCTATGGCAGGTTCTCTGCCGAGACTCACACGAACAATCGGACGACCAAGGGCGACAGAATTAGCTCTCATGGGGAAACCAATCACTGCTACCAAAGCAAAGGAATGGGGGTTGATCAATGTTGTGACGGAAGACAGTGCGGTTGACGATCAAATTCTGGAGCGGCCAGTCACCAAAGCTGCTCTAGAATATGCTGCTGGGATTATTGAGAACAGCCCTGACAGTGTCATCATTGGTCGTGCAGGAATCCTGGCTGGCTGGGAAGATGGAAGTGCAGAGAATGGAGCCCGTTTACTGACCGAGACTTGGGAGCCAGCTTTAAACGACGGCGAGAATCTTAAAGAAGGTCTGAGAGCATTTTCTGAAAAGCGAGCACCCCGGTGGATAGATAGCAAGTTATAATTTACGCTTTGAATAATTCAACGATAAACTCACTAGCTTTTTGAAGATGAGACAGTTATGATCGTAGTTCATTATGACTTGCCTGGCTCGATATGTACAATGAAACAAGAGTTCCGAAATTATGCATCAGCCTTTTTAAAAATGTCAAATAATCTCAGTTATGCCCTCAGGACTCAGACAACGATCAGCAAAACAGGTTACTATTCTGTGTGTTCTGGCGCTGTTTTGATGTAACACCATCATTCTAGGATAATATGTACAATGATCACTTGATGCAGGGGCTAGAAGCTTCAAAATAAAGATATTCAGATCGAAGAAAATCATACAACAGCACCCAATCACTCGATTCTCTTGGATAATAAATTTCTCTTTCAGTGCACCTGTGGGTTAACCAAAGTCAAGCAGATCTGTGACTCATTTATTTACTAATGTCTCACCCCTGTACTTGACGCTTCGTTTTGACATCTTTGTTTGGCTGCGGGGCAATCTTTGCAACAATAGACTGGTTGGAAGAAAAGAATTTTGCATCGACAGCAATCACATACAATACAATACCAAAACCATCTTGCGGTATTACATAGGCCAAACATTTTCCGGTTCGTACAAGCTTATACCACCCCCACCTTAGAGCCTTGGCATAATTTGATCGGCATGTGGAACCAGACTCCATCCACAAATCCCAGCGCCAGCTTTCTCAAGCCGCTAAAGATTCTTGGCAATGTCATCGTTTACGTGAAAGCGTACGCGGTATGGTTTCAACGCTAAGCTCTTCGTCATGAAAATGTGGTCGTAAATTTTACTCGTCTACTACACTTGAAACGAAGGTATGACATCAGAGTCAATAAATGGCTGCTTATCTGATCATCACCGATTCTTTCGAAATCGAGGGGGTGTTTGAGGCTAGCGTCAAGGATTTCCGAAGCTCCAAGCGCTTTCCCAATGCTGCTCTCCATTTTTTCTTTGCGCTTAGTAGTAAAGATTGGACCCTGATTTCCTTTGCTTGAGGCGTGCCAGACTGTGTCTTGCCCGTTTTAATGTCTGGCCCTATTCCCTTTCTACCATTTTATGTCAAACATGGCAGTCCTATTCAAGATTTGCTCGGCGAAGAACGAAAATGTCTCGAAGCGCCCCCATGAGACTGACGCGGACCTTCTGATAGTATGTAATTAATATATACGATGGTAATTGTTACCTTTATGGTTTCTTCCGTTGTAACTACTAGAAGATGGGATATGGTAAGGATGAAGTTCTATTCGCAAGATAAGCTAAGCTATATAGGTGACGTAATCACATGCTAACATTCTAGCTAATATAAGGAAACTGACAGTCAGATGCTCTGCCACTAAAATAAAGAGGCGAACTTTGGCATCAGTGACTTGAGCATCAGCGGTTAGTTATACATATAATAATTTCTGCTTGCCAAGAGGGCATTTCAACTTTAAAAAGATAAAAGATTTTGGATTTTCACAGAATAAATTAGGAGATGCTGACGTATTTGAAGCTAGAATTCTCATAATAAGAAAGGTCTTCTATATCTAATGGATACGTTTAAATATTGGAAGTTCACGTTCGAAGGGTCCGATCTAGCTTCTGGTTTGAGGTTTAGAAGCCATCAGGTCTTATCTACATCGTAACACTCAGGCATCTATTGACACCTCGCGAATCGGACATCAGAAATTCAAGTGGTGGATCAGATTAAGTGTCTCAAAAGGCCTACGTAAACGATGATAGTACAGTTACGAAAAATCAGATCACTGGAAGGGACGTATGAGTCGCACCTATAAGACTAAATAGTTAGCAGTCGGTGATAGTTAGTGCTCGGTGAGCCATATCAAGAGTGAAATTTTCTTCCCCTCAAGATCTGGGGCATTTGAGAGTATTCCTAATTCGCAGTCGGCAGTCCTCACGAAGGCGAGGCTGCATGTTCCGTGACAGGCTGACATTGTCTGTATTTGCTTCACCTAACTACATAAGTACAGTGATGTGCTTCTAACATATCCCCCAATAATATCCAAGGACTGTTGTTAGTTAATGACGAGGATATGGTATACCAGCGTATATATGGACAGCGTGCTGATTGGGCAGTTGATAGAAAGGAACTAGGTATATAGCGCCTGGATTTTCCGGTTGGGATAGCATTACAGCGATTCCCTTCTTACATATCCCCTAATGATATCCAAGTACTGATGTTAGTGAATGACAGGGATATGATATTATGTGTGGGCGGATTACTGGTTGGGTAGTTGATGGAAGGGATATGGTTAGATAGCGCGTGTGTGTTTTGGTTGGAACAAAGGTACAGTGATTTGCCTCTGATCGCTCACTAAAACATGCCCCTGTCTCTTGTAGCCCCCAAAAATGGGCTCCTTTTGTCCAGCTCCCGTTAGCTATGCCAGCCTTGTGTGTCCGGCTTTACATATACACTGCGACAGCCTTGTGGTGTGTAATCATTCCATGAACGCGACACCGCGACTATCATAGGGGAGAAAAACGATCATCACCATATATGTCTAAGTAATTGGCTATGGCGGCCCTGCGGGCTATACCTATACCTGATATACATATAACGGTTGGATTATCTTCGAAGCTGTTGTTCAATTACTTGATTCGGTCCAACCAACTGTTAAAACACATTTGAACAAAGCTATCGTGGTTATTGTTAGGATATTTTTGAGAACTCTTAGGGACTACTATCTAGTTGCTTTGTTTCAGCTTGCTAACTTCTCAGGTAGCGCGCTGGTGGTAATAATTGAAGCATTTATTTTCAGAGATCATATCCAATCTGGTCTTCAAATTATGTCGTGCACCATATGTAACTATTATAATGAACCCTGCCGGCCACAACTAGAACGAACCCTTTCAGCCACCACCAAAACCAACCAACCTCTGGGGCCACTAGAACAGCTTCAATATGACGGGTCAGCGTATCGCCCTGCCTCCTAACAGGCTGTGTGACCCAGGTAGCAGCATTAGCGCTTGCCCTCTTTATCTCCGATAGAACCGAACTATCAGAATCTTCTTCCTCTCAAAAATCTTAGCAGCAGGATATTCTGCCTCTCTAATTTTATGTTACGAATACCCACAGATTAGCCTGGCCTAGCATTTTCGACCGCTGTAGCAGAACTTCATCGTATCATCCAAGTACTTCAACGAGCCTTTCGTACTTAGATCATACTTAACCTGGATGGAACGTTGTAGAAACACTGCTACGTTCATGACATAGGGGGCAGATGATACACTCAAGCGGGAGGACAGGCTCCCAAGAGTTGTTTTATGCGAGTCAGACCGTTAAGCGTCCCTCTTGGATGTGACTCAAAATAGTGCTAAGCTCGAAGAGGAAAATAAATCACCCGAGCTTCTAAAAGGTCGTCAAGTAATACTGATCTAGATTGGCGACTTGAAAGACGACTTGGTAGAAATATATATTTTGTTCAAGGCTATTATCGGCATGCTCCAGACCGCCTACGCAATTACCTAGTTTTGTGCGTAAGGATTTCGGAACTGGGACCCAAAATATGTTATATTATAGACTTGATGAACCAGATAAGGTGCAGAACCGCACTTTTTGGCCTTTAAGGGCGAGACCACTGCAACCACGGGAAATTCTCGTCATCTAGAAAATACCATGAGGCCTGACGACAGCTTCATTTAACATGAAGGGATTGCAAAAAATTTGACATCGGATTCAGAAAAAGACACGAGAGGCCAGTAAGAGACTATTTTAGGACTTGTGAAATGGACTTCCCTCTAGTAATTTAGCATTCATATACTCATTTTCCCTCAGGGGGCAAGATATCAGGGATGGGTCCAACAGGAATGACAAGCTGTTGATTGCCAGTCTTGCGTCCGAGAGACACGCAATATCCAAACTTATACTATTACAAAGGTCAAAACTTAGGCCAGTCATGCAATTAGAAGCAACCAAACTTACGATGTCAAAGAAGGTTGTGCTCTTGAATGCCCCACGTGTTAGTTCCGACTCATCATAATAGAGCCTGCGGTACCAGCGATCAAGCCTAGGGTAGTCGTGTCTGATCATCTTCAAGTTACACTTGAAGATCAAATAGTACGCCACATCAAAGCGTGCAATAGTCGTATATAGACGAATATCGGCCTCTGTAATGTTCTCGCCAAGGAGGAACGGTTGATGCTGGCCAAGATGTGCTTCGATGCGATCAAGCGCCTCGAATAGCGGGAAGAGATTCTCTTCATACGCCGCCTGGGTAGTGGCGAATCCAGTCTTGTAGACCCCATTGTTGATCAGAGGATATACCCAGGCATTCATCTCATCGATTTGTGGCCTCAAGTTCTCTGGATAGAATCCACCACCGGGGCGATTCACCTCGCGCAGGCTTTCAGGCACAAGATCGTCAAATTCGGTATATAACATGCGTATGATCTCGCTGCTTTCATTGTTGACGATGGTTTCTTTCTGCTTATCCCATAGCGTGGGTACGGTGTACCGTCCTTCATACTCGGGGTTTGCTTTGAGGTAGAGCTCCTTCAGGTATTTGAAGCCGTACAGCGGGTCTTTCTCGTGGGATCCATTGCGGCCGGAGAAGAACCACCCATCCGGACCCAGTTCGGCATCGAGGACGGCCACTTGAACTATATTTTGAAGCCCCTTCAGCGTGTACACCAGGTTTGCTCGGTGGGCCCATGGACAGCCGTAGTTGATGTATAGCACATAGCGATTCTTTTCGGCAGGGAATTCAGCTGACGCATCCCGAGAAACCCAGGAGCGAAACACTGAGTCCTTTCGCCGAAAGTGGCCGTCAGAATCCGCATGTTTGTAGATTTTGGTATCCTGACAAGAGCAGTCAGCCGGGCTGGTCTGAAGTATGAATGATGCGGGGGATGGGGGATGGGGGATTTTTGCCTGATCGCTCATGGTAGATTGAATACGGTCTGGAATGGGCGGTCACTGCAAGACTTTCAATTGCAACAAAAGCGAATCTTTTAATTCTTCTAACTAACTTTCCCTTTGAGTTTTCTGACTGAGATCGTGTGTTGAATAAACACCTTGATCGAGTGTCGGCGTAATCAGGGTGGTCGGAGCTTACGGGGCTGACAAATGCGGCGCGGATTTCCTGCGTCATCGCATAAGCAAGAACGACTTTGATTAGTGGCACGGATCTTAACAACATAGAACGAAGCTCGAAAATAGATATACAGCATGTACAGGAGGGAAAGGGTCTATGTTATACAGGATTTTGAACTCTCATCACCGTCCTTGGATACCAAATCGCCGAGCAACCTCCAGGAATCCCCCGGTGTCCAAATCCACCCACATGTCCACAAAGCCGTCCAGTTTAGCTTGCGCTACTTGTTCAGGGGCCCATGCTTCCTCCTTCAATCGCTCAACGTATACTGTGTAGAAACCACAGCTCTTAGCTGCCTGGAGATCTTTGAGATGTGCGGCCACCAAGGCACACTGCGACGGTTCAAGACCGAGGAGCCGGGCAGCGCCGAGATATACCTTGGCGGAGGGCTTGTACGCGCCAAAGTCCTCGGCGCTCACCAGACGCTTAAAAGGTAGGGATCCATTTTGCTGGAGGTCTTTCAAGAGCGCCATGTTGCCATTGGACAAGGTCGACGTAGTGAAACGGCGATTCAAGAGTCCCAGTCCGGGAACGCTGTCGGCCCACGGCTCGAGCTGATGCCAGGTGAAGGTCAATGCCAGCAGCTCCTGGTCGCTGAAGAGGGCTCTGATGCCCCGCTGGGTCAGCAAAGTTTTCAATGCGGTGTGGTGGTGCTCATCGACCGAGACAAAGTCTTTGGATGCATCAAACGTGCTTGTGAAAACGGCGTATGATCCCCGCCATTCTTCGGCGAGGCCGAGCCAGTCCGCCTCGCGCAGCGCAGATGCGCGCTTTCGCACGTCATTGGGGATATCCTTGTTCGGGTCGCTGAGGGCTAGCTGAGCCGCTGTGCCCAGGGCCTTGGTCACACAAGATCTCCATTCCACGACAGTGCCGAACGTGTCGAAAAATAATACCTGGGGATGCGGCATGGTGGGGGGATCTGCGGGAGGAATAGCGCTCGGCATTTCCCCACAGTGTTCAACCGCGAGGTCAGATGCTGTCAGGAAGGCGATGCGAAAATCGATTCTGGATGGTTGATCTGGCTACGATGACTTCAGATCATGCAGCAGGGGATGTTCAGATCCCAGCCAAGAGATCCTCGAGAGTGGGAATTAGACTGATCAACCCTGCATCCGGATGGCTTTAAAGATGCGCCGACAAGTGGCTGACTCATGGAGCCGCGGGCGGCCGCCGCTTCCATCAGGCTGATAGTTTTGCCTGTCTTGCCTGGTTCCCTTTCCGACTGGCCCCAATTGCGCAAATCCTGACCAGTGAAAACAACCCGTTCACCACCAGGGAACCCCCTCATGTCACATTCTGATCGCATTTGCCGGCATGAGTTCATGCGGGGCGAGTCCCGATACCGAGGCTTGTCGTGAAGATTCATTTTGTTCTTCCATATTTCTTTAATGCCCCAGGATTTGTTACGCAAGGCCCACCAACACTTCGACATGTTCAACTTGACTCGTGTGTGCCTGGGCAGGACAATACAGCACTTGGGCTGAATGCATACTCATCATCAACTTACGGACCAAAGAGAGTTCGAAGGAGCAGAGGAAGACCACGAGGTTGGTTCTCAGCCTCAGCAAAGGTTCCCAAAAAAGGTTCCCAAATACTCCCGATGTCGATGTTCCCCAGTTACACTGCCATGCAACGCCTCGCACTGTCCTTGTGAGGACTCTATTGGGCAATAGGCTCATCGGGAGAGTGTATCGTCATTTATGTTTGAAGAAGGAACTCGAGAATTATGAGGATACCCGGGAAACTTGAACTAGAGAAGGGACGCCTAATCTGTCAGATCAATCTTCGAGGAGAGCTTTAATCTCAGCAAATTATCCTCATGGATACCCATAAGAGATAAAAAAAGAATCGCTGTAACAGTAGCGATCCGCCTGGTTGATCGAATAGTTCTAGAGGCAGATAACCATGCTACCGAACAGAATGTTGTCTCGGATGGTGCAAAGAGCCAAGCCCGTAGTAACTCTATCTTGTTAATGGCATTTGAGATCCTTACATTTGCGACACAGCCACTCTCTTTCTACCTATCCGGAATCAGGAGGTTGGAGTCAGATGTTGACAAGGCTCGGGCGCGTGAGATGATTGCTGTCCAACATAGATAGCTGGCAAATTTTCTACGTGGTATGACGGCGGTTTTCCTTCAAGAGATAACATTAAAAGAAAAGAAAAACGAGGTGATTGCTACCTCGCGCCAATGACACTCTTTACGCTTTCATAATGAACTGGAGAATCTGTGTGCACTCCAGACCTTTCCATGAATATATGTATGGATGAGTAGCTATTTTTTATCGACACTCTGGACTCACAGTCCATCTGCAAGACCCTAGAGGCTTGCGTTGTCAGGACTGCTATTTTTAAGCTCCGCAGGTATGCGTACAGTCAAGATGGCAATTGTAGTCCTATTTCATCTTACACAAGACGTGTGCTGACAATGTCAACGCATGCCAAACTCGGGAGGGCTGACGCAGCTTCACCACATTCCTCAATTGCTTTTCTCTCTTTCTTCTCCCATCGCTTCTCCCACTTCCATTCCTTTTCGTGCTTCTTCAACTTTTCCTACACTCTCTTCCTGTTTAGACTATCATCTTGTGTCGACTCTCTCCCCCTTCAACGTTGAATCGCGACTCCACTTCTCCCTGCGCCTCGCGGTCTGGGCACCGCATTAGCGCTCCTGTCAAAAGAAGAAACTCGCGGATTGACCCTGCAGAGATCGAATGACGAGTCGCGGTGGGAAAATCGACCTGTCAACGGCCCGTGTCGCCTTTTCGCGATCCAACCCCTCTCGCGGAAAAGCCCCTCCCTAGTGGGGTCGGCCAGCATTTCCGTGAATAGACCGCGGAGCTTCTTCCTTCTTAGAGTGTTGGTCGGATGCTAGTCCAATTGCCAATGTGACTCGCAGTGATTGGGTTGCATACCACGCAGCGCGCGAATGGAGTCCATCCATAGCCATTATTGCCAATCGCAAATCCCTAAGGGCGGTGGCTGATTGGCTGTCCATGCAGCCCGTTTTTGATTATCTGGAGGAGCCGCGCTCAACGTCTGCATTTCTGCAACGCCGCCGGCTCGCGACTCCCGATGGAGGGAGTGTGCCCGGGGAAAAACAAGCCCAGGGGCCGCCACCGCTGCAACTGCAACAGCATTCGGGCCCTCGGACCTGGCCAGACCCAAAGCCCACTGGCCAGACGCAGTCCCCTCCCGGCCTTTGTGTCCAGGGGTCAACCACAAACAGTGCAAAAGTTCGGCTCCTCTTCCAGGTGGAGGTCCTCGAGCTCTCGCGGTCGGTGGAGACCTCGGATGGATCTCGCGGGGCCGGCAGCTCCGTTCTTCCCCCTTTTGCATAGTGATTGGACACTTCGCTTCGTCGGGTTTTCCTCCTCGAAAAAAGGAAAGCTGGAAATACAACCAAAAGAGGCAAGAAATGCCTGTCGCAGGAGTGAATACGAGCCCCGCGGGCAACGAATTCAAGCCTCCAGATCAGATGCCGGAGGAGGAACCTGAAACACCCGACACCCAGGCCCTCGATCACAGACCACTGGCTCCCAGTGAATGAAATTGCCTACGACGATCGGCACAGGCGAACTTCGCGCTAGGGCGGGCTGGGTAACGCCCGAACAGGGGAACGGTTTCTCCTAATCACGCTAGCCAGTCCTCTTTCCTCATCCAGGAGGCTGTCCAATTTATCCGATTCACTTATTTCCCTAGTGCTACGAGATGGCGTCCTCATGTCCTTTATTGGCTCCGATTCGGGTCTTTTTTTTGGTGGTTGAATACTACCACTAGGATCATGACTATTGACGTACACACCAGGGATTCAAAATAGTAACCATCAAGAACAAACGGCTTCAACGCCGAAAAGGGGGCGTGCAGAAAGTCCCAATTGGCCTTACCCAGCCGTCCCTCTAACTGGTTATGAGGTACGCAGCTGAAGCCGAACGCGTTGTTTGGACCCATTTTTGCCAGGCCCGGTGGAACCCTCGACCCAGGTTTTCATCATAGACGAACACCTTCCCCATGCTGGAGCCTATGGACAGTGACTCGACTTTATAGGTCCAACTGATCAGAGGCTAGCTAGCGATCGGAATACTATCGCCAGTCCTATTCCCCTTCGAGGCCTGTCCGTGCTATCAAAGGAAAAACTGAGATTACCACGACGCCTCATTCTAGTTGGAAACTCTGTTTTTTCTTATTCCGATTGTCTCAAGCTTTGTATTTTTTTTTCCACTTGATTTTCTAGAACCCCAACAACTCTGGTACGCCCGGGGGTTTCGCATGCTTTCCATGGTAACCCGAAGATAGGTAAATCCTGTCATACATACTTCCAGGTATTCGGTCCCCTGCTCTCCCTGTTGCAAATTGAACCTGGTATAAGCAATCGGCAGGTCCAGAGCCCATCGCCCATGCTGATGTTTCCGGGGCCATGCTTTAGTGTCTTGGGTTGGCAGCTCGCAGTGGATCACCCTGCATCCTGGGTAATCGGGTGGGTTGTCTAGCTTCCCCATGTCCCCTCCCCCCTAATGAACAAACGAACACCCCTGGACCTCAAGTTTTTTTTTTCTCTTTCGCGGTCTCCCTCGCATCCGGCGCATTTCCGATTCCTGTGCAAGGCTGATCGACCTAGTGCTAAGGTAATCAATCCAATCAATCGCCCACCGACGGAGTCAACGAAAGCTGGACTCGGCGTCTCAGATCCCTGCCTCGTTCGTAATTCCACTGGCAGATCGCGGCCTTTCGGGACCCATCACCCGGTCAAAGACGGAGTTCGTGTTCCTTCTCTGGTCGCTCCGTGGGCCCCGTAGCACGTCGACCGCGATCGCGATCGGCCTTGGTCCAACTCCGCAGACTTGTCTCCTTCTCCCAAGGAAATTTCCTCGAGCATCTGATTTCTCAAACGCGTCTCTACCCGATATAACCCCAATTCGTGGCGGCCATACTGCATCCCGGTAAGTAGAGTGACGGTCTCCGTGCATATTAAAACGGCTGCATGGGCTCTCCCCTCGCGCCCAGGAGATGCATCCCGCATCCGCACTGCAACGAAGTGGCTGACCTCATTGTTCCACTGCAGCCTACCGTTATAATCGTGGTAAACTGTGGAACTATTTCCCCTTGCCTTGCGGTCCCCGACGAGAACGAACCAAAAAAAGCTGGAGAGTCGACCCAGCCTCCCCAGTGAGAACGAAAACCCCTGGAATCACGACTCAATACCTGTTGGAACGAATGATTGAATTACGGTAAACGGTCGATTGAATGGAATCCGGCCGTGGCGTGCTCTGGTTAGCACACGCATTCGGTATATCTTGGTGATGATTTAGGCTTCTTTGGCATTGCACCAGCAATACGAGATGGCCACAGACTTGCACACCCCGATTAGCATGATGGCCCAGCCGTCCCCGGCTTCGTCGACCTCCCGGGCTGCCTCGAAGGCAAGATCCCGATCCCGATCAAGACCCAGACCGTCGCGCCGTCGGCGAGATTCGTCCCCCGCGCCATCCTCCTCACCACCCGGTCTACCGACACCTGCCTTTTCGCCCGACGGTCATACCGATGGTCCAACGGATGGCGAAGATGATATTGTCGAAGACACCCTCTCTCCGTTTGATCCCCGCCGAATCACGCCCACTCTCCATGCATCACTGGTATCTGAGATTCTGAATCTTCGGCGCGAGGTGGAAAGCAAGACCAAGGCCATTGATTCATTAGAATTGAGCTTGGATGAGTCCAAAACAGAAAATGAGTCGCTGAGCACGAGCCTGTCCCAGGCCACGCGGGAAGCGCGATCCCTGAAACATCAGATTCAGCTACTGGAAGGCGGAACGTCATCTGCGATGACCGAATTGGCTCGTGAACGGGATGAAGCTGTCGAGAACATCAGCGATGTGCGAAAGAAACTCGAGCAAACACAAAAGCGAGCCCGTAGCCGAGAAGATGAGGCTGAGCGAACGCAGATGCTATGGGATCGCGACCGCGAAGCCTGGGAAAATGAAAGGCGGAATTTGGAACGAAAAGTTCATGTGGTAGAAGGCCGTTTAAAAACGGTTCTTAGCGAGGTGGCGGCGGCCCAGGAAGCTGGAACATTGACTTCACAGCACAGTGAAAACGATGAAAACGCCAAGGACAAGACCAAAGGCAGCGATACAGCTAGCGTGGCTTCTAGCAGCCAGGGTCGGCGCCGTACAAGCATGACGAGCGTGACGACCGAAGAAGGCGAAAACGATGCCAACTATCATAATGTTCGGTACTCGGTCATGAGCATGGCTGCTGGTAAAGCCGACTCGGGTTTAAATTTAGCTGAGGAATTAGCATTTGATGAGGAGGATGAGTTCGTATCTGACGAGGATGAGACGCCCGCATCACCAGAAGCCCTTCCCGAGGAAAGGCCCATGTCTGTGAATTCCATGGCCTCGCACTCGGTTGCATCGAAGGCACGGAAGATTCTGGGCCTCTCGCTTCAGAGTACCGGGTCGATAGCGGCAGATTACCGTGCCTTAGACATGAACAATACCGCAAAAGCGCTACAGGCCTCGTCTGTTGGATATCAAGATGCTGGCATTCAGTATTCACCTCCCCCGTCGCCTGAAACTAAGGCTGTTGCAGAAGGGGTGGTTCCTGCAATTGAAATCACACCCACGGGTCCTGAAATGGAAGATGACGCCGACGATGAAATGGAAGCGCCCCGGATGAGAGACACCTCTACGCTAACCATCGCAGTCGAGATGGTCTCTAGCGCTAGTCAGACCATCGGCAGCCTTCCTAGCCCTCCATGGACACCTAAAGTGCCCGATACGCCCGTTCTTTCTGCTGAGCCAATCTCAGAGCCCGTGCAGATGACCTCGGCATCTACACAAACCGACCCTATCCCCGAAGTCGAGTCAGCAGTGGCTGCGAAGTCAACCTTATCACCCAATGATATCCAAGGCCAGATCGAAGTTCCTATGATTGCCATCCATCCCCCTGCTTCGGAGCCCCCCTCTCCTCGAAACAGCGTTGTTCTTCCTCCGCAGACGAAGAATGTCTCAATACAGACCAATTTCAGGTCATTTGTCGAGGGCCGGTCCATCGCCATCCAGACTGAAGAGATTCGCATCGATCAGCGCCCCGTGAAGCTCCCTGCAAGCCTCTTGCCTTCCGCCATTCCAGATCTGCCAACTCGGTCCGAAATTCTGGATGCTGGGGCTCAACCTTACCGTGCACCCGTGCCTCCTCCCCGGTCTGCAAAGAGAGAGCAGCGGTCGTTTACAAACGAGCGCCCTGTCAAACCCCCGCGTGCGCAAGCATCGGAACCTGTGCAAGCTTATCCTGGGAATAACGACAACGGGCCTCTCTCAGACGATTTAGTGTCCGGGCTGCGACGACCTTTCCGGTCTAGCAGTCTATTCGCCGGCTTTGAACAGCTGAGTGATGACGATGGTCCTGATGCAGAGGAACGCGATGTCTTTACGGATGACGAACTTCTGAATCGCCCATTTGCTTCCTACACCCTCCGCCGTGGCAAGCTGGTCAATGCTAAGTCATCACGGCCCAGCTTAGATGATATAGGTCTACCCGAGATTGACGAACACCTTTCTGATCCCGAATCTCGACCGTCAGATGTGGGTCGTGCTTCTTCCCGCACGACCCAGAGGTCTGGCACAACTGCCTCAAGTAGCCGCCAGACTGGTATGCGGAAGATGGCCATGATTTCCAGTGGTACAGCGGCACACCAGAGGACTCGCGCCCGTAGCCCTAGTGAGCCGAGCCTTGATGGCAGTGCAGGATCGAGCATTGCACCTCCATTTCCTGTCCCAATCCGACTCAGCTCGCGCAAGATCCCACTCACTGGCAGTGATGGCCCTCCAAGTCCTACTCGCTCTACTGGAAGACAATTTTCGGATCGCGGGGCTCGCACAAATATTGCACGACGGCCGACTCTACGCCGAGTCCGATCTGCGGCTGCCATGTCAAACTCCGATCTCCCTGAACGCCCAGAAACACTTTCATCTCCGACCAGATCCGCTTCTCCCTTCGCACCCGATAGCCCTTCATTCCGCCCGCCACCAATGCCTTTTGATGATATTACCGCTCCGCGGGAACGACGAACCACTCAGAAACGGGCCCCTCACCATCCGTCGGTGCCGTCCATGAATTGGGACCACGAGCGTCAAGACTCGACCGGAGGTGTACAGCCCACGAGCGTTGTTGACGCAATCGCACAAACCATGGTAGGCGAGTGGATGTTCAAATATGTACGTCGCCGTAAGTCCTTCGGGATGGGTGAGTCGAAAGATAACTGGGAGGGACGGAATCCCGATGAGGTATCCGCCAATATCACCAACAGCGGTGTCCGACATAAGAGATGGGTTTGGCTTGCCCCATACGAAGGTTCCATCATGTGGAGTAGCAAGCAACCCACAAGCGGGCCGGCTTTGCTGGGTAAGAGTGGGCGGAAGTGTAAGTCGCTAGTGTTCTCTCTGATGCTTCAACCCCATCTTCTAGAACTTGCTAACCTCCTGAACAGTTGCTATTCAGTCCGTACTGGATGTAAAAGATGACAACCCCCTACCCAAGGGTGCAGGCACCTCTCCGCCCTTCAGCCGCTCCATTCTTGTCCTCACACCGCAACGAGCACTCAAATTTACCGCACTTACCATAGAACGCCACTACGTCTGGTTAACGGCCTTGTCCTTCCTCAGTCACTCTTCAATGGGACTTCACGATCTCGCAGCGCTACCTCCTGCTCCACAAGAAGAAGATCCCTCTCCTCCACCCCAGGCTGCCTTGCGCCGCAACCCCATCCGTGACTCCATACGGGTGGCCAAGGGCAAACCTCGACCCATGCCTAAAGGTAAACGCTCGTTCCCCAGTGGACCGCCTGTCCCTGAAATTCCACCAGCCGGTCTCGGCCTCGAGAACCTCAACATGGCAGCAGATGCCCCGCACGTTCCTCGCTTCTCCCACCATAATCATCATACACGCAAACGCAGCAATACCGCCCCACGTCCCCCGGCATTGCATGCCATCCGTAGCTTCTCCAGCCAGGGAACCATGGCCACCATGCCCTCCTCGCATAGTGGTACGACTGTCGGCTCCTCAGAGCCATACTTCTCGCCAGTTCCCCCGCCCCCTCTCCCCGCCGGCATTGGCAGTGGCCGTAGCAGCATCAGTCGCATGTCCGAAGCCAGTGGCCGGACATCCAACACCGCTGCAAGCAATATGTTTGACATCGGCACTGTGCGCATGGAGGCCTTCATCGACCACCATGCGGAGCAGATCAATCGGCCTCGACCGGCGCCGTCCATCCGCCCGCGACACGTTCGCAAGACTTCCAGTCAGTGGAGTCAGAGCCAAGGCCGTTACGAGCATGATGCGCCCTCCTTTGACGACAGCGAACATTCCTTCCGGCCTGATGACCCATTTCGCGGCTTTTGAGCTTATGCTTAGATTGATTCTTTCCTACATTCCTTTTACTCTTTTCCGTTTCTCGTTTTTGGGTCATCATATCCGTTATTTTATTTCCCTTGGCGCCGGTTCCTAATCGCCATGACATAATTCTACATGCACAGCCCGTACATATGATCTTCTATTCTTTCCTTCTTATTTTTTCTGTCTATCTCACTTCTCTTCTTCTGATCTACATACGTTGCATTTATACCTCCTTCTCTTTCTTGGATAATTTTTATTGCTTTTGACTCTGTTGATTGTTGATACTGATACCATTGTGCGAAAGGATACCAATTTCAGAGCAGCGGTGGATTAAAGGGCGTTGGAATCAAAATTTTATCCTTTTAAACTGCTTGAACCTCCTGGTACTCACAGATAGTATCCTGCTGGTAATTTGTTTGCGGATGATTCCAAAACTGCAATTTACCCTGCCCGCGGGAAGATAATGAATACGCACAACCGGGAGCACCCATTCAATCCCGAAAGTGAGTACTGCAGTAAGCTTTTAGAGACATTTGGTGCCTAGATACGATTGTACTTGTGCCATGTTAAAGCATCAACACACCTGTGGTAACGGAACTACTGGTCTATCTGAGACTTTCGAAGTGAACCCAGGCTTTTCAATACAAAATTGGTATATGATCCAGTCCACCGCTCCAAGGATGGACTTGTACAACCAGCTACTCACGTAAAATGCCCTACGTTGCTAGTCTTTCGAGAGAACAGCCCCACGGCTAGAGGGCTTGCGGGTTCTTAAACGTATGCCCCGCGGTATGATGTTTCGAAGTCGGTGGGAGAGCCAAGTGGGAACTGTATCCCACATTGAAAGAGTCGGGATTACCTCGCCAACATGCAAAAGATACGGACTCGATTCCAAAAATCCCCATCAGTTGCAGCTAGACCAACAAGTGGATAGCAAGAGTCAGGATCACGCCTCAGGGCCACTTGAGATGAATCAACTGTTCTCGATGTCGCTTCTCACCTTATCCAAGTATTGAGTTGTCACCCAACTCGCCCCATTTCGCGCGCCGCTGAAGCGGGCTCATCCGCTGCCTACCTGGACCGTAATGCCGCATCATGGACAGCTATCAGAGGTGTTTCATGGTGTATATAATTCTTTTTCATCCCACATCTGTCACATACGACCACAGGGTGTGGAGAACAGGGCTTCCCGTCCGCTCAGCCGTACTTAAGCCACACGCCGGCAGGTTAGTAGTTGGGTGGGTGACCACCAGCGAATCCCTGCTGTTGTATGTTTTTGTTTCTGTGATCTTTTTGGTTTGTTGTGTCCAATGCCTTTGCCGCCCGACTGTCATGGATCAAAACAGCTTTAGGACACCAGGGGCCAGTGATAACTTATCACGTGCAGTTAGGTATAGTTCGAGAGCCTTGTGGAAGATCCAGAGAAAAATTCAGGGAAGAGCACCACAAAGGGCTGTTTGCTAACCATCCTAACTAATACTCTATTCATCAACTAGTTAATTGCACGGTTAGCACGACTTATAAGTTTATATAATAACTAAATACGAGCACGTGACTCTATATGTGTAGTGGGAAACTAGCAGACGAGGGGTGATCTGTGATTGGAGGATATCTTTCCTAGTCACAGTCTTTACAGGATATAGCTTCGTAGCTTCGCATCTCCGATAGGGAGAAAATCAACCTTTTACACATCTTTCGCTGGAGCAGCATCTGTTTTCTCTCTGAGAGGCTTCCTTCCATCGTGGTGTGGGGTGGCCTGTCGGCTGGTTTGCTGATCCATCTCCTGCCTGCATTCGCAGGCTTGCCGTAGAGCGCCCTGGTTCAATAGGTAATACCGAGGAAAGTAATGATAAGAGCCAGCGCTAAGCCTCACGGATATGACAATTGTTGCTTCGAAAGTACTCTAAAGTGTTGCCTACATGAAAGACAAAACTGGCTCGCATGGCTGGTTTTCCGTGAAACCTGTGTAAGTGTTTAAGAATATTACTAGTGTTTCTACAGCAAAAGCTATAAATATTCCATAAAATAAGAATAATTGTGACTATTCCCAGTTGGTTAGTTCTGTTAGTTGATTGACAGATCATCGGAGGTTTCCCTAAATAGGACGTGGCGGGTCTAGGCAAAGGGGGCCAAAAATTGAGGGGGCCAAAAATTGTCAGAACCCTGTTTAACAGTAATCCGGTATGAGGAGCATCTATTGGCAAATTTGCATACTACAAACTAGGCCAAATAATGACCTCCATTTTATCAATGGAGTCTGACATATGACTGTTACTTGCAGTTACATTGATTTGGGCCACGGCCCTGGAGCTACAAACAAACATGAGTTGTAATTAGTCGGTGTTCGTGATAGCAAATTGAGTGACAGCGCCAATGTTGGCGCATTAGCTCGTTTCACTACGCCCAATGAATGATTGCACAAATCAGGTCCCACAAAGATGTGACCCAAGCGACCGTGGGGGACGCAGGGACGGAGGCTCAGGGCGTTTAACTCAATAGGATGGTTTCTCCCAAGAATATTCTCGTTATTTTCTCCTTCCACTTTATGCTATGTCTTTTTCTCCTCGTCGTTCCAACAACACTTTAAGCCATGGGACGCCCATGGAAATCCATAACTCTCGGGGTGCTGGCACTTTCGCGCCAAGCATGGTGCTCTGCGGGCGACATTTGCTATATGACAGGAGCCATGAGTACGCCAGTCTCACCATGGTGCTTCTTACATAGCTAATGTTCATATTTCTTTTAGCTAGTATCGTGGACGACCGATTGTACTTTTTTCAAGGCAATTATAGCACAGTTACCTATGATGGCCAATCCATCGATCTCAGTAAGTCTTGCGACTCAATCTCGAAGTTTGCGAGGGCTCAACGAAGATAGGTTCAACATTATACTATCTCAAACTTGACGATAATTACCTCGTGGAGGCCAATATTCCCCAAGCATCACTCAATAAAGAAACAATCAGCTCAAACATTACCGTGGCCTATAAAATGACAGAGCGAACAGAGCAAAAGGGCGCACTTTGGAAAACGGATGACACGTTGTTTTTTCTAGGTGGTGGCTACCATCAAGGCGTCAATGAAATTACATCCTTTAATGTTTCATCTGAAACGTGGAAAAATGTGCAAGTGAAAGGTGGAGACTTTAACATGGGGAACCGAACTACTGCACAAACTGTCAGCGTTCCTGACGCGGGGCTTAGCTTCATCATGGGCGGAAATGACCCCTATATCAATGGCATGATCCGTTTCGATGCATCTAATCCAGATAACATTTCCTGGACAAATGAGACGCTGGACAACGGGTCATATGGCGTCGATGTGCCGAATCTGAATGCAGGCTATATGGTTTATATACCCGCTAGCACAGAGGGTATGCTGATCGCATTCGGAGGTGGAAATGTAAGTTTCAATTTTTAAGCCTAGAGTTGTGAAGCAATATTGGGCCACCTCACCTTATATATCATGCTTACGATATTCATGGGCAGTACTCTGCAGGTCTCAGTCCCTACTCAGGATGGCCGTGGGAGGCGGATTGGAACATCATTTACGTATACGACATTGCTTCACACACATGGTGGATGCAAGAAGCTTCCGGTGATCCGCCAGCAAATCGAGATCAATTCTGTGCTGTTGTGACCGAATCGCCTGATCGTGGTGCATTCCACATCACGACATACGGTGGATGGAGCTTGACCGATCAACGGGCATACGAGGACGTTAACATACTTACCATCCCGTCTTTTCAATGGATCGACGCCACCGAACTTTCAAATCAGACCAATCGAGAGCAACAAGCTAACTCCACCATTGGTCGCAGTCAGCTCAGCAGTTCTTGCGAAGCGTATCGGGGATCACAGATGATTGTTCTCGGGGGAAATGTGCACTCCGGAGCATACTCACTCACCAATGGAGCATGCAGTGATGTGTTTAAACCTTCTCGTGTTCTAGATCTATCTACATACAAATGGGCATCAAACCTCAACACCAGCTCGACCTATGAGGTCCCGTCCATCATCTATAATAAAATTGGCGGAGGGTAAGTCCGAGCGATGCTCCTGAAATTCGTTGGCTGATTGTGATAGTGCTACCGGCGGAGCAACAGTATCGGTACCAAGCGCCGGATTCGCAGATGCCACGCTTGCATCGTTGATTCAAAAGCGTGTTCCGTCCCCAGCAAAATCTAGCCCTTCGTCATCTTCTTCTGTTGAATCTTCAACAACTAATTCCTCGTCAGCTCGATCGAGTGACAAGTCAAATCACACAAACGCTGGTGCTATTGCTGGCGGAGTTGTTGGTGGGGTAGCTGGACTGAGTCTGATAATTGCCATAGTGTGGTACATGGTTGTTCGGCGAGAGAAGCAAAATCCGGTAGTCCTGGAGCCATCAGAGATTCCAAGAAAGGTGCCAGTCGAGCTATCTGGGAAACAGTATGCAGAGATGCAGGGGGACAAGCACTACCCAGAAATGCAGGGGGATGGCAGACACATTGCTGAGTTGGGCTATTGATTGTCTCATACCCAGAGTCCCTTTCCTACTATTTCTTGTATTCGTTATCTATACTTCGCCTACTAATTTTTCTTTAAGCCATATAAGTTCAGGCTTCACTATAGAGAGCTCCTGCGAACTCTAGACTTTTGATTTTCTCTTTTAATGGGAGTCTCGCTGAGACCACTGTTAGTGCCTTACACCGCCCCCCCCAACCCTTCCGGGTTGTGGGTGCGCCACACACTAATTTCCACCCACACACTAATTTCCATTTTCCTATACCTCCCTATTTTTTGCTTCCCTATCCAACACCACTATCTAAATATGCCTAATTTCGACGAATCTCGTATGGCTGAGGCCTGCCTAGCTGCATCACGAGAGGATAAGCCGAATATAGCGCGTTTAGCCCGCGAATATAGCGTGCCTAGGCGTACGCTTGCAAACCGAGTCAAAAAGCATATAGGGCCTCGTACAGCTAGAAGCGGGGTTGGATACGCTCTAGAAGCCTATCAAGAAGAGGCCTTGATTCGCTGGATCCAATATATGAACGATTGCTATATGCCTATCACTCCTAGGATACTAGAAGCGTGGGCGAATCGTGCATGCCAACGCGTCGGCAAGCCGCCGATTAGCAAGATGTGGGCGTATCGCTTTATTAATAGGCTTCCTAAATATCTTCAATTAGGGCCTACTAAGCAGTATACGAAGGAATCAAAGCGAATCCTAGCAGAAGATCCAGCAGCATTACAATATTGGTACGATCTTTTAGCCTAAACAATCAAGAAGACTACACCAGCACGCTTAGTCTACAACTTTGATGAATGCGGCTTTCAACTAGGCGAAGGAAGATCTAGAAACGTTATATCTTCTACTACTAGTAGTAGGAAGATAGTAGATCTTCCTCAGCCAGACCAAGGCGAAAATATAACGACTATCGAGTGTATCGCTGCCGACGGGTAGTAGTTAGAACCTTGGTTTATATTCAAAGGTAACGGGATCTTTATAGAATCTTGGTTCAATCAAACAGAAGGCCTACCACTATATACTACAATCACTACATCGCTAAACGGTTGGATAACCGACGATATAGCAGTTCAGTGGCTTCGATTCTTTATAGAATTAACACGCGACCGTACGAAATCGGGTGAAAAACGTATCCTAATCTTCGACAGTCACGGTTTATATCTTATATTCGAATTCCTATACCTTTGCGAAGAGAACGATATCCTACTAATAGGATTCCTACTACATACTACACACCTTTGCTAACCGCTAGACGGTAAGCCGTTTCTAAGCTATAAGCAACACTTCCGCTTAGCGAATAACGACCACGCGTTTTAGGGTGGAAGCCCTATCGGAAGATCGGAGTTCCTTCGAATAATCGGTGATATTCGGAATAGAGCGTTTAGCTAGCGAATTATTCGTGAATCGTTCAAAGATCGTGGGATCTATCCAGTCGATAGTAGAAAGGTTATTAATAGCCTTCCTATCCAAGAAATCCTAGATCTCCTAGCGCTAGATCTACAACCGCTTCATACAACAACACCTTCACCACCACCTATATCTTCTTCTAGTATCAACCAATCGCCGCCTAGATCTATACAGGATCTAGAAAAGAATCAAAGGAAGATTGCTAGATATCAAGAGGATCTTACACTAAGGCAGCAACGTAATCTTGATCGTGTGTTTCATTATAACAAGATTGCTATAGAGAACCTAAATCTAGCGAACGATACTATTCGCAAGATTAGGGAAGCTCAACAACCACTACAGCGCCCAATCACCAAGCGCCAGGTTAAAACACCGCTTAGCAAAACAGGGGTTCTCTCTATTAGAGATGAAAATCGTTCTATTACTAAAAGAAAGGAGAAGGAAGCGGATATAGAGCGGAAGCGGGTAAGGAAGCAGTGGAAGAAAACATATGGAACATCACCACCACCAGAACCTACACAGGAAAGCCAGGCATCGTTGGATAGAGCAGAGGAAGCACGTCAGAACGGGCAGGGTTTCTATATAGATACTAGTAGGATGCAGTAGTAGATAGGGGAAATATCAAAAAATGGAAATTAGTGTGTGGGTGGAAATTAGTGTGTGGCGCACCCACAACCCGGAAGGGTTGGGGGGGCGGTGTAAGGCACTAATAGTAACTTAGCCACTAGAATATTATATTCGAAAAGAATCCCTTTCTCTGGACTGTATAAACCAAGGGACAAAAATTTCCAGAATAGAAGTAGATTAAACTAAATTTAGTGTCAAGAAGGCTAGTTTGATGGCTATGATAAGGGTAGGTATGATCACGTCCCATTTCTCAGTGGTTCTCACCCTATTAATTGTGCACTCACCCCTCTGACTCCCGTCGCGCAACGCTCAAGCGACGCTTACCTACGTATTTCTCACCTAGACACCCACCCAACTACTTGCCGCACTAAAGCCACATACTCTACACAGCCGGCTCTCCCTACGCCTTTTCCGTTAAAAAGGCGAGGAAATCACTACTGATGTGAGTGTGGGTGAGATTGGCGAGAATCCTGGGAACCGGGTAAGAGAAGTTAGAATGGACCACGGGAAATTCTAAACTGTATATCATATCCAACTAAGTGTTTCCTCAGCGATTCTATAGATTCAAACTTTCCAGTCCATTCCATCAGGCACCCGTTAAAACTTCGTCAAAATACTGTGTCTATGACCATAGAGGCTTAACCTAGAAAATTGATTGCGTAAGGAGGTTATACATATCGCTTTCTTCGCAAATGAATAAAGCAAAATTGAGGAGCAGATTTAAAAGTGTCAGCCTAAAGTGCCCTTAGCGACACTTTGATATCTCTCAAAGCCAGAGGAAAGAGGAATCTTGCAGTCTTTAATCAGATCCAAAGCCTCGTTCTTCCGTCTTTCGTTGAGCATGTTTGCACTTTCCTGCAAGCGAGTCTCCACAACAACCGGTGCCGCCCGAACAGATCGCTTCAGAGTTTCAATTGTCACCTTGAAGCCAGGTGAATCGAAACTTTCAAATTTGCACATATCTCGATGATTTGCAGCGATCCCACACCGATTGGTTCCATCAATTACTGGCGCGGCACTGTCACGTGTCACAATATAGTCCGTTGAGTATTTGAGGTTTGTCGGAAGCTGCTCCCAGAAGAAATACACGTGGTATCGTGTCATCATTGGTGCAAAGTCTAGTGTTATATTTTGTAGAGTCTCGGAGTCTATTTGAAGCCCCATGACTAGGCTTGTCTCGAAGCGAGTAATCCTCCGCGGGATGACGGCAGATGCAAATTTTATCAGCCTGCTCGCTGGTCGGGCAATTCTTGATCCATTATGGGGCGTCCCATAGAAGATTATGCCGAATGTGCACGTATAGATCAAGTGAAAACGAGCGCTTCTAGACGTCACACGACCAGCAGCTAAAATCAATACTCGCTTCACTATGAGCCCGCCCAGAGAATGATATAAGAAAATGATCGGCCTTGTCGAAGCATCGTTAGTCTATCAAAATTGGAGTGTGGATTAGTGATTAAGACTGATCGGGCTAATTCGACTTCAAAGACCTCTTGCGCTTACTTCTCGGTCAATTTGAAGCTCTTTAATAAGAGTTTCTGCATGATAGAGAATTCTATCTGATGTCGTTGCTTTTCCACCCCATGAGTTTGTGTTTGCGAGATAACCCCAGCTTAGCACTCGGGCATTTGGAATCTTCTTCGGAAGGAGATCACTAAGCCAACAGATATGGCTTTTCTCATGCGTCCACGTTCGGATGGCGTCGCCCTGGAGCCCGTGTACAGCTACAAAACTATTAAGGTCAGTAAAACGTCTTCTAATTGCTAGGATGGCATACTCAATATCTATGGCGCTCTCCTTCGGATGGAATAGTTCAATGATCCCCGTATGCTCAGAGCCCATTTTTCACCTTGGATTCAACTCGAGCGGCCAAGTATCGTGACGGGGCAGGAAACAAGTGGCAAAATAAAAATTTCAATAGTCTTGAGTGAGGGGCGAACCCCACTTTCATACACCTATGTCACTATTTGGGGCACTTGGGTCGGCTGGGTGTATAAGTTCATCCCATTCATAAATATAGGTACTGGCGCTAACTTCCTGTGAGATAATACTAATTGAAACTCTAGCGCCATGCAAGTTGTGTCCCGTTTCATCCAAGAAATCATGCCATGCATTTTCGACAATGTAGGATTGTGGCTTGCGCCTTGGCAAAGTTCTGAGAAAGAAGCAAAAAGTGTTTCAAACTAAATGTGAGTCCTATCGGGCCTTGAAACATTTATGGGTTCACCACTTTAGTGTGATGCGAGCCCCTCATAAGCAAGCATGAATAAAGATCCCAGATCCGATGTGATTACTATTCATGGGAAAAGAACGAATGGCGACCTACATTATTTCAATTCCCCCAAGGAGAATGGGCAAAAAGATCCTAGAATCAATGTGAGATCTTGTCCTTTCTACGGAGTACTTTTGCGATGCCTGCCAAAATAGGACTGCTGAGGGAAATGAAGGATTTCATAGCGTGGCTATCTGCACATGAAGAGCAGGATTCATACTGACTCACACACCAATCCATGCTAATCATTTCTGCCAAGATGCTAAGCCTGCATCCTCTCAGATTGAGCCTTTTCAGGCAGCGGGTTGAAATGAAACTTGAGTGATCAATGATTTTAAGAACGACGCGGATTCATCAGCCTCTTTGATTATGCTCGCTCAGCTGCTTCCAGAACTGTTTAACTACATAGAGATACTAAATTATGAATGTGCGTCAAATATGATCTAGTAAACCAATCACTTCATGGCAGAATGCCTGGGTTGCACGGAACCAGGGCCAAAGAGTCGAAAATTTTGTGCTAGCCCTGGAGATCTGCAAAAATGTACCTCTGAGAATTCATTGGGTGGATACAATGGAAGACTGAATTTATGGATGGAGTCGATTTGTAGATGTGAGATTGACTACATAATTCTAAGGAAAGAGCTAAGGAATATCATGGCCGAGACAGTTTTACCCAGCAGCCTTCTTTCAGCGATAAAACCAGAGTCATTTTCTGCCTTTCGTATGCTGTCTTTAGGCGGCCCTTGGTCTCATGGCTGGACCAGCCAACCCAATCCCGCCGGGGGACCTCCATTGCTAGTTCTACCTGAGGGTATCTCTGCAGAATTCTTATCACTGTGCATGATGCCTCGATCAATGCAAAGTCCTCTGTATAGGCGAATCAGACATCATGATAGACCTCCAAGGGGTTACTGCATTAACTTACGTCCTAAACAGACTCGAGGCCCACCGTTGAAAGGTAAATACCCCCATAGTTTGCTTATAGTGTTTTGAAACAAGGGGAGATCCTTATCTTCCCAACGCTCTGGCCTGAATGCCTCGGCATCAGGGCCGTAGAGATCTTCCCGGCGATGCATTGCATAGACACAAAAGGCGACATTTTCGCCCTTGCGAATAAGCACCGGGGATTTTCGATCGGGACCGCCGCCAACTGGCAAGACTGTTGTGCGGTGGGCTGTTCTCGTATTGACTGGAACTGAGGGATAAAGACGAAGAACTATAGAATTATCAGATTAATTGCCCGGCTAGGGATACGACGGAGAGACGCAACGGCGAGGAAGACTTACTTTCTTTGAGCACATTTTCAAGGTATCCCATTTTCTTCAGATCGTTCCGAGTAAATTCGATCCTTCCATTTAGCTTTGTTTCAATCTCCGCATTAAGCCGAGATAGAACATCTGGGCGTTGAGCAAGGTGATAGCTATGATAGTAGGGCATCGGTGAGAAAGCAGTTATAAAATCGCAGAAACCATGTAAATACTTACAATGTCCATGTAAGGAGACAAGCTGTCGTATCCCGACCAGCGAGTAAAACATTTAGTAGCTGTGCCCTCAGAGTCTTTCGATCCGTTGAGCTCTCTGCAATGGCATCAAAAAGGCCGTAGCGATTTTTCTCCTCCAGACTGTCTTCCGCCTTCTCATAGCGCGAGTCAATGAAGCTGTCAATAAATCGATGTACCGAGTTGCATGCATTTCTAAACTTTCTGCCTCCAATTACCCAGTATAAATCTAGTAGTCGAAAACGTTGTACAACATAATTTTGCGCAATGTCGAAGTCCTCGGCAAAGCTGCTGTCTTTTGAGCCCTGCTTCTCAGTGAGACTGTTGACCGATCTGCCAAAAAGATATTCCGTTGTAGTGTCGAGCGTGAGTCGAAAAAATAATGATTGCAGATCAACACGGTCGCTATGTTCTGAGATACGATCCAGGAGATTAGTAATATGGACTTGAAAGATCTCTAGGTCGTTATATTGTTGTTTGCCAAACTGTGGCTGAAGCATCTTTCTGGAATGTTTCCAAGGTTCACCTTCCTGTGTGAAAATGCCGTCGCCGAGAAGCGGGAAAAATATCTGACGACGAAGACCAAATCCAAAGTCTGGTGTATTGTTAGCCTTCTATCAAACAGACATACTGACTCTTGATCATTGGATGACTGAGGGTCGCACCCTTCTCTTGGGATGACATCATGGCCTCAAGGTTTCTAGGCTCTATGGTGCCAAAAGCAATTGTGCCTAAAAACTTCTGCTCCAAAGTAGTGCCAACATCCCTGAAATGAAATGTGAAGAGGTCCATCAAGCGCTGGTCGGCATCAGCGGTCCAGATTTGTATCAGGCGATCGATGCCCAGCGGCCACCAATTCTTGAGCCTAGGAGCTTTCTCACAGCCATTCTGATCGCCAATACTACAGTTCACCTGGAGTTGGTCAGTATTACACTCCATACACACCAGTCATTTGTGTTCGATGGACAATTTAGACATTACCTTGTATGCAGTGAACGCTAGTTGCACACGGCACAAAGCCCATGCGATTATGATAGACACGCAAGCTATTGCTGTCAAGTTCAACGTTCTCGCACAGTTCTCAGTGCAATATGCTAAGAGTCACATAGATCGCCAGAAAGGCTTGAATACCTTAACTAAACGAGGTGGTTCCGAAGCGAAGGTTGTAGAATTGGACACGACATTTAGTGTGACACGCCGCTAGTTATTAACTCCCTGGAGTCGATGGGTTCGTGGTCAAACTAGACTAAAATTTGAGCAGCATGTGATTTACCAAAGAAGAGGACAAACATCAGTTTGGTTCAGAGTCGATCCTGGAATTTGTGACTGTGGCGGAACTCATTGTCTTAGCGCGAGACGGTTCGTGGCGGAACTGCATCCCACAGCCCGCAACCACTCAGCAGCTCTTTGTTTGGACAGGGGTGATCTACCAATTACAAAGCGCGTCGTAACTAGTTAATCCTTTGGCTTAGTTATCTAGACCTACAATTTTGAACACGTACTATGTATGTATTTGCAGTTCTGGTTTATGCACCTCGTTTATCTGGCAGGTTTCACCTCAGCCCGCCCAAAATCGTGCTGTCGTTGATCAACTGGAGAACATCCCTGATCGTGTAGACACAGCCTCCTCTTAATCACTCAACACAAATTATTCTCTTCTATTGATAATTTTCGAATGCCAGTGACCTCATGAATTTACGGTGTATCCTTCCCCTCGCGGTGGCGATTTCGTCTCGCAAATTGTTCTGAGGTTCTCCCTAATGCGGGTAAACACTATTTTCACCAACCCTGGCGAAAGCGCCAATATACTTGTAGAGTGAGCTTTTGATTTGTGTCACACCATTGACTTTGACGTTCATCCTTGAGAATTGAACCGAGTTACTCTGACTTCAAGTATTGTTTTCGTGCACGAGCTGGATAAGAACGCTAGTTCAGCTTGGACGCACAAAGAATCTGGGCGCTTTTGGCCCCCCGATCTGCTTTCTAGAGAATCAGCATCAAAGCTCGCATTTTGTTGCTGGAGTACAAAGCAGACGTGCCATCATTCTTTGATAGCAGCTCAGCCGACAGGATTCTTCATCATGCACAAACACTTCATTGAAGAGCTCAATTCGGAACAGGAGCATGATGGTTCCAACGGACGACCGATCTTCTTCATCTGCCACGGTCTTGGTGGGATCATTGTCGAGAAGGCCTTCATATACTCCTCAATGAGCCCATCACCCAATGTCTCTCATCTACATTCTATTTTCACATCAACATTCGGCCTTATTTTCTTCGGTACTCCACATGAAGGTGTACAGAAGGCGAATTGGTCTTATTTGACAAGGGGTTGGAAGGGACTTTTGAAAGATCGCATGGTATCTACGAACAACCAACTTCTTTCTTCTCCTAGACCAGCACTGTACATACGACCACAGGGTGTGGAGAACAGGGCTTCCCGTCCGCTCAGCCGTACTTAAGCCACACGCCGGCAGGTTAGTAGTTGGGTGGGTGACCACCAGCGAATCCCTGCTGTTGTATGTATATTTTTTTTGTTTTTTGTTACTAACTCGCGAAGCTCAGTGCCTGCTCTATATTCTTTAGCCCCTCTGCTAAACTTTCCCTTGTGCCCCCAGCCCTAACTTTACTTTTTGGGTTGTGGCCTAGACTAAATACTGATAGGAGCTAATCACGAAACAAGATTCACCGTGGCTATTATAACTATCTGGTCTGGTCTTGGCTATCTCTGCTCTAGGGACACAGTGAAGATTTTGACTAAAGCACAGGTGTAGTAACGATACCAAGCGTTACTCCTGTAATCATATACGCCCCTCGTGACCGCCTCACTGAAGATGCCTGGTCTGTATATCGAAGAGATGGCTCAAATCCTATAAAACAAGTTCAGCATCTTACCGTCATCATCCAGCAAGCACATGCTCTTTCGTGGGCTGATTAGACCCAAAAAGACAGCCCGGTAGAAAGCATAAGAACATAACTTTCAACTAGGAGATTTCTACCAGAACCAAGCATCCAAGTTTCGTTTGTACTACTGTACATATACCTTGTTTTTGTTGATGAATCTGGTTTTGATAGACAGGTGGGATAAAGGCGAGCCAATAACATGTGCAGGATCGACGCGGCTGGCTGTGGATCCATTGGATGGATCTTCAATCTACTATGTAAGTTGTGATTCACAAATGACCTTCCTTGATCGGAATGTGATGACACGAAAAAATGGGCCTAGCCATGCTCATAGGTACACTATACTATAATTAGTATGAAGCCCTATAAGTTATGGGGAATGGATGATTGTACGGAGCCAGTCTGTTGAGGCTAGCGCTATGACGATCTTGAATACTAGGGGCAGCGATCAAGAGTTAACAAAGTATAATGGTGCATTCGTATGTTTAAGGATAACTACGTTGAGTTAATCGATTATTGGATATGCAATACGTTACATCATCTGTTTCGCTTCTTTCGTCGACGATGCAAAAAGGTATGGAACTATTTGCATTTAAAGTTTTGGAATCGCTACTATGATCATCGAGCATGTCTCATTTCTGATAATTTTCTGTGTCCATGACCCACTTGCGTAATCCGCTCTCTATTCAATTATGCTCCCCCTCCTTCCAACGATGCCTTCCTTACTCCAACCAAAACTTCTCATAAGAATATCGGTAAGCTGGGCCCAAATTGAACAATGATCACAAATTAACAAAAGTACCTCTAGCCTAAGCAACATGTAGATCAAATACCTCCTTTCTCTTCTTGGCCTGGTGCTTGCCGTTGCAGCTGCTCCAGAGCCTCAGTCGTATGAACCGCAATGTGGGTCCTTGAAATTTTCTCCAGACAGCATGAATGCTAACCGTGCTTTTTACAGATGGAGAGAGTGGTGCCAAGTGCACCAGCTATCAAGACTGTCTCGCTTCATGCAGTTCAAAAGATTTCAACGTCGAGGATGGGGGTAGCTATAATGGCATACGATTTGTGTGCACATGAAGGCGTTGCATTTAAAATCTTCGTGGTTGCAATTTCGAAGACTATTGCTGTATGTACTGTAAAGAGAACCGACGTTAAGTGCGTTCGGCATGATTGAGAGTTTATGCAGGGGTGCTAGGTCAAGATGTGTGTTTGATTCTATCGCAGTGGCCCATTATTTATCTCATGTAGAAAGCGACTAGCAGTCCCAATTCGAATCCCGCGTTGCAAGTAGAAGCCAGAGTCCGGGTCCTCGAGGACGAGTCTGAGATCTAGATAATTCTCTAAAATCACCTGACAAATCTTACGGAAATCCACCTTGCGCGGCCTCCTCAGTGGCGCGTGACTCCAGACATTTACAGTATTCTCTGACAGCTGTTTCATGAGGCCCGGAAACCATCAGCCACTCCTTAGGTAAGGACATAGGAAGAGATGAAGCAATCATGATAACACTGCCATTTTTAGTAGTCAAAAGTTGCCAATTGCTGGAGGATATGGTACCGTAATGTTATGAAGGAAGCGATGGGCAGCCTCAAGGTAAAAGCGAAGTAGGAAGGAAGTGAAAAAGAGGAAAGGAAAATGGCGGTAACTACCTTAGGGGTAGGAAAATAGTAACAACTCCCGTATAACGAAATTTTCCCTTTAATCAAAATATATCAAGACTCGTTTTAAACTAGGGGTTCATGCTTCCAGGTAAAGAATATTCAGGTAGGTAAACTACTGCCCGAAGCCGCCCGAGCCTGACCAAGGTCGACTGTGTCAAGCGGCAGGCCGCCTTGCACCGAACAATAGGCGCTAGGGAAGCATCGCCATAGTATAGCTGCAGTATATTTATTTTTTATTTAAGTTCTTTTCTTCCTTCTGGTCTTGTATCCTCTCTATTCTACGCTCCAAAAAGCTCTGTTACGACCTCCGAGCGAAAGCTGGGCCCTTGAAAACTTGCCTTCCCGTCTATTCTCCTTCCAAATTGAATGCGCGACATCTAAGATATCTCGTTGCGTGCAGATCACAAATCCAAGGAATTAATCAATCTTCAAGTAGTAAATCTTCAAGTAGAATCTAGCGTGAAGCAGGTATAAACACAAGTGTCTTAAGATTCCAATTCTAGGCACGAACCACCAAATTTCTCTTGGATGCGTTATTTAAACCCTCCGCCCTCTTCAAACGATCATACGATCACCTTGCTGCGCCGTCCTCTCCCTGCGATCGATTCCGGTGGGTTTGGGGAGAGCGCGAGTCTCATCAACCTTCGCGCGGTTGCTTCTCCATCTTGATGTCCGTCCTCACAGCTTCGCGGCATCCTTGACGTCGCCAATCTTCAACTTCGGTGCGTACTTCTTCAGGACGGACTCATTGTGGTACTGCAGGACAAGACGGTCGGAGTTAGCGTCACTTTCTCGAGATCAAAATGGAACAGAGGCCGGGATAGAGAGTGTGTCATGTATTAGGGGTGTATGAGAGGTGCTCAGCAGGGATGCTTGCCTTCCAGAATTGCTTCGACGCATCCTTGCCTGCGACGCGCTTCAAGATCTTCGCGCCGCCCGGGTGCTCGTCCACGAAGTTGGTGACATCGTAGACGCCGGTATCGACGATGATGTACATGCCCTTGTCGGCACTGTTGTGTGAGGCCACGTCGGCGGGAGTGAAAGTCTTCGACATGGTGATGGGGGAAGAGTGTAGATGATGAACCCAAGGGTCGAGGATGGCTGACGTTATTAACGGTTCCACGGAGCGTCTCAAAAGTCCGGGGCAGCGCGGGGCCGAGGTTAACCAGATGCCGCGGTCTTTGGAATCGCCGCCTGCTGATTGGCTCTGGACAACGGAGCTCGGACTTTTATGGGATTCGGAATTATTCTATGTAAACGGCCTAAGGATTGTCGCTGACCAGTGAGACTCGCACTCGACGCGGCGATCAAGCGTGGAAGGACAAAATTTAGAAGGATGAGCTTGGTCGGATGTATATCAGGTATATCGAGCACTACACAGAACGAGGTGCCATGGGAGTGTCGGCTATTGAAATATCGGCTACCTCTAAATACACAAATCCACAAGACTAAACACGCCCGGACAGGACATTCGTTGCTCTTGCCCATTGCGCAGTGACTGTTTCTTCTGTCCTGCTCTAACCCCGGCTCTTTTCTCCTACAGCGCCAGTCCCTTTAGGCACTTTGCGATCCAATCCTAACGACTCCAAATCCTTCTTCTTGTAGTAGTGCGGTGCCACTTCGACAAGCCACTCGGCCTGCAGTGGCATGTTGCTGCGCATGTACTCCTTGCTGGTCAGCACCAATTCAAAGTAGATCACCCACCTTGGGTTAACCTCGAACAGGGTGCTGGAAGGGTGTAGGTACACCGACTGCCCATTCTTGATCGTGCGGTAGCTGTCGCCGCCACGCTGCAGACGGGCGGCGTTGGGGAAAAACCCAGAGGTGATGGCTTTCTGGATGGGGATCAGGTTATTCGAGCCACAGGTGCTAATACACACTTCGACGCGGTCGCACAGCTTGGCCAGCTGGTCGCGGACGTCGCGGGCCCGAGTGAGACTCCGCTGTTGCAGGAAATTCTCCTTCGCCCACACGACACTGAAATCTGAGTCAACCCACTGGTTCCAAATGTTGAGAAGAGTCGCGTGATCACCGCCGTCCTTGACGGTAAATCGATTCCGGGCGCTGTCTGCGTGAATCTTCTTGTCTTTCGGGCGGAAAAAGAGAGCGCTCGCCTCGCCCAGCATCGAGACGATGGAGAGCACCTCTTCAACACAGCCATACTGACCGGCGGCAAGAATGGCCTTGGCCAGCATCGGATCGGTCGGAAACTCAGCCATTTGACGACCAACCTTGGTGAGATCACCTCGGTCATTGAGGGCTCCCAGTGCGTACAGTTGCTCCAACGCTCGAATGATCGTTTCGGCGGGTGGTGGGTCCATGAAATCAAAATCGAGCAGCTGGTCAATGCCCAGTGATTTCAACATCAAGATGACACTGTTAAGGTTGGTGCGCTGAATCTCAGGAGTGGTGTTCTCTTCCAGTTCATTGTAGTATGCCCATTTCGTGTAGAGCCGGAAGCATTTACCGGGGCCGACACGTCCAGCACGACCAGCACGCTGGTTAGCGGACGCTCGGGAGCATGGGGTCACGACCAGGCTTTCCATGCCTGTGCGCGGGTTAAACACATTTTCTTTAACAAATCCAGGGTCAATCACATAGACGATGCCGTCGATAGTCAAACTCGTCTCGGCAATATTGGTGGCCAGCACCACTTTGCGGGCCTTTGGCGGGGTGGGTTCGAAGATTTTGGTCTGTAATTCACTGGGTAGATTGGCGTAGATTGGGCATATAATCATTTCCGGTATTTTACTCCCTAGTTTTCGGGCAGTTTCTTGTAAACTCTGCTCCGCCGCTTCGATTTCCTCCTGGCCAGTCAGGAAGACGAGGATATCGCCTGTTCCTTGGGTGACGTGAATCTGGAACACAGTGGTAATCGCGGCGGCCAAATAGTTGGCTTCAGGCTGTGAGGTATAATGCACATCCACAGGGTATCGTCGACCGGGAATGTTGAAAATCGGTGCATCGTCAAAGTACTTCTGGAATTTTTGCGCATCCATCGTCGCGGACGAGATCAGCAGCTTCAGATCAGGCCGCGCCTTGGCAATATCCTTCAGAAGACCACAGGCAATGTCTGTTGGAACTGTCCGCTCGTGGGCCTCGTCGATCATCAGTGCTGAGTATTGGCCGAGATCAGGCTCCGTGAGCAATTCTCGCAGAAGCATGCCGTCAGTCATATATTTTAATATCGTCTTGTCGCTCGTATTATCTTCGAAACGAATAGCATAGCCGACTTCGTTTCCAATTTTGACGCCCATTTCCTCGGCCACACGAGCAGCAACACTCATAGCAGCCACTCGTCGCGGCTGAGTACAGCCAATTTTCAACCCATCCTTGGTGTACCCTGCCTCATGGAGGTACTGTGGAATCTGGGTTGTTTTACCAGAACCTGTCTCGCCGACGATAATGAGCACCTGGTGGTCATGCACAGCCTGAATAATCTGATCCCGGAACTGGTAAATCGGCAGGCTCTTACGAGTCTCTTCCATGGTTGCAGCTTTCTTCTCGGCCGCATCGACTTGCTCTTTGAATCGCAATTGCTGCTGGGTCATGGGTTTCTGCGTACCCTCCAACTTGGCATCCATCACGAAGTTAATTTGCTGTGAATCGTCGAAAACATATTCATAATCTCCTTCGTCAACAAACTCAGCCTTCTGGATTTGCGCTTTGGCTTTGGCGGACTGTTCGAGCTCCCATTCCTCGTGTTCGGTGACAAACCGCTCTTGGCCAGTTTCGTCCCGGTCCACGTAACGTTTATAGAGCGCCTCCTCCTTCTTCTTCCGATCGATCTTGCCCTTTTCCGTAATATAGTCTTCCGGCATCATGTAACCATCGCGGTGGTCATCAATCTTGAGTCGCTCCTCGGCAATCCGGAGAACTTCTCGGTTACGAGCAAATTCCTCTTTCTCTCGGCGCGTCAGGTTTGGATTCTCGCGTAATTCGGCACTTTCTTCCGCAACTTGGCGGCGCAGCAGGGCAAGTCGCTCTGTCTCACGCTTCTTCAGATATTCTTGTCGAGAACGCATTCGCAGATCTGGCATCATAGCAGCCCGCGCACTGGCATCATCTCCCAACGCGCGACGCCGAGCAGCTTCACCGTCGCGCGTTCGGTCCTCCACAATCTTCTTTGACTTGAGACCATCCTTCTCAGCCAGTCGCTTCGCGAATTCGTCTCTCTCACGGAGATCCTTTTGACGATTCATTTCCTGCTTGGTCTGGGGGTCGATATCGTCATCGGGCGAGACTGGTTGTGGAGAGGCAAACCCATCTTCAAGTCTGGTCCGTTTCGATGGTGAATCTTTGAACTCGTCCTCGTCGGCGTACACTTCATCCTCGGGGATCTCCTCGTCGCCCCATCGGTTGTCGAAGTCCTGCGAATCCCGCTTCCGTAATTTCTTCGAGCGTGGGCGGTCCCGACTTTCCGCATCGCGACTACGATCTCGTTTTCGGGTATCATCTTCTCGTTTGGTTCGCTCGCGGTCCCGGTCGCTATCTCTCTCTTTATCACGGCGTCGCTGTCTGTCGCGCTCCACCTCCACGTTGACAGGTCCTAATGAGGAACCGGAGTCTTCGCCCATATCCACCATCCTATATTTCTTCTTTGTGGACTCCTTGCTCGCTGTACTTTTGGACGCTGTGGCATGAGACGGGCGGCTAGCCTTTCCCACGCGGGAGAACAGCTGGGCGCAAAATGCGCCAATCTCATCCGGGCTGCCATCGAGGAAGGACACCAGCTTGTCCTCGAGGGAGGACGCAGATTTGGCAGAAGAGGCTTCTGCGAGGACAAAATCAACAGCAATTGGATCAGAGGCACCGGTCAAACGGATGAGAGAGTCCGACACAAACGTTTTGTTGTCCATGATGGATGCGAAGTTTCGAGAGGAGTGTGAGAATGTTCCACGTCCGCTCACAGCGTTTCGCGGTTGTCGATAGCCCCTAAATCAACGGGCGCATACTGCATAGAGCATGCAAAGTAGAAGGCCACGGACTAGAAGAAGCTTGGTTGGAAGTGGCAGGTTGCAAGTCGGAGTTGCAAAGCTGTGAGGATGAAGAGCAGCGCTCGAAAGTTGCGCTCGGGAGTTACGCGCCAAGACCGGTGGCGATCCCGGAACGAGTTTACGGCGGGAACATCATGACCTCCGAAGTATACCATTCTCCCTGATATGTCAAGTTCACTAGTTCCCGGGAAATGATTCTGAGTTTTAAAGGTGTAAATATGGAAAAAAAAATGAACAATATTGACTGGGGTATCATTCAGATTCCATCAATGGGTGAAATGGAATCAAGCTAGTCACACAGCTCAAACAGATCTCGCTAATCTAACACCCCACAGTGGGCATCATTTATCGTCTCTTGTACCAGATGGCAAAGAAAAGCAAGGGATAAAAGGAAATCAACGCTCAGAGGAGACAATAAGACTCCAGAAAGGCTTGCAAAAACAAAGATAGAAGCGCTCAGCGGACGTAGCCAACCAGTCAACCCGCAAAGGGTTAAAAGGAACCAGAAACCGACCGAGATATTCTTAGTCAACCGGTGAGATCAGAAAACATAGATCCACAGGCAAATGATGCAAATGAAGGTCAGTCCATGAGGACACATACGAAAACTTCTTGAATGGGATGACCAGGGCCATCGCACAAGGGTGAGTGCGTCAATCGCAAATGGGGTATGTTGGTACATTCGTGACACCTGGTAATGCTAGGCAATGGTACAAAGGAAACCAAGGAAAATGGACGCCACAGAACGAATGAGAAAACGCCGCGCTGAAACTCCAGGGTATTTGCAGCCCTCAGCAAACTCCTCCAGGTCATGACAAGTGATAAGAGGGAAAAGCTCCGAGCGACGGAATAGAGCCAGAAGCGCAGTCGGATGGAAGCCGAGCAGATGAAAGCCTGATTGTCAAACCTGTCAATCTGAGAAGCAGAAGGGGGCTATAGAAGAAAACAAAAGGGGTCGTTATCAGTTAAAGCGTGGCATGAAAGACAGGCAAGAACCAAAAAAGGCAAACGAGAGCAAGCGCCGGGTCGTGTCAACACCAGGGGACAATATGACAAAGGAAAAAAAGAAAATGATAAGCACGGAACACCCTCCATATGCACAACAATTGAAAGGGGGAGATAGATTACACATCGATCATTTCGGCATCTTCAGCCAAGATCTCATCCGCGGGCCCCCAGTTGCCCTCGAAGACAGTAGCGCCCGCGCGACGGCGTTGATTCACAAATTGCACACCATAGGTTTCTAGAATTTGGTCGGCAGTTGGTCGGTCAAGTGGCTCAGGTGAGATCATCCAACGGACAATCTTATCCAGAGCTTGGGTGTGGTGAGCGTCGATCATAAAAACGGGGGGATTAATCAACTCCCCACTGCGGGCGAGCCGGGACAGCTTATGGGTATTCACTTTGCGATTTGCCAAGAAGTTATCACCAAAGTCGTCGTCGCCAAGATCAGAAGCGCAAAGCTCCTCAAAGGATGACTCCTCAGAAACTGGGTTGCCGGATGCATCGCGGAAGATGCTAGTCTCTGAGCTCCAGGTGAGACTCGGAACATCACTCATATCTCCATTGCGAAGCTTTTGCCAGGATACTCCATTATCCGGCAGCTCCACATTACCAGCAATCTCAAACATTATGAGACCCAGAGAGAAGATATCAGCGGGCTTGTCAAAATGACCCATCAGAATCTCTGGTCCAATGTACTCCCGGTCACCTTCGCCTTCAATGCCGTCTTCGGCAGGCCAGCGTGTGGCCATACCGAAATCTCCAATCTTCAACACGCCTTCAAAGGTCACGAGAATGTTGGCAGGCTTCAAGTCCAGGTGAATGAATCCTTGGTCATGAATGTGCTTCAGCCCAAAGGACAATTCAAGCAAGATCTTCCAGATGCGGAAATCGTCCAGGCGAGCCTTCAAACCCGCCTGTGCCAAAAAAACATCCAGACTGCCCTCTTCGCAGAATTCTGTTTGAATGTACAAGTGGCCATGATCTTCCCAGCTGTCCATGAATGAGATAACATGGTCGGAGTTAACCAAAGTCTTCAGTACCTCGACCTCCCGAATGCGGCGCTCGCGGTCTTTAAGACCCGAGTAGGGATGCTTGCTTTTCTTCACAGCCCAGACCTGGTGAGGCAGAACAGTGGGGGACTTGGGTCCGCTAGAGGGAAGAGAAAATACAGAGGGAAAAGCATCGTGGGGCTGTGCCACCCGGTAAACTTGAGAGAATTCACCGGTTCCAATCAGCTCGACTGTATCAAATCGTGAAGTGAGGCTAGAGTCCACGTCAGGGGCATGGTAGCCACTGAGTTGAAGACTAGGGCGTTTGCTTGAGAGTAAGGATTCGCGAGGCCCGGTGGGCGTGGCAGGGAGATTGTGACTGCTGCTAAAGTCTGGCTGGAGAGATTGTTGATCATTCGGGGCGGATATGGACAAGCCACTGGGATCGGGCGGGAAGAATTGTTCACGAGGAGTTCGAGGTGACGCCTGCAGGAACCGATCGCGCAACGGAGTCGAATTGGCGCTGCCTCTGGATTCTGAGAGACGCTCAAGCGAAGCGATTTGAGACGTAGCGGGAGGGTAGGTACGAGAGGGCAGAAAAGCTTGCTTGGTGGGGGTAGGAGGAAAGTCAGAGTCAGTCAATGGCTGGCTGTCGTGTCGTGATGATGGAGACTGCGCTTGAAGCATATCGTCACCATCAACGCTCACAAGGCTTCCGCGGCGCGTGGGCTCAGGACGATTGAAGGTGCTGCCGAAAATGCCCATGCCCCGTGCAAAAGGACCAGTCTTGGGACGCACAGAGGATCCCGGAGGATTAAAAGGAGAGGCGGGTATAGCCTCGGATTGTCGGCCAAGCTGGGACTTATTGAAAAGACTGTCCACGGGGGGTTGGGCCCAGCTGTAAAGATGTTCACCGGCCGCTTACACGGAGTATCCGGCATATTCTTGTTGAAGCTTGCACCATGAGGTTCCTCTGCATTGCGATTCTTCTTGGAAATCAAACCAGTGGACATGAATGCAGCCGGTAGAGGCTTGACTAGCTTGTAGTTCTCGGGGGTCGCGAACGACTCGGATGAGTCTTCACGTGTTACGCGGCGAACTGGCGCAGGGCGGGTCGTCCCAGCTGGAAGTGATTTAGAGAAGTTGAATATGGGCCGTGACGCTCTTTCGGGCTTGTGAACAGGTTCATGTGTAGGTGAGTCATCGAGACTCGACCCAGAAGAAGATTGGGTGATCGTACGAGAGAGAGGATGAGCAGCGGGTCGAGGAGGCTGAGTTGTGGCGACATTATTGGTGTTCGTTGCAGGGTTTGGAGAGAAGAGAGGACTCGCTGGAGGAGGACGAGGAGAAAAAAGATTGGTCTCTTGTCCACTCTCGAAAAGACTGCTGTCAAATGACATGCGTGGTCGAACTGCCAGTGGAGTACCAGGTGATGCCTCCGAATCGCCCATTTTAGGTCGTCCAAATAGAGAGCGCTCTCCTTGGCGCTGTTGAAGAGTTGATCGTCGAAGTGAGGAGGAGCGTTTGGGGATGGTAGCAAAGGGACTGAAAGGTTGAATGGGACTGGGGAAAGAGAATTCAGACGCGGAGGCGCCAGATGGACTTGCAGGCGCCGTTTCACAATCGTGGTCGAAGATACTAAAATCGGTGGGAAAGGTAGGGGTATGCACACTGCGTCGCTTTGCGGACGGACTTCCGCGAGAGGCTTGGTCCAAGTTCATGATGCCGTCACTACGCTTCAATGGACTGACAGTCGCAAAAGTGCCAAAGGTGCCACTGCGCCGCTTCTCTATGCGCGAAAGAGTGGGCCGTGGAGCGAAAGCTGGTTCGGTTTGGGCGGGGGCTGGAGTGGTGATGAAGCCTGAATTAGGGCAGGCGATGCTCTCACTTGGGTCAGCCAAGTCATCCAGGGTCAATGCATTTTCTTCGCCATGGGCCATAGGAATGGACTGGGTAGGAGTCGCGTTGCCGCCGTCTGTGGACACCGTTAGAGCGCGTTTGGCCGGACTGCGGGGCGATGTTCGTCGACGCATGGCCGGTCGCGTAATCTTTGCGCTGGGGGGATATGGGATCGCTAGAGGAGATTGTTGCCCCGATGAGGGCAAAAGGACAAAGTTGTTGTGCGAAGCTCGCCGCGAGGGCGACAGAGGTGAGCCGATGTAGGAGGTGGCCTTCGAGGGAGACTGGTTGCGAGAGTGAAGGAAGAAGTTGGAACTTTTGGAGGGCGAGCGCGACAGTGAGCGCCGGAGCTGGCGGATCGCAGAGCTAGCATCGACGTGGAGTGGTGAATGCGATGGGAGATGGAGGGTACCACCGGAGTCCCGGTGCGGCGAGAAAGTTGCAACCATGACGGGGAATGTGCTCGACGTGCCGCGCAACAAGCCCAGAATGAGAGGTCGGTCCAATCACGAAATGAAGATCTTCCACACTTTAAAAGAGTCCGGGGAACTCACAGACTCAAACTTTGAAGAGAATCGAGATCCAAAGCAAGTTCCGAGGGGATAAATGTCGTGGTATACTGAAATTTCCCTCTGGTCCACCACAAGACGCCGGGAGGTGGGCGTGAAAGAGGGGACAATAACGCGGCCTTCGATAAGAAGGGGTTGAGCGGCGGTCAGCCGGGCTGAGTCAAGAAAAGGCTACAGAGCTGTTGCTGCTGGTGTTCAGGCACGCAGAAAGCGTTCTGGAATGCTGGGAAGGCGCAGCCGCAAAGTGGCGAAGAAAGAGCGAAGGACACTGGCCATTCACCCACTCATGACGAGGCGTAAGGAATTCCGTGGTAATGGTCCTCCGATCACGCGGGGGATCACAAAACAAGGCGCGCGTGTCCGTGGGAAGACGGCAACGACTGACGATTGTCTCTGCCTACGTTTCGAGGGTCGCGCTGGAATGTTTCAGACCGGCCACACGGACATGTGCTGTCGCGATGCGGAGATGATGTCGACGGACTCCAAGGATAGGCCAGCAGGGCGGATTTGCGGGCACGGATTCTTTCTCCCTGGAGGGTGCCAGTGTTCCGGTGTTTCAAGGAAGAACGGTCGTGCAAGGGGTAGATCCCCCTCCGGCGGCCGTGAGCGAGATCAGCCCACGCGAGTTGGGCAGTCGAAGAGGGGCGGAAATGGGAATGTGGCTATAGTTCTGGAGTAGGTCGGTAATAGGTTCCACGAGATCGAAGGGTCGAAGGGCTCAAAGGGCGAGGAACCGAGGGGGGGATGAGGGGAGGGGCCGAGATCGAAGGATGGAGATGGCGATGCCAGGAATGTGAAAAGAACAGAAGAGAATAAATGACTTCAACGCCCGATCAACGCGCTCGTCGCGTTGTTGATCCTCGATTCCCGATGGGGTTTAGCGGCGGGGACGCGTCGTGACATAAACAAATAGCGCTTATGTAACATCTGATCTATAACTAAACGTGACCGCTAATGCCGATAGCCTCGTTTGCTATGACTCCCTTCTTTCCTATCGCTTGTATTTCTTGTAGTTCGTTTTATTTCTATTAATTGTGCATGTTGATTCCTGCGTAACTGCCTGGGCCCAGCATCCTTCGGCTTCGCTGGCCCCTCTGGGCCTCCTGGGCCCCTGGGGAGGACAAGGATTCCGGAGTTGCCCCTGCGGCCCCTCTCGAGACCGGCGCCACCCAAAACAGCGCCGGATGCGCGGCATCAAAACTCTGTGCTCCTCCACCAATGGACTCAAATTGTCCCAGCGCGTTCCTGACAATGCAGTGCACGGAGCAGACCTCGTCGCACCGCTCGGATTACCCGCCAGTGCCACCACGCCCCACGTCCGTCTGGGAGGCTCATGGGGGGGGATTCGATAGGTCGGCCACGCGGATCTCCCCTTGCTTGGAAGGCTGCCACCCATGATTTCTGGCTCTCCACCGTTATTGATGTCTCATCTGATCCATCAGCTCGTTCTATCTTTAGTGAGTGCAGCCCGGTGCGGGCAGTGCAGGATGAAGACGTTCATTGATTCCATTCATCCAACCGGATCGAGCCCGAGTTGCCACGGCTTGCTCGTTCAGGTCCCCAGACTTCAACGTTCATTTTTGCAAATTCTCGCTCTGAAGCATGCCAGGCTTGCGACAGATCTCCAAGGCTCTTCTCCTCAGGCCTCCCGGCAGTAGAAAGTTCATAGGTTGTGTTGGATCCCATCGGCCAGTTTGTTTACACGGAAGGTGGAGACCCTGTCAACAACCAAGTTGGCCCTGATCAACCCGGGATCCGCTCGTCCCGCATTCCGTGGGTCTCCTATCAGTCCCAATCATGGCCCCCTCGAGTTCGATGCAAATCGATATATTGAAATGAAGAAAAAAATTTTGAAAATTAAAAATGGTGAGAAACAGACACATCCAACTCCAAAAGTACCGCAAAAGCAATATCTATATGCACAGGACAGGAACATAGGAAACAATTTCTCGCTCGGAGTAACCCAAACTCAATGCAATGGAAATCAAAAAGGAGGAAAAAAAAAAAAAAAAAAAAAAACACAAATAGGAAGAAGGAAAACAAAACTCAATGTCAAAACAAATAAACCTAGAATTGTAGAGCAAAGCAAGTCCCCCTTCTCAACTTGTATTGAGTCTCTCTCTACCTGTCCCATTTTCTCTCTATATGCGCAAAGTGTGGTACGTGTGGTACTCACATTCCCGTGGTCTATGCAGATGAGTAAATATCCACCAAAGCAGTCAGTTCCTTCCTGATGGCCTCCATCAGTATCTCACTAGTGGGGCGATCCAATCGAGTCTCGGGCGCAAAGAGGCCAAAATCTAAACGGTCCTCTCGAATTGCGGCCTCCACATCGAGCGTAGGCTATTCCAGCGCGTAGAAACTGCATTAGCGCCCGCTGCTTGCCATCGGGTTGAATTGTCAGGATAGCCCAACTCACCATGAAGATATCCTCGATAGCCGCCGTTGGTCCCTTGGAATTGAGCGTCTGTGCGGAACAGCGCCAGGCTGTGTCACCGTTGGTTTGGGCCTGTTCGGGCCACTGGAAACTAGAATTGCTGGCAGCTGCCACCACATCCTGCGAGATTGTCTGGAATATCACCTTGTCACTCGTGTTGGCAGTGTTGGAGCTGTTGGAGTCATGGGCTGACTCAGGTAGTCGAAGGAAGTTGACACAAGTGTGAATTCTCACCCCGGTCCATTCGGCAATCTCTACGAGCGAGACGCTCGCATGATCGACCATGCTGATTTGGCCGATGTCCTCTTGGATCCGGCGAGCTGCCGCGAAAAGCGAGTCATGATCATCACTGAGTTTGTCGTCGAGGCGAAGCGGTACGATATTAACCGTGGGGCCCACTAACCCCGGCAGGCCCTCCATGCTGTATGATCGATTGGCCAGATACAACCCAACCACAAGTGGACTCTGTAACGTTTTGGAGTCGGTCGATGTGGACGCGAATACCTGGGCATGCACTCGAGCATACACTGCAAGGAAGATGGATTGGACACTCAGCCCGTGATGTTTGGCTGAGACTTCAATGCGAGACATATGTGAAACTAAACCCGGTCGATAGTCCTGTTGGATGACGCCAAACTGCCCTGTTCGCTGTTCTTCCTTGGTCAGTGTCGAAATGGAGCCAAGATACTTTTGCCAGAAATCCCGTCGGACCTCCATCGGCGAATAAACGTGCTGGAACGCTACAAACTGGGAAAGCTCGTTCTGTTCAATTTTCGGTTGGGATAGTGGTTGGTTGCACAATTGAGCAAGACGATTCATAAGAGCAGGAAGGCTGACAGCATCATAGAGCGCATGGTGGAGATGCAAGGCCAGCACAGTGCCCTTGTCTGTTTGACAGGCATGCAGCGCAACAGGTACTGAGCCAGAGGGTTGTTCGGTCCCAAGTGCCGCAAATTGCGGGTTGATACTTTCGTGCCAAATGACCGATTTCTGTACAGATCGGAGCACCACTTGCACATATGGCACCGCCTGCAGGTCGTCTGTTGGGAGAAATATTGTTCGGAGAACGGAGTGTTGTTCGACAAGCCGAACCCAAGCGTGCTCTAGAATCACCCGACTTGGCTTCACTGGTGCGAGGTAATAGAAGACGGGATAGAACACCTCGGGATTCAAGCTATGCATCGCAAGGAAGTAAGTTTGGCCTGCAGTTGTGGGAAATACTCTCTCGACTTGAGATGGACCAATTTCAAATGACTGAAGGAGAGAGTCTAGATCGATCCTCTCGAGAGACTCTTTCACTGCACTGGCAACGTCTGTCGGACTGAGATCCATTGATTTGGCATTGACTGCTCTCGCCATCTTTTCTATCGTTCCTGCTCGAAGCATATCGCTTACTGCCAGCTTGATCGAACGTCTCTTCAGAAGTGCAGCGACCTTGATCGCGCTGATGCTATCCAAGCCGAGTTCGAAAATACTGGCCTCCCTGGAGATTGACTCCTCCGGCACTCCTGATACAATAGATAGAACATGACGGATGCTCCTCTGAATCGGGGGCCATCTTGTTGCGCTCAGTACCGGGACCACCGGGGAGACATGCACATCCTGCGCATCATGCACATCCATGTCTCGATCGACCACGGTTTCGCAGATTTTCATGACATTCTCCGTAAATTCAACCGTCTGGTGGTCTGGATTATCAATAACGGCAAGCAACACGTCTACCATATGTCCTAGGAGGGCTAGTGTGTCCTTTTGTCCCATGACGCTTCCACGACAAGCCACTCGAGCCACAAGGTTTTCCCCCATCCCTTCGACTTCAGCGCAGACTGGGTACTCCACATCACTTGCACCGCCAATTGACTTGTATAAGGCGTTTCCACTGGTCTCGTCCTCTGGGGGTCTCTTTTGATATATAAAAAGAGACTCAAACAGCTGACGTGACCCTGGGTCTGATCTGGCTCGACGCAGTGGGAAATGCTGATACTCGGATATTTCCAAAAGTGTTTCTTGAACATACTTCACTAATTCCAGTCTGGTGCCGTGAAGAATCACTCGCATTGCCACAGTGTTCATAGTTGGAAACATGACATTTTCGGAATTTGGGACATTACGGCCGGAAAGAACCAAACCGAATATAACATCCAGCCTCTTCACATAGGTTGCTAGAATCAAGGACCAACAGCTGACCAAAAGCGCCTGCATTGTGATGCCATGTCTTTTGCAGAAAGTCTCAGCTTTCGCAAGAGAGACCGAGAATTGTTTTTCTGCACGGTGAACCAGCTGCGAATTACTGTCGGAATGCTTCCCTTGAGGGAAGACTGTCGGTTCACAGTTGGATAGTGTCGCTCTCCAGAATCGGAGAGCTTTTTCACTAGAGGATGCAAGGATTTGCTCTAGGATTGCATCGGCCGATGGTCGAATACAGTCGTTGCCGGCATAGGACTTCGCGACATCCTCATGAAGAAGATTGATAGACCATCCATCATAAAGAGCATGGGCGATCGAGAGGACGAGGAAACGAGCATCTCCATCCGTCGCCATTGTCAAGGTAAAGAGCGGGCAGCCCTTCAGACTTGTGGCAGCTCTTGTGCGTTGCGACTCCATTACTGACTCCACGGGTTTCTCATCTAGCCTCACGATCTGGAAGTCAAACACGTCTTCACTGTGGACTACCTGGGCATATGATGCTAGAATCTCTGGATCCCATACTTCGACAAAGGAGGTACGAAGAATCGGATTGGATTTGACAACGGCTCTCCATGCTTCCTGAAGCCTCTTTAGATCCACATGAGGCTCAATTTGGAGAATTTCATGGTTGTAGTAGTGCTGGTACCCGGATTCATTCAACTCCATAACCATCGCCTCCTGGATTGGCGTAGCTGGAAGTACCTGGCAAAACTTATGAGGCAGGAGTTTCTCTCGAGAAAGGAACTCTGTCAGGCTGTTTTGCATCTGATTCAGCAACGGATATGTGCCATTCTGCACGGGATAGTCTGTTTCTGGGAGTTGACTCGTCATGGCCTCAATATTGCGGTAGCGCATGATGGTGCTCACTGGGAGCTTGAGACCAAGCTTTCCCAGGCGTGAAGACAATTTGATAGCATCTATGCTGTCAAGGCCAACTTCAAAAATAGAAGTCTCCTCGCTAATAGATTGTACATCTACCTCGGCAAGGGTGGCAATAACGTCACGGATCATGCAAGCCTGGGGGGTCCATTGGAATGAAGGCTTGCTAAGGGATTTTGTGATGAACTCTCCCAGTTCTGTTGTGATTTCACCTGGATGAAACTGGCTCTCTTCCGCAACTCCATTAAGGTAAGGCAACTCTCGGTCGGGATTCTGGGCGAAGTCAAGCAGGATTTGTTGGAAGCTAGAAGCAATATGCTGCGCTTTCTCTGGAGACACTACCTCACTCTTCGCCGCAATTGTTGCGGTAAGGGTTTCGTTGCAATTGCGCACAATTTCAAATGCCAACGGGTGCTCGTGCTGTGCTTCTGAATCCAGCGAATGCCATAGCCCGCTAGTGGATTGGTTGATGTCAGCATTTTCTCTCTGGAACACAAAGAGTGAATCAAAAGGGGCTCATCTGGGCTTTTGCCCAGCCATTTGACAATATCCCTTAACGCCGTGAACTGATAAGGGATGCTGGAGACGTGATATTCATGGCATCGCTTAGCAACCTCGGACCAGGACTTGAGACCACGAAGTTGGACATTGCTGGGGATGGTATTGAAGAGGGGGCCAATGACATTGGCAATTCCAAGAACGTCTATTGAGCGACCAGAGGCGATGATTCCGATTGTTGGAATGAAACTAAAATGTTTCTGGAGGGCTAAGAGCCAGCAGGCATGGAAGATAGCTTGTTCCGTGACATTGAGGAATTTACGCAGATAATCCACGTTTTCGGTTGTATCAATCTCAATCCTATGCGTAACGGCGCTGCCCTGGTCTTCAACTTGTCTAGACAGGGTCTTTTTAGGACAGCTTGCCAGATGTTCTCTCCAGAATGCCTCTGCTCTAGGATCTTTGCAAAGAGGACCAAAATGCAGCACATCGAGGAATTGGGGAGGCCGATCGAAATCCCTCTGCTGGTCGATATATATATGAGCCACCAATTCAAGTAAAAGTGCAAGACTGTTTCCATCGTAAAGAGCATGGAATATGTTCAGACACAAAATCGATCTTTCAGTAGAGCTGACGATGCCCACCTCCCACAGCCGTGTTGATAAGCCCTCGAGCTTCAAGATCCACTTTTCGAATCGTTGCTTGCATACATCCTCAACTTTTTGCTTGGGAGCTGTTTTGATGTGGAACCAAGGAAGCGTGTCTTTCTTCAAAATGGCCTGCGCATAACCGTCTGGAGATGGTGAAAATCGAGCTCGGAGCATTTGGACCTGGGATTGTGCCTGGGTCCATGCGGCTCTCATTCTGCTCGGGTCTATTGAGGGTGATAGCCCAAACGTAAAGGACGAGCAGTAAAGGGGCTCCGTGCTCGATAGGAAGTGGTATATGATACCTTCCTGGAGTGGCGTACAGGGCGCAATTTGCTCGATCTCGCTGTCAATGACTCCGATACTCTCAATTATAGAATGGGAGTTTTTATGGGCAAAGGCTTCCATCCCCTGCTTTGCATTTCTGTGAAGATTACTTTGAGAGATTGACGAAGCTGTCGATCCTTCTAACGCAGATGCCATTCCTGCGACAGTGGGGTCTGCATCCTAACGTCAGATATACATCTCTCAGGGGCAATTCCAAGCGACCGAACTTACACTTCATAATCAATGACGGCTGGGCCTGAGGAAAACCGGTTTCTCTGAGACTTCTCGCAAACGATATCACGGATATTGAATCAAGTCCCAATTCATAAATACTCGACCACGACGAAATAGCGGAGTTGGGGGATCCGATAAATTTTGCCAAAATGGAAATGATTTCCTCTTCTCGTGCACTCTTCGAACTCTGATCAACGGCTAGCGCACTTAATTTCTGGAGCTCGTCTAAGGTGAGATCTTGGTAAATGGCTTTCAGAACCTTCATGTCGGCCTTATTATTGGCTGACAAAGGGAAGCGGGTCATTGGAACGACATGCGTTGGCACCATGTATCCCGGAAGATGTGTGTGACAGGCAGTCTTGATGCTTGACAACAAAGTCCGATTCTCGTTTGAAAAGCAAACTTCAGCGTCATGAAGTTTCTTGTTCACATCAATCTTTGTGACAAAAGAGACAAGCTGGTCTTTGGATTGCTTGGGGTGCTTGATGACCAGTGTAGCCACTTCATTCAACTCCGCTGTGGCCTGCCTGATAACTGCATTGATCTCTCCAATTTCCAGCCGTTGACCGCGGAGCTTGACCTGGTCATCTATTCGACCAAGAAACTGGAAGCTTCCATCATGCAATATTCTGACCAGGTCACCAGTTCGATATATGCGGTCGTCATATTCCGGTAGAACTTGGAACCGCTCTTTAGTGAGTTCTGCTCGGTTAAGATACCCCTTTCCAACTAGAGGACCGGAAACACATAGCTCTCCTAAGCCACCGCGTAGGACAGGTGTTGAAGAGCCCGGTTTAAAAACATAGGATCCCACATTGTCAAATTGTGGCCCAATGTTAGAAGCCTTGTCATTGGGACTCATACGCGGCAGCATGGTGCAACCAATCGTGACCTCGGTCGGGCCATAGCCGTTGTAGATGACTCCATGTGTCCCCCATTCGTCAAGGATCTCTTGCTTCAAGGCCTCCCCTCCGGTGATAAATACACCTCGGCATAACGATGGAACTTCATCCGGATGCACCAATCGTGCCAAGCTAGGAGTAAGATCAATGTGGGTAATAGAAAGCTTTTGGATCATCGCTGGTAAATCCTCGAATAGCAGATCCCGAGGGCATGAAGTGACACATATTCCCACACTCCAGCTCCAGTATTGCTCAAGCACGCTGACATCAAAATGGAATGAGGCGAATTGCAGCCATCGAGAATCGTCGTCCCAATGTGGTGAAAAGAGCTTCTGGAATGCTAGCATGGCTTGTACCGCGTTGTCATGAGTAATTTCACACCCCTTTGGTGTACCAGTTGTGCCAGATGTGTATAAGCAGTAGCAAGTGTCACCTGGTTGTATCTCGCGCACCAGAGAAGGCTGTGTAGGCGACAAGCCTTGGAAGATACCCGGTTGGTCAATGGAATGAATATCGACACCCGACAGGCATTGTAGATCTCCCTCCCGAGATTGGTTGCAAAGCAAAAGTTTGGACTGAGAATCCTCCATGATAAATTGCTTGCGCGATATAGGAGCAGTCGGGTCAATGGCCACATATGCACAGCCTGCTTTCAGAATACCGAGGATTGCAATCGATGCCTCGGGACATTTGTCGAAGCAGATGGCAATCATTTCACCAGAAGACACTCCCTTATCTTGCAAAAAGTGAGCGATCCTATTGCCATCCTCATTGAACTCACGGTAGTTCCAGGTCTTTTTTGGAGATTGTCCGCATTTGGGCCAAATGCGAACTCAAAGGCTGGCTTCTCTGGAAGCATTGCGGCACTTCTCTCCACAAATTGATGCAGCAAAGCCACCGAGGAAGGCAAGACCTTCTTCTTGGCGGGAGTGACAGAAAGGAGTTGTTTTCCCAGAGAGAGATAATCATCCGACCTGGAATCGGGGGATAAGACAGTGTGTTCGAGGATTTTGTTGTACTGCTGTAGAAGTAGATGGGCTTGATCTTGCGGAATAAGGTCACTCCTATAGCTCATTCGTACTTCAAGATCGGTTGACCGTGGAACGAGCTCGATAGACACAGGATACTGCAAAAATTAGCATGGGCTTTATCGTTTGATTGTCAAGGCAGAACATTGTGAACCTACATCAATCTTCGTCTCTTCATCAATAACCTCCCACCCCACAGAGGTTCCCGGAGCTGATAAAAATTTCTGGTAGACAAATAGACTGTCAAATAGCGGCTCGTCACTACCTATCCATCTTTGAATTTGTGCCAATGGAGTAAACTGATTCTTGACCAGAGATGCATTTCTCTTCTGAGTGGCCTTCAAAAGTTCACTGTTAGATCCCTGCACATGTGAAGGAGATGGTACAGTTACTAAACAGGGGAAAACAGCATTTTGGGCAGACGGCGATAGATTCCGACCGGAAAGGACCGTCCCAAAGACAACATTTTGCTCTCCTGTGTACGCAGCAATCAAGCGAGCCCATGATGCTTGGCCTGCTGCTTGAAGAGTGATTCCGATCTCTCGACAGTGAGATTCAAGCTCTGCGAGGGATAATGAGCAGCAAATTGAGCTAGTTAATAATGTCCTTTTCTCGCTGCGAATGGGGTTCAGATCAGGAAATTTGCAGGGGACAATCTCTGACGAAAGCCCCTGCCAAAACGATTGGGCAGTTTCACTCTGCTTTCGACTTTCAGTCAATATAGGACCCAGCGTGGAGGAAATTGATGGCGGATGAATAAGTGTTTTTCCTTGATAAACGGCAAGGACATCGGAAAAGACCGTCTCCAGGGACTGTGCATCATAAAGGGCATGAAGCGCCGAGAAGCTCATGGTCGTCACTTGATCTGAGAATTCGGTAATAATCTCCCAAGGAGGTTGGTGTAGGTTTTCGAGAACTTGTTTCTCATGAATGGCGATATCCGAAGAATCCTTCCAAGGAAGCTCAAAGCCTGTCTCGTAAGTGATCATGGCAAAGGGGTGTTGCTGATTGTACAACTGAACAAATCCAGTCCTCAGCATCTCATGGTGAGCCACCACTTTTATCCAGGCATTCTTGAGCTGGACTCTGTCCAATGGCTCTGAGAACTTCAAGGACATGCGGTTGAAGTAAACATCTCCATTTGAATGAGTAAAAAGTGCCAACATACCATTCTGCACAGATGTACATGGTCGAAGGCACTGAACTGTTTGTGAATCTATGCCGAGCTGGTTACAAGCCATTTGAAGATGTTGTTTTTCAAAGGCAGAAAAGTCAAAGTGCTCCTCTTCGGTGGTTTTCTCACGAGTTTCAAGGAGTGAGGCAATTCTTTCGACAGATGCGGCCTTTTATTTGTTAGCCATTAGCTAATTGGAAACTTGAGAGCCTCAAACTGACCTCAAGAATATCACCACTAGATATTGTATACCCAAATTTACGCAATCTGCCCGAAATTTGAACAGCATTGATACTATCTAGACCGAGCTGAAAGATAGTTGTGTTTGGAGACACGAAGTCTCTGTCGACCTTAGCAAATTGGCAAAGAATCTCACGGAGGCTTTCTTCCTGCAGAGACCATGGGCGAGACACGTCAAGATTTTGCGAGCCTGGGCTGATTTTCTGCACTTTAGGGGTCGAAAAAACCCGAGGAATATCCGTCGCAAATAGCCGTCTGTCGGAAGCCTGGGCGTCGGAATACTGGATGGTATGATTGATGAGGAGCACAAAGTTCCGTGCAAGCTCATCTGCCAATACAGAGGTCAAATGCGATGGTTGGAAGTGGAAACATATTTGAATAGTGTTCTGTGTTTCGTTTGGAATGATCTCACAAATCAGTGGAAATCCCATGTTACCTTCATCTGTGAGGAGTTCCCAATATTGAGGATCAAGGTCGGAATTCCTGGTTTGAAGGATGATCAAGGTGTCGAACAGGCGATTGGTGCCTTGAAGAGCGCGCCTCTGAATATGACGCAGAGGACAGAGCTGGTGATGCAAAATTTTGCTATTGTGCGTTTGAAAGATCCTCATAAGGTCGGCATTTGTTGACGTGGAAGACAGATTTACTCGCATGGGAAGAGTATTGAAGCAAGGCCCAATAATTCGATCTGCATCCTCCACAGGCACAGTTCTACAGCTGAATACATTACCAAAGCAGACATCAGACGTATCGGCATGTAGAGCCAGAAGTCTTGCCCATGCCGCATGAAAGACATTCAAAGATGAGACGGACAGGTCCTTGCATTGTTGTTTGAATGCGGAGAGAGAAAGGCCCGCATCAACATAGATTTGTCGGGAAGCAGCTTGGCTTACGGACCCAACGGCATCTTTGGGAGCCGGAAGTAGAGTTGGCGAGACGCCCCATAAGTACTGGTCCCAGAAATGATCTGATTTTTCAGAGGCAGCCAAGACCATGTAATCAATAAATCGGTGGAAAGGGATCGATTCAGGAAGTGCTTGACCTGCAAACGAAAGCTCGAGCTCGTGTAGCAACTGCGAAATGGCTTGTCCGTCATATAACGCATGGTGTATTGATAACAGGAGGTGGGTCTGCTGCTCTTCAGGATCTGTGAAGGCTGTCAAGGAGTATGGAAGTAGGTTATTGACTGGTGACTGGTGCTCAAACTCTGATTTTCTTTTCTGGATATCTTGGTCGAGTTTCTGGACAGATGTCTTCATTTGTGACCAGGGAAGGATTGCGCCGGCTAGCACCACTTGGGCGTACGCGAATCGCTTATCATTAGTTCGCCAGAAACAAGTTCTTAGAATATCATGTCTTTGCAACATTTCAATCCATGCAGTTTTCAGCTGGTCGACGCTTGTGTGCACCCGGAGCAGGAGGTGATTGAAGTAAGTCGAATCAAGATCAGATTCAGCTGCGAGCATTGCTTCCTGTAGTGGTGTACAAGGATATACGCGCTGGACAGAGATATTTTCGCCACTGATTTCATCCTTGACTTCACGTAGGAAATCATCATCGAACACTGATTGAGAGGTCCTTTGTAGAGGTTCTTGAGATGAGTGACCATTAGCCATGGGAGGAATAGCAGACGCCAGTCGAGATACTGAACTGTAGCGCAGAATTGTCGATACTGCAAGTCTTCCGAATCCGGATTCTTGAAGCTTCCGTGAGAGCGAAATCGCCGACAGTGAATCGAGGCCCAATTTATAAAATGAAGTGTGTTTGTGTATGTGTTGCTTATCAACTCCCAAGACTGTGGACAAGGCCATCACGATTGCGCTTTCAATATCGGTGAGGGTCTCTGCGGTGCCTGTTGAAGCTCTTTGGGAGAATATATTGATTCTCTCAGGGCTCATCTGCTCAATCTCTTGCTTCAGACTTGCACGGTCGATCTGAAAGGATTCAGTCATCGGCAATTTTTCCATTGGAAGCAAAAGATAAGGAACTGCCAATAAATCTGGTCTGGAATTCAGTTCCTTGAATAGATCTTGAACCACAGAATCAAGCTGCCCAGAATACTCTGAGTCATAAGCATCTTTTGAGGGCACCCAAACTGTCGCCAATTTCTGCTGCCTATCAACCGGACTGTCTATAAGAACACTCGCAGTGTTCTCAACGAGTCCTGATGAGTAGAGCGCACATTCGAGTTCATTCACACTTGGTTCTTGACCAAGAACAATAATACTACCATCGGGAAGAATTCTTCCATAATCTCCAGTACGATGGACTCTTCCAAATTGAGGATGATTAAGGAAGCTGTCTGTAACCGCGCCCTTCATGGTGGAAACTAACTGGCTCTGTTTTGATGTCATTAGTCTTCATCCAACTCAGAGCTTCTCATAGACTGACCAGTATTTCACCACCAAATACTAACTCTCCAACAGCTCCACGGGGCACGAGTGTGAATTCTGATTGATCTGCAACAACCATTACAGACATGTTGTCCAACCGCTTTCCGACATTGGAAGGAATAGCCGAGGCTTGAACGTCGTTGAACATCGAAAGAATACTTGGTAGGGCTGAGGAGCGATAACCTAATGTAATAATTATCAATGAGAAGTGCTTAAGTTTGATTCCTTCGAGACATACATACCTTGATGGAGACCCTTTCCAGCCCAGTCATGGTGCACTTTTGCAGTTAGCGGCTCACCAGATATGAAGAGCTGTTGAACACTGGGCACATTCTGTGGATTCAAGTCCGATGCCAATGTAGGAGTCGAGTGAACATGTGTTACATTCATTGCGTTAATAATTTCCTGGAAATTGGTGGCAAGTAGTTCATCATTTGTCACGCAGAGCGTTACACCGGCGCTCAGCGCAAAGAAAAATCCAAGGAGTGAATCTATAGAGCCGTCAGACTTGTCTTTGAAATAGCGAACTAGTTGTTTGTGACTTACCAATAGATGCAGACGGGGATGCCTGAAATATTTTGGATCCCTGCGAAAGAGAATACATGTTTGTGGTTGCATCAATGTGGCTTTTGAGGCCTTGAGAAGTAAAGGAAACATGCTGCACCGACTCATCTTTCGAAGAGACATTTTCCACCCTAACAATGTTGAAGTGGGGGCTAGCATCGTTCGAGAATATATCTTCATGAGAGTATTCGTCAAGTGACTCAGGAAGGAGTATCTGGGCAGCAGATCCCAGGGGGGTCAAAAAGTCATGGTTTGAGGCGGGGGAATGGTGGATGAAAAACTTTATCTCCAAGGCGGCAAGCGTGGATCTGATGCTTTCTAGAGAAAAGCGAGGTGCCAAGGGTAAGAGGCCAGCTCCTATCTTGGTGACAGCAAGAACGCATATGTAAGAATATATTGAGTTCTCTAAAACAATTGCGATTAAGTCGTTCTTCTCAACCCCCGAGATTAGGAGATAACGAGCAAGGGAGTTTGCGCGAGCGTTCAGTTCAGAGTAAGAGATGCTTTCAACTTCCACAGGAAGGGAGTCTAGCTCTTTGAGAAGTTCGATAGCCGTTTTTGATGGATTGGCAGATGCAACTCTTTGAATAACAGAAACAAGGCTTGGATCATTGTCCAGTGTTTTGTGGATTGGGCCGAGGAATGATAGAATGGGTGACGGGAGCTGTTTACCAATGTGATCAATTGGCAAATCCAGGGAGTCAATCAGAATAGATGCTACATGGTCAATCTGCTCCAATAAAAGCTCTGCTTGTTCACAGGGCAAGATAGATTGTTGATATGTTGCCTTTGCAATAATTTCATTATCTCTCGGCTCAAGTTCCAACAATAGCGCAAACTCCAGGAATTCGGCAGTATCAACTTCTTTGAATAAAGACGGGTGGTCGTTTTCAGACCAGACGCTTTCTTGCCAAACAAAGGCAGTGTCGAAAAGATTTAGGTTCAAATCAATGCCAGAGGCCCTCTTGATATCTTGAAGCGGGAGGCTTCCGTGCTCCAGAGATTTGCGGTTCATGTTTTGAATGGCTAAAAGCAGGTCTGTCACACTTTGCATCTTATCCAGATTTATCCGTGTTGGTAATGTGCGGATACATGGCCCAAGAATCGTCTCAATCCCTTTGACAGGCAGTGTTCGACCGGAAAAGACGGTACCAAAGACAACGTCGTGAGAACCGAGGTAAGATGACAGGATATAGCAAAATGCAGCTTGGAAAATGGTCTGTCGGCCAATACGGAAGCTCTGAGATACATCATTGAGTTTGGACATAGATACTTTCAATGTACGAGTGACATCTCGTGTGCTTGGAGGTACATCCATTGTTCCATGGAAATTTGGAAATGTGGCGGGAGAAGTGCCTTGGAGCTGGTCACGCCAGAAAAGAAATGAATCATTGGAAGCTTCCCCAAGCTTATGCTCGATGAAAAAGTTCGTCACGATGTTGTATGAAGGCTTTGGTGGCAAATCCTCTCCAACCAAGAGACGATGGAGATCCTTCAACATGAGCAGCCAAGACCACCCATCATATAGCGCGTGGTGAATGTGCACTAAAACCTGAAGGCCTTCTGGTGTTTCCTTGAATTGAAATCGAAGGGGACGGAGAAGATCATGCTCATTCATAAGCGAAATATCATAGTTCAACTCATCACACTTCTGAATGATATGTGCACCAGGAAGTCTCCAGGTAAAGCGGGCATATGAGTGATCCTTGAGGCCGATCTCAACGAAACCGGATCGCAAAACCGGATTTTGGTCCAGAAGTTTAACAAATGCTTTGTGGACAGCCGTGTAATTTATTGAGCTCTGAAATTCAAGTTCGATCCAGTTACAGTAGGCTTTGGAGTCTCGGGTGGTTTCCAGTATCATCGCCTGTTGGATATGACTGGAAGGCTCGATCTCGGTCGCCTCAATGCTCAACCCTAAGGACTCTAGTCTTGCTGCACCTGCATCTGCCACCAATTGACGGATTCTCTGAAGGCCTGTTTGAGTATCCTCGTGTGGCTGCGTTGTCGCTAGCTCCTTTGCAAGCTGCCATACTCCATCAATACAGTCTGCCTCCAACAGACGGGCCACATCGAGGCGGATCCCAGCATCTAGCAGATGAGATGCAAGTCGAATTGCAGCCAATGAGTCAAGGCCAGCCGCAGTTAGACTCTCTGTGGGAGAAATTTGTCTATCGAGCACATCGACTACACAAGATGCAATTGTTTCCTCGGTTTCATCTCGGAATTTCTGTGGCTCGGTCGACTCGGTAGCATTTCGATGGCGAACAAACTCGGCCTCCAGCGCCTTCCGATCGATTTTCCCAGACGGTAGCTGAGGAAATTGATTGACAAGAATGAATTCTCCTGGGACCATAAATCGAGGTAACCATTGTCGGCAGGTATCTCGCAGAGTGCGATCATTTGTCCCTTTGTCATTGACCAGAACAAAGGCCGCCAAGCTACCGTTGCTCACAATCGCAACAGCACTTCGAACATCTGGTGCCCGGCAAATTGCATGCTCGATCTCGCCAAGTTCGATCCTTTGGCCACGAAGTTTGACTTGACCACTGGAGATGCGCCCAAAACACTCGATCTCGCCGGAAGGTAACATCCGGGCTTTATCACCGGTCCGATAGAGCCGGCCGTAGACAGGACTGTCAATAAATGCCTTGGCGTTCTCTTCGGGTCGGTTGATGTATCCGTCTGCCAGCTGCGATCCACCCACTACCAATTCGCCAATCTGGCCAAGAGGCAGAGGCTCGAGCTGAGGAGAGGAAGACGAGTCTTCCACCTCTAGGGACATGATAAAAGCAGACACGGTTTTGAACGGCTTGCCAATCAAATTGACTCGATCACTGGCTCGGAAGTGGGTGGCCGCAGTACAATGGATTGCAGCCTCAGTGGGGCCATACATACCGTGAAGAATGCCGTCTGAGTTTTCTGACTGACCGAATTCATCCACGACATGTCTGGTCAGCATCTCGCCAATGGTAAGGAGGACTCGCAAGTTTGGCGCAGCAGCCCGTGTGCGAAGCAGTTCTCCGGCCACTGTGGGGGTCAGCTCGGCCGCATCAACTCTCATTTCCGTCATTACATGAGAAATATCCAACAGCATTTGCTCTCTATCCGAGCCGATTAACGTCGCCCCTCGCATGAGAGGGAAGAAAATTTCGAAAACCGAAACATCGAAGGTTGGGGATGCAAACTGTAAAAAACGATTGAACAAGGGTATCAAGTCATTATGCGCTAACAACGATTGAGTAGCCGCTAGATGGGAAACACCAACTCCTTTCGGACGGCCCGTGGAGCCGGATGTATACATCACGTAGGCCAGGTCCGAGGGTGTAGCAGAGACTGTCTCCGCAGCTATTTCGATGGGATCCTCTCCATCCAATTTGGTCTCCAGGTCATCAACAGTGATCACAGCCAGGCTATCACTCTGCGGTATCCGAGCCGCCAGAGCGCCTTGTGTAATGACCACAGACGCTGCAACATCCTGCAAAATAAACTCGATCCGGTCCCGAGGTGCGTCAATATTCAAGGGACAAAAGGCCCCGCCCGCCTTCAAGATGGCCAGTTGCGTGATGTACAGCTCCAACGACTGTGGCACCAGTACTGGGACTACCATCGCTCGCGCCTCAGCTCTTTGGCCTTGTGAAGCGGCACGGCCGATTTCCCTGGCAAGTTTTGAGGACAGGCGGTCCAAGGAGCGATATGAGAGAGAACGGATGTTCCCATCGGCAGTCAAGCATTCAATGGCATAGTTGGCATCATTGGCCCCGCTCAAGGCCAGCTCATGGAGCAGCTGCGGACCAGGCAAGGTAACGGGAGATGGGTTCAGAATTGACATCTCCAGAAGGCCCATCGAAGCCGGCAGGTTTTGCTGAATGTCCGACTGTGATGCCTGCATATGGACGGTGTGTTGTAGTTGAGCGTCTAGTTGATGCAAGAACGCAGCGTCTATGCCTGTCCACGAGTGCAGAGTGCTCGTTTGGGCCTGGCGGTTGAAGGACCACACCATGGAACAGGAAGCAGATAGGGATGCATCAACCTCTCCACCGGCGTCGTCCTGGATGATAAACACAGCGGTGTGCTTCGCACGGAGGGACGCAGCATCCAGTGTTGCTGGCTGGATTGAAGGAGTAAATAAGACGACTTTGATTGGCTCGTGATTGAGCACGAATACCGGAGATTCTTCGGTCGTGAAAACACGCAGAATGGAGGCCCAGGCCAGTGCGAGTAAGTGCGTTGGTAAGTGCGCCGTCTCCACAGGCCATTGTTGAATAGCGCGCACAGCGCCGTCTTCACCAGTGTCGCGCAAATGACCGCCCGTGATGACGGGAAATGGGGTGAAACGATCCATCGGGTGGTCCACCAGGGGAGGGGTCAATGGCGCATGGTCCAATGCTGCTTATAGATTGCTTATTAGACGGGCCGTGAGTGGTTGCTTGGGCCCGAAAGGTCAGTCCGTTTTTATGCAGGTGGTAGCCGCGAGGTGGACTGAGCAGAGCTGCTGGCGGCAGCTAAGGGCTCGGTGGGCGAAGGGTGAGGGGTTTGCTTTCAACGAGCAGGGAGGAGAGGGCCAGCAGCGGGGTCTCCATTCATTGCCAATGTTGGGGAGCAGATCATAACGGGATGAGGATAGAGAAAAGAAAGATGGTGAAGGAAGACGAGGGTTCTAGGGACGATCATTCGGGGTTGGTAGGGAAAAAAGAAAGGCGTCGGCCTCTGTGTGAAGCAGGTGTTTAGTCAGTACTACGTCGTGGAAGCCTTTTTGAGGTCTGCAGTGATGACCGAGACAAGCGCCCAAAAAGTCCCCCCCAAGTCCCTCGAGGCCCAACCAAGCCAGTGGAGGTTTCGTAGGAGCCTCTCGTCATTCCAGCGTTTCCCGAGCTAGCAAGGTCGGGAGGGTGCGAGGGCGAGAGTTACAAGAGGACAGTAGCGTCGAGGATCCACCGGCGGAGTTAAACCGGGCCAGGCATGAAGCCCCGAGCATAGGCACCGTTTTCGTGTTTGTGTTTTCTATCTTTTCGTTTTGATATTTTTCCGGGCTCGCTACTGGTCCTGTTCTGTTCATTTTTGATGTATTTAAGGTGGCGTGATGCCTTGCACTATAGTTGTGTCGCAATAAGAAGGATCCTGTTGTACTTCTGGACTGCTTAGCGTAGACAGGACTATGGGACTCGGACTCCGCGCTAACGACAGTATCTCTCTGTTCGGGGTTGGGGTTTCTCCCCTTTTTTGGTTTGCTTTGGTCTCTCTGATCTTTTCTAGCGTATTCTATTTTATTTCATTTTTTGCTCCCTTCCCCTCCTTTCCTATTACCGCTCTATCGGGATTGGCGTGAGATGGTCCATCCGGTGGAGCCCCGTGCAGAAATGGCCGGTTCACGGATCGATGACGTACCGTCGCACCTGGAAAATACCTCGAAATATAAGATGATAATATCATAATAAAAAACATCAGAAGATCCAGGATCAGACGAGGAGGTGGAAATGAGAAGTAATCGGTCCTCAGAATCAGAATCCAAATTCGAATCAGGGCCATTCCGTGGTCGGTCATGGATGTATGGATTCACCCTAGTCGCCTCGTGTCACGGATGGGATGTCGAGATCGGCCTCGATCGATCTCTCTCGAGCAGGCTACGAGTAATACACAATAGTATCCGAGGAATATACTCCCAATTCGGAACAGGATTTATCGCAGCCGCACCAGCCTGAACTCTTAACCGATCCGGGTCCTAGAGAGCAGGCGGGTCGGGCCTTGGGGCGTGGTCATCAACATCGAACACCTGCATCAACCTCGTACTTCCCTATACTTCCCTATACTTCCCATCCCTCTCTATCCTTTCCTATACTTTCCTATACTTCCTATCCTTCCTATCCTCTTCTCCATGGCTCTTGCCTCAACCGGCCATTTGACCGCCAATAGAAGTCGATGCCCCCCGTACAGGACATTCCCCAAACTCTGTTCGCTCGTCCGATCCCAACCCCACGTTTCAGGAAACATACACGACGGGCCCCCAAAAGCCAAAATGCCCTCATTGCCCTCTCCACCGCCCAAAAAGCAAGCCATCTGCAGAGCATCGCGCAGCCACTCACCGACCTCCCGGGCTTCTTTTCCTGCGGCATCCCAGTGAATCCCAGTGAATCCCAGGTTGTATATCCACTGAATACCATCTGCACCCCTCCACCCCTCCCCCCCCTGCTCCGTTTTACGCCCTGGCCTCGTTTCCCCCCCTTCCTCGTCCTGCATTTTTCTGGTCTCCACCTGCCAAGAGAAAGTTTGTGGTCAGGTCACTGGTACTCGCCTCGTGCAGTGCGGATCCCCTCCGGCCCAAGTCCCCAGTACACCAATCACGACATCCCTGGTCGGGTCGACTCCCATTTTCCCGACATCGGGCATCTGCGGATGACCCTCGCCTTCTCACACGGGACACTGGGTTTGATGGGAGAAATTCCGTGACTCGTCGACCCGAAGATACGTTTTCTTTTTTTTTTTTTTCCGGTTTGGCTGCGCGGTGCAGGAACTTCACGGTGACTTGCAGGGAAGTGGAGCTGGCGCGTCAGCAGCAAGATGAAACGGGAGAAAAACAAATTCACCGATTTAGTAGCAGTTTCAATGAAATCCAGGTTTAATAATTCCACCAAGCACAACCTATCGCTATTTAACTGCCGTCTGCCCGCCCGGACTTCGCTAGGAAGCGCAAAAGAAAGGCCATCCGCAGTGGAGACTGATTGATAAATGAAACCTAGGAATTAAACCGTTCATCTACGAATCAACCAAGTTCTTTGGGTTTTGTGGTCTTGTGGTTTTACTGTCTTACGGCCTAACTGTTTTGCTGTTTTTTCTCTCCACCAGGGCCCCATCTTTCCATACTTCTGTTATTATTATTTTTCTCTTCAGTTCTTCGTGGACCTCCTTCGGTACCGATACCACAAGTACCATACGGTCAGGTCACATTACCCACCCTAGGTACAATACCGTCAATACCGTCTGTACGACTATACAACTATACAACTATACAACTCTACCGACGATCCTCTTCTCGGTGGCTCCCCAATCCCATTCATCTCCCCCGACTTATTCTGGATTTTTTTGGATTTTCTTTTTTTTATCTGATCCGCCTCGGGTGCAGATTCTGTTCGGTGGACCTAAACGTATCGTACGGCACGTCAACTGCGCTGCTCCGTTCGCCTCGATCCGCCGTTGCCCATTTCGAGAAAGCTCCGGGTGGATACGCGTGAAGCTGATGGTGATCAGTTCCGTCTACATAACCCCGTCCGGCAGGCATGCAAGCTCGTCTTTTTTTTACTTTCGGCACCGCTGAGTTTCACTCCTTCGTTTCTTCGTCCTCGTTCCTCTAGCTCGGGCGCCTTGGTTCGTCGGACCCTGCTGCCTTCGGTCTCTTCGTGGAACAAGACTATATCCCCCCTCTTCAAAAAAAAAAAATCACCACCACCACCTCTACCTCCTCCACATCAAAACCATGGAGCCAATTCCCCGCAAGTCCGAGTTGCCCTTCCTGAACGAGATGGAGCCGCGCACTCAATCCCCCAGCAATCGCTCGCTGCTGCGTACCACGCCCGCCGACGAGATGCATGATCTGCTCTGTGTTGGATTTGGCCCGGCCTCACTGGCCATTGGCATTGCCCTGCACGACGCCATGGATCCGGCTCTGAACCGCTCCGGCCCCAGCGCATCCTTCAAGCCTAAGGTATGCTTCCTAGAACGCCAGAAGCAATTCGCGTGGCACTCCGGCATGCTGGTCCCCGGCTCGCGCATGCAGATTTCCTTTATCAAGGACCTGGCCACCCTCCGCGATCCTCGCAGCAGCTTCACCTTCCTCAACTACCTCCACAACAAGAACCGCCTCATTCACTTCACCAATCTGGGCACCTTCCTGCCTGCGCGCATGGAGTTCGAAGATTACATGCGGTGGTGTGCCCAGCGCTTTGAGCACGTCGTCTCGTACGGTGAGGAGGTCGTCGAGGTTGTTCCGGGAAGCAAGACCAATGGCGTTGTCGACTATTTTGTCGTCCGCTCGCGGAACAGCGAGACGGGCGAGATCTCGTCGCGTCGAGCCCGCAAGGTCGTCGTGGCCCTCGGTGGCAAGGCCAAGATGCCTCCGGGCTTCCCTCAGGACCCGCGCATTATGCACTCCTCCAAGTATTGCACCGTTCTGCCCACTGTACTGAAGAAGAACAATGAGCCTTACAACATTGCCGTCGTGGGCAGTGGCCAGAGTGCCGCAGAGATCTTCCACGACCTGCAACGGCGGTATCCCAATTCGCGCACCACCCTGATCCTCCGGGATACTGCTTTGCGCCCCAGTGATGACTCTCCTTTGTATGTCCTCCTCCCACCCCCGTCTCTCTCTTTTCTCCTTTCGCTCTTTTTATCTGTTGTCTTGCCTATTGTCAATTGGACGATGGGAATCTTACTGGTGGTATCTCTTGTATTGGCCCTCGCTAACGTAGACTTATTTGTTCTATCTCTAGTGTTAACGAGATCTTCAACCCCGAGCGGGTGGACAAGTTCTTTAACCTGCCCGCCGAGGAGCGCCACGCGCGCATTGCCACCGAGAAGGCCACCAACTACAGTGTGGTCCGTCTGGAGCTGATTGAGGAGATCTACAACACCATGTACATGCAGCGGATGCAGAACCCGGATCAGACGCAGTGGCAGCACCGCATCCTGCCGGAGCGCAAGGTCGCACGCATTGAGCACCATAACCCCGCCCAACGGATGCGCATTCACGTCAAGTCCGTGAAGGATGAAGCCTCGGAGGGCAAGGAGGTTCTGGAGGTCGACGCCCTGATGGTGGCCACCGGCTACCTGCGGGATGCACATGAGCAGCTGTTGGAGCAGGTGCGCGGCTTGCGGCCTGCGGGTCAGGCTGCCTGGAACACGGGCCGGGATTACCGCGTCGCCCTCGATGGCAGCAAGGTCAGCGCTCACGCTGGTATCTGGCTGCAGGGCTGCAATGAGAAGACCCACGGCCTCAGCGATAGTCTGCTGTCCATCCTGGCGGTGCGTGGCGGCGAGATTGTCAACTCCGTGTTTCAAGATCAGCTGTCCGGTGCAGTGGTGCAGGACACCCGGTTGCGCGCCATGCTGTAAAGAGCATGGCCAATTCTGTTAATGAATGCCGTGTGGAGCAGGGAGGTTGGTTGATTGGGATGGGGTTTCCTAAAAAAAAAGTTTGGATTGAAGAATAATACCCGGGGAGGGCTGAGCACTAGGGCGAGCCGAGCCCCCCCTCTACCCCCTCACTGGAAGTGGTGGTGAGATGGAAGATGACCAGGTTTCCGGCTCGCTTCTTCTCATTTTCGTTTCTATTTTCTGCTACTGTGACATTCTGCTACTCTGCTTCTCTCTCATTCGCGCTTCCGTTCATGTCCTCTCCTCTTCGGTTCGTCCGGCTCTCCCACTCTCGCATTCGCTCCCCCATTCCGATATTCCGATATGCTATATTAGAGTCCCCCCGCCCCATCATGTTTTCTAGATTGCTCTTGCTCTTGTCTAATGATACGATACTTCCGTTGAAATGTTGAATCGATGGAGATCCCATTGAATGGCCACTATATTCATATTCATTCCCTTGTACTGGAAGTTTTTTTTCTTTTTTTGCTACCTCTTTTGATCCACATCGGATAACATGTGCCTTGGCTGTACTCCTTCCGAGTCCCCGAAAGTCAGGTATGCCCCATCCGTTCGCATCGCAGCCGCCCTTCTACACCGTCTTCTTCAGTGACCCTAAAACCCTCAACCTAGTGGAGCCTTGATGGGGTCCCCGAAGCCAAGACTTCACCAGACAAGAATTGGTGTCTCGTTCCAGACCTTTGTCTCCCGAAGCCAAGAAAATAAAATTACCACCGTGCGCACGGAGACAACATGGAAAAGACCTCCATCGGATACCGCGCGAAACACGGCGGGCCCCCCATTGGTATGTCCGCTTATGTGGACCATGGAAGACGTATGATGTACGATGTACGATGCACGGCGTATGCATCCCCTGGAAGGAACCGTTACTTTCAGGGACCAGGATTCTACCCACGTTCCTTCGAATGCAAGCTCGGTAACCCAATGCTCAGCTTTTCTTACCTTTTCCACTGTCAAAGCGACGCTGATCACGCCGATCGGCTGTGCTGACCAGGTTCTCGGCGGAAACCGAGAGCAGCACCCTCTCTGTCGCGCTGGTTTCAAAGAATTGGGGCGAGATGGAGACTAGACCGTTTCAGTGACCCGTACCAACGGGCTTGGAATCGACACCTGAAAGGGCGATGGGCGATGGACGTAGGGCGTATTACGTTCATTTCAAGATTTCAAGACTCTCAGCCCAAACGAGCCTGGAGTCTGGAATCGGTACCAGTACGGAAACGAAAAATACCGTACCGCAACCGAGAAGTGGGTCGTCTCGCGTGGCGCCATCAGATAACGCGCACATTGAATTTTTATCTGATCGGAAAATAAAAAATTCAGTCCACGTTTCCAATCCCGCCTTCCCGGCGTCAACGATCCCCCCACGAATCCTACCTCATTCCGGCACCACGCTCTTCCGTATGGTGCGTTCGCTCAAAGTCGAAGCCCAGGCTGCACGCCCTCCATCTCCGGCTATCTAATGCGTCAGACGAAGTACGAACGTGCCAGGCCACTCTCCGGCTATCACTTGCCTACTCCGTGTCTAGTGAGATGGAGCTCTAGACGCCCCTCCCTCCCGATTCGGCCCATGAGAGTCTTAGACGTACTTTACCTCCCCACCATCATCTCCCCCCCCCCATCCCGAACTGCCAAACCTGCCAACTTGCCAGGGAAAAATGCGCACCTGGGACCCAGTCTAGAGGCGTTTCCGGGCTACCGGAGACCCACAATGCGTCGTGCTCAGTGCTCGCGTTGCCTGTTCCATGCAGGGGCAGATTGCACGGCAGGCGTTGCATGGACAAGACTTTTCGGTTTAGGCTTATAATACGTATTTTCCTTTTTCTTGTTGTATTTGCTTTTTTTGTTCTTTTCAATTTGGCCATCTGTTACCTGTTGCTCCAGGGAAAGGGGGGAGCGGAGCCACAGCCTCGACCGAGCCCGATTACGGCCGAGATATGATCTTTCCTCTCTATGTACATGTACGGAATATGCTGTACTCCGTATTTTGACTCTAGGTCTCGGGCGTTCGACAAAAGCTCGGCGATATCGGATGTGGGAGCAGGAACCAGTTTTGTCTCGGCCTTGGCAGTGGAGGGTCGTGGTGGCGTTCTGATCAGATAATCTTTTTTTTTCGGGGCGAAGGGGAGAGGCGCTATCGGCGCGAGTTATCTGATGGGCCTTTATTTTCGGCCGGGGACGTCTAGTTTTCCCAGCGATTTGGAAGGCATGAAGACATGAAGACGAAAAGATACCATCCGTCATTCGATATTGAGGGTCCTGGGTCGCCTTCAGGTGTCAGTTTCCAGGTGGGTTCGATCTTCATGGCACATCTCCGAACATGTCAGGGATCTCGGCGGCTGCAGCGGTGTCCTACCCCAAGGAAGAAGGTGGGTATCACTGGGCCATGGCCTCGGGTGAGGGGGTAGTACGAATAGGCATCTTTCCAGAAGGCCCTGCAGGAGTATGGATCGTCAATGCTTGGATCGGCGTCAGTTCCTGGACTTTAGCTGCAGGGCCCCTGGTTTGCTCTAACTGATCGACAACAATACAAGGGAACATGCACTGGGGACGTATGAAAATGAGCGTGGTCATGATTGGAAGTCTGCAGTTCGTAAGGCATTAGAGCCATCCATAAGCAGCAACACCAGGAGAAATATATGTATAGGGCGAGCGTTCAAACAAGAAACAAAACCATTATCTAGCATCCACTGTACACGGTCTCTCTTTGATGCAGAACATGAATAAAAGGGACAGGGAAACATAATAAGAAGAAATGGATGGGGAAGAAAACAAACATGCCACGCATAACAATGCAACACCGACGCTGCAGCTCATACATGAAAACTCTCATAACCGAAAACGAAGAATTGGGAAGGAAAGAGGAGGGACATTATCACGCAAAAAAAAAAAAAGAAAAACTTTCACCCAACACCCATGCAGAATGGTTTCAGATCAGAACCGCAACACGAGTTCAGACCATATGTTCAGGGTCTTCACCCGCCACGCTGCGGTAGGCGCCTCCATCGCCAGATCGACTCCCTGTATGCATGCGGAGGGGAGTTTCATACATATCATAGTAGCTGATCACCTCTCCTCCGAGCATCGCGGAGCCAGGCTCACGCTTGCCGAAGATCGGGGCCGGGTCACACCAGAAATCACGGCAGTTGGTCGCCACACCGCGAGAGAAGGGATTGCGAGGGCGTGCCGCCTGGGGCCCATCACGGAGTCCATCACGGGCCGTCGCAAAGAAGGTATCGATGCCCAGCAGAGATGACCACTGCTGGACACAGCCATGTCGCCGCCGTGGAGGAGTGGAATGGGCAAGAGCCGGGTTCGGCCCCTGTCCCGCGGCCGAAAGACCAGCCCCTTCGAGTGAGGTTGTGCCCGCAGTCATGGCCGAGGCGAAGGCTTGCGAGCTAGGGTAGGAGCGGTCGATATGATGGCCTCTCATATTCTCATATGTGGTCTGATTGCGCGAGATCTGGACAAGCTGGACAGCACACAGCATTGTGACCCAGACTAGCTGCAGAGTGATCCAGATGTTGAGGACCAGGGTAAAAGTGTCGCGAGTCACATAGTCACACAGCGTATCATTGATGACATTGCACTTGGCATTGGCAATTGGTGGTAGGTGATTGATATCTGAGACGGTTAGCAATCAGTGCTGCAGCGAGTCACATCAGAATTACTTACAGCCAATAGTAAGCTGCACAAACAGAATAATGCCGATTTCAAGACAGATGATATAGAGCACAAAGTGACGGAGATTGTTTGCTCCAACACAATTGTCAATCCAAGGGCAGTGGCTTTGAAACAAGTTAATGGATAGGCCAATGAATCACATCTATCAGAACATACTGGTCATGCTTCGCCACGCAGCGGCCACAACGGCGACAATGCCGGCTGCGGAGTGGTTTTCTTGACATGCAGGGTACACAGAAATTCTCCTCATCAAATTTCCACAGCTCAAACAGCTGTTTGACCGCTTCTCTTTGCTGATTTCGGCTGCTGATTTTTGGGACATAGCCGGGATCTCCGATCATGGCGGAGATGTAGAAGTAGGTGGTCAAACTGTAGAAGACCGCAAACAAGATATTTAATATCGGTGCCGAAGAATAAGTCGCTAGTTTTGTCAGTTTCCGGATCCAGGAATCGAATTTGCTATCCAATGCTTACCTGGGAGTACTTGAAAGACGTAACGGAATCCAACCCAGAAAAGTGTCGCGGCGAACACACCAGCCAGATAGGGCTGTAGAGGTTGATGTCAGCATCATATCAATTCGATATTTCTGGCTATCAAAATTCAGGACATACCGTCTTTTGTAGAATGCGATATTCCGAGGGGCCTCGGTTCGCGAGCTGCTGCGCGATCCATTGCATGCCAAACAAAGTCACTAGGGTGAGCGGAACACCAATAAAGATTACCAGATGGCTTAGCATCCAGATGCCAATTAGGATGGTAAGGAACGGCCAGAGGAAGAAAAACTTGGCCATCACACTCTTGTTGCGAACAAAGCTTGTCAACCCCATCGGCACCGCTTTCTGCGATCCATCGGGCTCGAAGCCACGCTCCGCTAGAGCGCGAAACCAGATCCGCGACGTGTTCATTTCCTGTGCGACAGTGCTCGGCGACTTGCCATCTCGAGTCTTGGTGAATCGATCCGCTCCGTATTCCAACAATTTGAGAACGGACGGCAGTGAGCCCTTGACCAATGCCCAGTGAAGGGGCGTCAATCCTCCCTCATCGACCGCATTGGCATTAGCACCCCATCGTAGGAACAAATCCACACAGGCCGGGTAGCCCTTGTATGCGGCCCACATCAACCCAGTATGACCTTGTTGATCGACCACGTCCACCGGGATCTCTTGGTGGAGCAGCAGGACGAGGAGGAATGCATTTCCGTCGATGGTCGCCAAATGAAGGATATTGTACCCTTGTACATCGGTCAAAAGGGGATCCGCGCCGTTCTGAAGCAAAAGATTGACGATATAATAGTGACACCGCTGTGCCGCCCACATGGCGGGTGTGGCTACTGACTCTCCGCCCTTGGCGTTGACGTCTGCGCCGTTATCCAGAAGAAACTTGCACATCGCATATTGGTTGTTGATCGCAGCCCACTATCAAGATAAGAACACTCAGGTCAGCTTCTCAGATTACTATCGATGACAGGTCGCAAAGCAGGGGCGAGCACTGGCAGGAAGGACAGGGAGAACAAACGTGTAGCGGCGTGATCCCTTCCTCGTCACGGTGATTTGCGGTGAGTTTCTTGGTCGCAAACAGATTCTGCATAGCGGGAATCTCTCCAATCCGCGCCAGCTGCATGATATCCTCCCCAAGGGGGATCGAGCCCTTCGGCGCATCCGGCCGCATGGTCTTGAGTTCGACATCGGGATTCGGAGACGACGAGATCTCCTTGCTGTTTGACGGAGAGGCAGAGCTGGAGTTCTGACCTGAAGGACTGCTGCTCTGAGTCTCGGAAGAAGGCGAAGATTTGGAAGACATGGCGGCGGGAGGAGTTTATGTGTATCGTCGTACGGGCGAAGGCCGCCTCGGGAGTCCGGCGTTGGACACGGGTCGAAAGAGTCGAATTGACAAGGAACTGCGTTGAAATCGATTTCTCTCTCTAAGCGAACATCGTGGAGTCGTATTACCTGTCCACAGATCCCTTTCACCACGGTAATTTGAATCCTCGGAGGCCGAAAAATAGGGGGAGATGGATGGAGAGGATGATCGACCTGGAGAAGCGGCGAAAGGGCGGACCTTTTTTGTCGGGGAAACCTTCTAGCGCTTGCGCTAATCCACTCAAACGCTCTGTACACCGTCCTCTATATGTAGACGAGTAACAGAATAGTCGAAAGGACAATAAAGCAAATGCGATTCTGTGGGTAGGATCCGAGTCTATTTTTTTCTTCTGCTTCGTTTGCTTTTGCACAGCCTCGCGCTCTGGCACTCGGAATTCTGGGAGGGCCTTTTGGCGGAGTACACACATAGGGCCGATTACTCAGCCGCATAGGCAGCCACGTTTCCTTGGCCTTTTCGAGGCAAATTTAATATCAAGATATTTACAGAAAGGGCTTGTTCATATGAGAGAGACGTATTCAAACAGAGAGAAAAATTAATGCAGAAGACTGATCAACTGCTTCCGTTCGTGGAAAGGAGAGATGCCGTCGAGTCTTGCGCGCCATGCCGCCGGACTTCATCCATTAACGTCTGCGCATCCACGCGCAGCTCAAAGTCGGCCAAAAAGCAGAAACTGATTTCAAGTTTGGAAAGTTCTTGCTCGCTCACGCCACCCACTTTGGCAACGCGGCGGTGCGGGTAACTGAGGTCCTCCAGCGCTTTGGTAGCCACCATAAGCCCGGCGAGGACGAGCCGGTGCATGTTCTTGGGCGTCACCCGCAGAACCTTTTCCACGGAGACCATTCGGGTGATGTACAGACTAGCTGCAAGAAAGACGGCGGTTGACATAGGACAGAAGCGGTGCAATCGCTCCAGGTAATCCTTCAACGTGATGGGGGGTACCTTCTTCGAAAGAAACTTGCGAGATAACATTGCCATCTGGAAGGCTTCCGTACTGGGCCGGCCGCTACTTATCCCCGAATCTCCGCAGCATTGCCCTGTAGAACGCACCATGAACCCCTCTTCCGCGGGTGTTTCGCTCCCCACTGGAGTAGAATTGTAGGAGTCGGGGTTCGTGGTTGTTGCCGAATAGGAGCAATCCGCATTCAGCTTTTCGATGTTGGTACAGAGTAGCTCCAGGGCCTCCTCAGGCGATATATCAAAGACCCTGCATGCGCCATTGCGCGGGGATGGACACCTCGTTGATTCTGTGTCGACGGCTGGAGAGCCTAGCTTCAGCAGGGATCGCGGAGATTTCGCCCCCTCAGAATTACATTCAATCTGCGTCATGACTGCAGCCATCCTGGTCTTTTATTTTATTGGCCAGCACCGAAGCGGATAGACGTGGGTGTTGGGCAATGAAGAGGACACCCGGGCCTAGAGATAGATGGCGGCTCTCTGGATAGACTTCTCATCTTATGGCTGAAATCAGAGCACCGTAGAAAAGCTCCAGGGCTTTCAGGCTAATCCAGCTAATCCAATGTTACAACGTCTGCCGGCTCGGTGTGGGGGGAGGAGAAGATCAAAGATAGGCTCTTGCGGCGTACGGCGACTCGCAACCCGCAGTTTGTGACCAAGATTTGTGAAGGGACCCAAGTGAAAAGAATCGTTGGAAGCGACGATCGCTGCGATCGATCGAGACGCTGTGGAACGTCTGAGGCCTCGGTGCCTAACGTATATTAATGTATGTTAACGTCCCATGCCCAAAAAGCCACCGCGCGGCAAAGTCGCCGAGGTCCCTGCAAAGACTCACAAATTCACCGTATGGTCCAATCAGCCACCGAGACAAGCAACCCGAAATCGAGCTATCAGATAAGGATCGCAGAGATCTGAGAGGCCGAGGGCGTCTCAAAGGGTCGCAAAAATAGGGGAGGGAGGGGCAGAGAGGCAGGCGGAGAGGCGGAAGCTGAGGAAAGGCGAGAGATAAGGTAATTTCAGGTGAATTCAGGTGTTTTTGTCCGGTCCGCCCGCCCTCTTACTGAATGGGGCAATACGCGCGCATTCTTTATGCATAGCAAGGTGATGACGGAGGCTGAAATGTATAATCTCACAGAACTCTTCCTGCAGACATAATTTACAGATAATAAGGGAAAACTATGAAGACTCAGGAGATGCAAGTGGGTCATGGATACGTTAATTTGCCTTTCTCTCTCGGAGTATATACAAAGGAGAATCATCGCTTCGTGATCGTTCAATCCTCAAACACCAGAGCCCCTGTCTATCTTTCTTTACATCTTTGTTCATAAAGTAAATTGAGAACCAGTACTCCACATCATCCAGAATTTGTGAGTTTGATTTTGGGCGGACCAAATGCCGGCACGTCTCATCTTTGTGTGACACCCCCAAACCCATCGCATAGTTCATGCTATGCTCCTAGGTCGGTGTCTTCTACTTCCGTCCACAATCACCCTTCTTAAAATTAAAATTGAGAGTCATCAAAGCGGACGGTGGGCTTCCGATATTTAGTCCCACTGATGACACGATAGGAATCATTGTTCCATCCGTTCTGTCCCTTTAGCACACTTCGAGGCCACCGTTCCTCAATATCAATGCTGCTGCGGGACCGAGAAAAGGAGTCGGAGAGCCTCCGTCGGGGGCTTCGACTAATCACGGTCGGCCTGGTGGTATCCCGTGAGGAGAATGAGCTTCGCCTGCTCCATTCAGGGTCGGAGGTGTAGTATTTGACATCCCGAGGACTGCGAACCTCCACTGATCGGTATCGAGAGAGCGGTCGCCCTCGCTCACCGTCGGGCTCCAGATAGGTATCCCGGGAGATGGACCGAGACTTTGAATAATAACTGGCCGGTCTGGATCGGATAAAGGAGTTGACATCGTCCGAGGGATATGGAGATGCAGGTTCACGGATAATCACGCTCGGGCGACGGGAGGTATATTGACCCGCTCGAGCTGGAACAGGCTCATGGATGGGTGACCATGGTCGTGGGGATCGAGTGGCCGGTGAGGAAGACTCTGAGACTCTGACAGTCAGTGGGACTCGCCCCAGGGATTCTCGAGAGCGGGAGCGTCTTGATGAGTAGATATCCGTGCTCACTCGAGTCGGCCCACGGTCTCGAGATCGAGACCGGGACCAAGACCGACTCCGCTCATGATGGCGTTCAACGAACTCGGTCTCTCCTGAACTGGGGCGAATCTTGTACCGACGCACCCGTGCTTTCGGAGGATCTACCACGAAGGCCCGAGACACGGATTCCCTTGGCTCCCTTGCCCTGCGTACATATTTCGTGGTCGAATAGCTGCTGGATGGATCAGGGCTAAACAAGGATGACAACCGGTCCTTGGCGCGGCTCCATTCCGATCTATAAGATCGTGTGCCCTTCTTGGAAGTGAAATCCCGAGGGATACCGTATCTGCCCCGTAGGGAATCAGATGAATCCGAATCGCTGGCATCATCGCGAGGGGTCGCAAACCCCGATCGTCTCCGTGAGCCGCGGCTATACATTTCGGCCTGAGGAGATGGAGTGGAATCGGACGAATATCGGTTGTGAAGAAATTCTAGGGAGTCGATGTGACGCATGACTAGTATTTATGGCGATGAACAAGAGTCGATCGATAGTTTGACAAGTTCGTGAACGGGGGATGGCAATCAATCCGATATAAACAGAGCGATGTTTAGAGGTTCTGGTGATGAAGCTGTAGAGAACCCTTAATTTAGAAACACACGATGTCTCCGCTCACAAAGACAACTTTAAAGTCACACCGGTTAGGGAACATGAGTGACGACAGCTGGATACTGGGGGCTTTTACTCTCTGAGCGTGGCGTCCAGGTCAACGATGGTCAAAATAGAAATGAGACAAAGGGGTTGAAAGCGATGCTTGGTAGGGATCGTTGCAGACCCATGCAGTTCCGTGTAGACCTGGCGCTGGCGATGATTCCCTTTGTGTCGAGGTTGAATCAGGCTAAGCTACCGATCTTTGAAGAAAACGAAGAAAACTTTCGAGTCTTTGCGGCATTTCTTCCAGGCAGTATAAGAATCCGATTTGAAAGGAGACAGGGCAAAGAATACGATGACTGAGCTTACCGCGCAACAACCTAACTCCAACGGCGGCGATATGGAACATTTTGTGTGGAGGACGAAGATCTATATCGAACCAACTGATATCGCACCGGCACAAAGGCGCAAAGGCAACAGCGCGATTCCAAGTCGACGGCTGATAGGGAGCAGTCACCAGGGCGCAGCCCCGAGTCAGCCGAAGCCAAACAGGTGACGACCGCGACCCAACAAAGACCTCCCACGAGGAGAGCATCGTAGGCCATAGTAAGATGGTAAGGATCCTATCATCATACGGGCGGTTAAAATGGTTGTAGAATGGTTGTCTCGTCGTAGTGAAGGGAGTGGTGGTGAATGTTGGTGTTGTTCACAACAGTAATAACATCCTCTCTTATTAGGCGGGCCAAGGGCGGGTACCTGAGTCGAGGAAGCCGAGTTGACGATCTGCAGTGCTTTGAGTGCTTTTGTTGCGTGGTTGTTTGGTTGTTTGTGGTTTCTTTTCTTCAACCGTCCCGCGTTGGGGGTCGATCACACTGCCGGCGCTAAAGATCGACCTGGGCTCGTTGGGAAGGGGAGGATGCCCTAGATCCCGGCGACCATACGATAGGAAGAATACGAAGACGCGACCGAACGCAACCAAGAGAGTGACCTCATACAAGCAAGGATGACTCTGTCCATTTGGTCAAAGAATCTGTGCGGCACGGTTTTGGCCGGTCGCGTGGTCCTCGAACGTGCGTGCATGCGGCCGTGAAGACCAAGGGACCCTGTGGCGCATGGCCATTTGGCACCAGCCACAATGCACGATCGAATCAACGATTCCAGCTGTTGGTTGGAGGTCGCGAACCCCACCGTCACTAACAGTAACGACCGGCTGAGAAGTTACGAGAATGCGCCGGCTTATGCGCCCGGGTAGGGCAACGGCCCCCGGATGAAGGAATGATGAAGTACACGAGGGGACAGCCCCCCACCCAGTTGCAATCTGCCTCCGAACGCTCTGCTTTCATCTGGGTTAGGTCCAACGTTCGAGGAACCGATCCTGGGCTTTGTCTCGTTGGTGCAAAACATCCAGATGGAGTCCCTGCAATCCCTTCTGAAGTGCACTCAGTTTCACCTCTAGGTCGGACAGCGCTTGCTCCTGGTCGGGATCGCGCAAGGATGGCTCATAATGTGAGTGGGCTTGTAGGGATGAGAACAGACGCTGGGATGCATGATCGGAAGGGGTCAATTGGGTCACCAGCGGCGAGTCCACCGCAACCCGAAGGCTCTGGAGCGTCTGGGACAGATGCTGCCGCTTATCATAAAGCTCCGGGACACCACCATCATCCCCTCGTGGGCGAAGTACAGATTCGGGCGATACTCCGATCCGCCGCAGGAGACTTTCAAGGGCGGGTTGTTCAGGCGTCGGGACTGGGTTGCGGGTGGCCGTGAGAAGCATACCCGGTTGCATGGATCTTCGTCGCAGGGATTCTCGTCGAGAAGATGGTGGTGGTACAAGTGGACTCCCAGCTTCTGCCTGGTAGAGGGAGGCAAGTTGCTCGAACAATTCACAGGAAGACGCTCGATCTCCAAGCTGTTTGGTCAGGGCCTGCTTGGACAGAGTCATATCCACAAGGAGGTCGAGGACCTGATATTTGTTAACTTTGATCATATCGGTTGTTTTCAAAGGAGTCTCGAAGAGCCTTGAAGGAATACACACCTGCTCTAATTTTTGCTGCGACGTGGCCAGAAGGTGGTCATGTTCATTCTGGACTTCGCGCAGAATGGGCTCGTGGAATTGTTGCTTTGCGTACATTTCCGATAGGATCTCAATCTCCGGATGGAGAGATTCCAGTTCTTCTTCCAGAACGGCAATCGTCTCATCTTCTATGGTACCCGGGCAGGCATCAAATGTACTCGAATGAATGGTCTCGAGATATAATCGATCCAGGCGATAATGGATCTCATCGGCGCTCAATTCCGCAAGAATCTCACTCAGTTGAGTTGCTCGCTTGGCACTGGACGCGCCATTTTCATTTGACTTGACTCCAGATATGGTACTCTCGAGGTTGGCGAGAATCCTGTCGTCATGCTTTAGCTGAGTAGATAAAGATGAGAGAATTCGCTTATTCTCCACTCCTATCTTCTCTGTTATACCCCTTAAGCTAGAATCGAGCTCGTCGGAAAGTTCGTTTGCCTATTTTTGTTCAGCAGTGTATAGTCCAAGAGGTAGAAACAAAATGATCCCACCATGATCCTCGTGTTTTGCGTCCCCGCTTCATGCTTCTTCCGCAGTCTCGCGATATCTCGAATTCGATCTTGATCCAAGCTTTCTCGAGTTTGAATTTGCTTTTTGATGGTTCGGCATTGCAGTGATAGTGTCTCTGTGTGCTTTCGGATGGCTGCAGTTGAAGCTTCGAGGGATTGTATCGCTGTTTGAATCTCGTCCTCGAGCAAGGGTCGAGTCGCATCAAGTTCGGGGTCACGAAGGAGGGCGTGGAGGTCACTGGAGCTCTCAAGCTTTGTCCATCTGCCCATAATGTCAGCCTCTACCATTGAACAGCATACTTCTTTCGGTAGACATACAATGTCAGCTCCTCCCGTGAAAGGAGGGTCTCCGGTTTGAGGTGCTTTGACACCCATTCCACAGTCTTCTCGCATGAAATGGGATCCTTCAGAGAAGCCTCGATCGCATCTCTATTGGCTAGGAGATCGCGCTCCTTGAGTGTTGCAAGGATGACATCCGTCAACGGGGTTGTGTTGTCCATCGTGGATGGATTGTTTGGATTCGCGGGGCCCGGAAATTGGGAATGCGGCGCGCCGGAGCTCGGCAGTTGACTGGACCTATTGAGGCAAAGATCAGGGCAGAACAAAAGACGTTGTCGTATAGAAGATCCTGAGGCTAGGTGTTTGCGATGAAGAATTCTGGCCAGATCATACGAGCTCAACTATTCAACTCGCTCAGTCTATAGGGGCCTGGTCCATTCACGAAGTCTTGCGGTGTATGTTAGTATCACGTGATTGTATACAAATTTCCCGTTTGAGAAAGCATATGACAAGGGCAATTGATTGAGTATACAATAGATGTATACATGTGACAGAATTGTTATTAAATGATTTGATAGTATGGTTCCCATTATTTACTTAATGTCAGACCACATTCAAGCTGAGTTGGTTGACGCTACATCGACTTTGGGATAGTACCACGACGTAACGGCGATAATGAAGTAAACGAGGACGCACAGCGATCCTTCAAGATAGTTGGACTTGCCATCGCGTAGGAAGTTCCCAACAACCAGGATTGACAGGACGAGTAGGACCACCATGAAAATCTCGAAATTCAGACTCATATCCTTGTCCAATCCCCATCCCACGAGGACAGCAAGCGGAGCGTTGAGAAGCGCCGTTTGGATAGATGGCCCCAAGCAGTGGAATAGCGCAAAGTTGATCTGATTATCCCAGGCCTCGTCAACAGCTGTCAGGTGTTCCGCCGCCTTCTCGACCAGAGGAACAAGGATCAAACCCATGAAATTATCCGAGACACCTCGTTCCACGATGTATTCGATCTCCTGTACGAGAAAGACGGCCGACATGCAAACAAATGTCAGAGAAATCGCGATGGCCACCAAGCATTCCAAAAAGGTAAGCTTAGCTCTCTGGCGCTCTTGGTCGCGGTCCTCATCTTGTGCCTCGTCTTTCGCCAGAATCTCGTCGAAAATCGAATTGTGGCTATGCAGGTTAAAAACAAGATACCTAGAATGAGAGAGTCAGCAACGGGTATCTCAAACAATCTTTGATCATCCTATTCAATAAGGCTTACACTATGAATGCGATAAGAAGAATGACGGCGGTGGCACGACTGATCGTCAGGGCATAATCACCCAGCATCTCCAACGTAAACTCCTCGTTTACAGATCCTTTCAAAGCGGAATAGAAGGCACTGGGGATCAGTAGACCGAAACCTGCCACCAGCAAAAGGCCAGTGCCCACTTCACTCACGGCCTCGTGGAACACCTGCTCGCTTCGCTTCAGACCACCAACGAAGAAGCATGTTCCCAAGCACAGGAGCAAGTTGGCCAAGATGGACCCCAGAATCGCGGCTTGTATAACAGGAATCAAGTGTCCATTATGATCATTGTGGAGCAAGACCATAAACAGGACGATTTCGACCACGGCACTCAATGTTGTCTCTAGCAAGACCCCCAGGACTTTTGGCAGTTTCTTCGCCAACTCTCCGCCGGCAAATCCGAGCACATTCGCGGAGGGCACCATGGCAATATAATTGAGACTGAAGACCCAGACATGAAGATCGGGGCGTGCAAAATGCATGACAATCGCTGCAGGAACGAATGGCCAGAGGATATTGACAATCATTGACGCCGTACAGATACTCCTGAAGCACACCCTGAAGAAATGGACCGGGTGGATGCCAGTTCGTCCACTCTCTCCTGCACTATCCACCCGGAAAAGACCCAACACATAGCGACTCGGGTGATGCTTGGCAAAGGTGGGCAAAATCGAAGTATCCTGGGGGTTTTTCTCTTGTGATGATGCTAGGTCAGGAGAGCGCACAGGCGATATGCCTTCTCGGGACACGGTGGACCTGATGGATCTCATCTTTGGGCGCAACACAGAGAACTTGCTCTAGAAGAGCGACGGCTTAACAAAGCTCCCCCTTCGCTAGTTGTTTCAAAGCAAACACAACTTGGGTAGAGTTCGAATAAAAAAGATGCAGGAGGTCCGCGGTCCAGGCTGGGGAAGAAGAAAGGGATGTTGGGCGGTAAAAGAGAGAAGAGGGAGAGAAAAAAAGAAACGAAAAAGCGAATCGCGGCTGTATACTCAGTACTCCGTACTCCGTACAAAAACAAGCGACAGGAGAGCAAATAAAAAAACCCGCTTCCAAAATGTTGTGCTGGCACGTCGAGGCAGCCAATCATGCTCGCCATAAGCCCAGGATACGGAGTAACAGAACGAGCCAGAGGGTCTTGGCACCCGCCACGTCCGCGATCTGGGTAGTTTGCTTTGGGGGTTGCTTGTGTGATATGATGTGGCTGCCGTGAAGATCGTCCGCGTCTCCTTTTTCTTCTTCACCACAGCCCGAGGTGCGGGTCATCGAGGGCACAATTCGGGCCCCACCGGCTCCTTTTCGCGGGCAGTTGGCTGTTGTGCAATCCGATCGGCCATTAAAGATCATTGACTGAGAATTATCTTTTCAGAATCCAGAGTCTTTCCGGACCTCTTCTGCTCAGGGATGAAACATCGTCGGCTGTGGGGTACTGGAGATTCCATGGGCAGTGCACAGCCACCCGCTTGGCTCCTGCCGAATGATGGCCCGCTCCGGTGTGTACCCCCTTTGACGGAAAAGGATCGTCGGTCCTGGTGACGAACGTGCTTCCGAGAGATTCAGATTAAGGGTTGCCAAGCGTATCCCGCGTGTCTGTTCACCAAGAAGGTTCGGGGGAGGGGAGCTGCATTCGGTCATCCCGAAAGGTTGAAGGTGGATGCAAAGCCTTTGATGATCATGCTCGCAAAGTTGAACTCACTTGACCGGGGCATGTGACTTCAAGGAGGGTCGAGTCGCAGGATTTAATAGGTAGAGAGAATAAGTGTGAGGTGCATCGAATTATTCATAAATAGAAGAAGAAACAGGACCAAAGACGATCGGTTCCCCTAGCCAACACGTCGATGACCGATGTTCAAATATATAATTCGGCCCTGAGGATCAAGAGCACATCATGAGCACATTGAAGACTTTCAAGAACCATTCTAAATGCCTAAAATCATCAATAGATGTCACATATGTACGTATATACGTATATACATTTTCTGCAATACAATAAAGTTTTGCCATCCTTCCCCCGGCCCCCCAAACAAAAGAAAGGTCAAGTCATTCTAAGCGTACAGTTGATTCAAGCATGGCGCGGGCGAAAGGGCTCCACTCTGTTACCTGGGAGTATATGTACGTTGGCAAAGTCGGCACATCTGGACATACCTTGGTATTTCAGTGTTGTGCCTTATCAAATTTCAGCGCTCTTGAACCGCTCCTATTAAAGTCCAGAGATTTGATCGTAGATGTCTGTGGATAGTGTTGAATTAATCTCTGTGGCGTGGAAGAACTTATCTCGCCTTTTTAAGTATGAACCACGACAGGTGGTTCATATATTGAACCCGAGTCTATGGCCATGACATACTATAAATTGTACATGTATTTATATCCCACCGGATCTAGATACTTGTCCCATCAATATTACTGGCTCTGTTGCCGTTCCAGCAAAATAAACTTACCCGCGAAAAACAAACCGGAAACAACAACCTATTTGTCAGGTGACGCTGGCTGGACCGATCCGTCGATCCGCCGAAAAAAGCCCACCACCGAAACGCGGTTATCATCGGGTGGGGCGAACCTTGGGAAATCTGAGGAAATCGAATCGGACGATGGTGAAATCTTCCTTTCTCACTCCCCTTCCTGTCCGTTTGACCTCTCCAAGCCCTCCTGGGAGCTCAAATTCTGCATCCCCATGGCTTCTACCACGAAACCTGTCATCCCGCCGGTGGCGCTGGACACGATTACCCAGCACATCGGCAACACCCCTCTGGTGCGACTAAACCGCCTGCCTCGCAGCCTGGGGATCGAGGCCACTGTCTATGCGAAGCTGGAATACTTCAATGCTGGTGGTAGTGTCAAGGACCGTATTGCGCTCCGTATGATTGAGGAGGCTGAGCGATCGGGCCGCATCAAGCCTGGTGATACTCTGATTGAGCCCACCAGTGGCAACACGTATGTTTTTTTCTTCTTTTGTCGGCATAGAACACGAGCATCTGCTAACATTCATGCTAGTGGTATTGGACTGGCTCTAGTTGGCGCTGTCAAGGGTGAGTCTTTTGAAAAGAGAGAAAGAGGGGAGAGAGAGGGAGAGATGAGCACATGGTTGGTTCCCTGGTAAGGTTCCAATGCTGACCTTCTTTTTTCTGGCATGTTGCAGGCTACAAGACCATCATCACGCTCCCAGAGAAGATGTCGGCAGAGAAGGTTGCCGTCCTCCGTGCCCTGAATGCGACCATCATCCGTACTCCCAACGAAGCTGCCTATGACTCCCCCGAGTCTCACATTGGTGTCGCGAAACGTCTGCAGAAGGAGTTGCCCAATGCCCACATCCTGGATCAGTACGGCAACGAGAATAACCCTAACGCCCACGAGTTTGGAACCGCTCAAGAAATCTGGACCCAGACCAATGGCGAGATTAATGCCATCGTGGCCGGTGCAGGCACTGGAGGTACAATTACCGGTATTGCCCGTGGCCTCAAGAAACACAACCCCAATGTGGAAGTGATCGCGGCCGACCCCCATGGCTCCATCCTCGCCTTGCCCGAGTCGTTGAATGAGGCCCACGTCAATGAGCCCTACAAGGTCGAGGGTATTGGTTATGATTTCATTCCCGATGTGCTGGACCAGAAGATTGTGGACCGTTGGTATAAGACTGCCGACAAGGAATCTTTCCAGTACTCGCGTCGTCTGATCGCTGAGGAAGGTCTTCTTGTTGGTGGTAGCAGTGGAAGTGCTGTCGCGGCTTTGGTTAAAGCCAACGAGGAACGCAAGTTCGCTCCAGACGATGTCGTTGTTGTTGTTCTCCCGGATAGCATCCGTAGTTACCTCTCGAAGGTAAGATCGCCATCATTCCCAGTCTTTTATTTCTATTATAACCTGATTCTGACTATTATCAACCAGTTTGCCGACGATGATTGGCTGGCAGCCAACGATCTTCTGCCTGCGCTTCCCACCCCTGCTGCTCAAGCACAACAGGCTCCTGCTTCAACCGACCCTTTGGCTGGAGCGAAAGTCAGCGCTCTTCGCTTGAAGCCGATAACCACTGTTACTGCAAGCTTTGCCTGTGAAGCCGCCATCGAAATCATGCGTGACAAGGGCTTTGATCAGCTGCCTGTCCTTGCATCGTCTGGGCGGAGACTTGTCGGTCTTGTTACCCTGGGTCACGTCCTCAGTCGACTGACTCACGGCCGTGCCACTGGAAAAACTCCGGTTTCCGAGGTCATGTTCGACTTCTCCAAGATTCCGGAGGTAGTGACTGACCCTCGCGACCTGGGCGCAAGCCGCATTGCGGGCAATAGCCAAACCAAGCGCCGCCAGTTTATGGAAATCACCATGGATACCCCTCTCAGCGTTTTGAACCGCTTCTTCGAGTGGAACAGCGCTGCTGTTGTGACAGAGAAGGATGAGACTGGTGCCATGAAGCCGTTGGCCGTTGTGACCAAGGTGGACCTGCTCACCTGGATGCTTCATAATGGCAAGGCGAATGGTGCTTGAATGACATGATCACGACTATCCGCTGGGTACTAAAATTCCTTAACCGCCCGCGTTTCAAGAAATGCTATGCTTCTTGGATGGAGTTTCAACATGCTGGATTCTGAATGGGTTTCATCTTTTTTTTTTGGGGGGGGGGGGGGGGAGGGGTGGGCGTTTCCTTTGTTTTGAAGACTTCCATTGGTTTCAACATGCCATGAGATTTGCCTATATTGCTATGAAGATAGAGCATTGCATTCAACAATAATATAAATTTTCAATAGACATCTTTCCAGTGACGGGAACCAAGGAGCTGCTTATGTGACGGTACTTGTTGCCCTTTTGCCTCCACACTTCAACAATGACGTATGGTCACCAAACCTTCTGCTCAATTCTGACTGGCATTTCCGTTTTTGACAGCGCTGGATCTCTTGAAGAACGAAAGAGTAAGTACAATGACGGGATTTTTCACCTACCGGAATTTCTCTTTGCAGGATACACCAGAACTAGATGGGAAGGTGGCTGTTGTGACAGTATGCCGTTCCATATGTCCTCATAAATCGCTTCGTTGAAGTATACTGACTTCATCATCAATAGGGCGGGCAAGAAGGCATTGGCAAAGGCAAGCCAGTCCAATTATTGCTTCAGCACTGTTATTTTCGAGTCCTTCAGAAGAGTTGACCATATTATAATTGTCTAGAGATCACAGCTCAGCTCTTGCTCCATGGGATTGAGAAAGTGATTGTTGTCGCCAGAAGCGAGGACAAGTTTAACATCGCGCGGAAGGAATGGATTTGCCGTGATGGCATCACACTCAGTGATGATTCTGTACAAGTTGAATTTGTTCAAGCTGATCTGGGCGATGTCGAAAGTGTTCGTACGGCCTGTGAACATATCAAGGCAAAGACAGACCTCATCCACATTCTGATCTGTAATGCTGGTAGGGCTGTCTTGAGACTCCAGTCAAGATCTTGAAAATAATCTTTCCAATTAGGACTTGGAGTGCCATATGAGTGTCAGCGCTCGCCCCAAAATATCGACCATGTCTTCGCAGCCAACTGTGTCGGTCACCAGGTTCTCACGACGGTACTTCTTCCGCTTCTTAAGAATGCTGCCTCAATAGCCCCCAATGGTGCTCGTGTGGTGGTCACTACGTCTTCTCTGCACCTTATCTGTCGACGTCTTGACTGTGACCTACTCACGTCCCCGACACGCATAAAATGGCCAGCTCTTTATGATGGCATGTGGCGCTACGGTCGTTCAAAGCTTGGAAACATCCTCTTTGCTAAAGAATTGAGTCGTCGGCTTCTCGAGGACCAAGATCCACCTAGCAAGCAGATCTATGTCAACTCATACTTCCCTGGAAACATAGTCACAGCCCAATGGCTGGCCTGGAGCTCTTATTTTGGAGCTTGGATTGGACTACTCATGCGCATGATCGGCTCACGTTTGGGACAGACGGCTGAAGATGGTGCAGCAACGGCGATCTACCTCGCAGCGAGTGCCGAAGTGAAGGACATGAATTTTCGCGGGGAGTACTTCATCCCCATTGCGACTTCCTCTGATCCGAGCCCGATGGGCAAAGACATGTACCTCGGGCAACAGTTGTGGGTATGTTGTATCTCCTCCCTAGATCTGGCTGTGAAAATTTTGCCGAACTGAACCGTGATTTTTTGTCGTCCAGGAATGGATTGATACACATGTCACCAAGATCCTAGGGCCAAACTGGAAGAATGGGTAACGAAAGTTGGACAGTTTGTGCTTGAAGTCTTGGGCGCCTACAGCTCTTCGGTATAATAATTGGTACGAGTACGTGCAGTAGGCGTCTAAAACGGCCTCTTCAATTCAATACTTTTAAACTCATCTGTGAACCCACTACGCTCAATTGAAGAGAACTCGAAAGGGGAGTTAAATTATAGCATTTTTTTCAAGGATCCACGAGTACCTGGCGCCTAATTTGAACCTAGTGGCTCGGCTCCCTATACATTATAGGTACAAGCAGTATATGTGCAATATGACAGAGAAGGATCGATGAATATCAACAATAAAGCCATCAAAGGTTCTTATGGGCAGTTTATACCAGGTAGCGTTTTGAAATCGAGTCCATATAGCTCACAAACACATGCCAACCCACTCCTCCCAGCGACGAACGCCAGAGCCCAGTTCTTCCTGCTCGTCACCCTTGACCGCACCACCAACTACATCAACCTTGACACCCACTTCCTCAAGAAGCTTGAAGGTGAAGATACCCTGGGCATCGTCATCACCCAGAACCTCTTCTTCCTCATCATTTACTCCAGTGTCCATACTAGCATCCATCAAGCCTTTGGTTTTGGACTTCCGGATGCGATCAATTTCGGCCTCCAGTTTCTCACGCACTGAGCCTGGTGGCAGCGCGGTGAACAGATCTTGCTTGTTTGCGGCGACTAAGACAGGGACTTCCGCGACCCGTTTGGTCGAGGACTTGCCTTTACCCAGGGCGCGCTTCTGAAGAACCAATAGGACGTCGTGCAGGTACGTCGCGGTATCTCGGAGAGTAGTTTCATCCACAAGAGCTGCGGTGTCAACCATGAAGATCACGCCACGGAGCTTCATCTTTGTGTCGTTGGACGTGGACATAGACTGAAGCTCGGAGATCCCCTGAGAGGCCCGAAGCTTTCCATGCCCGGGGGTATCCCGCAGGCGATATCTGACCGGGTTCCGTACAGCTTCCTTCAATGAGGGATCATTGACAGAACGGTAGCGATTGGAGGCAGTGGGGACAGTCGGGGGAAGGCTGACTGAGACCAGAGTAGAGATCTGGGAGGTGTGAGTGCTGTGAGACTTATTCGAAGCCGGGGAGGATTTAGCTTCGAGCTGTAAGGAAAGTCAGCGTTATGGGGTTTCTGAACCTAATAGAGGAGATTGGAACCTCACCAGCGTAGTGAAAGCTGTCTTGCCCGCTCCGCTAGGACCTAGGAGGATGAAGTTGCTGGAGGGCGGCGAGGCTACGGCGCGGTAGAAAAGGAAATGCAGGGTAATCGGAACACCGAAGGTAATTATGATGGCGATGACAATGGAGACCCAGTTGCCATCCAGCAACAGCGTTGCGATGCCAGTCACTGAATTCCAACCTGCTTGACTCGCCATGGTGGTGGGCTGATGGGAAGTTCAACGGGAAGCCTCACGAGCCGAAAGAAGTCCGGTCCCGATAGCACGGGCCACTAAGCTTATCTTAGCGCCGCGCATCATTTGCATGTCAGGACATGCGGAATGAGAGAGTCTGGCTTTCTACATACCATGGGCCAAGGGGGAGCGTAAACGCACTTCCTTCCCCCTTGGTCCGCTTCATCCCGGATTCATTCTGGCTTCTTCAATCTTCCATCCCAAGCCCAGCATGCGATTCGGTCGGGTGTTGTCTGCTCTTGTTGCTCTAAAGACCACGTCGGCCCAGACCCTGAGTGGCCTGAGCTTTGATGGCCGGGACCCTGTGAGTCTGGTCTGGGCATTTGATGGTCACACCTCCGGTCGTTACGATTTCTACCTATGTGCTGGTGATGAATCGACGGGAGCCTACGTGAGTATTCATCGATGCGATCGTTTTTTCTATTCTACATCCTCTGGATAATTCGTGGCTGATCACGTAGAGGTATATAGGCTTCTCTCGCACGAGTTATCCAAGACACTGTGGTGGCACCTGGCGACTTGGTTTCATTTCAGGTGGATCTGAATATGGGGGGAAACGACTTGAATGCATAGTATGTCCAATGTCTCAAAATTCATGAATATAGCATGTTTAAACTGATCCTTTGGCACCACCACCTCAGTTTCCTTAAAGTGGTTCCATCGGATCCCAAGGAACATTGGTCTGGATTCACATCACACTTTACCTTGACCCATATGAAAGGCTCCTTCTCTTCCAAAGTGTCAGATGCCGTGAAATCAATGCAACCTATCACACTCCCCTTGCCCCTGGTGGGGGTGCCAACCTGCTCAATTCCGCTGATCTGGCTCCGGCCTTCAATGGATCAGCCCTGAACAGTGACATTCGTGAGGAGGCGACAAGATCCTTCTTAGAATTCCCTTCACCCACTATTCCGATCGAAATAGAACGAAATGAATTGCGGAAGCGTCTCGTCGACCCTCACACCATTCCTTATGGAGAGCAAACCGGCCTCACCAAATATGCTCCGATGCCTAAGCGTGCCGGAACCACCATTGCAGACAGATCCCCCACACCTCAGTACCCACCATTTCCTTTTTCTATCGCAACTACCTATCTTCCTGCCCCTACCGTTGAGTACACCGACACCGCCTACTTGACTTGGACTACACACAGCATTGAGAACACCGTAAGTCGAGCAAGCAATGTTTGTTTTTCTTGGTTTCAAATGCTAATTAAGTCTAGGCTGCTCCTGCAGCTGCACCCACATTAGACAAGAGGATGCAGCAATTCCTGGAACGCCGATAGAATTGAGTCTGCCTTTACTTCTATTTTTGACTCAGTACCTATTAATTTCTCTTTGGATTCCATCAATATGAGTCGTCAAGTGCTGAGCGCCAGCTCAGCATAATTCAATAAACATAAACTTATACCTCTGCATCCGGACTAGTAGGTACCACTCGTAACCACAATGTGATGAAACTTTTGTGCTTTCCCATACAAGTATGTTGAAACTTGGCTATCTTCCAAGCAAATCAAGGCACTCTCTCCATATGTGCAATGTATCAATGTATTTTTGGTCTATAATGTCCTTCATTCTTCATGATTCGTGTCGCGTTGTGAACTTGGGGACTTGCACTCGTCTAATACGGGAGACAATGTCGGAGTCGCAGGGTGATTGTGTCGGTCTTCGGGGTGAAAGGAAATGTTCTCCCGCAGCGCAACGTACTCGCTGTCTGCATAGCCGATCAGGGACTCAATATGTGTACTTCGGTGACCTTTGATATGTGCAATTTCCAGACTGCCGTAATTCACAAGCGCACGACCAACTTCCTTGGGCTCTTGCCCATGATGGAGGAAATCCCCGTTTAGCGCATCGGGAGAAGGCTTCTCCACGACCACCAGGCGCACACATTCATGTTGGCCAAAGTGACCTTCAACTCCAAGAACTCCGGCTGGGAGAAGACTGGCCTTGTTTTGGAGGGCATCGTACGCTCCATGGTCAATATAGATAGTGCCGTGGGGCGTGAGGCCATGAAGTAGCCAAAATGTGCGGGACTGAATCGGGGTGTTAGAGGGAAGGAACCGAGTATGGAGAGGAGGAACAGGGAGATCCAGCGGCTGATCATCGGTGGAATTGCCATTCAACTTGGATACTTCTTGGAGCCGTTGCAGGTACTTCACGATCTCATGAACATTTCCCGGCTTAGAGCTCTTGGTGATCACAGTAGTCACACCCGCACTGGTACCCAACTTCGCGGCCACAATCTTCGTGCTCATGCCTCCAGTTCCAAGAGCCGACCCGGCAGACGAGACATCCGCCTCGAGAGTTGAGATATCGTCGACAACCTCAATGGGCTTAGCGTCAGGGTTATTGCGGGGGTTGGCGGTATAAAGGCAGTCGACATCTGTCATCAAGAATAGATAGTCGGCCTTGACAGTAGCTGCGGTGATCGCGGAAAGGGTATCGTTATCGCCAAATTTGATTTCCTGCAAGTAATATGTCAGTTCTGCCGCAAGTAGCCTAGGGTCAAGAAACATACAGAAACTGCAAGGGTATCATTTTCGTTGACAATCGGAATCACGCCCATGTCGAACAACTGCTCGAAAGTATTCTGAGCGTTGACATATTGAGTTCTCTATACTTGACGTCAGCGTTCAATCAGAGTATGAGATACCCTAATTCTTGTCTTACATCTGCAATATCGTTTCTCGTCAGGAGGATTTGGGCAACGGGAACTCGAAGGTGCGAGAACATGTTGTCCCAAAGACTCATAAGTCGGCACTGACCAACGGCTGCAAGTGCCTATATATGTCCATAGAATCAGCATTGAGTTCATCCGTTACGTTGTTAGAGATCCATGGCCTCTGTTTCCTTGCTTTGGGCATTCATACCTGTATTCGAGGCAGGTATGTTGGTCTCTGGTCCACGTCCATCCTTCTTAGTCCAACCCCCACGGCGCCGGAGGAGACAAGCACGACTCGGTGTCCATCTTTTCGTAACTTTGCAACCGTTTCTACTATAAGAGTCAAGATTGATAGAATAGGCTCGTGCGTTTTCTCGTCGACAATCGAGCTCGTTCCTAGAAGTGTGTTGCGTTCGTCAGTCTTGCTGGGGATCGAGTCATATGCGAATATATCTCCCCGCACCTAGTTTAATCACAATCGTCAGCCCCGAGGCCGCCATGGTTGCATAGGCTGGTCAATAAAAACATAAAAGAACCCTCCACTGACACACTCAAATTTGAAAGAAAAGATTTCTTTATCCCTCGAGTTGTCCGCTCGACAAGATTTGATGGTGCCGCTTTCATCGGAGGAACCTCCGCAGATTCTGCCGGGTTCACCCGCTCCGCCCTCCTCGGAGATTCTTCTTCGCCAAACAGCGCGCTTTCTGGAGTCTTTGAGCTAAGATGTCGGATTCTCAGTCGCCAGGTGCGACTGCGCCTTCAAATGACAAGCCCGACACAGGCTTCATTCCTGGAGATGAGACCTTCACGCAGTTTCGCAATATCTACCGCATCCTGACGGGTCAGATGTCCTCCGAGGGCATTGAACAGTTCCGGGTTGCGCGAGACATTCGAAACGAAGCTGCGGATTGCAAGCGCTGTGAAGACCAGCGCGACTACCTCCTTCAGTATAGTGAGTACTATCGTTGATTCTCCCGAATGAAAGCAATTGGCTAAGAGTATAATCTCATCCAGGTCCCGTAATCCGATTCCTCAGCGACAACATACGGCAACTCGGTAGCGATCTTCATAGCCATAACATCTACTGTCGGCGTTGCACGAACCGAAAGGCGGGTGGATTTGATCCTGAGTTTGGCATTCTGCTCTGTGCAAACGAGATGAAAGACCAGGGACACTTGGAGGATACCATGGCTCATGAGATGCTACACGCCTATGACCATTTGCGCTTCAAGGTTGACTGGACAAACAACCTGCGCCATGCTGCCTGTACAGAGGTATGCTCGATGGAGTTGCAATTGACTCCCACCTCAAGACTATATCGACTGGTGCTAACTTCTCTCAGATCCGAGCAAGTTCGCTCAGTGGAGAATGCAGATGGGCGCGTGAATTCTTCCGCAGAGGCCAGTGGAAGCTCACTCAACAACACCAAGAGTGCGTTCGAAGGAGAGCCGTCCTATCCGTTAGAGCACGCCCGAATTGTCGGGATGAGGCCCATGCTCAACAGGTTGTAAACGAGGTCTGGGATAGCTGCTTCCGAGACACGAGACCTTTTGATGAAATCTACCGATGATACCAAATTCCCCCATCTCCTGATCTTTCTTTGCAATTCCCCTCTACTCACCACTGATCTGATCACCTGTACCATAAGTTTTCATTTTGAATGTATCATATGTCATTGACTCTGCATGGAACAAAAGATTTAAAAAGGCCCACATGTCCCATATCGCAAACGCCGCCACAATTATACGCCAGTGGAAGCAAAGAAACTCCAACAATGCACAATACTCCAACCTTGAAATACCGTGTGGACTGGGCAAGAGAAGGAAAGAAAGAAATCAAGAGCAAGGAAAAAACACCGGAACACCAATCTGTCATGCGCAGAAAATCATGCCCTACCATCCTTTGACGAACCAGAGCTCCGCTTGGCGTCTTTGGTGCAATGCTTGACAATCCAGGGGTGACGCTGGATTTCATCAAGAGGAATGCGCTTCTCCGGGTCAAGAACAAGCAGCTGGAATTAGTTAGCAATTAATTCTGCATTTGGAAAGAACGCGGTTGGAACATACTCTTTTGATCAGGTCCTTTGCTTCTGGGCTGACAAAAGACGGCACGGACATGTCTCCCTTGGTAATTCGTCGTCGTGTCATGATGGGAGTATCTTCGAAGGGTGCCTCTCCAACCAGGAACTCGTAGGTCAGAACTCCAAGACTCCACAGATCAACTTTCTCACTGTAGCACTTGTCCTGGGATCCAGGGTTCAACATCTCCGGGGGAGGTAGTCGAGTGTTCCACACATCGTCTGGCGACGGTTGTTGGGGGCATGGACACTCCAACCAAAATCACTGATCTTGATCTCTCCATGAATGCCGACCAGGATGTTCTCGGGCTTGATATCCCGGTGCATCACATGCTTCTTGTGCAAATACTTCAGCGCCGCTGCCATCTGGGCTATATATTGGGCCGCCTTCCACTCGGGGAAGCGGTTCTCCTTGCGAAGGTGCTTGTACAGTTCCCCGCGACCGGCAAATTCGAGAATCAGGAAAATACGCTTGCTGTCATGGAAATGACCATAGAGCCTCAAGACATTGGGATGACGCAGGTTACTCTGGATCTCAATCTCACGGCGGACTTGCTTTTGCACACCACCCTGCTGGAGTTCCGATTTGTGTAGCACTTTCAGAGCGCACACGAAGCCCGAGGAGCGCTCTTTGGCAAGGTAGACACGGCCAAATTTACCCTTTCCAAGAGGTTTGCCGATCTCAAACATACCAAGGTGCAGCTGTCGGGGCTGATCATAAAGGGGGGCCACGCTACGCTGGTCTCCATTTTCGTCCGTGTTTCGGGTGACCAAGGTTTGCGAGCCCTTGCCCGGTGACGCAGGAACATTCATAGAATTCACCTTGCTATCATTGGTGTTTTGAAGGGCCAATTTCAATAGGTGAGCCCGGTTGGAGTTGTTCATTTGCGCCGAACCTCCAAGACCGGATAGAGACATGGCTGTCGAGAGGGAGCCCTTTTGTGAAATCCTATCAGCACAATATGGCATAAGATATAAAACGGGTTTGCCTTACCTTGTGCTTGCCATAAGTGCGGTCGGTTCCAGCCTCCTTTTCATCTTTGACAGACAAGTGCTCAAATCGAGCTTCGAGTGTCTTGGTGGCCATGGTTCAAACAGAAGGATGAAAAGTCACTGAGCGGATGATGGGATGAAAGGAGGAGAGAATTGTTGGTCACTAGGGATAAGATCAAGTTGGATTGCTCAAGCCCACACAAGCATCATCAGTTCGCTTGGGCGGTGGTGCAGTTGTCGGATGGTCGATGGAGTAAATTGGAGATCGAGAGCAGAGGAACCAGTGTTTGGATGCCGTTCCCCAGCGCGTCACCCCGGCAACGCATCGGCCCGCCTCTTTCTCCGTGCGCCGCGGGGCTATCGCTATCAGCTCTAGATCGCTTGCCAGATAACGCATCGCTTTCATGACGACATGGTCTAATGAGCATCATGGCTTCCAACCATTCCCCTGCAATGCCCTCGGGGAGCGCAGCAGTCTACCCTGAGGCGCGCAAGCCGCAGTCGATCTCAATCGGCGGTTTCCGGATCCTCACTCAGAAGCTTCCCATTTTGAAAGCCGAACCCATCGAGGAAATGACCCAAAAATTAGGAATTGCCCCACCCGAGATGATATTTGGGGATAACTTTGTCGCCATTGAACATGAGAAGAGTGGCTGGGGAATCAATTTCAACGCATTTGATGCGCTGAACCTGGTCGACAAGACCGGGCAGTCGATGCTGCAAGTCGCATATTCCAAAGAGTGGCAACGAAGCAGGTACCGATGACATCTTCAACCACCCGATCACCGTCTCTTTGTCTGCCTGCAGACCTGACCATCCGTTTTCAATAGAGAGAAAACCCATGAAGGGATAAAAGAAATCGTTAAGCCATTTGACTGGTCCTACAGTACCGACTACACTGGCACTCTCAGCCCCAGTGCGCCTCTGTTTGAGGAAACCACAAAGCCAATCCCAATCGAACTCTTAAAGCGCCCAGACCCGATTCTGTTTTTCGATGACGTTGTTCTATACGAGGACGAACTGGCTGATAATGGGATTGCCATGCTCTCCTGCAAGATCCGCGTGATGCCGGGCAGGCTTCTCCTCCTCTCAAGATTCTTCATGAGGCTCGATAATGTTCTCATTCGTCTTCGCGATACTCGTGTCTATGTTGATTTTGAGACTCGCGAGGTGATTCGAGAATACCAGTCTAAGGAGTGTGAATATGAGAAAGTCAGACAGGTATGGACCATTCGCTGCCGATGTCTATAAGATTTTGTTTTGTTGACCGCCTGTAGATGCTGGCCGGTACCCGGGATGATATCCCCGCGTTACTAAGAGATTCCAACAGATTATCGGAGTTGCTTCCTGTTGTCGCGAGGCGCTCGGAACGTGTTGATCTTGAAACTTGAAGCCGCAGAGGCGGGTGCTTGGCCTTGTCCAGACCTTCCTTTCGTTGACTGGATGGACTGTACTTCCCCGCAATCAAATCAACAAGAAAAGCAGAAGAAATGCCATTTTAAACACTACAATCACCGGGAAATGCAGTCATTGAAAGGCGCAGATACTGATTGGCCTTCTTCAGACATAACGAAGGTCAAATATGTGGACATATTCATGACACCAATTTTCTCAACTCAATCTCTGCATCCCCCCTCCCCCCCCCCCCAATAGTCTGATCAATGTCATGAAGATAGAACAGAAGATCTGTAAATAGACGAACTTAATCAGAACCTCACTGCGGTGAAGAAGCAGCCCACCACTATATTCTATAAAAAAAAAACACTGAGTAGATGGCAACATGAAGCTAGACATAGTATTTAAAGGCAATTATTGACAGCTAGACATAATATATTCGCATGCTCTCCTTTGTCTATCAGATCAAACCAGGAGCAGCACTTGTCACTCTGCTTACAATCCGCTGTCCGTTGATCGGCCCGTGGATGGACAATGGAATCGCCCGACCCGTCCACAAGAGGCAAACAGTGCAAACATGAACTTCATCTCCAAAAAAAGATAGGTCGTGTTCATCGAATGAGATAAAACAACGCAATATACGGGCAGAAAAATGTCTACTACACGATTGACCACATTGTGGGCGCGCGATTTTCGTGCGGCACAGAGCCAACGCCTTCAGGTACCATTTTGTGCCTTCCATCCTACTGCATCTCTCCAAGAACTAATCGAGTCTGGCAGTCATTCACCCAACGCGCATCTCTTTCTTCAAAGACGTCGCAATCCCTCTGCCAGGCGACTACTGGTCGTCAGGTGGCTTCGAAGACCCTCTCCACTTCCTTGGAATCTACACCTCGCTCCCTGCGCAGCCATGCGCGATCGTCCTTGACCCTTCCCAGTCGATCATACTCTCAGGGATCCGCCGTGTCTCGCCTGGCGAGGAGTGCAACGGCCCCCGGTGCCTCTGCCGAAACTTATATTGCCTATGGCATGACCCAGAAGCTATTTGAAGCTTGCTCGACCCAGGCGGACTACCAAATTCCTCAGGCGTCGCAGAAGGGCGTTCCCGTGCCTACCACGGAGTCGGGGGAGCACCTGGGCGTTTCAGACAGCTGGTGGTACAAAGGTTGGTGATTCCGTCTCGGGGTTTAGTTTGCTCATAGACATCTTCTATTCTGGATATACGTTTGAGGGGACGGTGACTAATTTGGGGCTTCTCCTTGTAGAATTGGGTCTTGCGCCGACGTTCTCTACCTGGTCGCAAATAACCTTCCTGCACATGTACCTTCTCACCGTCCGACTGCGTGCTCTTCCCAATCGGGAGAGCTTCCAGACTTACTCCCGTCACTTGATCGATCATTTTTCGCATAATGCTGAACATCGCATGGATGTCCTCCATGACCTGGGTAGCCGCTCGATTCGCAACAAGTATCTCAAGGACCTGTTCATCCAATGGCGAGGCATCATAGCTGCATACGATGAGGGCCTGATCAAGGGCGATGCGGTGCTGGGCGCTGCCGTCTGGAGAAACCTGTGGAAGGCCAGCTCGGCCGGCCCTGATGGGAAGGAAATCGATTGGACGAAGGTGGCCTGGGTGGTGGCGTACATGCGTCGGGTCCTGGCCGAGCTCGCAAAAATGGATGAAGCCGATATTGTCTTTGAACTTGGCAGTGGGAAACAGTCTCGTCTATTTGGATTCTCTGCTGTTGACCAGCGATTGGCCGAAGGCTCCAAATGAGATGAACGAGTATTTGGATTCGATTTGGCAGATGTACGAACAGCCTCAGATGCTTTGTCCTTTCTTCATTCTTCATTATTCTGTGTTATTAACGTTTGGCGGATTAGTCGTCGTGGTGCCTTCTAAGATTCGCCCTTTGCGAGGGTACCCAAGCCATGTACAATAGTAGCAATTTGATCAGACCACGCTCTATTCAATGTATCTTGTTCCCAGGTGGGAGCTTTTTTCTAACTAGTATATTATAGGGGAAGTATAAGAAAGTCAAGGCGCTTGAACATTTATTTTTTGCCAAACAGATCCTTCTCAACCATAGCTCGGCAGATGGGGTGGTAGAAGTCCTTGTACTTCTCGAAGGTTTCAAGAGCAACCGGGCGGTTGATCTTTTGGAGATTGCGGTACCTGAAAACTGTCATTAGTTTCCCTTGGGTTGAAGTTGGGGAAAGTGACCGGGATAACTTACAAGGGTCGCACAAACTTCATTCTTCCGATGCGGCCAAGCAGCTCTGTGGTGGGCTCAATAACCGATTCATCGCCGGCCTGCATACCCAAGCGAAGGTACAGGTTGGCCACCTCGATGTTCTCGCTCTTGACGAGTCCGTACACCTTGCCCATTAGCTTGGAAAGTTCGGCGCTCAGCGGCTTTTCCCAGAGCAAGATTTGTTCGAGGAAAACGACAATTTGGTTGGCGGTCAGACCCTCGAGGTCGCTAGCCTGGGGCTTGAAGGACGAGCCGGGGAGCGTCTCCCACTTCTGGGCCAGCGCATATACAACATCCACCAAGGACGTGTCGAACTCCGGCTTAGGAGGAAGGCCAGGGGCGTAGAACCATGTGTCCCAATCCAGCTCGTTCAGAAGCTTGGAGGCCTCGGCATCATCCTTGAAGAAATCCAAAATGGTAGCCTTGAACTCGTATGAATCTAGCGACTTGCATTTGAAAGTGGTAAAATACTAGGGAAGGATGTCAACAATGCAAGGGAAAAAAAAACGAGCTCCCGCATAATATACCGCAAAGCATGATGTGGGGGGGGGGGGGGGGGGGGGGGGGTATAAGCTCACGTGAGGAATGAACTTGTCGAACTTGGGTTTGCCGACGAGGTTCTCCAGATAGAACAGGAAGTTGAAACCCTTCTCATAAGGAATGCTCGAGAAAGCATCATCGGGATCTTTGCCCTTCAGGTCCGTGATCAACTTTGTGAACTCATGGTCGTGGCCAAAGTGCTCCACGGAATCCTTCAAAGCTTTCCAGCCGATAATGGCGGAAAAGTGGCGATAGGCCTCGCCATGGCTGCACCGATTAGCATCAAATGGTCGAATACACGGGCATTTTTGAGTACATACATGGCAGCCAGAATCTGAGGATGGGTTAGCATACTGTTCACAGGGATCAATCAATCGAGAAATCACATACACGTCGCTCCAGATAGACAGTCCAGCCTTCGTTGAGCCAGAAGTGCTCCCAGGAGGCATTGGTCACCAGGTTACCACTCCAGCTGTGAGCCAGCTCGTGGGCAATAACATCGATGTTCTCACGATCCTGGACAGTGAATTAGTTGTTGTTTTTTTTTCGCCACTAGCAAGGACAGAATTGCAAACGGTTTCCGATTAGATATCAGAGACGTAATACCTTAGAAATGATACTGGGAGTGGCGAAAGTGAAGATGGGGTTCTCCATGCCACCATAGGGGAAGCTCGGAGGCAAAATCAGCACGTTATACTCTCCCCAGACGTAGGGATATACAATTTTCTGGCTTGTTCATCAGTTTTGGTCCTCCTTCCTGTGGGTACCCTATGTCTTGTCAGGATCATCAAATTGGATCGGCCTACCTCGATGGTGTTGATAAAAGTCTCCGTGTCGGCCTCCAGCTCCCACTTGCATTCATCCAACTTGTCGGGGCTGGTGGCCACGACACTGCGAGGGCCAATGGGGGCCTCCGCAACATCACTGGAGCGAAGAAGGAAGCCGTTATCAGTGTGAGATCTATAAGAGATGGCCGGTGATGAGAGGATCTTTCCTTACCCGCTGGCAATGGCGAAGAGATAGCTGGGGATCGGGACCGACTGGTGGAAGCGATACAGCTGACTTCCCGATTGAGAGGCCATGGCCGACTGCCGGATGGGCAGGCCACTGGTCATGACGGGGAGAGGCGAGGTGATATTGAAATCAAAGGTGGTCTTGACATCTGGCGTGTCCTGGCATGGGAAGATGGACCGGGCATGGATGGCCTGGCATTGTGAGACTGCGTGACCGAGAGATCTGCATTAGCGGCGTGCACTCGCAAGAGACAGCGAGCACTGGGTGCTGCACTGGATGCTGCACAATCACCTACACATGTACGGATGCTTCTTGTTGGAGGTTTGAGCCGGGGTCAACCACTGCAGGGCGGTGCATTTGTCGGTGGTTTGCACGGCGATCTATAGGGCGAGTTGAGTCTGGATTCTTTGACCATCTGAGACGCGGCGGAAACGGAGGACAGGAAGGCTTACATCGACCTCAACGGTCCCGTTCAACTGGACATCCTTCTCGAGGATGATCTTGAGCGGCGTGCCGAAGGGGGCCAGCGACGGCAACAGCTCCCACTGGGTGGGCTTGCCATCCACCTTGATGGTGCCGATGTCGAGATAGCTGGTGTCCAGAATGATCTCTCGGGACTGGGCATCAGTGGTCGCCTTGAACTGGTGGACAACATTGCCGACCAGCTTCTTCTGGTCGAAGAGGATATCAAAGTTGGCAGTGATGTGGGTCGAGCGCCAATTGTTGTAGTTGCTTAGCGTATTCGGATCCCGCGGGGTGGTGGATGCCATGGCCATATTGCCGGGGAGAAAGCCGACGCTGACGGAAGATCTCGAGTGTGCAAAGAAACGTCCAAGTGGGCGACTGAAGACGCGATTCATCAAGTTTGGTTTCCAGTCTCCTAAAACGTAAAGAAGAGGGAGAAGGGAGGGGGCCGAAGTGGGTTTTTTTTTTTTTTTCGGCGTTCCGTCGTTGTTGTTCCGGTGCTAAGCGGGGATGGCGGTTTAGCGGTTACGACGGCTTCGACCATGATCTCTAGTGATCTACTGAAGCGCGTCGTATACTTTTCACGTCTAGAATTGCGTCCGGTGCATTGGTTCCGGGCAACTCAGGGTCAGATTTGAGGATCCCATTCTTGATTGCGACCAGTCATGTTGGACCAAACTCAATTTTGCTCCGGGTGTGATGCGAACGAGCCAGAGAGTATAGATCAGATGAGAGACCGAGACCAATGCGATATCTCAATGTTGCATGTCTATCTATACTTGGTCAAGGCAGTGGATCGATGGGGAGGGGTTGACGCGTTGGTAGGTTTGTTCTCTGGTCCCGTTTCTGTCTTTTGGGTTGCTCTGCCTTGCTGGCAGTGCTGGCAGTGCTGGCAGTCTGGAAAGTCTGGAAAGCCCGGAAAGTCCAGAAGTATATCGAGCCCCGAGCATCCAGTTCACGCCCGAGCCCAGCAAAGTCGATCGGGAGCGCTAAGGGAGTCTCCGTCACACCCCCTTTTGCCCTCCCTCGCGCCCTCTCCGCCTTGCAATCAACAAACAACCACCCTCGAACTCTCTTCCTCCTACCGTCTGCTCGGTCCGATCCCATCTTGTCCTTCGCGCTCGTCCGTTCACCTCTTTCTGTCCTCTTCACCTGTTCCTGCTCCCTCCCCCCTCCCCCCTCCCCCCACCCCGCATTCCCTTGTCTGCCCACCGCCCGGCACCCACGGACCACCCCTGACCCAGCGCGGGACCGCGGCCCCTGATTATTGTTCTCCTCGCACCACAATTGCGCGGCAGGGTTTTCTTTTCGTCTAGTTTCCCGGTCTTTCAGGTCTCGGCTCAGTTCTGTCGTGACCGCATCTTCCCTGCAAGGCTGTGCCTGCGCAGACTTTTTTCTTCCCATTTGTCGAGATCACGAAGCAATGCCTCTCCCGTCCACCTTGCGATAGAGTCCTTTATATCTCCTCCGAGATCGCCGCCAAAAGCCACCATGTGCTGAGATTCCATGTCATATCAAAAGATCCGCTCCGCCAGACCCAGACTCAGATTGGGACCCCGACTCAGACTCAGATCCGATATCACGACAAGCCACGGCCGTCCATTGAACTATGAAGTGAAAATACCCGGATTGGATTGACGACCACTCCCACTATTTTCCACCGAGTCATTACCACCACCTTCATCCAACGAATTCCCTCAGTTCTCGTGTTCTCAGGAGCACGGCTTCCCGATATCACTCGTGGGCCGACTCGCATCCTCAATGTCAGGTTTCGGCCGCTAATAACCCCCTCCCCCGTCCATCCATTCCCAAAATCGAAGCCTCAAAAATGCTACACCGCTCGGCCCTAGAAGATGAAGCCCGACCATTCCACCCCCGACGCCCGTCGGGTCCGTTTACAGAGGTGCCACCCGCCCCCCCTCCCCATCGCCCGGCCTCGCGTTCGTCACGGCCCGCATCCCGCAATCGAATGGTGAAAACTCCCGGGGCCATCCCGTCTACGGGGCTGGGAGTGGTCTCGGAGAACGGGACCGGGTTGACCCCGACCAGCCCCATCAAAGAAGGACTCGGGAGTGTGAACCGCTGGTCGCAGTCCACGACGTCGAGTAAGAGCCCTTCGGAATATACGAGTCACCGCCGAGGTAGCTCAAAAATGTCACTCTCCGGACACAGCCCACATCGGGGTCCCGGACTCGGCGAGCTTCCGGAATTGAGCCTCCCGCAGCTAAGAGCATCGGAAATGTTTTCCACTGACTCAACCGCCTCCCATCTCGATCTCTCCTTCACGGCCGCGAGCCATCTGTTTCAAAACTCGGCCCCCAATGACTCTCGGGGGCCCAGTCAGGCGTCGCATTCAGACCCGGCAATGTCGCGTATCAGTGATGGTGCTGTCTCCGGAGATGGAGAAGGCGACGCAGAGACCCGACAGCATGGTCAAACCCAAAAAGTGATGTTGTCAAAGGCCCTCCAAAAAGCCAACACCGCGGTCCTCCTCGACAATGCGGCCAACTTCGAAGGTGCCATGGAGGCTTACAGTGACGCCTGCCATCTTCTACAACTGGTCATGCTTCGAAGTAACGGAGGCGATGAAGAGAAGCTCAAACTCCAAGAAATTGTAGGTGCCTTGCCCCACCCAATTCATTCTGTTACCACGTCTTTGCCCTTCAAAATTGATAACAAGCACTCTCCATACTAATTGAATGACTCAGCGAGATACCTACATGATTCGAATCACCGAATTGGAACGCATGGACTTGCCTCTCCCGACACACGATGGGAAAGCGCTGCCTGAGCGTCCGCTGAGCCAAGAGTCGTATGGGGAATTACTCCAATCGTCTGCTCACGATGATTCTCATGTTGAGAGCGAGCATAGCTCGGCGCATTCCAGCCTGGCTCTTCAAGCAGCACTTGAAGAATCACGATCCTTGCCCTCGGAGGCAATTCCGCCTCGTCGTCAATCACTTCGACCCGCGGGTCCCTCTGGGCGATCCACCCCTTCAAGCCTCGGCAACAATCTGGCCGCCTATAATGGACAATCCACGGATACCCTGGCAGGCCTCGAAAGCAACGAGTCTACTTCATGGTTGGATACCATTGATGAATCTGGGGCCTCTTCTCCTTCCTCTGCGAATTCAAAGGCATCGTCTGTATATCTGCGGCGCCGGACGAGTCGTCGGATCAGCACGGATACCGAGGCTGAATTCGATGCGGCGCTCGATGCAGCCGTTGAGGCAGCGTATGATGATGGTCTCGAACCCGTCATGGAATACAAGGAAGAGGAAAGCGACGACATCGTGGCCAACGCTCGAAGGAACATTGAACTTGCCAAACAGCGTGTCCGAGAAGCTGAATTGGAGGCCGAGGCAGCCATGAATCGGGGCCGGGAGTTGCGCCATATTCAGGAACAACATGTTCTGGTGAACCCCGTGGGCCGCAATTCTGGTTATTTGGATGAGGAGGCAGAGGAAGAGGAGCGTCTGCTAGAAGAGATGACCAAGGGCTACGTCATGGACGACTTTGAATTTGGGGTCCAATCTAAATCGGCCCTGCCTCGTGAATCCGATTCTAGCAACATGTCCGGACGAACTTGGGAAAGCTCCGCCGCCTCAAACATCACGGGTACTGGCGCGACTCTCTCTACCCTCACTGAGGATGATGATGTGCTACCTTCTGAGAGCATCGAACGAGACCTGTTACCTTCCTCTCCTCCATCTGCCGCGCTACCTCCCGTGCCAGCATCTTCCGATTTCCCTGTCCTACCAACAGAACGTGCATCTTTCTCCAAACCTCCACCGCCTCCTCCCATGGGCCCGCCTCCCATTCCTGGCGTGCGAGCCCGCAGACTTTCCGCGCAGCCTGCTGCGGAATTAAAAATCGAGACAGGGACTCGTTCTCGCACAGAATCCAATGCGTCGAATCTGGATTCCTCCTCAACTCCCCTCGCCAGTCGACCACCACCACCTCCTCTTCCCAAAGACGAACCGTCTCAGGATCCACCCAGAGCTTCCACCCCAAGTCTAAGGCCCACTATGCACTCCTCAAAGCGCAATCCATCCGTTGGTTCGGTTATGGACAATATCAACCTTGCAAAAACTCGTACACAAGAAGACGACGAACCCGGGCTTCCGCCATTACCTGCCTCCGCACGACCCATGGGCAAGGTCCCCTCCGCTCCAGACGGACTGGACAATTCCAATTCCAATTCCAATTCCAAAGCGTTTCGGAATCGCAATGTGTCTGTTCCAACACCTGATACGGCTCCTGGCTCACCCACCACCCCGTGGAGTGGTTCCTTTCCCACACTGGATATCCAAAAAGCTGCGTTGGCAAGTAGCGTCCCCGTAATGCCCACCCCCACGGGTGCATACTTCACGCAAAATGGTCTTCCTACCGGCGGTCTCAATCTCTTTGATTGTGATATTCACTCGCCTACTGCATTGGGGCGCCCTAATTCTCTTGTGGCGAATGCCCCCCTCCCGCTTGAACCTTGCCCAGAGTCCTTCCTTCTTCGCCCGTTCTGGCTGATGCGATGCCTGTATCAGACGATTGCTCATCCTCACGGTGGTTATCTGTCAGCGAAACTCTTTATCCCTCGAGATGTTTGGCGCGTGAAGAATGTCAAAATCAAGGCACTGGAAGACAAAGTATCCAATTGCGATCTGCTGACAGCCGCCCTACTCAAACTCTCTCAGGTCGATACCTACGATGCGGACGCCGTGCTGGAGGAGATGCAGGCACTTGAAAGCGTTCTGGACCAAGTTCAAATGGCGCTATCTAAGAGATTGGGCAATGAAGTCGGTGTTCACACAGCCATACCACTTTTTAAACCGAATGCTGCTGCAGAAGATCCTGCTCACGCTGAACCTGCCCCGTCGAGAACTTCGGGTACTTCCAACAAGTCTTATCTTCAATCTTGGAAACGACTTCGCGCGAAGACTTCTGGTATCGGCACCACCAGCAACTCCTTCCCGAGTGGACGTGAAAGCAACAAAGAGAACCTTACACTTCACTCGGTTCCCATGACTTCTGGGCCCACGCCTCACACAAGACGCAATGTTACTTCACTTGAGTTCTCAGGCCCGAATTCACATTATATGGGGGCTTTGGCGCGCCTCTTTGATGCCGCCCAAGTATTAGGTATGCGTGAACCCACCCTTTTATCTGCTACATGTGAATTTGAATATTTTTTATCTCTCCTTTATACTGATGAACATAGATCAAATCGCCCACCAGGTTGAAGATCCTGGCCTCAAACACTCCTCCCCAACTCATGTTGGGTTGGAGCTCAGTACACGCCATGCGGCCGAGTTCTTCGGTTTCTTCGTATGTCGCTTTGCGCTGACCGATGTGGGCTTGATGCTTGATAAGTTTATCAAGCGGGGCAGCGAGTGGGTATTGATCTAAGCCACCATACAAGCAGCGCTATTCCATACGATAGACCTTTGTCATGGGTTTTTACCAGCCCTCATCCACCCCTGGCTTTTTTGCCACTGGCACCTTTAGGTCTTGCAAGCCAGTTTGATTCTCTATGCCTATATTCTGTTTTTGACGTCCATATTGACCCGCCGCCATGTCTTTTAAGATACCATGATTTGCCTCGTTCAGATATGATTCAAAGAACATAATTCTCATGAGATGGGATTGTATCTATTTGCTCTTTGCCTCATCTCTGTTTTCTTGTGAAACTTCGGTTTTGTCCCTCGATTCCCATTATACTCCACCTGCATCTTCTCCTCAGCTCATACCCGAGCAATGCATTTTATATGCAAGCTATGATGTTCAATTCTTTCACCTTTTTTGGCTTAAAGATAGAGATATACATTATGACGGATTTCAAAATGCTTATAACCTAGATACTAGGCAAGCGCAAAAACATATTGTTTGAAAAATTCCATCAATAATTCGTACAAAAACCAGACTAGATAGAAATCTGTTAAATGGTAATACCAGCGGACCGCAGGCATATTTGCCGTCGTCTTTCGGCGTCGCGGATGATCTCGGCAGAGAGCTTCAAACTCGGCGCTAGATGGGCGTAACTCTCAACTTCAGCAACTACACTGGAGATGATAGCATCAACCCTCAGAGGAGGTGGAAGTAGAGTCGAAAGAGTCGGCGACATGGTTGCACCCATGATCAATAGGGCCTGTGAGACCATCGACAATGCTCCCTGCCAGAGATACGGAAGGTGACCTTCCCGGTGGCTAGCGATGTGCTCCAGCTGTCGCACTGTCGCATCAAGACATCTTCGGCAGCATTCGCGCACGCCTGGATCGGCGCCGGTCTGCTCATTCTCAAATACGGCAAGGATATACGGACGATAGATGATCGTTCGACATGCGTTATACCGGAGTCTCAGTACTGTCTGTACCGGGTTGGAGAGCGGCCTCTGTGCGAGGGGAAATTGAACTGGCTGGGGCAAACTGTCATACCATTGCGACAGTTGGAAGTCCAGCTCTGAAACGATCGGCCCGAGAGATGACAGTGTATGCGAACTGTCTTTCTGGTAAATGAGATGACTGACTCTATTCAAGAGTCTCCGTAGAGCGATCTCGGCTAGAAAATACCAGAGCTCATCGCGTCCCACCAGGTCTTCCGTGAATCCACTGGTGCGGGTCTTATCCGCAATTCGATCTTCGTCCAAACCTTCGTCCTCGTCGTCGTCATCTTCTTCTTCAAATCCTCCAGGCAGGTCAACAATCTCCTCAAAATTCACGATGCCAGAGTGCGGAAGATCCAACTCGGCCAGAAGATCGCTTTCATACAACAGCGAGTTCCAATACACTCGAACACTTAGTTCTTTCCATTGTGCGGGAACCCGGCTCGGGTTGCCGAAGAGTAGCTGTAACTTCATGCTTACGTTGGAGAGCAAGGTCCAGGCCTCCAAGGGCCGCACCAAGTAGAACAAGTAGGCCGATGCGAGAATCATGCATTGGGTTGCGATAACAGAGTTGCGCATCATGATGGATGGTAGAAGGCTCCATGCTGCGGCAAAAAATGGTAGCCCTGGTGGTTCATGATCTGGTGGCAGGAATGCTATGCTACCATTCCGACTGGCGCTGCCCAGGGCCAGCACCAACAGGACAAGACAGCTAACAGGCCCATCTTGAAACCCCTGTGCAAGAGCAGCCCTATAGTATCGATTCCAGGTATATGGATTGACGCAGGCATACCATACGTTGGCATTGTGGAAGAACGCCTGCATATAGGCAGGCACATTGGCCAAGTCAAATCCGGAATTCGGGGTCAGCCGTAAGGGTTCGCGAGCCATCTCCAGCTGAAGCAAATTCTGGGGATCATAAGGCTCTGAAACCAAATCTCGGATAAGTGGCCACTGTAAAAGGTGCAACGCCGGGGTGGTGTGTACTTTCGGCATGGTTGATATGCTAATAGTTGGAGGCGGATTGACCCATGACCCAAGTCCCACTGCAGACATCTTCCCAGAGGCCGCTGCTGTAACACCGTTTACCTTGCCAACTGGATCCTCACTCCCTATCCCCGTATCGTTGCTAGTAGCAGGAGAGGTGGATGACAAGGCCAGCTGGGAAGTTCCTTGGCTTACCAAGCTGGAATGCAACAGACCTTCGATTCGGGCAAGGTGTTCCAGAATCAGTTTATCGCCCGCATCCAATTTGATACCGGGTTCTCGATACACGCACTCGGCATCAAGATCGGTGCAGAGTTGACATTTCGGGCGTGCTCCGTTACATCGCGTTTTGCGCAATCGACATATTTGACACTGGATTGAATGTTTCTTAGTTTCATCAATCAGGTTCACGGACTACAGCCCTTCCGAGAGACGCTTACAGCAATTGTTGCCCGTCTCCGTGGGTACTCCGTCGCCTCTGAGGTGGAGCGCTTTTTGTGGACTAGTAAATCAAGCTCACTCCCCACGACATGGTCAATGTCCCTCTCTGGGGGTGAAGTCATGATTTACAGTGCCAGGTCTCCGGGATATATATCAGAAGAGTGGGCGTATTGTTGACACCGGGGTAAATATTGAGTCCAAGCCCGGAGACGTATCATGCAACTCCGCTGCCGTATTCAATTCATAAGACCTTCAAGCATATCGGTGCAGACTTTAGCCATTGACTGCTGTAGCGAAGGATAATCTAGTGGGACACAAGTTTCACCACCAGAGATTCTGGGCTTCTGCGCATCTTCCAGAATTCAGGTCTCTTGTGGACAAGATCTGCTCGAGAAAAGTCCGGGGAACAGCGGGGCAGCCCATTGCTCACGATAACGTCGCTCCGTCCCAACAAGAATTGCCTAGTCTGGACTTGGTGGGGCCAGGGGGTCATTTCAGCGACAAATCACCGTTGAGTTAGCGATGCACTGCACACGGGGAAGTTGTCCGTGGTGGATTGGGCAGTCCGGGCTTGGGAGGTTCAGCGTCAGGCCCTTGCAAAGCTCGCCAACCACAGTACCCGGCAGGTACTTGGATGGAGCATGGATTGAATTTGACTAGCAGAAGTATTTTAGAGGTATTGGCCAAGTGCAGTTCCACAACCAAAGTTGCTTGGGCCGCGATAACGCTATCACACGTGGACGCGTCTTCCCCAAAACAAACGCGCTTCAACTTTCTTCTCATAACAGCTTTTGACCACAATCGACACCATGCCACGTCCTGCTCCCAAGCGAAACCGATTGACCAAGGGTCCCAAGACCGCCAAATCAACCGAATCACATCCCCCCGACGATACCAATGTTTCCAGGTCGTCGCCGGCGGCTGATCGCGCGTCCACTTTGGACCCGCGACATGCCCTTCGGAGCCAGACCCCTCTAAGCAAGAGCTATGAACAAGCAATCGAGTCTTCCCCGACAGGCGACCGGCCTGGTACGGGCAGTCGACCGGGAACAGGTAGTCGACCTCCAACGCGATCCCGTGGCTATTCGTCTACGCTCTCCTTCGCTGGACGCAAAGGCGACATGAGCACGCGCATTCCCGGCACACCTGGATTTGAGAGCTCGGTCCTCAGCAATTTTCGACGTCGACCGCGACAGCAAAGCATTCTACAAATGATGCAGGCAGAGGATGACTCGTCTGACCTAGATGACGAAGACTTTCTCGGAGGGCTAAGTCCCCAGGATGAATCTACCCCACTGAACCTCTCAAAAGGTAAATCGTTGCTTGTGAGACAAGGGGAGCAGTCGCCGTCGCCGTCGCCGTCATCCGAATCACTTCCGGCGTCGGGTGGATCGCGAAAGCGCAAGCGCGCTGAAGAAATCCAAGTGCCCCAGTCGCCCTCCGAGATAGTCGAGGATACCCCCAACGCCACGCCAGTCCCTCATGTTTCGCAGCCAGATGTATCTGAACATACTCCTCAACCTCTGAAATTCCCCGGTGTACTCAGTCAGACGATGTTGCCCCCTGACAGTAGCCCTATGAGCTCCATCGCAACAGCACCACGATCCCCGCTAGCCATTCCACAACCAGCCCCGAGGGCCAGAAAATCAAAGGACCCTGTACACTTGTCCACAGCTGCACTCCAAGAAAAATTGCTTCCTCGGCGACGACATCGTCGCCAGAATCACGCAGTGGATCAATTCGACCTCCCAAGTGACGATGATAATAGCGTGCATGATGCAGCATCTGGTGACGAGGACGAGTTGAGCTATCAGCCGACACGAAGGTCACGGAGAGCACCGAATGACAAACACAAGCCTCTTGCCAATGCTCAAGACAGATCCAAGCTCAACAATCAGAAGCAAAAGAAGACCAGGGCCAAGTCCGATCAGCCACCGAAACCGTCAGAAACCAGAGCGCCCGTGACATACTCGGGATCGCGCCAGAGTGGGGGTTTCGACAAGGAGAACGACGTGCTCTCGTCGCCCACCTCCTCGCCATTATCGTCGCCTCCCGATTCCGAGGTATCTGATTCTGAACCCGAAATCCAGCCGCGGCGCTACATGAGCGAAGAGCTACGCGCCGCTGCCAAAAAGTTTGCAGAGGTCGACCGGTGGCAGATGGAATTCGAAGAGGTCTCGGCGTCCGAGGCCTGAGGGAGTAGTGGGTTGAGCCTATAGAGTGGTGGAGGGTAACGATGAAAATATATCCCCAATTATTTTGTGAATCGACGAGAATGCGTAATGAGTGAAATTGTGTCCAGTCCGTGAGTAGCCGGCCTTCTGTTGCATTCTTCGGCCCCGCAGTGAAAGGCGACGTAAATAATTCGCGGCCCCGCGACCATTATCTCTCCGCAACCCCTCGCAAACCCCTCCTTCCTGCCCATCATGTCTGGAGTGGACGCTATCCTGGCCGCCAAGTATCCGGCGAAAGCCCATGCGCGCCGTGTCGCTGAGGTCCTCAAGGCCAAACATGGCGACGCGGGCGCCATATACCTGGAGGCGCAAAAAACTCGGCTGATCGAGGACAACGACGAGGCAATGCCGTTCCGGTACGATTCCGACCTGATTTTCGACTTCTTTGCGAGATCTTTTGACGTCAAGCGAGATTGAATATCGTTACTTGTGCTGATTCGACCCTAGGCAACGTCGCCCCTTCTTCTATCTCACGGGATGTCTGGAGCCCGATGCGTCCATGGTCTACGATGTCAAAAAGGACGAGCTGACCCTGTTCATCCCCCCATCGACCCGGAGTCCGTCATCTGGTCCGGTCTTCCTTTATCCCCTGAGGAAGCTGTGCATCGTTATGATATTGACCGTGCTCTGTACACAACGGATGTCAATGATACCCTCGCTGCGATCTCCTCCGCGCAGAGCGGAAACACTGTCCTCTTTGCAATTGACGAGCAGGTATCGGAGGAAGTCAAATTTGAGGGCTTTGCTGAATCCAATCTTGCAGTTTTGAAGACTGTGATTGGAGATGCCCGTGTCGTGAAGGACGCATACGAGGTTGCCTTGCTTCGAAAGGCCAACGATATCTCCGCGCAAGGACACATTGCTGCCATCAAGGCAAGCAAAATAGCCACTAATGAGCGCGAGGTTGAGGCAGCCTTTATCAACACCTGCATTGCGAACGGAGCTCGAGAGATGTCGTATCACCCCATCTTTGCGGGCGGTGCCAACGGCGCTACTCTCCACTACGTCAAGAATGATGAGAGTCTGACGGACTCGACGACTCAGAAGCGAAAGGGGAACCTTTTGATTGATGCCGGTGGTGAATACCAAACGTACTGTGCAGATATCACTCGAGTTATCCCGCTGGCTGGCAAGTTCCCGCTGGAGACCCGTCAAATCTATGAGATTGTGCTGGAGATGCAGAAAGAGTGTATTGCTGTCCTGAAGGAAGGCGTTCTGTGGGATGATGTACATGCTTTGGCCCACCGCATCGCGATCAAGGGATTGCTCAAGCTGGGAATTCTGCGCGGCTCCGAGGAGGAGCTCTTCGAGAAACGTGTCAGCGTTGCTTTCTTCCCGCATGGTCTAGGTCACTATCTTGGCATGGACACCCACGACACGGGCGGCTATCCCAACTACGATGACAAGGACAAGATGTTCCGGTACCTGCGGGTCCGTGGCAATCTACCGGCCGGCTCTGTGATCACGGTCGAGCCTGGGGTAAGATGATTCCTATGCGCAGCCGGATTGAGTAATGCAATAACTAACCCCACACCACAGATCTACTTCTGTCGTTTTATCATTGAGCCAGTCCTGAAATCCCCCGAGCTGAGCAAGTACATCGACGTCGATGTGTTGGATCGCTACTGGAGCGTTGGAGGCGTGCGCATTGAAGACAACGTTCATGTCACCAAGAACGGTCCTGATAACCTGACTTCTGCCCCGAAGGCCATTGAGGAGGTTGAACTCCTAGCTCAATAGAAGGCCGGTGCAAATGGATTAAATTTGTGACGTTGCGGGAGCGGGGAATAGTGTCCCTAGCGACTAGTCCACGATTCTCTGAGTGCGCCCGGCACGGGTCATTTCTTGGCCTGGATTATGACATGGAAAAGGAAAATTCTGGTAGCTCTTGGGGAAAACATTTTGGGTATCAGTTCAGGAACATGTCATTTGCACAATGATGAGTATTGTCCAATCGTGTTTTACTTGTCGGCTGCTCTCAGACGTTTCCGTCCCCTTGGACTTGATTCTGTCTCCGACTGGCCAGGCTTCTCCCTCCGATCCATCAACATTGTCAAAACATCAAATGTAAATTCCGGTACTTCATGACACAGTTTGGCCCAATCCTTTTGGATCTCATGTAGGATATGGCCTCGCGAAGCCCAGTATGAGGCAACAGGCTTCCGAATGGCAATTTCATCTTTTGTGGTATGGGCGTAGACATATCTGGCGTATGCCAACTCGCCCTTGGGGGTGTCCTTGATGTGGTGGATCTTAGTATGCACCAGGCTCTTCAAGGCTGGCATGCGCAATGTTTCTGCCAGTGTGTAAATGCGCTCATGCTGCAGCAACTCTTCGCCACTCTGATCGAAGTCGCCCTCGGGTACCTCCGACCCGGAGGGTCTGTCTTGCTTTTTAACAGTGTAGTCACGCGTGTACTGGAACTCAAGGAAGGATACGAACGCCTCGACATCTTCATCGGGAAGGTTGATGCGATGCTGGAAAACGGGGTCAGTCTTCGAGAGCAAGCAACAGAAGACGAGCAGGAATCTTACTGGAGAAGAGTCCTCAAACTTGTATATGAATTTGGCGAGATATGGTGAGTCCAGCAGAAGGTTTTGGTGAGCGTTGAGAATCGTTTCGTTGTCACCTTGACCGACGACAATCTCAACGCTCGGGGATGTCAAAAGGCTGATCAATGTAAGTAGATTGTTTTCATACTCCTCGTTTTCGTGTTATATCATGTAAAAGTGCTAGATGTCACCTTGACAAGGCCGGAGAGGGTACGCAGAGTTGGGGAGAGTGTCTTACTCAAGGAAGTTGAAGGCGGTCTTCTTCGCCGGACTTCGAGATCCAGATCCCGCTGGCGCATCCGAAAGAATGCCATCATTTCCTGGGGTAACAGCCTGCTGCGATTGCTCCGGCTGTTCCTGATTCAATGTCGCCTGTGTCCTGCCCATTGCGACCTCATTCGGGTTTCCATGGGTGGCCGCATCCATGTTCGCCATGTTAGCTTTCTGTCCTGTAATTCGGGTTGGTTGGATCCTGAAATTCAGATTTGGGGCTAGTCTATGTCAATGGGAGAATGGGAGTGGACAACTGAGAGCTCAACTGAGAGCTCAATTGAGCTCTAAGATAAAATTCATGGTATCGGAAGGTGAGGGGAAAACTGGGGATGTGAAGTCAGGCAGAGAAGCTGGCCGCGGTTATGCCAGAATGCGGACTGAAATTCAACCTCACAAGCACAATAATCAAATAAACCAAGGGAAGGAGAAGAACAAGAGGCTCAACTTTGTTTATTTACTAGAGCTCGTCTTTGCGAAACTTTATCATTCTATCATCTCCCGCTGACATGTCAGCTTATCCAACCTCTGACAGTTTCTTGGACACTCGACAATAGACAGTCTCTATGCAGGATCTTCACCATCTCCGGCTCATCTCTAGCTCGACATAAGCTGCCGATATACTGCACGTCGTTCCACCTCCGCCCAATCGATCGTCCAATCCCGAGAGCGTGATTGATGTCATCCGTTTACTTCCTCGGTTTGCCACTATAGATCCGAGCCACCCGAGCCGCTTCTCAGCCCCGTAAAGAGGGTCCAAAGAGAGCTAGCCGGGTACATGAATGAAGCTGGCTAGCAGCTCAAGACACCAAAAGAAAGCTGACCTCTCTCTGACGGCATGAACGGTCACCCAAACAGCCAGGCAGATCTATTGCAAGGGCAGCTCATGTCAACGTCGTCTGGTTTGACTAATAAAGAGCAAGACCGTGAGATCTTGGGTCAGCAACGGAGTATACCAGTCAAGTTCCAGGAAACAAACCAAGCAGGTCAGTATCTGCTCACGTCCGAAGATGCCGCGCTCTTGCAAGAGATACTCCAGCATACTCTTCATGTCGAGAGATCCGGGGCGGCAGTGAAGCGGAGCTTTCGCTTTCGAGATCTCGAATTCACTCGGCAACTAAGCACCTTTGATCGCCAAAATCCGACCTTCCACTCCTCCCAGTTCCACGGCTTCTTTACCCTCTTCTGGCTAGGGGTGACCTTAATGCTTATCAAGGTCGCTGCCAATAACTTCCGAGCGTACGGGACTCCCTTTGGAAAGAATGAAATCATTCAGCTCATGTTGAGTCGTGATGTGCTGGTTCTCGGCATTACGGACTTCATTTTGTGTTGGTCTACTCTGTTCTGCCTTGTTCTTCAGCAAGTAATCTTCCGAGGGTATCTACATTGGAGTCGATCTGGGTGGATCGCTCAAAATGTGAGTATTAGCGGCCCCTCGAAAAAGAAAAGTATTTTAAAATCAGACGTTCTCTAGAATTCTTTCTAATCCAAATGACCGTGAAAAACTAGATCTGGCAGACGGCATATCTTGCTGGCTTCATCTGGTGGACATACCATCGTGATTGGCCTTGGACACATACGGTCTTTATTGTCCTGCATTGTTTAACAATGTTGATGAAGCAACATAGCTATGCTGCCTACAATGGTTACCGTAAGTTAACTTCAAATACACCATCGGCTACTTATTTCTAATGCACATGACAGTATCCGAGCTGTATCGAAAGCGACAGCTGTTTAAAGATCGTCTCCATCGGCTCGAGAAGCATGTCAGTGACAGCTTCACAGGGACAGCGAATACCTCATCCGTGTTCTCTAGTGCTGGTCTGGATTCCGAGATTACATCCCTCAGGAAGCAGAACCGGCGACGCAGCTCTGCAGACTTTAATAATTTCCATGGGACCCGGAATACCGATCACCTTCTGTCGCTCTCCGAAAGCATTGAGAACGGCACACCGTTGGAGCCGACTCAAATGATGTCCCTGAAGTCTCTTCTAGAGAAGGAGATTGAACTTTTGTCTGAGGGACTTCGGGGTCAATTTTCATCTGCCAATCACTATCCCAAAAATCTGACAGTCCACAACTTCTGTGATTTTGTCACCCTGCCTACTTTGGTTTACGAGCTAGAATACCCTCGCACAGAGAAAATTGACTGGGTATATGTTGCTGAAAAGACCGCGGCCACATTCGGCACTATCATGGTTATGATCGCCGTGTCTCAATATTGGATCTACCCCGTCGTCATGCAGACCCTGCGCATGAAAGAAGAAGGTTTGACGGTACAGCAGAGACTACAGGAGTTTCCCTGGGTCTTGAGTGATCTGCTATTTCCATTCATGATGGAGTATCTACTAGCTTTCTACGTCATCTGGGAGTGCGTGGTGAGTACATTGCCTTTGTCCTAGTCGGCTTTCTCGAAACACGGGTCTAATATCTTGCCTAGCTCAATGCATTAGCCGAAATTACCCGATTTGCAGACCGTGGGTTCTATGCCGACTGGTGGAACTCGGTCTCCTGGGATCAATTTGCCCGCGACTGGAACCGCCCGGTGCACAGCTTTCTGCTACGGCACGTCTATCATAGCTCCATTAGTACCTTCCACTTGTCGCGGGTTTCTGCCAGCTTAATAACATTCCTGCTATCGGCTTGCGTTCATGAGCTCATCATGCTCTGCATCTTCCGGCGTCTGCGGGGCTATCTGCTAATCCTACAGATGTCCCAGCTCCCCCTAGTTTCCCTGAGTCGAACACGCTTTATGCGGGACCAGAGGCTGGTGGGGAATATCTTCTTCTGGCTAGGGATTTTTACTGGCCCCAGTCTACTCTGCAGTCTGTATCTGATCATTTGATTGTTTGACGTCTGATGTCTGATATACTCGGATGTGCTCAGACAGACTAGATGGACTTGCCGTTCGATTCTAGTACGCTCTACTTCTCCACAATCCACCTGCCATGGCTTCGTGGAGCAAATCCCGAGAAGATAGCGTTGAATTACAGGCAAACAGATCAATATTTATCTCCATAGACCACTCCATTGCGGGCAGCACAAGTGTCGCCACCCATCTAGATCCATGCGGCTGATTGCACCCCAAAGCGGGCATCCTGGTGCTGACAGATGATATTGGTCACCATTTCACCCACGCCCAACTGATTGCGGGCGAGCTGGCGGCCCACGGCTACTTCTTCGACATGCCAGATCTGTTCCACGGAGACCCGGCGCCTCTGAGCCGCCTGGAGGACTACGATCTGATGGGATAGTTGAAGGGGTACCTACCCAACCGTGTGGATCCTGTCATTCAAGGCCGTATTGCAGGGAATGAAGTCTGTCATGGGCTGGGAGCGGATTGCCGCCATCGGATATTGCTTTGGAATAATCCTTGATCGATTCCCTGACCACTGTCCGTGATACTAGAACTGACATTACCTCATCCACGCAATAATCAGCCAAGTATGCCGTCCGTTCGCTTCGACCGGGTAACTGTGAGGTCGCCTACGTGGCTCATCCGTTTTGTCGAGGAGGCCGCCTTCGCTCAGGCCGTGGCCTGGTTCAACTAGTACCTCTAATGCTCAGATATATCTATGAATGGAATTGGCTTGTGACCATTGATTCGGCCCTCCGTATTTCTGGAAGATCCCACGTAATTTCTCATAATGTAACAATCAATTCTCTTATTTTGGAGTTCGAGCTATACCTCTCGTTCGCCATGATTCAAGCAGTGGGTGTACATGCATCACAAGAAGACAGAAGCACAGAAACATTGCAATATTCGCAAGCCACATCCTATTCATATGAAAATTTGAGAGAGGCAACCCATGCGGACTCTTTAGGTGACTCCCTGCTCTTCTGAGCCTTTGAGGGAGGTAGGGATATGCTGCTTGTTAACGGGAGAAGTACGGAGGTTCATGCTCACATCTTCTCGTGCGTGGCCATGAGTGAACCTGTTCCATGTGATCAGTAATCGAAAACATCTCACGACGTTAAATAGAAAACAGGGAAGTATGGAAGACATACCAATAAAGGTGGTCACAAGGCGAGACCGCACTTGACAAATATCCTCCGGCACCAGCCAGATGGTGGCCCCCATCTTTCTCGCAATGCTGATGCTAAGCTTGGCATTGGCATAGGCTTCTTCATCGGTTCGGCCGGGCGTCACCAGATCATAATCCACATAGCTGCTCTTCATGCCATTCAGGACGTCTAGGAGGAACAGGCCAGAGCCGATGGATTGGTCCTTGAAGCTGCGGATCGTAGACGACCGACCGCCACTCTTGGACATATCGTTTGCCCAGCGAATCATTTCCGCATCGGTAATTTCTCGCTTGCCCAGACGCTGAGCCAGCGCAGACAAGGTTCGAGTAATATCGCGACGCATCAACTGCCACACCAGCCCCAGAGTCAGAGTCCGCTGGCCATCGGTGATATCAGCCCCTTGAACACCAACCAACGAGAAGCCGTGATGCTTCCCCAGCTCGATAGTATAATTAGTGTTCTCCACCGCCTTGAATCGCATCAATTCGCCACCCGACGCCGGAGGCTTGTTCACATGTCTCCAGTTGACGCTGCCTGGAATGACTTTGTCGTAGGCCTGCAGTAAGATGAAACCATCGCGCAAGTCATCAAACAGGGAGTTGACAGCCGGTTGCACATCCAGAGAATTCAGCCAAAGGGTGAAGACACGAGCCTCACGCTCACCTTCGGCATCAAAGTCCTCCACCTCCAGTTTCTCCTCCTCGGTGATGGGGTCCAGACCAGGGTGGGTGTTGAACAGATTGGCGACAAATGCGAGATTCAGCTTAGGGTTTCCAGCAACGAGGGAGGTGGGGGTCAGGAATTTCCGGCAGTCCAACTTCTCTGCATTGGTGAGAACTTCCTCTGCACGCTGAAGCAGATCCCGAGTCTGCAGAGGGCTACGGGAGCACACATCCGGGGCCAGCTGGTTCAGCAGAACCGTGTAGTTTTCACCGTCCTTCACATCAGTCGAGAAGTTGGTTACCCTGTACCAACAGACATATGTTAGCCTATGGCCACCATGCGCCAATCGTCGTCATCAACGATACTTGCTTACCGTCGTTCCCACTTGGCATTCTTCAGGTGGTAGTTGAACCAACGGAGCAGAATCTGCTCTGGCGGCAATCGCAGAAACTGCTCCAGAGTCTCGTCATCTTCGAGGAGGCGGTACAGTTCCGGGTGGAGCTTAATGTCGATCTTACCCAACAGGCCCCGGCGGATGATTTGCCAAATTAGACCGAGAATGAGATGCTCTCGGACTTCGATGATATCTCCGCTTCCGATGTTGACAACGGAGCACCCAATACCCTTGGCAGAATTGATGACGATGTTGTTGTTCTCGGTCATGTGGAAGGCATTCAGTTCCTTGATCTTCTTCCCGGCCTTGTTGAGGACACGCTCGTCGATGGTATCGGGCACGCTGTCATTGATCAGCTTCGCTAGGACCAGGCCATCCTTGCACTTGTCGAACATCTCGAATGTGTCGGTCGGGAAGGGTAGTAGGTGGCCCACATCCGGGTCGCCTGCTAGAACAGCATTGATGTGTCTCGTGAACTCCGTTCGTTCATCCTCGTTGATGGTGTGGGTGACGTTGGCCGAAGAGCCCTGGACGTGGATGCGGCCGCCGACGCTGCCCTTGGAAACATGGCGGGATCCGCCTGAGCCGGCGCCCGCGCCAGCTCCCGCGCCTTGAATCACAGCCGCGGGGCTCGATGCGCCGGGGGCGCCGGGGGCTGGCCCCGAGCGCAATCTTGACACAAGCTTTTCTGATAATTAGCATGTCGAGACTCCCTCAATCGCGAGAATGGAAAGAACACCTACGTCGATATAGTCCTCAACCTCAACCCGGCGCGAGCTATCGAGCTCCACACCCTTGAGGGTCTGGCGCACCACATCGTACGGCTGTCGCTCTGACTGTTGGGTTGCTTTGATCACAGAAGCTTCGTCCAGGTAACCACGGTCATCGACGTCCAGCTTGTGGAATGCGTCTTGAAGGGCAAAGATTTCGCCCTGGTCCAGCTGCGGGAATCGCCTGTGTACACCCCAGCATCAGCATCAATCCCTTCTTCGTCTACGAAACATTGAAGGAACTCACTTCTGCAGCTTGAGGACGTTCATCTTAGGCGAACGGGTAAGGGAGGGTGGTCAGTCGCAGGTGGGACGTGAATCAGAACTTGACGGTCGGGGGAAGGGGGTAGTGGTTTGTGGTGGTAGTGGGGGAGGAGGGGGGGGGGACGGAGGAAGAGGGGAGGAAAGGGAAAGTTGGAGAAGGGCGGGAGGAGAGAAGGTACGGGCAAAGAAAGAGCAGGAGGAGGATGGAATTGGGTTCCCAAAGGCAGCAGGTTTCTAGACCCTTCAAGGCATCGAAATACGGACAAGAAATGGTCCAGCACGTCTAGGACGTGCTACCTGACACGCCATTGAGTTGGTGGCGTACCGTGTGTACTATGAGTACCGAGTATACCGAGTATACCGAGTTTAACAGAGGTTTCTAGAGCTCCCAGTGTATGGAGGGTATTGAGGATACGGTAACGTATGGAAGCAGGCCCCCCTTTAATGGGGGCGGCACTTTACAGCTAGTTGCGGGACGGTACCTGGTAGATACTTGGCTGTTTGCGTATATTTTCGTATATAACTTGGGTACATTTTGTGTATTCTGTATCGGGGCAATACGTCTTTGAGGCGCAGTTGACCCATATGACGTCATGGTATTGGTCGCTGAGAGAAACGACTGAAAGGGGTCTCGATACGAATACGCGTAGAAAGAAAAGAGAGACGGAGAGAGAGGGAGGTAGAAATGACAACATATAGGAAAAAATATAGAATTATCTAGATATATATCTATGCAGTAGATAGATAAATATAGATATAGATATATACAGCTTAGCTCCAGAGCCCGGGATTGAGGAGCAAAGAGAGTCAAATGGGCAAGAATCTCACACTAGGCAGACGCGGATGATGACCATCTGCTGACCAGAGTGACATCTGTGACTTTATCTCCTACGATTGATGAATACCGATAACGTTCGATGGTATCTTGAGATACATTTATATCTATGTCTATGTGATTCGCCTTTGTTTCAATCCGAGGGTCATGGGATGGGGTAGATATATATCGATATCACGGACATGATCGATTCCGAGCTGGTGATAATATTCAATTCATTGATGACATGCCCCTCTCCCTCTCTTTACCCCCCCCCGTGTGTTTATATTTGTCCATACACATACATGTATGCATCACAGAATGAATACATCACATACAACAATGTAGACGTGGATTTATACACACCCCATGAATGGACCGGAAAAAATCATGGTTTAAAAAAAGCATCCTACCCCCGAGGAGGTCCGTCGAGGGATATCAATGTTAATCACACCAGCAACGGCTGGTGAGTTCTATCGAGAAGGCTCGTACGGCCGGGCCGAATGACGTACAGAAGCCCGCCAGTTCTTGTCCTCTTTAAATTCCGTCATGCGGGGAAGCGAACTGCTGTTGACTTCCTCGACACCACGCCGAGATCATGCACTCCTCATCAGCCACCACGGACAGAGATCGGGAACAAGGAATCAAGATTGCCATTGATGTATGAATAAACTTTCAGACTTCTCCAACCTTCCCCCCTACCCAACCCGCACCTGTCTCTTCCTCGCTGATATCCTCTCAGAGAGGGGGAACCTTCACTGATTGTGTGGGCAATCCCGGCACTGGACGCCTAGAAGATGACATTGTGATCAAGCTGCTATCAGAAGATCCTGCAAATTATGAAGATGCCCCCTGGAAGGCATCCGTCGCATCCTGTCCCAGTTCACAGGCCGTGAGATCCCCCGGGGGGAACCGATCGACACATCGCTCATCCAGAGCATTCGCATGGGCACCACGGTGGCAACAAACGCGCTCCTCGAACGCAAGGGAGAAAGAATTGCCTTGGTGGTCACCAAAGGGTTTCGAGACTGTCTTGAGATTGGGAATCAGTCCCGACCAAGAATCTTTGATCTCGCCATCAAACGACCTCAGATGCTCTACGAGGAGGTGGTAGAGGTGGACGAGAGAGTCACACTGGAAGACTATGCTGAGGATCCTCGGCGCACTACCACGGCGGCCCCCCCACGAAACCAATCAGGGTCTGAGGCCGAACTCATTCGCGGCCTTTCTTCAGAGGTCGTACGTATCCTGAAACGTCCCTCGGAAATCCAAGTCAGGTCCCAGCTGCAGAAGGTATATGACAAGGGAATCCGGAGCATCGCAGTATGTATGATGCATGGATACACCTTTCCGGACCATGAGGCATTAGTAGGGTCGTTGGCATCTGATATTGGCTTTGAACATGTGAGCTTAAGCCACCAGCTGACGCCGATGATCAAGCTTGTCCCACGGGCGACCTCAGCCTGTGCGGATGCCTACTTGACCCCGACAATTAAGAGATATATATCAGGATTCCAAGCCGGATTCAAAGGAAGCCTGGGAAGTGAAAGTGTTCAACGAAAGGGAGATTCCCGGAGTGCTCGATGTGAATTCATGCAATCCGACGGAGGGTTGGTTGATGTGGACAAGTTTTCGGGGCTAAGAGCAATCTTATCCGGGCCAGCTGGAGGTGTTGTGGGCTATGCATCAACATCCTACGACCCCGTGACCCAGATCCCTGTCATTGGATTTGACATGGGCGGCACTAGCACAGATGTGAGTCGTTACGGGTCAGGTAGTTATGAACATGTGTTTGAAACTACCACGGCAGGTGTCACGATACAGTCCCCTCAGCTAGATATCAACACGGTCGCTGCTGGTGGCGGCTCTAGGCTTTTCTACCGCAATGGGCTTTTTGTAGTTGGACCGGAATCTGCAGGAGCTCACCCGGGACCAGCATGTTATCGCAAAGGGGGACCGCTGACTGTGACCGATGCCAACCTGTTCCTCGGAAGACTGGTCCCAGAGTTTTTCCCCAAGATCTTTGGCTCTCATGAAAATGAAGGTCTAGACAAAGAGACCAGTCGGCGGCTTTTTGAAGAAATGACACGGAATATTAACCGAGACATCGCCCAAGGGGAACAGAGCAAAGAAATGACCCCAGATGAAGTCGCTTTTGGCTTCATCAAGGTTGCAAACGAGACTATGACGCGGCCTATTCGCTCTTTAACCGAGGCCAAGGGACATGATACCTCAAAACACCGCTTAGCAACCTTCGGAGGGGCCGGAGGGCAACATGCGGTGGCAATTGCTGAAAGCCTTGGAATTCGACAAATCCTCATACATCGCTATTCGTCTGTTCTCTCTGCATATGGTATGGCATTGGCGGATGTGGTCGATGAAGCCCAGGAACCAGAGTCTAAGATTTGGAACGACGATAGTATGATTCGACAGGAGCTCCAGGAGAAGATGCAAGAACTCAGGAAGAGATCAAAAACAAGACTGCAAGAGCAAGGATTTGAGAATGATTCAATCGTCTTTGAAGAGTACCTGAATATGCGGTATAGAGGTACGGAATCCACCCTCATGATCTTGAAGCCCAAGAAAGAAGAGGCCAAAGCGTTATTTGGTGGAGACGAATGGGCCTTTGGCCAGGCATTCATACGACAACATGAACAAGAGTTTGGCTTCACACTGCCAGATCGGGATGTCATCGTGGATGATGTCCGTGTGAGAGGAATCGGAAAGAGTTTCGAAGTCTCCGAGAAAACCATCGATCTGCAGCTTCAGGAATCAAATCCCAAGGATGTTGTTGGTCGTGAATATGGAGTATCTCAAGTATATTTTGAGGGCGGCCGGCATGAAACACCTATTTACAAATTGGATGATCTGGGAATCAACGATCGGATTAAAGGTCCAGCTATTCTTGCCGATGATACACAAACAATCGTGGTGACACCCGGTGCTTCGGCTCTTCTTACCAAAACCCACGTTGTCATTAACATCGGGGAATCAAATAGCTCTACTTCTACGGTCAGCAGTGAAGTAGTTGATCCTATCCTGTTGAGTGTCTTCTCGCATCGATTCATGGCTATTGCAGAGCAAATGGGACGTGCCCTGCAAAAGACGAGCGTGAGTACCAATGTTAAAGAGCGATTGGACTACTCCTGTGCCTTGTTTGATTCTAATGGTGGACTTGTTGCAAATGCACCTCATCTGCCGGTCCATCTGGGAAGCATGTCGACCTGTGTACGGATGCAAGCTCGGATATGGCAAGGAAGATTGAAGCCTGGCGATGTGATTGTATCAAATCACCCGGAGTTTGGTGGCACTCACCTCCCTGATATCACAGTTATTCAGCCTGCCTTCGATGAGGGCAAAATCATCTTTTATGTTGCCTCAAGGGCACACCATGGTGAGTGGCCCGTCTTCAGGCTAAGATCAGTATGTTGAGTTAACGCCATACTTCAAGCTGACATTGGCGGAATTCTGCCTGGGTCTATGCCGCCCCACTCTAAAGAACTCTACCAGGAAGGGGCAGCAATCAAGAGCGAAAAGCTGGTATCAGAGGGAAAATTTAACGATGAACGTATTACAGAGCTATTGTATCACGAGCCAGCTCAATATCCCAATTGCAGTGGAACTCGATGTCTCGCCGATAATTTGAATGATCTTAAGGCCCAGATTGCGGCTAACAAGAAAGGAATCAGCCTCATTAGCGCCTTAATCGAGGAATATGGTGAAAAGATCGTTTTGTTCTACATGAGCCAAATCCAGGAAAATGCAGAGCTCAGTGTGCGCAATCTACTAAAAGAGGTCAGCGAGAAGTTTGCAGGTCGTGACTTAAGTGCGATAGACTACATGGATGATGGGACTCCAATTCAATTAAAGATATCAATTAACGAACAGAAGGGTGAGGCAGTGTTTGATTTTGCTGGAACGGGACCAGAAGTATACGGTGGGTCTTTTGGATCGTTCACTCATTCTGAAGAGAGGATCTAGACTGACAAGACTAGGCAATACCAACGCTCCGGAGGCAGTCACATATTCTGCGATAATTTATTGTCTACGTTGTTTGATATCTGCAGATATACCGCTGAACCAGGGATGCTTGAAGCCAATTGATGTCCGTATTCCTCCCAGAAGCCTTCTCTCCCCTTCTGAATCGGCAGCGGTGGTGGGAGGGAATGTCTTGACAGTAAGAGGACCCTGTTTTTCTTACATGAGGCAAGATTTTGAACTGAAATACTTGACCCTAGAGCCAACGTGTGACCGATGTCATCTTGAAGTGCTTCAAGGCCTGCGCCGCTTCTCAAGGGGACACCAATAACCTCACATTTGGATTTGGTGGAAATATACAGGGAGAGGCTGAGCAGAAAGGGTTCGGCTACTACGAAACCATAGCTGGTGGGAGCGGAGCAGGTCCTGACTGGGAAGGCACATCGGGAGTTCACACGCATATGACCAACACTCGGATCACCGACGCAGAGGTGTTCGAACGGCGATATCCGGTACTGCTGCGAGAGTTTACTTTGCGCGCCGACTCCGGGGGTGCTGGGCAGCATCGAGGTGGGGACGGCGTCGTCCGAGACATCGAGTTTCGCATCCCTGTACAGGTATCTATTCTTTCAGAGCGCAGGGTATATCATCCTTACGGTCTCGAGGGTGGCGAAGACGCTCAGTGTGGTCAAAACCTCTGGGTGCGTCGCATCAACAAGTCAGATGGGGGTTTTGAGGAGCGATATATCAGTTTGGGTGGGAAGAATTCTGTCCAGATGCAACCTGGAGAGCGAATAATCATTCGCACTCCCGGCGGCGGAGGCTGGGGACAAGTTGGAGATCAAAACCAAATAGTGCATGAACAAGATGCACGGCATACCTGGAGAGGAGGATCTATCTATAACAGCCTTGCTACCCAAGAGGCCAGTATATGAAAGGTTGAAAACATCTTGAGAATCAGAGACTATAAGCAAAGCAGGGAGGGAGAAGAGAAATATCTCAAAGACTTTCTTTCGGTCATGAGTTATTATTATCAGCATAAAATTGTGAGGGACATGCGTTTTCTAGCAGGCGTCCTTCGTTGTCCATCTGCACTGCTTATCATGCTTCGCTTTCCTCGTCACTCGTAGCTTCAATATTTTTCTTCGAGGAGCTAACATCCTTGCGAGAGCGATTCTCTGGCTCTGCATCAATTTCACATCCAGCTTGGCCGCCGGATCCAAAGTATTCTGGGCGAGGCAGCGACACTCCTTGCTGCCTGAGAGCTTGATCGATTTCAGGGAGAAGCTGTACTAGTGCTGCAAACTGTTCCACGGGCATCGAGATTCCCTAGAGGGAGTCGTTATTAGAATAACTTCCACGCAAAGAGAAGCAATTGAAGAGAGCATTGAGATTCCCAGGGTCAACTCACCTTTTTGCTAGGCAGCTCCTGTCCTTGCTTTTCAAAGTATTCTCGCACGCTGATCATGGTCTTGCCTCGGAACGAGGCAATCGACACGCGTCGCATTTTGGAGATCTCCCAGTATCGCTCCCCGTTGGAGTCAATCGTTCCGCTTATCTTATCATCAAGGTTCACCCGGGTCTTCTTTGACTGAAATCGACTCTCTTTACCAGAGTCAGATCCTTCAAGGGAGCGCTTTTGGGAGGTCATCATGAGAGAGGGGAAGGGGTAGAAGTGTGTACAGGTAGAAGTCCAAACAAAGCGAGCGATGAGCATCACAAAGGCCACTTGGGAACGCGCTGACGCATCATGTCACGTGTTGAAAACGAACTACAGGATGGTTATCTACCGACGTCATACCCATCATGGACGAGATCAAAACACTGCTTCAGAGCTTGAAGGCTTTAGAGGGTCAGCACTCGCAGACCTTGCAGCATTATCGAGAATACAAATCCTCGAGCTACCGTCTCCACTTGAAGACTATTGAAGATCTTCTCAAGGGCTTCCCGGCTGGCAGCAGCACCCATTACGCTCGTCAGCGCCTGCGGAATTCCTCTCTGAACAAAGAGGCGGCGTGCCGTATCTCGTAACCGGGCCTTTTCCTCTTCGCTAGGTGGCGGGGGCCAGGATTGTAATTCTGTCTCCGTTGGAAGAGCATTCTCTCGTAATTTCTTAAGAGATTCAGCGAGCGCAGCATCCGACGTTTGGCTATCAATCATAGAGTCTTGTAGCAACTCCCGAATCGTCTCCAAGGTTGGACTTCCTGGACGCAGGATGTACGTTTTCGCCGCATTTAATAGAGTCCGGCGGATGTTCCATGCAGACGATAGTGTGTAAAGTTCGTTGATCACGGCAAATATTAACTCCACCGCGATTTGAGTCTCGTCAGTCGTGATGGGATTTCCAAGTCGGCGTGTGCTTTCGGATACTGATTCAGAATCACCGTTGAATTCTGGTTTGTCTTGCATCGTAGCTGACTCCATCTGAAGGTCTTCCGTGGTGGTTGTTTCCTCTATGGATTTGATTGACACAGGGGAGTTACGGTCATCAGGTTGCGTGAGATTCGACTTCGATGGTCCTGTGTCCTGTTCGCTGATTGTGAGAGATTTGGGATCTTTGGAATCTTTCATGGAGTCGAAGACCGGAGCTACCGGGGATGCTATCGGGGAGACTCCTGGGGACGCTACCGGGGACACTACCGGCGATGCTTTCGGTATGGGATGACCCTGTACCTGGGTATCTTCGCCAGGAGTAGGGTGGTCCACAGTAGGGTTCACTGTTGAGTAATTGTGAGAGTGGGAGCCATCGGGGAAACTGAGGCTCACCGGTAGATCTCGGTCAGCTTTGGACGGACTCTTCCGGTGTTGGAGTGGGCGGTCTGAAACACTGGACAGCTTTCTGTTGTGCCCAACTGCACCGAAGACTCCGGTAACCCCATCGAGAACAGCCCGACCTCCTCCTGCCATGCCCTTGGGGGCGTTCGTTAGCGCTCCCAATACTCCCTTGCCCATATTCTCGAATGCACTTTGACTAGGGAACGAGAATCCTGGCTTGGTGAGGCTGGCCTCACCAGAGTTTCCCTCTTTCTCTAGAAAGCGTCGCATCCGTTCGGTTTCCGCAAGTGACTCATGGTTGATTGCTTCCTGCAGATATCTTTCTAATTCCTGAGCTAGGGCTTGCCTTGTTTTCCCTTTCCAAGAGGGTAGAGCGGGGAATTGATCGGCGAAGACATAAATTCGATTGAGCCGTGAAACCGTTTCAAGTGTCTCGTGGAGAGACTGAAAGTCGGAATATTTCCGAAACACCATCCACCCTGTCGCTCGGGTGGAAGCAGGCTCAATCTGAAGCAGGTAATCCCACGCAGGCCGTGACTTGATAAGACCCTTCTCGCCTCCTGCGGCATCATCATCTACCAACACTCTAGCACAATGAAGAGTAGCGGGCGGCGTGGGACTTTCTTGCAGTAAAGATGTTGACTGGGCACTCGGGGGCGTGGGAAGCAATGTTGCAGCTTCTGGAGTCGGGAGCAACTCTTTGCTAGGGACATGGTTCGCTAAGACATCGGAGTTTGGGTCTTGATCTCCATTTCCTCGCCTGGTTGTCGCTTCACTGGTCTCTTCTGTTGATGTGGGAAGGTCCTGAGGTGACCCATTTCTAGCCACCTGCCTGGCTGGTGTGCTCGTCACATCTTGGGATGCGATCATCGCACTTAATCGTTTTGCCTCCACCATGGCGTCTTCTGTTGCTTTGTCCATGGGAATTGGCGAGGAGGGCCTTGAGTCGGGATGAATTTTCTTATTTTTCGGTCCTGAAGGAGCGGTCTTTTTCTCAGAGCCTTTGGAGGCATCCACTCCCTGATTTCGTGCGCCTTCGACGCCAGCATCGATTGCATGCATGATTTCTGATTCACCGTCTTGAAGAAGATAAATGATCCAGTCATTAATAAACTCAGGCCGGGAGAGACTGACGACGGTTGACTCCAAAATGACTCCCGCAAAAACCTCACGAAGAAAATCCCTTGCTGGAGAACAACTGTAGGTCTTCGGATCAAGAAAATTTGATAAAATATCATCAGCAACCATGGTGAGTTTTTTCCGCTGTTGGTCCCGAGACAAAACATTCGCCAGGCTACTATCCGGGGCGGTTTCCAGATACTGGTCCACAATCTTCTTTGCATCTGCATCCGGAGATTCCGCAACCGCAAAGGCGGCCGCGAGTTCGTTCAGGAAGACAATAATTATGGACGAGGAGTTCGTTAAAAATTGGAGGAAAGTATCCTCAGTCCGCTTCCGCGCAAGATGAGATGCCACCGTCGTTACGAAATGTGTTAACGCTCGCCGACAAGACGCAGGAAATATGGATTCGTTGGGCAGAATCGGATCATACCAAAACCTGGATCTTTGGTCAGCTCTGCTTCGGTCTAGAATAAAGGATGCCTCACTTGACATAATCCTTGATCACAGCATCCGTCAGCGATCTCAAAGCTGCCGCCGTGGCTGGTTGGAACCTCGCAAAGTCCAGATCAACGGCCGATAGATCTTCTGGTACAGCGACTGGGCTGCTGCCATCCTGGGCATCCTGATCTACCAGAGAAACATGCTTAGGCCACTCTAGAAGTCTCTTAGAAACCTCCAGCGCCAGCTCCTTTCTTTTCTTGGGTGTTCGCAAGCCTCCCCCCCTCCTCCGCTGCATGGCCGGGCCCTTCCCACGAAGCATGCAAGACGACCCCCAATCCGATTCCGATCAAGACGAGTCCAATCCTACCCAATATTATATAAGTTAGGATGGCGAGGAAAACAAACACGCCAAGGAGTGTTTCATGGCTGGAGGTCGCGAGAAAGTCCAGGATACGATCAACCAGCTCCTGAGGTTGTGTTGTGTTCTCGGTTCGTTTCGCAGTGGCGGAGCTCCCAATACTCACAGTCTCAGGCGGGGTCACTAGGTTGGTAGAGGATGTCAAATATGCTTGAGAGGCCTCCGCATCACTATTGGATGAATCCATTGTGATTCTGGAAAGCGCGTCGGTTTAGCAAGCCAGGTGGTCAAAGCTCGACTGTATGCACATCCATGCCCCTCTCCAAGAAGCTGGAACGTATTTGAATATGTGGAAAAGCAGAAGCAACTGTTCGGAGATGGACGCCTCCCCCCGTTGGCGGTGGGAAAGGGGAGAGCAAGAAGCTTGACAGGGTGTGGACGTGTATGGAGAACGGGGATCGGAGGTCGGACCACGGAGTAGTTGGCCCGGCTAGGCAATCGGAGAGCAGAGGCGTTGGTCAGTGCGACCGCCGGGAGACAACTGATAGCCGAGACCCCATTCCGAGGGGCTGGACTGAGATGATGCTGGACTCACGGAAGAAAGGGCTAACAATCATTTAGAAGTATTTCAGTATTTCAGTATTTGGGATTGCGGTAGTCTGTTCACAATTACTTAAAGTACTCGGTGCGTATGGAGTTGGAGGTTCCTTGAATATATCACGCGTGGCTCTGACCCCCTCGATCGTACGCTAAACATCTCGTAGTCCTGCGTAGTCTTAACGCACGGTAGTGTCGCACATAGAAGATAAGGTTATCATGTCATCAGAAAAGATGCCCAGATGTCGAACCTAATCGGTATCGGGAGCCTATGATCTCGAAACGGTACGCCCAGAGAGCTCCACTTTGAGGGATGAAATCCCGTCTACAATACCAGAGAGACAGGAAATACGTTTGGAATCAAGACTATTTTGTATCCATTCATCATTCCCCAGCGGCCTGGGAGTGGACCGCCAGGAATCTAAAGCATAAACAGAATGGAGTTGCTCTCCGCTATCCGAGTGAATCCAGACATTCAAAGAACATGCGTGTCATGCCGGATGCAAAGAAGATGGCGGTGGGGAGAAGGGGGAGGACCATGGCTCGGCGTCCATGGAGTCTATAGAAGGTTTGATGGCATTGAATCTACTATGGAAGTTCCTGTGGGAATGGAACACTGGACCGGATTCGATTACTGGACAATCGAGACAATCGAGACCATTGGACCACCGGGGAAAACACACAATCCGGGCTTCATCGTGTCCGGACGTATTTAGTATGAGAACCCTGGGCGACGATGGACAGGCCCGACTCGGTCTGTTTCGAGATAGTGACGGTGGTGAAGGCGAGGGACTTGCCGACCTTGTGGGCACGGCTTTCAATCTCCAGCCAGTCGCCATGTGTCGCGGTGGACAAGTAATTCACGTGGATATCCGTGCTGACGCCGGTCGAGTCCAATCCGCACGAAGCAATAGCGAGTCCTCCAGCCCAGTCCGTCACGCAGGCTGAGAAGGCACCATGCAGGCTGCCCTTGGAGTTGAGCTGGCGATGGCCAACTTGTAGTCGGGCTCGCATCACGCCCTTTTCCGCATCATAAACATCCACATCGCTGAGAAGAAACTCGTAGATCGGGCTTTTGGAGCGAGTGTGCTCCCATACCTTCTGGACCTGTTTAAGTTCTGAACTCATGGTTGTATGTGAGGAACAAGACGCATGAGGGGAAAAAGAAAAGGAGAGGAAGAGGGCGCACGGATGAAAGTTTTGCATCGGGAGAAGTTGGGGAGGCGATAAGTGTGATGTTTAGCGAGCGCTGGTCAAGTGGGGCCGCGCTCCAACATTACAGTACATTAAACATTAACGTACTTCGTGCTTAGTATTATTCTTATTATTCAATACCCGTGCCGAGCCTCCCCCTACAGCGACACCCCTTTCTAAACCTAAAGAAGACACTCTGAAAGACGAGTACGAGATGATGAACTCTAGACAAAAAAAGATGATTATGTTTCGTTGATCCGTCTGATCTTTTGGTTTACTGGGGATATGATCAGGACTTGTCGGCAATGCCGTCACCTCGAATTCGATGACGGGATTGTCGGGACAACATCTGTGAGAGCATGAAGTGATTCACATCTTCATCACCCCAATATGTGAGATGGCTGGCAATACTTGCAATCAACGAGATATCGAATGCGCCTCTAAGTCATACAGAACCCCTCCGCAAAGGGGTTGGGACAAGTCAGCACGCCAAGGGGTTCGGTAATTAGGAACAGAGAGAGCAAAGGTGAGGGTTGAGAAAGATCCAGGTACGGGACGAGTTCACTCACTCTTGAATACTATAGTCAACACGGCCATTGAAATTCAAGGCGCGTACTTTAGCATCTTCGAATTTCACCCTACGTTCATGATCATCGGCATCGAGATCGGACTCCGTCTCGCCGAGACCTTTTCTGTGAGAGTGTCGGTTTTTCTGAAATCCATCATAGAGTGTCTCAATGTCTGGATCGATCAGGGTATGACAACGATCATTCTCCCCCGGGGTTTCATCTTGGGCTGAACCGGAAGCTGACTGGGTGCGCTCGTGTCCAGTGGCAGCATGGGCTGATTTATTTCCGACCCCAGTTGCAGACGAGGGTTCATCGATACTCAGTCCTAGGCTTCGATTGAGCAAGCTACTGGCAACCCCTGAGGTAAAGTTGCTCCACAAGGAGCCCACACTCTGGCCCATACGAGTTCCTAGGACGGAGAGGCTCTGCCCGGAGGTCGTCCATAAACTTTTCTTGACAGAGGGAAGAGGCTGCGGTTTCAGACTAGCCATTGCAGGGGAAATGAGAGGTTCAATTCGATAGCTGACTGGATCCGAGGGGTGGAAGATGTTGTAGAGATCACGACATTTAGGCGCTGAAATGATGGCAGAGTTGTCGCTCAAATCACGCGCGTTAGCACCACAGGAGTCTCGATTGGAGGTCCGAAAAGATCCTAGTGTCTGCGACTCTAGCTCATCACCAAGCACACTCGTGCGATTTCGAGTCCTGGTTGGAGTACATCCAGCAATGGTTTTCCCTTTCAACATTTGGAATAGGGCAATTGGGGACCCCAGGCAGAAAAATTCCTCACATTCAAAATCCAACGTGCTCCGTCTCGTCTTTGGTGAACCTGAGGGATGATCACTGTCCTGGGTGGCCCGCTTTGCTTCCTGGGCAAGATCGACCCCCGACTGAGATTGGTGACATAGAATATCAAACAGGATCGCGCTTCCAAGAGAGTGGCCACAGAGGCTGACAGAGCCATTAAAGGATGGGTTGCGCCTTCTATAAAGCCGAAGAATACGGTTGCATTCTTCTTTTACAATTGTAGAGATATGCTCACAATACCCGCTTTGATAAAGGAGCACATCCATTGCCAAGTCGGAGATGAGATTTCGAACAGCCGGTACACTTTCAAGAGTGATGTCTGCTAAACTTGGATATAAACTGTCCTCCGCCATGTCGGCGTCTGTGAGATCGAGTTCTTTGCGGTTCTGACGAACCCCTCGGTAAGGAAAATCGAGAAGATGGCGCCAACATCTGTACAGGAATTAGCATAGCTGACGAAATGTTCTAGGGTAGGCTAGGAACAAAAATTCAACCTACACAGGAAGAACTTGAACGCGACAGTTGATGTCCTTGTCATCGAAGTTCGTATTCAAGGCCTGAAGGTCTGGCGAGGCCCTGTAGACCCCCTTGAGTGTCTTTCGGAGAACATTGACATCATGTATGAAATTAATGCTTTCCAGCCGCAACCCAAGTCGCTGGCCAATGCCGTGGGTGACCAAAACTAAATGGTCGATCTCCCGCTCTCGATCTTCATCGTCAACTTCTCTAGACTCTTCCATTTCCTGCTCTTCCTGGCGACGGGCTTGTTCTTCCAGTTCCGCTGGATTTTGTGGCTCGCCTGCTAGGGATGACATTTGGCGTTCTAGGGTTGACTTTGGTCGCCTCTCCATGCTCTCGGCCTCTGCACTGTAACTTTCCGACCCAGATGGCTCTGGGAGGCGAGCCTTTGCACCATCTGGGTCAATGACCGCCTCGGCGCTAGAAGTCAGATTGCTCGAGTTTTTTTCTACCGACTTCCGCTCTGAGCCTTGACCATCAAGTGTTTCTCTTGGTTTTCGAGGCTCCGCCGAGCCTCGAATTACTTTCGTGCCGGGGACAGCCCCAAGCTTTTGGAACACAGTTGTGCTGAAACGCGACATAAAATCATCGGTAGTTATCCAGGCTGTTGACGCATCTTGATAAGCAACAATTCTGTTCATATAGGCGCCAAATAAGCGGTACTGTCGAGGATCGGAAGACGCTGCCGTTGCTCCGTTCCCCGAGGATTGATGGTACGCTTTGGCTGATTCCGAAGATCGGGGTCCACCTGTATTCGGCTGGGGATCTGCATGTCCACCAGGTTGCGTATGTTCCCTGAGTACGACAGAGTCAGAGAAGCCGGTCTCTCTGGCATCTGCTCTCCACGGCCTTAGTTTCAGGTAACCCTCCTCTAGCTGGGTCGCCAAGTTTTCCTCGCAAGGTTTCATGCTTGATCCATCATGTAAAAACCATGTCCCGCGCCGGACTTCATAGACAGGACCAATCCAATACGCCGGGCTAAGCTCTCGTTCTTCCACGTCCACATCGAACAGATAATCTTCGTTCACAGGTACCTTGGTAGGAGCATGCTGTGTGGGCTCCTGGTTGGCGTTCGCATGTCGCTGTGAATCAGCAATGTCTGAGAGCTTCTGGAATGCAGTTTCAATGGACAATGAGTCTCGCGGGGAAAATGGAATGAACTTCTTGGGCGGAGCCGGCGGCTTCTGGTCCGTCTTTTTCTGCTCAAGGCGGGCGGGTTTCCGCTTCGGTGAATCCACAGCATAGTACCATCTCACTCGGAGCGGAGGGCAATCTGGAGGGTAGTGGTGCAGGCTCAGCCTATGCCGGTTTGAAACTGTATGATCCTCTCCTTGCGATCGTTGCAGAACATCCTGCGCCGCCGGTCGATCGGGCAGCTGAGGTGTGGAGCTTCGAGGCGTACTCCAGGGCGAGAGGGTCCCCAGGAATGACTTTGGGTCCGCGCCCGCCATGGACGCCAGGCGGGCCTGTCGGACTGCAAATAAATGTCCCAATGTGCAGGGTATCGTCCGTTTTGTAGGAGAGCACAGGAAGAAAGGTGTGCTTTTGAGTCACCCACGATCCTGAGTGGTGCATTCAAGAAAGATCATATCAGTCGAGGAAAATTATCCGGCCTGGGCTATGTAGCGTTGTGAAGGAGGGGCTGTGACAAAGTTGCCGTGGATTGCAATACATGAAGTTGTTTTGGCTACGAGTCCAGATCGGCCATGCATGATGTAATCCCCCCACTGTTCACTAGGTTGACCAACGACAGATTGCACGTAGTTTGTCAACCATAGTTCAAGTTACCTCGGGCTATCTTCCCTTCCCCGTACTAGTGGTTAAGTAAACTACGTATATTGCGATTGCTTGGAAGCGACTTCCCCACCATCTACGAGGATCCCGCACAGGGTCGATGATGGATAATGGCACAACTACCCCCGGGAGCAGTGGACATGAGGCAATACTAAACCGACTCGCCTCGCTCCAAAGCAACCTGCATACCGGAGTGTATTACCCTCTTTCCAATAGCGCATCTTATACCGAGGTCTACGATTCACCACATGAGCGTGGGTCTAGAGAAAAGAATTCAGTACTATCATCCTTCGATGTGATGGTAGACATGGTCAGATTGAGCATCGAATATCTAGGAAGTTATCAGGGTGACGGGCTTCTGATCCTTCCGGGCTGTAACACTCGGGGCAAAGGCATGATAATATCACCTGATTCGGCACACGGCTGTGAAGGTCAATGAGCAAGGACGAATAGAGGTCAATCTTATGAATTATCCAGAGTATAGTCCCATCCCTACGGATCTTGGGGCAATACGACTCTACGATGGACGTGGGGCGTATCGAAAGGGAGGCAGGAGGGAGAGGACGAAAACCCCGTGGGATTCGATCGATCGTACATCCGCGGGGTAGAGTTGGAAAATGGAGAACCGCTTTGAAATTAAATCTGCGAATAAGACGGATGGCGAGCGGAATTTATCGTGGAAAACGCAAGGACGAGAGACGCGGGCGAGGAAGGACAACACGATCGCTCGACGTTCGTTTCGGTGGGATCCGAGCTGCTGACCAGGATAAATACCAACACCCACAAAAAAGAATCAAACAAGGGAGCCATGGGCAAGCAACCCCCAATCAGAAAATGGCCGTAAGATCAAGCTTCGACAAAGGAACATCAAAGAATAATGCGAGAAAATTCCACGGTATGTGACGAGAAATCTCACTCCTGTAGGCTTCGGGATAAACTTAGGGGGAGGGGGAGGGTATTTTTTTTCTTTCTTTCTTTTTTTCTTTTCTTGCAGTCACTTCCCACCGAAAGGCTCGGAGGCGAGAACCCTCATACGGACTGCAAATATATCCGATGGGCAAAAGTTCGACAGATGGCTCGGATAGACCTGGTTGAGTTGATCTACTCAGCGGTATCAAGCTCGTCATGGGCAGAAGGGACAGGGTCCAGGGGTACTAGCGAGCGTGAGCGAAATCCATGATATTTTGGCATGGGGTTTGACGACGAACCTTTCCTGTCTTCACCGTTCGGGCCGTTCTCACGCTCCTCCTCTCGGCGCTCCCGGTCATCCTCGCGCCTATCACGATCTTCTTTGACATCACGCTCTCGCTCCTCCGGGGTACGTGATCGGTCACGGGAGCGTTCGCGATCTCGGTCCCGTCGATCATGGTCGCGGTCCCGGCGGTCATGGTCGCGGTCCCGGCGGTCGTAATCACGGTCATGGCGATCGTAGTCTCGTTCATACCGATCGTCGCGTCTAGGGGAGTAACGACGAGGGGAAGTGGAGCGACCACGACGAGGGGGTGTACGGTCACGACGACGGTCACGTCCCGAATCGAATCTCCAGGATGCGGAAGGTGGGGTACGTGCCCACTGACAAGAAAATTTAGACCGTAGTCTCTTGTAGATAGGTAAAGGACAAGAGGCTTACCTCAATCTTCAAAAGGTCGTCGCGTCCAATGCGCTTATTGTGCATTTCATGATAAGCATCATCAGCATCGCGACGGCTCTCATATTCAACAAAGGCAAAACTAGGAGCCGGTCGTCAATCAATGGGGAACTCATGGGACTGTTTAGATACCAAGCTTACAGTCGGCTCGAAGGAGTACGAGGAGCTGGGATATCGCAACGGACCAGACGTCCATACCTAAATTGAAGATCAGCACAAGTGGGCACAACATTCAAGATGAAAAGGTTGTAATGACAGGTGACCGATGACGACCAAAACCAGCATCCGGGAGGCCTTTCAAAGGCACGCGCAACGGATGGAGCTTCAAGCGCAAATGCCAACATAATCCCGACTCTTGAGTGTTTAAAGGTGGAAGCCATCGCAGCGTCGGGGAGGGATTCGAGAACCGAGGGCTTAACAGCGCGAAGTTGTGGACGTCACATACCGTTCGAATTCGTAGGCAAGGTCGCGAGCTCGAGTTCCGTGGCCAAAGCCGGTGACATAGAGGGTGGTTCCCGACCGAGACATGGTTCATGGAGTAGAATAGACGATGGCGGAATAGAGAAGGGCGAGAAGGAAGGGAACGAGAGGAGGTCGTTGAAAGGAAGAAGATATTGTTCCGAAGGGGGAGAAGGGCGGTGGCTGCAACTACGGCCATCCATAGTGACCAATGTCGCAGTGATGAAAACGATTAGGAGGAGCGTAGTCCCTTTTTAATAAGACCTTGGAATGCAAGTGAGCCTGATGGCATAGTGCAGGTAATTGATTTTTCTCAAAATCGAAAATCGCAAGAACAATGATAATGATGATCCTGGAAAACAGGGTGGAAGAAGGAGAGAATGCAACAGCGAGAGAGGCGTTACCAGCGGTTTGGGGGGGGAGGTCCTTGCAAAAGAGCCACTGTACACCTTTTGTGCCTCTTAGTGCGGGTAATTGATAGTTATTATGATGGGAAGTAATAAGTTAAAAAAGGATTTGGAAAGTGTATAGGGCAATATTCCATTTATATCCAAGCCTCATCTTGAAAGATTCAAATAGTGGCATTTGCTAGCTACTACACGACTTAGGTGTCTACAGAGTACACTAATATAGACCTAGCTACCGAGGAGAGTAAGTGAGGGAAAGATGATGCTTGATAATGGAGTTGAAGCTAGCAGTTGAGGCCTGTACATTTTCAGAATGCCTAGATAACAGGATCTTGACATGGTGTACTTTCGGTACCTGGTACTGGGTACTGGACTGAATGATAGACTGGGTACTGGGTACCTGGCTGATGCGATCGGGGGCTCGGGAGGTACCGTAGCAAGTCGGCACTCGGGATCATGTTTTCCAGCACATCATCACCTCTGAACCCTCCACCCCTCCCATCGAAGCCTAAGAACCGGACCAAGCGCCAATAGCAAGAACACTGTTCGCTTGCGGGATCTCGACAGCCGGAAGATCCAAAAAGCAATTCCATTAAATCCAGCGCAGAACTTCACCCCGATATCCTCCTTACCCCCTTTGTCCATACGAAGCAACAGCATCATCAGCCTCCGTCGTTTGAATCAGCCCCATTATTTTTCGAGGGGCCTGGATAATATCCATCAAATCGCAAACTGGACCTACAATTCCAATGATGGACCTGTAGACTCTCCCAACCGCAAGCAGTCAGAAACTCGGACAATCTCTTGATGGCCAGCTCGACGCACTCCGTCCGGATCCCCTGTTCTTTCTTCTGTGCATTACATCCCCAACACCATTCGTCTGGCCGTTCGATATCCCGTACTTCCTTGTTATTCTTGAATTCAACCGCAGAAGTGCATGGGAGAAGCATTGCCACCCCGTTATCTTAGCACGCAACCCTCATCACACACTCGCATGCCGTCAAGATGAGCCTTGATCGTCAGGATGCACCTCAGAAAGATGGATTAGATAGGGCAGCAAAGCCTGCATTGCAGAATCTACCATTGCCTCCACCCACAAGGCCGATCAAGGTGAGTCAAACCCAAGGGTCCATTCTCCATTGCCAATAGCTAATAGTTCCTCTCAGGAGTCGGTTTCCTCCCCTCCATCTCTTCTCGATAAAACCAGAACCAAGCTGGCGGAGCCCGTTGTTGCCGCATTCATGGCCGGTGGCGTGGCCGGTGCCGTTTCTCGGACGATCGTCTCTCCCCTCGAACGGCTGAAGATCTTACTTCAGATCCAAAGCGTCGGCCGAGAGGAGTACAAATTGTCTATCTGGAAAGCTCTCGGAAAGATGCGACGAGAAGAAGGCTGGCGAGGCTTTATGCGGGGTAATGGAACCAATTGCATACGTATCATCCCATACTCTGCCGTTCAATTCGGAAGTTATAACTTCTACAAGAAGGTTCGTCGTATCCGCCTTGGGATTATCTTATCTCTAGAGTTTGTGAACTCACCAGGCCGTGTCGCAGTTCGTGGAGTCTCCTGAGGGTGAAATGACCCCTGCCCGTCGCCTTCTCTGCGGAGGCGTCGCGGGAATCACATCAGTCACGGTTACCTACCCACTCGATATTGTTCGCACACGACTTTCCATCCAATCCGCGTCCTTTGCGGACCTCGGCAAACGCGATCCATCTCGGAGTCTCCCAGGCATGTTCACCACAATGGTTATGATATACAAGAATGAGGGCGGCATTATCGCCCTGTATCGCGGGATTGTCCCCACGGTGGCCGGGGTCGCGCCCTATGTGAGAATCTCTTTTTCTCCCTTCATGTCCAGTCGGTATGCGTGTGCTATTTCTTACTAACGGAAGCTAGGTTGGCTTGAATTTCATGACCTATGAGTCAGTACGCAAACACTTGACCCCCGAGGGCGACAAAAACCCCGGTCCGGCCCGTAAACTTTTGGCTGGTGCAATTTCCGGAGCTGTGGCACAAACCTGCACATACCCCTTGTAAGCTGAATCCTGATTGCACCGATTGAACTAGCTCGGAGAGGGGAATTGGGACTAACAGAAATCTAGTGACGTACTCCGACGACGCTTTCAGATCAACACCATGTCCGGGATGGGATATCAATACACCTCGATCTGGGATGCGGTACGTGTGATTGTGGCCGAGGAAGGGTCACGAGGACTCTTCAAGGGAATTGGGCCCAACCTTCTCAAAGTGGCCCCCAGCATGGCCAGTAGCTGGCTCAGTTTTGAATTGACACGAGATTTCCTGGTCAGTCTTGGTGATAGAGATTAGTTTCAATATATTTAGATGTACTACTTGTTTGCGGCGCTAGAAGGTTCAGTCACCTTCAGTCCTGGCCTTTTGATGGGCCCTACTTGTATATAAGATTACTTGGAAGAAGCATAAAAAAAATTTGAAGTCTAGACTGTTTCGGGAATGAAATAGTTATCTATTCTCTGCGCTTGAGAACTAAACGATCTCCCTAGGAGAGCTGACAACGGACAACTTGAGGGAATCGATTCAGTGTCCCTCACTAATTGCATCCTAGTGTCAATCATGGGGTCCAGTATGACTAGCCTTGATACTGGAGTTGCAACTGCTATTCTCGCTACCGCTTCCACTCCGACTACTGTACCCTGTTTCCTGTGCGAAATTCGTGATCACTCCATGACCCCCAAGTTCAAGTTCAAGTTCAAGTCGGAACTTGAATTCATCCATGCTGACTAACTGGCGGGCGGCGGCAACTGCCTATGGCTATCAGGTGACCTTGTTTGTTACTGAAAGAGGACTAGCGTAGGGCTCAACCCACACACACCGCGCAGCCGAAAGTCCAAGACTAAAAACCTCTTACACTTCCAAACGGGTGCGACAGCAAGCTAACTCCCAGGTGTCAGATTCATACCAGCAGCCATGGGTATGTTTTTCAATCCGTCCTGTCTTCCCAAATGCCTTAATGGCGCTGCCCAGAGATTTGAGCCGTCTTTTCCTCGCCGACTCTTCCAGCTAACCAGGAGCGAAATTTCTTAGGTATCGACCTCGACCGTCACCATGTGCGCAGCACCCACCGCAAGGCGCCCAAGAGCGAGAACGTCTACTTGCAGGTTCTCGTGAAGCTCTATCGCTTCCTTGCCCGTATGAAAACCCTTCCAATCCCGACATGTTCAACACCGCCTACGAAGGAAATAGAAAAATTGCTAGGGAATTCAATACTGATTTGAGTTGCCTCTGATAGGCCGTACCGAGTCCAACTTTAACAAGGCTGTTCTCCGCCGTCTCTTCATGTCGCGCATCAACCGCCCCCCGGTTTCGCTCTCTCGCATCGCCTCGAACATCAACGAGTCGCAGAAGGGCAAGACCGTGGTCGTGATCGGCACTATCACTGACGACAACCGTCTCCTCAACGTCCCCAAGCTGTCGGTTGCTGCCCTGCGTTTCACCGCCACTGCTCGTGCCCGTATCGAGAAGGCCGGTGGTGAGATCCTGACCCTGGATCAGCTTGCTCTGCGTGCCCCCACCGGCGCCAACACCCTGCTCCTCCGTGGCCCCAAGAATGCCCGTGAGGCCGTGAAGCACTTTGGCTTTGGCCCTCACTCTCACAAGGTTCGTGAATTTGAAGATAGTTTCCGAAATTTTTTATTCATATTTTTGTCCGATTGACGTGCTGACTGGCTTCGAATCGAAATAGAAGCCCTACGTTGCCAGCAAGGGTCGGAAGTTCGAGCGGGCCCGTGGCCGCAGACGCTCCAAGGGCTTCAAGGTCTAAAGAGCCTTGCAAGGATCATGGGAAAGATGTCGGTCTGTCAGTGCAAGGACGATGTGAATCCAGATCTCACTCAGTGCCCGAGGTTTTTTTTTTATCTTGCGGGGTCTGTCCAGAGATCTCAATTCGATGTACCTACAGTGGCGGAATATCTTTGGTTGGACTGGGAGATCAAGATTTACGAACGGAAGAGGGCAAAAGAAAAATACATCCGGCTTAGTCCTCATCTTTTCTTACGACTGCGAAATGTTTAAAAAAAAACAATACGTTTTGATATTTAATTTTGACGATGGTCACGTAGTTACTCGGTAATGAGCAGGTTTTTATGGATGAATTGTCGTCCTCCTTCGCCGTCATGGTAATCTCCTGCTGCATGCCCATTTCCTCGGATCAGATATTTGTAAATTGTTAACCCCTCCAGCCCGACAGGACCTCGCGAATGAATCTTGTTGGTACTAATGCCAACCTCCGTGCCAAACCCATACCTCATGCCGTCCGCGAATCTGCTTGAGGCGTTCCAGTAGACACCTGCGCTGTCAATGCTACTCATAAATAAATTCGCCATCTCACGGGATTCGGTCAAAATGATATCGGTGTGTTTGGACGAGTGTGCATTGATGTGAGCAATCGCGGTCTCGATCGCATCCTCGGCGGGTATCGTCTTAACAGCCAACACCAAGTCCAAAAATTCGGTATGGAAATCGGTCTCGGTAGCGGGTAGAACTTGCGTGGCTTTGGAGAATGGAAGTGTCTTCGTCAAGGCGGCTTTTGACACTGCATCGCAGCGAAGAGTCACGCCTTTGTCTAGCAGAGCTTCAACGACAATTGGAAAAATTGATTCCAGAAGATGCTCATGGACAAGCAAGGTCTCGAGTGAATTACAGGCCGCCGGATAGTTTGTTTTTGAATCCACAATGACTTTTACCGCCGTCTCAGCCTTCGCATCCGAATGGATGTAAGCAGAGCATAGTCCATCGGCATGCCCGAGCACGGGAATCTTGGTGTTTTCTTTCACAAATCGAACAAGTTCGTTCGACCCTCGGGGAATTACGAGGTCGATAAAGGAGTCTTGAGCCAGGAGAGAGGAGACGGCGTCGCGGGTCTGGACGAGTTGAATCGACGACACTGGCACTTGAGAGCCAGCGATGGCCTCGGAAACGACATTCGCAATCGCCACAAACGATTCCATAGATTCCTTTCCGCCTACCAAAGCTGGTCAGCAACCCAAATAATATGGTTTGCAAAGTAGTCAAGATACCTTTAAGAATGGCAGCATTGCCTGACTTGATAGCGAGAGCAGCAATGTTGGCAATCACCTCCGGTCGAGCCTCAAAGATAATTAACAAAACTCCTATCGGGCAACTGACGCGCTCCATGCTCAGCCCTTCGTCCAAAAGGGTTCGTAAAGTCACTTTGCCCACTTGTTTGGAGTTCGAGTTAGATCAATCGGAGTGGGAGGGACAGGTTGATCTCACCAGGGTCCTCCAAATCCCTAACACTCAAGATTCCTTCCAGCATGTCATCATATTTGCCCGGTCGTGAAAGATCAAGGCGTTTGAGCACACTGTGACTCAGGTTCCCCCTATCAGCGGCTTGGGTTGCGATCTCGACATCTTTGGCATTCGCCGCCAAGATAGCGGTGCGATTCTTGTCCAATGCACAGTGGAGAGCCGTCAAAGCCTCATTCCGGGCCGTATTGGAGAGGGTTGCAAGGCGACGAGAGGCGAGCGATGCGCTGCGAGCCACATCCACTGCAGCCGACTCAGTCAGCGACATTGATCCTGTGTAGGTGAAATGAAGGACCGGACTGAGGAATGTATAATGGGAATGCCCCAGAAGAAGAGATGGATGAACGAATGTAAGGTGGGGGTGGAGGGGAAAATTATGGCGGATTTGAGTCAGAGGGGCAGTTGAGCGGCCGGGGTTCCACTCCCGTTCTCCGCCCTCGATCCGCCGAGAAGCTCTTCCAAACTGCTCCTCCTCCCATGACCCCCAGGACTTTTGTTGCTTTGTGGCTTTGTGATTTTATTGACCAGGCATTTATTTGTCCTGCTCGCCTCTCTCCACGTCTTTTTTTCTTCTCTTTCTTCTATTTTGAGATATCGAGTCATCTGATTGCTTTTGTTTGTTTCTCCTCTCTACCCTACACTCACGCCGAGCTCAACGTCGCGCTGCGTATTCCCAGCATGGATTTGATCGCGGATCTTGCGACAAAATCCGCACAACTACATGCTATCTCACACATTTCTACTGACGAGGAGTATGACCGGCAGCTTCTTGATCATGTCGCATCCCTGAGACATGCTCTGTCTACCAAAGCTCTGGTCTGCGTTGCCGGTGATGATTCACTCTTTGATGTAGGCAGAATCGGTCCCCCTTCTCTTTCTCTCTCTCTCTCTCTCTCTCTATATGACTGAGAATTATATGATGGTTCTATATGAGTCTAATCAATCAATCTCCTTGGTTGTGCAGAAATTCGATCCAGGTTCCGATTCTCTTGTCTATCTATTCCTCCTCCACCTCCAAATTCAAAGCTCTCAAAATGCAAATTACAATCTGTTTCCAGAAGCCATCTTGCCATCAGGGAAACTTTGGAACAGAATTACAGCCTACATAAAGGCCTTTGATCCGGTTCAAGTCAGGTATGCAGGTCATGAATGGCGTCAACTGATTGAACTTGTGGCCCAGATAGCACAGGGGGCTTCGAAGGCAAGACTACCATTCACCCAGTCGCGTCATGCCTGATAATTAACAAAGTGACAATTCCAGCCTCTTTTAGCTGTGTGCCTGATCAGGGATGCAATAATGCGGTTGGACCCATCGTGTGATGTTTTTACATCCTTACACCTTCTACTTACTCGTTTTTGCCTCCGTGCCCGGGCATACACTTCCGTACTGCCGGTCCTAGACAAGCACATCTGTCATTTGCCTCTTTCGACACCTTGCTCCCCATCAAAACCTTCCACGATAATGTGCACGTCGCATGACTCGGGCTTATTTTTCATCACCGACAGCTCTGGGCTGTCATCGAAATTGACCTACAAAGACTATCTGCAATATTTCCTTTATGGCGGTATGATTTACTTGGCATTAAAGAAGTGGCGCAAGGCAGCTCATTTTTTTGGTATCGTAATATCAATGCCAACCGGTGGACCTGTCAGCATGGTTATGGTGGAGGCATACAAAAAGTGGATTTTAGTGTCGTTGTTGGAAAAGGGCAAGGTGAGTAGCCAGTCCCGCTTGCTGGTAAAGGTTTCCCAGGAGTATCTGGAATAATTGACTGACTATCTGCTTAGCTTTGCCCACCACCAAGCATAAGTTCTCCACAAGTGATCAGAGTGCTTCAGTCCCTTGCTAAACCCTATATCAATCTGGCCTATGCGTTTGAACAGGGTGATTTGAGAAGGCTGGGAGCCGAGATAGATGCAGCTCGAGATATATGGTGCACGGTACGATGATGGAGAACGCCATATTTCCATGTGTAAAATTGCCGCTGATAAGATCCCCTAGGATAATAACATGGGTCTGGTGTCTCAGGTGATGAATGCTTACTCGAAACACACCATTATTGGAATCAAGAAGACATTTGCTGCTCTTACAGTGGCCGACCTGACGAAACAAGCAGTTTCTCTATGGGCTACCACGGATGCTGCAGAGTCAACTATAGCGTCACTCATCATGACTGGCGCTATACAAGCCACTCTTGTGCAGTCTCAAGCTGATAACGGTGCTGCGATGCTACGTTTTTTTGCAACCGCTTCTTTGCCCCAGATTCTACAGGAAACTAAGGTTCAATCCCATCTCCAGTGCGAACGGGGTTCAATGGCAGCTCTGATGAGAAACTTGGATCAACGCAACCATGGAATGGCATTGAGTGATGAATTGATTGACAGTATGCAGAAAGGGCAAACATGGAGTACTGTCGGTGAAGTTGGCGTGGGGCTCGGCACGGATGCTGGTCTTGAAATGGATGAGGACTTGATGGGGGAATGATCTTAGAATATCTGCCCTTGAAATCCAGAGGCTCTCTATGGCCATGCTCCTCGATTAGTATATGTCTCTGGCAGACATTGATTTATATGAAACCCCTGATATGGGAAGCAATGGGATTTTGTTCAGAGTGACTATTTGAGATTAACTGGATAGCGAATCTACATAAACACACGTAGGAGGGATAAGGCTGATATAGCTTTCCACTACCTATCATTTAATAACCGCTATTTTTATGAGATGAACTCCATACTGTTCAAAAGGGATATAGGTTGCAAGCGCGGAGTCAAGAAGCTGGCTATCTAGATAATGCAAGCTTCCTCTAGTCGTATGGGTCGGCTCGAGTGGTAGTGGGGAATGGCTCTAGTGGTATCCTTGTCTTGTCGTACAGTTGTTGATTACCAAGGAATGTAGATCTATGGTTCGCATAGTATACAACGCCTGTATGACCCTGATGTGATTTGGGCCTAGTGCCTAAGTAGCCTAGATATTACTTACTTTTGTTATAACCTTGGTTGATATATAACACAGGCAACCTGCGCCGCGTTCCACGTAGTTTGTTCAGAAAGCAAGCTAGTGCTAGATATCAATTGGCAGTCTACAGGATTGTCATTGAAGTTTAAATAATCTATCTTGGATATTATTGATCAAATAATCAACATCCTTCCTGGCAGAGCTTCATCTATATACAGGGTGCTGTGTAGAGGTTTACGCCTGCTGGTTTCTAGCCTGGTGCGCATGAAAAGTGTTGCCCGCGCTACTGGCTACCATGGTGACTGGAATGAACAGATGGAAACGAATTCAAAGGACATGGAAGAAATGAATGAAAGGTGAGCACCGTCAATCAATGAATGTTCTTATTCCCGTTAGAGCTTCCTCCATATACAAGGTGCTTTACAGGAATTTGCGTCTTCTAGTGTCTGGCCTGGTGCGTATGAGAAGTTGCTAGCAACAGGGCTGTCGAGTATATAACGCACGCTGTCAGAACGAACAGATATAAAATTGAATAGATAGAGGAAAGAGAAATAAGGAAGGAATTACCGTGTTAGAGAATAACTACTTGTATAGGGTAGAAAGCCTGTCGACTAGGTAGGAAGATGAACGTCAAGTAAGGAAGGCAAAACAATGTTTCTTGCTATCATGGATCTCTCTATAATCCTTAATTTATATACAGGCTTCAACAGTTTCCTATATAACCAAAGCAAAGGCGATGGATGTTACAGACCCCACCCCTAGGGTGCTAAATATAGACACGCCTGAACTAATCAGTTCAGCAATAAGGCGGTCAGGATAGATTTTGCTAGGAGTCTATCGAGATCCTTAAACTATAATACCTAAGGTCACGTAGTGTCTAGGTCCGTTCGAACGGAACGGACCTATTATATAATATTGCAATATCAGGCTATTCCTAACTCTATACCTTAGGTATTAGTTCGATACGGTTAGGCTTCGTTATAATAGCCCTACTTCTCCCTATTATAGATATATAACCTATAAGGGCCTAAGGGTTCGGTGCTCTTCTATTAGGGATTCGTGAACCTCTCTTCCCTATAGCCTTTACTTACCTCTATTATATATAGGCTATATTAGACTATATATTATAATATAATCTATCGCCTTTACCTTAGTTATATAGGAAGATATTAAAACCTATATATAAATTAAGGACTATAGAGAGATCTATAATAATAAGAAATAGTATTTTACTTTCCTTACTTAATATTTATCTTCCTATCTAGTCGATAGACTTTCTATTCTATATAAGTAGTTATTCCCTAATAATTTCTATTTCTTCTATTTTCGATTATCTAGGAAGATAGCGCTAAGAACTCGTCTACTTCTTTAATAGAAGAAATAGCTAATCCTCTGAGCCTATCTATAGAGTAATAGATAGTACTAACTAATCTTAATACTAGACTCTAAGTAGTCTAAGATACTATTAAAAAACTATAGAAGCTTAAAGAGCTATAGGAGTAAGTAGAGATCCTAAAATCTTAGATTATACTATAGAGTAATTAAGAATCCTCTATAGATCCTAGCTAAAATTTATATTAAATTTCTTACTTTAATAATATTAGGAGTAGCTTCTTAATTTATAATAAATATTAAAAGATGCTTCTAAGAAATATTATAATAACTAAACTTAGATTCTAGAAGCGATTAGCTATAGAGATTAAATATATAGATAGAGATAGTATTAATATATTAAAGAAAAAGCTCTAATCTTCTAATAAAATATAAAGGAAGATTAGTCCTATTTTAAGGAATAGATCTTTACTCTAATTAAAAATACTATAAGTCTAGAATTAGAAGTAATAGGATAGCTAGAAAAGGTTTTTTAGTAAAGAGATAAGGATCCTAGAGAATTCTATATATAACTAGATACTCTTAAATAGTATTTTCTATAGTTAGCTAAGAAAGAAAGAGTACTTTCTTATATTACTAAGCTAAAGTATAATCTATAAATAACTATTTAGTAATATATAACTAAACTTCTAGAATCCTATAAAGATATAATTAATATAAAAAAAAAACTATCTCTTGGCAGAATCGAATTCTTGCGATATCTCGCTATCTAGAGGTCCTAGGATCTCTAGACCTAGTTCAAAATCAAACTAACTTCCCGCTCTATCGTTTAATACCGGTATTAACCCTATATTAGCGATAGCAGCGGTAGGCGTAGCCGAAATAGGGATTTTACACCCCGACTAGGCGCGGAATTTTCGCGAACTACGGAACGTATAAACTTAATTCTAAACGATCAAAAGCACAGCGTGACCGATCAGGATGGTCACCAATGGAGGCCCAAGCTTGGAAGAAGGGCGGATACTTAACGGCTCCCCTAGATCTCTCACTGGCAGGTATAACATGGGAGAACCGCGTTGCATTCGCCCGGGAGCCATAGCGAGAGCCTCCGACGGTGATTATCTCTGAACGTGAGGAAGCAAGGAAGCAGCATGCAGAAATACTAGAAAAAGGAGGATGCCTAGTTATCTACACGGACGGCAGCGGCTATGAAGGCCGCGTGGGCGCTAGAGCAGTGGTATAGAGCAAAGACCCTGCATACTACCGCTCGCAGATAGGAACAGAGGGGATCTCCACTATTTACGCTGTAGAGCTGCGAGCCATTGATATAGCGCTGTTAGTTATTCATCAGCAATCAACTATTCATCAGCAACCGGTTATTCATCAGTCAACCAATCAGTCAACCGAATCAACAAATCAGTCAACAAACCAAGCTAACACACTTAAAAAAGTGGTGATTTTCTCCGACTCCCAAGCTACATTGCAGGCCCTTATGCGACCGAGGATGCCTTTAGGTCAAGCCTACTTGATCTCAGCGATACAACATCTCCAAACATTGAACGAAGCGAGAATTCATGTTGAGTTCCGCTGGATCCCTGCGCATGAAGGTATCCCTGGCAACGAGCTTGCCGACAAGACAGCGAAAGAAGCAGCCCTCTCCGATTCTACACCCTCTTATAACAACCGTTATCTTATCCTCGCATCTGCAATCAAACGACGTATCCGACAACGAGTAAAACAGGCGTGGGAGGCAGTATGGTGGAAGGAGAAGGGCGCAAAGTCGACGAAGCGGCTAGTGGAAACAGCAGGTAAGAAAGATGTTCTTGATTACTAGCAGGGCCTAAGGAAGGCAACATCGTTAGTGCTGATCCAACTGAGAACGGGGAAGATCGGACTGTCAAGCTATCTTGCAAAGATTAACGCACGAGACTTACTAAGATACGGATACGGTTTAGGCAACTAAACAGTAGCTTATATACTGCTTGAATACCCGGAGTTGCAAGAGATACGCACAACGCTAAGAAGCTCCTTAGCTGAAGTAGGTGTCTCGATACAACTCGGCACTGACGAGCTTCTTCGCTAGCTTCCCGCAAGGCTATATCTAGCATAGTTTATGATTTCGTCAGGCCTACTTAATCAATTCAAGTATCTTAATCCCGCAGCATTCGGCATAGAGCCGGAAAGCGTAGTAGACTAAACATAAGTATCAAGGCAGTAGTCCTGCAGGACCGATAGGGTATAGAAACAGGGGCAGGGTGCTAGGAACTCAGCTTGCTCTCTTAAAATATCACCGACAAGCAGAAGCGGTAATAGCCGCGTATAAGAAGTAGTAGGAGTAGGAGTAGGAGAGCAACGTGAAATCGAGATCTAGTAATTCGGATCTGCCACTAGCAATAACAACTAGCGTCCTGATAATTCAGAACTCGGTAACACGAGCTACTAGGGAGAGTGTAGGAGCGAGGAAGGGAGTAGAATGTGCATACGGACTAGTGCATATAGGATACGGGATACGGGAGTTAGATACGGAGGTCGGGCGGTGAGATTCTGCTACTATATAACCTTATTATCAATCTGCAGATAAGGCCGGCGGTGTAGTTCTGCCGTCTTATCATTATTCTACAAGATAAGGCCGGCAGTTTCTCCGCCCGTATATAGGATATTGATACTAGATGTTGCATACTAGATTGCTGAGGCTATAGTGCATAGTAGGTGCACTCGGCGCCGCCGGGACACGCGGGATGCCGCGGAGGCGGATCCCTTCTTTCGTTATTGTTTACCTTTCCTTTGTTATTCGATTTCATCTATTCGTTCTAGCGTTATGCTGGCCCTACCTTGATAGCAACTTCTTATGCGCACTAGGCTGGCACTAGAAGGCGCAAATCCCTGCATAGCACCTTGTAAATAGAGGAAGCTCCATCAGGAATAAGATTATTGATTGATTGATTGATTGATAAACTTAATTCTAACGGAATAGTAACACGCGAACTACTAAATAGTAAGCAACTAATAAGCTCTTAATTAATAACTACTCTTCGATAGAGGAAATCGCCTATATCGCGAGAAATATCTACTAATACGTCTAAAGTAATAACTATACCGACCCTATTATTCGCGGCTTTATCCTCTCTATTAAGCGCTACGCGTTAAAAGCGCGCGAGAATAATACTTAGGGGATAGCTATAATCCTTACTACTATC